TCCGAGATTGTTCGGATACGGCAGGGGATACCCTCCTCTCTGGAAGTTTCTCCTGTTGTCGTACTGTGAGAGGGTCAGTACTTCCCCCTTGTATCCTTTCGATAGCGGCTACTTGACCGCTGACTCTTCCGCCCGCGTTCGAAGCTGACTCCATATCTAGCTGCGGTATCGGTCCAGGGGGAGGTCCTCTCGTTCCCCAGGTAGGGGAGTATGCGAAACCTCCCATGGGACTACTGGCAGGTTGGGCGTAACCCATGGAGGTAAACCTCCGTTGTGGTGGTCCCATCCCAGGTTCCACTGGAGGGGGCCCCTGAACTTCCGGTTGACGTCCCTCTGGGGTCCGGATGTTGCTGGCGGTTTCATCCCCGAACGACTGTTCTGGGATGGACATCAGGCGTTGACCAGCTGCCACCGTGATGACAGTGGAGCTAGCAGCCTGGTTCGATTTTTGAGCTTGTGTCGTGTTTCCACGAGATAAGGCGCTCTTTTGTTTCTTCAATTCGGTCTTGGAACTAGAAGGTCGTTCCGTTGACGTCGCCGACATTTCGTCGCGACGAGTCCGTTCGGTGACGGGAGAGCTTGGTATAATGTAAGACCTGGGTCAAAATAGGTCTTAGGGTAGGTTTTGGTATGCGGAGGTTTATGTTGTAGCGTGCTAGGAGCAGGCTGGAGCTCGAAGGGAGCTACGAGAACCGCGACCGAGGACGGGAATGACCTAGTAGTGGTTGGAACGACGAGATGGTGACCCTTGAGGGGTTCCTAGGAGGTCCAGGGAGGTCCCTAATGCGTAGGGAGGTTCGGGACGAGTGCGGGACCGTAAGATATTGCGTAGTAGGAGTTGTACTCGCTAGAACGTCAATATAGAGTCGAGTAGGTAGTTTATGCAACGGGGTCTCGAGGGTGTAAGCTCCCGAGAAGGGATATGCCAGGGAGGGTAGGTCCCTGGGGGCTAGGTTGGAGGATGGTCGTCCTCGAGTGTGGGAGGTGGTAACGGAGAAGCAGTACGTAGTTCGTCGTGAGGGGTAGCTTCGACGTTACCTAGATCGAGGTCCCGAAGCTTACGAAGTAGCTAGGGAGCTCTGGGAGGTTTGGGGAAGAGTAGCTTTACCAAGCGGATAGGCGTTGGGGAGCTTTAGTAATGTTCGAGGGAGCTCGGGGACTCACTCGGAAGGCTTAGACTTGAAGTAAAAGCGTATATTCGATCGTACCGACGATCAGAGAGACAATAGACAGAAGTAGAGAGAAACAGAGGTAGAGAAACAGAGAGGAAAGAGAAATCCGTATGGTTAGCAGGTACAAAGGGACAGGGACTGGACCTATGCAAAAGGGTGTGTGTTCAAAATATACCAAGCTGGGGCTTCGGGACATTGAGGCGTTACTTAAATAGGTACGGGAAGTGAACAAGAGAACATCTGGAGGCATGAGGTAGCTAATCGGAGGGAGGGAGGTAATCGAGATTAATACTTAAAGGGGTTATCGGCTAGAGGGCTTTCGTACGCGTGTCGGGATGAAGGACGTTTGGGTAGTGGCGTCAGAAATACTTGGGGAGGTGTCGGGTGATACTTGGGGAGGTGCGGAGGACATACAGGAGGTGGTTAGGACGTATGGCAACGTGTGATGATTACTGGGACTGGTCTGGTTGTAGCCAGGGCATGACAGTCAAAGCTTAGTTGGAATGTATTGAAGTATGTTGGAAGGGTGCGAAGCATGCTCAAGTGTGTGGAAGCTTAGTTTGGATGTGTTGAAGGATGTCGGAGGGGTGTGAAGCATGCTCAAGTGTGTCGAAGCTTAGTTTGGATGTGTTGAAGGATGTCGGAGGGGTGTGAAGCATGCTCAAGTGTGTCGAAGCTTAGTTTGGATGTGTTGAAGGATGTCGGAGGGGTGTGAAGCATGCTCAAGTGTGTCGAAGCTCAGTCTGGATGTGTTGAAGCATGTCGGAAGGGTGCGAAGCATGCTCAAGTGTGTCGAAGCTTAGTTGGGATGTGTTGAAGCATGTCGGAAGGGTGTGAAGCATGCTCAACTATGTTGAAGCTTAGTCTGGATGTGATGAAGCATGTCCGAAGGGTGCAAAGCATGCTGAAGTGTGTCGGGGCTTAGTCTGGATGTGTTAAAGGATGTCGGAAGGGTGTGAAGCATGCTCAAGTATGTCAAAGCTTAGTTTGAATGTGTTAAAGGATGTCGGAAGGGTGCGAAGCATGCTCAAGTGTGTCGAAGCTTAGTTGGGATGTGTTGAAGCATGTCAGAAGGGTGCAAAGCTTGGTTTGAATGTGTTGGAGCATGTCGGAGGGGTGTGAAGCATGCTCAAGTGTGTCGAAGCTCAGTCTAGATGTGTTGAAGCATGTCGGAGGGGTGCGAAGCATGCTCAAGTGTGTCGAAGCTCAGTTGGGATGTGTCAAAGTATGTCAGAAGGGTGCGAAGCATGCCCAAGTGTGTCGGAGCTTAGTTTGAATGTGTTGAAGCATGTCGGAAGGGTGTGAAGCATGCTCAAGTGTGTCGAAGCTCAGTCTGGATGTGTTGAAGCATGTCGGAGGGGTGTGATGCATGCTTAAGTGTGTCGAAGCTCAATCGACTTGAGCATGCTTTGTACCCTTCCGACATGCTTCAACATTCAAACTAAGCTCCGACACACTTGGGCATGCTTCGCACCCTTCTGACATGCTTCAACACATTCAAACTAAGCTCCGACACACTTGGGCATGCTTCGCACCCTTCTGACATACTTTGACACATCCCAACTGAGCTTCGACACACTTGAGCATGCTTCGCACCCCTCCGACATGCTTCAACACATCTAGACTGAGCTTCGACACACTTGAGCATGCTTCACACCCTTTCGACATACTTCAATACATTCCAACTAAGCTTCGACACACTTGAGCATGCTTCGCACCCTTCCAACATACTTCAATACATTCCAACTAAGCTTCAACACATCCAGACTGAGCTTCGACACACTTAAGCATGCTTCACACCCCTCCGACATGCTTCAACACATCTAGACTGAGCTTCGACACACTTGAGCATGCTTTGCACCCTTCCGACATGCTTCAACACATCCAGACTGAGCTTCGACACACTTGAGCATGCTTCACACCCCTCCGACATCCTTCAACACATCCAAACTAAGCTTCGACACACTTGAGCATGCTTCACACCCCTCCGACATCCTTCAACACATCCAGACTGAGCTTCGACACACTTGAGCATGCTTCGCACCCCTCCGACATGCTTCAACACATCTGACATGCTTTGAAACATCCAAACTAAGCTTTGACACATTTGAGCATGCTTCATGCTCAAGTCCTAAGCTTTGACAAACTTGAGCATGCTTTGCATCCTTCTGACATGCTTCAACACATTCAAACTAAGCTCCGACACACTTGAGCATGCTTCGCACCCTTCCGCAATGCTTCAACACATCCAAACTGAGCTTCGACACACTTGAGCATGCTTCACACCCCTCCGACATCCTTCAACACATCCAAACTAAGCTTCGACACACTTGAGCATGCTTCACACCCCTCCGACATCCTTCAACACATCCAAACTAAGCTTCGACACACTTGAGCATGCTTCACACCCCTCCGACATCCTTCAACACATCCAGACTGAGCTTCGACACACTTGAGCATGCTTCACACCCCTCCGACATCCTTCAACACATCCAAACTAAGCTTCGACACACTTGAGTATGCTTCACACCCCTCCGACATCCTTCAACACATCCAAACTAAGCTTCGACACACTTGAGTATGCTTCGCACCCTTCCGACATGCTTCAACACATCCAGACTGAGCTTCGACACACTTGAGCATGCTTCACACCCCTCCGACATCCTTCAACACATCCAAACTAAGCTTCGACACACTTGAGCATGCTTCACACCCCTCCGTAATGCTTCAACACATCCAGACTGAGCTTCGACACACTTAAGCATGCTTCACACCCCTCCGACATGCTTCAACACATCTAGACTGAGCTTCGACACACTTGAGCATGCTTTGCACCCTTCCGACATGCTTCAACACATCCAGACTGAGCTTCGACACACTTGAGCATGCTTCACACCCCTCCGACATGCTTCAACACATCTGACATGCTTTGAAACATCCAAACTAAGCTTTGACACATTTGAGCATGCTTCATGCTCAAGTCCTAAGCTTTGACAAACTTGAGCATGCTTTGCATCCTTCTGACATGCTTCAACACATTCAAACTAAGCTCCGACACACTTGAGCATGCTTCGCACCCTTCCGCAATGCTTCAACACATCCAAACTGAGCTTCGACACACTTGAGCATGCTTCACACCCCTCCGACATCCTTCAACACATCCAGACTGAGCTTCGACACACTTGAGCATGCTTCGCACCCCTCCGACATGCTTCAACACATCTGACATGCTTTGAAACATCCAAACTAAGCTTTGACACATTTGAGCATGCTTCATGCTCAAGTCCTAAGCTTTGACAAACTTGAGCATGCTTTGCATCCTTCTGACATGCTTCAACACATTCAAACTAAGCTCCGACACACTTGAGCATGCTTCGCACCCTTCTGCAATGCTTCAACACATCCAAACTGAGCTTCGACACACTTGAGCATGCTTCACACCTCTTTGGACATTCTCCAACATGTGATGCTTTCATCACTCTCCTCATGTCATATAATTATTCTATAAGTTTTTAACTAAATCATTTTATTTTGAGAGCCTTATTTGTTACCCTGTCACATAAGTTCCCAATATGTATTCCATAAGTTCCTCTTCTGTACTACATCAGTATCCTGCAAGTTTCAGATATAAAACCCTACCTATCAAATACTTATCTAGTACTTCATCAGATAATTTTTCCTATAAGTCTTGTGCTATTGTTCTAAAAGTATGTGACCTTATTGAATACTTATAGTTTCCGACAATTCCATTTAAATCCCATAAGTTCCACATTTGTTATTGTTTCTTATGTAAAACTTATGTGACAGGGTTGTCACATTTATCTTCAATAAGTTCTTTCATAAGTCCGCAATCTTATCGGGCTTTCATTTTTCGACAGTATCTTATAAGTTTTCGCTAAGCTGCGCAAACTTATTAGTCATTGCATGCAGTGGTTGTTCTCGTATCATGTCCAACGTTGTGTTCCCTCCTTATGCCTCCAGCCTCTGTGTGCAGGATTCGCACTACGGTTCGAGCTTACAAGGCTTTCGGACACCAAGTAAACCCCGTTCTACAAGACCTCTGGGTCCAAGTCTTCAACACCAATTTAGTCCAGAGTATACGATGGCGATCCACCAATCATCGAGAGGACCGTTTGGCCGTTCTACGTCGAGGCCCTATGAAGGTTTGTTTTGATTTACCGTTCACCCAACCACTGGTCTAATCCTAATTCAGAGAACGATGTGGCAAGAGACGTTCAATACGCTCTTCGTGCTCAAGAACGCGCTAGGATGAGGAAAGCCACATTGGAAAGCAGTACCCACAGCAAAAGAGTGCATAGTGGTTCCTCCTCAATAGCAAAGCCCCAGGTTCTCCCGCCTTCGGATCCTGATGTGGGTCCTGCTACTTTGCTTGATCACTCGTTACTGATACCGATTCCGAAGATGAGCCCAGCCTCAGCCAATGCGGCTACCGACATAGGGTCAAACTTTCAAGAGCCCCGCCATCCAGTCACGAGTGAAAGAGGTGAACTCACTCCATTTCAGTCACTCCATCTGGTTCTTATATGGTGTTCATTTCCAGTTCGCATGCGCAGTTTCAGATTCCCGCGTGTCAAAGACTCGATATCCCTTCCCTACCTTCAAAACCGTCGAAGGAATACACCTCCCCCGTGTCACCGTACCTCGGCTGTGGATGATCTTCCTCCTCCCGTGCCCCAACTACCCCAATTTCGACATACATACCCTCCCGCTGTCGCGACCGAAAACAGTCCTAAGCATATTGTTCCCCTTCCCCGCTTTGACCCATTTTCTCGACCTCGTGCTGATTCTTTGTCGTCCCTCGTGGAAGCTCGGAGCTCAGGGGTTGAGACTCATACGAGCCGCCGTAGTCCATCAACCGTGAGAACCGCTCGTTCGAAACAGGTATCCGCAGTCAGTGACATCTTCTCAAATATCAACCGACAAGCAGCTAGTTTGGGGGTGAAAACTTGTGTATAGAATCAACTTTTATTGTGAATGGAGTATTTGTTGAATCTATTCTGGATTAGATCTTATCATTACATAGACAGACCTTGAAATAATCTTGTAGTTTTGTGCCGTTATGTATGTCATGGACTGGAGATCTTGAAAAACTTTGAAGGAGAACCCAGGTAGAAAAGCAACCTACGCCCAGAGAGGCGACACCGTTGGTGAGTGTGCGTTTCTATAAGGAAGTATTTACTGAGCACGGATACTGCCTGATACTGCTCCTCTCTTACTGAGATCACGGGATCGTGATGATGACGCGAGCTACACGTCGCATCAAGGTTACATTGCATAGAATGTTCCATGACATTGATCCTATGCAACCGCAACCCCCCGCAACGCGAAATGACAGGGTCTACCTTTGCTCTTCTCTTCTCCGACGTCCCCAATGGCTATGTTTCTTTGTGTTAGCACGGTCACGTAACGCGCTGATCATCTTTATTCAGACTTTACTTATATAGTTACTTACATACGTGCATTGAGGTTTCCGGGCGTTTCCCATAAATGTTCTTGATGGTGGCACCAGGGTGGCACCGCGGTTGGCGTTGAAAATGAATATCCGACTGGGATCCCGGATGATTCATTTTGAAATCCGTTTCAAGGCGTTCTCCTTTTCTTTTTCGTGGGCTTCTCTTCACTTTCTCACAGAGTAATTTTTTCGACTTGACTCAGGACCAATAGCGATGGGCCATGGCGAATGCGCCGCTTTCTCCGCCACAGATATAAAAAGCAATTCCTGCTGTTAAGGGTCTAGGTTTCGTCGGAATTGCTCTTTCTTTCCATCTATCAGCGTCCCTTACTTTTTCCTTCCGTTCACTTTGTCCAACCTTGTCCAACACAGTCGCTATGCCCCCTGTGTTCCGTCCCAGACTCACTCGCAGAGAGCCACGATTCCCCACCATCGGCGCGGTGCTAGAAGAGAGTCATCGAATTCGCCAATCCTCCGAATTTATTGAATTACGCCCATCTCATGTGTTCACCGTGAGACATCATCCTTACCGCGACGGTCGAGTACGTTTATCTGAATCTTTCTACAGTCTAGCACCATGCTTAAAATCCCCGCTCCACAGCGTTCGAATGAGCTGGTTGACTATGAAGAAGATATCGAAGAAATCGATGGCGTATTGGTTTATGGGATTCAATCTTCGGTAGACTAGTCTAGTATGATTTCGACAAAATACTGACATGTACAAACCTTCGACTACAGTTCCTCATTCCCGACTGGATTTTTGATGAGGCCACAAACAACGATGTCAGTTTTGCACAATCAACTCCAGAGCCAGGGCCAAGGCCAGAGTCGAAAACCCTTCGGGCAGAGAATGTTCCTTCTCAAAGGGGACAAGTTGTGAAAATTGTCTTGGTATGTCCAGATTGTATATCTGGCTGGGTTTCTTTGAGTGCAACTTGGTCTTCCACTCATCAGGATAAAGCTGTTGCCTTTGCTCGCCGACTGTTCCCAACCACCAGAGCTTCTCGGACCCGGCAGTGAACTTGGCATCCTTTACATACTCAACTCAACTTTTCTTCCATCGAACTAGGTGAGCTACTACTGGTATGGTAGGCATTATTAATGATCTGATTTTTTCCTTCCCTGTAGTTTGCTTGTCACAACTGCTGCTCAATACACTCCTTTTTCAAAAGTACCAATTCGCTCATTATTAAATATCGAAATATTAAACATTTTGGATTTCGCCAGCTGACAGCTGAAGTAACATATATAATAAAATCAAACACGCTGGCAACGAAACGTACATGGGTAGCTTTCGCCGTAGTCCTGTATCGTAGACAAGAGATCAAATTGACTGTCATTTTCGACATCTTCATTACATCCCCAAAATGACTACAAAACTCCTCGGGATCATTCTGCGTCAAGGTCGACGAACGTATCTAGATCACCGATGACCATCAAGCCTTCCTCTGGCGCTCCAGCAGTACGACTACGACTGCGTTTGCGAGATTTTGATGACGAAGGAAGATCTCGATGTCTATCTTGGATGCTAGTGCCTTCGGATGGGTCTGCCTCACCTTGGGCAGTGGCCGCTGACGCTACATGTTCCACAGGTTTTGGCAGGGTAATCTCCGGAGTGGGACCAGAAAAGTCTCGACCTGTCATGCGAGAGAGTGTCTCTATGTCTAGTATATCCAGTGTAAATTTGACAGTTCAGGAGGTCATACCCGAGCACACGTACCAACTGGTATGCTGTTATTCAGGCAATGATTGATACGTGCGGGATTTTTCTTGTCTTCGGCTTTGAATTTGTTCTTGCAAGATTTACGATCTCGGCCAGGCATAACATACGAAATCAGTTCATAGTTTTCGCCATATTGAGAAAGTGCCTGTGTTATGTTAAACCTTGAGAACCAAGACGTATCAGTCGAATCATTCTCACCTCATAGAACAGTTCGGTTTCTTCTGCGCTCCACCTTGTCCCGCGAAGTTTCGTCCCATATGTACTGCTATTGGTGAATTTGGATCTATCACTCTCGATTACATGCGTATAACCACTTGTGTCGTCCTCCATATCGCCCGCACGATCTACAACCAATGATTCTTCGTCAATGATGGTTTCGCCGTTGGGTCCGATCCGCACTTGCACATTAAATCGACTAACGGCAAGCTTCTGCGTATAGTCGAAGGAATCCGGGTCAAGGTTAGCAGCAACAGCAGGGGTCGATGTAGAGGCGGCATTATCAAGAAATGGAGACGGTTGTCTGGAGTGGGATGATTCTGCGGCTGGAACGACAGGCGCAAGATCGGATGTTGTGGGAGCCTCGGGAGGTGTATCTTCATCCTCTGGTTGTCCATACTTCTTTCGTTCCATCATAATCTTCATCCTGGCACGTCTCTCGCGGTTGGATGCCTTCCACGTTACGTGATTGTTGAGAACCTCTTGGGCTTTACTGCTAACGCGACCTTGACCGGTATCGCTGCAAAGCAAAGCCATAGTGACGACAGTGGGATCTATGTTTTCGCCTGGATCAGCGTCAGGATCAAATGGCGGTAGTGACGGGGAGCGAGTTTTTCGACTCCTCTTTCGACGAGTTTTTTGAACGTTGTTCCCATTCACATCATCGCTGCGGGTTGTTTTCGATTTTGAGGCTTGTTTCCTTCGTTTAGCAGGTCGAGGTTCCGCAGTGCCATCTTCATTGTCTGCTGTAGTATTTCTTGCAGAGCGCGGCTTCCTTTTCTTCGTGGCCTCTTTCGGAGTACTTTCAATGGAAGCATCTTCTCCATTTCCGTTCGGGTCTGTGTTTTGCGCCACATTCTCTACAACGGAATTGTCATCCCTCCACTGGGGCGTCTTAACATGACTTTCGACATTGAGTGCCGAGCGTGGAGTAGGAAGTGTGGATGCGTTCTCGGTGACAGAGTTGTGTAAAACGTTGCTTGGTGGTGGGAAATAGCTAGAGGACTGTATCAGAGGTATCATTGGGGTAGGTTGAGGTCGAAGAGGTGGCTGGGAAGGTGTAGGTATAACTGATTGAATACTAGGGGCAAGTGGAGGAGGAAGTGATAATGGAGCCACATGTTGCGAAATGAAGGCAGAGGAAGAAGGCGAGAAGGAGGGGACTGAATTCAGGGCTGGTAGTGGCATCGACGCAGACGGCGCTACAATCGGGACAGCAACTGCTTTTGGTGCTTGAGAATCATCTGAAAAAGTGGAAGCTGCAGCAGCGATTCCATTTCCTGGTAAAGACGCAGGAGCAGTTGAAGAATGTAAAGAGGGACTGCTCTGTTCCTGTTCTACTACCACAGACTGTTGACGAGGGACTGCCCCCTGAGTCGGCGCAGTAGGACGCGATTTTTGGCGGGCTAAAGGCCTAAAAACAGGCCCTCCTTTTTCTGACAATCCGAATTATGACAAGGACATACCCCATGATGGACAAATACTTACGAACGCGGCTGGTCATTGTTCATTAATATTACCAGCGATCATGAAAGTTGCGGATAAAGATAGGCGCACACGTCTTATCTGAGTACAAATATTTAGACGCTGTCATTTATTTAAATAATGTTAGTCCTTTATGAGCAACCCCGATATTCAACTTGAAACTGGCTCAGATAGAGGATGGGAGACCAAGAAGGGTGAGGAGGTGCTCCAGAGTGTTGCAGAAAGGTGCGTAAGTATTTACGGTGTTGGTATTTACCTAAACCCTTTTTCGCCACAGTCATGTTCTTGCCTTTTCCCTTCAACGCTGTGAGCAATCAAGAGCACCTCCTTGAGATGGTACTCAAACTCCTTATAGCAAGAGAGAGATGGCTCACCTCCGTGCTCCCAAAGTTTTCCAGCAAGGTCAAAAAGGGATTTAAGGCTGGATCAGATACTTCATCGCCTCCGCCACACAGTTTGCATCTTCGCGGAAAATGTGAAGTTCAGATTGGTCCTCATATATTCCCAAATACTACGTTCTACGAAGCAATCTATCTCCCTACATATCATTCAAACCAGGGCCTGATTTCGACTTCTTACGCCAGTACCACCCCTTCTGCTCTTGAACCGACCATGGCTACTCCTGCTCTCATAGATCAAATTAATGCCGCTGCCGCGACGAACCCTATCCTGGCATCTCTTCTTCAGCTTGCCAATGCCGGGCAGGCGACTCCAGATCAACTGCACATGCTGAGTATCACTATCCGGTCGTTGGCCGCTAATCCTTTACCTGCGTCGCAATATAGTAGTTTGAACGCTCAGAATTCAAGTGCACTGTCTACCACACCAGAGTCAAACAAGGAATTTGATCTCGTTATTGAATTTGAGGCATCCTCTAACCGCTTCATCTTTCCTCGCGGAACTACAGTGTGCGAGCGTGTATCAGGATCCGAAGACATCGTCGTGACCTCATATATTCAACTGCAGAACAGTAGCTCGATGCAGAAAATAACAGAAGAATCACAAGGGCAGAGCTCAAGTCAATATCGTATGTTAAGGTTGTCTTTGCACGGAGCTTCCGAATCTCTGTGGGATAGTTTGAACCGCTGGGCAGGTGGAGAAGACATCATGAATGCAAATAGGAAAACTTTGAACCAACTTGTTCGTTCATCTTCATTCTTTCTGATCTCCAGACTTCTGATCCTGCTGCAGAAAGGCAAGCAGCCGCGAAAAACCTACCTTGCCTATCGTCTTCCAGAGGGACTACTACTCGATCACATCAAAGCCGTAAGGGTCCATTCCTACTGCACCCACGATTCTAACTGGATATTGATTTTCTAAATAGGCAGTGTCAGCTCCTTACCCCATGAAAGCTCTCAAGCCCCCGGCTTCGCTTCTCAAGTCTAGGCGTATCAGGAAGCCTGTTACAAAGACGCCTCAGGAACTAGAAAGATCTTCACTCGACACTCAAACAAACGCAAAACCACCGCGACGGAAAAGGAGTGCTGCTGAATTGAACGCGGCTTTGGATCTTGCTGCCGCGATCACTGGTGCAGGGAGTGTTGCTAACTATAGCCTGACTCAATCAAGTCATTCTTCTGCTCTTCCTACTCCTTCTGCTCTCACAGATACCTCTACACACGCAGCTCCTCCGCCACCGAAGAAACGAAAACAACGCACAACCTTGAAATCAGAATATCAATCTCAGCCTGCAGCGACTGAAATTAAGTGTAGGTCATGTCAAGCGACTGATGTTCCTCTAATGCTTGGTGGACGTGGGTGTCTATTTCGTACTCGACTTGTTTGGTTTACGTATCTTATTTCTCCCATCTGATTCTCAGGATTCTGTCGTCCTTGTGTCGAAGCAGGTCGGGGAATTGCCGACATCCCCCAATTACCGAACTATACTCGCGCCCCTCAGGCATCAGCTTACACTCCAAAGTATATTCTTCCTCCCCTTCCCCTTCCGCCGATGGCGACTCATCACTTTACGTTGATGGATCCAACTTCTCGTTATCCATCAGCGACAATTTCTGGACCCAGACCCGATGTAGTGGCCAGTTACGCTCTAAACAATATCCACTCAGGAACTCTGGCAACACCTAATCTCACAACGATGACCAATATACCGACAAATCAATCCACTCCTCCGAACGTAGAAAACTAAAGCCTCCGTACATTCAGCTGGCATGCCTTTGGGTCATGATGATGTGTTCATCCCCCATCTTTGCTTCCAAGTTCCTAGATATTAATTTGTTCAAATCGTAGTTGGGTAATTGATTCCATATTCGGAATATTAGTAGAACCAACTCTGGAAATCCTGAATCCTCACGGCGAAAAACTGAATAACGAAACTGAAGATCTCGATATATATCCAGAGAAAACTTCAATGGCCAAAATTGGTCAAACGAGAGTTGTCGACTTGACATCAGTGCTAACAGAATTTTTTCTTCTTCTGTATTGTACCTGAGGGTGCTTGAACTTTGAAATTTGGGTCCACGGTATGTACACCCTATTTCGTCATAAGCTTTTTTTTCTATTTATTTGATGGCGGTATGTCATAGTCTCTTCGGTTCTAGCAAGAAGACGCCTTAAAACAAACTGTTCCAGATAAATTGCATCAGCTCAACTCACTATGTGAAACTAGTGCGAAACTGCCGGCGCATCGCCGGCACTGAAGTAGCCCTACACAGAGCGGGCACCCTTGGTACCCTTGCAAGTACGCCAATGCCGCTTCAGATTATTCATGGATGGATATCGGTTTTTACAAGCATTGCACTGGAATCGTCTGATCTTGTTATGGGCGTTGACATGATCTAGTGACTCAATCAATAATAGGATTGCGAGACTGGAAGGCCACTCACAGTTGTAGTTATGTTTCGCTGTAAACTGGGCCCCGCAGCCCGGTATCGTGCAAAAGAATCTCGATGGGTTTCTCCCTCCGGTGGGATGCGCAATGCGTCGCCGCTCAGCGGCAGCTCGACCCGCAGAAGACCCGACCTTAGTAGGGTCCGTCTGTTCCATTGATGCGTGGGTAGTTCCCGTTTCCGAACCAATATCTTGTACTTCCTCCTTTTCCCACTGTTCTTTGCTGCATTCTGATTCACCAGGCTCGCAGTAGACTAAGTCCTGCATATCAGTGCCAGTGGGAGCATGATCCATACGCTCAAGGGTATCGTCAATGAAACTTTGAGCGTTTGACCAGTTAATGTAAGAGTTACACTCGTCCAAGCTGGTTGAAAAGGAAGGAACGATCCCGAACTCAGGCAAATATGGTGACTCTACATCATAATAAGTGCTTTGCCAACGACTTGTGATGAGTAGGGCTTGTCAAACATGGAGCACGAGCTGCACTAACTTTTCCATTGTGTAGAACCAGAGAGGCTCTACGATCGTGCACGATGGGGTGGGTCAGGTAAAGGAGATAGATTATCTTCGCTGACGGTTTGCTATTTAGTATTTATTTACATCGTGTAACCCTCCAAACGAGTCAGTGTATGAACCATAGAAGTCTTTGTTCCTGATTGGTTCGCCTTCCATTGCTAAAGCTGTGAAAACCTAGTTGAACTTAGGACCCTGCAAATTTTCATCATATGTAGGTCATAAACCGCCCAAATTCAAGTTATACCACAAGCCGTGACTCTCCGGATAGGATATTAATTAAGGTCCTGGCCAAAGCGTGCTTGCGTATCCGAAGATTTCTCAAGCTTAAGATGGATATTTAAAGAAAGTGTTACGAGAAGACACGCGTTGCAAGAAGAAGCGGGAGAAGTTTCGTGTAGAAAGAGACATACAGATATCATACTGTATGCAGTAGGAAGAAGCGATCGTCCTAATTAAGTGGCGAGGAGACGGTGAACCACGAATGAGAACCTGTCCAGAGCCAGGGAATCGGCGTCCAATAAGCTTGAGGTATCAAACTTTAAGAGGGTTTGAAAAAAAGGCAACGTTCACTTAAGTGGCAACATACATACTGTATTGGAAAATTATGAGCAACGGATCTCCCGTTAATGACACACAAGGACCAACATTCTTGTCAGTGAGATGACGTTGAAGACTTTTCTCCAGTCAAGACGCGAGTTGAACTGCAGCGAGAAATGTGAGTAACGTCGGTCAATCAACACCAGCGCCTTTTGACTTACACAAGAAGGAACAAGGACAGGAGTACGCCATATGTGCCGCGTGTATCAAACTTCAGAATACTATCAAATATCCGAGATCCAATGATCCATCTTCGACTTCTTCGAGGTCAGAGCTCATTTCAGCGACCCGGCTCGGTGAAGTCCTGCCAAACGGTCTTCGGAAATGAAAACATACGGTCTCATCCGATCCTAAGTTTCATAGCAACTATCAGAAGAACTTCGTGACTAAAACGTACCCCGCGATTAGAAATCTGCGCTTGCGCACCCGAGTTACTCTCGACACATCCTAAGCGTATGCAACCAAAAGCATCTACTGTTCGTTTTACTTTTCCTTTGATAAATTACCAGCGGCATTTGTCTACCCCTGTTTTTCGAGGAAAGTTAGTTGTAACTTTCAGGATAAGCAGTGCGGTAAGAGCCAAACCCACACCATACAAACTATACGGTACCCGTACACGCACTTCATCGACTTGACCTCCGGTGGAGTTGGAACTAGTGGATTTGATCTACGAGCATTTAATTATACTGTTTGGATTTTTGCGACGATGGTGCCATGCAGCTGAAGCAACGGCGGGAAAGGACCCGTAAGCTATGTATTTGCCGAGTTTCAGATATGGGGTGTTTTATATTCTTTGGGGCTACGTTCTGTGGCCTGATTTTGGAAATTAGAAGTTCTCCTAATCCCCGAGGATTCCAGCAGAAGGGCGCGGACAACGACAACGACTAACCAACCAAGATGTCATCTTAGTATGTTCGACCAGAACCGTACGGAGTGTTGATGTTTGTATTCGAATCGTTTCAGTACAGTGAATGGGGAGAATTTTACAGTGACGAGAGCCTGGAACAATATCGTGATTCGTGATTTGGTTTGTGGAATTCAGGTATGTTCAATCTCAACTTAACACATTGTGAAGAGAAAGGAAAATCATATCAAAGTGGGAACCCAGTTTGGAATTGAATTATATAATACCTGGGTACGTGGGTGGTGACACTGGCTTGAAAAACGCTCTAAAAGTGATTTGAAATCACTCACAAATGTATAAAGCAGTCTGTCCAATATTATCATGAGTTTTCCGACAACGTAGGCCTCACTTAGTTCATACCGCCTCAACCAATCTCAACTCCCCCAACCTTCACGGCGATCCTGATAGGAAACGGAGATATTCCTGTGGCGTTCGTGATAAGTGGAACAGCAGTGCGACCACGATCGGACGAGGTATGCGTGAGCATTGTGTGGATGGCTTTGGTCAAGGTGTTCGAAAGGGCAGCATCGAATTTTTGTCGGTCTTCAAAAAATGAACGAGGGAAATACAGGTGGGATGAAGAATATACCTCTGTCGCGTGGCTGTTGGATTTCCGCATTGATTATCCTGTATTCCAAGCAGTAAGAGGAAGGGGATTAACCAGGAAACCTCGGCAAATAGTCACCACTGTTCCCAAGGTACATCTTCTTCGCCAACGTAGACTTGGAACCAGCTTTTCTTGGGACGTTTTTCAGAGAAAGTTATTATGATCTATGTGGATTTTAGATGGAAACTGAGACTCAAAGTAATTGGTACGAATAATACCTGACCCCGTTTGCTCATCCCTTCCTCGATTCCCTTCCAAAATAATTCTACCTTTTCCTCTACAAGCTGTCCCATCTCGGCGTCTGACACACCTGGCTGTAAGCACATTAGCCTCAAGTCAAATTGAGGAATTATACATACCATAGTCACACCGAACACCTCCCTCGTCGTTGGCTTCACTGTTCCAAATAAGCGGTGAAAAAGAATGGCATCGAGTATGGCGTGAAGAACATCTTTGATGGTGACTCGATCGAGGATCTTGTTGATGCGTCAGTTGAGTTGAAAGCGTAGAGTATAAAGCGTAAAACCGCATCTTACCAAGTCGATGGTGATAGTAGGATATGTGTTCATTTCGCATCGCACCACATGAGTCGAAGATAAGATAAGAGCTTTGCACGTGTTCTTCTTCACTCATCGTGAATCCTGGCTATGAACCTCTATGTCCTGGCGCCCTGTCTCGTACACGAACAGAACATACGTTCTATCCTATGTATCCTGGGTTTCAAGCGCTACAGCCTCATAGCTATTAGGTCTGTTTCAAATCCTCCGGAACGTTGACCGTGTAAATTCACCCACTCTGAAAGCTCACTAGTCATTCTCTGACCTTGTGTGCTCTCCTTTGTCGCCTTCGAGCATCTGGATTAAGAATTTAACGAGGACCCTTTGAGGCTATCAAAATAGCCACCGACGCTCCCTTCTCTGCACAAGATCTTTTCAAATCTTTTCAGATATTGATAAAATCCAAATTGAATTATGGTCTTTCAAGTCATGTATCGCTCAAGGCGGAAATTGCCACAGGATTTGCTTGATTTGACCGCTTCAAAACATTTCTTGGAATATCCTAGCTACGTGGAGAAGTCGTTGAGTCCTTTCTTGACCTTGAGTATGACAACCAGATTATACGATGGAGAACTACCTGTGTAGTGCTTGGCATTCCGGGTCCGACACGATAGTCGCGTTAGCCCAAGGGAACACCAACAAATACCAACTCGTCTAGTATTATTATCCCGCCGATTGTGGACCATGGGCACTATTGGGGATCTTGCAGATACTACTAGTGAGTGACTGAGCAGACGCCATGTAAGTCCACTTGCTGATTCGAGGACCAGAAAGCAGACTATATTCCTCGTGACACTTTCAGCCGAGCTTAAGATGCAACGCTTGAAAAAGTTATCATCAAGTCAGTAAACCAACTGGGCCCTTTCAAAAGCTCGGAGAATGCCATCGGGCTAGAGCAGGGCCAGAGTCTGCTAGAGTACGATGAAATTGCAAGCATTAAAATGTTCCTGCAAATCACCCATACGTCCGTTGATCCAGCGACGTACAGCTTTGAATCTGATCTTGCTGGTTAAGTGGCAGTACCTTTACGGATACCTATCTGTGATACATACTTAGATATTTACATAGGTCCAGGAGATAGATAGATAGATATGTAAATACTTACACAGGTCCAGAAGAAGAATCAGATTTCGAGTAGCGTTGCCGAAGATTGCGTTTATTTACCGGCTGCATGTGTCACTCTTATACACTGACGCGTCATTCATGGCTGTATTCAACTTGCAGTAGAATCTCATGATCACCGCCTCGTCCTTGAATGCGAAAATGACCTAGGCAAGTGACAAATATCGATATCCTTTGATTCTTTCATATTCTTCCTTGATTGGACAATCGATTGTTTCGCTTATCAATATGTCTCTCGTCAGAGTCGTCACTGGATTTGAGTCGGAGACATTATTCACTCGATCTGACAAGGTGCCGCGCACACACGAGGAACCGTTCAAGAAACAATCAATAAATCCTATAAAAGATCAGCAAGGTTTCAGAATAGCCCTCTATCACACCTCATACAACAGATACAATGGTTTCCCAATCGATTAAGCTAGGAGGTTCAGCCTCACATATCTCTGTCGGGCGAGTTGCTGTCAGTCCTCTTTTTTCATCTTGCCTGAGTTCTCGCTGATTAGATTCACTCTTATATTTATATGTTGTAGCACGGCTTGATGAAATTGACGTGCGTACTATGTTCACAGATGCCAATCTTATAATCATTTTCTTTTGACACCTGCGTGTTTGCAGAGCGGTCAGCGACGAGCAAGCTTTCGAGTCCATCAAAGCAGGGGTCGACGCACTACCTGCTGCGACCAAGATGTTTTTGAACGCTGGTAAGAATTAAATTCAAGTACAAATTACCGTCCACCTTATGATGTTTTTCTTCCAAGGTGAATTCTATGACAGGAGCTGGGGCGTCGGAAATTTGCAATTGCTTTCTCGCTTCTTCGAGAAGTACCCAGATTATGCAGAGAAGACATTTCTTTCTGTCAAAGGTGCTATGAAATCGAATGGCAAAGGTTCCATTATGCCGGATTCATCGTGAGTGACACGATCTCACAACTATATCTTCATTCATTATACCTTCACAATTGCATGTAGTGCTGAGAACCTTCGGGCCAGCGTGGACAATTGTCAGAAAGTACTCGGCCCTATCAAGAAGATTGACTTGTACCAGCCGGCCCGAATCGATCCCAAGGTTCCATTTGAGACGATCATGAGCAACTTGATTGCCTTGCGGGACGAAGGTAAATTTGGACATATTGGACTATCTGAATGCAAAGGGAGCACTTTGAGGAAGGCCTATGCTGTAAGTCGCGGTCACTGCCGACTTTCTTTACAATCATTACTCACCGCGCCTCGATTGTGCATAGCTTCATCCTGGTTCCGTGGCTGCCGTCGAAGTCGAAGTCAGCGCATGGGAATACGGACAGCAACAGAAAGATCTTATTGCAGCTGCTACGGAGTTGGGCGTCTCTGTTCTAGCATATTCCCCGTTAGGGAACGGCCTGCTCACGGGAACTATCAAGAGCTCTGCAGATCTCGAAGGTTTGTTATTGTAATCCTTGAGCTCCTTTGCCACATGAGTACTGAACCGAGCTTGTAGAGGGTGACTTCCGCTCTATGCTCGACCGCTTCAAAGAGGACAATATCAAGGCCAACTTGGCTATCGTTGAGGGACTGAAAGCGATCGTAGAGAATAGAAAGCCTGCCATCACTGTAGGGCAACTGTGTATTGCATGGGTAGCATCTCTCGGCCCGACTATGATACCTCTCCCTGGCTCGTCGTGCGTAGCCCACAATCAATGCTTAAATCTTTACTAACTTTACTATTGATAGCAAAGCATCGCGTACTTTGGAAAATCTGGAAGCCGGTGATGTGGAATTGACTAGCGAAGAGATCAAAGCCGTTGAAAAGGTTGTGGCCGACCATCCTGTGGCTGGTGAAAGGTACTTTGGTGGAGCCGCAAATGAACATATGCATCTTTGGGGCTAGTTCTGAATTTGCCAGTGTAATATTATGATGTAGGAAATGTTCAACAGACGGAAAAGGGAATGATAAATCGATTTATTGTACTACGTCAATTTGAATTTGTCGTACTGTTCAACATCTTTGTTCGACTTCAAACTCGTGAAACAATCTGGGCGAGGTGATTACTCTTGATTCTGTGATAGGACCACAACAATCGATTGTGTTTCTCAATATTTGCCTCGTCGGATTTCGCGGAGACGTATAGACTATGTAGTATACGCTCGATCTAACAAAAGGAAGTGTTCGTTATAAAAGCGCAAAAAGATTTCTGAATAGCACTCAACAGGTTCAATTGTTGTCCAGTCGGTTAAACTAGGGGCTCAACCTCTCATATCTCTGTTTGGTAGTACTATCCATTTCTTCTTGGTCTATGGTCACCGGTTACTGACGAGACTGCTGCTTATATGCGGATTTTCCTAGCATGGTTTGATGAGTATGATGTGTGTACACCATAATCAAGAAAAGACAGAATCCTCGTTTGACATCTTTCGGATGGTCGCCTGCGAGGTATTTCGGTGGAGCGGCAAATGCAGCCCTGCATCTTTGGAGTGGAACTTTTTTTACTGGATTCTAATTGTTGGATTTGAAGAATTTCTGTGATGTTGAGCGTACAACATTTAAGATGGAAGACCAGGTAGGAAATAATGAATAATAAATATATTTGTCGTACAAACTGTTACCTATTTCTATTTGAGTCCGACCTTGTAACACCTCTACATGCTTCTACATGCTCATAACAGTTGACCGAAACCAGGAACTTGAATTATAGAGGTACTGCCGTAAAATCGTCTCGCCGCCTGTGGTACAGAAATACCTTGTTCATTCAAACCCCTCCCCAGTTCGTCTTGAAGAATTCCGTGCCCTTGCGTGTTCCGATAGGACTCCAAAGATCATCGTTCTCGACAAGAACTTCTATCGGAGCACATGGCCCTGCTTTGTGACGAGGCCAGTCCTTCTTCTGACACTGGGACTGACAACATGTATTAGTACCGGAGCATACACTTAGAAGAGCATCACTTACCGAACAATATAGTACGAATTTGCAGCGGCTACAGTTCTTCAGCGGGGACGTGATCTGATCCTTTGTCCAGGGATTCATGCACTCTGGATTTGCACAATATGCGCGATCGCCTTTGACCTCCTTGTGGATCTGGGTCATGAGAGCCTCACGTTCCTCGAAGGAGGCGCTGGGGCCTGCCCGACGGTTGAGCAAGAGCCGGATACGAGCAGAAGACTGTTGTGGAGTAGGCTTGTGTTTGTAGTCGAACGTCTTGCGTCTTGCCTTCAGTATGGCTTCGCGATTTGCAACAGCAGATTTCTTATCATGGAGGAAGGGACATTTGCCATCCCAGCAGCCTGCGTGCGCACCAAAATACTTGGGAGGAGTTAATTCAAGTTGCTTGCAGTTGAATCCTGATGAAGGCGTACTCTGCAAGGAATGATACTCTTCGGATATCCCTCTGACTTGAGTCTATTGAAAAGCTTGTTCCAACCTGGGTCTCCTGTGTCTCCGCAAGCGTGATAGTTATAAATGATAGGCCAGAACTCGCTAGCGCAACTACCATGAGTACAGCTCAACACGTTGCCTTCTCTTGTCTCGAAATTGTTCTTGAACATATCATGCCAGATTTCAAGATCTTCCTGTGGCGCTAGTCCGCCAGGGCGCATTTCCAACTTGAATTCTCGGATCGACTCTAACGCAAAATCTGTATACTCCGAAAAGTTAATATCGGAAAGGGGTCGATGGGCAAGTACACCGAGAGTGATGCCAGGGTCACCGACCAAGCGCCCGTTTGCATCAGGGCCGGCGCTGAAAGGAATGGTCAGAATTAATTTCCAGATACTTTGAGAATGTACATATGTGGTATGCAATGAGAGTGGCTTTTTCGAATTTTTACTTACAATCCCTTCGATACACTGACAGAAAATTTCTTCTGCAACGCTGCGCAAAGAGTGTGATAGTATATGAGCTGCTGGGCAGCCTGTTTCTGGCCAAATTCGAAGTCGGTGGTGCCAGGCCTTGGGTTTTGATGAATCCCTCTGGGTCTAATTTTCGGAGCAGACATAGGATGAAGGAACAAACAAAACACAAACGTATATAGATACTATCTTAGACACAGATAGATACTTAAGAGCATGTGACTAAGACATGACTACTTTGAGCGCCACGGGCGCCAAATAAATCATAATTACCTTCTTTCACTTAATACCTCCAGAATACCTCCCGCGACTTGTCCTTGCAACGTCCTCGGATGCAAGAATCTTCTGAAGAAGCAGGACCAAGTAACACCAGCAACCCAAACAAGCCTAACAATTCGACCTCCGCCAATCCGACTTTTCCTTCCCATCCTCATCCTACCCGGATACATTTCCCAAATCCTAATATCAACACCCAGCCTCATATCAACGCCCAGCCTTCAAACACCAACAGCAGAGCGAATGTCAAGACGAGCCTTAATCTTAATAATGCTATAGCAGGAAGCTCGAAGGATACCAGCACGAGTGCTCGACGGAGAGTCGTTTCCGTCGATGCTGGGAACCCGTATGGTTCACTGAGGGGAACTAGGAGCGGACTCGGAGCGACGAGTGGTATGGGTAGGAGAATGCCTACAATGAGTATGGGTGCAACGGGGACCTCTGGACGCCGTGTGGCTTCTTTGGAATCGACGGATAGTAAAGAAAGCCAACCAGATTCTTCGTCGGCAGATTCAGGATGGGGAATGGGTACGTTTTCTGACGAGTATGATTTATGTGAGTAGTCCTAGTCACATCCTCAGAGTCAATGATACTTGTCATTGACTTTAAACTTAATATCATGTAGCTCATGAAGGCAGGTCATTATCCTCGATGAATACCAAATAAATCATACGAATGATTTACACCCGCATAGATCCAAGAATCCTACAAGACGTTCAGCGTGCGTTAAAGCTGAAGCACAGACGTGAGGCTCGAAGAAAATCTGGACAACTTGATGGTCCTGTTCCTGCTCCTGGCACAGGATCTCTGACCATGAATAGGCCATCGTCTCCTCTGAGATCCAGTGTCTTTCCTATTAGTACGAGTCCTACACCCGTCCTAACAACAACAACAGACGTTACTCAACCTTCTTCTACTTCTGCTCCGCTGGCTCCTTCGTCTACAACCACCCCCTCCGCACCTACAGCCTCCCCTATCTCAACTCTCACCGCACCCTCCACAGCAGATATCGACTTCAGTCCATCCACCGGCCCTTCCGTCGTCCGTGTCCGCGTCGATCCTCTTCGACGCCTGCACCCCATACCCCTTTCGAACGACGGTGGTGAAACGTTAGATTGGTCAGGTTCGGGCTCAGTAAACGGGTACGGCTCCGAAGACGAGAAGAGTGAGAAAGCCGAGAAAAGTGAAAAGAGGTGGTCATTGAGCGTGTCGAGGAGGGGCAAGGAGAAGGAGAAGGAAAAGGATAAGGAAAGGGAATTGTTACCAAGTGCGGAAGATTTGAAGAGGTTGGAAGGATTGTATGTCGGTGCGGTGTTCAATTCAAAACCACCTCCGTTTCTCCCTGTTGACCCTTTTCTTTTCTTTTTTTCGTTTGCCAGCCAAGCTTTCTCGGATAAAATCTGCTTCATCCCAATCTACGAGCAAGAAGGTCGCTATCACTGCGGATCAAATCGGTCGACGGTATAACTTGATATATACTTCCCTTTTAACCCCTGGCTCGACTCTACTACCCAACCACCAATCTGATATTACTACTACTTCTGCTTCTGAGACCGATATCAAGGAATTCAACCTTCTCAAGGTATCCAAATGGTACTCCGCGCAAGATCCTCTCGTGCGTTCGTCGTTGGAAAAGGCGGAACCGTTCATCTGGTTAAAGCATCTCGAGAAGAAGCGGAATCTCAAACAACCGAAAGGGGAGGAAGGTCATAAAGATAAAGCAGGAGGGGAGGAAGACAATGTCAAAGAAGATCCTTCTGCTACTACTACTACTCGACTGCCGTGGCATTTATCTGCTTTGATCATGGAAGAATACATCCTCGCTCAGAGCGCTAAGAATCATTCCCACTTCCCTGCTTTTCCCGTACGAAACATCCCCCATCTTCAACCTCCGCTCAAACCCATAAACCCCAACCCTTATGCTGCTCGCTCCATGCGCTCTATACCCGAACATCCTTCGTCTCCCGATTCTGCTACCCATACTCATGATTTCGGTAAAGATTACGTCCTGGGTACTAACATGCCATCACCTCCGGACGACGGAGGAGGGGGAGGTACCGGGAGTCTCAATGACTTGCTACCCCCGTTCATACCTTCCGGGTATTCCACTCCTTCCGCATACTCCGCATATTCACCCCCTTCCGTATATTCGAATTATTCCCCTCCTTCAACTTATTCCACACATTCTGCTCCTTCTCAATCTCAACAATCCCGTTCTGCTCCTTACACACCTCGCACACCTTACACTCCCTATAGCCCCTACACACTTTTGAACAACAACAACAACAACAACCCATCCACATCTCCACCGTCGCCGCAACACGGTCGGATCTCCTTCGAACCTCTACTCGATCCCCCGTCTTTCATCAATCGCCCCTCGAATGAATCACGACGGAGTCTCGAATCGACGTTTAGTAGTATATTCAGCTCCGGAGGAGGAGTAGGTAATACCAACACCAACACCAACACCCCAGCTCCAGGCGGCGCAGTATTCTCCTCCCCCGCAAGCAGCCGAAGCCGACTACATATTCGAGATAGTTTCGGGTTGAGAAAACCCAGATCGACGACGACGGCGGCGGCGGTGAATGCTAATGATAGCGATGACGGGAACGGGTATGGATCGTCCGCGAGGAATTCGGCTACAGAGCAAAGTGACAATGGGGGAGGGGATAGAGGAGAGGAGTCGTTTATCCATGTGGAATCTGAGGAACCGGAGACCGCTACTCCTGCTCCGGGTGTGGTATCACCTACCGGCAATGGTGGTTCAGGCGTAGTAGGTCCGGGTTCGTCTGGTGCTGTGAACGTTGTTGGTGCGACTGTTTCTCCGAATGCTGTTGGTTCGAACTTTAATTCGCATACAGCATTACGGGCAAACGCAAACACCCGTAACCTCCGCCCTCTCCGTCCACTCCGAAATAGGAATTCGTTACCCACAACCGAAGAAGACCGGATAACGTTAGCGATAGAACGAAAACGGAAACAAGAAGCGGAGGAGGCGAGGGAAGATATGGAGTATGAGTTGAAGGCACAGTACGTTTTTCTGTTCTTCTTTTTTGATTTTTGATTTTTGATTTTTTTCTTTCTTGTTTCCTTTTTGGGTTTTGGGTTTCCCCTTTCCCCTTTTTCCTTCGCATTGCTGTTTTCGGTTTTCGGTTTTCGGTTTTCATTTCTGCGTTCGTGTTCGTTTTTTTCCCATGTTCTTCTCGTTCCTTCTGTCTTTCCCTTTCCCTTTCCTTTTTCCTTTTTCATCCCCCTTCTGTTTTCCTTTTTCATTTCTTTCCTATCTTTCCTATGTTGTTTTTTGTTTGTTCTTTCCATATTTCCTTTCTGGGGCTCATTTTTTTGTTTGTTCCTTGACACCGTGTTGCTCACCCTCACCCTCACACTCACCCTCACATTCACACTCACAATCAACTAAACCCAACTCAACTAAACCCAACCCAACTAAACCCACCCCAATCTCTTGTCTAGACTCGTCGCCTCATGCAAGGACTCCAACGCCCACATCCGGTCCGTGCTCAACCACATTGCGCAACACATGCGTGAATACGAGATGTGTCAGGCTAGTTTCATCGCAGGAGAAAGTCAGAAAGGCGCCGGAGGCAGTAGTCATGGTGGTCATGGTGGTCACGGTGCCGTAGCAGGAGCAGGAGGAGGAGGAGGAAGAGGAGGAGGAGGAGGGTTTGGATACACGGCTATTTCGCCGGAACTCTTCGAAGCATTCAGCCACGACCCAGCGAACGTGACGAGCTCGACGAAGAGACTCAAGACCTATCGCGCGGTAGACGATATCCATCATCGGCTGACCAGGCAGAGGGCGGTGTTTGCGGAGTTTTTAGCGCAAAATAGTAAGGATAGTGGATCCGATGGGCCGGAGACACAAGATATCCTTCAAGCCCCTATTGAGGACTTGATGAGGACGTTGAAGAAATTGGAGCATCATAGATTGGATGTTGTTAATCGGGAGAAAGAGGTTTCGGAGATGTTGAGAGAGACACAGGTGGTTCATGCGGAGGTTAAGAAGGAGTATAATAGTACGCTGGCGCATACGAGTGTTGTTTATCCCGAGGTGAGTTTTTAACAACTGCTATCTCGTTCGAATATCTTACCCTGTCGCGTTTTTCCAGCTCTCCCAAATCGTCGCTCTCGAAGAAAGCTACAAAGACCAATACCAACACCTCTGGGACATCGGGATGGACGCTCTCACCTTCATCCTCGACTCCGTCACCCCCTTCTGGCGGAGCTACGGCAAACTCATCGGCGACGACGTCCAAGACTTCCTCATCGTCCCTCTCTACCGGAACGAATACACCGGCGAAGCCAAGCGCTACCCCATCCCCCGTCTGCCCGTGCGCTCCTTCCGGCACTGGGGGGGCTGTTTGGGTTTTTCGCGGTGTCGGTGGGGGTGGTGGTGGTGCAGGCGCGGGCGGCGGTGGGGTGTGTGGGGAATTATAGGCTGGAGGGGTGGTTGGAGGAGGGGGGGTTAAGGTGGGTGAGGTGGGGGGTGCTGATTCCGGTGTTTTGGGTGGGGATTTTGGGGCAGTGGTTAGCGGTGATTGGGGAGGCGGCGGTGGTGGTGATGCAGGTGGGGACGGTGATGTGGTGGGTTGGGTGGTTGGTTGGGGTGTTTGATTGATTGATTGATGTTTTTTGGGTTGGGTTGGGTTTGGGTTTTTTAGTGTTTTTATATTTTTATGTGTTTTCTTTTTTTTTTTCCTTCTTTGGTACTACAGTACACTCATCTCCTCTCTTTCATCGGAAGTTTGAAATAAAACGCATTTTGTAAAAATTATACGTCTTCATTCGCATGGATATCGATACCTCCTACAGGCCACAATACATTCCCTTTTTTCCACTTTTCAGCTTTGAACTTGTATTATAAAGACACATTTGATCCATGAAAGAAACAGGGTGCAATACCGTACCAGTTCTGGGTTTTGTATATATACATACATGTCCCAGACTCTGAAAACATAAATATTCACAACACCAAAAAACACAGAAAACACCACAAAAAGTTCCTCTTCATGGACGCTCGATTCCGACACGGGGAATCGAACCCCGGGCTATCGCGCTTTCAGTTTCCGTCACGTTACGCTTCGTGGTTTGATGAGAGGCGATAATGTTAGCCACTACACCATATCGGAATAGGTTTTGGGTGAGGGAATGGGAGCAAGAAGGTGGGGATGAGGGTGATGAGGATGATGGTGAGGATGATCCCAAACGATGAGAGAGTTATGGAGTAAACAAGCAAAGGTATCGAAATTCGAATGCCCTCCACCAGTCTATCCCCTACATCGAGCACCAGTCCATCCCATATATCGAGCAGACATCGAGCACCACACAGAGTTGGAATTCTTTCGGTCATTTGAAGTCTGTAGCGACCTGTAGGAGGTGGACTGTTCCTGATATGGAATGAGATGAGATGAGGCCTAGGTGAAGCGTTGAGGGTTGAGTAAACTCAGCTTTGACTATGGAGTGGGAAGTTCTTAGTTTTGGCTTGGAATGAAGAGTGACGATCTGTTTTGAAGATAAGGCGTGGAATGACGACGCGGGAATAAAGCTAAAAAGTGACTGATGTCATCACTAACATGGGATATAACAGGCGCTGTTCTTCTCTTCCACCAACCACGATGACGCATCCAACGATCTCCGAGCTCGTGCAGTCCCCAACGACGATCAGCAGCGAATACGCACGGGATCCTACTGAAGAACCCGGGAAGATCGCAAAACGATTGTACCAGCACCTCACCCAAACTCCACCCCCACCTTCCATTCAAGGCAACTTCGGCCCCATCTCCCCCAGTCCCCTCTTCCACTCCATCTACCAATCGATATTAGAGAAGCTCGCAGCGTCGGGTGATGCATTAGCCGGAATGGTATCGCCCCCGCTCATCGCAACGTCCGGCGTCGTCCCGCTCACGATCATCGCGCCTCTTCCTGATATCGTGAAACACATGTCGAACTGCATCGTGCGCGCGCAGAAGGAGGTGTTTCTCGCTACGAATTTTTGGATTAGTAGTGATACGTCGAGGATTGTTACTGATGCTTTTAGGGAGCTTAATCGTCGAGTTGGGGAGCGTGGGGGGGAGAAGGTGGTGGTGAAACTGTTGTATGATAGAGGAAATGTGAAACAAGCGATTACGCATCATCAGCATGTACCTCCAGCTACGTATACTGGACCGAAAGTGAATTTACCTGCACCAGAGGAGATCCCGAACATCGATATGCAAGTGGTGAACTACCACGTCCCCCTCGTCGGGACGTTCCACTCCAAATTCATGGTCGTCGACCGCGAGGTGGCGTTGTTGATGTCGAACAACATCCAGGACAACGATAACCTCGAGATGTGTGTGAGGCTGGAAGGCCCCGTCGTGGATTCGCTGTATGATGTGTGTTTGGCGTCGTGGAGTACGACGCTTGACCCACCGCTTCCGTGTAGGGATACTCCGGCGTCGGGGAAGCCGTTGCCGTCGTATGCTGACCCCGAGTTCCTCGCACTATTCACATCCGATTCTACCACTGAATCCGTTTCACTCCCGTCTGTCGTCCAAGCCGGGCATGAGTCCCTTGATCTTCCAGAACACCTCCCAGGGGACCCGCATTACGACTCGACAATCGCAGGTGAGATCCGGCGGATCCAAGCCTCGTATGCACCGAAATCAGGAGAAACACATCTCCAGGCTGTGGCTCGCCATTTTAACGTAACTCCTGCGCAGAAAGCTGACGGGGGTGTGCAACCGAGTGCTCCGGAACCGGCGGGGGACTCGTTAGTCCCGTTCGCGGAGATGACGCCGTATATCCCACTTCCTCCATCTGCGTTCCCTGGTCCTAATCCCACTTCCACCCACACTCTCACTCCGATCCCGATGCTCATAGCCTCCCGTGCCCCCCTCGGCTCTCCCACGTTCTCCGTCCCCCACGCAGTGCGGTACCCCCAGAACGTCGCGTTCCTCGAAGCGGTACGGGGAGCAAAAGAGACAATATTCATCCAGACGCCGAATTTGAACGCGGAGCCGCTGTTGCCGGAGTTGGTGGCGGCGGTGAGGAGGGGGGTGGAGGTGGAGGTGTGGGTGTGTTTGGGGTATAATGATGCGGTGAGTGGGTGTTCCTTTGAGCTTTGAGCTCTTGTTACACATGTATTTGTTCTGACGTTTGGTGTGTAGGGAGAGTTGTTGCCGTATCAGAATGGGACGAATGAGATGATTGCGAATAGGTTGTTTAATGATCCGGGGTTGCTCCACCCCGCGTCCAATGATGGTGACCCGGCCTCTCACTTCCCCTCTGAATCCAAAACTCATGTAGCCTCCGAACCTCACACACACTCCGAAGACTCAGACTCAGACTCCGCACAACCACAACCACAAGTACAACAACCACTGACAGCACAACAACTAGTTCTAACAAACGAAGAAAAATCCCGGTTAAAGATATACAACTACGTTGCAAAAGACCAGGATAGACCGATACATAATAAGTTTAAGAAGAGGAGTTGTCATAGTGAGTTGTGCTGCTTTGTTTTTTTTTTGGGGAGTTCGGGACTCACTGCTGCTTTCTTCTTCTCCTTTTCCTCTGCTTCTCCTTTTCTTCTTCCTTCCCACTTTACTCCCCCACCCTCCGTCCCTTCCCTTCTCTCATTCCCTTCCCTTCCTGACTCCCTCTTCTTCCCACTTTACACCCCCTCCCCCTCCCCCTTCCCCTTCCATCCTCCCTCACCGCAGTAAAACTCCTCATCATCGACGCCCACCTCGCCATCCAAGGCAACGGCAACCAAGACACCCAGACCTGGTTCCACTCCCAAGAAATCAACGTCCTCCTCGACTCCCCCGAGGTGTGTAGGACGTGGATGGAGGGTGTGCGGAGGAATCAGGGTACTGGTAAGTGGATTATTATTATTATTACTATTATGGATGGATTGGTTTTTGGTTTTTGGTTTTTTTGGATTGGTGTTGATTATGCACTTTCTCCCTCCCTCCCTCCCACACAGAAACCTACGGTCGAGTATCCTCCGTGGACGGGTGTTGGCATGATCCCATTAGCGGGGAGATGGCGGAGGGCGCGATTGGGGTTGATCCTGGGAGGTTTTCGTGGGCGAGGGGGATGGTGGGGGCGGTGCAGAGGGTTAGAGGGGCGGGGGGGTTTTAGGGTGGGAAGGGGGAAGGGAGGGAGGGAGGAAGGGAGGGAGGGAGGAAGGGGAAGGAGATTGGGAGAAGGGAGTAGGGAATTGAGAAATGGGAACTGGGTACCGGGAATCGATGGACACATTCCCGTATCGTCTCGTATCGTATCGTATTGATGATTGTGTATAGTGTACAAAGCCTGAGGCCTGAGGTTCGAGGGATATGGTATATATGGAAAATACATGATAGTAGGTATTGAGGTATTGAGGTATTGAGGTATTGAGGTATTGATATTGATATTGTGAATGGGATATTGGGATATTGATATTGGGATGTTGGGAATGGGTGGGCTGGGTTTAGGTAGGTTGAATGTTCACAGCCTTTGAGTTATGTAGTAGGACTCAGTGTGCTACGCCTCCGGGGTGATATTAGTTCAAAGGTACCTTCGAGTACACCTATGATGGGAACCACACAAGTCCAAGTGCACCAGTGCACCAGTGCCCGTCAAAGTGGTAATGCATAATGTTGTACTATGTACTAATTCAAGCTCTATACGAGTCCGCATCCCACCAGTCGTCCAAAATATTCAACCTTATTGAACGTTCAACGTCAACGTTCCCTCATCATCGATATCATTCGTATTCGACCATCATTCGTATTCACATTCAATTCATCTAATTCGTCTAATTCACAGCTATGTAAAACCTTGTAAACCTCGAAGGGGGCACTTTATCCTACTTTGTCCTACTTTATCAGACCTTTTTCATCGATGCGGTGTTTCTTCCTCTCAGTTTCGAATTCCCCCCCTCCCCCCTCCCCTTTTCAACTTCAACCTTTTTTTCTTTTAATTTTTTTAATTTTATTTATTTTTTTCGCGAAAAAAAAAAAAAAAAAAAAATTTCGTGGTGGAGACTAATGCATTCCGACGCGGGGAATCGAACCCCGGGCTATCGCGCTTTAGTTACACATGCTTCACCTATGTATGAGAGGCGATAATGTTAGCCACTACACCACGTCGGATTTGTTGTTGTCGTTATTGTTGTTGTTGTTGGAGGAGGAGGCGGTGGTTGGAGGAATTTGGAGGAGGTGGAGGTTTGGTGTTGGGATTGTGTTGGAAGTAAGTAAATTCCGACTCGCCCCGGTAATCTAGATACAGATACTTCAATCTGAGCAAGTGTCGAGAGGTGTCGGATGTGCGCCGTGGGTGGTTTCAAGGGCTTGCGCAGGGGGAAGCAGGGCATGGTTTCTTAACATTTGACCTAGCTAGTAGCATGAGCGAGCGGTGTGAGGTGCCACTACCGAATGCGAACTTGAGATCAGAAAACATACACCGAATTCATCATGATCAGAATCGTGCTTGGGGAGATGGAGCGGTCCTACTCCACGAAATCAGAATCAGCGAATGCCCATGTAGTACGTACATACCGAAGTGACGGATATCATCCTACATTTTAGAATGTTCTTCATCCTTGTATCTAGATTGTACGACGTTTTGTGGGTTAGTTGACCTACTCCGAAACTTTTCAGCTTACCATTTAAGTCACCAATTGCTTTGGTTCGACCCGCGGACAGGTGTTTAGCCGGTGGAAAAACCGACCCAGAGGGCCGTTTTTATATTAGGGTGATAGCGGTGCGAAGTAAGGTGTCAAAAAGTTCAAGAAAATACCGAAACTGGGGCGCTAACACAGGGCGGGAAACCGAGGTATTGTAAATGGCGAGGGGTGGGCAATGATAAACAGCGTATATAGCGTACCGTAACTAGTAGAATCAGTGAAGGGAAATGGGGAGATGAATATAGGGATGAGAGATATGTACAGTAATACGAGAGGCAGATATTAAGCATACCTAGTAGAATCAGTGAAGGGAGAAAAAAGAGAGGAAGCGAGGGGAGAAGACTACGATGTGAGTACTTATATTGTGCGAAGTTCAACGGCGTATATGTGTCAAGTACGTAGGCGAAGACAAGATGGAGCGTAATGTTCGAAGTGCAGCCCGCTGCGACACTGCTAAGCGGCCATCTCACTTGTAGACCTCAGGAGGGCGGACCCATGTGAACCTGTAGGTGGGGATGGCCTTAGCGAGGTGTGTGTATCATACCTGAAAGGCTAAACTCACCTGCTATTAGTCTTGCGTAGACTATCGTCTAAGCTCGATGAAACGAGGCCGGGACAACGTTTGACAGCGTTTGACGCAAAATGACAGAAAAACAGGGCACTGATGCCATAGAATAGTGCGGGCTTGATACTAATAGAGCTCGAGGTAGTTGAACACCGAGATGGTCGCGACACGGGGGCCAACTGACACCGGCATTGAGAGTTCTGATTTTCCTGCTAAATAATAGTTTTCAAAATTAGAATGACCATGTGAAAACAGAAAGGTGGACTCAAGTGCCAAAGCGCAGTGATTCATATACTATACATACATATGGACAATGCATCACGGAAGAAATAGGTACCGGGCAACCCTGGGGCAACCAAGATAGATAGTAGATAGCTAGTGATGATGATGAGAAACATGAAATACTAAAGATATACCTACCAGGTGTGAGGTAACGAGGGCCCAAGTTGAAGCCGTCGCCCAACCAGGTCCGACAGCTTTACTTGGGCCTACACAAGCAAGAATCCAGTGTGAGAAGAAAAAGAAACTCTCAAAAAACACGAGCCTCCGAAATAATCGCAGTCTCGGAATCTGATGGGAGGGGATGCAACACAATCTCAAGGTGTAATCCACCAGCCCGAAATGCATTCGCTCTTGTTTCGGATATGAGATTTCCGCCTACAACATCGCGGCCTTTGATGGCGCAGTGCTTCAAGGGAAGAACATTTGTATCACTCGCGGGGTCTGCCACAGTTGGGTTCAGATTCGATTGCAGCCGGGACTCGAGCATGTCTAGGAGATCAGCTGTGTATCCATTCGTATGAACATACAAAGTCTCGAGATGAGGAAGGAGGACATATGACGAGCTTTCCGTGGACCGAATACGCAGGGCCTGAAACATGACGTTCCCACTGTGTCCAGCATCGTAATACTTAGTGTTGAATTTCAAAGATAGGTGTGTGACAGTGGGAGGAAGAATTTGGAGGAAATTGACGAGCAATGCTGGGGATGAGCGCCGAGTTGCAAGTCGGAACTTTTTGAGTCGACTCGAGGAACACGAATTTTGCATGGACCATGCAAAAGCGTGTAGGAAGTCTTGGTCAAGTTCAACGCCACTGAAATCGAGGCTTTCAAGAGCTGGAGCAGAAATCCATCCTAACACCTGATAAATACCGCGTTGCATATCAGGTTCCACATTATTGAAGATATTGAAGGTAAGCGATTGCAATGAGTGCAACTTGACGCGATAAGACGGTGGTGCAAACTGTAGTGAGGTTTCCATTGCGTGAGGCGCAGTATCATCCAGGATACAGGATGTGAGATTCGGCATTTTATTGAGAAAAGATAGAGTGTTCCCAGAATTATGCGTGGGTTTCAACCGAAAGCGTAGAATCTGGTTCCATGGAAGGTCGAGAACCAAGTTCGGAGGACACTTTAACCAAATTTCCTCCAACACCGGTGCAACTTTGAAGACATCAACACATTTTTGCCACCATGGACTCGACGGAGCAAAGAGGCTCATGCTCCGATGACTCAGAATGGAAATGTGCAAAACACGGAGCGACAATAGGGTGGATTTGATAGGGATGAATTCGAAAAGGCGAGTGTTTTTCACGAATAAACGTTCCCAACGCCCCGAATGGCCCATGAGTTTGTTGAGCGGACTCATTGGCGTAGCAATATGTGGGTCAAGAAATCCTTCTGACTTGCGGAACTCGATTGCGACGGTAAGAGGATGATTCTGGGATCTTTCAAGTTGTTGGTCCAGAAGGTCGTATACTACTGACTCCAAATCTTCCCAGTCAATTGTGTTTGTAGTTATCAAAGATATATATGACCAGAATTGAGGCGATGACAACATGATTTCCCGCCAGCGAGAGCAGACTTGGGTTATTGCCAACAGCGTCCTCATGGGCTCGAGTGTGTTGATCATGGCGCGAGGTAAATACGTCTCTGGGAGCGACTTTCCGAGCTGAGGCATAGCTACCATTCCGAGAATGTTGAATAGGACTTCGGTAGGGACTTTTCGGATGGGGTGAAGGATAGATTCATACGCATGCGCCTCTTGTTCGAGCTCTTCCAGTAGTTCGCCTCGGTGGATGACCTGAAGTCGTGATGAGATTTCATCTAGAACAGACGGCGAAGGCTCCTCGTTAGACCGAAGTAGTTCCTGGATGTCGGGCCTCAGATATAGGTCAACGCAAGGCTTAAATTGTTCATTAGAGGATGCGTCGTTCATCCGAAGTTTTTCTGCATAGAGCGATCATCAGGTCCCATCTTGTAGAAGATGAGATTCGAAAAAACTCGCCCTCGAGGTACCGTGCGATGGTGGATGAAGATAAGACAAAGGCTGTGCGTTTACGTAAACTAAACCTCTCTCCCAGTCGAGCACGAACTTCACTCATCTGTCTTTCAACGCGCCTTGGAATAACAGCCTGACAACTGGACCGAATCCAATTCGAATCCGCACATATGAACGCTTGAACAGCGGTACTCTTCCCATCAATCGCCGCCTTCGATGACTGGAACCGGGAAGTAGATTTTAAGTCTGTGAGGACGAGAGCAATTTAGGGTGTTGAACGTTGAAGTGGTGGATGGTTTGATTGGAGAGCAATTTAAAAGCTTTAAGAGGGAGGAGTGGAAGCAACAGGGAACATGGATATTGTGATAACAGATAATGTTAATGAGAGGATTATCATTGGAAAAGTCTGCTTGATGCTAATTATCAGAGACTAATTCATGTGTTTCCAAGTCACCTGCGTTACGCCTCCAAAACTCCATATGTCCTCGATTTCATCCTTCTCCTAAGGCTCATCGACATCCTCCCGACCAACCTGAACCCTGGCCATCAAGATCACCTCTTCTCGAACTCCGCCTCAGACCTTCTTCACATCACTCCCTAAACTTTCCACTCCCTCCAAACTGTCATACCGATCATTAGCTGGCGAGCCATACTTTATGTAGTTTCGAAAGTTTGATGTTCCGCTTGACAATAACTTGGATGTGGCAGCCTTGGTCACACAGTAAGGCGCCCAGATCTGATGGGCTTTCATTTAACGCCAGTGCTGCCATTACATTCATCTAGCGCTCACTTTGCTTCTCCGCTAATCAAGTTTGACCTAGCATATCGGATGAAGACGAAGACAACCTGTGTTACGTATCAAATACTATTCAAGACAGTGGAAACTGCTCACCGAAACTTCCCAGCCGACCACAATGTCATGCCCGATTTGGAGGGGTTATGAGTAAGAAATGCGTGGAGTGAGTAACCCGGTAAAGTGCGTACCAATCTCATGAGTAGTATCTGTTCGGGCACTTACACATTCTTTCATGTTAGTCACCATCACTCCCTCTCGGTTTTTCCTCCTCTCTTTCGCCTTTATACCAGCGCCCTGGGGGCTCCTGGGGGGCCCCTCTTTCTCTTCCGCCCGCTTCTCAGGCTCCCCTTCCTGTCCCCTTCTCTGGCACCTATATGGATCTATACGGATACACAAAGATCTATCTCACAAGATCTTCATTCAGATCCCGAAAGTCAAAGCAACTGCTACCAGATCCAAATCTAAGATTCAGCTCGGAATTTTTTTGACACTAAGCGCCCGGCGGTGCCGGTGTTCTTTTCTCGCCTGTTTCATTTTCACGATCAGTCGCCATGTAGACGGTCATCGAGCAAACAAACAAGACTAATTAACACGAAATGGTGTTATTTGCGACTCTCAATCCGACTACGATGAGCTCAAAGATAGTTATCTGTGGTGCTGGTTTCCTTGGTTTGTGTGTTTGTTCTTCTTGTTCTGCGGTCTATAATCCTCTTGTATCCTGTAGGGAAACATATCGCCACTGCTTTATCTCGTGCATCTTCCGCTGGCGCTGTCACACACCAAATTCAACTCGCCTCTCTCCATCCAGAAAAACTCTATTCCGCTCTGAAGAGCACCCATGGAATTATATCTCCCGCCACAATAGACATCACCGACAAATCGACCTTGCTCCCAGCTTTCTCGGGAGCCTCTCTTGTCGTTTCCCTCGTTGGAATTATGCATGGATCCCCTGCAGATTTTGACCGAATACAGTGGAAAGGCGCTGAGAATGTCGCCAAGGCGGCAAAAGAAGCTGGCGCGAGGCTCGTGCATGTTAGCGCCATTGGTGCCGACAGGGCGAGTGATATCCCGTACAATAGGACCAAAGCTTTGGGCGAGGAGGCTGTGAGAGATGCATACAGAGGAAAGGCAGAAAAAGATGTTGTGGTGCTAAGACCGAGTATCGTATTCGGTCCCGAAGACGATTTCTTCAACGTGAGCTTCATTTTCAATTCTGATATCTCTCCATCAAGATTAAATTTTAATTATCAAAGCGATTCTCCAATCTGTCTCAATACCTCCCGTTCCTACCCGTCTTTGGAGGCGGAAAGTCCCGCTTCCAACCTGTATACGTTGGGGATATTGCACGCGCCGTCGAAATAATCGCAAGGAACGTCCCTGCGATAAACGCTATGGTTGGAGGAAAGACCATCGAGTGCGGTGGTCCAGACATCTTGACATACAATGAGATCATGCAATTGGTGTTAAATTACAACCATCGTACCAGACCGATTGTCTCGTTACCGTTCTGGATGGGAAAATTACAGGGTATGGTGATGGAGAGGCTTCCGGTGAATTTGTTTACAGTGACGCAAGCTCAGGTATGATACCAAACGACCCCGTTAGTCTCAACTTTTTGTCCATTGACTCTTTTCGCAGGTTGAACAATCGAAAAATGATAACGTCGTCAATGTGTCTCCACCCGGAAATTCGATGGGCGCCGAATACTTTCCTTTCAATACGCTCATTGAGAAATATTCTATTCCCGGATTAAGGTCTACATTGGCGTCTGTACATGACATTCTACCGAAGTATTTATCCTGATTATGATGAAGTCAATATATGCTATGTTCCAATAAGTATCGGTGATGTAAGCTTCGCAATCGATCAGCGAGTTTCAATTGGAAGAACCTTCCTATTCCTAGTCTCCAATTTCCAGCAAGTCCCCCAGTCGATCGAATCTTCCAATCAAAATGCCGACGAAGGTACAGATCATCTCGGAAAACCAGCTACTGACTTCTCCAAGGTATCCCTCAAGTTTTCGAGTTGGCTTTCGGTCCATACGTTGGATATGTCGAAACCTTCTTTCGTCAAAATGTTCTCTCAATACTAGAAATACTCAACCTACTGCAGGGGACATCAATCAATGAATTCTCATCGGAGTCACTACAATTCAGGGGAAAGAGGATATCACTGGGTTTCCTGAAGCTTTTCACGTCTCAGTAGTCATTCAACCCCTACTTATTGTACAATCTGTATCTCATTACAAGGTAAACTGGTTGTTCGGGAATCGGACCTCGCCAGTATAATTCCTATCCTATCCTAGAGTCCCTAGGCAAGTGTACGGTATGAACGGTATTCGACCTATCGATGGCTCAGTTTCGACACACTAGACAAGAGTGCATATTTATGAATACTCATATATTGCCTTCCATACATTGACAGGTAAACTTACATCTGAAAGCATATACTGCTCACCTCCCCGGGCCCATTATCAAACAGTTTCGATTTGCATTCTCCCTATCTTGACATCCGTTATCGAGGCGTGATTTATTCCTCCACTCGCTTCGAGTTTTCTCTTAGGCCGTACATGTCCTCTGCATAAGCGAATCTTTGCTCCCAGCCTGAGTTGATTTGGATGATGTCCCATATGTAGTGCAGTATCCCGTTTTGAGAGCCTCGAAATTCATGGATGGAGCGGTGCTCCTGCATGTTGTGATGTGTGATGCCCGTGCAATAAACTTTCATAGGTAAATGCCGGCCTAATTGAACGTATGAACAGCCGTTAAATGCATCATACCCCTAGTTGTCCATGATCTATTCCACATCTTTCAGAATACTAAGTAATGGCCAGCAGAAAAGAGAGAGGCGCTACAAGGCTCTACATGGTCATCAGGTTTGATTTCTCATCTTGACTCAATTTCTGAATGATACCCGCAGATCCTGTGCCGTTATCCTTCGTTCTTCTTAACCTCCACCATCTCTATCCAGCTCTCAAGTTTTCTCTGTCAAACTAACATCTAAACTTCCCCACTTTGATACAAATACATTTTCTCGGTAAAAAATGAAAGGTAGTACCTTCACATAAACTTGAAATTCTTCGATTCTAATGTGTTTTTCCATCTTTGCGATCAAGGACACTTTTCTACGCGATCTAACAGACCCACTCGTACAATCATCACTGCAGAGCAGCGTGCTCTCCTCAATGCCGCGATTGAAAAAGTCAGATCACCGCAGCAATGGATGTATTGAATATCATGCCCTGAACAGCGCCTCGCACTGCCAGGTTCATTATCCAAGCGACGACACAATCGAAAGTCTGTCGAACGACCTTCAAATAAGTCCTTCTCAAATCAGAGTATGCATTGACAGTGACTATTTTACCTCACTCTGACCTAACCACGTTGTATCCAGATTTGGTTTTGCGTAATTGTATTCCATCTCATCAAGCAACTCATATCTTAAACATACTGAGATAGAATCGACGACAACAAATGCGGAGAAAAGAGAAAGGAAATACAGCCAGAAGCTTACAATCGGCGCCACCAATGTACATACTTTTGATCACTTCTGTCCTATTCTGTGCGTTCAGTTTTCCACAGATCCCCGCCACTTTCTCTTCCTCTGCCTCAGGAGAGTCTGAATGTAACACCCGCTCATCCGCAATGTAGTCAACAACAACAATTTAACGATCCACTTGACAATATCACACTTCCGCCTATTTCTTCCCTTTTCCCTGAATTTATTAAGAAAAATGCTAATGAAACTCCACCCCTAATATCTACTAGTCCAGCTCGTCGATACCGACGGGCAGAGACACAAATATCTCTTCCACCTATCACCTCCCTCTTACAAACGGTCCTTCCTCCACCTACCCAGAACTAGGCTACGTCCAGAATTTTCCATCGCACTATAACATGATCATATATTCCCTCACTCTCAATAACATTGCTACATCCTTTGCTCTATCGCTGTTTCCGTTACACTATAATAATATTGAATTTTTTCCGTCCTCAGTATCTGATTTCTTCATTTCAGAAGTCGGGGATTGCCGCGAGTAGACGGGCGCTAAACTGATCTGTAATTCCGTTCAGATTCTGTTCAGGACTGCTCGATCGAATCACAGCATGACTACCATACCGCCTGCATCGCCAGCACCTTCAATTCCATCTCTAACTTACAATCGTCAGTGACAGGCGAATAACCTGTTCAATTCTTGACTGAGATGTAGTGGTACTCTTGCAGAAACTGTTCGCGGAATAACCGAGTTCAGTTAGTTTGAATCTTTCTCTCTTCTCAATCGATCATCACCCCCTCTCATCTATATACGTTCAGTCGAAGTCGCCATTCATACGATTCTCTATGTCCGTCAGGTCTATCCTGCCGAGCTCTTTATTCGTCGCAAAAAATATGACACTCCGGTATTTCAATCCCGACACCCCGCGTTGAACGCGTATATAAGCGGAGCAGTGAAAGCCCTTGGGGAGGAATTAGTCAATGGAAATCTCGACAAAGTGGTCGTAGTAATAAAGAACAAAGAAGAGAAGGCGTTGGAAAGATTCATGTTTTCGGTCGAGAACATGATTCAAGTAGAGAAATTTGACAAAGACATCAGGTGAGTCAGGTCCTCTGTCCCTTATCGCACCTATCCATTCTCATCTATAATGGTTAGCGTCGAAGGAGCCATGTCCTCTCTTGCACTAGGACAATATTTCCGCTCATTCCTTGTCAAATTGAGCATGATTGAAGCGCAACTGGGACAGAGGTATCTTGGAGGTATTTCGTGGCCAAGGAGAAAATGTATCCCTCAGTTTACACTGCTTGTCTCCGTAGATGATGTCTCGTTTGCCATCCTTATGGAACTCAAGGATGATATGAAGCCTTCGTTACCAGTGGGATCCAAAGAGCCTCCGCCATGGATTCCCGCCGACCAACAGCACACCACCTCGGGGGCGAGTGAGGACGCGGAGCTGCATGTGGTGAGAGCTGTTAGCACAGGGATCATCAATGTCGGTATCTTCATTTTCACTTTTACTTCGCTCACACACTTTATCAGCTGTCGCTCGTAGTACAAGAATCTGACGTCAAGTTGGGATTGGATTCAGATACGGAGAGGTCGCGATTGGGAAAGGGCAAAACTCGGGTTCCCTGAAAGCATTGAATCGTTTTTCTCCCCAAACTACATAGATTGAATAGTCCCCGAAATATAATGAGCCTACTATGTATGTACAATATTACAATGAGTGTATATGAATTGTATGAACGTTCATCGACATCCATCCAAATGTTTGAAAATAAGTATCATTTTATGTAAGAGCAATCATATGGAGTCTATACGTCAACGTGAATCCGTTGAATGACTGGTATTATCCTGTCCCATTCTTCCATTGCCTACAGAACAGGAGGTTATTTTTTGGAAGAGTAATGATTTATGAGCAAGCATACCGCTTTGTAGAATTCGATCTGGCCATCAGCGAAATTTCCTAGCATCTCCTTCATCTCCGCCTCCTTAGCACGTTGGAATACATGCTGTTCCCGAAGAGTCTCATCGCTGAATGCATCTGACGTTTCATGTGCTGTTGTCACTGCGTCTTGGAGCTAGATGATTCGATGAGTAGTTGCGCATTACATGGCGTAAAGACACACTGTACCTCCTTGATCTTCACGTCCAACTTCTTCATTTTTTCAACCCTTGACCTATCATCGTCCGCTCCACGGATAGCATCCACCCGGTCTTTCAGATAAGAGCCCAACCCAAGCCCCGAGCTTCCTGCGTGTCCGTTAATGATAGCTGCCAGTCTATCGCGTTCAGCACTGACACCGGAAAGGTAGTCGGAAAGTTCTTCAAAATCAAGCTGTTTCTGATCCCGGAGCTTGAGGACAGCACGATTTGCATGAGAGTAGGTGAGTAGGGAATGTAGTTGGATGAGGAATGGATCTGTAGTCGTTTGTGTCGTATGCCTTAGCAGCGCAGAAAACTCCAGGAGGGTATTTGAGAAGTGGTTCAAAGGGTCCGTAATACCTGATTCCAGGAATCCTAGACCCTGAACCGCGACGGCCATATCGTGGTAATCTGCGGTCAGGTCTTCACCGGATTCCGGGTTACCGTCTTTGTTCAGCGTTCAGACGACGGGGAGCGCTAAGAGGGACGAAAGAAGAGGATGGGGTTGATGCTCACCTGTTGTTCTATTACGGACGCGGGTCCAAAGACGTTCGGAGAGGACGAGTCCATCTTCAAACTTGTCTACACCTTCTCGCATGTCCAGAAAACGTTCATCGGGTTTGCGGACACGGGAAAACGCGTTGAGGAGTGTGTCAGTAATGTTGTCGACAATACCAGGCGAAGGTTCCGGACCTGGTGGGTGAGCCAGGTGTTGATGCATATGGACATTCTAAGTGGAATTAGAACACACATATAGGCTTTGAAGGAGACTTACCCATTCTGAGGACTCGAAGAAGGCCCGCACCAGCGTTGCCCGCTGAAGCGTAGGGTGACGAGCAAGCCGTTGCAAGAACCGGTTCAGACTAACATTGTTAGATAATGGCGACTCTAAGGAGGTATGAACGTACTCAAGTCGTCTCCGCTCCATGAATTCGGGGCTAAACCGGTCGCCAGTGAGGTATTCTATACAGAGACATTTAGAGCTCGGATAACATATCGACCATCTTCCGTACCCAGTCTGTGCTTTCCAGGAAGCGGCGGTACTACACAGGCAGGAAAGTCCTTGACAAGATGTTCACGCAAGAAGACAAAGTCTTGAAATCTCCGTCTTGCAGATGGATTTGATGTGGAGAACATTGGTAAATTGGTCTACAGGTTTGCTGTTGGTTATCACGAGTTAAGCACCATATAGCTACGCACCTTGGCAGATACCAGATAAGATACATAAGCATCTTTTGTCTCCGCCAATTCCTTCTGTGGGTCAGTGACCGCAGTAATGAGATGTCCTTCCCATTTGGGATCGTGGGGACCGCTTTCATTGCTGTCAATGCTTTGTCGATATCCAGGGCCAGTAGACGGTGTATGATCAGCATAGACGGGGGCTGTAGGAGATTCCCAAGTTACAGAGTCAAAAACGTCTTCATCGTCGTTGAGCATGGCAGTAAGTAACTGACAAGTCCTGATCGCTGGATTGCTCATCACACGGTTCTCACCAAACACGTCACAATTTACTTTCTCTCCCTAATGCCATGCTCCCTCTCAATCTTTTACTGTTTGTTTCCTCAATATTTGTCTCATGCCTTGGGTACCAAGTACCTGTCGTAGACGCAGGTCAGCTTGACTATCCATTCATTTTGATTTTGTCCTCACTATCATTCAGAATACTCCCGTCAAATCTGTAGTGGAATGTGGGCAAATGAGCAGACTTATATCAACGGTATATACGCTCATTAATCACCAAATAATCTGCTTATATCTCGCACAAGTCAGTTTCGATGCTACTTCGCAAGGTCAACTGGCTATGGTCATATACGAATGGGCAGACGCGCCGTACCTCGGCAAAGTCACTTCTGTCTCTGACGAGTCGCTACCTGTGAGCATCGTTACAATGACCCCTTCCATCCCAGCCGTTATTCAGAAATCTTACCTCTCAGCCCCAGAAAATCTACATCTGCACCTCTTCCGCCGTTTCCGATGGCTTTTGCACACCGCCAGATTTAGGCCGTTTCATCCTCGACCTACCTTCCGGGAAATCCATCAACGACACCAGCTTTTGGTCTGCCAGAGTCGAGCTTCCCGCAAATCAATCATCGTCATCCTCTGAAAGAGACTCTACCATTTCCACTGGCTCTGGTTCGCTCTGGGATCCATATGGCAACAATTCCTCACCTTCCGCAGGATCTGATGATGGTCCTACCGCGTGGCGTCGGGATCACTCGATATATTCGTTAACCACCAGAGACACCATCAATCCGAGTCCGACTGGAATATATAGCTATTCGCTGCCCATACAGTATCTGGTACGAAAGACGGGATATTACTGCGTTGGTAAATCTTTCCGTTATCCTGAAGGCTTTTGAGTGATGAGATTTCCTTCAGCCGTGATTCCTGTAACTGTTCAAAGCAACATCCCTCGAGATGATGTTCACCCCCATTATAATGGTCTCGTCTTCTTCCGGAATAAGTTCGACGGAAGGCTTCCTGCTACGGATTATCCCAAAGTCAATGTGCGTCTCTTTTGTTGTTATGACGAAGTTATACTGACCCTCGTTCGTTACGCAGTTCTATTTTGCGATGTTCATTGTATACGGTGTTATCGCGGCGTATTGGGGTTGGTTATGTTATAGGCATCTACAAGACCTTCTCCCGCTCCAGGCGCGTTTACTTTTCTCTACCACTCTGTTCCTCTTCTGACTTCGGTTATAGTACTACTTATCTGGTCTAGTCGGGTTGCTCGTCATCGAGATGGTGGCAAATTGGGGTAAGAAATACATAGCTCGACTGAACTATCATCTCACGTTTCATTAGGTTACTACCGCTACCTAAATGCTCATGGAAGAGGTACTACATCTACTGCGTTCCTCATTGTTGGTAGGCATCAAAATTTTTGCACACAACCCTCTGATGAAGATACCCTTTCCACCAGTTGCCATCCTCGACGCTGGACGAAATTCCATGTCTTTCTTTATGCTTCTAGTTGTTTCTCTTGGACTAAGTGTTGTCAAAGAATCACTTGGGCGTACAATGCTCAAGTGTCAAGCTCTTGCGGTAGCCCATTTCATATTTGGCAGTATGTAGATTTTTTTGGCCTTTATACTGACGGGACTGATTTTTCTTTTTAAAGTTTTATATGCTATTGGAATCGTTGAACTCGAATTGGAATCTACATCTGCACTCGTTCTATTATTATTTGTTATTCCTCTCGCATTCACACTGAGCGGGTTCCTTTTGTGGATCATGTATTCACTGAATGGTAAGCATTCAACATTTCGAAAATAATCTCATACCCATTGAATCACTCAGCCACTATTGCACAACTCAGAGCTCGAAAACAACGATACAAGTTGTCAATGTTCGAAAAGCTCTATCGTATTTTGATCTTCACAGTCATTGTAATCGCAATTTTCTTTGTGGTGTCGTCGTTTTCATTCTCTGGGCGGCTTGCTGAAGGTACGCTCGGCCTGACTTTCTTTGTTTGAGACTGACACGGACTCGTTCGTATTGCAGATTATGCAGCCAAATCATGGAAAGTTCAGTGGTGGCTATTGGATGGCTGGCTCTCGCTTCTCTATCTAGTGTCTTTCACTGCTATTGCGTACCTTTGGCGACCATCCGACAATAACAGAAGATATGTATATCTCGAATCTCCTCGAACTATTCATACTTACTTCATACTTTTTGATATCTACATTGGCCATGTCAGAAGAGCTTGCCCAAGATGAGGCAGATGCAGAGGACTACGACCTCGAGTACCTGGAACGCGGCAGAGGAGCCAGGGACGACGACGAGGCAACCCTTCGTGGAGATGAACACGGACATCCTGTGGGTGAAGACAGCATTGTGTTCGAGATTGGGGATGAAGAGGAAGATATGACACCTATAACAGCAAAATCATCAGCTCCGACCCGGCATCGTCCTGAACGGTTGTCGGGAGAGCATGCGGAAGAAGAGAGGAGAGGGCTGATGAGCGAAAATGGGGGTGGACACCAGTGACCAAGGGACTGCTCGGATACTCGTAAAAGTAATGTGTATATTTTTCTCTGTTGCTTTCACACTTGTTTAGAACAAAAGCCTGTCCGTCAATACTTATTTTCCCTCGTAACGATCGTGCCGTTTGCAATTATTGCACTTCAAAATAATACAATGGTTAGAATAAGCACTCTATCTACAAACATCAATCCCGTATTCGCCCTGAAGAGACTGTATAGAGTCGAGCGGCAATGTTCATGCTTTGTAATTCCTGACAATAATTGTTAGAAGCCACTTTTTCATTAACGAAAAATCCTACCTGGAACAGGAGCTTCGCTGCATAAGGAATGTAAAGTTGCGATACAGCTGTCTTATTTTTACATGCGCGGCACTAGAATAAACTTCAGAATAGGGCAATGTGACTTTGGAGAAGAATGATCACCTCGAAACTTTGTTTCTTCAAGTTCGCTATTGCGGTTAGCCCACAACTGTTTCGACGAATTAGCCAAATCAAAGCAAACACTATGAACGGGAAGACATACATTTCACAAACATGGACCCGGTAGGCATCGCTAGCTTCGAACAAACGCTCCTTTAAGAAACCAGCGATACCGTGTGAAATCATACAGTCACGTTCCATTTCGCCAAACCGCAAGCCACCATCTCTACTACGACCCTCCACCGGTTGTCTGGTAAGAATTTGGACCGGACCTCTAGCACGAGAGTGAATTTTGTCATCCACCATGTGCTTCAGTCGCTGGTAGTACGTGGGACCTAAATACACCTGTGCTTGCAGTTTTCTACCTGTGTGTCCATGGAACATTACTTCCAAGCCTCGAGATTGGTAACCCTTCTGCTTAAGGAACATCGACACTGACTCGACAGTCAGATCGGTGAATGGAGTGGCATCACCCTCGTTTCCTATGAGGGTAGCGACTTTAGAAAGTAGACATTCGACTAAATGTCCGATAGTCATTCGAGATGGAATAGCGTGAGGGTTGATGACAATATCGGGCACGATGCCCTCAGCTGTGAAAGGCATATCTTCTTGTCTGTAGGTGATACCAATGGTACCCTTCTGTCCGTGACGAGAGGCGAATTTGTCCCCGATTTGAGGTATACGAGTGGAACGGACACGAATTTTGACGAACTTTTGACCCTCAGAATTCGTCGTAATCAATACTTGATCGACGATACCACTCTCAGTGCTTTTGAGTGGCGTTGACACGTCGCGTCGAGTATGAGTTCGCGTACGCTGCCCTAGTTCTTCGCTATCAGGAGGTATAGGGGCCGTCTTTCCAATAATGATATCCTCTCCACGAACACCAGTGCCCGGTGCGATCAAACCATCATCTTCCAGCTTGTCGTACGTGCCGTGCTTCATTCGCAACGTGTTGTCCCGCGTAGGCTTTTCGAATTCTTCCAGCTGCTGGACGCCACTCTTCTTTTCTAAATCCATATAGCTTCGATAATAGATACTCCGGAATAACCCTCGATCAATAGAGCTTTGGTTCATGATAACAGAGTCTTCCTGGTTGTAACCACTGTAGCACAGAATGGCTACGATAGCGTTTTGTCCTGCGGGTAGTTCTCGGAATTTCAGGTACTCCATTGATCGTGTTGTGGCTAGAGGCTTCTGAGGATAGTAAAGAATGTTGGCCATTGTGTCCATTCGGATAAGGAAGTTCGTGAGATAGATGCCCATCGCTTGTTTCCCCATAGCTGATTGATAGGTGTTACGAGGAGACTACAAAACGATCAGTCTTTTCACTCAACAGCACATTTCGAAAATGCAAACCTGATTGTGGTCGGGGAAAGGAATAATACTAGCACAGATGCCTAGAATCATACTTGGATGAATCTCGCAATGAGTCCACGTATGTGCACTGATCCCAGCTTTTAGTCGGGCAGCAGGATCAAATTCGCCATCGTTCTCGTGAGGATCGATTCCTTGTTGCTGTAGACGGGAATTCTCTAGATCCTCTGGTGTCATTGAAATCATCACTGTCTCCTCTTCCTCTGCATCCAAGAGCTCGACGATACCATTCTTGACGAGATGCTCCCATTTGAACTCTGAACCTTCGTCGTTCTGTCCATTGAGAAGCCATTTGATATGCTTCTTTTGCAGTACGAGTTGTTGGTTTTCGACGATGAACAGTGGACGACATACACGTCCAGCGTCAGTATAGAGACGAAGTTCCCTCTCTCGGATATCCCGCACAACAGAGACTTCAGGACTGATATCATCTTTTCGACGCAGCTTCCTGATCGTTTTCACTAAGTTCGCAGGTTCTCGATGCACCCCCATCCAAACCCCATTTACAAACACCTTGGTCATCGTAGGAGTGGATGAATGTGCGTTCTCCTCGAGAGACTCCAGGCCCCACTCCTCAAGGAATTCAATGACAGGAGCAGAGTATGAGCCGACGGAAATACAGGACATAAGGGCCAAGTTCTTGACCAGACCACAGGCTTGACCCTCAGGTGTTTCAGCAGGACAAACCATACCCCAATGGGTATTATGGAGCTGACGGGGTTTTGCTATTTTCCCTTCCCGCCCAAGCGGCGTATTACAGCGACGCAAATGGGACAACGTCGAAGCATAGGTATAACGATTCAGCACTTGAGATACGCCTGCCTTTGACGACATTGACTTCTTTTGGTCTCCCCAGTTACCAGTGGCGAGAGAGTACTTGAGACCATTGGTGATGGTCTGATGTTTGACCGCTAATGCGAGATTGAACTCTTTATGAGTCTCGACACACTATAACCAACGTTAGAATAAAGAATGGATTCCAGTGTTTAAACCTCACTTTTTGCATGTAACGATAAACATCCTTCGTAAGTTTACGGAACAGCATTCGGAAAAGGTTCGCCAAAAGGGGACCAGCTAAATCCAACCTCTTTTTTCCAAAGTGATCACGGTCATCGAGTTCGCGTCGTTCCAATGCTGCTAAAAGAAGTCGATGAATCATGTAACCAAAGAAGAAGGCCTTTTTGGATTCTGAGCCCTCGGCCATCGATACATGTGGTAGCATCTCCTTCTGTAAAATCTCCTGCGCGTAACGAATACGTTTTTCCCTCGAAAGACCAGTGGTGGTACCACGGTTGCCAATGAAGTCAAGTGCAACTTCACGGTCTTGGATGACGAAGCCTTCGTCGATACACGGCTTCAGCATTTCAAGCATTTGCGCATCCTGCATGTCGTAGCAGATATGTTCAAGGATATCTCTATCAGATATGACACCAAGGCCGCGGAAAACGACCCAGATCGGAATGTCAACCTTGATGTAAGGAATGGTTGCTTTCATAACATTACCCATCTATTGCAGCGAATTTGAGTACAGTGAATAACATGTTCAAAAAGCTGTAACGTACGGCACGTTCCTGGCCTCGATGAAACATCTTCACTTGGAATTGACTGATTGTTTTTCCACCTTTTTCGACGGCACTACGGATCTCTGCTAGGAAGTTGATGGGTGAAGGTTGTGCTTTGGCAAACACATAGACATGGTTTGTGGCCATACGCTCTTGGGCAATGAGCACCTTTTCGGATCCGTTGATAATGAAATAACCTCCGGAGTCGTACGGACACTCGTTCAAATCGTAAAGGTCTTGATCCGCGAGCCCGCGAAGAATACAGAAGGTAGAGCGCAGCATAATGGGAACCTTTTGCTAACTTAGAATGCAGTTCCTGAGCATGGAAATTTCCAACGCACCTTTCCTATCCATACTTTCGTCGAATTTTCTGGCCCATCGTCATTCTCTGTTTCCCAAGCCATATCACCGGGAACACCATCTGGATCTTCTCGTCCAACCATGACCTTTTTCTTCATTTCGATATATAAAGGTGCAGAGTACGTCAAGTTTCGCAGCCGCGCTTCCTGAGGGAAAACCGGGACGACAGAGCCATCAGCCTCGGTGACAGTTGGTCGTGAAAGGTAAATTTGTCCAAATCTAATCTCGTATCTTCGTGTCATGTCCCCTTCACGTCCCGAGTGTTGGTCTTGCTGGTCCAGTATCAGGTCCGCATTCTCATCGACCAGTTCCTGCATGGTATTCTGCACGAACTCGTCAAATGAGTCCAACTGCTGCCGGACTAGACCCTTCTGCTCGAAAAAGCTTGAAATGACGGTCCAGCAGTCCTCCTGGGTAATTTCACTGTATTGGTCGTCTTCCTCGTCATCCATCCCAAAATTAGGGTCATCGAAGGCGTAAGGGTCTTGGATTCCATCGATTTCTCGAGGCCTGTTTGTTTTAGCACTTTAAACGCAAGAGGTATGGTAGATACCTTGACTCATAGTCGAAGGCCTAAGTATGAGCAAATCTTCTACAGCGGGTTTATGTCCCCTTCAAATTATGACCCAGAACTATCCTGAGCTCTCAGGTTCTTTGTGATTTGTGCAGAGTAAACCAGGCGAAAGGGCCAAGTAATGACCGTGATGAAGTTCAAGATCACAAAGTAAACCGACCGTTACTCAGCCGAACCGTGAACGATGTGTACGCACGTGAATTGAATGCTGTGCAAAATTTCCTCTTACTACTCAGAAGTCAGAGTCAAAGTCACTACCTGGTTGTCACTAGTGACCACACTGTTTACGTTTCAACGATGAAGTTACCTGAATTTATCAACATCGGAAAATCAGTACAAGTTTATCTAGTCCTTCGAGCTCTAATCTTCGTCTGTCTCTAGACTGCATCTATCAAAATATCCATCTTCCGCAACGCATTGAATTCATATCCTCCACCCTATAAGTTCCAAGACTTTGTGGTCTGTAAAGCGGAATGGTAATATTGGGTTTACCCACCTCGAAGATGACCGTATGGTTCAAATAATGGAACAACTCGTACAAATGGCCACGCAACTCGTATTGGGATTCCGGTTTTGTTTTGGGTAAGTGTTTGTGATACTCAGCGAAGAAGGACGCTGGGAATCCCCCAAATATTCTGGCTATGGCCAAACTGCATCTCGGTAAGCAAAGGCATTCCCTAAATACAATTTTGGCTCACTCCGCTTCATTGTGCCCAAAGAATGACGACGGGTCAAAAATGACCGGTTCTCGTGTTGCACTGTCAACTCCGACATTTCCGCTCTGTAATTATAAAGTATATCCTAGTATAACAGGATTGCCAACATAGATCATCATTGCTCACCCAAAGGTCACCATGAAGGATGACTGGCTCGATCTGAAGCGGCCCTACAAGGAATCAATGCTTTTTCTGTTAACTAAACCAATGTGCATACCCAAAAGCTTAGGTATTACACTAGGAAGGTGAGTGAGATCCCATCGTAGGCTACATGTCAGGTCTGAGGCATACTCTTTTGTGATAGACTCGCCCTTCGCACACAATTTTTCATACCGACCTCTCTTCTTCAACTTTTCCAATAAATCGCCTATCATTTCACTGTAACATTTTTCCCAGCTATCATACCATCCATTCTTCATTCTGGTCGCTCCACAATAAGTCGGCACTTCAAATCCAAAACCATATTGACTTTGATAACTGTGCATTTCTGTGGCAAGCCTTTTGGCGAGGATTACAGCACTCTTTTCTGTGAGATTGCATATGTCCTTGTACTCCGAAATAAAGAAAGGCCTTCCGTTCTCGAAGGTTCCGGTTGCAAATACTCTGGGGGCTAACCCTGGTGCACCTGTGTTGATCGCCCTCAAGGAATCTGCCTCTCCGATATATTGCTCTGCTTCATCAGAAGTGCCCAACTTCACGAAGTATACCTTTCCGCTGGATGACTGGACTCTTCCACCTAATCTTCCGGCGAATTCTGCTGAGGGTTCGATTTTTGCAAGCTCGTTCAAAATAATAGATGGCAGCGACATGGTGAGAATATCTGGATGACATCATCCACTTGATTCCCCAGTGTAACCGATGAGAAATTTCTACATAAGCAACTTGATTCTCTGCTATCATGAAGTTCACCAACGATGGCGTCCCAGGGGTGTCTGGATACTTTCCCTACAATGATCCAGAAATTGGTACTCCTCTCAAAAAGGTGTCCCTCAATTTGTTATATTTGTGACGATCCAGTTTCTTACCGGTATCATTCTCCAGACCGAGTCTATGCCCCTTCTTTTTACACCAATCACTATCAGAAATGTGACCTTCAAGAATCGCATATTCGCCGTAAGCTAAATACTCTTCCGTTTACAAGATCTCGACGGATCTTTGTAGGCGCCGATGTGTCAGTATAGTTCGGATAACGGGCATGCAACTGATTGGCATCTTGTTCATATCGGTGTTCGTACCCTCATTATGAGACGATCATGCCTTATCCCTCATCTGTTTTGTCGTAGTCTATGGCATCCCGAGGTGTCGGAGCAATCTGCATGGAGGCTACGAGTGTCGTTCCAGAGGGCCGTATATCTCCTGAAGATGCTGTGAGTCTTTCAGCTCTCGGGTATTGTCTTAGGCTACTCAAGATAGAACAGGGTCTCTGGACAGACTCCCAAATGGAGCCGTTGAAGCGTATCGTGAATTTTGCCCATGCACAAGGCACTAGGATTGGGGTGCAACTTGCACACGCAGGAAGGAAGGCTTCCACATATGCACCTTGGGTTCGAGAGAGGGCCGGAGTTCGCAATACTACTGTTTCGATAGAAGAAAACGGTTGGCCTAATGAAGGTTTGAGGGACAGTTTTTCCTGTAGGTCAAAATTCAATTTGTGTTTTCGACAGTCGTTGGTCCTAGTCCAATACCTTGGTCAGAGGACCTCGTAGAGCCCAAAGAACTCAACAAAGATCAGCTCACTGAAATTGAGGAGGCATTCATCGCATCAATCAAGCGCTGCCAGGAAATTGGATGTATGTTCTTCAAGTTTTCCCTTCGGTAACACTTCGCCGAGACTAGTTTCTAGTTGATTTCATTGAGATTCACGGTGCCCATGGATATTTATTGAGCTCTTTTGTTTCACCTCTTTCTAATATTCGTTCCGATGAATTTGGAGGCCAACTGCTTGAAAATCGCCTTCGCTGGCCATTACAGTTAATAAAGCGTTGCCGGGATGCTTGGTCCAAGCCGTTGTTCGTGCGCATCAGTGCTACCGATTGGGCGGAAGGTCCAGAGCAGGAAAATGGAGTTTGGAAACAATTCGGAATCGAACAGAGCAAGGTATATGCTTCCGAGATGTACAAGCTCGGCATAGATCTGGTGCATGTCAGTTCTGGGGGAAACTGGTCGAATCAGAAGATTATTGTGGTACCAGGGGTTCATGCAGGTATTTTTCTTCATGGAGAAGGCACCTCATAAACTTAACAACAGGTACCCTATGCGGAGTCAATCAAGCAAGCTAACCCACAGCAGCTCGTAGGCGTTGTTGGTGTGATTACAGATCCTAAACTCGCAGAAGCCTACCTTCAGGAAGGCAAGGCAGATATAATTTTTCTAGCCCGAGCATTAATGCGGAATCCTCATTGGCCTTTGGAAGCTGCTGAACAGCTGGGCATACGCGTGAAGGCCGCAAACCAATACGAAAGAGCGTTCGACCGTTTGTAATGGAAGATGGGTACTAATAAAATTTCGGGAAGTTAGTTTAGAAGCTGTAAGGTTGTGGTTCTTATGTTGAAATCAAAACCATAGAAGAATTGAACCACTTAAACCACCACTGCTGCCAGAGTGCTACTACTGTAACTGGTTCAGCAAGTGATATGTAGTCCGCTCCGACAGAGTTTGCTCATAGTGACTCAGAGCATGTGATCGCTTCAATTCTTTCCGCCCACCGACCGCTGCTGCGAATATTTCATTCATTTAATTTCAATGCCCCAAAGCATTGAACTACCCCGAATACGAACTTCTTTCTCTAATCAGTCTCTGTTCCTCACCGAAGACAGGCTCTCCCCAGTACCTCACGACATTAGCGGATTGTTCGCCCAAACCGAAAGCTATGATCAATCAGAACTCGAAAATATACATCCACTTTGGAAACGGGACCTCTATGCCCTCTTGGAACAGGCAAATTCCTCTGTTGGCGCCTTCCTCGTCCATTTCCTCATGACCTTTTTTATTTTGGTCTCCGCCGTCGTAACGGTGCTGGAAACGGTACCCGCGTTCCATTCTATCAATCCTCAGATTTGGTTCGGAATGGAGACTACCTTGGTGGCGCTCTTTACAGTAGAGTATTTAGCGCGATGTACAGCTTGGAGTTCTTCGTGGTCAAGTCTATTGAAATGGATGATATGTGCGTTGACATGGTCCTTACTCAGCGAAGTCGACAACTTAGAACGTCTCTAGCATTCTACGGGGTCATAGACCTGCTTTCGGTGCTTCCTTACTACATAGAAGTTATCATGCAACAAGATACGGTCTGAATCACTCCTTCAATAGCCTGAAGTCTTCCGTTGAATCCGTCTTTCAGGCTGTATTCTTTCGGTTCTCCATCTTACGAATGTTCAGATTGATTCGGGTATTCCGACCTTTTAGATACAACCATACGATCCTTTTGTGAGTACCTTATAGTAACTTTCCTATTAACCGTAGCTCATATGCCATTCAGAACCATCGAAGTCATGTATCTCTCAGTGCGAAGATCACGCCACGCTCTATTAGCAATATCATTCTTTGTCGTCATGGTTTTGACGATATCCAGTACTCTTTTGTGAATTAATCCGTCCGTTATTCGCTGTCTCAGACTCATCTCGAACCAGATACTTCGCTGAAAGAGGGACTTGGGATACCACGTTGGAAACTTTTATAAACTCAGATGGTGATCCCACCCAGTTTGCAGTACGTGCCCGCCACTAAGATTTATTTGAACTGTCATTCACTCGGCCGATCTCATATCCAGTCCATTCCTGCTGCAGCCTGGTGAGTGATATACTGGAGAGATAATAGACAGTATCTGACGTTCCCGCTAACAGGTTTGTGCTAGTCAGTGAGTTATTAATTCCAGCGTCAGTTGTTTTCGCTTTCATTGATCTTGGCAAGCTATCACAACCGTCGGTTATGGCGAAATTACACCGCGTTCGTTCCTTGGCCGACTAGTCACTGTTCCTCTTCTGGTATTTGGTCTTCTCCTCATCGCCCTCCCAAGTTTCGTTCTTGGTCGGGAATTTAGTATCGTATGGGAAAAGATGACAACCCAGGTATTGCTTTTCGACTACTTACCTTCTTCCTCCCTTCTCAAATTCTGGTATAGCAGCAACTACAACAACAAGACGATGACCGCGATCTAGATTCTCCGGTAGAACTTCGCAGCGCTCCTCCAGTTCGTTCAGATCGCGAAATCTCTACCCGGAAACTGGCTCTGAATCAAGCGGAACTGAGTAGACAGATTTTGGATTTACGCAGTACTGTCGAGGTTCAAGGTGAAATGATACAGAAACTTTTAAACATTCTAGAAGCGAAGTCGAAGGGAAAGCAAAGGGCAACATGATGGTGTTAATGGAATGCTATTATATTTACCAGGGTGTCTGAGGAGCGCTATTATTGAGAACTGAACCACGAAGCTCAAGCAAGTTGAGTTAAATGACATTTACATGGATCACATTAATGGTATATGTACTTCGTTAGATTTCACGGTTCGTAATGACCTCTCAGTTTACGTCTACACTGCTAACTCGTATGTTGTATCAGTATGAAATGGCTACCCAGTTTTCTCAAATTTCTCCTGTGATTATCCGAGAGTGAATTCTCCTGTATCGCGCTGTATAGGACAATTGGGCCCAGCTGATCAATCCCTGATATTGTTGACCAATATGCTGGTCCCCATAACCATGTCACTTCCGGAATTCATACTGCCTATTCCCGTCGACGACGACTTACGCAACTCTAGTATAGACTGTCTAGAAGTCCGACCATCATCACTTGTTAAGCAATCCTTGTGGGTTCTATTTGTACACCTTCATTGATTACAAGTATGATAATGCGGTTGGCTTCAAATCCAGATCCAAATCTGACTCTGAACTTGATTCACTGGTAACAGTTGTGACAGAGGGAGGTCGAGGCCTGACAAAAACTAATCGGGATTGAGATTTGCGAAGCCCAGGTGAAAGGGGACGCAGAACAGCGGCGGCTCCGTAGCAACGACTGTATTCGCAGCTTGTCGAGGTCCCGCTTCCTCTACAGCGAAACTCAGTACCGGCTTGAAGAGAATCTGGAAGTCCAACCGTTCGACTCAGCAGGAAGACTCGAAAGATGAAACGCCACAAGGTCGATAGGTGTAGAGTCTTGGGCAATGCGGGTAGGACGTTCCTTAAGCTCGGTAGCAGCCTCTCTCGCTTTGGCTGGCCGCCCGTTCCCTCTTCCCAGACCTCTTCGACGAGGCAGGGTGAGAAGTTGAAGGGAGAGAGTCGGGTTTAGGATAGGTGGAACCAAGGTGATTGAGCGGACAGAGATAGCGGATAAGAGAGGAAAAGACGGGGAAATCAAGGGATATCCTGGTATGTTTTCGTTGGCGGATTCTTCTTCCTCCTCCTACTTGATTCCCTCGTCCTCTAAACCTCACTTTAACTTTGCATTGTTTTGTCCTCATCTAGCGCGAAGAATAGGCTAGAAAAATAAGGTAAGCGTCTGCGGAATCAATTAATAGGTGAGATAAAATTCGACCTGTTGAATTCAACAGGTCAAGAAGGTTCCGTTCACGCGTCTGGCCTGTGGAGGGGCTTGCCTATATGCATAAAACCCCCTCAGAACGAGTCCAACACGTAAAAAAAAAACGCGGGGAATAACCGCAGGAAATCAGCCAAACTCCTAGCCTGTGGAGAGGCTTGGAGTGGCGATGTTCGTTGCGGTTTTCCCGAAGAAGATCAAAGAAAGGACCAATTTGCCCGAAGAATTGCCTTGGCTCATGTTCATAAAATATCTAGGGAATAGTAGTCACTGTGGGGATGAGCCAATGTCTTCGCGGTGAAAATCTAGAGAAAATGCAAGGATTTTTACCAAAATTCATCAAAAATCCTGGGCACGAATTTTAAAACCTTTCGTGTGGCGATTATTGTGAAGCTATCGTGAATTTGGCGGGGGGCCGTGCTTATTTTAAATTATCTTTTCATAATTTTACCATAACCTCAGCTCAATTCCTTCAAAATATCTGCTGCCATATTTTTGTACATAACCTCGAGATAAAACCCACATTTTCGCCTCGAGGAAATCGGCTCATCCCCGCAGTGAGTGGTAGGTTGAGAAATAGAAGTTGTAGGCGCCTGTTGGCTTAGTCTACACATCGTAAGCATCGGAATGGGGAATTCTATTATAGCAAGCGAGGGGAAGCAGATGTAATAGTCCTACCGTCCCAATAAGCGAAGAGTCCTAAAAAAAGATATACCACTTACTACAAGGGCGAGTGCGAACGATTACGCGTCAATAACGGCGCCTAGGAGCAGAAAACATAGTTTCCCGCCCTTCTGTAGTATGCCCTGAAGGTTCGTGAAGATGATTAGCTATGTTGTGGATTTAGGCGTTATGTTAAGATTTAAATCATAGAAGAAGCGTCAAACTAGACCACGACTGCTACCACTGCTACCTGACTATTGTTATAACTGGTTTAGCAAAGTGATAGTCGACTCGAGGGAATCATAGCATGTGATCGCTTCAATTCTTTCCGCCCACCGCTGTTTATTTTCAAAGTACTATGGTTCACAGGGTACTTCCGATTTCTTGAATATTGCGAATAATGTCTTAAATTTTTGAGTAAATAAAAATCTGAGTAGACAGTCTTATTTAGAATCATGTTAAGCTTGTCTTTTGTCTTACATGTTAAAGCAGATAAGGCATAAACAGAGCGTCGGACCATGACCGAGGAAAAACAGGGTACTTCCGCATCTTGGGTCACACTGAGTCACATCAATGCCGCTGCTCGGCACTCTGGCACACTTGGCCATTTGATGCAAGGTTGAGGCAGAACTTGTGTTGATCACGCTTTTGGAGAGTGTCAGAGGTTTGCCGAGGCTACGGCATGAAGCTGGAATCAAATATTGTCACGTCGCATACCCTCTTCACTTTATCTGCTTGTCGAATCTCTACAACATATTGGATTGCTTTTAAATTTGCTATGCTAGCTGATGAGAGCCTCTACTTAATGCCCATGTCATTTTTACAGCTATCTACCAGCTCTTCGTACGGTTCCTGAGGCTTCAATCTAAAGTCACGCTTGTATATTACAGTATTTTGGTTTTGTACATATGCATCCCAGATACAATCTATTTCATATAGCACAGTATGTCTATAGAGAACCTAGAAAGTACTACATAAAAAGTCTGAGAGCATTTATCGACCTAAAACGTTCAAAATATGAGATTTTCAAAAATGCGGAAGTACCCTGTTTACGGAAGTACCCTGTGAACCATAGTATTGAACTACCCTGAATATGAACTTCTTTCTCTAATCAGTCTCTGCTCCTACCCGAAGACAGGCTCTCCCCATTCCATCACGACATTAGCGGATTGTTCGCCCAAACCGAAAGTTATGACCCGTCAGAGCTCGAAAATATACACCCACCTTGGAAACGGGACCTCTATGTATGTCCTCTTGGAACAGGCAAAGTCCTCTGTTGGCGCCTTTCTTGTCCACTTTCTTATGAACTTTTTCATTTGGTCTCCGTCGTCGTAACCGTGCTATAAACGGTACCCACATTCCGCTCTATCAATCCTCAAATCTGGCTTGGAATGGAGACTACCTCGATGGTGCTATTTTCAGAAGAGTATCTGGCGCGATGTACAGCGTAGACCTCGTCATGGTCAGACCTGTCAAAATGGATGATATGTGCGTTGACATGGTCCTTACTCGGCGAAGTCAACAACTCACAATGTCTTTAGCGTTTGTCATAGACCTGCTTTCAGTGCTTCCTTATTACATAGAAGTTATCATGCAACAAGATACAGTCTGAATGACTCCTTCAAAAGCTTGAAGTCTTCCGCTAAATCCGTCTTCTAGGCTGTATTCTTTCGGTATTCCATCTTACGAATGTTCAGATTGATTCGGGTATTCCGACCTTTTGGATACAACCATACGAGTACCTTGTAGTACTTCTTCTAAAACGCCATTCAGAATCTTCCAATGGAAAGCAAAGGACAACATGACGAAGTTGATACAATGCTGTTATGTACGCCAAGGTCCTCGAGGAACGCTATCATTTCAGAATTGAACCACGAAGCTCAAGCAAGTTGAGTTCAACGACATATACATGGATTTATGTTCGTAATGATGATCAATTTATATCAACGCATCTGCTAACTCGTATGCTATGAAATGATTCCCAATTTTTCTCAAATCTCTTGTGAATCCTGTATCATATCGCTCTGCGTAGGACACTTAGGCCCAGCTGATTGATCCCTGATATTGGTTCGACCTCGGCAATTTCATCCTGCCGACTGAGTGCCTCAACACAAGCAGCAGCCCTCAGTAAGGCGCAATACCACCAACACGGAAACCAATCGTAGGCTAGGAGGCCATGTGCTTCAAAATTATGTTTTTTTACATAGGTCAGCTCCTAGTCTTGATGTAGACATCGAAAACTCAAGAATGAGTAGGAGCAGGTAGGAGCACCGCCGGAGGAGCGACCCTGTGGGTCATCGACTGTATCTGTCTAATTCTGACATCGAACCCTGAAGCAGACGCCGCCAGAATTCGCTCTTCGTAAAGTGGAGTGACACGGTATGCTGACTAAAAAACCAGAAGTACTCCCTCTGTACTTCGGGTTGGCGCACTAGCATCGGTCGGGAGCAAGTTCTGAACATACATGCATTATTTTCGACACAGGAATCATTGATAGAGATCTTGATGATATAAACAGCTTTGACCCCAACGAAATGTTCTCAATTGGTTTGTCGTGTCGACGACCCCACACGACCGCGCCGTTCAAAGAGTCAAAGGCGCTGACTCAATCCCAGTGACCTCGCTACTTATCCGAGTACTGTATGCATTTTCGCCTGTTTCAAGCTCTGAATTATTCCGCTTACGCCGTTATCTACTCTATTGTTTCTTAAATTTTTCTTATACATCACTGCCCCGGTGGTTGCCGACTGTAAAGTACAAAAGGAGAGGCGCGATCGGTCATAAGAATACCCTCTTGTCCTCAAGTTATTCCTGGTCTTCTCATATCCCACTACCATGATCGTCAACTCAGAGTCTTCCCTTCCCTATCCTCCCTTTGTTGACATCGAGGGAGTGATAAATATGCGCTCTGTTGGTGGGTACGCCACTAGCACCGGAGGCGTTGCGAAACCCAATATTATATATCGCTCCGGCGATATTTCGAGTATCACGGAGAGAGGGAGAGGGCAGTTTTCGGCGCTGGGAGTTCATGTTGTGTTTGATTTCCGTGCGGATAGCGAGATCAAAGACTACGACTCTGCAACGCCTGCTATGGAAGGGGTTAAAATTATCAGAGCTCCTGCGGGAATCCAAAACGCGTTTGACCCTGCAAGTATTGCTATTCGGTGAGCGATTTGGTTTTCATTGTTGTCTAAGGGACAATGCTGATTAAGGATCGTAGGTTGAAGAAATGGCAAATTGATGAACTTCAAGTGAGTGGCATAGGTATGATCTATGCATGAACAAGAGATTCAATCCGGTATTATCAGGCATTCTTGAACACCTATGAGGAGATTCTGGACACTGCAACTGAAGCATTCAGAACAGTTTTCATTCACCTAAGAGACCATCCAGATCAACCTTGTCTAATTCACTGCACCGGTAAGGAAGAGCAATTCATCACCTTGTCTATTTTTCACCTTACCCCTTTTGCAAATGCAGCTGGAAAAGATCGAACAGGAATGTTCGTCACTCTCCTGTTGATGGTATGTCGAATTTCAAGTGCAGTCTGCTGTCCCAATTCATTCTTTCATAGGTCTTGGGTGTTGAGGATCGTTATATTATCGACGAATATGCCTTGACCACTGTTGGACTTGCTCCGTCAATGCCCCATTTACTTCACAAGCTCCAGAAAATGCCCGTTTTTCGCGACAATTGGGAAGGATTACTCAACATGGGGTCATCAAAGTATGTCCGAAAGGGAAAGCGCTGGCAGCTTTGTTTGACTGACGCACGAATTGTTTCCTTTGAACTTATTAGGCCCGAAACAATGGTGGCGACTCTCCGGCTTATTCGCGCAAAATACGACGGAGCGGAGGGATATTTGAAAACGCAGTTAAATTTGGATGATGAAGATATTGAGAAGATTCGGGGGAACTATCTTGTTTGAAGGAAGAATCATTGTTGAACTATCCTTATCGTTTTGACTTTTTGTATTCATCAAACTTTCGTATTCATATGTATCATAGTTTTGAAGTTGCGGTGGGCTCTTGCTGAGGAGTAATTTTGGTTGTGCTGTCAAACTGCCGAGATTTGTGAATACAACACCAAATATGTACAACACCATACCCACGACTGTTGACGACGACAGACGACGACTAGACAACAATTCTCGCCTTACCTTTTACAAAACCATTTAAATTTCAGCGCTTCAGCGCCCAATGGATTACTTTTCACAGTACGGAGGACACGAGGCGTCATCGTCGATAAATGTACCCCCACGTGTCGAATCTATAACGGACTCTTCGTCTTCTGAATCTGTTTCTGATACTGCCGGAACCTCACCATTTTTAAACGCTCAACAATTGCCTCTCCCAGACTTTTCAAAAACCTTCACTACCGAAACGTTGCAACCCACGATGCAGGAGGAACAAAATGCCTTTGCATCCACCAGTGCTCAGCCGGCTTACTACCCTATGCCTGCTGCCGGTTACATGTCCTTTCAAGCTCCGTTTTCTCATAATCCTTCCGCTCCTCCTTCTCCTCCTCTCGCTGCTGCACTTAGCCAAACCCCATCTCCTGTTCCCATTCCAAATCCCTCCACCAGTATGCCAGTCCCCATGCCCATGCCACTTCCGGAATTCACACCGCCCGTCCCCGTCACCAACGACGTACGCGACTCTGGTGTAGACTTTGGTCTCGGAATACGACCACCATCACAAGCTGCGAGTACAGCAGTCATTGCTACGGAGCCACCGCTTTTCCGTGCCCGTTCTCTTCTGGGCTTCGCAAAATCTCAATCTCGATTAGGTTTCGTCAGGCCTCGGCCTCCCACTGCCACAACTGTTACCAGTGAATCAAGTTCAGAGTCAGATTTAGATTCGGATTTAAATCTTATTCAACCACATTATCATACCTGGGATGAATCGACTCGAGCGCTAATTGAAGGTCTACGACCTGTGATGGAAAGTTGTATAGAGATTGTGGTGCGGCTGATTCCTGTGAGTCACTCGACCCTTTTGTAATGTTCACCGCTGACTTTTCCCAGACTCCGCAGGTTTCCTCTGCAGGTAGACTTATCAGGTTGCCTTTAGGACGGGAAGAGGCAGTGTGTGCGTCAATGGAGGGGACATTGCGTCACCTTTGGGGGTGTATCACTTTGCGACCGGGTTGTGCTTGTCCTAGTGAGAGAGAGCAAGAGGCCTTGCCTGAAGGCGAGAGGGGATCAGATGTATGCCGCGAGTTTCATGAAGCTTTCGAGCGGAAGCTTCGTCGATTCACGACGTGAGTTGTTTATTTTTTTACATTGTAGTATAACTTAAACATACTGCAGTCGAATGCGAACTTTCCACGAGCAAATCAATCGACCCCGGAGAATGCACAGGTCATCATTCACCGAGCGACTTTTAGGATGGCAGGATGCGTTCGATCAATGGATCAACCGGTTCGAGGTCTGTTCAAATCCGTTACTTCTTGAGCTGTTTCCTTCATAATGCAATTTCGTAGAGATTGAATGCATACTTGCGACTTCGCCTAGCGCATGCACATGCAAAGCAAATACATCTTCAACTCGAAGACGAACGTACCGTCGCCGCGCAAATGCGCTCACCTGAAAATAGCGAAGCTGGATCCGCTTCTGGGAGGCGTAGCAGCCAAAGACACCGTCATCACCATGAGTTGACTATACAGCAACTCAGGGAGGATTACGATCTCGCAAAGGGTGCTTTGTTGGAGGCACATAAACGATCAGCAGGGCTGGCTTGGAGACGGGATGGTATGGGTCAATTGGTACGGGATTTCGGAAACTGGACGATTAGAGACGCAGTTTAGATGATGGCGGTATGGTTGGTGACGGAAATTTGTCGTATTGAGCATGGGCGTGTTGAAGCGTCGTTTTCATATCAATGTCACACCAATGATGTTCAGACTACTTTTATGTCCCGGGTTGCAGCTTAGATGACTTTCAGCGAGACTTTTGTGCGATTCTTCTCCTCAACTTCTATCAATGAGTTGCCTTCTTTGCTGATTAACGAGCTAGGATTTGTGTTACAGACAGTCCTTAACCTCGTCAAACCCCATTCTACCCGCGCCCAAGAGAGGCACTTAATGGTCTTCTTGCATAGTCCGAGCAGTGGCGGGTTGATTATATCAAATCATTTTGTCTTCTCGTGTATGTCGGATGAGACCGCCTGCTATCCATGGAGTAACATGGTCAACACAGCTCTGTATTGATGTAGGACGACACCGAATGTGGTCGGAAACATATGGCCTCACTACCTTTGCAACGTTCTTACCCAAAAACGAGAATTCTTACGATGGCACTCATCAGACGACCTTGCATAATATCAATCCCTTGCGAGCCCAGGTGGCTGTAAGGCTGACAACAAGTGTTGCCATTTGTTGTTACTTCCGAAAATTAAGAGTCAAGGAGAGGGTCGATTCTCTTGATTTTTGTATACTTTGCTAGATGTACCACCCGCTGTCGGAGTCCACTGGACACTTCCGAGCTACGGAGCCGAGAACCCAAGCCTTCTTCACCTAGTTGCCACCGGCCCTCGACCCATTACGACAATCAGGGAAACCATAATCGAAGTCACTGTCCATGCAAGACGAGGTTGCGAGGTTGACAGATCCCAAGGATGCAAATGCATCGCTTTAATTTTAACTTCCCGTACCACTACTCCGAATTGAAAGGCATCCCGTCCAATAGCCTCAAAGTCCTCCCATATATCCAATTCTCATCAAATGCCTAATGCAGATTAGGCGTGTCTACATATAAAAACCCTTTAAATCCTCCCCCCCTCACATACGCAAAAATTTTCGACCCCGCCCTAAATTTCTCAACTATGGCTATTCTACGCGTGTGTACTGAAATATCGAGCGCCGCAGCATTAGAGATGGGATGTATTGTGCTAGCTTTTGCAGCAGTGTATGTTTATCTTCAACGACGTGTGCATCGTCTACACAATCCACACGGGCTCCCCTATCCGCCTGGACCCAAGCCTGCACCAATTATCGGAAACCTCTTCGTGAATCCCTTTTCAACAATCTCGGGTAGTTATTCAAATCTAAGACGTCATGTATACTAGGATATTCCGCTAGAGAAAGAATCTTTTGTTTACAATAAGATGGCAAATAAATATGGTGCGTCTACTTTGCCTATCCTTTATCTCTTCCTGTAACGACGTCTTCTCTATAAGGCGACCTAACATATCTCAATGTTTTGGGTAAATCAATACTTGTTGTTAATAACTACTCCACCGTAAAAGAATTGTTCGAGAAACGCTCTGTCAACTATTCCGACCGCTACCAAGCACCAATGATGAATGATTTGATAGGATGGGACTGGAGTTTTGGACAGATGTCATACGGTATGGTATGGTATGAATGCTCTGTTCATATGAGTTTACCTTGACTACTAGGTCCTCGTTGGAAGATGCATCGCACGATGTTCCACCGACAATTCCATTCGTCCGTCGTATCCAATTTCTGGCCAATTCAGTTGAAAGAGGCGCACAAACTCATTCGTCGAATACTACACGAGCCGGAAGCTCTGCTTGAACACCTTAAATTGTAAGTATTCTTTCATCTCCTCATTCCCTGGAGCCTGATGTCTAGATCACCCCCTATCAGCAACTCGGCAAGCACAATCATGAACGTTGCATACGGTATCGAAATAGAGGATGAAGATGACCGCTATGTCACAGTAGCTGAAACAGCATTAGACGGGATGGCAAAGGCAGCTAACCCAGGAGCGTTTCTAGTTGATATATTCCCCATTCGTGCGTGGCGGTTCCACTGAGACTTATAATCATTGTATTCATGAGTGACGTTTAGTCAAATATGTCCCAATCTGGATGCCTGGCGCAGGATTCAAGCGCAAGGCGGCGCTTTGGCGCGAGGCTGTTCTCCAAATGCGAGATGCTCCTTTCAAAGTGGTGACGAAAGCCATGGTGCGCCCATGATCTGACTATGGTCCTCGATTAGTTTTGTTTATTCTGTAGAAAGAGGGAACTGCATCGCCAAGCTTCGCCTCGAACCTTCTCGCTGATGTTGAGCTCCGTAAAGACCTCAGCGAGCTTGCTATCGCCAACGAGATGCAGACAATTAGAAATTGCGCAGGCTTGGCTTATGCAGGTATGTGACCTGAATTAGTAGTTCCTTTTGCTATATATATTCATGGGACGATTACCCTTGTGGTATGCGATGTGTAGCCGGGACCGAAAGTGTAGGTTGATTCTGAGTATAATGATAATATCATTCGAAGACTTACAGTACGTCCTTGCGCCCATAGATTGTATCAGCTTTATCGTCGTTTATGCTTGCTTTGGTTATCTACCCCGAAGTTCAAGATAAAGCTCAACAGGAACTTGATGCAGTAGTAGGGTCAGGAAGGCTGCCAGATTTTAGTGATCGAGGGTCATTGCCATATATTGATGCTATTGTCAAGGAAGTACTTCGGTAAGCTCAGTCCACGAATCCGATGATAAGTATGATCATAATTCAACAACTTGTGCTTTAGGTGGAGTCCAGTGGCACCCCTAGGTCAGTTGTGTTGTTTTGAAGTCAGTAAATTTATCATTTACTGTGCCCTAGGTCTCCCACATATGACCACAAAGGCCGATGAATTCAGAGGTTATCATATCCCGGCTGGCACACTCGTAGTTGGGAATAGCTGGTAAGACCTATTTCCACTAGTACGAACCCCGGCGATTTGTTCTGATTTGTTTCCGACTATATCAGGACCATTCTCCACGACCCAATAAACTACCCCAACCCGATGGCATTCAACCCTGATCGTTTTCTCTGCAATGAACCCGCCGTCATGGAGCCTGTCTCTGCTGCCTTCGGCTACGGCAGACGAATTTGTCCTGGACGATTTATGGCTGAGGGACAACTGTGGATCTCAATAGCTTGCATTTTGAGTGTGTATGAGATTAAGCCCGGGTTTGACGATAAAGGGAAGTTTATCAACACTGAGGCTGCGTTTTCGTCTGGTTTGATTTGGTACGTTCATAGTCACAAAAATCGCACAACTTCAAAAATCTTATTCGGGTGTTTTTAGTCATCCTTTACCGTTCAAAACTTCGATAAGGGCAAGGAGCGAAAAGGCAAAGGCGCTTGTCGAGCAGACTGCAGATCTCTCTGTTTAAACCCACTTTCACTCTATCTTTATGTGATTTAGTGACTACAAAACTATGGTGACTCGTAAATTTCTCTGTCTTGAATGATGTCAAGAAACGCCTGGGACCATGCCGTGTAATAAATCTCCTTTTCTTTTCTTGTATAAGCTACGTTTTGTTGCTGTATGTTGCTGCATGAGATGCACTGATAGTATGTGTTTCAAGGAATACATTTGGAATACAGTGGGTGATTATCAACTACGAATAAACTGGTTATAACACGATGGATATAAAGAGTGAAGACTACAAGCTAAGTTATACAAAATGGTACTGAGAGGGGTTGGCAGGGTACTAATGGATGAACAAATCATAGACCCAAATTCGAGCTCAATTGGTCGTCTACGTATATTCAAGTTGGTGAGCATTTCTACTAGTCACCCGCGGTAGCTAGGAGGATCTAGGATTCTAAACTTCTTCCGATTCCGAAGTGGTGTCGGGAGAAATACGAGACATCAGCTCCAGAACCTGGTTGTTGCGATACTTCAAGCCCATAGTTTGAGCATACTGAAATGAGCAAAACAACGAGGGTAGGTCAACCAAAGTTATGATGATGAAATATCAGGACTTTTTCTGATAGTACATACCTTGATGTCCTTCTCCAAAGTGCATAATTTTTTGCTCAGCGAAGAAATGATAATGACACGGCGCAAAGATAGATATGATATCCGGGATGTGTTATGGTCTTCCGAAAAAATCTTGTGAGCGTCCTGAGTTATACTATATACTATCAGGCTTAACAATCTGATTCGGAAAAGGGGAGCTCACCGGCGCAAGCGTTTTTCGAGCTCGAAGGCAACGCGTCTAGCAACATATCGGTCATCCAAGATTGAGAAGGGCAGAGAAATTACTTACCGACTCTGACATTGCTCATAATTGATATATCCGGACATGATATCGTTTGTGTTGAGAACTGGTCCCATATCCTTGTATTCTTTTAACATTCTTTGAACCGTTTCTATGCGGCGCTCGAGACCGCTGAGGGTCACGCAAGGAAAGCAGGCGCGCAGTAGGAGCGCAATGACAAAAAGGGACAGCAATGTCCACAAGATTGGACTGGAAACGATTGGAAAAATATCCTGAGTGAGGATCTGTACGGTTGTTTGGAAGATCGAGAAGGTCATAGAATATTGGGATGGTCAATCCTAGTGTCAGGAAAATGTTTGGGGATCTGGAACAGAAGAATTGAGCACGTTATAAAGGAGTGTATAGTCAAAGAAGTAGGAACCTTGGGGAAAGAGGGATGTTCCATATACCGACAAAATCCAACAAATGTCATAATACTCTATTACGGTCTTCTTTGTCTTCAGCCGTATGATATGATATCTTGGAGACCATCCATGTCATGTCATGTTTTGGCATTTAGAGACTCTTTTGTCCATCACCCGGGACAGCATTAGCCATCACTTTCCTGGACATATCTTTGCTGTCACTCGCTCATTCTCAAGAAGCAAATCTGAGTGCGATTCGAGTCTGTGAAGTTTCCCATTGACATATAAGAAAAGTGACAGCGAAGTCCGAAAAAGATGGGTCGAAATCTGGTGATTTAGCCACAGACAACAGCAAAAGGAATTAAAAGAGGACAAGGATACAATAGAATCAAATATATTACTGACAGCTCAGGGCAGCTCGCAGACAGCCACTCGATAAATTTCCAGATGTTCATGTATGACTCATGAGGCCTGTCAAGGCTGCCCCATCCCAAATGACTGCAGATGAGAGCAAGGTGTTACCTGGAGTAACTAAAGGGCTATTTAGATGATGTCAGTCAAATACGGGAGTCTGGGACATAAAGGTACACTTATATGCAGATTTGCATTGCCATCTTCGGTTGCCCCCGGGTTGTCACTGACTGGAATGACCCCGGAACATTCACGAGGTCGTTACTCTATCTGAATACGGAAATCAGCGTCTATTCGACACTCCTTCCAGCGCGGTTGAAGCCCTGCAGCTATCATGAGATCCATCCGTTTATGAGGTTTCATATACAGCGAGGAGGACGGTTTGGCCTGACTAAAAATAGAGTACCAGCTTTAGCAGGAGGAAATTGCTGAGAGCTCGACTCACCTACAATGCCTTCCGTGAACTTGAATATACACCGGATTGAATGACTTCAGTGTTTTGACATAGTACTGACAAGACCTGACACCTTCCAATGCTTTGTTGACCACGATACAAAGGATATCTCAACTCAGATCTCGGCTTCGAGGCAAGGAAAGAAGTCCGAATTAAGAGGGGTTTTGGAATGTGTTGAGACAGGATCGGAAGCAGTTAAACATATTGCAAGGCTGTATGTATAATTGATGAAGGCGTTGTCCTTATCCGGGGAGAGCCTTGTCCTGAATCGCATATTCACTTCGCTATGTTGAGGAATTGTTATAACGCTTGGACTTTGATTGACTCTGAAGAGCAAACGAGAGAAATCAGGAATATTCCCGAGGTACCTACGACGCACTCCTTCCCTCGCTCATTCTCTCTTCTCCCTTGTCCGATATCAGGAGATAGTGCCAATTCCAGCTGATGCAAATCACAGTGAATAGAACTGCCTTGCATTATATTATGAACTGTTTGAGTCAACAATATATCAGTTGAAACTTCAACTTGAAAGTGGATTTTGATTTCGCCAGGGGGTGTTGAGGGTGCTGGTATTTGGATAAATCGTGGGCCTGGAAAACCCAGAAAAGGATTTTATGATGCCTTTGAATGGATGCATCGACGTCGAATTCGTATCCGATGTTGAATGGGGGAGAAGCAAACTGATACTTTTTGAATATCTGAGGTGTCGACAGTAACATATTCGCCATGAAGTGAACGAGAGGGGAAGATGAAACTGGTCGAAAGGTGAGGAGTCTAAACATGCGAACGGCCGTAGGTGGGATGTGTTTCAAGGACTTAGGAGGGTTAGTCACAACGCGATGGCGAGAAGGAGGAAGAGCGCACACCTGCCGGCCCGTAAAAACCACCGTCGAGAGGTTTAGGATGCCACGCCAATTTCTGCTTATGGTTGTACACAACGACAATGGTGTTCGGGAACACTGAGCGCTGAGCAGCGAGGAAAAAGTGTGATCAAGGTTGGCACTCGTTGTCATTGGAAACTCAGCGCACGTTCTCTATGGCATTTGGCTCAACAGATCGCCATGGCTATCTTTACTGCTTCTCAAATCTCTAGGCAGTATATATACTGGTGATCAGCTGCCTCAGAAATACAAAAATTACTATCATGATCCTCTCCAATGGCTTAATGTTTGCCAGCCTCGCGCTCGACTTCGTCAACTTCGCTTCCGCGACAGATATCGTTCATTACCCACCAAAATTAACCAACCTCAACAACCTCACCTTCGTCCTCAACGGGATTGGCACACCAGGAATTTTCAACTCATCCATCACACCCGATTTCGAATATGGGATGTACAACTGGTGCAACATGCCCCACGTTCGAGCTCGAGAATACCAGACACCGTCGTCGGCTTATACGCTCAAGTACATCGAGATAATCCAACGACACCATAAACGAACCCCGTACGCATCGAATACGTTCTTCAAAGAAGATATACCTTGGGATTGTACCGGCGAAGGACCAGTTTATTATGGAAAAGGCACAGTGGGAGTGACGGATGACCCGACTGTGATCCAATGGTCCGCATATACGAATTCGCAAAATCCATTCACGAATAGTGTCGGACCAGGATTTGTCGGGAGTAATTGCGCTTTTCCGCAGATAACCACCGGAGGTCTCAATGACTCGTACACACATGGGGCGGACTTACGGGCAGTGTACACTGAAAGGTTAAATCTTTCCACTAAAGCCGATCCAAATACCTTCAAAATCCGTGTAACTTCCAATCCTATCACGTCACAAGTCTCCGGTGGACTGCTAAAGGGACTATTCCCTGACTCTTCTGATGTCGCTGCCCTCATCCAGGCCGATGCCTTCGATTCATTGACAGCATCTTATAGCTGTCCGGCGGCCAAATCTATCTTCACTGCCTATACAACAGACAGTTCCCATTGGACGGAACACCTAGTCAATGCAGCAGGTATCTACGAAGAGTTGGATGAAGTTTCCGGTATTGCGGCGGATGATACTGCGGGATGGCACACGAGTTTTGATCAGTGAGTACAACTGCTCAGACTACACTCAAGTTTTCCCTTCTAACAACTTCTCTATAGCTACTACGACAATCTGTCGGCAAAACAATGCGACTCCAAACCTCTCCCATGTAGTGTCAACGACACCTTTCTCTGCGTAACACAACCCCTTGCTGACACCGTCTTTCGTTTGGGCAACTATGAATACTCGTATTACTATCGTGACGCGTACAACTCGACGCTTTTTAGCGCACTGAGCTATGGCGCGTGGGTTTTGGAGCTCGTTGGGCATCTCAAGGAACAGGTAGAAGGCACAAGTGATGTTAAATATTTCCATAATGTCGCCCACGATGGCTCGTTGAGTCCGCTATTGGGGATATTGCAGATTTCGGAAATGGTTTGGCCGGGGATGTTCGTTGTGCATGTTGCGGTGCTGGATTAACTCTATACTAATGTCCCACTTACTCCAGGGGCTCCGAAATTGTCTTTGAACTATACGAGAAAAATTCCAATTCAATCTCGAACTTCTTCCTACGCGTGCTCTGGGGCGGCCAACCTATGCAGACGTCTCTTCCTTTTGGTACAAACAGCGGTGGATTGCTAGATATGATTCCTGTGGAGGACTTTTTTGAATGTGAGTCTCTGCGGATCGTATTTCTAACGTTCATCACGCTCGATTCTCGATCCTCATTTTGCTTGTACCTAGACGTCCATAACACGATCGGCACCGGGCCAGAGCTGTTCGCTGCTTGTCAAAAATAAATGCAACATGGAGAGATATGGTAGGATGGTGACGCCAACAACGATCTAATGTTGGATGATGATTCTTGAGTGCAGGTTCCGACCGGGAATGCTTATTGCTCAACAAGAATGGTCGTATGTTTATACCATATGCATTCTTCTGGCTTAGTCTGGTCATATGGGTATTTTAGCAACAGGTTACAACTCTTCCGTTTGGCTTCCGAGATGTAAATACAATACAAGGACCTTTGTCGAAAGGTATCATGTGGCTCCGGGTGGCTTCATAAGAGTCTTAAACTTGTCATCAATCGTCTTATCACTATCAGCCGACAGAGGATATTAAAGGGCACCTAAACCTGGCCAAATTCGCTATGGTTGAGACGTGTTCATGTACTGTCCCGATTCGACTGCCATACTGAAGATTAGGACTCTTGTGTCGGCGGTCGTTTCCTATCTTTTGTCTATAGCTCTCGGCCTTCTTCAGACTGCTCTTCCAGAGACATAACCCTGTGTCCGGCACACCCTCGGCACACTTGGATTGGTAACATGTATTCACCCTCAATATCAATCGTCAGTAAGCACCTGGCTAAAGCATTCAGTATTTACTCATCAAGTACCTTACAAGGCCCACGCTCCTACGTGTCATTTATCCTTCATGGTCCTGCAGCTCTAAAAAATCGTTGCCAGGGTATAAATAAATCATATTTCCTAGACAATTTTTACCCAAAAAAATCACCACTATGGCTCTCACCAACCTTACCAACACTTATCATCGCGACACCTACCCCGCAATCTCTTCGACGAACCCCTCCCTCAGCCAAGCCGGTAAGACGGTGCTCATCACAGGCGGAGGCAGCGGGATAGGTTTCGAGATCGTGCGGTCTTTCGCAAAAGCTAAGGCTTCCAGAATAATCATCATGGGGCGGAGGATCACCGTCTTGGAAGACGCGGTAGTAAAGCTGCGGGAGGAATTCCAAAACACAGAGTTCATAGCTCAACAGGGTGATATCAGCGACGAGGTTTCCACAACCGCTGTATGGGATCATCTCAACTCAAACAACATCTTTGTCCATGTCCTAGTGCTCAACGCCGCGCACCTCTCCCCCATGGGACCCGATACCCTGAAAATGGAGAGGAAAGACCTCATGGAGGCTTTCAACATCAACGTCTGGGGCAATTTCTCCATGACAGCCAAATTCGTAAACCAGCCGTTACGTCCGGTAGGCGAGAAGCTGAATCTTGTGAACGTGTCAACGGCAGGGATTCAGATGAACCCTGCACCGACTCAGAATCCATACGTTACTTCCAAAGGGACGTTCACTGCGCTTCTCGGAAGGATCGCGGACGAACATCCTGTAGAGGATGTACAGATTATTTCATTTCACCCGGGTGCGCTTTATTCAGAGAGTGGAGCCAAGTATTTCGATAAAGATATCATTGATTGGGATGAAAGTAAGCATCACACTACTATCTTTCCAACGTCCAAAAAAAATAAAACTGATTTCTTCTTCACTATACTTAGTGGCGTTACCAGCAGACTTTGCCGTATGGTCTGCCTCCCCAGAGGCAGCGTGGCTACATGGTCGATTCGTGTGGGCGCATTGGGACGTGGATGAATTGAAATCGGACAAGGAGATTACAAAACGGTTGGAACAGGAATCGGGTTTCTTGAAAGTCGCGGTGCAGGGGTTGACAGAGATCTCTGCGACGTCGTTTTTGAAGAAGAAGTAGGAAGTAGGAAGTGGGAAGAAGGGCTTTGCAAGCATTGCGCGACGCGATCGGGTTGTATGTACTACTTTCCCCATATATTTGCCTTTCCAATCTTCTTCAGCAGCATTTGTATACAACTCGAGCTGGTTCGAGCTGGTTCAAACTCTGTTCAGTAAGTCAATCATAACCGGTACCGTAGAGTGTTAAGTTGAATGCAGGTTGAATGCGAGAAAGTGATAGGTGATGAAGTTATGTAAATCAAAGTTAGATAGAGGGAAGGAATTAACATCCCTTTATGTACTTACATACATAAGTTTGCATCCCAGTCGACCCAATTGAACCCATATTCATCGTCATCGGGTTCAAATACGAGTTCGTCCCCACATCACTTCCAGCACTTGCACCGCTTGCACGGTCGATGAAATCCTGCATATGCATGGTTTTAGTGTTGGTGGTGCTATTAAGATCCCTGCTGAGTAGCACATTGAGCATGTTCATGCCTTATACCCTGCACATCGATCTCAGTGTCGGCGTTGGTGTCAGCGATGGTGGTGGTAGGATAAGGGTTCCCAAATGCATAAGTGAAATCTATCTGGGATTGTCGTGATTGTGATTGTGATTGTGATCGTGATAATGATGATGAGGATGATGAATATGAGGAAGTTTGTTAAAGTTCATAAGCTGGTTACAGACCAATGGAGGAAAGGTTTGGCAAAGCCATTTCCCAGTCTATTCCAAAGGGGGAGGTAGTAACGCAGGGGGTGAGGATGGTTTGGGAGAACATTGTGTGGATTTCTCCAGACTGCCGCTATGGACTGTGCTTCAGTCATGCTGGCTGTCGATATTGGTCTGGGGTGGTCAACTACAACTCCGTCAAAGTGTGCCGAGCCATCGTTGGCGAACGTCGAAGACACCTCTTCCATCACAGCGCAGTGTGTTACCATCCCTTCGTGGGGAAGATCTCCCAGTTCGCTTGGCCCGCCGTCTTGTCCATCGTTTCCTCCTCTGCCACTGTTTCCTCCCTTACCCTCTCTCTCACCTTCTTTTCCTCCCTTATCTCTCAAGCCGCCATCCCATGCGATGTGCATCCCAAAAGTCACTAGAACGACTCAAATACTGAGAAAAAAGGTATGAGACGAATCGACGAGCACGTACTAGGCAAGATGTTGATTTTTGAATGTATGAACACGTAACCTCCAATGGCCTGGTAAATGGCTACAAGATCCTGTTTACTATACTTCCTTTCTACGACATGACAGGCGTTCAGGATCTGTAGAAGAGAGATACCGGTTATAATGCAGCGGAGCTGCCAATGACGCTGGAGAAAACCCCACAAGAATGATTTTGTTGTTGGATGTACGTGGTTGGAACTAGAGTTAAGTGTAAGCTCCCCGGGTTCGGATATGGTGTCGTCTCGGATGTGTAGTCTCTCAGGCTGATTAGTTTCAGATGTAACATGTCGCACCCGCGACGGTTCAGGACTTGTGAAGTCATCCTCCGTAAACAAGACGTTGCCTTTCACTTGAAAGTCTTTCCACCCTTCAAGCGTTTTGAGATTGACACACGGACTGCGTTTTCTGGGGAGATCCTCAACTTGGATGGTGTCCTCGTCCTGACATGGAAGAAAGTACTGGTAGTATGAGACGGTATTGATATCACTTTGCGGTTGCGGTGGTTTCTTCACTGTCCTCCTAAACGTGTCCACGATCTTTTGAAATACTCCCATTCGGATTGAACGAAATCGGAACGGTTGATCTGAGGCAAATGTAATGGTGTTCTGTTGAATATTATACTTTGATTTATATTCAATGACTCACAAGGTCAATGATGAGTGAATGATAGAGAGAGAGAGAGATCTCAAGAGAGATGATTGTGGTACCAGATAAAGAGTCAAAAGTGTAGGGAACTCCTGGCAAGACGCGTCAATGTTTGGAACACGTGGTCGTGCTACCAAACACACTTTCCAAACGCCCTAACGATCAGCACCACAAGTTTCTCCATCCGATTCGATTGTTATGCTCAGAATCAGGACTCTTGTGTTGGTGGTCATTTCCTATCTTTTGAAATGAAAGTAAGTTTCGAGTCGATAAGTTCCAGTAGGTTCTAGTTTGTTCGCGGCCAGACTTCTCTGCGTTAGTTTCCCGGCACACTCGGGTTGGGTAAACATTCAATCACACACTTGTAAGCACTCGGCTAAAGTATGCAGTCTTTATTACTCATCAAAGATCCCTACATAGTAGCTGTAATCGCTGCATGGTATAAGTAAAACGTAGTATTCCCCGAACAAAATCCCCACCATGGCTCTTACCACCCTTACCAGCACTTTCCACCACGACACCTACCCCGCAATCTCCTCATCGAACCCCTCCCTCAGCCAAGCCGGCAAGACGGTGCTCATCACAGGCGGGGGCAGCGGTGTAGGTTTCGAAATCGCACGGTCTTTCGCAAAAGCCACGGCTTCCAGAATAATCATCGTGGGGCGGAGGATCGCTGTCCTGGAAGACGCGGTAGCGAAGCTGCGCGGGGAATTCCCGAATACCGAGTTCATCGCTCGGCAGGGCGATATCAGCGACGAGGCGTCCGCGGGCTCTGCATGGGATCATCTCAACGCACACGATATCCTCGTCCATGTTCTCGTGCTCAACGCCATGCATCTCTATCCCATGGGACCCGATACGCTGAAAATGGAGAGGAAAGACGTCATGGAGGCGTTCAACACCAACGTTGGGGGTAATTTCACTATGACAGCCAAATTCGTAAACCAGCCGTTACGTCCGGTAGGTCAGAGGTTGAATCTCGTGAATATATCGACGGCGGGGATTCAGATGAACCCTGCGCCGAATCAGAACCCGTATGTTACGTCCAAGGCGGCGTTCACTGCGCTGCTTGGGAGGATCGCGGACGAACATCCTGTGGAGGATGTGCAGATTATCTCATTCCACCCGGGGGTGCTGTATTCGGAGACTGTGGCTAAGCATATCGATAAGGATCTTTTTGATTGGGATGAAAGTACGCATCACTCACACTACTATCTTTCCAACGTCCTCAATAAATAAAACCGTTTAATTTTGTTTTATTTTAGTGGCGTTACCAGCAGACTTCGCCGTATGGTCTGCCTCCCCAGAGGCAGCGTGGCTACATGGTCGATTCGTGTGGGCGCATTGGGACGTGGAGGAGTTGAAAGCGGACAAGGTGATCGCGAAACGGTTGAAAGAGGAAACGGGTTACTTGAAAGTCGCGGTGCAGGGGTTGACGGAGATCTCTGAGACGTCGTTTTTGAAGAAGAAGAAGTAGGTAGGGGAAGTAGGAAGTAGTAGGTAGGTAGGTAGGAAGGAAGGGGCTTACTTAGTTTTGGGATCAGTTGTTACTGCTTATTTATCCTCCAAGATCACTCGAACTAGTTCAATCTCCAGCAAGTTAATCATAAGTTTCAACCGGTACCTACTACCGTGGTAGCGTTTTCAATACAAGAAAGTGAAAACTCGGGTGATAGAGTCAACATACATAATTATAATCATGTAGATCAGAATTAGATGTTAGATCAGAGTCAAGTTAGATCAGAGTTACATAGGTAGAGGTGAGGAATAACATAACAGGAATAACATACCATGTGCCTTTTTACAAAGAAGGCTAATAAAACTTTACATAGAAGGCTAGAAAACACAGAAAACACAGATAGAAAGCAGAAGGACGAAATGAAATGATATTCCGAGTCGAGTCGAGTGGGATATAGTTGGTTATGTATATATAACCTACATAGTACATATACATACAGATTGTGTATTATTATTATTATCCATAACTGTTATTTGTTATTGTTATTGATACAAAAGTGAACGAAGAATAAGAGGATGAACCATGCGACGAGACGGGATGAGAGGAGACGAGATGAGAGGAGATGAGAGGAGAGGAGATGAGAGGAGATATGAGATGAGAGGAGATGAGGTGAGAGGAGAGGAGATATGAGAGGAGAGGAGATATGAGATGAGAGGAGACATGAGAGAAATAGAAACAGAAACAGAACATATAAAACACGAGAGGAGAGAGCTAAGGAAACATCGAAAAAACATCGAAAAAAACATTGAAAAAACATAGTAACGCATAACAGAACAAAGCAGATTATTCAAAACACAAATCACAAATCACGAAGAAGACCATCCACCCATACCTCCTATCCCCATCCCTCCTCCTATACCTCCTATACCACCCATCCCACTCATCCCCATTCCTATACCTCCTATACCCATACCCACACCCATCCCCATCCCCATATTCATCCCAGCATTCATCGCAGCCATACCCCCGAACGCAGCTATCGCCGCCATCCCACTTGAACCAATCGACCCGGAAGCGAGAGACCCCATGTTCATCGTCATAGGGTTCAAGTACGGGTTCGTCCCCGCACTTCCGACGCTTCCGTCACTCCCAACACCACTTCCAACGCTTCCAACACCACCCCCAACACCATTTCCGACACTCCCAACGCTTCCGACACCGTTTCCGATACTCCCAACACCCCCAACAGATCCACCCCCCCCAACGCGAGCCCCACCAAGATCCCCGCTGAACAAAGCATTGAGCATGTTCATGTCGATACCTTGGACGTCGATCTCGTTGTGGGCGGTGGCGGTAAGGTCAACGTGGCCGTTAGCGGAGGTGTTGGTGGTGTCAGCAACAGCGGCGGTGGAGGAGGAGGTGGTGGTGTTGGTGGGAACGGTGGAGGTGGTGTTGGTGGAAGAAGAGGTGGAGGTGGAAGAAGAGGTGGAGGAGGAGGGAATGGAGGTGCCGGTGGTAGGATAAGGATTCCCAAACGCATACGTGAACCCTATCTGGTCTCGTTGCGATTGTGCTTGTAACTGTGATTCCGACTGCGACTGTGATGATTCCGACTGCGACTGCGACTCTAACGACAACGATGCTGACGAAGAGGAAGGTCGCCCCCCAAACCCAAAATCATAATACCCCGCCATCGCGTTATTCGAGAACGGGGTGAATCCGTCTGGGAAGCCTTGGGGGATTATTATTGAGGATGAAGCGGAGGATGAGGTAGAGGAGGATGAAGCGGAGGAGGAAGAGGAGGAGTGGGAGGAGGCGGAGGAGGAGGTAGAGGATGAAGATGATGAGGAGGAAGAGAAGGAGGTGGAGGGAAAGAAAGAGGTAGACTCGTCTCTATCAAAGGAGGTAGCCTTGGCTTTCCCTTTTCCTTTCCCTTTCGCACTCTCTCTCACATTCAACGACGCAGGCGTCGCGAATTCCGTGAACCCCCCCGTCGCATTCCTACTTCCACTCGGCGCATTCCGCGGCCTCCGTTTCGGACCGAGCGCAGCTGGTTTCTTGAGCCCCTTTCGGGTGGGTTTGTGGGATGAGGGTACGGATAGGGATACGGATAGGGGGAATTCGTGTGGTGTTGGGGTTGGGGGTGGGGGTGTTGTTGGGGGGGAGGAGGGTGTCGGCGGGGAGGAGGAGGGGGAGTTAGATGACATCGACGAGTCAAACGACGAAGACGAGTCACGCGAGGAAGACAAGGAAGACAAGGAAGCCGACGAGTCAGACCCGGAGGAAAACGAAGCCGACGAAGCCGACAAGGACGAAGACGAAGTAGAAAAACACCCCTCCCCCCTCCCCCCATCCCTCACCAACGCCCAAAACGGGGCCTTCGGCAAGACATAGGTATACGCACACGTCGCGGCGTCGAGTCCCACGCCGAGTTTTTGGAGGATTGATTTGGCTTTGGATGTGGCTGTGGGGGATTTGGGTTTATTTGAGTTTGAGTTTGAGTTTGCGGAAACCGTATCTAGTGGAAAAGGAAAAAAAGAGGGAGGGGAGGGTCAGTTAAAAGCTAGATTTCCCTAATTACAAAACACCCACTTTTCTCCCTCTCAACCACCCCACCCGCAATCGACTCATACGTCGACACCCCCCCCTGGGCTCTAATCGTCCCGCTCTCCACTCTATCGTCGAAACTGCAAAACCACAATCGTTTCATCATGATCGCCTCGTCGATCTCGAGAAGGCGTTTGGATTCGTCGAGGAGGCGGAGTTCTTCCTTTGTTGGGCGTTTGGATTTCTTCTTGGGTTTAGTAGAGGGATGGGTAGAGGGATGGGTAGAGGGATGGGTAGAGGGATGGGTAGAGGGAGTGGTGGAAGTGGGAGGAGGAGGGACTTGGTAGGATGTGGGAGGAGCGAGACGGGTCCATGTTGGGGGAGGGAGGATGGGGCGCACGGTTCCGGTGATAGGGGGGTCGGTGTCGTTGGAGGGGGAGAACGCTGCATTTGTAGGTGGAGGTGTGGGTGCAGTGGTAGGTGTAGAGGACGAAGACGACGACGACGAGGAAGACGCCGCGGCGGGTGCGACGCGATATCGAAATTGAAGATGAGCCGGGGGACGAGTGAACGGAGCTGGGAACAGCGTGTCTGATGTGGAAGACGGGAGTGGGGAATCAAGTGGGTTCGTCGTCGTCGTTGTCGAGATAGGGTGACTATCCTGATTGAAAGAAGCAGGAGCGATAACACTCAAATACTTCTTCCTCTCCTCCCTCATCTCTTCTTCTACCGCTTTTCGTTCTTTCTCTCTCACCATCCTTTCCACGACGTCGATGGGTTCGAGGATGGAGATGCCGTGCCCGGCATTCGTTAATGTCATTCCCATTCGACTTTCGTCGTCGCAATTCTCTGAGATCATCATCATCGACGTCGTCATGGAGGAAGGTACACCGTCGATTTGGATCGGGTCGTCTGGTGTCATACCTTGTCCACTCCCACTCCCACTCACACTCCCAGGGGAGATGGATGAGGAACCTTTGGAATTTATGTTAAACATGTCCAACATTCTTGCTTTTCTTCTCTTCTTCTCCCCACTTGACTGGTCTTGTCCTTGTCCTTGTCCTTGTCCGTCTCCTTGTCCTCCTTGACCTTGACCTTGACCTCCTTGACCTCCCTGACCTTGCCCAACACCAAACGGGACGTCCAACCCCGGCGGCGCGATGGCCCCGGGGGGGCGTTTGGCTGGGAGGGTTATGCCGGATTGACGTGCGGTGCGGCGGTGGTTTTGGAACTGTGCATCAAAAGGAAGGGGAAAAGGAAGGGGTTGGTAAACGTGGATACGATGTGGATAGGATAGGATAGGATGGGATGAGATGGGATTAGATACGACGAGAAAGGAAGGAACGAAACAAAGGTAGATAAGTAAACGTAAGAACTCACCCAAACTTCGATCTGCCGCCGTGTCATACCCGAGCGCTCGGCGATGATCTGGCGGTCTCGAGAGGTGGGGTAGGGGTCGTATTGGAAGTAGGTTTCGAGGATGGGGGTGTATTCCTGTGTGGTGAGTGAGTGAGATGGTTTGTTATGTTATGTTATCTTAGGTAAGGTTGGTTTGGTTGGGTGAGGGAATGAGGAAGGAGGAAGGAAGGAAGGAAGGAAGGAAGGAAGGAAGGAAGGAAGGAAGGAAGAGACGTACGTTGTTGAATGGGACGGGTGCTTCGTATGCTGGGATGGAGGATTGGCGAGGTGGGGGTGGGGGTGTGGTACTCGTAGGGCGTGGGTGTTCTTTGGCAAATTCTTTGACCTTCTCCATAATTGCGGGGAGTCCCTGATTTTCGAAATGATACTGCAGACCGTTTCGAAGCTTCTCTATGACATCCGGTAATAGTGATCGAAGTCGTGGAGCAGGAGTTTGTGCAAGTTTACGCCAGGAACAGTCGAACTGGTTAGCGTAGTCCTGTATCATTTCCTCAAGTCGACAGGCTAGGATTTCACGAGTGCGGAAAGAGTAGAGATGAAGTTCCACGTATTCATGGAAAGTAGCAGGAATGGTAAGTTGTAGAGGGGAAATGTCGATGGCCATCATTGGTTCACTTTGAGTCTCCACAGGACCAAAACGTTTTTCGTGGTTGCTCTTCAGTAAAACATGTGAGGTGGAGATCTGCCGACGTATTTCTTCTAGTTGTTGTTGGACATCCATACTGGATGATGAATAGGCCATGAACGAGCAATGCGAAATCCGTTACGGTAAAAGCAAAATCCAGCGAGCCATTGTTCGTTGTAAAAGGAACAAAATTCTCACGCTGGACAATGGGCGGAGTTTTAATTAATTTCGTCTTTTTAATCCTCCGGCCTCATATTATTCCCTACCTACCACTTCTCATCACCTTTCGATGCAAGCCGACATCGACACTCGACTGTTCTCAACCATCGACGATTTTTTTAGTGGCTTGAATATCTCAGACGTAGACAACGTTCTACTAAATTGGAGAACCATTGACAAAGATGTTGTGGGGAGTCATCACGCGGGTACATTGAGTGCTGACACCAGCGAGCGAGCAATCGGTATCAGCCAATGCATGCAAGCTCTTTGTGATACTTTCATGAATTTGGAACTTCAATCAGATGAGCTCGCACTGGAACTGCGACAAAAATTGGCTGCTGACGCAACAGAACTACGTACACCATCAACCTCCCGCTCACCCTCCCCTTCCCGAGCCACTCGCTCCCCATCACCCTCCTCCTCCCAACTGCCAAGTGGCAACCTCCCATCCTACATCCCCCCCTCCTACACCTGGCTCCTCTCCAACCTGCACAACCCCTACCCCTCCACCACCATCCGCGACACCATCGCCTCCACCACCAACACCCCCCGGCGCCTCATCGACGCCTGGTTCGTCGACGTCCGGCGGCGAATCGGGTGGACCAACCTCATCGAGGGCCGCAGCGGCCTCAAAGGCGGGGGTGCCCTCACCCACGGGAAAGGCACCCCAGGTGTACGAAGACCGCACAAAACCCTCGGCCCACCCCCGAACCCGATAAATAACCTGGTGAACGGGATCACGGAGGTGCCGAAGTATAAGACGCGGAAGGAGCTGGTTGCTGCTGCGACGAGGTTTTTTGTGAAGCCTGTGGTTGATACGAGTGATGTAGGAATGGGGATGGGGTTGGCGTATTCGGCGAACGCGAACCATTTGAGTGCGTCGGAGAATCAGACGTTCACGGTGATGGCGGATACGGCGCGGATGCTTTATCGGGATAAGTTGCATCCGACGGAGTTGGCGGTGGCGGTTACGAGTCGGGTGAAGCAGTGGACGCCCGGGTTGGGCGAGATGGCGAAGGAGGTTAGGGAGGAGGAGAGGAGGAGGAAGAGGAGTAGGGGGGTTAAGAGGGAAGAAGAAGAGGAGGAGGAGGAGGAAGAATATTCGAGTGATGGGAAGAAACGAAAAAGGTAATTATTTCTCTTGCCTCACTCGTACAGTACTGACTGGGTCCTAACACAGATATACCTCACCCTCCGACTCGTCGACCCCTTCATCCTCTGCACCAACCACACCCACCGATGCCACTTTCCCATCCCCAAACTCAAACACAAACCTCAAACGCAAACGCGCTGTATCTTTCGCTGACCCCGCCTCTACTTCCTCCTTCCCCACCGTATCACCATCAACCAAACGACTCCGCTCAGCGCTCAACTCTGCCGGTGTCTCCAGGAGCGTGTCCGATCCTACCCCCATGCCGTTACCCCAACAACAACAACAAGGACAAATACCACCACACCAACACAGACAACAAACACAAACACCACACCAACAACAACAATCACAAATACCAAAACCCCCACCACTAACATTCGACGGGTTCCCTGCACCCGTGTTAGATTCGTGGTTCACATCCCTAACATCCCCCCCGTCCCAGTCCCAGTCCCAGGGTTTCGCAGTAGAAAAAGACTATGGGAATCAATGGCATTGGATCGATCCCCTGTTTTTTGGGTTTCCGGATCCTGTTATCCGCTCTTCGGAGCAGCAGGAGCAGGAGCACGGGGATGCGTCTAACAGGCTTGCGTATTTCAGCGGAAACGCTAATGTGGATGTTACGATACCGGATTTACATTCCGCGTTCCCTGTATTCCCTTCATCGTCGTCGTCCTCCTCGTCCTCGTCGTTGCCCTCGACACCGGCGTTGTCGGCGTCTGGGAGTTTGACTGAGGAGGAATCTGAAGAACGGGATAGTTTGTTCGGGGATGGGGAAGGGGAAGGGGAGGAATGTGCGGTTGGTGTGTTCGCTGGAGGGGATGGGAAAGCATTGACTCCGGGGGATATACTTGGTGGTAACACCAACACAACGAACAACGACACCACGACGACGAACAACAACACCACGACGATCAACAACACCACGACCACGAACGTCGCTGATAATACAAATACATACCCTGATTATCCTCCCACCAACCTCCCCACACTCCCAGACCTCTCTTCCCTCTCCTCTCTGCCTGATCTCACCTCCTTCCCCACATTCCCTACACTCCCCACATCCACATTCCCCACATCCGCATCCGCATTCCCGAACACATCGAACTCGAACACATCCTCGTCGTTTGACACGTTCGATTTTTCGTCGTTCCCTTCACTTCCCGAGTTCAACCTCAACCTCGATTCGGAATTTAATCTTGAGGAAGGGTTCCCGGATTTCCTCGTGGACCCGGGGTTTGGGAGTAATGTGAATGTGGATTTCGGGTTTGGGTCGTTTGGAGGTGGGGATGGAGGTGCAGGGGCTGGGGTTGGTGCAGGGAATGGGGATGTGGATGTGGATGTGGATTCGTTCGTGGCGATGTTGCAAACTCAATCACAAACTCAGTCTCTGCCTCAATCCCAATCCCAAATTCAATCCCAGACTCAAGCTCAGTCCCAGTCCCAGACTCAACCTCAAGTCCCGTGGGCCGGTCCCACACCGACGAGGGAAAGGTTTGGAGCGATAGCGATAGCGCCTCCGGCGAATGCTTGAGATGGGTTTTTATTCATTATGAAATTCCGATCAGCATCAGACTCCTCCGAATTGTTTGTTCGTTTTTTTTACGCTTTTTCTACGTTTTCCGTTTTCCGTTTTACGTTTTGCATCAGCATTGTGCATTGTGCATTGTGCATCATCATTGGCATATATCTTTATATCCCCTCTCTGTTCTTATCTTTGCTCTAATTTGTTTTGGTTCCACGTCGGAGTACTATGCGTTTCCATTTCCATCCTCATCCCTCCTCATCCCTTCCCTCGTCGACAACATCTAACATCTAATATCCAACGTCTCGTTTCGTCGTCGTCGCTCATGCATTCCGAATCATCATATATGGCTTTCTTACTTGCTTGCTTTCATCGTCCATCCTCCTCCTATCATCATCATCAACGTCCATCATCATCATCATCATCATCTCGCGATGTCGTTGATATCTCCTACCTATGCTTTCTCCTACCTATGCTCCTCCTGTTCCTTCCTCAGTCAAATCCACCTCCTCCTCCCCTCCACTCCACTGTTATGGATACTACTATCCACATATTCATGTATGTCCTCCGTCCTCAACTCATCTTAATTTCCTTTTCCCCTTAACTAGTTATACTTATATTTCATTTATACCCCCTCCCCCCTTTCTCGCTTTCCTCGCCTCGCCTCGCCTCGCTTTCCTCGCTTACCTCGCTTTCCTCGCTTACCTCGCTTTCCTCGCTTACCTCGCTTCCTCTGTTCCTCATCGATCATAGATCCCATGCATAATGCATAACGCATTGTTTTGTTTTGTTATCGCCTCACATTGTTCATACTAGATATAATGTAATGTAATGTAATCAAACCAAATACTTCTTTCTGTATACCACGATGAATGTATATACATCATACATAACATACGCAATGGAATCACACACACAATGGAATCACACACACAATGGAATCACACACACAATCGAATCAATCGAATCAATGGAAGTATAACTTTTTGCTTGTTTTTGGCTTTGGCTTTGGTTTCGGGTGTGGCTGCTTAGGGGTTAGTTAGGTTTTGGCTTTGGCTTTAGCTTTAGCTTTGGTTACACTGTACAGATTTTGCTGCTGGTTTAACGTTATTTTCAAAATCGGGTTAAGGTGAGCACTTTTGGTGAAAATTGGAAGTGCCAGTGGGGGTTGGTTCAGAATATACATACTATACTCATGATTCAACTATTACTCATGATTCATCATGATACTTTGAAGAAGAAGAAGATAGTATGTATGTAGTTGTAGGATCTGCATGCCGCGTTTCCCAGTGTATCCCCTTCGTCGTTGTCGTCGTCACACAACACCTCCTCCTCGTTGCCTTCGACACCGGCGTTGTCGGCGTCCGGGAGTTTGACTGAGGAGGAAGGTGAGTATGATGAAGGGGAGGGGGATAGTTTGTTCGGGGATGGAAAGGATGAGGAACGTGCAGTGCGGTTGGTGTGGTTGTGTTCGCTGGAGGGAATGGGAAATCACCGACTCCGAGTCCGGGGGATATAGATATACTTGATGGCAACAACACCAACACCACGACGCGACGACGAACGTCGCTGATAACACATTCCCCGAATTTCCTCCTCAGGGATGTCATACGCCAGGTCTAGGTCATTATCAAGTTCCTCTTTGTTCTCTGGTCTTGTAGTGGTCTTTTTCGCATCAGGTTCAGCAAGATTTATTATCTTTTATATCCCCCCTCTCACCATATCTCTGTTTGTTCTACTTAACTCTACTCTGCGCTGTTTCATTTCAACATTCAGAATCATACTATCCATTTCCATTTCCATCCCATCACAAATCATCATCGATAATCATCCAGCGTCTACCACTCCGTTGGCGTCTATTGTAGTGATCCAAGAGATGAGGAAATTCAGATCATACGCGAAGCGCCGGCGCATTCCCTTTCCCCTGGATCTACAGTGATCCTTGCAATTGGAGTCCTTAATACAAAACATCAAGTTTTGTTTGCAACTCTTTCTTATGTCACAATGTCTCAAATTTAAATATCTAGAATCAAATTATAGCATGTTATGATGATCACTTAAGCTCACTATAATCAATGCTCAAGGACAAATTTTGATTACAGCGTATTTGGAAAATGATGACAGACATGATATTATTTTCTGCTCAGTAAAACAAGTTTACAGTAAGTGCATCAAGGACTCCAAGATCACTGTATTCTTCGAAGGACGCCTTGTACATCACTCCATCGATAAGGCTCCCTTTACTGAATTGCACTTCTCGGCGCCTGGGCGCATCAATAACAGCACGTTTGTATACGATGCACATTGCACAACATAAACAACAGGCTGGATCAGCTGGATTAAAGAAGATCAATACGTTAATGCAGGAGAAATTAGTCCAACCTAATAAGGATGTATGTAGTTTTGAACCACCTATGAATACCAACCGAATAATACCAGGGCAAACGGTCCTTGTCAACTGACAATCACCACCATCTTCTCTTCTTGGCTCCTCCCGATCAATTACACCAGTAGATAGCAGCTATATTGGTATGTCTTCACAAGCTATGTTTCTCTTTTTGAACAAACCAAAATTCATCAAGCTATGTTTCAGGACTCGTTCATGAATCCCGCGAAACCAGGCTATGCAGCTAAATTCTTCGCTGATTCTCCTAATGTTATCAGTTGAAAAAAAACAGTGTATAAACAAACTCCATTTTTACAGTAACATTCGGATGAGGTGGTTGGACATTGAGAATGATGAGATAATCAGAGTAATGAGCAGACGGAGGGACAAGCCGGGCCAAGAAGGAAGCCATGTTGTGGTATTTTGCGGTATGGAACGAAAACTGCGTCAATCGATGGAGGCGAGAAACATGCGATTGTAGGCCACTGCACTACCGTGCATGGCAAAAACTCGGCTCCTTCCTTGTGGGTTATTAAATATCAATTAAATATTATGGAATCAAAAAAACGGGGGCGCCTTTCAGGCGCCGACATTGATTCTTTGAGAAAAGCAGAATAAAAGTAAATTTACTTATCTACATATGGAGTAACAGGGAATAACCGAATGAGACGAGAAAAAGTAATTGTGACAGAGGGTGACAGTCCCGTGATATCCCGTGCCGGTCACAAGAAATCAATACAATTCAACTCAGTGTTACATTTGGCCAAATAAGGTGAAACTACTACCATAAAAGGAAATCAAAATTGTATGCAGCGGCGTATATAAGGACGATACTTCCGTAAACTACAGCCTCGTAACCTAGCCAAGCCTCACTGCATCTTGCTTATTTCCCACCCACCTTTCCATATAAATACTTGGTTCTACTGTCCCAGTTCATCCAAACTGGGACAGTAGAACCAAGTTGTTCACTAGTATCATACTATGAAATTCTCCATCTCCGAAACCTTCATGCAAATCTTCACCAATATCCCGATCACTTCGAGTCCAACTTTTTGGACATTATTGTCCTTCTTCACCACCGTGATCATTCTGCGCACCTGCTTTCCTCATGCCACGGTGACGCTCAACGGGCTTCAGCATCGTATTGATGCGGTTCAGAAGGTGATAGTGGAATATAGAGATATTGGACTCACAGCAAATGATGTGATCTCTGCATTTAATGACGACCAATCTTCGAGTCGGTATGTGCTTGTTCCACCTTTTTTAAACTTGGTCACTCATGTGTGACTAGGCGGCATGCTGCTCTTGAATTCGAAAAACGCTTGCGTCGGTGAGCCCCCTTTGCCGAGACAAATTGTTAAGCCTGATGTACGACTACATAGAATAAATCGAGATGCTCACAAGATTTTTTTGGAAGATGACAACACGCCCTGGACCCGATACCTATCTTTGCGACGCGTCAAATTTATCTCTTCATTGAGCAAGAAATTACACACTTTGGAAAAGGACATTAAGGCGCGTACTATTTCAGCCTTACCATAAATTTGATTGACCTACTCTCATCGGCTTGTTCAGTATGCTCATACTATAGACTTGGGGAATCGCAACAACCAGGCCCTGGAGTTGATAATACGTATTCATCCCGACACTACATCAGTGGGAGAACTTGAAGTTTAGAAACTTTGTGGCATGGACGACCCATAGTATTTCATGACTCACCTTTGTATACCCTTAATAGTTTGTCCGTACAGCATAATTTCATCAAGGTACCCTCTTGGTCTGTCCCCTCCCGGTCAAAACACTATCGCGGAAGGTCGATTTGATACAGAGAAACTGTTTTGGTGCTAAACGACAGAAACTTTTGTTCGCTGTGAATTTCACCTACGACACACCTTATTACAATTCCTCTCCTTGTAACTTACATAAAGTTTTCGCAGACATCTGCAAGCATCTGCGAATGCTCTTAAACAAGCAATCTTTGAGTAACAACAAAGGCAGGGCAACACAGAAGCGGCTAAAGAAATGGCCTTTGATTTTTTCGGATGAGGTAGACGAAGGGAAAGACGGTGGCGATAAGAGTTCCCCTCGCTGTTAGCAAGTACTGGAATGTTGCTTGTCATGGCCGCTGGAAATTTTTGTGCAAACGATGGAGATAATGAAAAGTTTCAATCGAGGCAATGGACCGTGGCTTCCACGAGCACCATTTCACTCCCACTTGCCAATTTTCATCGACGTGGCCACCGCTTTACCGAATCTTCTACAGCTATCCTGTCTTGGATACCGAGCCAAGCTTCCGGCTCCAACCTCTGTCTCCGCTTCCGGGACCGAGATTGGGATGGGGTTGGCGTATTCGGCAAACGCGAATCATCTGAGTGCGTTGGAGAATCAGACGTTCACGGGGATAGCGTATACTGGGAAGATGCTTTATCAGGATTAATTGCATCCGACGGAGTTGGCGGTGGCTGTTACGAGTCGGGTCGGAGGTTAGGGAAGAGGAGAAGAGGAGGAAGAAGAGTAAAGGGGTCAAGAGAGAGAAAGAAGAGGAGGAGGAGGAAGGGGAGTATACGAGTGATGGTAAGAAATGAAAAGAAAGGTATTGATTTCTTGTGTCGCACGTTATTAGTACTGACTGGGTTCAATCACAGATTCATCTCACCCTCCGAATTATTAACCCCTTCAAAGCTTCATTCTCTGCACCAGCCACACCCACCGATGCCACTTTCCCATCTCCAAACCCCAACTTGAACAAACGCAAGCGCGCTGTATCTTTCGCTGACCCTTCCTCCTCCCACTTCTCCTCCCCCGCCGTATCCCCATCAACCAAACAACTCCGAACAGCGCTCAACTCTGTTGCGGTTTCAAGGAGCATGTCCGATGCTGGCTCAACCATCACATTGAGGATATGGTGGCTCTACACCAAGCGGCAGAGCTCTTCTGCAACTTACAGTAGAGAGTGGAGAGGGTTTCGGGTAGGGCTGGGCCCGCGCGGGTAGGCAACACTGATCAGCGGGAAAGCCCAGAGCTATCAGCTACGGCGCCGGAGCTGTGAGGAGCGGGTGGGTGTGGTAGGTGCGACGAAAAATCTAGTTCCAATATGATAGTCGGGAACAGGAAGGATGAACTTAGAACGTTCATCGGCCCGCTCTCATCGCCTCTACTTTATCCTATGATAAGATAGCTCTTGATCTTATCTGGTTTATCCTATATATCCCAGGGTTTCGCACCGGAAATATCCGCTGGTTTCCGGATCCTGTTATACGTTCCTCCGATGCGTCTTCTTCTCTGTATTCCTTTTGTCGTCGTCGTCCTCCTCCTCCTCGTTGCCTTCGACACCGGCGTTGTCGGCATCTGGGAGTTTGACTAAGGAGGAATGTGAAGAAGAGGATAGTTTGTTTGGGGATGGGGAGGATGAGGAGCGTGCGGTTAGTATGTTCACTGAAGGCGATGGTGAATCACCGACTCCAGGGGATATACTTGATGGCAACCTACGGCAACACCACCACCACCACCACCAACGTCGCTGATAACATCTTTACTCTAATCTGTTTCTGTTCCATGTCGGAGTACTATGCATTTCCATCCCTCTCGTCTCGTCTCGTCGTCGCCCATGCATTCCGTTCAATCACATATGACTTTTGTACTTGCTTTCATTGTTTATCCTTTATCCTTCTGCTATTGTCGATGTCGACAATGTCTCCTACTATGCTGCTTCTACTTATGCCTCTCCTACCTCATCATCATCCTTGATTGATTGATCAATCCTCCGTCCTCTCCTCCACTGTTTTGGATACTATTATCCAAATATGTTTGTCTTACTCGCTCTTCTCATCTCTTTTTTTCTGCAAAGTTATGCTTATATTTCATTTATACCCCCTCTCCTTTCTCCTCTCTCTTCCTTCCTGGTTTCCTTGCTTACCTCACTTCCTCTGTTCCTCATTGCTTCCTTGTGGATCATCCTCATGCATAATCATAATGCATAATGCATTGTTTTGTTTTGTTATTGCCTCACATCGTCTTACCATATATACATACTGTAATCATACCAAATACTTCTTTTTGTATACTACGATGACTGTATGTGTATACATACATAACATACGCAATGGAATAACAATGGAATCAAAGGAAATATTTTTGTCTTTGGCTTTGGCTTTGGTTTCGGGTGCTCAGGGGTTAGTTAGGTTTTGGCTTTGGCTTTGGTTACACTGTACAGATTTGGCTGCTGGTCTTTTGGTTCTCCCAAGTGTAAGTGTTCCGACAGGTCAGAATTGAGTTAAGTTGAGGTGTGACTTTTTGAAGTGTGGGTGTTCAGAATATACATACTCATCATGATACCTTGAAGAAGATATGTAGTTGTAGAATCCGTACTTGGAAGTACAAACCGTGTCGGAACTGGAAACTTGAATGTAGGTGAGTACGGTACCAGAAGACCATGCATGGTCCATACTCATCATCTGAATGAGGGAGAGCGGAGGAGTTGGTTATAGGATGGTGATGGATGGATGATAGTACTACTACAAGGATAATGATCATGCGCCTCTTAAGTTTCTTAACCAACCTCCAAAGAACCTATAGAACAAAAAAAGGGAGGTACACCTTCATATAGCCCACCGCGAGGGTCGAACTCGCAGCCTTCAGATACCCGACAACACAAACAACCAGAAAAGTAAGAGTCTGACGCTCTATCCGATTGAGCTAGGCGGGCTGTAAATTCTCGTCACCGACTCCCTACCTCTCATCTCCTCTCCCCCCCCCTTCTCAAAGTACGCCTCCACCTTCTCGTCCAGTAATCCCAGTATCCAGGGCGATGTATGTTCATGTTCTGACTTCTCCGGCTCCTCGGCTCTTCGGCACATTTCTCGGCGGCTGGGCGCATCAATGACATCACGTTTGTCCCTATGGAAAAAGGCAAAAGCGATGCACAGCACAAACGACAGGCTGGATTGACAAGCGGACTCACGGTTTTCATTCCAACTGACAACCACCACCATCTTCTCTTCCCTGTTTCTTCCTGAGATCGATTACACCAGTAGATAACAGCTATGGTGTGTCTTCCTAACTAATCCTGGATGAACAAACCAAACTCATTGAATTATGATTTAGGACTCGTTCATGAATCTCGCGAAACAAGGTTACGCAGCTTATGAAGCTTCTCAATGTTCGTGATCTCCTGAACTATATATTCTTCAGTTTTGCCTTGCTAATTCTTTTAATCTAATCCATCCAGCCGACGTCTCGAAGACCGGAGGATCTGAATACAATTCTCCTGATAATCGTCCTCAGGGTGTTAGTCGTCCAAGCTGTGAGTGGATTATTACTTCCTCGTTGTATAATATGTTCTTCTTCTTATCATTAATCATCGATCGATGGACAACTTCTCCTTCCCGGTTCTCATATCCCACTTACTACCCCACGCATGCACACATAACAAGTCAACCACGACGAAGTCGTCCAAACCGCTGAACAGCACGGATCTGGTGACTCGGGGATGTTCTCTCATGCGATGAACTATGTGAAGAGTAACACGGTGAGTGTTTGCAAGTTTCTTTTCGTCAGGGCACCACGGGTAGTAGTAGTAGTAGTAGTCGTATCCTTGATCTTGATCTGTGGATATGTGTATGATTCTAACGATCCCCTCGTCTCATTAGCAAGAACACGAAGAACCCATCGATGAGGAACACGTTACGAATTCCCATCAAGAAGCGTATGAGAGGGGTAATGCTGGCTCCTTGAGTGCTGGATCCATGGGAAGCGCTGCTGCGCTCCAGGTACGTCTTTCTCTACTCCTGCAAGAAACTTTCCTTATCCTGATCGCCAATCGCATCAACCACTACAGATCTTCAAACAGTTTACCTCCGGCAGCGGAGGTGGAGGGTCCAAGAGCGAGCTGATCAGCATGGCGATGGCGGAAGCTTCGAAGCTTTTCGATCAATCCGGGGGCGCGGCTTCGGGTTCGAAACAGGATGCAGTGAATGGGGCTGGGATGATGGTTATGAAGATGCTTGTTCAGAGTAAGATGAGTTCGATGATGGGCGGAGGGAATTCTGGTGGGCTTGGTGGGATGAGTGGGATGCTTGGTTTGGTGAGTGTTTGTGGTTGGCGTGATGATTGATGATGATTCTATCTGACAATGACTTCTAGGCGTCCAAATTCATGTAATCTATCTATCCAAATTCCATGAACTTGGGAGTTGGAATTGGAGTTGGAGTTGGGGACAATGTATGATTTAAACATATATCAAAGACAAATGAACAAGTCAACTGTACGTTTCTTAAATCGCTGTTGAGACTACTTGTAACTTAGGACTACTTGTGGTTCTCAAACTATTGCTTGAATACCCGAAAATATCTTTACGATTCGATGCGAGTGTCGAACGAGGTTCTTGACGAATAAGTGGCACAAGTCCTGTGCTGTGTTTCACCGGAATCTGGAAGCTGATACGTCTACCAGCCGGTTAGTCACAGGAGAAGAGGCACCCAGCTTCATGCGCAAGAACGGTCACGCAGGGTATCCCGCTCTGAAGCTTCAAAACACGGGATACGTACACACATTAAGATTTTTGAGCGGGTACTACAGCAGCTGTTTGGTTTAGCGCGAACAGAGTGCCCGAAGGGATGGATGATCTACAACGTGAAGTATACCTACCTGGCCCGGCGTTGGCTTTAGCTTCAGCACCACCATACAAGCCTGTCGGGACAATCTATGTACACCAAGCTAAATCTACAGGAATGTGCATCTGACTCGGACGGAGTACATACATACTTAAAGCGATATTTTGTGGTGAGCAACACCCTGCAACACCCTCCACCATTCATGTGCACGATGCCTGACCCCACCCCACTGTTTACTTCCCCAGATATATGTGCAATACAATCATTCGAAAGACACCGAGTCCCATTTACTCTAAATTTATGTAAAATGGAGCTCAATATCTTCGGCAAACATCTAATAAATGCTCCTCTTGGTCGTCAATATCGTCATGAAGGCTCCGATCCCCCCACTTTCGATGTCATAGATGATGTTTTCTGCAGCGCCTGCACCACACTGTCGCATCATCGTCTTGCGGGGCTCGTCATGTATTCTTATTATTCAACTGGATTTACGTTTCCGTTCGTAAAAAGGGTATAAAAGCAGATGTGTTTTCGGGGTATATCCCCCATCTCAAGTCTTCACAGCACCAACACACCCCACACAGCGCATTTAACAAAACCCAACCAATTATGTCTTCGAACAGAAACCACACCCAAACCTACGAGGTATGTTCCTTCGTCGATTCTTTCTCCTTACCATAAATACCGATTGCACTCTGTGTCGTTTCGTTCTGGTAGGCCGGTGACCACGTCCAGTACCAAGCCATAGGCGGGGGCAAAGGCACGACTTCCACCACCGAGGGAGAGATTCAGGAAGTTATCACCCATAAACGACCCGCTGGTGATACTGGTGTTAAAGTTAATGTACGTTGTATCTATCTCTCTATCTATCTTTTGTGTCTCCTAACAGTTTTTGTTCACCTACATCGATCCAGGCTACCCCCGAAGATCCTCGCTACGTGATCCGCAATGATAATGCAAGTGCTCCTCTGTATTCTCTGGGGGGAATTATAGACGCTGACTTGGGATCGTTCTTTTCTTTTAGACTGGCAAGGAGACTGCATACAAGGAACAGAATATTGACGGTGTCACGGAGTAAATGATTGGGTGAACACTCAGGTCATAGAGATGAATCGCACGAGAAGTCACAATCATGAACGATGTGGCATGGCATCATTGTAAAAATTAGTAGCCAAGAGTTGGGCCCAACTCGATAATTGTAAACAAGGTAAAGCTTTTGGAACTACATAGTATCCTCAGGCTGAAATGCAGCGAATATTATACTTTGCGATGGGTGATATTATGATTATTCTGGTGAAATCACTTGAATCATGTTCAAGTTTGGCAGGTTAGCAAAAGAGTTGTGGATTGCGACCAAGGAGTCAAGATGCGTATATGTCAAGGTGCGTATATGCACCGAAGAGCCCTGTGCGCATATACGAACTTGACCCCTCATCCTACGTAGTATGCCATGTATCTTGCAAATTTGTGTATTTACTGTACTTATCTCTAGCTTGGTCGAAACCCAAAGTTATGGCATGGAAGCCCGCCTCAACTTCGATACCTGCAAGCCCCACCGAACCTGTTCTCTCCGACTCATCTGTTCTGAAATCTGTAATCATAGAAGCAAAGCGTAGAAACATGGTCAGACACCCGTGACGACATTGAATAGCCAACCATACGCCTGCCCACAAGTCGACCCGCAGCGATATCAAGGACAGGCAAGGGAATATCGGGAGATGTAAATATGCTCACATGGATCTCCGTCCTCAACCTCCTCAGATCACAATAACATTCTGCGATCCTCCGGATTCTCCGTATGTGGTATATGCAATTCAGGAACAGTCTTCGTATGGGTGTTGGTATGGATGTCGGTATGAACGTTGGTAGGGATAACGGTACAGTGGATGTCGGTATGAACATCGGTATAGATAATGTCGGAAGTGATTCAGATGTTGGTGGAGTTTGTTCCGGATAAAGTTGTACAGATTTTTCCTGAAGAGTCGAGGGATCCTGAAGGTGGATATCATGTAGGTTATGCGTTTCGAGGGAGAGATCGAGGATCGTTTCTTGGATACTACCACATGAGTAGAAGAAAAACAGGAGAGTAGGGAAAGATCACGACAAGACATCAATGCTCTTATTCATCTTTCGATGAGATGTTGCATACTCACCGCATCATTCGTTCTTCGTACTCCATCATCACTTCCCATTGTTGCATCACGTCGAAATAGCCAAAGTTCTTGCGCGCGACTTCACCTGTAACTACGGCCGAAGATGTCCTCGTTGTACCCATCATCATCGACGTCTTAAAACTCCCCAGGACCTCATCTACCTCCTCCGCCCTCTCGCATAACTCCCGCATCGTTATGCACACTCGGGGCCAAGGCGCGTGCCAATCATGGTGATGATGGTAATAAGCATCATGATCCAGATCGTTATGATACGTCGATTCCGAAGATCCAGACAAAGTACCCGTACAATAGAACCTCCAGGCACGGCGGACACATAGTGTGAACACCAGTGTAGCGACGAGGAAGGAAGTGGTAGGGGACCAGGATAGTAGGGGTGTTGATCCCGATTCTTGTTGAGAAGTAAGGGTTTGTTCAGTTAGCTGGGTGAGGATAGAAGGGAGAGAGAGGTCGGAGAGTTCTTCGGATGAAGACATTTGTGAGTGCGATGCAGTGGGATACCCAGAGTACGCGATTTAGAATCTCGTATTTAACGGTACGCGAATAAAAAAGGGAGAGAGAGAGAGAGAGAAAGAATTCGAAGTCTACCTCTGTGAGCTTATATAGCCACTCGTCACTTTGGAACGCACGAATACAAATACCACTGCTCTTTGCTTGGTTCTGGGTTGAAGCTGAAAATTCGAATTATGAATGGATAATACAGCAATGACGCTTATAAGGGATTACCTCTTACCACCTTGTGACTTGCCGTTCTCTTCGTATTTTGCGTGGCATTAGCTATGGCATCTATCAGCCGAAACATTCAGGGAAAAGACCAAGAAAAAACCAAGAAAACACAGTCACGTACAGCAGGACAGAAGGGATATGAAGATGTAGATGATATTGGTATAATGCATATGTTATTGTTATAGGTAACCGAATTGCTGAGTTATATTTGCTGGAGGGCTTGATACTGCTTGATATCATACGTAGACTCCCCAACAGCCGAAGTGGCTCGCTACGATTTGATCAAAGGTCTTGATATCATGATACGTAGGCCCTTGACCTCCCTTGACTCTTTCTGACTCTTTGATAGGTTTTTTTGGCGGGTTCGGAAACTCGATATATGCCGGCGCATGATTTCTATATTACACACATACACAGAAACAAGGAGCCACTACACGGATCGGCTCTCCGCGCCTTAGTACCTACCTTACTTACATGGTCAGAATAAGAGAATTCAAAAAAGCATTAAAGGCATTACTTCAGTGTATACAGGAATGCGCAGTGGAATGCCTAGCTGCTTGGCTTTTTCTGCCGGATATTTGTAAGGCAACGAATAACAGCGAATGAGATGATGGCCGATTTCGGACTTGGGGGCTTTGAGGCGTTTATACTATTCGTTCGTTCGTAATTGTCGGCGTCAGCGCCAAGACCTCTTCGGAAAGCTGGAAAATCTGATAGGATGCAGATTGGTGGTGATAAAACGATGAGAATCAAGGGGTTTGTGGACATATGTAGATCGCAGCTGATGACAGGTTGTCAAGTATCTCAAGGACCTTGGTTTGGGCTGTCTTTTCGGGATTCCGACAGGGCTTGCTTGGAGTTTCCAAGAGGAATTGACTGACCACCATAAGCCGAAAACCCGATAACTAAATTGAATCACAGACTGACTATCAGTATGTCCAGCTTCGCGCTACTACATAGCTCATTGCGATCGCCAAGCTTATTCGTGACTGAGTCGGAGTGAGTATCTCTTGGAGCCTGAAGCTTGGCTCGATATCCGAGACAGGATAGCTGTAAGGGATTCGGTATAGCGGTGGCCACGGTCGAGGAAAATTGGTTAGTGGGAGTAAAATAGAGTAAAATAGGCGCTCGTAGAATTCACGGTTCTGTTCAAGGCCTCGATTAAAACTTTTCATCCATGGTTTACACGAAGATTGTTAGCGGCCATCACAAGCAACGCTCAAGTACTTGCGAACCATGAGAGGAGCTAGCAGAAATCCGAAGTATTTATCCAGTGTACTAGGTGGAACTCTTACAGGATGTTATCTCTCCAGTTAGTCCGATGTCTGTCTTGGAACGCCGAGCCAAGCCTGTAACGAGAGATACTCTGCCACGAATCCAACAATCGACGTCACTGTGGCACTCTCAATCAAAATGCTTAGGTGGCTTAGGTAGAACGTAGGCAGCCACACTGAGCCTCGAACAAACGTCCGTAACTAGGTCTAACTAGGTTTGACCTCCCACGTCCGTCCACACATAGTACTCAAGCTAGTCATCCTTCGGATATGGCCAGCCACGACCGATGTCTAGGAAATCGATTGCCTTTGATATTTTTGCCTTTGATCTCAGTGAGGAAGACAATCGTGAAGTTCAAGTCCATTATTCAAAGTTCTCGCTCTTTCCTAAATTGGAAGTATACTCCCTGTTTCTCCCGTCGTTCTGCTCCAACATCAGCGCATCAGCAAAAGGCACCAGACTGGACCCACATATGACCTCGACTTTCAACGTTAAACGTCAAACATAACTTTCGTCCGCAACTCGTTCCTCGACTGCCATACTCGCGACGACCTCCTCATCTCCCGGACCGATTCTGAAAATCTGATGTTTGACCCCCCCCACTTGCTCAAGTGTGATTCCCGCGTCTGTATCCTCCTTACCCGCTAACAACAACTCAATTCCTTCCTGGACAAAACTATCACGCGCACGGCGCGGCGGATAGCGAAGAAGAAAACAATCCCATAACACTGAACAAGTGCTAGGAGAGCACAGTGTACCCGCCGACTTTCAAGCCTTTCATTAATCATTCCTTATTATCAATTGACATATCCCATGCTTGAATTTAGCGGTACTCAAGCTACGAGTCCAGAGGACAGTGCCGTTTTTGATTTATCGCTCGTTCTACTTGAAACCTACTTATTGAAATATGGTACTGAGGAGCATTGGGCTACTACATACTACATACCCCACGCTGTATGCGAATGTTCCCTGATATGTACTGAAATAATGATGAATCAAAGCGCGCAAACCCCAAATAGTCCGACGCGTCTCGACCAATGTGAAACGGAGCTTTTCAACTTGAACAACTTGAAGAGTTCGAATACTCCGACCACGCAGGCCTGCAATTTCTACAAATATCTTTTATGAGAGGTCAAAGACCAGGTCAAAGCGAGGGACAATGTCAAACTTTACCAAATTGGAACTGAAGAACAATGGATCGCGCTTTGTCGTCAACATGTGATCGTTGCATGACATCCATTTAAGCGCGTCTCCTCATTGTCCAAGCAAATTTCAATCTTAAATTTGCTCCTACACCACCTGGAATACCACCCACCGAATCATGGAACCGTTGTCAGCAAATGATATTACAGCCCCAGCTCCCCTTCCTCAGACACCCAAACCGAAGCAGGATCATGGCCCGCCTGTTGTCGAGAGCACTCCAATGAGTCGAAGATGTACTACACACGCCGAAGACGAGGTTCCCAAGCGTGCAGATGTTGTAAATAAGTTCCTCGAAGATGATATCAGCGACCGTCTCGAAGTTTCTCTCGATGACTTCGCGACCTTGATCCTTGATCTTCCTGCTGACTGGCAGATTAGGGACGACTTCACCCTGTTGCCGGATAGCGAAGCTGTGAAAGATGCGTTTGCAGCGTATCTGAAAGTAGCAATAGGAGAGGTAGATGGTGGAGACCAGAAGCGGAAAGGCATGGCTGGGCATGAAAGCGGGTTGTACCAACCCCTGGCGAATCTCTTGAATTCATTGAGAGATGGAGAGGGACGACGTGTAGGAAAGGACATCGACGAAAAGATTTTCTACGTTCAGGATCCCCGACCGGTATTGGGCTCATTGATAGCGAGGAAACCAGACCTGGGAGGAATCTACATTGAGCTACTGAAACTTACCAAGAACAAAAAACTCTCGGATCACCTTGCAAAGAAGAAAATTGTTGGCGTTTTTTGGGGACTCTTGCTTTATTTTATCGAGGTCAAGCACGAACAGGGGAGATTTGTCGGTCTGAATGTGAATAAAGAAGGTATATTAACTGAACTTTTTCTGCCCTATACATTTGGCTCACCTTAACACTTTTTGCAGAGGCAAAAACACCGACGAATGGATCATCAAGGTCGGGAGTATCCAAGCAGCATGGATCAAGACAGACTTCGCAAACAGCAGGACCTTCGACTTTGCCTATTCCGCAATCAGGCCCCTCGCAGTCGCAGTCAATCAAACGCGCTAGGCCGTATGAAGGACCTGATGCTACCAGTATGTGCTAACGTCTGATTTCGTAGAGATTTGAAATTTACTTGCGTCTTTAATTCCAGTGGCCCGGCCGAACAAGAAGGTCAAATCCCACTCGACCTCTCAGTCCAACACTCGAGCTTTGAGACAGCCCGCGAGAAGATCGAAAAGGGCAGGTAAGCCAATATGCCACCTTTGAATTTGTCTTGATACTGAACCAAAACGTTCAGGTCCTTCATCCCGCAGTCAGTCAGATACGTTGCCCTCCATAGCGTATTTGGTATCACAATCTACCGCCTCTGTTCCGGCATCTACTCCCCTCAATTCTACATCCACCAGCTTCGGAGACGAACATCGACCGGGGGTTACCATTCAGAATCAGGGTGGCAAGAAGAAGACCGTAGAGATTCTGACGTCGCAGGACTACCAGGAAAGGGCGGAGGCCGAAAGGAAAGCAGAAAAGGTGTTGACTCCGACGCAGGGACAGCATTTAACAAGAATTCAGTGCGCGAGCTACGCCAAAGAAATGCTTTCGAAAGGATTTATTCGAAGTCATGCTGTGGGGATCACGGCTGACGATACTAGCTTGCGTTTCCAGTACTATGACCGTTCAAAGGTTGTCGAGAGCAAAGTAAGTGTTTTTTCGGTCGTGGTAGTGGCTAAATAATATGCGTGCATCACCGGGCCGGCTCACGTCTTACACGTTTTTTCTGTTTTTCTCACCATCACCTCTTGACTGTTTACTTTGATCTAAGTACTGATCGACACGCTCTTTTCCCTCTTTCCTTCAGCCCTTCAACATCGTGAACGACGAGGTGAAGAAGCTCTTCATGGCTATGGTCTGCCAACTCAACAAACTTTCCACGGAGAATCTTGGATTCATTCCCAACTTGGACCTCGATGGTTTTGATCACCTACGGAATCCAAAGCAGTTGAAGCTTCCACACAAGAATGGAATAGATCCGTTGGTCGGTTCTACCTATGCCTTCACGGGGAGCGATGGTAGGAGGCGAAGAGTCAAAATCACGAAAGTCCTCTACCGCGCTGAAGGCATCATTGGTCGATGCTCGATCGTTGTTGAGGTGGAGTGCCTTTGTACGGAAGCTGGTTGCGACTGGCATGAGGAGGGGCAGGCGACAACGAAGGTCATGAAGATCAGCTTCCCAAGCATGACTCGGCCTTCTGAAGACGGCCTTATTGGGGAGGCTAGGTCGAAAGCAGAATCGTCTGGCGATCTTTGGGCTCTCAACCATCTTCCGGAAGTTATCGACTCCATCACATATCCATACCACGAAGAAACCACCGTTCAGGGCCGTTTGAAGAAACATCTCAAAGATGATTATGAGGAACGAGTAATGCGCGTTACGTTTTCGGACAAGCTACAACCACTTTCAGACTTGGAAGACCCGAGAGAGTTCGCGCAAGTATTTTACGATATTCTACAAAGTACGCCACTGGTTGAATCATTATATTTACCCTTGTTCACTATTGTTCTCGTACTCCCCTAGTTCACCAGTGGCTTTACGAACGTGTTGGAATTCTTCATCGCGATCTCAGCTCCGGAAACATTATGTACAGGCGCAAGAATGGAAAAGTCTATGGTGTTCTGAACGATTTCGACCTTTCATCTCGCGTACGAGATATGGACAAGGGCCCAACGTCGAAACAACGCACCGGTACCCGACCGTTCATGTCTCTCGATCTGCTAAACCCCGTTTGGGTGGGTGGTCACCTTTATCGTCACGATTTGGAGTCTCTATTCTACATCATGCTTTGCCTTGCCTGTCGCTACGAGGCGCCTGGCGTAGCCTCACCTGACCCACGACCCTATTCGGAGTGGTTCAGTGGGACAGATGCACAGATCTTGAACAGCAAATCTAATTTCTTTCTTAACGCTCTTGGTGAAGACCTACCGGTTCAAACTTATTTCTCCGGCTTCGAGCAAGGGTTATCGGACATTTTCGAAGAAATACGTTCTGGTTATACGCTACGACCACGAATTCATTCGAAAAAATCGGGGAAAGGCTCAGAAGTTCGGAACCGAAATACTTCCCGAGACGCAAACTATGAATGGACAACATTGGATATGCACGTCTCCTACGCTATGATGCGCTCAATGATGTCCTCTTTCGAGGGGAAACCTCTCGAAACTCGGTGGGTCGGAAACCCAGATCATTGATTGTAATTCCTTTGCTACTTACCCTGTACCGTTGACTGATGAATGCTTTTCTGCTGTGATATTTGCTACATGTACTTGGATACTTTCAATTTAACTATTGTAACTGGTTGTACCATATATATTCTATGTTCGGAAATGCATATTAGGAAATTAAACAAGCGGCCCCGGAATGTTGAGGTCGAGATTTTAGCACAAAAACTTAACAAGTACATGGGATTAAACCCTAATCTTGTAGTGAATATGAAGAGATTAGGTATAAAACTCTCCAAAAATTCTCTGCTAGAGTTTGCTGAGCCTTTTGAAAAATTTTTCCATGAAACAATCATGAACAATGGAAGATAAGTGAATGAAATCTGTCTTGGGGGGGACTTTACTGAATTGAGAATAGTTGTTGTAATGGGAAATTTGGAGTTTGATGCAACTTGAATTGAGGTAAGAGTAAGATGGAGATACATATATTGCTACTGTGACGGTGTTATCGATTATGAAAAATTTGAATTTGAAGAAAATAAGGACACACCTTATTCTCATCCACCTCTGCAGCTGACTCGTACACGCGCCCTAGACCAAATTCACTCCAACCCGATCATACTCATTCTTCAACCACGCCCAAATCTTGTCGATCATCCCTTCTTCACGGTATTTCTTCAGGAGGTTGACAATATTCTGACCCGCTGGTTCACCATTCTTGTCGAGTGAGTATACGGCATTCATGGTTGTTCTGTGAATTACATCGTTTGGCTGAGAGTTGCTGGCATTATCTAGATCGTTCGCCTGGGTATCACCAGCGCGTAATCCATTGGTTCGTATCACAGGAAGAGTACCATCTTCGATAGGGACGCCGCCTGGAGCGTAGCGGGCGCTTGTGAGGAGATGGAGGTGTCTTTGTAGAGTACAGATTAGTAAAACAATAAAGAATGTAGGTCGTACGGTACCTCTCTCCGCTCTCCTCAATCCCAATCGCTTCCCCAGTCATCTTCTTCACCCACATCAACGTCCTCGCAAACACCCCGAACCAGCCAGTCATTCGATCTTGGTACGGAGTTCGGACCAAACCTGGATTTGCGTGGATAAATGTTACACCTGCGCTGGCGTCTACAGTATTCTGTGCCAGCGCCTCCAAAGTCAATGTAGTAAGCGTCCCGAAATGACCTCGGATAGCGCTGAATGGGATTTTAAGGGCCGGAAAATCGGTTGGGTAGATGATTCCTTCGTCGCAGCCACAGCCAACAGAAACGACACGTGCGAGAGAATCGCTGGCAGAGGCGTTGAGCAGAAGAGGCGTGAGATGTGCAATCAGAAGTGTTCGGTCGTAGTATGCTGTAGCTAGGAACGCGTGAAGTCCTTCGGGTGTTACTGTAAGCAAGAAGTCCAATCAGTACTTTTACGACCAGGAGAAACGGAGAAACCCCCAGCTACGATCAAAACTCGGCGTCCCCGTACTCAAAAACACCAAATTCACCTTGCTCTCTCTCCTCTTAATCCCCTCACAGACTTCCTCCACCGCCTTCATCTTACTCAAATCAGCCTTCAACCAAATTACTTCCGCACCACCTGCATATCCCTCCGGCCCCAAACCCTTACATTCCTCGATAATTCGTTCCGCGGAGGCTTTATTCCGACCGACGAAGTATATTTTTGGTTGCACGGCATGAGAGACGAGAGCTTTGAGTGTGCTTTCACCGATGCCGGAGGTTCCACCGAGAAATACGCAGACAAGGTGCGGAGGGAGGTGGGTGGAGATTAGGGCGTTGGATGTGTGTATTGAGGAGAGGGTGACCATACTTGGGCTTTGAGAGCTAATGTTGTGCAGATCAGGTAGGTTCGAGGTGTGTAGGGCTCCATCGCGATAGGAGCTTTAAAGGAGAAGAGGATTGATGATAGTCGGATGTCGGAGAATGACATTATAGTGCCAGAAGAAATTGATCAGATTTAGGCGCCCTCCAGCCTGCCTAGCTCAATCAGATACAGCGTCAGACTTACTACTATCCAATCTTCCGACACCACTTATTATCTGAAGGCTTCAAATGTGTTCTCTGTTTCTTTTGCTGTATGGAGGTACAGTATCCTTCAAATCTAACCAACATGTGGCTAGACCCGCCCCAATTGTGTTATGGATTACCACTTTGCACATTGTCCGCGTAACTCAGTGGTAGAGTGTGAGATTGCAATCTGTTGCATTATCTCGAAGCCCCGTGTTCGAACCACGGCGCGGACTTGTTTTAGATTCTCGTTTTCTTCTTTTTAATCTCGTACATTGGAACTGATGCTTGTTGCGGTGCTGCTCAAAGTTCAGGTTGTTTGTCTTTTTGCATTTTCATGTTTCCTTATGAGTGTAAGGATTCCATCATGGTCAGTCTTTTTTTTTCGTCCATGAAAATGCAAACAAAACCAACCCCGGACTCCGATAATATGTTGAGCTTTCTAAGATGTGGATGCTAATTATAACTCGTCAGCGCGTCAATAGCTGGACTGATTGAAATGTTTCCAAATCCCCTCGTTTGATTTCCTGATATACAATTGCGAACATAAGATATACAAGTATGATACAACCAGTTACAATAATGAAAAGAAAAGTATCCAAGTACGTGTAGCAAATATCATAGCAGAAAAGCATTTGTCAGTTTTGTAGTGAAGAATTACGCGCATGAGAGTCAATGATCAGGGTTTCCGACCCATCGAGTCTCGAGAGGTTGCCCTTTGAAAGAGGACATTATTGAGCGTATTTTGGCGTAGGAGACGCGCTTATTCAATGTGGTCCATTCATAATTAAATTTCGAGTCTGAGTCTGAGTCTTCGTCATCGTCATCGCCTAGGTTCCAGGCTTTTGAATCTGTCTCCGATGCCGGCGGGTTCGAATAGGCCAATGGGCGTAGCGTATAACCAAGACGTAGTCCCTTGAAGATTTTCCACAACCATTGTTTGAAACTGGAGAAATAAGGTTGAACCGGTAGACCTTTACTAAGCGCGTTAAGAAGGAATTTAGATTTGTTGCTCAAGACCTCTGCATCTGTGCCACTGAACCACTCTGAGTAGGGTCGTGGGTCAGGTGAGGGGACACCTGGCGCCTCGTAGCGACAAGCAAGGCAAAGCATGATGTAGAATAGAGACTCCAAATCGTGACGATAGAGGTGACCGCCCTCCCAGTCAGGATTCAACAAATCGAGAGACATGAACGGTCTGGTACCCGTACGTTGTTTCGAAGTGGGGCCCTTGTTCATATCTTGTACACGAGATGAAAGGTCGAAATCATTCAGAACGCCATAAACTTTTCCATTCTTGCGCCTGTACATGATATTTCCAGAACTGAGGTCACGATGGAGAATCCCAACACGTTCGTAAAGCCACTGGTGAACTAGGGGAGTACGAGAACAATAGTGAACAAGGGTAAATATAATGATTTAACGAGTGGCGTACTTTGTAGAACATCGTAAAATACTTGCGCGAACTCTCTCGGGTCTTCCAAGTCTGAAAGTGGTTGTAGCTTGTCCAAAAACGTAACGCGCATTACTCGTTCCTCATAATCATCTTTGAGATGTTTCTTCAGACGGCCCTGAACGGTTGTTTCTTCGTGATATGGGAATGTGATTGAGTCGATAACTTCCGGAAGATGGTTGAGAGCCCAAAAATCGCCAGACGATTCCGCTGTCGATCTAGCCTCCCCAATAAGTCCGTCTTCGGAAGGCCGAGTCATGTTTGGGAAGCTGATCTTCATGACCTTCGTTGTTGCCTGCCCCTCCTCATGCCAGTCGCAACCAGCTTCCGTACAAAGGCACTCCACCTCAACAACGATCGAGCATCGACCAATGATGCCTTCAGCGCGGTAGAGGACTTTCGTGATTTTGACTCTTCGCCTCCTGCCATCGCTCCCCGTGAAGGCATAGGTAGAACCGACCAACGGATCTATTCCATTCTTGTGTGGAAGCTTCAACTGCTTTGGATTCCGTAGGTGATCAAAACCATCGAGGTCCAAGTTGGGAATGAATCCAAGATTCTCCGTGGAAAGTTTGTTGAGTTGGCAGACCATAGCCATGAAGAGCTTCTTCACCTCGTCATTCACGATGTTGAAGGGCTGAAGGAAAGAGGGAAAAGAGCGTGTCGATCAGTACTTAGATCAAAGTAAACAGTCAAGAGGTGATGGTGAGAAAAACAGAAAAACGTGTAAGTAACTTGAGCCGGCCCGGTGATGCACGCATATTTAGCCACTACCACGACCGAAAAAACACTTACTTTGCTCTCGACAACCTTTGAACGGTGATAGTACTGGAAACGCAAGCTAGTATCATCAGCTGTGATCCCCACAGCATGACTTCGAATAAATCCTTTCGAAAGCATTTCTTTGGCGTAGCTCGCGCACTGAATTCTTGTTAAATGCTGTCCCTGCGTCGGAGTCAACACCTTTTCTGCTTTCCTTTCTGCCTCCGCCCTTTCCTGGTAGTCCTGCGACGTCAAAATCTCTACTGTCTTCTTCTTGCCACCCCGATTCTGAATAGTAACCCCCGGTCGATGTTCGTCTCCGAAGCTGGTGGATGTAGAATTGAGGGGTGTAGACGCCGGAACAGAGGCGGTAGATTGTGATACCAAATACGCTATGGAGGGCAACGAATCTGACTGACTGCGGGATGAAGGACCTGGACATTTTGGTTCAGTATCAAGACAAATTCAAAGGTGGCATATTGGCTTACCTGCCCTTTTCGATCTTCTCGCGGGGTGTCTCAAAGCTCGAGTGTTGGACTGAGAGGTCGAGTGAGATTTGACCTTTTTGTTAGGCCGAGCCACTGGAATTAAAGACGCAAGTAAATTTCAAACCTCTACGAAATCAGTCGTTAGCACACACTGGTAGCATCAGGTCCTTCATACGGCCTAGCGCGTTTGATTGACTGCGACTGCGAGGGGCCTGATTGTGGAGTAGGCAAAGTCGAAGGTCCTGCTGTTTGTGAAGTTTGTCGTGATCCATGCTGCTTGGATACTCCCAACCTTGATGATCCATTCGTCAGTGTTTTTGCCTCTGCAAAAAGTGTTAAGGTAAGCCAAATGTATAGGGCAGAAAAAGTGCTGTTGATATACCTTCTTTATTCACATTCAGACCGACAAATCTCCCCTGTTCATGCTTGACCTCGATAAAATAAAGCAAGAGTCCCCAAAAAATGCCGACAATTTTCTTCTTTGCAAGGTAATCTGAGAGTTTTTTGTTCTTGGTGAGTTTCAGTAGCTCAACGTAGATCCCCCCCAGGTCTGGTTTCCTTGCTATCAATGAGCCCAGTACCGGACGGGGATCCTGAACGTAGAAAATCTTTTCGTCAATGTCCTTTCCTACACGTCGTCCCTCTCCATCTCTCAATGAATTCAAGAGATTCGCCAGGGGTTGGTACAATCCGCTTTCGTGCCCCGCCATGCCTTTCCGCTTCTGGTTTTCACCATCTACTTCTCCTATTGCTACTTTCAGATACGCTGCAAACGCATCTTTCACAGCTTCGCTATCCGGCAACAGGGTGAAATCGTCCCTAATCTGCCAGTCAGCAGGAAGATCAAGGATCAGGGTCGCGAAGTCATCGAGAGAAACTTCCAGACGGTCGCTGATATCATCTTCGAGGAACTTATTTACAACATCTGCACGCTTGGGAACCTCGTCTTCGGCGTGTGTAGTACATCTTCGACTCATTGGAGTGCTCTCGACAACAGGCGGGCCATGATCCTGCTTCGGTTTGGGTGTCTGAGGGGGGGCAGGAGCTGTGATATCATTTGCTGACAACGGTTCCATGATTCGGTGGGTGGTATTCTAGGTGGTGTAGGAGCAATTTCAAAATTGAAATGTGCTTGGACAATGAGGAGACGCGCTTAAATGGATGTCATGCAACGATCACATGTTGATAACAAAGCGCGACCCATTGTTCTTCAGTTCCAATTTGGCAAAGTTTGACATCGTCCCTCGCTTTGACGTGATTTTTGACCTCTCATAAATGATACCAACTTGTATTCCAAGGGTAATCAGAAATTGCAAGCCTGGGTGGTCGAAGTATTCGAGCTCTTCAAATTGAGTTCGAGTTGGAGTGTAGACATTGCTTGACAATTTACAGCCACATCTGTGTTTATGTGTTTTTGGGAGAATATACTACATGGGGGTGGCTTAAGAAGACCGGCACAGAAGTTGTAAGATTGTTTTACAGTGATTCTCAGAATATCCTCACTTCGTTACATTTAGGGATCGTCTATTGATTCAAAGAAAGGAATCGATGTCCCCCATCGGTCTTAACGGCTGATCACAGACATCCAGGCCAACAGCATTGTGGTCTCTCTGGACAACGATATCTCGAGTAAATTCGAGGATGTCACAATTGGTACCGTAAGTTGATAAAACACGCTTGGCCTAGTATTGATGAATGAACTCAGGAAGTTAGGATGGTCTGGACTCTGGAGAAAGATACATAAGTTGAAGCTCAAAGCTTGATATACCCGCGATTTCTCAATGGAATATTGGATGTAGTATGGAACAGTGATTTGTCCCAGTTGAAGTCTGCGTTTCACAAGCTGCTCAACGAGGCTTTGAGCTCGGCGGCGGCGATGAGTGGATGGTAATACATATCCGCCGTGACACTGGCAGACAGCCTTCGATCGCGACTCTTATGGTTGCGTCGAAGTGGCGGGGAAATACTTATAAGAAGAATAAGAAGGCGTGATACGAGGCAAACTTGCCGCTCGGACGGCAGACCTATTGTATGAACTCAGATTAGCTTTTCCGCATTTCTGTTCGTTCCTCCTAGCTAGGCCTGGTTCTCAATATCAACTTGCTTTCATAGCAAGGAATAAAATAATTGCCATCGGCCTCGGAGCCTTATCTCAGCGCAGCGATCTGCGAAAAACCTAATCCACGAAATTCAGATAGATATTACGAACTCATGATGTAACTATCTCACTCAACTCACTAGTATGTAGTTGGAAATGATTATCCTGCACAAGCACTTCAGGTATGAACCGATGTTGCAGGTCATAAAAATTGAGAATGCCAAAATGATCACGGTCTACAATGTGGTAGGAAGCGCGGAAAGTGCGCGGAATTTCAACCTAACTTCCCGTCGTGATAGATGAACGATTTTTCTGCACTCGCAAATTCGGGCTGGAAAGATTAATTTTGACGCTGGTCGCCTCAAGAAGGATGTTGCAAAGTTTTTCCTCAGGCGTCAAGTTCTGGAGGAGCCCGGGATCCCCGGTTTTGCCAGTGTTTACTACGTTTGGCCCTTTTCTCAAATCTGCAGTGTGGTCAGTTATTTAATGTGAAACTTGTGTTCATGGTCAGAGCTAAAAGGAAACTTTTTTCTCCACTGGGTGAAAAAATGAATCTCCGTCATCTTTTTCATCGAGATCCACATCTAGATATCGAATACATATCTGGTATGTATCTCGATGCATGTAAGTACGAATAGCTGCAGTCGCTGTGCACCGCGGAGGTGAGAAAGTTCAAACTTTCATTAAATATCGATCTTACAAAATGTTTGCTAGATACTCTACCATTTCCCGCCCCCGCCCCCTCCAAAACTTGTTCTATAGTATGCAGAGGTTGTATATGTTCTTCCCGGGTACTTCCCTCTTTGCAGTCATTATGCTTGATTCGTTCAAGCTTCGATTGGAACGACAATCTCTGATCATAATCGATCTGGTCATTCTTTTATGGATTCCATTTTCGATCTATGTCACGCTTTGTCTCCTCCGTCGATACGCTCAACCTCAGGCTGACTTTACTTCATCGGGTACTTCAGCTTTGGCCACCCCTTTGGATTCTCAGGCTCAGACTCAGACTGCCGGTGGTGGGGTTTTGGGGTTAGTCGCTTCAGTATTTGCCCATACCTGGCTTATGCTGAGTCGTCTGTTGAGCGGTGAGTGCTAGGACTCAACCGGATTCTTTAGCATATTAGTTCTCATATACAATTATTTCCAGCGATCTTCGATTTTGCCACTTTCGAGTCAGAAAACAATCCTGGGGCAATCCCACTATTCTTTGGGTTTTGCCATATCTATGTGATGCTCCCTTTATCGTTCTTCACTATATTTATTTTCGGGATATGTCTTCCCATGCGAAGAAACACTCCCTGGAGACATATCATGGAGTTTTACCAGTTGTTGAAGCTTCTTGTGCAGCAGGCCGGCATTATGCTGCAATGGATCAATGCTTTATTCGAGGGTAGGGTTACTATCAGGTCTAGAGAAGAGATCGTATAATTGTATGTTTCCCTTTTTTTCACTGATATATAGTAAATGAACATTGCATTTGTAGCGCCAACTTCATTTTGAAACCTTTTTCGACATTTGTTTTCGGATCAGCTCATGTAGTGGGACAATAAACCCACATTGAAAGGATATTTGTATCAACAGGTTTTTGTGGTCTAGTGATATGTATACCCATGTATGTTTGCTTCAAATTTACCATCATTCCTACGTTTTGCACAAGTGTGTTTCCATGGATTTGGTAATAGCCCCCAAGCGACAATTCAGATACCACTGGGAGGGGAAGATGATTTCTGTTCAAAGGAATGTAAGAGAATTCAAGCGACATGGTTTGGAGCCTGTGTAACCGAGGAGTTGGATATGACTGAAGAGGAATGACATTTGGAGGCATGGGCAGTTTGTGGGGTTGGACCGGGTTGAGCATGGCCTTATGTTGTCGATAAATTGATTCGCCTTGGACTGAGTTCACTTTAGAACTAGAAATCAAGCTACAATCTTCAAGCGCTTAGGCAGTACCTGGCGTATCATTTCTTTTTGACCTCCTACATGAAAATTCGCAACCGCCCCGGCTGCACTGACTAAATAGGACCATGACTGTTTCTCCTTCTCCTCCTCCTGCGACAGCTACAGCGCCGTCTCCTTTCTCTTATTCAAGGACACCACCGACCGTTCCGCGCTCCTACGTCAAGACAAAGAATTGGACGAGGCGCCAAGGGGTCTCGCTGGACGGATTGACGTGAAGAGAATGATGAGATGTGGGAAATCGGTTTTTGCAGGACGGACATGGGGATCCAAGTGGAGATATTTGTTACGTTTGTCTATTCAGAATCAGGTGTTCATTCTATGTTATTTGAATCTACAGATGATCGACGTCAACATTCCAGCATACTCATTGTCCACCTCAATATTATCAGCGAAAGAAACTGATACTAGGTAGAGGCAGGGGCGAAGTTGGCAGTAGTGGAAGGCGTAAAGAACCTCCTGGGTAAAGCTGACACCGTCCTCCACCTGTCCGACTTCGCTAGGAGGAGGCATGAATTCTGATGTTGGTTGTAGTAACGGTGGGCGAGAAACGAGATTGATTTTTGTTTGTAGTCGATTTGCAGCGGAAGGCGATTTCTCGGTGAAATCTTTGATGACTGTTTATCCTGAGTTGAGAAAAAGAGAATAAAAAGACGCTATACATACCTTACATGGCTAATGCAGCCTATTCCACTGCTCCCTCGCACCCGCTCGATGTTAGGCTCTACCGCTCTTACAACTGTAGTCGTAGATGCTTCGACTTGAGCCGCATACACGTATTATTTGAAACGATCCGAATCCAGGCTTAAACAAACGACTCATTGAACCCTAGTAAGTACGAAGACGTCAAAGATCAGGTAATAGTAGGAAATTATATTGATGTAGGAATGGGTTGTGCTGATATTGCAAATGGTCCTGACGAAGATGGGAGTCAGTCTCTTCAAGCGATACTGACCATGATGTCGAGGTGGACGACAGAAATCTTGAATACCTGTAAATTCAGATACTCCAGATTCAGATAAGAGTCGAGTAACTTGGTAGAGTCAAGAAATGGCGGACAAGTTACATCTTGGAAATCTTGAGCACTATGCATAAAGACAACAGAAAATCATGACTGATTTCCTCCTCGACAGGCATTCGCCTGGAGCCACGAATGGAGCGAACCATGCGTCTCTGACTTCGACTACATTCGATGGATTGATTTCTGCCTGCTGATAGCGGAGGCCCAGCGACGTTGAACAAGATTTACGTCGCCGAGAGGGCTTATCAACAAAGGAGGATGAATAACAGGAGTTATTGATCATGAAGAATTATCAATGAAAAGCGACACATACTTTATAGCACGAGCGGGCCGGACTTCCGGAGTTTGGAATGGTTCCTTCATTGCCGCTCGATGTTCTTGTCCACATCCTCTACCAGATTCCTCCTTCCCGGGACCTTGACAGTATTTCTGTCAGAACTCTTGTTCAATGTTCCTTGACGAATACGCTCTTCCGAGAAGCCGCGGCTATACCGGCTCTTTGGCAACAGCATTATCAAGTCCGATATATTCACGCTAATGAGGCATCTGAGGGCCAGAGGAAGGCAGAGACTAATGGAAACTGGAAGTTGATGTATGCTGCGCGAAGGATGGTTGATATGGAGGTGCTCAAACACCTTGATTCAATCGTTATGAAGAGGGTGGGGAGGTATGATCATGCAAGCGCCTTAACAAAATTCCTTTTCGATGCTTGGGATGTGCTGGAAATTGAAATTGGCACGGTAGATCCTAGCGAGCATCTGGAAATACATGAAGTTGGGGTGGCACATTCGCTGTCGGCTACTCGCGTTTACTGGGCTTCAGAACTGTTGACTTCTATTGGCCGAACGCACGCCGTAGGGCTTTGGAGCAGCCTTCGATCAGACAACAACTCCGTATCTTTTGTACAAGCCTTCTCCTCCATATCTTGCTTCTTTGGTAAACATCCGGATGAGGTTCGATGTTTAATTCATATGTAGGACACCCATACAAACTAATTCTCATTGGCATTAGATACACCTTCTGCTATCTAGTCTTAACTATCGGTGCAAAGACCATCTCTCCCGCTTGAACATTCCTTTTTCCCAAGCAGATCCAAAATATGACCTCAAGGAGCTCTGTATGCACATTTGCGATTTCATGACTACTGAGGGATACAGAACCGTCGATCGTAAGTGCAAAAATAGTCAAATCTTGTTCTGTTGATCATGTTTCTCAGCTCCCAACTTTCACGACCTTCACAACCTGTTACCACACTTCTACCTAACGTCGCACAAACGCTCAATTCCACTTTCCCTTGTCCACATTTTTGTCTCGATTGCACAGTCCCTTGGTATCGCTGCATTCCCCTTCAGACTTCCGTTGCACGTTTTGGTGCACATCACCGTACCTGACCCCGAGGTCGATGATTTCTTCGTAGACGTGTTTGGAGTACCAACCATTATTAATCTACGGGACGACATTCCTGCGATCCTGGAACGTCAAGGGATTCATGGTAATAGCCTGATGCACTATCTATCACCAAGCAATACAACTACCATGCTCCTCAGGAACGGTCGCTTCATACTATCGTCGTTAAATCTTCAACGTACCTCCCCTTCGCTCGAACTATCTTCAACACTTTTAGCATTTACTTTATTCCTGGTGTTGACTGGTACTAGCCAGAGCGTTCCCCATCTAATGTCTCAAACTGACCCATTGGATTGTGCTACATTTATTACTGAGGTACTCATTCCTAGCCTGAGCAACGTCCGTGAAGTCCAGAATGACCTTCGTCAAGCATCTCAACAGAGTCTCGAGGAAGAGGCGCTTACCGCACAGGAAGTCAGACTCAGAACTCCTAATACAACTGTACGTTATTTCGTAGGTATGCTTTTCGAGCATAGAAGTCTCCGCTATACGGCCTTGATCACTGGCTGGGATGTGAGCAGATGTCCGACATGACGTTTTCATCGTGACTGACTCTTCACAAATTCTTCCAACAACAGCCCGTAATGTCAAAAAGCTGGATTAGGGAGACGGAAATATCAGATCTTCCAAGAGGCCGTGTACGCCCTAAGATCATATCTTGCTTGCTTCGGGACAACATTAAGATTCCGCTGTCATAGGATCAACCATGTTACCATGTTTTATGCATGGATAACTCTTCACGATGTTTGTGCAGTGCTAATACTCATGGACAAATCGAGCAAACTAAGCTAACAAATGTCTCCTTTAGATGTTGCTGAAGACAATATCAAACCTTTGCTCTCTGCATCAGATGAGCTTCTGTTGCAAATGTGTCAAGGCATCCGCATCCTACCAAAGTTATTTACTGGGGTGCTCATGAAGACAACAACGAGAAGTAGCAATGTCCGGGATGCACCAGTCCAATATCGCAGGGCAAGGTTTGTGCTCAGTCCAGAGCTTGCCACAGCGTATCCAGAAGATGATACAATGGGAGATGCATGGCTAGGTGGAGGAGAATCGGTATATACATGGTTAGCTGGAAAAGAGTTGGTGTTGGCAGCAAAGTAATTTGTAATTACTTCACATGTCGATGTGGAAAAGTTAGAGTTGGTCGAACAACCACTAAGCTGACGAATGTCGGTTCTGACGGGCCCGTTAAATCTCAGCCATATCAGAATAAGTATTAATCTTGATCTCTTTTTATCGTTGTGTTGCAAACATATCGACCACTGTTCGAAGTACTAAGGTGCTGATACAATTGCGAATTCAATTAATGTACAATGCGATACGATAGTAAGATGCCTATACATCTACCTCCCTTTACTCCCCGACTTTCGTTGTGGTACTCGGATACGGTGTTTCTACCGTATGTGGTCCGCTCTCTAGTGGTGCGCTTGTCGCAGGAATTTTCGGTGGTACAGAAGAACTGGTGTCAGTTTCGCCGCCCACATTGTTCATATAATTGCTCGCTGCCTCCGACACTCTGTTTATATGCGGCTGGGCAGCCTCCACAGCACGCTCGATATGTGGTTGAGCAGCAGTTTGAGCTGAATCGAGATATTCCTTCCCTGTAGCTAACGCAGTAGCTGCGCCTGCTTGTATCTGTGCGAGTGTATCTGTCGCGGCAGTACTGCCGCCGGTGGATGGATGAGTGACGGGGTTAGAGTTGGGAAGATACGATTGTGCGGTGGCTAGTGCACTTCCTGCGAGACTCTTCGCCTGATCCAGGTAGCTTTGACCTTGGACTTTGGCGGTCTCGACATCGGCCTGTCCCTGCGCAACGGCGGAGTTGGTTTTTGCTTGCAGTTGGTCTGCAGCAGAAGGTGGTTCACCGGTAAACTCTTTGCCTAACGACTAGGGATGCGGGTAAGGATGGGATCATTGAAGACACGATGAGCGACATACCTTTGCAGCTAACGCGGCACTCTCAGCTACTCCCTGAACCTGCTCAGCATTGTGTTCTATGACTCTTGCAGCCGCGTGCGTTGGTGCTTCAGCTTGAGCCTGCGCTGCGGTAGTCTCAGCTCTAGCGGCGCTATTTGCAGCGCGACGTTAGTAATCCGAATGCGAGATTCCAAAGCCAGCCGACTTACTCTGCGCCTGTAGGCTCAACGACGTTGAAAATCTTTCCTGATTCGATGGAGGAAGACATGATACGATAGTGATTGAAAACAAGTAACGGTTTGTTGTGGAATGAGTTGGTTTGAGTTTCAGATATTCCAATCATGCTTTATATACCCTTCCGAAAGCAGTTCCCCCCATTGTGATGGTGTTGAGTGACGTCAGGTCGATGTCATTCAATACAAAGTAATGATGACGTCTTTCGGAACCGCCAACTTTACCTTGCGCGATGATTTCGATGATCCGAGAGGCGGAGACTGGCGAAATAGAAAACGAAAACAAACCGGGGAACAGCGGGGAATGTATGTACATATGTACATACAATTGGGAATTGAGTTTCGATTCACACGAGCCAAAGCGCTTCTTATTTCGCTTTTTTCGGCGGTCACTCTCCTCGTCCCCCTCCATTCTTCCATTAGATATGGCTGCTATCTAACTCTCCTTCATCATGATATCTCCTATAATCAATGCTCACAAACAACCTTTTCCTGATTGAGCTATTTTTCAGTCCTCACTGATGCAATCATATTGTATCAAAGCCACGAAGCTGTCATCTTTCCCGACGCTACGCTTTCCATGTCCGCGTAACTCAGTGGTAGAGTGTGAGATTGCAATGGTGTGTAAATAGCATTCGAGTGATATCTTGAAGTCGCGTGTTCGAACCACGCCGCGGACTTGTTGTTTTTTCACTGGTGACTACGGACGTGGTCTATCTACTGACATTAAGTCACCGGATTATAGCTTTTTTTTAGTGCAAAGAAAGCCTGTGAAAACAACTTACATATCATGATTGAAATCCTGTGAATTATTATTCAAATAGTAAATGTGGTTAGGAGATATGTTTGTCTAATGAACGGCACCTCCAGACCCACCTAGAAAATCAGAGTGCAAATTATCAGGAGCGATGATTAGTCCTGCACAAGTAATCAATGTCATTTTTCGATCTTTTAGAAAGACAATCCATGAAAAACTTGATGTCCGCATTGAATATTGGGTATTAAAGAGACCCATTTGTCTTTATTCAAAGATTCGAGAGTTTGACCCAGGAACATACTCCCAGATACTCCCTGAAACAGGTTCCTAAGGACGAAGGAACTTGGAAGACGCATAGGGCATTGCACATGTGGATGATGACGGAGAATGTTAATGAGGTATTAGTCGGGGAATTGAGAAGTGTATGACTCGAAGGAACAGGATTGCATGAGAAATGTGACCAGGGCGTTAGCATCAATATTGCATCTTCGCAATAAACAAGATGACCCAGATGGTAAGAAGACGTGACAGAGAACTGAGTCGAAAAAGGTCGAAAATCTAGCCCGACTCGCGATTCCAAGTTCGAGGAGTCCTTATTCCAACTTAGCAGATCAGATTCAGAATTTGAACATCGTTCCTGCCTCGGAGTGTCCCTCCGTCTAGCAGATCAAAAGAGATCAAATCATGAAAGCAAATTGAAACCGAACTGACACCCAGAAGCGGCCCAGAACTTCATATCTTCCTTGTAGTTCCTTGTTCTGTTCTTTCTCCCTCTTTTTCCTCCTGCTACTCCCTCTTCTCTAACGTCCAGCTCAACTACATTGGCTCCAAGTTCAGTCTGACTCTGCTCCGCCCACTGAACTCAAACCATATTCCGTTGGGCAAATTCTTTCATGAAGGGACAACCGACGGGAACATAAAGAGCGCCTCGTCCGTAGATAGATAGATAGATAATGTCCCCTAGGAAGGCTCGAGCTAGGGCCTCGTTCATTCAATTCGAACCTAAAAAGAAGTTCTAGCCCACCGCGAGGGTCGAACTCGCAGCCTTCAGATCCGCCTTATCAGTAAGAGTCTGACGCTCTATCCGATTGAGCTAGGCGGGCCGTGAATATCCTTAACAGATACAAATAACGTTCAACGAAATGTTTAAACTTTACCATACAACCTTATCGTACAACTCTCTTCCAGTCAGGATATAGTCATGTACTATGTATATGCTATTATATGCGACTATTTACGAGGGCAGATACATTGATCATGGTCGTATATAAGTGTATATATATATAAACGTATTGTATCAAGAATTACTCCAGTATACATCAAGATTATAAACGTACTGTATCAAGAATTACTTGGGTATTCATAAAGATAGTTCATCTATTCTAGAGATTCTAATATCAATGTCATGTCAGATGAAGCTAAAATACACATTGAGCATGCTGGTATTGAACGGCCAATGTCAGAGTGAAATAAATAGTAGTTCTACATGGGGAAGAAACATACAAGTCAACTTCGATAACTTGGGAACCAGGTCAGACAATTCCGATTTGGATTCCCTGGATTATTACATTGACTGAAAGGCTTCTTGGACTGTGGCGAGCTGGTATCCTGTAATATGAACGTGAATAAGAAGGAATAACTCCTAATATATGCACGAATTTTGCCCACCAATTAATGGTGATTCAATAGAGAATACCGCCATTGTCGCGAACACCTTCTCTAGCATCCCCTTGAGTTGCGCTTCCTCCCCATCGGATATGCTATCTAGACTCCCTTCACTTATTCCCCAGTTTTCCGTTCTCGAGCTCCTTGAATGTAATCGGCTTCCACCCGCAATCCCGACTCCGGCTGTAGCGGTACTGGTCCTCCTCAACCTCTTAATTTCATCTATAAATACCTGACAAACAGTAGTCCAGCATGATCCCAGCACAGCATTGATATGCGACATCACACTCATATCGACCTGACGCAGGATGGCGACGCACGCCCGCGCCGCCGAGAGAGCTTTTCTTCGAGAATGGGAATTGTTGTTAATGAAGACACTGTGCAATTGAATTGTGGCGGTGTACGCTAAGGTGTGTGTAGTGAGGATTGTACCAAACTCGTATGATGATGATGCGTGTTGGTTGAGGGGCAGGAAACCGAGACTTGACTGAAAATTGTCGATGAGGTTGTTAAGAGAGGAAAAGGTAGCGCCGAAGCGGGAGGCTTCATCTGCGTTCATGTCTAAAATTTTTGTCACCGACTGAGGATAAATGTTTAAGACTGTAAGATAGTACTTACCAGATCTATACAGCGAAGCAATATTTGCGGATTTGTCAAGCAAGATCGACGCTTTTGCGAACATGGCCATCGTTGAAAACTCCTTCACCGAAGATGACGGCACCTGTCTCAAAAAATTCTGCACAGTCATGACGCTATAGTGCTCGGCTGGCAGCAGCTCCTGTGAAGTAAGTAACGATTCAAAATCAGCACCGTAAGTCCAGCTTGCTCTTGAAGCATTCAACATCACCTGCTCATAGTCAGTCATATCCAGCGGCCATGGAGTGTCGATTGTTGACCCATGACTCTCGAATACCGCACTGGACAACGTTCCTACGGCGACGCCCCAGCAGTTGCTGAGGGTGTATACAATCCAAAACGCATTAATCCTTTCCCCTTCTTCAATCTGGTCGATCGGGGGACTTAACAATGGTCCCGCGACACCGATTTGCTGCAACGGTGAAACAGAAGGGTTTCCACTCCCCACTGGGAGTGCTCGTATCTTATGTAGTTGGGTACCGAGTGTGAGAGATACCGCCGCCGACATATGATACTTGCCTTCCAATATACGGCCAGTCCGGAAAAAATACACCGAGAGGAGAGTTTCTGCTTGTATAGCATGAATAATCCGCTGAGGATGGGTTGATGATAGTATATTGGCTGTATGAGCTAGAGCGCGCGCGAGGTAGACGCTTTCTTGGTTGTTAAGGTCACCCGAAAGGTGAAGACCAAGGAGATATACTGTGCTTAGGAGCCCAGCGCATGGGCGTGAGTAATGTCCCAGGGGGAGAGGTAGTAAAGCAGAATTTCGAAAGCGTGAGACGTTCAGAAAGAATCCCATATCCAGCGCATGTGGTAAAAATGTTGAGAGACTACAAGGAACGTCAGAAAATTTTTTATTCAATACTGTTTAATTGCGAACGGGTGTCAGATCGCGAAGGAAACAAAACGTACAGTTGATGCACTACATCACTCGGGGGCTCCTAGGATATCTGTTTTATTGAATGCTCGTATATAATCAATCACTCAGCACTCACCTCTTGAAACGTAGAGTATGTCGAGCCGTGCCCAGAAGACGATGCGATAGAGGGGCTATTAGAATTACGTTGAGTGTCTAAAAACAACGATGACATGCCACCCTAGTGAGTTTTCATGACGCAGTGCGAAGGAAAGTATTAGAACATACTAGTCGGACTAGATAAGGCGCTACCACGTATAGAGGAACCTGTTTGTGGGGGTACCATTAAAGCAGGAGTAGATTGACTAGAGAAGTTGTAAGGCAAGTGAAGCCTAACAGCATTCTCGTCGTCTGGTTCTTCAAGCTCGCGTATGCGTGCCTCTAAGCGAGAGATATTATCTTCAAGCATCTGCGTTCGGGTACGTCCACTATCAGCGTATTCGCAGGCGTCCCCTGGCCTTGCACTCCTAAGACATTGCGTGCATGTAGGCCGGAGGCCATCGCATTTCTGAAAGGACGTTGCGGCATTTAGAGGAAATGCAAAGAATGGGGGCGACCAGTACTTACTATTTTTCGTTTCCTACAGAGAATTTAGAGGGGGGGATGTTGGAAGAAAGAAAGTATGTACCTGCAGTTGCTACAAGCTTTGCCCCTCTGAAGGGAATAGGGCGAGCTAGATGAAGAGGCTGCGCGCTCCGAGCTCATATGAGAAGATTAGGGATTGTACTGAGAAAGTGTATTTGTAATACGAGAAGAAAAGCACCAAAGAAGGTACGTTGAGGTTGACCCATTTGGTCCAGCCCTTCGCACTTATATACATAAACGCCACGTCCCTAATGACTTCGTTTTTTGCAATGACCATTCAGGTTGGACGAATCACCGAGAACGAATCGTGGGATCTAACACAGCCTAGGGCTTGCCACAGAGATTCGAATGACTATAGCAGCCCTTCCGAGTCCTAGATCCAAAAAGCTCATTCAGCATTAGTCATCCAAATACCATAAATAGACAGAAAGTTACGGCCTCGGCATGATTCAACGCATAAATATGGGTCCTACTTGTTCTAAAGTTATGGATTGAGCATCAACTTTTTCACGCACCGAGCGCCTCCAACTTATTACGACTGTTCGAAGTTTCTCGAAAAATAGAGAAGGATCAGGATAGTATGACCGGAACACCAAGTGGTTCCTCTTTAACGCGAAGGCTGTCGTCGGTAGTTTTACGGATTTGAAAGCCCTGCTGACCAACAGCGCACATCTGGCGCATATCTGGCGCATATCTATGCGCATGATATATGTTACAAATGCAACTTTCTATGCACGAAGATGCTTCGATATTTGCAAGGATGGCGATGCTAAGCCCTTTCAATTACAAACCGTCCTAGTCAACGTTTACCTTTCAAACTTTTCGAGCGCAAATCATCTTCTGTCCGCACGCAGCGGCCACGTCATGCATCGAACTGTGTTGCTGCAGACTATCAGAATCCGCTGTATACGGACAGCAGAGTCGGTATATGTTGGTTCCGCTCCGGGTGCCTTTTAATTGTACCGGACTGGGTCGTCGAGTCAGAACCATACGTAGGATCATTCCTCAAGGAATTTATCGGCATTTACTCTTGATTATTACTGATGTCCTGTATACAAGAGAAAGACGTGGAATACCTGCAAGATTACTTTGAAAGCCAGGTTAAAAATGAGAACCGGGTGATTCGGTGGATCAAGGTCTATCAAGGTTCTATTAGAGATTGGTACACTCAGCTTTGACCTTTGAGCCGACAATGATCAACCCTTGGACCCGATCCCACACAGCCATTGCCAGATTTTTTACTATGATCAATGAAGACTTGTTTCACTTAAATATCTGTTCTTCTATGATTCGACGGGAAAGATCAGAACAAAGAAGATCGACATAGCAAAAACGACTGAACATGACGAAAGCTACTTATTAAACGTCAGAAGGATCTAGAAATCAACTCTTTATTAATCCTGGTTTATTTGCAGTCATCCAATCATCTAAAATTTTCCAGAAGTGTGCTACCACACTTTTGTCAATATGTCTTCGTTGCTGGTCAATCTGAGCGCGGAAATGAGATCTTTAGACAGCGTCGACGAAGATAGTGTACCTTCAACTCGGTGACGTTCCAATCTTTTATTTTGGGATTGGGCGGGTCATTTGCCCAACGAACGTATATGCCTTTAACTGAATACAATTGAGTTTGGATAGCATACATATGGGGACCAAGATCTTACCATGATGAAATAAGACCTTCGGCTCACTCCATTTGTACGAACGGAACTGCCATGCCTGCCCAGTCGTCATCACACAAACTACACGGTCCCAAGCATCGGGACCGAATTTAGTTAAGGAATCTTGCGAGTCAACGACAATACACCTAAATCAAAAAGCGATCAGTCATGCCAACCGAAAATAACCATGTTCCTCCTACCTTTGTTGAATAATGGTTTCTTTGCCACTTGGTTCAATATGAGTAAGCTTTCGGTCGATGATTATGACATCGTCCGGCCGTACGTTGCCATCAGCCTGGGCACGCGCTCGAGCATTTTCAGAAAGTTCAAACCTGACCACGGCTCTAAGTCAACACAAAGGCTATGTCAGAATAAGAAGAACTCAGTACGTGGACTCCTGCAGGAACTTTTTGACATTATACATTGTAATCAAGGCGGTCGGGGATGAAGATATCATGATGATTGGCCAGGTGGGACCTGAAAACGGAATAGGCAGACTTAGAAGGGACAGCTAGTAATATCCGGGACCACGCACGTTTCTTCTGCGACAGCATTTTCGAGTCCATACTCTGCAACACATTTGATGATGGAGCAGGGGCAGCTTTTCCAACACTCTCCTTCAACTTCTTGAGCTTTTCAGCGAATTGTGTGCGTACGGAAGAGAAGTTCTAGATCGTAAACTCATTGAGCGTAAGAGACCGGGAATAAGTCCGACACTACTTGCATTCATTTTTATGCCTCTTAGGACACTGTTCCGATCCCTTAATTCAACCTCCTGCATCCGAATTTTCTTGACAGAATCAATGTCCGCCGTATCAGGGACATATTTCCGTTTCTGGGGACTCCCTGTGGTACCCAGAGACTTTGAAGAAAGGAAAGAGGAGGACGCATGGGGCGTAGCTGTAAGGTTTTTTGACGGAGAGCTGTCCGAGTACAACTGTTTAAGATGCGTTGGCGGCGTTGATGGAGGCGTTGTTGAGCCTGAGGCGTGAGATTCCGCTGCTATAATTTGCTTGAGTTCGAAGAATGTTAGTTATATCCTAGGTACACTACACACCTTTGAGAGCAGCAGACAGTTTCTCCGATTCAACCAATCTCTCACCGGAGTTTGAATTGCCCTCCAGCCAATCAACAACTATCTTCCTCTCCGTGACCGACACCATGCCAATACCAAGCCCATCCTCTCTGGCTTGTTTTGTATAATTTGGGGCAGGTAGAGATTTCAACTGGTAAGCAAGGTAAATCGCTTCTAGTGTGTACAGATCATTCAAGGTCAAACTCGAAGTAGAGGTCGAGGAGGAACCTTTCCTCCATCGTGTTGGGGTTGATTTTGGGAATATTTCGGAAGGAGATATCTGGATATGTGTTGCTTGAGAGAGGGATTCCACTGGTGTAGAGGTCGATGGGGAAGAGAGAAGGATCGTTTGGTTGTGGGATTGGATGGCTTGTCGAAAGGCAAGAAGAGCATCCAGAGTGGAAGACATTTCGAGATATTCTCGATATTGTACAGTATACTTACCTCCAATCAACTTTTTATCTCGTAAATAGGTGAGAACAAGAATGAGTGTAGTTTTTGACGCCCGCGTCGCTATTGATTTAACATCAACTCAACATTGACTGTTTATTTAAATTAAAATAGGGAACTGCAATTGGGGTATAAAGAGATTCCGGAAGGGAAAAGTCGCTTGAAGATATGCAAATGGAAGAACCAAGACAGAATGCAGCTTGCACTTGACGCGCGCCAGAGGAATATACACGCAAAGAGAAAAAAAAAAGTGGGTACGGAGGTTAAAAAGTGAGGTTGATACCAACACGATGTAGAGACGTATACAGTTCGATTTTGTGGTTCATGAAATGAAAATCTAATGAGTGTTTTGATCTAAAAGAGTGAAGAGGCCGGTTCATAAGGAGGGCGACACAGCGAGCGGAGACACAGACAGAATAGAAAAAGGAGAGAACAGTCTTCAGACAACAGGGAAGCAGGAGAGATAAGATGCGAGCGAAACGCAAGGAGACATACAACACGGAAAAGAGAAATAGAAAATAATCATAGCTCGGAAATGAGATACTATCACAATGACAGCACCGAATCACCGCTGAGGAGAGGACTCTTCCTCCCATGAGCTCATTTTTAGAAACCTAGCCAAAACTTCCTCCGATCCACGTTTGAACAACTCGACGCCTCTTGCAGGGTCAAACACTCGCCCAGCTTTTCTGGAAGACGCTACTGAGGCGATAGGCTGTCCTTCGTGAGGCGATACAGGACCAGCAGACGAAGGAGGGGAAGTGATCGTCGAGTCGTTTGATGTATTACGCAAAGGACCCAACGGCGGAGCACTGGGGCCTTGCGGAGATCCGAAAGAACGTTGGTTCACACCCGCCGTGGCGACCACGTTGGCATTAGAAGGCGTTATAGTAGAAGACGAACTGCTTCTGGCTGGCGGTCGCACAGCTGTGGGTGATTCCTTAAATCCAAACTCGCGAGGAGAAAGAGGATCTAGAGTCGGAGAAGTACGTGAGTTGGGTGCGTCATTCCCGCCTAATCCTATACCGGTACCTGTTGGGTTGACCCTAGATTCTGGTGAGCCCCCTCTACCAACACTAACTATCGGCGGTAGTGCGCTTGGAACTGATGATGTTGTCCATTGGGGTCGTCTCGAGTTACCCGTTTGGAGTGTTAGAGAGCTTCTTCTCGGGCTTCCAATTTTCTGATCTTGCAATAGTTTTGGTGCATTCGATACCTTTGGCGATTCAACAAGAATAGAAACTTGAACGGCCTGCTCCCGCATTTCTGGAGAAATAGTCTGAACGCCACGTACTCGGTATTCTTTCTTTTTGGATTTCACACCATAACTCGCCGACGAACCTCTCCTCGATCTCGTGCGGCTAGACGAGCCCGATACGGAAGTTTCATTGTCACTATCGGCGAGTCGGCTGACCACTGGTTCGTCATCGTCCGAGTCGGTATTGTCTTCATCGTCTCCATCTCGGCTACTAGCATCGGTTCGCTCATCCCAGCTCTTTTTCCCTCGCCGGTAATGCCGATAATCTTCGCTATCGAAAGGTATGGGCGGGGGTTGCGCAGGTGGCGGACGCACAAGTCGGGAAGCGTATCGCTGTATACTCGGCACTGTATCCCAAGCATTAGCATATGATAAAGTAGCTGGAAGTCCTTTAGGAGGGGGAGGATTGGGCTTGGAAGGTGGAGAAAAGACCTCTTTTACCGGTTCAGGGCTCGGAGGCCTCTCAGGTTCCTCAGCTACCATCGAACTTGTAAACAGTTCTGCAGGGGGAGCGTCTGAAGCAGGGAACACACGCCCAGGCTTTGAACGAGGCTTATCTTCCCAAGGGAAGACATGCTTCACTTTATTTAGATTTGGATTTGGCGCCGCGGATGGATCATGATGTACATCGCCGATAACATTTTTGTAATGGTCTTGTATACGCTCTGGAATGTGACTGGGAGGCGGAGGCTCGAAAAATGCCCCAGAATCCGGTGTCGGTGATATCGTATAATGTGTATGCGGATGAGTGCGATCATGCTGCTTGCTCGGAGCCTGATCCCATATATTTTGGAAGTACGTGTCAGAGGGAAACGCAGATGGAGGAGGTGCGGTGTTTGGAGGGGGTTCGACGGCTGGATTCCAAAGAAGCTTCGGAGGAGAAGATGGGCGAGGTGGTGTCTGATGACGAAGCTCTGAGTGCTGTTCCAGGGTCGGCGGAATGTAAGGTTGAGACGGTGACTTGTGCACAGTTTCAGAAGAAGGCTGTTCCTGAGACGGCGGGAGGAACGATTGTTGATACTCAAAGTGCTGCTGAGGTAAAGGTGCCTGGTAGTCATGATGTTCCGGTTGTTTCTGATTCTCGTAGTGAGGTTGAGGTATGTAATGTTCACTAGCAGTTAATGAGGGTGTAGGCGGAAGGGAAATGGTCTGAGGATGAGGGCTGGGAGGAATTTCGTTAGGACCAGGTGTCCGAGGAGAAGAACCATAAAGTGATGATGCCTGATGGGGCTGCGTATCAATGGACAAGTGCCGCACTTCATCTTCTCTCTGTTCGTGTAATCTGGGAGGCGGTTGAGGCCTCATCAAATCTACACGACCTTCAAGAGGCATACTTTTATATTCTCCTTCTCCAATCCTATTTTCCGAAGAATTGACAGAGGAATTGATCCCTTGTATTGCAAGACGTCGTAGTTCTTCCAGGCCAAGCGCTTCAGGTTGGCTGGAAACTAAGGCAGGTGCGCCCTTTTGAATTTGCTCATCCCATGCTGATACATATCTTTGCACCTCGAAATTTGTTTCGGGAACAATAGCTTCCGCACGATAATGCGTGTCATACACGTTAAACCATTTGTCGACCAGCGAATCATAGTCATATGCGCGCTGATGAGGCTCCGATGGTTGTTGTGGTTGCTGAGAAAGGAACGGAGCTCGATATTGGATGGATTTCCAAGGTTTGTGGGGACCGATGAAATGGATAGCGGAAATCTGTTTGCCGAACCGTTCATAAGCAGGTGCATATCTAGAATATTCATTTCGGTCAAAAAGACGTGGAAGAAAGGTAGTTGCGAGACTTACGTGTAAGCTGCCGTTGGAGTAGTGTTGTACGTGAAGCTAAGTCTGTTCCAATTATCTCCTCTCCACTCATTGAGAATTCCCTGGTCCCCACCATCCCAACTTCCTTTCGTTTTTAAGAGTTCCCGAAGCTCCGAAAATTTCTCCTCACCCGGAGAAAGTACTAGAACACCAGAGTTGAATATATCAGGCCAGCCTACATCCGGGGCAGCTGAAAACTCGTGGGGAATCGTAAACAGGTGGGACAAAGGTTGAACCGGAAGGACATCGGCGTCCAGAAATATGATTTTCGAATATTGTGTTAAACGAAATACGTGTAGTTTTGTGAGCACTTCGTTGAGATCCGGACGGCCTTGGAGACAAAGTCAGTTCATACGCATGACATAGGTGAATGACCAGCTAGAGCAGAATGAACAAGCGGCGTTATTCACGGAAGCGGCTCCACCGACAACGATAAGGGATAGTCAGGTGGACTAAGACGCGTTCCAGAACTTCTGAAAATATTCCTCTTGACAAGGAATCTTTTTTCAAATCGATGCTGACGCGTGCCCGGCTAGGATATTTGAATAGACACACACCTAACAGTTTTAGGCCTTCTTCATCATCCTGAGCAATGAGTTCAACACCAATCACAATGTCGAAAGCCTTTCTGAGGAGCTTGATGGTGGAAACGTCGACTGTTTCCGGAGTGACCAAACACACTGTTTGGAATTCAACTTCGGGACTAACTGCGGGGGAAGGATGGACATCCCGGAGTGCAGCAGCCAGAGTAAGTGCACCTGGAAGATAATGGTCGGACGTCAGCAGGGTGACAAAGGCATACTGGGATGCCATAGCCGACGTCGACGACAGTTTCGAGAGTGAGAATTACGGGTTGGTGGTGACCGTCAAAGATGAAGGAACGTTCTATGAAAACTTGGTTCTAACTTCTACAGATCGCATCAAATACGACATCAACCTGGACAAATATCCCCGGTCCGACTCTAGACGCGGAAGGTTTTCTTTCCTTAACTTTTCACTCGGCTCCCATTATAGAGACTACTCTATACCGTCAGATTGAGATATGCTTGAGAAAGAGTAAAATTCTCTGTTCACTCTGGTACTATTTATTGTGAGCCCTACCAGAAACAATGAACCCGGCCCGTTCTTCCGTTCCTCTTTACAGCTGACGTCGATGTCGATTTTGCTTTGAACGTCAATGGCGACTGCGACGAGCCTAATTTTTGCGTCGTGAAATCCGGTCACGAATAGCATGTCATCTTTTTACAACCCTCGAATCTTCCCTAAATCAGTATTCAGCACTAAGTTTACGAAAAGACATGCTTCAAATTGGCCCCGGGCTCATTATTCCCGCTTTCCTTCCTTTTTCACCCCGACGCCCATAGTCAAATATGACCTGAAGAGACGCGCCTTGTGGCTTATACCGGTTGCTGGTGGACTTGCCTTGTATCTTACCCCTCCGCAAAAGTCTCTAATACCGACTCTTATATCATCTCCGGCTGTTATCCCATGTCGATCCTCTGATTACACAGAGCAAAGTCCTGTCATATTATCTCCCTTTGAGGATGACTTCAGTGTTGGATCGCGGCTTTGGCTTGTTCTGCGGGACAAAATTTGGGAGCCTATCTTGACTGCGAAGAGGTTTATCGCTCTCTGCTTTATTTTTCTTCCGGTAATCCTCACCAGTCCTATGTTGTTGGTGGGAAAACCGCAGAAAAAGTCCAAGAGAGATGGATGGGGTGCAATATGGTGGTATGGCTTTTTAGCCAGGCGAATGGAGTCTGCCGGTCCAACCTTTATCAAGGTACGTTCGCTTTCACAATTCCCTTGTCGAAAATCACTTAACCTTTCATTCATCAGCTTTCTCAATGGGCAGCCTCTCGTGCAGATCTGTTTCCAGCATATCTTTGTGAAAAGCTTGGAGCTCTCCACTCGCATGGAAAACCTCATTCTTTTCGGCACACGAAGCGAGTTATTGAACAAGTCTTCCAACGCCCATTCAAGCAAGTATTCGAAGAGTTTGATGAGGAGCCTATAGGCACTGGAGCTATCGCTCAGGTATTTTAACTTCTACCTCTTCAACGGTTTACTAATTCTATTCCAAGGTCTATCGAGCGACTCTCAAGAAAGATCTTCTCCCTCCGTCTTATCTGGGACCACGTCGGCACAAGAAGATGCCCGCCGCTGCTCTCAACTCTGTAACGCTCACAAACCCCCCTCCATCCGTACCCACCGCCGCCGTCGCCATCAAAGTCCTCCATCCTCGAGTCGCCAAAACAATATCTCGCGACCTCTCCATCATGTCTTTCTTCGCAAATTTCATTACATTATTTCCTGGAATGCAATGGCTGTCTTTACCCGACGAAGTAGATGTCTTTGGCCAGATGATGTTCCAGCAGTTAGATCTACGGCACGAAGCAGAGAATTTGCTCACCTTTGAGTCAAACTTTGGGTCTCGGAATGTCCCTGTAAACTTTCCGCGACCGCTACAGGTTTGGTCAACCCCACATTTGCTTGTAGAGGAATTCCAGAATGCGTTACCTCTAGAAACATTTTTGAAGAACGGAGGAGGTCCTTACGACGAGCAAGTAGCCACGGTTGGCCTGGATGCATTCTTGAACATGCTTTTGCTGGACAATTTTGTTCATTCAGATCTTCACCCGGGTAATATCATGGTCAAGTTTTCCAAACCAGCATCAACTCGATACCTTTTGAAGAACCTCTGGACCTCAATCACGCATTCCTTCTTTCACAAATCCCCTGAAGATCCGCCAGATCGAGGGATCATTGTCCCTGATTATTCCGAGTCTGATTCTATTGTAGAACGTCTTCGTTCCATGACACACGACCGCAGTGCTTGGCTCAACGAACTCTCTTCTCTTCATGAATCGGGATACATCCCTGAAATTGTCTTTATCGACGCCGGACTAGTAACGACCCTCTCCGCAGAAAATAGACGAAACTTTCTCGATCTTTTCCGTGCTTTAGCTCATTTCGATGGTTATCGTACGGGTCAGCTCATGGTCGAGCGTTGCCGATCCCCCGAGTTGGCCATAGAAACAGAGACGTTTGCGCTAAAAATGCAGCATTTGGTGCTTAGCGTCAAGCGCAAGACTTTCTCACTCGGTCAAATCAAGATATCCGACATACTCACAGATGTGTTGCGTGCTGTGCGAGAACACCATGTCAAGATGGAGGGGGACTTCATCAACACCGTCATATCCGTATTATTGTTAGAAGGAATTGGGAGGCAATTGGATCCCAACCTGGATTTATTCAAGAGTTCACTGCCTATACTCAGACAGTTAGGAAGTCAAATGGCGAGGAAGGAGCCGGTCACGAAAGATTTACCTTATACTAATCTAGGTGCATTCATCAAAGTGTGGGTATGGCTGGAAGCAAGGGATTTCATTGCTGCGTCGATTGTGAATGCGGATGATCTTGTCAAATTTGGATGGTGAGTAAATGTGTTCTAGCTATGTGCTTATGACCTTTCTAAGCTCTCGTTATTTTGTAGGCTTACACCAACCATCTGATTCTTCATCGATCATCCCCCAGTAGATACACAGAATGCCTTGGTCGCCGATTCTACACATTAACTCTCGCTCTCGATTAGATTGGAAAAGACTTTTAAGACACTGTAATCACCCTTCAACCTGTAACTTAAGTCTTTATACGTACAGCTATCATAAACCAGCATTTTACACATCTCTCGCTGGATGTGCAATATACGTTCTTCATACTGAGTTAATTGCCAACTATATTGGTACGGAAGTAAGTATCAATTAATACAACATTTTCTAGCTTGGAGATAAGCAGCACATAAGATCGTTAGTGCCTTCCCGGAAGTCCCACTTCATCTTCAATTCGCCAATGTCCGACAATACGCATCGCCTCAGCGTCCCCGCTCTCTAGTTCAGGCGAAGATAGAATCGCCGACACCATTTTCCAAGGATCCCGTCCGCCGCCGTAACGGAGAATCTCATCCTTGTATCTTTCACCTAGTCGACGGCTAAGAGGGTCTTCTGAGAAAACGTTACCCCAGACTCGTGAAGCGATGGCACGGTCAAGAAGGTAGGAATAGTATGTGGCACCGTATCCAAACAGGTGTCCGAATTGCGTCTGGAACGATGTTCCAGACACGTAAGGAATCATCCCGCGCGTGTTTTGTAACTTCGCGTACTCCGAGGTGGAGTCGAAGTTGCGGTCGAGTACGGCCGGTGAGTGGTATATTTGGTCGAGAGCAGCTAGGAGGATTTGCTGATACGTGTCAATGGCGTGGCAAGGGTCAATGTGATGATTCGGTGACTGTGCCAAGGATGTTGTGGAGTCGGGGTTGAATAACGAGAGGACCATCGGGGAGTTGAGGAAATGCTCCATTAATATAGACGGAAGCTCAACAAAATCGGTTGCGCAACGCGTACCAGCTACGTTCTGGTATTCTGTTCGCCCTATCATTGCTACACAGACAGAAGCTAATAAGCCACGAGAAAACGCAGATAGATTGCACACACTTACAATGCATAGCGTGTCCCATCTCATGAAATAGTGTATTGACTTCATGCCATTGGAGGACAGTAGCACCCCGTGAAACTGAAGGTCGAGCAAACTCGCACAGTAACACTACAAGCGGTAGCTGGTAGACGCCTTCCTGTTTGGGAAGGCGATGCCGTTTGACAGCTTCGAATTCAATGGATTCTTGTATACTCCTGGGGTCCAGAATTTCTTCAAGACGATCTGCATTTTCGTCGTCGTCGTCTGTCCGACGCGAACAACGAACAGTGTAATGGGCTGCGCCACCTGGTTTACCCCTCCGCGCAAAGAGATCGGCGTAGATCCAACCAATGACACCCTGTGTTTCATCAACAACCTCGAGTTTTTGTACATCTGTATGCCAAACTTCTCCTGAGGCAGCGTGCACTGGTCGGAGGCTGATTCCGTATAAATGACGGAATAGTCGTGAAAGGGCCATAAATACCGTGCCCAGTGTTAATGGAGGTAGCGAGATGGGAGGTGCGGGAGGTTCAGGTGGGCAGTAAAAGTCTCGATCCCAAGCTTGTATTATCGGAAAGGGAGGTGTGTTGAGATGTTCTTGTTTCCGTAAGCTCAAGGAACGTAGCGCGCCTTTTACTGCTGGAGCTGTGTGATCCATGAGGGCATTGAGAAAATGATTCACATTCTCTAAAGACTAATGATGAAGTTTCTTGAATGCCGATTCCATATCACTCACCTGGTGACTTCGCCATTTTATCGTCGAGGGTCAGATGCGCAAAACTTTCTGAACCAACCAGACGGGACAATTCAGCGCGTTTCCTGAGCATGGTCTCCAGGATGTTGATCTGTTCGGGAGTACTTGAATTTGAGGCAACATAAACTCTACGTCTGGGCTCTTCATCTGGTGCAGCACGCATAATCATTTGAGCTTGTAATGACCCAGGATAGACCAAAAGATCGCGATTGGTAAATCTTGCTTGGAGCTTTAACCTGACGCCCATACCCTGATCCTTGAGTCCGGATAGCTCTTCGGGTTTGATTGATGCTGGAGGACGAGGTGTGACAACACCTCTTTGGAATTCTCGACCTAGAACGAGTATTTCGGTCGAGAGCGCAACGAACCTATCTCTTTGATCTGGAGGGAGGTTGATAGCAGACTTTTCAAAGTCCCTCCAAAATATAAGTGCGGTCTGTATTGCTTCGGGTCCTATATACTCAATGATATCCTTGTCCGTTAAAACAGCTTTCAGTACCTATATGTTCTTGAGTGCAACGTTCGAGATTGGATATTGAAGACTACGCACCTCATAAAGTCCAACATGAGTGTTTAGAACATTCATGAATTCACATAACGCTTCGTATGCATGATTCGCGGCGTCAACCCAGACACGATCTGGATGCGCATTTCGGACCAACTCCGAAAGATCTATCACGCCACAAAGCAGGTCGCTGAGTCGGTCAAGGTTTTTCACGACCTTGAGCAGTTCGTCCCGAGACTCCTGAGCTCGAAGAATGCGGTCTGTGAGCTTCTGAGCTCGAAGTAGAGTTGCATTGGTTAGAGATATAAGTGCTCGGGGATTAATCAATGAGGGGTGCCCGAATAAGCCAGTGTGCGACCACGGAGAGGAGGAGGATCTACTCCTGGGCTCATCGAACAGGGTGATTAAAGCTCTATCGTCTACAGAAGCTGGGATCGTTGGGGCAGCCTGGGTAACAGCAGACCGTCGACCGCTTGAAGACCGGAACGCGTCTTTCTTTGGAAGGCATCCATGGAATTGAAATATCTTTCGGGGGCATTTAGGACGAGCATTTCTCGCAGCAGTTGCGAGCATCAAAGAGAGAGAGGCAGAATGATGATCATGAAAAGACTATGTAAGTCTGGAATTTTGTCCGCACGTGCACGGAATCGCCGAGGCTTGTACCTGGCTTGTACATTCAATCTAGACGCTTGCCCCAGGTAGCCCCTACCCGAGGTTCACACTTTAGAGCGAGAACGAACAATCTAAATCCTGGTGAACTCTCCAGTACGTATCATAGGCTAGTAGCAGGGTAAGTACTATTCTTAGTATATACATTACGAATTGGCATCGAGTATACGGTAGTGTTGGTGATGGCGCTAAAAGTAATTGTGCACAGATATACGTTTAAAAGCGAAAACGTGAGTCATGGTGAGAGAGGTGAAAGGCTCCCTGTCATGACTTGATTGAGCTCGGCTTGAACTTTTGGAGAGGGCGAAGCAGGAATATCGACACCAGAGTCAGCGTTTGTACCATGACTGCCGCTCGCAGGAGGAGAAATACTGTGATGGGTGGGAACATCGATATCCATAGGCCCGCCATTTGTTGAGACTTCCGCGTTCAATACATTGCCATCAGCGTAGTTCGTCTGATTACTGGTCGATGTAGGAATGACTCCAGGCTTGGGGATAGGCTCGACTGCATAAATCCAGTACTTGGACTTTTTTCTACCCGCGACTTGCTCAGCTGCAAACTCGGTGGGTTTCAGAGCCGCCGCGCCGGTGGTTTTTACCTTAACTGGTCTATCATTGTTTGAGAACGAAGGGCCGGCCTCAGAAGAATTCGTGCTGAGGGCACTGTCATCTGTGCGAGCGCGTTTGGTGGGAGGGGTGTAATCTAGCAACATCTCTTCTGGTGCGCCGAGACGCGCGGATCGTCGTTCTCCCCGCCAGTTACTCCATTTGTCCTGCTCTGCCTCTCGTTTGCCATTCGCGTTAACCACCGCTGCGCGAGTTGAGCGCCGCTGGCCTTCCTTGGATTTATTTCGACGTGAAGAACGCCGTGAACCATCTTCATCATAATCAGCATTGTCTTCTTCATACCCCTCATCTTCCTGAAAAGTGTACTCATCGCCATCATCCTGGGAAACCAGATTAAAATCAACCATGACGGGATTAAGAAACTTGATATTGCGAACCTCACTGTACGCTGCATTGTTGTAAACGTAATCTGGTTTCCTGGTTTGTCGGCGCGTCCGAGTTTGTCGTAGCTCTGCTTGAGCCATAAGTAGCTTGCGTTGCTCGATCTTTCTTTGCACTTTGGCCACTCGCTGCACAAGGAAAAATCTGAGTAAAATACAAATCGAGCCTGGTGCATACTGACAGCTAGTTCAGCATCAACAATTTGCAGTCTTGATTCCAGCGCCTCGACTAATGCATGATGTGAAGCTTCTTGTTTTGTCCATTTCTTGGCCTTCCCCTTTGTACCCGAAGGTCGTGGTGCAGTTTGTTTCAAATTTTCAGTAATAGTCATATACTCTTCACGAGTCGAAGAAATGCTCTGAAAAGTTGCGGTTGTTTTCCAAGGATTTGTAGATATATATACACGAGGGGATTCTGAGGGCAGGGTTCAGTTGATACGTCACACGGAGGTATCCGCAAATTTGGGAATCTGGGTGAACAGCCCTGCAAATACGCGCAAATACGCGTCTGCTGAATCAAGGAAAACGTACGCACTGTCGGAAACCCAATATCGTCTGCGTTGAGAATCTTGTCCGAGAGGCAACATTTGTAGACTTGTTCGACTATCTGGGTCTGAAGGATCCGGGGGAGCAGTTGCAGGATCTTTCTTTTTATTTTTGTTAACATTCACACCCCAAGCACGATCAATCTTTGCTTTGATGTCTGTGCTATGGGACAACTGCAATTCGACAAGCTGGCGCAATATTTTGAGCTGAACGAAACATGGTATAAGGTATATGGGGTAAGCACTTCCACGCGCAGAACACGTACTTTGAAGTCCCAATCAGCTGCAAAGAAACCTCCTTCGAGACTTGAAAAAGGATCCACGTTCTTGTTCAAATCGTCGTTCCAATATATGGTTCTTTCTGGAGTTTTGAAATAGTCACCCAACACTGCAGCCACAGTGCTGGAGATTTGATCCTCGCTACGGAACCACGAAACATTGTTTCAAAGCGCGTTCTATATCGTGCTGAACAATCCTACCTAAGGTTACGCGTATGAGGACGAAGATTCAAGATGAATCGGGTGAGTACGCCAGTGACTATCACATTAGGTTCTCGCAGTAGAAGCGCATTTTCGAAACTAAATCAACCGTTCCCGATGGATTATGAGTACAAGTATTCGTGACACGAAACTAGATAAGAACTCACTCCATTGGTGTTTCAAGTCCCTCAACCTTGCCTCGAAGATTTGTGAATTTGCAAATGAAAGAATATATGAAGAGGGATTCCCAGCGGTCAGAAGGATGTTTTGCATTTGATGGCGGGCAAACATGGCCTTTAGGAGCCGTTGCCATAGTATTTGAGGCGGAGGAGGAAGTATCTCAAGTGTTGATGGAGGTGAAGAGTAGAGAGTGTTACTTTATGTCACGCGCGATCTAGGATATTCGTGCTTATCCGTGCGAAATTTCAATGCAAAAGAATTATTTCAGAGTTACAAGCTGATAGAAATACAGAGGCAAGAATAATTGATAATCGTTTGATAAAGCAGAGAAAGACAAAGGCTCCCAACTCTTTCTCTACCGGGAGCCGATACCGCCAATCAATACCGCCATACCGACACACAGCATCTTATCCAGGTCCGACCTGTAAAAAATTGTTTGAACAAGGAAAACCCCATACAAGAAAAGATATACGCACTTTGGGAATATCGTGGTGCTCGGAAAGAGATTCCAGATGTGAATTGAACTCGTTGACCCGATCCTTATGAGTCTTGTTAGCTAACTTGGCAACACGCTGAGCAAGCTGTATGATGATTGTAAGTCAAAGCTACAGCATAAGAATTGCTTTCTTTAAACTCACCCTTTGCTTCTGTACCTCCTCAAATCGACGCTCCGCTTCGGTCTTGACTGGTTTGCCGTTACCTGCAGCAGGAGAATTCCGACTACTACCTCCGGGGGAAGACGGATCAAGGTCATCTTGCAGCAGGAGCTCCTTCACCCTTTCACGTTCGCGGGCCCTTTCTGAGTTCGAAGTAGAATTCGAGCCTTTGGATTTTTTCTTCTTTCTGTAACAAGTTATCAGTAATGAGAATGAACCGAGATATGTTGATTGACTTCTTGACTATCCCGCCATCATTGACGGTACTCTTGAGTTTCAGGGAACCTGCAGGCCTAACATCATATGCGTTCGACATGGAAGTTGCAGCGAAAGCCACGGTCTCAACATCACGTAAGTAATTTGATCTGTTGTATTCGGCCAACAGGCGACCTCCTTCCTTCCTCCCGTCGTGTGCACCTGGGTTTTCAATGGCCATACTGCAATCCCCAATAACCTTCATAGCCTCTATACCAACTGTGACACGTTATTTCACCTTGGCTACTGTTACGTTATCTCTGGTTTACGCATGGCTCCAATGGAATTCTGAAGGCGCGAAGCTGTTTCCGTATCTGGTGCTTGTGCCGGGCTCAAGCTTGTTCTATCCTTGGACATTTATAACATCTGCCCTTGTAGAAACGACCTTATGGGAGGTATGACTTGACTGCATTCAGCTGGAATGTACCTCAGTTTATTGTTGTTCTAGCTAGCAATCACTGTCATCACAATACCACCCACCTTGAAATACTTGGAACGACTGTGGGGAAGCATAGAAACCCTCAAATTTATAATAGCTACTGTCTGCGTCTCGAACATAATCGCGTTTGGATTCAACTGGATAGAATTCATCGGTACCAGCAATGCAGACTTGTTTCTGTTCGTCTCGTAGTTACCACACAGAATCCTGCTGACTGATTTCTAGGTATGGCATGAACTATCATGGTCAAATGTCGCTGCAGATTGGGGTCCTTGTCGCTTTCACACAGCTGATTCCTGAACATCAGGTCCAATTTCTAGGTTTTCTCAAGATGCGAGTCAAGGTAACGCAACCTCAAATATTGCCAGTGGCTTGTTCGTCTAAACTATTTTTCAGAGTCTACCCATGACATATCTCACTTTATCAACCGTCATGACCATCCTTGGCTTCCAATCTCCTTGGATTATCATCCAATTCGGCTGGTTTGTCAGTTGGATATACCTCCGCTTCTACAAAAAGAACTCCAACGATACAGTCGGAGGCGTCGAAAGTTATGGAGATCGAAGCGAAACATTTTCTCTAGTATCATGGTTTCCTCCATTTACCCAGTACGTCTTTCATAACTGTTACGTCTATTCTCATTCACCCTGTGCCCGCTAGCATTGTCTTGGGTCCTGGCGGTAACTTTGTCTACAAGTGGGCAAATACCCTTCACCTCATACCTTCTCATGGCGGAGACATCGAAAGTGGGTTTAGTACAATACCTGGGAGTGCTCGGGCGGAGGCTGAAAGACGACGGTGAGTGCGATACCCTTAATTCCAAAATTCTGGCGATTCACGTTTTTGCAGCGCAATGGCCTTGCAGGCCCTTGATCAGCGCCTTGCTAATACAAGTTCTTCAACTCAATCGACTGCGCCTGTTTCAGCTCATACACCTCGCCCGCCACCCGCTGTCGCTTCTCCTCGACCAGAAAAAGTTGCACCTCCAATTGATCACGTTGCGAGAACTAGTTCCGACTCAGAGAGTGGAGATCTTGGTACGACGGAAGCTAGCAAATAGTATACACATCATGATTTGATTCTTGGCATCACGCTCTGTATAATCTACAAAAGGACGATGCTAGTACGATACTCGTCCATACCGTTTAATTATATCTCTATCCCATTTTCGTGTATGTACATAAGGAGCTCAAACTGTCGACTCTGGCACTGGCTGTGCTCCCACGTGAGACCGTTTCCTCTTTGTCCTGAACTTCCAGCTCCCATAACGCGTTGATTATGTCGCGCCGACCATCAGTTAGAGCCAGTCGTTCTTCGTCAATATCTACCATCACACTCGGTAATGGCCATGTAGACGGGTCTCTTGTAATGGTCAAAATGCCCTCCTCCCAAATGACATCCTCTGCATCATTTCCCAAGATGTCAATGGACAATCTGGACCCGGACGAGTTATTCGTCAAGCACAATATTTCTGAGATAAAGCAAATACAGCAGCGGTTGAGGTACTGTCACATTTATTCGATATCAAAAGAGGGAGCTAATGAAGTGCGGATATAAATATAGAAACGATGCTGACGCCAAGCAGGAAGAGCTCCGGTTGATGGTGGGGTATGTCGAGTCTAGCTTTTCACTTTGTCTATTATTTAAAACGTAAATTGAAAGGGCAGAGAGCGATACAGGGACCTCCTCCAAGCTTCGACGTCTATAATATCCATGGCAAACTCCGCTCAGCGTATGATTCATGCTTTAGAGGATACCAAGAACGCCATCTTAGCTGAACACCCTCCGTCAATACCCCAGCCCACCCTTGTCAAATCAAATGAAGGTGGGAAATGAATTAACTTCGATACCTGTAAGATTTCTGAATACGGGGACTTTGAACAGATGTACACCTCCAGGCGTTACAAGTGCTCGCAGCGCACGTTAAACTTCTCTTGGATGTCCCAGAACACCTTTGGAGAATTTTAGAAAAGAAGAAGTATTTTTCAGCAGCGTGGCTATATCTGCTATCACGCGTTGTACATCGAGCATTAGTACGGGAAGAACAAGACGACGAGGCGTGGCGAAATCAGGGTATAGATATACTGGTGAGTCGTGTTCGTGTTCAATCGTATCAGGACTAATGAGGGCATATTGCAGGAATCATTTCCACTTGTTCAACGCCAATGGGAAGTGGTGGCTCAATTTCGGTCGCAAATTGTTCACAAGGCTGCCCTTTCGTTACGGGATTTCACTACCCCATCACAGGTACAGTTTCCCGTTTTGGCTCGCATTCTTGGCTTGATTGACGAGCTAGACAACCTGTGCGACTTTGCTTACACTCCATCTACTTGATTCACGCCCGCTTTCGGAAACATTGACTGCCTTATTGGATCAACGGTCGAAATCCCTCAACACCATCTTTTCCAAAAATCCGACTCCCCGAGGCTCCATAAGAGAAATCAAAAAATGTATCCTCGGTGCCCTTCAGGCAATATCGCAAACGATCCAAACCTCTCGAGATGTTTTCCAATCTCGAGATGCTCAACTTTCCCTCATCCGAGCGACTCTGAAATTCATACAAACTGATTGTGTTCCCTCTTCCGGCCTGCCAGTTGAACTACAGTTGACCACTCAGTCGCTCCTCAGTAATCTTCCCTCTTCTTCCCACTTCTCGGCCCTTCCTCGAAGCTTGACGTCGTATAAACCTCATGTGGATGTTTATTCTCAGTTTTCCTCTCTGCCTCCAGCACACTTGGACAACAAAGTCTCGGAATGGTTCCAACGATCTACGGACGCACTGCGGATATCATGTCGAACATGGTTATCAGACACCAATAGCGTTAAGGTTGTGTGGTCTATCAGGAACTCCGTACGCATGTGGTTGCAGTCATCTTCAACATTAGAATCTTCTGAAACTGAACACTTGAATTCCCTCTTTGATGATGTCTGTCGTGAATACATCGCTGAAATTTGGAGGATTAGACTGTCCAATGCTGAGACAGCTTTCCGTGATCAACTTACCTTTGCTGTTACATCGATAAAGGATTCTTCCACAGATACAACAGGTAGCGCAAAACATCGTCCTTGGAAACTGTTTGATCATTCTTCACTCCCATAGATGTTTCTCCCATAGCACACATGTTTGATGCCCCACCATTACCGACGGTATCTCAAACAGAGGATGTACCACTACAGAAGTATCGGGCTTCTCTTCAGTGTCAATTATCCGGTCGCGTCTCCTTACTGGATAATGTTCTCAAGACTCTTGAAAAATGTGCAGCTGCACTGCAAGAAGATCTTTTGCAAGTACTTACTGGGGATGATACGGACACCACGTACGCTTATCTGTCATGGATTTGCTACTCACACATACGGAATGATCGGTACATAGATCACTCATTACACGACTCAAAGTATCATACCAGCCCCATGCCCAAAGACTTTGCACAGCGGCGCTGGACAGCATTGAAACCTCAGCAGATACATTGCCTGACAAGACTGGTATATATGGTCTTTAATAACACTGTCTATAGGGCTGACTAACTCTATGTTTCAGAGCTGGATATCAGTGCTCTTGTTTTTGTTGGAAGAATTGCTGAAGAGTTGTCGTCTTCCCTTTTCATTTCGAATATGTCTTGTACCGAGGCAATGGCACTAGGCAAGGGGCAACTCAATCAGATTTGTGTCGAGACAAAAACTTATGCTTGTGGAAGATTTTCTATATAGGGCTAAATCCATATACAATTCAATCATAGATCGATGGCAAGAATTCACGGTGCTTCACGTACTTTCTCGCCATCGAATAGCATTGCCTCTCGCGGGTTTCAAGCCATCGCCTTGCAGTGAGTATCTGCTCGTATATCTTCGATCCCTTCTATTCAGACCATCTTTCAGCATCTCCTTCTACCAACTTAATGCAGTCCTTGCTCCTGCTTGCGGAGGCCATACAAACTCTAGGCTTCTCTGGAGATTCTACGCGACACAGTCATCTCGCCGATCGGGTGGTTCATCTGTTCATCGGTCGTCTTCTGGATCAGGAATGGGAGCACAACAAAATTCAGACACTATATGATATAGGCTTCTTACGGAGAATCGCGGAAGTATGGGGCTCACCCTGGACTGATATCTGTGAGCTCTTAGACGCTAGAACATCACGCGTCCGTGACTCGGTAGGTTTTCGCAATATCGTTTATGTGTACATACCTTATTAAACTTTCGAAGATTGGTATCCCTGACGAAGTTCCCTCTGATGAAACACTATCATGGATGAGCGCTGATCACCTAGCTAGAACCCAAACAATCCTGGCTGCAATACTGCCTTATCCTGTTGCTACTAGAGGTACTCACACTCCTGCCGGAAAATCGGTCTCTTCGGATAAGTTTGCAGCGCTCCTACCCTTGGGCGTCCCTTCTTCAGATAAAGAGTATCGCGCAGCTATCGAAGTTGCCAAACCTTCATCGAGGTTCGCGATGCTTCTAGTTAACTAGAGCTTGACAAGCAATGTAATTCGCCTCAATGCTGTATCCATTTTGTTCTCCGTGGGTGTAAGGACCCACCAACAGTGATATCCGATCTTGAGAGTCTTGATTTTCGGTCTCTGTAGTCATTCCAAGCAATGCTTCTATTACAATGGCTTACACTTCTTCTTGATCTTGGTCTCGTGGTAAGGGTGAAATTCAACAAAATCAATCGTTGCAGTGATTGAAGATGTTCGTCGTGTCAATCCTTGGATCGCCTCCACATTCCTTTCCAGTGCATACTACCAATCCGTAAAAGGAAAGGTTCTCCAAAGCAGTGACTGTGAAAAGAATCATCTTGTTTGAGGGCGAGCAAGTTTTCCACCCGTCCTCATTCTATCGAGTACTCAAATGAACAAATCTGGTAGGCTGCCCTCTTGGGTCCTTTTGCTTTCCTTACCTCCTTCCCCAAGATCCTCCTTTTGTCCCTAATCTAGCCCATCTTTGGGTACCATTCATCACTCTTCATGTTCTAGGCGAAGTGGGCACCATATTATTATTGCTCACATATTTCTTTTCAAAAAATGTGCACCGGCATCCCACCCTCGTTAACTTCTGGATAACATGGCTCATATATTCAGTATCATACACCCTTCTGTTAGTTGCCTGGTCTTCTTTTCGAAATGACTTATGACCCCTTCCAATAGATTGTACGATAAGCAACAATATACTAATCCAGACACTTTATGTCGCGTTCAGGCAGCCATGGTAGATGGGTCACCTTCCTTGTACGTTCCCCTTCTTTCAGAGTCCTCATGCCGCGCAATGACTACGCTGCCCTGCAGGGTTGTTACCGCAGGTTTAGTAGCGGTGATACAGGTTAGCTGATAGCAACTCTTCCTTGGCTTTTCGGTGACCGACTAAAGATGATACAGATTTGGAAAAAAGTGCACCGGCCACCCAATTCTATCTACAAGTTGACTTTGACTGCAAAGCAAAAATCTCGCATAAGTCTTGTATTGGTGGGATGATTTCTCTCTGCGGATGTGTCGAACAAGGCTATAACAACGTCGCAGTTCCTTTTTGTCCCTTACATGGTGTTCCTGGTCTTCAGCATTGGGTCAGCATTGGTAACCATTTCTCTGTATCTCTTTTCGGTTCCCTTCTCAACGTCATGTTACAGGTCGGGAGGAAGGATTTTTCGTTGACAAACCCCATGAACGGTCTGTACTGCTCTCTCCATGTGGATGGATTGTGAGTTAATCCATAGCCTTTGTATCAACTTTCAACACAAATTTCCCCTCTAGCTCCCGCTACAGTATTCCTGCATATTGCACTGTTGTCATGACTTTCTTGCTGGGCTTCGAAGGTGAGCATTGACATGCATTTACAAAAGGACGCAAGCAGTTTATGAGACATCGTAGTTGCCATCTCTTACAAATATTGGAGAACGCGAGCAACGACGGCGCGAGCGTTCACACTCCTCAAAAGAGATCTACCCTTCTCACTCATTTTACGGATGCTACTGTTCAGTGTGGTCTCAGTAATGGTGATAAGGTATTTATTAGTGGAATACCTGTCAGCCACACTATTTAGCTTTTCTGCAGTATAGGCATCATCTACATGTCAAACTGGCTTGTCCCATGGCCTTACATGATGCAGGCCACTTGTATGTCATATTATAATCTCGGCTTGGGAAGTAATGGAACTGACTGACTGCCTGTAGTACCTTTGTTTTCGGTATGCGTATTCGGAACGCAAAGGGATTTACTCATGGCTTGGGCGTGTTGGCATCGCTCAAAACCAAAGCCACAGTTAAAGCTGCTTCAGATAACAGAGATGGCCATTTCAGAATCAAATTTGGCTCGATTACCACCCGTTGGGATTCTCGAAATAGCGTCTGCTAGCGGGTCTAGGACGAGATTTAGTAGTGCACCGTCATCGGCAGTGGAGAGAGGGACAGTATCAGGCGAAGAAACGGTTTGACGTTCGCGGACGAGATGGAGGAGCAAAGGAACATGCACCCGCTTGTTTGTATTTGCAGAGAGGAGAAACCGAAACTAATAATAAAACAAATGAATGAATAGTAGGCCTCTGCGAGTTCACGCTCCTCCACTATTCGAAAGTTAGTCAAACAACAATTGTACACAGTAAAGGAGACATACACAAGGATGTTATTGCTGCAAACACAAGTCAATATAGGACTAGCGGAAAATAGGGTGCCACGTACATCGGTATATGAATGAGCTTCACAAAGTAGCCAATGAACCCCATAACAGCGAATCCCACCGCGACTGCTTTACATATTTGTACGAACTCTGAAGGATGAGTAAGAAAGCGAGGCTTGAGCTTTTGCGTTTCAACAAACCTTTCTGTGAAGGTTTTGTGCAACGGGTTAGGAACTAGGACGAAGTTAGGGCCAATATACGGGAAATTTCGAAAACAGCACATACCTGGTTGCCATCTTGAACGAATTGTTGGGGAATTTCAACAAATTCTCGTAATTTATCGGACATGTTGTGGTGAAGAAGAAGAACGGTGAAGAGTTTAGGTTGGTAAAGAGTGATGGACGCTGGCAAAATTCAGAAATGAAAGTTCACACGAATGGACACGACTTCACAAGTTTCAATAACACCCATCCGAGGTCTGAAATCACTATCGTTCCATTTTCCCGTTTTTTGACATGGTTTTTTAGTCCCGCATGAATGTCCTTTCGAGTTGGGCTTTCTCGAATCGGCATTGCACATCCCAAATGTCTACCGAAACCAGTTGATTTGCGTCTCTATCGCCAACTCCATTCTTCTGCAGCTATTCACAACTCGGTTAGGGAATATTTGGCCTCGTTGAAGACTGATATTCAGAATCCAGATGTGATTCACCGCGATTATCCACTTTTAACATGGGAGATTAGGCAACTAAAGCAGGCGCGCCAAAATCTTCTTAACAAAAATGACATCGAGACTATGCTGGAGGCCTTAGCCCTTTCGGCTCTGCCAGAGGACCTTTCTCGTATAGAACAGATTTTATCCGACATGTCAATTGTCTACGATGTCCCTCCTTCTTCCGAAACACACACAGTCATCATTCGAGCTCTGATTCAGAAAGGAACTTTCCAGTCCGTGAAGCTCTGGTTGGAGCATATGCCGAAGAAACCAGGTGGTGTTGAACCTACCATAGGACATTACCATTTGGTACTCGAAGCTGGTCCACGATTCTGCACATTCAAAAACATGATGCAGCTTGTTCGCGAGATGCGACAACGAGGTTGCGAGCCAACAAACGACACGTTCAAACTTCTTGCGCAAGCTCGATGGCTGACGACTACCCGGGTATCCAGAATTCCCCTACCTTCCGACTTTACCCCAATTTTCCGACATATGCAGGAAATTGGTCTTCCATACAATACTACCGTGGCTGATATGATCCATGTCATGTACCTGGACAAGCAGCGCTTTCGATATGCTGAAGAAATCATGGTTTTATACAACGACTCGTACTCTGATCTCCTACCACCTGGCCTATTATGGGAGAACGAGTGGCTTCTTCGCTTGTCTGCAGCTGTAAAAGAAGGAGGTGTAGCCACTGGTTTGAAGTTGATATCGCAATATAGAGAGGAAGGAGGGAAGCCTTCAGTCCGTACTTTGGGAGTTTTCATGCAGCGCATCACGCGCTTCGAACACTTGTGCAGTGTTCGAGACCAGCTTGGTATCGCTCCCTCGCAAGAACAATGGTCTATGTTACTCTCAAAGTGTGTCAAGCGGGGCACCATCTCGGAAATGTTGGAGTGCTATAATGAAATTAGGAATGAAGGCGTAATGCCCACCGCCAGCGCAATATCTCGATTAATTCAGTCAGTTCTGGCTTCCCCTTTATCCGACGCCGTCGACACCTCCTTCAAGATTTTCAATGATTTTACAGATTCGCTTCCAGACCGTTGCGATCTGCTTGAAAGAGAGACGCAACGCTCCCTTGCAGATCTATTTTCTAACATGCTCAGAGAGGTTACTCAGCACTTGGACAAATATGCGCCCATGAAGGAGCTAATCCTTAAAGAGGCCGAGGTTCACAATGTTCCTCTTCAAAGTGCAAGTGCATATCTCACTGCCATAAGTATGAACTCTGCACGCACAGAGCGCGACGCCATGGAAGCATATCGAGAAAGCAAACATATTTTGGATGAAGCTGGATATATGACAGTCCTGGATATCCTGAGCCGAATTTCATGGAGTGATAGGATGGAGCCACGGGTTCCTACCATCTCTTTTTATTTCGAGGTTGTGAAGGATATGAAAGCCGCTCGCTATTCTGTAACCATGACTATCTATCTGATCCTCCTTCGGTCTTTACGACAGCTTGCCAGCCGCACAGCTAAGAGTGTTGGATTTCTGCACTTGCGCCATGATACGCTTGCAGCTACCCGCCAAACTCACGACCTCATCACCCTCGACTCTTCGATTTCGCCCAACATCGGTCTTTGGAATGCGTTATTGGAAAACTACCGGCAGCTGGGATCTTTTCCAGATGCACTTCGTGTTTGGGATACTATGTACATATCCCGAACATTTGATCGAGCCAGCGTCAACATTATCCTGACGACTTGTCGCGAAGCCGGTGGTTTGGATATGGCGGGACAGATAAAAAGCAAACTGGAGAGGTCCGGGTACGTTTTTGACAATTACAACTGGAAGGCTTGGATAGCTTGTCTATGCGACGCAGGCAGAATGAACGATGCGTTACGCGATATGTGCACCATTGTAAAGGATCCTGATCCAGAGATGGCTCAAATCATTTTGGGACGCCTGAAACCTGACATTAAAGTGAACGTTATGGCTGCGATTCAGAAACATCGACCTAAATTGCACATCGCCCTTCTGGAGGAGGCATCGGCGTAGGGTGGGGGTAGAGCTCAAGTAATCTAGAGAGGAGCAATCTATGGATTATGTATTACTCAGTAGTATAGGATGATATGCATGGTCTGAAAGCTAATAACAATAATTGCGGAAGTACGTTGATGTTGTGTGTGCGCCTGGTTGAACAGCGCTCCGAATCTTTACAGCCGTCTAGAGGAATGAAAGCCCAAGAAAAACAAGATGAAATGAAGGTCCAGAGTCTAGGTGGTGGCCAGTTCTTCTACAGAAGGGCAATCGCACTAAAGGAATTGACATGTTATTCTATGTGATATTACATGAGGGAAAACACTTACTATGAGGTTCAGATCACCATAAGCTGATTACATATAGTTGTTGATCAAATGACGACCTGTGAAATTCGGAAAGTGGGACTCACCATCGTCTATACGGGACACAGTCGGCCAAAACTTCTTCTCTTCTAGGTACGGTAAAGGATATGCTGCAGTATGGCGAGTGTATGGACTAATATATCCGACATCCGTAAGATCAAGCAGCAGAGGAGAAGAACGTTACAGCGCACCGGTTCCACTCTGTATCAGGAAGAGTTAAGACATGCATAGGATGGGGGGCATTCTTCAGCACATTGTTGTCTTTCGGTTGCACGCCAGAAATGACATCTTCGGCTTCTTTACGTATTTGTATCATAGCGTCGCAGAATCTTCAGTAGCAAGAAAGGGTCAACGACAATAAATCATCATCTGTATTGTGCACCAACCTGTCGATCTCTTCAAGTGTTTCTGACTCAGTAGGCTCGATGAGCATACAAGTGGAAAGGGGCCAAGAGCATGTCGGAGGATGGAAACCGTAGTCCTATACAGTATTTCGGGTTATATCAGGTCAAAGTTAGATTAATACAAGCCTAAACTTTACCTGAAGTCGTTTAGCAAAGTCCATGACTTTCAGCCCAGCCTTCTTGTCAAACTCGGCCAAGTCAATCAACAACTCGTGTGCGACACGTCCATTGACATTTTTATACCGAAGGTTATAGTGGCCAGAAAGCCGACTAGCCATGTAGTTGGCATTTAGAAGTGCAATTTTTGTGGCGTTGCTCAAGCCCTGACCGCCCAGCATTTTGATGTATGCCCAAGAAATGAGGTGAATAGACGAACTTCCGAAGGGACCAGCAGAAACAGCGTTGATAGCTTTCTCGCCAAGAGGCATCACCGGATGGGAAGGAAGGAAAGGTGAAAGGTGTTCAGCAACACAAATTGGTCCAACTCCGGGTCCACCTCCGCCATGAGGACTGACGGAAGAATCGTTGAGATCGAAACCCAGATATGATCACAGAACTCACATAGCAAACGTTTTGTGTAAGTTCATGTGGCAGACGTCTCCTCCGCAGGTTGCAGGATTGGTGAGACCAATTTGTGCGTTGAGATTGGCACCATCCAAATAAACCTGGCCCCCGTTGTCGTGAATTATTTTGCAGGCCTAGGAGGAATCGTAATCAGAAAAGGAAAGAGAAACCCAAGACTGCTTCACCTACTTCTTGTACGCCGTCTTCGAAAACGCCGAAAGTGGAGGGATACGTGATCTAAATGGAATTAACAGCAGAGAAAGGATGCCTCAAAAACCCTCACCATGAAGGCAGCCAGTTTGTCTTTGTGCTTTTCAGCTTTCGACCTCAAATCTTCAATATCCAGATTTCCATCATCTTGGACCTTGACTGAAACGACTTTCAAGCCGGCCATGACCGCGCTCTATTAACTGATTACCATATTATTGGGGCGAGAGTGAAATTTTCTTACGGCTGGGTTCGTACCATGGGCACTCAATGGAATCAAGCATATATCCCTAGCACTCTCTCCACGGGACTCATGATAGGCGCGAATGACACAGAGGCCAGCGTATTCTCCAGCAGCACCAGAATTCGGTTGAAGCGACGTCGAGTGGAAGCCGGTGATCCTAGCGAGATCTTGTTCCAATTCCTGTTGGAATAAGGTAAGACACATGGACATATTCAGTAGACAGTAGATTGCGGCGAGCCTTAATGATGGTATGATATCCTTGTACTTGGTCGAAAGGCACAAACGGATGGATACAACTGTATTCCTCCCAAGTGAGCGGTATCATGCTGCTAGTACTGTTGAGCTTCATTGTACAACTGCCGAGAGGTATCATGGAATGCACAAGGCCAACATCTTTCGAAACAAGATGGTTAATATAGCGTAACATCTCAGTTTCGGAATGGTGCTTGTTGAAGACCTGATGAGGAAGAAACTCCGATGTCCGCTCTAGTGAAGAAGGTATAGCTGGGGCATCGGGCTCCCGAAGCTGTTGTAGGGACACCGACGAGGAAGACGAGGCAGTCGCAAATACGTTGATCAAGTCCACGAGATTGTTGGAGGTAACACTTTCGTCGAAGGTAACACCAACATTGTGGTCGTCTATTTGACGCAAATTAATGCCCGCAGCGATAGAGACGTCATGCATGTCTTTAGCGTTCGATACCTTCACGGTAATCGTGTCAAAGAAGGTTACATTAGCAACATCATACCCAAAGGATTCAACGGAATCTTTGAAGACCTGCGCGAAGCCATGTACTTTGTGGGCGATACGTCGTAGACCAATGGGACCGTGATAAACTGCATACATTGCCGCCATATTTGCTAGCAGCGCTTGGCTTGTGCATATATTACTCGTAGCTTTCTCGCGTCGGATGTGCTGCTCTCGAGCTACAAAATGAATGTTAAACAGGACGCCACAAGACTTCAGGGTACGCACTTTGTAATGCTAAACGATAGGCCGGTTTTCCGGTTGCATCCCGACTGCGACCCACCAAGCGACCAGGCATCTTCCTCTTCAATTTTTCAGTTACAGCAAAGAATGCACCGTGCGGACCACCGTAGCCAGAAGGTACGCCGAATCTTCCTTTAGTTTTGAAGGGAAAAAAGGTTTATTAGTATAGCATTGACTAAAAAGAACAGGACGACGATAATCCGCAAGCATAGTGAGTACCCACCCGAATTTCCAAGCACGATATCAGCACCCCATTCACCGGGCGGTTTTATCATGGTTAAGGCGAGCAAATCCGTTGCACAAACGACCAAAGCGCCTGCGACATGAACAGATTCCGCGAACATAGCAAAATCCTTAATGTGTCCATTGACGTCAGGGTATTGAACCAAAACACCACACAAATCTTTTCGCAACATATCATCCTCAATTGCTGATAACGCGTCCGCCACGACAAGATCGATATTGAAACCCTTCGCTCGGGTGCGAAGAACCGCTAAGGTTTGCGGAAGAACTCCAACATCAACTAGGAACTTTCGTTTGCGATAACCGGATGAGACGTAAGACATAACCATTCCTTCAGCCGCGGCAGTGGCTTCATCAAGCAGAGAGGCATTGGCAATGTCCATAGACGTAAGTGACATGACCATTGTCTGAAAATTGACCAATGACTCGAGGCGGCCTGTATGAATTCCTGTTAGTATATAGATAAGGAGATAATTATAAAAAGTAATGATTGACCCTGAGCAATTTCTGGTTGATACGGGGTGTACGGGGTGTACCATTGTGGATTCTCAATAACCTGAGAGGACACAATATATCAGTGACCGAAATGACCGCAAAGAGGTGTATGCGGACGTTACGAAGGATGACCGGAGGGACCACAGCACAATGATACCCCATACCTATGTAACTCTTATAGGGTTTATTCAACGAACCTAAATCCTTCGCCCTAGCAAGAAGTTGCGATTCGCTAAACGCAGGAATGGTCTTGTTGCTGATTTCGTCTGCAGAAATTCGAATTTTAGGAGGAACCGCTTCGTCAACGAAGGCATCCATGCTCTTGTAGCCCAGATGCGAGAGCATTGTATTTGTTTCGCCGTCATCTGGACCTATATGTCTCTCGGCGAAGTCATCCAAAGGAGAGAAAAGGGAATTAGGACGATGGGCACTCGCAAAACTCCTTGCGTGAGGCAATCGGCCAATGCGTGATAGAGCAAGGCGCAAGGCCGTCATTTGCCAAAAAAGATGGAGGACGTAGCGAAACAGAAGACCTCGTCAAACCACTTTTTATGCACTGGAACGTAAAAAAAACGATAAGGACTCGGTGGAATCTCACGGCCTTTGCCGATCGCGACGAAATCATGTCTGGAAGGGCAGCGTAAAGATGCGTTGACTCTAATCTCCTCGTTCTGTAGGCATTGGAATAATTTCTGGAGTTGAGTAGCCGACTCGACATCGAAGTCCATGAATTAGTTGACCCGTTATTACCGGTCACAGAATCGCACATTCACTGACGGGAAGGCGCCAGAATAGGCCAGAACTGGCCAGAATCAATAATTTCAGAACGGTACGAGATACCAACTTCAAATAGGATAGCATTTGAAGTACGTAGAAAACAAGATTCATCTGGTTTTGCCAAAAAAACGCGTCGAGCGCGTCTGTACGTGGTGTATGAAAAGGCATTTTAGCGCTCGAGTGGATGATAAAAAATTTTTTCACCGTGACCGTACGGGACTGATAAGGCTTCAGGAACTCCGTCTCCTTGCCTGCGATCCGCAAACAAATAAATCTTATCTTATCATGACGATCATGGCACCTATATCTCGCAAGACCCATAACCCTTCATTGGAACCTAAACATGGAAGCAGGGATGTGAGTCAGAGGGTAGTGCAGGAACTACTACTCACAATACAAAGCAATGGTTTTCTTATCTCGGTCAATAGGGTGTATAAGTTGACCAAATATCAAACTTCTTGTGCAAGAAGAATATAACGTTTCTGCTCCAAAACAACCTGAAACAACCTCAAAAACAAAATAAACTTTAACGTTGAGGTAGGAACTCGCGTGAGTGAGAAAGCTTGAGAAAGTGAAATCAACGACTTCACAACCACAATTTCCTTTCATCGATTCAACCATGGAGGTTATATCTTCTCTGATAGTAAGATGCACACCCCTTCAACCTAGTGCGAAGCTCTTCACTTGTTATTTTAAACAAATGTACACCAGGTGGTCATTTGTTCAAAATGTAACACCCCACAGGAGCAAAATGTAATCGGTTTCATCTCATATTACAAAGACACCCTGTTATAAATACACCCTAATCTCACAGGAATAAATCTATATTTTATTTTACCAGAAGTGCAACGGTTCGGACAGAGGATCCCGTTTTAATTTGTTTATTTTGAAATAAAATAGTACTACATAGAACGTTCAATTTATGGGGGATTTTACCTGAATATCACCCGATTCGAGCGTGATGACCCTTCCTTTGCTCTTTCCGTCCTGCCTCTCCAATCGAAGTGTGGTCAATATTTCGTCGGCTATATCGACAGTGGATGTCCCAACACCTATCTGGCCTTCATACGATGCAGTGACGGTTTTTGACTTTACAACCATTACAAAATCAACCACGCCGTTTTTTCGATGTGGTACTCCTTCCCATCTCCTTATCGATGCAATGAATCCTAATTCCGACGCTACAACATCTAAGGCTCGTTGTAGCTTGGCTGAAACTGAATCCTGGTGCAATTGTTCTTTACAAGCAGGATCAGCTGTGTATGTTACCTTCACCTTCACTGTCTTTAGGCCGCGCTCTGAAATGGTTGTTGCATCTACGTTTGGGCTGGGTATGAATATAGCAACTGGCTCATCCTAAAAGACATAATAAGTAGGTATACATTGAATATCTTTTGAGACTTACCGATCTCACACTGGAGAGAGGCATAGCAGCGGCAAAAGCGGCGCAAACAAGCCCGAAAACGAAGAGAAATGAGAGCTTGGAGCTCGAGGAAATTCTGGAATGATGGAAAGACATGCTGACTGTGAGATTGAAAAATGAGGCAGTGATTCAAGTAAACGAGAGCAAAAACGACCCACACAATAGGTGCGCGAGCGAGGCGATACTATTTCGGAGAAAACCGGTGTAATGAGGAAATCTGGATAGCCGGGGATGTAGGGAAATCGTCAGGGAGAGGCAGCGTGTACTCGAGGGAGCCAAGTCGTGGAATGTGAAGAGATTGGGAATTCCAAGAAGCGCTCTTTTTCAGAATGAACTTGTCTTTGACCAGCAAAGAAAAGTCAATTAGGTGGCTGACTAACGGCGAGCGAAAACGGGGGTGATAGAAAACCTGGTAAGGACTATAGCCTTATATATACGTATGTCGAATCCTGGATACTTACATAGCATGCACAAAGCGCAAAAAATGCTCGTTTCTTCTAGCCGGGAATTCATTGTCCTAAGTATGTATGCGTCTTAAACGGGTGTGGCGCATAGCGAAACCTGGTGGAACGAACAGGAGAGGGATATAATCAAGATTGTATTGAATAAAGCAGGGAACGGCGCATGGTGGTGACAGTGATAGGCGTCGAAAGAGGAGAGATAGATAGGCGTCGTGTGTAGCGCACGATGGAACCTGGTGAAACTAAGGCTGACAACGGGGAGAGGGATATAATCAAGATTGTAGTGAATAGAGCAGGGAACGGCACTTGTGGTGACAGTGATAGGCATCGAAAGATGATACGCGGATAACACAAGTTAATTTTAGACTCTCACGGTCACACGATCATCCGCTCTCTGACGATTTTCCATGGTTGAAATTCCAGCCAAACGGCGTTTAGGCCAGCTTTCCGATGTCGAAGATCTCGCTGCTGAACGCCAACCAACTCCTGTTCACCAAAATCATGCTTCGCTCGTCCGCTCTGTTTATCAGACAGTATGGAGCGAGTTCTGCGAATGGAGCAAGCAGGATTTCGCTAACTCTATGAATGATCTCGGTATGCCACCCGCGGACGCAAATACAAGGGTGAAGGATGCAGAAGACTCCGACATTGTAGGAGAACTGGGGCAACTGAATCTGCAGGAGAGGGAATTAACTACATTAACGGATCCACATACAATAATACTCGAGGCTCCCTTCGAACCCCCGCCGTCATATGATAGCTGCAATCCTGTCTCAAACAATCACTTCACTGGAGACGATGCCAGCCATATGCCATTTTTACCTCTAGCGGACGATCCTTCTTTTGACTGGAAAGGGTATTGTGTAAATTACAAATATTTTGCGTGGCAAACTAAATTCTTCGACTCTAATCGTGAGTTCTACGTGCGCTATGTAAACAGCTTGTCGTTCAAACTTAGCAGTACACGCAATGGTGGTTGAGGCTGCTCGCCGTTTGCATGAACAACATGGTTTTTCCTACTCTCAAATTGACGACACGGGGGTGCTTCCCCTCTCTCTTACTGCGGGAGAAGATGGTGTTCTCCGTACCGTTCGCTATCAGGGCTCCTCTGACTGGGCAGGTGCCGAATCTCATCCGGTGCCCGCTGTACCACTCCAGGCCGAATTCAAAGAACTTGTCTCCCAATTTTGCAATTCTGCAAGTTGTATGATGGGGTTCTGTGATCAACACGGCGAGTCTTGTACAATATAAAAATATGCCTTACTCACAAAATGGTGAAACAGTCAATTGGTTTCCCATGCCCCCGCCTCGACCCGTCTCACCCCGCATGCAAAGCAGTGATCTTTTCTCTGACATAATTTCACCTTGCGGAGACGATTGCTTTATCTTGCGAGTCCCCGGTAACATTCCAGCTATCGTGAGCGTTCTCTCTCTCTGTATGATCTTTACCTGAAACTCTGTAGGAGACTGAATGGACCCCAAAGGAGGTAGACACATTCAACATGATTTTAGATTACTCCCCGGATTCTTCGCCATGCGACCTTGCCACGATCTGCAGGAAACCGTGTTTCGAGGTCATGCAAATGTCCCCTGCTTAATCCGATTAGACCTAACATCACTTCAGATTTTCAAACGGCGAAGGAGAACGCTACCTGATGATAACATCAAAAGAAGGCCTGCAGAAAACAGTTTAAAACGTCCTCCTCGCTTGAAGCACACGATGTTCAATGGTAAATAACTTCTTTGTTTCCAAGTTACGGATATAGACTTGACCTGCAATTGCAGATTTGAACTCTGCACAATTCAAGCCGTACGTTCCATAAACTTCCGGAAGTCCGATGTTGCCCACATATGCATAGGAATGCTCCATGTCACCACAAAGGCCCATGCAATGTCACCTCCAATTGCGCATGTTTCCGAAATAAAGCTCATTGCGAGAGGAGCTGTCGTTGCGATTCCAAATTATGTACGACACCCCTCAGATCATTCCCGATATACTCAAGGCTTGAGTACATTCAGGTCGACGTCGATGGTCAGGCTGCAATTGCGTTAGGACAAAAACAAGACGTCCCTGCGGTACGGAACGTTGTGCGTGCTTCAAAGCTCATCGAGAATGCGACCCGGAGCTTTGTGGAAAGTGTGAAGCAAGGTCATTCACTTTGATTTCGTCAGTGAAAAAAGCTAATAACATGTTCCAACTTTAGAGGTGAAAAGAAGGAAACATGATACATTTCATCCAGGATTAAATTCTAAACTTTGCAGATCAATACCGTTGTGAAGGATGCTCAAACATTTCTATTCAGCGACAGCTTTGGAAGGTATGCATCACATTGTTATGATACATCCTCCTTACATTATTGGCAGTCCACGGAAGTAAAGCCCGGAAGTTGGGGTGTCGGTCTATTCCTACTAGAGTCCGCTGACCCAGGCGAGCTCATCACCGGTACGTGTTGTACCTTTTCTCGGATTTGTTTCATGGCTCAAAGACACACTTTCAGAATATGTGGGCGAACTGGTATATGAGCTCACCACTGAGTCTCGGGAGTAAGTCTGCATAATTTATTCTCACGAAACACCCAACAGATATTACAATCCTTACAGCGACGTGTCAATGCATCGTCAACGAAACTACTTATTTAACTTGAATGCCACCTTTGCGCTAGACAGTGAATTCATCGGAAACGAATCTCGGTATATAAACCATTCGGAAGATACACCTAATTGCAGAGCGCAAGGTAGATTGTCTATCGTACATTGTTTGTGTTCTACGTTTTGATTGCAGTCACAGTTATGATGGTCAATGGGGACCATCGGATTGGCATATACGCTCGTGTGTATTTGATACATCTTGTCCTCGCTCATAGTCACACTGACTGACATCTTCAAGAAACTCACATCGAAGCGGGCGCTGAATTATTTTTGAACTATGGGCCTGAATTTTTCAAGGCGACCTAGGCATTTGCGTTGAGTATCATGCTATCGTGGCACCATTCACGGTAGAGCCCTAATGATAAAGCCCCAATGATAAAGTGGCTGAAACGACTGCTACGCCATGAGAGCTATATGCTTCAACTCACTGGAAAGAGACGTTAATTGATGAAATAAAAAAATTATGTTACTCACTTCTGAACCTGCTGCCCCACCTTCATGGGCTGGTATACCGGCTCGTCCGTGGCATATCCGCCGAGTGCAATTTGAGAAGCTCCAAAAGCTTTCGCTCGTTCGGCAAGGGATGGTATCGGGCTGAGGTCGAAATCTGAAGAAAGATGCCAAAAGAAAGTCGAGGATATTCGAACAAGAGGGCGTTCAGGATTTTCAACTTTGCGTTTTTCGATGACCTTGTTTCAGAGGCACATCGTATCGTTATAAATTTGAACGATCGAAGCAAACGTACCTTCAATGTTTGGTCATTGACGACCACTTCGTGATACCCAGCTTTGATCAATCCGCCAGTCAAATGTTCAAGTTGTTTTCCCGCTTGAACAAGAAGGTAATTTCCTGTAGGTATCTTGACAGGCAGACGTTTTCCAGTATTTCTCGCCCAAATATTTAATCCGGGATATCGTGAACGACCATGGATTGTAAGGAAATTGAGATCAGTGTGAAATCCAGCGAGGATAGTATCCTTTCGTCCATACTTTGCAAGATCTGAAGCGGTAGGGGCGAGTAGGTGAGGCCTATAACAGGATACGGTTCGACGAGTGAATTCATTGCTATTTATCGAGGTTGCACTCACCCATATCTTCCAGCGTCGCGGAAGGTGCAAGGAGGCAGACCCAGTCCTATGCACGCCATATCGGCAAGGTTTTCCACTCTAAGACACAATTCAATGTACATGCATAAGACATTGAGAGTAGAGCGCACGCCTGTTTCATTGACTCTCCCCAATCCTCCATTATCTGTGTCCACCTTGCGTTGATCTCCTCGGCTTGAGGGACAACATTCGGGGCGTTCAGACCGGGAAATTGAGTTTCGTACGGCGGTACCTCGCTCATCTTCCAAAAGAATCTGCATTTAGGATCTGGAGAGTGAGCGCTGATGTCCAGCGGACGTTCAGATGGTTCCAGACGTTGGATGATACCGAGGCAAGACTCATCAACAGCACATTTAGGCTTTTCTGTGTTCTCTAGGGTAACTCCTACTTGATAGCTCAACTCTGGACGCTCGTCTTTCTGGATATCAGATGTGGATTGAGCGAAATAATCTTCAAGTAGATCAAGGAACGCAGAGTTTTTGCTTTCAGTAACGCGCGAATCGTGAAGAATCAACGCCCCAAAGGTGATCAATGCATCTGCAACCTTGCAAATCATTAGAATAGCGAGCACCCTTTGAAGAATGCTCCTCACTTTCTTACATTCATGCTGCACAGCTGGGGTTTCCAGCGATTGAGACAAGAAGAGGTCAAGATCGATGGTTGGGAGTTCCATGAAGGGACATAAACACAAGGACGACAGAGATTATTTAATTACTCCTCATGATTGATCATGGGTAAAGGTCACAAGCAAGTGGCTGTACAATTTCTTACAACTTCAATCCACGACCACTCGTTGACTAATCTACCCTTTACGACTTTCCACGATGATCAAGGTTCAGCGCGTCTTCCACCGTTGAATGTCTGTCTGCTCATGCTATTGACAGATATGGAGCATGAAGAAGAATGAAGAAGCAGCGGGCAGGAAGAAGCCAAAGACCAGTGCAGCTCAGATACGAGTTCAGAAAGGTGCCTTTCCGTCTCTCATAATGTTTTTGTTTGTTGACGTAGTCGTTGTAGACTTGACAGAGCTGGATCTCCCATCGACGATGAAGACGCATTTCCCTGACCCTGCCGATCTCCTGAACTTCACATTGACAATCACCCCCGATGAAGGTCTGCATTTCGTCTTTGCGTGAGGCACGCGACCGAGTCATATCTTGTAGGAATGTACAAGGGTGGCGCCTTCAACTTCTCTTTCGCTATCAACAGCAATTACCCTCACGATCCTCCAAAGGTTAAATGCACACAAACGGTGAGGTCAACTCGTGTTTCACACTCATCCATTAACCCTGTTGACTGATCTTTTTCTGATTACAGATATATCATCCCAATGTGGATCTAGAGGGGAATGTATGTCTGAACATCCTACGAGAAGACTGGAAGCCCGTTCTGAACCTTAACGCCGTAATGGTCGGTTTACAATACCTATTTCTCGAACCCAACACCGATGATCCTCTAAACAAAGGCATGTCCACAAGTCGGACCTCTTACTGCGCCTTACTGAAGAGCATCTTTATAGAGGCAGCTCAAGAGATGAGCAAGAATCGAGATCAATTCTTATCGCATGTCAGGTCTTCCATGCGTGGTGTAAACATCAAGGGTGTTCAATACACTAATGTCATTGTCCAATGATTATTGATTATGCATAGACTATCCGTTTGCCGTTGTGCGCTGTACATTGTTCTTCTATCCATCATACCCTCATCTACTAATCCAAGCTGTGCATACACACATTCATCGTTGCCTTTCATCTCTGCCTGCAATGACTAGATTCTTCTACCATGGGCTCTGCGACAGAATACACTGTAGATGCTGATACTGATATATTGGAGATACATATATTTTGTTTGCTCAACTGCCTCGGTAAGTCGTGAATCCGTATGGACTTATGAGTAGCGGTATGTGGTAATGTTCTGAAAGGTTTGAGAGTTCAAATGTGATCTGAATGAATAAGTTCGTCAGTTTACGGATTGTGAAAACAGTAGTCTACGCACTTCAACCCATGGATAGAAAGTCTTAACACACTGGCTATCAAAATATTCCTTTGTTCTAAAGATCATCTTATAGAGCCCAGGCTTTAGCAAGTCCTTGGTCTCTGTTGAGGTTATCGGAGGCAGGAGATCTGTGCATCGTCCATCAAAATCTGTCTCGCTAGTACACGAAATGAAACGATTTTTAAAGGGATACATTTCGGAAAATTTGAACTGACCCTTTGGCTATAGGAGTGAACAAGAATGCATCACCCTCCGTTTCTTCGTATTGTTGCAATTTGATAATAACTCCTTGGGCAGGCCGCCCAGTGGATGTGTCAAGAACTAGTCAAAGATGAAAAGAAGCATATATGTATATTGAGATACAAGACTGACCATGGCAAGTGATAGGAGATTTCATTGATATGTACTCGAGGGGGTTGAGGACTTTATATATGTACATATCATCGATTATGTCATATATTATAATTCATTTTTTTAGCTTTTGCTTCAACGCTTCAACGTTCAACGACAAGCATGCCTGCAAAATCCTCGTCATCGAGTTCTGTTCCACCTCTGAACAAATATCTGGCCTCAACAGGTACAAGTTTTTCGCTGTCCTCTTTCCCGCACTCTCCATTCAACGGGACTTACTTCAGAAAAGAAGACCCGCGACAAGGCCATAAAAACTCTTTCCGCGTTTCTTTCGGACGAGACTCGAGATGAGTTACCAAAATCTGAAATGACTAGATTATGGAAGGGTATATTCTATTGTAAGTCTCGCTGAGTTTCTATCGAGATGAATCTCAAGGCTCAGGATGATCGTGTTAGGTTTCTGGATGTCCGACAAACCATTGGTTCAACAGGCACTGGCTTCAGAACTCGCGGAATTAGTACTTACGACAACTAATTCCTCTTCAAAACTTTCGTTTTTAAATGGTTTTTGGGAAACCATGGTTCGTGAATGGAACGGGATTGATAGGCTGAGGTGTGTCTGAATTGTTGGATGCTGATGTCTCGGCTAATAACTGGAAATATCAGATTGGACAAGTATCTCATGCTCGTAAGACGTTTCGTTAACGTGTCCTTTCGAGTCTTGATACGGCAGGATTGGGACTTGAAGATATGTCAGGAATATAACACTATCCTATCACATCAAGACGGACCTCTTTGGTGCGTTTTCTTATTTTTTTCCACTTCCACCTCTAAACGCACTTCAGTGCATCAGATGGTCGAGTTCCTGTGGGCCTTGTTTACCATATTGCCGATGTTTACCTCGAAGAACTCGAAAAAGCTCTCCGCTCATCGACCAGAGATACGATAAAACCTGTCCCGCTCGCTCTCATACTCTCCCCTTTCTTCAACTTGGCTGCCCAAACATCTCTGGGTACCATGTATCAGCATCTCCAATCATCGTTATTCGATCCGCTGCTATTGTCGTGTTCAAGTTCGAAAGTTACTTCCGAGGACGAAAACGACGGCGAGACACGGGCACGAAAGCGCAGACGCGTCAATGGTGGTTCATCAGATATGTATCCATCCATGATATCCAACGCTTGCCTCGACGACGCGTCCATCGAGGTCAAACTACCCGTCAGTGATTTACGCAAAAAAATACTGCGACGATTGTTTGAGGTGGCTAGTCAAGCAGAGACGCGAGACGCAAATCGTCGAAAAATATACGCATTATGGAAGGCCGAGAATGATGACGAAGACGATACGGATGAAGAGTAGTTGTACATGTCTGCCCTTCTCGCTCTTTTTGATCCCGCATATGCAACTTATAAAATATCACCGTATCGTTGATATACTCCGATGCTTCTTACGCGTTTGTTCGTAACCGTTCGATTATCAGCGCCGATATCAATATGTCGTCGAAAACTTCATGTCCTGCAGGGGTCACCTCGAACTTGGTATACTCAATTTCTCTACCAGGCTTACGCATGTGGCTTCGTGGTATGAATTTTGCCAAGAGATTTGTGTTGGTTTTGTCCTTGGATTTAAAACACTAGATAAATAGTATGTTGATAATGGACAAGAGAATTAAATGATTTACAACCCACTGCGATACTATTTCCACCTGCACTATCGTCCCAGTACAGAACCAAATGTGTTTCTGTCGGCTTCCACGTCCATTGCTGTGTGTGACAGTCAGGACGAGCCTACTCTGTTACGAATAAAACCGACAAGCTCACGTTGCGAAATAATCTAGGAACAAGGACTTCCTCTATTGGATTTTCGTAGCCTCGGAAATAGACAGTGCTGACATTTTTTGATTCCTTTGCAGCTATCCTAGTCGCTACTTTGAATGAGACGGAAATAAATCCAGAATGCTGTCTCACTCGAAGTCTCCGACGAGTTCTCCTTGCCGCTCGTACTTGCGTATCGACGTGATGTGAGATGAGGGTGTAAAGCAATTTAAAGTGACAGAGATATAGTAAGAAGGTCGCGCTTCGCGTCCACCTGTTTCTGCAGGACGCAAGAGCATGGCGTTTTCGGCTGGTCTTGGTTCAAATATGTAAGTGATCGATTCTGTAGGCTTTGTTGTGGCCGCATATCTGGGTTACGGCGTCGATTTCCCGAACTATGGGGTAACTTGAACCAACTCACCCTGGGGGAGTGACTGGAGATTCGGATCCGTAGTGTATAGAGGGATGCACTGGAGGTGGAACACGCGACTCGGAGGGTGTTCGTGAAGTAGAACGCGAAATATTAGGCTGGATATGCTGAATTGGAGGCTTCAGTGTTTCGTTGGTTTCAGTGCTAATTAGGTCGACGTTAGTAGACTTCAAAGCGCGCATGCAAGAGTACTACTCGGTAATAATCATCGTAACGGTGGGGGGAGGACTAAAAAGGCAAGGAAAGCTGTAGAGGTAGAGAATTTGATTTTGTTCGAGTATTTATAATGGTTCGGGCGGTGTACTTCTGCGCAGTACTTCTCAGAATAAGGATCTCAATACTTTAGTCTCTTCGACTGTGTAGACCAGAAACTATACCTCTATGAGGATACATGATGATTCTTCCAGAGGACTCCATTTTCGTTTGAAAAGCCGTCCAGACCTCGACGTTCATACATGTCCACCTACGAACGAGACCATTTCACCACTGTGCTGTGAACGGGTCGGCAACTAAGACTACGTTTGTCATGATCAGCTCCATCTAGTGTACATATCATATCGCGCAGAAAAGGAGGATATACAAAGTCATACTGATTCTCCTCCAGCTAACCATGCATCTCCCAATGACTCATCTTCTGGATATGCTTCAGTAAGCTCTGGACTCAGCACGAACCTTGCCCTCTGCTCTTCGAGCGGTACATTCCGGAGTTCTGTGCTTCTTGTTTTCGGTTTCGTGAGCACTCCAGTAAATAACTTTGGCAGGATGGCGATGTTTTGACACATTTGCATTAAAAGCTCATTCGATGCGGAGAGCAAGGGTTTGATATTGTCTTCGGCAACATCTGAGGATATTGGTCAGCTTGGCTGGTTCACGAGATGGAGCAGGGTACAAACATCGTGAAGAACTATCCATGCATACAACATGGTAAAACGGTTGATCCTTTCACAGCAGAGTATCAGCTCTCGTATGAAGCAAGCAAGTTCTACGACGTACACGGCCTCTAGGGAGATCCAAGACCTTCATCTCCTTGATCCAGCTTTCTGACGCTTTACATACCGGCTGTTATCGAGGAAATGTAAAAAAGAGTCAGCTAAGATGGTGAAAATGTCATGTTTTCAGACCGCAGCTCACATCCCAGCCAGTGATCAAAGCTGTATAGTTGTATCTTTTATGCTCAAAAAGCATCCCTACGAAATGATGTACAGTTTCCTCGGGGGATCTTAGTTTGATTTCTTGTGCGGAGATTGCCTCTTCCTCAAGACCCTTTTGAGATGCTTGATGAAGGTCATCTTGGACTTTACCAGCACCGTCTAGGCTAGGAATTAGCGCTTCGGTTATGAACGTAGCGCAATCCAATGGCTCAGCTTGGGACATCAGCTGAATAACGAGGCGGCCACTACTAGTCAGCACTAAGAATATGGTAAGTGCTAAAAGCGCTGAAGGTCGTATGAGAGAGAGGGGGGTAGCTGGTATGTTTAACGATGATAGAATGTTGCGACCGTTCCTGAGGAGCATGGAAGCTGCACCGCTTGGTGATATATAGTGCATCATGCTATCAGCTTGAATTCCTTGACGTGCCAGGATCGCAGGAATGTCGTCCCGCAAAGTAAGAATGGTTTGTGATCCAAACACGTCCACGTAGAAATCATCGACCTCGGGGTCTGGTACGGAGATGTGCACCAAAACCCGAACCGGAAAATCTACGGGGAATGCAGTAACGTCAAGGGACTGTGCAATTGAGACAAAAATGTGGACAAGAGAAAGTGGAATTGTACGCTTGTGCGACGTGAGGTAGAAGTGAGGGAATAAGTTGAGAACGTCGTGAAAGTTGTGAGCTGAGAAATGTGATCAATTCAAACGAGATCGGAACGTTTTTATACTTACGAACGACTGGTCCATATCCCTCATTACTCATGAAATCACATATGAGTATGCAAAGCTTCTTGGAATCATAGTTTGGATCGGTGTGGGACAAAGGAATGTTGAGGCGAGAGAGATAGCTTTTGCACCGGGAGTTGAGACTGATCAACATAGAGCTTATCTAAAGCCAATGAGTATCAGTTTTCATAGTGTCCCATGCAAGAAACATCGAACCTCATCCGGATGTTTACCAAAGAAGCAAGATATAGAGGAGAAGGCTTGCACAAAAGGTACCGAGTTGTTCCCTAATCGAAGGCTACTCCAAAGCCCTACGGCGTACGTTTGGCCAATAGAAGCTAACACCGCTGAAGCCCAATACACGCGAGTAGCCGACAGCGAATGTCTCTCTCCAAATTCACGTATTTTCAGATGCCTACTGGAATCTACCATACCAGTCTCAATTTCCAGCACATCCCAAGCATCAAATAGGAATTTTGTTAAGGCGTTTGCATGATCATACCTCCCCACCCTCTTCATAACGATTGAATCAAGGTGTTTGAGCACCTTCATATCAATCATCCTTCGCGCAGCATACATCAATTTCCAGTTTCCATTAGTCTCTGCCTTTCTTTGGCCCTCAGATGCCTCATTGGCGTGAAGATATCGGACTTGATAATGCTGTTGCCAAAGAGCCGGTATAGCCGCAGCTTCTCGGAAGAGCGTATTCGTCAAGGAACATTGAACAATTGTTCTGACAGAAATACTGTTAAGGTCCCGGGAAGGAGGAATCTGGTAGAGGATGTGGACAAGAACATCGAGCGGCAATGAAGGAACCATTCCAAAGTCCGGAAGTCCGGCCCACCAGTATCCTCCCGTACTGTAAATTAATTGAATCGTAGATTATTACATAAAACCACTGGCGACGTATACCCTCGTATACCGCTTTCCATTAATTATTCTTCCAAGGCTGCATTAATCATCTCTGTTATCCATCCCATGAGAACCTCATCTTTGATTTGAACAGCTTCCAAGAGCTTCCGTATACCTCCAAATGTTCTGCGCCCTCTTCTTCCTCCTTCCTTCTCATTTATAAGTGTATTTTCTTCCAAGACTTGCCCTCCATCCTCGTCCTCAGTTTCCTCAGTCACCCCCGGGAAGCCGAAGTGGTCGGCATCGACCTTCGGAGCCGCTTCAACAGCAGCAAAACTTGCTCGAAATAAAATTCTGATACACAAAAGGGCAAGTAGAGATACAGAAGGTGCGTCGTTCACTGTACGCAGAGAATTGATCACGGTGCTTCGAGGCAAAGGGGGTTTTCGTTGCGTGGGATTTGGATCTGGATGATTCGTGGCAGGGGAAATGGTAATGGTATCGCTTTGTGAAGGATTTCGTTCTGCGGGAATATGGGCTTGCCAGAAATGTGTGAGGACATGTGCTCGGAAACGATCTAAGAGGAGCCCGGCCAGAAATTCGAGGAAATGAAGATTGAATGAAAATCGTCACGAACCTTGCGGGATTTTATCTACCGGGCAAGTTGACCAAAGGCAGGCAGCCTCGCCTTCAACGTCATACGACTTAACATGCTGCAAAACGTGCTCGCAAAGCTCGGCTGCGGTTGAAAGTGGGGGAGCTGTACATTGAGACCGGTTCCACTGACATTTTAATTTGTCTGCTAAGATAGTGTCTTTGCGTCTATCTATATCTTGAATGATAAATTTCGTTGGAGGGCCCTGTATCACCAGCGATTGTGTTCCAAACATTGTGGTCGCGTTTTTTATAACCTCAGATGCTGGTAGCATCGGCGGGTCCTGGCATAGTTCAAATGCATCCTTGTAGAGATTCCACAGATCCACCTGTGAAATGTGTATACGTTTCCGTAGGTCTCCGTCCGAGGACGGAGTACATACCTGAGTAATTTCACCTCCGGGCCTTTTGACAAACATTAGGGCAAGCCTTTTGAAAATGGATGTTAGCACTATTTTTGACGTACTCGACGACGAGTCACGCGCACCAATCGAAACAACGTTTGGGTTCATGAATTGCAAGTAGCCCATCCAGCTCTATTTTGTTAAGTTCGTGATCCTTGGTGCTAAGGACTGCGGAAGGAACAGTATGGTAGTCGCCAGTGATATCAAGGGTGACATTTTCCTGTACTTGGTCTAGAAGAAGCAAAGTCACTAAGATACGCAACACACTAGGCATATCGGGATGTAGCAGAAAAGCTTTCGACAGAGCGGGATGGGATAGATGCGTGTAAAGATAATTTAACGAAGTTTCTAAAAGAGGCTTATCGTCGTGTAGAGGGAGGTATTTGATGCAGACAGATAACGCAGGTGAAGTTGGTGAGAGATGGGGCGCGTTTTGGGGATCCGAAAGGAGAGATGTTAGCGCGAGCAGGGCAGCCATTATCATCGACCTATTCAAAGATTCGGATACAATACGCAGAAGTGGTTGAAGTGGACTTGAAGTCTGTGGTGATGACTTTGGAGGCAAGACAAAAGTCGGCGCGACGCAGTGGAGAATATCCAAGATGTAGGACAGAAATTCGCTATTGGCATCGAGAGAAAAGTCCAAGTTGTGAAGCGCATGAAGCACGAGGGGCATTGTCCTATGAAAACGTGCAATGGCAAGTGCATTCTGATCATCGATGAGAGCGGCATTGCGAAGAACAAACGCAGACATTATGGCATGTTGACGCCGGAGCAAGAGGGAATTTGAAGGTGCAAATAGTGACTGTAGATCTGTGTGTTCTTTATAGCCTGTCGTTGAGAACCATTCTGGCCATTCGAAAAGCGCTTCCATCAACCCAGGGATTAGCCGTAGGCGAAAGTCTTCATTCCTGCATAACCGAACAAGACGATTCAGCGCCCATGCAATTTCCGTATCGATACCTGACAAGAGCGAAAGTCTCATCCGGTTATTTGCAGTTACTTCCGTGTACCATCCTACGTAGAGTTCACGATTGTTTTATAGTTTGACCGGAGGGCGACTCACGTTCATGGTCGTCGATTTGATTGTGAGCACTTTGCTGCTGCTGGGTCAATATCGAAGTAAGCGGTCCCGGCTTCTGATACATGCTCAGTGCAATGGACGAAAACAGAGGACACGTGACGCGTGCATGTTACAACGCGTTAGCGCCGTTACGGTTCTGGTCAATTTGATTACGGTGCTGAGAGCATGTACACACATCGAATAACCATCTATGACTATACCAGCCTAAATTATTCTCTACTATGGGATTACTGATGATGACAGGACTATGTAGTTGAATATATGTAGATATCGTTTGAAAAGGAACGTTTGAAGTTGAATTCAGTTAGAAAGTCGTTGAAAGTTTCGAGGAAGACACCGTAACTAAGTTGAATGTCAGTCATAACACCTAGGCTTTGCCGCCCCAAAGGCACCCAAGACTCCCTGTAGCTTCAAAAGCATCTCGTCCCACTCCGCCTGCGGGTCTGACAATGCTGTTATTGCTCCTCCAGCTCCGATGACCCAATTCTCCATCTCTGGATCCTGTGAATCCAGCTCATGCTTGAAGCAGCTCCTGATGGCAACAGACCAATCACCTCCACCACCAACACACCAATATCCAAAGATGCCAGAGTAAAGGCTTCGATCTTCATCTTCCAGATTTTGAAGAATTTCAACGCTTCGTTTCTTGGGAGCACCGGTCATACTACCTATGAGTTTCCGTATTTGAATCGTTTGAGCGCATCAACAAGATGATGATGACTTGCCTGGAGGTAAGCTCTGTCTTAACACTTCCCAACCAAGATCGTCTCTCTGAGAGCCAGCTGGAAGACGACCCTCAATCACACTGACCATCTGCCAAACATTCTCATATTCCTCTATTTGACAAAACTGCTTCACATAAACATCCAACCCTACCACACTATGCAAGTCATGTCGAATCAGATCCACGATCATAAGATTCTCCGCGACCTCCTTCTGACTCCCTCGTAGGGCCTCTTCAGCATAAGCGCGAGTGACGCCCGGCGCTTTACGCAACGTGCCTTTGATAGGTCTAAGTTGGCACAAGGTATTCGGTGAGCGGGAGTAGGAAATGAACCGTTCTGGGGAAGATGAAAGAAACGTCGAAGGTTGAAGCCGAAGATATGCAGAATATGGGGCAGGATTACATCGTCTAAGAAGTTTGTACCTTTCCCAGGTGGACAAAAAACTTGGTACAGATAGGTGGGTGTGTGCGGTCAGGCAAAGTTCGTACGAGTCACCAGAACGAAGAAAATCCTGGGCACTTTCGATTTTCGCGATGTAACGAGAGCGATCGGGCAATGCCACGAGAGCGGAGGCACTCCGCATGTTCGAAGGAGCCCTTGTAGGCAATGAACTGGAAGGAAGTTTCTTCAATTCATCAGAAATATTGGCCATCCATTCCGAGTCATCCGGCAGCAAACTTTGGATGTAAACCTTGTTCGTCAATGTATCGAGCACTAGGGACCTCTGAACATAAATGAGGTTTATATCGGGATGCGCATTCATATCTCTTCGGTTACGCCGTAGAGGTACATCAAGAGAATCTACTCCAAGCTCATAACTGAGAGTTCCTATGAGACCTCCCCAGAAAGGCACCTCAGGACAACCATCCCGAGCTTTCGAGAGCCGCATGAAGCGAGAAATCCAGGACCAGACATCATATCCATCCAGTGTCTCATGCCATACAGAGTTTGCACTTTTCAAAGTGACAGCAATATCACCAACAGAGTAAAGGATTTGAAGGGATGTGGGAAGAAGTGAAGCAATGATGGAAAATCTTCCGGGACTCGCTGCAGAGTCCAATAGAATGAAGGGAGATTTGTGATCGTCCACACCTAGCATTTCACAAATCTTGACGGCGGTTGCCCCTGGTAGATCAACGACATGTGTAAGAACAGATGTCGCAGTCGTCTGAGACGAGGATAGTGATGAGGGTTGTAGGTGAGGCCAGGAGGGGCCAAGGATGTCCAATGCGGAGGGCTCAAGGGGAAATAGACATCTTCCTCGTTTCTGCGACCATTCAACTGCCAACGCCCAAAAGTTGCGCAAAATATGCAGACCTCCCTCGTCGGTAAGTACGGACTCTGGATGATACTGAACACCCCAGAATGGACGGGTTCGGTGCCTTCCGGCCATGAGTACGGAGCCATTCTCGACTCCATCGTCCGCCCAAGCTAGCGGCTCTATTTCTTTTGAATGTGGCTCTGCATGGTAAGAGTGGTAGCGCACAGCCGTAACTTGGGGCAGGTTTTCGAAGATGTCCCTTTCGTTGTGAAGGATCTGCGAGACCTGACCATGCTTGACGACTTGCAATCGTCTGAGCTGACCTCCGTGCTCTATGACCAGACTTTGGAAGCCCAAACAAACACCGAAGATAGGCAGAAGGTCGCACTCAGATAGTTTCCATATATCTTTCACGACTCCGATATCTTCTGGCAGATCAGGTGACCCGGGGCCGGGGCCAATGATAATGGCAGAAAAACTTTTTAGTAAAGGGAGAAGTTCATCGATGGAAAGTTGGTCGTTTTGAATGAGGTGGATAGAGCAATCAGGAACAGCAGTGCGACAAAGTGCGGCTAGACTAAATATTGGCGAGTATTAAGAAGAGGATAATGTCAAAACAACCAATTGCTCACTTGAACGTAAAAGAGTCATAGGAATCGATGAGTAGCAGTCGAGGGCGTTGAATAGTCATGGTGTAAAGGATCGGTTGAGTATCAGAGAAGTACTTGGCCGTTCATATGAGGCATATGATTAATGATTCCTTGTCAAGCTTGAAAAATAATAAAAACTCTCATATGGTGCAAGAAAAATATGTTTGCGCGGTATGACTTGAAGGAAGAGACGAATTAATTACTTACGTGATCACCCATGAACGCGTCCAACCATGAACAATCCCAGCCTGTCTTCAAAACGGTTAGAACGACTGCCGCTCGCTAAAAAATTCTTATCAGCTCACTTTTCTTCCAGCTCAAAACAGTATGTGTACCTTTAATGGGCGTGACGGCTTTGACAGCGTCGTCTATACCAACTGTAACCAGACTGCTGAATGAACTGCTGGAAACTCTACATAATATACGATCTTCAGGATACTCCCTTAATGAGGCAACTATCAAATATGTCTTCTTTCCGATATATGCCCTCCTTAATCGCAATGATTCCACCGCCATCCCAGATCAAGTACTGGAGAAAGTATTCGCGATCTTGAATACACTTTGTGAAGACTGGTGGTGGTACTTGGAGCTGAAGGATTGGGATCAGCTCTTCATGCTATGCGGGTCGGTCATTGGAGGATTCGGAGCTAAGGGTAAAGGGAAGGAACGCGCTGAAGAGACGAAGGAGGCTGCTGCTCATTGTCTGCTGACCTTATTACGACCAAGGGATAACGACGATGGGCCGCTCACACCAAATCAAGTCCGATTGCGGATGAGAATGTTCGTAGAGCATGCTCAGACGCCTTCTTTTATCCCCATCCTTGGCCAAACTCTCAATTCGGTATTATTGGCCACCGAACATCCTAGCCTGTCTCTGCAATTAAGCATGCTCGACCTTTTGTTCATAATGCTTTCGAGATACTTCCCTGACGATCTCATCGTTTCGATTCTCCCAGGCGTTGTCAGTACAACGTGCAAATTATGCTTGGGTGCTCCAGGAAGCAAAGGGTGGGCGAAGGGTGCTGTGGTTGGGAACTCCTTGCGCGTAATGCAAGAGGTCATATCAAAATCCATTGGCGATGAGCCTTGCATCAAAGCAGGTGTTGTCTTATCTGCAGAGACTATCGAGGAACTTGCCGACCTCGTTGGCGAGCAACTACCGGAACAATCTGCTCAAGAGGAAAGCAAGTACGGAACTTCTCGCACGTCATCTTGGCTCAAAGTGACCTCCTCGCAGCTCCTTATTGCCTTGAAATCACTATCCCCACTCATTAAACACCCTACATCCTCGGCCCTGATGGGCTTGGCTGAATTCTCAGCACACGTACTGCGAACTACGCCAACGACATTACCTCAGATTCAGCCTCTCCTTCTCTCCTACCTCCTAGCATTGACTAATTCAGAACTACCAAGTGTTTCAGGAAAAGTCACTGAGTTACTCTTAGAGCTTCTTACCGCGTCGTCCAAAGCTCGTTACTCTCTTACCTGGACACTTATGCGGATAACGAGAGATAACCTGATTGCTTTGCCCGTCCTTCTGCCCTCTCAATCAGATACAAAAGTAGAACACGTAACCGGTATCATTGAGGCAATCTGTCGCCTTGCTTTGATTGGAAAGGACAATACGAAGAGCAATCTCAGCCCTATCGCATTCGAAATAGGAAAACTCCTTGGGCCTACAGGAGGTGTAGAGAAATGGGGATGGAGTTTGTTGTCTGTCCTGGAGCTTGTGGATCCACCTGTCACTGTCACCAGCACATCTGCAGCCCAAATGATGCTCGAAAATGAACCTGAAGTATCTGCGTGGCTTCCATTCCCCCAGCCCATGCTTAAAAATGTTTCCTCCATGAATACCTTTGACTCCCTTGTCCGGATGTTTCATGCCTTGGGAAAGGCTGCGGGTGATGCAGGTCTTTTTGCAGTTGAATGGTTCGTGAACATTGGTCAAAGCGGGAAAGATTTCAAAGCCGTAACAGGAATGTGGTGTGCTTGCCGACTCCTTGAGGGCATATCAAACGTGTCTCTGTCAGAAGATCCCTCGACTTCGTTAAGGTTATCCAGGAGCAAAAGGCTTGAAAAGCTGGCTCGCGGCTTAGTAAAAAGCACAGCACAACTTTGGGATAGTATTCACGAAGACGACCCTATTGATACACCATCAGAAGGCATACCGGATGGGCACGACGAAGTACCTAATCCCATTCAGCATGTTCGAGGTTTAATTCGTCTCCACGATACACTTCAAATTACACGAGGGACACCTATCGGACCTCGTATCACAACGCAGCCTATGCTTCACAGCGCCCTATCTGTCCAGCTTATATCAATCACAGCTGGGATCCTTGAAACTCGCTTTTCCCCGTTGTTCATCTACTCATTATATCCTATCCTCCATAGTCTTGTTTCACCTTTTTCCTTCCTGGCGGAAACCGGGTTGAGAGCACTCACTTTCGTAACGGTCTGCACCTCGTATGCTTCGCCTGCGAATTTACTCTTATCGAACTTTGACTACGTCCTTGACTCGGTTTCACGTCGTCTCAGTCGACAATGGCTAGATGTCGATGCTACCAAAGTTCTGGCTGTTATGATACGATTAGTGGGAAGCGATATTGTCGAGCGTGCGGGAGACGTGGTAGAAGAGTGTTTCGACCGATTGGATGAATATCATGGCTATGAAATAGTGGTTGAAGGTCTTGTCGAAGTTCTAGGTGAAGTCATGAAAATCATCAAATTCGAAGAGCTGTCCAAGCTGTCCGATGATCAAACTCCGCCAGTACGACAAAGCTACATTGACCAGCAGAAATTTGATTCCTTTTTCGAATGGTTTGCACATCGTTCGGAATCGACAGTGGAGGAAGATCAGGAGGATTATGGTCCTGCACCACGGAAAGGTTGGGGCGACGACAATCCCCCGGACAAAGCAAACACTGGCGATCAGCCTGAAGACGTTCCGGAAGTAATGCCAGATCAAGAACCTCCATTGACTTCCTCGCAGGCTCTCACCAAACAAATCGTTCAACGCTCGATATACTTCTTGACTCACGAGTCTACTGGAATTCGCGCTCGAATCCTCAATTTGCTAAGCTCGTCGGTCGCAGTGCTATCAGAATCTACTCTGATGCCTTCCATCCATTCTGCTTGGCCATTTATCCTCAATCGCCTCGCTGATACTGAGGTATTCGTCGTCAGTGCAGCAGCTGGTCTCGTCGAGGCGCTTGTGACTTCCATGGGCAGCCTAATGTTTCGAAGGGTCTGGGATGATGTATGGCCTCGCTTTCGTTCCATACTCTCAAAACTAGAGACTGCAGATAAGATTAATGCTGTGTCACATCGAATACGAGGAGGTGTTGGGACTGAGTCTGTCTATACACATTCGCATCGACTATACCGTTCCATCATCAACACAATGACCGCAGCTTTAAAGGGGGTAGATCCTCAAGATAGCTCAAACTGGGAGGTCATAGTCGCTTTCCGACGCTTCCTCCATTCGGAAGCCGCTGAAGAACTACAGCAGTGTGTCCGGAAATTGTACCTCGCTGCGGGTACAGTGAATGCAGACGCTGTGTGGCTAGCTCTCACCGCTACCTCAGGACAAGTGACTTCCACATCTACAAAATTCTTGTATGAATCTCAATGGGATATAGTACAAAATGTGGAATTGATATTAGGCGAGCTTGATACATGAATATGGATTGTATGTATTAAGCATTTGTTATCCAGTCATTGAACTCTCATCGTCTGAGGTCATATCAATCGTACTCGTGTCATAATTACCATCTGGCGGAAATGTTGAAAGGCGATGTTGGGCGGGGTCAAACCTTCTTAATTTGACACCCGCTTCTGCGAAAAGTTTTGCGGACGCAGTATCTCTATACTCTGCAAATAAGTCTTAAGCTAGATCGGAGCTAGGAAAAAGAAACTGACACTTTATAAGAAAGATTGTAAACAACACATTCAACGCCTGTTTGAATGATCTTGATCGTGCACTTGAGGCATGGACAGGTGTTGCAGTAGAGAGTCCCTTTACCCACTCGGTCCCTTCCCGCTTCCAAAAGTGCGTTTTCCTCTGCGTGTAAGCAGACACATTCCTCGTTATCACCGATAGCCTCCGAGCCACTATTGCAGCGAATGCACCCTCCTTCATTACAGTTGCGGACACCTCGAGGGGTTCCGTTGTACCTATCGATCAAGGTCAAGATCATTGGAAATCGACATTGAGCGTTCGTGAATGGAACTTACCCAGTGGATACTATCCTTTTGTCGCGTACCAATATCGCACCTACGCGTCGTTTCATGCAATTTGATCTTTGTGAAGCAAGAGAAGCAAGAGTCTGTAGTAAACTTAGAGTGAACAGGAATGTTCGACACATTATAGGGACTAACCATGAAATACATGTCCCAGTTTGGCCTGAGATGCAATGGATTGAACAGGTCGAGACTTTCAATATGTGCATATAATGCAGGTACTGAAGCAAAATCATTGACAACGCGCACGTTGACTAAGTCTGCCATCCCATTCAACGAAGAACCTCTTTTGCCGAAACGTTGTTGATCATCTTCAGCTGCAAAAGCCTGAAGTGATATCGAACTAGATTGAAGAAAAGAAGGTATTCTTATAAACTGTGATGAAAACCCTCATACCTGTTTGAACGTCGATACCGTTCCAGTAATGGCCCATCAAAGCTCAATAGCATGAAAAATGGTCTCTTGATGAACATCTCGATCACCTCTCGCGTCTTCAGATCCGTGGTGACGAAGTTTGACCTCCAATTACGCGTCACATAGTCCAATACTTCTGTTGGATCTCTAAAAGTTATCGAAGAGACGGTCTCGTTGGTTTCAGCGAGGTTTTCGTCAGAAATTGGCGAAGGGGAGGGCAAAGGGGTCGCGTCGAAGGTCAAGAACGAGAGATGTTTCGCAGCATTGTTTACTGAGTGATCCTTTTCAACGTTCCGTTGGTAGTCAAAGGAAGAGGATGCGTAATCTCGGAACTGTAGATAATTTTGACAAATTGATCGGGCTTATTGAGCTGAAACCACCATGTACCCATCACACACCTCGTCAGGCAAATCCAGTCGAATGGAGGTGAATCCTTGAGAAGATATAAGGAACTCCTCAACTGTAGAGCAACCAGAACTTCGCGTCCCAATGATGGCGATAAACATGACAGATCAACGCTGAGTCCAATATCAAGGATGCGTGGTCGCAGCACGTCGTGTATAATAAATCATGACAAAACGCAACAAAACAGTGATGAACCCTCAAAGTTAAAATATTATCACTATGTACATACACCAATATTTGGTGAATGAATGAGGTGCAGTTTGAGTATGTAGCCAGATTCCTACTCCTAATCCTATTTCGCGACCTATACAACGCGGACTGTGATCAGTACTTCAACATAGGAACGCATGATGAAAGCAAGCTCTCAACTGGTTTTGATTTATCCTTTTTTCGCTCTTTCGCCGCAACTCGACCTGCAGCCCTTTGTTCTTTGGCAACTTTCATGTCTTTGGGAGCTGTAGTGCGTAATTGTTTGATATGCGTAGGAATAATGGGTGTAGCACTCTTGATTTCTGCCACGGAGACCGCCGCCGCGAGCCAGGAGGCCGTGAGTACTGGAACAGATGTCACGAGGGAAAGGATATTTGAGAGTTCTGGAGCGTCGCTCTAAAGGAGCATCCTGAACAACCAATACCGAAGATGTAAACTCAAGCTTACATTGACGGCCATCACAGCGACTCTTCGTATGCCCATGACTTTTGATAACGTGAACTCAGCACCTTGCGGGAGTGGAACGAGGAGGATCGAATCTGGGGGTTTGGTAGAGTTGTACGCCGCAACTAGATGCGGAAGATGATCTATAAGTATCGGGGGGTTGACGTCTGCACGACACACAAGGATTATCCTGATGGCAGGGGGCGAAGACGCGTTCTTGTCGATTCCTCCGCGACGAGTCCGCACCAGCACCTCGAGGCGTTTAGTAACTTGATTGATTCCCAAGGTGAGATGAGCAAGTATTGCTGGTGGACCATCAGGAGCAACGTCTACCTGCATGTCGGCAGAACTTGATCCCTGATCGGCTCCAGCAATGGGCGAATTTTCTAAATCATTTGTCGTTACCCTTCTCGTTTTCTTCCGTGTATGTTTTTCTTCCAGCGGTTCTCGTTTTCGCTTTCTATTCATCTGTGACCGAAAATGTTGGTACTCTGAAACTCCATCTAATAAAGATAGAATCTGTGCAAGGACTAGGTTTTGGAGATTGATAGGTACGGAAGGCCTTTTCGTTCGAAACTAAGCAGGTGAAAGATGATGCAGACCAGAGATGGAATCATACCAGTGCAGTCGAAAAGGATTATCCAGGACGCCTTTAAAAACTACCTTTCTTTCGGCCTGATTAGGCCTTTCGCGATTTGAACCATGAGTGTGGACTTTGACAGACATTGAAACGGACACGTGACTTATTTAGATTCGATATGTTAGTACTAGTTAGTACTACTACTAGCCTTGAGTTGATTGTTTTCTGTATGTCCAAAATCACCGTGGGCCTAGGGCTCAACACGCCTACATATGATGTCTCTGAAGGTCAACTGTCTGCTCCGTCAAGAAAAGCCTCTGTTGATGGTGGAAGCTCTATTCGGTCCGCGTCCTCAATGCAAGGCCTGCTTCAAGCCGAAATTGGAGAAGCAATGGTAGAGATCGACGCTGGTAATGGAACCTCTGGCTTCAAGCAAGGATCGCGCATAATTGCGGAGTCTCTGGCCTCTTGTACACAATCTCTCCACTCAAGTTCTACGTTTATTGCCAGTGGGCATGACCGTGACTGGTCTCCAGAAAAGGCTTCTCTTTCTCGCCACGGTACTCTGCTTACTGCCAATGCCACGCCTAGTCGAAATACTGCTGAGCTCAAGTCCATTCTTGGGAATTCCAATGCCCGACTCAAACCAGGCGCTTCTATCGTCCCAGTTGGCGCTTTATCTTCTGCAGAGTCTACCTCCCTTGAACAAGCCAAACCTCGGGCTCGCGTCGAAGTAGATGTAATACCGGAAACGAATATCTTTGTACAAGGCGGATATATCAATGGCACAATCAAGATTCGTATCCGGCCAAGATCAAGAACAGAATCCGAGGTTCTCATCTCTGACGGAAAAATCAGAGTCGTTGGCTTTGAATGTATTCAAAACGAAAAAGAGCGCCACACTTTCTACCAGCAATCTGTTTCTTTATCAGATGCGTCTCCTTCCGCAGAACTCCTTTTCGATTCGCCTCCTGATAACGAAGGCTTCTATGCAGCCAAAGAGGGCGTGCATGTTCTACCGTTTTCGATGTATCTCGTGCTCAAAGGAGGTGAGGGCACGCCCAAGGGTACAATATCTCCTCATTCCGGCATTGCTATACGTTACATAGTTATGATGTGCGTTCCTCTTTTTCACAATTGACTTCAACGGTATCTCTGATTTGTGGTGCAGTTCAGTCAAAGTTCGAGAAGTTGAAACTGACAGGCGCTCGATCGCCCACTTTTATCGCGACTGCGAAGTCTGGCCTCGCTTTAATCCTTCTGCCATGCTTTCTCCTGCGGCTCAACCAATCCGTGGATCTGCTGCTAAGTCTCTCCTCATGGGCGGTAGTGGGAAAGTGGGGCTTACCGCTAGTTTGCACCGCATATACTGGGTCGCTGGTCAGCAGGGCTGCGTGAAAGTCAGAATTATCAACAAAAGCAAGAAGACCATCAAAAATCTCACTCTAACGCTGTTGCGCTCCACTGTGGCATACAAACCTAATCCCCACCTTGACGTCGAGGGATCTGACGAACATGACGCAGACGCATGCCAAACTTCTACTGTTCAGAAGCAAGTAGCTGAATGTGTACTCGAGATGGGACAGAGAGATCATACTAGAGGTCACGCTAGCGCCAAGGGGTGGTGGGCCGGTGTACGACCGGAGGAGACTTCAGAGTTTTGTCATTTCCTATCTATACCCTCGGACGCTATAACGATCCCTCGTGCTCGTCTTTTGGAAATTGCATATAATCTCCGCGTCACTATAAGCGCAGGTCCCATAGCTTCGAATATACACGTCGTACTTCCAATCCGCATAATCAACTTTCTCTCTATCGATCCGCCACCTAGTTTTCCTCGTGAAGACCAAGCGATACTCGACTTTCTCGGCCAGAAACCCCCTCCAGAAATAGACGAAATTCCCAATACTGATGTGCCTTTTACTCTCAATGGGAGGGTGTTGGAGCCACTTTCGGAAGATGATGCAGCTGACGCTGAGTACGAAGGTGATCTTTGTGCAGAAATTGATAATGAATATATATCAGGACGTCGCGGTTCTTCCCAATCATCCATTTCCGAGGATGTGACTACTACTAATGATGATATCCACCCTACACAACTCGGTAATGCGACAGCTTGCGATGATGATGACAGTTTTGTTCAACAAGCTGTCACTTCATTGAAAGTCGACATCAAGTATGGAGAATGTGGTGGTCGCTTCGCGGACTTGTACTACTCCACAGAAGAGGTTTCACTACCCCTCCCTTCCAGTGACGCCGCCGAAACTTACACTCCACGTCCTGCAAGCCCCAAAGAATACCGTCTCTCTTCACCTCATTCCAGTACTAGCTCAGGCGTATCTGAGTCCGACCTGGCTCGACCGAGATCTGCCCGCCCCCGAGGCCCTTCTTCTTTTGCGGAACGAGTTCAGCAGAAGCTGCAGGCCAAAGACGACAATCAGCTCCTACAAAGGAATGATAGTCAGATTAATCGAGAACGGGGAGCTGATGAATCGGCCTCGTTTGTGAGCGCCCCTCCCAATGCATCTCAGGAGCCCTCTGTTGGCCAGAGCAACTTATACAGGAGTAAACGGACCTCTTCGCAAGCCGGAGGCACCGCAATGGCTCGCCAAAGAAGTTCCACTGCAGGATCTTATTTTCGTCCTCGGGAAGAAATACCGGACGAAGTCGAGGTTTTGGATGAGGAAGGTGGCGATGAATCTCCATCACGATCTCCATTCGCCGAAATCACTCGGAAGGCTAGCGCGTTATCTTCCTTGACTACTGGTGGATCAAAGGCGAGCTCTCGGATGCTCCCGAATATTCCCTCTAGCAGAAATACTGGTCTCCCTCCTCAATCTGGAGGCAGTGTGCTGATGAGGGACGGCGCTGTCGATGGAGTCCCCCCTCGAGTGGTTCCAACGGGAGCTTCGGATACTATAGGTGTTACTTCGATACATCCGGATCACCAAATGGATATTGTTCCTGAACATTCTACTCAGATACCCTACAAAAATACCCGAACGAAATCATCTACACCTATCACAGGCCGAGCTAGATCACATACGCTGGCGGCTCCTCCATCTGATAGGGAACGCCCGGTCAGCATCGACCAATCTCCGTTGAAATTTTCCGTAGGGGGAAATTCAGTCAAAGACCGGATCAGGATGCTAGAAGAGAAAGCCAGAGCAGAAGAAAGGCTAGAAAATCTCAAAGTTTAAATTCCAATCAAGATGTCCTCCTGTAGCCTCATTCATCTGGTTTAGGCTTCGCCTAACATCCTGATGATACTTTATATTCTTGTGAATTATCTGACTCTACAGTTATGGTTTTATGTCGTTTATACATGACACGGATTTGAACGTATACTATAGTTTCTCCGATTTGGAGCTAGAAAGCACAATGAAAGCACGATGACAATAGCGATTTGATCTAGAACGTATGAAGATGCGAGTTGTCAGAATAATCAATCTAGATTAGTTTCAACACCAGGTATAACCTCCAAGCCTAACTCTTTCAAGGCTCGCACACCTCGGCGGACCCAATACCACCTTGCAGGAGGATGCTGGTACCATAACGAAGGAAGGGGTTGGATTGGGATTTGGGAATTGGATGTCTGGGCGACCGCATTCTCGATTACGCTGAGTTCGACGGGCGGGGTCTCCAGCCCAACTGATATATCGACATTTAACCCCTTTCCGGTAAGACCAGGCGGACTTGCACGGGGATTAGAGAATATATCTTTTTCACCCGAATTAGACTCCACTGCGTGATCTACATGTCTCGTACAATCCAGGTTCGAACGCTTCAGCGATGGCTCAGCTTTCAACCTATCTGACGTATCCTCTTTACCATATAGGTATATAGAATCAATGAAATTCAGTGTAGGCGGAAGATGCTGCGGGACATCTCTTCGCTCCTGTCGCGGGAGCAAATGCATCTTCCTTGCTAGATCTCGTCTGAGTCTGGCATTTGGAGGAGAGGGAGGCTGAGTTGTAGCACCTGAATAAGTCGAAGTGTCTCTGGAATCTGGTGTATTCGGTCGTGAAGCTGGTTCGGTATGCTGTGACTGGCTTGGATATATCTCGTTGTCCTCGTTCTTGATTCGGGCATCCCCAACACCTATATCATTTCCGTGTCCCGAGTCAACAGATTCCGAAAAGCTCATACTACCGTCGGTCCAAGATGACTCTGAGCCCAATGACAGTGCAGATACACCAGAATCTCGGCCAGAGTGACGATTATTTCTCCACCGTTCTTTCTTCTTCTTAGCTGTGAGAGCGACGCCATTGGCACCTTCCGGCACACTGTTATGATAGAGACTATCAAGTTTGGCGTCATGACCCTCGACTATTCTTGTGGCCTCTGGATCACCTTCTAGTAAAGTCGGGTTAATATATTCTGACTCGGCGCGGTTAGGGGCGAACAATCCATTGTCTTTAATCCAAGCGGCGACGTTTGATTCATATTTGAGTGCCTCCAACAATCCAATGACGGCAAGTAGTATATGATCATGTTGTTGTGAGAGATCGTCGGCATCGTATTCAGGGCTGAGTCTCTTCATCTTTTTGTGATTACGAGGCAAAAGTTGAGGAGACAGTGACCGAGATCGTTTGCGTTTTCCAACCCCAGCTGATGCGATATCCTCGGACGAAGAGGTCTCAGTCCGCTCTACTGCAACAGCTATGTCATCAGAGAAAGCATCCCCATCGCGTGCTTCCGCAATACGAACATCTCGTGCATAGAATTTGCCTTCGTATTCAGGGACGCAAACATGGTTATAGGGCTGCATTCGAGCCTTCAGTGGCGAGTCGTCAAGTAGTAAAGTAGAAAGGGCGGAATGTGATAATAGGTCGTTGCGGGTGAGATGATTTTCCTCCAAGAGTGAATTAAGGAACGAAGTATTATTGAGTCGGGATCCGCTGTTAACGCCTGAGGACTTGGATGCAGTCTCTACTATGTCAACATCATCATTTTCCACACGATCCCAAGCCTCCGAGAGGATTTTGGTGGGTCCGGAAAATGTGGATAAAGGAAGGAGGGCCCAAGGCTTGGCAAGATTTTTCGTTGTCTGGAATTTATTTCCTGGTCAAAGTACATATGGATTCGAAAGTCGACTAGGATACAGGGTCGGTAACTTACTATATTGAGTTTCACTCAGGCCTAGAAACTTTCGATCCCAAAGGGCCACCAAGCCTCCCCTATGGCTTTCAGTTCCATCTGCCAGACTCTCTACGTGTTCTGCGTAACCTTCAACCTCCTCTTCGCCAAAACACCGGCCGACCATATCCTTGACATTGGGATATTGAGCCGAGCTCCAAACCATCGTATCCAGCCATTTTCGAGTCTCGGGATGGAATAAGAATGCTTTGAAAGATGTCATATATGGTCGTGTATGTGTTGGTCGTAGCGGACGAGACTCGTTCAGAGCGTAAGGATCGTATCCGTCTCTAGTTCTGGGCTCCCGGTATAGCAGGGTTCCATTCAGATCAAGTATAAGGAGTTTTCGGGTCTGAGTCGAATCCGTCAGGTGAACAGAAGGCTGCTCAGCAAGACGGAGATACGTGGAGCTAGGAACTGGAATCTGTTCGGGCTGAATTGTTGGTCTGTCGCGTCGGCCAGCACTGCGGTTGTTTCGATTTGAAGAAGTTCTCAAGTGAGGCCGTTGTCGTGAAACGGTGTCGCCGTGAATGTCAGTATCATGATGCCAATGGTTCGTATTCCCGGCTTCGGAATAGCCCAGGCTATATGATCCTGCATCGACTTGATAATTTCGAGGGTGCTGCGTGAAATTTGTTGGGTATTCCTCTGCGTAAGGATCTGCATTTCGGCTCTGAGGTACAACTTCTTGGCCTATGTTGCTATCGTAAGCATAGGTGAAGTTGAAGCCGCTACCATATCCGTCATAGCCATTGAAATATCCCCGATTTGCTTCGTAGTTCATCGAAGAGCCTCTTTGAAGGAAAGTGCACGAGCGGCAAAGCGCAAAAGATGGTGTCCACTGAATCCAGTCTTGGGATTTCGAAAAATAATGCGCAGTGATATGTATGTCCTGGATAAGTCGTATGATAAGAGTCTGAGAAAGGAAGCGCTTGTTGACTTGAACTGACCACTGGCGCGCCAATTTTCAACTACTTTGGGACCATAACTCACATTAAGATTTATATGACAATCATCAATCAGATTCAGCACTACATAAATGGTGCAATTTTATATACGTAAAGCAGTGGAACTAGGGTACGTAGGTAGATGGCGAACAGGAGGGTATGCACAGTACGTATGAGCGGGATATATGGATACAGATAAATAACAAACACTACTACGAGACAGGGAATTGTATGGGATGAGAAGGGAATATAAGTAGGAAAAGCAGGACTCGACGAATAAGAGTAGATAAGTGGTGAGGATGGTCGAAACATGAAACAGAAATCGACGAAAACACGGAGCAAAGACAACACAAAAAATATCTTGGAGTCGATTGTAGCACAAGAATAATTAGAGTTGAAGCCAAGAGACCTAATGTTCGAGGCAACAGTAGGTTGATAGCAGTTCATTTTCCGAAAACGTAGGGGCCGGGTGGGTCATTCAATAGACAGCTGGTATGACAGAAAATCAGCGAAGACACGTTGGCATCTTCAATAACATACCTTGGAGGTACTTTTTTCAACGCACGCTGATGACCTCTCTTCCAGCACTTGCTTGTCCTTCAGTCAAGGGAGTTCCGAAGGAAATGAACAGAGCCAGGACTCCGGCCTCAAGAACTGCTTGAACATGCGTGGCCTAAAGAACAAAACAAACGGTGGCAGTGAGAATCTATGGTAAGGCGAAGCATATGAGAAAACAGATACGCAAGCAGGTACAGCAAGGAGATAGAACACAAGGAGAAATGGAGATAAGAGCGCACCCTTGTTTCAGGCGGCACGGGCAACAGTCTGTAAAACTCCCCATATCGACGTTCTCTCAAGCTATACTGAGGCGGCAGGCCAAGTCCGAGGGACATCTCCATTGAGGAGGTCACCACCGGAGGCCTTGCATCTGCTGCTCCTCCAGAGTCTGTACTAGCAGCTTGAGCAGTACCTGCCGCTTCTCCCACACTCGTAGAAGGAACTGATACATTAGAAGTAGAACTCGACGAACCACTAGACATTTGCATAGTTGTTCCCGTCATCGAACTTGCTTCTTGTAAAGCACTGGCGGTGCCAACGCCAGCACTTGGACCAGTTGCGAGCCAATTTGGGGAGAGAGAAAACCCCCAGACATTGATACTTCTGTGACGGGTGATCGCAGAATTCGCAAGAGTGACGTATAGATTCTCTCGACGTACGCCTGGTAGCTCGAGATAAGCCTTCAAAGTGTGGGTAGTGGTATCATAAAAACTGTCAATCCGTGGTGTAAAAAAGTATTTTGTGACCGCACGGATTCGTCGAACCACAGTCGCAAAGTCTGTGTTGGGAGCAGTTGCTGAAGGTGGAACCATCGTCACCGGTGGGAGCCGCGGTTGAGTAGGTTGAGGGTGTTGGTGTGAGGGTTCTGGCGGAGGACCCATAGGCTGGTGAAAGCTTGTGGGGATGGAGACCGTGACTGGCGAAGGTCTTTGTGGCAACGCTATGGATGGTGGTGGCATGGTGGATGATGCATGGCTAGACAGAAGCTCGTGTGTTCACAAATATTCAGAATCTAGTGAACAGTTCACGACGCACCTGGATCCTGCCTCCGAAGCCGGAGCAGACATCGACGCTGGATAGGGCTGGATTCCACCGCCAGTCACTAATGAGAATCTTGCCCCCGGATGCTCGGGAGCCCTTCCGGCCATAGCACTTTGCGGCCTTTGGTAAGGGTGATGCTGACGTTGGGTAGCACCTCTTAAGGGCCCTCGAGGTACTGTACCTCTTGAGCGCGTTGTTCTCTGGGGACCAACTAGTGTTGGCGTAGTTGGTGAAGGACTTGGCTGGGAGAACTCTGCTTCTGGGGAAGGATACCCTTCAGATCGGACAAGTCGCTCTTGCGGCGCAAAATTCATGACCCTAGATGGGCCTGCCTGCTGAGAAGGAAACAAAAAGTCAGAGTTCTCACCATATTCTACGGGAGTATGCAACGGTGAAAAGTCAAATTGATGAGAAGGCAGCGCGTGGGGAATCGCGGGGCTGCGGGCGATACGAAGGCACTATGACTATCAGAGGGCGAGTCTTGTGGCTGTTGAGGCTGATGGTCGAGCGTTTCCCAACTAGGGAGCGGTTCAGTCGTATCATTCGAAAAATTAGTATCTTGTTGTTGGAATTCTTCACTATGGTGGTAGTAAGACATTGCGAACGCGGGAATCCATCTTGAAGAGCAACCGCTTTTATACGTGGTGAGTCATTACGCTACCGCGGAAAAATGTCTCGTGATGGGAATCTGTCAGGCGGATGAGCAATTTGATCTCCGATCCCGGTAGCAGATTCGCAGATACCACCACGGATATAGAATGTAAACTCCCGCATATGGCTCCGTGGAAGGAAGTTACAGCACCTGCAGGGAGCTACGACCGGAGCGTAGAATTGACTTGGCTTCATTGTTCGTGCTCATTGTTCAAGAAAAAAAAAACCTCCCACGAGGCGTTTTCTATATACCGCATGACACGATTGCGACATCGGCACAGCTTTAGGCGGCCGTAATGAGTCGGAGCAAGTCGGGGCAAGGGAGAAGGTACAGAAGAATCCAATGAAATATGTACGTTTTCGGTATGTTCTACTAGGTATGTATACCATGCAAAGCATACCGTAAATCAAAAGCAGAAAATAGGGTATAATAATGAGATGAATAATTCAGCCGCCGAGAGCAGTAAGTGCTGCGCGTAACTCCTTTTTAGCCTGCTCCGCATCCTCGTAATCAAGCGCACTAATAGCAAATCTACAGTGCTTCTGTGCTTTGGCAACAACAGCGGGAGTGAGTTCAACTTCCTGCGAAACTATGGGCGGTGGGATCAACGGTAGGATAGTATTAGGAACCGATAAAGGTGGTGGTGCTTGAAAAGTCTGTATCTCAGAGTGAAGGTTAGGAGGGACAGGAGGATGGTGCGTAGACGACGTCGAAGGCAGGTGCGGAGGGACAAAAGACGGTGTGATCGCATCGGAAGGAAAAAGAGCCACGTTAGCAGACGGCGGATGTATGGAAGTTGTATCCGTAGAGAAATGAACCTTTCTCGGAGACATGTTTGCCCTCTGTCTTTCAGTGCCCCCAAGTCCAGAGGACTGGGCACTGTCAGTAGAGCCAGCGCTACTCTGACTTCCTCTTCGATTTTTGTTTCTCGTATCTGGTGTTGGAGATTCCGGAGGCCAGGAATTTCCAGTAAAAGCAGAAGGCATAGGTGAATCATCAGTAGGAGTTCCTCGTACAGTGCCGGCTCCAGGAGTGGCCGCTGTACTCCAGTTTCCGGGGGATGTGGGTTCGAGGGTGTGAGGATCAACTCCTAAGAGTGTACGAGGTGGAGTAAACGGTTGCGGGGGAGGAAGTTCGTCTAGAACAGGCGGCGGTGAGGAACGTTTGATGAGAGGCGAAAGACGTGAATGGGGTGAAGATGTGAGAGAAGCTGATTTCAAGGAAGGATTCGTGTCAATTCCAAATGACATGGTGGATGCCGCAGAGGTCTCATCAGTTTCTGTTCTCGTCGAGGTGGGTAAGACCTCAGACAATTCGAGTACCGGTTGCGATGACTGCTCGCCAGCTGCGCCAGGAGTAGGTTTACGGCCCTCCCGAAAAGCTTTGGCAATGTCTGCCGCCTTCCACTTGGAATATCTGATCTTCCCTTCTGTCTGTGAACTATTTGTGAGCATAGTGATTTCAATCGGACATCAAACGACCATACCGCTTCCGTGAGCTCCGTCTTCGGAAATGTCTTCAGAATCTCGAGAAAGTTAGCAGCAGCAAGAAACTTCTTCGCGGTAGATCTGATGAAAGATATAATCGGGGTAAGACCTGTGTCCACATTCTGAAAACAGACATCGTACCTGGTACTGTTACCACTTCTATCTTCATCGTCCGCAACACTAAACACCCTGAGTGCGAAGTTTTCGACGTATGCTGCGCTGACAGACTCTGTGTCAATAGCATCGTTAGGACCGATCTCTCTCTTTAGCTTCTCCAATACATCAAGGAGTTCGAGCAAAAGCATCCGTGAAGCATTGTCCTTCGCCTTCAGTGAAATACCCACTTGAGCAGCATAATAAGCGCACCAATACGCTATCACAGGATCTTTTTGGTGTAGTTCAGCTGCTCGCTGCAGATAAGGTGATATTGATTTGAGAGGGAGAGGGAGAGGAGGCAATCCGAAAGAAGACATGATTGTTAAGATGGGAGCGCCCTAGTAGTCCCACAGCAATTTTATACTTACTGAGCGCAGTATCGCAGCGTAGGAGTCACAGCAATTTACTGTGATAGAGCCAATTGAAATGCCTCGCGACAGGGAAAGAAAAGAAAAGCTTTAAGTAGATGAGCGCCCGTGACATCATCCGCTTACAGCCGCTTACCCTACAATAATCTAGCTCCTATAAATTACAACGTCGAGGTATCTAATCCAACCTTATAATGAAAATTAGAAACTTTTCCTTTTTGTCTGACATTAAACCTGATAGAGCCTGATTCATTATCCGACCCAGTGTTTCTTTCTGCTTCTCTTGTTGACTAAATTTTGTCAGATTTTATCATTCAGTGCCACCAATAAAGATACCGGACTCCAGCTTCGATACATATCTCAATGGAAAGCCGGTATTTCGAGATTAAATACATTACCCCATCGCTGATATCCAGACAACTCTGAACTCAGTGAAAATTGGCGACTTCTTCAAATCAATATAACGCGTGTTGAACGCGTTTTTGCAAGATTCCTGGTTGTTCCTAAGGTCTATGTGTAGATAGCGCCTGGAGCTGGAGCTGGCCTCCATTTGTGGATCCTATAGGTCATAATGTGGTTACAAATAGTTTAATTAGGTGTATTCGTTAGATCTTCTACTGTGCTCACTGGAATCATTCGACAGGGCACCACACAGTACGAAGGGCGTGCGGTATATCTATATCGTAGTCTTCCACCGCATAACAATTCTGAAACATAAATATACTTGTGGCCAGAACAAACAGTACATGCAACGGGCCATCGCGATCGAGCTGCGGCAAATTGTTTACGCTGCGTTCAGCATTATTTTAACTCTAGGCAGGCATAGACAGTGATGATGTTTTGAGAGATATCAACAAGAAAGCGTCATAGACTCTCATACCACCAACCATCAGCACCACTTCAATTAGTTTGCAGGGGTATATCCCTCATGTAGAAGTAATCGACCTTAGCTATATTCCCATATGTCACATCAGTCATCCATAACACCCTCGCCCTCTAAGCTTCGTTTGGAATGCGGAGATACGACCACTTGCAATTTATGAATCGTTGCATTGATGGACGTATATGTACTTTGTAACGACCTCCATAACCAGCATAAGGTCTCATTAGGTATAGAATTGGTTTTTTATCAAGAATTCGTCCACGGTTGGTCCAGGAATTCTCTATTGAAGCGTAAAGCTGAATAAAAAGCTAGTGGTGTTAAATTTGACTTTGATGCATTATGTCCAGGGCCCTTCGTCGCGTAGCTCAAGTCTGGGGGCTAGAAAAATTTTCCTCATCCAAGCTCCGGCGATCGACGTATCAAGCGGGTGTCAGATCCTCGGAATGCAGACACGGGGGCTGCGTGGTGGCTGCATTCTGTCGGGGTCTGTAAGCGATAAACCGTCGGACGCATTGGGAAGAAGAAAGGAGGATTGAATGATTGCAGAGAGTCCCTGCCGTTGAGAGTATGGTTCGTCTAATCAAAAATAAAACATTGCTTTGTGGTATGCGTCGCGCATTTTTAGAGAGATGGCCCATAATTTGACAGCATTCTTTGAGTGGTGATAACAGAGCATACTGTGAGCCTGCGAAGGCCCCACACTCCACGCATGCTAAAGCAGAAGCACATCCGCGTGATACTCAGCTGCCTTCAGTAAGATATAGCCGCATATACGGTTTTCAAATACCTCTGGAGCAATGACATGATGATGTGAGTGTTTCCCAAGGTGGCGCACCACCTCACCTTCGTAGTATGGAGACATAGACTAGCACAAAAAACGTGAAGTCTCCACGGGCGTGAATTACGCTGTTGATATGTATTTCGTATTTCGAGATACTGAACATCCCCGTATAGTTCATTGAACGAATGGGAGAAATGAGATCCAGAATCGAATGCAAACCACATCATCGGAACTCGTGACTCTCAGCAGAGTCAGGACTGTCCAACATACGCGAAGGACTCAGAATACTATTAGAGGGACGATCTTTTGGTATTGAAATGATGGGAGGAAGCGTTACAGGTGATTGGGTAGTCTGGATACTAGAAGTAGGGGTAGTGACAGGAAAGGAGTTGTGCCTTGAAGAGGGAAAATGGATGTTGGGTGCCTGCAACGCGTGAAACTCGGTCAACGCCAGTGATAATTCATCGAGCTAGAAGCACGTTGTTCGGTAAATGAGACAGTGGAATAAAGTAGACAATCACCTTTGACATAATGCTCTTCACGCCTTCTTTCCTCCCCTCGAACTGGTCGGCTAGCCTTGCAAAATCTTCTTCCCTCTCTCTATCCTTCCTCTGCTCTTCATCCTCGTCATCTCCAACGCCAACTCCCTCATCGTGTTCGAGATCCAATAACTCCGCTGTGCTACTGGCAGCGCGCACTGGAGGTCGCTTGCTGACGTTGGGCGCCTTATTTGCCTTCCCTTTACCCTTTCCTTGGTCACCCTTGCCACCTATTCCCTCCATCTCGAGGTGCAGAGTTGCAATTTGACTTTGCAGATCTATAACGGTAGACAGTCGAGACCATATCTCTTCGTTGCGACTAGCGGCATCACTCAGAGGGATATGAGCTTCAGGATTCAGATTGGAATCAGGAAGGCCAAGTATTCCCAGCTTTTGTCCATTGAAGGGATCTCCGACGACTTCGCGAGGGTCAGGGTGATTAGAGGTGGCGATAGCTGGTGAAGGAAGGCTGACAGACGCATGAGCTTCCTCGATTGTGCCCCCTTCAGACTCATGTTCAAAGTGCTCTGAAGGTGTCGCGTATAATTCTGCTAGTGCAGCATCGTGTGGAGTGTGTAAGCCGGTGACTAGCGAATGGGGCGGACTTTTCGATGTTCTATTCAAGACTTGCGGCGCTTCAGTGACCTTAGGCGACTCTGCAGCATTTTCGCGCTGAGGTTTTTTGGTGAAAAGCGAGGACAGCATCAACGTCACTGTAGAAGAGTCAAGTTTGCTTACGTTACGTCTTTGAGTGTTCGCTTCGCTTTGGAAGAATACTAATATCGAGATATGATAATGACTACAGATTGAGTCCAATTGCCATTAATTCCGTGGAAAAACAGTACATCCAAAGTATATAACCAAAGACGAAAATCAATCACAAGCAGCCATCTATACATATTGGCCGGTGTTCAGTGTTGAAAATATCAACAAAAACAACTTCACTCACTTGGAGCGGCTTGGCCTGCACTGTTCACAAAATTTTTCAGAGTACTCGAAGAGCACAGGAGGCCTCGCACGAAGGCTTCCGCAACCACATTCGCACCCGTCACGGTGGTGTGAGTGTGGTCAATAGGATAATACGTATTGACAGTAGTCTCTCCGATTGCTTCATAAGCTTGTGCAACGTAGTCGTAGTGGTCGATATAAGTGACGCTAGTGTTTCCAGCAACTTCTTGTGCATAGGGCACGAATCGAGGTGGTGCAGCTATCACGTCACCGTCCCAAATGTTGTCAGGAGTTTGGGAAGAAATTATTGGAATGGCGCCTTTGGCTTTGAGAGAGTTGACTGCGTTCGTCATATAATAATTGAACGTATGAATGACCTCCGTGCTCCCGCTGGATGTTAACAACGGTCAGATAATTAAGGGAATAAAGACCAGCGGGACTTACTCTGTTTCCGTCACTGTTGCAGTGGTGGTCAAACTGTCTCCTACAAAGCATATTGAAACGCAAATGAAAAGGGGAATGAACGCATAAGCGTACCGAAAGCATCTTCTCTACCGTTATCCACGTCTCCGGATAAACCATCGTTGTGACCAAACTCGATGACTATATCGACCTCTGTGAGTAGCCGGCAAAAGTGTTACGTATACGAAAACAGTACGCACTCACGAAATCTCCAGCGACAACCTCGTCAATGATATTAGTGAAGCGTCCTTCGTCAGTGTAACTGCGAGCGCTACGGCCAGCTATCGCTTGATTGCTGACAGACAGTGTTAGATACTGCCCAATATATTGACCCCATCCTATCCAAAGCGTTTAGGCAAGAACAATCAAATCAAAGAGATGGAGAGCGTACCATCCGTCCCTGTTCCTGCCCCATCACCATTAGGAGCCATAGTAGAATCTCCTGCAAGGTATACGGTTGAACCGACGACAGAAGAAAGCAATGAGAGCACAGAAACGACGGTGAGGGAGAACATTTTTTACTTGGGACACAATCTCACAATGCATACCCTTCAAATTTCAATTTATACCTTATAGCCCGAGCAACGGCCCGATGTAAAACCGTCGGCGAAAATGTCGGTCGCAATACGGTGCAGTAAAGAAATAAATTCCATAGCAAATGACCTTCAGTTTGCAAGGGCATACGTTGACGGGAAAGCAACTCGAGTGCGGGCCGGGTGTTGCACCTGGTTATTTCTGTTTTTAGCCTTCGGAAATTCACCTGAAAAAGAGGAAGGAGAGAAGGATGGTTACCACCGCATGATCACTCTCAGGATTCAAAGGACATGAATGTCAATAAGTGTGTATTTAGGATATTCTATACGCTGACGTCGCATCGCAGGACCACTTACCGTATGATACAGGTATGATGTGCGCTCCCAGTGCCTATAGTACTGCCACTGCCAGGGTGTACCGATCAACCCCTCCCGTTGCGGACCGGACACGCAAACGGTCGAAATCTCCACATTGCGAAAGGTTACTCGTCGTCATCCAACTCACTGGCCCCCTCATCACTTTCGATGTGCAAGACTGCGAAGCGAGTAGTGGTTAGTGGATACTTTTCATCGTCGATTGGTCCGGTATTTCCTCCTGACTGACGGTCGCTCTCGAGTTCGGATCCATTGCTGTCATTATCATCTAAGTCTTCTGAGACGGGGTCGTCATCACCATCACTGTCCTCTTCCGAGAGTTCATTACTATCCTCCCCGCCAGAGGTTTCCTTGTTAGTTCGCTTGATCCAAACACCGCGACCCGACCCGTCACGGTATTCTAATTCAATACTCGAAAGCGGAGTGGCGGGAGGCCAAAAACCCCAAGAAACCTGTCCCTCAGCGAGAGCACGCAAGACTGTGGAAATATGATACAATTATACACGGTAAAGGGGATAAAACTTAGCTTACTGGCGTTTCCTGCTCGCGAAAAATCCGGACGTCCAGCTTTTGCGGTAACCCAAGACTTCTTGTTCGCAAATGATACAAGGATGTCCATGGCGGTCCAGTACATTGATACATTCTCTACTCGTTTCATGTTCTCGCGCCAAGTGCGCTTGTCAGTGATTAGAGGTTCCTCGGACCGAGGATGAGGCAAATTGAAGATGTCCTCTAGCGGTAGAAGCTGGGCTGCGTAGTGAACGCATGCAGGGATGGCAGAGACACGAGAAATTGGTAAAACTCCCGAAAGCACCTATTGTGAAAGATTATCTTCCGCGAGTGTCGTATGCTTCGCCACGGACCTGCATTTCCATGGGCACATAGTTAGGCATAACCAATCCAGGACAGTCCACAAGGCGAATTTCCGACGTCCACAAAAGAGTTTGGAAATGTTTCGTCTGAAATATCGGTGTAAGTGTACAACTCATTATTCGAAAGACGTGAACGATACCTTTCCGGGAGTCTTTGAAGCTCGAACTTTGGATTCTCCGAAGAGAGCATTCAGTAGTGAGGACTTGCCGACGTTGGGTGAACCAAGCAATCCAATAGTAAGGAAACTGTCCTCTTCTGGGTCACTTGTGTCTGGAATAACCATTGTTCGTTGGGCGTGATGATTCAAGGCGGCATTCCAGTCAATCTCCTGCTTCACAGGTGGCTTCCAACTTTTCAATCGATCAGGATTTTCCATTATCTTCCTGGGTGGCTGCAAAATTTCTGCGTGCAGGTCTCGAATCGCGTCAAGTAACTGTTCTTTGAATATCTGAGGAATCCGGGACTCGTATTTAGACCGCCCTTGATGATAAAAACTCTCTTCCTTGGTGCCGTACGCCTGTACTTGCACTACTCTGAGATCAGGAAAGGAATTGCGGAGGTAATCAATCCACGCATTTGCTCGTACAGGGCCAGTGATATCGACCTTGGTGAGTACAAGGATCACCTTGCGATTCGAGAGATAGCGTGCAAGAGACGGCGGAAAGTGTAAAAGAGGACATCTGGAGTCTACGAGTACAAGGATTATCTGTGATATTTCTGTAACACGCCATCTACATCGATGAGGGAATGTGAAGGACATAGATACGCCGCTAGACTCACAATTGTCTCCATACTTCCAGATTCCGCTCGAAAGACGACGAGGAACGTACGATTGCTGGCTCTCGTTCGTGCTCTGTATCATCAAGATGGTCGTCGGATCTCTTGTTCCCTAATCTCCATCTCTCTAAAGCGCTATCTGTTTCTTGCAACCATTTTTTGAAAAGACCCTCTTCGTTCGATTCCACTTCTTTTTTGGACATGTCGTATCGCCACTTCGGTCTCCGCGGGCAAGTCAAGGCCTCAAACTCAGAGCTCTGTTCATAGCTTTGGGGCAAGATAGCTGCAGTCGGGGGAATCGGTCGTGGAAGAGGAATAGTAGATGCCAATGCTTTGGTGTTCTCAAGGAACTGACGTGATGATTTGATGAAAGTGGACTGCAATTTCCTTGATGATTCGACTAAAGCAGATGCAGGGGCATTGCTGTGAAGAACCCTGGATCTGTTTGTAGGCTTTTTCCTTCCTTTAGGCGGTGGAGGAGAGACTTCTCCGCGTTTTACAGCTCGTTTGAGCTGTCGTTCCTCCTTTTTCTGGCGAGTCGATGTGGGCTGTCTGCGAGGCATCTGTGATTAATTGTTGTTTGATGGTTGTAAGTACTGAATTGAAAGAGAAAGAGAAAGCGGAAAAGCGCATGCTTTGCTGACATTGTCATCATTGCAGTGATGAGAATGATTCACTATTGAGTTCACAAGTCACTACATTTACAGTTACAGCCATGATTGTCTGTATCTTTCTGTCTCTATAAGTGCAAGTGTGAGCTTTCTTATAATCTTGCCCCACTCTTCTCGGTGACCCTGCATAAACCCTCCTATCAAACGCGCATATCTCCGGAGCTGTTCATGCAAAAAACAGGGAGCATAACGTCTTCACCTCCCCGTTCATCCACAAACACTTCCATCAATACCGAAGGAAAACGGCATACTAGGCTCAAAGAAACACAGTTCACCTATAGATACGGACAGAAACTACATTCTTTCGAGCCTGAAAAGGCACCGTATCCAGTATCGTACGACAAGGAAATTCTCGAATTGGAACATTTGGACGGGCAATTAGTAAAATATTTGAGGCAGGGTTCTGTCTCTTTCATTGATTTTCCGGAAGGAGAGCGTCCACAACGCTGTCTGGACCTAGGCTGTGGGGTAATACCTGTACTCCTCATTCCTCAAATAGTTCACTCATGAGATTTCAATTTAGACAGGCGCATGGGTTATTGAAGCAGCTAAGGAATGGCGGACTACAGAATTCGTTGGATTCGACCTTGTAGATATCCAACTCAAGATTTTTGATCCTTCATTAGAGGAAAGGATACAATGGGTCTATGGCAATTTGTACGCTAATCCTATACTAATCACTGCATAATCTCTTGAACGGGAAATTGACGCATCCATATCTTTCAGCTTAACAACGAAGCTACCGTTTGAAGATGACGAATTTGATCACATACATGTTCAATCTATCTCTTTGGGAGTTCCAGAAAACAAAGTGCGTACCCGTCTTTTGATGAACATCTTTCCCGCTCATAGACATTTAGTGGGATGTGTTATTTGATGTGAGGACATCATCCCGATCACACCACGAAATCTACTGAAGTGTTTGCAGGAAATTTGTCGTGTCTTGCGGCCGGGAGGATCTGTGGAAATGATTGAAGACGACATCATTTTCCCCTCACTTCCTCGCTGGTTCACTGCACCTATGCGAGCGAAACCGCGTCGTTCTACATCCGTACATTTGCCGGAAGGCTCAGTACGTGGAAGTATCTCTTCCTCGTTCGAAAGTACACCTTTAACACCGAATCATGATCATGCATTACTTGAATCGCTGCACAAATCCGTATTCGAGCATCGATTCATCAATATGAAGCCGTCTGGTTGGTCTTCTGTTAATTTCGTTTTGTATCAGTGCTTCCTGCTTATTTTCTTATCTTTCAGCTCTCTTGCCGAGCTACTTCACGACTTATTTCAGACAGGTTACACTGGGACCAGTTCTGAGCTTCTTTTCACCTCCCCTGCCTCCTTTACAACCTCTTTCACCTCAAATAACCACGACATATGCTGTTGGACCTCTGGGCCTAGAACTTGAACAACGGGCCTCTGTCATAAGCAATTCAACATTTAACACACGTCCCATATCGGTGTCATTTTCTTCGTCTACCAGTGGGTCCTCACAAGGTTCTCGGGACAAATCTCACCCTTCGCCTCCCAAACTTGCTGAAGCACTTTCTTCGGCTATCTTAAGTGACTCCGATGACAACTACGAGGATATTCCCTCACCTCCGCCAAGGGAGCTTTACGCGTTGGAGGCCAACGGGCTTGCAGACAAAACTACACCCAAAGTTCCTTTAGTTACTAATGAACGACTTGATTCGCTCAACGAACGTTCTTTGGCTATGCATCTTTTTCGTGCTTACAACTACGTACTGGGTTGCCAGGATGCGCTTTGGGAGGAATTGAAGGATCGGTTGCGGAATCGAAAAGAGGAACTCGAGCCTTTTGGATGGGATGACGAAGAAGAATTTGAAGAGGTTCACAATCGCAAAAAGTTTGAACGACTTTTGGAGCGCTACCGAAGGTGTGTCTCTGTACATGTAGATAGGTATCATCAGTCACTTGTGGCTGACGTTTGTGCTTAAGTGATATGCAATCGCGGGTCTCGCTTTGGTGCTCTTTACACGAATTGGGGTGGCCACAACCTGCTCGAGAACCCTTGTCAAAAGCTGAACTCATTGAGGAGGAGCGGATGCGTGAAGGAATGCGTGAAGCATTGTTGGAAGCTAGACGGACTGCTTCGTTCGAAGACCACCGATTGCCTTGTAGATCGATAAGGGTCCTCGTGGGCTCCAAACCGTGATACTTTTGTTTTCTCTTATACCCAAGCCATTGCATATTACGGTACTGTATGTATAGAACCTACAAGTCGCATTGTATTTGTATATCGCTGTACTAGACATGTTTCAAAAAATCGGGATACTTGCGCAGAGACACTAAGCGCTCATACATAGGCTTAGGCGCTGTGAAACCAAAATTATCGCTGAGCGCTTATGTCACAATTTTTTTCGTCTCTGTAATGGCGGCCTCGACGTCTCACGAGCCGCAAGATGCTTCACTTCCTCTCAGTCCTTCATCAGCTCCCGAAAAGATAAAGAGATCCAGGAAGGGCTCGAAAGAAAAAGGCAAGAGCAAGGAAGCGAGTGGTGGCCAAAGGAAACGATCGGCAGGGGGGAAGCCGTCGACTGCAACGCTCAACAATCACCCGGTATACGAAGACGATCCGCCATTAGACTGGATATCATTAACAGATGCTCATCCGAGTCAAAGTCCTCCAATATTTACTCAGGATGGCAGGTAAGAAGAATTCATCCATCTCCATTTCTGTGATTTGAAACGCGTTCTATGTCAGTTATTATTTTGTACTCGTAGGTTCTTCAGTGAAGATATTCGCCACATCTACCGGACAATTGGTGTCTACTTTGTCTGTCCCGTCATCTACTACTGGTGTTTCTTCAGAAATAACATCGGTCGTCCTTAATCCTATGAACATCTTTCAAATCATAACGAGTTCGTTAGATGGAACTATCAGGATATGGGATTACTTGGATGCCACTTTAATCAGAACTTTGGATATTGCTCAGCCCATACACCACATCTGTACGCACGACAAACATCAGGATTTTGTTTTTGTTACTGTCTCTCGTCCAAGTAAGCCAACAAAAAGCTTGGTCAGTTTGTCCAGTCCATAGTAACTATGTATTATTTTCTCACTATTCAACTCAGCGGAAGACGCCTCATCTGTGCTTCGAATATCATTAAAAGCTGCGGCTGCTTCGGCTCAGTCTGCGGTCCAGAAACCCTCGGACATAACCCCTCTTGGAAAAATACGTTTTCCAACTGGTCTTGCCATCTCACCAAGTGGAAATTGGCTAGTTGCTACTGCAGGACACAAGGCTTATGTCGCCAACCTGTTGATCATTAAATCTGGCTTCACGAAATATGTCTCGCCTGATAGAATCAACTGTCTAGCTTTCCATCCAGTGGAAGACTACTTTGCTACTGGCGATGTGAAGGGGAACATCAGGCTCTGGTACTGTCTACATGACCCTACAAACGTCAAGGTAGCCGGATTAGAAAAGAAGACTCAGACCGCGAGTTTTCACTGGCATGCACATGCAGTGTCTTCACTCGCGTTTACATCTAATGGTGCATATTTGTTGAGTGGTGGAGAAGAATCTGTACTTGTGATATGGCAACTGCACTCGGGTAAAAAAGAATTTGTACCTCGATTAGGCGCACCTATCCAAACTATCTCGATCACAAAAACCTTACACGCAGGAGAGGAGTACCTTTTGGGCTTGAATGATGCGACTTTCGTGTTCGTGAGCGCATCCACGCTTAGAATATCAAGGAGTTACTCGCGTATTAAGCTTTGTAGGTGAAGTCAATTGTCTCCCTGATATCAAGGCTTATACCAAATTTCTGCAGTCCCATCGGATAACTCTTCCTCTTCAAAGTCTGTCCCTTTGGCAGTACATCCTAGCTCCTCAACCTTTATCATTCCTTCTTCCCACCCGTCTTCAGTCCAAATGTTTTCCTTCGCCTCATCAAAAATAGTCTCCGAATTAGAGATCTCCCCGTCAAATAGAGTGTCGCGAAGAGAAGAAAAGCCCGTAGAGCCGTCGCGAGTTGAATGCACTGAAATTTCTTCGTCCGGTGATTGGATGGCTTCCATAGACACTCGCGCCCCACCAGAGGACTTTCAAGGAGAAGTATATCTTAAAATATGGCATTGGGATCAGAGGACTTCACTGTGGATTCTGAATACTCGAATAGACAGACCACATGGCCTTCACAAGATTTTGGCTATGTCTTTTAGCCCTCGTCCTCGGGCTGGTCAGGAATCACATTTGGTCACGACCGGAGGAGATGGCGCAGTCAAAACATGGAGGCTTCGCTCCGACCGAGAAAAGAGCCAAGAAGGAGAAGGTCTGTTGCGTCTTCTCATCCTCTATCTCATACAGAGTTTTGACTCTTTATAATAGGATTTTGGATCGCACGTTCATCCTTCAGTTTTCGCAATGAAGCACCCTCGCACGTTTCGTGGTCGCCGGATGGATCTCTGTTAGCAGTCACTTTCGGAACCCGTGTCTCGCTGTACGATGCGTTGACAAACATCCACCGAACTACATTTACTTCACCAGAATGTCCACATGCATATATGTCACATTTTGTTGGGCGAGGGCGATTTTTGGCGGTTCAGGGGAAGCAAGAACTTGTGGTATGGGATATCGTTTCCCGTTCAGGTGAATATTCACCATTTCCTCATTCCACTTGAGCTTGCACTCAATCAGTAACAGTACGGTGGTCCTACACAAGTTCCTACCCTATATACAACGTGGTTCCTCATCCTGAAAATGACAGCTTTGCGATCTTTACCTCCGCCGCACCAGGACGTTCAAGAATCCATTCATTTTCTTCTTCATCGTCCAAGCCTTCAAAGACAACTTACCTCCCTTTCACATTACTGAACGCGGTATGGTATTCGTCCAAACCTACCTCTTCTTTGAGTCTTGCAGGGGTCACTCAAGATTGGAGGTTCGTCCTCGTCGGTGATGATGTAAAGGCCCTTGAGGAAGAAGGAACTCTTGCAATAGGGATCAAATCACGATCTTTACCTCAGCGGCGAACACTTTTCCAAGATATCTTCGGGAAATCCATCTTTGATCAACAGCCTGTAAGCGACTTTTCGGCTGCGACTTTGCAGCAAAAAGCAGGACCAGATGATCGCACTGTGTTCGATGTACCTGCACATCTTTCAGCTCCTGTAGAGAGCTTATTTGACCCACTCATAATGGGCTTTTTGAAACTACGCCCGGCCGAACAAGAACACCTTCCTATGGAGGAAGGACGCGAAGATGAGGACGTAGTCATGGAAGTGGACACCTCCGAACCAGTTGCCTCATCTCGGTTAACGAAAATTGAGGACAAGGAAATAGAATCGTTAGTCGCTGTTTCCGAACGTACTCGTTACAAAGTACGCTATTCTTTCCTTCTTTCTCCTTTGATTATCAATCCTTTGCAACAGCACATAGCCACTCCAAGACACCCAAAACGAATGGCATCCGCAAAGTTAATGGCGTACATCTAAAACCGTCTCCTACGCCTTCAAAGGTCCCACAATTAACTAAATCGAAGCCACCGAGGCAAGTGGATGTTGTCAACGTTGTTTCTCCCTCATCCCCCGAACCAACTCCTTCGCCGATGCTCAATGGGATCGGGAAAAAAACGAAAAAAGGCCTTAGATTACTTTTGAGTAGGCCGAACAAATTAGTTAGTTTCGAATGACATCTGCTATTCCATCAATATTGGGACGCAATATCATTTGCGCGTTCGGAGTCGATCTCGAAATGAATCCAGTTCCGCGGAAGGTTATTTTTGACGTAAGTCCCATTTTCAGTTGGACGAGATCGAACAGGATTGAACACTTGAATTTTGAGATGCTACATACTGCTACATACGGAGGACAGATGGTAAGTTCGTAGATAGTGAAAAGATGCAGTTAATACATGATGAGAACAGACTAAAAAAAGCAGTATTAAACAGGCGAGTAATATACGTTCCCTTTAGTTCCGATCTTGTGTAGTGTTTGTTAGTGGTCGGGACTAGGTGTCACGGTTCATTAAGCAATTCCTCCTCCTCTTGGGTTTTTGCGCCAACATCAACGATCATGAGGCCCTCAATATGCTGTCTAATGTATTCCAAGAGGGGGCCATTAAATGACGAGATCATTGCTTTAGCAATGTACGTCTTCTTCACCGGAATACCACAAATCTTCCGCGCACCGATGAACTTTGCAAAAATCTGTGGACGGATGTTTTGGACCTCAAGAATATTCAGACGAGGATTAGGCAGACGAGGTTCCCTATCTGCATCGTCTAGTGCCTCCTGTAAAGGCGCTGTAACCTCATTGAAGGTAAATTCTTCTACCATTCCGAAAGATGTCCGCATTTGCGGTTGCAAAGCAGGATGCGCTTGCATAGTGTCTGGATCAAATAAGAACGCCTGAAGTATGTCATATTCGAGGGCAGCCAAACGGGCATAGGTCAGCAATGGCATAGAGTCCAGCCATTTGATCACCGTAGGCAGGATATCGGGAGGACAGTTGGTGGTATAGAGCGTTAATATCTTAATGTTCCGAAAACGACCAATCATGAATTCGTAAAATGGACCGTAGTTTTCACCTCTGAAGTTCATAATGGTAAGATCTTTGACATTTGGTGCAGTAAAATGAGCGACGATACTCCTGGTGAATGGTGCTGCAAAATTGGCGAGGACGAGGGTATGGAGATGAGGGAGATCAATGGCCGAGTAGTTCTGAGTCGACGTAGGATTACCAGCTGGACCAGCACCGTCCAACGAAAGTTTTGTCAACATCGGAGAACTGGCTAGTATCTGCCGGAAGCGCGGTAACGGGGGACACAGCTCGAGGGGAATCCGTCGAAGGTCGAGCGTGTTCAGGTTATCTAATGAAGGTGTGTTCGCCCAATCGATATAAACGCCATTCATAGTGAAAGATTTAAGTTCGGGAATATATATTCCTCCAAAAAGAGAATACAGAGAGACATCGTGATTTACGGGGTCGAATCTTTCTCCTCTATAGACGAGGCCAGGCCATATATATGGGTTTCCGGTTCGATGAATCTCAAAACGTTCCATCATGAGAGGAGGGTTTCCGTTCTTCCCGTGATCACTCAACCACTTGAGCACAGAAAGAATAGGTTCCCAGTTATCGAGGAGAATGATGAGCATGCGGATATGATGAAGGTGAGGGGTGAGGGCTTTCAATAGAGCGCACACTTCTTGGTCTGTGAACTTGCGCGTCTCAGTATCGTTGATACGAAGATCGAGGGGCGAGATACCCGATCGCTCAACAAACGCCAGTGATCGCTCGAACGGAGGATCGTCGCGGAACCAAATCGCGTTCCAAAGAGTTGAATCCGAAATGGCTGCATGGCGAAGATGTCTGGACACCCAAGTAAGCTGTAACCGCCAGCTGATACCGATTGGAGGTGAAGGTGCAGACCAGACGATATAGCGGATAATATTGGAGAGAATTTCCATCGGTAGATCGTTGAGACGGAATGTGCGCCAGTATATAAGCTGGTAGGAAATATAAGTCTTGACAGAATTCGCCTCGCATTCGTGTATCTCAATGTTATGTCGTTCGCGTTCGGTTGCATCACTTGCTGGCCGCAGTCTGAGCTGCTTGATATATGCTTCCTGCCGAAGGAAAGATACAAGAAGCTTGGCACATTCACGTCGAATCCCGATTTTCTCGTCCGAACCGAGAGCATGAGGCACCCAGGGATCTCTTGCGAGCATTGCACGAAAGTACTCGTCAACGGAGACTGCACGAAATCCTTCAGGTATTGGACCATGACTTGGTCTATGGACGAGCGCGCCATTACCACGAGCTGCGGATCCACGACCATTAGGACCACCGCGACCTATTCCTGAAGGTCCAGCGCCTCTGGAAGAGTTTGAAGCCATCTGCAGGGAATCGATTAGCCACCGATGAATGAAGAAACAAAGGAATTGAGTACATTGACAGTGGAGGACGCGTAGAAAGTAATAGAGATGAGGAAATTGAGTAGGGATTTCTGTCAGCCGAAACCAAAGACAGAAGGGAGGACGTGAAGCAAGCAGGAAGGTGGAAATGGTGATAGGATAGAAGTTAGAAGAATTCGATTGCCTTAAGCCTTCGGTCAAAGCGGTTGGTTGGAGTTGTTTGGTCTGAGCCAATTTTGGCGCGCCGTTTTGATAGATGAATTGACCGACCGTCTGGCTTAGTTCGAGCCCGAGAAAAATTAAGTCTAGCAGCCAAATAAGTGCCACTAATAGAGACTAGATGGAGGGCGATCGCAATAAAGGAAGGGGAAAAAGGTAAAGCTGGATTGCTGATGAAGGTTTTCTTTTTTAAAAGCAAGAAATTCCCCTTTGACGGCTGTAGATCCAGCGAGCAATAGAAGAATTGACCCGGAGAATGTAAAATGAGGCAATATGCGCTAGAGGGCCAGTGCGCCGTTTCATTCATCTTGCCCCATGATGGTAGTACGGTCCGACTCAAAGGCTTTCCGTCGTCCAACGGCTGTTTCCGAGCCCGAGCCTTCCCCCTTCTCCACACGGTCAATGCCTTGTCTTCGAAACAAAGCAAGAACCTCTTTATCAAAAAAATATATCTTTATTTGACTTGAACCCGCGGAAGCAAAATCCGAGCCTGTGGCTGACCCATCTTCTAATCATAGTTGCAAGCAAAAAAAGGCATTGCAAAGGTGTTCTCTCTATTCGTCAACGGTTGCTCATTGAACGGTTGGTTAAATATTTTCTCCTAGGAAGGCATCGACTTTTGCAGTTGAAGCTGAAAGGCAATCTCCGCGACCTACTCTCGTACAAATCACAGTTCTTGCTGACTGTCTCAGATATGACCATGGCAGGTCCAACCCTCGTTCCAGAGTTAAAACCGCACTTTGCCTTCAACACGAGGCTCGCATTCCACATGGAATCGCGTATTAACCTTTCACACTCCTTTGTTTCGTTGCGTGACCTTATTTTCAGGGAGAAAATTAATATCATGTGCAGACCTCGGAATAACACGCCCCCCGCTATAATCACACAATTTATACAACGTCAAAACATTTCGTGTATTCATGTATCTACGTTGCTCTTTACTACTACATTTTACTACGATACAACACGCCTACCTTGGGAATGTACAACTAACCTGGGTAAATTGTTTGAGAAATACAAGTACAAAGATATCATTCAGTCTAGATAGATGAGAACACTGCACAGACAGACTAACGCCTCGATCCCGATGCACCAGGCACAGCGGCGGGAGTCGTGGTACGAATCACAAGCTCTTCGAGTAGATTTGTAACAATTTCGTCCTCGTTTTCTCTAGTCAAAACGCCATCCTTAGGTACCACCTCTCTAACCTTTGCCGCAAGATCGGGATGAGCAGCCTCACTAAACCCCATCTGCAGTACGAAAACGGTGAGTTCCGGCATGGGGTGGAAGACGAAGATAAAAAAGACGTACGTCAGTGAGCTTTCTCTGAATACGATTTACTGCACGCGTCGCCGGATCTTCAGGTTCAAAGGTGTGACGACGACCGTGAGGACGACCGAAGTTTCCATGGTGTCCACCACGACCATGACCAAGAGCGTGAGCAGGGAGAGTATTCGAACGACGGGGACCAGCAGAAGGGCCAGCAGAGGGGCCTAAAGGTAGAGGAACGCTGACCATCTCGAATTGAGGGAACGACCCACGAGCATTGCTGATTATATGAGCAGTTCTGGAGCCGTCACGACCCAGCGGAGTAGGTGGGGCGACGGGCGCAGGATTAGCGGAAGGAGTAGGCGGAACTTCCGGCACTTGATGTGTCGAAGTTTCACCAGCAGCACGTTGAAGGGACCTGAGTAAGATTTCCCAGTCAGAAGGAGTAAGCAGGAAAAGATCAAGAAACACCAACAAATTTCCCATCAGTTCAAGCATCCTGCGATCCCTTTCCCTTCGACGTTCATCGCGATTTTGACGGTATCGCTCCTTTTCTGCTTTGTACAAAAGCTTGGCAGCTTCAACCTGGTTCCGTAATTCAGTCGCAGACTGCCTGTCCCGACGTTCAGCATCCATCGAGGGAGCGCGAGGAGCGCTGGTAGGAGCCCACCAGTAGCCCATACCACCAGAGTAGGAGCGACCGTGATGCGGGCGATCTCCATGGCGACCATGCATGTTAGGTGGAGAAGGAGGTCTAACATGTGGAGGGAACGGAGGAGGAGGAGGGCCACCACGCATGTTAGGTGGAGAAGGAGGTCTAACATGTGGAGGGAACGGAGAAGGAGGAGGGCCACCACGCATGTCGGGAGGTGGGGGTGGGGGTGGAGACATGCCATGTCTACCAGGAGGCCCGAATGGAGGCGGTGGGGGAGGCCTAGGGCTACGGGGCATATCGTGCGGTGGAGGGGGAGGTGGAGGCATACTATGCCCACCAAAAGGCCCAAATGGGGGAGGTCCAAACGGAGGTCGTCCAAAGACGTGGGGTGAAGAGGGACCACGTCCAAATTGGCGCATAAATTCATATCCAGGCATGATACGGGCTCCCCAAGGACCACCGCGGCCCCAGGAACCAGATCCCCACCGTGAGTCATCAGCATCAGCAGGAGGTGGAGGCGCAAGTGGGGGAGGACTGTGAGAAGGAGATGTTCCTGTGGTAGCAGCGGGAACAGTGCCTACTGTTTGGCTGATGGTCCGAAAAAGCAAGCCTAATGCATCAGAGACCCTCCTACCTGCCTCTTGATCAGCACGACTCAACTCCTCAGTGACAGATTTGGCGATATTTGCTGCCTGAGACATAGCATCTCGTTGCGCAGTCCAATACGATCCTGCAGCAGCGTTACGTAGAATGTTGCGGAACCCTTCCGACAATTCAGGATGAGTAGAGACGATGGCAGCCAGATTATTGAGCAGGTTGGCGACGTCGAGAGATAGGGACGGATTGGCATGCTCGAGAGAAGTAGAGTCAAGAGCAGGAAGGGGTGGATCTGCTGCCTCAACAAGCTCCGGTTCAGAGGGAAGCACTGGAATTGAAGTTGGAGCGATAGTTTCGTTGGTACGAGCAACGGAGACGGGTCGCGAGGAGACGGCGGAGGGCACAATGGAAGGCGGAGGCTGAGATACAGGAGGAGGGGGAACTTCCTGTACATGAGCTTTTGGTGTTATAGTGGGGGCAGTAGAGCTACGCCGAGAGCTGCGTCGAGATCGGTGAGTCTGAGTCTGAGTAGGCTCAGCACCCTTGAGATTGTAGACATGGATATCTGGCTTTTCAAATGTCTTTTCCTCGATAAGAGAAGCCGTGGAAGAAGCGTCGTTGTCTTGGGCTCTTCCTTTACCTTTGTCCACACGAGGGGGGATGACCGTCGAAACGTTACTATCACTATCGCTGATGGAAGTGGTCTCGTCGTGTTGAGCACCGGAAATAGTGCTGGCTCCACTTTCAATCTCTTCAAGAAAACCATGTACAGAACTGTCTTCGCGTCCACCGTTAGCGGCAAATAGACCTCCAACTCCAGACGGAAAATGCTGCCAGTCCTCATCGATGTTGAAAGGAAGACCCTCACTCATACTGCCACCAAAGGTGTTGCGGAAATTAGGTGCAGGTGGAGTTGTCGGAGACGATCTATCTCGACGACGGGGAATTCTCAGGTCCTCAACGATAAATTTAACGACATCACCAGGTTTGTAGGAAGTTTGATAAAAATCCTGTAGTTCTTCCTGAGTGCTGAGGGTGACTTCATCATCTTCAGAGTCGATATAAGCAACAGCTATTGCCTCAGCAGGAATATCAAACAAGCCAGCAATCCTTTCAGCGAGAAGAGTCCAAGTAGGCTCATCAGTGAAGGACAAACGACGAGTAGGGCCACCAGTAAGTTTGAGTTTGAAATGGGCAGTCATGATTGTTAACCGAGAAGTGAAGTTCTCAGTCGGTCTTCTTATAATCACCATGGACAAACAATGCGCAAATAAAGGCGGAGCCGGTGCGCAGTCCGTGGCTATGCAGGTTGTTTCCTATCGACCTCCATCGTCGAGGTCCATACGCGTCACCTGCTCGGCTGTTCGGCTGCACAACAAACGATTCACTGAGAAATTCGGACATTGACTTCTATCCGCCCGCGCAGCAAGTTTATTGAGTTATGTCTGTGCAAGCCCGTGAAGATCCGACAAGAAATCTTACCCAGATCACCTTGCACCTGCGCTGTAGAATGTAGAACCGGAACACGTACGTAGATGAGTCGGATTCGAACCAAGGTGCGTCTTCTTGACTCATTCTGTGTGCCCGACATTGATTAATGATTCCAAGATATAGTGAACCGTCAGCGAATTCGTCTTATTTTGCGATCTAGAGTTGCTCCAATGTCTTCACTCGTTTATACTCCCGGCGACCATCTAAGGAACTATCCAATATGAATACGACAGGCAATGCTGCAAGGCCTGTGGAGAATTGAAGACTGGAAACGCAGCATTCATACTACGTACATCGACATCGTTTCAATCTTCTTCTATTGGTTGACCGATCTACAAGATACAGGAAACCTCGTTCCAGGGTCCTACTTGGAACCTCCGTTCCTGTGGACTCAACTCGCGCGCAGGGATTAGCTACCACTACCTCCCATCATACTCTAAACAAACCGTGTATATCATAAATCTCAAGGTCCTGAATAACAACCTTCTAATTAATAATTTACATTTGACAATAAAATGACCTTTCACATGTGTTGAAACGGGCAATGTTCTTTTCGGGATTCCATGTTCTCGTTATATCCATCGTGATAGCCATTCTCTATCGTCCCACCCACTCTGGCGGCCCTTTCAAACGTGAATCGACTCGGCCTCAGCGCGTTCTCCTTGTCACCGCACACCCCGACGACGAATGTCTCTTTTTTGCCCCAACTATATTCGGTCTCGCAAATGGCTCACAGCTAGATGACGCTTCCCAAGACGGGAGTATTGGGCAAAACAATGAAAATGAACTGTTCTCGCTGTGTTTATCTGTGGGAGACGCCGATGGCTTGGGTCATATTCGCAAAGAGGAATATGAGAAAAGTCTGGATGTTATGGGAATTAAGGATACGAATAGGATTGCTTTGGACGATCCGTGCGCATTCTTTTACCCATCCTCATCCTTGAGAACGCTCAATTTACAAGCAGATACCTTCAGGATAGCATGGAAGTATCATGGGACATAGACTACATCGCAGACGTGGTGGCAGACTTTGTCATGCACCATAACATAACTACGGTACCAATTTGTACTATAAACATCCCCGAACAGCAGACCTCATTGTGCCTTACTTGTTCAGATATTGAGCTTCGACCAAGGCGGTGTTTCCGACCACCCAAACCACAAAATAATACCCTTCGGAATTCAACGCATGATATCAGCATATCCCGTGTACCCTCCTCCCAAGTTCTACGTGCTTATCACTGTCCCTCTTTCTATCAAGTACGTCGGTATACTCGCGCCTCTGGTCGCGAAATTTGACTTGTACGCGATGAACATGCTGCATTCTGCCGAAGACCGCCTCTCGTGGAGTATGGAATATTTTGGTTACCCTTACACAACTAGCGCTGTAGGTGCAAAGCGCAATCGAGGAAAAACGTTGCCATTCTTTGTTGCCGGTATCAATGATTATTTGGCTGCGCTACAGGCGATGCGTCAGCATTGGAGTCAATTGGTTTGGTTTAGGTGGTTAAATGTTATGTTCTCAAGGTATATGTGGGTCAACGAGTGGGCAGAGGTCAAAATGCAGGCTCCAGATAGTTATGCAATACCATAGAAAAACGGAGAACAATATTATTTGGCCAAACAGTTTGGAGCATACGATGGTTAGTGGGATAAACGAGCTCGAGCGTGTAGCGTGTATAGGACCAGAAAACAGTTATATCATATAGCATAAACAATGAGTTCAGGCAAAGATGGCCATGCGAGGGTCAATTTCGGCGGGATCGTTCAACTGCAACGAGGTGGATCAGTCCTGCTGGGCCATTGATAGAGAGTAAAAATATACCCTGAGATTGATGTTCAGCCCACTGATGGCTTTCATGTCATCCTCGCTCAGCTCAAAGTCTTCACTCTGCAAATTCTGTACCAAGCGGTCCGAACTATTACTCTTGGGGATCACCGCCATACCTCGCTGTATAGCCCAGCGAAGAAGCACTTGCGCAGGTGCTAAAGTCATTGTCAGAAACTTCACCGCGTCAAGGGCCACTATCTAACTTACTTTTGCCAACCTTCGACGCAGCACTAGTGACAACATCATGTTCGAACAAAGCAGTCACTCCTTTGTCCATGCCAAGTTCGAGATAACTTTGGGGTCCGAAGGAGCTGTAGGCTGTGACAGCAATACCGAGAGTCTTCGCGAACTTGAGGAGTTGTTCTTGGGAAAGGTAAGGGTGAATCTCGACTTGAAGAACTTGTGGCTCAATGCGCGCGTATCTGAAGATATCGCAGATGATAGAACCAGAGCAGTTACTTGAAACCAATATAGATATCTTCAAGAAAGGTCGAGATAAGCATAGAAAGCGAGTTACCTGATACCGATATTCTTTGCAACGCCTTGATCAACCAGCTCTTCCATGCAGGTCCATGTTTCTTGCAAAGGGATTCTCTCTTTTTTTTAAAAAATTTGATTAACCATTCGACTCCGAGACCGAGAACAGCATATACTCACCGAGAGTTACGCTCTTACCGTCGTCTCCCCACCATTCCGGAGGGTATCTGTGAGCAGGATCGACATACTGAAGAGCGATAGGGAAGTGGATCAGGAAAAGATCAAAGTAGTCCAATCCCCATAACTTGAGCTGCATCTTCGCAATCTTGTTCACCTACAGATGTGTTATTATCAACAACATTTATCCATAGAACGATAGAGCTTTCACGCACATGCTCTTTCGCATGGAAAGTGTTCCAAAGCTTGGATGTGATGACTAAATCTCTCGGGTTAAAAAAAGACGATCTCCTGGAAGATTGCGTGGGATTCACATAAATCCTCTCTGTTCACGATACCCTCGCTCAATGCACGTCGCACTCCTTCTCCAGCTTCCTTCTCGTTCCCGTAATCACCGGCACCATCGAACAATCGATAGCCAGCTTTGATAGCAGCGTAGACAGTCTACTCAACCTTCGATAAGTACATTGTCATAGACGTTATCAATATAAATCTCACGTCTGCACAGGAAGATTTGGTGACCTGCCAGGATTTCAACAAAATTTATACCAGAGCTGGGAGACCTACATACCTTCCACAGACCGAAGCTAGAGCCTCGAGATTAGGAAATTATCAACTGGAAAAAATGTTGAGTAACTCACCCAACGACGGGCATCTAAAAAGTAGATAAACCTCGAAGCACTTTTAGAATTGAAAGCGGTGACTGACCTTGTGCTGGGTTCGCTTCAGTACGATTGAGGCCATGATAGTGTATACGGTTGATGAGCTTCAAGTCGTTGGTAAGAGAGGAAGATCAAGGTGAAATCGATTCGAGGTGTATTTAAATGATGCGAGTGAGGCCAGCAGGAAACATCATAAGACCATCTCCGATGATACGGCGAAATTAGAGTCCTAGTAGTGGATATCAATGAATGCTTGTGAATATCAGTCCATGAACGGGTGATGTCGAGTTGATTTTTCGGGATTGTACCGGAATATGCCGTGCCGAAGCTCCGTTATTTCCACTTCATTCTCTTCCTGTTCTCTTCTGGCAGTGACTTCTGTCATCTTCAGCTCCAGCAGCGAACTCTGAATATTGAATACCTGGCAGTACTGGTATTGATGTGTTCAGCAGTTTTCTGACTACTGTGATATGCGATTCCATGTTGTTGGACTCGGTGCTGTTGGGACCCTCATTGCAAATCACCTCCGTCGATCTCTCCCTGAAGGACATTCTGTCTCCCTTATTCACAAAAATGTTAATAGAGCCAGGCAAGCTCTGTGGCACAACTCCATAGCCCTGGAGGAGAATGGATTGCCTTTTGTCTTGAAAAATTTCACCCATGGAACTGCCGACGTCGACGTCGTTTCCGCCACAGCGAAATTGCCGAACGTCACCTCCGACTCGCGCTATATAGAGTCCCTCTTCGTTACTCTCAAAGCACATCAAACTCTCCCTGCTATACGCAGAATTGCTGGTAGACTTTCGCCCAACTCCACCATTGTCCTCCTGCAAAACGGCATGGGTGTTTACGAACGACTCTTGCAAGAAGTCTTCGTAAACCCAAAGCAGCGTCCTCACTTCATCCTTGCCTCCAACACACATGGGGTCTACTCTAGAGGACTTCTTGATGTTGTCCATACCGGACGAGGTGAAATACGGTTCGGAATCGTTCCAGATTTCGAAGGTCGAAATTTTGAAACATCTCTTCACGATCTGTCAAAGCCTTTAGAAGAGAGACGCGGAGATCTGGGAGATATCACGCAGTCTGAAAAGCTCGATCCCATGTTCGGACGCTATAGGAGCTTGCGGAACACTGTCGCCGCCCTTCAACTTATGGAGGCTCTTAATCCGACCTGGTTGACGATGGAGGAAATGCAGATTGCGATGCGACGCAAACTGGCCGTCAACGCGGTAATTAATCCACTCACTGCCCTAATGGGATGCAAAAATGGAGAGATATTTCAAACAAGAGAAGCGCATTCCATGCTTTTCAGAATCTGTCAAGAGGCATCCGATGTTTTCAAGGCCGAAATGGTCGCGGAGGCCAAAGGTTTTATGAATATAGCTGATACGGAAGCGGGTGTGGATGTTCTCCTAGACCGCATCCCCGAGGTACTCACTAGGGAAAGCTTAATGCAGGAGTGTTTACGTGTAGCAAAGGCTACAAAGAACAACATCTCTTCCATGCTCGCTGATATACGGTCTGGCGCTTCTTCTGGCACAGAGATCGATTATATCAACGGCCGTCTCATCGAGTTAGGCCACGCGTACAACGTGCCTGTACCTGTTAATACCGCCCTCGCGCGTTTGGTTAGGATGAGAAGTAAACTCGTGAGTGGAAAAGTAGATTCATGAGGGCAGAGTCAACATTGTTGTAGCATTCGAGTCAATGGCACATTCTTGAAAATATAGTTCAAATCCCACTTCGCGAGCGTTGTCATCGCTTTCTACCGAAGTCCAGCCCACCCCATTGCTTTTCTTGCTTCACCGAATCTGCTCAGATTCTTTCTGCATTCGACGGTGGTCCAAAACTTTCTCGTACGCCCACTGAGGGTACAATCTCTTCCTGACGATTGATCTAACATTGGACGCCGCATCCCGAACATCGATTCTTTGTTCCACAATTGCGATTCACGCTGCTTTGGACGTACCAAATCCCTCATTTGTAACAACAACGGCCCCGCTGATCTGTGTCAGCTACTGGTGGGCGCGCGAGGCTCGATGATATGTCGGAGGCGGTATTGTAGACGTACTCGACCTACGGCGCAATCGAGGTCTATGATTTTCGTTGTGACATCAACGACGAACACCATGTATACTGTACATATGGGAATGCGGTGAAAGATGAGATTTGAGCATGGAGCGAGATGGATTTAACGCGTCGACAGTGCGTGTTGCACAAGTAGCCACTGTTGTTATTCCAAAAGCTAGGTTGTAAATGCATATTGTCAAGATTTGTAGCGTCTCCCTTATTCCAATATGTAACTTATTTCGAAAACAGTAAGAATATTCTCAATTGCACTGCATAAGCAATGCTTCAAAAGCTGTTGAGCGATCACACGTTCTGTGCACTTGTAACGTTCATGTTGGCGTCTATGACATGTACATCTTTTCTGTGGCAATCCTCATATCCATTGCGGCCGTTTGACTATAGGTAGATTCAAACACCCCGACGAATCGACCAACAATCCAAGCGATTCTTAGAAGATAGAACTCAGACTTCTACATACTACTTGTATGTCAGATCTCGACGTACCCTCAGCCTGTCGCATAAGCGACAGTGATATTTCTGGTATCGGTGTGCGCGTAGGTGTAGAGCTTCGATGATGTCTGTCTTTCGCAATACCAACCTGTAACATTAGAGCAGTTTTTATCTGCAAAGTTTTCTACTAGGTAAGTTACCCTTCATAGAGCTATCTGTCATCCGTCTCTCAAGATTTCGCATAGTTATACTTGTGGATAGATCAACCGACGCCTCTACCTCTCTGTGGACATTCACTGCCGCTTCCTTTGGCTTGACGATCGCGGCTGTGATGCAATACGCCAAACAACAGCTCTCCCTACTGGAGGCTTTACAGGTTTCTAACCTAGTGTGGCAAGTTCTCCATCGGTTGGTTCTGAAGCGCGCTGTGTTGATATCCTTTCTTGCGTAGGTTGGCGAATCTCGGGATCTTCGTCGCTCTAGCGAGTTACTCCCGACATAAACGAAATACTCGCCGGAAACGCGGTAGGAAGAAGGCTAGACGTGCAAATTCAGGGAGCAGGAGACCGGAACGTGGACATGAATGGGATTACGGAGTAAAAACTGCTTCTATGGTAAGCCTCTCATTTCTGCACCGATCTAAATGACCATTGATTCATTCTGACAGGTCCAAACCATCCTCTCGATGGCCCTCACATTGTATATGTGGTATGTTTGCGCGATAACACTTTCGACTCCAAAATTTAACTCTCAATCAGGGCGGCGCCAGAAAATTTTGCGCCTTCACAATGTCTTGATACCTTAACTTACGTCCTCTTCGTTTGGAGACTACCTGTCCGTCATAGTGGAAGGATTGTCGGCTTGACCTTCTCTTCAATTCTGACTTGCGTTTATATTACCATTACTCTTCACGAGTACTGGATATCATATCGAAAGCGGAAACTGAAATCCAAAAAAAAGGATTCTCCATCTCCCCCGCCACTTTCGGAACGTACAATACCTCTGCCCTTAACTTCACCCTCAAGATCGTCTGATTTTAAATCAAGTCCTCAAACGTCCTCTCTCTCCCCATCTCAGGCTATCCCCCAAATTCCTACACCAACAAAGTCCAACCGTCCAAATCGCAAACTATGGTCCAACATCGATCCTATGTTCGTTGGAATACTAATTTTCGAAACCATCGTCTTCCTGTATCTGATTGTCTCTAACGAGATACTCTTGCGAGACAACCGTGCAGATACAGGTGAATTTGGTTTTGGTCAGGTTTGTATCGATGCGGCATTACTATTTATCATGTAGAAGGCCACTGACCAATGAACGATTTTGTAGATATTGGCTCTTGTTGTCGTTCTGCCTGTATTGTTATCAGTTATAGGTGCCTTTGGAGAGAACGGCTTCCGTCCCCGCTCACATACAGGTCATGAAAAGTACCGTCGTTCGAAAAATAGTAGGGGAGAAGTTTGATTGTATAAACAGTTAGTGTTACATACCCGCATTTTTTTTCTTGTCATTATACGTTGTAGCTATACGAACTGCATCTATAAAACTCTGTACTACCACCAGAAAGAGGCCGGGAAGAAGAAGCCCTTGCGTTATGTCATTGGTATCCTTCTCTTTCAAAGACTACGACCACAGCAGAACAACGGCGGTTGAAATTGTTGAATTATACCTAATTATACCGTTTTTGCGCCAAATTTCCCTCTGTACGCCGACTCATGGTGATTGTACGAGAAGGTACTAGGTAGGTACCTAATTGATTTTAATGACCCCCAAAATTCTCTTATCTGTTCTTTAGGTTGTGGATCGAAGCAGTGGTCAGGAGTGTTGATAGAAACGGTGGCTGAATGAATATGTAGATACTTCCTATGCTGGGAAATGGTTGACATATGTGCTTTTATGTGCGGCGTGCCTTCACGGAAGAGCTGAAGGTAGGTACACCATGGCTTGTGCCTGCTTGTACGTTTCAACTTCAATGTTCATTGCCGTACTTATTGTTCAAAAGGAGGCCAGTTCAACGTATCAGTATATGTACATAATTTGACACCGATTTTAGACAGGTACTCGTCACAAAGATAGACATACGAGTTGGTCTGGAGTGTAATGATATTACTTATCGATGTCATTAGAGTGTATGGAATTCGATACGAGGTAAAAACATGCATGCATAATGTTTGGATTAGTCTGATTGCGGCTCGCTGTTCCCCTCTGTTCCCATTCTATGCATTATAGTCCAATTATGTCCGGAATACTGGTTCTGTTGTCCATTCGAAGCCTGATCAATGGTCGTCTGCACCGATATAGCCCCATTGTACCTGTCTCGTTATTCCCCCCTGCCATGCCTCCACACGACGCTTTGCCATAATTGACATTGTTGAACCCCACGTCCCAACAAATCCGATGCCTCCGGATTGGATTACTGCGTCAATTAAGACAGGATGCCTACCGGAAAGAGAAGAACTCTTCAGATACGAGTCCGATGACAACAAAGATCAGCTGCTTACCAGTTTCCATACAACTCTTTCGTTTTAGAATGGTCAGGAGTGCTCCAGTTCTGGTCGGCAACCTCCTGCCACCATGCTTCATCCTTCTCGTCACTCGTCATGATGATGTGATTAACCACAATGCCCTTTTCTGCCTGTATCTGATCCTGGACTTCACGAACTCGTCGGGCGATGACTGATATGGATGCGAAACATTCATCAAGTGGGACTGAACATTGGTCTGCGAAGTCGTAATGGCGAACGTGTATTGCGATGTACTGGAAAGCTAAGGTGAGCATGAGCGCAGTTAAGGCATCTGGCTAGTACTTACTGGCGGTGTCGGTCCGTCTTCAGGGACCCCAAACGCGCGATTGAGATAGACATTTGCCAGGTTCTGAAGAGAAGGTACCCAGTGCATGTATTGAGCTACGTATCTGACATGATTCATGAGCCAATTATAGTTCTTCTGCATAGAATCAGGACGTAACTCACCTCCATGCCGGACTATAATCTGTCTCGTATTCATAGGGCTATGAAGAATGTATATGTGAGTCGAATTCATGATGTCGTTTCTGAAATGACACTGTACCTGTTGTGCACAGACGTAATACATATAATCGTAGCACATCATTTGCGCGTCTGGAGGGCGAGAAACCCCATGAAGGGGTGACGGGAGCGGAGTGCCCAAGTCCTCATGAAGAGCTTGAGGAAAAGCAAGTCTCGCCAGGCTCCAGAATGTCGTGTGAGAATCGTGCTCAAAATCGGGGATAAGCTTAATCCAAGGTGGAGTTTTGGTATAGGAGATATCTGAACAAGAATCAATCACCGAGATAAGACATGTAGAATGCACCTACCGAGTTTTAGATGGTCAGGGGCTGCGCTTCCCCGAGGAGCATGTTCTCTATACTGCACAGACTCCCAGATATTCCAACATCCAATTTCATCAACATCCTCGCTCTCAGCGTCTTTGACCTCTCTCCATTCTAAAATTGCCTTCCCCGTGAGTTTGCGCATGAGAGGAACATCGAAAACATCTCCGAAGGCAATTGGACGAACGGGATTTGTTGCCCCTATGTTGATATGGGAAGGCGTGAACATTGGGACAACCGGGACGCGATCAGTGATGAAACCCAGATAAATCATGTTAGCCTGTCTATAGCGGTGAGCAGGTGTTCAAGTTAATTTTCTGATACTGATACTGACATATGTCATCACATCGTTCGCTGTTTGATAGGTGGTTAGCAGAGTCACAAGCAATCACAGCTCAAATCACGTACTCCAACCAGCACCAGGCCAAGATGTGATGTACTTGACGTCCGGCTTCAGGTTTTCTGGGGAAGATATTCGCATCATGGATTGTTAACAGCAGAATATACGCTGAGCAAAACATACCTCTAAACTGTGAAGTGGGTGGACCATTTAACGAGAGTCGAGGATCCCAAGGATCAAGTACTGAAGGTACAGCGGTATTTTGCTCCTCCTCAACATCACTGGCGGGTATGGCAGAAGTTGCGTTGTCGTGAGGCGAAGATATTGGGGTAGACAAGCGCAGGGAATACGGCGTCCAGAACAAGAAAGCGAATATTCCGACGAAGGAGAGGACGACAAGCACCAGCGAAGCGACTAGAATGTTATGCCGTCTTGCTCGGGTGGTGGTACGTTGAGCATCTCTAGTGACAAAGTTGCTCAAAGATTCCTCCGAGTCAGAGCTCAGCCGGAGAGTCGGGGATTTGAAATCCATGAGGATAAGGGAATGGTAGGAAATGGTACGAAACAGAAAGCAGCCTGAACAATTTAGCTCAAAAAATTAATCTGACATATCCTCGTGCGGAATCGAGAGTCAAAGTCAGATCGATCTTGACATAAAAAATGGTGCCTTTGGAGGCTACATATGTCCGGCGTACGTACAACGATCTCGGATCGATCGGCATTTTGTTTCCTTAAGACAGCTATTATTAACAGCGACTTGCCCCCCAGCAGCCTCTAGCTTGCTTAGGCTTGCCGTCTTGCCAATTACTCACCTCCCAGCTTCCAGTTTGCCTTCATCATGATTATACCTATCAACGTCAACACTCTCCAAGTTTCCGGAGTTGTCTCATTTTATATGTCAGCTGCGCTTGTTGTGAGTCTCAGACCGGTCTCAAAATATTGAAATCCACTAAGTAATTCCGACGTTTCTTTCCAGATGGTGTTTGTGTGAGCTAGTCGGTCGAGAGTCTCAATGGTCACAGAGATTTACAATTATATGCCAGCAATAAGCTCGTTTTAAACAATACACCGGATCTCCCTTTGCTCTTCCTCCTGGCCCAGCTTTTAATTGCCGTGGTCCTGCTTCACGTATCTGCAGCCATTTCTCACCGTGTCGAGATACCACACTTTGACTGGGGCGTCGCCAAAAAGCTAACACCAGTTGTACTCGTGAATGTTATTGGACTTGTATTCAATACGCTTTGCCTTCGCGGGGTTGAAGCTTCTTACTTTCAAGTGAGTGTCTAAATTCAACAACCATCTGACTTGTTTCCGACCTTCTACTACTTTCCTTAGATTGCGAGAGGGCTTCAACTGCCTTTGACAATACTCGTCTCGTCAATCTACACCCGTTGTGTTCCGTCTATTAAAACAATTGCGGCTGCTGTGCTCGTCTCTTGCGGCTTTTTTGTCGGCGTAGCTCCATCAAGCGCGTTACCATCACTTGCTAACCCCACCCCCATAACTTTGTTCTATGGAATCTTATCCTCTTTATTCATCGCCTTACACGCCGTTCTCATAAAAAGCTCACTGCCTCATTGCGAGAACTCTACCATTCAACTTGCATGGTACGTATTGCGTCTTTCAATCTGTTAATTTCTTGATGTTGATTTCGGAATAGGTGGACCAACGTAGGTTCCGCTGTATTCTTGCTTCCTTTCGTGGTCTTCAACGGTGAACTCCAAATTCTCCGAGACAATATTCTTGAAGGCAGCTGGGATGGAAAGGTCTTCGGTTGGGGTTGTCTGGTGACTGGAGTCTTTGGATTTTTACTCTGTGTCGCGGGTCTATTATCTATCAAGGTCACAAGCCCCATCACACACATGTTTTCCAGCGTAAGAGAGTGTATTTGCCATCTCGAGCATATAAAACACACTCAAATTTTACCTTCCAGGCTGCAAAGAGCGTACTTCAAACTCTTCTCGGCGTTTATATATTCCACGACATCCTGACTGTGTGGGTTTGAGCGCGAAAGTCATGACTTCACTAATTAAACTGCAATTTCCAGGAACCGTATCTCCTCCATTCTCATTATCCTTGGTGGCACAATGTACGTGAACCTGACACCCGGTCTGCAATTGCAATTCACCATATCTCAGGTATTATACTTGGGCAAAGTCCTTCGAATTCAAACCCCCACAACCTGAGATGGTGGATTTGGAGTCTGCACGCCGTCCTTCCCAAATGATGGAAAGCCGCGACTCAAAGATTCATACGGTAGTATGGTCAGTCGATGAGGAGGAAAAACGGTGAGGTAAGGCTGACGGACTAGATACAGTACCATTATGCACTACTGTCATTTTACTGAAAGTATGTCTAGTATAGTATATAATGACTTGCCCAGGTACATTAGGGTACATTAGGCTAAGTATATGTGGGCTATATTCTGGTACATTCAGATACAGTGATCTAGAGGACATTCAAATGATGTTTAACCCTTCTGACCCTTGTAATTCGAAAATTCTTCGTTGCCCGATGTACGTGTTTATCCTTTCGGAGCGGCGATTTGTGGCTACGTCCAGGCTACGTCTGACCGCGTCTGACAGAGGGTCCTTATCGTGACACATGCAGCCATGCGTAAAAGGGGAGAAAAGGGGTCACCAATCACTACTCACTCGGTTACTGCGGCCTCGGCCCTCACTCAGACTGGTCCCCTCCTCAGTTTTATATACACATACTTGTCCCCACAATCGCAGCCGGGGCATCAACCTCAAGATAAGTCCCAGTAAGTATAACACTGTATAACGACATATGTAACTTACCCGAGTGTCACGATCTGCAAAGCGATCTCTGGATCGTTAATTCGTCAAAGATGCTCAATTGATACATCGGCTAGTACAGCCTACATAGGACATCGTGCGCCGCTAAGCTTCTCGAAGCTCCGACTCCAATGCAACAGAATGCAACCCTTCATAAGAATTATAACTCAAGAGGCTTTTATGTGTTCCTGTGTGTGGTGATATGTATAAATGGCGCATGAGTACAAGGAGATGGTTTGCCGTACCACTTCTCGTGTTCCTCGACTTTCATATCCCTCCAGTTACCTCCATCCCCTGAACTATGCGCCTGCAAAACCCTATACGCATAGAGCGACGTCTCGGCGACACAGAAACCTCGTATTTTCTCCCTTCACGCGAATCTGGAGTGAATGATATGTACGTCCTACTCAAACTCATAGGTGGAAAAGTCTTTGACAAATGTGAAAGGTATCTACATCTAGGATTCTCTGCGCAACCCCAATCCATTCGACGAGATAGAGTCGCTAATGCTTGGGCTATACTTCGGTTAAAGCATCCCCTACTTGCTTGCAACATAGAAATGCATGATTACGACGATATTAAATTCGTGTAAGTTCCACGGAATGCACAGGATTGTATTTCACCCATATTTGAAATAGACTGATGCCTTATGCTTCGCCTGAATCTGTGTTGCACTCTGCCAATGAAAACATTTTTTATCGGCAGGGAACCAAAGAAGGTTCGCATGACTCTCTCGTGTCGTCTGTAACCTGTCAAGCTCATTATCTTGTTTTCGCTGGCAGAATTAATAGATTCATATCTCAATGGACCTAGAACACTTTCCGCTCAGCGATTATCTTGTATATTTTTATCCCAGGAATCGGATAGATCTCATTCTCGACACACCCACCCAGATGGACCAGTCCAATCCACGCAGGTTGAAGATTGGTTTGACTATGATTTGTTACTATGCACAACACATTTCATTGGTGATGGAATGGCTCTTCACCAGTGCGCGAACGATTTTTTCACACTCTTGTCATCGAAGAGAAGCACAGAAGAATTACATGACATTGTGAAGGAACAATGGCGAATTCGCTATGGGAGCCAATTTTCTGTAAGTGCTAGAGCCGACAGCTTCCATAGCGGCTGTGTTAAACAAATGGTGGCAGGAATTATCACTTCCTAGATCTTTAGAAGAGCGCTTACCGCAGAGCTCCGGGAGATTCCAACGGGCGGTATCCATCGTCGACTTTGACCTCAGCCAAGGCCGGCTATTGGTAAGTTATTCGAAAGTCTCGTGTTTGATCTTCGGAGAAATCCAATCCTTGTTTTAAAGGGAGGACATTCTTTTTCCAGAAGGAAAGGGAACGATAGAAGAACTGTCGTTCCTACCGTGGCATTTGATGAAGACCACACAAGGAAGGCTCTCAAGTTATGCAAGTCCCACAATGTGAGCATTTCGAGTGCTTTGTTTGCTATCTGCAATATTGCGTGGGCGCGAACCAGAAATGACAATCCTGATCTTCCTGTGTAAGCCGTCCAGATTCAACGATTCTATCCCCCTATTAATTTCGTTTCCCTGAAGCATGATGTATTCTGCACTCAATCTACGTCCTTTCCTTACCCCCGACGAGTTGAACGACTCATACTGGTTTATTGCCATCTCTTATTTTAATGTCATACTTCCTGGATTTCTCCCGGCAACCGATGTCGAAAAAACTTTTTGGCATCGTGCGCGCTTTGCGAAAGAACAAAGCACCAGAGCTGCAAAACATCGAATGTTAATTTCTCGAAGTAGAGAAATGGCGAAGGAAAGAGGGGTCCGTGCTAGGCGCTGGGCTAAAGAAGATGACGAAAATGCCAGTGGTACGCGGCTACCTTCGCCACCTGTTACGGCTACAGTAATGGAAAGGCCACCATCTACGGCATTGATTGGACTTTCGTTATTGGGAAATCTGGATGGAATCTACAAGCATACCTCGTTCCCCCAGATCAGGCTTCATACCCTCACAACCGGTAGTCGCCAGCGTTCAGGCGCCATGCTGTTATTTGGTTATACATTTGTTGGAAAATTGTGGGTAAGTCTGGGATATGACGAAAATGGGTTTGAAAAGGGCTTAGTGGAGCAATTTTGGAAAAATGTTCTCACTTCTATGGAAGAGTTGTTGCTTTAGGCAAACTATAATCTTACGGTATACAACCTCCATCCACTGCCACCACTTCGCCGACCCCTCTGTGCCCCAATTGCATATCAACCTCGGAAAAATCTGTGCTCCGTCCAGATTTAGCTGAAAGAGACACCTTGAGCCACGGCTTCGATGTTCACAACTTGATAGAATTAATGTTGTTTCCGCCCTTCTGATACACACGGATGAATCTACTGAATAATACAGACATTCAATATTTCTGTAAAGAGAGGGGTACATACATATAAGAATCCTGTATAAGGACTGGCAAGGAGTCAAATCTAAAGCTTCAGGTAGCGGCTATACCAATTGGAGAATGTCAGGACTAGTATGACGCGGTGTTCACTCGCCGCCATGCAAGCATTGCATTCGTATAGCACCAGCTTCAAAATCCTGATATCATCGAGAGCTGGGTCGAGGCTATGATTCCTTGTCTCCTTCCTACTATGGCTATAAACACCTCGCCTCCTTCACAGATCGGGCAATTCCCTCCGCGTTAACCTGTTCCAAGTACTCTCCTTCCACCACTCGTCCATCGAATCAATCCGTTCCCACAGAGTCTCCTCATCAAGCCCATATATCTCGTATTTCCCACCGTCTAACGGTCGGCCCTCTCGAGTTGCGACGTCAATAGCCGCTTTATTTTCCCCCCTATTGAAGAGAGCGGGATAATTATCAGCTGCTTCGGCGTGCAGGGAAAGAAAATTCTAACTTTAGCAGTTGAAGTAATTCCTGTCTATCCGGAAAGAAAAGTCTTGGCTCGAGTACGCCCAAGATACCAAGGGCTGCTCGGTACAAAAACGAATCACCTTCTAGGATAAGTACGTCCCATATTCGAGCGCAAGCTTCGAATGGTAGATGATCGAGGAAAAGCGGCACGATCCAATCCAAAAGGTACGATGCTGGAGATACCTGATGTTGCTTGAAGTTGAAGTAAACTGACATAGAGTAAGACGAGAAGAAGAGTACGAGATTTTCTTGCTCACTTTTCGGCATTCCATCTGCTAACAGAGTTTCAAAGATTCTGAGGCCGACCAAATATATCAATATTCTTCCACCCTCTTCGATCGCTCAATGTTATCAACGTTCTTACCTGTAATAAGCTTCAACCTATCTATTGTTAACGCACAAATCTCAACTTTTGAAAGCTCAAGAGATACCAAACTTACATCTTCCTTGGCTCCACTCCCACCAAAAAAGCTCCTGAGGCAATGTCGTTCAAGTAAGTTCCGCATGACAATAAAAGCTTGTTGTATGGGCATGTTGATCAAGAACATCGCCGCGACCTTGGCAGCACCAAACGTGTACCCCAAGCCTTCGTCTGCCCTGGCGACAACCCAAGCACAGAGCATGTCCTTAAGGTCCGGATATAAAGGCCCAGTTTCGCGATGAAATATGTGTAATGATGGAAGAGTAGATGCGATGTCGGCTTCGATTTTGGAAAGCGTCGCAGTGGAAAAAGCTCCAGAGTTCAGAGCACGTTTGGCGCGGGAGCTACATGAGCGGAAATTGTCTATAGATTTGAATATAAAGAGAGTGAACAAAATAAGTCATTTACACGATATCAATAGCCTCACCTTTACTTAAAGCAAGGGGATTACCGACTGCGCGTTCCCACATACTCGCCCGTAGTTTTGTAGGTATACCCTTCCACCAAAGTTTCCGGAGTTTAGTATTCTTATGCACCACCCTCCAATCCGGAACAATTTCTTTCTCCCAGAGATGTAATGACTCGTCGATTTTCTTCTCCCGAGCTAACCGGCGCTCCTGCAATGCCTTTCTTCGTTTTTCCGCTGGATAACGCATGAATATACCTATGAAGCAGGATCGAAATGGGAACTTTACCTGCAGCACGACTTTGTTTCATCATCGCTTCCCAATCTGCCATATGCTTGTCGTCTTCTTGTCGAGTTTTGGGCGGTAGAAATGAAGGTCTCGTTTTGCTCACAAACTTCTCCAGGGCACTAGGACCTACTGAGCGAGTAAGTCGGTGAGTGGGAGGTGATGGTTTTAGAGTTGAAGTTGGAGTATCGGATACTGAAGCTGTTGTCATGGCTGGTATTGTAGATGCTGGAAGCACGGAGGTGGATGTGGATGCTGCAAAGTTGGGATGTGTTGGTGTTACACTAGATAGTTCAGGGGTAGGCAAGGACTTTGTTGAATGGCCAGAATGATCAGATTCGGCAGTAGAAGTTGAGCGGGAGTGACTCTGTATTGACGCTGAAGGCAGGGGGGCACTAGTCTGCGTGTTATCTACGGATACTGTGACCTTGTGCGAGGATAAGTCGATGAATACAGAAGGATATGGCGTTCCTGTTTCTGTAGCATCTGGAGGATGTTCTTCATGTGGTTCAGAGTTGACCGGAAAGCCATCATGTGGGTTGGACAACGGTATCGAGACGAATCGTGACGAGCTTGCATTATCCTCATTAGAGCGCTCGTCGCTGTCGATTGTCAGGGTTGAGAAAGATTCCATTGTAGATTCGAAGAAGCCATTCCGGGGCTTCTCATCGTCCTCATTTTCGACTCCCCAGGACTGCGCATTCCTGGCCAAATCATTCCGAATGGAATCTGGAGAAAATTGAAATTCGAAGTCCTGGTCTTCCGTATCCGAGAACGCGTCGTCTATATCCAAAGAAGGTTCTAAGCGAATTTCCAGGGCGTCGTCCATAATGATGTGTAACGAAGAAGTATAGAAATATCTAACTCCGGCCCGGACTCACTTTCCAACTTTCGATGATTGCGGAAGTCCTTTTGGTTCTTGCCGGGCATCCCTCTTCTCTTTTCCCTGAAAACCACACTATTCATCCATCCTTTTCGCCTCTACTTCACCCTGGTGAACAACAATGCATTGAATCCCTTGGCCTAATTGCCTTCCGATATCGAACAATCAAAAGTTTGTGTGCCCAGCTCCAGTCTTCGTCTTCTCGATATATCTCTGCTGTATGCGCATCAATTAACCATATATTGAAGGATGACTACGAGGCGCTAGTCATAAGTACCGAGGAAAGGGTTCTTAGACGCGACGCAACTCTGGTAGCAAGCGGCTCTTTTGTGCCGCTTTCGTCAATTCGGGCAACGTTCGCGGAATGGGACGCCCCTCTGCTCGCATTGGTGTCTCTAGTAGAGGAGTTGAGGACCAGACAGGAAATTCCCCCAGGCCCTCTAATTGACTTGCTCTTGGAGCGTGCAAAGACCGGCGTTCATCGCATAGCCGAGATTTTCACCCAACTCTCGCATGCCGTTGAACGCGTCTGGCGAGTTCAACTAATTGCTTTTCTTATCCATGGATCAGTATCTAAGATGAACCCACTCGTTTCTGACACTTACACCTTCTTGGACGGTTCTTTGCCTTCATGCATAACATCACAATCTCGAGACTCCATAATTTACGTTGGACGCGCTATCTCTACAGTAAAAGCTGCAAAATGGCAGAAGCAGCTTCCAACGGACTTGGCAATAGAACATGCAAATGCTTTGGAGAGTGTCATGCCTGATGACCAGCCTAATTTCGATCGGGTAATTTCCCAGATCAGGACCAGCGTTAGCGAATGGCTTTGGATGAACGTGCTTACTTTACAAGCAGTAGAAGAAGCCGTTGACTCATTGTGTGTCATGGCCTGCATTAGTTCTCCAAACCAAACTGATATGATCACAGTGCCAACTACTTTCTCCTACGAAACGGAGAATTTGGGTTGTCTCTTATTCGAGAAATTGAGAGACTCAAGATTTCCCGTTTGACTGTCCGTTCAGGGTCGCCATCGATGATTCGAGAACAAGACTTGAATCTTGTCCTACTCCGGGCTTCGTTGGGCACAACGGCTCAACAAGATCCTGCCTTATCATGCCTCCGTTTCCTCCTACCTTCTGGACCTATTCGACCATTGTTACCTTCGCTCGGAGGCGGCGTTTTGGCCAACTCTCTCTCCCAATCAATCGGAAAGCAGCTTGATTCCTCCCTTTTTACCAGTACGCTCCTCGGAACGCCTCTTGTACTCACATACACGGTCACCTGGCCTCTCGACCTTTTTGTGCACCCCGCCGAGTTATCCTCATATGGTGCCCTATTCTCATACCTATCCGCGCTCCGAAAAACACATAATAGCATCCATACCTGCTGGTCATCATTGTCGAACACCCAACGTGCCCGAAGGCGATGGACAGGTCTAGGTGAGGGCGGAACAGCAGGAGATTTGGAAGCAAGGAAGGAGCTTCTCAGGTGTGGTTGGGGTGTTGTGCGGGATATGAGTTGGTTTCTGGACACACTCATGGGTTATGTGATGATCGACGTCGTGGACGTCGAATACCGCCGAATGAAGAAACAGTTGATGTCCCATAGTGGCGAAGAAGAACATACCAAGAGACTTGGTTCAATATCCACCCTGCCTTCTTCTACGAGCACATTGAACTCTACTCCTGTTAAACATTCAATGCCGACTTCACGTAGCGCTGCCTCTCATATAGGCGGACCTACATCTTCATTAGACTTTACCACTCTCCGCCAAATGCACGCGACGTATCTGGATCGACTTCTCACTGGATGCCTACTTACAAATCTGGAAGTAACTTCTACACTAGCAAGTATATTCGAAGTCTGTGAGCGGTTCGTGGCTCAGGTGGAAAGATGGGGTGGGGACATTCTCCCCGCTTTGTTGTTCGAGGGTTCATTAAAGGGTGGTGATGGGGAGGAGGTCGGTGCTCTAGTGAAAGAAAGGCGTGCCGTAGTTGTTGAAATCAATGAGGTTAATTCTCAGCTCTTTCCATCACATAACAATTCATGCTGACTAGTCTTCAGACGCTTCATGAACTCCTCATGACTTTCTATGAGCATTTATCGTCTTCAATCTTTCAACGGCCATTTGCCTCCTCTTCCGCAGATGCATCCAAGTCTATGGCGTTAGGAGGGCACACGACCTTCAATATGTCACGGATTCCGGTGACCAGCTCATCAAAATCGCGTATGACGGCTGACAAGGCGGACATTGTAGACGTCAGAAGGCACGTCGAAAGGTTAATGTTGAGGCTAGATTTCAATGGTGGTTTCTCAAAATTCAGCTGGGGGAGAAAAGACAAAGATGATGATATTCTTGGAGATTTATAGAGTATGGATGACTACTTAACTCATGTTGTATCATATCGTGCCATTATTATACGTGGTCTCAAATCTGTTCCGAACCGAATACTGCCTATAAGTACTTGCCTGTTGCCAACTCTCGCAGGGTCGCGAAAGCTTTGTTTTTAGCGCTGGTTCCGAGGTCTTCAAGTTTGTTTGGACAGTGACGGGACCCAGGTTTATCTGACTGTATGCAACGAGGAACTCTATGGTATGCAACGGTGAGAAATCCAGTTGAGTGATCCTTCGATAAGATTTTCAAGCATAAGCACTTTAGACGACACATTTCTTGTGTGCTCGGAGTCAAAGGGTTATGACTGTGCGGACAAATACGGCCCAGCGCCTTTCTCAACAACTTCGTTTGCTTTCTTCCCAACCATCATCTGAGATGACTTCTCGTTAGTATTTTTCTATCATTTTTCTTCCCTGTAACCAATGCTTTCATAGAATACAGTCCTCGTCTCATTGGCGCACCTAACACGCTTGGTACGTTTACCTACTCATCATTTTGACCATTGCCATCGATAACCTTTTTCAACTGCAGAACATCGTGTGTTTGTCGAGCAAAATGGCTCTGTCGTCTCGTCCTTCCACGATATCCCTCTCTTTGCTGATCAGAACAACGGCATCTTCAACATGATTGTCGAAGTCCCTCGTTGGACCAACGCCAAGATGGAAATCTCCAAGGAGGAGCCCTTCAATCCCATCAAGCAGGACGTGAAAAAGAACCGTCTGCGTTTCGTCCGCAACTGTTTCCCTCACCATGGTTACATCTGGAACTATGGTGCTTTCCCTCAGGTGCTTCGCGCTTCCTCAATATCTTCACCATCAATCACATCCACTAACCTCCTCTAGACATGGGAAGACCCTTCGCAGCAGCATGCCGAGACTAAAGCCAAAGGCGACAACGATCCCCTCGATGTCTGTGAAATCGGTGAGCAGGTCGGATATGTCGGTCAGGTCAAACAGGTCAAAGTCCTTGGAATCATGGCTCTATTGGATGAGGGCGAAACCGACTGGAAAGTCATCGTCGTCGATGTACAAGACCCTCTTGCGTCCAAGCTCAATGACATTGAAGATGTCGAGAGGCATCTTCCTGGTTTGATCAGGGCCACGAACGAGTGGTTTAGGTATGTCTTTCGACCTATGACTGTCTTTAACGAACTTTCATATCTTACTCAAACGTAGGATCTACAAAATTCCCGATGGTAAACCTGAAAATACCTTTGCCTTCTCTGGCGAAGCCAAGAACAAGAAATATGCCACCGAAATCATCCATGAATGCCACGAGGCCTGGCGTCGTCTCATCACCGGTGAATCTAACCCCCACGGCATCTCCATGTCAGATAGGTCTTCTTCTTCACATACAGATAAATTCATTGATTTCTCCAACAGTGACAACATCACCATTTCAAATTCTCCTGCGTTCGTTAGAAGGGATGATTCCAGCTACCTCAGTATTCCACCAGCCTCCAGTAAACCACCTGCTCCCATTGAACCCTCGGGCAAGTAATTTCACAATGTCAACAACCGTGTCTTACTATCCTGTCATCTGTAGTATCCAAGTGGTTCTACATCTCCTCCGCGCAAGTTTGATCACATGTACAACGAAATTCATTAGACACGAAACGGAAAATTTCTTCTCAAAGTACATAGTCAATCATATTACTTTCATTTCGAGATTGGTTGACAATTTCTACCCTTTGAAATGGATTCAATATTGTTTGATGCGAAGAAAGATGGTATAGGTACAGATGGTAGAGCAACAGAGTCGATTCATGGTCTAGTTTTTTTGAGTGCCGAGATCAGGCTGTGTGGGTGGATAGCGGCAGTAACGATCTGATATTGATGTGACCGTCCACGTCCCTACACGAGACATTACTCAGTAAAATCAGATACCACACAGGCAAGGCTGGGACATACCCTCTAAGGCGGAGAATATCGAGTACTCGTTCGAGTATATTCGAGAAACCGTGTGCGTCTCCAACACTTTGCCTGGCTTGCCCCTACCGGTAGTCAGCTCCAATCGCTGATATGTGAACGTGAACGGAGGTTCCCCGACGAGTGTAAAGACAATTTCAGCTTGATCACCTGTAGGGAGTATCAAGCGCTATTCGTCAATAGTAAAGGAATTATTTTACCCTCGTGAATATCTTGATAGATTCTCTTTCCGTGACCGACTTGTGCAGAAGGTAAAGGATGAACGGAGAACCTCAGATCTGTGATTGATGCTTTGCACATCTTTTGTTGGTGAGCGACGGAAGTCACAGTGAACTCTCCAGCCTGTTGCTGAAGTAGTGAAAAGGGCGACACTTTAGCTTCTTGTGTATACGCCTTGCCATTGATTCGGTATCTAATGATTGGGGATCAGTGACGTTCAATTATTTGATGCATCACAACCGAATTCACCCAATTGACCACGGTGGAGTCCCTTCGAGTTGAAATTGCGCCGCTTCGCCAACACAAAAGTCTTCTCGACGGTCTACAGGTACTATCGCGGCAGCTTCTGCTACGTCTACCCAGACTGAAGTGGCCAACGGATCCAAGGCAGCATGTGCACAATGGGAGGCATCTGCGACAGATTGAATGACGACAAGATGAGGTCCTACTGAGGTAAATTGGTAGGTTTGTAGACTGAGTTTCCAAGAATGATCGTGCACTTCAATCATCTGTTGATCAACGTGGCTAGTAGCCAAGTTTTTAATCGAAAGTTCGAGTTGGAAGGGAGGCGTGCCTTCGAGTACTACGAGACCATCCGAAGACAGCCTGTCAAGTGGAGTGAATAAATCATATAAGCAGTAGGACAACCTGTTGCGGTTTTTGAAACGAGCAGTAGGCCGTAGAGAAACCTGCTGTTCGAACAAGAGTCGCTCGTAACGAGGTATTGGTGTGTTTTTATGATTCTCGAGTGGGTAGGCTCCATCACCAATCTGTTTCACTTCATAGTACACCCGACCAGGATCAGATGTGTGCAGCTGGAACCGGGTACGAGGTTGAATACTGTTGAATATAGGTTGATCGATTAACCTTGTGCCTCCTTGGTCATTGCCCTGTGCGATGTTGTACATGATTTGGAATGGAGGCCGACCTAGGAAACGATTTATAGATTGTTATTCTGACAGGAAGGAGTGTACACACCAGTGAGATCAAGGTCAACGTGGTCATCCATACCTTCGCAAAGAGGGGGGAGGATATAAGAGCCGTTGAGAGGTTCATAAGTTGCAGGTGTATGTTCAGATAACTTCGCGGTGGGTCTCGGAACCCAATCTACACGATAATCCGAGGCATCACCAATGACAGATCCAGGGCACTGCGCATCAGATATCTGGGTTGACGACGTTCATTATCCAGTATAGCATAAGACATGAAAGCAACGCACCTCCAGGATCTCATATAATCCTTTCTCAGAAACATACACAACGTCGTTCGGAGTTTTCAACGTCAACGAAGTCACTCCATCGTCGCCCACGCGGTGATATTTCATGCGCCATGGCTAGAAAAGCATGGTGAGCAAGACGAGAGAGGGCGCGAGAATGCCTTTACTTACACTCTCGCCGGTCAGTCGCAGGGGAAGGCCAGCTCGCTCTCGCTCAAGTACGGTGACTTGACGTTTACCATTGACACCGTAGAACTTGACAGTAGGCTGAGATATATACTAGTGAGCGGGTTATTGTATATACGATGTTGGCTTAGCTTACTTTCAACCTCCTGACATTGACAGAAACCCCGGGGACTGAGATGGGAAGCTTGCATCTGGACTTGTCCTCGACACTGACTATATGAATGAACAGATGTGCATCAGCAAAACCTGCACCGTCTAGATAGGGTAGCATTTACTCAAGTCAATTTCAAAAGCGCCCCCTTCTTGATCCACTGCCTCAGGTATGGGTATCTGTATCGTCTTTCGATTCAAGGTGATATTCGAGATCGTGAGTATCTCTGAGCTTTGAGGTCCGACGAGCTGGAGTTCCAAGCTCCAAGGAGGAGAGCCCTGCGCTCCGAAGCATTTTCAATCAGAAGGGCATGAAAGACGGTTTCAAATACTCACTCGTAGTTCAACTTCCACGTCTACCAATCTGCCCTCACAACTATTTATGGCCTTCTTTCGCCCAGGGCCCTTTGGAATACCTATAAAGTCGGCAGACGCAGGGGGATGAATGATCTGGTTGATACTGGGTCCGTCGAATTCGACCCTCTGATAGTTTGCATCGCTGATCTTGGTGAAGGTGAAAATATAGTGACCACTTTGCTCCGGTTGCAACGTGAACTGCCCTCTGGAGGACGCAAAAGTTTTCGACATCTCTTTCGGCACTTCGGAATCTTTCTGCACTGTGTAGTATACATGGAAGGGCGGAGTGCCATGAAGGACAAGCGTAGCAGAAACCCCAGTATCACCAGAACATTCATGAATCTTCGTCCATTGAATTTCAGCGGTCGGAATAGGTTTCTCGACGACGTTGCACGATTCTGGAGCCAGGACATCACCCGCACACCACTGTTCATTCTCAGCTGTGATTATAAGCAAACAAACAGACAATGCTTACTTTGCCCTTGACACCAGCTATCATATACTCACCTGGGGCAGTTACACCTATGGTGAGGTCCCTTCGACTTCCCTGGGTTGAAAGGGTCTTACACCAAGGTTTGAAACGTTTGCTACTTTTATCACCAGAGGGAGGTTGGTATTTGATTGATACCTCCCAAGGCGCATCGACGGGATCCGCATCAATCGTAGAGACTGTTAAAGCTGCCTCTGAGCCGATAGCTAAAGAAACAGGATGTTCCGGGCTACAGTGCTTGAATGAAATCGCTGGACGTCGCAGCACAGTAAAAGATCTCATGGCACGATGGTTTGCAAGATTGTCAGGCGTGTTTCCATCTATAAGCATTGTATTTCCCGTGGCATCCATGACTTCCTCCAAAGCATAGATATGACTTCCAGGTATATCAAGCGAGATAGCAAGAGGGACTTGGAGCTTTTCAGGCGCAGGAGTCCATTTCGTTGAGTCAGCGCTGATACTGACAATCTGGGAAGAAGGATCAGAGGACGGAGATGATTTCGAGTGACGTCCGCCTTCTATTCCCTCCACCAAGAAAGCCTCTCGTTTTCCATTAACAGTTTTGGACCACCTGAGCCTGAGGGGGGGAACCCCGTTGATGTCCATCATGAGCTGTACGTCGTTTTCTTGTCCAGCGCAACGAATATTGTTTTCTGCTTGCTTATCAGGCGTAAATCCTGCCTGAGGACATGGCACTACGGTCAAATCCGAGGGAATGACCAACCGAGCCTCAGTGCTCGAGGTGTCGAATACACGTTCTAGCCGGAGAATGCCTGGTTTAGAGAGGCGTATGTGTACCAGCGTTTGTGTTCGTTGGAGGGATGGGGAATGTTTTGGGATTGGATCATCGTCGTATTCGTCATATTCGTCCGTTTCATCTTGTGATACGGGACGCGTCAGTTGAAGTGCTTCTACACGCGCCTGCTCGATTGCACGCAGCTCCTTTCCTGATAAGTCGAGGAACTCTGGTTGGCCCGGACCAAACCCAAGAGGTGTAATAGAATATTTGAGCGCGACAGGATTCGTGTTATTGAGAAGCACTGGGACAAGGACTGCGTTCCCAGATGACGGAAGACAATATATTTCCCCATAAGGGTTCAATTGTGCGGTACTTATTGGAGACATCCGCACAGTATGTTGACCGAGAAGATGTGCATCATTCTGTGCCACTTGTGGAGAGAAAAGCCCGAATGTGAACGAAGCCAGAACGTCCACGAAGCTGGACGCTTCGGGGGTATACGCAATATCTTGTTGACCTTCAGATTTAGGTTTTGGTTTGTGAGTAAAAGTTGAAGGTTCTGTATCACTCACTCGATAAACTCGTCGTCACAAGATTTCTATCACCCCACACATTGACTCTTATCCCACCAAAGACCAGCCCATCAAACAGCCACAGACATAGAATTTGAAGGGCGACGACAGCTTTACTGTAGTTAAGTCGTGGTATTCGTAGGAAAGCAAGGATGATGCAGTACAAAGTATCGAATAAAAGCCACTTTCGACAGAGATATTTGCTGTTATCCAGTGAGACAAAAGATGATATTACATCCACAGTTTTGCAGGCCTAGGAAGTGGGTTAGCGAAGGCTATATTGTGAATTGTCGTGAAAAACCTGTAAAAGAACACCAAAGCCAAGATAATACCATCTTTGAGAGGGAAAGTCCAAGTAATCTTCTGAGATCAAGGCCTTCGGGTGTGCCTTGGCGCTACCAGATTCCGCTGACATGCGCAACGCGTATATTCAAGTTTCTGCGAGTACTGCAAGTTCTCTAACGCATGAAGAGGTTGGCAATTTGAATTGTAAAATGTGGCCGTGCCGCCAGTGCTGGTAACGTGATGAACTTAGACGCTCAACTTGCACCTTCATGAGTTCATCATGTGCATGATCCATCAGATTAAGCTAGGCTGAGCTCAAGTTCTTTTGACACCGATTCATACCGATAATCAGCTGCGAGAAGGGAATCCTGAATTCAATCTGCTGCGGAATTGCAAGACTGCGCTGGACTCATTACATCGATCGAATTTTTATAGGCTTACTCGAGAGTGGGTTCTTCGAAGTTTACCTCACTTTTCCAGGTAAGTCAAGATAACTTTAAGGTTCGCGCGTTCTTCCTGTCCTCATGTCCCAACACGTTGGGACAATCGTTAAGATCGTTTCTTCGCACTGCGCTCTTCTTGCCACTTGCTACTTATACCCCTCAAACCACTACCTAAATGGTGATTGTCGACGTTGACCGTTTCTCCCAGTGCTCCGTTAAGATGAACCGTGACCCACACACCTTGCCTCCTCTTCCTAAAATTGAACATGACCTCGATTTAACATTAGCCGTCTTTACTCATAAATCTGTTGGTATCAGCAGTACTGCTGGGCCTACACATTACGACGGTGACCGCCTAGCAGAAGTGGGGGAGAAGGTTTGATAATGTTTTGCTTGTTCCAATGTAAAATTCGAACAAATTTGTAGGCATTGGATCTGGCTGTCACCAATTTTCTGTATTGCAAACAACCAGTCATGAATGGCGAAGAGATGCGAGTATGCAATCCAGGCTTCCATTGAATATCTTGATCGATTGATTGTTCTTACTCCTATAGAAGCAACGAGGAAAAATTCTGCAAGATGAGGGGATCCTCCAGTGGCTCGATTACTACAAGCTTAAGCCCAAATTACGCACCGCAGATCTTACGATTTTGGAAAACCCACGAGTAATATTGACTGCTTCTCGCACATTCACAGAGCTCATCATCGTGTTAACGTAGGAGATGAAAAAGTATTTTTTCACTTATGTTGGGGCAGTTTCCATCTCCGGCGACATGTCAGCCGTCAATAATTGGATCGCTCCGTTGATAGATCCCAATGCTGCACTACTCCCAGACTTTATTTCAGCTTCGAATTCGTCCTCTTCTCAGACTTCTCAGCAAACCTCTCCGCAGTCTCAGCACTCATCATCGAGACCACCGCAATACACTGCCCCTCCACCACCACTTGGAAATCCTCCCCCAATTCCCCCAGACTATCCTCCTGCAGGCTCTAGTTCAATGGGTGCTGCTGCTTTATTGACTCTTGCCACCATAAACCAAACAGCAGTCCAGAAAGGGGTTAACATTCAATATCAAGGTGATTCAAGTGGGCCTGCTCATGATCCTACCTGGACTGTCCATTGCCTCAGTAAGTTTGGTGAATTAAGTAAATATATGGATGGGCATTGACTTCTCATCACAGTAAATGGCCAAGAACATGGTACAGGTAGAGGAAAGAACCAGAAGGTTGCCAAACTTGAGGCAGGAAAAGCTGCGTATGTTATTCAATTCTCATGTCTTACAACCATTGATGAAACTCCCTATGGTTACAGATACCTAAGCATGGGTTGGATGCCAAATGCCTGAGGGAAATGAACTGTGATTTGTTTTGTAGAATATCTTGATAATGAAAATCATGTAAAAACTGGAATCGAACAATGAGGAATCCACGCGTTACAATTTACCCTAGCTTAAATACCAAAACACAAGATAAGCACCCAGTAAATATAAAAGTACTCGAACCTGCGGATCCATATTTGAAAACAACGAAGAGGAAGACTCAGCTATATCTCCTCCTCCACCTCCACTTCCTAGTGTCTGCCCTTTACCAGAAAATGCACCTGATCCAGCAGCCCCAGAAGAGTGTTTGACTATCGCAGCTCTCAGTCCCCTGAAGGTATCACAATAATGAGCAGAGGCCATAAAATGAAGGACGACAACGTACGCTTTATCGGCGCCTCTAACCTGATCAACCTTTGTATTTCCACGAAGGAAGATGAAAGTGGGCCTGACGAATCATGATACATATTAGGTACGATTATAGAAGGGCAACCGGTCAGCAGTCTCACATTGCGGATACACGGTACAAGGAGGCAACATCTCGCGCAGCATCCACATCGCATTTCATGAAATTGACATTGGTATATTGCTTAGAGAAGGCCTCGAAGGCTGGTGCGATTGCGTCTGAGGAAGTCGACTTGGTCAATAGGAATCGGATGAAGGAAGTCTGTTGCTAACGGCAGGGTCCACACCTAGTCATGTTTATGAATTGTGCGCGAGCCAAATACTCTCAAACTTACCAGGTTGCATGAAAGTCAATTACCTACATGGCACTATAAGTTTGGACGGAAGGAAGAGCGGAAGAGTCTTGTGCAACGATGCTCACGGAGAGTTTGTCTTTTTCTTTCTCGAGAATGCCATTGAGCTGGCTAACAGAGGCGATGTGGGTGATGGACATCGTAGTTTGTAGTCAAGTTGCAGTGAGTAGAGTATTACTGATCTTCCAGTGTTGGAGCACGTGGTCGGGGCTGTTAGCACGAGAGCATTACAATTACTCCGACCTCACCTATATATTTTAACACTACATATCCTGTAGTGCTGGCTGAGTGCTGGTGAATATTCAAATTACAAGTTGTCTATTGTATGCGTATCTTACCTATATTAGTATATACTGTATAAATATTCAAAGGTTATGTAAAGTATTAATCGTGGTGTACAAGTCACTATAAGAAATCAATCGACAGGTCGAAATTTGAACAAATCAAGCTCAGAGATAGATAAATAGATGAATATGTACGTCCAGAGAGAAAGACATTGAGCGCATAGTATCCGGGTGCACTAAGTCACTTTAGAGCAGACACCTTGGGATTGCGAGGAGCAGGGGAAAGACTGGTGAATACTTCGACCTTCTGTAGCATAGGCTTCACATTTTCAATGTTCTCCAATAGCTCGGATAGCTTGGAAGGAGGTAGTATATGTCTGTCGTACGGAATAGCTGGAGATTCAAGTCTGTTCGAACTCAACACAAACACCGGATCACCATTACGAGCCTTTATTCCCTTCTTCTCGTCTATATTTTGGTACCCTTGGTTCAAATCTGTCACACATATCTCGCCAGCAGAGGACGCTCGACGATGTCGCTGTGACACTGGTTGTTGTGCACGGTTGTAGGTTCCGTTCATCCGATTAGAACCCAGAGGACTGGATGCTTTGGCGCCAGATGATTCTGAGCGTTCGAGCGTTCTCGGATGTCCGTGCGACTGAAACCGCCGATGCAGGTTCCATAGATGTGCCTTTGACGGGTCCGTGCGGGTAAGCGGGGGAGGAGAAGATGGAGCCGCTTCACAGAGCAAAGGCGACGATGAACGGCAAGAGGTAGCATTGGGAAGCTCCATTTTTTCTGCGACTAGCTTCGTTACAACATTCTTCTTCATGACGTGCATCAAGCGTATTTTTTTGCCTTGGAGGGGATGAAGCAGCAAAGGAGAGCAAGAGAATGTCAACGGGGTGAATGTTTTCTCACCCTCACGTCTACCGGAACCTCTCCTGTCATCGACAAAGTAATCGAGTTTCCATCGGAGTTTGGGAGCTTCAGTGCTGGAATCTCCACTAACTTCCTTGGCAGGGATAATTGAAGTCTCGCTACCACGCACGATATACACACCATTTGACTTCAAACACATCGTGGCTTGGCGGGATACGTGGTCGCGAGACGATCCATTAATAGAAATACGTCTCAAAATTGGTTGGCCATCAAAAGGTGCATAATGAAAGTTGAAAGTCTGCCTGGAGATAGGTACAAACTGAGCAGCTCCTCCTTCGATCACTTTCTTGCTTGAATCCAGTGAGCGTGTGTTAGTTGAGTACCCTGCGAAACGGAAGGTAGGAGTGATAGAGCGAAAACCCTCCTGATCAATGAGGATCTCAACGACGGTGTCCCTCAACCAGCCCAAGTTTCGAGGGAGCTCGGCGTGTGGAGACATCCGAACAGGAGCAGATACTACCAGCGAGGGAAGGGGGACTTGGCGTGAATAATAGGATGAAGAAGCCGAAGAGTCTTTTATATCGTGGCAAGAGCGTGAAACAGTAAGGTTCGGAAGCGAAATGACGCTGTCACATTGAGAAAGTGAGACGGCGGGCAAATTTGACATCGAATGGAGGTCCCCTGCATAGCCGGAGTAGTTCATATATTGAGTTTCATGAGAGCGGTCGGATAGGGTGGAGATTGAACAAGACATTGTAGAATATACAGATGGGGATGGAGATGGCGGCGAAACAATGGGGGTCGTAGAAAGCAGTGTAACAGTGGTAATCAGGCTACCAGAAGTGGATTCTCTGCGATAGCCTTGCAACGAGTACGAAGTAAGAGACTTCGTCGGGTCATCATGCATCACAGTATGTCCAGCATTGTCCGATACTAATCTTGTTGGGTATGGGGAAGATAGGGTTTGAATTTGAGTGTTGTAAAGCTGTGACCTTCGGAATTGGCCAAATGTCCCGTATGTTGAGCATGTCCGAGCAGTTTGGATCGTATCAGAGCTACGACTGGAAGTAAGGCCATAAGAATCTAGACTAGAAACAGTAGAGGCACGGCGAGAGGCGATATCATCGTTGGACTCTGAATTGAAAAGAAACATCGGAACTTCTTCAGATGTCATAGTAGCTGTCAGAACTGCCGGAGCCAATATAGGCGAGGGTGGTCCCAAAGGATCTAGAATCGAGCAAGGACGTCGTTCGGGAGTGGTAGTACAATCAGCCTGAGGAAGAATTTGCGGCGGTACCACAGAGTCGCTGAATGACATTTGCGACAAGTTCTAGCTTCAAGAAGAGATAGGTATCCGCGTCGATAAGTCTATAATTAAGATAAACGCATCGGTACTTTAAGATGTGTTGAACCTTGTTGAACGTTGAGCTAAGGGAGCTTCAAGCAGATGATATACATACAGGCATGTGACATGACTACAGACATTCCGCTCATCCCGAACCAGACGGCGAGAATGTTTCATTGGCTTGCAAGAACAAACGACTACTAGTAATCAGAAGAAAAGCGAGCCAGCGGCTAAACTCGAGTGTCATTAATTCATTGATGATCGATGATAGGGTGAAGGCTATAGCTATAATGTCAGATATGGTGGGAGGGCTACAACGCTGACGAGGAAGGACGGGACCCAAGAACAAGAAATCTACAATAGAAAGGTGTGGCATACGTATAAGGTTGAAATCATTACACTCTATTGCGGAGGGGATACACGTATATATGCAAGAACTTGAACAAGACAGCGCACATGCGAAGTGAGAGTTATGAAAACATTTTGAAGGATAACAACGGCGGACGAAAAGCGATTGAAGTCGAGAGATGATGAGGAAAGTGTTCAAGTCCAAACAACGTGCTAAAACCCCGTGGATCATGTAGGGACACTGAATAAAACACAGGAGAAGCTTGTAGTCGGAGGTTGAAGAGGTTAAATTCCAGTATGAGGCGAGAGTGAAAATGATACTTGATAATGAGAAAATCCAAATGTATGATTGCTTACAAGAGAGAGGGAAGGGGGAAAGAATGTTGAAGAAATGGAGGATCGAGGACGACGGAAGTTGATCCACTGAATCACATGGTAGCTGTCGCTTTCTCGACTTCCACTCTGATTCCCCCGACTCCGCGCTCAGTGAGACTGGGGGCCCTCGCAGGCCGGAAGCCCATTTCTAAAGTGCGGTAGGTAGGGGCGGGCGTTTTGATAGACGGACTATCTCTGTCGCTGAGATCGTCGCGACTAATGAGCTCACTACTATGCTCCGCCATAGGGATGGGCTCCCCATCGTCTCCGCCAATAGCAGTGCTAAAGTCCATACCGTATCCAATTCGGCTTTCGGATTCGGCAAGATCCTGGTCGAGAGACAGATCCATGGGGTCTGCAACGATGCTACCAAGAGTGCTAAGCACGATATTCGAGTCGATAGCACGGGCATGACGAGAACCATAAGCGCCATACCCCGAGGACTTATGCCTCATATGGGGAGGAGTGAACGGAGAATTTTGAGTGACAGATTTGGTGGTAAATGCCGCCATTCCCGTACCGTCGGAGTGCGAAACAGTCTCAGAACCACGCTCTCTCAAGTCGAGGATCTGCGCGGAAGTTTAAGTTGTCTGCTATATGGGTTTAGATACTGTACTTACGAGACGGCAAGCAAGAACCGGTGCCATCATAACGCTCAGCGGGATATTAATCGCAGAAATCACTTGACGAGGTCTGAGGCAAAAGAACCGTATCTTGTTGGCGGCGGCGTCAGGACTAAAAGGAAAAACTCACTGAAGGTAAAAAATACCATTAATCAAATTGGCGATGGAGATCAATATGTAGTAGAAAACACCTGGAACGATCACAGATGAAGTGCATGAGATTTTAGAGTAGAAATATCTAGAAATACAGAGCTCACCTTCGCGCAGGAATGTCTGGATTAGACGACTGTTTGGTCCACCGTTACGTCTGCGGATAGCGATTGCTTTGATGACGGTCATAAAGGTCACGACGGTGTCGAAGAGGAGTGGCGCGATCTACGCCCAGAAATTAGTATTAGGCAGCGAAGAATACTTTCATTTCGCGCACAAAAAACCCTGATCAAAGAAATAAGTTTTGACTCAAGGTCAACTATGAGAAAACACATACCTAGTAAATGCGCCGAGTGAGGCTTTGACATAGGGAAGCAAGGGCCGCTGTCCTGTTCAGATGAAGGTTAGGGCCAACGCCTCAAGGCCCCGAAGATGACTCACGAAAGGAGGCTTAACAAACGGAAGGACTACAAGTGGATGCTATTCAGCGAGACGAATCCCATAGATTTTGTTCATTGTACTGACGCAACATTTGAGTAGTGTCCACGTAAAGCTGATAGGCAACGACGCCTCCAATGGCAGCGAGAAGGAACCAGAGAATGTAGATGTTTCTGTTGAAGAATGCATAGGTACGAATAAGAAGGACAGCTGCATATATGCGCTGTTATTCAGACTCATGTCAATGGGAGAGGGGCAAGCGTACATTCAGAGCCGACTTGATTCCACATGGCGAGTGCAACTGGAATCTGCGGAAGTATTGAGCCTGGGCCAAATTTATCATCAACGCAAGATTGTACCCTGTAAATCTTCTCGCAGGTCTCTCTCGAATGGTCCTTCACAAAGGCGTAAAGAAGGTAAGGTACGACAGCGATGACCCAGTAGCTGCGCGAATGAAATTAGACTGATTGAAAAGATAGACAATGAATGAGCGTAGTACCGGCAGAAAAGATAGGCGACTTTGACCGGAGTCCAGTGCGTTTTCCACACCTGCAGGAGAATGACGAATTAGTCAAAACGGCATTTGAAGCCAGGACTCACGAAGCGCCATTCTCTAGGGAAAGAAACCAGCCAGTCCCATATGACTACCGCATCTGGATACGTGATGAGGCCAGAGAAAGGGAGAATAGATACAAGTCGCCTTACACATCGCTGAGATACGTCAGATAGTGAGCAACGAGAAGGACTGAGGTGATGAGGCTGGCCTTACCGCAGAAATAAACCTGGGTGACATAGATAAAGTAGCTGGCCTCAGCGAGGGTGTCTGCCATACTAAAAAGTGGGGAAAGATTGTGGTTGGGGAAAAGAAGAGGGATTGGGAAGAGACAAACGAGAGGATACTTAGGACATTCACCAAATTCCAAAAGAAGCAATCGTTTGACCGGAAGAAGCAAGTCTTAGGTCACACCATGCTCGATCCTCTGAGAGAAGTGCGGCGCTTAGTCGTTAGAGACGGGATTTTATATTACCAAAAGTCACAGAAGCTTCCAGCTAGCCAATCAGAGCACAAAAATCTTCGGATTTTACGTCTCTTTTACCATCTTCGTTGTCGGTTCCGCCCCGTTAAGTTTGTGTCTCTGCATCCGCGTCGTTGAACGGGTTGCAATTTAAAGAGCCCTAGCCACGTGGTCGAAGATCGAGCTAAAAAAATTAAATCGGCGGTCGGCATCCGGCATAATGGCATCTCTTCCAGGAACTCAGACACTTCGTTTCCGTGGACCAAACGACAAGCCAAAGCCATCCGTAGCGAAGAAGAAACACGACGGTATTCTCCAGGATCAAATCCGCAGGTCAGGCAATCTCTATTCTCCCTCAATTTCTCCATTCAACGTTGTTGTTAAAGAACTGCCAAATTGCCATGGAGTCCCAGCTTTGCTTTTGCATTGCGCATGATCCTCCTTGTACGTGTTTCTGGAGCAATGTACTCCAACATCGATGACTGCGATGAAGGTGCGCCCAGTAGATATTTGATTGTAATTCTTTCTTATGCTTTGTGCACAGTATACAACTTCTGGGAACCTCTACACTTTCTTGACCGGGGATACGGCTTTCAAACATGGGAGACTTCTCCTCAGTATGCCATTCGCAGTTGGGCATATATTTTGCTGCATATTCTCCCTACAAGTATCGCTCGATTTTTAGCTCGAGACCAAAAGGTTCTTACTAACGCTGCTCTATTCAATATGAAACTCATCTTGCGATACAGCGCGTTGCATTCTTCGCAGTCCGCATCTTTCTGGCAGTCCTAAGCTCTATCACAGAAGTTACACTGTATCGGAAAGTGTATGAACGGGTTAATCATCGAGTCGGTCGTTACTTGTTCTTCATCTTGCTTTTCAATGCCGGCATGTGGAATGCTTCCGCCGCTTTCCTTCCCTCCTCTTTCGCCATGTACACCGGTACACTTGCCTTCGCTTGTTCTATCATTCCTTCCAGCTCCCGAGAATCGCAGCGTACATTATATGCGACGCTACTCTACGCCACGGGAGCCATTGTAGGATGGCCGTTTGCCCTTGCTCTTGCCATTCCTTTCGTTATCGAAGAGCTTTTTGTGTATAGCGGGGACAAGGTCCCGGCAGCCTCTCGTTTAACATGGATGGTGAAACGCTGGACGCGGCTTTTCGGCTGTGGTGCGATAGCTGCTGTCCTTCTCGTGAGACTCTCAGTGCTCAATCTTAATGACATTACTGATCAAGTTTTTTGACAGATACCTGTGGTTAGCATTGATAGTTTGGCCTACGGAAAATTTGCAGTTGTACCGTTCAACATCGTGAGATACAACATACTGTCTTCCGATCGGGGTCCGGACCTTTACGGAACCTCTCCATGGAATTTCTATCTCCTAAACCTTCTGCTTAACTTTAATGTGATTCTTCCCTTTGCATTGCTTGCACTTCCAGCACTGGCCGTCACGGCTGTGGTAGACAAGAACCGTTTGGGCCAGTTCAAGGGTTCCTCGGAAGAAAGCTCACCTTTCACCGTTTTAGCTCTGCGCTTGTCTCCTTTTTATCTGTGGCTCGGGATTCTGACGGCACAACCCCACAAGGAAGAGAGATTTATGTTCCCTGCATACACCATGCTCTGCTTTAACGCGGCCGTAACTGTATACCTGATTCGAGGTTGGATGGAAACGGCATTCGTCAGCGTCACTAAATCACCCTACCGGGTGAGTTGTCTCCTAATGGAGTATAATTTTAAGTAATAAAGCCCTTTTAGGCTTCGCGGACTTCGATTTTCAGCACGTTCACTCTTTCCGTGCTTACTACGACTACCGTCTTATCCGCGTCACGAATCGCAGCAAATTGGAAGTATTACCATGCTCCACTATCCGTCGTGAATCATTTTGAGGCTCAAGAGTTACCATATCTTCTTAATGTTACTGGGATGCTCCCCGTGCCGATTCCGTCGACTAGACGTCGAAACAAAAAAGACGAAGAGCCTAGGATCGACCTTACACCTATCAAAGAGTTCAATTTAACTTTATGCTACGGCAAGGAATGGTATCGTTTCCCTGGTCATTATCTCGTGCCAGATGGCATCAGGGTGGAATTTATCAAGAGTGAATTCGAGGGTCTTCTTCCAGGACATTTTCCAGAACATAGTACAAATAATAACATAGTGACCACGACGTGGTGGCCGCGTTCAGAGACAAGGATTGTGCCTCAAGATCAGAACGACCTGAACAACGAGGAGCCTTCCCACTATGTAGGATATATTGACTTTCCCACTGCTTTCTTTTCTGACACTTCAAAGATTCCTGCTTCTTCTTGCTCGTACCTTATCGATGTTGATTTCCCCTCGCATCCATCTAACTCCCTACAAGAGCCCCGTTATGCTGTTCAAAATGATGTCTGGGAACGTGTTGAATGTCAACCATTCCTCGATGCTCGTAATTCGCCTCTTCTTAGCCGGGTCTTGTGGCTCCCAGGTCAAAAGTGGCGGTCGATGAATGTGTGGGGTGACTATTGCCTTTTGAAGAACAGGCAAGTCGTGGCAGACAAGGTGGCGAAGGTTAAACAGCTCGAGCAGAGTAAAGGAGTCTGATGTTGTAGATACGAGTCAAATGCCACCTCCATAGACAAGGAAAACGAGCGTAAACGGTATGGGTATTTACATGTCATTAAAATATTGGCTGGATAGCAAATATGTACTGTATCTGCAGTGGCTGGGCGGCTAAACTAGAGCGCTTAATTTTTGTTCTGTCTTCTTCCCTCAACTTCAGAAGTACTATCCATCCACCTGCAACTTTCACCATCATGCTATTCAATGAGATGCCTACAGACCTAATTCTTCTCATATGTGAGCTGACAATGTCAAGCTATTTCAATATAGATTAATGTACAGTTACGACTACCTGCTGCAAAGTTTCCTATCTTGATTTGCCGGACCTTGCTTCGTTAGCCCAAGTTGCACCATTCCTCGCAGCGCTGGCCTCTGATCCTGTCCTGCACAAGAATCGTCTTCGTGTCGTTGTTCCTTCTCGAATCCGGCATTCGTTGTTTGGTCAAGGACCGCAGGGAATAGCTTTCAGACCTACTGTTGCCGAGTTAGTTCATCGTGGTGTGATGAGGGGTCTATCGATTGAACGGCATTGGAGAGAAGGAAACTACTTTCATTCGCATCGGGTACGTTACCACTCTTGAGCACAAGTTGCAGACTTTAACCAGTCTTCCCGCAGTCCATAGCTCAGTACGAGACAAGTTTGAAGTTAGCTCGTAACCAGACGAGTCGCATCATATCTATGCAGCTACGACAGCGCAAGCTGGATTCAAGTGATTTTCTCAAGACACTACATCAAGCTCATGTTCTTCCCGACGAAGAATCATCCTGTCTACGTGTATCCCGCAGCCTGCTGCCTGTGATGCGCAAGCTGAAGTGGTCGATCCAGAAGGATAATTTGTCCAAGAAGATCAGAGACGGAACTGTTTACAGTATCCCTGGTCGACTGAGCAACAGTAGCCTTGACTCTCTTGAGGCCTTCTGTGGTTGGCTGGAAAGCAGGGGAAGAGGAATCGTGCATGACAACGAGAGGGTACGGCTGGCGATATGTCCCGACGTTCAGAAGAAGGTTATGTTCTATGAAGGACTCCTGGTTGCTTCGCCGCTTTAAGATAAGATGAAATATGTACTACATCCTTGTACTGACCTTGTATTTCTATATACGTCCTTGATTAAATGGCATACATACCCATTTGTAATGACCCCTCATTTCCTTTCCCATACTACATTGACGTCCTGATGGCACATATACTGGTGGAGGTGTGCGTCGACTCCGTCGAATCCGCAATGAAGTGAAGATATCTGGGTTTTGTTTCTACTAGGAGTAATGTCTTAACTCTCCAGTGCTGTTCGCGGAGGAGCCAATCGGCTCGAACTCTGTGGAAATCTAGGACTAGGAGGCGGTACAACTCCAAGCTTAGGATTGTTGAAAGAAGTCCGGAAGGCAATAGAGTCTTTCAAAGTACCGCTCATGGTCCGCACTTGATTTACTAGTATCGATAATGTCCCGAAGCCTTCAGGTGTAGGTTATGATTAGGCCCAGAACAGGTGATTTCTTGTATTCAGAATCGGAAATGCAGGTTATGCTCGAAGATATCCGGATTTTCAAGGAGAATGGTGTAGTAGGATTCGTTTTCGGAGTCTTGACAGGAGAAGGACGAGTCGACGTTGCAAGGACTCAAAGGTGAAGCTTCCCTAATTCCTCATGGATCTTCGCAGTTCTGGTCATTCAATATTACTGCAGCCTCATAAACGCCAGCCTTCCCGGACAAGGTATATTATATTTAGATCACGGTCAGTTACGAGCTCAAGATTGACCATAAGTTAGTATGTTTTCACCGCGCCTTCGATATGACCAGGGATGCAAACGAAGGCTAGGAAACCTTTAATAATTTGATACCCATGTACTGACGAGAATGACAGCTATCAGCGACATTATGAGGATGCATGGAGTATCACGTATACTTACTAGGCAGGTGCAGTGCTCATGTCTGCTAATCCATCTGAAAGTTCGCTGTGTAGTGGGCAAGGTAAATCGGTGTCGGGATCACTAGAAGTTCTCGCCTCGCTTCTAGGGACGACTCAAAGTGGATCATCAGGTCCCATAATCATGCCTGGCTCAGGAATCAGCCCGGATACTATAGGACATGTATTAGACATCTTGTTACCGTTGGGCTTGTCAGAAATTCATCTCAGCGCAGGAAATTGGATGGAAGGAGGTATGTCTTTTCGTAGGGAAGGAATGGGAATGGGAGTAGGAGGGAAAGGCGAGTGGGGATCATGGAAGACAAATGAGAGAATCGTAGGAGAGGTTATAGCCTTGAGCAACAGTAGAGCCTTGGAGGTGTCTGGGCGCTCAAGACGCGTTTGTTGATCGAGTGACGTGACACTCACGTGATCAAGAGTCTCATTTGCTCGCAGCTCAACTCAGTGTAGTCGAAGTAGCCCAGTTGTCGCTGTAATCGCTGTTCTACCGTCGATATCCAACTTGCACTCTGTTGAATCCTAACAAAGGAATGGCGAAACGTGATCGTGCATTCGCAGCAATGGAAGAAGGATCTTCTAAACGTAGAAAGGCGGAGGAGGCCGGCTACGGGTCTGATGTAGACATGGAAGCTGCCGAACAATACGATGTGGCAGATGAAGAAGAGCGAGAAGATGAAACCCTGGAGAAGAAAGCAATGAAATTGTGGCAGACAGTGAAAGATGCAATGAAAGAGTGAGTTATCAATTCGGAGTTGAATCCCGCCTGATTGAATTTCCTCTTCTGCGGTCGCCTTTTCTGGTTCCTTTGCCTTTCAGCGGTCGCCCTCTTTCTCTTCAATTCCTCAAAAGGCCAAACCCCAGGGTTTATGCAGACTATTACACTCTCATTCGGAATCCAATTGCTTTAGAAGATATCAAGAAGAAGATTAAATCTGGCCAATATACAGACCTTGAATCAGTTCGAAAGGATCTCGAGCTCTGTTTCAACAATGCGAAAGACTACAACCTACCAGAGAGCATCATATACACGGATGCGAAGGATCTGCTGGTGAGTTTCACTCCTCTTCCTTTTCCTGGCAAAAAAACCTTCAATTTTGCTACGGTAGAAACTGGCGAACAAAACCTACCGCAAGCTCATGCCTTCTGAACACGGGGAGAATAGCAAACCACCTAGTATGAAGCGTTTGCTCAACTCAAGGATTCAGAAAGTCATGAAAAAGACGGACGACAAGTGAGTACCAGTTCTCCTTTAATGCGAAAGGCTGGGCAGACAGAATAAATAGCGGCCGCATTCTCTCGACAATGTTTCTGGAATTGCCTAACAAGAAGTTGTGGCCGGTGTATTACAAGCAGATACACGAACCGCGCTGCTTAGAGGCAATCCAGGTTGGTGGTAATACTTCTGCTCCTCCCTTTTGTACTCACGTTAGGACAGAAACAAGTCAAGCGAAAAGAATATAAGTCAGCTGCTGAATTTGCTGCTGACGTGGAACTGGTGTTCTCTAACGCTATGACATTCAACATGGAACATACTCAGATATGGGAAGACGCATTAACGCTACGAGTAAGCTAGCCTCGGTGTTATCCCAAATTACAATCACTGATCGTCGCTCAGGATTTCTTTCGCCAGCTCATGGCTGACCTTCCTCCGCCACATGCTTTACCTCAGTATACACATCCGCCGCCTCATAAAATCAAGATCAGGATGTCCGCTGCACAACCCTCTGCTCCTGAACCTCCCATAGTTGAGGAACCTGCCTCCTCATCCACTCCTCACCCGCCCTTAGCCTTACGAGTTCCAGCTCCTACCAAGCCAGCTATATCGAAGCCTCCAGAGATGGAAGCTCAATTTTCCAAACCACCCTTACCTGCTGCCCCAGTTACCGCTCCCTCCCCTTCTGTACCGATTGCTCCAACTCAAGTCCCTGCTGCACCAAATATTCACTTACCTGAACCTGAACCTGTTCCTGAAGGCAAACCGTCTATTCCACGTTCTGACGCCAACCAATTGCCTGTGGCACGCTTAACACCTAAGCCACCTACCGCGCAGCCAGTTGTTGCGCAACCCATACCTCAACCTTCTATTGCACAGTCTACACCTAAGCCCTCTATTGCACAACCCGCAGCCAAACCACCGATAGTGCCTCCAACGACCAAACCGCCAATCGCACAGCCAGCTCCTAAACCGTTTGCTGCCCATTTGACAGCTAAACCACATCCTGCGATCAAAGCAACCAAGTCGTCGTCCCGCACTCCTCAGTCTCGTACTCCCCAGCCGATTTTGCAGCTCCATCCTACTATGTCTGTTTATGGTAATACTACCGTCACAAAGGCTAAATATCCCTCATATATGCAGCCAACCCCCCCTCCAATACCACCTACCGCTGCTATTACGCCTTCATATATCGCCTCTATGGTTCCCAAGGTGTCTACTCCTGCACCAGTACTTGCGACACCCCCACCACCAAGTCCTGTCATCCCTTCAAGCCACCAGATTCGCCATATCATGATCAGGACCGAACCTAGAGGAAGACTTTTGAAGCTTGATCATCGGGATGGTGTTACGAGTTGGGCGATGCCACTTGAGCGCGACGAAAAGAGCTTGTCGGTAGGGGAAATAGTTTTCATGGCAGAACTAGGCGATAGCAGCGGCGAAGAAGACGAAGGTGACGATGATGCTGGGGAAATGGATGTTGATTCTGCACCTGAGCCTCTCAAGAAGCGTCGGGGACGCCCACCGAAAATCGTCAAGACGGCAGCAGTAATTTCAAAACCGAAAGTTCCTGTATCGCCTAAGAAGAAAAAACCAAAGAAGCGTGGCGAAATGCTGATAAAGCTCAACGGGACTATCGTAAAGGAGGATGAAGAACGAAGTGGCAATTGGGACGTGGAACTCTCAGTTGGGAGTAATGTTGTTGAAGTGGGCGAACAAGGAGGTTTGATCTGGAAGGTTTATGCTCAGAGAATTAGCTAGATTGACGGTTGACGGTCTGAGATAATTTCCACCGTACAAATCATAGTAATACTATCATTACATTTCTTTGTTCTGGGCGATCCGTACTATGTAGGAGAGGCAGAGCTATAATTTTCAGGTTGTCCTCGGTTTCATTTCGTTTACATAACATTTTTCTCTTTTGTCACTATGTCACCCAATGTGAAATGTTGGGTAAGTTTATTTTATCGCGTCCAAATTCAACATATATCTATGGAAATAGTCCTTCAATGCAGAAACCGGTAATCCGATTGGTCCAGGATGTACTCGGGAAAGTTGCCTGTTTATACATCCACAAGACAAGAGATGGGACAGTGCGAAATCATCAAACCAATCTAGCTACGTAAGTTTTCTGTGTTCTCCAAACACACAAAGTTTGGAAAATGACTGGTTATAGCGCTCCAAAATGCAAAGAATGGAGAAACAGATGGACAGGGAAAGGGACAGAGACAGAGACTATGCAGGCAGAGATAGAGATTATGCAGGCAGAGATAGAGATGATAGAGACAGAGAAAGAGACTGGAAAAGAGAAAGAGAAAGAGACCGAGACCGAGACCGAGACAAAGAACATAGGTATTCAAGGACTCGCGACAGAACCCCAGAGTATTCGAAATCTTCACGCAAAGATGGGGGATTCGACCGTGATGATCATTGGTCTTCGCGTAGACGTTCAGAGTCTCAACTGAGCGCAAGCTCCATCGGCCACGGATGGGGCTTCGAGGACAAAGCCGCATATACTAGTGGCAGCTCGGGATCTAGCAAGGTCAATGACCGTGGCTGGGGCACTGGAAGTGGAACGGGACAGGACTCGAACGAGAAGGCTGGAGGAGTCTCTCCATGGGGATCGGGAAATGCCGGTACATGGGGAACAGAGAATAACCAAACCGCTTGGGGAGCAGGAAAACCTAGTGGATGGGATTCTGTAGAAAAAGCAGCCGATACAGGAGCTTGGAAACCCCTAGAAGCCAGTGTTTCACTTTTTCAAAAACAAAAGGCAAAAGAAAGTACGAATGCTCCACCTCCCGCAACTTCTCCACCTCCCCCACTTCCCTCTCCTCCAACGTGGAATGATACATCGACGTCCAAATGGGAATCTGTGTCGCGGAAAGCACGTGTTCCGCCTTCACCATCATCCGCCTCTCCCTTTCCACTATCGATGTTTACAATGCCTGACATTGCTGCTGGCGAGCCGGTTCATACGAATTCGACACCCAAGGCACCCCGTGCATTCACACAGCGAATTGCGGGACCATCGTACCGCAAAGATAGTAATGGTCGAAGATCATCACCAAATTTTCGGAATGCTTCTCCTACTGCCACTGAACACACGAATATATCGGTTTCTTCTTCTCGGAAGGCTCTCAAAAGCAGACGTGTTCGCAAACTCCTGGGGCAAGTTACTTCGTGTCTCAATCTGTAAGTGACGCTGACCAATCATCGTAGGTTGTTCGATCACGCAGTCAAGAAAGAAGTCGAACGTAAAACGGTCGCGAAAAAATATGAACGATGGAAGAAAATTCAAGAATCTCCTCAGTATGGACGCGTTCGGCTGAATGGTCAGAAGAAACTTGACAATGTCCGAGGTCAACTGAAGAAACGACGTGATAAGCTTTCCGAAAGGGTAAAATATGAAATTAAAGCTATCGTCAACATGATTAAACCCTCTCCGTCATCTCCATCTCAATCAAGTAACGTCGATATCGACGAGCTGAAAAACAGGGTTCGCGCGAGGCTCGACGAGCTGAGCGCATATATCCTTGACCTAAAACACATTCTCGAGGAACAGAAGAAGGCAGAGGACGCGGCTAAGGAAGCGGCTAAGGCTAGAGAGGCTAAGGAACGGGAAGCAACCGCCGCCGCTTTGTCTGCTGCGGCTTCCTCTCGAGCTCAGGAGATCACTCTGGAGAACTTAAAGTCTCGTATTGCAGAACTGGAGGTTAGATCTTTCGAAATTTTGGATGTTCAGGAGGAGGACAGAGCTAGGTTCCTTAGTGCAGAATTCATTGAAGAAGCTTTGGAGGTAGAAGAGGAAGATTCTATTTACGATGAACTCGAAGACCTCGAAGATCGAATAGAGAAAACTGGGGAGCAAGTGTCAAATCAAGGCATGGAGATTAGCAAGCTTTCGAGCCCCGAACGTAAAGAAAAGGAGGATGTGTTACAGAAACAGCTGCACAGAAATGCTCGGTTAAAGAAAGAGGTTCGCTCTATTGTTTGGGATATTTAATTTCGTTCGTGCGCTAACATATTCGTACCGCAGTTGGAAGCTAAAGTGGCAGTTTTAGATCAAGGTGCAATCGAGAGACGGGAAAAGATTGACGACCTGTCAAACCAGATTCAGAACCTCCACAATCGACACAAGCCATCTCATTCCTACCATCAACACCTGCTACCCTTTGTCGAGCGACTGGTCATCCGAATAGTAGAACAGGAGCTGAAGCCTATCATCCTTGAACTCAGGGCGACCACGAAAGCTCAAGTCAGGGTTCGTCAGAATATCATTTCGGGGGCCATAGAAAAAGCGGTAGAGCCTATCGTACAGATGACCACCGACATCGTCCGACGTTCAAATTCCTTGGCTGGTGTTCGTGATATCATGAGTTCCGCTGGGGCTTCATAAAACCCTGTTCTCGTGAGCCTTTGTTCATTCGCATCTTGAATATCCTGAACAAGTTTATTTTTCTACTGTTCTGATTAAATATTTTCCTTATAAATAAGTACACTGTATACCGCCATATTCCCTAATTTCATGTAACAATATTGAATCACAACCTTAAATACGTTCCCGTAGATTAAACCTGCCTCAGCGGGATGTCGTCTTCGTCGCTCTCACTCTCTATCTGAGGGATGTACCTCTTGTAGTGGCCTGGCGTCTCACCGACTTGTTCTAAATACCGCCTCAACATATCCTCTCTATCGGTTGGTTTGAATTCATATCCCTCAGAGCCTCGACGGACACGACCACTGCCGTTATATTTTCCGTCATCAGACGATTCGGACTCTGATGACTGCTCTCCTTCGCTTCCCTGATAATCCGGATGATAGGGTGGCAGAGTTGAATATCCTGCGGCCTTGCGGCTTTTACGGCGGCGTGTTACAGAGTCTTCTCGAAGCTTCGTGTTATACGGTTGGAGATCTGGATTGACGCCCTCGTTCTCGAACGTCCATGGTGACTCCGATAATTTGAACTCTCCTTCAGGTTCTTCAAAATAGGGTTGAATAGGATCATCAGGCGGCCAAACTTGTTGTTCAGCCTGCTCCAATTCTAAGTGGCAAAAGATTGGGTGTTAGCGTTGGAGAAGGAAGGAAATGAAGGAAGGGTAAAAAAACACTTGGATATTTCAGATGAAGAGTTAACGTGAAGCAATATTCCAACTTGACGTACCAGAGGATGCAGGTCCTATACCAAATAACCCTCCGACTCTTCGTGCTCATAGGCTTCTCGGATGCTTGAGAGTTCAATCAACACACCTTCACTTCCGGAAAGTTCATATTTGAGCCCATTACCAGGCGGTTTAGTTGGCCAGCACCAAAGTAAAAGATTTGGTCCAAGGACGGATTCAATATTTCTTCGACGCCCCAGATGCTACACAAGCAGTGAGAAGCGGAAGGACGTAGTAACATCATTCCACCAACATAGGGAAATTTCACATCCTGGATCTTTCCTCGTCTAATCATGGTAGCAACTTTGTCCTTCTCCCAACCTTCAATAGTAGTTGTGTTGTTTGAGATACCGTTGAAGTGGTAGATACTGGTTGTAATGTCAACTTTTAGTCAGCAAGAAATGAACGAGCGGACGATGTACCTAAAGGCACCGACAGAGAGCAAAACTGGGATGCACGCAACAAAATTTAATAGTATGAAAACGAATTCTATCCCCGCAATTGAGTCCTATCGGAGAGCTCATCATTTAGCTTCAAAAGTAGGGACAGGAAAACATACCCAGTAGCTGATGTTCAGGTTGTGATACACTCTTCGGACCATCATTGCAAGATGATACGAGCAGGCCATATCGACGTAGAACAGAAATCGAACAAAATGACCGTAGTTGTAATGACCGACACAGTTGTTTATCCAGGGACAATGATGATCTTTCCGACTAGTCATGCAAATGCTTAATGGGAAGCCAGGCAAGCTATGACATACCCATACGTAGGACACAGCTGGAGGAAGTAAAATCGGCATCTACATTTAGAAAGTAGAACTGGATACTGCTTACTGGTTACACTGTCGACAATGATGCGTCCTGGGTGGCTTGTAGGACTTACACATTCTGCAGTATCTTGGTTTACCGGTCAACTTCTTAACTTCAAAACCATCCGAGTGTGTGTCAGGTTTCTGAGAGCGTATAACTTAGGCTGGCTATTGCTGCGGAATAGGTTGGAGGACCATACCCAATCCTCTGGTACCCTCCCTGGGTCGACATTGACACATAGGAAGTAGTTCCATAAGAGCATCCCTACGAGCAAACTAAGGATGGGCGTGTCAGCAACGTTTGAGGGACCGTGCACAAAATCAGCGACGAACTTGAAGGGAACGAGCAAAACGAGGAGCTCGACCGATACGACGCGTCCATACCAAGGCCATATGACAAATATTTGAGAAGAGTAAGCAATGAAGGAGATTAGCAGAACGACAAAATTGACGATCAGGCGGCCTAGAAGGGAAGACATTAGAACTCAAGAGAAAACTAATCGTGCTAGTAGTGGTAAATGGAAGTTATTGACTGTGGGAAAAAAACATCCCTTCTCTTCTTTCCAAGAGGGATGCAGGTTTACCGATCCCCTCTTGTTCGTTGTATTTCTTCATCTCACGTCCGCTTCGTCTCGGCAGACGCGGCAAAATCTAGCGTACAGCGACTCGCAGCCAGCTGGGACGATATTCATATTCGTATGTGGTTCCTACTTTCTCAAAACACGCATGCTCATATTTCACATATTTTAGCATCCCGCACGGAAGTCAAGCAAGGTAAACAAGCTTGTAGTTAGTCATGCCTAAGCTGACCAGGTCCTGTGGTCAGCTCAAAGAACCGGCTCTCTGAGCTCTCGCTTGGCTGCTAGAAGGCCCAATCCCGCATCATTTTCTGCTACCCCAAATGTTCCAACCCCTACAGTAATTCCTGTTGCGCCTAATCAAGCAGCGTCAGTCGTACGCAGGACCGGTCCCCCAAAACGCGTATTAAAACCCGCTCCTCCAATGCCCGCCCGAAAACCCGATGTCACCCTGCAATCAGCAGCGGACACATTGGATGACCTCTTTCAAGTCATTCCAGATGAGTCTTCTTCTCGCAATGACTCTTGGGAAAAGGGCTTGGAAACCATGAAACAAACCGTCCGGTCCCCTTCGAGACCGAGAAACGTGAATGGCAGAAGCTGGACGCCCGAAGGTGGCAACAAAGTTACAGGTCGTGTTAATACCACTCCCAGAGTCGCACGGAACGCTGGTACGGGTAATCAAAAGATCAGTAAATCCTCGAGAGAGGAGGAAGACGACAAAAGGAGCTTGAGCGCAGAATCGAATGTGGAGGATGACGAGGACGCAGAAATTTATTTGGACGATACCGTTATTGACGGAGTATCTCTCCTGGCCCCTCGACCTGGTCAGCCTGCTCAATTATGGTACGAAAGTATCATAAAGCAAAACCGAGAACCCGATGGCCCGCGTGTCATCTATCCCGACATCGATATTTCTGCGGACTTACACGACTTATTTGGTGTGGACAGTGCTCAACATCGGAGCATCATGGTATCCAATCTTGGTGCTTTGAATCGAGGACTTCTTCGTCCGGCGGTTAAGAAAGGCAAGGTGGACTACCAGGTTCGAAAAGTTATGCGTAGGTATGGTGGTGACTACTCGCATCTGCAGCCCAACTTGGTTCCGACAGAACTGAGGAAGAAAATGCGACCGTCGCAACTCGCACGACTGACCATGTCTCGACGAAACGAGGCAAGCGCCACGCAGAGGAAAACATTCGATGCCCTCATTTCATCGACCCTTAAAAATGTAGACACTGTAGAGCAACCCATTCGCGCATAAATAGTACCATCTTTGAATCATAATACATAATAGCTCACGACTCTTCAAAGCTTCGCTGCCCACAAAACTTAAGTCTCGAGAAAGATGTGCAACAATCTTGGAAACAGTAATAACCACAGGAACCGAAATTTTGTGGTATATGTAAAGTCTAGGAAACTTCCAAACTCCTTCCTAGTTTTCATTTCCTCTGAACTTCAGCTCGTTCTCCCGCGAGTTGAGTTCATCTACCACAATTTTTTGTTCATCGCCATTCGGGCCTCCCGATCTGCCTCTTCTCGATCTACTATCATTCCTTCGACGTCGTTATTTCTATCTTCTGAAAGCTCACCACCCTCATCTTTCTTTCTTATCATCATTTCTTCTTCTTCTCCACCTATGTTGCCTGGCTCTACCTCGTCTTCTTGTTGCTCTATTTCAAACGATTCATCACCACCGATGACAATGGCTTTCTTCATTCCTTCGCCATCCTCATACTCACTTCCCGAATCCTCGCTTTGAGACTCTTCGCTGTGTTCTCTATGCGAAGTTTCTAGAGCATTCACAAGACGTTCGTTTTCCGGTGTACACACGCGCTCTCCGTTTACGAACCGTGGATTCAGCTTGAAGGACGGGTTTATCTGCTGTGTATACCTGGGATCCTCTTCGAAGCCGATATGTAAAGAAAACCTGAGTTGAAAAGTATCGTCGTGTAACAACCACAGGGGTAGCTCAAAATCCATCTCCATATCAGTAACATCGGAAGGAACTTTGAATCCCCAGGCAATATTATGCCGCTGCCTTCGGATTCTCGAACTCCCTTTTTCGTAATTTTGAGCAGCGAGGACGAGACCACATTCCTTTTTAATGCGTGGTGGCGCGCGCGATAAAGATCTACGAGCGACAGGTGCAGAAATGGATTCCCCCCAGATAGCAGCATCTGGGTGGGGAGGCGGAGGCATCGAACCACTTTCTTTATCCGGAAAAACAGCGGAAGATTCGTCGACAGCGACCGTCGTGCGACGCTTTTTACGAACAGGTTGTGAAACAGGAAGTGGGGTTTCTGGTGTGGGCGTTGCGAGCTCATCAATGAGTGCTTCAGCGGATCCATCTAGTACGACGTCTGACGGCGACATCAGTTTATTCCTGGATAGCCGACCACGTCTTTTAGAGGCAAATCGTTTTTCGTTCGATTTGTGTGACAACGGTTCGAATTTGGATTGCGACGATTCCGCCAATTGGTCGATTTCATCAGTTATTAGTATCTGGTCAGAATCGGGTATAGATAGTGTAGCAATTTCGGGATGCATAGGAGAGGGGGCGGAAGGAGGAAGTGAAGAAATCTTTCGGGGGGTGCCAGTTGGTGGTGATAACGGTTCAAAGCGTTCGGCGGGTGGAGAGGGGACAAGAGTATCGTTCTTATGCTTCTTTTCTTTCTTCGTAGGACGAGAACGCTTGACCGGCGGCTCGACGGATTTACTGAAGTTTAGCTTCAGCTTAATAGGCTGCTTGGACAAAGAATCCTCTTCGAGTTCTTCTTTTTCTTCGACTTCTGATTCCCCATCGTCAGGTAAAGGATATCGTTTGGAAGTAGAAGCTGCAGTGGAAAGGTCTGCCTGCTCGTAGCCCTCTGCCGAAGCTGAAAGGTATTTGCGCCATTTTTGACTGGGAGGTAGCAATATTTTGTAGCGTTCTTCCAATGACTCAGCGACAGCCAGCATTTCTTTTTTACGTCGTTCACCTTCGGTAACGGAAGAGCCGTTCAATAGTTGACCACTCGCATCCAATTCTTGGCCGTCTGGGAAGAGTGCGAAGGAAGAGGCAGGTAGAGCGAGAAATGCAGAGTAATCCATGGCGCGAAGTTGCTCGACCCGTTCACGAAGCTTGTACTGCTCGTGTTGCAGCTTCTCCTTCTCTCGCAGCCGCTGACGTTTCTCGAACTTTTCGTACTTTCGATGTCTTTGCAAATACGCCTCATCGGAAGTGTCCACTGCTTGCTATAGTATGATTAGAGTTTATAATGGCGCTTACAAGAATCTACGCACCGTTTCGACTATACGAGGCCTGAACCGGCTTACGACGCCTTCACCTTCACCGATAGCCTCAAACACGGGTGTTTCAATCATTTTCTGTTCACGATACCCCTCTATCACGTCCGGTCGGTCGAAATATCGTTCGTAACCGCGAGCATTGATATTTATAGAGGAAGTGGACGCTTCGGAAGGGGCAAGATTGGAATCTGTTGTTAGGAAAAAGGGGGTGTCTTTAGGAATCAATGGGTCATTTTCCGCTGAAATATAACCGCGTCAGATGGAATGTTGGAGCAAGCACTGTCGTTGACTGAGCCGCACATTGTCTTTTGAATGTATCGAGTATCATGATATCTGTTTCACAGTTGCCTACACCAGGCCCACCGCGTCGAGAACGCGAAGGTAAGACTCGCTTTTGAAATTCTCTACTGGAAGTGATGGAAGGTATTGGTTCGTCCATGGATTCAGCAAGCAGAACGAAAATTTCGCTGGTCAATATGAGGATTCAAGGCGCGTCGTAAAAGTATAGGCAGTATTGAACGTAGAGGGTCAATAGCAAAGACAAGAGTCGTGAAACATTGATTCTCACACTATCCTGTAAGTACAAGTACTACTAGTTACGTTGAAGCAAAAATCCAACCATCTACCCTCAAGGCCTCTACAGCTGTTTCTAAATTACTAGCATTTACTAAGAGATAGTCTGTATTCCTGGGATTATGGTTTTTAGGGAAGGGCGGACGGCTGAAACGTCTTTCTCACCAGGTAGATACAACAAAAATTCCTATCCCTGCTTCCTTTAAAGGCGCAGCGAGCTGCGCCAATACCCCGACAAGTGCTTAGGGACAATATAAGTGGCACTTTGGAAAACTTTGACAGCCCGCTCACAAAATTCCATAGGTCCCTGCAGCTTGATACACCTCCACACAGCTTCATGTTCAAAGGCTGCAGGTATCCCATCATGCCATTGACCAACAATGGATGTCTCTTCTTGGGTACGAGTCAAACTCAAAAATCTGCTATCATTAATCAGATGGTCAACGATGGATTGTGGTACGGGCTCAATGGGCTCGAGCTTGGATACGAAAAACGTATCTGGAAGCACAAGGAGATGAAGACAAGGATGATCAATTGGAGGAGGCATGTATGGTGGGTGTCAAAAGAGGAAATAATTATACACACAGCCTCCCGAGAAATTTCCTCCAATAAAGGAAGGTTGAATATTGAGCAGTGAAGCTTGAGATAATGTAAGTGACACCAAAGAACTATGCCTTGTAAAGGAAAGAATCAAAGCAAGATTTGCATTAACTTGACCAAGCCGCCGGCGAACCTACGAGTTCTCTTGATGGAGAATGGGCAATGTACGGCTACGTTGAACTTGTATGCATGATGAGAGCCTTTTTGAACCAGTTGAGGGATTTTGCTTGTATACTTAGCCGCGGCCGTGAGCGGCGTACCGTTGACGCGGAGAAAATCGGATCAATCGCTGTGTGGAGTCACTAAACCATCTATGCACACGACCCATCCAATGCAATAATTTTTCCTCTTTCGACCGCCAATTACAGCTTATCATTGCGAGCAGTCAGCAACACTGCTCGTACTGTAAATTTTTGGCCATGGATTCTGACCATGACACAGAATGCCCCTGGACGACGTACAAGAAATCGTGGAAGAAACCCCTGAAAGGCTGCTTAAAGTCCCCCTCGACGTCGAGCTCACCAATGCACAGTCCAGGCTCTGACTCTCCCATTAATCACAGAGACGATACTTTTGCCTCCTTTGCCCAAGCTTGCGCAGATCTGCAAACTTTACGGCTCCAACCATCGGAGTTAAATCTTGCCATACCTGGTTCTACTTCATCCAATTCCTCGTCTGGCTCGTCTTCCCCAACTAGCAATAGCTATGAGAGCTCTGGTACATCATCACCGGTCACAGATGGTAGTTTGACTCCGAGGACTCGAGCACGAAAGAATGTCTCTTTCTGTTCCGAGGAAGACGGTTTAGAGGAAGTTTTTATCGCGGATGTGTGGGATAGAACTCCCACTGAGCCCGCAGGCCATTTAAGCTATCAGTGAGTGTAATCCCGACTAGTTCATGATGCTTCCCCTCATAAACGAACTTCACGTAGGGAATTGCTTGAACTAAAAGCAATTCAGAGAACCCTTCCCCGTGCCCAGCAATTACCCGATATGTTTACAGGAAGACCTGCTCATCACTACCTCCAACACGTCCCGATCAGTCTCCTTCCACTAACAGACCAGAGCAGTCCTTCTCTTAGTCCTCTTTCTACGCCACATTCAACACCTGTCTCAACTCCAGGAGGCAGTCCTATCGGACAAGGTAGCCCAAGCGGCAGTGCTGACCGCTCCCCACCGCGATCGCCTGTATGCGGCCCATCCCCGAAATCAGCATCGAGTGCTCATGGTGCTTGGCACTCTTACACCCCATCAACAATGTCCCCACTTACTGCCTCCGCTTTAGCAGCTGCATTCGCTTCTAAGAATGCGGAGAAGCGTGTTTATCCTGCAAATCCTATTCCATCGAATTTGGGTCCAAAATTCGTACCTCCGACAAATCCACCCGTTACAGTTGCGCGCAATAACACTCCTACTCCTTCTCCAACCCTCGACTCGCCTTCTACTCCAAAACCCTCCCTTACTCCCACCGCCACCTCATCACCCGTTCCATGCACCGCTCCTGCTATCCTTTCGCCGTCACCTTCCGATCCATTCTCGCTTTCTCACCTTTTACCATCTAAAACGCCTACTCCCATGCGAAGGAAACCAAATTTCGCTTTCCTTCCGCTTTTGGACACACCCCCGAGTTCCGGTGACATTACTCCCACCACTATGATCCCCGAGCTTGACTTAAAACCTAGTGAACAAAACAAATCAGTATCGTCATTGCTTGCATCACCAATCGTTTTCAATGAGAGCAGTCCTTGTGATGATGAGCCACCGTCAATAGAGGCTTATTCTTCATCTTCCTCATCATATACATCCGATTCTGAACGTGAGTCTGGCTTATTTTATACCGATGGTTCGCCGTTGTCAAGATCCACGTCAATAACTTCGGTCTCGACCTCAGGTTCAGTATCTGCGGAAGTGCCTGTCATTGGTTCAGCATATACTGAAACGAATGATTCAGGAAACCTGGGATTCTTCCTCATCCCACCTTCGAAACGCGCACAACTCTCGAAGCCAATGGCCTGTAATGGCAATAATGTGGCATTCTCCATAAAAGATCCAAGGCTCCAGGCCGTGACATCTCCTGTCCTCGCACCGCCGAGCCCTTTCATTCTAGATGGGGCGGGTCCGACTGGGGCACGATCTTTAGACACAGATCTTGCAGCTATGCAAGAACGTCTAGAACGCGTGGAGCTGGAACGATCTCTGGCAAAGGACGTGCTGGAAGATACAGAACCAATCACTCGAACTCCGTTGTCGTCGTCTCCTCTCTCGAAAACTCAAACCGATAGCAGCTCTGTCAGCGGTGCTGCGAGTCCAGATGCAGAATGTGGTCAAGAACACGCAGACAAGACAACAGATTGGGAGGAAGTAGAAAGATTCAGAAGGGAGAGGCTGGGTAATAAATGGACTCCTCCGTCTAGCCGGGGGCCTAGTCGCACCTCGAGTCGCGCTCCATCAAGAGAACGCAATGTGGTCGAGATCAACGGCGTAGAAATTGAACTGGATGACTAGATGCTAATCATACGCATACATACATTTTCTATAAACATTCCACCTCATTCCACATCCTCACATGTAATCTTCATATCTGTATTCTTAACTTAACGGAATCCTCTAATAATCTCATCATACATGTTTTTTTTCGTAATTTGTTCGAGTTTTATTGCCACGCTTAAGAAAGTAAAGCATTATCGTTCGCAAGAGGTACAACTTGAACTCAGCAGGTACTATATAATTCATGCGTTTTGGGTTGAAGTTGGAGATTCTGCTCCCTCCGCTTGAGTTGGAACACGCCATTGATCACTCGAGCTCCAATACGAAGATCCGTCAGTACTTGCGTATGCTCCCGAATACCCTGAAGCTTGAGGTGACTGCGGCTGTGTATTCGCCAATGGCATATTACCATATGAGCCTCCATTCATACCCATCCCACCACCCATCCCACTCATTCCTAAGTGATGGGCAAATAGAGGGTTAATATGCGGCTGAACAAACTGCTGCTGTGGACTATACGGCATCCCATAGTTGGGCATTCCTTGGGTCTGCGTCTGAAAAGGCCATTGATCTATCGGCGAAACGGGGGTTTGCTGGTAAAACTGGGACTGAGGCTCTAACGAACTCGGTATAACGCCGTTTCCTGAACTGAATGAGACATTTGGACCATGCTTAGACTGCCATTCGAATTCGTTGTGGGTGATAGATGAGCTGCGATTGGAATCATTAAAACCTCCTCGCCCTCGTCGGCTTGGGTTTCCCCGATTGTGATTATTACCTCTCCCCCGTCCGCGGCCGCGATGACCTTCGTCCCTGCCGTTGGTTTCTCGATTTGTAGACCGCCGTTGAGGTCTTAATGAGCTAGCGTCGTTGCCGTGAAAGGTAAATGGAGTACTGATAGAACTTGCAATACTTGTGCTGGCTGATGGAACCTCAAATTCGTCCGCGTAAGGATCGTCGTACGGTATGGGTGCTGGCCGAGATATAGGCGTATCGTAATTCAGATCGTATGGACCAATTTCGTCGTATGCGTTGTTATTCATGAAGTAATCCTCGTTAACCATGTCTGCATCACGCGCCCGAGATAGGGCAGGGGTAGCTTGTCTCGAAGGAGCAGTGGAAGAAGCGCGACTTGATGCTCGTCTATGGACAGAACAAATGAGATCAAAATTATGGGTAAGGGCGAGTCTTACTTTTTCTTGAGATTCCTCCTATGTTCGGCCTCAGCCTCGTCGTCGGAGAAATCCAATTCATGATCAGCGGGCTCTTCGTCGTTCATGTTACTCGCGTCACTACCCTTCATGGCTTGGATTTTCCGCATGAACACGAAGTTACTTCGCTGAGGAACGTGATAGACTTGACGTGATATGCAAACTTTCTCCGAGTCCAGGGGGTATGTTGTCGAGTTGAATTTGACCTGGTACATGGGTTGTGTTGTCGGACCAAAGGTTTCATATATCTGTGATGATTTCTTAGAGCAGTGGTCAAACTTCGGAGAACAAAAGCTTACATAGCCCAAAACTTTCCTGTCTTCGAAAACGAGAAGAGTATCAGCATCAAGGGCTCGATCAGACCCACCTCGAGCAAGCTCAGTTTGTAAACCTTCGATAATGACAACATTGCCAATGATGTTCATGATTTTTCCGACAAGCTCGAGGTATTCATCTGATCCTATCTCTTCAACGTCCGGAACTGTAATGGTTGCATCCGCGATTTCATTCTTGGTTGCATAATATGAGGCAGTGGTGGCAGACGGCCCAGGATCCTCTTCGTCCATCATAGCTTCCTCGTCGTCTTCAACTTTAGCGCCAGCCTCATTTTTTCGGAGCACCTCTTCTGAATCCGATGAATCTGAATCCGAGTCAGAGTTAGAGGAAGTGTCGTGATCGTCGGAGGATGAGGATTCTTGGGGAACTTGCGCAGTTCTGGAGTAGATTTGAAAATAGCACGGTTCATTCATGTCCTCAAAAGTACAGGCAAAGGTCGACATACATTTGAGAAGTTCCGTTGGAGCTGGAAGACTTCATTGAGTTGTAGAAACCAAAAGCACAATTACAAACATACCCAGAACCATCCAGGTCAGTTTTGCCAACTAATGCTGCTTCAATTTCGTCCTCACTGTCTGGTTCACTTCCCGAACTGTCGATGTCATCTTCTGGAAGAGTGGTTTCCTGTATACGCAAAGGAGGCGTTTCGGTTGTGCCAACCAGACTTTGAATAAGGAGCAAGTCTTGTGCGATCCCAAGTGGAAGTTTGAAAGCATCCATAATTGCCAGAAAAAAATCGTTTGAATAATTCGACAAGTAATATTCGGCCCGAGATACCGAGGTACATAGTCGCGGAAAAAATTCGACGCGTCTTTCTTGACACGACCTCGACAATGGACATGCTGAAATTCACTCGGCCAGCTCAATGTGGAAGACGCCTTGCATTTCGAAGACTCTACTCCTCCGCTCTGACTAAAAGTAGAGTTCAACTCGTCGCAGAACTTCGAAAAATTTCCAATGCCCCCATCATAAAAGCTCGCCAGGCGCTTGACGAAAGCAACGGTGATTTTGAAGCGGCTGTTCGATGGCTGGAGGAGGACATGCGTCAATCTGGCGCCGCTAGAGCAGAAAAAGTCAAAGACAGAGTTACATCCGAAGGCCTCATAAGTATTTCTGTCCTTGAAGGAGGTATGGGATCTCATATAGGCAGCGGCTCTGGGCGGGTCAAAGCGAGTATCATCGAACTCAATTGCGAATCCGATTTTGTCTCTCGGACAGACGAATTCACGCGTCTGGCGAGCGAGATATCGAATATTGTTGCCCAGTCGCAGACACAGCAACAACATACGACTTCGCCGTTCACATCTTTGCCTGTGGAAAATCTATTACAACTGTCACACGAATCTGGCACCGTTGGTTCTCTCATAACAGACCTTATTGCTCGTATTGGAGAAAACATTTCTCTCCGCCGAGCTATGCTTCTTACTTCCCCCAATGATTCGAATTCTACCTACCGTGTTGCTTCATATCTCCATCAGGGCCGCGTTGGCGCACTGGACCTTATAGCCTTGCGACCTTCACAGTCTTCACTATTCAATGACGACTCTTTCGTTGGGGACCTTGAAAAACTCGAGCGTGCACTAGCTAGACAGACCGCTGGTTTTATGACGCTTGGTATCAATGAAAAACGGAATCCAGAGGACGAGTTGGAGACCGTCTTGTATCAACAGCCATTCATGATGTTAGGAGGAGAAAATGCCTCAATGCCGGTCAGGAAGGTATTAGATCAGTGGCAAGAGAAATGGGGTCTTGAGGAATTCGGCGTATCTGACTTCGTAAGATGGGAAGTAGGGAGGGATTGATACGTGCCTGTACTTTACTACTTTTACCTATACTTTCAGAAACGTTCAATCACAGCCCGTTCACTAGAAATTTTATTGCCTTATGCAAACATAGTCGCTAAACGCGACCACGGTTTCTACCTTTCCATTCGGCGGGAGAATTTTCGGTTCATTCGTATTGTGGCTGCTCTGAGTACGTACACTGGGTGGATTCTAAGTTTTTCCGCCATTGGTACTGTTTTGAGAAATATCTTCATCTGTCGACGGTGAGCAATGCCATTTTCCAAATACTTACTTGAGGTCAGGAACCGCCATGCGGGTGACCGTGGATGCAAGGGACAATCTCGGCGTTAGAATTGGTCTGTCATTTGGAAAATCAATCTTTCCTCCCTACCACCACAAACCTTGACTCAATCTTGTACAATTCTGTTCCTGCTAGCCACTTGGGAAGACCTTCGTCAGCCTCCATCTCGCCCTGCCATGAAACGTCATGGAAGGATTGTCCGGGAAATAGTCGGGACATGAAAGGCGGACCGTGCCGGTAAAAGTTCCTCCTCCTATAAAGCTCGATAGCACTCAACTTTTATCTCTAATTTCCGAAGATAACAGAATGTCTTTCACTATCATTGGTTCCTCGTATACCAACGATGTTTACACGTATTCCTTTGAGGGTGACTCTCTGGCTTTGAAAAGTTCTGTTGAAGTTGGTTTTCATCCCTCTTGGATTGCGTTCCATCCCGAAGACAGATCGTTGATTTTTGCTGGCCTGGAACAAGATGAAGGGAAGATTATAGCAATCAAGTACGATGCCGAATTCAAAGGCACTGTAGTGGCAGAATCGTCCAGTGGAGGAAAAGATCCTTGCTCCGTTGTCGTAGTGAAGGATGAACTACTTATTGCTAATGTAGGTTCACTTTCTTCCACTCGTACATTCTATTTGGTCTCTTACAATGCCAGTAGTATTCCAGTGGATCGATCTCTGTTCTCCCGGTGTCCCAGAACGCGCCATACATACTTGCGGATACACCTACCAGCACGATCACGTTGAGCGGATCTGGACCTAATCAAGAACGCCAGTTGTCACCACATACTCACCAAGTCATCTACATTGATGAGTATAATGAAATACTGGTTCCTGACTTGGGCGGAGATCGCGTCTACCGACTTAAGAAAGATGCGAAGGGTACATGGAACATAGCCGGTCATATCGACCACGAGGCGGGCAGCGGTCCTAGACACGTTGCTGTTCACGGTATGTAAATACAGTGACCTCTAGAACGATGGCTCTCACAATATCGCAGATGGATATTTGTACACTTTGCTCGAATTGAAAAGCTCTATCGCGAAACATTCTTTCCCTCGTTCTCCCACTTCCGACGTTAAATTCATTGCGAAAACTCCCACCATGTATAATCCACCACCCTTACCCAACGATATGCTCGCTGCTGAGATCCTTATTCCAAAACCCAACGCGATATTTACTACACCATATGTGTACGTTTCGAACCGAAACCATCCTTCGCCAGAGGGTGATTCTGTCGCGATTTTTTCCATCGAGAAGCCTGATGCGCCAGAACTCATCGCAGAGATCAGAACTGGGCTACGACATCTCCGCGGTATGGAATTCGGCGGACCAGATGACAGGTATCTTTGTGCTGGAGGTTTGTACGCTGGCGGGGTCAGAATATTCGAACGGACGGAAGGAGGAAAAAATTTGAAGCTAGTTGCACAGAATTCCAGCATCAAGTCTCCGACTGGATTCCTCTGGGTGTAAGCATGCACTAAAGTGGAGCTAGAGGGCTAGTCGATGATTTGGGAGAATGCAAACTAAAATGTTAGCAGTGTTCGTAAGTTATAGCTGTGGATCCTGATTATACAAAATAGACCGCAATAGAAAGTTTTCATTGACGTTCCGTGAGGGAAAGAACTGTTTTGCCAGTCCATAATGTAACTATCTGTAGTTACAATATGATATCTGGTGTAGTGAGGGATCAAGTACGATTTCCAAGTATCCGCATGCTCCTGATAGTTCTAGCTGTTACATTCGTACCACTGCTAGCATTCGTTATTGTCAATGTTGTATTGGAAAAATCCAGATTAGGAGACATTATAGCCTAAGGAAGCAGATATGAGTTGTAATAAAATAAGAGCATGTTGTAAACATACACCAATGAGTGACAAATGGGCAACTGCTAGCGTAGCTCGTCCAACAGCGAAGCTAGCTGGAACTTGCAAAGAGTAGTTTTGATGAGGAGGGAGGGAGTCAGGTGGCGTGGCGTACTGCGGGTTGAATGGACCTTGATAGAGGATCTCGCCAAGTTCGGACTTGGGATCAGGACATTCAGTTTCTCCGCACGGCGCGAGACCGATGACAATAGAAACTTCTTGAGAGCTTGAGAGGGAATTCTGCGATGGACCTTAGACAATGCTCGAAAGATAGAAACTGTGCACATACAGGTCTCTCGATCATCACCGTGAAGTTGGATCCTGCAACAACAGAACTACCCGTTTGAGGAGCACCGATCTGTGCGCTCTGCGCAACGACAGCAGAAACTATAGCGAGAAGGGAAACGTAAAACTTCATGGATTACAATGAAGAATAAAAAAGAGGAAGGGCCAGCCTGTTGAAAGTTTAGGGAGAAGGACTGAAGTTTTTAGGAAAGACGAAGTAAATTTGCATCGCCTTTCGTAGTGATACGTTTTCGGAAAGCCCGTAGGCTGTTCTATGAAATTGACAATTTTGATCTCCCGCGCCACTGGGCTCTTCCTGCTCGCCGGTGAACTGCACTAACTCGTAACGATTATCGCAGTCAAGCAATGAATTCCGAGCCCTTGCTTAGATATAAATTCTCCATGGGCTATTTGACTATTCCATTCTCCCATTATTTCCTTGCGCTGGTGTGAATATAAACATTATCCGCCTAGATTCGCATTCAGAGAATCGGGAAGGAGTTGATTTCTTCCCGTCGCCCAGTAGGCATGGCCACAGCCTTGACCTTGAGCAAAGAATTGTTTCAAGTAGTATGGATGGAGTTGATACGAGTTGCTACGTCGTGGAAGAACTTTTCAGTGCTTGTTGGTCTGGACGTAAGTAGTCCTTCGTCAAAGACTTTACACCCGCACTTCCGGATCAGACGGACCGAACACTTTATTAAAGATTTGACAGAGTCATAAATAACAACAAACATGAGCTCAACGGCGCAAACGGTAAAATCATTATGCACAACCTGCTCGGACTTGTTCCGACCTTTCCCGATAGGACACGATTAACGTTGATACTCGTATTCGTAAAGATGCCTTTCACGTGAGACTCGCTCTTCCTAAACATCTCTACTCTTCCATTCCACAATATAATGCCCTCCGCGAATGAACTATCTCGGGATGGTTTTTTTGGTCCCATTACTGCGTCTCTGGATTGGTGCGAGGTACGTCGAGGTCGTTTCTAACTATGAAGCCCGGATTTCTCATCATACTTACGTTGTAATCAGGCAAACTACCAATTCTCATATTACATTGCAGAATTGGTAAATACCTTATCCAATCTATTTACTCTTTATCTGGCAATAAGAGGGGCCAAGAACCTTCGTCAGGAATCCCTTCCGGGTAGATTTCTTGTTGGCTGTATCGTACGCCGCCTGTTCCAACATTCAATCGTTTATCCTGATTGAATACAGGGATTCGCTTTGATTGGGGCTGGAAGTTTTGCTTTCCACGCGTCTCTGCTTTATGAAGCTCAACTAGCAGATGAACTACCTATGATATATGTTGCGTCAATGAGCATTTGGATTTTGTACGACTACCAGCTCGGCTTCGATCTCTCCTCAATCCAGACAAAATCTCAAGTTGCTTTCTTGGTTCTGTTCGATGCCCTCTTTACCTGGAGCTAGTGAGTCCGCCTCAATGGCTGTCCTGTGTTCGCCTCAAGTCGTGAATTTGCCAGTGCTGTATATCGGAACCCCGTTTACCATCAAGTCGTGTTCGCGGCACTGGTCATCTCTTGTGCAATACGGATTGCCTATCTTCTCAACTGGTCTCCTGTTCGCACCCGGATACCAGATAGCAAAAAGCAAGTTATCGCACAAATGTTCACCACTGGGGCAGTCACCTTCGCTTCCGGTTTCTTGGTTTGGAACTTGGACATAATTTTTTGTGGTACTCTTACAAATTGGAAACGGAATCTCGGCTGGCCTGCTGCATTTCTGCTGGAAGGACATTCCTGGTGGCATCTACTCACCGTAAGTTTCTATCGCGATGAGCTCGACCAGTCTTCACTACGTCTGCGACAGGGTTTGGGGACCTATTACATGTTTATCGGAATACAATGTAAGTATTGTACGTTTCCTTTCTTGCTAGAGAACATCATCTAAATTTTCTTTACATAGACATGTGAGCCACATATTTACTTACCATCGATTCTGGATCGACCCTCATTGCCTTCCGTACCTTGATCACAGTACCTTATGCATCAAAGACGACCACCGCAAATTTACAATGGCCCGGCGATCCTGGCTTCCATATGTGAAGCGCCTGGACAAATAGCAGGCATCTGCCATCTTTACTGCTTACCACTTCGTGTCTGCTAGAATTTTCCTTGAACACAACTTGAAGAAACCCATCTTGGCCTCAGTGATAAGCCGCTTAAAGCTAGATCTGTCTACGTACGTCGGATACGTCCCTCTGTTCAATGCAATAACCGCCGAGTCCGATTCTCCGTATTCTCCTGCTTGATGTTTTGCGACCCGTCCGGAAACTCACGCATGACGGTGAGATCAATAGACGGGCCAGGAATTCTCCTCTATTTCCCAGACTAAGTTCATTCCAAACTTGTCCATAATTTTTCTTGAGCTGCCTGTTTTTTTCCTGGTGGTCAAGCTGAAGGGAAGTCGCATTCTCCGGAATTACTGTCATGTCTGAGCTAGTCCAAGTTTTCCTTGATTGTCGGTTGTTCCCCTCCTTGCAGGACATGCAGCAGTGGCTAACGCAAGTTTAATGAGCAGGCACGGATTATCGGTATTGAACATCACTGAGTCGGAACATTAAAATTGTCAGATATTAATCATTCAAGTGTCAGTGATTGTGCCACTCCGAACTTGAAGGGCTCTATGTCTTGTGTTATTCATGGAAATTTTCTTGGTAGTGGCAGACCTGGGTGCGGATGAGTATTTTGCACTGGGTCAAATTTGTATCTTGAGCACAGGATGTCAAAATTTCGAAGAGCCCAGTTCAAGCCTTGTCAGTTAATATTCAAGTTCCGGACCTTTTTAAAGCGACACATCGATACGTACGCCGCTCGACATATCCCTCAGCTAAACATCGGCATAACTGCAGCGAATGTCTTCGAACGACTTTGACTATAGCCTTTGGGCTAGAAACAACTATCATGGTATATGTGGCTTGATTGCTGAGAGCGCACTCTATGGTATCTCGACTCGTAAATTCCAATCTGCCTGTTCTGACGATGTTATTTCAAGGCATATATGCGGTCCTTATTATTTATGCCATCAGAAATCTTTGGTCCGTTCTTCTGTTCTGCCACGAACCTTCGCGTTAAGAGTCAACGGTTTCCTTTGTACCTTTGCAATAACAGGTTCGCCGAGGACTCCAGTCGAACGAAAGCCCGAGTTATAACTCTACTCTCTCTTCTTATCATGTTCACAATATCCACGACACTTTGGGCACTGGATATCACCGATTTCCTCAGAGGCTTGCACAAGATTCTCATTCTCACCGATGGGACGACTACCCAGAGAAATGCGGACTATTTAATCGAGCTCAATCCCAGAGTCATTGTTCAAACGACGCTCTTTTCCATAGAGGTCTGTACCCACTTGCTATTATTACGTTCTTCCCCACTGGCAGATATTTAACCTCATGATTCGATGTTAGTACCTTATTGGTGATGGCGTCGTAGTGTGGCGTGCATGCGCACTGTGGGGGTATAGCAAGAAAATCATGTTCCTTCCAATCCTGTTGCTGAGTGCAGCGGCTAGTAAGCAGCCATCGAGACCACTGTGGCACAGAGTGAACTAACATCCACAATAGTCCTAATAACGTTTTTTGTTGGTTGTTTGGGGGTTCATGATTGGACGTATATCGCCGGAGAACCAGAAACTTGCTATGACAGCTACATTAGCATCTTCTTTCTATCAATCGCCACTAACCTGCTGGCCACAAGTTTGATTGCGACAAAAGCATGGTAAACTAGATACTAGATTTACTGCCAATATACTGACGCGTGCTATTTATCAGGATGCATCATCGCCTTCTGCTAAGTGCTTCGGTGGAGAAAACGACTAGGGTTTTGAAAGTCTTGATTCTTCTGGTCGAATCTGGATTCATCTATCTTCTCATATGGGTGAGCTATAATGATATGACAACTGGGATGGGAGGAATTGACGCTGACAGCAACTTTTGCAGGCCGCGAAGAGCATGAGTGTATTTGGGGACCTCAGCTCAACGGTGAATGGTCAATTTGCTGTCAGCATGTTGAATTCAATGGGAAACCAGATTGTGGTACGTTTTTCTCTTGCACAATTAGACAACCTTCCGAAATCATGAATCTTAGGGGTTGTATCCAACGCTCTTAGTAGTGTTAGTACACATGCAACACACAGCAATCAATGTAGACCTGGAGAGCTTTCCAAATTGGGTCCCGGACATGAGCGATCACGATAAACGTGCCGCAGAAGAAGGGCTTATATTCTCAAATCCTTCTGACACTTCGACCACTATGGGTTGGCCCATCAATCTGACGTTGTCGAATGGACCGCACTAACAATCTTAAAAGCTAACCATTTGTTCCCCTCCGATCTCACAATATAATGAGGGTAAATATCTCTATCATGGACTATCACGACACACATATGTTGTACAGTATCTGAACTCTCAAAAATGCTTGTGTTGGAAAAATCACGATATGACACGATATAGCTATTAGTACTCCTACAATAGTCGCTGCAGCAATTAATTTGATAACTTCCTTGGCCTGTTATCAAATTTTTGTCGTCTTCCCCGACTCTGCTGTTTGACAACTTCAAACTCCCCTTCATCATCTGTAATTTCGTGTAGTTCTCTTTTCAACTCCTCGACTCTCTCCTCAAAATTCTCCACATTGTGATAATATTGCAAATGTCTTTTTCTTCGTTCTTCGGCCTTCAAAGCTACATCGTCAGGTACAAGGCTGTAAACAGAGTACACTCCGTATGCTTTGTACGATTCATATTTCTTTCTCAAGGCGAGGATTTTTTCGTCTGTGATGGGATACAGCGGTTCCTCCATAGAATCACCGAACGCCAGAGACATAATTGTCTCTGCACGATCCTTTCCTTTTGTTTCGTTTTCAAGATCAGCTAGTCGTTGTTCGAATTGAATTAATTCGAGATCACATTCTTCCGCAAAGGTGTCACGGTGCGAGGAATGATCGGCAGAGGATACCGAGACAGCAGATGTTTCTTTCATCATGTGTTCCAAACCAGGTGTAGAACCAGATGCGAGAATGAATTCTTCGGGGGAGTACGTGTCGAATTCACTGGAAAATTTGAATACTTCGTCATCTCCCATTCGAAAGTAGTAATATGCACCAGGGATCCCTTGATCCATCCAAGAAGCGCCCTTTCGTTGAATATCCTGCGCGTCCATCCCTTCGTACCGGAATATGAAGTCTGGGGCATGAGGATCCAAGTGAAAAATTATTGGCGTTGACTTCCCCGACATGGCAAAATAGTGCTCGAGAACAAGTTCGTTATGAGAGCGGGTTACAATGGGGACCAACTCCCACCCAGCAACCCAGGCGGGCCATTCATACGACCAGCCAAATGGAAGTTGCAGATATTTTGAAGGAAAGAACCAGCCCCGTTCCCTTGCCACTTTGGAGATATTAAGCTAATGCCACCATTAGAAGTTTGCCCAGTAAAAGGGATTCAGCACTCACTTGTCTTTGCTCCAGCATCCGTTGCATCAAAACCTTTTCACCTGCTGTAGGCCCATCCTTGTGGGTTTTCAACCTCGATGTTTCTGGCTTTGTACGAATACCACGACGTTGCACCAAAAGAGGAGTTGCCAGGCGGATGCGGGATGCATAGGCGTTGCAGCGAAAATTTTGAAAAGTAGAAATTTGCCGTCCAAAAGAGCGGGGGGTAAGTTTTATTCGAGAAAGCATCCTCCACGAGTTTGAGTAATTTATGGTTACAGTACGTAGTTGCCAAACTTAGTCAGCCCTTTCACGATAAGCGCTGAGTAGATGCAGTATTATCGATCAACGTTTACGAGATGGTCATATGTTCAGTAAAATTATCGTTTTCTTCTTTCCCTTCTTCACGCTGGTCGAACACACTTTTTCAGAGAATATTTCGCTGGTCGAAATCTAGGGAATTTTCTGCATCGCAATCCATCGTCTATAGCTATCAATCATCTAATATCACCTTTAAACATCAACGGGGACACGATTAGTCGAAAAATGCATTTTAACGTCTCTTGTCTTGGAATTCTCGCTCTTGCCGTTGCTTTACAACCTATATGTGTATATGCAGCCCCCCATGGTGTAAGTAACCAATTCGTATATAACATACGCTCACAGCTCTGAAATTTGTATCATCACGGTGTGTGTAGTCAATGGTCAGACGCGACTCTTCCCGATCCCTGCCGGACCGCGACAGTGGAGAAAACAATCCAACTGGTACTTTGAGCCAAGATCCCCTGCTCTTCACGAAACACCATACCCGAAATGCTGAATGCACACTAAAAGTCCTTCCTCTGTCCACTATGTATTTGGACGATCCCCACAAACGCTCTGCAGAGTCCATAGTCCGCAAGGTTGCGCAGGGCCATAAACTATTCGGAGCTGGCAGCTCAGAGCTAGGGTTTTTCTGGGACGCTGATCCTGTACATAAACTTGCGCAGTTGGATAAGTCGAAACCTATCAAGTTCTCAGTGGTACCACTGTCTCCTGCAGGAAGTTGTATCGGGAACCTATACATAGTAATGGGCCAGAAGAACCCTGGTAAAGACTACGAGGCGTATGTTCTTCATAATGACATCGATGCGTACCTTCCGTTTGAAAACGAAGAAAGGGTTTTGATTTCCAAGGAAGGAGATCGTAAGTTGTTCTCTTTTTACTATAAGGAGATCTCTGATTATCCCAACGAACTTCGATGCAGCTATCAAGAATAACATTCCCCAAAACTTCGCATTGAGGATCCGTTTCCTCAACTTACACGGTCAGAACAAGGACGACAGCATCAAAAAGTCTGTTCAAGACCTCATTCAACATGAGGAAAGTCATGATCCAGTTTTAACATCCCCGCCATCTTTTCCAACAGATGGCTGGGATTTCAGTTCTTCTTCCCGTGATTTGACTAAACCCATTCATTTCATCGTGGAGCACGAGTATGTCATTGGGCATCCCGAAAGCATATTCGATGTGGTCATGAGCAGTGCGGACCATCGAGGTAACTATGTGTTCAGGGAAATGGTGACAGATAAGAACGGCGTGATCTACGCGCGTAAGGGAGACCGTAAGTAAATAATGAGTTTTGATCTCGAAATCTCTGGCTGAAATGAGTCGGTTTTTAGCCGATAAGAACCCATGAATGGCGCGATAGCGTGGATGTAGATTGGAAACTTGGAATCTGGGATGGACAACCTGTGAATCATGAGTTGCTCTCAAGCTGTACTGCATACTGGATGTTGAACGTATCGTTGCTTAGAGGGGCGATATAAGTGTGTACAGTGATCATGATAGTGAGGAAAGATAGATGCCTGATGTCCGCTTGCTGTTGACACCCATTTTCGAAAGGCATAATCGATGACGGGAGAGTAAGTTTCTCCAGTCCATACATCCGTAACTTCGAGCGCCGGTGAAAATTTCCTTTTAAAGTTGTCTCTGTCCGTTCCGACGGCTTATAGGGCAAAAGGGATCCAAAATGCAGCCCTTTCATCTAATGGTGACTCTGACCCCAACCAGGCTCTACACCCTTTTACTTTCCCTTCATCTAGTGGGGGCTCTGACTCTGCTCTTCCTGGCCTCCCTCACTGTACAGTATACTTATCACATTGTCTCTGAGCTTTTCCATGCTTACAGGATTGTTCCTCATTTCAAATGGTTCCCCTCTGCCTCTGTGATTACTTACTTATTGTGCTTGTTTCTCTCCCATATTTTATCAACATCAAAAAAGGAAACAGAGGATCAACATTACAAGTTGTACATCATGAGTCTTCTAATTATACCCCACCTTTTGTATTATTGGTATTATACACAGTTCAACATAGACCATGTTCATGATATCATTTCATGACAGCCTCCACAAACCATATCCTGACACAATGTAAGTGAAGATTAACGCGCAGATATCAGGATATTTGGATTGAGATGTATCAGAGGAGCTTATTGAGGAAGCTCCAGCGGTCGGGGCAGAACCTGACATATTTGTCTCTACCGAATGTATGGTCTGATTGGTTATAAACTGTCGAAATATTGTTTGTGCGACTTGTGGTTTGTATGCTGGCTACAAAGATGCATAAACTATCAAATGAACCTTTTATTGGGACATTTCTGCTCACCAGGGTATGTCCAGCTCCATAGACACGGCTTACGAGGGAAAAATGTCAGGAACATGACTGCTCGAAGAAAACTAGGACATACGCAAATGTGAAGTTGTCAACGACCGCAAATGAAGCCACATTGTCACCATTGATAGACATGTTCTTAAAGGCAGTATTATTGAGTGTCTGGTTTCCGTACCAATTCATCTGGACCATAGATTGATGAAGTCCGAGCCAGTTTGCTCTATAATCAAGGATGATGGATAACATTTTGAACACTTTGACCGTAAGAAAACGTATACGTACTTCATATCTGCGTCACCTCCCTTTGAGATGTAAGATTGGATAGGCAAGTAACCGCCATTGATTCTTACCCAGATGAGTATATGGAATCCAGAGTTGGCAAGCTTGGCAAGTTCAGGTAGAAAAGTCCTGCCAGTCTGCAAATTTTTGAGCCAACGGGAAACCATGTATATATTGAACAATGCCAACGAACTTCCCCTGATTGCGAAAATAGGGCATGGGTTGTATCATCACATTGGTCAAATGTAGGATGAGAAATCAGTAGATTCGCGCCAATGGCATTTTGCACTTGTTCTCGGCGAATGTAAGTGGCGTAATACGTCGTTGGTATATTGCTGTCGGATGTTGAAGACGTCAACAAATAGTCCGCATCTCTGTACCCCACTGCAGGATCCATCACATCTTCAGTCTATGGAGTCGATTAATAACGAAAAACCAGACATGTAGTAAACCTTTACGCAGGTGGTGATAGCAGTGTTACACGTATCAGCGCCGCTACTTTTCGTGATATCAGCGTCATAGCAATCCTGTAAAAGACCACGACATATGTTATGGAAAGCTTTGGTCATATTTGAGAGGACACTGTCATTGACAAGGGGGCCGTAGCCAGGCGCGTCTTGAGCGAAAGTGACAAGACTTCGAAAGTTTATCAGAGGATCATGTTTTCCACTTGTATCCAGCAATTCAAGTCATTTTGGTTAGCAGTTGGAAGGTGGGGTGCATGGTAAAACACACACTTACTCGTTGATCATAAGCGAAGATACGACCACTTTAACCCCATTAAGGCCTCCGCTTTCTATCAATTCGTTCTGGACATTGAAATAATCGATGAAAACTGGACCAAAACGAGCACCATAACTTTCTGTGGCCAGGACGAATCTACTTGTATTGTTGAATTATCCTCATGAGTGAATTCGTATTATTATATTTCCTGGAGGAAAACTGACTGGCGATCTTTGTATTGAGCGAACGCATCACTGGTGAACAGAACTTGAAACGCAGTCCATGCGTAGATAGCGGCGCTAGAGCTGTTGGTCAAGGTAGGGCCTGTAGAAAAACCGGCACCAAAAGGTTGGTCAAGGTAAAGGACTGTCCGTAGCATTCAACAGGGAGATTGATTCCATACAGTAATAGCAGACTCACTGTTGCTATAATTGTTCCAACTATATGCAAAAACAAATTTGAAACGATGCTGACAATTTCAAAAAATAAGCCAACCTGTACGGATTAAGGGTGGTCGATTCTCCGTCCGAATCGACTGTGCAGGGACCGGACTCTATCATAATGAACAGTGTAGCATTCGAGGTGGGACGGTGACACTCAGCAGTCAAATACCTGTGAACAGACCTATCATCGATGAACAACCTGGACCTCCATTCAACCTGGAGCAAAGGAGTAACGTATGAGTTTTGATATAGCAGTAGAATTTCTCAAGTACCAGAGTACAAATGGATCAGTGCTGGCATTATTTCGAGATTCGAAAAACCAAAACCACTGACAAGACCTATGAACCAACGAGGACAAAGATAGACGATGAGTACACACGAGATAATTTTCATCTCCCACATTGATGTATCCTGAATATTGACCTACTCCATCTACAGTTTCACATATTCCCGAATCCTTCACGTACGTGAGACTGAAATCTTTGGCAAGATTCGATGCGCGAGGATTCAACAGTCGGGCGGGGTTGAACAAGATCAGAGAGAGAAATGAGAGCCAAGAGAGCGTCTTAGCCATAGGAGACTGCGAAGAGGAAGGGAGTGGGAGTGTAGGAGAGTGCATAGCACTATATATATATCGTGAAAGAAGCGTTGAGAACGTGCGATTACTCGACCGCTAAGTGATAGGCTCTGATAGTAGCTGATTTAGGACTCTTATCTTGGGCCAACCGCGACGATCAACGGCTTCTTAGTCAATATGTGCATCGTTGGCCGTGGGTGGAGTTGACTGCGGGTGGACTGCGCTAATTAAAATACTATGCGAACCTTTGAGACTTGCCTGCGAAGTTGATTAAGTATAAGTAGTTGATTGAGGGTTTGAAGAACTCGGCTTGTGCTTCTCAATTGTGGTTTGTATAGAATCAATTTACTGAGACGTACAGTTTATGAAAAATATGGACAATCCGCGCGCCGGATTTGTCAATGAAGAAGTAAGACGCAGCGAAGTTGAACTTACTTCAAGCTTTCAATGAAGCTCGAGGACGATCGAAGACGACCAGCACACGTGCACTGTTACATCAGCGATTTCTTGCTTTCTCATACTCTTCCACCTACGCTCCATGCATAAATCGGTATTTCGCTCAGGGAATGGTTTTGTGAAGAATGCCTCTAGATCTCTCCACTCAAGCACGGTGCCCGTGAATGCTACTCAAATTACTACTCTCCCCAATAAAATTCGCGTCGCCACAGATCCGACCCCAGGCTATTTCTCTTCAATTGGCCTGTATGTCGACGCTGGCTCGCGTTATGAAACTCCGGAGACCTCTGGAGCTAGCCACTTTATAGATAGGCTGGCCTTTAAGGTATGCAGGAATTCATTGGCCCGAGCTTATTGTTACTAACAAGTTTGCATAGAGCACGAATAAGCGGTCAGCGGAAGAAATGGCGGCTGCAATGCATACTATGGGCGGTCAAATTATGGCAGCATCATCTCGAGAAACTATTATGTACCAGTCCTCCCAGTTTTCCAAAGCAACCTCGACCGCTTTGGAATTAATATCTGAGACGGCCTTGAATCCTTCATTTCTTCCGGAAGAAATTGAAGCACAACGTGATGCTGCCTTTTATGAGGTTCGGGAATTACAAGCAAAGCCGGAAATGGTTCTCCCAGAAGTGCTACATTCCGTGGCGTATGGAAACAGAGGATTAGGGAATTCTATTCTTTGTCCCGAAGACCGGATAGGTGTAATTGACAATAACATATTGTGGCGGACCATGTCAGCTTGGTATCAACCAGAGAACATGGTTATTGCTGGAGCAGGAATAAGGCACGAAGAACTGGTTGAGATGGTCGACAAGTATTTTTCATCGCTAAAAGCTAGCCCATCCTCTCCCTGCGTATCTACGTCCATCCCAACAAATCAAAATCAACGATCCTTGCCGAATCCCCAAGTTCCCGTAAATTTACTCGCGTCCTCTGTAAATCCAGTGCGGAAGTCGCTTTCTCGCGCTGCTTCATATCTTTTCCCTAATACCCCATCCGACTCTATTCTGGATGCTTCCGTCTCCCCGTCATCTTCCTATACGGGTGGACACAAGTTCATTCATGATTCCAAGGGTGATTTTGATCATTTGTATATTGGTTTTGAGGGAGTAGGAATTCATGACCAAGATATTTATGCTCTTGCCACTATGCAAGTACTTCTCGGAGGTGGTGGTAGCTTTTCTGCAGGTATGTACTCACTAGCCAATGAATTGGGCCTCCAATCACGTTTATCCCAGGTGGACCCGGCAAAGGAATGTATTCCCGACTTTACACTCATATTCTTAACCACTTTTCTCAAATCGACCATTGCGCGTCGTTCCATCACATTTATACGGATTCATCATTATTCGGGTTATTTGCGTCGTTTGTCCCCGCTGCATCAGGGCTGCGCGGTGGCAATACGCCATCGCAAATTCTCCCTCATCTGGTACATCAGCTAAGTTTACTAATGTACACCACTGTTCCAGCGGAAGAGTTAACTAGAGCAAAGAATCAGCTCAGCTCAAGCTTGATGATGGCAATGGAGAGTAGGGCGATCCAAGTAGAGGACCTTGGTCGACAAGTGCGTTTCCCTCATTCTAGCACGCTTTATTCAGTAATAATATGTTCCTCAGGTGCTCGTGCATGATCGTCCAGTACCTGTCACAGAGATGACAGACAAAATTGCTCTCGTCACTGCTGAAGACATCACACGGGTAGCCGCCAGACTCTTCGGTCCTCGTTCGGGAAATAAACCGACCATCGTCTGCCATGGGCATGAGGACGTGGGCAACTGGCAATCGACGTTTGCGAAGTACGGTGTCTCCTCTTCCTCATAGGCTTGCTTGATGGTGTCTTTACCTTGTTGGATTGCGCTAATCTACGTTTGTATGCACATTTAACAATCATTGAACGCACAGCAGACATACTTTACATTTCGTAAGGCGTACTTATGTTCGCCTTCTAATTTGTGTCGCCAGCGGCACAGAATTTGACGACGATTCAATCTCTTGAGCACATCCTTTATAGAGCTATGTACTCAATATTTCGAACTGGTTTGCGGTGACCAGTGAACGTTATTACTGTAACTATAGGAAGCGGTGACTAGGACACAGCCACCTGAGGTCACTACTTCAAATTCCTGTGTCGTTTGGGCATGCAGCAACCACGTTATAACGACTGTGCAACGTTTACAATAACTTATACCTTTTCGTCTACCCTCATCTTCTCCAATGCCCTCTTTTGAATCCATCAAGGCCCGCTACGAGGCCGCTGGTCAAGACCATGTTCTCAAATTCTGGCCTGAGCTTACCGATAGCGAAAAGGCATCCTTGCTGGAGCAACTCGGTTCCCTCGACATCGAACGCGTCAACCGCATCTACAAAAAGGCTGTGTCCGCCGAGTCCACCAACTCGAGCGCAACCAGCGATCTTATCGAACCTTTGCCCAAGGGCGCGTCAGAGTCAATCACTCGTGTAGAATTGGCCAACGAATGGAGGCGGATTGGACTAGAAGCAGTTTCTAGAGGTGAAGTTGGTGCTCTGCTGATGGCTGGAGGTCAAGGCACTAGACTGGGCAGTAACGCGCCCAAGGGTTGCTATGACATCGGACTACCCTCCCATAAATCTCTCTTCCAATACCAGGCCGAGCGTATCTCCCGCTTGCAGACTGTTGCCGAGCAAGAGTTTGGAAAGAAAGCGGGAACTGTCATTGTCCCGTGGTACGTCATGACCAGTGGTCCCACTCGTCGCGAGACAGAGAAGTTCTTCAAAGAGCATGAATATTTTGGACTTGATCGTCGTAATGTCATCTTTTTTGAACAAGGTACATCTCAAACTGGTTTCATGAAATTCGCTGAACCTTACCCTGTTTGCCCAGGTACTCTTCCTTGTCTGACAATAGAAGGCAAACTCCTTCTAGATACTCCTAGTAGTGTAGCCGTTGCCCCAGATGGTAATGGCGGACTATATGCAGCTACACGTTCCCCTCTCGGAGCTGGTGACAAGTCCCATACCGTCCTCAATGATTTGGCTCGGCGAAAGATCCTTTACGTCCATGCGTACTGCGTGGACAATTGCCTCGTTCGCGTTGCTGATCCTGTATTCATTGGGTTCGGCATCTGGAAGCAGGCAGACTGTGCTGCGAAGGTTGTGCCGAAGGCATCGCCTACCGAATCAGTCGGTGTTGTTGCCTGCAAAGGTGGCCGTTTCAGTGTTGTCGAGTATTCCGAGATTTTGAAGGAGCAGGCCGAGCGCCGTGATGCCGACGGCGAACTGGTGTTCAGAGCTGGTAACATTGTCAACCACTTTTACACCACGGCATATCTGAACCAGGTCGAAAAGTTCGAAGAACAGATGGCATTCCACATTGCTCGTAAAAAGATTCCTCATGTGGATCTTGCGACTGGCCAAACCGTGAAGCCGACTAAACCCAACGGCATGAAACTCGAAATGTTCGTGTTCGACGTCTTCCCGTACACAGAACGCTTTGCTGTCCTCGAAGTGGAACGCAAGCAGGAATTCAGTCCATTGAAGAACGCACCTGGGACCGGATCCGATGACCCAGAGACCAGCCGCCGCGATCTTCTAGCACAACACAAGTACTTCTTGGAGAAGGCCGGGGCTAAAGTCAAGGATAGCGTAGAGATTGAAATGTCTCCTATCGTCAGCTACGCCGGTGAAGGTCTGGAGAGCACGCAAGGCAAAATCTTTTCCAAATCAGGAATTGCTTCGTCGCTAGAGGAATTGGATGCTCTTGTGTAATGCTCGGACATGGAACTTTTGTACACTACAGACACTCAGTTAATGAAGGACTCAATCACATCACGCGTTTAGTTCGTGTAGAAACGATATTCGATTCTTGCGCTTCCAGGTACCATACCTCTTTACTGTAAAATTGCTTTGAAAAGCCACTTCTTTAGCCCTTTCCGACGATCTTTTTCGTGCGTTTTCCCTCGCACTTTCTGTGAGTTTGAGGGGGACGAGGTTCATGGTAAGCAACTGTATTGGTGTTAATACCCTTGGTCAACTACCCACATGTCCGTCTGCTGGCCCTTTCTTCCCGTTGACTGTCACTGCCCCGATAGAACTATTGCTATTATTTGCATTACTATTCAGGCTCGGAGCTCGCTTTTCGAGTTCGTCACGCAAAGACGCGAAGAGGCGTTGAGTACGTTCAGCATTTGGCTTTTCGTTCCGTATCTGAGTATCAGTCAAGTAATAGAAGAAGAGGGTACAAGAATATACTGACCTCTTTGCAACATTGAATGAGCTTGTCGATGAGCATAGTCTGTCCATTTTGGGAATCTTCCAGATCCTTCCGGAGCTGTTGAATCTGAAGGACAAGGATACTGTCATAAAGAGGAAAAGCAAGCGCGCAAAAATTGATAGGCACCTCTTCTTCCAGTTTATCAGCTTTGGCCTTATCTCCAGACGCCAGTTGCTTCTGTTCCGCTGCTCGAGCACGAGAAAGCAAAACTTCGAGCTCTTTCGACCGGATCACACACTCGAAATGTCGTTCTCGAAGTTCGTATTGCCGCAAGACTTCCTTTAATCGTTCTCGAACACTGCGTATGCATTGTGTAAGTGTATTTCGTTAACAGCAATCCCCCAACGGAGACGCACACTCCATCAAATATCTCCTCCAGTGATCGTTGGGCTCTAGAACAAACGTAAGTGAGCAGCGTAGACAGGAAATTCGGACAAGAAACACACGCATGAGGATCATCTGTCCAATTCTTTTTCAGCTTTTGACGTTGAGGTTCCAGGATTTGGTCCTATCGAGACGTTATAGAGAAACGTCAGCCCAGCTATGTCAACACGCACGTAGAGATCATCGCCGCCAGTGCTCTCTGTGAGATCCATTAACTCTACAGCTAAAATCTCGTCGCCGTCCTCCATACCAGCCTCTTCTGGTGTCATGTCCGCATCCACTGATCGTCCATTATGGGTAAATACAAATTGCATGGCTGGGACAGTGAATGACGGGGGTACGACGTCTTCGGACCCAGGATCTACGTTCGTCCCTGAAGCAGGCGCAACGCCATCAACCTTCTTCAAAACACCGGTGACACCATGACCTGTTCGTTCCATTCGCTCTGTCCAAGCACCAAAGAGTTTTGATAGCTTTGTCTTGCGGGAGATTTTGAAAAACAGTTCAGCCCGGTATCGGCATGAAACTTTGACGAGGATATCGGGCTTTTCTCTGTATTTGTTGTCGAGGAGTTGTGCTTTGGATGTGCGTTTGGCAATATCAGCTTTCATTTGGTGGAGCTGAGATTGGTTGAGAAGATTGATCTAGCATGTACAAGGACAAATACCTCGTCCTGAGCATCCTCCACACACTGCGCTAACCGTTTTCCATCTTCCTATGCGGAGATGGGCATTCGCATTCATTGTATTCGATGTTCTCTGCTTACCCGTAATCGCTTATTATCCTGGAAGAGCGGAGTGAGTACTGGCAGACGGTGAGAAGCAAGCAAAGCAAACTTTTTGCAGTTCCCGTGCGAGATTCTCCATTTTCGTCTTCGTCTGGTTTGCTTTCGTCAATTGACTTTTAGCTGACATGTGGTGAGGATTCGGAAGACAATACATAGACAGTGGACATACCTGCATCCTTGTCCTTGGACAGCTTCTGTTTCTCCTTAGCATGGTCTCGTTCCAAGCGTTTGAATTCCGCAAACTAGGAAATTGGCGCGTGTTGTGTTAGGGCGGGTATGAGTATGAGAAGAACATACGAGCTCGATGTATTTTGCATGTATTGTGTTTTCCTCCAGGCCCTTGACTGATTTATGCGCTTCTTCAGCTAGAGTGGGGAAATAAGGGATACTGTGGACTTGATATTGGTGAAATTACACACCAAATCGGCGTTCCTCCTCCTCCTCTAGCTCTTCTTCCTCTTCCAAGGCTGCTATACGATTCTTCAAACTTTCATACATGGTAGCAGGATCAACAGGAGCATCATTCTTCTTCTTTCCCTTGGAAGCGCCGTTGGCCGTTAGTGGTGGATGAGTGTGAGTTTGCGGCGGATTGGAACGGCTGTGATTGGGAGGATTGGGAGGAATTGAAAGTGGTGCAGGAGGTGCTGGACTTGCGGGCGGAGGTTTTGCCATTCTTGAAGATTTGTGCGGAAGATAGAAGAAAGTGCTTTCTGTGTGCCACGGACTTGAGAGTAAAAAGTCTACAAGGAAACCTCACGGCAATGTGCCGGCCCAAAACGGCTCTTTCAATTGCTTCACCAAAACTATGTACAGTGACATAAATACTTAGTATACTCTCTTTGAATGCTCTGTTCTGTGTATAGATGTAAGTTCGCATGTAAAGGTCATTGATGGACTGGCCGTAGATTTATACTTCCACGAGATTGAGCCGGACCAATCGTACAGTAGTTTCCAGGTAGCATCCAATGTACATTGACATGGCTGACCTTAACATGTTCCAGGGGGAATGGTAGAGCAACTGGGCATCGAGATTACCTGTGAAAAAAGGTACTGTCTGTTATAGTCGATAAACGAAGATAATGATAACGCCAAGTCGGAAAGTTCCTTGGTTTTTCTTCGAGGAGATGGAATCCCTTAAATTTTCTTCGAAATCAATATTCCCGGCCAAAATATGAACTACATATCTTGCGCACAAATACTCGGATGCAAAGAGGGACATGAAATGGTCGCTGACCATACAACCAGTAACTTGACGTACTACTGTACATGTGAATAACATAAAGATTACCTGGCTAATTGGCCTGCAGTTTATGGAGGGAACACGCGTTGGATAGCCTAACTGGCCATATACTTTGGTATGAAGAAGAAAAGCTCAAGGTCGTTTCTAGTAACATAGTAAGTATGTACCTGTATGTACGCGACTGAACTTACTTTTTGATGTAAGTCAGTTGCGTGATCACGTGAGAAAAGACGTGTAGATTCACAGTGAATAACATTGACACTGACCCACTCAACTTTGTCGTTTCTAACGCGTCTATGCGTCGTTATGGTAAATCATACAGCTTCAATTGACGGTGAAGATCAGCTAAACGCTTCTTAGATCGGTCTACAATGTCTTCACCCTCGCGGAAAAGACAAAAGACTATCCTTTCTTCACCAGTCTACCCAGAAATGGACCTGAGCCAAGATGATTTGTTGGCTCTTGACGAAATTGAACGCAAACTCTCCCAATCTGCACATTCATCATCTCAAACTCAACCTGGCTCACCCTCCAAACCTCCCAGACTGCCCCTTTCTGATTCCGCTGAGAACCCATTTCAAGTATCATCCACGAAGCTACCAGTACATTTATTTTCCGGTTTCAAGGCTGCTTCAGCTATGACTGTCACACATGAAGATCTTGATAGATTCTCACCGGACCCCCCTGAAGAAAAAGATTATTCGACGTGGTTTGAACCCAAGGGAATCCTTCCCTCTGGCGGATTTCAGACAGCCAACTCTGCATCGACTATCGCTTCATTCACTTCTGCATCAGCGCTAGGGCATACTTCACTGTTTTCGACAGCATCTTCTTTAGTGGATAAGGAGCAACTACCTGTATCCGGATTTCGTACAGCGGGAAAAGGTGGTGGCTTACTTGCTCCATCTGCCGCAGCTTTAGCAAAAGCACAGGAGAAGATTCGAACATGGCAGGAAGAAGAGCCGAGGCCATGTCCTGCTTCAACTTCCGAGGATACATTTCCCCGATCTCCGTTACGAGCCGTTCAGAACAGCGTATTGGAATCAGAAGCACCATGCCCTCCCGTTTATGGTTCTGGATTTGCATCTGCATCACAACTATCCAATAATTTCACCAGCGCCTCCGGCTTTACTCCGGAAACCTCTTCAAATAAACCCTCGACTTTCGTTTCTCCCTTGATAGACAGGTCGAAATCCCAGAATGTTGACCCCAATCGCCCTAAGCCGTTCAAATCACCACTCACCAGCACTCCCAAGACCACCATGACCCCCACCAAACCCGTTGCTTCTACGTCCTCATCTGCCCGTTCACAGCATCCGCTTGCTGCACCACCCTCTAATGCTTCGTTTCGAACTCCTGTACGATCGACAAACGACAATATCTCATTTCAACAAATTGCTTCTTCATCGTCTACCGCTTCATCTTCAGCCCAGAAACCCACTTCATCTACTTCCAGACACCATCCAAATCATGCAGCGACTGTTGATACTCTCCGCAGCTTCACAACGCCTGCTCGACGCGTACTTCACCCTGGTAGCCTCCCTTCCCCCCACGTCGCAGGACGGATACGAAGTACTCCAGCAAAGTTTGTCACGCCATTCAAAACCGGAATGAAACCTGGTGAGGCAGGTCGACTCGAGCTTGAGGCTCAACAAAGATCCCAGCAGCGATCCCGTGCACCTGCGATCTCAGCTACAAATACTACTGGAAAATTAATGGACTCTCTGCGAGCAAGCAGCGTTTTTGATATGAGTGAGTGCTCTGCTCTCGAGTGTCGTTCCCTTGACTAACATCCCGAATAGCTGTTCCGCCGACTCGAATATCATTATCGGAGTCGGGCCTCTTTCCTCAACAGTATACTGCACAAGAAATGATTGATCATAATGTGTACTAAATCCGCTTTTGTTCCGTTTTCGGTCGGAGCTGACAACATTGACTTCTACAGTGCCATCGAAGAGCTTTCTCAGATCACTACTCCTTCCCTAGCATTATACTACTGCTTTTACACGACCCCGCAACCTTCAGACTATCCATCTGTCCGGGTGGAAGACCAAATTGGTCCTGCTGCCGCGTTGGACAAACTACTTGCACATGGATGTTCGCGTGCTACAAAGGCTTGGGTCGATAATGCATGGTCTCTCATTTTATGGAAATTAGCGGGGATGGTAGCGTTGGAGCCTGAGCGGGAAACACGTATTCCTACTTTTGGTGGAGCTGCAGAGGGACCAAGATGGTGTTGGAATGAGATTTGGAGACAGTTGCTGTATCGGTAAGCCTATCTTTCTATCGTAAACGAATTCCCTATCTGATGCCTCATATCTAGTTATGAGCGCGAGATTAATCTGGGTATACGCGCTCCGTTTCATTTAATCACAACCCAAGATCACCCCGCAACTGCACCTATGGTATTATGTGTCTCAAACATCATTTGGCCGGAAGCTTCGTCTTCTCTGGAGGGGCAACAACGTAATCCTCAGCCACTAGTAGAAGTCACTGATGGGTGGTATCTCCTTAGGGCGCAAATCGATCATAGTATGACCAATGCTTTGAAAAAAGGAAAGTTGCGAGTAGGTAGGAAAATCGCTGTCGTGGGCTCCAGGGTAGATTTCCAGTTACCAAATCGTAGTCTCTTTGCTTATCTTCTTGGGTGTAGCTTGAAACCGAACGCAAGGATCCTCTCGAGCCTCTTGAAGCTTACCAGTCCACGAAACTAGTCCTCAGTGGTAACTCAAGTCAACTTGCACCTTGGCACGCGAAACTTGGGTTTCAACGCGGACCGTATATATTCACAATGCACAGTTTGACACCTGAAGGGGGCAACATTGCATTGATGGATATCGTCGTGCTGCAGGTACATCCAGTGGCCTATCTAGAATTTCGCATAGATCCAGATGGCAAGAAGCATCAGGAAGGTCCAAGGAATGAAGCAGATGAAGCGGCGTGCAAGGAAAGCTGGAGAGTAAGTAGCCACCTAATTATATTTTGTTGGTAAAGTCTAACGTTGATTGCGTAGAAAAAGCGTGAAGCTGCCGAGTCTAAAATTTACGAAATGCACGAAAAGAAAATTGCGCGGTATCTCTCGTATACTGAACGTCTTGATCAGAAAGCAGCTCAATTTGCGCATTCTCTGTCTGAAGACCCACCGGAAAACATCGACAGCCTTTATGAGGAACTCGAAGTGCCAGAAGATGCTGGGCAAGTAATATCACAAACCAAAGGCAACGAAGCCGCATGGCTAGCACGGTATATACGGGAACGACTCGAAAAGGATCGAGAAAGGGTAAAAGATGAGTTAGAGAAAGAGGTAGATGTAAGTCCGCTTGAGATCCCACTGTCACCACTGTTAGTAACTCTGCTTCTTGTATGACAGGATATTTGCCCATCCCGCAACGTTCGCTCCTTCAGGGTTATCATTGTTCAAGACTCCCGAACGAGTAAATTTCCTTCCCACAGGACCGCCCAATTAACAATATGGGATGTTATGGACCTCAAGCTGACGGAAGAGAAACCTCGGGGCTATTTTGAAATAGGTTGGAGGTGCCGTGTACGTATACTTTATTTCCTGGGTCCGTCGAAGTGTGCATTGAACTTCGGTCGTTACGTTCAGGTGACAAATCTGATACCTAGTTCGAAGGCGGCATGGATGGGAAATGAGCCGGATTCTCAGATTTTTTTGGTGAGCACGAGGGTATCGAAGTGGCAAAAATTGAGGAGCTTAGAATAATGCATATGTATGAAGTATATTAATGTTGTATGACTATACACTGGGAAAGGGGCTTATACAGAGGCACTGACCTTGCCTGGATTGCCTGACTTACCTTTGTTTTTCAATTGTACAAGGATATCTATGGACAAAATAGTGAGCTTAGGTACAATTTCTTACATATGCACTTTCAAAAAGTACATGGCATTAGACTCCAGAGCACAAACTTATTGTAGAGCAGAGCATACACAGATTATATCTAACATTCAGATCAAGTGGTTGAGCATTGAGTCCCGATGAACCCAGGGCAAGCAAAAATGACTTTTGAAAAGTTTCTCAATGTCACTCATGCTGGCTTGAGGATGCTCAAATATTCACGCTGGGTTTAAGCAGGACTAGTCTTCACCATTTTTGCTAAATGGCTGGCCACTTTCTAGCCTATCATTTTCTTCATTCCCATTTCTGCTTACCAGTGGTGCTGGATTCATAACTGGGGTTGCTGCAACTGCCAGATCTTGAGGAACTTGAGAAACATGCGATTGAAGGCCACTGCACGGCTGTGCATGGCATTCACTTTGCCAGTTGAACCATGCATTGAAGTATTTTGGCCCCTGTACTAGGATTTTCAATGAAAATTCATGCAATAGTAGAGAAGATTCACATGGCCCCTGCACAAGGATGACCTTTTCTATGAAAATTCATGCAAAAGTAGAGAAGATTAGTATGGCACCTACTCAAGGATGACCTTTTCTGCCAAAATTTGAGCAGAAGTAGATGACATTACCATGGCCCCTGCGCAAGGATGAACTTTTCCCAAAATTAGAGCAGAAGGAGAAAATATTGGCATGGCCCCTACACAAGAATAACAAAACTGGATTTTCGCGGCAAAAAGCAAAATAAATATTGAGATCCGTAGATCTACCACTCCGGGAAAGCGTGTCATCCTTGTGCAGGGGCCATGCTAATCTTCTCTGTATCGTTCCAATTTTTTCGTATGTCACCCCGAAGGGGACATTTATGATGTGTTCATGAATGGGGGCAATGATCAACACTTTAATTGTATGTAGTTCACGGGAACCGGCACTTTTACACATGGGAATTAATTTAACACCTCCCACTTCCCCTGCAGCTCCTGCAGCTGTGAATTACACTCTTGGTGTTAAAGGAAGACTATAATCACAAGCACCGATGAAACAAAGTTCAAAAGGACTTGGGAGGTTTGTTAACCCCTCAGAGATAGTCAGAGCAATGAGCAAATTGGGGACATGACCGGGCCGAGAAGGAAGCGATTGTGGCATATTTGCGATATGGAACGAAAACTGCGTCGAGAAACTTAGCCAAGCAAGGTGATATGTTTCGAGGTGTTTTCCTGATTACTTCCGCACTCTATAGAGTCAACTCGTCAAGCACAAAACCTGCTTCTGATGACCAACCAAATGCTTTGATCGAGTCTGTGAGACCAAAGTTGTCAAAGTTCCTCTGCAGGGAGTAGTTCGACCTTTGATTCGATTGATGAGGATGAAGAATTGTTTAATCGTTTCAAGCAGCCTGAGGACCCAAAGGTGACAACGTGGATACAGGGTGTCGAGAAACAGAAGGCTCAGGCTCGCTATTTTCCCGTGGCCCTACTAGCAAGTCCGCTTTCCAAATATGTTCAACAACAAAAAAAACAATGATGCACTGGAAGGAGAAAAGATTCACTTAAGCATCGGACCTCGCCAGTATAATCTATATCCTGTCCCATCCTATCTCGACTAAATAGGTATCAATGAATTCGAGTGATGAAGACATGGGGTATTTACATATGTAAATGGTCCTTTCGTACATGACAACTGTGAAGACAAGTAATTACAGAGATGGCGATTGTTCAATGACGGGGTGGAAAACAAGTCCAAGCAAATTTGCGAGTATTATCGGAGAACTGTAGAAATCTCAGTAAGTGTAAATTCTCCCTTCCATTGTCCCATCCCGCCAGTATTCGATCATAAAAATGCAATCTTCTGTGAAGTATACATGTCTGCGAGTCGAAGCGTTATCTTCAGTGGCAGTAGCCACGAATGTGTTGTCGCCAAACGAATCGTTCGCATTTACCGGAGCTTCTTGAATCCAACTTGAACTCATCTTCCACCCCTGGCCTTGAGGGTGTCGCACGCGAATCGCCCCTCCCCCCTATAACTGTGCGCAGTTTTTATAGTCCCTCAAATATATCTTGAGCGTGAATCCATTACACCTTAACAATCTCTTCCCGTTGATCGATGGAAGATGGCCTATACCAGCCTATACCCCGGTGAGGAGCGACACAGGGCCCAGGCACGCACATGATCCGAGAAAGTGCTTTTGGTCAAACACTATAAAGAAGGGATGGGTGTGAGCCGCCTCAAAGTGAACGAAGTAAAAACCAATGATCTGCTCGTTCGGATCCGAATGAAAAGGACCGTTTCTATCTTCGATCAAAGATCTCATGAACAAAATGGTCCAAGCCATCTGGGTTCCATAGCTTGAGGGCTTTCATCGGAGGCCCTGCCCTGGGTATGAAATCCACACTTTGGAGAAAGCATTTTGGTTCGTTGACCTCGACATCTCTGAGCCGCTGATGCTGGCGAATTTGGCTTCCGTAAATAATAACTTGGAAGACTTGTAGAACTGCTGGTTTCATGTTCAAATAGTGACTGGGTTTGTAAGTTGCATAGAGAAAGCTACCCTCTGCTATGAATTGGAAGGTTTCGACGAATTCCTGTGGAGTGCTTTAATCATTATAGAACACGAGCGACACTTCTTGATGTTTACCCTGAAGACAATTTCCCCGGTGACCCAGTTCGCAACTGTAAACAACTGGGCCGGTATGGCCGCTCTTACAGGTTCAAAATTCAGTACGATATGCCCCGACAATCTGAAATTGTGGAGGTCGTACTATCGTACTCCAGTCTATTGGCCACGAGAAAGTTCTTGAGTTCTTTCTACCTTGGGGATTTCGTGTATGTATGACGCAATTACCACCGTCCTCTCTGTAAATAATATAGGTTTAGTGATAGTATTTGATGCTTCACTTACTTTTGCGATGCTGTAGCATTTTCTGAGATATAGTCTACAGCAAACGCAAAAATTTCAAATGGGTATCAATTCTTTCCCATTTCGGATAGAGGGAGGCCGAATCATCTCAACGTGATTCCCTATAACTTGGTAGACCGCTCTCTCCACAGTACGTCCGAATCTTTGTTTCTCTTTCCTTTGCGTATCAACTTTGTAGGTGGTCCCAGGGGAACAGATGTTGTTGCTTTCTCAAAGCTTTATGCTGTATGAGGAAGTACCTCGTCTCAAAGACTATCCTCATAGACGGAATAAATCAAACGCTTATCTATTTTTGCTCACGTCGGCACCGGGGTCCACCATCCTTGTCATCTTTGGTCGTGAAATATTTAATTGCTCAGGCGACCGTTGAGAAGTGAAGAAGCGCGTGTAGGATAAGCGCCTACCTGAAGATCATCTCATCCACTGATCCTGGCCAGACGGAAATTGACACTTCACTTCGGAATCAATGAAATCAACATTCAGTGGGTCTTTCATGACTGTTCATCTGGCGGAAATCCACAGAAGAAGAAAAATACTTCGTATTGACAGATTGAAGACCTCCCTGTAGTGCAAGCTTGTAATTTAAGGTCACTATCCGTTCGAAACTTCACCGCTTCCACGTATTCAAAACGTCGTATTAATTATTGAAGGAACCTACCAGAAAACTACTCCATGAAATATTTTATGTCGCCATTCTACCTTTCATCTCTCTCGCTGGCACGTGCTTCCTTCCCTGGCTATAATCACATTAATCCAAGTGATACTAGTAGAATGACACTTGATGACCATTATGTATCCATAACTCATCTATAGTGATATCAGCGACGATCCCGAACTTTCTTGTAGAGGTTGATAATGAGGTCATTGGCCGTCAAAGTCACAATTCTATTTTGAGGATCAGCTTTGCTCTTGAATCATGGAAGACAATCTCACGTATGTGGTGCGATGCGTAGAAAATGTGCGGTGGATCCTATAAGGAGCTCGGCTTGGAATCATCCGGTTGTACAAGTCGTGGCGCGCTTACCTTTGTACCATCCACGTACACCTTCAGTCTTAAACGTCTTCCATAGGCAATCTATAGGGTTTTTATACAAGGCACCAACAATTTTTCCCTCTGCGTTTCGAATGGTTGGTTGGTTGTACATCCGAGTCAGTGCCTGCAAAAATAAATCGTTACATGTGATGTAATAGTAATGCAGAGGAGAAAACATACGGTGTCCGCAGGCTGCATTACAACACAGACACAAGCTCCTGAGACAAAGCTACTCGCTAAAAATGTCCAGGCACTATTATCTGGTAGGATACCGCGTTTTACAAGTTGGTATTTCGTGAAGTTGTAGCTTGGTAGTTGTACCTGCCCTTCCGTAAAAAAAATTGGGGAGAGACGGATAAACGAATGCTCACTGACAGAGGATCCCATGGAAGTTCTCAAAATAGCAGCATCAATACCTCGGACGAGTCCGCGGAAGCGTTCCGCTCGAAAGATTGTTGACAGCGCATCGAATGAGTTCTTATAGTAGTGTTGTGCACCAACGGGTAAGGCAGGCGAGTAGGCCTACAAACGCAACGAATACGATTGGTGACTCAAACCGATTAGTAAGAGGCACTGACCTGCATACGTGCTTTTATCAAGAAAAGGGGATTTCCAAGGGAAGCTTGAGAGTAAATGGTAGGCCAGTGAGACTCTGGCACAATAGGTTCGACTACGAACCTCCTACAGCCCCGCTGGAAGCTCCTGCCAACACGGAAGTAATTGGGATCTGTTCTTCGGACGATCGGCCGACAAGTTCATTTATCCCTCGTCGAAAAGGTTCATAGAATCCTGAACATGAATGAGAAGAGTGCCGAAAAGGGTATCTGGAGAAGAAGAAGTACCGAGGCGAGATCCGTTCAGAAGTATCTAGAAATGTGTTGAACCAGGAAAGGTTGCGCGGACTATGTCAGACAACTTACTTGATACATATACTGTCATGAACTTGGGAGTCAGAACACGAAAAAGATCAGGCATATAGCGGCGTACAGCTGGTCCAAGACCTCTCTGCAGTCCTTTGATTCCCTCATTTTTCCAAGTCTTGACAAAAGCATCTGGTGCATGCTGATATACCCGGATTGCTCCCTCTTTGGCTAATTCCCCTTGTAGTTGCAGACGCGTCTTAATGACCTCTGCTGGGTTGGATATGGTAACCTGCGAAGTTTTTGAGAGCTCAGCAGCCCGCCGAAGTCGTACAATTCTATCACATACCGCAATACAGGCCGCAATGCCTCCGAGAATAAATCCTTCTGCCGTTGATAGTTTTCCTGCGACCACCTGGGGCTCAGGCTTTGAAGAGGATGACATGCCGTTGAAAGAGTCCCAATGTAGTTCGTTCGAAATTTAGTACAGGTTTAGTACGTTCAGTGACTTCAATCGCGAGTTGCTGAACTTGAAGTCGGCCATTCGCGCTTTCACGTGCTTCAAGTTCTTCCTTTGACCGGTCAGACCACCATGGCAACTGGTGCAGTATGAATTATCCTTTCAGCACGCAAAGTGTCGTGCTTGTCGCTGTGCTGGGAACGGTCTTGCCAGTTCTCTATCGGATAGTCTCTTCGCCTCTTACTCTTATCCTAATATCCCCATTTGTCTTGTTATTCTTGGGACTCAGTTTTCTTGCTCTTCATGTCTTTATCGGCCATATCCTGGATTCTAGGAACCCCCGTCCACATAATACGGTTCACAAAGCCGCCAGGCCTTTTGCATTCTCAACCCCTGCAGCATGGCAGGCCGTCTTGACTAGATCGCAGTGGTCCCAAAATACTCCACAATCTTTCCCTCCCTTATGTCCAGAATCACCAATGGTGTCTGCCGCACTGAATGACATTTTAATCATGATTGTCAGAGACTTCGTCCTGACTTGGTACAAGGAATTGTCTTCCTCTCCGTCGTTTCCTGTCGCTGTGTCTTCAGTTTTACATGATTCGATTTCTCAACTTCTGAATCGCGCGGCGGCCATTGATATCCCAACTCTCGTCGTGAAGCGTATCCTTCCTCGAATAACGGAACATATTGAATTGTTCCGACAATCCGAGATTGCACTGCGAGGGGCAGGCTTAGAACGTCGGTTGACGCACTCAGAGGAACTCGATATGATGCTTGCAAGTAGATACGGTGCTGGAAGTGAAGCGGGAAAACTGCATCCAGCAATAGAAAATCTGTCTACCACGTTCACTAGGCAGAGCGAAGAGGCGCATTTGAAACGGCTCATTGACAAAGCTCTTCCTTATGTGTTACCCGAAACGGAAAACAGAAGCAAGGCGCTGAAGATTGTGGTGCGAGAAATTGCGGCATGCGTTGTATTGTATCCCGTCATGGAAATGTTGTCAGATCCGGACTTCTGGAATCGGGCGATTGACCAAGTGGTAAGATTCAATTTCCTTCCAAGTTTCCTTCGCCAGAGGTATTAACCCTACGTTCTTCAGGCAACTGCCGCAATTCATCAACAGTGAGTCCTTGCAAGTTTGTCTAAAGTCCTCACCCTAACGACCTTAGGAAACTGATCACCAAAGTCCGGAACGTATTAGAGGCGCAATCTCCTCGTCCTCAAAATCACAATCGTTTATCAACTGTAAACCCGAGCAATCCTGCGCTTACAACGGAAACTATCACCATACGCACGGATGCCCACCAATTTGAATCCTTTCTACGAAGTATACATCGGTGCTCGTCCCTTCTCGATGCTCGGCGTTTGAAGAACGATGTTTTGGGAGAGATACGGCGAACCAGAATATTACTAGGTATGCTGCGAGACTCTATAACTCACATCATTCTGAGCCTATACTACAGCAAATCATGAAAAGGATGACTGGATAAATGGAGAGAAAACTGAAGACGTGGTTGCCTTTCTTGATAGACTTTACACTGCGAAACGTAAAGTCGAGCAACGGATCGTAGAACTAGGTGGAGGGGAGGACTCGGTACGTCCTTGCATTACTGTAAAGCTCATCTCTTAACTGGGGAAAAACAGACCATCTACCAAGAGACCGGTAGTCTCACCAAGTCAGGTATCACTCTTCGTGATATTCTCAGCAACCCTAGCTCTCTTTCGTATTTCATGGAGTTCATGGACCGTCGGAATCGCTCCCTGTTGGTGCAATTCTGGCTCACCGTCGAGACCTTCAAGAATCCGTTGGAAGCTGTTGATTCGAGTTCCGAGGATGATGAAGATGAACCGGTACAAGACGCATTGACAGCTATCACTGTGAAGGAAGATATATCCATGATCCACGATCTTTACTTCTCCGGTACTATTCACCCCGTGCTTTCATCTATACCTAAGAAATACGTGGAGTCCATCCGAGCTTTTGTCCGAAACGAGGTTGAGAACTCTCGTGTTGCTCAGGGACGCGTACGCAAGAACGTACTTCTTGCTCAGCGTCAAGTGGAGCGCGACATGGAACATGACTTTGAGGACTTTGGGAGTTCAGAACTTTGGTTTCGGGTGATGAGCGATGCCGATTTTACCTTACGCGTTCCTCCACCTCCAAAAGAGAAACGCTCTTCAAACGTTCGTACTGGGAGTACCCATGACTCTGATACCCCCAAATCATACCGTCCATCTCTTCTACCACGTTCAGGATCTGCACCAGGACCCTTTCCTAAGACAGAAATGCCAGGCTCTACTCAGTCTCTCCGTTCGGTTGATTCTGTTGCTTCTGCAAAAATTTCATCCATGGCCCATCCTACAAAAAGCAATATTGAAATACTCATGTCTCCTGTTACGGATGCTTCTTCCGACTCTGAACGAGCTCCGCTATTCGACGATCCTGATGATCGCGCGCAAAGGGCAGAAGAACATCGGATGGACGCGATTCATGCCGCTTTGACTGATATCATGGCATTGGATGAGGCCCACTATGGCTCGGAGGAAGATATCGATGATCGTGTGTCGATGTTCTTGTCCCCCAGATCTCCCAGAGTCAAAAAACAGGGTGATGCATTCTCCCAGGAGGTTGATGACCACATTGTTGAGCCTGATGAGGACGTACCCGATGAGATGGAAGAGGGGCGCGGATCATTCCAACTTGCTGGTCCCGGCGATCTTCAGTTATCGTATGAGATAGCTCGACTGGCAGACAAGATTTTGAGTGTACAGACTCAAGAGATCATGTTGGACAACCTTATAAAGAAGGCGGAGCTTACTGGCGACAATCAGGAATTAAGACTTCTGAATCGCTCGAAATCTTCGATGAACCGTGAACTGCGAGAGTTGAATTTTCAGAAGGTGCAATACGAACAGCAGGAGTCTGCAAACCGTCTCGTCTCTGATCGTACCAAAATTTCCATCGTTAGCTCAGCGGCTGGAGAAGAGGAAGGAAAATCCGTCGTCCGTTACCTGATTGAGGTTCAGCAATTGGGTCTAGACGGCACTTTCTCCTCTGGCTGGGTTGTTGCAAGGCGATACAACGAGTTTTTAACCATGCACAACAAGCTACGAGAAAAGCATAGTGCCGTGAGGAACTTGGAGTTTCCGGGTAAAAGTCTTGTCCCCCATCTTTCCATTAATTTCGTAGATACTCGGCGGGCTGGTTTGGAGAAGTATTTGCAGGGTTTGATATCCATTCCCCTCGTCTGTGAAAGCGACGAGCTCAGAACTTTTCTTTCTCGCGAGTCTCCGTTCGTAGCGTCCGAACACCACGATCAACCCAACCGTCGTGGACCAGTTGCCGGATTCTCTGGGACGGAACTAGTGCGAAATGTATATCGATCCGTAACCGGAAGCATCGATGACATGTTATTCGGGCAGTCGATGCTGGATGTCATGATACAGCGTCTCACTCGACAAGCAGCCGAATTTGCCGGAATAGTTGGGTCCGGAGTTACGGACGAAAACTTCGTTGCACAAGCTCTGAATGCTTCAGGAAAGACTGCTCCTGCTGCACTCATGCAGTTATCTGCCGATTTAAAACCACTGGAAGGAGAATCCAGCACATCCACATTCAGTGCCCCAATATGTGATCTCTTACTTGCAATTTTCGAGCTGAACAAGCAGAACAACTGGCTACGAAGACAAGCCGTTGTCATTATCTTACAGCAAGTGCTTGGTGGCACTATTGAACGGTGAGCGTATTTATGCTACCTCTTCTTCAGCTATTTATTCACATATGTGTTCAGGAAAATTCGTGAAACGATCAAGTCGTTGCTGGATGAACCTAGGATTATGTCATACTTGAAGATTTTCCGTGATGGTTTGTGGCCCGCAGGAAAGCTCAAACCTCAAAGCGTTCCCCGTACTCCTGAAGAAAGATCACGGAGTAGGGATGAAGCCAACCGAAAGCTATCTGCCCTAGTACCAGGTAGGTACTCTTCCTGACTGTGTACCCCAGTATACCATTGACTAGATTCTTCAAGATCTGGCTGCAAATATGATTGGACGATCCAATGCTCGGCGAGGAGCCCGACGAATATTTGCTGTGTTGCAAAATCGTAGACTCAATCAGCACATTGCATACACTGTTGTAGACGAGGTTTTCTCTGCATTATTCCCTGAGTCCACACCGAATACCAAGGTAGAGCGATTAATGACCTAACTATTAGTATCATAAAGAAATGGAACATCTGTAAATACTTATGCATCATCAATTATGACCCGTTTGACATTAATCATGGACTTGGCGGCCTTAAGAACGGTGGTGTAGCTTCAGAAGAATCCAATGTTTGCTCCGTATCCGTTTTGGGCTTTTTACTGCGAGGTATTATGACAGAGTTGGCCGTAGGGTCATCGTAACTGGAACCGCGCGCATGAAGTTCCATCATTAGATCTGATAAAAGGCACACTTACACTTTTATGACATGTAGAATATAGCCCCCCGAGCCAGATGAGTTCATTGTAGGATGAGTCCGTCCGGGAAGCACCTGCTCTTAGGTCAGCAAGAATATCAAACACGAGCTAAATGTTTCCTTTGCCTGGTATTTTCGAAGCCAGCCTTCCGTTAAACTAGGTCCTAAAAACCCTGGCGCATTTCTCAGTTTATTTTGAAGGTCGACCAAAGGCTTCAACCTGTTATGAGCAATTGTCACCCGGAGGACTAAGTTGAGCTTACTTGGGAATGAGGACTGTGCACTACGATGGAAGCGGAGCCCGCAAGGTATGGCACTAGTCTATCAATAATGCCTGACGGTTCATATTGACTCGCCACCATGAGTCTGAAGTGAACATAATGAGCCACCAGCACATCTGTTTAATTAAGATCGACCAACGCTTCGAACTCTCCGCCAAAAAGTTCTTCTCTTGTGTTTTCCAAAAGTTCGTGGGCAACCTTACGCTTTCGTAACCTAGTCTTCTGTCTGTCTGATCTAATTTCATCGACAGGGACTTCAACAGGTGCATGAACTAATGATTTGTGAGGAACGGTATGAGGGAAAGACGGAAGTCTAACCGGAAACGTAATCTTGCTCTGAGGTTGCCCAATTCAAAGACTTCAAGACAGATTGCACCATCTCTGTAGGAAGGTTCATATTGGCTACTACCGGATATGCTGGGGGTGAATCTGTGTCACAGACAGTAAGCAGAGTCCCGGAACCTAAGCAGTAGATCAAAGATTGAGCCATCAAAACCAGACTGCTCTTTCGTACCTCCCATTCTCTCCAAAATAGCAGCGGCGACCAGCCCGGACGCATCGTCTACGGCAAGGTACCTTCCCCCCGGTTGTATATTTGCCATAGCTAACATCTGAGAGAGCGTATCTGGCCGTATATCTCGTATTCGATTCTGATCTTTATTGAACCAATAGTCGCAGACGTTGTGCATGGTAGGCTCGATTGTGATGAATGACTTTGAATACCTAGAATCGACAATCTTAGAAATTAATTCAAGATATCACACATCACACACTTCGCTTCCTTGCGCTTCTTGTACTTGTCTTTACTATACTCTGTTTTTAGAGAATAGTTGGCGTGTTGCTCTATTTGCCTCTTGATGATTTCCTAGTATGACTTTGTTTAAGGTCCGATCCAGGTTTGTTAAATAGTAAAAACAAACCGACGCATGGACACCAGACTGTTTGAGAGTCTGGATCTCATCTAAAGTCAAAGGTTGCACAAATTCTCCATCGTTGATAAGTTCATTTGTTGCATCCGTGTCCTCTAGCCATCCGATAAGAGCATTATTCAGACTTCAGGTGGATATCATTACCAACTTCTTCCAACGTCCTGACCGGAAGAATCTTGAGCTGTTTGTTGACCATCTCATAGGAGAAGCCATAGGGCTGCCCTATAAGTTCATTCGCATAGAAGGATCCAAGTCGCCCAACAGTTACTATCCTGGATTATGAGTCAGATCTGCTCGTTGAACTGCTGCAAATTGCTTGCACCGTTGAACAAAAAACGCACGAGTCCCGGTCAACTTTTATGCTTCGAACATCTCCGTTGGGTTGTCTTACCAGCACATTATGGCCTGGTTGAATTTTTGGAAGGTTTTGTTCAGCATTCGCAGCAGTAGAACTCGTGGAAGTTGAAGAAATTGACATGAGGATGAAAGAAACGACGAAAATATTCTCAATTAAGGATAATCTTGATCTTGATCTTATCTTTTTCATTCACCAGCATGACCGACGCTCAATCACCAACCGCACTTCCAGATGAACTAACATACCTTATTACTGCTTTTCTTCCTTCTGAGCCTTCAGAAATTCGCTCCAAATCGTATATCATCCTTTCTGCCTTTTGCCAAGGTGTTCGGCAAGCTCATCCACCGAATGGACAAGAGCCCGATCCCGCGACCGAAGCTCTTGCAAAAATATTCTCTCCTCTGGTCGTTCCTCGTTTGGAAGAGACTGACGAAAATGATCTCTTGGTCGGAATATCATTCTTGACCGCTTTATTCCAAGTCGACTGGCAATCAGCCTCTGCAATTTTCCGGCAGGATATGGTACAGGATTTGATCATGGATAGCGTTGAGCTCACGCCTTCGGATGAACTATCGTTGCACGTCGCGCATTTGCTCAGTCAGGCTTGTGGATACAAACCAAGTCGCGCTACGCTATCCTCGCAGGCATCTCAATGGCTGGAAAGTAAATCGCGCACTACGCAAGCCTCTTTACGCGCGGCTGTAGCGATCGCGTTGATCAAATTGAAGAAAGGCAGCATCGCAGATAGCGCGGCTGAAAATTTCAACGATGCGTCATCCACGAAGGGGAAAAACGTAGACGATGGGCTGGCAGAAGTCATGAAGAAACTGGTCATTGATGGTACTGAAAAGTCATCCTTGGCAGATGCTGTAGAAGGTCTCGCATACCTGAGCACCGATCCTGCAATCAAGGAAGAGTTGTCCAAAGATTCACAATTTCTTAAACGACTCTTTTCCCTCACACCTAAACGTAAATCTACTGCCATAAGCGAATCAACTTCAACAATCCTTTATGGTGTTCTGATCATCGTGTCCAATATCTGTGCTTACCGTCCTCAGTTAAGCGAAGAACAGAAGCAGATGGAGAAACTCCGCAAAATGGCAAAATCTAGCGGTACTCCCTCCGATACGTCTGATTCTTTGAATGACGATGGTCGAGTAAAGGAAAGAATCAAGAGATTATTGACCGCAGGTGTTCTAGATGTTCTTGCCACCGCCTTGCCTTCCACGGACACTTCTGGAATTAGGATTGCCATTGGTAATGCCCTCCTCGATATCATCACCGACAAAGATAACAGGGGCAAAGTCTTACAGCACGGGGGTGGTAAACTCCTTGTTCTCCTCATACGAAAGGCTATGTCAGAGCTGAATGGGACAGCAGAATTAGATGTGGCTTATCTGGCACCGATACAGGCTTTGGCCAAGCTCGCAATCACGTCGTCGCCTACCGCGGTGTTTGGTCCAAACCAAGGTGCTTTATATGATGCCATTCGCCCATTCTCACTGTTACTTCGACATCCATCTGCTAAACAGCTGCAACGCTTCGAAGCTCTCATGGCGTTGACGAATCTGGCATCTGCAAGTCCAGATGTCTCTTCCCGAATAGCTAATGCGGATGGCCTGCTCGATCACGTCGAACTTCTGTTGTTAGACGACCACCCAATGGTTCAACGAGCTTCCGTTGAGCTCCTCTGCAACCTAATTGCTGGATCCGATAAGGTTTTTGATCGATACAGCGACGCAGATGGCGCAGGGAAATCACAGCTGCACATTATACTAGCACTGTCGGACGCGGAAGACTTGCAAACGAGACTTGCGGCTTCAGGTGCATTAGCTACTTTGACATCTGCACCCAGCGCTTGTAGAGCTCTCTTACAGATACAACGGGATCGTCATCGAGTGTTATTAATCTTAACGCTACTAATTGATCCTTCTGCTGCTCCTCAGGATGACCAATTGGATAGCGAGGGTCATCCAGGGCTTGTCCACCGAGGCGTAGTATGTGCATGCAACTTCCTACTGAGTATTGAAGCCGAAGAAAGCCAAAAGATAATCCGTGAGGAAGCCAAAGAGATAGGCCTTATTCAAGCCTTACAAAACACAGTAAAGTACAATGGGACACCACAGATAGTGCAGTTGGCATCGGAAGCACTCAAGTTCTTATTGGAAACTAAGTAGACCTGTAGTCCATACTCAAATAAGCTTTCTGAAAACCTTGAAGGAAGAGCAATTCATCTGCAGCAATTAGGTGCACCGGTACCGCTTCGGCACGAGCCAATGTCGAGCGCTACGGTCGGCGCTGCCGTTTTTCCCGATCCAGATTGGGATCATCACCTTCCGAGTCCTACAATACAACATTATACACCATTCTGATCTTGGTAATAGGCATCTGTGCACATAATGGTAAGCTTATTCCAGCCTCACGGTCTTTATCGACCTGTCATGTTCGTAGGCCCCATCCAAGAAGGCGGGCAAGAAAGTCACTCCGACCGCAAAGAAATCAAGTGGAGGGGCATCGAAAGGCAAAGTCGCAAAGGTAAAGTATTCATCTGCTTCAATGATTCGAGTCATCGACCTGAGATTGTTAGGCCGACTGGAAAGAGGGATTCAAGAAGAAGCAAATAGGCGTCTCCGATATGACGCTTCTGTCAACGATCAGCAACGAAAGTATCAACGATAATCTTTCGAAGAGGTGGAAGGGTGGCGAGATATACACCTATATTGGACAAGTCTTAATATCTGTGAACCCTTTTCGAGGTGAGTAATAGTATTATAGTATGCTACACAACTAGCTTAAAATTGGCCTAGATCTCGGGATATATACTGAAGAGGTACTTGAACGATACAAAGGAAAGAACAGACTCGAAGTTCCACCTCATGTATTTGCCATCGCTGAATCTGCCTACTACAATATGAACGCGTATCACGAAAACCAATGTGTCATCATCTCCGGAGAATCTGGAGCTGGAAAGACGGAAGCTGCGAAGAGAATCATGCAATACGTTGCCGCAGTATCGGGAGGTCAGGATAGTAGTATTCAGGAGATAAAGGACATGGTGTTAGCGACCAATCCTCTACTAGAGAGTTTCGGGTGCGCCAAGACATTGCGCAATAACAACTCGAGTCGCCATGTACGCTAATCCCGTTCTTTCTTTCCACTTCCATCCATTCATCTTATCTAGGGAAAATACCTCGAAATCATGTTCAATTCTCAGGGTGAACCTGTAGGCGCGCAGATCACCAATTATCTGCTGGAGAAAGGCCGAGTCGTGGGCCAAGTTGAGAATGAGAGGAACTTCCACATATTCTATCAGTTCACAAAAGCTGCAAGCAGTGAACAACGAGGTGTGCCGTAATACTCTAATTTGTGAGCAGCTCTTAATGCCTGCATATCAGAGATGTTTGGTTTGCAAGGCCCTGAAGCGTATGCGTACACAAGTCTTAGCAATTGCCTTGATGTTCAGGACATTGACGACAACAAAGATTTTACAGACACCATCGTTAGATTATATCCTCTCTTATTCGGTACTTGGATGCTCACTAACCTATCATCAGAATGCCATGCGAATCATTGGTCTCAGTGATCACGAGCAGAGCGAAATATTTCGCATGCTAGCGACCATCTTATGGCTTGGAAACGTTCAATTTGTTGAAGATGACAGCGGGAATTCGACGATCGCAGATGCTGGTGTCACTGATTTTGTCGCATATCTCTTGGAGGTGGACTCAGCACTTGTGCAGAAAGTAATGACCATACGAGTAATGGAAACACAGCGCGGTGGTCGCCGTGGTTCTGTTTATGACGTGCCTTTAAACCCTGCCCAAGCAACCTCCGGAAGGGATGCACTAGCCAAGGCTATTTATAACAATCTATTTGAATGGATAGTATCACGAATCAACGTTTCTATGAAACCTAGGTCAGCTCATGCGCAAATCATTGGTATCCTTGTAAGTTCTCGGAACATTGGCCTCTAACGTGCTGATAACCGTTTTTCTGGTAGGATATCTTTGGATTCGAAATATTCGAGGTAAGGAAAAGGCGGGAATTCTCAAACCCTGATAATGCTAATATTTGAGAAGGACAACTCTTTTGAACAACTTTGCATCAACTATGTGAACGAAAAGCTACAACAGATTTTCATCGAGTTGACTCTCAAGACAGAGCAGGAGGAATACGTCCGAGAACAGATCAAGTGGACACCTATTAAATATTTCAACAACAAGATTGTCTGCGATCTAATCGAGGAGCGACGGCCGCCTGGCATCTTTGCTGCCTTGAACGACGCGTGTGCTACCGCTCACGCTGATCCCACCGCTGCTGACAATAGTTTCATGCAGCGATCTGCCGGACTTGCGTCCAATCCTCATTTCGAGTCTCGGGGTGCTCAGTTTTTGGTCAAACATTATGCTGGAGACGTGATGTACAATGTATCTGGTATGACAGACAAGAACAAGGATTCCCTCCTCAAGGATTTGTTAGATCTCATCGCATCTAGTGGCAACCAGTTTTTACAAACCATATTCCCTGACCGACCGGACCCAAATAGCAAGAAGCGGCCACCTACTGCTGGAGATAGAATCAAGGTAAGCACTTGGTTCAAAGAAAATAGCTGAAGCTTAGTCTTGTTAGGCTTCTGCCGGTGCCCTTGTTGAAAATCTGATGAAAGCTCAGCCTTCTTACATCCGTACTATTAAACCCAACCAGAATCGGAGCTCGTCAGAATACGATGAGAAAGCGATTCTGCATCAAATCAAGTACCTAGGTCTACAAGAGAACATTCGCGTTCGTAGAGCAGGTTTCGCTTATAGAAATACTTTCGAAAAGATGATAGAGAGATTCTACCTTCTTTCTTCTCGGACCTCCTACGCCGGAGAATACATTTGGAACGGTGATGCGAAGTCAGGATGTGAAGCAATCCTGAAGGATACAGGCATTGCCAAAGATGAATGGCAGATGGGCACAACCAAGGCGTTCATCAAAAACCCTGAAACAGTAAGTTTGCTCCGCTCTGCATATCTTAATCCAATCTGATGGTCTATTGAGCTTTTTGCTTTGGAAACAATGCGCGACCGCTACTGGCATAACATGGCTGGACGTATACAACGCGCGTTCCGGAATTACATGCGATACAAACACGAGTGTGCTCGTCGTATACAGAGATTTTGGAAGAATAACAAGGAGTCACTGGTCTATGCTCAAGTCCGAGATCATGGACACCAGGTGCTTGCTGGACGTAAGGAACGTAGACGATTCAGTCTGTTGAGCTATAGAAGGTTCATGGGTGATTATCTCGATGTAAATGGCAAGAGTGCTTTCGGGGAAGAACTTGCTTCAGGATGTGGTATCGGCAGTGGGTGTTCGTTTTTAGCACCTATCTTGTGCTTACCCCATATCGATAGATGATGAAGTGACCTTTAGTGGCAAAATTCAACTTCTTGTGTCAAAACTTGGACGCTCCAGCAAACCCAGCCCTCGATGGATAGTCGTGGTATGGCCATTTCTTTTTGTATCCCTTTATCTAATATGTGCAACAAGACCAAAAAAGCTGTTCATATAGCCATTACCACGGCCAAGGATGGTTCGACAATGACCACCCTCGAAAGAAAGATTCCTCTGGTAACAATCAAGAGTATATCTATGACGAATCTAAGAGACGATTGGATGGTGTGTTGGCTTTTTCTTCGGGAACTCAAAACTGTAGCTTTTTTAGGCCTTGAACGTGAATGCTTCCGAAGAGGGGGATCCTGTCTTTCATTGCTATTTTAAAACCGAGTTGGCTTCCAATCTAATCACCTTGACAAATTCAAGCATTAGTCTCATGATCGGGCCTACGTAGGTCTCGCTCGTTTGGTTCTATGATAACAAGTATTCAGGCATTGGTTCTAGCATCGAATACGCCAAAAAGAAGGAGAAGCGGGCGCAGATCAAAGCGGTCAAAGACGAAACCATACAGAAAGACGACTTATACAAGAGCCATACGATTCATGTCCAGTCCGGAGAAGCTCCTAATAGCTTGTCTCGTCCCGCTGCCAAGCGCAAACCCGGTACTGTTCGTCCTATAACTCAGGGGAAACTTCTACGTCCTGGAGGGCCTACTGTATGTATCCGTTACTCATTTATTTTCTTGTTATAACCTGTTCGATAGAAATCTAAACCCGCATCAAAGCCGAAACCTGTGGCCCAAAAGCTACCTGGACAAACAACAACCCCCGCGGCGCAGTCGATTATGCCCAAGCCAACCCCCGCCTCTACTAATGGTGTCGCTCGTACGGCCCCAGCGCCATCTCGTGCTTCCGTGCCCCCTCCGCCTCCGCCTCCCCCCGTCCACCCCGCCGCCGAATTGTACAAAGCAAAGTATGCCTTCAATGGAGAAGAGGGAGAGATGTCTCTTAAAAAGGATGATATTGTAGAAGTCATAAGTAAGGAAGGAGATAATGGCTGGTGGCTTGTCAAGAAGGACGGTGTGGAGGGTTGGGCTCCAACCAATTATCTGGAACTAGTCCCTCCAGCTGCTCCTCCAGCTGCCCCAAAGCCGCCACCACACAGAACCAAACCTGCTCCTGCTGCTCCAGTGGCTGCCAAACCGCCCGTTGCCACAGCGAAGACCGTTGCCCATTCATTAACTGCAAATGCTTCTGCAAAACCTGTTTCTGTATTTCCTGGCATGGTTCCCGCAAATGGATCTACTGCGCCTTGGAAGAAAACATCCGCTATCACACCAGATGACTCGCCTGCTTCTTCAAGACCATCGAGCGTGATCGGTCATAAACCTCCGCCTCCTTCTGTAGCTAGTAAACCCAAACCTCCTGCTCCACCAGTCGGAGTTAAACCGTCCCCCAATATTCCTGGAAAACCGCCAATACCGAGCGCACCTCGCCCATCTGTCGGCGGTGCCCCAAAGACTGCTAATAACTCTAAGCCTCCTGCTGCTCTAGGTGGTCAGATGGATCTAGCTGCTGCGGTAAGTTCTCGTTGATGTCTCCAGTATGGGCCTCATGTTCTTCATCTTTGACAGTTGGCGAAACGGGCACAGAGGATTGCTCAAGACGAATGATGACATGGTATCTTTTCCGCGATGAAGGATTTACATACGTACCCCGGAAACAAATAGAAATATGTATCTTATATGTTGGTCTGCGCTGAACTTCTCCATACCTTCTACTGGTCTCAAAATCGTGCAACGTGTTAGAACTATACGACGATCTGACGCCAACCATCACGTTTTGTCTTCAACATCAGTTTTTCGGCCGCAAAAATCTTTACTCATGCCGCTACGCAAGTATTTTAGGATTATTCGTTACCTGGTGAACTGTCCCGCCAAGTCTCGGGTCGCCTGGTCTGACAGATCGCACCTACATCTCCGAAGCTTTAACCTTTGTTTCTCCTCATTTTGAGGTCTAGCTTTGTTGTTAATGTGCTTTTCCCTTTGAAGGTAATTCATTTTACACGGTTTACATGCAAATATTACTTTTTAAAGGATGTTAAACACACGGTTACCCCCTAGATCCGCATGGTCTGACGGATGAGTCGGAGGAACTGCGGGCGATATTACTATGAACGCGAACGTGACTACCTTTAGATGAATTGCAGCTTCTTCGGCTTGAACAGCCTAGTTTCATCTTCTCCGCCATAACTCAATCCTAGTATAGCATAGGCTGCGTTGGCCAGCAAAAAATTGAAACTACATCCTCGTCCTTCTTCGGAAGTTTCTTGTATATGTTGTAAGTATGGCCCACTATAAAAGATAGTGGTTCAAGACATTATTTTACATCAAAAAATCCTCTGCAACAATCCGCCTGAAAATGCATTTCTCTACTCTGGTAATCTGCGCGGCAATCCTTTGTGGCATTGCTTCTGGTCCGCCGTTTTTCTACTACACGTGTTAACGTTCATCTAAGCGTCGACATTCTACAGCGCATCCTACTGAAGGTGTTCCGCGAACTCTCGCAACGCGTGATTGTTCTGCAGAAGCCGCTGCCTTGAACATGGCGCGACGCGAAAAACGAGGCCTTCCTCCTCGATCCATCTACCCCACCATGCCCAACGTGAGTGCACTGCAGTTCAGAGACTCGCTAGTCACTTAAAGCGCGCCTTCTCGTAGGAAATCTGCGTTCTGGCCCCCGAAATTGCTAAAGAAAACTACGTCCTTTCTGGTTCGGTAAGGAGCCTAGGATCTCTTTCGGATTCCTTCCACTCCAAGGCACTGGCTAACTCTATCTATTGGTCTGTAGGTGGTTCGCAACGATGTGACGGACGGTGAAGCGTAAGTAGATTTGTTGTGCCATTCAATGAAGTCAGCTAACAGCAAACCCGACCTTCAGAGGAGTTCCTTTGACAATGGACATTGGGGTCTTGGACATTTCGACTTGTCAGCCTTTACCCAATGCTATGGTAGAAATTTGGTCGAGTAAGTCACTTTTGTCGTTTACTTTAATCGCTGGAAGGCCATTTCACTTATCCCCTTCTTCTGCAGCCAACGCTCAAGGGGAATACAGTCCCACGGCTCTGAGAGGAGCCTACCCATCCGCCGCTAATGGGATTGCAGAAATTCAGACGATCTTCCCCGGGTTCAATTCTGACGGTGCCAACCATATGAACATCGCTGTGCACTCTGGTAACAGCATGAACTCCAGCACTTCACACAATGGTCGAGTCTTTTTCACTGACGGATGGACTAACATCATATCAATGTCTTCGCCTCCTTATCAAAACAATTCTAACATCCGCACACTCGATCTCGACGATCCAGTCTACGTAGAGGCCAATAGCAACGGATATACTGCCGTCGTCGAGTAAGCGACTTTCCCGTATAATTGCTCCTGCGCGTCTGACAAATTTTTCACGTAGCATCGAGGAGATTGAGGACGACTGGCCTGAAGGGATCGTCGGCTACATTAGTCAGTACTTATTTATCTTATGCACCCTGACAGACGATTCTGACCTTTACTCTAGCTGTTGGAATCAATCCTTCCCTGATCGTTGATTAAATGGTTGCGTAATGTACCAGTAGGATATCCATCGGCTTGACGAGCTGAATTTGTGTAATTAGCAAAACCAGATATATTTCTTGCTCTGGGACTCGGCCCCGAGTGTCCCCTCGAGACTCGAGTCTTGAAATCTAATCTGGAACTGCCGAACTTCCGAGTCGAGGCGCCGATCTTTTTAGTCACGTTGTTGACGTCAGCTAAAATGCCAATTACATTGACGTAAGAGGAGAAAAATCAGACCACAAATAATAAAAGCGCCTTTCATGGATTCTTATTAGTTGAGAAACAATCAGACCATCTTTCTTTCTTTCTTTCTTCCTACCTTTGTGGTATGATATATCACTGATAAAACACGATAAAAAGTCAATTTCATTCGTTCCTCGATCAGGATCGGCACCGTCTGTCAAGATTTCCAATCCGAATTTCCGGGATTATTTATGAGTCTCTAATTCTCGTTTTCTTGTTTTATTTCCGTCTCTCGCCCTTGAAATCAACAACTGGATGCTTTATGATGACAACCCACGAAAACAAACTTCAGCCGTTGCTGGTCACTATTTTGGCCAGTGCAATAAGCTCTGTTGGCTACGGAGTGGTCAGTTTCTTTGTTTAATCGTGATGTTTTTATCTAACCTCAAATTCATATCAGAGTGTCTTCGCCATTGGAATCACTTGGCTTCTCCCTTCTGTCAAGCCCGCGGCACCGATCCTAGTAATGCCTAAAAGCAAGCCCAGGCATCATCGGAGGCGTTCCGCGCCTCCAGTTTTGCAAACCGACCTTTCAAGACCACCCTTGCCATCTCTTATAAGCAATAACTCACAGCCTTCCACCGACAGCCCACGAACCCCTTTAACCCGACGTGTATACTTTGAGGATTCCGCGGCGCAGCAAACCCCTCCTAATCGCTCCTCGCGGAGATATACAGCGCCGCCAGAACAGTGGCATAAAAATATCGAGCCATCGCACGGGTCAATTGGCACAACAAGTAACGTTCCTCTGGATTCTTCACCTCGTTCATCTTCGTCGACTCTAGTTCACGAACCTTTGCCCCCAACACCACCATCACCTCCAAGTACTTCCGTCCACATTTTGGATGCCAATTCCAAGTCTGAATCTACAGAGTCAGATACTTCGAGACCTGGCTCCTCATCTTCATCTCGACCTTCGTTATCAATTTCCCCACGTTTCCCTACCAAAATCTGGAGTCGAAGACCGGCTGGTAGAAAGTCACTCGCCAATCATGCTACCGATTCCGGAGGCGAAGCCACTCGTAGGTTTCTTTCTTTGTGCCAATAGTTCGGTTTCTTACTTACCTTACTGTTTTCTCAGATTCAGATGAACCGTCTTGCTCCGCAAGGCCTTCCACTCCGGCTAGTAGACACAAGCGAAAGGCCGCGAGCCTCGGTTTCTCATGGCCAATATCCAAAAATAAGGCCTTACCTGATACTGCTACGACCCCTTCCTCATCCCCCAAGACACCCATTGATGTGCCCCCGAAGCAAGATTGTCCTTGTACGCCCTCCTCGATAACATCTTTCGTCCGTTCGTCCAAACAGCAACGGCAAGCCTCTACTCCTGTTCGGGCTCGCACACAGCCATATGCATACCCCTATTTCGCCTTACCTCCTACGGTAGCTGGAGGACAACCTACTACAGCCATGAGCTCAGCGGCTGTCTCTAACAACAACACATCGTTCGGGCCTGAAGGTGCTTCGAACGTCGGAGAGGCAGAGTCAACAACCACTGCACTTCGACGGCAACAGAACATTGTAGCCCAGGAATCGCTAGGAATTGGGCGAAGGAAAATATCGCAAAGGCGCGCTATGAGTGAAGGATCGGCATTGGCTTTATGAATTATTTTTTGGGTGTTGTGTGTACCTCCTTCTATCCATCCTGAGTTCAAGTTTGGTGACTGATTTATCTCCCATGTTTCCAGATGGCCATGATGAATCGCAACGAATAATTTATGAGTAAACATTGTATTTCTAACGCAATATCAGTATATATAATTTATGGGTCGCAGAGGAGTACACACACTGGGATAATCGTCTTATTAATCTAGAATTCACAAATCTCTAATTTCAATGAAATAAACTGCTGTGAACAGAATCGATGCTAACTGGATAACTGCATTCGGGTAGAACCTGAGTCCATGAAGGAACTGGAGCAAGGTGAAGGATATCACCTGTTTCGCATCACTTTGATTCCTGGACAACATGTTCACTGGTTTGGTTGGCTCATCTGTGGAGAATCCCTACTTGTCTTAACATCTCCTGCCATATAGATTGAACACCTCGGCACTGTGTCGCATATCGATGTTGATTCTGCAGGAGCGACGCTGATTATCTCTGATTCTGCCGCAATTCTTGATGATTGTCATATCGGCGACTCTATCGCGGTGAATGGATGCTGGTACGCTTTCTTCCTTGTGCTTATTAATGCCTTTAGTATTGAGACGACAACAGTCTTACAGCGACGGAATTTGACAAGGCAGAGAGGGGAGGTTGGTTCAAAGTTTGGCTTGCGAACGAGACGCTGGAGCGCAGTGATCTAGGTATGAACGAGTATTGATTGGGCACTTTGCAAATTGACTAATCAATGAGTAGGTGAACGAGTCGTAGGAGATCAGCTCAATCTTGAGCGCGCAATGGGTACCCATGCACGATTTGGTGGGCATTTCGTCCAGGTAAATTCACCTCAAATGATCTGCATAGTCATTTTGTTAAAAAGAACCAAGGGCCACGTTGACACTACTGCGACCATCGTTGAGCGCACTCCAGATGGTGATTCTATTCGACTCAAATTCCAACTCCCTGAACCAACACCTACACGACCATCTCTTCTGCGTTATCTTATATCCAAGGGTTTCGTGGCAATCGATGGCGCATCGCTGACCCTAACTGAAGTTAACGACTCGGACAGGACGTTTGGTGTGATGCTCATTCAACATACGCAGGAAAAGATCACTCTGGGGAAGAAACAGTTGGGTGCAAAGGTGAACATCGAGGTCGACATGGTGAGCAAATATCTTGAGAAGAGCGTTACTGCCGCTCTTGAGGGAGAAGGAGCAGAAGGAGGCTTGGGCATACGGACCATGGTCGAGAAAATCGTGGAAGAGGTCCTCGTCAAGAAAGGATTGGCAAAGTAGTTAAATAAATAAGTTCTGAAATACGATTTTAATTCACGGTTCATTCGTTGCACAACAATCTTGTCGATCCCGTGCTGCGCTCGCGTTCTGACGGCGCGCGATTTACGCATCTTTCCTTTCTTCATCGCCCTCTTGAGCCTTGTAACAATCCTATGTCTGTTATCCCGAGGCCATAATTCCGCATCGATGTGGTGGCGTTGAGACTAGATTTGTTCTAGACGCCCGAACGGAAGGCGCTAAATCTCGCTAAATTGGCGGAAAGCTGAAAGTCACCACAACTTGTTCTCTCCGCTACATATTACAACGACTTTGTCGTTTACAACTCTTATGGAGGCTCCAATCAAGAGAAAGGTGCACGGTTTCCCAATAGATGTTATTGAATGCCGCTCAGATTAGCTATATCGAAGGTCACCTCGAAGCTCTCGTATAATGACCGTCCCACAAACAGAGTTCCTTCTCCATATCGACCTCCTTCTCCCATGAAATCGACAGTCTCTCTATCCATGACACCCACGACAATGATACGTCCAAAGGCTAAAGTTAACAGCAGCGCTACACCAGCGAGTGCTCGTGCCAAAGTAACGAGACCGTTGAGTGCAGTCAGCCCGATTGGAACAAGACCTCCAGCGAGCGCCATTCCGCGACCAGCATCGCCTACGAAGAGCCATACGAAATATTCGCCAGCAGTCTCGCATAAACCAAGAATAGCACGTAATGATGCACGGCCCCACTCGTCGCATTCCACACCCGGTACTCCAACCTCCACTTATCTTTCCATTGAGTCGCCTGAATCGGAGAATAAGTCGAAATATGGCGGAAGTCTGTCCGTGCGGCAGACTTCACCACCTCTGGGTCTTGGCTTGTCAAATGGTACGTTGGGTGCAAACTCAATATTCTCTCCGCCATCGGACGAACAAGCCGATCCTCCATTGAAGATTAAATCCAAACTCTCGAGAGTAGCCTTGTCCGGCACAGAGTCGCTTTCACCTTCCCCGAGTCCACATCATTCGGGCTTTGCTCGCGTTCGTGCTCCATCAATATCTTCTAATCATTCTCTCGGTTCGAACACGACTAGCTCATCTACGAGACCGGAATATGCTCATTATCCCATAAATTCGGTTCCTGCCGCCGCTAATCTGCATCGCTATACACCTAATCGAACCGTAGAACTTTCGTCCTCTCCACACACATATCAGTCATTCTCTTCACCGTCTTTGCAGGACGATACAACACTTCACTATTCGCGGATAGTACCCAAAGTTGATCCTGCGAAGATTCCTCTGCCCACTCATTCCCCCCCTACTTCTGCTTTGTCATTTTCTTCACGATCGTCCGTTTCGCGATCGTCCGTTTCTCGTAGCGAGTCTACAAACAGTAGTACCTCTGTTTCAACCAATCATGTCAAGAGCCCGTCTATAGGATTTGACCTACGCTCCACCTTAGATTCTTTGGTACAGATCAGCGAATCTACCCCTGGTCCTAGAGACGACCTCTTATCTCCAATAGACGACGATGACATTGGGAGCGAAGATAGGAAGGCGAGGAATGAAGCAAAAGTGAATCGGAAGGTATGCTTCATTTTCATTCCTCAACTAACGTTGAATAGTCTGATCACTGACCTGCATTTCAGATCGCAGACCTTGAAATCACAAACCGCTCTTTGCTCGCTATCAACTCGACCTTGGAAGCCACGAAACATCGCCAGGCTAAAGAAATTCGAGAACTGCGTCGAAAGCTGCGCGAGTCCCGACTCATTCTTCCCCCGCATACCTATCGCGCAGTAACCTCGAATGATACAGAGACGTTGGCTTTACCAGAAGACGACGAAGAAGAAGACGAAGAAGAAGAAGAAGAAACCCACGGGAACGACCAAACCTACATGCGCATCCGGATACGATTGGATGAGATGATTCAATCTGCACAAAAAGCGCTTACGACGAAGTATACAGACTTTGCTGAAATGAAGGGCCCCACAAAGGTGCTTAGCGAACAGGAGGTGCGGGATTGGAGAGGAAGTGAAGATGTAGGAGATGTGTCACTAGTGTTGGAAGACGAAGATGAAAGGAATGAGGTTTTGTTGATGAGAGCCCCGTCTCGGAACGGGGAGATGGGAATTCAAGATAACGATTCTGATGGAACTACCTCTGAAGACGAAGTGGAAGCGATGACCATGCTGCGAGACTCACCGTCTCCTCCCCCAATCGTTGTAACATCCTCGACGTAATAAATATAGACGCTAACTATGTAAGTATTTTCACGGAGAACATTCGCAAGATTTACATAGACGTAATGAAACTAACGCTTTGCTACACGAACAAGGAGGTTTCCACGTTTGTCTATTACGAGCAAGGAGTTCGGTCAGTCCGAGTTACGCCTATTAGCGCCTGTAAGCGCCTATTCCGGTCAAGCGGGGCGGCCACCGTCATCTATCCAGGAACCATCAGCTGAGCCACTTATACTTTGAGTTTATGGCACGATTTTATTGCCTCAGCTTCTGAAATACATTCTCGTCCTCCTCTTTCCACAATGGCCAGTAAACAGGTTTGTTATGTTCCTTTGTAAAACCTTGCTCTGCTCTGATATCTATGCCTTCAGTTGGGCAAACTTCGCCAGGTGAGTCTTGTGCCATTTTCACTTTCAAATTCAAACCTGTCTAAACCTTCTTTCCCGACTTTGATTGACAGTGGGCAGGCGAAGTCATCTCTTCCAGAGAAAAGACCGTCATTTCTGAAGAATTCAAGGAGCTTGAGCAAGATGTTGAACTCCGTAGAGGTGGTGTTGAGCGGTACGTTGCCAAAGGTTCTTCGTCACAATTCGGACTATTCATATGTATATATTACAAGGCTGTTTTTGGCTTCCAAAGGATACCACCATTCGCTCACGAAGAAGAAAGACAACATAGCTCTTGATGATCCAGAGAAGCTTCTTCCACTGGATACATTAGGTATCGTCATGATTACACATGGAGAGGAATTTGGGGGTGATTCTGAGTTCGGTACACATAGAGGTTATTTTGCTATGTGATGCTCATATATTAACGACTCTGTCACAGGCGCGTGTCTCACAAAACTCGGACGTGCCCATTGCAAGATAGCCACTCTCCAAGAAACCTATGCCATTACATTTCACGATACTTTCATGGCCTCTATCGAAAAGTTTGGAGACGAAATCAAGGAGTTTGATCAGATGAAGAAGAAGCTAGAAAGTCGACGGTGTGTAACATTTGTTCATTTGAATTCGAAAGCAGCTCATGACTTGGATTTGGCTCAGATTGAGTTATGACGCTGCGATATCAAAGGTAGAGAAATTGAAGAACGGCAAGAAGGATAAGGAAAAAGAAAGGAAGGAAGCGGAGGAGGAATTGGAGAGTGCTCAAGCCCGATAGTATGTTGTTCTTGCTATGTTCCCGTCTCAAATTATTAATGATGTAACAGCGAAGAGACCGCAGAAGACTTGCGAGCGCAAATGCACTTGATCCAAGAGAACGAAATAGACCAGACGCGTGAAATGACTGCCTTCTTGGATCTCGAGTTGAACTACGTCGAACAATATCTAGAGGTGATGAAGGATGTGAAATCTGAGTGGTCCATCAGCAGGTATCTATACCAATGAGATTTTACATCTTACACAGGTTGATGAAATGAATATTCTAGTGCAACTCGTATGAACTCGATACGCAGGCCTAGCACAATTTCTCGTTCTACTTCCGTCAAAACAAAGTCTCCCAAAATACCTCCCGCCCCGCACAAACGGACCCCTTCTGTAAAGTCGCATGGCACGCAAGATGCAACTTCCTTAGACTTGACAGATGACGACGATGAAGAGGCCTCACGTACACTTGCGTCTCGGAGTCGACGGTCTTCCATGCACCGTGCTGATGGGACAACGGGCACGTCGATCTCCCGTCCGTCCTCGCGCGCGTCGAGGAAAAGGTCGGATAGCAGCGGTGCCCCAGGGGACACGGATAAGAATTCTCGTAAAATGAGTGTTGCTGGTTGGGCTTCGACTGCGATGGGCTCATTCTCAGGCCGGAGCAAGAAATCGAGAGACAAGGAACAGTTTTCTACATTAGATGACAGTAGTGGAGGTGCTTCGAGAGGGTCTTTAGATGACGTCGATTGGAATCCCGCGTCCGCTCCGATGTCATCCTCACTCAACAAATCGTCTTCCCTGGGCAAAAAGTCACTCTCCAACCTTCGGGGCACCAAGTCCAACAGTGGCAGCCCGCAGATCCCACCGCGCATTCTTAGACCCCCGTCATTACAAGGCAAAAAGGTGATGAGGGCTTTGTATGATTTTGATGGCGCCGCGGATGAGCTGTCGTTCAAGGTTGGAGATGAGATTGTCGTGATCAGTGAGGTATTGGACGGATGGTGGACGGGTGAGGTCCATGGGAAACAGGGCTTGTTCCCGACTCCGTATACAGAGGTGGTCCCTGCGAAGCCTCCGCTTCCTAACCGACCTGATCTTTCGGGAATGGGTGGAAAGAAATCCGCCAACGGATCCAAAGGTTTCGGGTCCAGGGAGTCGGTGTCTTCAGGGGATAATGTCTTGGACGAAGACAATATACTTGATGTACACCCCCTTTCGGCATCAAATAGCCCATTCTTTGGTGGCCTAGTGTCACCAACAGCCGCACATCAGAACAATGCGGACACGGAAAGTATTCTGAGTAGTCTCGTTTCCGAAGGTGAGGATGAAAGCGATTTCCTCGTCAGATCGAGACAAGCGACATCAGTAACTGCTGCACGTTCAATATTATCCTCTCTACCTTCACTATCCCACCGCTCGTCTTCAGACGTCTCTTCCTCAACCAGCACATCCTCTGGTGTCTACGGTGTCTATGGAAATGGTGGAATCACCAAGAAAGCCCCTCCGCCTCCTCCGCCGCCGAGACGGATGACGGCTGCACCGATCGCGACTCCCCCTATACCTTCCCGGAAATTTACCGGCAGTAACAGGTCGCAATCATTTGGTGCTGGATCGGGATCTGGGTCACAGTTCATTCCTACTCCTGGGTCGTCGGTAAGTAGCCATGGGTATGATACGTCGCCGTTTGAGAGTGCGACAGAGCTTCAGTCGTCTGCTGGTCAAGGTTCGGGATGTGGTCAGTTCAAGCAGAACCCGTTCAAGCCGAAGGGGATGTGCAGTAATTGCTTTGAGTACCATTGATGGACTCGCGATATACATTCTAAATTTCAGATTCACTAATTTTGGGACTTTTGATTTCATTAGACATTTACTGTGTAAATATTTGCATCTAACATGACGACAGAATAGCTAGGACTTGGGCCTTTTGTTTATGCGGTTGCGATCAAACGAGAAAGCACGATAAGGGGACAACGTGCTTGCTGGCAGGGTTCTGCCATGGTTAATGGCATGCGCCTTTGGGTCAAGCGGTCTGCGTAAGTTGAAGCGTGTTCAATAAAACCTCTAGTGTGAGTTGTGGTGATGTGATAATGGCGCAAGGATCTTTCGTTCCCGTTTGGTGGCGAGACGATTATCCGGTGATGCTGGAGCTTTCTACATATGATTACATTCTAATTCTAGAGCAGTCCGTAAATGTTGGAATTAGGAAAAGAAAGGAACGTGTGTGCATCTGGTTGACATCGTTACATTGCCGAATTTAGCAGTCTTCGAATGAATTTATGACCAAGTTATTTGAACTCCAAGTAAAAGGCACATAAGCACCGAGGAAAACAACGAATAGTGGAGTATCTATGTACACAGGACACAGAATACAGAATAATAACATGAGAATTTGAAATAAATCGACGGTCGATATGATGCATTGAATGATGTCAGTACACAGGTACAACAAATTGTGAAAAAAATTGAAGAAACAAGTTGCTGTCAATTGTCATCACTTTGTTTTCGACCACGATGGCGGGGTTGAATGTGCCGGAACTCGTGTGGACAGACCTGTCGACACCAGCGAGCACAGAAAGTAACGAATCTAACGACGCTTTCTTTACTCCTCCTCGGTTTAGCTCTCGGAGGTCGGCTCAGAAACTTCGTAAACTAGCTCACCCGCCGCCTTCTTTTCATGCATTCTCAGCCGCTCTCGCTGCGAAGCAAGCTGAATTATCCTTTATAGTAGATCAACCACCGTCCACAGAGAGCTCCAACTTTCCTTTTATCTTCTCAGAGCCAGCCGCGAGAAGAAGTGCCAGCTCGGATTATGAGAGAACCTTCAAATCCCAGTCGGACTCGGGCCATAGTTACGCTTATCCACGTTCTCTAGATTCTTCTTCTTCAAGACCACTTACTTCTCTATCTATGGCTGATTCACGGACGCCATTATTGCGTTCTCTCTCGTCCCTCGGCATGAGGAAATCGATGAATACCTCGGCTCCCACAAGAAAACTCACGAAACGCAAACCGTCTCAGGTCGATGGTAACCAGTTCAAGCCTTTACCTATACCAGAGCCGGAATCTCTACCAATGCTTCCTCCCACTCCACCGTCAAAGTCAGTAGAACAGTTCTCAGATACACCCAAGAGACGTCCGTCGATCACTTTTGCTTTTACTATTGCGCTAAAGCGACGATTGAGTATGCCCAAGGGCAAGGCAAAACAGGAGCAACAGATTGAGGAAACGGTATGCTTGAATCATTCTAGTCTTGGTCACAAACCTTAGATCCCTCGTTAGTTGAAAGCCCCTCACAAGACGCGTAGCACGTTCCATGTACGCTCTGTGACGACAACCCAATCCTTTATGCCTTGTTCTAGCACAAACCCCAAAGGAAAGAGCGCGGAAAAGCATTTACCGTTTCTACCTCCACCTACTCCGCCAGCGAAAGACTCAACATCATTCCTGTCACCTTCACGCGTTTCACTGCCATCCCCAGCATTGTCAGCCTCGACCACGTCATCAAAGCTGAAAAAAGAGAGGAAAGACAAGGTCAAGAGTAAGAAGAAGAAATTCTCAATCGGTGAAGATAATGATGATGATACCATCGAGGTTCCTGCAGTTCCACCACCACCATTTCCCCTCTCGCATGCTCATTATGTGTCCGATCCTCTTCCTCAATCTTCATCGACAACCGCAGTATATGACCTTAGCTTAGACCATGATCCACCGACGACCGTTATTCCAATTCCGAATGATAAAAAACTACCTTATCCTCCGCGGCCTCCACTCACCCGTCGACACGATGGGACCACTGAAACTGACGGTCATACATCAGAGAACACGATAGCTTCTAGCAGCCAACATGCTTCCAGCAGTAGCTCTATTGAAGCACGGACGCAACGTCGATGGACTCTTGCACTTGCAATGACCTCTGACGAATTGACTGACGAGGTGTTTGTGGAAAAAGTGGAACGCTTACGGCGGGACTCTGTACGTGTTCCTTTTGAACACGAAACAGCCGAAAGTAAAAGCAGGAGTGTGGAAGGTGTAGGCGGGTTCAGAGGTTGGGAGTTTGGTTACCTTGATCCTGACTCTGATGATGGTTCAGACGGGGAGGATGAAGGGTATGATGATGATGAAGGATTGTATGAGGGCACTTATGACAGAGCTGAGAGGTTAATGCCTGATTTGTCTCGATCTCGATCTGTCTCTGTGAATATTGGTCAGTGCATTCTTCCTGAGCTGAACTTGGAGAATGTCTTGAGCTTATATTTACTCAGGGCTTCCTCATTCGGTATCCTACGTATCTACCGAGATAAACCGTCCAAATCCAGATCTAGCAAAGGCTTGGTCCTCGGCATTGCATGCTATGCTCATCACACGAGATTTGCTGAGGACGGAAAAGAATTACTTGAATCAATTAAGGGTTTTACTCTCCAGCTCCCCTTGTGTGATGACTCCTGCTGCACAAGCTGTCGCGGAGACATCATTTCTGTGGGGTATCCCCGGCGACTCGTTGCTGTCCTCTTCAGGAGTAGCGTCAACAATTGGTATGTTGAATCTAGCCACAGTGGACTCTGAAAGGTCAACCTCTGCGGCCCTTCCATGGCCGAAATATCCTCCGCCTTCGCTCATGCACACGTATCTGCTCTCCCTAATTGCATTATCGCTTTCCCTCTTATCCGAGTGGGAAAAAGACCCGACTATAGCTGGTGCGGGTCGGGTGTTGGTCGAGAAGGAAGAAGAAATCGAGAGGGTGTTTGTGGGTTGGTGTGGTGTTGTTGGAGGGTGGTTTACTCACAATGACGACGGGTCTGGGAAGAAGGTAAAATTGCCTAGGGAAGAACCTGGATTGAAGAGGAGTAGGAAATTGAGCAAAACCAAAGTTTCGCCGTCGACGTTGTCGAGCTTATCATCGCTCACGTCCCAGCCTGTCTCGGCAGCTGTCTCTACTATATCCATGCTCCCCTCCCCTCCTTCGACAGCCGCATCATCATCACCTTCTACGGTCAACCGTCATTCCGTCGCTCGCAGCTCCACTATGAGTATCAAGATGGCGAAGTGGAGGAAGAGCATGCCGAACGTACCGGCATTAAGTGATCTCACCATCAATCCCGATGCCGCTCGTTCCAACGCGGCATCTGCTCCGTCTCCACCAAAATCCGCCGAGCCGCGGGTGAACGGCTTTGATCAGCAGCGGCAGCAAGAACTACCTCCTCTGCCGAGATCGGCGTACAAATCGAAGGAGTGCGCTAGTGTTCGTCGCGCGTCCACGTTCCTCAGCTTGAACAATCTTGAGAAAGATTATGAACAGCGTGGGAGGGGGAGAGAGAAAGAGAAATTCTTGTCGCCTTCTGAACGAGGGGAAGTTCCTCGCAGTCGAAGCCACGGGGTCCTTCCCCGGGTCAACTGGTCTGAGAAGGGCAAGAATTCGATTGGCTTTGGTACTGTCAAGCAGCCTGGCAATGGTCTGATTGACTCAAGAGGGCGCAGAATACACTCTGTTCGCGAGTTAGCCATTTTGCCGGTTCAGAGGGTGACTAGATATGCGTTGCTGTTCCGAGGTCGGTTTCTTTAATTTGCTCTCTTGATCGGGATGGTGTTGACGAGTTTCTTCATATGGTGATAATGATATATCTAGATCTTTTAAAATATACCCCAGCATCATCACCATCACGTCCGCTTCTGGAACAAGCTTCGGAGTCCGCAGCTCGTATCGCAGCCAAGTGCGACCGAGCACAAGGGAATGCAGAGTTCTTCTTTGGTGTCTCCGTTACTGATAATATCGGATGAAGGACAAATCATACCATATTATTCCTGGATCAATCTCGATGCCTTACATATATAGAGAGACGGTGCAATCTCCCTCTTTAATCATCAATCGCAACTATTTTTGCGTCTTCTTACTGCGGGATTTTCATAGCACTACATACGTTGTTTGTCTCTTATTCATCATTCATGTACGACCTGTGACAAGCACCTTGCTGAACGCTCGTTGTTCATTTTAGATCTATGATATATCTACTCACGCCGACATAATATCCAGATCTCATTATTTGTTCCATCATGCCCCGTCCTTTCTTGTTATCTGCCTCACTTAATCACTTGTCTACTTTCACGGCTGACCCATCCGAGGCGAGTATGAATTTCCTTCCTCTATACTCTCCATTCAATTGCTCCAATATAAACCTGGTAGATTTCTCGGCCTTTGGATCCTTAGCAGTGGATGCTGTAACATGCAGCTGGCCTAAATAAGACACTACGTCGCTTTCCATTATAAAATGAACCATGTCGCTTCTTCGATATGGCACTTCTCTCCACTCAGATACCGATGCGGTGAATCCTAATTCGGACGCTACGAGCTTCAAGCAGTGTTCTATTTGGTCTTGAATATCTTTTAAGGGCAAGGGTTCTCGACGACCTTGATCGAATGTTATCGTCACCAGCTCTTTGTTTAGGTCGCGCTTTGGAATGATTGCTGGATTTACGTTGGAGGGGGGTATGGATACAGCTGGCTTATCCTAAAAGACATGATAAGTAGGTATGCATTAAATCTCATTAAATATATTTTGAGCTTACACTGGAAAGAGGCATAGCAGCTGCAAAAGTCGCGCAAACGAGCCCGAAAACAAAGATTAATGAAAGCTTGCAGCTCAAGGAAGTCCTGGAATGATGGAAAAACATGCTGACTGTAAGATCTGAAAATAAGCCATTGATTAACGTAGACGAGAGCGAAAAAGACCCACACAGTAAGTGCGCGAGCGAGGCGATACTGATTGGAAGAAAACGAGTAGGATGAGGAAATCTGGATAGCCGGGCGTAGGGAAACCGTCGAGGGAGATGGAGCGTGTACTCGAGGGAGTCGATTTGTGCAAGGATAAGAGGTTGGGAGTTTCGGGAAGCACTCTGTTTTAGAATGAACTTGTCTTTGACCAGCAAAGAGAAGTTGTGGCTGACTAGCGGCGAGCGAAAACGGGGTGATGGAAAACCTGATAAGGACTATAGCCTTATATATGTCGAATCCTGGATACTTAGCATGCGCCAAGCGCAAAAAACGCTCGCTTTTTTTCTTTTAGCCGGGAAGCTAGTCGACACTTTGCTATTTCACCTTGCTCAACCCTGCTCAACCTTGCTCCTGATAAGTCAGCCAGGCGGTGCGAGCTCGGCTAGCGCCAGTTTGGCGCCTGTCTTTTCACATCCTAGCATTCGGCTGCAGTTGAGGTGGTTGGGCCCGGGGACCCCGCCTTAGGCGGAGCCGCGTATCTATCTATCTATCTATCTATCTATCTATCCTACAAGCTCTTACACCACGCTGCTGCAATTCCTCGCATAATTATCGCTATTTTGCCCACCCACGCGGGGTTGAAGCCCATTTAAACCTCCTCGCAAGCAAGATAGATAGATAGATACGTCTCACAAAGGAACAGCTGGGCCCAACCATCTAAGTCGCAAGTATTCTTGCCCAAGCAAGGTGCAGTCCGCAATAGTGGAGCCTATGTAATGGAGGAGAGTGGAGGCAAGGAAAGGACAGATCACCGACACGGTCCCCATTATGTTGGTTCTGGAATGTGAGATATAAATCAGCATTTTCATTGTGCTATGTACATACATAGGTATGCGTGATGAGCCCATGAAATAAAATAAAATAAAAAGGTACGCGTCGGCTACCGAAGAACATTTGCCTATGTAAAATTTCCTTATAAAGTTGTCTCTGTCCGTTCCGACGGCGGAGCAGGGTCACGTGATTGACTCATAGGGCAAAAGGGATCCGATGCAGCCCTTTTGATTTAAGACTCCGACTTCAACCCTCTCCAACCAGTCTCCAACCCTGTCCCACAACAGCCTAGAACAGCCTCCAGTTGTTGCGGCAACCAACCGACCCGATGTATTTTCTTCTCTCCTCGACGCGCTATGATGCATCCCTTCTGAAATTTGGATGGAACAATGATATCGATGGACCATCTCCGTTTTTCATCCTTCCATACCACTTCGACCGCCTTCAGGATGCAGCTGAGCAACATGGCTGGCAGGAGGCCAAACGTTTGTTATCCTATGCGAAGCTGAAGGGGAAATGTCGTAGCAAGGTTGAGGAGGAAGGCACGGGGCAGGCTGTCAAGGTTGGTATATCTGGTATATAAACATGTACCTGCTATATCAATGAATATCAGGTTCGGATAACACTTTCTGAGGCAGGAGAAATAGAAGTGACTGTTTCTGCTGTCCCTCCATTCCAGGCGAATCCTATGAGCCTTGTACACTTCAATCCAACATTAGATGTTTATCCCATGAATGATCCTGTCGTGTCTGTTTATCTCGACTCTATGAGCACGCCCTCGACCCTCTTCACCCGCACAAAAACAACACATCGAGTACCTTATGACGAAGCTCGAGCGCGCTCAAAGATATCATCGCCAACCTCGGAGGTCGTTTTATTCAACGACGATACTTCCATAACAGAGGCGTCCATATCAAATGTCTCTTTCTTTCGCGCAGGACGTTGGTTAACGCCCTCCGCATCCACGGGATGTCTTCCAGGTGTTGCTCGGAGGTGGCTGCTCAGCAATAAACTCGTGGATGAAGATCATGAAGAACAGTTGACCACGAATAGCATCTCAGAAGGGGATTGGGTATTGCTTTCAAATGGTGTTCAAGGATGTAGATTGGGAAAAATTACACTGATTCGATGACGTGTAGGGCTCAAGGTCCTTATCATAATTAACCACATAATTAACTCATATCCAGATCCCCGTCATCATCGAACATGACGTTGTCCATCTCTCCTAGAATATAATCCACCGTATAACTCTCCTGTAACAGTTTGTCCATTCTCGTCAGATGCCGTTCCGTATACGGTACGAGCGAGTCAATCAATTCCTTTAACGCATTCCCGCTCTTGATGTTCGCAGAAGAATCCGCCAACTCCCCACTCACTAGCGAAAGTTCGACTACTTCGTCTGTGAACGTTTTCATAACGTCTTCGGCCGTACGCAGTTTGAATATCGCAAACAGAACTCTCTGTGCTACCTCGCTGGTTTTCGCATTTGCATTCCAATCGCGTGTGTACCGTAACAAGCGAGTGAGATCAGACCCAGAAAGAGTTCGCAGGACCTCGTCGACAGCTGGATCGCCAGATAATGACAGGGATTCCGGATCGTGTGAGCCAATGTCTCGGAACAGCGAAAGAAGTCGTCCAGGCTGTTGCATGGCCAAAGCAAGCTGGATGGCTTTACGGTAGTCATTCAGGGACAGGTAGTTGTGGTAATCTTGCTCCCTGCAATGCAAGTTGAGAAAAGATGGAAGAACTAAAGATAGACGACACAGACTTCAGAACCATCTCTTCCCGTTCAAGTTCCTTCTCCTGCTCTTGTTCTTCAGTGCAATCTTCCCAGAACGTTACGACAGAGTCAGCTGCTCCGGATATAATGGTCTTTTCATCCGCGCTGATAGCAAGAGCCCAAACCTAAAGCCGTTTTCATCAATCAATGAGAATAGCATACTATATTCAAAAAAAAACAACACATTACCTTGTCTTCGTGATTATCCAACGTCGCCGTGCACTCTTCCTCTCGAACATTCCATATTTTTACTAGGCCATCGGAGGCCGAGCTCACCATTTGCATCCCAGCATTCAGAAACTCTACCCGAAGAACCGAATTGGTGTGTCCCTCGAATGTCTTCACACATGAGAAGTCATCTATATTCCACAACTTCACCGTCTTGTCTCCGCTTCCGGTAGCCAATACACGTTCTTCCTTCCCAAAACGCACAGTCCAGACCCCTCGTTTATGTCCCTTGCACACGCCGAGCAACGTTATGGTTCCAGAGACGGACTTTTGTGAGCTATTGTTGTAACTGATTGAATATATTTTGGCAGTGCGATCTTGGGAACCAGACACAAGTAAACGATCATTGGGGGCGACGTCAAGCGAATTGATATCTTTGTCGTGAGCCTTCAATGTCATTAAGCTTTTACATCGACTTGGATCACCGTCATGTGCCTGGGAGTAAAAATCGATTTCGGAGAGATCCCACATTTTTATTGTACGGTCCTGGCTTCCAGTAAACATGAAAGCAGGAGACGGAGTTCCGTTCCCGTCGACGGAAGCTTTGCGGGACATGGCTACGGCTCCTACGCTTTCGCCGTGCCCTTCACATATTGCGACACAGTGGTACCCCCAATCAGAATCTTCATCCGTGGAGAGATTGGGTGCCCATATTCTTGCAGAGCGGTCTTTACTTCCGCTGGCAAGCACTCGCCCGTCTGCACCATGATCGAGAGCCAAGACGATATCGGTGTGCCCTTCGAGTAATCGAGCATCAAGGGTTTTCGAAGAGTAGACCCTTATCAGAGATGAATTTGTTGCCAGTGCAAGATGCGTGTCGCGAAGACCTTGAGATGACGAAGCTAGAGCGGGGGATAGGAAAGTGACATCGACGATTTCATCATTGAAACCGATTAATTGGCGGGAAAGTTGACGAGTGGAAAGGGAATGGAAGAGGATGTTCTGATCTGCATGAACCGATACTACGGTTGATGTCTGTGGAAGATAGCTTTGATAGAGAATCAGCAACCAAGAATGAGCACTGGTTCCGAATGCCTTACATTCCTTGTACAATCTGTCGTTGCTCTTCGGAATCATCTGATATTCTTGTTTGTTCATCACCAAGACTGAAAAGAGTAGTACCCTCTTTCGCTTCCCAAATTTTGATTAACCCTGATTCTCCTCCGGTGAAAAATCTCAAGTCATTTAAACCTACGGCGGACGAAGACGATTCCTCATCTGAGAGTAACAACCCCAATGCTTCGACGCGCTCAAGAATGGGAAGGGTTTTGACCAACTTGGGAACGGAAGCTTTATTTTTTCCTTTTTTACTCGACTCTGTTGTGCTTGCGCTAGAAAGAGGAGATAGATCCCATACGAGAACCACAGAATCTCGTCCTCCGCTGACCAACCAACGGCCGTCAGACGAAACGTCCAAGCCTCGAGGGACTGAAGAATGTCCTTCTAAAACAGAAATAGGCTTGAGCCCCCCAATTCTGTTCTGGCTGAGCTCGAATATCCTGATGCGAGTATCGACTGAAGCGGTTACCAACTGCATCGAGTTTTGCTGTCTCAATGAATCCGAATGTTGAGGATAGTTGAATTTGAGAGCACTGACGACACCGCCGTGGCCCTTGAAGACATGAGTGATGAACCCACGTAAGATATCCCAGACCTTCACCACGCCGTCTGCTGAGCCTGAGGCAAGATATGTAGAAGTTGGGTCGGATTCGCAAACGTGAATTGGAGCATCGTGTGCACGGGCAACAACGCGGACGGGCGATATCGAATGAGAAGATGGTTTGATAGATTTTGGGAGTTCGAATATGCGAAGTGAAAGGGAGGAAGTAAAGACTAACAGATGGCTTGATGATGGTGTTATACAGAGAGAACTAATGGCTTGGGTGTCCTAGAAGATATGAGGCGAAGAGAAACGCCAGCTGATAGAGACTCACACCCAAAAACCGACATATTTCAGCGCCGGAAGTCACATCTGTTAGCAAAATTTCTTCCCCGACACAAGTCACAATTTTCTGCCCATCCGAAGTCACCGCAACAGGCCCAGACGTATAAAGAGGAGAGATTTTACGCGCATTCTTGAATCTAATGCCTGATTTAGCATCTGTTTAATTTAGGGTAAGGGAATAACCAAGAACATACGTGGTTCGCAATTTAGGACGACTAGTTGGTACCGCCATAAAAATTTCAAGGCAAGCGCGCCTATTTTTCTCCATTTTAATTTTTCACACCGTAACACTTGACTGATTGATTTCTGAGCAAACTCCGACATGTCCGGCTTCTGAAAACTGTCGAATCTGAGCAATCTGGATTCATAATTGTGGGCCCGTTGTGGGCGCATCGTGTATCATTCATGTTGCGATAATGCAGTGTATACAATTCCGATCCAAGTGTAGTATGTAAATAGCTGTAAAGTGTGTGTGTGTGGAGAACAGATCCAGATTCCAGAAACAAAAAATCAAGTCGGTGAAGTATCTTTGTTGGCCCAGCGCTTTTCCATCAACCACAACGCCTCTTCAGCATCCCGTCGCAGTCTCATCTCATCGTCTGCCAATTTCTCTGCCTCTACTCGCTTAGTAGTCTCCTTTTCTAGTAAAGCCTCCACAGATCTTAGAGCAGATTGTGCTCTTGAAGCTTCAGTGTGTGCCTGGGCCAGTTGATCAGAAAGTCGTATGGATAGTTGAACAGCATCAGAAGCTTGTCGTCGAAGCTCAGCTGATTCAGACTCTAGTCTTTCAATTGTTTTGCTGTTCGATTCGTCCAGAGGGGGTAAAGGTGACTGAGATGAAGGGACGTTGGTTGGGTAGTTTGTTAAACCTATGAGGGAAGACCGGCGGTCAAAGGGATGTAAAAGGTCCTCGTCACTCTCATCATACATTTCCTCATCACGAGGCGTCTTAGCTCCTTCGTCACAGGCCATCAGCTCATCCTGTCCTTCCATATCCTCACATTTGACCGGTGAAAGAGACAATTCTTTGCGAGGTCGACCGCGACGGCTCACCGGGGCTGGTGCAGGTGCTTCCACCACAGGGTTAGAACTTGCATTTGAACTGGATCCGCTTGCAATTGCTGCGTCTACCTTAGGCACGGCCTTGTTTCCCCTGCCACGCTTACGGGGACGCTTAGTCCCTGGCGGAGCAGACAAATTCACAGTCCAATACGATCCAAAACCAGGATCAGTAGCAGGTCGCGGCTGCCTTTCGAAAAGACGATTTAGAGAGAGATGATGTCGCACAGATTGCTTTGGGAACTAGTTAAGGGCTAAAGAGTACACGGCCTCAGACCTACACATACCTTCCATGTGGGACCGGATGTTCTATAATAGTGATATTTCCCTTCCATTGCCGCGTATATTTCCCGAATGGTTAGCCGTTTTCGTGGACTCCCTAAGATCGCACATCGCAAGATTACAGGAAGTGTATGTTGTGGTCTTCCATCCGTATCCGGTAGACAATCAAGGGAATCCGGGCAATTGGGATGAGGTTCATGATCCACGCGTTCTGGTACTTCTTCGTGGTGATAATCTATGGCGGTATTGTCGCTGATGTTTGATTCGGGTGAAGATGGTCTTTCATTTTCGGGGGTGACATTGTGGTTCAGGAGAAGCCTTTGAACAGCTTTGATTAACGTACCACCCACTAAACAGAGAGTAATAAACAAGACGCACTTGACAGTTTTCTTTCTTACTTCGATAGGATTTAGCAGGTCACGTAGACTGGCCATGGAGTGGAAAGAGTGGAACAACGGCGAAAAGCAGGCGGTAAGTGGATTGTTGTAGGACCAAGAGGTGCTTATATAGTCTTCCAAATTCTCACACATGCTTTCGTTGTTCTCCATTCGCATCTTACCTTGATCTTACCAAACGTTTTCCATATTGGTCAAGATCGTTGATGAGATTGGCGCGGTTCTTTTTGTATCTTTTTGTGTGCTTATTCGTGTACATATCTGTCTACAAAAGGCAACAGAACCACAAAGTACAACAATCATGGATACATGCATGAGAATGCTACAAGTCTATGTATTCATATTAATTCAAGGACCATACTGACTGTAATTATAAGGATAGTTATACTCCGGTACCGCGTTCGAAACATTCATCATGTTACCGTCTGGCATCCACCCAACAGCAGGACCACCGTAAGTATTCAGATTACTATTGGATCTGGCTTGAGTGTTTATGTTAGACGAGACTTGAGGATAAGATAAGTTTTGTCGAGCGATTTGCGACGTGGGCGTTGATATCTGCTCCGCGACTTGACCTTGTCCAGAGGTGGGTGCTGGCCAGAATTCATACCCTGGAAAGAAAGACGTGGATGGTTCTACTCCAGGAACAAGGCCCAGCATTTGGGCCATTAAACGTTGGCTGAGATCCTGGACGCCTGTTTCTTCTGGAGGGCGCACTTTTTGTGCCAGAGGCCGTACTTGTTGTCCCCCTTCGTTAGTTAAGCGGAATGCTTCACGATGAGCATGATCACCGTTATTTTCTTGGCCGAAAGCATCGTCGACGTCTCGTTTTGCTCGGCCTACGGTTTCACAAATATCGATCCCAAGCTTGACACCTGTTTAGTTCAATTATTTAGGGTGGAGTTGAGCTGAATTGTTATCAGAACACACTTCCAACAGCCCCGCTGAGTAAATCTTTTGCGCGTGCGGCGCTAGGCCAAAGGACCTGTGCAAATTCAGACCAATATCGTCGGCTCGATGATTTTATAGTTCACCTCCATCTCTTGCAATGCTTCTAAGCACTGCCGTAGTCCCTTCGATGCTTGAATGTTTCTTGGCCGAAGTGTCACTGTACATGTTTGTGAGATTTTGCAGAATGTCCCTGTATTATGAATAGCATACATGTCAACAGGTGCATGATCCTGTGACGATAGATCATGATTGTAAGATGCTATACAACGGATGCAATACTATGAGACTCACCCAGTGCTGAGCATATAAGATGTCAAAAAGGGAGACGTCCTTCTTAATGTGAATTTTTCTCGCCAGGCGGTCACTTTAGGCGTAGAGATAATGATATCAGCTTTAACCTTTCGAGGGTGGACGTATTTAGAACGAACCGATGGCGCTGAGATGGGTGGCAGCCCCTTGGGCAAGATCAAACGCCTTCAACCCTAACGTGGATCTCCGCGAAGAAAAATCGATTCTGAAAAAGGTAAGAATCCAGGCAAAACCGAGCAAAGGAAAAAACATACTCAGTCCAATTTGGAATGCTAATGGGGTTAGTTAGACTTGTTGCCTTGAGAAAAGCCGCGGAAGTACTCACAATGCGCGATTGAGTAATAAGACAGCACCCCAATACCGGATGTGTAGAAAGATAACATGAGGGGGTGGAATATTGCGTTTGCTAGCCACATCGTAACGAAGATAATCTGGCAAAGCTAGATACCACTGATCAAGCTCTGATTCGAATGTTTGCAGCAACGTCCGTCGTGGGATGGTATCGATGACCGTTATGGGGTACAATTTTTGTATAATTCTACCCAGAATGGTGACTTTCAAGAACAGATGAAAATATGAGATCTCAAAGCCATGGTGAGAAAACGGGCTTACTGAGATCTCCCGTGACACGCTGACATGCAATAGTATGACATGGGGTAGGAGAGAAAGGGATCTCCATCGTATCAGAAGCCAACGGCTGCCAAAGCTCTTGATCGTCCTGAAAAATGGTTGTTTAAGCCAGTTTACTCGCAACGTGAACAGCATTTGGTTTTTCTCCCACCTCCTCAATTTCCGGTAGAGGAACGTCGAAATCTTCATCTCTGATGATAATTGGCCGTCCTGATGATGGTGTAAGATCATGCTCCTTCCCAAAAAGGTCTGACTCACCCATATACACGGACCCATACCTTCATGCGTTAAAAACATGAGGACTGAGACGAAATGAATGGAGGGGTACTCACCTGTCAGCCAAACAGCAAGCCCACCAAATCAGTTTTCTCGACTGCCTTTCATCTACGGAAAACAAGTTGTGGCCGTGATGTTTCCAACTGTCGGAATTCCGATGCAAACCCAGATCAACGGCCTATAGTAACATTCAGTCTTACAACGGGAGGAACCTCACCCCGACTTACCATCCGAATAGCCATCCCTTATGTATTGATGAGATGTTGCAACAAGAGTCACAGAAACGAACCAAACATACCAATATATATCCATCCCTGTTCCATGCCTCCAATGCCAAACTCGCGATAACCAAGAAGTAATAGCGATTGCACTGTTGAGGGTCTAGACCGATCAAATATTTTCGCTACATTTGATGTACTTCAGCAATGAACCGGATGATTGGGCAGCTTTAGCGCACTCAAAATAGTTCTGGCTCTTTCTAGGTAGTCACAACCTGCTTCCCACATTTGACCAGTAGGAGATTTGGGTGCTTCATCGTCGCAGAATCGTGCAGCAATGGAAAATATGGATAGTAAAAGCAAGTTTGTAACTTTTTGCGCGGTTTCGGGCTTAGGTGATGACACCGAGGAGGGACTGTTTTCTCGCGTCCGTCTAGGCTCAATGAGTATGCTGTAAGAAGAGCTTGACATTCCCTTACCCTTCTTTCCTAAAAAAAGTTGCTCAGTTGCTCAGGTGTAGCTAAAAACAACCCCGTACCTTGCTTTATATTCTGATAGAAACCGATTTTTGTGGATGACTGGGAACACGGGATGTATGTACGTGAAATACAGGTCAATTAGGTGGTCTTGAATATGTATCGGAGGGAGTTCGACTACGATGTCATCTTCTTGCACAGTAAGGGCGGCAAAATCCTTGGAGGGTGGCCACACACGAGCCATAGGCATTTTCCTATCCCAATTAGCAAGCGCACGAGGCGATAGAAAGGTTGTATAATACCATAAACCGCCTTCCACTCGGTCATCTGTTCGATTATTTTTGCTGAGGAACTGCAATCCACTGGCTTTGCCATGATATCGAATCTACAGTACGGAATTTATAGGATCATCAGCCTACGGAATGTAAAGTTGGGACCAACCTCTTGGTTTTCTGTGACTGATAGCTCTCCCATCCCCTCAGTTATTCCATCACTTTCTTCGTTATCTGACGGGTGTAATGAGTTCGTGAACGCATCATGACGAACGTCTCACACACCTGATAAAGCTTCGAGGGTATACATATCGTTCCAATCAGGATGTCCTTGAGAATCAGTCGGAGTTGAATCGAGTCGACGCCTCTGAGCGGCAGGTCCATCTGGTGAGGACGCAGAAGTGACACTGTACGTTGAAGAGGAAGATCCCGAGGAGCAGAGGCGAACGGCAAGATTATCCTGCCATTCTTGGGTCGGGACAACGGACAACCCCCGGTCTGATATATGCGATAAATGGACTGAACGGATCAAATTGATTCGGGACATAATTACCTTGTGTGAGCGAAACCTTTTCCCTCGATACGCGCGATTGTCTTCTCGATCGCGAGTGGTCACGACCTGGAGCAGCGCCTCCGTTACTCCGTAAAACGGAGGCAAAGAAGTCCTCTTTAGTTGCGCCTTGCGGTTGGAAACGTTTCCCTGAGGGCCCCTGTATCTAAATCAGCTTGGGATAGGAAAGAATAGACAGGGGGTAACACACATATGGTCCCATATCGACTCTATTCAGAATTTCGCATGCGAGTTCATCTTGACGAAGATCGGCGACGAGGCCCTGTACGCGAGGATCTGTGCATTGTAGGATTACGCCTAGGAGTGATTCGACCTGGTGCCATCTTTGTTCAATTGCATGAATATAACCTTTTGGAGGTCCTCTCTTGTAGCTTGGGCCTGAATATCGGTAAGCACTTTCATATCCAAGCAGTCACAACATCCTTGTACCTAGAAATGTACATGCTTGACGACAGTTAGGGATCACATTCAAAATAGGACCACTGGCACTCACTGGTCCCAGCCAAAACACAACTTTTACAAGGAACTCCCTCTCCAGCAACTCTTTCGCATTTACTTTTGGTTTTCCTGCATGAAAAGTAAGAAGAAATAAAATTTACTTTGACAGACCATTCAACAAAGGAGTTAGTTATATACTAACCTGCATTGGTCGCATGCTGAGCTCGGTTTAAGATTACGATGCATTTTAGAAGAGATATTGACATACCTCTGCTACTACGCTTTCTAGACGCTGAAAGGGATTCAGGAGCATCACCATCTTCAGAAGGGTCAGAATCGTGCCAGTCCATTGTGGAGCAGAAAGTAAGCTCAGGGAATCAGAAAAGCAAACTCAGGGAAGAAGATAAAGAGTCAATGGAAGAAAAACTATTTAAAAGTGAACTCTGCATGACGAAATTCATAACATCTTAGAGAAGCACGTGGATTATTACTCTTAGCGCGCTAAGCGGATAAGCTCGGATGTAAATCCCGGATTCCCGACAATCGACGCGACTGAGTCGGACTGACCGTCCGGTACCGGTTGCTGGACGTGCTCGATACTTCAGCTGGAATCATTTCAAGTGTCACGAGCAAAATAAAGATTGGATAAAGTTCAAATAGCGAGTGTCCTCGATTTCAAAAAGAGCAGCTTGAAAAGGCATAGAGATTTCGAATCAGTGTCAAATAAATTGTACAACTAGAGTCCATCAACCACGATCCCGGCCTACTTCAAAGGACTGTACGACAAGGGGGAGAGAATGAAGGAGTCCATGAACTTAGCTAATTGTGAAGTCTGGGTATAAAACAAGGATCAGATATCTGACTGTACATAGTGCTGAACAAAGCTTACTTTGTCTACAGTCTCTGCCCATCCGTCAATTTGCCATGCCTTTTCTCGTGTTTCCTTGCGAGTTTCAAGGTTTCTGCAAAAAAGAATAATAACTGTCAATTTCTTCAGCTTCCACTGTCAAGGAATTCGAAGACTGACGGATATTGCCACATGTGGTGGACTTGATGCAATCGGCCGACCTGCGAAAACCACGCACCGACGGGGGCGACAAATTTCCTCCTAGCGTCGATGCCTTTGCGCCTGGACACGTAATCGGTAAGAGTAAACCTCGGACGAACAACAGATTATCTCAACCATGCATGTTCCCATGCCAGAAGGGTGCCCGGAATCAGTTGGTAGGTGCGGAGCTCGAATATCCCGCCTTGAGCATGAGGCGGGGCGGTAGGGAGGAAGGCAAACTCTTGGTTTAGCTGAAGGGATCGAGAATTGATGTACGGAAGCATCGCTTGGTAGTCCTTAAGATGCTGGAAGTGTAGAGATCGATCAGAAATGTTTCAAGGATGTCAGCCAAACACACACCTTGGAAGTTTTCACCAACTGAGTAGTCTTGTCATAGCCTCCATAATTTTCATATTCCAATATGTGCAGAAATGTATCTTGCTGTCCGACAAGCGTCTCCCAGGACCCGGACAACTTCACATGAAGGTTTGGATCCCGTATGAGCCCGGTATAATAATTTTCACTAATTTTTGTCGCGTCATCATCTTCATTGGCGATTGTATGGGAATGGAGGCTCACGCAGCTTCCTTGTACTCTTGAGTTCTGTCAGGCTTTACGCAGTGAACTAAATCCAAGTAAGTTCAAAGGTTCGCACATAGAAACAGCATGAAAGACGTACACTCGAAGCCATGAACGTATTTGCCACGACCGACTAGTCGAGAGTGCTAGATGATTTGAGAAAGATCACGATGAGAAATCACCGAGCTAACGGATTTGCAAACCTGCTGAACATCAATTTCTCCAGCTTGTTGGGCCTCAGGTGAACCATGTAGAATGTTCTACATTGTCTTAAGACAAAAGAAGTAGAGGGTAGTTGTTGAGTTCACCTTGACAGAAATTGACCGCCTAGAGGCTGTGGATAAAAGATTTGTTACTGGTCGACGAAGCATGCGTAGTGGGAGTATTGTAGTAGTTGTACAAAAGGCGAGGTATATTTTTATGACGTAATTACAGGACAGACGATTGTTTTTGTCACTGCTGCAGACATAGTACTACTACGGCCAGGAACTAGAACGTTGAAACCTACCGCTCTCTCATCCATATCTCTTGTAAGCATCCTCTTCGCTCGACAGCTCTCTGGAAAAATATTCGAAAGGCCGAGAAACGTGTTAATGGTGTTGAAGCGCTGCATTCGTGCAAATCATCTTCTTTTGAGACACATGTAAAAGATATACTTGACTCGAACTACAAAGAAAATTACATTACACGGATGAAATAAGCATACTGTATGTAGAAAAGCTTAGCTGGGTGCTTACCCATTCATCATTGCCACGGAATTGTAGTGTCGCCGCAGCGATTAGGATTGATCGAACGTCACGGTCGACGAGAAACACGACTTCAGCCTGCCCACTCTTTGCTACAGCGCCAAGGAGATCTATTTCAATTGTGTCCCCTTTCCTGACGCCTGTTGATGTTCGGCAAAACGCAATACACCGAGTTAACTGAAGACCTGCCTTTCGGTATGCAGAACCCAGTTTGAGGATTTCCGTCTACAGCATGAGACGGAGGATGCAGAAGGAAGTCTTTCGTGTCGTTTGATTTGAATGAGTTGCGATTGATCTTTTCGATCTCTAAAATCTGATTTGCAGAATCGACATCGATTTGGGTAGAGGGGAGTAACGAAATGTTAGTTTCCAGTAAACATTGTGAACCGACACAGGGGGCTCTATACACCGAGGATAACATTTGATCATCCAAGGACGTGAAAGGAACAAGTTGGCGGATGCATAGAGTTGAGGTGCAATTAATGATTTCATCAAGGTATTTTGCTGCTTGCGCCTATAAGTGACTATTTTAATTTAGATTAACAGGAATTTTGTCAATACATACAATATGTTTGTTGTTTCGTTCATCTCCTTCTGCACCCTGCGTGAAAGCTTGTCCACCACCAAGTTCGATGCCTTGATCGAACCAAACCTCTGGATAGACATTTGCTAATAGAGCATAGTAATTATCAGCCATCTTCATCTCATCCTCAGAGGCATTGAGGTATTGCATGAGTGCCAAGAAATCTCGCGCCTGTGTTCGTCTCATGATCGCACCGTATCCCAGCCACGCAAATGAAGTGTGAATTTTGGATTTCACGTGTATCCTCTTCAGAATAGTTGACATAACCTCATGAGGAGGCGAAAGATAAATGGTTGACACAGAGTCGTTCGAAAAACGCGAATGTAGGGTTTGTATAATTTCCGGTAAAACAAGGTAATCATCATCCTACATGTAACACCACACGCATTATCAGAGGAGTTTAACGCGATAGATTACTCATGTACATGCCTGTATGAAGCAAAATGGTGTGGTGGCTTCTGCACAAGCAAGGAACCTTGCTTGGAAATAGAGATTGGAGGGTGAGTTGGTGATCTGGAGACGATCTGGTGGACATTCAGCGAAATCCTGGATACTAGATTTCAATGAATGAATACAATTTGTTATCGGAAAGCAAGCACTTCTTTCAAGATTCTGTTCGGACTATTGTTCCATATGTGTATACTTGCAAGTGTGTTCTCTAATTCGGGGAGACAGAGGAGAGACACTATTCGGACAACATTGGGAAACCGAGACCAGTTCAGGATGACTGCAGTAGTATCGGCAGTTTGTTTCGAGGGTGAGAAGGATAGAAGGGCAGAATCTACTGGGAATTCTTGCGGAACTTGAGGTTTCTTCATCAGCAATGCAGTAATAGTTCCCCATAGCACTATGAAGAATAACCTGGTAAGCCACATAGACGTCGGCGAACGGAAAGTTGTGGGAATTGCCTGCCTCGGCGCCGGCGACTCTTTGTCCTTCGTGATGTCACGCTGACACTGACAGACGTTCAGCGGCTCTCTACGGCTTTAGTTGAGCAATACAAGGATATGGACCTTGAACTTATTCTTGCATGCCACGATGACCGTATCTGCCTATCGAAATCAACTTCCCCGGTTATGGACCCGTACCTTCTCCATTTCAGGCCCAGATCTGTATAATTCAGCTAGCGGGGTGAAGCGAGCTGCACAGGTGGAAATCATCTTTGGACACAAAAAACACCTGCTTATTTTCCTTCATGTCGTAGGCCAAGCTCGACCTTGTGGATTCAGTCCGGCCATTTTCTGGAGCTCTAGTGGACTCTTACAATAGACGACATGACTATCTGCGCATATCGTTGACTGAAAGATGCAATCTACGCTGTAAACTTCTGGTCACATTTTAGACATCACAGCACCAACTCATTCATAGGCTTCTATTGCATGCCAGAGGAAGGTGTACAGCTATCGCTAAATGAGAAGATACTTACGGATGAAGAAATACTGCGATTGGCCAAGCTGTTTGTGCAATCTGGGGTTACCAAGATACGACTTACCGGAGGAGAGCCCACGGTTCGCAAAGGCGTGGTCGGTATCGTAGGTGAGCTTTATTCTAGCCATTTTCCCCCTTCTTATCTGATGTGGATGCGCTGCAGCTGGTTTGAATGAGCTTCGTCAATACGGTCTCAGGTCGATAGCAATGACAAGTAACGGGCTTGCTCTTCATCGGAGACTGCCGGAACTTGTAGAGAATGGGTTAACCCATCTAAATCTAAGGCGAGATTACATTCTTACGTTCCTAGAGGAACTCGTGTCAATCTCGCAGGCAGTCTAGATACCCTCGATCCTTTCAAATTCGAGTTCATGACGAAGCGCTCAGGACTGGAGGCCGTCCTCAAGACACTCAAAGTAGCCCTAGAATCTCCGCATTTACAAAAGGTCAAGTTGAACGTTGTGGTGGTGAAAGGCTTGAATGATAATGAAGTACTCGATTTTGTCGAAATGACAAAGGATCGACCGATTTCGGTCAGATTTATTGAGTTTATGCCATTCATCGGTACGTTTCATCCTTCCAGCAGTCTCAATCATGATCGTTGTTGCTCAATTGCAAGATGCGTCTAGGGAACAAATGGGACAAATTCAAGATGGTACCTTCATCCGACTTGCTTCGAGTGATATCCGCAAAACATCTTGGACTGGAACGAATGGCTGACGAAACGAATGTCACTGCTCGCTCTTGGAAGGTACCTGGCTACCAGGGAGAATTTGGCTTCATCAGCAGTATGTCTGACCATTTCTGTTCTGCTTGCAATCGCCTCAGAATTACAGCGGATGGACAAATCAAAGTAAGAACATCATGTTTGTGTTGTTGTCAAACCTTGAAAAATCCCACTAGGTTTGTTTATTCGATGCCAAAGAGGTCTCTCTACGGGATGAGATACGCAAAGGCGCTAGTGATTTCGAAATCCTTCGTTTGATTGGCCGAGCGGTCCACGGTAAAGAAGAAAAGCACCTTCAGATGGAAGATATCGACGTTGTCTCTAATCGACCGATGATATTAATTGGTGGTTGAGTGCCCTTTCTTATGTGACATCTAGATGTATCCATATCGTGTTCCATTGACTGTAGGACCAACGATTATGTCTCCCCATGTATCACGACTACGAGAGAACAAAAAATCTTACGCATTTACGAGGTTTTGTCCAATGTACCTGAAACAGCATCAATCGTTGCGAGGCTTTTCCTCGTCAGCCATTCATTCATCGGATTTGACACACCTTGACGGACAAGGGCGTGCATCGATGGTGGACGTATCCGAAAAGTCTGTGACAAAACGTTCAGCGACCGCCAAAGGGCGAATAGTTATTACTGAACGTGCTTATGACTTGATTAACAAGTCTTACTCTTCCGAATCCGAGTCGATAATGGGAAAAAATTCCTCGTCTATGGATGAGGCCCAGAAAAAGGTTCTTAGGAAAGGTGATACATTGACAGTCGCACAACTAGCGGCCATAATGGGGTCAAAGAAAACCTCTGATTTGATCCCTCTCTGCCACCCTCTCCCGCTAACAGATGTCAAAGTCAAATTGACTTGCGAGGCCTTTGAAGAAACACAGGGAATATGGAAATACAGTGTTGTGTGCCAGGCTACGGTGGCTTGCGAAGGGAAGACCGGAGTAGAGATGGAAGCATTGACTGCTGTATCCGTGGGTCTACTTACAATTTGGGACATGCTGAAGGCGGTCGCGGGTAAGGAGATGGTAATCGGCGAAATCATGGTGTCCGAAAAATCGGGCGGTAGAAGTGGGGAGTTTCACAGGCCATGATTCGTACATGAGTAATATTCACGGCTAGGTACATCTGGAGTACATTCCTGGTACACGAACACCATGTTAAACTTGTTTGTTCTCTCGAGCTACAGATGAATACACATGTCAGGAATGAACAAAATTCGCCAAACCCGGGATGATCTCTCCCTGATCAACCAAACGGCCGACTTCTTTGCCCTAGGCGTTATAGAGCATCAACTTCAAGATCCATACATCAAAATCAACAGAATTACTTACATTCTGGATCTTTACAATAGAGGGTACACATTGAACGGCAAATGGTCCCGTCCTGAAGATGTTCGATGCAGATTTCCAGCTGAAGCGCTTGAGTATATGGGCCATAAGGTAAATAGACCACCATGCTCACGTAGGACGATCGCCAGCATATACAATTAGCGCAGAGGGGGCATCTTCAGAAGAGAAGGTACGCTCGACAAGCTCTTCGACAGCAAGGCAATCCTGTAGATACTTTAGCCAAAATGGCGGCGATAAGTACTGATGATACAGACTGGACACCACATTTGCCCGTCTACAATAGACGAGTAAAAGACTAAATATTCCTCAGAAACTTTGGGTAAAGATTCTGGGGTAATGTTTGGGTCCGCTATATGGATAGGCATGGTGAAAGGCTAAGTGGGATAGCTGAAAGCCTCGAAGTGGTATTTTATAGGGAACGCGACATCTATATAATGATCTCTAATGAACTGGCAGTCACCAGCAGTGCTTATTGATGGAATCGTGATTAACCACGTGCTGTCGGCCAAAGCAGAACCATGACCCAAAGCCTAATCCTGTTCCCAAACAACTTACAGTGTCATAATTTATCTCGGGGGACCGAGAACTGAGAAGTTAGAATGGTTGATATGTATAGATATGTACATCTAGGGTAACTTGTAGTACGACACAGTCGACACTCTAGAACATGCTACAAGGAAGAAAGCTACCAACGATATCCTCACTGCAGACTCGGAGCAGTGCAGAGCACTAGAGAGCAGTGCAGGAGACTGCAGGTCGCATGAAGGATCATTTTTTTGATTCCCAAAGAGTTTACTGAAGAGTATGCAGTCCAACTTTGCAAAACAGATTAATTCGAGCTGATGGAATACCAGGGAATACCCCCAAAGTAGTTCGATAGATCAACACGAATGAAACGACTAGGAATCGACCCCTGAACCTATCGTCGAAAAGAAACTACGCTTGCAAAATCCGTATTATGTAAGCACCAGAATAATTTTAAATAGCAGCGAGAAATCAAAATGGTATAGGTCAAAGTCCTTGAGTGTATAACAGTGTGTAAGTTGGTCCATGAAATGTGCCACGATGAAAAATATCTACAGTATGAACAGACCGCGTTATGACATTACTGCATTAGTCAAGAGGTTTTAGCCCCTTAACAAGACCCCGACGAACAAGACCCTGACGATGCACCGTACGACGAGGCTGAGGAACTGGCAGCAGCATAGGTAGCGGCAGCAGAAGAGGCCACAGCCATGGAGCTAGCGACCGAGTACGACGGTGAGGCCACTGACATGCTCGAGTAGACAGCTGAAGTCATCGCAGAGGTTGCAGCAGCGGTGGAGGTAGCCATACTAGCATATGTGTTTCCGTACATATTATTTCCGGCTGTCATTCCCCACGAACTCTTGCACGAAGAAAGGCAAGAAGCGAGAGCAGTCTCCTGAACTGTTGTCGTAACTTGCTCAGTTTGGGTCGCAGTTGCAGTTGCAGTAGAGAGGTAAGTTAGTCTGCAGAATTGTCAGCTAAGTCTAGAGTTTTTAATGAGAGACTAACGTCGACAAATAGGTCAATGTGTCCGTCATCGTTTGTGTAAGAGTGTTTTCGACAGTAGATGTTTCGTCAATAACCTGAGTAGAAACGTACGTCGACACGTATGTCGTCTATAGAAAATAGAATGAGCACAGGAAGAGAAAACCTCGATTCACATACAGGTTCCACCATGGTACTAATCTCGGTCATTGTCACGAAATCTGTAGAATATAAGCAAGGCACACTGCTGGAATGACGTTGGACATACCAGTAGCGGTCATAGTTTGAACTTGGGTCTGAATACTAGTGAACCTGTGGAAAAGATGAGAGCATTGCAAATAAGGAAAGACAGCAAATACGGACATCTCTGTCTGAGTCGCGGTGAGGGTGTTCTCGACTGTCAATGTCTGGTAATTATATGCATCAGTTGCCATTCGTGAAAAGCGGTACGGCCGTGATATTTGACCCAGCTCCGACATAACTACTCACGTTGTCGATGATGTCAGTGCTCACATAGACACTCGTGTATGTAGTGGGTTGAACAATGGTCGAGAAGTCAGTCTACAAATAGGTTAAGATGAAAGCTTCCAAACGAAATCAAATTTATCGCTCACCATGGTGACGAACTGGGGTTTTGAAAGCGAAAATCTCAATTACACTGTTGGTATAGAAACAGAGGAAAATAAAAACCTGAGTATCGATCTGAGTTTGAGTAGCAGTGTCGGTCTCGGTATCCGTCATCGTGTAGACGTTTGTTTGGGTCTGAGTCTCTGTTGCGGTAACGGTATACTCTAGAGGGAAAGACAAATGAGTGAAATGCACGTTGATATCATTACGAAACAGCGACATTTAGTAGGAAAGAAAAGACATACCTTGAGTGAGAGTGTTGTCAATGACTTCGGTAGATACATAGACTTTTGTCTGTTGGTCAAACTGTGAGCAACGAGAATGATGAGCAGTAGAAACAAATAGTCTACCGTTGGAACCATCTCAATCGATGTATAAACTTGAGTCTGTGTTGTCGAAAAACGTTCTGGTAAGAAAGAAAATAGGGGTAACAGTGAAGAAATTGTTGACCTGGGTGAGGATATCCGTCTCTGTGTTGGTCTTCAGACATATAAGAGTAGAAGATGAGCACAGTAAAACACAAGGATATCTTAACCTACCTGGGTCTGGGTAACATACATTGTGACTGTAGTCGCCTCAGTCATAGTAGACGTCTGCAAAAAAGCGTAAGTTTTTACGACAGATCTGGATGATTTTTCGACTAACCTCTGTAACTGTCGAATACTCCGTCTAAATTCGATGAGGACGCGAAGGGGGCAAACCAAAGAAGTCATAAACTGACCGAGGTTTCGGTTACGGTAGATACGCTCCCGTACCCGTAATTATCGCAATATCCCGAATATCCTGAACTGCCCTCACTAAAAAACTGTCAGAGCTCATGAAAAGAAAGAAGTGATTGAGCGCACTTGATGATGATGGTTTCGTAACATCCAGAAAACTGAGTGTTATACTAAAATAAAATATCAATTTCTGTCTTCCAAAAAAAGCACTCTGATCTACTACATACCCAAGACTCAGCCTGACAAGAACCATCAGACTGTTTAGAGTATCCATAACCACAAGCCAGGCTTTTGTATCCACCGCTCGAATATGATGAGTAAGGCATCACTGAGTAGAAATCCGAGGAGGATGGCGCAGCAGTAGCATAGGAAGCTGGAGCACTGGATGAGGCAGCAGCCGTAGCACTGGCATAATTGTTGTATGCTGTCATGGCAGGGACCATCGAAACACCGTTAACTGATATCTGCGCAGCAGCAGCGCTAACAAGGGAAAGACCAAGGATTGTTGACTTCATGATTAAAAGAGTGGCTGCGTGAGGTGGTAATAGGGAAATCAAGTGGAAGTTGAAAACGAATTGGCGGGCGGTCTACGCTGGTTGACTGGCTTGCAGTGAGGTGAGGGGAGGTGCGGCTAGCCTGAACGAAGCGGCAAGCGCTCTACAGACGTTTTCATCGATCAAGATAACTTTTTAGAGGTACAATCTTGGGGACTTACCGCGAAAAATTTGAAAAAAAGAAGGAGGGGAGAAAACGAAAAGAGAACGAAAGAGGGAAGGATGAGAGCAACACATTGATTGAACCTAAGTATTTGAACCCTCGTGAAATGATCGGAATCCCTTCGCAACCAACCAAAGCTCATATCACATTATAATCTGTGTCTTTTCACACGTTGAAAGTTGGACATCTCGGTGTCTCCAGGGTCTTTGTTCTCACTTCAATTGGGCATCCCTTCCTTTGGTTCAGGCTCAGAATCCCATTGGTCAAAGTCGAAAGCATCCAATGGGAATCTGCTATGCATGTATTACAGACTACATCCTACTACATCACGCACTGCCTGTCAGTAATGTTCATCCACTAACTAGTCCTTGCTATAGAGTTTAGGAGATATCAGAGACAGTTTATTTCCTGAAGCTGCAGCACGTCTTCCAAAGTCCCCATGAACGTCTAGAAGAATTTTCAATGCGTTTCGCGCGCGAATTTTAGATATTTCGTCCGGCCGCGATGTTAAGGCGGTTTCCACACGGCGAGGCTTATCATCCCAAGGGTACTGGAACAAGATGATGAGGCACATCAATACCAAGAGAAGGAGCACTTACGGGGAACTGAACAATGATATGAAGACATACATATGGCAAGAAGGGGCGATGAGCTAAACCTCGTGAAACTGAACTACAATTTGCTTACAAGTTTCTTTAATTGTTCGTATGCAAGAAGAGTGAATCCGAATTGAGGGCTACTTCTTAAGACTCGAGCTGGTCCGCCCTTGAACAGCGCACGAAAGCCTTCCTCGTGGTCTAAGGAAATGATATAAAATAAGATCCAATTTCAAGGATTTGTTTAACCTACATATTTTAACGAACGCGTCTCGAAGACCTTTATAGTGTGTCTGCCCTTTCCGGGCTTCGACTTGGAGTCGTGTTTTGACAACATCTTTAATCAAACAATGAGCGCCGCGCGATGACAGAAGAAACATATTTAGGGCTTACCTGCGGGTGTTGTGAAGTAGGCTGCTGGCATACCGCTATATAGCATGACATCAGTCATTCAACGTCAGAGCACTGCATGTTGATATTACAAATATCGGAAAGGATGAAACCTACGCGATACCAGCAGCAGCGAGAGTTTCTATGAAAGATAACTGCTTGCCATTGTACCCTTCCTTGAAGACATCGGATTTCAAATGCCCATATGCAGGGAAGTAGATGGCAGAGAAAGGAATGTCTCTCAAGAGGCAGGCACTGGCGCCTTTGTAAAGACCAACAAGACCCAACTGGCGTATGATGTGCATGGCTCCCCTGGGTACCGCTCCTTCGGCCTTGGCAGCCTCACCCTGAACTTGTAATCGAATTTTACTACAATCCAATCAGGCTACAATTCCTTAACAACGAGTAGCGAAACGTACACAATCTCGAGAGGATTGGTGAAGATCTGTGCTATAGTCAGCATCACTCTGCTGGTGTGAAGACATTGACGGACCACTTGACATCCTCCTGCAGTACCACCAGCGACTAGCTCCCATCCGAGCTTGATACGGCCAGTTTCAGGATCCATCGCTCGAGATCGGATAAGATCATTGACAGTCAGCTTGATGGCTTTTTCAGGTGCTACACCCTTCAGAACGATGTTAACAGCTCAATGATAGGGTTTTACTTGCGAGAAATTGTACGTACGATAAGCTGAGGGCCAAGACCACGGTAAAAACCAAAGAATCCTTCATTCACAAGGATTTTGCGGGCGCAATCAATGCTGTTCTTATATAACACTTGCCCAACCACTGTACTCCTCTGGTTCTGCATCCTTTCGCAAGAGTTCGAAAACAGATGTCTCAGCGTATGCAAAGTAAACTCACCGTGTCTAGGAAATGTGGAACCACCAAGGTTATTTGGGATACCTGAAAACTAATTGCAACGATTGCAACATACCTTGACTACAACAGAATGTGAGTAAAACACTACAATTAAATTTTTCTGATACTCACCCATGTCGATAGGATATACGATAGTTGCTCCAACAGCACCAGCAAATCCTACAGAAAAACAAATTCTCCAGCAATGCAGCGTATGGTAAGAATAATGACATACCTCCTTGGATGAAACTATACGCCGAATGCGCGATCGCATGAAGTGTAGACGTAGCAGTTGGTTTTTTTGCTTCTACTGCATCGTAAGGTGCCACCCATCGCGGGTCGAGCAATTGCGCAAAGTCAAGGAGTGCTAGACGTTGATCACCATTGCCACGACCTGCGAAATGGAAAATGATGGACGCCTCCATAGGAGTGAATAGTGAATATCGTGAACTAGAAGATGCATAATCAAGGAAATCTGATTGATTTATGCGACCATCCTTGCTTAAAGCGGTTGCTTCGCGTATGATACTGTTGACGTCTGATAGTCAGTAAGTACGAGGCACAAAAAACATCATATTTACCGTTCGACCATGTCCATTTCTCTAATGACATTATGAAAAGCTATAACTTCAGAATAAGAGATACGTTGACCAGGTGATAATGTGCAAAGTGTAGGAAGTCTATCAATTACTGCGTCAGATAGTTTATGGCCTGCAATTTCCTGTACGTATCGGTGAGAATGGTCAAAAAATGGGGCAGGATGAAAGATCAACGTACTAGGATGATGCGTTTGAATTCATCGGGTCTAATAAAGCCATCTTGGTCCTTGTCTAAATATTTGAACGCTTGGCGCAAGCGTTCTCCTTGCAATCCCTTCATAAGTTGGGTGAACTCGTTGTCTGGAACCCGGTCAAACACTTGACCCCAATTGACAGTCGTGCACTCACATCCAAGAACGTGTGCGCCATTCTTCTTTCCTAAGTAAAGTTTGACCCAATCACTGTAAAATGAGTTTATTAGGACGATGATCTACAGCAGGACCCCTAGCTTTGATTTCACCAATCGAAATCAAACGGAATGGCATCTGAACCAATATTGGCGCTCATAACATTCTTGAATTCGTCAAAATCAATATAACCAGAGTTGTCACTGAGAGCTCAATATGAATATGAAATCATGATAGCGGAATGAGGAGACGCACACGTCGAAAAATTGAAAAGCCATCCAGTAATCCGCATCCGGACGTTTGAGAAGCGTCTCAAACACGATGAAATCCTCCCAAGAAACCAATCCACGCTTTGAACTATCTGCTACCTTGAATAAAATAGCAAATTGCGCTTTCCCAATCTTCGAAAGGTCGCCAGTAGGTGCAATGGCATTGACGAAGCTGTCTGGGTCTAAATACCTGCACAAAACATATAAGCAGTATCAAATATCTTGACGCTTCAACACTCACCGTTCACCATTAATTATCTTCGAGTTGACGTCAAATATACGCCTCCATCTTCTGAGTTCTGTCTCCGGGACACTGACGGCAGTTCGAACGGATTTTATAGCAGAAGCAGCAAGTGAGCTATCGGAATCACAGTGGACGACTGGAAAGACTGTAGACAGAATGCCCATTTTGAAAAATAGCCGTAGTGTAGGGTATCGGGAGGCAAAAGTGAATGAGCCTCGATATTAAATTGAGGGATAATAAAAATCTGTCAAGGTGCGCGCGCGCGTAGAAGTAGTTGTGTGTGATGTATTACGTCAGCTTCCGATGCGCATTTAATGCGGAGAACATCGGAAGTACGGTAAGTAGGCTACCCCTGGGCTACCCTGGCTAAATTCGCGCTCAAAACTTGCTCAATCCTGAGCATTACACGCTACTTCGAACGGAAGTCTGAAGCTGATACAATACATCTCTTTTCCAGGGGCCACTGAACGAACTTTTCTAATTTCGGCATCGATTAGTCCACCCAACTTTTCTTCTACCCGCTGAGTTCGACGGATGGTTTTGAGAGACAGACATTAACACATGTTTTTGCGGCTCACCTGTTTAATATCGATCTCAGCTTGTTCCGGCTCCAGTTCTCTCGTAAAACAATGGCAATGAATCGTGGGCATCGTTGAGTATACTTCTTGGAGTGCTTTAGTTGAGAGTACGCCCCGAAAGGCATCCAGAAACATTATTGCAGTATCGGGCAAATTCATCACGAAATGATCTATCTTATTTCTAAGGAGATTGGCCTCTGATGGTGTGCTAACGCTGCTAGGCTTGTCGCGCGTTGCTTGTTTTTGAAGTTTCCGCAGTGCTGTCTTGCTCAACTTGGGCCCCATGTAGGCAGGAAACGGTGTGTCATAGACTCTCGCGAACACATTGCGGATGAAATCTCGACCGTCCTCGCAAAATGCCCTCACTTCGTCAGAAACCTGTTGCATGATGAAAATGGTATCAACATCAGACACAGTGACTTACCTCATTATCCTTGATGTTTTGGCACAGATACATATAGCTAGCAGGATTCAAATCATTTGCCATCACCGCGCATCCCTTCTTACCGGCAGGAATGGCGAATGGCCCTACGCCAGCAAAGACATCCACAAGGACTTCACCAGGGTGGACTGATTGCACGATGCGGTCGTGCTCGGTATGAAGACGAGAGTTCCAATACACGCGAGAAAAATCGAAGGTAAAGCGACAATCGGATTCATGCTACAACATGAAGAAGCTGTCAGCAAACGCATTGCTTTTTCAGAGAAATTGACGCAACATGTTCTACAATGAAATCAGGTTCTCCTGCAATCACCTCCATCTGAAAAAAACGGAACTGCGTGTCGATATTATCCAACTTGTTGACGACGGTTCTGATGGTTTTGTTTTTCTACGCCAGACATTCAGTACATGATTCAGATGAAGATCAATAAAAAGCTAACATCAAGGAAGAGTTGGCCAATGGTCTTTTTGTAGGAAAGATAATCGTCGTTCAGATTTACGTGTGCTTGAAACATTTTCAGTCTACATTGCGATTTGGTATTGCTCTCTCATGAACATACCAATGTGACCGGTAGCTGCAAAGCCTACGGGGGCTCCTTCACGGAGCTCTTCAGGGAGTATGGCCTGAAGTAATTCGCCTTGAATGCGATAGGTGGTGAACATTCACTAAACGCTGATTTAGAGACGTACTCGCTGTCCAGTAATCATAATCCAAAACCAGATTATACTCCGTGAACCCGTTGCCTTTGCTTTCTAATAGTTCCAATGATTCTTGAGATAATTGAGCTACCTTGCTGTTTGGTCAACGTCATACTCCAACTTCAAGTGGCCAGTGCTCACCTTGATCAGACACGCCCAAAAGTACCAGTCTGTCACCCTCTGGTGCAGAGGGATCGCTCACTACCGGCCTCACTTTCGGCAAACCTATGAGATATCTGGCAAGAATCCTTAAGAATGATAGATAAATGACACGAATCTGATACATACTTTCGCGTCACTTCCGAATGTAAAATCAAAGCGATTTGAGAAGCGGGAACCCGTGCGGCAAGAACTGGGATAGATTTTTGGAACACAGCCTTGTCAAGAGGATGGAGCGGGCCATTGTATTTTGGTGGTGTAGTATCCAGGTGCGACCTCGAGTACAGTTGCCGGGACATTCCTGAGCGAATTCGACGCACTAAAGGTGGAATTCTAAGCATACAGAGTGAACACAGGATAAACTTTGATAAATTCGGTAGAACGGCACATGGCAAAGGACCCTCGACACTCTTATGTGACAGGCAAACTGAAATCGTCGACGAACATAAAATGTTTGTTGCTAAGGTAATTCGACATCTTGATCAAATGTGATTTTCTCTTAAATCCTGGACGGCGTTCATTATTTTCCGACAGCATCTTGTCTATGGACACAGGTCTACACCTAGTTATTCGGGGCCCAGCGTCAAGTTAACAAACATGTCTTCATCGGAACTGCCACCGTCCGAAGTTCTACAACATGTAGTCGATGTCCACTGTCATCCCACAGATGCACCCTCGATACTTCCCGAATCAATGGAGAAGTTAGATATAACAATCTGTGCTATGAGCTCAAACCCTTCAGATCAGCCATTAGTCTATAATTTAGCCAAATCGCATCCTCGGAAGGTGATCCCTTGCTTTGGTGCGTTGTATACATAAATCCTTTGTTTACTTATTGCCGGCTCATACTGTTCCCTGCTATTCATCAGGCTACCATCCCTGGTTCTCTCATCTCGTTTGTCTCCGTGGAGATGTTTCCAAAGAGGATCATTATCGAGACTTATTCTGCGCATCTAGTGCTGAAGATCTCGAAGCCTTCAACGCTCTCTTGACAAGCCTTCCCTTGCCTATTCCCCTTGACAATCTCTTGGTCGACTTACGCCGGAACCTCCAAGAGTTTCCTCACGCTATGCTGGGCGAAGTCGGTCTTGATCGCGCGTTCCGTATACCTTACGATTATAACGCGTCTCCCCGCAAGTTGTCCCCTTTCACGGTTCCAATCCAGCATCAGATCACAATCTTACAAGCACAAATGGACCTCGCAGTCGAATTGGGCAGAAATATCAGTCTACATAGTGTGAAAGCACACCAACCCACAATGGAACTGCTTGCTAACATGGAAACCAAACACGGTGTAGATCGTTGGAACAAAATTAGCTTAGATTTGCATAGTTGTGGATTCAAACCGGAGATGTTGAAAGATATTCAGGTATTGAAACCTATTCAATATATGTATATCTTGATCTGATCTTGACTGATGAACAAACTCAGAGGCGTTACGCGAACACATTCCTTTCATTGTCTACTGTGATAAACGGGCGGTCCCCTAATCATCTATCATTAATCAAGGTCTGTGATCCCCTTCGTATCCTGGTGGAATCCGATTACAACGACGTGGATATGTGTACTGAACAAACGTGGGGCATGATTCGCACTACGGCCGATGTCAAAGGTTGGACAATTGAGACCGAGTGGAATGAAAATGAAAATGATTCCTCAAAATGGGGAGTTGTTCGACGGTTGGAAAAAAATTGGTTAAGGTTCAAGGCCGGGCACCATTCTGCGAAGAAAAGGAAGTAATGTATTGAGGTCCATTCTACACACCACCTGCAATGCACTGGCATTCAGGCCGGTGCTCCTTACCACAAGTAAGATATGATAAGTATGATACAGATTCCAATCACAATTCCTAGAATGACAGAATCCCGCCTTCGTCTGGACTTGATCATGGACACCAGATTGTTGATACCGGGCAAAGTATCTGTTCACTTATTAGATTTTTACTTCGCGAACGAACAGTCAAGACGCACTGAGAGCATTACCAACACGGGTATTGATGCCTGATAATGAAGAACGTTGCCTAGCAAGATCTGCACGCGTTTCGTAGGCTTGACTTAACAGAGGAATTGATCATCATTGGGGGTCGGGGAAGAGAAGGGGCGCTCACTTGATAAGATCATCTGTCATACGATGTGAGCTGTCAATCCTTCCTCGTTCGGCGAGCAATGAGTCAGCGGCGGAAGATTTGTATGCGCTACTCTGAACGGTTGGACAATAAGTTACAGACAATACAAGTTGTAACGCACTCGATGTCATTCCTCACACCGCTCAGTAGATTTGCCTGGTCCAAAGCGTTTTGAACGCTAGTCTGATGGATTTCATTGAGTATGAAATAGTAGCGCATGTAAGGTCAATCACTTTTGTACGCTTGAGTTCTCGAGAGTTGTCCTGGAACAGTTCTCTGTGTCTCTGTATTGCACGTAACATAGACGGCGACAGGATTTCGGAATCGAGTGCAGCCAGTTGTTCATTAGTTTCTTCTAGCTGAGTAACTATGTAAGAGTGAATTCACGAAGACAAAAAACAGTGAAATAAAAACTCGCCTTTTCCAGTAGTTCCTCGGCCTCCATTTCAAGATCTTTCCACCTAGCTCTCGAACCTTCGGCTTCTACATCTTCTGAAGGACGAGAGATAGTCGAAACGAGCTGCGAGTAGGATGTGAGTTTGGTGTCGAAGAGATTTTCCAGTGTCCTGCACTGTCGGTGAAGTTGTTCGTAGCTAGACATCAGTTCGTGGAATTGGAAGAAGACGTATACAATAACAAGCGCTCATTTAAGCGCTTCAACATATATTGAGTCGGATAATCGGCGAAATCCTGGGTTTGGGTCAAACTATGATATCCAAGGTGTGTACCCTGCAGTTCCAGCTGGACATAAGTAGCCAATTGAAGAAAAAAAAAGATACAACTTACTAGGCTTTGAAATTCCTTGGAATTTCAATATTTAGATTTGAGACATTGTTAGACATTGTTACATACTGTTACATACAAAGAGTCGCAAACAAAACTTGATGTTTTGTATCAAGAACTCCAAGATCACTGTACATAGTCTCTCTAGATCCTTAAGTAGCTTTTTGGATTCGTTCGTTACAGTTCGTTACGCGAGGACTACGCGAGGTTCACGCGTCACTGGTGACGACGCAAGCGGTACGATTTTTACCCAACCTTAAAGGAACCGCGTCAGTTTCCTTTCAGGTTTCCTTTCCTGCGACAGTGTATCCCCTATATACACTGATCATTGTTGAGTACTTGATAGTAGGCATGCTAAGCAGATTTTGATTGCATCGATGTCTATCAATGTACTGTACTATCATCTTCTTACTATTCGGCAATATCTGATATGCCTTCCTCGTGTCTGCAACACAATCAAGTTCACGACGCGCGATTACGCATTTACCAGAGTTCTGCCAGCCACGAGTTGTTGGTAAAGGTGATTCTGCATCGACTTCCTATCCTATGAGCGACTCTGAACCTTCCAGATTCATTTTGTACATCTAAACCTGCTGTAAGACGCTCCAGATTATTTAACCTCATCGTTGCATGCATGATTCTAAATGAAATAAACGTAAATTGTTAACGGAAAGAATAGATCGACATATGAAAAGGTGAAGAGTCCTTCATTCAGAACCTGAACCAACTTTTCGCAGATTGTTCAGCTGCTAGTTTCTTGGCCTAAAACAGCGCTCGTTAGTGAATCAGGCCCTCTTCACAAGGGATCAATCACACCTGATCAACCATGCTACGACTTCCAGACTCCAAAGAATTGAAACGATCTTCCAGATCACCCAGCATTTGCCTAGACATATTGATTATGTGAAAACAATCCTTGAATATTGTGGATGTTACGCACCCTCTTTCATTGAGGGCAGAAGTTAATCTATCATACAACGAGTTTTGCGTCGCAGCGGCTTGCTTCGCAATTTGTGAATGATCTCTTGCTGCATCATTGGCCAATGCCTGGGATCTTGGTTGCTGTATAGGCACAGGTCTGTCGGGCCCACCCACTAGAAAACAATCACTATTCAGTCAATTTGAATAGTACATAAATGGTAACCTACGCAGAGCATCGATTTGAGCGCCAGTCATTGATTGTCCGAAGTTGAACCATGAACCCAAGATGGATGTAGGCCCTAGAGATACGGGTTGCGGCTGCGCAGGAACCACGGGTTTGGTACTGAGTAGGTCAATTGCGGGTGTTGTCTCGACGCGACGGAAATTGAACAACGTCCCGTAAGTCGCTTGGCGTATCAGTCCGTTTTCTGGATTTCGAGTCCACGCGAAGAAATCGCCAGTTTCATCGACAGATATAGGCCTATAGCAGAAAGTAAATAAGACCAGCGAATAGAACAAAGGGAGATAACGCACAAGTAGGTTATCGGTGGAAGAGCCATGTTGTGCAAACACTCTAGGTTTGGTAGAGAATAAGCCCATGCTTCATGATTCTCTGTAAGTGCCACCAGAGCGTAGGAGCCTGCAGATCAATTGGGCATCAGTAGGCTGACCACGACGATGTGCAACATACTCAGTTTCTGAACAATTTGAACAGTGAGAACTTTGCCCATTTTATGATTCCATTCGACTTTACTAATGCGCTCGCCGGTGATGTTGACATTACAGCGAACACCCTTCGTTCCGGCCATGACAAGTAGAACCGGAGCGCTAGGTGATATCAAGGAGGTATCCAGAGACGTTGCTAGCCTTGACCTATCGGCGGTACACCGACTTCCATTTTTGCTATTGATGACGAACATGCCTATAGGGTGAACAGAACCGTCGAACTTCACCACTTCTTCAGTGGGCTTCCAAGAGGAATCTAACGATCGACCAAACGTGAAAACTTGAGAGGCACCCGAATCATGGCCAGCAATGAGCCGAAGCGCGAGGCGATCCTCTGTATGTAAAAGTTAAGAGTGGAAACAAGTTGTGGCGCTAATATCCATACCTTTGTCTGTGGGACTTATGGTCCACTCAAGAGAAGTTATCGGATCTGTGTCCGTGCCCACATGTAGGCCAATTGAATGCCTGCTCTTAGCTTTCACGCCATGGCGTAGAATAACTGTCGGACCCCTCATGTCAATCACAAACAAACACCCATCGGCATAAGCAACAGCAAGAAAACCTGGGCATTTTTCAGTATGTGTACACCATCGTTTCTGATTTGACGATAGCCTACCGACGTCTGCAAGAGCACATGCTGATACCTGTCCCCGATTTGGTGAAAGAGCGAAGAATGGAGAGAATCTTGAAGTTGAATCAGGACTGGGAAAGACATGTCGCAGAGATAACAGCTCTGGATCAAGAAGCTCTTCGAAGGGAGGAAGAGGGTCTGGGGGTGATGTAAATTGATATAAAATAACCATTCCCGAAGATAGGACCACTGCGCATTCGAAAGACTCCGCCGCCATCCTGACATATTGAATAGTATGATCTTGCACAGGTAGCTTGGAAGCCACAAAAGGAGCCATGAGGACAACATTGGTATCGATAGTGAGATTTGGCAATGAATTTGGAAACTCGCAATCGATGGGGTCCGGTTTGAACTTTTGAACCAACTGAGCGCTTACATCCCAGATTTGAACTGAAAGATCAGCATGCCATGTAATAGTTATACGAGGAGGTTGATACTAAAGTTGAGCTGTTGAGTATGGTATGGTTTCGATTATCATTGGATTTCATACCTTGGAAATATGATCAACAGGATCTGACCACGCGTAACCAGCTTTGAGGCTCAAGGCATGCGCGGGAGCGTCGGTTTGGACCAGAAATGAATATGCGTCTTTAGTCAACGTTCGAATCACACCTCCCAAAAGCCCGCTGGTTCCGTTACTGAGATATCCAGGGAGCTGGAGGCGACGAGGGTCATTGTTTATCTGTAAGTCTTGCAAAGTGTTGGCCAAATCATCAAGGGTATCTCTTCCTTCCTCAACCGGGTGTGGATCATCGTGGGCATGTTCAGCAAACGCGGGTGGAGGGAATTCGTAGGCTTCGACTACTCGCGTCCCGGCTACAGACTCTTTGACTACTAGGATTGAAACTACATCAAAAGATCCAGTAAAGTGAGGACTCTCGCGCGGTATAAGGATATAATCGTGCACCGTCCCGTGGATTTCATAGAAATAAGTATTCATAGGTTCAACTGATGTTCGCATGCTCGATCTTATGTATGGATGTAAAGCAGGAGTAGTTGATTGAGACACAGGAGGGTCTGTGGGATTGAACGCAGGTAGCCAATGGACAGTGATACCTGGAGGATCTTCCAGACTTAGACCACCTAAAATGACAAGAGCGGTTTCACCACCCCTAGGATCAGATGAATTTGGAAAAGAGCACCACGATAGTTTGAAGATAGGCTCTCCGCTGAAAGCCGCAGTTTTTTCACCTTTATGGGCAAGATGTGCTTCCAGTTGCTCTGCATTGACATTTTGCACGTCGAGATCGTTGAGAGTCCGCACGAGCAGAGGCTGGTCTTCATCCTCAATCGCCCAAAATGCTATGGACCCATCCGCATATCCAACGGCGAAGAAATGACCAGCTGGATGTACTGCCATGCAGGTCGCTTCAGGGCGACGATGGGTGAGGATATCCTAGTCATAAATATGAGGATCGTTGTCAATTTTTGGAAGCTTCCCAATGCCAACTCACATTACTTCCATACCCCCACCCTCCTGGAGCTCCAGGAGGATATACAAGCTCATACGTTCGAAGAGTATTGCGATTGCTCTGGAGACCCTGAGCGAAATATACACATATTCATAATGAAAGACTCACTAGATCAGACAGTACAACACCCCCTGCAGCAGACTTCCTCAGAATAGAAAAGGTTGCATAAGCTTAAAATGGCGCACCCCGGTAGATGACAAACAAGAGGTTCAAGTCTCGAGGATGTGTCAAAGTATCTATCGCAATTCCACTTTCTTACCGCTCAATGAAATCAATAAAGATTCGGAAACATGAAATGCTTACGAAGTTGGCGTAGCAATCTCTGGCATTCCGCTTGCAGCCATTTTCTCTTCGTACAGTGTCCACATGTTCGGGATACGATAAGATGATTTGCGAAGGCATTCCAAGTCATAGGTTAGGACTTCACCAGCTTGAAGGGCAACGAAAGCCTTGGATGTCAATGTTAGCAGCATCGCCTAAGGATCGAACTACGGATAAGACCAACATGCGAATGAGACGGTGAGATGGTAATTGAGCTGCGAAACGATAAGGGAACAAACGATGAAGGACAAAAGAGCCTTCCCTCACTTCGGCTGGTCGAACCGTGTAGTCGCCAGAAGTTTTGGTTGGCCGTAAGTCGAAAGATCATAGATATAGAGCTTGTCGTGATCATCTGTGATAATACAATGTTGACATAGGATCATTTGTCAGAGGAGCTTGCATACCAAGGCATAACAACTTGAAAGTAGAAGGTGAGATGTGAAGTGTTTTCACTACGTTAAGGTCAGGAAGTGTGATTTTGCACGTAACGCCTGGCTTTCCCAGCAGCTCGATGCTTCCAGGAGTAGCTAAAATTCCCCTGAGCTTCCGCTATCAGCCTGAATTATGAAACACGCACCAACTGCCAAAAGACCAGCAATCGGCTCGTACGCAAGGGCAGTGACTTGCGACGCATATTCAATAGTCCTCAGTACTCCAGGATTCCAATCTTGTGGTTCATGCAAGTCGAGAGAGAGATCGATAAACGAGTCATGGTGTTTAAAAAACATGCTCATTGTATGTCAGGCTCATCAATGATAATATATCATCGACTTCAATACATAAAGCACATGTATAAAATGCATCAAGGAAATACGTTCAAAGCGAGAAGATGTGCGAAAAGGTGCGCTAATGATACAGAGTATGTCAATTGTCCAGTATGTATATTGTAGAGAGTCAAGTATCATTATCTCATGGAAAGTCTCGCTGTATTGTAGCTGAAGAGGCTCCGCGTATCTTTCCTAACCAGCTACGTTTTTTTCCGTCAGCAGGCTGTCCTACACTGGGCAAGGAAGCGCCATTCGAATAATCAGGCAGACTAGGAGGGGATTTTATGAAAACGGGATTGGAACGCTTGGGCGATGGCATAGGAATTGTAGGTCGATTTTGATGCCGTGCGGGTGTAAATCCTGTTTGGATATTACTGAGGACTCTGCGAATCTTTGGCGTTGCGTGTTCGGACCCTTTCTCGCCATCTCCTGGAAGGCTTTCTACTGTGAAAGCCTGTGGAGGGATTTCATATCCTTCAAAGTCATCAGGTGCTCGACGCTTCTTGCTTTGCGCCGCAGGAGCGGGTTCAGATTTGGGTTTGTCCTTCTTGGGTGACATGGCCCTAAGCACAGGTCCTAGTACGTTTCGCCTTTCTGGAGTTTTAGGTCTGGGCAACGCTGAAGGCACGGACACTACTCGGTTTAATCTGTCGGGAACCGCAGGGGCCGACACCCTATCGGAAGGGCCAGGAGTACCTACCATAGTATTTGAACGAGGGCGAGACGTGGATGCGGAGGTCGGAACCGAGGTTGAAGGAGACAAGGAAGATGTCGATGCGGAGGCGGGAGAAGATGTGGAAGGAATGCGCTGCTCAATCGTCGGAGCAGGAAGGGTGGCTTTGGCGGCGGCCAGTTTTGTCTGAAGGTTAGACACTTTCCGAGATAGAGACTCGACTTTCGTTTTCAGACTCTTGTTTTCCTTCATCAACCTGAAATAGCATATTTTCAACTTGAAGCAGTTTACCAAATCGCCATCATCGCTTACCCTAGTTTGACATCATCGTTTTCTTCAATTTCCTCGCATTTTCTTCTCAACAGGTCCTCCATTTCATTGATACGTTCCTCTAGTTCAGCAACCACGCTCTCTAGGTCCGGACGACCCTTCAAAGTCTCCACCTCATGGTGAAGTTGAGAAACTTCCCGTTTATGTTGGGTATTTTGGAGACTGAGATTAACCTCGGCTGCGCTGCAAGCCTTCTCGACCTTGGCTAAGTGGTTGTTGACGTTCTCTAGCTCAGTGCCCAGGTTTGCAATCGTGAGTTCACTAGACGATGGTCAAACTACGATTCCAGAAGAAATGCTTGGGATGCCTACCTCTCACGGATTTGACTCTCCAGATGGCGATTCAGGGATAATGATCGTTGATTTTTGGCTTCGAGTGTCGTCATTTCTCTTTCAGCAGTTTTCTTCTCGTCTTGCAACGTCTGGATTTGCGCAACCGCTTTCCGAATTTGTGTCTCAAGCGCCGAGACGTTCTGACCCAGTTCATCTACTCGCAGCTCTGCCTGTTCTTGACATTCTTTGGCGCTCTGGAGCGCTTCTTCGTAGAAAGATCGATCCTGAAGACGGCCGTGAGCTTCCTCCTCCAACTTTTTCTGCAACGCGGAAGCCTGTTCTCGAGATTGATTGGCGGCTGTCGATTCTTCTTCGAGTCGTGTCTGTGTTTCCGCAAGTGCATCGCGCGCTTCAGCCAGGACCTTTTCGTGTTCTAGACGAGCTTTTACCAACTCGTCAATGTTACGCTGAACAGATTCATCGGATTTGTTCAGTTTTTCACGTGTAAGAGTCAATTCCAAATTTGCAGCAGCCACTCGTTCTTCCAGTTGCCGAGCCTCGTCCAAGTGTTTCTGACTGGCTGTTTCCAAGCTTTCCTTGATCTCTTTCAGGAGACTGAGCTCACGAATCGCCTCCCGAAGCTGTTTCTCTACTTGAGCCTTTGATTCGGCAGAGTCTGCTAATGACTGCTCATGTGTGACCTGGGACGAGCAGTGTCGGGCCTGGAGTTCATCGAAAGCAGTGGTTACTTCGACTAAACGCGACTGCAACTGCCCGAGCTCCTCGACATGCTTCATCTTTAGTTGCACCAAGTCTCCCTCCAGATCGTTGAGAGCCAGGTCCTTGTCTTTCTGAATTATTTGTTGCTGAAGATCCTCCAGAGCCACTCGATGCTCGGTTTCTTTGAGCGACAGCGAAGAGCGCGCGCTTTCGAGCTGAGATTCCAGCAACGCAATCGTGTCAGCCCGCTGCTTGATAGTGCTTGACGACTCCTGTTGTAGATTCTCCAATTGGGATGTAAGAGTAGAAACCTCAGTGACGCGGGATCCGAGTTGATCCTCGAGTTCTCGAACTTGTCCGGATAAATCAATCTTCATCTGCACGAGATCTTCGGTAGACATTAAGCTCCGGGTCAATTCTGCCTGCGATGACGCTAAAGATTCGGCTGTTCGTTTTGCATCCTGCTCCGAGGATTGCAGACGTTGTTTCACGTCTTCGAGAGCTTGGTTGAGGGTCTGTACATTATGCAGCGTATTATCGTGCTCTTCCAAGAGGCTCTGCATACGTGCCCGCATTTCCTCAATCCGACCGTTCTCCACAGTCATCTTCTCCTTGGTCCTAGCCGAATTCAAAAACATCACTTCGATAATGGCCTCCTGCTCCTGATTCCTGTCCTCGAGGAGATTTTCCAGACGCTCTACATCTTCTTCCAACTTTTCAATTTTCAATATTGCTTCGTCTCGCTGATCCCTCGCATCCGCACAGTCCTCGACCATGGCATCTTTTTGAGCCACTATCATTTCCATCTCTGTTGTCATTTCGGCCAATCTTTCCTCATGCAGCCTCAAGTTCGTCTCCAACCTTCGTATGTCATGCTGATGAATACCGATCTGTTCCGTGCGGCGCATAACGCGGCCTTCCAGTTCTTCTATCTGGGAGCGAAGGGTTTTCGTAGCTTGGGTTGATGGCATATCAGAGAGTTGGTGGAACTGGAGTTGCGTATAGCGCGATTCTGCTTCGGTAAGCTCTTGTCGAGCAGAAGCAATTTCGGAATCGAGATTAGTGACCTGCACGCTGAGGGAATCGCGTTCGGACGTGACAGTCTCAAGCATCTTAGAAATTCTGACCACCGATGCGTTCAAATGGTCAACCTCATTTCTGGACTCTTGCTGTCCGATATTAGCATCGTCAAGCTTTGTGCGCCACTCCATGTCAAGGGCTGAAAGACGAGACATGGTGTCATTCCGTTGAGTGGTCGTTTCTTCAAGTAGTTGTATCGTGGTCGTAAGCCTGTCTTCTGTCTCGTGTAACCGAACTTCCGTCAAAGCAAGTCGGTTGTATTTTTCTTCATATGCAGAGCAAGCCGAATTCCGCTGCACTTCCAACTTTGTTCGATCTGTCTCCAGATGACCGATAACAAGGCTGCAAACCAGTGCCAAGCCTCGTAGGCGCTTGATTTCCTTCCACTGCCCTTCCGCTGTTATCATGCCGTCTTGAGCTGTCTTTTCCTCTTCTGAAGGGGTAATGCAGATGGAAGGAATGTTGTGGTCGAACTCGGGGGAAGCAGGAGAAGCGGGTATGGAAGAAAGAGAAGTAATTTTGGCTTCGAGTGCTGCGATAGTGAATTTCGACTCCGTCTCGAGGAAATGCATATCTCTTCGAAGACCATTTCGCTCGCCTCGAAGACGATCGACCGCACCGAGTAATCGTTCCATATTTGCTACAGCTTCTGGATTCAGATCGGGTGTAACTGCTGGTTTACTGTAAAGTTGATGAACAAAGTTGTATCATTCAAGATGTGAATGTCACTCACCTTCTGAAATTTTGAATATCCGATGAGATTTTACTCTGAGTCTCAAGCTCAGTGATTCTACCTCTCTCTTCTTTCAAGTCGTTGAGGGCCTTTTCCTTCTCTTGCACCAGCTCAAAATTCTGGCCCTCGAGTTGGCTGACGCGTGAAATTTCTGATCTCAGTTTTTCCTCGCACTTGGCTAATTTCTCCCTTAACAGAGGTAGGTCGTGTGCATCTCCAATGAGACGTTCTAGCGCTTGAATCTTCGCATCATCTTCGTCAATGCGCTTAATCAAGTCCTCCTCCCTCTCGAGACCTCCTGCGCCACCCTGCTCCCGAAGGTATCGTAATTCTTCTTCCCGCTCTGCAAGCACATTTTCCATTTCTACCATTCGAGTTTTCAGTCGAGCCTCCGACGCCATCTGATCGTTGTTCGCCTTGAGTGCATCACGCTGAGCGACTTCTAATCTGGCTTGAATGGTTTGCACTTCGGTGCTGCGGGAGACGAGTGCGTCGCGAAGTTCCGAGAGCTCATTCTCGAGTGTGGTGATTCGGAGATTGGATAGCGAAGATGATCGGCATCTGGCAGGTGTTCTGGGCGTATTCTGAGGGATTACTACGGTGGCCTTCAAAGTTGATTCAAGCTCTTTCACCCGAGCTTCCAATTTCCTCTTTGCCTGCTCCATCCTCCCAAGTTGCGATTGCTGTCCCTCCGAACCTTGTGATAATGAGACGAGGGCGTTCTCCAGCTCCTTCGCCTCGAGATCCTTCAGTCGAAGTCTTTCTTCTGTGGAAGCTAGGGCGGCAGACGTATTCTGCACATTTAAGCTCGAGTTTTGAAGATCCAACGTGGCTTTATTTAGAGAGGTCTCAAGTTGAAGCACTCGAGAGGTTTCGGTATTCAACTAACAGAAGAGTCAAAAGATGGCCCTCTAGTTTCCACAGAAAGTACCTTTTGCATGGCGTCAATCATAGTCTGTTTCATCTCGTCCATTTCTTGGGCCTTCCTCATGAGTTCGCCCTGTTGCGCCGCAATCTGTGCATCTTGAACGGACAGTTAGTCTTTCGAATAACAGAGTCTATGACCACATGCCTTTGCTTGCTAGTTTGTCCTTCATCGCCTGCATGCTTTCTGAGACGTCGTTCATCCCAAGAGTGAAGATGGACATGGCAGACCCGGGGGACGATGACAGGACGATGACTTGCAACCGTCAACGATCAACCTTGGTAGCACGTGGAAACCTTGTCATGTGACCGCGCTTTCTAAATACGTCACCGTGAACAAATCGGCAACTTGTTTTTTTGAACTCTACTGCGGTCCATGCTGTGATTCATAGGTAACTTGTGGCTACTGATATCCGCCGGCATTTTCTGAGGGTCTCTTCGATAAGGAATTTGAATATGTATGTTCAAAAAAGTTTCAAACTGCTTGAAGTCCAAGAAAAGCAACCGATGTTTCTCCAGGTTTCTCCATATCTCTCCGATAAAGAAGCTCCAGGCGCACACTGGCAGTGCGTCCTGGCACAATCCTTCAGTAGCCTCCAGTGAAAATCCTGTTTCATCCTTGATATGAGGTGTAGATGCCCGATATGGAAATGTGAGGTATACGGCAACGTGCTCCACATTGCACGGATATGAAGCGGTGGTACATACAGATAGATATGACACTGTAAGGTTAACCTTCGAGTTCAACCATAATAACGAAGCCTCCGTGCAATTCAAGGAACAGCTGCATTGGAGCAGGAATTTCCAGTCACCAGTACTTGGCAAGCCTAATCTAATTCTACGTCGAAAATATGAGTGACGTCTATTCGCGTGATGTATCGCGTCGAATATAAATAATGTATGTATATAGCTCCGAGATCTCCAGCTAGTGTCCACAGCTTTCATCATCCCCTGATTTCTTTATAGTACCAAGCTCGTTATTGTACGTCTTTCTTTCTTTGCGTTATCCATTTCGCCACAACCTACAACCTTACAGCTTCGAAATGTCCACTGGCGCTGAAGCTCCTTCCCGAGTCACTCTTTCGCTTGGCCATCTGCCTAGTAAAAAGAACATTAAAGCACCATGGCCGAGGACGCCAACTAGAGTGAGCGTCCATCATATACAGGATACATTTCAGCTGAGTATATGCTAGATCGACCCTAACAACCCACCATGGCCTGCATTCCGAGGGTATCATGAATATTCCTTCGCCCATGCCACTATGCAATCACGTCTACCAACCATCCTCGGCAAGGCCATCGATGATACTACTCGTACTCTCAACGAGCAATCATCCGAAGACAAGGTCATCGATCTTGTACAATGCATCGAGCGCATGGAGAGACTTATGACCGATCTAAGTGGAAACGCAAAGCTACGTCCCATCCTCGATGACAACGAGGCTGATGTGGCGTTGTGGAACAAGGAAATCGCAAAGTACTTCCAAGGCATGTACTGTTAGATTGAACGACAGGTATCTCGTCTAATACATACTTTTAGGCAAGGACTTCATGAATGCGCCTTGGTTGTTCGCAGAAGCATACAAGTATCGTCGCCTCAGGGAGTGTTTCAGTGTTTCCAAGTTCTGGTCTGACTACGATGTTTTCTACCGTCAAAAGGTTCCTTCTACCCATATGTCCACTTTCTCTCTATTTGACAACATTGAACCTTAGTGTGATACCTTTTCACGTTCATCCGACGCTGTTTTCGAGTTATCCTTGCGCTTTGCTGAGCCCTTCGCCATCGCTGATAAGCTTTCCGCGGAGGAGAAGCTCGAAGCTGAACGATTGATGTTCCTTGAGCTCACCCAAGGTACGTTATGCAATATCGTTGAAGCAGTGTGGCTGACCATGTTATTTCAGTCTGTCTATGGGGTAATTCGACTGATCTTTCGCTGCTCATCAACATGACCGAAGAGCAGATCAAGGCCCTTCAATCTACTGGGGGTGCACATCTCGCCGCGACGGAAAAGAACATTCTTGGAAACCACCTGGGAAAACTATGGGATACCGTCAAAGAGCTCCGAGAGAAAACGAATGGACGCATCGACTTTGTACTAGATAACGCTGGGTTTGAACTGTATTGTGACATGGTTTACGGTAAATGAATCTCTTTCTTCATTGTTTTCACCCTTCCTCATGGATCTTGTCCAGCCGATTTCCTTGTCCAAAGCGGTCTTGCAACAGAAATTCACTTCCACGGGAAACGTTATCCGTGGTTCGTTTCAGATGTCACCAAGAAAGACTGGGAGTGGCTGTTGAACACGATGGTCTATGGACAATTATTCCCTCAAGCTAGTGATGTCGAGTTGGAGTCGCTGCGACGCCTCGGAGCTAGGTGGAAGGTAAGAGACTATTTCTCGATCGCAATCTACTTGTCAAACTTGATTCCAGCGATATGAGAAAGAAGGCAAATGGGTCTACGAGCAACATCCATTTTGGTGCACCGGCTACACTTTCTGGGATCTTCATTCGGAAGCTCCTGATCTCTTCCTTCACCTCTCGCGATCCGATCTTGTCTTCTTTAAAGGTGATTTGAACCACCGAAAGTTGACGTATGATTGCGCTGCGCCTGCTTCGACGCCTTTTGAGGTGGCCATTGGACCGATGGCGAACAGCGCTGGAGCACCCAAGATCGCGAGCTTGAGGACAATCAAGAGCGATGTGGTAGTTGGTCTGGGTGACGAGGGTGATGAGACTGCTGAAAAGCTGGATAATGAGGAGCCTGGTTGGAAGATCAGTGGAAAATACGTGAGTAGTCTTCAGTGATTAGTACCGCAATGGCTTTCTGACTCACTGTGATTTGCTTCAGGCTGTTGTTCTTCTTTCTGAAGGTCGTCCCGGGGAAAAAGTTCGCTTTGCATAAGGACCCCGTATCACCGACGAACGCAAGCAAGATCGATCAGCAAGCTGTAGTGTAATAAACAGTCTCTTGGTGTACTTTTTCGTTATGTAGATTATTGCTGTTTTCACAAAAGTTGGCGCCTCGGTCACACGCTTTACTTCTTGGCTTCAAAATGATACCGAACGAAAACATCGATATCTCACTCGTTCCTCGACCGATTACTGTAAAATTTAGTGCGTTGACAAGCTGTAGTATACGCTCAGAGCGCCCCATGGTTATTTCTCCCAAAATATATAATTTTACAAATCTCAGCTATCAAATGGTGTCAAATGAAAACACAGATATCTTGCTCAATCCTCCACCAATGACTGTAATTTTTAGTGCGTTGACAAGCTGTAAGGTATCCTCAGAGCGCCCCATAGTTGTATCTTGAATGGTGTGACCCAGGCAGTAGAAGTTGAGGAATGTCACATATGGCCGGAAAATGACCCTGAACTATCAGGCGACTCATTCCTCGCTGTTTCTCTTTTCATTGTCTCAATGGGCAATAAGAAGCATGCTAAAAGAAGGCAGTCTGGAAGCCGCAAGAACAAAAAATCAACTCAGGAAATAGAAGAGGATCAACTGAGCAGTGATGAATCACTCACTCCCGATGCTCCCCTTTGACCACCTCGCCCCACTCCAAAACCTTACCACAGAGGCATACCAGCTTACGATGCATGTCACAGCAATTTAGGTGCTGAGATTGATGATACCGCTGCCGCTAGACTGCTAATGTCTTTTTCCGGAGTCTCTCCATCTGAAAGTCAGGCAACACCAGCACGTACTCATCCGTATGGTGTCCGTCTATCAAATGAGCTTTCATCCACAAAGACAAGTTGCGCAGCCTGATATAAGCGTGAATATGTTAATTTGAACTGTGCTCGTTTGAATTCATCTTGTTCAATTGCAACACGAGTAATCTGTGATATACGGATAAATGATGAGAATGTCAGTCGAGGACAAGATATCGTACCTTCTTGAGCTTGTATCCAGTCTGCCTAAGTGTCCTCCATATTGTTGTAATGCTAACCTGTGTACCTCGTCGCTCCTCTAACTGTTGCTTCAATTCATCAAGGTACATGTCCGGTGTGTGTGCAAGTAACCCGTGAATAAGCTGGTCCTTCCATTAGTATTGCTTCTATACACAAGCTAAAGAACAACATACCTTCATATCCTCGATGCTAATCTTCCGTTTTCTCCCTCGAAGGTCAGTGGTAAGAAGTAGAGTGCCTTGGAAGCGTTTCCGGTGTTGAGACAGGATGCGTTGCAGTGTCCGACGTTTGCATGCTGATTTTGTAACAATCTCATCAAGAGACACACAATTGCGACGAAGGTTGATGATTGTGTGGCGAAGGTCTTCAGATAGAGGCTTTCCGCGAGTCATACTGCAGTGAGATGGGGTGTAACGTCAAGAAGGCAGCGCAAAGGATAGGACAAGCAGTAACAAACAGCTTCGAATTGATTTCGCTCTACCACATACTACAACTATGGGGCGCTCTAAGGATGCCTTACAGCTTGTCAACGCACTAAAAATTACAGTCATTGGTGGAAATTTGAGCAAGATATCTTTGTTTTCATTTGGCACCATTTGATAACTGAGATTTGTAAAATTATATATTTTGGAAGAAATAACCATGGGGCGCTCTGAGCGTATACTACAGCTTGTCAACGCACTAAATTTTACAGTAATCGGTCGAGGAACGAGTGAGATATCGATGTTTTCGTTCGGTATCATTTTGAAGCCAAAAAGCAAAGCGTGTGACCGAGGCGCCAACTTTTGTGAAAACAGCAATAAGATTGTATGTTGTATCATTCAGTATATTTTTAGAGGAGAATCGGATATTAGAAAATGGAATACGAAAAAAAAGGAATGCGATTATTAGTACCGTGTTAGCAATCATCGTTCTCACGCTTCACACTTCTCTTCCCTCCGTCAACAACTTGAAGGGTGTGCACCTCTGAATCGGTGGTATGTAAGCTTCTTTTCTTTGAGGCGACATGATGATTGTGGTTCCCTATTATACGAAAACTTTTGAGCTTGCTCTTATGTCTTCATGAGATCACATACCGGGTTTACTGATACAAAACAGACTCCGTTGTTTTCTGTCACTTGCTGACCCTTTCTCTTTGTATCCGCTAGTGAGGACTGGTGCGCTGCGACTTGCTGGGATCCGGACGGAAGGTGTGTCTGCTCCTTAATCACCCCTCCATTCTGTCTAACAACATCTCTTGTAAACAATTAGCAGGTTATCGGAGAACCTTTCAAGCCCTCCAGATGTCCTCTCAATACCATATCGATGTTATAGCTCCCAGTTCTATAATCCTCTTTACCATTGTCTACGACATCGTATCTGTCTTTCATGCCGTTATTCCAAGCACATTTAAGCTTCTTTGGAAACATATCTCCTCGCCCTTCCAGAACTTTTTGACACTTGATGATTTCGATGAGCCCGCCGGGAAACCTCTTCCCAAGTCACAAATTAAACTTGTACTTCTGTGCATTCTGGGTATCCTCCAGTCCAGCGGCTGGCTAGGTTACCTCGTGTACACGTGTGTCAACGACGATGGGACGAGTACCATGATTAGGGCTCTCCTGATTTTCATAACTTGGGTGCGGGATCTCAACTTTCCCGCATCAACCTATGTATTGAATTTTGATATAGTTTTATGCGTCTATGAGGGTTTTATTCAAGAAACCAGCCACTCCGCCATACTTGCTAATTCTGTTCGCATCTCTCCATATCTTCGTTTCCTTCTTCAACCTTTGTTTTCGCACCCCTGAGGTTTCCCTATGGATCGGTGCGCTCAATCTGGTCATACCCGTTTTGTTTTTGTGGGTAGCTGGGACACTTCCTTTACGAGATACTCCTCCTGGAGAAAGAATCGCCAGCAAAAATGATGTATGTTATGATGCTGCTCTACTTTCTTCGTTACCGATGAACAGTTTGTATCTGTAGATTCCGTCTGTAAATATGACCTGTCCGGAAGACAACGTCACGCTGTGGTCCTGGTTGACGTTCTCCTTCGTTGAACCAATTTTTACTGTCGCAAATGAGGGAACACTCAACGAGGGAGATGTTTGGAGTCTCTCGCCATACTTCAAACACAAGAATCTGTTCAATAAATATCTTAGATACCAGGAAAAGTCAGTTATTCTGGCGTTGAGTCTTCTTCTGATTACTCACTGTCGTGCGATGTAGATATCCGACGCACTCTCTACTGCGATTTTTGCTGGTCTCAAACTCGCTTGACCTTATACTTGACGTCGCTCTGGAATTATGGACTGCTGTGATTGGTTGCTATCTCCTTAGTTGTTTCGTTTGATAGCATTTACCCTTATTCGTCTACTTCACAGGATTCGTGCCTCCCTACGCTCTCAAAGAAATTCTGTCTGTGTTGGCAGATGATACACCAGAAAGCCGTCAAACTGCATACTTCTGGGCTTTCATCACTTTCCTGGCTCATCTTTCGTTCGCTCAAAAAGATCTAATTCAGCAATGGCACACAAGGCGATGCTATGAACGAACTCGGGGTCAACTTTTCTGTGCTATTCATTACAAGTGAGTAATACATTAACCATGTCTGTTCCGTTCCCTGAACCTAAATCTGATTACCAGGGCTCTCAAACGGCAAGATGTGGCTGGACGTACCGACGCTGAAGAGGACAACAAGAGTGCTGATTTAGGAAAGATTGTGAACCTGATGCAGTCCGTCCATTCCGTTCCGTGAATCAGTCTTACCAGATGACAAAATTATTGCCCAGAGGAGACTCGTATGCAGTTTCTCAGAGGTTTTGGGAGTTTTCTGCAATCATCGCTTCCCCTGTACGCCTGGTCATTGCCTTAATTTTTTTGTACAAGTAAATTTGTTGCACTGTGTCTATTCTCTTGCACTAATCACACATCAGAATTTTGGGTTGGACAGCACTTTCAGGCGTCTTAATCGTTCTCATCGCCTACGTTCTCAACTATCCTCTGGCGAAATACAATATTTATGTAAGATTAACCACTATCACCTCTATAGACACGCTTCTCACAAGCTTTCAAGGTCACTAGGCAATCCTGGAAAACCAAGGATGTGCGAATGTCCATCGTAAACGAACTTCTTCAAAACATACGCTTCCTCAAATTTTATGGGTGGGGTAAGGCACACGCTAACTTCACGAAGCAACCACTCAATCAATACCATACAGAGTATCATTGGGGCACCAAGACCGCGGATTGCAGAGAAAATGAACTTAGCTGGCGCGTGAAGGAAAATATAGTCGACACAGCAATCTCGTTCATTTGGTAAAATCACTCTTGATCTGAAAATAATTTATCGCCAATTGTCTTATCCTAGGACTTGGATGCCCTCTGCCACGGCTCTAGTGTCATTCTTAAGTTATACGTTACTAGCCGGGGAGCGTTTAACAGTATCGACAGCATTCACTGCAATAGCCCTATTTACTCAACTTCAAGAACCTATGACAGCTCTACCTGGGCAGTTCTTCGCAATGTTACATGGTCAGTCAAGATTCACTGGTCTTCGTATGGACATCCTATTGACATGTCCACAGCCTATGTATCCATGCAAAGGATAGAGCGCTATCTTGCTGAGGAGGAAGTGCCGGCTTGGGTGTCTGCCTTTTCTGTAGCGACAGCTTCGGAGTTGAATCCCGAAGTTGGATTTTCGGAAGCCATTTTCGAATGGCAGCCCAAAAAAGGACCTGATATTCCAGACGGTTTCCGCCTTGGCCCTTTAGATTTTACTTTTCCAATCGGCAAGGTTTCGCTCATCAGCGGTGCGACGGGATCTGGCAAGAGTGCTATCCTTGCTGCGTTGTTAGGAGGTGATCTACAATAATTATGTCTAGATCGCATTTTTGATGTTCAAGGATCGATGCAGAAATGCAGTGTTTATCGGGTCATGTTCATTTGGACAAAAGAAATCATCAAGTGGCCTATTGCGCCCAAAGTCCCTGTGAGTGCCTTCAGTTATATAAATTCCTGCTTACTGATTGCGCAGGGCTTGAGCACGCTACGATCCGGGACAACATCATATTTGGATCGGCCTTTGGATTTGATGAAACTCGCTACCAAACGGTCATCGAAGCATGTGCTCTAAAACGGGATCTAGAAGTATTTGACGCAGGAGATCTGACTGGTATGCAATTCATGCAATCCACCTCTTCATACACACTGCTCATGCGTACTTACAGAAATTGGTGAAAAAGGCATCACTCTGTCAGGCGGACAGCGTGCACGCATCGCGCTTGCCCGAGCGCTCTATTCACAAGCTCGAGTTATTCTGCTCGACGATCCGTGAGTGTTTCAGCCCATGCCTTGAACCTTGTCCTCTGAACATTGCGTAGTCTTGCTGCAGTTGATATGCATACAGCACAGCATTTGGTGAATAACTGTTTCGCAAGTGAACTAGTCCGCGGTCGAACCGTTATTCTTGTCACCCATCATATTGGAATCTGTCTACCCATTTCGTCCTACCTTGTCGAGTTATCCCATGGGGGCGTTATTCGCAAGGGTCGAATACAAGAAATCGAAGAGAGAGTTTTGCAGAATGTCATTGAAATTGAAGACAAACCCTTTACAACCGAAGATCATGCCGATCTTCCTGTCCCGGAACAGGTGAACGAGGCGGATGTGCTACATGATAGTAAAAAACTGCACCGGAAACACCCGCTCAAGTCAAAAGATGGCAAATTGATTGAAGCCGAAGCTCGTGCAGAAGGACGTGTCTCCCTCAAAACATATCTGACCTACATTAGAGCTGCTGGTATAATGTCCTGGGTATTCACGCTCCTTTTGATGCTTGCGATCCGCGCGATCAACATTGGAAACCAGGTAACCGTGTATTTGAGTTTGTGTATGAGTCTAACAAAATTTCAGGTCTTCTTAGCAGCTTGGGGAGAAGCATATCAAGAGAAACATCCCGCGTTAGATGTCAGAATAAAGTATCCCTGGGACAGCTTTCCCTCTCCTGATGACAATGTGAAGCCTTGGTTGATGGTATATTTTTACATATCAATGGCAGGCGCCTTCTGTGTTCTTTTCTACATTGCTCTTGGATACTATGCCAGTCTACAGGCTTCCAGAAAGCTCTTCATGAAACTTCTGAACTCGCTTATACGAGCATCAAGTAGATGGCTCGATACTACTCCCATAGGTTAATCATTAAATGTCTTGCTTACTTACGAAAATTTCCGTTCTCATTTTTTCTTCAGGTCGAATTTTAAACAGGTCGGTGTGTTTCTCTTTTCTTGACCAGGAGTTGTACAATGATTCTTCAGGTTTACGACGGATATCAATACTATTGATGGCGCTCTCCAAAATTCTGCAAGAAACTGCCTTGCTGGCGTCCTCAACTTTCTCGCTTCGTTCTTGGTCATATTGATCGTAATTCCCACTTTTGCCCCTTTTGCTCTCTTCATAGCTTGGCTTTACATCCGCCTCGCTCCTCCTTACATCCGGGCTTCTCGCGACCTCAGACGATTGGAATCAATATCACTGTCTCCGGCTTTCGCTGGCTTCGATGAGTTACTACGAGGACTTGCGCACATACGGGCGTTTGGAATGGAGAAACGTTACCAGAACAGCTTTTACGCAAAAGTAGACAAATTCCAGTCATTTGACCATTGTTATGTAGGTCTTTTCATCAATGATGTCCTTGACTATGTGTCACTCACATTCCATTAGTGGCTTGTAAATTGTTGGCTGCGTTGGAGATATGACTGTTCGTTCTTTACACATTTGATGAGTATAGCGATCTCACAGTAACGATTGTAGGTCTTGGATCCGTTATAGTTTTGCTGTCGACCTTGTTCGCTTTATGGATGAAAGTTAGAGATGGTTCGACTGCGATCGTCATTGTTCAAGCTGGTGTATTCGCTGAAGCTAGCCGGCAGCTCGTAAGGTAAGATATATGCTATAGATAATGTATATGATCATTTTTAATTGTTTCCTTAGGGTAGCTGCTCAGTTGGAACTAGACTTCAACAGTGTAGAACGAGTCATTGAATACCTCGACATTCCGCAAGAAGCACCAGCCATCATCGAGGATCATCGACCACCAGCATTTTGGCCATCGAATTCGGGAAAGTTAGTTGTAGAAAATTTGAGCGTGAAGTATGCACCGGCCCTCCCTGCTGTTCTTCGAAACCTATCATTTTCCATCGAGCCCTCAGAAAAGATTGGGGTGGTGAGTGAGCGCATTGTGAATCCTGCTACACGAGCTCAAGATGTAATCACACCCTCTCCTCACTAGGTTGGGAGAACAGGTTCTGGTTAGTGGCTACTAGTCCTGTGTTCACCGGGGCTACCTATACTGACCAAATTATCAAGGGAAATCAACTTTGGCTATGTCTCTATTGAGAATCATTGAACCAGTGGGTGGAAGGATCATGTACGTGGTCATAGACCCATTGTTGCATTTCTAGCTCTGAATTGTGGGTTCGAACAGCATTGATGGTATAGATATATCGACGATAGGGCTCGAAGACCTTAGAAAGCGTATTGTGGGTTTCTATTAACGTCCGCCCTATCATTGTGGATCTAAACTTCGCGCGTATTGTATAGACAATCGTTAGTCAAGACGTGTCCCTGTTTTCTGGGACGTTACGAAGCAATTTAGATCCCATGGAAGAGCACAGTCCAGAAGAGTGTACCGAGGTGATGAAACGCTGCCACTTAGACTCTGTGATCGTCCACAAGGAAAACGACGGCAATGCCCTCCTAAATATGCCCGTCAATCAAGGTTCCTTGAGTGGCGGGGAAAGGCAATTGGTGGCACTTAGTAGGGCAATACTGCGGGGCACGAACGTCATAATAATGGATGAAGCTACATCACAAATCGATGCTCAACTGGACGAAAACGTGTGTGCCTTTTTGGATATTCTGGGCTCTACACTCATGTACGTTACATGTTCCCAGATCCAAAATACCATCCGAGAAGAACTGGGAGGAGCAATCGTCATAACAATTGCACATAGACTGAAAACAATCATCGATTACGACCGCATCCTAGTATTAGACGACGGGGAAATTGCAGAATTCGGCACACCGAAGGAGCTTCTGAATAAGGATGGTGGAGTGTTCAAGGAAATGTGTCGAAAAAGCCCCGACTGGACAAACTTCAAATCGCTCATTAGTTAGTCACGTGGTGTCATGCCCTTGTAGAATCTAGACTAGCCGGTAGACCTCTTTTTGTTGAAAGTTTCTATAGATACGTTCTCCGTGTTATATATCGTGCCTTGGGCTATGCGAAATTATTCTCTCTTCCTTCTCGCTGTGTTTATTTTCCGCTCACAAACTGCTATTTCTCATCCGCTTAATCGAAGTTCGGCATTGCTCAAAACTAGGCGATTCGAGTTTTCACCGCTGTTTGGCCCCACTCCCGTCTCTGATAGCAGTCTGCTATCTTCCACTTCAAGATTCGAAACTGATACAGGAAAACTGAACCCAACAACGACTTCAGGTACCTCTCTGTCCGCTGGCGGAACAGAAAAACACCAAAGCGGCTCATCGATATCCACCAGTGGTGAAGACGATGAAACACACTCTGTAATTGGCACGCTTCCTCCGCTTCCTATCACGTTTAGTACTTCGCTTGCGACCACAACCAATGTCCTAACGTCGTCAAGTATGTCTTCGTATTTCGAACCAACGGCCTCGCCTACGAACTATGATAACTCGCTCAGTTCTATATCTATCCACGGAGACAAGGAATGGAAAGTAATCGGAGTCGGGTTGATTGTGATCGCGTCAATTGCAAGTATGATTCTTTTGACTGTTTTTTTCGAGTCCTGGTGGGGATTTGTGAGAGATATGTGTGGTAGGAAGAATTCTGGACGAGGCGTAGAAGAGATGATCCTTGATTCTGAAGAAAAAACGTGGCAACTAAACTTATCGAGTCAAGATGGACATCGGTATCCTTCCGCCACTTCAATGGACTCGATGAAGACTCATCAAACGCAGAAGACAAAATCGCCATATCCATACCCTATTACGCCCAAGCCGCTCTTCCAGCCTCCTTCATATTTTCGACCTACATGCGATCCGCATCCCCTAGATCCACTATACCGCCGCCCTAGTGTCAGGACGCCGGTCATCAAATCGCCCAGTATGCTCCCCTACTCCTGATTTTCTCTGTAACCAACACTGCTATCGTGTACTGTTTAACTCAATTTCCTTCCATGGCAAGCTGACGCCCCGGAATTTCTATGGCTGTATTCTGAGTACTATACTGTGTGGTTGCATGTAACAACGGTTGATTGAATAAACTCGTATAGTATGTATCACTTTATTGAAATTTGGCTGAATACAGTACACGATAATATGGCGTATGTCACTATGTGGCAGTGGATTCCTGTAGATGTGCTTGCGCCATGCCTTCACCACGGCCATTACTCACATCTTGTCATATTTCATATACCAACTCTTCCACGACCAGCGAAGGCACATCTGTCTCGCAGCCTGCAGGCCTTGGAAGTACGACTGCCCATTTCTTTCACTCCCTTGGCTCTTTCGCTGTTCGCCGGATCGACGCACACATTGTGAATCGACGTCTCCTCGATATTCAAACCAGATTTCCTCACAGAAATCATGAATTTGTCCCCGATGATGACTATAATGTTCTCATAGAAGTTTCTAGGTCTGTCACTAAACATTCTACTGCGAGCTCACCTTGAACAAAATCCATTCAGGCCTGGCATGTCCTATGATGGTTTTTCAAGACACAGAGCCTTGCAAGTACTTTCTCTCCAGATCGGGCGTGAACAAGTTGCTCAACTGACGAGGCAATTGTTGATCACTTGGCAACAAGAATGGCATAAAATTTCGGGCGAATTGACAATGCTGTTGAGAGAACTTTGGAAAGAATGGTAAATCCTGTAAACACCTTCTGAACCCGTTCTAAACTACGGTGACTGATTATGCCTGATTATGCCTGATTATGCCTGCACGGTAGCTCGTCTTCAGGGTCCAAAATGTATACAGGATTTGGCAAATATACTTCACATTCAGAGCAAACACTACCGCATCCTGAGCGCTCGTTTCTGAACTTCTGCTTGCAATTATGTCAGGTCGAGCCAGGAGTCTTTGCGTCTGTTATGGATATCGTATGGCGAATTGGGCCAATATGCAGTAGTCACCCTTTGACAAACTTGTGTCGCGAGTTCCGCTTAGGGCTTCAATGCATGCCTTTGTCGATCCTATCATATCGGTACTCTCCTCATATGCGTCGGGAAGCGTGGAATTATCTGGGCCCCGGCTTCATTCAAAAGAGGCTCACATCACTCACCCTTGAAATTAATCTACCTCGAGAATCACGCAATGAAATATTCGATGCCTGCTTTGACATCCTTGGGTTCTCTAGGTAAGTCATTGATTGTAGGTGATGTGTGTCAGTCCAACTGTTACCTTCTGTGTGTTGCCTGTAGTCGATCGTCTTTTAACCGGTGTTATTTACAGTTCCAACGATGACTTGTCTATTCTAGCCATTGACTGCCTTGTCCGAATCATCAAATCCGGAAAAGGATTGTGGTGGGAAACCTTGTCAGATGTGTTAGCAGAGAATACATACCAAGATCTTTCTGATGTTGTCGACTTAATGTTGAATGACTCGTACGTGCATACAAAACTGGAAAAGACATGTATACTCATTGAAGATGCACCAAGTCCACAATATCGGGAGTATTCTTCTAGCCTTTCACTTGGACAGACCCCTACTATTTTTCCGCAATCTCCCGCCAGTGGTTTCAGTATTCAAGACTGTTTTATCAACCTCATTCTACACAGTATCGCTAGTAACCCATCATTCAAAAATACACTCTTGAATACTCCTTTCTGTTCCCTTTTTCTGCGCCACATCTCTCGACACCTTCACCCTCCCATCTCGATGAGAATGGACATCGACCTCTCGCAATCTCGTCAAACTGTTGAGCAGCTCCTGAGTGCGATAGCAGGGGGAAACTCTCTGTATCATTTCTCTGGAAACACCATGCCTCGGGTGCGAAAAATATGGGAGAAAGTGTTATGTATATTTGGTCAATGCCCTGAGGTTTATATGCCTGTTAAACCTGCTTGGTTCATGGTATCCCATGAACGATGTCATATTTCTTCCTCTCCAGAAGCAAAATCCCAACCAAGCCGTTTAATTCAATCTCCTTCCTCCGTTCCTTCCCAGTTAACATCAGAACAATCACGCTTGGAGGCCGAAAGAAAGTCTAATCAGACTAAACAATCTGCGAGGCGCGAAGATTTCCTGCGCATTGCTAGCAGCTTAGGTCTCTTGCCGGAAATGTCCCATACAGACTCAATCCTGAAGGAAGGCTCGAAAGCAGAGGTTCCGAGGAGCTCGCGGGCGTTTCAACCGCGCAAACGAGAGAGCGACTTTTTTCATGTTGCTGGTGAACTTGGTTTGATGTTGCCCCTCAAGCGCTCATGATCGTCTTTGCTTTACATACTCGATCCACTGCCAGTTTGCTGATGGCGCCGTGTATTCTCACATCTATCTATCTACTCTAATCTCAAGGAGATGTTATTCTAATCAGACATTCCATCGTTTTTGAGTAACATCAATATTGCGCCAATGGTCGGTTCATCATACCCTTCATTGAGCATGGTCCCATCTTCTATGCACTTTCGAAGTTTCGCTTCCAAAAGGTGTCTAAGTAGCTTCACAATCAGCGTAGGTCAATTATCCTGGTGTATAACGAACCGTATGTGATTCACTAATATTCCTATGCGGGGCCAAGCTCTGATCTTGACCGTGCTGTCTCTCGTGCTTACAGTCAATCCACCGCTGACATGATTGATTGATATCGGTCCACCAAACAATAGGATACTCCAGATTGGAACCTGGTTATGCCGTCCGTACTAAGCAAAAAAATCAAGAGGCGAATTTAAGATAACGAACCTCTGTCACATCCCTTAGAAAAATCTTGGTGGTCAGGGATTTCTGGAAGTAAGCAATAAACGGCGATTTCCAACTCGCATGTCCAAAAAGCACGCTTGAAGGGTGAAGGAATACCCTTCCTTCTTGGATGTCAAATATTTTGAACTCCTTTGCAGTGTTTTCTCGTTGTACCGTTCCACCTTGCACTTTGTCAAATTTGATGGCTGATTTTGGAAGATGAACACGAGCAACTCTAGGCCATAGCCCTCCTAGAATCAGAGCTTTTAACAAATTCTCCTCAGAGCTATTGACGTTCAGCCCTGGGGAACTAGGTGTGGAGTCAAAAGGGACAAAGCCTATAGCTACAAGAGGACCTAGATAATCACGGCGAAGGGTTGAAATTTCTCGTAATGTTGATTGAGAGATAAAATTCTATTACACGTTAACGTTGTGCAGAGCATCGACTGCATTTATTTCACTTGCCTTTTCACAGAACTGTCTCACAGCACTCTGCGATTTTCCACCAGAGGTCAGGCGCAAGCATTCATTGAATGCATTCATGTCGGTTAGCAGATCGCTATTACCTTTGGAAAATTGAGCTCGAGCTCTAAATTTAGTAGGGTTGAGAGGTGAGCATATGTAAAGAAATGCCTGGGCGCACTGAGCAGCGTCCTCCCTTTTATCCATTGGGCTAACGAAGAGAGGCTTTGATGATAAACAAGCTGCGATAGTGAGCATGGGGCCGAGACAACGAAAGATGGTGCCAAGGATGAGCATCTAGACCCTTTTATTTAGTGAGAGATACATTAACCTGAAATGATTGTTGCCGACCTTGGCTAATCGTATATCGATTGGAAGCATAGACTGCGTGACTGTGAATGTAATGCTACATTTCAATGAGTAACTGGACGTACAATATGGTGCCCCAGCGGTGTTAGCATCCCTTGTTCATCCAGAGCACCCAACTCTTTCAATGTCGACCAAGCCGTATCCATTGCGTTCGTTTCCGGGGAGTCGATAGCTTGTGCAAGGTAATGCTGATGACAAGATCCCAATGTATCAGGTAGAATTTCTTTAAGCGGACTGGTCTACCTTAACATCCCCTTCTGGACGCATGACTCTGACGGCCAGCGAAACAGCCTCAAGCGGTACACGAAGAATTTCGGGAACTGCATACTTTGCCATGTTTTCCTCCTGTTTTCGTGTGTAGAGTTTGTAGCAAGTACCCGGTTGTGTACGTCCCGCTCGGCCCCTTCTTTGTCGGGCAGCGGCTCGAGTGACCCATGTCTCAACTAATTTCGAGATATTGGCCTCTGGATCATATTGAACCTCTTTAACTTTCCCCACGTCTACCACATAGAGTATATCGTCAATTGTGATGGAGGTCTGTGAAGCATCCAGAAATCCAGGTTAGCATTGTCCAGCTATTTGTTAAACATATTCACACACCTCTGCTACGTTGGTTGCGACAATTATTTTCCACTTCGAGGTTCTTACGAAGACCTTCATTTGTTCCGCACTTGATAGATTCGCATGCAGGGGCAGTAATAACGCATCATCTTTCATAGACTCTCCAAGTAAAGCATCTATGCATTGGCGTATTTCTTGTACGCCTGGAAGGAATATGAGTATTCCACCGCGCTTCTGAGAGGTTGCCTTTATGTGGCTCGCGAGAGCAGCTATAAGCTGGAAAATTCTTCAGAAAGATTTACAACTGTGCTCAAAAGAAGGCTGACCCGGTAATCAATGGAATTGGAGCGAGTAAGTGTTTGAAGCACGGAAATACTTTTCTTGTTTAAACCTAGTGACTTCGCGTCCTCGTCCTCATCAAAATCCCGAATCTTGTCCGCCCCTTTCATGTGCCTTCCAGCAGACTGAGGCTGGTAATCTAGCTCTTGTATAAAGTCTTCCAGATATCTATAATGATGTTGCTGTCATCACGATCGAATTAACTTGACTGCCACATACCTGTCTGTAACTGGGTGGGTAAAGCCAGGTATAGTGATAAGCGGTGCTCCGTCGAAGTACCGTATGAAGATTTCATGATTGATAGTTGCGGACATAAGTATGACTTTGATTCGTGATTTGCGCTTGAGTAATTCCTTCAGCTCCAAAAGAAGAAAGTCGCCATCAACAGAGCGCTCGTGAACCTGAGGCAAATTGACCAAGTTGTATGTTGCGAGACTGGATTGCATACCTCGTCTACTACAATATGTGTCACATCCTCCAGTCTATCGCCTAAGCTCAGACGGCGCAATACCACTCCGGTAGTACAAAACAGCAGTTTGGTTTTTTGAGACCAATTGCTTTCCCCGCGTATAGCGTATCCAACGGAGCCATCATCCAATCGCTCTGCAGAAACTCGTTTGGCCACTCCGATCGCCGATAACCTTCGAGGCTGAGTTACCAAAATGGAAGCGCCGGAGCCTTCGTGCGACTTGATCAACGAGTCAAGAATGAACTGAGGTACTGTAGAGCTGTTTTCAGCCTCCACGCTATCTATTCACGTTCTTACTCACACTGAGTAGTTTTCCCGCAACCTTTGCCCAATATGCGTCAGATGGGGTTGAATCGTTTTGAGCTGAAGTTCCTAACCTGTTTCTCCCACTACCACTACGACTTGGTTTGACTCAAGTAAATTCAAGAATTGCGCTTCGACTGAGAAAGAGGGCAATTTTTTTCGTTCAGAAAGTATTTGGCAATACTGGGAAAAGTATGAGATGGGCTCCCAAAGAGGCAAACAAAGGTTACCTTTTCACTCTGGCAGATCTGGTCAAAATCTACTTTGATTTGCTCACTACTTCTCGTGTCTCGCTTCTTTGTATTGTGCTCAATTTCCTTTTTCGTTCTTACTGGCGTATTCGCTGGAACTGCTGTAGGTTTGGAGGAGGTGATAGGTGAAGGAATGACATGTTGCAAAACCTCGAGCAAATCAGGAGGTCCTTGATCTTCAACTTTCGCCCATACGTCTTCTAAGCACCGCATTGCAGCAGAGCAGAATCCTTCATCGTCCTGTAGAAATTCTGGATCCTTGACGGCCAAGAGAAGGCAAGATAACAGGTGGAGCCGGACATAGCCTGGTATCGAGGGCCCTGTAATATACATCGGGGCGTATGCACGACGGGGATACGATCCGCTCAAGAACAGAACATGTAATGTCACTGGCGCACTGAACATGGGCATAACAAGGTGGTTAGGATCTTCAAAATGTCCCCCGAATGCTTCCGCCTCTTGTGCATCAATAGGGAAGCACTCGTCATTTTCGTCCGCCTTGTCAACTGGGCTATCGTCGCCGATGAGTTTTTTCCCGAGCATTGCGATCAGAGAATTCCAGTCGTCTATATATTGGGCATCCATGAACTCTTTAACGAGGTGTACAGGCCATCCAGCCTCCTTGATGGCTCTCTCAGCCGTCCAGCGAGCCTTCAGGTTGTCACGACCAGAATGCACTCCGGTGACAAAGGGATTAGATGAATTGATGGATGGAAGGAAACGCTCAGGCAGAGCCTCTTCTGGTAAATGAAGGACTAGGTACTCGATAGAAGCGTCGAGGGGTGAGAGCATGCTCAATAATCTCTCTGTCATAGGTGAAGGCTTCGACAAAAATTCAACTGTCTTTCGAGCCTGAGCAGACTTGAACCCAAGATGCGTCAATTGTTGCATAATATTTTCGGCATTATCTGCGTCTATTGTCAAGGGTTCTTCTGTTCTTGTCGTATCATATCCAGAAAACATGGATAATCCCTGCAGGTAGATCGTTAGAGTATCTTCCATAATATCTGTAGTGCCGACTCGGACCTGCTTCACAGCCTCTTCAACTTGATCACGTAGAGCTAATGCCATTCTAACCTCTGGCGCTTGGGAAAATTCACCAGAAGCTGAGGCAGCACCTTTGCGGGAATTCTCACCCGACTCCGCACTTGATACCGTCTGTGCACGTTTTTCAGCGGCTCGTGCCTGTCTCTCATCGACTTGTTTCCGTGCAGCAAAGGGATCCGCATTGTACATCCAATCCATATGCTCTGGAGCTTGCTTATGTTCCGCCTTGCATGCTCAAGTGAGTAAATTGCAAAAGTATCCACAATGTGAAGAGCATAATCACCGCCAACTCGTTCCAATAGTCAGAGGGACCTCGCGGTAAAACACGATTTAGTTGAAGGGAATTCGAGAACTGTTCAGCAGGGCATCTATTGAGACACAGTTGCGTTGAAAAGTTCAGCACGAACTCGGTATAAAGCATAAGTAGCACCCCAGTGGCGGGCTTCGAGCGGAGACGGACGAAAATATGGGGGATGGGGTTCGAAGCGGACAGATTCTTTCTCTCTCTTTTTGTTATATCTGCTAAGCGTAACGACAAAGAACCATCCAGCGGCATTCTTTCTCTGCGGTGCTCGAATCACTGAGGTGTACTATCAAAGTGACTGGTAAAACACTGACAATATCTATGATCGGTTTCTCCCATCCATTTTTCTGGCATCTAGGGATCTAAGGTTTATGAGAACTAGGAAATTAATCGTCACATACCGCTCATGCAATAAACTGGCAGGATATTTGGAGCCTGGAGGAAAAAGTGATTTTTCGCTCAAAGCTGCAGCTTCGGGAGCTCGTCCAGCCGCAATCGTCTCCTTTCCGCTAGATTTTGAGGAATTCCCAGCATTTCCTGACTTGACTATTCCTTTGCGAGGAGGCATCGAGTTATATACATATCAGTGATAATTCAAAACAAACCAGAAAGAAATTGACTCGAAGTAACAACAGGTCACGTTCGTTGCGTCAGACTATCCTTGGTACTCTCACCAGCACTCTCCATCTGGATGGCCAATTCCGACATTTACAACCTAGAATACCTTTCGCTGGTCTCCAAAATTACACAGGAGATTGACAATCACACAGGGATAAATGACAAAGTACTCGCGGAATTTGTAATCTCACTTCATGACCAGGCCAACAAAAGTCTAACTGAATTCAAGGACAAGCTAAAGAGCGTCGGGGCCGACTTTCCAGACTCATTCATTGAAAATGTCGACAGACTCATTCTCAGTATGCATCCCAAGCACAAAAAGAAAGTGTCGTCCGATGGAGAAGCCGTGCCGAAGGGCGATGGGGAGTTAACGGAGCAGGAGAAGAAGAAGCGAATGTTTCCCGGACTCTCCATGAAGGATCATGAACAAGAAGCAGTATCGGACGACGTCTTTTTGAAGGAACTCGGTGACTTGGTTTCTGGCAAGAAGCGTCCTTCACAGCTGGAACGGTCTCCGAAACGGCAAAGACGAGACAGGTCTCCTCCTCCGCGAAGACGTACTCCCAGTCCTGTTCGCGGGAGAGATTATGACCGCCGAGGAAGGAATGGGCGGCCATCTCAGGACGAGAGACCCATCCTCTTTAAAATATATAGTGGTCGAGTTTCCGGTTTGAAAGATTTTGGTGCTTTCGTCACTTTAGAAGGTGTCGCGGGTCGTGTCGAAGGTGTGTGTTCACTCTATAGTAATTTCTTGTTTAAACTGATCGTTTTTAGGCATGGTTCATGTATCCAATATACAAACTGGAGCACGAGCGAACTCCGCATCAGATCTGCTTAGTAGAGGTCAGAATGTGCAAGTAAAAGTCATGAGCGTTGCTGGAAGCAGAATCAGTCTTTCGATGAAAGATGTTGATCAAGCTACGGGTCGGGACCTCACGCCTCACTTACGAATCAAATCCGAAGCCGAAATAGAGGAGGAACGCACTAGGGCAGCACGGATATCTTCTTCCGGTGCCAACGCGCTTCCCCTCAATTCTAAGATCCTTGAGGGTCCTGTTAGATCTGCGAAGCGCCTCACGTCTCCGGAGCGCTGGGAAATCAAACAACTCATTTCTTCTGGTGCTCTTGACGCATCAGAGTACCCAGACCTTGACGAAGATTTTAGCAATCCTATGGCACACGCAGAAATTGAAGAGGAACTAGATGTTGAAATACGAGAGGATGAGCCGCCGTTCCTGGCTGGTCAGACCAAGAAGACCCTCGAATTGAGCCCTGTCAAAATCGTCAAAGCTCCTGATGGTTCTATGAATCGAGCGGCCCTTGCTGGTGCTTCCTTAGCTAAAGAACGCCGGGAGCTCAGACAACAGGAGGCAAATGATCAAGCTGACTCGGAAGCTCGGGATTTCAGTTCACCTTGGTTGGATCCAATGGCAAAGGAAGGGGAGAGGGTATTTGCTCAGGATATGAGAGGTCACTTGAAGGGGCAGAAGGCCGGAGAGGTTCCATCTTGGAAGCAAGAAACTTTCAATAAAGCCACAACGTATGGAGAAATCACAACTCTCTCCATACAAGACCAAAGAAAGAGATTGCCCATCTTCAAATTACGAGATCCATTGCTCAAAGCCATTGAAGAGGTACGCGATCGATGATTTACATCAAAGGGGTACTGATTTAAGTTATAGCATCAAGTCCTCATCGTTGTCGGCGACACCGGATCCGGAAAAACCACTCAGATGGTCCAGTACCTTGCTGAAGCAGGATACGCTGACCACGGTCGTATCGGATGTACGCAGCCTCGTCGTGTCGCTGCTATGTCCGTTGCAAAACGTGTGGCCGAAGAAGTCGGATGTCGACTAGGTCAGGAAGTGGGGTACACCATCCGTTTTGAGGACTGTACAAGCCCGGAAACTCGGATTAAGTATATGACAGATGGGATGCTGCAGCGTGAATGTCTCATCGACCCTCTCTGCAACCAGTACTCGGTGATAATGTTAGATGAAGCACACGAACGTACAATCGCTACCGATGTCCTTTTTGGTCTGATGAAGAGTAAGTCACACAACCTCTCTTCCAACAATCTACTCAACGTTCCCTTCGTTCAGAGGCAGTTAAGCGGCGGCCTGATTTAAAGCTCATTGTGACATCGGCCACCTTGGATGCCGAAAAATTCTCCAAGTATTTTTATGGTTGCCCAATCTTCACTATCCCCGGTCGTACATTTCCTGTGGAGATTCTCTATACCAAGGAACCTGAAACCGATTATCTCGACGCCTCCCTTATCACAGTAATGCAAATACACCTTTCGGAACCCCCAGGCGATATACTTCTTTTTCTAACTGGACAAGAAGAGATTGATACCGCTTGTGAAATCCTTTACGAGCGCATGAAAGCTCTGGGACCCAAAGTTCCTGAGCTTCTCATCCTGCCCATTTATTCCGCTCTTCCATCAGAAGTTCAGTCTCGAGTCTTTGACACGACTCCTCCAGGAGCACGAAAGGTCGTCATCGCCACAAACGTAGCTGAGACGAGTTTGACAATACCTGCTATCTATTATGTTATCGATCCTGGGTTTTCTAAACAGAGTGCTTATGATCCGAGGCTGGGCATGGATTCGTTGGTTGTTATGCCTATATCGCAGGCACAAGCCCGGCAAAGGTCGGGTCGTGCGGGGCGTACAGGGCCAGGTAAATGCTACCGTTTATATACGGAGGCCGCTTTTCGGAATGAGATGTTACCCAACTCGATTCCCGATATCCAGCGAACGAACTTGGCCTCGACTATTCTGCAACTCAAAGCAATGGGCATCAATGATCTGCTCAGCTTCGACTTCATGGACCCCCCTCCTGCACCGACTATGCTCACGGCGTTGGAATCTTTATACGCACTCTCCGCCCTAGATGACGAGGGTCTTCTCACAAGGTTAGGAAGAAAAATGGCCGATTTCCCTGGGGATCCACCACTAGCCAAGATGCTAATTGCATCCGTCGAGCTAGGCTGCTCGGAAGAGATTTTATCTATTGTCGCCATGCTTTCTGTCCAAAGCGTCTTCTATCGACCAAAGGAGAAACAGGGTCAGGCTGACTCGAAGAAAGCCAAGTTCCATCAACCAGAAGGTGACCATCTTACCTTACTTACTGTCTACAACGGATGGAAGAACGCCAGTTTCTCCAATCCTTGGTGCTACGAGAACTTCATTCAAGCGCGAAGCATGCGTCGTGCGCAGGATGTGAGGAAGCAGTTGTTGGGAATCATGGATCGATATAAACATGATATCCTTTCTGCTGGCCGAGACTTCAACAAAGTGCGTCGCGCAATTTGTTCTGGCTTTTTCCGACACGCTGCGAAGAAGGACCCCCAAGAAGGATACAAGACACTCGTGGAAGGAACTCCTGTATACATACATCCTTCTTCAGCCCTCTTTAACCGGAATCCTGAATGGCTCATATATCATGAGCTGGTCTTGACAACGAGGGAGTACTGCCACAACGTTACTGCTGTAGAGCCGAAGTGGCTTGTAGAAGTAGCACCCCAATTCTTCAAAGTGGCAGATGCCAACAAGATCAGTAAGCGGAAGAGACAAGAGAAAATTGAGCCATTGTACAACAAGTACGAGAAAGAGGATGAATGGCGGTTGTCAAAGGTCAAGAGGAGTGCTCGTTCGGTATGTTATTTGTTGACAGTTCCGCTTGGAATGCTTTACTAATGTTCTTTTGTTTTCATTGTAGAGTCAGACATTCGGTTAAAGCACCTGGTTTGGGTGGATGTATCTATCATGTATATTGTAGTCGTAATTGAAGAATGGGAAATGAACCAGTATCATCTGGAAAAGCAATACTACAATTGAGATACTGTAAGTGATAATCGACATTGTGTGATGAATAAACATAGTGAATAAACATACAAGAAGCGTGTTGTCAGCCAACGAATCTCAGAGCATCTGCGCCAATGTAGTATTTGGCAGGCTCTCCCGGCTGCGAAGGTGCAGCGGCAGAATCAGGAACGAGCATAAAGGTCTGCGAAAACACTCGCGCTTGCCCTTCAACTGACTTTGTACGTTGACCAGGCGCGATCTGAGCTGGTTTACCGTGAACAACAGTTCCAGACACGGTAACGAGAAGTGAAGGCGGTGTGGAACCTGACAGATGAGGATAATTAAAATGCGAACAGACCTATTAGAGATTAAGAGAAGTAACCTGGTATTGGGTGGCAATCAAAAGATTGCATTTCGTGTTTGGTAGGAGGCATTTTCTCGATCAGCGAACGGAGGCCATCTGGACCCTGTAGGGGTTTCCCATTCCATGTCAAGGAGGAAACGGGGCGGTAAAAATTTGGTAGATCTGAGAGTCGAGATGGGGAATCGTAGGTGGCATAATACAGCTGTATAAATTTGTCCGCAGCGCGAGTAGCGATAGAAATACTAGGATAATTCAGCGAGGACAGAGAAGGGGAGGGTTGAAGAGAACGTACTCGTCGCGAGTGAGTACGGTGAGAGCGGGACTATTGGAAGCCGTGCTAGTCATGGCGACGGTCAAAGCATTTGTGACTGTCACTCAGGTCTAATAAGTGACTTAAGTCTTAGGGTGACTTCGTGCGTGACTGTAGCGCCTGAGAACTACCGGAGTGCCTCAAGCTCAAGCTCAAGTACCAACTATGACCGTGACTGCTGATCCCAAGGAGGATCTCAACGGAAAAGAGCCTTCGCAAGTCATTGAGGATAATGACGATGGCGAGGACGACGTTGCAGAAATAGACCCTGCTGGAACAGGTTCGAATTTGTTTCTACTCCCCATCCATCCGATGATACTAACAGAGCCCTACAAAGGTGACGCAAAGAAGAAGAAGAAGAAGAAAAAGCCCAAGAAAAAGAAGGCAGAACAGTCCGATCCTCCCCGCATTGGCTTGTCAAAGCTTTTTCCTACCAATGTATATCCCGAAGGAGAGCTTCAACCATATAAAGACGAGTGAGATACTTATCCTCTTTCTCGAAATCACTAATCAATCAAATCCAAATACCAGTAATGCATGGAGAACTACATCAGAGGAGAAGCGATACCTCGAGAAACTGGCAAGCGAGGATCCCCAAACAACCTACCAGAATATCCGACGAGCAGCCGAAGTTCACCGTCAAGTTCGTGCTCATGCACGAAAGCACATCAAGCCTGGGATGTCCATGATAGATATTGTTGAGAATATTGAGAATGGTACTCGTTCGCTGGTAGAAGAAAATGGTCTGGAATCCGGAGTTGGCTTTCCTACCGGTGTCAGTATCAACAATTGCGCTGCGCATTATACTCCGAACGCCGGAGACACTACCGGTGTGTTACTGCACCTTTGCATGGTTGTATTCGGCGCTGATTGAAGGTCCCAGTACTGAAGCAAGGAGATGTCTTAAAAGTGGACTTTGGTGTGCATGTCAAAGGTCGCATTCTGGATTCGGCCTTTACTCTCACATTCGATCACACATATGACAAGCTTTTGGAGTCTGTAAAAGACGCAACAAATACTGGAGTCCGGGTAAGGTGATTCTTAACGTGACCGGGAAAGCTGCTGATCAGTCTCTAGGAAGCAGGGATCGATGTTCGGCTAGGGGAACTCGGTGGCTACATCCAAGAGACCATGGAGTCGTATGAAGTTGAAGTTGGAGGAAAGATACTTCCAGGTATCACAAACTTGCAAAGTTTTCTTGTGTTTTTAATGATTGCACTTTTAGTAAAGACTATTCAGAACCTCAGCGGACATTCCATCGGACTCTACAACATACATGGAGGAAAGTCTGTGATGCAGATCAAAACTGACGACATGACCAAGATGGAGGAGGGTGAATACTTTGCGATTGAGACTTTTGGCAGGCAAGTTTTTCGACCTGAGCCATAGGTTGGGAACTAATCCAAATTTTCCAGCACTGGAAGGTGAGATATCGATTCATACTCACTCGCAATAGTTATTAATCATTCAAAGAGGGCACGTTGTGGATAGCGTAATTCGTTTGAACTCTTGCAGCCCGTAACATTGTTAACAATCATTTTTAGGGAGATTGTTCACATTATGCCAAGATCGTAGACGCACCCAGGGTTCCGTTGAGGTTTGTGAATTTCAGGTGTACTCGACCCAAAGCTTATCCGTTTCCTAGATTAACCAGCGCGAAGTCACTTCTCAAAAGCATTGACAAGAATTTCGGTACACTCCCCTTCTGTCGACGATATCTAGATCGGGCCGGCGAAACGAAGTATTTGCTTGCTGTTAGTAGATTTATTCTCTTGAGACGATATGCGCGCTGACGGAACTTGAAAAAGTTAAATCATCTAGTACAACAAGGAATTGTACAAGATTATCCACCGCTTTGTGATCAATTGGGGTCCATGACAGCCCAATTTGTGAGTTGGGTGTTTCCATGCATGGAAAAGAAACTGAGTCATCTTGCTCATTAGGAACACACTATTCTCCTGCGACCTACGGTAAAGGAGGTGGTCAGTCGAGGTGATGACTATTGAGATATCAGCATGTGTTTGTACTGGACTACTCCGCCTACATATTTCGTGTATTTCATTCCACATTTTTGACTAAAGCGACCAATGGAAGGGGTGATACTTGTCTGATACGCGTGTGATCATACATCCCCGGATCCCGGACCTTCGGCGTATAGCCCCACATTATCTGAACACATCCTATTACAGTAGTGTCTAATGTTACTCTGTTATTACCCCACCTCTATGGCATAATTGTTGTTCCTTCTTTCATGTGCTTAGCCACATACTGGACCTTTGCCTCAAATATTTTCATCAGTTGCTTTTGTTTTCCCCAATGTTACTGTGGCCATTCTCGTGGACTAGATCCGTTCCTCCTCTTCCACCGCCAGAGGTAAAACATCTACACGAAGATCCACAATCCCTTTCGTCTATCCTTCTTCATTATACAACCCCCGGAGTTGCACCACCTTCAGCTCGGTCAGATCCGAAACTCAAACTTCAAGAGCGTCCTCCAGTTCGGTTCTGGTACTTGTGGAAGTACGGCTTCGTTGCAGCAGTTAAGGGTTAGCGTACTCTCTTAGCGACGCCTTACATTCTATCTAATCAATGCTTACAGCAACCGAGCTTACTGGAGCCGTCCTCGCACATCAAATATGGGGTCCGAAGAAAAAATCATGGGGAATAGAGATGACCATACTCAACAGTCTCATGCAGGGCGTCAATCGCCACAGTCATCTCGTAGACATTGTACGCTGTATATCTATGTTTCAATCAGATTTCTTATACTGATGATATCTCTAGACCACCATCCGGTTGCTAATGGGTCTTGCGGGACTGGTGCCTCTCCCTTCCGATGCCCTAGTATCTCCAGTCACATTCAACGTTCGCAAGCGCAACTTACGCGGCATACTGGCGGAATGCGATCAGAAAGAGACAGGGAATCGAGAGCTGACGGGAGAATGGGTGGTCGGTCGGCGAACATGGCAATGGAAAAAGGCGCGGATCTCCAATGAGAAGCTAAAGAAGAGGAAAGAGAGGGTGATCCTTTATATACATGGAGGTAGGCATCTTGCTTTTTTCCAGGTTGTCCTTTCCCTGATAGTGATATTACAAGGTGCATATTATGTCTCTTGTGCTGCTGCTCAACGAACCATTACTATCCCACTTGCGAAATACACCGACGCGAGAGTCTTTGGTGAGACTTGCGCACCGAGTGATATCGTGCCCACTAAACGCTTCACCATGTATAGCCTTGGACTATCGTTTGGCTCCCGAAACTCGATTTCCTGGACCGTTACACGACGCTGTCAGCGCTTATATGCGTCTTGTCGAAGATCTGCATATTCCACCTTCGAGTATAATATTAGCAGGAGACAGCGCTGGCGGAGGATTAACCCTTGGTCTGTCTCAATTCTCATAACATTTGCTGGGTGGACATTCATTCGAAAATTCAGCACTGTTGATGTACTTGCGCGACAATGAATATGAATTACCTTCAGCGGCGATTCTCATGTCTCCATGGGTCGGTCAGTGTATCTCTCTATCCCATTGGTGTCACTCTTACACATATAATTCGTAGACTTGACCATGAGTTGTGAATCCTGGGACTCCAACGAACCTTATGACATTATTCCGATGCCTGCACCAGATGATCATTTGAATCCCGTCGCACTCTATCTTGGTGATAACATGGAACAATTCATGACCCATCCTTACGCGAGTCCCTTGTTCGGAGATTTTACTGGCCTTCCGCCATTGCTTATACAAGCAGGAGACTCGGAAGTCCTGAGAGATGAGATAACATTGCTCGCTCACAAGGCCTCTCTAGCTGGGGTTGAAGTGCGGCATGAACTGTACCAGGACGCTGTGAGTATTGGGAGTGTCTTTAACCGCTGTGACGGCTGAGTTTCTCTTAGATACATGTTTTTCAATTATACCCATTCCTTGATGCCACATCTCGGTCGTTCGCCTCTATCCGCGAGTTTGTTCGGAAATTATTACCTCAAATTGGAAGCGAAGTACCTGATAAACTCGGCGAACAAGCCGAAAAGGTTATTGGGAACGAGATTGAGAGTGAGAGAGCCATTTTGGTTGGAGGAGATGGACAGCAAACTGCGTCAGGTATAGAAGAAATGGAACGGAATATTGACGCAGAAGTGCCTACTTCCACGGATTCCAGTAGCGATACAGATGAAGAGAATCGCATTCGCAAAACCCCTAAGGAACTTGCGAGTTGGAGTCGTCGTTCCTGGATGTTGTCGCCGTTTTCCCTGTTGTCACTGTCTGTTGCACCAGTACCTTCTAAAACAACTCGGCGCCGTGCGGACACTTTACCTTCCAGTGCGGCTTTCTCCGATCCCCGTAGATTGGCTGTCGCCCCACCTCAAAAACCTACACAGTCCCGGACGAGGTCGCAAACACATATCCCTCAACCTGGTCTCAACTCAAGGCGGTCTGGGCTTCCGCCCCGCATAACTATAGCGAATAACAAGGTACCACATCCAGGACCATCAACCCTCCCGAATCGGACTTTCATGCGCATGACCCCTCCTTGGTCCACTACAGATAGTTTACCACCTTCGCCATCTATTCGTCGTTCATCAAGAGCGAGTAGCCATCAAGATCTGTCTTCTCTTGTACAAGACTGGGCCAGCACAGGCCCTGCTAATCGCACGTTCATATATCCTCTTTCAGGCTCATGAACACCACCTGCCATTTCTCCTGCTTCTGTGATTATAAATTGTATCGCAATAATGACAGTACACAATGCAATAAGTAGTATGTAGATAAATAATCCGTGTGTTGTACAAAATTACCTACGCCTGCCCGAATGTAACTCTAGTCCCTGTTTAAATACCTCCAGTTCTTCTACCATGTTCATAAGGGCATTGCACTCCCATTGTCCATAAACAAATCCCTCATACAACATCGTCGTACCAAGCCACGACAAGAATACAGTAAAAACGATAAAAATAGGATTGAGCCAAGGGTATGGAAACCATGTAGATGCAACTGCAGTGGTAATTAGGAGCATCACGCAAAGCACGAATAATGCTAACTCTTTCTGAGCTCGAGTTTTTGAGAAACGATAACAGCTCGTAAGAGCTTGAACCATTGTTGTAATGCAGGCGTTGGAAATCTCTGAAGGTTCCGAAGACTGCGTTGACCAAGCAGCAGTCTGACTGTCCGAAGGAAAGGTGATATCATTCGCAGAGGGTAGAGCACCCGGAGTCTGGATTTGTAGGACAGACTTCAAACCGAAATGGTCGGAGAAGGAGAATGTGGTACCAGGTACTTCATGTGTGAAGACCACTCTCGACTCTTTGCAATGAAGCACAGGTAATATCCCAGGATTAGAAGAATGGGGTTGTCGGTAGAAAATGTAATCCAGGCGCTTTCCGCAGAATTTACGAGCAGTGGCGTCCAATCCTTTACCAGCGGAGTAAGTATTTATTGGAGAGTCGGCGGTGACTCCAAAATCGTCTATGGCCTCTTGGGGAGAAGGGGTGACGTCCGATGGAGTGTTTGAAAAAGGATGAGTCACGAGCCAAGAGTCTACGAGCCCAGCGTGTTCTCGGATGACTGTCATGGGTAGCGTGGTAGGTATACTGTTGAAGTCTCCCGCCTGTACCGTGAATTATCAAGCACAAAAGAAATCGACGAATGGATAACCACATACTGCAATCACATAACGTCCAAGTTCAGCAGCTCGTCTTGCAAGTTTCGCGAACTCCCATGCATTTACCAACCGATGTGCGCGATTGTGTTCAGGCCCATCTTCACCTCCTTTGGCATAGAGCTAGATATTATGCATATAACTCATCTGAAGGGGATGAAAAGCACTGAGCGGACATACATGAGTGTTGAAAATCTGCACCTCCCCTAACTCAGGGTGAATAATTATAACACTTGCTGCGGCCTTGCCCACGAACCAGTCGCCACCAGCAACGTCAATTGGCGCGCCATTGAGGGAGTAAGGTTGAATTTCGGTAGCGATGATAGGAAACCTTGAAAAGATTGCCAATCCTGCTCCGAGTGCACCGCTAGACGGTCATTGAGTCTTCAGCAAAAAATGAAGTCAAAAAGAATGAAGTCACCTATAAAAGAATTTGGCATATGGAAGATAACTGGCTACACTCTCTCGGACGTATTCAAAATCGGAATACACCCATAATTCTTGGAGAGTCACAATATCGTATTCCTCTGTACGCGAAAGTTCATTCGCGATGGCCACAACTCTATCTCTGCGATTTTTGGAAACAAACTTTAAGCCCCTGCGGGATGGAGGTTAAAGCAAAATGGGGTAAGATAGCATACAAGAAAGTCTCTGACCAGCAATTGAGGGTGAGTATTGAAAGCTCTTGTTCAGCCATGTCGGAGGAACTACTTGGAATTCCACCGGCGCTTAAATAAAGTTATAGGACCGGCGCCTTATGATCACTGTCATCCACAAACCACTATCTACAGAGAGTTCAATTCCTGACATTTAATTCGCATACTACTAGATTGCACTTCCCACACACGTCCTGTATAATAATACACCACCTAACTTAGTATTTCCTCCCTTCATCCCATCCCGATGTCAGGATCCGCACTGGGCTCATTGTTTGCTCAGGATATAGCGCAAGCATGGCTGACCGACTTTTCTCGCTCGCTTTCGACAGGCGACTGTCAAACAGCTACTTCTGCATTTCTTAAGGAAGGGTGGCTTCGAGATATCCTCGTCTTCACATGGAGTAATCGCTCGCTCTTTGGCACTTCTAAAATCATGAAGTACCTTGAGGAGAACTTGAAAAGAGATACACTTTCTGATTTTAGGTTGAACGATGAGTCTCACCTTGCTCCCTACAACAATCAGTCTCTACCTACGGCTGTTTCCTCGGGCTTTACCTTTCGGACGCCTATTGCGTTCGGACAGGGCTTTGTCAATCTATCGCAGGACGAATCTGGAAATTGGAAAGCTCTAACGGTATTGATGATGATGAAAGATCTCATAGGTCATGAAGAATCAGGTCCAGAAGAGGGTGTTTATGAGGGCCACACTCGAGCATGGGTGGACGTGAATGAAGAACGTCGGAAGGCCGTAGAGGAAACCCCTCATGTTATAATTTGTAAGGCTACGCATTTGATCAGTGCTTTTCCGACGTGTAACGACCTCAAACATTACTATCATCATTGATCTAGTGGGTGGTGGACAAACGGGCTTAAACGTTGCAGCAAGATTTCATCAGATGAAAATCCCAAGTATAGTTTTAGAACGAGAAGACAGAATAGGGGATCATTGGCGAAAACGGTACCCGACTTTGAGTTTACATACCCCAAAGAATCATCATTCAAGTAAGTTTATTTTTTCATTGCCTTTTCCCTAGCTCTATTCTCCTTGAATAGTGTTATACAAGCCATATCCCGCGACTTGGCCTATATTTACCCCACGCGATAAGCTTGCAAGCTGGCTCGAGCAGTATGCAGATTCACAAGATCTTGTTATTTGGACACGATCCACCATCCTTCCTACTCCAAAATATGATTACACCTCTAAGAAATGGACCGTCGTTGTTTCCCGCAACGGGGAACATTTAACTTTTCATCCTGCTCACATTGTCATAGCCTGCGGTACGCTCGGGCATCCCCGCATCCCCTCTATAATCAATATGCAAACTTTTGAGGGTCATATTATACACTCTGCGAAATACAATGGGGGGAACGTGTTCTCTGGAAAACAGGTTGTCGTGGTTGGTGCTGGCAACACCGCTGCTGATATATGTCAAGACCTTGTCCATTGCGGTGCCGAGGTGACGATGGTACAACGCTCCTCCACTTGTGTTGTTCCTCGCCCAGTATCTACGGCGAATCTTGATCGGATGTGGCCACAAGAAGTACCGACTGACGTTTCTGACTTGAAGTTTGCTAGTTTACCTCTTCCTCTCATTTATAAATTAGCCACTTCCCGAGCTGCACATATAGCGGAAATTACACAGAGTATGCAAGATGGATTAAAGAAGGCTGGAATGCAGGTAAATCTTGGACCTGGTGGCGCCGGGAACTTTATTCTGGTTTTCAATCGGTTTGGAGGTATGTGTTTGTTAGCATAAACTCCTTCATTAACTCATATGATCCCTCTTATCTTGAAGGCTACTGTGTGTGATAAGCACCTTCATAAAATTCCTCTCACCTCATCCTATGATTATTGAAGGGTTGGACGTTGGAGCGGCCGAGCTAATAATTTCAGGAAAAATCAAGATCAAACAAGGAGTTGAACCAGAACGGTTAACTAAATATTCTATGATTTTCAATGATGGTTCCTCGGTACAAGCCGATGCTATCATATTCGCGTGAGCTTTTGCACAACACACTAGCACACACTACTATTCCCCTTTGACAATTTGCTCATGCTTTTCTATTCCACATACAGGACTGGATACTATTACATTCGAGACATAATGAAAGATACATTTGGGGAAGAAACCATTGAACTGACAGCACCTGTTTGGGGTCTTGATGAAGAGGGAGAAATCCAAGGGAGTTATAGACCTTCTGGTCACCCTGGGGTAAGTAATATTTGTGCCGAAGAGAACTGAATGTCAACATGTCTGTTTATCCCTACTCTACATACCTCACTTTACAGCTCTGGTTCGCTGCTGGTGATTTTTTTTCGTCGAGGTTTTCGTCAAAGCAACTGGTAGGAAATTTCCGAAATCCAAGACGAGCCATGTTTTTACTTGACTTACATAAACAGGCGTTGGAAATCAAGGCGATTGAACTGGGATTCATGTCTTTATGAATTATCGACACATTATGCCTGTGCAAATTTTTGTAGTTACCATTTTATGAACCAGAGTTTGCAAGTGATAGAGCCTTAGTTGCGCGATCGGGTTGTATGTACAATTGTAGTATTTGAAATATGATAGCACGTATCTAGGAAGCCTTAAGATCGTATGTAGGCTATCGACATGCACCCGTTCAGAAATATAGACGAAGGTTCGGTAGTAATACATGGTGACACAAAATAATAGTACAAGGTTGGGAAGTCATAGATGGGGTAAAATACTTACTCCTCCTCAGAAGAGGTGGCCTCATCATATAAGACCACATACTCATCCGGAAGCGTCGTTGCCCGTATGGTAGCTTGAGATTCAGCCCCATGTCCTTCAACTAGAACACTAGTTCGACTGTCTTGCCATAGCTCCTCATCGGAATCGGAATCAGTTACATCCAGCAACGACCCAGAGGTTTCTGAATCATTGTCCGATGTCTCGACATAGTCGCTTACCGAAGGCGCGGAGAGCGCGGTAACAGGCGAACCAGGTATTGACGAATTTCGGTGCAGTCCTTCAGGAGCACCGTTCCTGTTCGCGTCGTTGTTTGCAACAGCGGAAGAGGGAGTGGAAGCAGCTGTAGGCATAATTATGATGGAGGACGACGATAAATAGTCAGAGGAAGCTAGAGTTTCTGGGCTGTCTCGTTGGAAAGCTTCGGAGACGGTGATACTGACGAGAAAGAGGCCATAAGCATGCTGCAAGATTCAATAGTCTGTTGTTATAACCACTCACTCGAGCCAGATGCTATGACCAAAGAGGTTTCCTTCACCATCTCTGAGTCTGTAGTACGCCACATAGCGACCTGGATTTTCAGGCGCTTTGAGTTCTCCGGTCCACAACTCAATTTGTTCGTTAGGTTGAACGACGCCAACTGATTGCGGCTGTATAGTAGTATTATCTTTTGCAAACGATTCCCCAGCAACGAACACAAGTTCAGTACCTTCCGGCCAAGGTCTGCTCCCACCATTGCGCATTACCCATGCTTTCAAAAATTCAGCGCCCGGAGCAACTACTTGGCCATCAACTATGTTTCTGTCAGCTACGAACTCTGCGTTGAGAGTGTTCAAAGTGGAGGGTGTAGAAGGGAGCGAAACAACAGGAGGCACGGGGGCGGAGGGTGTACCAATAAGAGCCTCCTTAGACTCCATTGCAGTGATGAAAGGATTGGTCGCCGGCATTTTGATGCCACTCAGGATAGACGCCAGGGAACGTACCGAACGTTCGGATTCCGAAAGAGAATTGGATGACGCCGGTCGAGAAAGAAGAGGTTCTCTCTCACCAACAATAGAAGACTCTTCAGCAGGTATCCCACTTCCAGTTGACTGTGCCATGGAACGACGCAGGTCACGGGAGAAGGAAGGCTCGTCGTCCATCAAATGTCTGATCTCCTGAAAATTTTCCGGCCAGAAGCCGGAAGCGACCGTCGAAGACGGGACCGGGGGTAGAACATGTATTGGACTATGCTCCCTCCTTGATATGTTACTTGAAGGATGAGAAGGAATTCTGACCAGGAAGGGATTTCCATTCCCATGGACACGTCCCCAATCCGGGGAATTCTGGGAAGATATCGTGTTATAATCTACACCAGACGGAGCCATCACCGGATAATCACAGGTACGTTCTGGACTAGGCGAACGAGCAGGAGCGCGTTGGGATTCAGACATATACTCTCCAGGAATAATGAACGGAGAACGGGGCCTAGCATAGGGTGTGTGTTTCCAAAGTGGAGACGGGGTACGAATCGATTCATGAACCAATGGCTTACTCTGAATAGGGGGAAGAGTAATAGGGGGAGAAGTCCGCAACATAGTCGACAACGATAAAGATTCAATGGGCGGGAGATTGAAGAACGTCGGCATCGCGCCAGGTATCATCATGGTAGGCGAGGGGCTCCGCGTAGAGACGGGTGAAAAGTTGCGCACGGGAGCAGGAGCAGGGAGTGAAGTATTTTCCACTTCACTTTCCGGCGTTTGGCTTCGAGCAGATTGGGATCTAAAGTAAAAGGGAGAAGGAGGCTGAGCCTCAGGCGAAGGTATACCATGGGTCCCAGCTGCGGGGTTCCGCAAGCATCCGGATCCATAGGAACCAGTAGGTGAAGGCGCACGAAGACTGGCGGGTGCAGCCTCGATAGGAGAGCGGTCTGACGCGCTTGTCGCGATATCATTGGCAGGCGGTCGAAATTCACCGACGTTGTTGCGATGTACTGTGGGTAGAGCAGTGCCAACATCTTTGACTTTCAACAATGGATGTGTAGCTGGGTGCACGGCAATCGGCAGCGCTTCGCATGCACTAAAATAGCGCTATTGAGCACGACTGCAGATTCAAAACCACTAGAAACTTACCTGCAAAGGTCAAAGTCTGGACAATCTTGATGCATACACTAAAACACCGTAAATCTCACATAGAGACAAATGAGAATCAATATACCTTATAACGGATACCGAAAATCCGCCGCGAGCAGGAGTCGCAAGTGGCAAAATGTTCTTTGACGGGGGTCTGGTCACGGCGCTGCAACACACCAAGTTAGTAGATCTGGGAACTAACGTGACGAGACGACCTACAATAAAATCTTCGGGTCGAGAAACCTTGACAAATGCATGACGTGGATGGTGTTCATTCGTGATGCTATAGATAAAATCAGCATCCAAATTATCAGCTGAAAGGAGAAACAGACGTGAAACAGTTGGCTAAAAGGTTGAATAAGCACACAATATTGCAGTTGATAGTTACGAATGACTCACCACAGCAGTCCCAATCCGGGCAATTGATGCATTTCTACCAGATAAAAATTAGAATATATACATAGCGATTGTGGAAGCAGGTGTCGTACATAACGGTCACCACGAATTCTAGATTCACACAAATCACACACTGCGTTATGGACCACGGGCTGAGAGGATTGGACTGGGGATCCATTGTGACGCATGGGTGGAGCCACCTCTCGCTCGCCGCTACCACTGAAAACATTATGGACCACGACACGCCCAGGTTCGGAGATTTCGAAGAACTCATGGAAGGGTGTGTGACGTGCAGCAGCACCATTAGCGATGCATGATGAACATAGATCATAATCTATGAAACCAAGGGTTAATGGACAATATTTTGGGACACGAACAGACTGCAAACACCAACCTGGACAATCAAGACATTTGTGTCTGACCCCTTCTATGATAGAGCGACAAGAATCGCACGAAACACCGTGGTGAACGACTCGACCGTTCTCATTTCTCGCAGACTCGTTTTCACCAACGGGAAGAGCAAAAGGCACAGTATGAGGGACAGGCATTTCTGGAGCAACGTCCTCCCTAAGTACAGGTGCCATTGTAGGAACAGATGGAAGCAAAAGAGATCCAAATGTCAAAGGAACAGAGCCCCAGGAGGCGGGTTGTAATGGAGAGGGTGTAGGAGTAGGCGTGGAATTGGGGGCACAGTAACTGCATGTTTGTTTCTTCCAAACATGAGGACTTCCGAAAAAGCAATCACTAATGCTCGTAGTCTCAAGGCAGGTGACGCACTAAAGCATGATATGAGATGAGTTCGAATGGATTAGATATAAGTAACACCTACCAGCTTGTTGTTGCATGTCGAGCAATCGAACCAAGGACCCTGTTTAATGACACCACAGCGCCAACAAAGATTGTACTGACAAAGAGGCGGATGCATAGGCACAGAAGGGAGGGAAAGAGTTGACGACGATTCAGGTACGTTAGAAGGTGGAACCTGAAGCGGTATCTTCGGTAGCTGGATCGAATCTTCGGAGTGGGGCACTTGATTCAGTGGCATAGGAATGTCATTCTGAGGAGATGGTTCAAGTGAGGCGATGACGCGGTCTAAGTCAACCTTGAAGCTTGTGATTAACTCTTGAACATCCTTCCTAGTTTGTGCAACGGCGCAGCATGAAGCAATGTCATGCTGCGGGACAGTAGGCGGATCATTTGTTTCAGGCTTGCCTACATCCATTGGTTCCTGAGGGCAGGGCCTCGACGAAAAGATAATGGGAGGAGGGGGGATATGAGAATAAGAGATCCGACCGAAAGATGGTTCTACGACAGGGAATGGATTAGAAACGACCGGCTTCTGAGGATTTGAAGCCTGAGGCTGCCATGTATGAGGACTGGATGGGAGTTTATGTGGAGTTTCGTCGGAAACAGAAACCCTTAGCGACGGACCCATCCAAGCTCTGCCCTTGAAGGGAGCGACGGCGAGATCATACTCTGCGGCATTGCGCACTTCCCTGGATAGAAGCACCCGAGAATCGGAGGAGTCCGGTGAAAAGAGTAACTTGGAAAGAACGATGGAATGGCTTATTGGGAAGACCCTGTACAGCTTTACGAAGAGATAAGCTTACTGGAACTTGTCTGGGGTGAAGAAACATACCTGGTGGTAAAGTTGGTCGAATGAAGGAAAGGAATCACATTCAGGAAAGCTCAATTTCCGTGTCTCTGAGCGGTATGTGGCTTTGACGGTGAATGGCATTGGATACGAGGTAAGTAGTGGGAGAGTAATAAGAAGGCGCAGCCGAAAGCGGCGCAATGCGTAACTTATATGAGATCATATGACTCAACTCACGTGCTAATTAATGGCCGACGGCGGTTCGGCGCGCTGCTCAGTGCTGAGCGCTCTCGTCGCTCCTCGTTTTCCCCACGACTTCGAAAAGTTCAAATGGTAGATGCCACTAATGTTGAAGACGAATATGACTTGTTCGATGACTTCTCTGACCTGACAGAAGAACAACTTGCACAAATTGACGCCGCTACCTCTTCCGCATCGGCATCAACTCCAAAGAGTATCCCTCACGTACAAGTTGAGCTGGAAGGAACCGATATCTCGACCGAGACGTGCAATGACCCCAACGGTGATACTCATAGGCCAAACGAATCCGAGCGGGTTTCCCCTTTGCAGCAATTCCGCAAGAACAATATCCTTTCTGTGACCGACCTAGTCTCACCTTCATGGTACAAGAATTGCTAATGAATGCAATGAGAAATTGACGGAAAGCATATAGGTGTGAAGTGCAATTTGATTATGGGCTGCGACAACTGCGACATCGGAAACTCAAGGATCGACCAGCATCTTTTGTAACAGACCAAGGGAAAGAGATTATCGTTGACAAGGGTGTAGCAGCGAAATCTGACGCCACAAAGAAGAAAGGAGTGGTATAGACTTTCAATTGCGCTCTCACAAAGCTTCGCTGACGCCTTCATAGTCTGTGCACAAGAGATTGGAACGAGAGATCCGACCGGAAGAGATCAAAGTACAAGTCACTACCGAAGAAGAAAGGTGGGGACTGCGGTATAATAATTTCCCAGCATCTGTTCTTCAAATATTCAAACTAATATCTCTATCTAGAATGATAAATATGATTGATTGTATCGACTCTCTATTGTTGTTAGGTTGCGCTGTTCGTCTTTCTATTCTAAGCTAGTGACGCTCCTAACCCAACGCTCAGCGTGAAACACCTGTATTTGGCCTTATAGAGGGAAATATAGTTGTGGGGATTATTGTGCGTGCCGAGCTTTGATAACGCCTGCTATTCCTCATTCATCAGTGTAGGACGAGATCACCTTTTCGCAAGCATCACCTTCGTCTCCTAATCACGACAAGAAGCGCGGATTTCAATCTTCGCCATCCACCCCTCAAAAGCCCAAACGAACTCGTCGGTCTCCTTCCCCCTCTCAGTCTCGAATCACGTCATTCTTGTCTCCTGCCAAGGCCTCCATCACTCTTTCCACTTTGGATCCACCATCTTCATCTAGTAACCATCACAGTCCACCTACTCTTCACTTGATCGATACCAAAACTCGACGAACAAATTCGTTACCTGGAGACGAAGACACACTGCCCTCTCGCTTTCAGCTTATGCTCTATCATCGCATGCTAACAAAACTTATGGCTACAACGGACGCTTTCGATTTTTCCTCCTTCTGGCAGAAACTGAAACTTGATGATGTCGCATCATTTTCTCATACGTTTCTTGCCCAAACTTTACTGACATCAGAAACAAACTGTCTTCACCATCTTACTGATCTGTGGCATATTGCAGTATCTCGATTGAACGGGGCAAAGATTGATTCCACTCTTCAACTAGTTTATCGCTTGCAACCAAATCGACAACGAAGTTTTCGAAAGAGTCAGAAAGGATCATTCACCTCTTCACGGGAGGAAATTGAAATTGCAAAAGCAATTGAGGACAGTATGCGAGACTTTCAACTTAAATCGAAGGACGAGCAACAACTCGCCCAAGCCCTGGCTCATAGTGTGACTGATCCAGAAGTGGGTAGCTCGGTGACCGAACAGGAGAAGAATCTTGTCGATGATCCTGAGCTGCTGTGGGCGTTAGAGCAGTCGTTGTTAACGCGTCTTAATGACAACGGACTCGATTCCACTGGTGAGAACATTCTTTGGAGCTGGAGCAAGTTGTGCTGAGCTTCTTGCAGCTCAGTCCCAGGACATTCAGAGACCATCACCTATAGACAATGCCACGCAGCATCAATCGTTTGGTAATCATCACTCTGATATCATTGGAACAAAGGAATTCGAGTTTGACGCTAAGTGTCTTGACGAATATCTGGAAGACATCTTGAAGTGGTGGAATGGGGACCGCAAACCCCGAGGTGTCTCTCTAGAACAGTCGGGACGGTGTTTGTACGTTCATTTGTTCTAATCCAGCATTCTTTGTCAATCGACCCTAACGTTATTTAGCTCTTGTGAGTACCGTTTTGGATGTGAATGGCGCGAGAAGAAGGCCAGAGAAGTAGAGGAGGGATTGAAACTTCGGAGGCAACAGAAAGACGTCATTTGACCGCGCACAATACTGTTATCTATAACCACAGTCTACTCGATATTTAATTATTCGTATTTATCTGGATTAGCAGCGCGAATTGCGCCGGATGTATCATATCAGATCAGCGGAGTGTGGGGTAGCCAAGGTCACCATCACCGGTCTTCAACCAAAACGCCCAACTCTGCTCAATCTTTCTTCTCGACTCTCCTTCCAAACTTTTTCGTGCTTCTGCCAAATTAATTAGTTCCACATGGGATCTGCCTATGAAGAAGATCATGTCCTGCACTGGTCATTCCGCGGCACACATATCCTTCTTCCCGGCCTCCGCCTTAGTTCTTTCGGATCCTTCACCGCTGCTTCGCTCTTCGTCATCGCTATATGTTTCTCCGAACGATTTCTCTCTTTCATATCTGAACAAGAATGGCGACCGCCTTTCGTCGCTCGCTCTCGATGGCAGAATGCATTCTGGAAGACGGCGTTGTATTGGGTGATAACGCTGCTTAGATTGTATGTCTTGGAAACACAACTAAGGAGATACTGGGATTGAGCATATTAATTCAGACTGTACATGTTATGTGCCATGTCTTTCCACTTTGGTACGTCTATGTCTGTTATGACACGAGCTCACTGGCGGCTGATTCATTGGAAAGGATTACTGCTAGTCATAGTGCGTACAAGATGTCTTCCAAAGAAATACAGACTTAACCCTATCATGAAGGTTACTTCATTGGCTGTGGCTCACCTATTGATTGAAGTCAGAAAGGACATCCAGTCGTCAGATACAAGGGGGTATGTTCTCGAGGTAGCCATCATATCTTACTCAAGCTAACGCGTCGTATCATGATATTCTAGGGCGTATTCATCAATCGAACAACCCTTCCACGACGATACGCCAAATCATCACCTTCCTTCTGTGCGGCTTCGTTCAAAATCCAAACCGAATGGTATATTCATCCATCCCCAACATTCAAATCTTGCGCGAGCCGACGCTGCTGCTCTTCAATTAGGGCTGGGTGGTCCAACAGAGCGAGTCAGTGGCAGCGTTTATCAACTGAAGGAAGAAGCTTCATGGAAAACTGGGACAGGAAAAGATGTTGCGAGAGCATTACTCGGCGGATCTCATCAACAGTTAAACACAAACCGATACTCCTTCGATGTCGGGTCGGATTCGGATTGTTCTGATTCTGAAATGTAAAGTACCGAGGATATGCAGATTATTATCATGAGCACGATTCATCATTGATAGTGAATGATCAAGTTGGTAGATGCATAAATATACAAACATGGTAAGCAGTAAATGAGTCCATGGTCCATGGTCAGTTTCCACCGTTGACTAAAGCAGCCTGTTTGGCTACAAGCCCGCCTCGCTTAGAAGTTGGTGTTCTAGTTGCTTCCGACTCTACAGCAGTCTTACGCTGCCATTGGTCAATCAACTTGCCAACACCCTGGTAAGGCCGCTCTGGAGAGGGAGATCTTATGTCACCGGACCGAGCGGGTTCATCAGGTGCTAACGTAGGTTTTCGTTTTTGGGGAAAAGGTATTTGGGCGTCTGCTTTTGTTGATATCCGATGTGCGCGAGGAGTTGCCAGCTCCGGGGGTTCGTTCGACGTTGTATAGCGCTTGTTGGGCGATGGACGAGGCGTTGCTCTAGATGTAGGGCGATTCTTCGAAGGAAAATGTGTATCATCCGTATCCGTTGAAGGAGGGTTAATAGGTCCATCTCGTTGCGAAAGAGCAGAAGCCTGCGAAGAAGACTTATTCTCAGTAACAGGGACAGGCACTTTCTGTGAAACGATTCTGGAAGAGGCTGTTGGTATGCCAGTCTTAGCAACAGCGTCGATAGCCTCGAAACGTTGTACCATGTCAGAGATCGATGTCCTGCGAGCGGTCCTCGTTTGAGGAACTTCGGGAGGGGTCAATCCAGCAGAAGGTGGAGCATACCCATCTGTAGATTTCGAAGGGAATATGAACATTGACTGTGGCCGGGAACGCGACGAAGAAGCCGGACTGGTGATATTACTCTTGACTGGTGGTGGGTTTGTAACATTACTTTGTTGACCAATCAAATTTCCTGCTGGTCGGCTTGGACTAGGAGATGAGACTAGCTGTGGCGAGATAGATCTCTGATGTGGAGTAGTTGGAATGACAGGGGTGGCTAACGAACGATGTTTGGACAAACCCTCCGATTTGGGTAAAGGCGTTACCGTGGCACGGGCCGAGTCCTTTCGAGTCTCCCGCTTCTTTTCGGGGCTGACCCTATCCCCTCCTCCTCCCCCTCCTCCCCAGAGATCAACAAGGTCGTGTACAGAGCTCTGCCGACCCTTTCTACGCTTCTTAGTATCTGGGGACACATTTATCGAACGGGTAACATCCTCAGGGCCTTCGTCGGCACTAGACGACGTGTAGGATTCCTTGAGTTGCTGGGGTGCAGAAGGGGTAACAGGACTCCAATTCTCTGTCAAGCGCTCGGTACGTGCAGGCTCAGCGGCAGTTTCCAAGTCTGGGAAGACGCGATGTGCCCGCCGAGATGGGGATTCTGGTGGTAGGGACTCAGGAGTTACAGCAACCGCTTGATGAATCGGGATGTGACTCTTCTCTATGTAAGAAGCCCGTTTGCTAGGAGAATCACGTAACACAGGCTGGGGAGTTTCGACAGTACGTGTCGCTGGCGATGAAAATTCTGATATGTCATCTCCTGTTAACCAGTCACGCTGTGATGGCCTTGAAGGTAGTCGAGGTGCAACCTCTGACGAAACGGGCATTTGAGAAGAGGAAATCTTGGGATTATGCAGTCCATTACTTCGATCTTGGGAAGTTTTGGTGGCCGAGGAGCCGTGACGCTTGCGAACTGAATTCCCGCGCGAGATGCTGTTGGAAGAGCTAGGCGTCTTCGTAGCTTTCAAAGCATCCATACCTGGGGTGGTGGCCCCGGTCCGCAAAACAATGCTACTGATCTGCTCTGTTCGGGCACCATCTGATCTGAGAGCCATTGGGGAGGAAGAATTGGGGCGAGGTAAATTGGAAGCAGCTGTGTTTGTAGGCTTTGCGACGGGAAGTTTGCTGGACAGTTTCGGTTCGCTGGGTACATGAGGAACAGGCTTGAGAGAATCTTTACTACGCTGACGATTATGTCCTGGAGCAAATGATGCATCAAGCTCTTCCAACGAAGGAAATTTATATTCTGCAGCAAACGCATCTGGGGATTGCGGTTGGGATGAGCCAGGTCTGGACGAAGGAGGCTGAGAGCTCCATGAGGAGCCGGAGGTATCTTGCTTTAGAGGAGCGGCAGGAATACCTAAAGTTTGGGGTCCGGAAGGAGACGGTGATGTATACGAAGGTTTAGGGGACAGCGAGGGTTTAGGCACCAAAAAGTTATTCCCGTACTTTCCATTGGAGTACTGATTAACCGATATAGCTAGACCGGTCCTCAATTTCCTGGCTTCTGCAAGGGTGGGTGCAGGCTTATTGTTTGAAGAAAGTCCTAAACCATCGAATGCGTCTTTCTCCTGGATGCGGGTAGCAGGTTTCAGAGGCTGGTCGCTGATACGGTGGGAAAGTGGGGGCCTTTCTGCAACCTTCAATCCTGGGCTGGGCGAAACCGTTGGCTTCATGACCTGTGAGTTTAAGTTGGATGACTTCCACAATTGTTCACCAAAATCATCCCCAAACCCTCGTTGACCAGCCTTCGGACCAACGTAATCTGAACCGACACTCCAGACGTCTTTCTGAGGTTTAGACGTGCGAGCAGACTGAGCGGTGACTGCCTGCCATGCCTTTTCCTCGTCCTCCAACCAATTCTTCTCTTTCGTAGTTTCGGTAGCCTTTGTCGGAGAGGACGATCTAGATGACTCTTTGGATACAGCCGGCCGACCCCGTCTCATCGGAGCGATCGCTTCTAGAACCTTATCGCGCGCTTGAACACCTGCGTTTCTTGGCACTGATGGAGCTGGAGAGACACTAGGATTCGCACCGTTAACAGTAACAGTCATGGCAGGGTCTTGCCTATATGAAATCGTACTATGAACAGGATTAAGAGAGGGTGATTTTTGTTGTGGCTGAATCCGAGGAGCAAGAGGTTGAGGTTGAGGTATGCTGTACTGGAACTGGGATTTAGTGCCTCGAAGCCGGTGTACTTGAACAAGTAATTCAAAGACTGAAGGTCTCTGAGTACCATGCTCGCGAAGCATGGATGCTATGAAACATGATATGAATTCTGGCATGTGAGGCGAGCAGAAATCGTCCTATAACGTACCAATCAAAGCATTCATTTGAGACGAATAAACTGGATACGGGGGAATGCGATATTGAACATTGAGAATTGCGAGTGGCCCATGTTCCTCAAACGGAGTAGTATAGTAGCACAACTTGTATAGCAAAACGCCCAGCGCCCAAACATCGCTCTTCTCGTCAATTGGCCGTCGAAGATGCGCATCGATCATTTCAGGAGCTCTGTACTGAAGAGTAGTGTGTCGATTCAAATCTTCCTCCAATGCTCGAACTTCCTGCATGTTGGCGGGCGGCCTCGTTGCTACGGTGGTTGCTGAGCCAAAATCACACAGTTTAAAAGAGGTAGGTGAAGCCTGCAAAATATTCTCCACTTTGAGATCTCGATGGAGTAGCGGGGGACGCGAATTGTGCATGTAAGCAACACCTTCGCATACGTCAACAAATATTTGAAGGATCTCTGATTCGGTCAGTCTTTCACGTAGCCGTCGATTCATCATGTCAATTATACCACCACCTAAAAAGCTTGGTCAAGATCGAGCGTGCAGTCGAATATTATCGCAGCGCACCTGGGCAGAATTCCATGAGAATAAATACTTCATAGAGACCATTTGACATCCTGTGCCAAGCAGCGTCGATGAGATGGACAATGTTGGGGTGCCCTTTCAACAACCTCTGCAATAAGACCTCAACGGAGCAGCGTGATTGTTAACCTTTGATACACACCATGATATCAACTTCCTTCTTCACATCGGTCAACATGGCCTCATTAGCGACGGCAATCCTCTTCAGAACATGGTGTGTTGTATTGTAGACTGGCGTGGCCGTTCGAACCAAATAAACATGGGCGAATCCGCCTGCGTAAGAAGAAAATAAAGCAAGTGAATACAAACAAGTGAAATAAGAAGGAGTAGGTTGAACCTTGCGAAAGGTACCGTTCAACTTGGACAGTATATTTGTTGACGGAGATGGATTGTCCTGGCACAAGAGTTCCTTTGTTCTGCTGGTAAGCAAAGGCTTGTGAAGCATCCATTTTCAAAGCCTATATGCCCGCAATCGAGGAGAGTCGAGGGCGATGGAAGCAGGTGGAATTGGAAGTATAGTGCAGGACTGACTTGGGTGTAAAGTAACAGTTGCGCTACTTGGTTGCATGGCTCATCACCACGTGGCTGCCGAATTAATCTTCCTCCAACTTGTTCTGCTAACTGCTTCCAATCATCATGACCGAGCACCTACTCGCAAATCTCGGGGTACCGTACTCTCGACCAGGGACCCCTGGAGCTCACTCTAATGTACAAATTGGTTGGATTGGTCTCGGGCAAATGGGTTCGTTATCGCGCGTTCATTCGTGCCAATCTCAATTTCTGTGTGTACTTATCATTCATTGTTGGCGATGAATCACATAGGTTATTATATGGCTCGGAATTTGGCCAAAGTGTGTATGCATGGTACATCAGGTTGCTGTCTTTTGCTGATCTGACTGGCACTAGCGAGTGACACCTCCTGGGTCTCAGCACTTACCTTTGAAAGTTTGGAATCGCACAGCGAACAAAGCCGAGAAGCTTCAACAGCAGCTCGGCAAAGCACTTATTATCATTGCTGCGGACATCGAGGAGATAGCCACAACTTGCGATGTTATTATCACCAACCTCTCTAACGACGAGGTGGTGAAAGAAGTTTACGAGCAATGTGCCAGGTACCTCAAAGTACGGATCTCCGATCCTTGTTTCTCTTGCGGCAGCTGATTAGATTACTTGCAGCTTGCACCTCCAGTGAAGAACAAGATCTTCGTTGAAACCAGCACGGTTTGTCCTTACTTAACCTCCTGGTCTTCCCCCTAACTGAATACCCTAAGATCCTGCCACGTCTTTCAGGTAAGGTATTCTACCCTCGTACTGTCGGCAACTCATCGACCATCTATCTCGTAGGCGAGCTGGATTATCTTATTTCTCGGCTTGCACATTGTCATTATCTCAGTTGTCCGGTATTCGGCAGGCCCAATGTCGCAGATAAAGCTCAACTTCTAATCGTAATTAAGAGTAGCGGTGTCTATTTGCCTGACACTAATTATTTGCGTATATAGGTAATGGCGGGCGAGTATCGCTCAAAGAAAGAAGTATGTGAAGATTTTCGCATTCCTTGTCGAGTCATTGCTCATAGACACCGACTTGACTTTCCACTCGTTATCTTCAGGTAGCGTATCTGCTTGTCCCTGCTGTAGGTGTGTATGTGCATATCACGTTTGTGTGTATTTTGCTCATCCTAGTGACTTTTTGTAGGTCGCAAGGTCATAGACCTCGGAGAAAACGTAGAAAAAGGTTAGTCAATGACTCACACATCCGTTATTCCATGAACCCTCGACTCGAAATAGCTCCTACTTTCAAACTTCTTGGAAACTCAATGATTCTCGGTGCCGTGGAAGTCATTGCTGAGGCATACACCCTCGGTAAGTTTATACTCAGGCTTCAAAGGGAGTCTTTCCGTAATCAGATGTATATGTTCAGGGGATAAGGCTGGCATAGAAGCAGGACGAATTCAAGATCTCATAGGAGGTATGTAAGGGTGTTTCCTGTGCTATCAGCAACACGAATCGTTACTGATAATTGCAAAGAAATTCTCCCGGCACCTGGGTACGTTTGCGTTTCTTAGCATGCTGTAGTGAGAATTAGACTAACGCAGGACACAGTCTAATGGGTTATGCCGATCGGATGGCCCGCGATGATTACAACGGCGAAGATGGATTTTCTCTGGAGGGTGGGATCAAAGATGCTTCGTAGGTCAATGTATTCATACGACTGACATGCATACTAACTGGCCCCGCAGTCACATTCGCCATCTCACTGCAAAGTACAGTGCCCCCATGCCAATGATTGATATCGCCCATCAACGCCTGATAACCGCTCGGGCTATACATACAACTCAGAAAGAAGAGGGTACACAAAGTCATGATGTTCTTGACTGGACAGCGCTGATAGCAGGATCGCGAGTTGCTGCAGGATTGGACCCTTTCCAAAGCAGAAAGGTAAGTGATATATTCGTGTTATAACTTTCAGCGATATATTCATATTGCTTGTGTTCAGGCTAAGGCTGTCGTCGAAGAGGCATGAAAGCAATGATCTAACATACGTATGTAGCCTATGCAAACATTTTTTCCTACATTCTTGTTACTTAGAGGAGTGTAGTTACAATGTACACTTATATCTGAATTGTACAATTTATCGTCAACACTTTGCAATGCTGGTTTTATTTCTCTGGTATTTCAGCTGTGCATTCCATCTCAAAATCGGCACCCATTGGGAGTGCTGCAACCCCAATGCATGTGCGGGCAGGCATTTTGTCCTTGTCAAAAAACTGTCATTGAATTATCAAGTTTGAGCCTGTGATCCAGTTGCATTTGCATGATAAATACCTCTGCGTAGACCTCATTCATGGGTCCAAAATCCCGAGCCATGTTGGTTAGGTAGATATTGGCTTTGACAATGGAATCCAAACCGGATCCAGCTGCCTTCAAAACAATTGCAATGTTTTCCAAAGCTGCCCGCTGTTATACAATTTGTGAAGAGTCAAATGAGGTCAAATGACACTCCATATTTCACAATGATGATTGAAACTGACTGTTTGAGCTTTGATATCACCCACAATCTTCATGTCCTTGTCGCATCCAATGTTCCCGGAAACATAAATTGTTCCTTTCGAAATGACAGCTTGAGCTGTAGAGCAACTTCGTCAGCCGAGTATGGGTGATTTACTTTCATGGTTCACAGATTTACAGAAGACTGGTAAGACTGGATTGGCCTGAGGGGTGAACAAAAATTCGGGCATTGTGTATCAACAACGATAAAATCAGTCCTCAGTTCCTGACCGGTCGTGGAGAAGCCGAACAGGTTGCAACAATCGCATGAGAAAGTGCATACAGTACAAATTCTGTGCATTCTTTTCGTCCCTGTTTGGTTTTGTTAATCTCAGTGAATGTTCGGGCCTTTCCTCGCACCGTGTCCGGATCTAAGAATCACATTCGTTACACCCCCATAACCAGATGCAGATAAACAACGGGACCTGCAGACAATTATGCAACAGGCAATAAATTCAAACCCATCGGTGGACTCTCAAAACGGCGGGCCGATGCTGGGTACCTATGATCACTCACATCTGCAGCGTAGCGGAGACCCGCGGAGACGTCTGGACTCTAGACTACATAGATAAAGTGTAATTGGAGAGAGCTTAAGTCACTAGCGGGTTACATAGTAGTTACCAACAGGCGATAGATATCCGGCAAGTACAGATTATAGAACAAGATTAAGTATGGAGACACGCCTTTCGGGTGGATGAGGAGTTCCACATCCGGAGATATCGGAACATCGGACCAGCACCCGAATTTCGAGCCGAAGTTATCGACCGCTGGTATGAGCTTAAGTGCATGGCGGGGGTTTCTTTGTCGAAACGTTGAACGCAGAGGAAGGTGAGGGAACCTGGCAAGGGGAAGATGGCACAAGAGGCTTGTAGTCGGAAAGAATTAGAAACAGCACACCGATGGTTCCGGATGAAATTATGAGCGCTGGATTTTGGGGTGTGGTGCTTTTGTGAAGTTTGTGATGCCAAAAAATTCTGGTGTACTGACGGTTCCCGAATTATGATATAGTTTTTATTTCTTGAGCCTGCAAATTTCAGATTAACGAAGTTTCACTGTAGTGAGCGTATTCAATGGTTGAGCTAATGGTTAATGAATTTCTGTTACATTAACTACCGTTGTAACGAAGAAACTTGAAAGGTATAAAAAACCGAAACTGGTACGTCGGCGGACAGACGGATATCAGCTGCCGACTTGATTACCAGATCCGGCCAGTGGAGCTTCTCTGTTCAACTCCACACTATGTTTCTTCTTCCGTCAGAAAAATTCAATGGCATTCAAAATTCGGGGTATATATAGGACGTTCTTCCTCGATCTATTCACTTTATTCCCCCCTCCTTCCCTGGTCCAATCATGGCTTCCTTATCGGAAACACCTCAGTCTTCGTCACCAGCAGAGTCGAAAGTTAATATCAGAGCGACAATAAAGAATGGCGTCCCCACATATCTAAATCTTTCTGGCGATGCGCTCTTAAGGGCAATAACATTTACATCAACTTGTGGTGAGTAGTACAATCCCTACATCCCAGGGGCATTTTCTTATCCAATTCTTTAGCATTCTTACTCGTACGTTCCAAGCTTCATCGTAGTTTTATTGTGCTTATGTTGTCAATCAAAAGTTTGGCTACGACCAGGGTGTGGTAAGTGTAACCAATCTGTTAGATATGTTGTTGTCCTAAAATTCGTACTTGCAGATGTCTGGAATCATCTCTGCGCCACAGTTCTTTCGGATATTCCCCGACCTCAATCCGGATGTATCGGGAAGTGATCATTCGTCAACAATGCAGGCTTTTTACACTGCCATTTATGAAGTCGGGTGTTTAGCTGGCGCAACTATTGCTCTTCTATTTGGTAACAAGCTTGGTCGACGACGCTGTATTGCCATAGGCGCTACCTTTGTGATCATTGGCACTATCATTCAGATAACACCTATCCCCGGGTAAGAGGCCTCCCCCTCTTTTCGTTCATCATTTATCTCACTATCTTCCCTGTGATTAGGCATAAAGCAGGACATCAGTTCGTTATTGGACGTATTGTCACTGGTTTTGGAAACGGTTCGGTTCATATTTTTTCCGAGGACGAACAAAATAGCTGATATTATTCATCATGTAGGTTTGAATACGGCTACTGTGCCTAGTTGGCAGGCTGAATGTTCCAAAGCGCACAACCGTGGCTTGCACATATGTATCGAGGCTTCTATGATCGCCACTGGTACTGTTGTCGCCTATTGGATTGGTAAATCGAATTCGAATTATCACCCCAATTGCTGATTTTACTTTGTTCAGATTTTGGTCTCTCTTTTGTTGACAATTCCCTCTCTTGGCGTCTCCCTATCGGTCTCCAGATCACCTTCGCTGTCTTGGTCCTCATTGGTATTTACCACCTACCCGAATCACCTCGATACCTTCTTTCCACGGGGCAAATAGAGGAGGGTACCCACGTCGTCGCCGCTCTTGCTGCCCTACCGGTGGAAGACGAGGAGACTCAGCTACAGAAACGGTTGATTATTGAAGCTCTTCAGAATGTTGGCGAGCTTCAAATTAAGCACGTCCTGACTGGTGGTCCTTCGCAACATCTACGCCGTACCCTCATCGGCGCTTCCTCGCAGTTGTTCCAGCAGATCGGTGGTTGTAATGCAGTGATTTATTTTGCGTGAGTCGAAGATTTCGTTGACCATACGCTCAACTTCTCAGCTGACTTTCGCCTCCCGCCATCTAGACCCGTCATTTACGAGCAATATATTGGTCTCGACCGGAGACTTGCTCTCATTCTCGGCGGTGTTAATAGTACTGTGTACGCTCTTTCAGCATTCGGCTCATATCCAATGATCGAACGTCTTGGTCGTCGGAAAATGTTCTTATGGGGCACTGCCGGTCAGGCATTGGCCATGGTACGTCCGTTTTCCCCCCCTTGTTTAACACATGTGATCATCATTTTGTTGTTAGTTCCTTGCGTCCTTCTGTTTGATTCCTGCGGACCTGCACGGTAACAAGGAAAGCGGAGCAAACAAGGGTGCCGTCGTTGGACTATTTCTTTTCCTTATCTCTTTCGGATGGTAAGTTCTATTAATTCGCTGTTGTTCCTTATCGAGATGTCAATTTCTCACAGCACATGGCTTGAACTTCCTTGGCTTCTGCCCGCTGAGGTCAACCCAAATGCTATCCGGACGAATGCCAATGCTATTTCTACCATGACCAACTGGAGCTGGAATTTCGCCGTTGTAATGTGGACGCCCCCCTTGCTCAATGCCATCAAAGGTTTTGGAACCTTCATGTTCTTCGGCGTGATCAACCTCTGTTTCTTCCCCTTCATCTACCTCTTTTACGTCGAGACTAAGGGCCGATCCCTCGAAGAAATCGACATCATCTTTGCCAAAGCGTACACAAACGGGGAGTGGTATGTCAAGACCGGTCACGAAATGCCAGCCTTGAGTGAGCATGAAATCGAACGGGCGGCTGTGGAGTATGGACTCGCCAACGATGTAGAGAAGCGAAGACACGAGTTTGAGCATCCACCCTCAGTGCGGGAGGAGTATGGGGCGGATGAGAAGCAAACGGGACAGTAATCGTCTCGCTTGGCGGGTGACGGGTCCAGAGAGCATAGTGCAACAATGTTTTGTGGAGGCTGCACCCTACCACGTTGTATTCTACTCTTCCACCTCCCATTCCCAATTCCTACAATTCAGCACACATCGTGGGGATATATATTTTCAACTCCCGGCACGATGTTTGGGGATAAGAGACTGTAGGAGAGGCATTGTATCTGTATAGTTGAGCATGTCGCTAGCGGTGCAGCACACCGTACGATTTTCCTCTTGCCATTTACTTTCCCACCCATCCTTCATCAGACGACGCACTAGATATCAAGCCATCATGATCTAGACGACCTTATCTTCTTATTTTCTGATTACTTCCAACCAAAATCATGATTACTTTGTACGTTAGAACTCAATTTCTCATATATACTTAATTATCCATGTAACTACGTAGACAGTCAAGCAATGTGAAAACAAGTAAGTCAAATAACCACAACCAAAAAGGGCATGATAAATGACGCTTTGACTTGTGTGAATTAATGTCTTGGTTCGGCCGATTAAGGCCGATTACTTGTTGGTACAAAATTTTGTGGACAGTTAAATTTTGAACTGTTGCTGCATAGTTTTCCAGCATTAAGACTACTCATACTGTGCGCTTGTGCTTTCGTTTGCTGAGCGACTTTATCATGATCCGGCAGCACATAGTCTGTAAAAGGCGTGTACAATTAAAAAATACGGTTTTCACGGCTTTGGAAATTGTAATAAATTGCACGATTTCTTGAAAAATAATTTCCATATTGAGTAATTTCTTACAAATATTCTCTCAATGAATTCTTTCATCGAGTCTCTTTCCGCTGTACGACACACTGTCTGTCTCTTGCAGCCTCGTGTGAACGGGTGAGTCTCTGCCGTAGAAAAAGCAGTGTACACATTTGGTGCTACGTATCTCGATCGGAAAAGTGAAAACAAGATAGTTTTTGAAACATCTCCCCTTTGTCGAGGAGTGGTAGTAGCATTCAGCAGGTCCATAGTATGAGATATGTGCATATACAGATATAGTTAAATTGGTAAATTAGACATAGATACTAAATAGAATATGATACAATGAATAATTGCTTCAGATTACTTATCTTCGCATGGTAGGAAGAAAACCGACGCAGCCCTTATTGAGAACTTGAAACACAAAGCTCGCGCAGCATGCAACAGGTGCATCACACGCGTCGAGGAAGGTATACTGAATTAGACATGATGGCGTGGCCGACGACACACGTCAATGGCCAACAGGCCACTGGGATCGAGTTGGGCATGAACGCCACCCATGTCGATGTCATGAGGAGGGAAATTAATGACCCATTCATAGTGACCTGATAGAACAACAGACATAAAACAGATGAGCGATATATAAAACAAACAACTCACACTCTGTTTCCATATGCCACGCATCCGCGATGACTTTTAGTTTGTTTCCCTTCAGTACCGAAATAGTCACCATTTCGTGTTTAATATGGTCCGGGAGTTGAACTGTGAGTGTGTACCCTGATAAGGATGATTGAACATCCATAGAGGGACAGTTCGAAATTGAAGCTCCCCGTCGTTCTCGTTGCATAGGGGAAAATTCTTCATGGGAGGAGGTAATAAATGGCTGGGGAGATACTTCGAGTTGTGGAGGATAGCACATATCAGGCAAAGAGCGTCTGAGAGGCTGTATTGGAGTGGCCACTAGCGTTATGATAGTACGGGGACGAGCAAAAAACCTCGATAGAAGGTAGAAGGACTTTGGAATGAGGACTTCCCATCGGAAGGCTTACACTTATACTACGTTACCTAGTGTGAGACGTGGCCAGGTGCAGGACTCAAGTGCGTTCTACTGCGGCGGACGAGGTTTGACGTCGTTAGTGTGATGGAGGGAGGAAAGGATCCTAGGGTCAAATCTGGATTTAATAGTGGACTAACGCGTATTGCCTCTAGACAGCGAGAAACTAGGAATCAGGTTTGGATAACTTAACATCTTTGAGGAAACACGGGATTGACCTGCATTCAACTTGGCAGAATCCAAGAAAGCCTGGACATAAATGCCTCTACTCAAGCTTGATGAAATTCTTATTTTATGAATCTGGACATAGGATCCTAAACCTTTGATGGGGAAGTTAAGATAGTGTCAATACGGCGCGCAAGTCTGCGATCGAACGTTGACCCCGCCGCATTGTAATACGAAGAGGTTAATCCATCTGACGGTACCCGTGTAAATGGGTAGTCAGAGGTATTGAAAGTTGCGCTCTCGAGTCAAGTAAACTGTTTCATGAGGTCGATCAGGGAATACCAGAAAAATACTTGTGACCATCACACAGTGACTCAATCAGTTTTGTAACCCAAGATTTCTACGATATTGGATGAATGCAACCAAATTGTCGCGAATTTCTTCTCCTCTTCTCCGCAGATCTTTTCCTCCTGGCTTTTTTCTGTCGATTCGTTTGACGGCCTTTCGCACGTTTTCAACGCTGGCCACCAGAGTTTGCAACATGCCCCCTTGACGAAAGTTGATGTCATAGGGTAAAGTCTCGTCTGAATAGATATCAATCAGTGCAGACACAGCCTGCATTAGAGATTCTACGCCCGCAGGGGATGGCGAAGAAGGGGTGGGGAGAAGTGTGAGAAGGTAACTGGCGATGACCTAGACTCAGAAGTGAGCTGACAGTACCCTCAAACAATCTAAAAGGTACTTGCCTGATTATTCGTTATTGACTGAGGATATTGCGCAAGGCATTCTAATGCCCCAATGCATTTGACTTTGGTTATCTCATCTGATGCCCCGTCACTGTAACGAATCAAAACCTGTATCTGTTCTTCAGTTGCAGACTATTGTATCAATCAGACAATGCAGCGATTCACATTAAGACTAAGCTCCACTGACCAAAGTTCCCTTCCAAACCAACGCTAGCCCCCACAGGACACCGACTCCGATTTCCCACATTTCCTTTCTCCGCTCTTGTCCCAAGCCTAGCTCAGTACCGACAACACCAAGCGACGCCCACACTTCATTCCACACCTTGCGTCCTCCTTCAGCATCCGCGGACACCGATGGATTGGGTGAAGTAGCAAGCGAAAGGAATATATTATTTAGACACTCCATAGCACTGATATGAATCGCACTTAAAGCGGTCGTGGTTGGAGGGTGAATTGATGAAGTAGCGAGAGGAGAAAATGACAGAGACGTGGGCTGTATTAATGACAAAAGAGACGGGACAAGGGAGGGCAGTACTGTGGGATTGGCCGAGTCATTATTATATCCTGGATCCTCGATGTTCGTATCATCCAGAACTTATTGAAATATCGGTAAGAGATTGTTGAAGAAACATATGACCAACCTTCATCATCATCCGCCATATCTTCATCTTCATCATCAATTTCGGTTTCGCCTTCGATGCCTGCAGAGGGATCCGGGAGAGTGGCACAGACTCCGGTCAGAATCTCCAAAGCTAACTGTACAGTCCGTAGATTCGCTTCCAACTGTTCGAGCTCCAACTCGGAGCTCGATTTGTGGTCGGACTTGGGCGTGTTTTTAAGTGACATTTTTTCAATCTGCGGTTCCAACGCCTGGCAGGGCATCTTAGAAGGACATTCAGATCAGAATGACTGGACTTACCAGACCATCCACCAGTTGCTGCGCACGACTTGCAATTTCTGGAAGTTTTACAGAAGAAATCACCGGTTGCAACAGAGGCAGAGTGATATCTTTGTCAATGTCTACAACGGAAGCCGCAGAAGGTTGCGGTAAAGGGGATATATTACGAAGTATACCTACGAATGGTGTCAGAAGATATATTGAACACTCATTGAGCGCTCACCTGAGCTCAATACTCTGAGAGTAATTAGTCTATGATCGTTGATATCCTTGCCTTTGCCATTCGCAGGCTGATTGAGCGATTGCGCTATGGACAGCAAACAAGATATATATTCTGCATTCGATTTTAGACTGACACCGGCGGAATCGTTATCATCAGTCAGGACATATAAGCACTGTGCTGACAAAATCAAGAATTATGAGCGTCCAAGAGCCTCGCGATCAAGAATGCATACCGGCAGCAAGGACAGGCGCGATGGATAGTCTATCCCGGGATGCCAGGAACGACATGAGGAATGGGATCAGGTTAATCGAGTTAATTGCGTTGAGTGCTTTGTTTGACGTTTCACTGGAGATAATGAGTCCTGCATGTAGCAACAATGCGTTGAAGAAACCTACGACAAACACCAAAGTGTCGTGATTACATTGTCGGCGAAGTCGTACACTAGGCGTTGGGCATTTGCGGGGGCGGTTTTGGGAGCCTCCAGGTATTGTGAGAGTATGTTTGATATCTGAACTTCGTTCATGAGCGATTATGAAATATATTGAGGACATGAGTTGGTTTACTTTGGGAATGAATGTTTTCAAGATTGTAAGGATATTTTTATTATACATTTCTGCACAGATATCATATCCTCCATCGATACATAAGTTTCTGAGAAGGAACATTTCATCAATAGGTCTCAGCCATAGTGGTCGGGAAAAGAAGTACCTCAAAGCACCCATAGCTTCTAATACAACTTCATCTTCACTGTCAGTAAGCCTTGTAATAAGAGCACCAACGACATTTTTGCCCTGTAGGAGCCGGCGGGTAGAGGAATCATTTTGAATGAGGTTGGAGACAGCTACACAAGCCCATTTTCTATCTGAGGCGTCTGGACCCTCCATCTAGCTTGCATTTGTACTGAGCGATTGTCAAAACAGCATCGAGCGGAATAAGGTGCACACTTTTTGGATTATCGGTAGAATTGCTTCATTTTTAGTGGACGTGGAAGAAGCAGATGCAAGACCCTTCGGCAGATGAGAGTCAGGTACGCGCATTGGATTGTGCCTGCGCATAGACTTTTTCTTCTGAGATTTGCCCATCTTGATTCACGAATAAGAGGAAGAAAAATTCAAAATTTGAGCGCGCGTCTCAGTCTGGAGGCGCCCTCTTTAAGCGCTCAACCAACTGCCAATTGTTGACACTTGTTGACGGTGATTCGTTGAGTGAATTCCATCCCCTCCTGGTGCTGCGAGGTCTGTCTTCCACTCTATTTCTTATCCAGGTCATAGAACTCTTTCCAATTTGACGGCTTTCCGTTTTGAGCTCGGAGGCTCTTTTGTAATTGTGTACGTATTAGTATGTTGCGCCTTAAAAATATCTTACACACTGATATTATTGTTCACTCAGATATCTTATTGAGACTCATGCGGGGCGTCTCTGTAAATTGCAGTTGTTCTCTAGCCTTCTCTAGCATAGGCCAGGATTATCATTCTTCCCATGCCTATACATTTCCATTCGCAGTGTAGCAGATGCCGAAAATATTCTCCGATATTCTCCGGAAGTGGAAGCCTGAAGGTCGTAAGGCAGCTCGACACGACTGCCGGACTTTCATCCACGATCCGCAGCTCGATCTGGATTATTGCCTTCCGCCATGGGTATGGACATTCGGGCATTGGTGTCATCGCCGGGTGCACTGTCCAATGTCGAGGAGTCTTTTTCTACCAGTAATCAGGTACCTACACCTGGGAGAGAAAAAATCTTCCTCAATTTATTCCACGTTGCAATTTCGATCGTCTATCGTTTGGAGACAAACACGAAGAAAGCACATGGTCACTGTCGACTTGAATTGGTTTTGATTGCCTGAATAAGATAAGCAGAGGATTGATGGAGCAGGATGGGGCTTGGGTGGAACCGTGAATTATCAGGTCCATCCTCAATGGAACCGTGCCGGTTCCTTCTTATCTTTCTTTTATCTTGAAGATTGGTTATCGAATCTGTCTGCATTGTTGAAGAACTGATTGACACCAATGTTGAGAGCACTCAAGCTTCACCGGTTACCGAAGTTTTGCAACACATTGTAGACTGTTCCTAGTGAGAAATTGGAACCCCTTGCGTGTTAGATATCTTCAATCAGATAACTGGACTCCAGGGCACGATGCGAAAATCATACGGCTTTGAGATTGTTTGTGAACGACATATTGGATACAGGAGCTAAGTATATGCTTTGACGAATGCAAGAAAGGGTAAATATAGATTGCTACAGTTGCGTGACGTACGAATAGTTCCTTCAATATGTAAACCAGCAAAAAGGAAAAGAGAAGAGTGCGGTGAAAAGGAAAGCAAAGCTGTTGAAGGTACCGAAGATCCACAGGATATGAGCTACATAGAAGGAGAAGACTCGAACGTTCTCCCGTCCGGATCTCTGTCATTGTGAGATGCAAGTAGTCCATCAAGCGAAGACTCTTCCGGAGAAACAACAGAAACACATGTTCTCAAGGGACGTATTGAATCTTCCGATAACACAGCGAACTTCCCCGTCAAAGTATTTTGGTCGTACGTCTCGACTACGGTCGATCCCTCATCCAAGAAACCACCATTCAAGTCATCCGAGGCCTGTAGATTGGGGGCACTCGGGTGTTCTAAAATATGATTCTCGGAAGGTTCAAATGGTGGGGCACTGGGAGTTGTATCAAATACTCCAGAAGTAGACTCGAATGGCGGAGCACTCGGACCTGCCTCAGGTTCGACGTCCAGTATAGCCTGTTCATACTCGAACGAGGACCCGTAAGATCGATCTGGGTGATAAGAATACTCGTACGGATAAACTTCTACCCCCTTGCCTTTTTCGTTCAAGGAAAAAGAAAGAACGGGAGGAGGAGGGAAAACCATGGTGCCACCATTGTGGGAAGGATATTGGTAGGCGTGCCTAGTATTGTCTACAGGTTCAGTAGATGTGGACTCTCGGCGAGGTTCTTCTAGTTCAGTATAATCGGATAATTCTTCGTCCTGCCAGACAGGGGCAAAAGTTGTCGTGTCGTGTCTGGTAGAAAGCCCTGATACATCAGGGGCACTAACCAGTTGATTCAATCGCTCTAAAAGGGCCTTGTCGTCTGTTGCCACATGTGCCATATGGTGAGAAGAGGTGTAGGGAGCCGGCTGATTGATACAGTGCACATCTGGAGTGAGGGATGACATTGACGTCCTACGGGATTGGACATAAGAGGCGGTAGGTGTAATATTGCCAGAAGGCGCTATGTTGTGATGGTTGGAGGAGAGAGAATGATGAAGGTAAGCAGGTGGGGAAGATACTGGTGGCGATAGTAGAGAGGGCCGCTCTCTCGATGTGCTGAGTGGTATCTGGTCGACAAAAGAATCTGCTTTTGGAGTTAAGACAGAATCAACGGAAGAACGCCTGGAATGTGCCGGCGAAGATGGAGAGCTTTCGGTTAAAGTGGTGTTTGTGGGAGGAACATCTGCATCACCCTCGGTGTGAGGTACAGCCCTACGTTTGCCTCTCCTCTGCCTGAAGGTATAACGAGCATTGGCTTTCCAACGAGCGGTAGCCCTGGCCAACACCCTTCTCTTCGACTCGACTTCTTTCTCAATCATGACCTCGAGATCGTCACTCGAGTTTGCTTTACTTTTGCGAACGGGTTTCTCGACGTCTTTCAAACGCCTCTTTCCTCTTCTCCAGATTACACAGAATATCATGGTAATGCAGATGAAGAAAGCGAGAGAGAGGGATATACTTAAGGTTTTGGCTGTATTATCGTGGTTTACGATAGGCTTCCATCCTGGAGGTAAAGAATCCATGAAATCATCTGCCGAGGTAGTTGATGCCGCCGCTGTAGATGTAGTAGTAGTGGCAGAGACTGCTCCTGTATTCACAGAGTCGTCAGCATCAGCGGTAGGCATGGACGTTGAGGATGTAGATTGCGGGCAATCCTATAAGCGAAATATAAGTAAAGCAATGGTAGATAGATAGCCAATGACAGACGTACAACACACATTGATGAACCATACAGGCTCCAATCAGTTTTTCTCCAAAGTCCGTCACTTCCTCTCACATATCTGTCTGGCAGACGTCTTCTCCTGCCCTTTATTCTCGTTGTCTTTGTGTCGACTGGAGATATTTCGCGTCTGGGATAAGAAAATTCCTCCCCGGCACCTGGACAGAGAAATGGGAGCGCAACAGGGCTAGCGCTCACGAAAGTTGAGCTAACAACAGTTGCTAGTAAGGAAAGAAGACCAGGTGAAGGCGAAGAATAATGAGGTGTACGTCGACGTCGCCGATGTTTACGACTGTTAGAGAATAAAGTGGTGGACGTAGATGACGAAGGCTCCGACAGTGAGAGCATTTACTTGGCAAAGGATATCTATAGTGCCAAGAGAGGGTGAAGTGATGGGGGTGTGCGAGTGTTCAAGGTTGATAAAAGCATCGGATGTATATGTACATTTATTACAAACTTTCAATCTATTTTTAAAATTACTCTCCTAATAAATAGCTTGCCTTGCTCTCTTCTACTATGGGCTCTTTCCTCCAACATTGCACTGTCTTTCTGCCTCACTATAACGGTCTCTTCAGAACCCCTTTCGTACACAATCTTGTATTCTGGCAATGAAATCCCAATTTTCACTTCCCCCTCCATCGTGACCGTTCTGTTTTCACTCAATTGCCGAGTCCTATTATTGGTTGAAAGATCAACCTCGGCAACAGCCTGTATTGATGATGTGAACTTACCTTCGCAGGAAAACAGGATGAGGTCCGGCTTCTTTATTTTGTGAGGGCATCCACTCCGTGGGATACCGGAGAATCCAACTGTCCACATATGCTCTCCATCGACTGTGAGGTTTTCGGAAACTGTTGACGCTCGCATCTTCCTGTCTCATCAAATGGATCCGCATTATTTTCAGCTCCCGCTCCTTTTGATTTATGGTCACCTATGGTCACAACGTTGCTGTTACAGAAATAAACCAACTTCACTTACCCATTGAATCTTGTAAAGATTACCATCTTGCCCGACATTCGTCTCCGCCTCCCTACGATATCGGATAACGTCTTGATTCGTAATCGACTCTGACACTTGTGCACTTTGCAATAAGGACCAAAGCTCCTGACACTTCGCATCAGAGGTGATTGTTTGCACCTGTATTGAGCATATTGAGATCCGTTATAACTCTGCGACGTAAAAAGAATTCAACCTGCTTAACAAGAGCTATAATCAACTTGTCCAAAGTAAACAAGTGATAGGCCTAAGAATAGAATCATCAGTTATTATTATGAAGAAGTGCTCGTCCATCCTCGCCTTATTGCCGAAAAACCATCTCATGTGCTCCTCAAACGAAACTTGATCAAGGTCTCCCGCAAATACCTTCTCGCATGCATCCAATAAATACATGTAGACCACATTAGTACCACCGTTCAGCTGTTCCATAGCTTGCGCTAAAACTGTCGCTGGTCCGTTGGGGTCATCCAGACCTAATTGAACTGCGACTGGATTAGAAAGCAATTGCGCGTGCTTTCTTGTTGCAAGGTCTTGTCCGATCTCCTTGCACATGAGAAGACGGGAATATAATAACTAAGTGGCATTTCAGGAATTAGTCACCTTCGGCGATGATAGACGTCCTTACCTGAAGCAAACGAAAAAGTGTATAGAAAGTTGTGTTTGCGAAGAATGGCCTTTCGAAATTGCCGTTTCTAGATTCCTCAGAGTTAATGAAGTCCATGGTTGTCGCTCCTGCGGCAGAAGACTCTCTGATCCAGATATCTTCATGAACGGTGGCGACGGGATCCTCTTCCTGACGCGACGCTGGTACTAGCGGAGATCGATGACTCTCAAGAAATGGCGGAGAGCCAGCTCTAGATGCCGCCGCTGAAGTGGAACCACCGCGTTCCTCGCGTTTACGACGCCGCTCTTTAGCTGTCTTGAGAAGTTTCTTCCGCAAGTCACCAGCTACGATACCGTTAGACTGGCCAGATACTTTCCTTCCGCCTTTGGAACCTGCAGAAGAATCCATTGCGTTGCTTTCAGTCATTCCATTCAAATCGTCAGCACCCCCTGTATTCGTACCGACCCCTTCGTGTTGTGGTTCACACGCGAGGTTGAATTCGGTAACAGGATACATCAAGAGGGTTGGTACGAACACTCTCAGGAACTTTTCAACACTGCGGCGCTCAAGCACACTGTACTGGCCTTGAGAACGATCGAGAAATGAATAAACCAGTTTTAGACAGTCATGTAACACGGCCGTGTCCTGAATCTGGAATTCAAGCTGTGCTGGGAGAGAACCCCGAGCGAATGGCGAAGTCCAGGCTTTCTGCTTCCCCTTCTCATCCCCGCTCTGGAAGCGAGCATTGAGATCGTCGATCTCCTCAAGCTGCCGAGCCTGTATCGACTCGATGTCTGCAACGAAATGTTTCGCAGTGATGGCCTTTTTATCATTTTGCTTGAAGCTGATACCTTGATGATCGAGAGACTTGTAGAAATTCTTGCAGTCAACTTCCCGCCATGTGCGACTCCATTCACGGTGAGCACGACGCCATTCGTCATCCTTCTGCTTGAGCCTGGAAAGGACAACAGGAATGGCAACTCCAGGGCATTCTTGAAGAGCTTGAATGATCTCTGCACCATTATCTCGGCCGTAAACCTTTTTGATTATCCGGGTATAGATGCCTTTACTGAGTCCCCCGAGACCCGGAGGGAGCCTGTATAGACTACGTTCATCAGCAGTCATGGCTTCGATGCGCTCATTGAGTGGCTCCAGAAGAGCGATAGTACGCGTCATTGCTTCTAGATGAACGTGGTATTCGTGGCGTTCCTCCTCGCTCTTATGAAGTGCATCTTCGAAAGAGTTTTTCTTGAGCGTCAAAAAACCGGCTTCTTCAGACGCCCAAGTAGGGTGAGAAACCCATCCATCATTCAAGACGGAACGGCAAAGTTCATCGCGGCCTGAACAGGCAAGGCGCACCTCCTGAAAGAATTGAGGAAACATAAGGAAAGTAAGAAAACAAAGAAGAAATGACTTACACTCCAAGGCAACTTTCTATAGCTTGGCCCTTGTCCGTCGTCACTGGGCTGCGCAGCCAGCGCCTCAGGGGGACCAGTGCGAATGCTACCAGGTGGTCCGTTCTCCACATCGTCTTGCTTCGGATCATAACCAAGGACCTCCTTAAACTCATCCATCAAGTCTCCCTCTCCAAGAAATACTGCAGCACGGCTAATCAATGTTTTCACGTCTATGATATCCTTGGAGTAAAGACCGAGAAGCTTTAAGAATTCTTCGTAAATTTCTCGATTCTCCAGAGTTTTCTTTAAGCGATCGAAGAACTTGAGTTTGCTTGGAGTGGTGGGGATAGGAGGTGCTGGGACAAACGAAGGTGTAGACGGGACTTGAGAGTGTTGGATAGGAGGTAATGAAGGCGCTGAGTGTGATGTGGGAAGCTGCGGTGATTTTGGCAATGGGAAAGGGGAGAATGAAGGAGATCCTGGATCGCCTTTGTGAGCAATTTTGGGTTTTTTGGCCTGGAGATAAGAAATAATTAAATCTCGTTGAGATGTCAATTTGATCACATACTCTACTAGGGGCTGGTTTCGACGGAGGGGCTGGCGTCGGCTCTTTCTCTATAACACGTTTCTTTCGCTTTACGCCTGGGGCAACTGGCTTTTTCGATGCTTTCTCAGGAGAAACCGGTGCAGAATCATTGGGGTTGCTCCATGGCTGCGAGCTGGGACCGGCTCCTGGAGGTGGCGGCATCATAGCGTTTCCGGGATGAGGTATACCTCCAGTGATCTCAGGAAGAAAGTCTTTGAATTCAGCTAAGAGATCGGGCGCGTCTTTGAACAAAATTTGTACTTGGACGTAAACTTGCGACTGTAATAGAATCAGTTGGGATGAAGAGACTCGAAAAGAAGTAGCTGACATCTTGCAGGTGCCTCTGCTCCTTCTGATATGCTTGTAATATATCCAAAAACTGCTTGTAAGTATTCGCGTCGTCAGAATATCTGTTTTTGATTTTGTTCAGATACTGAATCGCGTGGTTGAATTCTTCCCCTTGCGGTTGCTTTTCGATCAGATTCTTGTTGTTCAGGTTGCCGAGCAAAGAGGCAGCAGCAGTGGTCTGAGTTTGTTGTATTCCAGGCGAAAACGGGAGGTCGAATATGAGTGACTGATGAGGAATATGGAAAGGCTGCTGTGGTGTCATAGATCGCGAGATTGTATTCAAAGGTGTGAGGGGCGAGGCGCCATTTGGTGTATTGATTCCGGGGAAAGGAAAAGATTGTGCAAGATTGGGTCCGAACCCAGGAATGTCACGCGGCGGGTGCGAAATGGTGCGAGGTACGTGTGCGGTAGAGCTTTGAGTGGTAGTCTGCGTAGTTGTGCCTTGTGGAGTAGTCACTGTGATCGTATTGGGATCCAGTGGATCCCCAGAAACGTCGATACGGTATCCAACTGGAAGAAAAGTATTGAATCCTTGAATTAGAGGGGGATTTCCGTGGAAGAGTTTCGATACCCGGCCAATGACACCCGGAGTGTCAATTCTAAGCAGAAAGTAGTAGGAATTAGCAGTCAAGAATATTGTCAAGCGAGATATGACGCACTGTTGGCTTTTAAAATCTTTCATGATATCCAAAAACCTATTGTAAACCTCCGGTTTCTCTGCGAATTGGTGTTTTACATCATCCAAATAGCTGAGGGCATCTGTGACATTCAGAGGGCGAGACATCTCGAATGATTGAGCAGAAGAAGGGCCTGGGATGATATTTTGTTCTGCCTGTGGCCGTGGTGTCAAAGCTTTGGGGGTTCTAGGCATGACAGTCGGGTTGCCAAGAGCTAGATGAGAGGCCGGTCGTGTTGGAGAATTCTCTCGGGTAGAGAATGCCGACATGGCTTTCGAGCTCACCGCCGAATTCGAGGTGACGTTATAACGGTTCAAAAGAGGCTTTGTGATATCTCTGATCTTCCGTCTCCGGAGGTGTGTTTTTAACTGAAGCCACGTGCTTATCAAATATCTTATCTGCTGTTCCATCGATCACTACCCCCATCCAAATCCGTAGCAGAATTAAGCAATAAGTACAGTAACATTTGGTATGGATGATACAACGATGTCCGTGTGTTCGCCTTCGCAAATCTAGCGGTACAATCAGTGTGTATCCGGAGGTGAAGAGCCTTGCTAATGAGTGGGCAAGCGAGGCAGATAATTTAGATAGAGTGTAGGAATGCCATTATGTTGCCCTCCTCTGAGGAAAAGGCATTGTCTGACTACGAACAGGATTCAGTCGAGGTCGCAGGTATTCTGTCGAAGAAGGCGAGACGGGAGTAGGGACAAAATACGGGGCTTCGTATGGTTGCGTACGCTGACGTACAACCTGAATTTTCTTCTTCTTTTCCTTCTCACGCACTACGGTCTCAGATGGAGATGAAGGTGTCTATGAAATTACAAGAAATAGATATGGTTACAGTGGAGATCGTGGACATACCTTGGAAGTAGGTGGGTCACTAGGTGTTCTCTGGTGACCCTTCGATTTAAAGAACGACATACTACGACTCCCACGTAATGCGCCATCAGTCCCAATAGTTGCACTGCAAAGTAGCGCTGGCCTTCTACCGGTGCTTGCGAGTCGCTGTTTGGCGTGCGAACTACGAGGCGCTTCATCTAAGGAGGTTTTGGTCACCACAACATGGGGTATCTCAGACGCTGGCGAAGGATCCATTGGTGGAAAATAATCATGGACTGGGTACGGCAACGAATTTCGCATTTGAGCTTCCATCGGTGAAGACGACAACGGACTCAAAGATTGTGAAGCTTTCGGAAGCTTCAACTCCACAGAATCAAGCGCGTCTGTTGATTTGAAGGAGGGTGAAGAAGCAGGTGTAGAAAATGAAGGTTGGGCTTCAATCCTGCGACGAATTGTTTGGCGAGAAGAGGCCCTCGAAACTGTGTTGGATTTGAGGGGGACGCGTGGCCGAAATAGGACGGGAGAAAATAAATGAATGACTGCAGTTATCACACTCTAAAGATATATTTTGAACACTAGAATTTCGTTTTTCCTTGGACGTACCAACACGAATCCCATGCATCCAAAGAAGATGCTTGCACTTGTAACTATGACTCTATGCGCCGGTTCAGCAATCACCTCTAGGGAAAACACCGACATTGTGAGAGAAGAAAGGACGCGTGTATACTTTGCACAGGGTGGAACGGGAAGGGGACAGTAAGCGCAGCTATATTGAATAAATCCGGCAACATTTTCGCTGACTTACTTGCACTCTGCCAAGGTTTTCTTCCCAGTTGAATGTTTTGTAATCGCAGCTGAACGATGAACAACCAGTGCGCAGTTGCGCAGAATCTCGGAATAATCTAGAAATGCTTCTCGAGTCCACGGAACACAGAACTGAGAAGAACTGGTTATTGTCGGGCAAACGTCGAATGAGGGTGAACGGGCAAGTCTGCATATAACAAGGCTTCGCTTATATACGTAGTCGGCTAATCAAATATGTGTTTCTGTTAGTGTCACTGTGTAAAAAATAATGAAATAGAAGCCGCTCACATAGATGTGTTTTTTCGGAGTTTGTACATATAGTGGGAGGCACTGCATTGCAGTCGATTGCATGTAAGCTCGGCAGACGGTCTGTCTCGATCTCCAATCCAGCATAACCGCGAATTGTGCGCGCTCGATTATCAATGCTTTTTGAAGCAACTGGGCGGCCATGGGTAATGGGCCATAGCTAGTTATAGGCCTCTAGAAGAAGAATCATAGTGTCGACCATTGTGGACCTTGAGCATAAGATAGGAAATTACAGAAGCTCTTTCGAAATTCGATGCCCAAAGGAAAACAGTGCCAATGATCTCACTGGCGCCGGGCCGGGGTAATCGACATCGCCTTCGGAAAGGCCCTCTGTGCAAATCCCTCTTTTTCTCTTTCATCCATGGGCTGTATTCGACCAGCTACCCCAGGATTCATCTGCACCTTAACGGCAACGGTATTGCTTGCCATTGTCTCCTTCTGCGTTCCTTACTTCAAATCGGTTTACTTTCTCAAAGCTAGTACAACCGATGGCTCAATCACCTTTGGAACTCTAGGATATTGTCTTGAGTTGTCGAATGGTACAACCTGCTCAAGTCCTTCTGTTGGATACGAGCTCGGTGTGTGATAGACCTGCTTACACAAATAAAATCCTTCTGATAGTTGGGGATAGACATAAACAGCCTTGTAGGAGATGATACTTCCTTTCAGATTCCACAGGTTGCAGTCAAATGGATTACATATGCACTCGTTCTTCATATCGTCGCTCTTGCGCTTGCGGCTGGCTCTGCTGTATTCGGTCTTCTTGCCCATGTTCGTGAGATGTCTATGAGTTGCTGTAGCACCTGTGTGTCAGGCTTCGCGGCTGCTGTTGCACTCTTGGCTTTCATCTTTGATCTCGCTCTTTTCTTCACCGCAAAATCTCGTATCAACTCCGTAGGGAGTGCCAGCATGGGGAACGCCATATGGCTTACATTAGCTGCGTGGGTACTCCTGTTCTTCAGTGGATGCATGTACACTCTTGGGCGTTGTTGTATTAGCAACCGTAGTCCACGAAACAAGGACTGGAACAAGGATAGTGAAAGGGCACCCGTTCCCGCTGCTGGTAACGGATACAACGACTATGCCGAGCAGATGAGAATGGATGCGGTCAAGGCCGAAGCTGACAGGAAGGCTCATCAGAAAGAGGTTGGGTTGCCTGCATTCTCGGAGACTCAACCTCTTACCGCTCGAGTTGACGGCGATAATGTTTACGCCGAACCCTATGAAGATCGCAGCCCTCTTCCTACTACTCAGCCTGGATACGGCAGGCAAACAACTCCAGGCGCTAGTTACACAGGCGGAGGCTACGTTCAGGCTCCAGTAGGCACCCGCGCCGTGGACGAATATTACAATCCTACCCGCGACAATTACACTGCTGCTGCTATGGCGCCCAATTCCTACCCTCCTCAACCAAACCCGCAAAGGCAAGGTAGTTCGCATACTTATGCGCCTTCCAACTATGCACCTTCTGCATACAGCAATGGGCCTTCTCGTATCACCTCTCCGTCTAACAATAGCCAATTCCTTGCACCCGCATTTGCTCATGATCGTGCTTCATCGGCTGCATCAGCCCAAAATTACGGTCACACAGCTGGCGGCACCACTTGTAAGTTTTACGCTCTTTGCCAGCCTTTGAATAAATCTGTTAACGTATGTCTTCAGACCATTCCGCACACGAGCAGTACCCCAGTGGTTATTCACAATATGAACAGCCCCAGACCGACCCATATGGCGCGAATCAACCAAACTACAACCAGCCCGCCTACTATGCTAACACAGCTCCTGATCGCAGTTATGCCACTGGATACGGCGCAAATTCTGTACCGCCACTCCCAGAACGCTCGGGCTCCGTCCCTGCGTTACCAGAGCATCCCCCGACAGCAGGATATGTTCCTTACTCCACTGGTACTCCTTCGACATCATTGCCTGGGGCTATCCCAGGACCACAACGTACAACATCGCCACAACAATACGAGGATAGCCCACCTATGTACGATGCAGGAACTGGTCAAGTAACCGGTTCATGGGGTAAAAGCTGAACAACTTTGATCTCGGACATAAACTTATTTGAGTCTTTTTACTCATGGACAATTGCTATCAGTATTTATCTTACGCTATCTTTCCTGTATACGCAGTTACGATGTTGCATTATGAAAGGTGCCCTCTTTGTATTGTTTCAACAGTTGACGTGCGTCAGCTTCGACACCTAATGGCAAGAGATCTCGCGAAAAGCTACAACTCGTCTCTTGGATCCCCTCTGGCCTTGCGTTTTGTGGGAGGATGGTCGGACAAGAACATCATTAGGAAATCGTGCACCAAATCTGCAGCTGCAATGCCAGTAATCTCGGCTGAATTTCAGGATTTATCAGTCCCAGATGAATGTATGTGGCACAAACATGAGAAACTCACCGTTGTCATACGCAGGCGCCACTTCCACAATGTCAGCGCCTCTGCAGTACAGTATCACTATCAGTATGTATCAAAAGGGCAATTCAGACTTCACGTACACCAAATTCAGGCCAGCCAGTCCGCGAAGAATGCGCTTCAATTCTCGGGTCGTCCAACCTCCAGCTTCAGGTGTACCAGCTATGAAGATTTTAGATTTCATGTTTTTTCAAGTATACTAGCGATGAGCTTAACTGGCAGGTGCTAGTCCTGGATCTAGAAAAATGGTTAGCATTAGTTGGTGCAAGCTGTTCATGATGATTCTCATACACGGACCTATCACATCGATATCCAAACTAACGGTGATAAGGGCGTACGTTGAGCAGAGCATCAAAACTCAGAAGTATCACAGACCTCAGATACACGGGGCTATCACCAATTCTCTTGCGTATGAGCCGGATGATTTCAGGAATGCCCAAATCGTCGATATCGTCTCCTGAGATGAGTTGGAAACCTACGCTCTCATCATTTTCAAGGTCTTCCTCCCCCTGAGATTTAAGGTTGAGAATGATTGGGGTAAGGGTACTGAAAAGTAGCAGACTCACTTCAAGCTTGCATCGAATACCAGCATGTATACTCGTGTTAGAGATTAGGCCTTCCTCTTGCGCGACTGCAAAGAAAGTGCCATGCGTCACTCGAGACTGATTCGTTACTGCTCCGGGGTAACTGCGCCAAGTATCCTGTCATTATCATCGAGGGATATTAGTTAACGAAAGTCGGTGTATGTAGCACTGTTTATCGCAGAGTTACCAGGTGAGCATCAAAATGTATTACAGAGATGGGACCATGGACCTTGTTCAAGGCACGAAGAATTGGGAGCACCTATGCAAATATTTCAGCAATCTCAATGAGGTCTATGAACCCGTCAACGACTCACGATAGTATGATCACCTCCTAGACTGACACGATATCTCGATCAACGTACTCGTCGAAGGTTGACAGGCTCGCTTACCTTATGATACGTGGATGAGGGTTTAGCATAGTACCCTTTGCTCTTTCAGGCGTAGCAAGGGCCCTCCTCAGTAATGTAGAGTACGCCACCTCCATTTGGTCAATCGCAAGAGCATTGTCAAAAGGGTTCACAGGTACCTACAAGTAAGGTTACTTAAGTCATCGTCAATATGGACTTGGGAGACCCACATCCCCGCAGTCAATTATCTTCACACCTTCGGCGAAAGGATCCTTCGCCCAAGACAATGTATACCCTCTAGCTTCTCTTTGCCTTCGACTTCCCGAACGTATAGCATATGGACCAAATCTCGCTCTAGTATCCGAGCGTGAGTCGCAGCGACAAGATAACAATCAATTGTCCGAACCCTGGTCTGTAGGTTACAGCAGTGTCGAAAGGCATGCCCAAAATAGCAATGTCGAATTTTGTCTCTTCGTTCTCTAGACACCTTGTGTATGGTAAATGACTGAAAGATAGAGGGCCCGAAAACGATTGGTCAATCTGAGGACCATACTTCTCCAACCAAGTGGATTCTTTCAAAGATTCTTGAAATTTCTCTAATTTGAAGGCGTTTTGCTCCGGAGAGTGATCATGGGCAATAGAGGTTACAGAAAATAACAGAACCCCGAGTATCAACAAGGATGTAGAATGCGACATGGTGGGACCGGTGAGAGCAAATTCGAAGAGGCTCAGTGTAAGCTGCGTCATGGGTTCGAAGCATGGTATAATTCTGGTATGTACAAAATGGTATCTTAAGTAGATCTAGAAGCAACCGTTGTACCACGCGACATCGGAACATTTTTCAACAGTAAGTATTTACAAGCCTAGAGGGAGTATATGCCCGTGTATATGGACCCTAATTGGAGATACTATGTATGATCACAAAGAAAGAACAAATTTTTGATAAATCGATCAATATGGAGGAGGAGAACCCGCGTAAAGTGCTAGTTCAGCATGATCTGCATGTCTAAGCATTTGTTCAAGCATATAAATCCGCTGTTCCATTTGTCGGATAGGTTCACTGGGAGGCAGAGGTTCGTTGGGACTGTTGGTTGAGTTTGTAGTATTGGCAGTATTGGTATTATGGACTTCTGGTTGAGGATGGGGCGAACTAGACTCGGATGGAGATTCTTCTGATGGATACGCGAGATAAGCATGCATTACGCTGGACTGGATTTTAGCGACTCTGTAAAAACTTACCAGGGTCTCGGACTTGACCTCGAACAGGTAAGAGTAACGCAGGCGGTCCTGAATGTAGACTTGCGGGAGTCACATGAATTGCACTACTGGTTATACTTGAAAGTATTTCTCGTCGTGCACCTTTTTCTAGCGGCAGTTGCCTATCCAAATCTATGATTTCGAGGTGAAACCAATTCACGATGGAAAATGAAAATACTCACTATGATCGAAGCGAAAACTCTCGAGCCCTGGAATCGAACTCGGAGCCTGCTTTGACTTCCTCCTTCGCCGTGCGAGTAAGAAAACTATAACAGCAACCAACGCCAGACCGATAACACTCCCTAGAACCGCACCAACAATTGTCGCAGCTGCGGGTTTAGATTTCTGGGAAGCGAGTATTGCAGCACTGGTATTAGTGGACACTTGTCCTGAGGTTGTTCGGCTCGGTTGTGATATCATAGTGGAGGTTTCCACGGATGTTCCGATTGTGATGAGGATGATGGAGGATAAAACTGTGGAACCAGAATTAGATGTAATAGATGAGGACGTGCTAGTGTTAGTGGCGGTAGTGGAAGGACCATTGGTTGTGGTTGGTGATAGGTTGCTGCTCGTGGATAAAGATGTTCCGGAAATCGGGTTGATCTGTGTGGAAGAGGGAAAAGAGGATACTTGAGACCTGTGAAACACATAAGTGGGAGAAACGACGTGTCGAAAAACGAACTAGTTTACGTAGATGACGTCGAGGTGCCGGCTTGACTTTGACTACTCTCTGAGCCACTACTCGAAGTAGTCGAGGTGGAGGAACTCGCAACATCGGAAGTGACTATCGCGTAGTCAATCAATGCAACAGCATTAGAGACACTAGTTTCGATAGTCCACGAAAGAGTATGAGAACCACTCGCAAGCCCGGATGCACTGAAAAACTGATAATTGTATACTTTGGTGGGAGATTGAGGGATTGACGAGAGGTCGAGATTGACTGGAGAACCACCGTCTAGCACGAATGTTAAGGCGCACGTTTGGTCGGCATTGGTCACACCGTAGAGTGTTACACCGGAACCTGATAAGTGATAAGTTGGGTTGTATACCGAGTGAGCTTGGCTAAACTGTCCACAAGAAAATAGAAATTCGTCGAAAATCGTACCTTCAAACTTGAATGACGCTGTACTCCCAGCTACCGATCCATCATGCCAAGTCCCGTCCAGAACCTGGGTTGAATCTAATTTCGTAGCACACCCATCGCATGGGTCTGAAGGGGTTATAGCGTTCCAAGCCGAAATGAACGTGAAAGCACTGGAATCTGCATCATCGACGGTAGTGGTAGTGGTGGCTGCCTGTACCGTTAGGCAAACAGGGTAGCTAGTGAACCATGCAAGAAGGGTAGCGGTCACCCGAATACAGGTTATAAAAGAATGACTGGGATAAAGGATAGGAAATAAACGAAAAGTACCCATAAGGAAAAGGAAAAGAACAATATCATCTACATTTCCTCTAGCTCAGAGGTAAATGAGAGGCGGCTACAACATCACCGTATCATGTTAGTAGATCAGTTCTGGATTAATTGTCAGTATGTAGCATTGCCGGTTTCCCGGCACCCGCAACGGGAGTCTGGGATCTCCTCTATTCATATCCTGCACATATTGACTGATTCATCTGTGAATATGAATTCACATTTCAGTCTTGACAGATCCCTTTATTCAACTTCCTAGAGTGTTTTCTGGCGTCTCAGGCGGTCAGCCTGTCCCGAGTGTGCCTGTATGAAAAGATAATATCCGTCTTGGATTACAGAAAGTGTCTGTTGCCACTGTCCACGCTACTTGTCCACGTCTTGAAATCCTCTGTCGCACAATCACTGACAGACTCCGGGGAGGTGTAGGGAGTCATCTAGTTTGGGACGATTCGTGAAGATGGACCTTTTCTTTTTCTAGAGTCTGTTACGTACTGTACTTACAGTACATCTAGTAGCACTCAACAATCTAGACTGTCCCGCGATACCGGCAACTACAATGATTGAACTCAAGATGGATGTGATGCTTTGAACCAGTCATTCTTGAATGTTCGCATCTCCTAGCGCAGGCTTGTGAACAAAATTACATGAAAGGAGACGCGTTTCAACCATGCAACAACGGTGACCGTTAAAAGGAAGCTTGTGTCTTGGCACGTTCTTCCTCCTTAGCTTTCCGTCGTCGTTCGAGCTCCTCCCGCGGAATATAAGGATGAGATGCATCAAATTCCTCTGCCTAGACAAGGGGGTCATAAACAGCTTGCGGATAGGGGTAAAGTACTCACCCAACGAAGAAGGTCGCCCTTCTCTATAAGCACATCATTTCGGCGTTCGGTATCGAAAAGCTGGAGGCCTTGCGATGTGCGAGACGAACGCGAGGGGTAGGCCGAACTTTGAAGACTGCCGCTAGAAGCCTGCCGTCGTCGTGCGAGCTCCTCCCGGGAAATATAAGGATGAGATGCATCAAATTCCTTGGCCTAGACAAGAAGGTTATAGAAACGGCATCAGAGTGAGGGTAAGATACTCACCCAACGAAGAAGGTCGTTCTTTTCTTCCACGGTACGCGAATCCCTACGTTCAGTATCGAGCTGGGTGCCTTGCGATGGGCTAAATTCGTTACTGTCGAAACAAACAGGAGATAAAGAAAACAGGACAGTGAGAAAAAACGAAGGATGCGAGGTGTAAAGTATCATCAACATACTTTGCGAAAAGAACAACCATATTGTCAAGTTGAGGGTCTCCGGGATAGAGAGCTTGAGTGTTTCGCCTTTCTAAATTTGTGGTTTCAAGGTTGTCATTTGTTCCGTTGACATCCATTATTTGATTATGCGTGCGGCTAGGAAACTGCTAACAAGAGTGAGTGTTGTTAGCTGACTGCTGTAAGAGTGTAAGATAGAGGGTTATAGGGGCTTCGAAGAGAAATCCGTAGATCCATCAAAAGCTTATGTGAGCATTCTCATACCTTCCGTTTTGAGCGAAATTGACACCCAACGGGCCAACCGCCCCGGGCCTATGTACTATGTATCACCCGGGTATGACAATAACTCTTCGTACAGTTGTACAGTGCGTATTGTACATGTTACGGTAGGAAATAAAATACATACTGTAGATAATGATACATAAGTTTACAACTTTCCAAAATTCCATCCACCAACCTCGATTAGATACCACCCGTACGCCTGTTCACCGCTCTCAAGGGAACACACTCGAACTTTCTTCTCAATTTGGCTTTCTCTGTAAGATTCCAGTCAGTGTGATCATCCGCTGGATTTCGTTTCGCTATCGTCAACATCTTCACATCCCTCTTTAAATCAAGTGAATCATCTACTTCTGCTTCTTCTCCTCGATCTTCCTCTAAAACTTCGTCTTCTGCTAATTCAACGCCGCTGCTAGCTACTTGCTCCGGCGTCGCATGGGTGTCTGTGCCGCCTTGGAAGAACGACACTAGAGGGGAAGCAAAATTAGACGTTATGAATTCCGAGGCATCGTCAATGAAAGATTTCGGTTTTCGGAGGGGGACGGAGGTGAGTATATACGTATTGTCTTTCCAGGAAGCGTTGGCGGAGAAAAGCGGATAAGTTGGATCGCAGTCAAACTCGACGTGAATTTCACCGGTGAGAGGAGTGTAGGTGAATTTAGGCAGGGGATGGGCGTAGCGATTGGGAAATGGGAGTGAGATAGGACGACGGTGTCGGAGGACGAGGTGGTTATCTGTGAGGATTTGGAAGACACTCGTCAGTTCATTGAATGAATTAGATAGGGGGTATTTGCACCTTCAATATCGATAGCATGTCCCGAAGCCCTAGAGCACAAAGCACCGGATGTATCAATGAAGAAAACTTGGTTGTTGGCCTGAGGATCTCTTCGAGCTACATCCAGGAAAAGAGCAATAAGCATCAGCAGCAATTGAAGAACTCGATTACTAACATTCAACCAATGAACTTTCCTTCTCCGGCCATAGAATGATCTCTGTTCCATCCTCTGCGTAATCACCAGCGACGTCGAGTAGTCGTCCTGTTGCTAGTGAACGGATTATGAAGTAGCCAGGTGGGAAACCGTTAGATCTGGATTCTGGTGATGGTTGAGGAGGAGAGGATTGCGAGTTTGCGAGATTAGAGATGGCCGTCATGGTCAAGAGATATCACTGGATGTTCACAATGGGAAATGGTAAAGTGGGGAATTGGGGGAGATGTCTGGCGCCAATTATAGGAGGGCACTGCCCTCATCTTTACATTCCTTACACTGCCCCAGCGACGACAAGAAAAACCTAGAACATTCCAATGTCAAAAAAGACAACTCTAATGCATTAAGGGGGAATCGAACCCCCGGCGGGTCGAATCCGAAACCGCAATGGCAACGACCCAGGTTACCACTACCCCATTAATGCTGTGTTAAAGTTGTACAACCACCAATTACTATCCTTGCATGACTTTTGGAAGCAGGCGAATTCGGCACTCTATCCTGTTCGAGTAGTCTGGAAAGAAAAAGGTTGGATATAATGTATGTACCATAGACTCGGCGAATAACTGAAAAACCATTGCAAGAAAGCCTTAGAGAGCCAGAGTCTGACGTCCAGCGCTTATTCGACAATCTTATCAAGCGCTTGAGCCTTTTTCACTTCTACTCGAACGAAATTCTGTCGAGAGGCTACTGTACGGAAATCCAGGAATCCCAAGGAACATGGAAACTCCTGTGCGTTCTTTTAAGTGCTGAATGTCTGTCAAATTGCTTACGAAGGAGGCAGATAGGGTGGAAATGTTGCGAACAACTCTTTGAATCGAAGTATGCAAGGCCTTTGGAAAAGGAATAACATGAAAAGTACCAAAATCAACCTGAATAATTCGAGTCTGAATGCTACTCCTTCGACTACGACGACTCCTACAACGGAGGAACCCCCAGCCAATCAGAGTGCGAATCAAACAATCTCAACTCTGGTGGAAGCTCCTGAAGATGGTGCTGTTCCCCTGATTGTTAACGGAAAACGCAAGATTCGTTCATCACGAACAACCGACTCCGAAAGTAAACGACAAAAGGTTTCCACAACCGCGAAAACCACATCTAAAGATTACACTCCTCCCTCTACTCGACTCTCTGATCTGGGTGGTGTCGATGCTTGTATCGAGAAAATGCTTGAATATATCGCTATGCCATTGTGTCATCCAGAAATCTACTTGCATACCGGTATACAACCTCCGAGAGGCGTACTGTTACATGGTCCACCAGGGTGTGGTAAGACGATGTTAGCGGGTGCCATGGCTGGGGTGCGTTCTTCCTCTCTAATCTCCTTCCTGTTCCTCTTCTCTATCCGTTTCCGTTTCGTTTTCCGCTAATCCGTGGCTGGGCTCGTGCTGATGAATAGTTTGGTCTGGTTATCAGGAGTTAGGTGTACCATTCATCAATATCTCCGCACCGTCGATAGTCTCTGGGATGTCGGGAGAGTCAGAGAAGACACTTAGGGATGCGTTCGAAGAAGCCAAGGTGAACCTTCCTTCCTTGAGCCATTCTGTGTCCTTCATACTCCCTCCCCGCGTTTCCTTTTCTTTCTGGCTAACAGTCGTTTCTACTGTATAGCGCCTCGCACCAAGTCTATTGTTCATCGACGAAATTGACGCCGTCACTCCCAAACGTGAAAGTGCCCAGAGAGAAATGGAACGGAGGATCGTGGCTCAGTTCCTTACTTGCATGGATGGTACGTTTGTCAATCTCGATATTTCCCTGCCTTACAGTCCTTTCTCGTATCTTCTCATGCCTACCTGAAATTATTGCTCACGCCTCTTCTTCACTCAAGAACTATCCTGGGAGAAAACCGAGCACAAACCTGTCATAGTAATCGGTGCAACAAACCGACCGGATTCGTTAGATGCTGCGTTGAGGCGAGCAGGGAGGTTCGACCATGAGATAAGTATGGGTGTACCTGACGATGAAGCTAGGGAAAAGTAAGCAACGACATCTTCCAGCCTCCCTCTCTATTTTTCCTTCCTCGCTCGTTCTTTCTACCACCTTTTCTCTTCCTTGTTGCTTCAAGGACGTATCGTTAATTCCACCTCTGACATTCAGAATTCTCCGGGTCCTCTCTTCCAAACTCCGACTTGAAGGTAACTTCGACTTCACCGCTCTAGCTAAAGCCACACCAGGATATGTAGGCGCGGATTTATCGTCGCTCACGGCTGCGGCGGGAATTAACGCTGTGAAAAGGATTTTCAAACAGTTGGGGGATATACCGCTAAATGGTATCCCGGACGTTGCACTCCCTGTCATAACGACTGTCGTGGAGGAAGGGGAGGAAGTAGCAACGGCTGAGGTAGAGATGTCAACTGACGAGTCTAACGAGGTCATGATGCAGATCGATATTGATCAGCTAGTTGAAGGGGGAGATGCCGTCGCCTCGCAGCCAGAACCAGAATCATCATCCTTATCTTCATCTTCGAAATCCAATATCTCCTTCCCTTCAACCTTCGGACCCATCGCTCTCTTCCTCAACGCCCACCCTACCCCCTTGACCCCCTCCCAACTCTCTCCATTATGCATAACCTCCTCCGACTTCCACCTCGCCCTCACCCAAATTCAACCTTCCTCCAAACGCGAAGGGTTCGCTACAGTCCCCGACGTCACCTGGTCCGATGTCGGAGCTCTCCATAACCTCCGGGAGGAGCTGAATATGGCTGTGGTTCAGCCTATAAAATATCCCGACCTCTTCCGCGGGGTGGGGATCGACGCTGCCTGTGGGGTTCTGCTCTGGGGTCCACCAGGGTGCGGGAAGACGTTGCTAGCAAAGGCGGTAGCTAATGAGAGTCGAGCAAATTTCATCAGCGTTAAAGGCCCGGAACTTTTGAACAAATATGTTGGTGAATCCGAACGCGCCGTGCGTCAATTGTTCTCCCGCGCACGCGCTTCCTCCCCTTGTATCGTATTCTTCGACGAGCTTGATGCTCTGGTTCCTCGGAGGGACGATTCCTTATCGGAATCCTCTGCACGAGTGGTTAATACCCTCCTAACGGAACTCGATGGTCTCGACTCACACAATGCAAGGAAGGCTGTATACGTAATCGCCGCAACGAATAGACCGGATATGATTGATCCTGCGATGGTCAGACCAGGGAGGTTAGATAAGTTGTTATATGTGGATCTGCCGACTGGGGAGGAGAGGGTGGAGATCGTTAGGACATTGGTTAGGGGGGTGCCGCTGGAGGTGGGCGGTAACATCTCTGGAGCTCATAGGTTAGATGAGGCCGATATCACTGCTGGAGAGGGACTGGGTTCAGGAGGGTCCAGGGAACGAGCGCTGGGATTCATAGAGGACTTCATCAGAGGGGGGAAATGCGATGGGTACAGCGGAGCAGATCTCAAAGCATTGGTGCGAGAAGCTGGTGTCATCGCATTGAAGAGAACATTGGGTTTGTTGAACAATTTGGGAATGAAGGGAGTGCTAGATACGCAAGCTACCGAGCCGGTGACAACCCCGACCGTATTCGTCCAAGACACTGATTTCATCCAAGCACAAGAAAAGGTCTATCCCAGTGTTAGCTTGGCCCAAAGGAGGAAGTATGAAATCTTGAGGTCGAAGATGAGTGGGCTTCCAGTGCTTCCTGCAAGAGTCGGGAGAGTTGAAAATGAGGGGGAGGGGAATGGGGGTAATGGCTCACTAACATAGCTATGTTCTAACCACTTCATAAATATCTTTTCTGGTCTACATAACATTGATAGAGTGAAGTTGTCAAAGAAATCATTATTCTCTTGCTTGCCAAGTGCTTTCTACATGTATAGACAGTGGTCCATTGATCTTATTTCGTTCGCTAGGTTCCCCTTGCATAATTCTGGAGATTATTTTTTACAGACAGTTCATAAGCAACTTCGACTGGGATTTTCAGCTTGACAGTTGAAACATTAGCTCATCTGCAAAACCTGGATATTCGGCTAAGGATCCGAAAGCAGTTGAAAGCATTTCCCAGCAGTGAAAGCACTCAGAGCAGCCTGCTCTCAGTGCTTTCGGTACTGGGATCTGCTGGGATCTGCTGGGATCTGCTCTCAGCCCTTAGCCGAATATCCATGTTTTGCAGATGGCCTGCTTGATGTCAACAGGATCACTACTTACTGCCAAAATAATGATCAAAAAGTGATATACAACTACAAAACCCTTCAACATCTAAAGAGGTAGCAGGAATTGATGCACAAGGACTTTAGGCAGTTCTGTTATAGATGACTAACCTTTTTAGCAATCACAGTACATGCATTAATGGGGTAGTGGTAACCTGGGTCGTTGCCATTGTGTTGTATTCGACCCGCCGGGGGTTCGATTCCCTCTTAATGCATAATGGCTTCCGTATGCTGATTTTTGGTTGCTGGATATTATTTTTTTTCACTACGGAGGACATATGTAAATCCCACCTTTTTTTTCAGTCCTCAATCTACTGACTTCATACGTGATTCGATCTTCGGAACCTCTAGTGAATGCCGAGCGAGGTGAAAGTATCTTTGAAGCTACTGCTCGAAGGAGACCATATATTTTGAAGCGCGGGTCAAGGGAAGATTTCAAGAAACTAAGAGGGCAATTGATAGAGAAGGTGATGAGCAGAAACAGAACCGGAGGAAGCATTTCAAGATGATCTACCTACAGGTTGTATGAGGGGAAAGTTCTGGTACGATTGTGGGGTTGTCGTTGTCACTCTTTGACGCTTGAACGGTTCTGGTAAACTTGAGCGCACGGCAAAGGCTTGTTTTTTTCGGAAGATGTCATTATTCAAGGTCAAAATGAAAGGAAGTAAAGATTCAGGCATTCAGAATCATACGCTGGAATCTCCTTGCTCATAGATTATTCCCTACAGGATATTAAAATTGGGGGACACTAGCTGCTCGTTAGAACCATGGGCTGCAAAGTTGGATGGATTCCCGACACCTAATAACAAACTAATGGGTGGATTAGCTGAATCTCCCGCTGATGTTCAAACAAGTATAACCCTTACCAATGCCTATATAACACCTCTCCTTTCTCCAACAACCTTATACCCTCTCTTCGCCTGCCTCTCTTTCGTCATTTCCTCCTTTGTTTTGACCATCCACCCAGGGACATTCTCCACCTGCACGAGCTCTTTAACCTTCAAAATCTTTCCTGCGGCTTCGGGTGTATGTCTATGATACACTGTCTGGAATCTTCTGTGTATACCGAGGGAGGTAAGGGTGTCTTTGATGCGGGAGCCGAGAGAGATGGCGGAGCGGTGTAGGGTTATTTTGTAATGGGTTGTCATCGTCGGTTGTGGAAGCTCTTCGGAGGTCGTGGCAAATGGTGGGTTTGGTGGAGGCGGTGAGGTCGATGAAGGAGAAGACTGGAGGAGCAGGCGTGTCGGGGAGGTAGAGATTGTACGTGCAAAGAAAGGTTTAACGCGCGTGCAATCCAACAGGTAGCGTGAGGCCATAGCTGTATAAAGAATTAATGAGAGAATAAACAATTCGCAGTTACATACTATGATGAGTAACCTGGAATGAAGAAGAGGATTTCGGCGCTTATTACACACACATTTTTTAATTTTGCGCCCGTTCTGCACTTGTGTTCTACTGAGTACCGGTCAAGTAGTCTGGAGGAGCTTGGAGGTAGAGCCCACCAGGAGACGAAACCTCACTACGCCCACATGGAGGAACGGTTTCCGCGTCTACTGGTCAAGAAAAGGTAATGAAACTTGGTGAGAGTCTGAGTTCTTTCACACCCGACGCCAGAAGTAAATATATTCACGACGGCGGAGAGTTGGCATACATTTATTATGATACATAGTTACTTGTAATACACCATAACAAAACCAAAATTGAGATAGACAGCCTCCATCTCACCTCATCACTTCCTATTATTCCCTTGCATAGCAAGAATCTGTACCAGGCGAATGAAGATGTTGATCATATCTAATTCCAACCCAATCGACTCGTTTATAGCGTCTGCTTTCATGAGCCCTTGTTCTGATAATCGAGCGTGGTGCAAGATCTTCTGCGTGCTGTCATTGTCAAATGATTCGGGTTATCATCAGCAAGAGTGAGAGTCAAACGAAATTTTAGGCCACTTACTCATACAAAACAAAACCTCCAAACACAGCAAGCCCACCATAGAGCGAAAGGGCTTCGGTTACTGCCAGACTTCGGACACCGAGGGGAAGAGCCATAGGTGCGAGAGATGCAAGAGCGACTACGGTGACACCAGCGAGAAGAGGCCCGCCTAAATTCAAAAATGTATCGTTTCTGTATCGTCGTCAGTATCAAGATAGGCTATACAATTTGTGATAAAATACATACTTCGCAGTAGCACCGACGTACGATAACGACCCAACAATACCGACTGTGTATAGAGCCGCGCGAGACAGGATAGCTGGGCTAAAGAGGAACAGAGGGCTGAGGGTAGCGGCTTGACAAGCGTTGAAACCCTGAAACGAAGAAATAAGTTACGTGTGAGCTTCTGAGGGTAGAAGAAAGTCTACCAACCAGCCAAAGTAAATGCTTCTGCACTGTCTTCTCCGGAGGTGTATAAAATGTTCCCATCATAGTCCCGATACTACCGACGAGACTTACACCGAGAACCAGCCCTACACAGTGTCAAGTTTCGGCATGAACAGTACTAAACGATGTATACTAACGAAAACGCACAAGGGTTAGCGGTCATTATTCTGAAGGCAAGTCCGGATTTGAACATGGAACGAGCGGCTTGAATGATTAAGAATAGAGCAATGAGCTAACAAACTCAAGAAAAACGGATTTTGTTCGACGAACCTAATGCTGTGAGTACAAGACCGCCGCCAGTATACTTGAAAGTGTCATGTAATAAAGCTTGTTCTCCAGTAGACAACCCATCCCTCGTTTCTCGGTTCAAAAACCCATCAATGACCACCACAGCGCCAGCGACACCCGCCTGAAGTGATTTGAACCCATGAATCAGCAGTCAAATTAACAAACGCACCGCAGTCAATGCCATTCTCTGCCAAGTTATCGGCTGACCTTGCTGAACAAGCGGCGCATTCTGCATATACGTTCGGGATGATGATTTTAAGTTGTTGAAGAAGCTTAATGTATCCCTTGGGTTTTTGGTTTTAGCAGTAGCTCCATCAAATTTGACAGCATTTGAGCGAAATAGACTGAAAGTTCTTCGTTGCAGAGGCTGTTCGGTGAAAAGGCGGAATGAGAGAGTAGAAGCCAGGGTTCGAGATGGGAGAAAAGACAACCGCTGCATGGCGTTGTCGGGACGGAAGAAAGTGCAAGGAAGAGTAAAGAATCTGCACGGCGCTTATGTACTTTATCTGAGTTGCCGATCTTGCGTCATACAACGGCAAGGCCACCTGAAAGTTCGAGCAAGTTCTGCCTGAGCTCAGAACTATCGTTCTGCGGGCATGCTTCGATTAATATACATATGATGTATCTACAAATTCCACACTTAGAGCATCTTTTACCTGACATCGTTCAACAAATCCTGTAATATCGGTCTCCCCCGAAGGAAACCTTCCTCACCACCAATCTTCCGGGATTTCTTATTCGTAGACTGTCCCTCTTTTGATAAACCCGTATTCTCGTCAGTCGTTCCGCGCTTGAGGCCATTATGTTTAGTATCGAACGCATCTGCGTGAAGTAAATTTGCACCGGATGGCAGACGAAGAATCCAGTCTTGATTTTCCATGAGATTAAAGAACTCCTTCAATAATGGTGCGCCTTGAAGGGTTTTCCGAGAGCCCATTATAATAAGCTTAGATCGGGCACGGGTGAAAGACACATTCATACGGCGCCAGTCTTTCATGAGCTCTCCGACCTGTAGATATCGTCGACTAAAGTCAAGATTGAGGAAACTAAATATAACACACCTGGCTCGTGTCGTTCGATCGTACCATAGATATGATAATGCATTCCTTGTCCCTTCCTTGACTTTTGTCGGCCGTGAAAAATTCCAATCCCTGACGACCTCGGAAATGCTGCCCTAAGAGCTTGATCTGTTGGCGATATAAAGAGATAATGCCTATTTGTGCAGGTGGAACACCACTCTTCATCATGGTCTCCGCAATCTGGTACACTAGTTTGGCCTCTGTCTCATTTTGGACCAGGTCCCCAACTCTAGAATCATGGGCAGGGACAAGGTCCGTGTCGATAAAAACAGCTTTACACCTTTATCAAAGACACATCGTAAGAATCCTATATGGCAAAAACCGACCACCGAACTGACCTCTCTGCCATAATTTGACTTAGCCAACATTCAGAATTTTCGCAAGCCGAGTGACCTGCGTGCAAAGAGCGGAGGAATGATTTATCAGGTATATCCAAGAAGCGACGAGCCACAACTTCAGAGCCGCAGCGAAGACGGTCGCTATATATAAGTTTGTTGGAGAGCAACATGATATCTGCGTTCATGCGATATTGGTACGTAAGATCCACCACGGCATGAGGGTGCGCATTGGATAAATGGCGAAAGAGCGAAACATCGAGACCACCCTTTCTAGCGTCTTTGTTGCGAACCTAGATCCCAGGTCAAAACACCACAAATACTGTTTAATTCATCACGCACCAAAGGCGGGAGCTGGAAATGATCTCCTACGAGAACAAATTTTTCTGCAAATCGGAGAGGGCCAATACAGGTAGGTAGAGTGATCTGAGAAGCCTCGTCCACGATACAATAATCGAATTTCCTTCTGGAAAAGAGAGCACTAGTTCCGTCTCAGTTGCAGCACTGGGTTGAAATGACTGTGCAAGGTCACTCACTCATCAATAGACAGGCAGGTTGTTGCTACGACAGGTGGGGACATGAGCTGATACTCCAGTTGCTCGACGGTAGTAGCATGTCTCCGGTGATTTAGGGTATATTGGCGGACGTCAGGGTGAACCTGTTTTGAGTTAGAATAGATACATTACCATGTGATGAATTAATACCTTGTCTATGTTTCCCAACCGAAGAATAGTGAAGTCTGTATCCTTCAATTTCGCCAAGATTGTATCAACAGCGGAATGAGTATAAGATGTTAAAAGGACCGTCTTATTCATAGCAACGAGAGCTTGGATCATAGCTGCAATGACAGTCGTTTTGCCTGTTCCAGGCATGCCCAACACCAAGGCATAATCTTGGGCGCTAAGAATTTTATCGACGGCTTGACCTTGGTTCGGGTTCAAGTGCGCCAAATGATGCGCTGCGGAAGGAGGAATGTTGATAGATGATGTGTCGTCGAATCGTGGTTCTTCCAGGTCAACAATTTGTTTGAGTTTTCGAGCATCTCCATCAGCATAGAAAAGTTGCGCAAGGTTATCCCGAATACGACTCATACCTCCGAGCATCTCATCCTTATCAATTCGAAAGATAACTGGATTCGTGGTAAAGACTTTTGAGGACTCAAAGACAGCGAGCCGGGAGCTAATAATATCCAGAGATAGATCATGATCCACACCAACAACAACATCCGTCGATGTAAGCTCAAGTATGAACCCACGAGCAAGAGCGAGCAGGTGCGGTTCAACTGAGATAGTGACCGCGTCGTTGACGTCCAGAAATCCGTTCAGAAATGATCCGGTAGATACACTTTTTGGGTCACGAATGAACCTGTAGGTGTATGTGTGAATTTTATCCCGTGCGCCGGGTCGTTTAACAGGAGGAGGAACAAAGGAAGAGTCGAGAATCATGGATCCAAAGCACCGTCCATGTTGTTCACGCTGTGCGGCACCCATTGTCCAAAGTTCTTTACGGAACCGGCCCACGTCTTGTTCTTCCAGGGAGAGAAGATGTTCCCAATTTTTGAAGAAGGCGGTCTGAGAAGGTGTTAGATGAGAGGTTCTCAAGGAATATGCATCTGCGATTGGAGAGACTTGGTCCTCGACATTCTCGACAGCCTGTCGCGGGGCTTAGCGCAACCAGCAAGAAGACAAAAGTAACACTTGCCTTCCGGTACAGCATGCATAGATCCAGTGAAAAACATCGTTTACAAGTACGTTCATCATCGATAGTCGGAGGAAGAAAAGGTTCTGTAGAGTTTTTCTGCCGACGCATCATGTACATCGCAAGTTCATTCCTGCCGATGATAAGACCCCGTAGCTCGTTTCGACTTGCGGGAACTTGAACGATTTCATCGCTCTGTGTATAGTATAGTAAGCCCGAGGTGACATCGATACCATATCGTTCCTGAGCCAACAGGGTATAGAGCATTGTCTGAGCGCGATGCTCCATGCCTGAGGTGGCACGTCCGGTCTTGATCTCGAGGGGCTTGGGGCCCTGGGTAGGGGTTATTTTTGAGAATGACAACCTTGCTGGATCTGTTTTCTGAGAGATTGTAGTCTGCACAGTGGCATCCAGTTTACCCTTGAGTCCATAGGTAGGGGACCAAATATCCTCCTCCACGTCAAGGAGCTCGGAAATGGCTAAAAGTGACACTTCATTACGAGCAGCGCGATTGTTGTTCAAGATGGCATCAGCCTAAAAGATATTTGAGAAATTCCTTGGTAATTCTAGTAGGAAAAACATACCTTGGGAGTTTCGGACATATATCTATTGAAAAATGATTGGACACCTTTAGCTCTGGCTTTCACTTCGTTGATTGCAGTTTCCACGTTAACATTGATGCGAACTAAGTCCACAAGGTTTTCACGAACCACTTCGTCGATCTTGTCGTCTAACCACCGATCATCCCAACAATGGGCGGACAAGCAAGCTTGTACCACTGTGTGGAGGATATGTCCCCAGACTAAGGCAGGTGATACATCGCTTGACGAGCGAACCATGCTTGTCAGGAGCGGGCGGCGGCGACATTGTGCTGCTGTAGAGACAGCCGTAGCAGTAAGGAGAAGATCAGGATGTAGGATAAGAAGATTGTGTTTGGATGAGATGACGATGGAAGATATGATAGAAGAAGAAGATTGTAGAAGTGGAGTGAATGTGCCAATAACATTGATGATGTCCTCTACAAGTTTATACGTTCAGATATCTCCTTAAAGTTCGAGGGGGAATGCATACTGGGACGGACTCCTGATGTTACCCAGTCATCCTGTAAAATTACGGACCGACGCTCCCCGGACTCAAGGGCCACAATGAGATTCTGTTCGGGGGCAATATGAGGCTTTAACAACAGAATGACAGCACCTGCGCTAATACCTTCGAATAACGGCCACTTATCTCGTACTCAGAGACAGATTCAACACTGCATCTGGTGCATGTTTCGCGAACATGTCTGGATCCAGCCAGTTGAAATGTCTATGAAGCAAGAAGGGTATTAAGTTCATGAAGGCGGCCTTCCAGAGTAGCAGCACACCTCTACTTTAGGCTTCTTCATTGGCGATATCTCGTTCACGTCCCAGTCCCAGTCGTCCTCTACCCCTTCTAACATTGCCTCTATATCCGCATCATTGGCAGAGAAAACTCGAGAAGGAGACGGGCCAACATGCTTGAATGCTGTCGGCGACCTTGCGGCCAGTTTGAGCTTGTTTTTATTCGAGGGTGTTCGTGGCTCTTGTGCTACTTGAAGGCCTATTGGTCTGTTCCTCGCAGGTGAAGGATCAGGAGTCGGCGGGGCGTTCCAAACTGATTCGTCCAATTCAGCGAACAGGTCATGTAAAAGCGCTGCTTCTTCTTGAGCAGATCGAATTACGGGGGGCATTTAAGAGATGGAAGAACGAATTTCAAGAGATGTCTGGTAGAAAGGTGTAGAAGTTGATGACGCCCTTGACGCGTCGAATGGGAGTCATGTGACCCCGTGTCGCGTCAACAATTCACAATAATCAAGCAAAAAATACAAGAAAATATAATATGTAAGCCCCACATAGTGAATATTGCATACAATCAGCTACTAGTACATCGCGTCGATCCGACAAGTGCTATGAGCCTCTCAAATTAGCTATAGCAGGAACCCTGCGTAAGTCAATGACACCAACCAACCGACATTCCAGTGCCATCGCTATACGTTCAATGTTTTGCGACTTATGAGTCTGCCAGTCTATCTCAAAAACTCCAGGTCTATCAGCACCGGCGAACCATGACCATATTCTCGTTTGAGTCTACTCGACATAATTCAGTATTAGGATATTGATAATAGCTCACTGAAATGCTCGTACCTTCAAGTCGTACACGTGTAACCATCCATCCCCACCTCCTGTAGTTAACCAGTGATTATCAGGACTGATATCAAGTGCATATACAGGACGTTTATGATCTGCAAAAGCATGAAGACATCGGCCGGTGACAGAGTCCCACAGACGAGTTGCACCATCGAATGAACCGCTGAAATCCTATGTGAGAAGGAAGTGTTTGAGGTACAAGAAACAACACTCACGTAGCAATCAGTTCATTCTCGGTGCCTGGCGGTTGATACCAGCCAATTGTGCTTACAGAATGCTTGTGGCCTTCGAGAATGGTGACTTGATCGTTGTCAGAACTACCCAGGCCTGGGATGGAATCGGCTTCTGAAGGTATTGAAGCAGAAATGTTAGATACATTCCATATCCTTGTCGTCATATCGTCTGAGCAAGATGCAAGACGTGTCCCAGAAGGATTGCACTTGATCTGATTGATTTCGTCGGTGTGTCCGCTGAATGAAGGCGTATATCATAATCGATAAGATATAGTCTCTTCGCAGTGACATCAGACGTACCCGAAAGTCTTGATTGACTTCTCTTCGTCCACACTAAATATGTGAACTTGTCGATCGGCCCCACAGCTCGCAAACATATCGTTGTTTAACCAATCCACGTCTAAACAACAATCTGTAAATCCGCGTTGTAAGTCTTCGAGCATGTTGATCATGAATGCTTGATAATTGTCTGACCTTTGTGACCGTGGTATTGCCGATGCAGCTTTTTACCAGCAACGTCCCAAAGACATGAACTTCCATCCAGACTTGCTGTCAAAAGCCAACGACCTGATGTTGAAAACCTTGTTGTGAATATTGGACCCTTTGAGAAGAACTTCAGTATCCCAAACGGCACGCAGGATATTGTCAAAGCCCGACCTTATGTATATCACTTTCAAAGTACATTTTGCCTGCAGTGTCACATATTCGCAATCTGGAATCGTATGAAGCAATGGCGAGTAACGTCCCATCTGGACTCCAGCTCAAACAGGTCAAATCTGCGGATTCTGCCTGAGAGAACGAGTCGATTGTGATGGGTTCTCCGGCCTGCGCAGAACCCGCCATCGACTCAGAAAGTGTCCATATCTTCACTACAGCATCCTTAGAGCTAGATACACATCGTGAAGCCAGATCCGTCATTGAATTTTGGAGACCTACCCAGAAGCCAACAGGTTATAATTGACAGGATTGAATGCACATACAAACACCTAGATGTACTATAAAAACCAATGCATGCATACCAGTAGATAGAGCGAGATCGTACCTCCGTAGCATGCCCAGGCATTAAAGTGATGACATTCGGATCAGTAATGTCGTCAATAGGTCCTTGGAGCAATTTCTTTGGTTTCGAAGCAGGTTTTTTGGGAGGATCTGCTGCCTTAGGTCTTGCTGCGGTAAGGTCAGATGGAGGAGGAGAGCAAAATAGTGAGCTCTACAAACATTCCACAGGGGTATCGACATCCATGTCATTGGATTCCTTCCTGGTGCGTTTTTCGGTAGTTGTAATACTTCGCGGTAGAGGACTGATCTTGCGGTGCGAAACGTCCTGCATTAAAACATTGCTTTGAATCGGTGGAGCTACCATCATCAATGGGGGAGCAAACGTCGGTGCAAGGAAAGTGTGAGATTCAGGAGGGTTCGGAGAGCATGTATGGGGTTCAAGGAGAGAGAACATGGCCTTGCATTTGATTGCAGCCTCTCCACCTTGGAAATGGCATTCGACTTCATTATAGAGTAGTGACTTGCTCAATAGTTCGACTAGTTCTCCTCTAGGAACGTGTTTTTTGAAGACAGGTGATCTCTCGAGTTGGGCCTCCTTCACGAGAGTGTAAGCGGAATGTTCAAAGCCTGAGTATAAGACGCGAAATGAGGGAAGTCGTTGGATAGTTCCGAGTAATAATAGATACCAGAGTCTCGAAAATATGCGTATATCAGACGATTGATTTCATCCGAAGTGATAGAGATTGGGGACATCCTACAAAAGAGGACTTAAACTGAGACTTAGAGAAAGCGGCAAGAAGTTGTTTGGCCGGATATAGACGCCCAACCGGTCACCAGACTTCGGCGCTCTGGTGCTGACTTTCGTAGTGTGGTCAGCGTTCCGCAAGATGACAGACCAACTCCGAGAATTGAATTGTACCCGCTTCTTTCCTTTCTTACTCCGGCCATGGATGACGATCCTAGTCAGTTCAACGTTGAGCAGGGCTCAGAAGATTTGCCAGAGTTAAATTCTTCCCATGGAGCCGGTCGATCCAATCTGCAAACTCTCCTAAGTCCGTTGCGCATCCTTATCTTTTCTCCCACCACTGTCTTCCTGATCTAAGCACCCTTCACAGATTTATTAGCGGCGCGCACCTCTACTCAATCAAGTGTCCTCATGGGTGATTCCAGGATATACGCCGCAACCGCCATGGCCAACTTGTTATCCGCCGACCACGACTTGGATTTAGAAGGAGAATTAGGCACTGACGATGAAGAAGACGCCGACTACTTGGACGAAGACGAAGATGAAGTGATGGAAGATGACGGAGATGAATATTATGCTACTCCTCGCACAGTATTTACCTACCCTCCAGCCACTACGCCTCAGGCTGCAGGTGTGCATCTGATCAAAAGCGGGGAGTTTGGTCGAGTGGGACCCAAGATCAAAGCTCGGAAGAACAACCGGAACCTCGCTGCCGTCTTTAACAACCGTCTAACAAACCCTCATCCTGTTGTGTATAAGGAAGATTACGCCGCTGTACGTTTACTGCATTAGATGGTTTGTTTTAGGACTCAAATGATTGCAGAACATTGTTCCAAACTCCAATGGAGTGATAGTGGCCAACTATGATGCAAACATCTACACCGCACAGTACTCTAACGGCAAGACATTGATTTTAACATGGTACCACGAACAGCTCATTGCTGACCCCGAATTTCTGTAGACTCTTCATTCTTCTACACTTGCTCTCAAGGTACAGTTTCAAAGCTTCGGGTTTCATTCTAATCTGATCATAACAAAGATTTCCGTCTTCACATATACGACACTACTGCTCCTCCGCAGAGGGCAATGTCGCGGGCTGACGTAACTCAGGACCAGCCACAGACGACAATGAATCTTAATCGTAGAATACAAGGGCAGCACGGTCGATGGACAATCACAGATGCCAATCTGTCCCCAGACAATGACAGGTGTGCCGTTGTCCCATCTTTCGAGCCTTGTCTTGTTGCTTATGCATTTTCGAAGAATTATCTATTCTTCAATCGTAAGAATGCTCATTTTATATGTGAGACGCACGTAGCTAATACATCAGAAGACTTCCACTGCGTACATGTGCAGCACAAAGGAAGACAATCCCGTACAGGTTCCCATCCCGTTCCACGATTCTCCTGGTGTCCACTATGGATTCTGGGATTCAGGCCCTGGATCATTTGGGCTATTTTCTTGTAGATTCTCAGCAGACGGAAATGAAGTCATTGCTGGTGGTCGGGGATACATATATGGTATGTTATGTCATGCATTCCTCCACTTGTAATTAACGAATACCACGTACTAGTGTACGATCTTTTGGCCAATAGACGAAGTTGGTGATGTTGTACGAGTTTTCGTCATTGAACTTATTGCCTCTATAGGTGTCAAAATTCTAGCACATGCGGATGATGTCAACAGTTGTTGCTGGGCTGATACATCGTCTGGGAATGTACTAGTCAGCGCTTCAGATGACAGCTACTTGAAAGTTTGGTGAGACTCTGTTTCTCCTATGTCAGCCAAATCGGCACTAAGAAATTTTTTAGGGACAGACGATCTCTCGGTAGCTCGCCGAAACCATCAGGCGTTCTGGTCGGACATACGGAAGGTATAACATATGTATCTGCCAAGGGAGATGGACGATACGTCGTGTCTAACGGCAAAGACCAAGCGATGCGCCTGTGGGACCTACGCAAGATGCGAAGCAATGGGGAATACGAGAGGACTGCTCATATCGAATACGGCGTTCCGAACTTTGACTACCGGTCAATTTCTTCGACCTATTTCGAGACTTATACTCACGTTGCATCTATTTTAGATATCCTAGCTATCCCAGGCCTAGATACAAAGCCCATCCTCTGGATTGTAGTGTCATGACATACCGAGGGCATTCGGTGCTCATGACGCTCATTCGTTGCCATTTCTCCCCTACGGAAACAACAGGGGGACAATATCTCTATTCGGGTTCTGCAGATGGAAGGATCCATGTAAGTTGAAGTTCCACAGACTATGTTATCGAAATTTGACTAGGTGGCTTTGATAGATATGGTCGTTAGATGGAACTCTTGTTCAAGTACTTGATCGTACAAAAACGCTTCCCATACGGGCAGATCCTTCTGGTGTCGAATATTCCAGAACCGCTCGCAGAAATAATGGTTCATGCGTTCGTGATGTCAGTTGGTCACCCGAGGTGCGTCTCAATTACATCTGGTCCTTGATACAGAGGCTGACTCCTGCTCACAGCAACCCGTGATCATCTCTGCTGCTTGGGAGTCTTCCCGTCATGGAAGCACACTTGCTCGACATGAATGGAAAGGATTATCGAAGATGTCTAATTCCCTTCAGGATTGGGAAGAAAAAAGACGTCAGGAACAGACAGAAATCGCTGAGGGTGGAAGCTCAACTCGAAGGTCAAGCCGAATTCAGCAACAAAGGCTTCGTCGATTGCTCATGCCTGGGATGTATTTCTCGGTTGACGATGACGATGACGAAGATATGTAGCTCTAGAGATACACGTCGCTTGCTTTGCTATGTTAATTAATGCATGTACCCGGAGAATATCTGTATATCTACGATCACGTCGATTCTTTCATCTTTTCGGCAATGGAAACATATGAGTATTGTAATGAAAGGAGATATGAATAGCAGTAGGTGCATCGACGAGACCGACGTGATCTTAAGCGCCCAGTTGCCGAGCAATCGGCTGGCGCCAAAATCCGTCACGTCAAGTTTTCGTGTACCCACTGCAGTGTCCTCAAGTCTTATCGTTCTCCCCTCTCTATCAATCAAAATGGTTAGTTTCTTTGCTGCTGTCTATCTTCCAGAGCTTCTCGAGTTGTTTGTGGTGGATTTTGTCCGGATTCAAATGAAGGAATGGTTGGATTGGAGATTCGGAGCTAGGATGACCTTTGCGAAACTGATGGCTAACGATGAATTTTACAGAGTAACACCGATCTCGCAGCCTCTTACGCCGCCCTCATCCTCGCCGATGACGGTATCGAAATCACTGTATGTCTCTTGTTCAATTGGATAAATGGCCGGATACTAATGCATAAACTCGTTCCTATTCTAGGCCGACAAAATCGTCGCTTTAACAACCGCTGCTGGTGTTGAACTGGAACCCATATGGGCGTCATTACTGGCAAAGGCCCTGGAAGGCAAGAACGTCAAGGACTTGCTATCAAATGTTGGTGGTGGTGGTGGAGCACCTGCTGCTGTTGCTCCTTCTGCTGGGGGTGCTGGTGCCGCTGCAGCAGAAGCACCAAAAGAAGAAGAGAAAGAAGAGGAGAAGGAGGAATCGGACGACGATATGGTATGTTGCCTTAGTTCCTTTTTGATGAATGTAAACCTCATCACTGAAATTTCTGCAGGGCTTTGGTCTCTTCGACTAATTCATATCCTTCGTTTTCCTGTTTCTCTCTCCATATGATGTGCTGTCCTGTCAAACGAACCATGCTTTTACCATTACTGTTGTGTGTAATATGTTGACAATGCAAGCATATCTTCTAGAAGTAGTTAACTTAGTGTCATCAAAAACTTGCGAATCACACAGATGCAGGAAGGAATTTCAATCAAAGATGGCCATGGGGTGCGTTGCTCCGGGAAGTGTGGAACATTTTACCATGAGATTCGGTCCGAGACATTGATCCTTACATTGATCCACGCTCCGTGGGTGCAACAACCTGGACCCGCTGGCTTTTTTCGTACTTACATAAGTACGACTCTCTAGCATTTCGATCCTCAAGCTCAGCTGCAAGCAAGGTCTCAAACATAGAAATGAAACAGGATTCAGTGTTTTTAATCTCGCTTAGGTTTTGAAGCGTTTGAACGTAACTTTTTTGCGCTTGAAACTGATACGATCTTGTATGTGAACGGTCTGGACCTGGCCATGGGCTAGATGAAATTTTCATGAATCGTTATAAAATGTACTCAGGCTTTACCCCGGCTCTACCTCCGCCAAAGCACCCCATGTCAAGTCTTCCCCCCGAGCTGCTGGCAGAGATCTTCCAATACTGTTCTACCTACAATGCAGACGCCCCACTCCTCCTGGGCTCAGTCAATCGACGATTTCGGGAAATAGTGCATAGTCATCCCGCTGTCTGGTACAAACTCCGGCTTCGTCTGGGTTTCGGTACAGAATTCGCGCAGATTCAAAAAGCTGGACTGTGGTTCAAAAATCGCGGCGCGTGCCCTCTCAAGGTTTTCATGAACATCACCAATACATGTGCCCCGAGATCAGATACCTCCGAACAGGAATGGTTCTCGCACAATTATCCGTTCTTGATTGCATTATTTCGCAAGAACATTCATCGGATCCACGCATTAACCCTCCAGTCGGATACGGAGCTCAAGGCCTACCATCTCCTTGACGCCATTACGGCTTCAAGTCCCGTATCCCCTACTGAATCGCTTCAGCTTCACAGCTTACATTTCCAAATCACGGCCGATATTCCACCAATGCCATCTGGATGGTCGCCAGTATTCGAATCCTTTTCCCTCTTTCCCCAACTCGACTCACTCAAACTTATAAATCACATCCTACCCGCACTTACCCCTCCGAATATTGTACACCTCCAAAATCTTTCGATCGTTCGTCCCCTTACTGCGCCGCCGTTACCTACTCTCAAAATTTTGCGCATGATAAGTTCCGCTCCGTCGCTGATCCATTTAGACATTGACTCGCGGATTTCGGGAGAGCCGCTGTCAGATCTCCATGTGGAGACAGACTTACCTGCTTTAAAGTCATTGTCGTTGCGCATAAACAACCTTCCGTCCACATTGAAACTCTTAGCTTCGGCATCGTTGGAGAAACTTCGCCTGACGGATCTAGATGGTAGGCGGCCTCGCGCTGGAGAGGAATTGGGCAGTGTCATGGCGAACTTGACAAGAGAGTTGAAGACAAAGGATGGTAACTCAGGCGGTCTGGATCTCCTCAAAAGTTTGGAGATTGCTGGAGTACATTGCGTCTCGTCCACCAGCGCTCATTGGGACTGGTGTATTCGCCATCTACCACGACTAGAATCGCTGACTCTTAACAAGTCCGGTTTTGTGAGCTTGATCAAAGTTCTGACCGAGATACAACCAGAACATCTAGACGTCCAAGGCGGCTTCTATTGCCCTAGGTTATCTTATGTTCACCTTTCGAGTGTCGACGCCCTTCTCCTTCTCCAGGATTTGAAGATGAAAAGGCCTTCCCTCACAGTGGAATGGGACAACGGTGGGCCAGTATGGCATCATTCGATCCCTGATCACCCTCGCACGACGTTCTCATATACTACAGGGGGATACGGCTTCGCCTCATTGTTTGACTATGATAGGAGGCACATTGAGGATACTCAGGTGAAGGGGGTTTCTTTGACCGATGAGGATTCTTCCTGGTAGAGGATGAGGGTCTACAATAATATATCCTCACTATTATTGATAGACTTTAGATCAAAATACATATCTCATAATATACTATATCTATTTATCTGTATCCGTTTTTCATGCAAAGTTGCTTCCAAACATTCAATATAATAACGAGTATATAAAATGCTTGCGCCTTACAGAAGTACCGCGAATAAGCGCGCTAGTATAGCACTACGTCATAGTTAATCAAGGCTTTCTCACTGCAACCACCAACTTCAAACAATGATTCCTCGCAACTTACTGATTAGCTCTCGCTCCAGCTCTGCTGCTATTGCGCTGTTTCACACTTCTGCTCGACGAGCCGCCGCGCAGCCTAAGCATACTAGCGAAACTTACAACAAGGACGACTCGGACATGTCTCCGCCACCTGATTCGAAAATCCATCGTGTCGATCCAAATTCCGATTCTCAGAAACCGCATGAGGTGAGCTCCTACTTGCGAGAAGGCCTGCTGGATACTTACCAATCGCTGGTCCTAGGCTCCTTCAGGTCCTTATAGTCGAGTACTTTGTTTCGTCGTTGCACCCGCGGTCATTGCTGATCCAGTTTCTTTCTTTTTCAAGGTAGGAGCGGAGTCCGCAGAGTACAAGAATACGAATTCGGAGTATAATGGAGATCATGATACTCGTTATGGTGGAAAGAAACAGTATGATGAAGATAAGGGCCCTGAGACAAGCAAAGCTGATGAGGGACCAGCTGGAAAATCCTCTCAAGGCAGGAAGCCTGAAGGGAGATGAAGTGTACATGGAGAAATGGGCTCATATGCTCCCAAATCAACGTCGGTCTTTTTTTCTCATTGTAAGAACATTCCATTTATTAAGATATGTTTTTCAACAGCGACAAAGTGAATTAAAATAAATATTCCTACGTTTGTATCATGATACTAGTGCCTCTTACTCCTCTGATTCTCATGGGTGACATATTCAAATTGACCTTGTTCGTTTTTTGTGTCAAGCACCTGTTGAAACGATCACAACCTCCTCATCCAGCGCCGCCGTCGAACAACGAATCAATCAAAGTCTATCAAAGTGCCTCAGCCCGCCATTTTCAAGTTCATCCTGAATAATTGAATAATAATCTGAATCATAAACAACTTTCTGTCATGCCTGAAAGAGGAATGTCAAATGGATTTCGACAAGCTTCATTATTTCGCTACGTCGTCGAAGTTCAGTTTATGTCGGTACCAATTCTATACTGCCATCCGTTGGGCTACTCAAGGTCAAAAAGCTTTTCTAAATGTCCACTCGAAGCACGCTCGCCCTCGTAACAAATCATAAATTCAAGTTAGCGCTGGATTGTTATGAGTGTTGGTACGGTAGAACTGTTCCTTCCATTACATATCTTCTAATTCTTGCTGGAGATTTGTAATTCCCCCCGGACATCACAAAGGCTTGAACGCTATGCAGGTCCGTTTCTCATACCCTTTCTTGCTTCGTGTGTTCCGAACCTCGGTGATCTTCAAGTTCAAGCCTATATTCTTTTTCTCGTCCCGCCCTCGCAAATTGTTACTTACAGGTAAACAACGTATGCCAACGCACCTTGGTCGCAGTCATCCGATATCAGCAACCTCATCCGATTCTAGTACATAGTCAATAAATCATGCTACGTTTGAATTGAATTTATTAAGCCTCAAGCTCGTAGATAATGTTGGTTAGGCGCTTACTTTTGTGCAATCTCAAGCTACTCGGCGCCTAAAGCTTCACTAACTCACGCGCACTTCACTTGGAAGTATACAGGGTTCTGTATTGTTCCTTTTAGTCGTCGAGTATGTCGACCTCGACGCTGAAACAAGTAAGCTTTATTAATTGAAACGTCGAATACTTTTTGATCCTCTCCCAGGCAGCGGCGCCTTCAACACTGCAGCAAGCCCAAACTGCAGCCTTGCTCTCTCTTCTGAATCTAAACACTGAGCCAGTAACTTCCTCATCCTCCCAATCGTCGAAAGGCGCAAAGACACCAATTGTAGCGGGTCCACCGGTTTTCAAAATTCTTGTCCTCGATCAGCAGACGAAGGATGTCCTCGCGACTGTGCTACGTGTTCAAGATCTACGTGACGTTGGTGTAACACTACACGTGTAGGTTCAGCAAGCCCCCTTTCACCGATGTGTCGTGCTCATTAGTCTCCAAGGCAATTACACTCTACGCGACCTCCATTGCCTGACGTCCCGGCTGTTTACTTTGTTTCGCCAACTGCTGCGAACATTCAACGAATTGCGGAGGATCTCGACAAGTGTTTATACGAATCTTTCCACCTCAACTTTGTTGAGCCTCTGCCACGGGCCTTGTTAGAAGAGCTCGCAGCCTCGGTGGCGCGTGATGGTACAGGGGAATTGGTTCAAGAAGTGAGTCCTGATTGTTCGAGAGTTTCAAATATCTTACACAATTCTTTCCAGCTAATAGATCAGTATCTCTCCTTCATTGCGCCATCTTCATCGCTCTTCTCCCTACTGCCTCCTTTACCACAAGCATCCCCTGCTACACCTGCTGCGGCAGGCAGTTCAACCATTCCTTCCTCGACCTACACAATCCTCAATTCTCCCGTCTCAACCGAGCAACAAATCGAAGCAGAAATAGAACGAGTGGCGAACGGTCTCTTTAGCGTTATTGCGACGCTTGGTATGGTCAACGTTATGTTTGTCTCTACTCGTAGTTACTTATACATTCTTGAATCAGGACATGTCCCATTCATCCGCGCACCACGAGGAAATGCCGCAGAGATGGTTGCTAAAAAATTGGAAACCAAAATCCGAGATGCCCTTATTACTGCCTCTCGATCACATTCTTCCTCTCTATTTTCTCAAGATGCAACGGGTCTTTCAAATTTACAACGGCCTTGTGAGTCTCATGAAACCGGACAAGATAGTATCAGACTTATTTATTCATTGTCATTTCAGTACTGCTTATACTGGACCGAAATGTTGATCTGGTCTCGACTATCTCTCATGGGTGGACCTATCAAGCACTGGTGTCTGACTGTCTCGAGATCAAGCTCAACCGTGTGGTGGTCACAGAGCCCCAGAAACGCACCTATGACCTTGATGCGAAAGATTTTTTCTGGGCTCGGAACGCAGCCAATCCGTTCCCTTCGGTCGCAGAAGATATCGATACCGAACTCACTAAGTACAAGCAAGATGCAGCTGAAATTACGCGAAGTACAGGAGTCAGCGATGTTAATGATATTGCCCAACTCGATCTTTCTACCAATGCTGCCCATCTCAAGACTGCCATCACACAATTGCCTGAGCTGACTGCGAGAAAGGCGACTCTAGATACACATATGAACATCGCTACAGCATTACTGGAACAAATCAAAAAGCGAGGTTTAGATGAGCTTTTCAGTACTGAGGAGGCTATCGGTAAACAGGTATGCAACTCTCTATTTGTGGGATATACACATTGTAGTGATAATTTTGTTTCTTTCAAGACCACTCAGACAATACTCGAGATTTTGAGGAGTTCTCGTACAGATGGCAACTTCACTCCCTTGGATAAGCTTCGACTAGTATTGGTCTTTTATCTGTCTTCCCCTGACATTAGCAAGGACGATGTAGCTGAACTAGAGAAGGAGCTCAAATCAGCAGGAGCCGAAGTTGCTGCATTTGACTACGTTCGAAGGACAAGGGAAATCTCGAAAATGGCTGTGTCGAATACATTGGGAGGAACTTCTACGCCTGTGGCTGGAGCTGTTGGACAAGGAGCCCAGTTGTTTACAGGATTCAGCGTTTTCGGGAACAAGGTGAGTATACTAGATGTTGCACATTAGACTACCTTCAGACGAGAGATCTCTATCCCAGTTGACCGATCGATTGAAGGAGGGTGGTCTTGAGAACCTCATTTCAGGTGTCAAAAACTTTCTCCCCGCCAATAAACTACTTCCGGTCACCAAATTGACAGAGGCTCTCATGGATTCTTCTTCAGCCTCCAATCAATCACTACAAGAAACGGACGAGTATTTGTTTTTGGATCCTCGAGCGCCCAAGCACGTCAATGCTGGAATGGGTGGACCTGGGAGCAGCGGGGTGAGCAAAGGCCGTCGGATGGCTTTCGCGGAAAGTGTCGTCTTTGTTGTAGGTGGGGCCGGGTATGTCGAATATGGAAATCTCGAGGAATGGGCGTCGAAGACTGGTAGAAAGGTTACTTATGGCGGTACGGAGATTGTGGATCCGGGAGGTTTCATTTCAATTTTGCATGGTTTAGGGAAAGATAGCAGTGCTTGAATTTGCAAAGACTTTTTTGGATGGATTTTATATGACACCAATAATGTTTCTGGTCGGTCATGAGTCATTTGAAGTCACCCCCGTTGTTCCCCGATATTGAAGCTGCTGAAATTTCTCTATTCATGATCTTGCGACAACCAAACTGGAATTGGGTTTACAGTCCCTTCCGTTGTGTTTAGTATTGGAGCTGCAGGCGTTTTTGGTTCAAAACTTTCTCAACGTCATGCGCTTTAGTAGATGACAACATTGTCCTTAGGTACTCCAGACGTTGTGTGTATTCAGCATTACGAATATTCACTAATGACTGTCGTAGTCGAACAAGCAAAGCATGATTTTGTTCAATACACCTCACTGGAAAAGGAAATCAATTTCTCGCCAACTACTCGTTGAATGACAAAGGCAAGACCGAAGCGTATATAGTTATCCCCGTTTAGTGTCAGAGCGCTTTCGACAGTTTCCCCTGTATCCGCTTCAAAATCGGTATACACCCTCTCATACGCGATGATATCACCGTCTTGTACACCATGTCAGCAGCAAGGATCTCAACGACTTGATTTGGCGACGGCCTTTTTGAATGGGAACACCTCATATATAAAGGTCTCGTCTGTCTTCGAGTATGTGCTTGTCAACAAATATTGTCTCTCATGCAATCCAATGTGTCTAATGGACCGACTTCACTTCGAAAAGGTCAGGCGTGCATTTATTGCAGAAGAAGAAAAATGGTTTTAAAGTATTTTCTAACACGAGTGTGATATCGTCCTTACCCTTCCTATAGAGATGCGATGGCGCACGACCCATTTGCGGTCAATGTCGTAGAGGACAGAGACCAGAGGATTGTGAATATACTGATCGTCAAGGCCAATCACGTATGGAAGCATTGGAGAACAGCATAGCCCGCCTCAAAGCACGTATCTACGAGCTGGAAAACCCTGGTGGCCCCATGGGAGAGACAGTCGTTCTACGCCAGCCCTATTCTGAAACCATGGGCTTGCCAAGTGGAGATCATTCTGCGCTCGCAGGTACGCAATATCTGAGGATGATGGTAGTTCGAACTTATCCTTTGACAGGTCCTTCTCCCGGTGCGACGAACGCGGTCGCCTCGACATCCCCTGCGCAACCTCCGAAAGAAATAATTTCGACCCTGTATGTTCCTAAATTCTACGGTCTTGTTATTCCGCAATCTAAAAAACTTTTTATAGTTTGGATAAATTCTTTGAACATGCAGCTAGCTTTGGTTTTTTTCTTTCCGCTGATAATTTTCGAGCTTCAACTCTTCTCCCTTATCCGATGGGAGATCCCAGACGTCCTCTTAACTCGCTCCTGGCCACTGTGTATTTATTCGGTTGTCTTTTCTCAGACAATCCAGCTTGGCAAGCCCGGTCTCCAGAATATCTTGCACAGGCTCTGCAAAGTACTGGTTTGCCTGGTCTCGCTGGCAATCATCCCCAGAAAGTTCTGCATACCATCCAAGCTGAAGTCCTGCTCGCCAATTACTTCTTCTCAGCTGGTAGACTGCTCGAAGGCCGATACCACGTTTCTACTGCCATGTCACTTTGCGTTGGAAGTGGTTTGAACAAGATTCGTTCGCCGGATGTCATGATGACGATTGACAACCATAATGATCTATTTCCAAAAGCTAATGGACCCGTCGAAGTTGGGGAACGAATTATGGCTTGGTGGGTAACTCTCTCTTTGGATCAAGGCTGGGCCGCGGCTTTCGAGGTCAACTCTTACAACGATCTGATCATTGCTGAGACTGAAACTCCGTGGCCGTTGCGCGTTGAAAACTACCTGCGAGTAAGTGTACCTATATGAAGAAATTACATCGAGCAATTGCTCATCCAACGTTCCCTGGACCCGCAGGGCCAACTGACCCCGAACGCCCCTCGATCAAATCTTACCGTCCAAAGTTTTCTTGATGGAGCAAATAGAGATAACTCACCTCAATCTTCACCTTTGGAATTGGCAGCTAAGGCTTCGTTGTTGTGGAAGCAAGCCCATTTGCTCAAAGAAGCTTCAACAGGCAAGGATTTACATCGAACCACTTCAAGTGGAGGAGTTCACTAATACACTGATTTCATAGCCGCAAACATAGGTGCACTCCTTGAAGCCACTCGGGATCGAATAGAGGAGTTGTTGGTCCTTTTGAATACTTTGCACGATAGGGACTCTTCAGGCTTCCCACTGTTGCTGGCCCGTGGTACAGCCCATGCTGCATTCATAAGCCTCATTTGTCTAAGATCCAGCAACGCCGAGAATTTGGAAAAGGTCGTGTATAGCTCGCTTGCAATTTTGGAGATAATTCGGAAGCTAGAGCCTCGTAACAAGTATATCAATCCTCTGTTCACGGTAAATCAGATAACAGGCTACGCGCAGGACCTACCTGATATCGTCTGATCACAGATGTTGTGGACTCTTGCGAACAGGTCTCTCATTAGCATACTGCAGAGAATACCTAATATTCCGGACAACAAGAGGAACACCATTGTCACAGCTATGCAGAGCGGATTATTAGCCATGGATCAGTTTGGTACGAATTGGTCTAGTTTAACAAGTTTAGTTTATTTGTCCCACTTTCGATTGATGGCTGACCTTCTTCTAGAGTACGAAGTCCACAAAGTTCATGAAATGCTTGCAAATATTTGAAACTGTAACTCTGGAAATTTACAAACCTGAAGAGACTCAAAATTTCTTGCATATAACGTACATACAACCCGTATATAATCTATGATACTCGAATGTTCATATTCAGTGATTCCACTAAGAAGGTAAGTAGACATACGAAAAATAGATCACTTGTTTTTGTTTGTTGCACTGACATCTGGAGAGCTTAAGCCCAGACCACATAAGAACGATATTCGCATGGAGGCACCCAGATAGACAAAGCCCACACTACCCCAGACCAACGCATTCCACTCCCAGACTTTCCAAAACACGTCCATACCCAGAGGCGCCATGGATAACAAGTGACCACAGTCTGCTACAAGCAGACAAAACAACATTCTTTTCCAGGTCTTGATTGAAGTCGTAGAGGAAAGAACCAGATGCTCATTCAGAGCAAAGAGCAGGTATAGATTCGCAAGCTGAAGCAGAACCATGTTCATCTGAGTAGTCACCACCGGTGTAGTGGGCTTGACGATCGAGCCATCAGATAGAATGAGATCGTCCAAGTAGTTCTGGGGTTTGAGCGCAGCAAAATAAGCTCCAGCAAGGGCTGAAATGGGCTCGATATATAGGAAGAAAACAGTGTAAGGGAAGAAGGGTATCGATCTCGTCGACATGGTGTCTGGTTTGGTAAACTATATTTTCACACGACATCTTTCGTCAGTCTCATGGTTTTCTCGGATTTTCCCGGGGTTCCCAGTGTTTCTTTCTTTCCATGTTCTACCGCAAAATTAAAATTAATCGTTGGCCCTTTCCATAATCTTCTGGTCTAGGCTTCTACTTAGGACCTTGTGATTAACATACTTATTACTGGCCAATTGCCTTCGGTGCTTCCAGGTGCTTCCCCGTCGGGACGTCTTGCGATAGCTTCAAGTTGGCCCAAGCTCAAGTAAGTATAGGAGATGAAACTTCGTTAGGCTCGCCCTACTAGCGAGGGGTTCCGGTCCATGCAGTCTTGCGATACAGTTATTGTGGGTGAACGTTTGAACCTCTGAGTTCTTGCTGTCTATAGCAATGCATATATGCAAATAGGTTGGTGGTCGTATCATGACTGAACGAAACTTCTTGCAGGAACCGATCATTCGCTATCGCAACGTCTGACGGTCTAAGTTGGCCCTGCAGGTCACGACTCACTAGAGTTGAATGCTACTCTGATGCTACTTATCTGTAGCGGATGCCGATGCTCAAAAACCACTAAATCCAACCATATCCTGTACATCCACTGCCAACAGCACCAGGTATAAGATACATTAGCATTCATCCTGTACCATGCATCTTGCTCATTGTCAAATCTTTTCAGTTCAGCCATGGGTTGCATACCGAGTAAAGTTCAAGAGCCTGAAATGCACAAGTGCTTGGAGGTGCAGAGCGACCGCCAGCTTGATGGAAAACAATGTACGGAAAATGAAGATGGTTCCGAGTCACTTTCGAATGGCTTGGCCCCTCCCTGGGTATCTGGTCACTCTAAAATGACCGTCGAACAAGGTGGTACTATTCGGATACGCACTTCTTTTTCGTAACTCCCATGGTGAGCACAATTCAACTGGTTCAGTTTTTCCCGGATTTTTTTCGATTCATCCATTTAGATCACCTCCTGACGGGGACATTGGTGGGCCCTGGGGTTGTCCTGGGAGAACTATGGTCTGGGTACATGCTCGCTGTCCGTGATGTTCTTATATTTTACAAGGCACCTTATCATCACTTACTTAGTAACCACCAATTTACATGACGAGCCATGGGAGCATCATATCTGTTCCTCGTTTCCTTGGTCATAGTTATCATATATATCAATGAATTACACATGTATACACTCTTTTCCGCTGTTCCTTCAAGCCCCGCACCTGCAATTGTCTGCAACTGCATCCCATATACTTTCAAAGTTAAATTGCGTTGAAGATCACAGTGGGTGTACGCCACAGTTTATATTGACTTTCAATGTTGAATTTCCTTTTGGGGATAGCAAACAACAACAACAACAACAACAACAACCACCATCACCCCAGCCCCCGAACCTCGATATTTTCAGATATCCTCTGACTCTCGTGCTTTAAAAACCTTTTACTATTCTTTATACGTAGTCTTCGTCATCTGAAACCGCTACATACAAAAGTCGAAAGCTGAATTGCTGAAAACGACATCAAAATTAAAAATTTCCTATCTGGGAATTTTTGAACCATGGATATAGATTCCGAAAATAACGCCGACGGCCGTCGAACTCCTCCCTTACGCGTCGAAAATACTATCGACCCCCCAGTTACACCTCCTACTCATCATCGCTCTCGTTCTCCTCACCAAAATGCTCCGACTTTGACACCTCCCCCTTTCACTCCTCGAAAAGCAAACTCCTCCATGCAGCAACTCCTCATGTCTCCTTGCGCTAACCGATCGCTTACTGGTGCTGTCCGTCCTGACGGCGTCAAATTGATCGTCCGCAATGCTTACCTCGAGGACGACGCAGTTCATGATCCTGTCGCTATCATGAGGAACATCACCACCTTGCTAGCAGCCTCTAATCCTGAACTCAAGTGCATCCCAATCGAAATCTCTCCCTTTCGAGCCACCCAGCCTCATCCCGCGACCTGTTATATCTCCCTTCATAGATCGCTGGCCAACGATCGTGAACCTCGGGCTGATCTACTAGAGAAATGGATGGAGGGAATTCGAACCTATGGCGCACATCGCGGCTTACAGGTTGAATGGGCACCATCGAAGGATGGTCAGGATAAAAGAATGTGGCTCCGTCTCCACAACGTCAGCCAGCTATACGAGGATGAACAAAATCGCTTGAACCCGACTCGAGACCAACCAGCGGAGAACAAAGAGGCGAAGCTCCTGGTTCCCTACATCATCGATGTACTGCGAAGGGAAAACATCATGTTCTACAACGTATTTCCCGCTGGGAATAACATCATCATTGAAACGTCGGTGCCGAACGTCTACAAATCCATCTCTGAACACGGCTCTCTACCGATCCCCACAATCTCATCCATTCCCATCCCTGTTTTCCCTGTCCGTCACAACCCGGTTCATCACCCCTACGAGTTAGTCATTGCCGGATGTGCTCAGTACGAACCACCACCTGCCGAATTTCTTCGCACCTGGATACATGCAAACTGCGCGATTGACGGTGAATCAGTTGTCGAAGAGCGTATGGCTCCAGGCCCTTTAAGGCAAGACGATCTCTACGTATTTTCATGCACGTCATGGACAGCCACGCAGAAGGTCCTCTCAAAAGCACCACTCTTCACGAAGGACGTCACCTCGAATTACAAATATCTCTCCGCTCCACAGTTGCTCTATACATATAACTCCAATCCACCTGCGATAGTTAGAAGAGACACAAAGGATGTCGTCAACCAAGGAGCGAAACAGGTAATTGCATCCGTCCTGGAGATCACCAGACGTCTAGATGAGAGGGACAAGCGCGATCGCGAGCGGGATACTAACTTTGCTGCTCTTGAAAAAAGGGTAGACAGCGGCGAGCAGCAGCTAGTGAAGGTAGTTGGCATGGTCGACATGGTTCAACAGAACTTCGGTGCATTACAGTGCAATCTCCAGGCCGTTCAGCAACAGCTGAACATCGCAACTCAACGAAACTCGCTGACGAACCAACTGACGATGCTACAAACAAGGAAGCTGATAGGTATGGAGTCACAAGTCAAGGAGATAGAATGTGATCGCCAAATCGAGCGCATTCAAACCCTCCTCGATAAGCTCGCTGAGTCCGAATTGAAAACTCTCGGTATGGCCTCACCCTCCTTGGCTTCCCAGATTCCTCCTCCCCCTCCTTCCCCTCACGTTCCGGCCTCTAATCCTCCATCATCACCACAAAATCATGCATCCTCCTCATCTGTCAATCGCATTAGGCAACTTTCTCCGCCGGCTCAAACGGAAACACGGCGAACTAGGCGAAGGACATCCGAATTAATCGATGGGGTTACTGTGTCTCCCTCCCGCAAGTCAATATCAAGAGCGCTATCAAAATCCGGGACCAATGGCGAGGAGGTAAGACATTACACTGTTTCATCTCTCTCTTCTCATTCTCCCTTCTTGTCATATCCGTCAACATTAGGAGACAGTCCCAGAGAGCCAGTGAAGCATCTTGCAACTCGGTTTACTCGCGGTCCTGACGGGACAAAAGGATTTCAGAATAGAATGTTGAAACGGACTTCGAGCGACACAATTCCTAAAATACACATAATATCAAATCTCCCATCACTTACCATACCAACTTTCATACGTTATTGCACTATCAAACTCCCTCAGTCATCCTGCTCTCAACTCGATTCTGTCGTCAGTAAATACCCATATCATTTTGCTCCTCATACGTCCCGCAATATTGCCGTTACACAAAAACGTTCAATCCATTTTCCAAAAGTTACCCTAACAAAAATTACATCGCATAATCCCATTCCTCTTCCTATCCATTCTTGCACAAACGCTTTCAGCTATCCAATGATAATCATCTTCTTGTTGTACCTCGTTGGCATTGCGCAAGCTGCCGTTCCGTCTTCCACTTTTTCTCTCTATTCCCTCAATGCCAATGGTCTCGGAAGCGCAGTCAAGATTCACCACATCAACACAGCAATACGTTCAATGAAACCACATGCGTTCATTCTCAATGAGAGCAAAACAAAAGCATCTGTCATCAACGATCTCCCAAGCAATGAATACGAGATATTTGAAGAATGCGCGGTCAACTGCAAGAACTCTCAATTATACAAATGGGGAACTGTACTTGGTATCCGAAAAGACATTCAAGTAATTAATCGTCTTCAAATTAGCGACGCTACCCTTCGAGGACGAGTAGTTGCAGTCGATATTGCAGTGCAAACATCAAATGGGCAAGCATTCATTCACCGAATATTTGGGGTATACGCTCCATGGGACCCAGGTAATATCGAGACCCAGCAATTTTGGCCCAAATTAACTCAAATCATATGTCAAACTCAAACGTCATGGTCATTAGCTGGCGACACTAATGCCACTGTCAACGCGGAGGAACGTTCAATGGGTGGAGGAGACGCACGCACACAATTCATCAAATTCCTCAATGACGTGAACGGTCAAGACCTTTGGTCACTGCAACCAGAGCGAAATAGGATGCAACATTGGACAAGTCGATCAAGATCAAACGAACTATCCGGTGGCAGTATTATCGACCGTGTCGTGGTTAAAGCAGGTAGTATGGTAGATGGTCAGATATCAATACATGAAGGAAAAGATAGTTTCATTCCCTTTACGGACCATCGCGCAATAACTGCAAGAATGATCATCACATCAACGGGAAATGCAAATTCATTTTTTCTCCCCCATTGCATAGCAATGAACAAGCCGCGTATCAAATATCCAACAGTTCAAGAAAAATACAGGCATCAAGAATTTCAAAACTTATTCGACGAAATGGCACGGGCAAAGCACTTACAAGACATTCTAGTAAAAGATGATGAATCATTCATGCAACTATACAACGAAACAAGCAAAATTCTCTTATCAAGTGCAGAAACTAGCTATGGACGTGTCCCTCAATATCGATCTACAGCAAGAGGTAACCGCATAACCAATCCAGAAATTCAAAGTCAAATAGGATACCTGCGGTCAATTGGTGGGGCTATAAGAATAATTCAGAACCCAGATCTATACTATTTAGTCTCAGCAAAATCAAGAATCACATACGAGAAGTTCCGAAGGAAAAGTCAGCAACAAAGGATCAACCTACTCAAGTATGCTAAACAAGAACGATCGAAGATAGGAAAAACACTATTCAAAATGAAAGCAAAAGCAATAACTCAACAAGCAGCACAAAGAAGCAAAGGTCAAGTCATGGCTCGTTCGGGTCAGCTGGCTGTAGCAGATACACTGTTTTCAAGGGGAAAAATCGACGAGCCATACTGCAGATTTGGATGTAGGGCACTCGAGGATCCGCATCACTTGTTTGTTGAATGCAAGAGATACACAGAATGGAGGGTCGAGACGAGTAAAGAGATTGAAAATCGTACGCGAAGAAAATTAACAGAAAAGGGCTTCGAGGAGACATCCCAAACAAGTCTCCTCAAAACAGCTAAGTCACTTTTTATTAATGATAAAGATATATGGCCTCTACAGTACTCCTTTTACTATCTAGGTCACATACCGAAGCTCGATTCATTACTGCCGTATTCACCAACAATGACACCTATTGCAAGAGAACAACTACTTCACCATCTGGCAGCAGACTGGCACACGCACATTATACGGCTAGCGGGACGTATTTTTGGGGATTATCAACGGGAAATGGCCAAGAGACTTACCTCGAACCATAAACCTCAATGAACCATCGACGACGCCCAGTAGTAAATTTCCTTCGCACAAAACCAGCAAAGCCTGGCATTTTACTTGATATCTTATGATACGTTTATTACATATTATGGGCACTCCTACTTAAAGTCTGGTTCATCGGGGTTACATGTAGCCTTAGTCCTTTTAGGACACAGATGAATATCATCTTGTAAACTTGTAAACAGTTAGAATTTTGGACGCGACGAAGTGCTCTCTGTGAACGCGGGGCGAACGTTGACGAGGTTGACGCGTGTATTTACTCATGACCGACCATGAATTTCTGGCTTTGGCCGTACGACAACGACGACAAACGATACCCCCTGAACAACAAGACTGGCTCACTACAATTACGAGCGGAGGTTCCACAATAACTTCTAACGAAGATATATCTACGACTTCTTCTTCAACCCAATTATCTGCCCCATCTTCTACAACAGAGAGCAGTTCAAGCTCGTTTAAAGCAACGACAATCACTGATTCTTTTCCCATTTCGACCGTCACGCAACAGTCTACGACTTTTACATCCTTTTCACAATCCATCCTCACAACCTCGATACCCATTTTTTCTGCCACATCCACTATTTCTTCCAGAACCAGCACTGCTTCTTTACCATCTACTTCTGCTTCCGTCGCAGCAAGCTCGTCAACGCCAGCCAACCAGTTATCCAGCAATAGTCCAATCTGCATTGGAAATGGAGTCGACTCATCATCAGATGGAGTACTCGCTGCTTTGATTCTTCCTTCTGCAATCGGTCTTATCATCTGGGTGAGCACAAGCTGCGACCTATTTCTGCCCGTCTATATGTACTCACCTTCTATTCAGCTACTTTTTGCCATTTTGCGCCCACGATATCGACAAGTGTATGCTTTGCGGGAGTGGTTTGTGCACCAAAAGTGCGTGTCCCACTCCTTTTTTCGAAATTTGGGTTATTAACTTATATTCTCTCAGTCTTCGCCCAAAACCTCTCGGAAGTGGTTTCTTCGCCTTCTTATTTCCCCATGTTCCTCTCGTACCCTCTTTGCCTTCGGATGTGTCTGATGCTGGCCAGTCAACTTCCGGAGACACCCGCTTATTTCCTTCCGATGAACAACTTGCTCAGCGCGCTATCTGGATTAGTTTCCTTATCGTGTTGGGGTGGTCGTTTCTTGGCCTTGTAGGAGCCCTGCCATTATATTTGGTTAACATCCCTTGCTTGGCATCTCAACCTTCCACATCCGTTTATGGCGGCTCCTATTCTGCTTTGCAGGATCTCAGTCTCGTCAGACTGTTGAGATCATTTGATGCCAGCAATATCTCTCCCAATACGCTGGTCTCAATTCAAAAACGAGCTACAGGTGACCCTCAAAACCTACGGGCAAGAATTATTGTTCTTACTGTACTCGTTATTATCCTGGCCCTTTTCCCGGCTTTATGGAAGATCATACGAGAATTCAATAAGCTTGTTGCTTATAGAAGTCACTGGACAGAAACAAGGTGTCAAGGAATCGAGATGGCGTGGTTGAGTGCGAGAAAGGCACCGGGTTTTGTGGGTTGGGGTGAGAAACATTTCAAGGATTTTATTCTCAGAACCGGGTTGAGTTCTTCCTTGGATCGGAATGGGAACGGCGGGAATGGGAATGGCTCTCGATCTGCAAGTCAACCCCGTGTCACGTCAAGGCATTCAGAAAGAGAACCTCTCGATGACTCCGAGAAAGCCAACTTGGAAGTAGACATTCAGAGTCTCTTTTCCATTTGGTATGTTCTTCGGTTTCAGTTTGATCCCATTGACTTTGATCTTATCATATATACAATCAGCGATACTCAAGCAATTGCCCTACTGATTGAGGAACGCGACGAAATATTGGAAAACTTGGAAATTGCTGAAACGCGATACATCAACTCATTCCGTCTGACCACTCCCGATCCTTCTCTGGCCGATTGGGAGCCTCCTGCGCCCGAAGATTCTTCAAGGCCTTATATTAGCCGACCAAGGCCTTTAGGACTGAACAAATCGGTATTTTCATTTCCTGTGTCTCTGTGGTTTTGCTAATTTTTTTCTTGATTTCAGCGCAGACGAGGCAAACGCTCTAAAAATCCAGCTTTCGCTGCTTCGTCATTGGCTCCGACCTCTTTTGTTGCGCCATCCCAATACTATCGCCTCAAAGGTGTATCAGGAGTGAGCGGCGGTCGATTCGCGGACTCGTTGTACGGGAAGGATCCTAGTTTCTCGGAATCTCTCAATTCTCGCACAGGTGGTAGCCATTTTCAGGAGACCGTGACGAATCGTGATTCAAATGCATATGGCCGTCTGCTTTTAGGCAGCCAAGTAAGACTTGACGAAGGGGGTGCATTTGTTCCTGTGACGGGGGCCGGTTCATCCACGTCTCTTCCTTATCCGGACCCTCGAAGGTACGGGCCCAACCACGCTTTAGAGTCGTCGAATGAGAACGATCAAGATGGTCTACGCACGTTGGAAGAGGAACCGGAATGGATGGAACTCTCGGAAGCCACACCTGACATCGCCAGTGTCGACAACGGGGCTGCTCCCGCCGGTCCTTCCTCTTTCAAAAGACCTCAGCCAGAAAAGGTGCCTTCTGTTCGCCGGGAAACCTTCCCTTTCCGGAACAAAAGCAACACGGCCGCGGACGCAGTACCCCCGCCCCATTTGCGTCTCCAGCCATCTCAACCTTACGTCCGGCCCATGGAAGGCATCAATTACGAAGCCCTCGGCAACATCTACAGCTCTATCACAGAATGGCGAAGCAAGCTGAAAGCTATCAATCTTGAGATCTCGAACGCTCAAAGGGATAGTTACAATGACATTGCAGACGGCGCAAGGATCAAGGGATGGTTGTTGATCGGAAGAGGACTAAGGTTTATTCCAGGAGTTGAGCTAATTGAAGGGAGAGCGAAAGAAGATATTCGATGGGACGTGCTGCAGAATGAGAGAACAATGCTAGATTCTGCTGCGATGTGGGTTTGTACCTTTCTGGCAGCAATAGTCGTTGCGACAGGATGTACGAAGAATCCATATCTCCCCGAGGGTCGCTGCTGAAATCCTTTGTCTAGTAACTGCTGCTGTTGGATTATCCCTGGCCACAGCTCCAGATGTTGCTCATTTCCTGCCCTTCCTAGCACCACTCCTGAGTGATAACAAGTTAGGCTCCGGAATCATTACAATATTCATACCCGCACTTGCGATTTCATTATTCACTATGGTTGCTCTCGCCTTTGTACGATGTGAGTCTCCTCGGCTTCGACGGTCTAATCAATGTTTTATGAAACGGCGGTTCTACATAGGGATAGCCAATATACGTGGGTCGGCGTCTGTTTCTGGTGGACGCCTGCTGGTCTTCAAAACGACATTTGTCTTTGTTACTTTGGTAGTGGGACTTCTGTTAATTGCTGTCGGAGGTTTATTATTCGCGATGGAAGCGTTTAGCACCGGAATTACTCCTTCCAGAGCGGTCGCTAACGGCTCCATTTATATGACTGTTTTAGCAATGACCATAATCTTACAAATTGCAATCATCTTTCCAGGCCTCCTTCTACTCCAGCCCCATAGGTGATTTCATTCTATCTGACACGGTGATGTGAACTAAATCCGTGCATGTAGGTTATGGAACGTAATTAGGGCAGAAAAAAATGCAATCACGCCTCGTCAACGCTTTCGTTGTATGCCCTTCGCGCGCATTGTTAAATTAATTTGTTGGCTGACGATAATCGAAACAGCTGTATATCCTCGCTCGTATGATCCTTCGTTTGCTATGGGAGCATGTATTCTTGCTAGTAATATCAAATGCTGTTCCAATGAGGTCAAGACCCACTAACAAACCTTCTAGTTGTATTCGCATCCACCTTTTCACTTATATTTCCATTAATCGGACCTGCCGTTGTCGTTTTGCTATTCTTGACGCTTATCGGTAAGTAATCAACGGCGTGTTCATCGTCCATTGACAGTAATATCGACATTGACTACAGCACATCGCTTCCTTATCGGATATGTATATGCGCGAACCCTTGCCCAGACTGGTGGCTTACTTCAACTGTGGCTCCTACGCCGTTTCGCGACACTTTTAGCCTTTCAACCCATTCTTCTGGGACTCATATTCCTCAGTCAGAGATTCTGGATCGAAGGCGGAATTCTGGTTGGCACCGGGTGTGGGGTGATTTTATTCGTGGAGACTTTTGCAATCTGGAAAACTCGTACTCCGGGAAGAAGCTCTCTCTCGCCTATCACGAATGATTCTCTTGATACGTTCCGGAGCACCGCCAGAGCTTCAAAACGTACAAGTGTGGACGAAGCTAGTACCGGAACTGGTGCTCCAGGAGGGCGGATTCGTGGCTCCATGGCCTCAGTTTTGGAGATGATGAGTCTGACCCTAGCAGTGATGCCATCCTCATCTATCACAAGGAGCCCAGTCCCGTTGCGTACGTGCTTTTAATTTTTTATAGTGGAACTGATAGAATTTCTGACTGAGTTATATCTCAATAGAAACGGAGACCTTAGATGATCTTACAGCAACAGAAAGAGCAGCGAGAACAAACCCTGATGCTCCACCACTTTTGCCACCATTGCCATTCACTGACCACGCAGAAGAGATGGCAGGTATTTTGTATGCACCAGAGCTTATAGCTCCTCCTCCAATCATCTGGCTACCAAATGACTCCGCAGGAGTCGCACGGTCCGAGGCTGTTGACTTGCAGAAATACCACGACTTGGTTGTCACGTTGGATGTTCGAACAAAGGACCAAGCGGCTGCATTGGAACAGAGGCTGTCGTGACCAACGCTGTGCCGGCGATGTGGACTATCTTATACCATATAAATATATCCTTTTGAATTTCTGAGCATTTCGTTTCCGTTTATGTGGTGTACGAGGGTTCCAGTTTCAGGAGAGCTTCCAAGAGACGGGAAAACCAAGGGGAAAACCAGTGAAAAAATTAAAATGATCGTTACTAACAATCTAACAATTTAATTATTTTCCCATGACCCGCAGGAGCGCTGGGCTTTTGGAGCTTCGCCGCATGCCACTCGCGGTGCCTCCGAGCCATTTTGAACGTAGCGAGAACAGGCGATAGTCATGGAACAGCAGTGTGAAATGGAACTCGGTGCGAACAGCCTAATGAGGTAAAGGGCTTCGAAATTCGAAAGAAGTGTGTGTAATTTTTTGAATAAGCTTTTGACGGATCATTTTTGCCGGAGCACTGAAGCACTTCCTTTACCCTTTCATTTCCGCTTCATCCCTTTGCAGTTTCGGCCATCGTTTCCTCTATAATTCTTGTCATTGCACAACTAAAGGTGAAGCGCTTAACAGCATATCGCTTGTTCTACACTAGACAACCATCAAGAAAAACGTAGGTAAACCAGTAGAGTTGTAAAATCCTTTGTTGCGAGTGGCCCCTCAGAGCTCCACTCTCGACGCTTTATCCCATTCGGCAAGTGGGGTTTTCATGTGATCGGACCAAGGCTTCACGGCAGTGGCACGATAAAAGCTGGGGTATCCCGTCGCCCTCTACTCCCTTTTTAATTCTCAAGTTTCTTCCAATGCCAGCCCCTTCGGTTTCTCCTCAACCAGATTGTCGAAATAACCACGATACCGACCCTTTTGTTCTATACTCCCGGTCGGTGCACGATTATACCCTTAGACTTTGGGCGGAGTCGAGGAAGCTGGCGGAGGAAAAGGCCCGAGCGCGGTCGAAGGACGCTGCTTTATATGATGCGCGATGGAAATTGAAACATGATTCCCAGAGATTGTCGTCCTCTAGAACTCATGCAAGCGCGTAACACTCAGTAAGGTCCACAGTACAGGTTACCGTGTGTCCTTTGTATGTGTTTGCCCATTTTATTCCTTGGTTGGTATCCCAAATATCATTTTCCTATTATTTGCTGCCTACTAAGCATCAGCTAACCAATGTCTTATAGTGTCAATGTTCCTGTCTGCTATGCTTGCTGTCTACCCACTTGTACCATTGGCCCGCCAACATCCTCCAACTTACGACCATCATTTTTCTCGGTGTCCTATTTCCATCCTCATCAACGCATGTATTTGTATTCCCTTCATCATCGTCATAACAGCCGCATCTTATACTTTTGGCACGATGTCTATCATAACATTATCTGTAACGACACCATCTACCAGCCTTATTATCAATTCTCTATATTTACCCATTAGTGATACTCCTTCTATGTACCTACCTTTCCCGTTTGCTTGCTGGGTATGATCTGTCTATCCCACCCATCCCTTCATCGCCGTCTGTCTGTGTTTATACAAATATTTTCGCAATGAAAAGCCCCCGTGGATGCAAGAGGATTGCGATCGCGTGTACGGCCGACAGTGAGCCATCGCTCTGCACATGGGCTGTTCTTCCGATTCGGATATGTCCGGTGTCGATACCGGTGCTGGACTTGGCGCATTTCTTTCTGCGAATGGAAATCCGATACGAGACAGGCTCTGCATAACATATCAGACGATTGATAGGTACATGCTCCAATTTTATGCGTCATTATTCCGGAGGCTCCTGGAAAGTGGTAAATTCGACACTTGTATCAAACTTCTACCGATGACATCGACCAAGAGACAATTTGCTGTCGATACAGTAGATTTAAAAAGGGACGGGAGTGTTAACAATAGATTGCAAAGTGTCTTGTGAGTAAATGCTCTGGATATAGGCTTAATTGCCTGAGCGGGAGTTTGAAGTGATGATGGTTCCCAAGTTCGTACACTGTAATACATATACGTATTAGGCTGATCATAAATCTTAGAAGTTGACCTCCAAGAAGACGAAAGGTACAAAAGTTTGTTCAGAAATTGCTCAGATATCCTAGGAGATCTAGTTATTTGGGAGCACTTACTGGGCGCCTCATTCGCCGAACTCGATGAGCATAGATAGCTTTAATCCCGCTCAGCAAATTTCGCCGCGAGGAACGATATGCATGTAGACGCGAATAGAATGAGACTATCTTTTGATTTGGGACCATGTGGGTGGAAGTCCTTATAACCCCTTGGATAATGAGCCGAATACTTGCACCATCTCCTTTCCCCTCCATGGCGCTGGGTTTCTTGGTTCTCTCTGGCTGCTTACTACCGTTGTTGACGTTAGCTGCATCTAACTCAAGCTTCCCTACGTCGATATTCACCGTCCCAGGAGCCTTTCCTACTTCGGTATACAGCAAATATTACAACAATCCCACCGCAACATCGGCTCAAGTTCAACCAGTCATCTCCGATCCTGTCACGGTTCGCTCTCGATATCCATCAAAGCTTTGAATCCAGTTTGACGCGTTCTACAGCACGAGATATATCCTTTGGAGCTGACAGATCCTGATGATATAGCCATAATTAACACAAAGGATCCTCATCCGCTCCCTCCTACCGCATCTTCTTCGAAATTACTCCAGTCTGCCATTGCTCAAATCAAGTCCATTGCCAACAGCACCGTCTTGAATGGTACCTGTGCCAAATGTATTGCCTCAATGGAAGTTGCCAAATTCCTGGCATTAGCTGCTCCAGAACAAGGCCCAACGTTTGCCGTTGAACTTTGCAATTTTTTCGGTTTCTCCACTAGTTGCAACGCGACTTACGGACCACATGCTTTGGGCGGCGTCGTTACGCAAGTGGTCAGCAACGCCGATGTTGGCGGCTTGGACGGTCAGGTATGAATTCCACTGCGGATCAGACAGGAATAGATTACAATTGGAATATGTAGATGCTTTGCCAAAATTTCCTTAGCTTATGCCCACTCCCTCCAACTTCCCCTCTCAATCTGACGGGTTGGTTCGCAAAGCCTAAGCCAGATCCTCTTCCTGCACCCAAAACGCCTAGTGGACAGCGTTTGAAAGTACTCCACTTGTCCGATTTCCATCTTGATCCAAGATATTCAACAGTAAGCTTGTTGTATTTCCATGGGGTCGCTGCCTGTCTCAACTTTGCACTACTTTGCATCTTTCTCACGATAGGGCTCGGAAGGTGAGCAACTCAACGCGAATGCGAAACTCATTCAACTAAATACAGCCAATTCTCAGCGTCATGCAGCTCTGGTCTCTGCTGTCGCGCAAACAACTTCAATAAAACCAATCCTAATGCTTCTGTTTTCCCGGCTCCTCGATTTGGAACCTATTCTTGGTGAGGATCTCTGCCAACCTTTTTGAAGAAATTTGCCTCGGTGATAACGATTTCATCAGTGACTCGCCGTACGCTCTTATATTGTCCGCACTAGAGGCAATCCCTGTTCTGGCTGACACTAAGGATTCTGGTTTCGATTTCATGATATTCACTGGAGACCTTGTTTCTCATGATCCTGAGAACGAACTATCCAGGTAGGTTGTCCTCTCCGCATTGAAATGAGGAGCTTGAATGTGTCTGTCATAGAGAATTCGTGGAGTACAGTGAGGTCGGTCAACACGCCTTTCATGAGTACATTGCAAATTTCTCACTCTCTTCGTTCAGACTGTGTTGTTTGATCTTATTAAACGTACCCTACTCTCGGGACCAGTCTATGCCACACTTGGGAACCATGACAGCTATAGTCAGTATGTACCGTTTGCCATCATTGAGTACTTCTTTGCTACTGCATGCTGATAATTTCCTGCCAGAGCTCAGGGTTCGCCTAATTCTCTCGATGCTCCGGGTGCCAACCAATACAGCTGGTGCGACTTACTTATTAGCTTAGGCGCACAATATCCATCAGCTCTTTCCCGTTGTCTTTAGGAATTACGACCACATATCTTCTTTATGGGAGCATGAAGGGTGGTTGAAAAACTCTGTCGCTCAATCCGCAAAAGCCCACTACGCGGCGTACTCAGTTCAGAGGTCTGACGGCCTGAAAATCATTTCATTGAACACTAATCTCTGTACGATTGAATCCCCGTTCCTGGGGAGGCATGAAGCTCACTGATGATTGTAGGGTACCGGTAAGGCTAGGCCTTCTTCGTCTTGGAGCATGGAATTGACGGCGATAGTAAAGGCCGAACTATTTCAACTACATCAACATGACGAATCCGGACGTGTCAGGAATGTTGCGAATGCTGACTGATGAGCTGCAGGAGTCGGAAGACGTGGGGGAGAGAGGTATATTGATGTTTTTCGTGAGATTGAACGGTGACTGAGTTTGTCCCAAAAGTCTGGATCATGGGCCACGTACTCAGTGGATGGGATGGGACAAACCCCCTGCTAAACCCCACTAATCTGTTCTATCAAATGTGCGACGCGTTCTAGCTCTCGGATCCTTGTTAAACTTTATCTAATGCGCCATTCCTCAAACAGCGTTGACAGATATTCCCCTCACGTTATCGCGAGTATGTTCATCTAGCTCCGCTGAGTTCGATGTGAAGTATTAAGCAAAGTTCTTTAGACATCTTTTGGGGACATACACACGAGGACCAACATTCAGTCAGTAGTCCTACATTTATGCTTTCGCCAAGGATCTAAACTTTGTACAGATTTTCTATGCCAACAATGCTACCAACATCAGTGTCGAGACTGCTCTCGCTCAAGCTTGGATTGGTCCTTCAATAACACCTGTAAGTCTGGCCGACGATGGTCTGGCTAGTTTCAAGTTCTGATCACCTCTTCTAGCTCACCAACGTGAACAGTGGCTTCGTAAGTGCTTAAACTGAACATCTGTGCACAAATCCAGTAATTCGAAATACTGACACGATATGTAGAGAGTGTATGAGGTCGATTCAGCGGTATGAAAGCTTCCTCCTAGTGGTTTCCTCCACTTACTGCATTTGTCCGTAGACGTTTGAAATTATGGACGCGTTCACGTAAGCTCTCACTACCGTTCGTGGATTTTTGCCCATCCTGAGTTGTCTTTCAGATGGAAGAGCGACGTAAATGTCTTCCCAGAGCTTGACTCCCAACTGGAATTCGGTCCTACATACGCGTTTGAGTATAGCACTCGTGAGGCTTATGGCCAAAATATCGCTGGTTGGACCGATTCCGACCCATTGAATGCTACCTGGTGGCATCTTGTGACTGAAGGTACACCCTACAACTTTCGCATACGGTTCAAACTTCCTGACCCCTTCTCCGCAGCTATGGAAGCCGACAATTCTTTGGTTACAGTAAGCATTCTCGCGTTTTCTACGTGGCCGAAACAGTTCTGAACTTTTGTAGACCTTCAACAATTTCCAAGGGAAAGAATCCGTCAAATCTCCCGCATGTACTGGTGACTGCATTACTGCGAAGATTTGTTATATTCGTAGCGGATCCGCTCCCATCGGTCAACAGAATTGTCAACAAGGGTTTGGGTCTGTACAGTAGGCCGTAGGTAGAAATAGAACACGCTATTGCTTTTTCAATGTGTTTGCACGGCACAAATGAGGAGAATAGATAGAGAGTTGAGTGGAGCATATATGAAGGGCGTCAAGACACAAACGGGGACAAGATACTAAATTAGGTGGGAGGTGCATTGTCTATAGGTAAACTGTAAAGTCAATCTAAGGGTATATATGGGGTATATGTATATCATACAAAATCGATTTTATGTTAGTCTATGGTTCAAGTATCAATAAAAGAAAAAAAACGATCAGAGCGAAAAGTAAAGTGTCAAACCACCACTAAATGACATTCATGCTGACAGAGTTTGACAAAAATTGGGGCAAATCGAGGATCAGTGAGTATATGACTCCAATCTCCGAAAAGCCGAAGCGTGTGCAGGGAGGACAGACATTCAATGAGAGTTTCAAAGTGTCTCTCTAGCAACATCCAGGCATCGTCGGACATGAACATGAGGTTTGGAGCAGAGTGTAATCCAACTGTGTGGATTGAATCATGAGATTCATGTAGCAGGGGCGGAAGCGTGAAGAACATATGATAGTTGAGCTCTTCAAGTTGCGAACAGTGATTCAATGCGGAAGTAATGACATCGCGCACAAGGAAACTGGCGTGTCGGCCAAGCTCCAAGGACTTGATCTGTTCACCGTATACCTCCCACAAGGTTGATACATCCGGAACACTAACGGCCCCAAGAACTATATGGGATAGTGATGGTAAAGCCCAGCGGTAACAAATCTGATGCATCAGTTGGCCGCTGAGACAGGAGATAGCCAAAGTATCCAGGGACGGCAACGAAATTTGACGGAAATCTATCATGGGAGAACGAGGAACGCAGCCAATGAACAAATATTGCAGATTCGGGGCGTTCTGCAGGGTAGCTCCGAGGGAGTTGATGCCACCCGAATGCTCAGCATCGAGGTTGTAATTCCACTCCAGACGTTTCAAAGATGGTAAAGGGAGCGAGTCAGCATCAAACTGGAACTGCTGAGAGACAGCAGACAGTGGCGGTGATCGTGGGCGAATGAGAACCTCCAACTGATGGCAGAACTTGAGTATTTCTACGGAAGGTAACGGCGTTGGGCTCCATGTAGGAGTGCTCGTATATTGGAAGGGCAAAACTGCTCTTCGGACTAAATCAAATTAGTCGGTACGTTTCTTGAAGCGAGATAAAAGAAAAGCATACCAAATCTGCCATATCCTTCCTTATCGCACAACGCGCCCTTGAGGGCGCTTTGGCAGTATCCGATACGAACGTCCCTGTAGAGGAATTCTGTGACAAGAGCATGCCAAAGCCTGCATACAAGAGCTAAGCTGTAACTGATTTCAGTGTCGCGACAAGTTGGCTGTGCTTCAGAAAACGCGGTAGTGCAAAATGGCTTGTATGCAGTCGTGTAGGCATCGGGATAGAATGTTGCCCACTCGAATATTTCAAGCAAGAGTTCAGGAGGGATAGATGCGGTGGTCATGGCTTTGAGATTGGAGATAAAGGGACATGGCTATGATACTTATATGCTGCTGGCAGTGCTGCAAAGAAAGAAAAAAAAATATACGTAGCGGCTTGATCGGACCCTGACGGACAGCCGATTTTCTTATCGGCAGAATCGGCCAGAACTTCACCGCTTCCACTTTTCAATCGGATCGACGTTGTTCCTCGACCCTCGTCGGCCTTTTCGTCATTAACCTCTTCGACCTCAAGGTTCTCAAGGTTCGCCGTTTGTGTACAGTACAGCAGCTCAATCAAGCTTCCTCAGGTTAAATGATCTACCGAAGAATGTCTTTTACTTTATCTATCTCCCAATATACACGTCCGAACGGACTAGCCTGAAGACCTCAACCCTTGATACATATCCAAATTTGGCGCGAGCGTCTGGTACATGCGTTAATCATGACCGAGGGGGGTCCAGATTTGGCGGTCAGTGCCTCATTCCTCGGAAATTTTTAGCATGCGGGAAATTCATCAAACTGCAAGCCCATGAAAATTTCGAGGCCTTCCAGGTTATCTTTCCAAATCAGGGGCGCGCTCAAAAGCATGTTTAGGGTCAAAGGGGGGTGAAGAATCAGCCTGGGCTTAATCTCAGCCGTTACCAAAACGACTGAACGTCGAGCGATGAGAACGCCGGAGACCTCCGGAGACATGAAAAATGTGAGTGATAATCCGCAAAAATTCAATCCATCTCCTGAACGCATTTCGTCATTGCGCATGAGGTATACATCTCTGTAGCACCGCATTAGAGATTGATACGCCCATTCCACGTCCTACGACGCCTGGATCCCAATATCCTTCTTATCTCGGAAGCAGTCGAATAGTCAGACTGTTGTGAAATCGCTGATGATTGATTATCAACGAAGCAGAACAAAGATACAATCTGGATACAATAATTGATGTGATACGACTCATCGCTTGCATAAAATGTATGTATAGAAAAGTCAACGATGATGAAGTAGTGGATTTGAAGCTCGATTACGACGATGCAGTTTAAAGCACGTCACTAAATGGTTGACCCAAGTTAGAGTTTATATTCTGTGGCGACATCCAGATTCTGCAATATTGCACTTCACACATGTACTCTTATTCTAGTGTCATCGACTATCATCTTCTTTAGTGCAACTGCCTGCGACGACTTGAGATACTCAGACACCTCTTGGGAGCCTCGGCCAATCCTTCAGCCCAGTGGGATGCCGTGCTGCCTTATCCGTCCAGGAGTAGGCTCCAAAGGCTCATGGCACGTCAAGCCAAGGTGTGTATCGACAATTCATTCAAGAGCGAACGACCTCGGAAATTCTGTTTGTCACAAATTGACCCCCTACCTGGGCGAACGAGCTTGCTTGGACGAAGAAGGATAAACAGTAGAAACAACGAAATTTTCCTTACGGCAGTGTGTACATATATATATTTCAGCCTCCACAAAACAGACTGAGATAAATATTCAAGTTACATTGAGCTAAGTGGAACAACTAAATTTAGTTCTTGGGAAGCCATTTGATACCGCTCGAAGGACAGTCGCCTTTCTCTGGAGCAGCTGGGACGACATACATACTTAGTCATGTCAAAGGCACAAGTGTGAAAAACACTCACATATGGGCTCGAACTCCCCGTCGATGACGGAGCCCCTCAAGTGGAAGTACCAGTATATTTCATCCAAATCGCTACCATCACAATTCAAAGCGGGAATGACGCCAGCTTCCGCCTCGAGTGCAGCGGTCAACGCAGAATATGTGTGCGTGGTAGAAGAGCTCGGTTTGATTCCTTGGTTTGTTAGCCTGACCGAAAAGAATGTGAGAAAGAAACTATAGCCGGAAGGTCGGTTCACTGACCACTCGTAAGTAGGCAAGGCCTGGTTGATCACCGATTGCGAACGTGAGCAAAAACCGAACAAGATGTTATTATCTTACCTTAAACAAGGTCACAACCTGTTCGAAGAACGCCACAGCCTGAACGAGGGTGTAACATTAGCAACAGTGCAATCGACAACACTTTCGCCCATGAGTATACCTCAGCGCCCTTGGGGCTTCCCTCAGGCAGACAACTGGTTTGAAGTGTGCTGTAGCATGTGCCATGCGTGGCCCTAATTGTTTGTAACTTGTGAACGGAACATAGCTGAGGGTCTGTAGATTATTACCATTCATGCTAGAGAATGATTAGAATTATAATCGAAGTACAGATATAAAGCTCGAACTGACTTCCCAAAGTTCTTCGTTGCTGCCATCGTCCGGATCATTGAGCCAGAACTTCAATCATGTTAATACTCAGTGACAAGAGTGTGTTTTGATTGGATACCTGGTTCATGAAGCTTAGAGTCGAGCTCGCCCCTTGAGCGGTGAGTAGCTGGAGAACCGTGAATTATTTCCAGTGCAGCAGGCGAGACGAGGACGTACGCTGGATATACCGGTGTAGTCTCTGGAAGGATCGCAATCTTCCGAAAACGAACCGTCACAGCTGTAATTGGCAGTAAGGGAATGTCCATATGGATGTATGCCATTTAAAAAGTCTCCCACTTGTCAGGCCACAAACCGTGGATAGTCCAACTGTCGGTTGGGCCTGTTTCAGGACTCGTATCCCAAAACTATCATGCGAAAGGAGTCGGTTTCTGTCAGGACTCGGATATTGCAGTCATTAGAGAAACCATGGACATGCCTGAGTTTGAAGAATGAGGCCCTATGATGGTCTGTTTTAGCCGAGTTCAATTTGTCCTACAGCCTTAGAAAGGACATACTCCGGGTGCCTCGAAACAACAAGTACCCTTTGCATTCGACGAACAAGACAGCGCGCCAGTGGTTCCACAACCAGAGCTAATAGACCCTGCTCTCTTGTTGAGCGAGCTTGTGTTCAAAGAAGCAGCGATGGATCCAGCGGCCACGGCGGGACGTAGGAGACCGTTGAGAGCTACCATGTGGGATATGCCTTCATTTAATACACTCTGGAGGGAGGGAGGCTTTATACTGTTGTCTGATGTATTTTTATATCAATCTGCCTTTCCGAATTTCATGTGGGTTTCAATCGAGGTCGTAAAGATGAAAACGTGCGTAGTGGTAAAATTCAATGAACATTTGCCAGCGAACCGCCAGCTACGATGCGCCGCCATGGCAGAGCGCACTAATGCATGTGTACCACTCACGAGTAGTGGCGAGCGAGATCTTTTTGAACACATCATCAAAGATAGAAGAGTAATGAGCCATATGGACTTGCCTCGGTCACAAGGCATGCAACACAAGGTAGGGGTAGATTTAGAACACCACTGTCCTGCGAGCGGTAAAGGAATTGGAAGATTTGGTTCAGGAAGTACACGCGATCGAGAGCAAGAAGAAGTCTTGGAAAGACAGTGGAACCACGCGTTAAGGCATCTGTAAAGCATGCACGTTCCAGGAACTATAGAGAAGTCTACCCCGTAAGTAGTACGTGAAGCGGAGTCAGATGTTGCACGTCCACAACTCGACGTTAAGAAGGTCGCAAATAGAGGTAGAGAACAATAGCGAGCACTAGCCACTGAACAATCATTGGAAGAATGTTTTCAACCAAGTAGCCTCCTGTTCCATCTCCGCCTCTGTCCGCGGTTTACGATTCTCATCCGCGTCAACCTTCATAGTCTGCCTTGCAGTTTGTTGCAAATGCATATTGAGCGAGCCTTCTGAGTTCTCAAGGGCAGGATATATCTCGTCGTTGTTTGAAAAATGATCTCCGACAGATTTTCTGGGCAGGATGTGAAAGTGAACGTGAGGCACCGATTGACCAGCAGCAGTTCCGTCCTATGAGAATCAAGTCTATGATTGAATGTGCTTATTGTCAGATAAAGAATATTCACTTGGCAAGCAACAGTCAAAGCATCGGCCCCAAAAGCGCGTTCGATGACATTCCCGACGCGTTGTACGGAAACCATTAAGGATGCAAGTTCCGCATCTAATTCATCATTAATTTTTGCCTTCGGAAGATATTGGCTACGACACACCATGCAGATCAGACAGACGAGGAACCTTCCTCGTCGGTACCACAAGGACATCTGAGCCGAGAACGACGTCAAAGAGCTATCAAAGACCTTTTATTGATACCACCTCACGTCCAGGAACAATTGGCTGGCAGTCGTATTCATGAGCCATGATTTGGATAGTAGTGACGATACGGACCTTGAGATTGACGATGGCGTAACTCAGTGGATTGCGATAAAAACACTGCCGAGTGACTTCGAATGAGGAGAAAAACAGCGAGTTCATGAAAACCCGATAAAACCTGATGAAGAGAAGAAATGACAACGTGGTATGACTAAGCAACATCCTTTCCGATCACTTAGACTGAAATTACCTACGAAGTCTCTTGATATCTCACAAGATTGTGCATCGTGAGATGTGGACCAACAATAGATTATTAACTTTCACTGAATATCTGTGTCATGTCGTACAGCAAGGACTTTACTGTCGCAATTTGTGGAGGAGGGCTTTGTGGATTAGCTTGCGCGGTGGCTCTTTCAAGGGCGGGTATTTCCGTAACCGTATTTGAAGCCTCTTCGTTCTCACAAGAGGCCGGTGCTGGTGTCGGGCTTGGGTGAGTCGCTCCCTTGATCGAAGTACCGTTGCCGCTATCATCTCATTTATCTCTAGGCCAAACGCTGTCCGCGCGTTAAAAGTAATATTCCATTGACTACAGTCACACTAAGGATAACCTCAACATTATACAGGGCCTTGGGATATTTGACGCTATCCTTGCACGATCTGATCAGCCTGAACCTATCCCCAGACTGTTCGGCTTTGTGTCTGCAAAAGATCCCCATGATTTTATTTTCAGCGTAAGTTGTGTCGTGAACCTCAATTCACCCTCCGCCTTTAATCGATTGCTTTTCGTCACCATTTATAGTATGAAACGAAGTGCGAAGACCCGGTTGCATTAGCGATTTACAGGTCCAGTATCTTTGTCACCTATGACCCCTCCCAATATCTCATTGTTATCCTAGACCCGCATTCCTTGACGCAGTCGTCGAACTTTTGGATCCCTCTATCATCCAGTTTCGAAAGAGATGCACGTCCATAGATGTCTCCGAGAATGGCAGACACGTTATGCATTTCGCTGACAGTACCACTCATGAAACGGACCTCATTATCGGAGCAGATGGTGTCCGCAGTGTTGCGCGTCGTTTTGTCATCGGAGAACTCGCGAAAGATCCCCTCATATACCCCAATACCGCAGCTTATCGGGGACTTGTACCCACAGAAGACCTTCGGCGTGCTGGTGTACAGACTGAATTGACAGGACGTCCGCTATGTTTTGTGGGTCTTGATAAAGTAGGGATACTATACAGTGAACGACATGTTATTCACTAACCTCTTCGCAGCACATGATATGTTTCCCAATCAAAGGTGCTACGGTTGTGAGTCTCCTGCATACATATAATCCTAGTCTTGATTCAACCCTAATGATAAGATTAACATTGTTGTTTTTTTGTCCGACTACGACAAACCTCCACAATCGGAGCTGCCATATCCTTGGGTCGAGTCTGTATCTCAAAAAGAGCTCAAAGAGCATTGTAAAGACTGGGGACACGATCCAAAGATCATTCTAGACCATCTCAAAAATCCCAGCAAGTGGTCTATCCATGCGTTGGATCCTCTACAAAACTATGTCCGTGACAAGGTCGTTCTCGTTGGAGATGCAGTGGGCATTATACTTTCTTCTCGTTATCGATTATTATGAACATTACATCCAGTCGCACGCTATGCTTCCTCACCTTGGCGCAGGCGCAGGCCAAGGTTTTGAAGATGTTTTCGTTCTGATACAGCTGCTCACTCATCCTCGAACTGAAAAATCCAATCTTTCTGTAAGAAGAATCTTTCAAGTTCACTGTGATTCCTCTCATGTATATCGATGTGTTATAGGACGTCCTCGCGCGATATAACGATGTTCGGCCCCCAAGAGCTAACGATGTCTTACGAGCAAGCGCGCGAGCGGGTAGACTATATGACTCTTTTCGCTCCCCAGAACAAGACAAAACCAGGTTGCAAACTGAACTATCCGGGATTTGGGAAGATGTTTGGAGCTATGATTTGCATAAAGACGTTACGACTTCGTTCGAAACTTTGCATCGCTTGCATGTTTTCTAGGTAGGTTGTTTGTACAAACATAAACGGAATATATACTAAATAGGATTTCTAGATTCATAATGATACAGTTGTGGTATATATACATTCGTGCACGAATCTACTCTACTCTGGAAGGTTTGACATTAACTATGGTCTTCGATATAGTAGGTCCGTGGGTCCGTAGATTTTATCGACCAACACAAGTTCGGGACACCCATTCTTACTCGGCGCTAACCCGTTTGGACAAGATAAATGAGGACCTTGAATGACGCCTACGCAGCGATGATTGTCAACCACATCCGAAAAATCGATGATGCGCACGCCTGCGGTTGAACAAACGATATGATGCATGCTATCGATAGATCCGTGAAGGATGCCTGCTTCATGGAGCTTCCAAGTCGCGCGCATGATCTGGAAGCTAGGAATGGAACGCGGGGACATTAGCCAAGCAACTCTCGATGAAGATAATACGTTGGATACACACTTGCGCTCCTCTATTGAGTAGGTCATCAGGTGTCTGTAATATTCTAAAAGCATGCACGCAAATTTTTCACCCTCGACCTTTCCCCTGTACAGCCCATAGCACATAGGGACTACAGAACCCTGCAAATGCTGCAGTCGGTCCATGTACACTCGATACTCTCTCTCCAAGGCTGGAACTTCATTGTCACGCGCCAATTTAGTGACGACCAGGGAATCGGGCTCCTCATCTCGAGGACCCAAGTATGCAACCCGAACGTTTCCGCGAGGTGTGAGATGGGCTGGCAAAATACGGGCTGTTTGGTGCCGGGCTGTCTGGTGCACCTGTGGTTCCCAAGACCAAAGCTCGTATATTTTACGGTCGTAGAGCAGCTCTAAGGTCGACATCGTTAATTGAGACTGAGAAGAAGTGTAAGGCTGAGTGTACAGCGAGGTTTAGAGTGCAGAAATTGATTAAAAAACTCTAACGCGGTGTTCAGCTTTATATGCACAGGAACAATGGCGTTCTCGAAGAACCCTCTTTCCTCTATGGTAGTGCGTGGTAGTGGCCCGTGTTGACTTTGACTTGCACATTATGTATGTTCTTCAATGGGAAGCCACTTCTGGGAAGGACCTGTCATTGTTTCTAACTGCTTCCACATTAGGAATCTAAGAAATAGCAGGAAATAGCCGATGTCCACTCTCTCGGAATAGACTTCGAAATAAAATTGGCCTTACTGATCAATTGCATGATTGTTCACTAGATCTACAAAGCTACACAAAGCACACCCTGTAGCCAATGAACATCTGAGATCTAGTATTGGTCAAAGCTGAAATTGGCACGGTCCAAGAGAATAATAACAAAGACTTGGATCAGCGAAACATCTGCTTAAAACGAGAAAATACCGCTAGCAATCGTCGTCGCTTCCCCCCTAATCCTGAGTTTTGGCTGTCCATGGACCAAGAAAATACGCAAGTCGCCGCCTCTGCGACCGACGTGGATTGCTCTGATCTCTTCGCCATCGGAAATAGCTTGTTTTGTAGCCCAATAAGGTCCAAGCAGCGCGTGGGCAGAGCCGCATACATGATCCTCACCCCCAAGGCTGTCCAACGGCACGAAAACTCTCGAAGCAAAATGCTCGTTTCCAGTAGTCGATTGAGCTGTTATGGCGTTGATAGAGTAGCCCGTTTCTTTCTGAAGGCGGATATAAGTTAGTGGCAGGAATTCAAACTTCTGCGAGGACTTACTCCCAATTTCGTGCTGACTTGGCAATTTTTGATGTCATCTTTCTCATCCACCTCGATAAGGAGACAATGTCCGTACATCCCCAGTCCTTTTGCTACATGATGGATCGTGAGCGGTTTCCCGAAAGCCTCGTTCACGATATCAGTGATCCTCTTCTTCTCTGGATCCGCCACCTCAGCGATATCACCCCTAATGAGTTCAACCTCTATCCAACTTTCTGGATTGTCCGATACTTTGCGGGCGGTGATCACCCCATGAGTTTTCGTCACGAACTCGAGCAACTTCACCTCTTCACCCAGTCGCGCTGTTTGGAAGATGGTTTTAGCTGCTGCCAAAGTTGCATGTATACATAACGAAGCTTCTCTTTCTGCTGTAAAGTACCGCACGGAAAATCTTTTGACAGTCACGTCGGCGCCGGATGATGGTTCGTTCGACAGGAAAGCGGTCATAGGCTGTTTGAAAGTGGCTGCAACTTCTGCAAGGATGTTCTCGGAAGTTTCGTTGGGGTCCAGGAAGGCTACGACTGCTGGATTACCGCCAAATGGTCGATTCGAAAAGGCGGAAACCAGATAGTACTCAAACGAAAGAGGGTTGGATGAGTGGAGTGACATCCTTGATACTGAGCGGGGTAAGGCTTGTATTGAAACATTTATAACGATACATCGAAATCGAGTCACTCGAGCGCATATTACAAATCCGGATAGTCATAAACCATGAGATATCAATAGATAAACAACAGAGGAAGGAACTTACAAAGCACAAAAACCAGCAAAGAAATGACTCGTGTAAACGTCGAAAATCAAAATCAAACTGAATCTGCATCTTGCCACTCGCCATCAAGAACACGAACGCCTCGTCGTGCTAACCGTCGACGCCATTCTCGCATTTCGCCTTGAACCCCCGCTTCCATGGCTCGCGGACCCATTCCCTTTCGGAGCCATTTGATATCTCTGATCCTGACCGCCTTCAAAGACGGGAGATGAGATAGAAGTCGTGAGATGAGGATCCACGAATCGTGGCTGGGTTTAGGGATTGAAAGTATCTCCAGTTCATGGTCCTCGGTCAATTCCATAGCTGGAAGGGGAATTTCTAGGGATAGATGTCTGAGAGCAGGCGAAGTTTGAAGGAGAGTTGATGGTGAAGGATGTAAACGGGTGGGCCATGATTTCCGAGTTAGTAAGAGTAGTGATTGCAGTGTTCCCCCATGGGAAGATATGAATATTGATGATCCAGAGGAAGGAATATCATCGTATGGTGTAATAGTCAGCTTAGTGAGTGATGGGAGGGGCGTAGAGAGTAGGCACAGCATGAGAGGTGATAGTTGTAAAGATGCAAGGAGAGTGAGCTCTCGGAGCTTTGGAAGATAAAGTGGTTCAAAGGAAGGAGGGGAAGGGGCCTGTCCGTACCATAGAGACATGACATCGTGCTCAGAGGCATCAATGTCGGGTCCAATAACCTCAAGCTCTTCAAGGTTTGGGCAGTTTCGTAGTAGGTCAACCAAAGCTTCGCGGGGTATACCATGGGATGGGATATAGAAAATACCGCGCAACGACCTCAATTTATTGACACCGTTTCTCTCGTTCAAAGACACGAATGCACGACAGCTGAAGATAAACTTTGGATTCATGAGGAATTCTAACAGGAAAGGAAGAACAGGGAAGAGTTTGCTGAGTAGGGAGTCCAACCGGAGAGCCATGAGTTGCATATTATCCAAAGGGTTTTCTAAAAGATGGTGCCTTGAGATATGTCTATATAGCTCTAGTCTGGAAACATCGAGTGATTGAACCCATCTCCCAGGTGCGGAATATGGTACCCGTCGTAATGAGTCCCATTTAGATTCAGCGTCGTGTATTCGGTTGCTAAACTTTTCCAAGGCATGAAAGTGCTGGAAACTAACACGAGAATAGAGCAATGGATGAACGATGTCCTTGCAAGCTACCGTTAAATATTCCGTACTCAATTAAACAACTACAGCAAAAATTCATTTACCTTGAACTTTTTGCACACGAGCAGGACAGATAATAGATGCGTGCTTTTATGACCATGGTCGATCACTTCAAATATCTGGGTCCATATTTCAGTAGGAAGAGCCGCGCTGATATGCCTCGGTTGTAGAAGAGGTAAGAGGATCAGAGATCCAGAATGACGAGCATAAGGACGAGGATGGAGTAGCACTGTTTGACTGTTCATGGGAAGGAAGCCGGGGACCGTAAATTTCCGAACTTCCGTATTTACCCCAGTTCTGCCCCAGTTCCCACCAGCTCTTAACTATATCGTATGTACTGCATATAATTAATCATTATATACATGCGCATAGTCGATGTGGTAGCTCCCTCTCCCTCCGTAGCCCTCCGTCTCCATATAACTACGAAGGGTTTAATATATCACCAATTTCTTCCACAAATCGTTCATAATCATCATTTTTCTTGACAGGTTCCACCTTAGGCTTCTTCCTTGGTTCTTCAGAATTAGCAACAGCAAGAGCCGGGCCAAATTGATTTCTGAGAGTACTCAAAAGGTCGGGACGCACAGGCGCAAGTGCATTGGATGAATCTGTATTATCGTCGTCGTTTCCAACGCCAGGAGCGGCATTTACTTTGGACGTCGAAGCCGATGAAGCACCTCCTCGTTTCCGTTTTAATGCACTCGGTACAAAAGCTGTTGCTTCCTTCTTCAAATCGCGCAATTGAGGTTCAGCAGAAATCGTCGCGGCGGCAGTCAAGGCGGTAGACGATATTTGTGTTGAAGCCCGTGGAGGTCCAACTGAGCCAGGTTTTGCAGGGAGGGAAGGATGTCCTGCTAAGTGATTGGCGCGATGGGCCTGGTATGTTTGATGAGGGATGGAGGATAGTGGATCCTGCATTGCCGAAGTAGATTTTTCGCGACGAGGAAAAAACCCAGGCGGAGGTTGAGACATTGGGGGTGGAGGTGGAGGCGGTAGATTAGGAGGAAAACTAGGAAAACTAGGAAAGCCCATAGGGGGAGGGGGAGGTAAGTTTCCGGCCGGAAAACCGGCATGTGGCGGAGGTGGTACGATTCCAGGTGGAAAGCCGGCAAGTGGAAGTGGAGGCAAGCCTCCAGTGTGAAAGAGCGGCGGGGGTGGTGGAAAAGGCATTCCTGCAGGTAGTGGAGGGAGTCCAGGTGGTAGAGGTGGATTGACTCCGGTGGTTGATGTTGAGGGAGGAGGCCCTGGAGGAAGTGGATGTTGTGAGGTACTGGCGGAAGGGATATCGGCATCGCCTGGTATGTCATATCAGTATCAGTATCAACGAATACGAACCGGATACGTACCTTCAGCTCCAAATGGGTCTTCTGGCATTGGGATATCATCATCGCTGTCTACGGGTTCATCTATTCCAGGGGGAGGTCCTGATGGCATGATAATATCATCGTCCGGGTCTTCATCTGGATTGATGTGAGCAAGGAAGCAGATGGCAGAGACCAAAATGTTCACCATCTTCTGCTTCAGAGTCAACCTCACCGGGAAGGAGAGCTGATAGTCGTTCGATAAATCGATAAATGGGTTCGTCACGGTGAAGGAAATACAATGCACTCACGACGTTCCATGTATGGCATTCCAGGCGGAGCAACGCCATAAGGATTCATTATTTTGTCATAGTAAATGGAGCGCTCTGGATGACGAGGAAGTCCGTTTTTGTCAAAGTAATTTCTCTTCTTGGGGAGAATGAGTTCCTCGACAGGCTTTCCGTCATCTCTATCTCTACGGGGCCGATAGACTAAACGACGTTGTTCAGGGTGTTCCTTGACATATTCCTCCTTCTTCGCATTGATCTTTTCCAATTCTGCTTTGATGGCGGAGAGTCGAGACTTGTCGGCAGCAGAAGGCTGCGGGAGACCCTCGAGCTTTTCAATTTCCTCCTCGAGATCTGATTGACGGTATTAGATGGGTAGCGTGATTTGCGAGGAAAAAGTATACCTCTGGTATCCTTCTTTACGAGTGCAAAGTCTCGCGCTTTTGAACGTTCTGCCTTGTTCTACTGCAGAAAACAGTGTAAAGACTTGGAAAGTCTGTAGGATTGGTGAATTTACGCGCCTTTTTGAGCTCTTTTTTTCGAAGAGATTTACCTGAACAGAGTGTAAGAATCAGGTTATTATTTGCGGAGAATAAGACACATACGATATGCATCGGCTGGATTCAGGTTCTTGCCCATGATGACTTGAAACTTGACGATAACTTAGACTGGAAGGTTGCGACAGAATTCGGTTCCGCACGTGCGCCTGATAAATAAGACGGCCCGAGTCTAGCATCTCGACTGAGTACTCCCACTGGCAGGGGAGTCAGTCACCCAGTACATACTCAGCTCTCTCTCCAGTTCCGTGTTATTGTTCAATCTTTATCCAATGACCAGCCCACCGTCTTTGACGCAGACGACGCCAAAGCGTACAGCCAAGATGGCCTCCGCCTCCGCCCAGAACTTCAATCATCTCCTCAACTTTTCCTTGCCTCCTCGACAACGACAGCCTCTGTCCAATCTTCCGAGAAGAAGCAGAAGGACAGGCGCAAGTCATGGTGTTTGGAATAAGGAACGTACGTTCTTCCAATATCTCCAATAATTAATATATCACACTCAGGCGTACCTTATCATAGGATTCGTTAATGCACAGTATCGGTTCGTTATGAACCCTATCGGTGACTACACAGTCCATTTCGCGGATCCTGATATGTGAGCTGCATTTCGATTTCGTGCAACTCGGTTCAACTTTCTGATGATTCATCAACTCCTAGTTATTTCCAGTGGAACGATATCTTGCAAGTCATCATGCCCCTCTCTTCAGCGTTCCAGTCTGCAGCAGCTGCCGGTGATCACGCTGGCTCAGATGAAGGACATACAATATGCCCTATCTGTCTCTCCCCTCCGACTGCTCCTCGAATGACGAAATGTGGTCATGTAAGTTATCAATGTATAAACCTCAGTCACGCCGGTAACAATGCCTCCACTTTAGATCTTCTGTTTTCCTTGTATTCTACATTATCTCAGCGCGTCAGAGAGCAAATGGGCCAAATGTCCTCTATGCCTCGATTCCATTAATTCCAGTCAACTTAAGAGCGTCAAGTGGTTCGACGGTCCTGATCATTCAGCGGAAGATCCCATAGGCACCCTACATTCTTCTTCTTCCTCTAGCTCTATTGCAGACATGGCACTTGACAATGTACCTCGGGAAGGTGCCACAATGTCCATGCGACTTGTGCAACGCCCTCAGATAACCACTCTTGCTTTACCTCGCTCTCTCACTTGGCCTTCTGACCTATTACCTCCCCACCAAGCGCCTTTCCATTTCCTCCCTGATGTATTCGACTTCTCCAAGTTCATGCTCGCAACACCATCGCAGCTGATCGCCGACCTCACTGGGGATCTCGACGAACTGATCGTTGAACGCAGAATACTCGCTGGCATGAATGATGATTTAGGGGTCTGGTTCATCGATGCCGCCCAGCAGAAGGTGCAGAATCAGATTGACAAGGCTTCAGCTCTCGACACGCCATTTCTACGAAATCAGATTGAGAAGGCGCATAAAGATTACCAAGAAATTCAGAAGCGAGCGAAACTAGACGAAAGAACTCGACAAGTGGAAGGCAATCACGATTCTAACGCTTCCGATGTCCCCCAGGAATTCCTTGCCTTGAAGACAAGTAACCTTATACAATCCCCACCTATATCCAACTCCAATAGTCACAATCCGCGGTCTGCTCCGAAACAACGTCGCAATGTCAACCCTCCTCCTCCCTCTACTTCGACTTACTATTATTATCAGGCTGCTTCTGGCCTTCCCCTCTATCTACATCCACTCGATATCAGAATTCTCCTATCGCACTTTGGAGAATATGCATCTTTTCCAGATAACATTACCATCCGCGTCGACGCTTTCTCCGAAGGCACAGTCAATGACGACCTTCGTAAACGTTGCAAGTACCTTGCCCATCTTCCCGAAGGTGCAGATGTCATCTTTGTCGAAGCTGATCTCGAAGGTGCTGTCGGCGTTGAGGGGTTGAAGAATTTTGAACATGCATTGAAGATGCGGAAATCACGCAGGAAGGAGAAGAGTCGAAAGGATGATCGGGCCAGAGCCCGAGCAGAGGAACGAGAGCGGGACAGAGGACACGACATCTTACATTCCTCTTGGGAAACGTCACAGAGTGGATTGGTCATACCCCCCGAACCTGTTGCGGTAATAGGCTCGGAGGTAGAGGAACCCGTTATACCGGTTCCTCAGCAAGTTTCCGGCGCCTGGGGTCAGGGTAGTTTTGCTTCAGCTTTACGTTCGACGTCTACAGGCAATCCATCAAATGCGAATCGTCGAACTCAAAATCAGAGGGACGCTGATGATGAATGGGATATGGACATTGCGTGGCACGAACTCGAGCAACGGAGTGGCGGGGGAGGGAAGAAGAAGCGGAACACTAGAATGGTCGTTCTTGGTGGTGGCGGGGGGAGAAGGGGCCGTTAATGGTTATGATTGTATAGACTCGAGGAAGACTCCTTCTGGTCAAATTTCGTTCGTTTTTGAAACTAAACCACTTTAAGATCGCAATACACTGTAGCACCATTCACAATCTATCATATCTATTATTGGCTCGATATCCACCTCATAGTCAGACAAGTGACTGACACAACCTGGGCACAACCTTGAAGAGCTCATGTCCAATCCGATGCCGACCTACTGTCGGAATTTCGAATAGGAAGGTTACGGGAGCGTTCAACGACGGAAAACGGAACTCGGCACTACTGAAACGGAATGACTTTCTCACTGTCGGCCACATTCTTTCTTCCTAGTCATATGGCTCTCATTACGGGCTTAGTAACACATCATCTCCGATGTCTGGATGGAATTCGAGCCACAGAAACGGTCCAGGTATTTACTCCTCTGCTCAAATGAATTCACGTTCCCAGATGCCATTGAGCTCAGGACCGGTCCAGAGTTAACGAAGTATCACTCAAAAAAAGTTAAACCACCTATCGTCAGGCGACGGCATCGTATTGATTTTGTCAACCACTCTTAGTAAGAAAGTACAACCGCTCTATCTTCGAGTCCGAAAATATCCTCCCGGATGTTTGCGATCTGCCATGACTCGATTACTCTTGGAACCTCATCGAACATCTATGTGTTCCACTGGTTGCTATATAATGCCATGAGTTATTCCTAAGCTCGACAGTTACTCGTAACTACATAATCATTCCAACCCACCAGTGAATCACAGTTCTTATTGTGGTTCTCACATCGACTCCTACCTCACGTTAAACCCTCTGAAAACATCAACTATGGCTGGTACGCCGATTAATTCTTCCCCTATCACAGTAGAAGCTTATATCGGGACAAAGGAAAATACGGCGAGAAAGATGCCCCCATAAGCACCTACAAGACCAAAAAATTCTGGCTGTACGCCTGTGCATTTGCGCTTTTGTTCGGATTGAGTAAGCCACCTCTACCTACATTGAGATCACTTATTCATACTCAAACGATCTGTTCTCCAGCCGGCGCTGAACTCGGTCTGGTATCTGATCTCCTCCACGAAGGTGGCAACTCAGAAACCAATTACCCATCTGCGGAATTCAAGCATGATTTGGGTATTTTACTCTTCACAAGTATTGCATCTCTATTGTACATTATTGGGCACGCATTCATCAGCATGGGCTGTAAGTCTCGACAATCTGTTAGATCGACACAAGATTTACTTCTGTGTTTTCGTAGTGAACATCTTTGTCAACTTTGTCCTCGCTGTCTTCTGGGGAACCGGTGCTGGTGTTCTTTTCCATGTTTCGCCGTTTGAATCGTTCACCTGCGATAAACCAAGCTCTTCATTCAGCCCGAATTGGGCTGTATATTCTGACCATTGTGCACGTGTCGTTGCAATGCAAGGGATTGCTTGGGCATTGTGTAAGTTTTGTCTTGTGCACCTTCGTAATGAACAATACTGATCGTAATGAATTTGCAGGGGGTCTGTCGATTATCCTAATGTTCGGGATGTTGTTCCACCTGGTAGAATTCAAAGCCAGGAAGAACGTCTCAATGTACAAAGTATAACGTGCCTCTTCAATTCTGAACACCATTCCGCAAATCTCCACTCCTCCTACTGGTTCAACGCGTTATGATCCCCATGTTTTTAATGTTAATGCTTCTAATGTCACTTCCCCCAATGACATCTTAAATCTATGTAGTGTACTGTAATTCTTGTTGTATTCATTCCTATCTCTAGATATTTACTTCTTCGATTGCAAACGCTGTATTATGTAGTACCCACAATTTTCAACGTCCTTTTGTCGACGCTATGCACACCAGGTGCTTTTCATAGGCAATTCATAGATGCGGGAATGAAGGTACGAAGTAACCAAAAACTTTGTTGGCATTGCGAAAACGCGTACAAAAAACAGGTAACACAGCAGGGGGAACGAAAGATAGACTTGGATAAGTACGGAAAAGTGGGAGGCAGAGACCAACATGGTGTACAGACAAATAATATAGGGAGCAGTGGAGTAGGGGGTTCTGGCACTGGGTCGGAGTTATCTCGTAGCTATATAGTCATTGTCCAAGCAGATGTCCGAGTGCCGGGGTATTCCACTTGAGTATTATGTAGCGCGAGTGTGGTAGACATAAAATCGTAAGAAAGATGAAGGCAAAGCTGTGAGGACGAAAGGCAGGTTATCATCATCGTTATATAATCTGTAGATAATTTGACGGAGCGACTGGAAACAGATGTTGATAAGCAAACAGATAGAAAGAATCAGAATTCAACTCACTTCCAACCGTCCCGTCTGATTTTTTGGCCTGCCACCATTTGCCCTGCGTATCCATAATATCAAGGAGTTCACCTTTGTTGAAGGATATCTCGTTCGGGTCATCGGGTGATTGGGTATCTAAACGCATAACTCGATAAATGACAATGATCGAAGGACAAGAAATGAGAGTCACGCACATGTGTATAGGGCTTTTGCTTTATAGATGTATTCTGCAACGGCGGGATCTGTTGGTGTAGCCTGCGGCGCGCTTGCACCAGCACCAGCCATAAGCGGTGAGCTGGGACCATTATCTCCACCACTACTTGATCCCGGTCCTCCGCCACCAGGAACATTAGTAATGCTTCCTCCTCCCAAGCTACGCGTCGCAGCATCTGGACTAGGTTCAAAGCTCTTTGTACTCCGAAGTGCAGTGTTGCCCATACCAATTGGACTCGCCAGAGTTCCGCTACCCATACCACTAACCATTTTCCCATTGTAAGGCACGTCGTGCGCTCCGATCCCGCCTCCAGAGGCGTAGCCTCCGTATCCATTGGTGACGTTATGCACAGATTGTGCCCGAGTCCTGCGACGTCTTGATGGAGGAGTTAGGCCGCCTGTGCCCATAGAATTGAAAATGTGCAGCGCTAGAGAGTCTTCCTCTGAGGTGAAGTACAAGACCCACACAATGTCAACCATGGCAAGGATGAGCCATCCGACAGACATTGCATCGAGCGAACCTATACCGGTAAAAATACCAGCTTGTACACCATTGACAGCGAATACGATGGCGACTGCACCAAATACTGATATTTGGAAACGGTGCATTGCTATAGAATCGCTTGCTAGGGTATAGAGGACGCCGAGAATAAGAGCAAGTTGAAGGAATATTGCGAACCATAAAACTCCGACATCGCCATTACCGCCTGTGCAGAACAATCAAGAGACTTGATTTTGGGATGGAATGTGGTATCACTCACGACTAGCAGTCGCAATAATTTGACCGATGAATGCTATGAACCATGCAAGCTGAAAAGGCGTGAAATTTTGTCAATGCCAAAACAGACGAGACATAAGACTTACAATGGCAAGAAGAGACGTGAAGAGAAACAAATAGTGAGTTAAGATTGGGGTAAAGTCCAGTCCTTCATTGCCACGGGGAGGCATAATAGACAGCAGAGGTTTCGAAAAGTTAACCGCTAATCGCTGTGGGACGAGTTCGATTAGTCGCCTCGTGGCTTAAGGATTCATGCTGACATAAGCATGAACAGTATATTGGCCTAAGGTTATTACTTAGTACAAGCTTTAGAACCCGTGCCTTCGCCACGGTGGCTCGCTCTGCTCGCACCGTGTGCTACAGCAGGGTTCACAGCTTGTTGGGGGCAAGCCCCCAAACCCCCCTGAGTCGGCGCCTTGCGCCTCCATACTTCAATATTTATTATGCAGTATTCTGAGCCATTTTCATTGCAAACAACATACTTTTCCTATCTAGAAAAACTTCTGGGTACACCAAGGTACACCATATTTGTAGTAAGGCAATGTCTATCTTCTAAAATTCAAAGTCAAAGTTAGAGACTTGCTATGAATTGAATATAAAACTTACCTTTACCAAACAAAACTTTTATTACAGCCTTCTTTATCATACTCCACATCTGTAAAGCTTGTATATTTGCCAGTCCAAGGGTGCCAGGTGAAGAGCACTCTCCATTACCCTAAGCACTTGGAGTATTTTTGACTTGTTCTAAATGGTTTGGCTGCTGGGAAGCTCTTTCAGGTGCTCTCAGACAATTATCCAGTACCATTGCTCTGGAAAACACACAGGATTTGGAAATGCAACATGTTTTACAGATTTTCCCTGTAATTTATTTATTATCATTGCAAATGTAAGTCATACTGGAATCTGGTGCCTCTTCAAAACCTGATGAACTGAGTATAATACAGGGAATTGATTTTCCAGATTTATCACAACCCAATATTCCTGCTTCCAGAACTCTGACTCATCTGCAAAACCTGAATATTCAGCTAAGGGCCAAGAGCAGATCCCAGTGCTGCAAGCACTGAATGTAACATGCTTTGGGTGCTTCCACTGTTGGGAAGTGCTCTCAACTGTTCTCAGACCCTTAGCCCAAGATGAATATCTGCAAAACATGGATGTTTGCCAGAGCAAGGATACTGGCTGGAGAGCATTGTCAGCTGCTCTCCAGCTATTAGCCAAAAACCCAGGTTTTACAGATGTCAGGTTCTATTGCAGATACCTGGAAGTAATATTTCAAAGTATCATAATAGGTGCACCAGTGGAAGACCTGGTTCATGGATACTATTTAAATACCCAACAGGGTAGTGAAATTCATTGTTGTTGTCCTCTCCTTCATTTGCACCAACACTATCAGCTCTCTAATAGGTGAATGCATTTCCTGCTAAAGCATCCAAGTAATTAGCATCTGCAAAACCTGGATATTCGGCTAAGCACCGAGAGCAGATCCCAGCAGATCCCAGTGCTGAAAGCACTGAAAGCAGTACACTTTGAGTGCTTTCACTGCTGGGAAGTGCTCTCAATTGCTTTCAGACCCTTAGCCGAAAATACAGGTTTTGCAGATGTAATATACTACAACATTTCTGTGGCAAATGATAGTACATTCAAGAACCCATGGATCATTGTTTACTGCAGGATGTATTGAGTTGAGACTTGTAGATGGCAAGCAATTTTGCTAAGTCAGAATTCTTCTTCATAATGCCTTGCAAAGTTTGAAGTGATTTCTTCAATTTGTAGCACTTCTTATATCAATACTGTAAAATAAGGCAGCAGCCACAGCATGCAGTATACTCAATGCATACATATGAATGTATCATGTCACAGAGTTCAACTGTTAAAGTACTCGTGGTGTTGACCCTCACTTAAAGTAAAAACTGCCGGAGAACACGGCATTGATTCCGGCGACTCCGCAGCACCGTTTCGTGGTAAAATTTAGGCGTTTAATCTGCTGACCAATTATTGGTAATCATGCTAAGCGCCCAGTTAGTCTTTTATAATATAGGATTGGCACAGATTGGCACCTACTTATTTATGTACCTGCATACCTGTATTTGCTACACGTTAAGATTCAGATCGAATACGCAGACATCATGCTTTTGGCCTTTCGCTTCGACATGTCCTTTTAAAATTTCTCTGAAGACGAAACCGTTCTTCTCCATTACTCTCCGACTTCCATAATTTTCCACATAGCTCTCACCAATCATTCGACGGACACCCATCCGAGGAATAGCCCACTGCTGGAGAACAGCCTTGAACGCGTTGCTCATAATCCCCTGTCCTGCATGACTGGTAGCAAGGAGATCTGCAACCCTAGTCAGAAGCACTGGGATCGAACGTTAGAAGAAAACAAACTCACATCCTACCGACCAAAGAATTTCTGGATCCCCATTCTCACGTTGCATGTTGACCAACCCCAAAAGTTTGGCCGAATCTTCCAAGCGTTCACCATTGTTTTTTACGCCCGGCGCAAGTTCCATTGACTCGCAACGACGTAGATGAATATCGCCGATAAGTACATCGGACCCATCTTTCTTGATCTCCCGTATGCATCGAATAAGGGATCCCCCGACAAGTTTGAGAGTGTCATTCCCTTCGACATCTTTGAGCTCTTGTAGTATTCCATTTGCTTCTTCTACAGTTGTCGTTACCCAAGCTTCTGCATGCTCTGTTATACATCTTTAAATAGTAAAGATAAGTGCTCAAAAATCCTGGCCGCTCCCCACCTAATGTATATGGATGAGGTGGTCCTGTGAGCCAGACACAGACTCCTGGATCGTTCATGAGATCTGGGAGCTTTGGAATGTCACTCAAGCGAGGAGGAGTGAGAATAATGTTTGGATGAGTTTCTAAGGGAAAAAAAGGCTCTCCTGTAGTTGCATTCACTTTGAGTGGGTGGAATTGAGATCGAACCATGTAATGACTCTAAATCTCTCTGAATTCGAAATATCGCTCGGAGACATTGCCGGAAGTTGCACCGGAACCGGGGTCCGCATTGACTCGGTTGAGGGCAGGCCATATAAAGGGGTCACGTTCTGATCCCTTCGATAAACCTTTGTCAACCAGCAAGGAAATTTCTCATCCAAACGCTCCCTCTCAATTGTCTCGGGCTCTGCACCGCTACATTGGGCTAAAATCTCAATTTTCTTCTCCGATCCTGTTTTTGTAACCTTACATTGTAAAAGCTAGACACCATGGTGTACGTTGATCCTCAGCTCTTTTTGTTTTTCTCTGCTCACTTTTTTTCCCTATCCATGCAGTAACTTCACCGTCGGTAAGCAGAGAAACTTTTTTCTTCAATGTTCACTGTTCATTTTTGTTCTACGATGTTCAGACCAGATCCGTGGGCTTATGGACAAGCCCACAAACATCCGTAATATGAGTGTTATCGCCCATGGTAGGTATCTTCAACGATCCTATAGCTAATGGCGTCTGTCTGATGTTCAATTTTTTTTTCGCAGTCGACCACGGAAAATCCACCCTTACTGATTCGCTGGTGTCGAAAGCCGGTATCATTGCTTCAGCAAAAGCTGGAGACATGCGTTTTACGGACACAAGAGAGGACGAGAAAGAACGTGGTATCACCATCAAGTCTACAGCCATCTCCATGTACTTCGAGGTGGATAAGGAAGAACTTCCTTCCATCAAGCAGAAAACCGATGGTATGTGGATTAGCTCTGAACATCCATAGTTCCATCGATAGCTGACAACACACGCTGCAGGTAATGAATTCCTGATCAACTTGATCGATTCTCCGGGACACGTCGATTTCTCGTCGGAGGTCACCGCCGCTCTCCGTGTCACTGACGGTGCACTTGTTGTCGTCGACTGTGTAGAGGGTGTCTGTGTGCAGACAGAAACTGTCCTGCGTCAAGCTTTGACTGAACGTATCAAGCCTGTCGTCATCATCAATAAGGTTGACCGTGCTTTACTCGAGCTCCAGGTTGATAAGGAGTCCCTCTACCAGTCCTTCCAGCGTACTGTCGAGAGCGTTAACGTCATTGTATCTACATATCATGACGAAGCCCTCGGTGACGTTCAGGTATATCCTGACCGAGGTACTGTCGCTTTCGGTTCTGGTCTTCACGGTTGGGCTTTTACCCTACGGCAATTCGCTACACGTTACGCCAAGAAGTTTGGTGTTGACAAGGAGAAGATGATGGCCAAGCTATGGGGCGACAACTTCTTTAACCCGAAGACAAAGAAGTGGTCCAATAAGAACACCGATGCCGATGGCAAGCCCCTCGAGCGTGCCTTCAACTCGTTCGTTCTTGATCCCATTTTCAAAATTTTCGACGCCGTCATGAACTTCAAAAAGGATGCTATTGGCCCTATGCTGGAAAAGCTCGATATCAAGCTCGCTCAGGATGAGCGGGATCTTGAAGGAAAAGCCCTCCTGAAGGTCGTCATGCGTAAATTCCTTCCCGCTGGCGATTCCATGTTGGAAATGATAGTCATTAACCTTCCATCTCCCGCCACCGCTCAACGTTACCGTGTCGAGACACTCTACGAAGGTCCCATGGATGACGAGTCTGCGATTGGTATCCGTGATTGTGACCCCAAAGGTCCCCTTGTCCTCTACGTCTCTAAGATGGTTCCCACATCCGATAAGGGTCGTTTCTACGCCTTCGGTCGTGTATTCTCTGGAACCGTTCGTTCTGGTCCTAAGATCCGTATCCAGGGCCCTAACTACTTGCCCGGAAAGAAAGATGATCTCTTTGTCAAGTCTATCCAGCGAACTGTTCTCATGATGGGTCGTTACATTGAGCCTATCGAGGATTGTCCTGCTGGTAACATTGTCGGTCTCGTTGGTATCGACCAGTTCCTGCTGAAGAATGGTACTCTGACCACCTCGGAGACTGCTCACAACATGAAAGTTATGCGATTCTCCGTCTCTCCTGTCGTGCAGGTCTCTGTCGAGGTCAAGAATGCCGCTGATCTCCCCAAACTCGTCGAAGGTCTCAAGCGTCTATCAAAATCTGATCCCTGTGTCCAGGCATGGATTTCGGAAACTGGTGAACACATCGTCGCTGGTGCTGGTGAGCTGCACTTGGAAATTTGCTTGAAGGTGCAACATAATTCCATTCTACATACCCCAGATACTAATAATGTTATTTCCAGGATCTTCAAGAAGACCATGCTGGCGTCCCCCTCAAAATCTCTGAACCTGTCGTACCTTACCGTGAAACTGTCAAGGCCGAATCCTCCATTGTTGCTCTGTCCAAATCACAGAACAAACACAATCGTCTTTACGTAAAGGCTTTGCCGATCGACGAAGAGCTTACGAGGGCAATTGAGGAGGGCAAAGTCAACTCTCGTGACGATTTCAAGGCCCGTGCACGTATCCTCGCAGACGAGTTTGGTTGGGACGTCACCGATGCCCGAAAAATCTGGTGTTTCGGTCCAGACACAACCGGTCCTAACTTGATGGTTGATGTTACGAAGGGAGTCCAGTACCTTAACGAAATCAAGGATTCTTGTGTTGCTGCTCTCCAGTGGGCAACAAAGGAAGGTGTCTGTGCAGAAGAGAACATGCGTGGTGTGCGATTCAACATTCTTGATGTGACCGTAAGGATTTTACATGATGTGTATCTTCTGTTATCTATTCTCAAGATCGATTTTCCTTAGCTTCACGCCGATGCCATTCATCGTGGAGGAGGACAGATTATCCCCACTTGCAGGCGTGCATGCTATGCCGCTTGCCTACTCGCTACACCTGGTCTCCAGGAACCTATCTACCTCGGTGAGTAGTCTATATAGCAATCAATATACCATCGCTTTTCTGATAAATATTCTCAGTCGAAATACAATGTCCTGAGAGTGGCATTGGTGGTATCTATTCTTGCTTGAACAAACGTCGTGGACAAGTATTCAGCGAAGAGCAAAGGCCCGGAACTCCTATGTTCACTGTCAAAGCTTACCTCCCTGTCGCCGAGTCCTTCGGTTTCAACGGAGAGCTCCGACAACATACGTCTGGCCAGGCCTTCCCCCAGAATGTGTTCGACCATTGGGAATTGATGCCCGGATGTACGTCTGGATTTTATGTTTCAAAGACGTCTTTCGAGCTCATACATGCATTTTTTTAGCTCCGCTCGACAAAGGTAGCAAGATTGAGGAGGTCGTAACCAAGATTCGTACACGCAAAGGTCTCAAGGTATGTTTCGAAGCAGTTCTAGGTCGTCGGGTGTATCTGAAGTTGCGTTTTTTAGCCTGAAATTCCTGCTCTTGACACCTACTACGATAAGCTATAAATGTGGATGAATTGTACAGATCTGCGTATAAATGTGTCTCTGCTACAAGTGTTGTTTCAACTAGTTTGAACCCATATACAACCTGTACTTTTTGTCTTTTTCCGATAATGACATGTCATGTTCCACTCTTATTGACTCTATAAGAAGAGTGCTTGTGTTTCGTAAAAAATGGCAGCGGTTGTCGACAGCCTGACAACTGCAGGCGAACTATGTATATTGTGACGAAACGAACGGTTGACTTTAGAACCGTCAATGCGGTCCCGCACCTTGGCGCGCACATCATTTATAAATGATCGTGGTGCCATGAAGGTTCATTACTCATACACACCCTCACCTTGGTGGCCATGTCTTCCAGAGATCTTGCCAATATTGAGGATTTGAAAGAGTACCTGAAGGGAACACCATTTGTTTCTTCCGGAATTGACGTGCTCACTGGTGGCACAGGAAATTTTACTTGTCGTCTGCAATTAATATCGCCACATGAAGGCCAACCGACGCTGGTACTCAAGCATGCAAAACCATATGTTTTTACATCGGAGAACAGGTTTCCTTTCTCGCTTGAACGACAGGTACTGTTATTTACATTGTAATCACATTTTCTTGTGTCTCAATATGCTTCAGAAATTCGAGGTGGAGGCACTGAGAATTGTTCGAGAATGCATGCCTAAGAACTCGCTTGTGACGGTACCGAAAGTGCATCTCTTTGATGAGAAGGAATCCGTTATCATCATGGACGACTGCGGGGATCAGTCGACAACCCTGAAGCAGTTTGTCCTGGATGGTAAATGCACATTGGACGTCGCCGAAACCATAGGCTCAGAATTAGGGATTTTCTTGCGCCAATTGCATGATATTCTTAACCGGGAACGTCATCCAGCTGTCTGCGATTTGTTTGAAGGTAATGTGGAAGGGAAGCGGATTTCGGCTTGGGCAACCTATGGTCGGCTTATGTCGACGTTGAAGGGGGAAGCAGAGCTGCCTGCCTTCGATCCGCCATTGACTATTGGGGATGACGAGATGAAGGTGATTTCGAAGGTTGGAGAGAAGATGTCTTCTATGATTCTTGAGGCCAGAGATACGGTGAGTATGCTCAATCGGTGGTCAGGTTCCTTGGAAATTCAACTAGACTCACAAACTGCAAAATAGTTCGTGATGGGTGATTTTTGGCCTGGAAATATTCTGCTATCATTCGATTCTCATACCGGCGTTGTGAAGAAAATCAATGTCATTGATTGGGAGTTGTCCAAAACTGGATTACCCGGATTAGATTTGGGCCAGTTTACTGCAGAAGTGGATCTGCTTCGGAGGTTTTGTCCTTCGTTTAAGACTGCTGGTACCAAGATGTTATCGGCTTTTTATGGTTCATACTCAGCAGAGGAGGATATCACTCGGATGGCAATGTTCCACTGGGGAGCCCATTTAATCGCTTGGACGCCTCGTGTGCCTTGGGGGAGCAGTGAAGAGACACGAGAAATGGTAGCTAAAGGCATCAAACTCATTGTGGCCGGTCCGAAGAAATTGATCTATGACTTGTTGCGAGAATGAAAATAAACTCTAGCGTAGATTCTTTGTGTTGAAATTATGAAGGGAAATGAACAAAGAGTCGAGTATGTATTGTTGAGAAAAGTATTGTGGAAGGAAATGATCCGTACAACTTGAACCTGAACGATCACGTTCACATAACATACAGTATACTGGGCTATTAACATGGAGCCCAGTCCAACGAGGGTGTATCTACCGTCTTCATTTCCATATCCTATCAAGATTTCATCCATCGACACTGCCGCTTCATCTGATATAGCTCGTGGAACACGTCTGCTCAGCTATTCTTTTGTTTATCTCGGCCAAGCCCCGGGATCTCAGCCCGAGACCCGCTTTGGAACTTGGGACTCTGCCATCGACGGCACTCTTCAGACTTGGAATATCAATGTCGGGGATGTGATTTCCCAGAGAAAGGCCAAAGAGAAGCCAGTAGCGGTCGTCATTGAACCTTGCAAACATGGCATGCAGCTTCATGGTCTCTGTGTCCTCTGTGGAAAGGATATGACCAAGTGAGTGTCTTTTACAGCATAAAAGAGCCTCGTATTAAGCAAACGTGATAGTATCGATTACATAGGCTTCTCCGATACATCCAGGGCATCTATTCAGATGACACATTCAGCCTCCGGACCTACCGTCTCGCTTGAAGAAGCTCAGCGGATAGAACGCGAGACAGCTCGGCGATTGCTCAAGGATCGAAAACTTTCTCTCATAGTCGACTTAGACCAAACAATAGTGCACGCCACAGTAGACCCAACTGTTGGCGAATGGATAGCTGAAGGCGAGGCTTGGGAAGCTAGGCGTGCAGCGAAAGGCTCAGAAGATAATCATGATCCTGACGACCATTGCAATCCAAATTGGGATGCTCTCAAAGATGTCAAGAAGTTTAGACTGGGCCCCGAGACCCTAGGAAGTGCATCTCGAGCTAAAGGAAAGTTATTGTCGAACAAGGGCGTCGAAAATGACGGTTGTATCTATTACATCAAACCCAGGTGAGTTTGTAACTATCATATTCCCCATCGGAAGAACGTCTAAAAGTATTGTGTTAGACCTTGCTGGCAGGATTTTTTAAAGGAAATGGCAGAATTGTTCGAAATGCATGTGTACACTATGGGAACTCGTGCTTACGCTGAAGAAGTATGTGCAGCAATAGACCCTGATGGAAAGGCATTTGGAGGCCGAATATTAAGTCGAGATGAGAGCGGCAGTGAGTGTTGCTTTTTCGAGCTACTGTATATCCCCTCGACTTATTTACTATCAGGTCTTACACAAAAGAGCCTCCAGAGACTGTTTCCGTGCGACACATCGATGGTGGTCATCATTGACGATCGTGCGGACGTTTGGGAATGGAGTCCCAATTTGCTGAAAGTTATTCCATGTACGACTTTTGTTTGCACAGTCGTGACCCATACATCTTATGCGTATTCCTCGTAGTTGATTTCTTCGTAGGGATTGGGGATATCAACTCGACATTCCTACCCAAAGTCGAACCGCTCACAGTTTCCACCCCACCTTCCCCGTCTACTGTCGAAGCATCTTCTTCTGCTTCCACTGAGACAGGTTTCACTCCTGAGGAAATCGAACGTTCGGAAGCAGAGAAGAAAACGATGCTCAGCAAGAACTCTGAAACCCTGAATGCGCAAGTTCAGGAGCGTCCTTTGGCCAAGATGCAGGAGGAATTGAAACAATTTACCGCCGCTGATGGATCACTCTCGAAAACAGAAACGATTTCTTCCGATAAACCTGGAGTGGAAGAGAAGCAGCCGAAAGAAGTAGAAAATGGGAACGAAAAAGAACAAGACAGTAAAAAGGACCAGCAGAAGAAATCGGAGGACAAGATTGATAGCCACGATACTGATTCCAAGCAACTCACCAAGCCAGAGAAAGCACCTCCTCGGAAAGCGTTGCTAGAGAATAACGACGCCGAATTAATACGAGTTAACGAGGTACAGTTTCAAACATCTTTCTTGCAGTTGTACTCTAATCGTGATGACCTTTGTCAGATATTGAGTGAAATACATTACAAGTTCTATAATGCGTACGACGCACACTCTAAAAAATCTGGAGACCCACCACAAAAACGAAAGTCTGGATCATCAAAATCCAACAAACCCTTGTATGATGTTACGGTGGGTCCCATAAACATCGGATATTTGTACGTGCTCATCTTCGTTGCGCAGCGAATCATCCCCGAAATTCGCGCCAACGTATTGCAAGGCGTGAATCTTTTATTTTCCAGTGTCATACCGCTTGACACTAGACCAGAAAGTACAGAAATTTGGCGGATGGCTCTCATGTTCGGTGCAAAATGCTCGACAGAACTGAGTCCCGACACAACACACGTAGTTGCAGCCAAGGTTCGTGTCTCCTCTTGAAATTCGGCTTGTCCGTCAATCTCATTGTTGTAAAACTCTAGAGGGGTACAGTTAAGGTAGATGCGGCTCGTCGGCGTGGCAATATCAAAGTTGTGTGGCTGCAATGGTTCACCGATTCCGTTGCCCTTTGGCAGCGACAAGACGAGACGAGGTACCTCTTGGACTTGCCTCCTGCAGCCGGTCCGAGCACTAGCCCGCCCACGGCATCATCTGATCTGGATATAGATATCGATGATGAGGACTGGGATCTAGACAGTCCACCCACAAGCGGGGGCGTGGCGCTCGGAGTAAGTCAAAATGCAGGATTTCATGCAAACGAAATAAATTGGAATGACATTAATGACGAGGTAGAGGCGGCCATGATGGAGAGTGACGATGAAGAGGAGGAGGAAGAGGCGAACAGTGTAAAAAGTGATAGGAGCGGCATTCGCAGTGAAAACGCGAGCGAAGAGGAATGGTCTGACGAGTCAAACAGTGTTGCAAGGTGTGTCGGTACTTGTCGCTTCGAGCCTCATTTACTCAATATATATTAGTACCAACAACACGCCCAAAAGCAAACGGAAACGGTTGCGTAGTCTGACTCCTTCCGAAACACCGGGTATCAATGGTGACGCAGACGGTTTACGGTCACCATTATCCAAAAGGAAGAAAGTCGCCGCGGACCGTTCAAAGATGTCGAAACTTAAGGTCGCAATACACGCAGACGACCTTCGCGCCGACAATCTTCGTCGCACTGCTTCGCGAGAACCGAGCGCAAGTCCCGTGGTTAGGGTAGCGGGGTCGCGAGTGAATAGTCCCGAAAACGATAGTGATATGGAGGAAGTAACAGGACCTTTGGGTGACGAAGGTGAAAATGAGAATTACGATGAAAGTGGAGCGGAGAGCGCAGAAGAAGATTTCCTGGCGAAAGAGATGGAAAATGAATGGGGATAGTGTCTTGTCGTTGTATGTCCTGATGTCACCCCGCTGTTGTTCCTCTGTTATATCATCCATCTGTCTAATGCTTCTTTCTGTCGCTATCTGTCTTCGCGTATTCATCATCTTCTGCATCGGGTCTTTTTGGGTTGGCGTCGCTTTTTTATCTGCTGTCTGCAGTCATTATAACTTTTTCCATCATTCTCCTATTCCCATCGGTCAAATCATGGAATGTCCTCATTGCTACTATAAATTTAGGCTATACATTTGTATTGTATGATAACTTATTGGCATAACATATGTACATAGGTTGTAGATAAATATGTCTATGTACTTCAGAATGCATTTTCAATAATTCTTAAGCTTCAATTCTTTGTTATTGAGACAAACAAATGCAACATACATACATACATCAATGCGATGGAATATTTACACGACGAAGGGTACAGGATAACAAAAGCGAAAAAAGTGAACAACTGATGAAGCAGAAGGGTAAAAGAGGGAGACCTTTGATTACTACTTCGCAGGTCGTTTTTCTGATTTTCGTATCAGGCTCTGTAATGCACGATTCGCAGCTTCCTGTTTCCTCGCTGCGGGTGCATTTCCAGTCCTCTTGTAAATTTCTAGAATAACCATCCACGTTAGTGCCCTCTGGTGTGTTCGCGAAGAGATGTCGATTACCTAGGCTTCGATCACTGACCCAGATTCTCAAAGGTGCATTGCCAATCGCATCTCCAATTTTCTCCTTACCGTTCGTCCCAGTTGTAGGTTTCACGGTTGCTCCAAGACCGGCAGCGAGATTCTCGCACATAGCAAGCATGCCCAAAGCATCGTCTGTGGCAGTGTGAAAGTAGTGCGACGCAACGAGCGCGAGTATCAGTGCACGGAGGTGATTATCGCCTGCCGAAGACGCGAATGATAAGGCAGACTTAAGGTGTTGCCTGTGCCAAAACCACAATTTAGTTGAAAGCAACTTGAGCAAGAAAATATGTCAAACTTTGATTTCAGAATTTCGTCGGTGAGACACGCTTCAATGACTCTGCCGACACTCCACATTGTCCCGCCCATCCCACGACAAGCCTCTACAACGTCTTCAGCCAATTTTTGTACATCTTCAAATTCTTCGACAGGAGTCTCTGGCTCGACCACCGCTGCATCTTCGTCTACCTCCATGGCGTTCTCATCACCAACTTTCCTCTCCCTGCTTTTCGCTCGAGTCTTTCGTTTTGTTTGTTTTGCCTCTTCTTCCCTTTCCTTCTTCGAGCATTCCTTGTCTCTGATCAAGCCAATTTTCAAACAAGCCCTCCCTGCACGAGCTGAGACCCGAACAAAATCGTCTCCACGTTCTTCGGCAAAAGCCTCCGCAGCTTCGTAGCATTGCATAGCACGGTCTGTTTGGCCTTTGGCATGAGCCAAGTGTGCATGGTGCAAGGTTATGCGGCAGGCGAAGGATGAGAAAAGATCAGCGTTTCGCAAGTGTGCTATCAGCACCGAGAGGGTCTTTCAGATAAACGGGTAAATTTCACTTCGAACTAAATTGTGATCAAGCCGCGCATACCTGTTCAGCAGCATCGAATTCTGAACGCATAATAGATACCTAAGAACGTTAATTAGCCTTGTCGGGTCGTAGTGAGACATACCGATTGTCATACCCCTACAAGCTCACACATTAAGTCTGCTTTGATCTTTGCAAGTCTTAAATCTATTCCTTCAAGGTCGCCCATGCTGGCGAAGGAGGGCACTTACAAGATACATTAATTTTGCTCTCAAAAGAAGTCAAAAGAACTCACGATTCAATTCCTTCTTTAATTCCCTTTCCCATGTCGACAAGCCTTCGACCGCAAAAATTTTCCGTTTTGGCCTTCTCCCAACAGGATCTTTTTTCGCTACACACGACACCAAGAACGCAAGGGTGTAAAGAATTCTTGGATGTGTTGTCTGAACATACAAAGGCAACGACGGTCCAGACAAGGCAATTCGCACAATTCCGCACGCAGCGTCATCGCTTTCCTGGGTCTCCTGCAGTGTAGCTTCTATATTGGTAGTATTGGCGGAATTTGAGCCGTCTGCAGAAGGAGAAGCTTCCGGAGAGGTTATTGTTGAAGTGGATACAGGATTGGAGGGTTTCTTGTCAAAACGTAGTGCACCTGCATCGAGTAGGGCGTGGAGGTGGGCTAATCTCTGTGAAGCATCAGACACCCTCCCGACATAAGTGCAAAAGACCACCCCGATAATGAGGGTATGTAGTGCCATACTGCGCTCGAAATATGTGTTGAACATTTTTAATGGAGGAGCCGGTGCTGAGGCACTCTCGGAGGAAGGCCGAACTTCAGTTGTATCCGAAGGTTTCGTATTTATGGAATGTTTTGTCGGCGAAGGGGGATTCATGTGAACGGTATTGAGATCTGTGACGCGTAAACCTTTGCGGAGAGATTGACCCGCAGGTTGGTCAGTGGATGGATCTTGCTCGCTGGAGAATTCGAGTTCCAGAGCCTCCTCGGTCTCAGCCAATGCTTCGCTTACTTGATCCCAGAGTCCAGAGGACACAAGCTGTCGAAGACGAAGTACACGCGTTAAGAGGATGACTCCGTTATGACCGTACTTGGCTGCGTGTTTCTGCATGGCTTGTATTGCGGTCATGGTTTGTCTGACATCCTGTGACAGCTTCGTTGGGGATCCGTTGGGGGCCATCGCGTTAGGTCGAGTCTGTGCATCTATTGGAGTGATCAAATGCGAGATCAATTTGAGATGAGCAGTGTAAATAATATGTGGTGGGTCGCTGGGCAAATAGGTGGTTAGGAGTCGACGAAGAAGCATTCGTGCAAATTTGATATTGTTCTGCCAAACGGCAAGTTGGGCAGCAAGAAAAGTCAGTTGCGAGCGATATATGCGTAAACTTGGATGCTGAATTTGAGTCATGGATGAGAAACCTCGATTATTGGCTAAAGTTAAGACTAACTTTTTGCGCTATCATCAGCTAGAGAGCGATACGTCAGCATCAAGTACAGCGAAGACGGCCTACCACTTACTCCTTTACTAGTGGCTTCCTCGACCTAAAATGAGATTAAGCCAAGTGGTGCTACGAGCAGTAAAGAATATATGCGTACCTCTGGTTCGATTCCATTCGCCCAAACATGCAGTTCCTGCTGGCTGAATCCTCCGTCGATGATTATCATTCCTACTTCGGCCAGAGATGTCAGTGCTCGACACTCAATATCGGGGCTTAGGCCTGGAATCTTGAGGCATCTTCTCAAAGCAAGCAGGGACATGCATAGGGAATGCGCGTGCAGTTGGTGGTTGGGTGGGTGTATCAGAATTGAGGGCATAGAGAGTAGCAGTATTGAATCGGGCAGAGGATTTAGGGATAACTTTTCTTCTTCATATACATCTGGTTCGGTCAATGGAGATGAACTCAATATGAGCGTATCAGACATTTCAACATCTTCGTCCAGCTTCCGTCGCTTAACAGAGCGGGGACTAGAGGGTGAAGAGATGGAACTGGAGCTTGGGCCAGTCGTTGACGCGTCAATGGCCTCCATGGAAGATAAATGAATAGATCAGACGAAGAGGCACGTGCTCTCGCGGTCTATTACTCATGACTGTGATAACATGATTAAGGTATTGTATCTTTTACCCAACGACCATGCAACACGAATTTACCAATCTCATTGACAATACAGCCATGGCCAGCAGCAGTGTAGAAGTTCTGCAAGTTTACTATGACCCGGACTGGTGATAGCTATAGTGTCTCTCTGCCATCGATGACTCAGCAATTTTCCGAATAAATGGGTCTAATCTTGTCCCAAACACTCATGGTTACCGACCCAGAACCCAAGAATTCCTGGATCCTTCCTCGACTTGACTTTCGCGTAGACGATCTAGGTCATCAGGGTGCGGAACTTTTTTTCCGTCAAATTTCGAACCCATACGATGCAATGAAGAGCGCCGTGGAAGCTAGCTGGAAATGGCTTTACGGCTGGAACGAGGGTATTGTACTCGATAATGACAGGAATAACCATAAACAAGTGATAAAGCCTCCTTTAGCGTAAGTCACTCGGTATTCCGTTTAATAATTTGGCTGATGGATTGCGCGTTGATAGTGTTCAGCGCGTCAAACGCATCACACTTACTCTTCGGCCTATGGACGGTGTTGCCTATACATTTGGATCCGATGATGGATCCGAGAAGGAGGTTCATTTCTCTCTCAAACATATCGTCAATTCTTACAAAGGCGATACGGACGATAAGAAGAATGCCAGGGTACGGGAAGAGATCCTCGGCGTGCTCACGCACGAGATCGTCCATTGCTACCAGTATAATGGTCAGGGAACAGCTCCCGGTGGGCTGATTGAGGGTATCGCCGGTGAGTATCCTGCGATTGCTTGCTCTTTTGTTTTTCATGGAATGTCAAGATTGCGTACGTTTGCACGCAAAACTTTCGCCTCCTCACTGGAAACGGATTGCGCCGAAAGGAAAACACGTACCAGAGCCAAATGGTAAATGGACATGGGATTGGAATTGGGATGCTGGCTATGAGAGAACTGCGTATTTTCTTGATTGGATTGACACTACATCGGAAACATGGTCCCATCCACATATCCTTCGGGATTCTGAACCTTCAAATGCGATTTCTTTCACAAAGTCGGCACCTTCCTCATCTACATCATCCGTGCCCGTGCCACATCAAATATCGCCTTCGATCTCAGACCCTTCACCACCCCTCGGGAGAGGCTTGTTTTTCCGTGTTCTTAACGCTCGACTAGAAGAATACAAGTGGGATCCCGAAGAGGATCTGTTCCTCCAGCTCACAAATTGGCCTCGAGAAACGTTGTGGGAAGCCTACTGTTTAGATAATGGACCAGGCTAAATAAGTATATTCGTACATGTTAGTTCGTGCTACACGGCTAGACGCGGCACAAGTCAAGTTGTGCAACTACCCCTCCTTTCTATACCCCGGAGGTTCCTCAAATCGCGGTCTAGGCCAGAACCGCTGGCAACGCTGACCGGGCTGACTGTTGTACTAGGTAAATTATAAATGTCCTTCTAAACCTGCTTGATTTTTCGCAAGGGATCCGATAGACCGTACGTGAAAAATCTTCTACCCGTCTCTTTCAAAGTCTTCCCAGAGTTTCGACCCAGCTTGAGGACATCGGAATGACCATTCATGTAGTGCACCTCGGAAATTACAGGACTATCGATGTTCCTCTGTGTGTTCTCTACCGCGAATCCGGAACACACATCATCTAGCAGTGTGTTCCTGATGCTCGAACAGTGAGAGGTCATTGTCGGATCGTTCCGGAGGGTTTTCGGAATACCTACGCCCTTCCGAGTTGTCCTTGTTCATTCCCATTGGTGCCAGCTGGTGCCCCGTCCTCAGCGCTACATAGATGTCGGTGTCACTTTGTATGCTAAGCAACACCTATGGTAGGGATGTCAGACTGTATACGTAAGATGAACTTCAGTACAACGAGATTCGGATACGTCCTGCCTCATTCCATTCGATTTTGGATACGTTTCCTTCTCTCGTCCGATCTCGAAGAGACAGTTATTTAGGTTTCCGTTCAACCGAAAGGTTGATCATGAATCCAACTTGAGATCATTCATACCTCTGTAATTACGTGCCCCACGGTCGTCCGACTTGATTCGGAGTGAGCTCAATGTTCACCTACGGCAATGCGATTATCGATCCCATGAGATGGCTCGTAGTACTAGTAATGTTAACAGTCACATGTATCAGTGTCGGTTTCTGGTCTCAACTGAGAACCTGATTTAAGGAAAGTGGCAACCTTGAACATTTACGAATATACTATAAGCAATACAGTGAGTACAGATAATAAAATGACGAACACTAGGGCATATATAAAACAACATGGCTGGCTACAAGGCATTCGAAATAGATTGCGCCTACGAGCAGACATAACAAAGAAACCAGACCTAGTCATAAACATACACAGAGGACGCTGGATAAAAATCAGATAAGGACGATACACAATGGGAACATTCTAATACATGGGTCCCGCTTCAAACCAGCGCATCACCCACAGTGAAGTGCACGTTGTCGCCCTCTCCTAAGGTAAGCCGTACGGGTAGCCTGGGGTCGATCCTGACAGGCGCGCTGGTTCCAACATAGAAGTCGCCTCTAGAAAAATTGCGGGTGATTGCTTGAGTTTCTTCATCGGTGAGCGGCCTTGGGCGCTTAGCAGGACGGAAAGAGGAGGATGAGGCGCCAGTAAAATGACCGTTGTAGTCGTAGTATTGGGTATGATTCATATTAGCCGGAGTAGAGACGGCAGGTGGATGAGTAGGCACAGCAGCGTACATTGGAGGAGCGAAGGACGGAACTGAGACGAGATGAGTGGATGTTATACAAGTATGTAATTGAGTGATACTCACCGGCATGAGGTGACTCAAGTTGACCATTAGTGCTGCTATTGTTGCTGTTGGTGCTACTCTGAACATCGGGATCAGGGTAAGCACAGGAACTTCCTAAGCCACGCTTGAGGCAGCTCTAAGGGGTAATGTTCATGTTTAAGTAAAAGGCAAATAATGGAATGTTAATTCATGCCCACCTGGCAAGGTAGGACTTCACTACATCGCGTCTTACCAGTATGGCATGATCTGCACGCCCTACGAACAGATGGAGCTTTGGCTATAAAACAGATGAGTGCAGTTGAGATTGTGAATGACTAGATAATCCTTCACAACGTACGTTTTCGAGAAGCAGTCTCAGGCGTCTGGACATTTGAAACTTGATGAATGATCTGAGGCTGTTGGTCGGGGTTGCCAGCAGTGAGCTGTTGTTGAAGTTGAGCATCAAGGCCGTCCTGGACGGGATCCTCAGGCAAAGCGGACATCCTTTTACTGCTTTTAGGGTTAACTGTACGGAGGGCGGGCTGGAGAACGGAGGAGTGACCGAATGACCGTCGTCGGAGGAGAGAAAACAGAAAACGGGCAAAAATGGGCGGAACGGAGCTTTGATGTAATTCTCACGGAGGTCATACGTAATTATTCCGGTGCCTCGGCTAATCCGGCTACTTGCTTCCGGTTACCGATTCATTATTATTTAACGGCTTAGCCCTTACCAAGTCCTTACAGTCATTCTGCTACCAAGTTTGCAAGAATGCAGTCACCGCTTATGCCCCCAGTGCCTTATGCTGACTTCCAACTTTCGTTCGATCCTCAATTATCCAATCTCTTTCCACATCCACCGCAATTACCGCCCTCTGCAGAGCTATTTTCTCCATCGGAGACCAACGAGCTCTTCAACTTTTTGGATGGTTTCGATGGCAGCATCTGGGACACTGAGCCTGATTCATTAGACCATCACTCCTTTGGTCCATTACCAGAATCTCCTCGGCTTCCTCCCCACTCTCCGTACTCGAATCCCCACCTGAAAACTGTTCCAAAGCCCAATCCTGCAGCTCCATTATCTCGGCCGCGAAGAACTGCTCGAGTCAAGCCCGGAAGGACAGCTCCCCGGAATACGAGTAAATCATCTAGCCATACCTCGTCCTCCACAACACCCCCTGCCCAGTCCTTCGATGAACCTTCATCGCCAATGTTGGATAATACATCTACTCAATCTACTCTGACACAGTCACGCGCCAGTGCACGCACTAAAACACTGTTATCTACACCACAAAAAAGGTTAAACCATATCATGTCGGAACAGAAACGGCGGAATGCGATCCGAGATGGATATGCTCAACTTATAACCCTTCTGGCACCCAGTGGAAATGCCCCTGCTTTAGGAATGCCCACTCGAGGCCGGCCAAAGGGCAGCGGATCTCGGGCGAAAGCCGGAAAGAAGGTTGGAAACGACGCAGACGGCGCGAAAGGGAAAAGTGGTGTCCTCTTCCGGGCAGTTGAATATTGCCGCTGGCTAGAAGAGGGCAGGGAAGCGCTTCGGAAGGAAGTAGCCAGAGTTGAAGCAGCGGCTGATCTCACTGGAACATAACCGGTCATGCTCTACCTGTAATCCTTCATACTCCATTGATGTCGGTGTTGTTGTGCCTCTTTCGCATCTTCAACGCACCAACTAATCGTGTTGTTCTTTTAGACCCACTATACGATCGATATTGAAACTTGTAATGCAAATACTTGATACCACCAACTTTCCTTAATCTAGCCCGACAGAGGCTCTCATTGTTGTATTGTTATGCTCTCTTTGGAATTGTTTTAGGTGTCTATGCGACATTCCTTCATGTTGATTCACTCATGTCGCCATGTACGTCCAGTTATCTCACCTTGGTTTCACTCACTTCACGGCCTACTCTTTCAGTTTATTGTGTATTATCCTGCACATTAATCCTGTGTTTCATTCTTAAATGAGCAATCTGACCAGTCATATGGAACCTTTGTGCGACCACGCTACATACCCACCTCGGTTTCCGCCCCCTCAACGCTTAATGAATAATATCATATAACACTACGAGTGTGTGTGAGGAATAATTCAACGCGCACATGGCGCGCAAGTATGCCTTTCTCAGATGATCAAGAAGCTTGTGGTCCTGTCACCGCAACTAGATTCACCGTGACATTTCAACGCGTCAAGAGAACCACAGATGCAATGCCGTGTAAATCATAGAGACCCGCCTTCCATCCGCCAACCATGTTGAAGAGACTCACTAGAACTAGATCAATCGGGTCTCGTCGGTCGAGGTACAAGCAGCCACATCGCAATCATAGCTGACATCATCCCCACTAATCTACATCGGTAAAAAAAAAAAAGGTCATTCCCGCTGAGTTGCAGTGAATCAAGTCATCACTTACAAAGGCTGCAAACTGCTAATACCCACAGCGTCGGCAAGGGCACCAGTTAAGAATGGTAACGCGGCACTTCCAGCCTGTCCTATTCCAGTGATCCAGCCGATAGCTCCAGTGTATATCCATCGCGGAATAACTTTTCGAGACGCGCTCAAAGCAACTGGAAACATAGGCCCAAAAAAGAGTCCAACAAGAGAAACAGCGACAGCATTGCCGATGAGAGAGGGGACCAACCAGACGACGATTTCGAGCCTGTAGGGTACAATATGGAATGAACAACCTGAAGAAAAATGTCCCAGGTAACGTCCTACCCAATAGCCAGTACAATATAAATCAACATGACCAGTCGATCTCCGAGCCAGTTATTCAAGGGGATTAGTATTATCCTACCTAGCAATATCCCTAAGGAACGAGCGTCAACTCAGGTTTTAGGGGATCCATAAAAGAGTGGACGCACCTCCCCAAAACCCTGAAGCAATATAACCAGAACGAGCGCCTGCATCGCGCTGTTGAATGATGTAGGTCACAGTCCATCCACTGAAAAGCTCCTCATAAATTGTTTAGGTATGCTTTGTTTGACTTACCCAATGGTAACCTAAGTGCACATTATAATAGTGAAAGTTGTCACAACCACCCTGATGGTTGGCATACCTCGGTACCAACGTACAAAAATATGAAAGCTGCCAGAATATGTACACTCTTCAGGTTCATTATCTGCCTAAATGGACTATGTTCTGAAGTCTCAGGTTCCATGGCTTCAAGTCCAAGTTGTGCCCTACAGTCTGTAGAATTGAAATGATCAGTTTGGAAGTACATCAGGTCCGAGGATTTTGACAGCGACCTTCTTTAGATTGAAGACGAAAAATTGCCGAAGTCAAAAATGCATTTGTGGTCACCATACTAAGGGAGACAAGGTAGTGGAATGACCAGTGGCGCATAGCAGAAAATTGCGTTGCAACTAAAGGTGCGACAAATGCCCCGGCACCTGCCCATGGACAAGATTTAAATGAAGGTTGCTGAGTGGCCTAATATGATCCGGCACAGGCTTGTATGTCTCACCATAGGATGCCTGCGACAGTGCTACTTTCAAATTAACATTGTGGCCCATTACTACCAGATACCCGTTGACTTGAGCTATCTATGGGTGTTTTAAACTACACGAGTTTGACTCCTGAAGAAATAAACTAACCTGTAGAGCTGACCCTATGCCATTGATGAAATACCCTAACACAAAGACAGGAAAGGGAGGAGCAGGAATGGCCAGCGTGAACGCAATCATCTGAAGAATACATGCTTTGATGGGAGCCCCAGGTAAATTTTGATTCGGTTTGGAAGAAAACTGCCTCCTCACAAAGCACGAGAAGCTGGATTTATCGAATTATTAGACCCCGAAGGACACTCAGTACAGCACATTGTTACCTTTCCAAAAGTCACATGCTCTGATACAAGAACGTTCAAACATGCTCCGAGAATGAAGCCCACGCAGGCAAAGATAAAGAGCAAAGAAACAATGAGGAACGATATCTAAACATTATTCAGTATACCCTTCGTAATTTGACGGCGGAAATCTCACTTGGTAAACGCTTTGCATACGAGGCAAAAGTGGACCAGCAGAGGCGTCATTAAATCCTATCGCGAACATACAGCAACAAGTAACTATGAACTGAGCCCGAGAGTGTATGACTTGTTCCTTGGTTTGTTGTACCGACGAAGTACTGGTCGTCTCTTGCCCAAGCTGGTTAGACGCCACAGACCTAAGTCGGCTATGATCCAGAGAAATTGATGAATGGTCTGGAGGCGACTTGAGTTCGCTTGATGAGATTTGCTGAACAGAGTGGCGCATAATTGCGGGTAATGTATCGAGCTCGATATCGGAGACCATCTTTCAAGTCGAAGGTTGTGTTCCAAGAAATACTTCGGCCCGAACTCAAATTTTGATTCCACGCCACCGACCACATCCAGCCACACTCACTCATCCTCAAGTGGGTTACTGGTGAGTGCGGTGTTGATAATTTACAGTCTCCTGTTCTTGGAAGTTGGGGACCTGCGTAGGACAGGGTCTGAATTTTACCCATTAAACTTTATTTAACCTTATTTAACAAACCTCAGCCGAGTTCGTCGACGATGTACTGCTGTTAGCCTAGGTATAAACCGACTTGAACTTGAAGGTAATACGGACATATACCTATTCTCATCACCAGTCCTTGAGATTCTGTCTCTGATCGCAACAGCTCATCATTTCTTAAAACTCGTACAACCTGGTACGGTCAAGTTGGGCCTCGGGGATAAACATTAAACACCCAATTGGACCGCATCGGCGGAGAGTTCGCGCACGCATGCATCCTTCCCACCTGCTCCCGACAAGTTTCCGTTTCGGTGGGATTCTCGGTGCTATGTTTTCTTTATCAATCAAACCCGAGTATCGATACTCAGTGGCTTCCTTGGAAATTGATAATCTGATAGTACGTATGGTATTATTCTAAGCACATAGAATAGTAATATGTAATATTAAGTCCAGATCGATTAGAGTCTGTAGTCCGTATAGTCCAGAAAAGAATGATCATGGAAAAAAAGAATGACTGTGTTCTGGCGTGTGATGATAATATTTTCATCCGAATAAGATAGGTATGTGAATGGGTACAACAACAAGTGCTATCGTGGTGGTACAAGCCAACGTAGTGGATTTTCCGTTTCGTTTGTTTGTTTTCGTCTCCCAGCGTGATGATCATGGCACATATACAAGCTATCACTGCGAATCCTAAAATAAAATCAATAAACGAACTGACTAAACTGACGGAAAATGAACTTACAAGTGTTGGCGAGGATGGGCAATCATAGTACACTGAATGTTTTCGTTAATGGGACAAAATTCCTGCAGCGGCTTCCAGCCTCTCGACTTCCTCCTTTAGTGCATCCCTTCCCTCCTCAAGCCAATGGCAATATTCAACAGCCCTATATAAAACCCCACTTTTACCCTTCGCCCCCTCAATTTCATTACCGTTCTTGGCCTGTTTGCCCTTCGCACCACTACCTTTTGGCCTACCCCGTGTGGGCATTACCAAAACAGAGTGAGAACCTTCAGGTCCGGCAAGTAGAGCAATGAGTTGTGCATAACCATCTCTAATGGCATTTCTCCGCTTCTGCTCTGACATGATGTGATTCAGGCGCTTCTGGGGCGTGGAAAGGAGAGGCTTTGTGCGTGGCAGGGGGAGTTCAGAGACATGCGAAGCGTGATAATTGTGATCAACCAGGGATCCCGAAGGAAGTGAAGCACGCCGGGAATAATTCAGATATGAAGGGGGGACATCGGTGAGATTGAGATGAGCGAATTGCACAGAGGGTGTACGATTCATCAGAGATGACCGACTAGCATTCCCCTGGCTTACATTGTGGGTCCTCGATGAGAGACGGCCCATCCTGGATGACGAGGCGGATTGCATCGGAAAGCTCCTTCGTCGGAACACCGATACATTTGGGGGAACATCTAGATGCGAACTGGGATACGAAGTCGTATTCGAAGACATTCCATGCTCGTGCTGCGGCATGTTGTCTATACCGTACCATGCGACATCTTGCTCTACAGGCTCGGGCTTGACATCCCAAGGAGTTTGATCAACTTTATTTTGATCAAATTCATCGAAAAACCTTATGAGCCCGTCCGTCTCGCGAGTAGTAAAAAGTCCCGGAGGCGACTTTTCTGCAGGTACCGGTTGGTCAAAGGAATCCATGTCGTGATATCGATTCGAAAGTCTGAGGTGTGGGTTAAAGGTAAAATGATGGTCAGCATATGGTATCGGAGGATGAAGGACAGGATAGGTCATCATTCTGAAGTTAAAAGGATACAATTTCCTGAATCCGAGTAGGCTCGAGCGTTCAACGTTCAAATCTAAGGACAGGGGAAGGAGTTTGAAAGGGAAGTCAGTCAGGCGACTGTTTATAAGAAACGATTGATGAGAATTTTAGAGGTTGCCCACATCAGTACACGATCATATCTAATGCAAAATGAGAGTGCAGTGTACTCAGTTACAGTTTGAGTTACCGTCAGTCAAGGTGTGTCTTATCAACAACGTCCGCGTTTCGCAAATCAACCCGCCGAGTCGCCCATTAGGTTCTCGATACCTCTGATCTTTTGAGTTTTTGATCACTGATTTGACTTTGCAAAAAACCCCTGGGCTAAATTGGCCTAGTGATCCTTTTCTGGCAGGACATAGATTAAGTTGTTCAGCGTTGAATCATGATGCTGTCGCTGTAATTCGGGAAGGAAATAATAATGGAAGCAACTGGTTACCGCCGATCCTCTAATCCAACATTAGACCATCCGCTCGGGCCGCTGATATTCAGAAAGTGAGGCGCTGTGCACGTCCCAACCTGGTCTTAACACCCAATCCCCGGCTCTAACCAGGCTCTGACGGTGGGTATTCAACTCAAATTGCCACCCCCTGACACTCTATAACAAACGTATCATGTCCTCGACACTCGCGCCCGAGATAGAGAAACAATGTCTGGTCAGAACTCTAGAGAAGAAGGACGTATCGACAACTATCGACAAACGGAACAAACGGAAGCTTTGAAATTCTTTTGATGCCCGCATTGTGCATCTGTTATATCATACAGAGTATCTCCGGATCCTGAGTCCTGATCCTTCCCGTTGTAGAGCTGTAGCACATAGCTCAGCTATACAATAAGAACAATTTCAAGCTTAAGTAGTGAGTACTAGTGAGTCCTCAGGCCTCAATCTTCATCTATGAAATGATTGTTCGTCGGAAATCAAATTAGTACCGTTTTTCGTGTTCGTTGCGTATACTCTGCCAAAGTTGTGCTTGATCCGATATCTGCAAAACCTGTTTTTTCGGGTAATTCTCCGACAGCAGCTGAGAGCACTTCCCAGCAGCCAAAGCACCCAGAGCAACTTTAAAAATTTGCTCTCGGTGCTTTGGGTGCTGGAGAGCACTCTCCAGCCAGTACCCCTTGCTCTGGCGAACATACAATGTACTTAAGAACTTGTCACGAATCATCCAGAAACATTCTTTCCTTTTTCCGATGAAAAATAACGTCATACTCATATAGTCGTGAGCTGTGCTTGCCTCTTACCTGTTTACTGTTTACTCCGACTCAAAGAAAAGAAGTAGACTAAGACAGTTCGGTATAAGCTTCAGGCCAGGTATTGGTTAAGCGCGTTACTACAACCTATTACAACGTACAACTTGTTTGGGACAAGCATGGGGTAGGCGTTAGAAGGCGGGCTGTATAAGGGGGTACCGCGAGCAGTGATAAACAATACGGCCGGCTGTACGTAGCTTATATAATTATATTCGCGTCTTACTCAGTCCATGGTTAACATGAACTACTTCTCCAGATTATTGTTTGCTCGGGCCCTTATTTTGAAATGCGGTTTGTCAGGACCATATTGTTTTACAAAGACTAAGTTTGTGTTGTAGATAACCATATTTTTATCAGTTATCCTCGCTCAATATCAATATCTCAGATGGACCATATTCTTGCTCAATCCCCCATGGTTGACGTCCTCCACTTTTTCGTTCCAGAATAGAGCATGAAAGGGTAAGAATAAAACACCACACTCAACTCGAGACCACAGTGCGGATGTTGTTCATTAGGGCCATATTGCATTGAGGTCTGCCTTTGCCATGTCGAGGACGCGGAGATGTGGTTCTTGAGGACTGTATTATACGGTTGGTGATGACCTTTTTCAATTGGTTATGTGGATGTGGGCGGTGGGGTCCACTTCACGTCGAGGGTGCAGATGTGGTTCATGTGCACCATATCAACATGAGGGAGTAATACGGTTGATGGGGACCATATCATGACAAGAAAGTGGTTCCAGGTGCGACCGTATTGTGACGATGCGGATGTGGTTGGTGAGGACCATATTGTGTGCACGATGCAGATGTGGTTGGTGAGGACCATATTGTGTGCACGATGCAGATGTGGTTTTGGGGTACCACATCTGTGTTGAGGGTGTGTATGTGGTTCCGGGCGACCATATTGTGACGATGCGGATGTGGTTGGTGAGGACGATATTGTGTGCACGATGCAGATGTGGTTTGGGAGTACCGTTTCCATGTCAAGATAGTTCCGGGCGACCATATTTGTGACGATGCAGATGTGGTTGGTGAGAACTACTTCCGTGTCGAGGGTGTGTATGTGGTTGGGGGGTACTGTTTCCGTGTCAAGATAGTTCCGAGCGACCGTATTTGTGACGATGCAGATGTGGTTGGTGAGGACGATATTGTGTGCACGATGCAGATGTGGTTTGGGAGTACCGTTTCCATGTCAAGATAGTTCCGGGCGACCGTATTTATGACGATGCAGATGTGGTTGGTGAGGACTACTTCCGTGTCGAGGGTGTGTATGTGGTTGGGGGGTACCGTTTCCGTGTCAAGATAGTTCCGGGCGACCGTATTTGTGACGATGCGGATGTGGTTGGTGAGGACTACTTCCGTGTCGGGGGGTACCGTTTCCGTGTCAAGATAGTTCCGGGCGACCGTATTTGTGACGATGCGGATGTGGTTGGTGAGGACGATATTGTGTGCACGATGCAGATGTGGTTTGGGAGTACCGTTTCCGTGTCAAGATAGTTCCGGGCGACCGTATTTGTGACGATGCAGATGTGGTTGGTGAGAACTACTTCCGTGTCGAGGGTGTTTCAGGGGGACCATATTGCTGTGCAGGCACCGTTATCGATGAATTTAGGAAAATAATCAAATTTGTCAGATTTTCAAGTTTCGCTTTCTTCATTTCCTTCCACTTCTCAACGTCAATCCATAACGATTCAAAATCAGGCTGTTTTCCTTTGACAGGTGCCATTCGTTGTGTTAATATCTTACTATTATTGCTTATCTGTCTCGCATTTACAACATTCAGATGCATGACCTCCCAATTGATGTCTTCGATGTTCTTCTGGAGTTCTGCGAGCCTGAAGATGTTGAAAGTTTTCTACAGGTCTCGCCCCATGCGCAGATGGCAGCCGATAAAATCATATTTCATTCCATGAAACTCACTAATGACATAGGGCAGAGTAAAGAACAACTCTCTCTGTGGCAAACATACGATTGTTCAGGCCGTTTCAACTCCTCTCCCAGAATTCTTCACATTCCCGCCTTCCATATCCTTGGGCCTCGTATGCAGTACAATGCATTTATCTGTGATATTTTGTCCATTCCCTCCATTTGCAAGAATGTCTGCCGTCTTATCCTGGAATTTTCACATCCCAGCACACTTGCCCTCTTTTGTCGTCCCGAATTTTCCTTCATCCAGCTCAACACCATTCATGCTCACATTCCGTGGTACTTATTCATTCACTCTCTACCCCACCTTGCATCCCTCACCCCTACCAAGTGCATCGACAGTGTTGCTGTTCACGGATCAATCCACTATGATGTCATGATGCCCGCACTTCCTGCTGTTACTCTACCTCCCGGCGGTGCGCCAGTATCAGTCAAAAAACTGCTTTTGCCATATGCGAGCTCCTCGCCGGCCACCTATCCACATATTCCCCGAGCGGTGGTTTCCGGGAGAGTTGATGTTCAAAAACTGAGTACCTTCATCGTCGAGATCACTGGCTGGTGGCAGGATCGTGACATTGCCCTTGTACTTGGTGGGATGGTGAATCTGCGAGAACTCATAATCAATGCTCGTGGTATGTATTTGCACCTTCAAGCCTGCCTGCTATTTACTAATACCCAACGTTGGTACCTCAGAACAAGCCGACGCTCTAGATCGAATCCACTTTCCTCCAATCCGCAGTCTTGAAATTTTTGGATACCATGGCGATATTTCATTCTATAACGTGACAAAAGAGATTGGATATGTGCCGCAGAGTTTGCTGAAAGCCTTGCAATCCATGCAATGTGACCGGATTCAGCATCTATCCCTTGATATCTTTTACAAGGGACCCACCACCATTGATGATGAGCTAGAGAGCGAAGAGCCTTTTAAATGGAAGACTCTCAGTAGGTTCCTTGGCGAAAAGCAAAACCTCCATGACGTTCACTTCAATTACTGGCTTGACCAGAATTATGATGGAGATCTTGCATACTATCACACAGAAGATGTTCATTACTACTTTTCTTCACTTCTTCTTAAACAAACTTCTGTACATTTTTCTGCCACTAGGTGTTCTTTAATTTCTTATGTACCACCCTGTTCATGCAGTTTACAGAACTTCTTCGGCGAGTAGATGCAAATGTAGCTGCCGGTGTTGCCGGTAAAACATCCACATTCGGACACTTTTTGGACACGTCAGTTGATCACCATATCTTGTTTGTGGTTGCGATGAACCACTTCTATCCCCTTCCACACAATCCTACAAAATCATATATCTGACTAGGTTTACCTATCTTTTTACAAACGGTTGTTGTCTTTCATTTTACGAATTTTCAACCGGTTCCAGACAGACAAAAAAACACGGGTATAGATAATTGCATTCACCTGACCCATATAACTGACTGACTTTCGAATTCTTCCCAGTCCGCTATTACCACACTCTGCTGCGCTGGAGTTGATTCTTGCTAGAGTAGAATCCACCTCCATGTAACTTTTGAGAAATGAAGAGCTTGAACACCGTGAATGCCCATATGCGTGGAACCCATCTATCGTGAATTTTGTGTCTGCAAAGAATTCTGGCTCTCGCGTCATGCAGTATGGGCCCAATGCACAGGCGAAATCATATATTACGCGTTTTGGTGCTCGTTTCCACCTGGTGACCATTGCGGAGAACACGTCATTCCTCCCCTCACTTTCTGGGATGCAATGGAATCCATAGGCTATGCTATGTGTACACCAGCACACCATGATCCCACCGGTAAGTCGTTTTTTGCCATATGTGTCATAGTACTTAGAGCAAGCCCCACCACGCTCAGAGTTCGCATCAGCTTGCCCGTCTTTCTGAATTCCTGGGTACTTGGGCCGTCTGCGGACTTGCGACATTCCGTAACAGCACCCTGACTATGCTTCGTTGAGTATATACATTCATTCAACTTGATGTATTGCTTACCTCCTCCCAGCTCTCGTTTCCTATCTCTGCTGCTTCTAACAGGGGGATAGGACTGGTTACGCCTTCCAAGACTCTCTTCAACACCTCATATCCACGCTCATACATCCACTCGCAAAGCCCCAGATCCAAGATCCGTTGATTGCTTGGCTTCCCCTGCTCCTTCTGGATGATATGGAACATGGATGGGACACAACGTAACGCTGATGCTGTGTCCTTATCCGGATGTTCTATGAATGCGTGTAGTGCTTTCAATGATGTGACATTAATAGTCTGAAGCGCAGATTCTTCTGCGCTTATCTGAAATAACAATTAGCTTACGCTCTTATGTTCTACCGATTCGGAGAAATTAGAACATACCATCTGAAAGAAAGCTTTATATTCTCTCTGTGGTTTCCACCTTCCGCTCTTGTCCAGCACTTTATCCCCCAAATGCTCATCAAACACCACTGCCAAGGTCTTGCTCACGCAACGAAGGCTTTCCAAAATACCTGGATATTCCCTCTGTCTCTCTTCTGCAACCCCTTGCTCTTTCTCGTCATTACCACTGCCCAAACCCCCTTTTGCAATCCAGTGGTGTAAGCGTTTACGCGCGACACTATCTTCAAGCCACTCCTTTCTCTTTGTCACAGTACGTGGACGAATAGGTGAATCTGCGTCTACTGCTGTAGGTGGTCTCAGACCAACCCTGAGCTGTTTCCTCGCATAGGCCAGAGTTACCCCATCCCAAATGACATTCTCGGGTGCTTCGCCACAACGCTCACACCACTTATCTCCTTCGAAGTTTATCAATCGAGCATAAGCAAACCAAGCTGCGCGGAAAGTATCGTTGCCCACAAAAGGTAAGGAATTGTCTTCAGCTTGATACCTCCGACTAATCTGTTGCACCCAGGCATCGAATGGTGTCTCGGAAGAAGTGAACGCACTGGTGTATTCATCCAGTAACTCATGCGTGAAAAGCAGAGAATTATTGAGATTGAATAAACCCAGGGATCGTGTTTCTGGACCGACATAGCGCCTTTCACAAGATGGACACCTCTGAAGCTCAATATTGGCCCGTACAGCTTTACTCAGAGTGTACACAGTACAATTCCGTAGGAAGGTAGGCGAACTGTCATCATACATTCGTCGGCCTCCATCACGACAAGCGCAAGAGCCTTCACCCCCCTGTATGGATACTGTCTCGGGAACTTGACGGAGTGGTGGAGGACGAAGATATAGTTTCACGTCTGATTCGAGTTCGCACCATTTGGGTGGCAGTACGAGTTTGAAAGATATAGCGTGATCTTGCTTCTTTGACACCTGGTCTGCTGTAAAATGGTAAGACATTTATTATTATCAACTAAGACGACTTACTAAGGTTCATCCCCTCAATCTCCTCCCTTGTTTCCTCTAGTTCGTCATCGCTATCAATTTCCTGTATTCCCTTCTTCAAGAACTGCTTTGCTGCTATGATGTGGATGCATTGGGTACCATCTCGCTGACACCGCCAAAGACCGTCGCCCTCATCACGACCTTCATGAACTACGATCGCTCGACCATGCAAACTCAAACCGCTTCCGTTTTTTGCCACTGAGAAACGATGTATAACCTGTCCACTACTTCCTGCCTCTCGGTGAAAAAGTACAGTCCTTACTGGTCGTTCTAGTCAATGACTATCAATAATGCTTCTCATCATATATGAAGCTCCTACCTGGCACACGCTCTTCAATCTGTTGATCAGACACCATATATTTGCAAAAGTACCGTTGGTGGATGCAGTTGTGATCACCCTGCCCACACATACAAACAGGAATCAAGTCCGGTCCTCGCTGGGCTGCCTCAAAATGGAACCATTGTCGCTTTTTAGCAAAGTTAGTCATCCAAAAAATTGAGGCTTGGTGGAATGCTCACTGTTCCCTCTTTCTTCTTTGCAGACCATCCTTGCACCACATATAAGCTTCCACCTATCGGCAAGAAGGCCACAACGTTCCGCTCCACGGCATCACAGTACGCTTCATCTGCATCACCTTCTACCACAAATTCGTCCACACTGTTTCCAATCTCAGGCTCCTGCAACTGAGCGTGGTTGCTTCGATCCATATCTGGATTGAACATCACAATATCGGGGTCCAAAATGAAATCTGCCTGCTCCGCAATCTCGGGCTCTGAAAAGGAACCCTCTTCCAAGGGAGTGGAGGCTGAATCCTGCGTGTATGAGGATGCTTCAGGCTGTAGTGGCAAGGTTCGTCTTCTGGAATTTTGTACTCGATGGCCTCCTGATGCCATTACATTTCGGCGCGTTTTTCCTCTCTTAACCGGACTAGTACTTGGTCCGGCATTTGCGTGAGCAATGCGAAAGGGATACGAGCTTCCTGTGGAGTTTTTTACCACATTCCGTCGCAAAGAAACTGAACTTTCATCCGGCATGGGTAAGAAATCAGACTAGGGCAAGATATGAGAGCGGTTCCTTCAAATTTCAAAGATGATGACATAAATAGCCTAGATTGTCCGCACCACCCTGTGCTCTCTCATCTCTGCCACCATGACACATAGCCACAAGAAGAAAGCCCGCTCCTCACCTCGGAAACCCAAAACACCTACTGCTGTAGTGAAAAATGTCACTACGGTTTCTCAAAAGACCAAAGGAGCTCCTCGTTACTGCAAAACATGTCCAGGCCGCCCATTAAGAGCTTCAATTGAGTGCCAGCATAGTGCTATTTGGCGGAAGGCAGTACGTTTCGAATTTTCATATTCCTTTGAATCGAAAACCAACCATCCTTGCAGAATGCTTCCTCCAGGATTCAGGAAATTTCCAGTGGCAACAACGCTGATCAACAATCTGCAGTAGGTGGTTTTTATCTTGCAACAAAGTTACGCTTTCATGACTTGCTAGACCACTCCGGGCGATATTCTTGGACTTCTCCCACAAGCCCCGCCGTGTACCCCAACTCAAGGGCATACTGAACGCTCATCTAGAGTAGGCGTCACATAACAGACTAAGAATGTGACTTATATTTGTTGGATTTGCAGTATGAATCCAACGGAATCCTGGGCCTTTCTCGTCCAAAGACCACACTGCCCGCCGGTGCTAGATCCGAGTCTGAACACGAGCCATTGCCGGGCTCAGGGCGTAACCCTGACGAAGTATGTTCAATGTTTAAAACTCAATCTATACGCATTATGATTCATTGACATCTAGGAGTTGCCCTTTCCTTTGGATCCGGCACTTCAGATCACAGATATCATGTCGACTGTTCACCGCAGTCATGGTCCATTATCATCGCCAGTTGTGTCTACATATGCTGCCAGTCCCAGCATTCACAGCAGTGGACGTGGTCCATTATCATCACCAGGATCTGGTTTGGTAGCAGCTAACAGATTGCGAGTGCGTGTTTCTAAAGATAATGCAACCTATGGCTGGGTTGAAGGGGCGGGTCGTGGCCAGTTTCCTTTAGGCGAGGCACTTTGCAACTTAACTGTCATTTGAACATTGTGACTGATTAGAACAGTAGAACTTGTGCGACCACGTGAACTGCCACCTCCTCGCTCAACAACTGATGAGCAGGGTCAGCGTTTCCGTCGTCTCATGCCCGATGTTATTGCTGCGGTATGTTTTCCCTAATGTACCTCTCTGTTTTAAATAAAGTTGATGACATTGATTAGTGTGAACGAATGGCATCGGAAAGCAATTGTTGGGTTTATATTGCAGGCCAGCACCCCAATGCTAGGATTCCTTTCTTGCATTTTGCTTCACACCGCTTGAGACTTGAAGCACCATCTGTCCTCGATGAGCTTCATGGCAGTGCAGATCGTCTTTTTACCTCTCTTCTCAGCTCCCGCCGCCAAGAGGCGGCCGAACTTACTGACAAACTGTTACTAGCTCAAAATCGGATCAAGGAGCTGGAGTCTGAAAAAGTCGCATGGGAGCGGGCCAATGGGAGTCTCAATTGAGTGTTTGTATTTATTGTCCAAGCTATAGTATAAGATTATTTCATCTGGCTACAAACTCGCTGTTTTGTGTATGCACTTCAGGCTTCAAAGTCCGTTTAGGGCTTGCCTTTGGCTCACCCTGTGTTTTTTCTCTTGCGTCCTCGGAATTTTTTAAAATAGAGTGACAAAGTTCTTGGGTGGTATTTCTCTGAAAAGTGAGAGTTGACAGTTGTTCGTAAAATTGTCTCAGTAGTGAAATAGTGGCAGAGATACCTGCAGGCACCTATGAGCGCCTACGGAAATTTGGAGAGCAGGAGTCCAATACACCATCACTCATTGGGTAGCTTCTGGTAGTCAAGTCAATCTCAACGCCCATTCTGAATTCATACAACCTTAGGGTCCCAAAAGTGGGAAATTTGAAATGACCATTCCCACCCGTTTTCAGGGGTCCTTGTTCCGAGGAAATGTGTGACGGTTTTGTCAGTACTCCTTGCAATTTGAGTGATGCAGCAAAATGCTTTTATAGAGGAATATGACTGCTATGTAGCTTCATACGCAGACTGAGTAGCTTCCCAGCAAGCCACCGAGCTAGTTCCCAGTAATTCCGACCAGGGAGGTGGCATCGGAATGATTAATGTGTCGAAATTGGGCAAACCTTGGTGCTCTCCTGCCAAGTTTGGTTTCCAAGTTTGCTTTCTCTAGCCTTCATTGGAATGTTCAAATTACTGCCATTACTATCCACATATGTAGCCTTATGCACAATTTTATGCAACCCTTGCTACTCAGGCGGTGCTAAGTCACTACTTGTGCTTGACAAGCTTTGCTGTACTGGGTCACTTATACTTTGGTCAGTTGTGGCACATCATCTTAGCTAGAATCATATTCCAGGAATAACTCACTTCATTGGACTTGATATTATATGATCTATCAAATCAAAACCCGAGATAGTATTCAGAGCTGTTGAATGAGGATAATAGTATATAGTCTACATACTCTAATATACCCACTGAGGTCAACAGAAAATTGGCCACTTTTGTATTGATACTGTGCTCAAGCATTGACCTTGTTCAATGCTCAATTGAAGAAGGATATAATTTTGCGGGGAAGGATCAAAGGCAACAAAGCACTAGGATTCGACGCAAACTCAACATATTTTACTGTAAAAGAATCGGGGACAGCATCCAGGATCTCCTTTGTTGTAGGTCCTATGATTTTCAATGTATGCACATGCATATAAGGAGAGAGAGATGACCTTACTACATGCATATTAGGAGTGAAAGACAGATACCGTGAAAGATGACCTTGCATTATCCAGAAACGACTGTGTTATTCTATAAACCCTTTGTTGCTGTATGTGTTCATTTTAATTTGCTGGTACTAACGCACATAAAATGTATACCAGGCATAGAGACACCATGCCAGCATTGGTGATGTTTTGAGTTGGTCTAATGCATGGGATATCCACTCTTGCTAAATATTGCTCTGTGTTTGCAGACGACACAAAAAATACAACGGGCATACCATTGAAAATTTCACTGCCACTGGTGACATGATTAGATACTCTTACCTAGTCTAACATGACTACAGAAGGAGACCGGTTGCACACTTGCAAAACTGGGATAAGGACATCTGTTTTTGCCAAAAATCACATTACCGAGTCCGAAATGAAACGTTTGCGAAAATTCCACAGAGGGCACAAAAAATACAATGGACAGGTGGTTAAAATTATCATAACTCACTGGTGGCATTACAAGATTCTCATCGTAGTTTAACATGATTAAGGAAGAAACTCATTACACGTTCAGAAAACTGGGTCAGGATTTTGGCGACTGTTGGCGACTGTTGGCGACCTTTCAGCGCTAAAGTAGGTGCACTTGACGCTCAAACCCAATGAGATTGTGAAAGTAGGTATTTCAATAAAATAATCTATTTCGTAAGAAAAGTCAAGCAGGCCACACCTTTCCCTATCTGCTTCTGCATTATACAAGCTTCAAAGTACATAAGTTTGAAGTCTACTTGTTTCTCTGGCAGCTGTCGAAGAAGCAAGTGACTAATCTCAGAAGCCAACTTTTCACCAGCGTCTACATGTGATCTGTACCGTCTCAGTTCCATAAAATCATCTGAGGGGAGGGTATCCCAGAAGCGTACTCCTCCAAATTCACGCTCCCATAACTGATATCGTTCATATAGCACTGCAAACTGATTATACAGCGAGGCAAACTCTGGTGAGCGTTTCTGGCGGAGCATCTGGTGTAAGTGAAATTGTACATCTAGGGAAGTTGACGAGGTCTTTGAATACTATTAGGCCTGACTAAAATATTAAGGCCTGAAAGAAACAAACCTGTGAGCTATCGATTCGTGGCTGTTCAAATGGCTTCAAGGTCCTGTTCTCGGTTTCCTTACTAGGTACATTGGTGTCAATATCCATTGGGGATATAGCTTGTGAATTTGCGCTGATAGTTACTCTGAGTGTCCTGCTTATATAATTTTGCAGAGGACATACGTTTCTGAATAAGCTTGATTTTTAGTGCTTCGGTGACTACGATACCAATTTTTGGCTTGCTGATTGCGTTTGGCTGCATTTCTAGATGATCCTTAGTCAATGATGAATGTCTGACACAAATGAAAAGGGGACCTTCGGTAGTATGCTTGATGTTTGGTGAGCTTCGCGGGGGGCTGAGAGCATCTAAAGTCAGTCGACATGCTGGAGGCAATCCTCACACCTGAAGCTAATTTCTATTATGGATTGTTCACGATCTGAGAAGAAAGATCGGAATATTTCTAAATCTGATAAGCACAGGAGTGAGATCTATTCCGTCGCTGACCAAGTAAGACGTCGGGGGTTGCATGCGTACACCGGACAATGATGACCAAATCAGGTGAGGTGGACTGGGTTACAACTCAACATATACTCACGTACCGAGAAACAAGACGTTCATTACATCAAGATCGAAAGAAAAAACCCAATTGTCATCCATCTCCAACATCCGCCATGTTGAGCACCACCAAGATGTCCAAAATAAAGGCAATAGCCCCCGAGTCTCTGTCGTCGCAGGAAATGATTTCATGTGAGCTGGAATTGTATGTCCTCATCAGTGGACTGACCGCACCCGACTATTCAGATATTTCAGATCTCATAAACTGCCTCAAGATGTTCGACAACGAGGAAGCAAAAATCAGGTCAGCCATTAGAAGGCATGAGGACGCATTGGCAAACCCAACTTCGAATCACGATCGCAAGACCAGAACAAAAAAGCCCAATGTCCAGGACCTCATTGGTGAAAAGCTGGCGAAGAGCAAAACACTGCATGAGCAGCGAGTGATTGTGCAAGCAAAGCTTGACTTTCTTCATAAATTCAAACAATGTGAGTCGTCATCACCTTGCAGCTGGCATATAACTCACCTAAATCTTAGCTCACCGGCAATGTTTGTGTCATGGATGTGACATTGGACTCGAGATATCAATTCTTACCACTAGATGCTGGCCCTTCAAATGCGACAGTAAACCCTCAGGAAGAAAGAGGGCAAAACGCTTCAAATAGTGATGGTCAGTTTCGGTCTTCTCGTATGAGCTTGTTATTCACAGCAAACAGAATCGGACCTCACCGACATTGACGAAGAAGGTCAAACTACCACTGGCAAGCATAATATCGAAGACTCTTCAAAGCATGTCATTAGGAACGGTAGAAGAGGTATAGAGAAACAGGGGCAACTATCAGAGGCACCAACCAAGGCACTTGAGAGAGCTGAGTATGGTGAGCGCCAAAGACGATACAAAGATATTCAAATTCCTGATGTTCTCTTAAGCTTTTATCACCGAAACCGACCAGAAAGCTGGTAAGTAATTCCTATGTTATTGCTATGGTCCATTTTTAAGATGCTCTAGCGTTGATTGGTCCATCTACTGAGCCGAGGATCAGCGATCCAAAGGAAATTAAAGCCGCTGGTCAGTAAGATGCATTCTACAACATAATGATTAGTGACCTCATGACACAGAAATGAAAGCCGCATACGTCGATAAAGGATCCTCTCAAACTCAGGACACACAAAATCTTGTCGATAGCGAGAAGCCTGTAGGCATGGGTGAGTAATTAGCTTGCCTCAAAAGAACTAATGCTTAGTTGTTAAGAGATATGCACACTGTGACTGCCCAGGAAAACGAGGTGCAAGTAGACAAGTCCACTGAGAACAGGGATGGGGATGGGGATGGAGCCCTTGGAGCACTGGACTCGAAAGGTACGGGTTAGCGAAGCAATTGAACTGATATATGTATACCTACCAATTGACAGGAGAACGTACTGCCATTGCCGGGCCAAAAAAAAGGAAGCCAGCAGAAGGTACCACGGGACTCACTACTACGGGCGAGGGTCCTGCAAAGAAGTCGAGGAAATCTTCTCGCCCAGGCCCAGGAAAAAACTCAAAGGAAATGAAGAGTCGGACTGACAGCGGCACAGAGGAGCAAATGTCAGAGGTTGCCGAAGATGGTAAATTCAATGAAGATAATGATTTGGATGACGACGATACCATCATCAACCTCGTAGGCCCAAGGCATCCTGATGAAAAGATGGGTAAGCGACTGAATGATTTCTGGGTGTTTTGCTGCTCAAGATTGCTTAGCTGATTTCAACAAACGAAGAGCGAAGATGGATCAACTCCAAGGTAAGACTCACTTTATTACTTGATTTATTGTTAAGACCATTGCTTCTGTAGCCAAGGCCCGTAAAGAATTCCGACTTTTCCATGAATACCCCATTGGAGGAAAAATCAGCCCAAGGATTCGTCGGCTGAGCCAGGAAGTACCATGGTTCGTCCCGGAGGGCGGAACTATGAGCAGAGAGTTGTCGGTAAAACTTCTTACAAGCGGGCAAGGTAATATATTGTGCCCATATCACGCAGTAAAGGACAAGGCAACCAGGGTGCGTGACGAAGACGGGAAACATGGAACTCGGGACCCCAGCCTCACTGGTGTCCCTAAGCGACCCACGAAAGCGAAATCTCATGCAGGAAATCCACCAGATGGGTACATGCATTGCGGATGTGAGCTGGATTTAGTTTTACTAGAATTTTATTATTGGAAGACAGGGAGAATCTATTCGCCGACTCTGGAGATATGGGAGACGTGGAAAAATGAGCAGATGAACCCAAGAGTGCGAGCTTTTGTTTATGGGGACTGGGAGAAAAAAACGGGGTTGAAGTTGGAAAAGATGTGGACACGAAAGCCTAATAATAATGTTGGTGGCCGCGGGGCTCTAACGATGATCAGGTCTGAGGCCGAGGTGTTAGAGGACCAGATTAAAACCTTACAGGCACGTAGAGATGCTCTTGAACCGCCAGAGGAGGAGGAAAAGTCTTTATTGTAGTGCTTGGACTTGTTTGTTTGTAGCGCTTCAGCTCAAAACCGTCACATTGCTTGCAATTTTGCTATTTGTTTGGTAAGGTTTGGCTGAAGCATCTGCACTACTGTCACATGTCTGATATCTGGTAATTGCCGGAATAACCTGCGCTGACCCGCAAACTTCAGCGGGATCTCCCGAGTCCCATAGATGAGGTGGTGAGTATAACGTAGTTACACCGTAAGTAATGGTAGGTACTTGAAATACTTATAAATACTTATAAAAAGTTTCCATCCGTCGCACTAGGTTCTTATTGGTAAATGGTTAGACTGTTCAAAATAATCACTTACTTTCTGCAAGAAGTTCCGTACGGTGATGGTTTGTTGGGTAAGGGATGGAAAAGCGTACAAATAAGCTGTGAAGCCACTGGGGAATTTGGTTGTGGGAAATCCAGCGGCGCATTTGGTAGAGGTCATCATCAGTGATGTGGCAGAGAGCATTTTTGGATTGAAGCTCGGGCGAGGTTATTGCGAATGCAATAAGCATGGGAAGATGTTTGTGTGTATATGGGGCAAACTGTCGATCACTTGAGATAAACTGTTCGGGTTCGAAATCGGTGCTGGAAGGACTGGGACAGGCGGCACTTATGAGTGCTGTATGTGCCCGATACATTGGAGGAAAGCTGGATGGCAGGAACGCGCAGTGAGCATATCTCTCTTGAGCTCTAATTATGGCAAACTACAATAAATCAGATACAAGAAGTGTGAAAAAGGGCAAAAGCTCACCGCAAGGTACACTAGTTTGAAGCAGCTATCCTTGTCAGCCGCTGAAAAAGTGCCTAAACTATTCTTGCTGACGTAGTGCTCTGCAATGAGGCAGTAAAGGCAAGCCAGACGTCGAAGATGAGTAATAGTCCTAGTGTAGACAGTGATTTCGAGAGCAGTCATTGCACTGGTTCCAGAGGGAGCCTGGGCGCGCTGAGCAGTCGCTAAATAATTTTGGAAAGTCATCAAGTCAACAGCCGATTCTGAAGCGTACCTGATGGGCGTCGGTCCGATTTCTCATTGCATCGCATCGCGTTCTTGGATTTCACCGCCTCCTTGTAAACATGGCTAGTGTCGTTCCAACTTCCATTACTCAGCATCATTGTCTTGATTCAGCAGCAGAGCGACTCAGTGGTTGTGCTGAACTGGTTACCATGATCTTGAAGAACATGAACGAAAATTTATCAGACGGTTCGCGTGCCAACGACTGGAAGGATGTACGAGGGTTGATGTCTTTGTCAAAGATATGGTGGCTCACTGGGCGTGAAATTCTCTTCCGAACTCGAGTTGTTGGGAGCAAACGACAAATACGCAAGCTCTCTGATTTCACGAGGGCATCCAATGGCATGTATCGAAAGATGTGGAAGGTCTTGATATACAACGTAAGTGAATCGAACTGGAAAAGGCTGGGAGAAGAGAGTGCTTGGTGGACCGATCCGTGGATGCTGGCGGCACTCAAGAATCTAGATCTTTCGGGAATTGAAGAAGTTAGGGTCTGCGGAGGGTCCTGCGAGAGCGACGGCTCAGATGTCCACAGAAGCCTGGATCCTTTGTACACGATGTTTCAAAGGATGCCCCTACTCTACAGGGTAGACTGTACGAATTCGAACTTCCACACCGATCATGCCCATCAGCTCATCAGCATGGCACAGTTCGTAGTGCCTGTGGCAGAGGATGGGGAGAGAGAGGTGTCATTTCGAGGATGGAGAATTTCGCACTTTCAAAAGCCAGATCTGACGATAGACCCAATCTTCCCATTGAAGCTGAGGCCTAGAAAATTAAATTGTACAGGTGCTCTTTTCGATCAGCTTGGAGCCTCCTTCGCTATTGATTGTCATATGGTCAAGGAGGTTGTACTTACAGTTGGGGGAATTTTTGATCTGGAGAGCATCAAAACCGGTATTGAATACTTTGACGGACTAGAAAAAATGGAAAGTAAGTTTCTAATCGAAAATAATGCATATATCGTTGGCTCACATTGAACCCAAGTACGTATGTTGATAGACAACATATATCCAATGATTGATCCCCTGGCCAACCTCAAGGAGCTCACAATCACAGTATTTACGAAGACATGGGCAAGCTTGACAGGGGCTGGGTATCTGCTTGCACTGCTCATATATCCAATGGAGTGGGATAGCCTTGCTATCCTTCGTCTGAAGATGACGCCCATGCAAAACCGCTCTGTCACAAAAGAACTTCAGAATAGTGTTCAGTGGGAGCAGCTCGGTGAATTCTTGATGGACCGGCCAAGGTTCCCATGTTTGTCCACTGTTGAAATTAATATTGTGCGAGACGTTCAAGACGTGCTTCCTTGGAGTAATGAGGGAGGGGAAGATACCGAAGATGTATTAGGATTAGTGGAGATTGCGGCAAGGGAAAGGGTGACAAGACAGGTAATTTTAGATGGGTTGCAAGTTGTAAAGATGGCAAGGGGATTGGATGTTTCTGTAAACTTCGAAAGGGAGAAAATATTTGGTGTATAAGAAATGTAGTCATGGCGCACAATAAAAGTTGCCACATACCAGTGATAGTCTTGTGCATGGACTGGAGAAAACAGTGACACCACAAGAGTGCTTGCATTGCTTAAGGGTTATGACACCTCCTGTTGTACACAATCAATGGGTGTGAGTTCGAGTCTTGCAGAGTGAACATTTTCTTTACTATTTTGGTAGTACACATGTGAACCTGATATTGTACATTCTGAACCCCTCTTTGTTGTAATATTGAATAAGTATCTTCGCTCTAGGGAATGTTTTTGCATAATATGAATTGTATCCACAGTTCCGAACCTGGGTCTGCATTGGACTGGGTAATAAGGAGTTGCTCAGTACTATATTTCAACCTTTCCTTGGGATATGGTTTGTGCCAACTGTATTTTCATTGGGTGAGAAATGGTTGCTCAGTACTATATTCCATGAAAAGGTTGAGATATGGTTTTTGTCAACTGTATTTCACTGGGTAATAAGGAGTTGCTCAGTACTATATTTCAACCTTTCCTTGGGATATGGTTTGTGCCAACTGTATTTTCATTGGGTGAGAAATGGTTGCTCAGTACTGTATTCCATGAAAAGGTTGAGATATGGTTTTTGTCAACTGTATTTCACTGTGTGATAAATGGTTGCTCAAAACCATTTCCCAACCTGGGTCTGCATTGGACTGGGTAATAAGGAGTTGCTCAGTACTATATTTCAACCTTTCCTTGGGATATGGTTTGTGAGTAACAAAATATGGTCAATGCCAACTGTATAATGATATGCATGATTGGTACATAACGTAAAATCGGCATGCGAGAAATTTTTATTGTACAACACACAGCCGGCTGTACTCACTGTCTCCGAGAAACCACAGTAGGTTGATTATCAGCTCAACAGCAACCTATCATGCACTGTAGAACAGCATATGCAAGGATGATTTGCAACCTATATAGGTTGACTAACAACCTAATATTTTACCAGAACCTGTAGGTTCATTTGCAACCTATTATCAGCAAAATCAACCTACTCATAGAATATTGAATCATTGGATAAAGCAAGTGTATAATAGGTTGCATATCACTACGTATAGGTTGCATATCAGTTACATATGAAGATGACTATTAAGTTGAATAACAACAAGAATTACACTGTTGATGTAGGTTGAATTGCAGACTGAAATACGTCGCTTTTAGCAGTAGGAACTATGAACCGGATACGTTGAAGGATGACCAGAATCACGTTGCTGGTATAGGTTGTATTGCAGGTTACGATATGTTGTTTTCGAGTATGATAGAGCTTATCATATAGGTTGGATATAAGTGCAATTCCACTGATTACTCTAGGGCGCGCGCGCGGGCAATTGTGTTGATTGTGAAAGGAGATTTTATTTCAGAAATCACCAACTCTACGTTCATATGACCATGTATAACATCCAACACTATTTCATAACCAATGCTGGATCCGCAGGATGGAAGGACTCGTGAATTTAAGCTGGGGTTCGAAGAACTCGTGAATTTACGAATTGACATCAACTGAATTGGATTGAGAACGCGCGCGTGAGCTGTTTGAGTATCATCAAACCAATCAGAATATGCCATACATTCTAGCCATGAGGCTTACCTGTTCACATCGCCGTCTCTTCCTCTTCTTCTTCGTCTACATCCATTTCATTTTCCCCACCATTATTAGTCTGCAATCCCGATGACCCTTCAATGAACTCCGGCATTTCCACATCACTGTCAACAACCTCAGCTCTACGCCTCAATCGTCTCCTCTTTCTCCGTTCAGCCTTTGCTGCCTCCTTGGCTTCTTTAGCCTTTTCCTTTCGTCGAATGTAGTCCTTTTGAGCATTGGATTTCCGCGATTTAGACTGGTCACGCTGCGCTGAATTTGCGGTGAGGTAATCGTACTTAGCACTGCGTTGAATGGTGTGAGACCGAAAACTTTTGCCACGCAAGTTCTTGATGTATTGGCGTACTAGACACTCTGATGCCCAGTCCGTCTCGAAGCGTTTCAAGATGGGATCACGCTCGCGCATCTGCAGTAATGAGTGGTCAGTGGTTGGTCACATTTAATATAAGTACTCACAATTGCGAACAGTAGTGCTTTGTCGGCAGCAGCAATATTCCTCCATTCATACTTATCCCAAGGGATCCGGGACTCATGAACTGCCCGGTGAGTATTTCGCTGGCATTTGTAATAGTGAGTGTACAGTCTATCGTTAGAAGGATTCCACGTACAACTAATGCGTTATATGTCACAAGACCCTTTGTGCTCTTCGATAACCCCATTTTTACACAAAGTGTGAAGTCTCTTCCTGCTTGGCCTTTGGGCTTCGGAATAACTGGCAAATCTTCACTCGAAGGTATGTTTTTTTCTGTTGTGACCGTTGTTGAATCTTCATGTTGGTTTGCCCGCAAGCTGGTAAGGCTTTCTAAGGCTCGTCGTCGGTCTTGGAAATTGTTTTCGTTAGGTTGGTTTCCAACTTGTGTATTATTTGCACCAGCTTGTGCGTCGAGATTTTCACCAGGTGTAGCTTATGTACGTATAACTCGATATTAGGTTAGGTTCTATTTCAAAAGATAGAAAGGTACTAACAGCTTGTTCCCCCAACAGGCGTAGGTGAAACCGTCTGCTGGCCAATTCTGGTCTCTGAGAGGACCGTGGATCGATAAGCACGCATGGCCATCAGCTCTGCATTCAAACGGGCATTCTCAGCATCTCTGGCAGCCTGCGAAACTAGATTTGGGGATAGGTAAGCCAACTCATTTCGAGATACATTCATACCTTTCATTGCTTCCAAATCACTCATTAATTTTGCTAACGCATTATTTTCTTCTTCTGTCCTTGGTTTACTTTTAGGTTTGCGGCCTCGCTTTGGTTTTACAACTGCTGGTGAATGGTTGGCCGAAGTGTCAGACATTTTTTGGAAAAGGGTTAGAGTAGTAGGAGCACTGTTAGCATCGACTTCGTTGACTTCAACGTGTGCATACAAAAATCGTGCAAAAAACCACGTGATTGGCATCCTCCTAATATATCTCTTTCGTGTTCGAATGCCGCCTGAACGTCGCTTGAGAGGGAAGGACTCGGTCACCTCCAACAAGATATACTGTGGTGTCTGCAAGAAAATCAAAACACGGTACCATGTTGTTCAGCATGAGCGGTCAACACATGCCCCGCCCAACCCTGCACTCACTCCTCCTGTATTAACCCATGTACCCATCACCGACATACCATCCGAATCAGAACCCTCATCGGATTCGTCTATGTCGGACACTGAGCCCGAGAATCAGCACAACTCTGACCCAGAAACTCATATGGCTGATGATATTGTCAGCATGCCACTTCGTTCAGAATCTGAAGGTGTAGCAAAGAATTTGAATGAATCTGGTATAGATGGAGGACAGTCTTCGCTACAGATAGAGGATGTTTCGAACTTCAGTGCACTTGATATTCATGATCAATGGGCACATATGGAGAAACTTATCCCTACCAACTGGATTCCTCCCGAAGACTCCGAGACTGATCAGGAGGATAGAGATGGTGCGGATGATATCCCATTTCCACTGGAGGATGAAGATCCATTTGACGATGATTTGGAAGAAGATAATTTCTGGGACTTCGGGAAGTTTGACTGGGAACAGTATCGAGAGTACGGGAATGACAATCGGCTGCCTGCATTACAGCAGGTGCGTGCAGGTTATTTCAGTGAATTTTCAGAAATCAGTATGTCTTTTACTCTCAAATCAATGTTAATCTAACAGCAGTTACAGAAAACAAGCTTTCAGAGTACGACCTTGCCATTTGCCGCGCTTTCTCATATAAGCTTCAGTCACATACTACAGATGGAAATTTCCGAAAACTTCCTTATGCGTTCCCCATGGCGGCTCCTTTACCATCTCTTGACAAAATCCGTTCCCGTATTGCATTCCTCTCCAGCGTTGAGCCTGAAATCTACCACTGCTGTATCAATTCTTGTATCTGTTATACCGGATCACATGAATCTCGCGAAACATGTCCATTCTGTAATGAACCACGTTATAACAGCAATAAAAAGGCACGAAAAACATTCGTTTACATCCCAGTTATTCCCCGACTCAAGGCCTTTGCCATGAACCCTGAAGTTGCAAAGAATATGCAATATCGCAATGATTTCACAAACGGATCCAGTGAAGTGCGCACCACAAAAGATGTCTTCGATGGAGAAGATTACAAATTCCTTCGGAAACAGAATGTCGTGGTGGGGAGTCGTACATACACCTATCATCATTTCAATGATCATCGAGATGTTGCGCTTGGTCTATCTACAGATGGCTTTGGTCCCTTCAAACGGCGTAAGCATACTTGCTGGCCATTGATCCTCTTCAACTATAACTTGCCACCAGAGATCCGATTTCACATGGAAAACATCCTTGCTGTCGGTGTTATTCCAGGGCCAAAAAAACCAAAGGACGCAGACTCATTTATGTGGCCCCTCGTGCGAGAGATGCTACGATTAGCGCTAGGCATAACCACCTTCGATGTCTTGTCGAAGAAAATGTTCACTCTCCGAGCCTACCTCATACTTGTCTTTGGTGATATTCCAGCAGTCTCGATGATTATGCGAATGATTGGACATAATGGTATCTCTCCATGCCGTATGTGCAAGATTGTTGGTCTCCGCATTCCTGATAGCAGAATCACCGCTCATTATGTCCCTCATGACCGCTCCGCTCATCCAGCAGTGTTAGCCTCTGACTCAATTAGATGCTACCATGGTGGTAATCTTCCTTTGCGTACGCATGATGAGATGCTTTCACAAGCCAAACATGTAGATGCTTCCAGCTCAGAGGCAGAAGCTACTCGACGGTCCAAAGAGTACGGTGTTAAAGGAGTTTCCATTTTATTCAACCTTTCTTCGCTCCATTTCCCTCAATCATTTCCATATGACTTCATGCACCTTGTCTGGGAGAATCTTGTTAAAAACCTTCTCAAACTTTGGTCGACCGATTTCAAGGGCTTGGACCCCGGGCAAGAGGACTACAAATTTTCAAAAACTGTATGGGAAGCAATCGGTGTAGCTACTGCAGCCTCAGGATCCACAATTCCATCTGCATATGGTGTGCGCGTACCTGACATTTCCGGTGATGGTGAATATATGTCTGCCGAAATGCTTTCATTTTGGACTCTGTATCTCGGGCCAGTTCTTCTTCGCAATCGTTTCAGTGATGAATCCTACTATAATCATTTCATTGAATTGGTGCGATTGCTTAATCTGTGTCTACAATTTGAGATTACAGATATAGAGCTGGAGGACATCCGTACGGGGTTCATTCGATGGGTCGATGAATATGAAAGGTATTGTGTCGGAATCTTGATAAACATACAATTTTTATTCACATTATGTCCAGGATATACTACCAGTTTGATCCCCAGCGCATTGCTCTGTGTCCATTGACTATTCATGCTCTTCTCCACATTGCGCCAAGTATCAAAGCGAGTGGACCAGTTTGGTGCTACTGGGCATTTCCAATGGAACGCTACTGTGGTAAACTCGGACCTACAATCCGCAGTCGGCGCTTTCCATTTGCAGCTCTTGCCCGGCAAGTATTGGAAGAGGCCCGATTGGCCCAAATCAGCATTTTCTACAATGTCCATGAGCTCCTTTCATTAACCCCTCCTCTGCAAGGTGCTGTCCAAGGATCATTCACTGACCCCGCATGTGTGTTGTTATTTAATTAGAAATTCTACTTCCTACTTACCCTCAGACAGATCCCAGTTGTCGTTTACTTCCTCCCCGTAATCCCAAGTCACCTGAGCTCTCCCAGCTAACATCTTTGGTTGGAGCAATGGTTACCCGATTCAGTAGCAATACTCATCGTGTAACACCTGGTCTTGTCAGGGAATGTCTCTCCGGAGCAGATATTCAAGACTGGGGGAAAGTGCAGCGTACTGACTCCGATGCAGGTGATACAATGAGAGCTGCCGCTGTTGGTAAGCTCCGTGAAGATCATCGGGATGCATCATTTGTCCGTGTATGTATTCTACTCCTTATCCAAAATGTGCCATTGAGTCATGATTTATTAGTATGAGATGTATATTGACAAATATGCAAACCGTCGTAATATTGAGCCCGAATTCTCACTGGAGACATTCTATGGCCAGCTTCAGCACATATATGTTGTGCGTTTCACTAATCCATGTCCCGCGTTACAAATTTCTTCACCAAGAACACTGATCATGGCTCAAATCAAATCATGCAAACTTACCGACTCACAAGTTTCCGGACTTGACATTCATTTCTATCATGGCATGGGTAGTACCCATGTTATAGATATCACCAGTCTTCAGTGCGTAGTGGGACGTGTACCATGTGGGTCAGGGGACTGGGCTATTATTGACCGAAGTGGATCTTTGGCTCGAGCTGGGTATCTCGAGGTTGAGGATGGGTAATCTGGTACCAGTATTTATTTGACTTCATGTGGGTTCAAATGTAATCATATCTATATCATTTTTGGCCACTATACTGAAGAGTCATACAATTCACTATATCTACAAAATCTTTTCTTAGTGGTAAATGCCTCTCACTCTGTGCATGATGGGGCAGTTCGAATGTACGGGGTCCAGAGCATTGTGACACATGGTGTGACATGTGATTTTTTCGATTCAAATCTTCTTCTCCAATATCAATAGAGCTATCACATTCCACGGAACACTCACTCTCCATGAGCCTGGCAAGAAGATCTTCAACTCCTGTAAAAAAAGGCAAGATGGTTGTTGTACCATCATCACAAACTCCGCCGGAAATCCACCCAAAACATGAGATATCAGAGCCGTCAACACTCTGGATCCTAGACCACAGTATTGATGTTGATGATGATAGCTGTGGCAGTCTCGTCAGTAGCTAGGATCTTTATCCACCAACCAGTACTGAATTTCATGCTCAATAGGATTCAGATAGAACCCAGGCCCAACCTCAGTTTTTGCAAAAACAGCCGGCGCCTGAAGTCTTATTTGGAACGCCAACCAAACCCTCGACACGTAAAGCACCTACATATACATATGAAGAAGAGGATGTTGACAAGACACTGATTGAGATTTGGGAGACCCCCGAGCTGATTGTTCCAGTCCCAAGTGCGTAATCATACAGACTAGGAAATACATATTGAACACTGATCACTCCATGTATATCAGGACCTCGCCCATTCTTGCTTCGTCGTGGACCGCCAGCCAAAAGCCCCCAAAAATCCACCTTTCCCTCACCCTCCACTCAATACAAAAAGCGCCTGTCAGAGTTGTCCGCTGACTTACACATGTCTCTGCAACGTTGTGAAGCCCTTGAGCTCAACTTACGTGCTGCTTCGTCTGCCCGGAAACTGGCTGAAGAGCAACGGAATACTCAGAAGGAGCACCTCGATGCAATGGGAAAGGATAATTGTCGACTCAATGAAGAGAATCACCGTCTTCGCCTCAAGCTTATCACTTTGCAAAAAGAGATGCAACAGGCTGGGTTGAGTCTTATCAGTCAGGCAGGCCTAGGTTCCTTGGAATAAAGTACATAAATATGTGCATACGTAGCTTATCGACGGCTTGATAGACATTCATCGCGCATACCACAAATTATTAACATCAATGTCAACCTAAAACCACCTGCTAATCAACCTAACTAATTTTACGAAAACTTTTAATTTTAGAGAGTGCATATTAGGATGATTTAAATCAACCTATGACCAGAAGGAATAACCTACGGTAGGTTGGAGCTGATATACAGCTTGTATTAGGTTGGTAATCAACCTATCTGGGTTTTACAGTGTGTTGCAGCCGGCTGTACCCTTGTATACAGCCGACAGAGTGACGCCTATCTGACAAGCATCCGTTCTTCACAAGTATAAATAGTAGAAAACCCAGCCTCCCAAGAGAAGGTAAAGCTTTTTGTCCGCAATGACTTTCTTTCAGGCAGGTGCAACTTAGACTAAACATTGGACAGAAGAGAGATATGCTAGCTTTCTCCAAACATGATCTTCAGGTTCTCTATACTATCCAGTTCCCCCGTTGACTTTCCAGTTCCCCGGAATGCCTCCTTTACAAGGGCCGTTTTACGTTTCTGTATTCTGAGAATACGCGCCTCGATCGTGTTTTTGACCTGAAATATGAACTGTTAGTTCAGAATGAAGGTCAAACATCCAACGTACAATGTAGTGTTTGACATATACTGTCTTGTCTTGACCGAGACGATGTACTCTGTCGATAGCTATATGGCGAAATTTCAGTACAGGCGAAGAAGACACAGCTTCCGGTTACCTTGGTTCTCTATTTGAAGGGTCTTAACGAAACATATAGAGAACATAGCCTGATTCACACACCTGTTGCAGAGTTCCACCAACAATCCATCTGGAACCGGTATTCAGGGATAATCAACAAAAATATCTAATGAGGCATTACCATGAAGACGTGATTCGCCGTAGTTAGCTAATTCAAAAACATTAGATGTTGAAAGATCATCATATAAAGGAACGGACGTTCAACCCAACGCCACCTGCCTTCAAACTGATGCAAAGAATTTTTGGCTTAGTAGATGCTTCCTTGAACGCTGTTATAACACTGTGTCTCCTCTTTCTCATTGGTCAGCCAGCCCACTATTCCTGAGTTATAGCCAGAATTACCTTCACATCGAGAGTACCATCATACCTATAGTGGTCAAACTTTTCGCGGTCGAGGGCGGTCTCTATGAAATCAAGAAAAGACGTAAATTGTGAAAAAACAACAGCGCGGAAGGCAGGATCTGTTGAACGGATACGATCTGACACAAATGAGTGTAAATATTCGACTCCATGTCAGCAGAGCGCGTACGAAGATCATGAATGAGCGCAGTAAGCTTTGTCGACAAGGTGAAGTCATTCCGACGTAAAACCAAATCTGGCTGAGAATTTTGAGAAGTGGGAAGTGGGCGAACTACTTCGACGAGGTCGCTTTGCTATAATACGGTATATATATTTCTTTTGAGAAAGTGGTATCGAAATGAAGGAAAAAATGTTGACCTTGATGGGACCACGAGAACAGCTTGGACATTTTGTCTCTTCTCCCTTCATCTCACATGTAGCAATATATGTTGTAATACAGTCTTTGCAGCTGCAAGGGGTTACCCATCAGTTTTCTCCCTTCAGTTTAGTGTGATATGCCACACACCATCGATGCAAACACTCTGGAACAATCATTGGAATTTCCATAACATCTAAGCATATAGGGCATTCCGAAGCACCCTCGGCCTGATCATCGAGATCAGCTAACACAGTTTCCGCAAACACATTCGACTGTTCCTCATTTTCCGCAAATTTTTTGATCATTTCGTTGACATCGACGATCCCATCCCCCAAGGGCGACAGGGCCCGTTCATCGTTTTTTGTGAAAACAAGATTGGGATGTAAAACGGCCCGTCGAAGTCTTAAGACATATTGTGAATGAATGAATGACCAAGGAATAAACCCAAACCAAACGTCATCGACGCACCTCATGAGCATTGCTAGAATGTGAGTGTATTTCTTACTGAGAAGACCTTGTGCTCTCAGTTGATCGAAGTTCCTCTTGGCTGAGTCATAGATAGAATCGTAAATTTTTCGTTCCATGGGCGCGAATTCCAAGTTTTCAACAGTAATCTGAAACACAGTTCGCGAAGATAATGGCAATGGCGCAATGAGGCTCGAACCTTTTTCGGAGGTAATTCCACGATTCTCTTGCCTCCGCTATCAAGCATATTCTTCTCTCGACGCAAGAGAATCGATTCTAGAATGACCTGTACAACCTCTATGCCTTTAGGATCGCGAGCAAGGAATGGAAGGGTGATGAAGCTAGTCTTTGTGAGCTGTGTGGAATCAAAGAAAAATACAAAGATGACGCACGAGTTGAAGAATGAGAACTCTGACCACGGTTTGAAATTCAGGAATTTGCTAGACATGCGATTTAGCGCAAGCAAGAACGCGCAAAGTGAACTTACAGAAGTGAATATAGATCTTCTAGTTTATTCACGATAGGTGTTCCTTGAGCGGGCTATTAGCTATTGAATCAAAGCAAAACGTGCGGAATAGCCCACCGGTGACCGCCCACCGCCTTCTTGCTCGAAGAGCGTATACTGCCTTAGCAGTTTTACTGGTACGAGATTTGCAAGAATGTGCTTCATCCAGCACTACCCGGAGCCATTCCACTATATGATTTTCTATGAGCTCGTGAAAGATAATGGACAGACAGGAACAATGTACCATTATACACGGGTGAACTAGACTTTTCCGCTTTGGCGTGCTCGGAGACCAATGTACCGTACGAGGTGATAACAATCTTGATAGGGATTGTGAACCCTGGTTCGTCGTCCTCTTCCAGAACAACATCAAGATCACCACGATTTTGACCATGCCAAACCACGACTTTGACGGTTTTAGGCTTGCTAGATCTTTCAATCTCTTCTGCCCATTGGTCGATCAGTGATGTCGGGGCGACAATCAGTGTGGCTGAAGGCGGAGAGTTCTTCCTGTTCTTTGCTGGTTGTAGGGCATTGTTGAGCTTGAGTTGGCGTTGCTTCGATGACAAAGTTTGGTGAACTGGTTCGTCTAAACCGAGGTTGCTCTGTATGAGCGCACTTGGAAACCGAAGCAGTTGAGTTCGCGCGCGCCACTGAGAGAACGGAAAACTCACGATATCATGATGGTTTTTCCCATTCCCACTATGCAACAGGAGATTAGTCTATGTAGGTGAATCAGGGCGATGTTCTTACTTTCTGCCAAGATAGAGAAAGAAAATTAACAGTACATCAGGGAAGAATCAAATTGGAGTATCAAGTTAAGTTACCGTCACTGGGGATCCGTCAGCCTTGGGATTAACCCTAAAGTCGGAAACAACTCACGCTAATATACCGCCCTTGCAGTTACGCTCCGATTTGGGGAAGTTGAGCGTCATTTCGCCCGAGTATGGATTGAGATAGAAGGGTTTCTCGTCTTCGGTAAGATCGATGAAACCGCCATCAGGTTTGGCGGGGAACGCATACCTATAAAGTACCGTAATGAGCAAAAAGAGCAGGTTGCTGGAAAGTGAGAGTCGTACTCGCTCCATAATGGATGTAGCGACTTAGCTTCCCGAGCGTTCATCTTGCCTGACTCTAGCGAGTCCATCCAGCTACAAAAAGTAAAAGTAAGTATAAGTAAGGAGTAGGCTGGATAATCAAAACCGCTTCACAATAAGGCCTGTTTTTGATATCCGCGCAAGGTTAATGTGAATGATTCTGCAGCTTCCATTTCGCCCATATCCTGGTCATGGTGTTGTGCCCTGTACCAAATATGAATGAAGGAGCCAGTTAAAAGCTATGTTCCTCATACCGCTTATAGATTACATCGAGATCACTCTTTGAAAGGTCTTCACCGTCCTCAACCTCAACCTCTTCCCCGTCGCCGACAATCTCAAGGTGCTTTTTCGGCTTCGTCTGTGACATATGAGAAATCTGCAGGGCGTCTTCTTGAAGTTCGCGTTCTGACTTTTCGTGGCCAGCCATAACACCAGCTTGGGGCTTGAGACCGACGATCTCGAATAATTTGAGAACGGCGCTTTTTCGTTCCCGTAGGCGTTTCTCTTCGTCGGTCTCTAGGCCCTCCCCAAACATCCTTGGACGTTCATCGCTTTCTGCGACATTCACTGGCATGAACGCGGTGCGAAGAAGATATACATCGACTGAGACAATGAGATTGGCACCAATAGTTAGTTTAGACGGGCAGTCAGTCATCTTTCCTCGCAATTCGACGACACCTGAAATTTAAGGGATCTAGCCCTTTAATTTGTGATACAGTAGGAAATTCACAAACCGAGGTCTAATAATTTTGAGGTCCACCATGCAACTTCCTGAGGAAGTCTTCCGAACTCTGGGTCAATAATGATGAGATTACACTGGGAGAGGTATTATCAAAGCGCGCCTACCGACACCACGAGTAGTGACGAGTCGCACGATAGTATCAGTTGTCCTCTTATTCGGTGCTTTGACAGGTTGTGCATTGATCATGGATTTGATTGACACCTGTTTCTTGCCGCCGTTCTTCTCATTAGCCTTCTCCTTTCCCTTTCCCTTTCCCTTTGTGGATACCTCAGAAGTTTTGGAGTAATCAACGTCCCGTTCTATTCTGACGTTATCGTTGGTTGTAACGTAGCCAGACCCAGAAATACTACTCCACGCGTTAGGAACAAGGAATTCTCCTACGTATATCGGGAACTGAATAATATCTGTAGGAGAGGGAAGTGCAAAAGATGGGGACAAGCGGCGTTTCTTTGCAGGAGGAGAAACCTGCTTCTTCTTCATTGGTCGAGTGACTGCCTCCTCTTCGGAGTCGGAAGAAATGGAGATATATTCAGACATCGAACTGGCGCTGACGCTGGTTGCACGAGGAATGTCTATTGTATCCAAGTCCATTTCGTCAATGTCTTCGTGGTGGATGTCCGGCGAGCTCCCCCTTTTTTGTGGTATTATCGGTATATCCTCCTCTTCGTCGTCGCTATCCGTCGGCAGAAAGAGTTGTCTATGTTCCACTTGGGATGAAATTGAGGATTCAGTAGCCTTAAGCTCGGTAGATTCGACAGCCATTTCCGCCTCCTCATCGTCAGATCCGGCGAAGAACAAGGCAGGAGGCTCGTCAGAATCGGTCATTTAGAATGAAAGAGTAAGTAAGACGCGAAGACTCGGAATAAATGTTTTGACGCGTCTGTCTGCACCGTGTGAAAAAGAAACTGACAATTTCTTCCACTGAGATTTCTCCTTTGGTTCATTGCGTCCTTGTTAAAAATGCAACGCGGCCTGCCAATGGTCAGTAATTGTTCCCGTGTATCTGAATAGTATATTCACACAATGATTATCAGCAACCCACTGTGGTTGTCCTCAAAGAGGGCACCGACACTTCTCAAGGCAATCCCCAATTATTGTCCAACATCTCGGCTTGCCTTGCGATCGCGGAAACCTTATCCAGTACTCTCGGTCCCCGAGGAATGGACAAACTCATCGTGTCGGATCGTGGCGAAGCCCAGATCACAAACGATGGAGCAACAATTTTGAAATTACTGGAAATTGTTCATCCAGCCGCGCGGACATTGGTCGACATTGCTCGTGCTCAGGATGCGGAAGTCGGCGATGGGACAACGAGTGTTGTACTTCTTGCTGCACAATTGCTTAAAGAGATCAGAGGGTTCATTGAAGAAGGAGTCAGTCCACATATCATTATGAAGGGGTTCAGGAAGGCTTCTCAATTGGTACGCGTCACATTCTACATTTTTGTACACTCAACTCATCCACATTTAGGCAATGGACAGAATAAAAGAAATCCAGGTTACTGTCGAGAAGTCAGATCCAGAGTGTGTCCCTAGACCAAATCTCCCTTCCATTTGTTTTTACTGATTAATCATAGACGCTTCCGTTCTTTATTACTGAAGTGTGCATCAACCTCGATGTCCTCTAAACTCATCCACTCCGAAAAGCCTTTCTTCTCTAAAATGGTTGTTGATGCCGTTCAGTGTCTGGACCAAGACGATCTCGATGAATCTCTGATCGGTGTAAAGAAAATTGCCGGGGGAGGAATGCAAGACTCGTTGCTAATCCAAGGTGTTGCTTTCAAAAAGACGTTCACCTACGCAGGTGCAGAGCAACAGCCTAAACTATTCAAAGATCCCCTGATTTTGTGCCTTAACGTCGAACTTGAACTCAAAGCGGAGAAGGACAACGCAGAAGTCCGGGTAGAACATGTGTCTGACTATCAGGCGATCGTGGATGCTGAATGGGAAATCATTTATCGAAAGCTGGATGCTATCGAAAAAACGGGCGCTAAGGTCGTCTTGAGTAAACTGCCCATCGGTGATCTTGCTACTCAGTACTTTGCCGATCGCGACATCTTTTGCGCAGGGCGAGTCGGCGCTGGAGATCTTCGTCGTGTAGTTCAAGCTGTTGGTGGTTCCATTCAATCGACATGCTCCGACATTACCAGGGAACATTTGGGAACATGTGGATCTTTCGAGGAGAAACAGATTGGCGGCGAACGATACAACCTGTTCGAGCACTGTCCGAAGGCAAAAACTTGCACATTAATCCTCCGTGGCGGTGCAGAACAGTTTATCGAGGAAGTAGAGCGAAGTCTACACGACGCTATCATGGTCGTCAAACGGGCTGTGAGAAATGGCGACGTTGTTGCTGGAGGTGGTGCCATCGAGGTACGTATGTTCGCATTCTCTTTGGATAATGGCCAGCTCATTGTAATCCCAAGATGGATATCTCCGCTCATATTCGTAAACATGCCCTGGAAATTCCTGGCAAACTTCAACTGATCATGACTGCTTTCGCTAAAGCCCTCGAAATTATCCCGCGACAAATTTGCGATAACGCAGGCCTTGATTCGACAGACATTTTGAACAAACTCCGGATGAAGCATGCCCAAGGAGAAAAATGGTTTGGAGTAGACGTCGATGGCGCTTCAGGTGTCCGTGACAATATGGATGCCTTCGTTTGGGAACCTGCCCTTGTCAAATTAAATGCTATCAGTAGCGCAGCCGAGGCTGCTTCGCTCATCTTGAGCGTTGATGAGACTGTCAGAAACCCACAAAGTGAACAGGTATGTGAAACCACATGCCCTCATGGCTCTGAACTCACATTTTTGTAGCAAAACCCAGGACCCAAGGCCCCTCCAGGTACTGCTCAGAGAGCATTGCGTGGAAGGGGACGAGGTATGCCCCGTCGGTGAAATATCAAAAATCGTAAAAATCCTGCATGACGTCTGTGCTCGATTTGTAGAATTTGTTTTGGTAAAAAAAAAAATATAGCTAATTCTCCTCCCGTATGGAAGTTGTTTTTCTCAGCAGTCGGCCAAATCAGATGTTCGTTCCTTAAATTTCCTTTCCTTTGTCACACGGCCCCAATAACATGGAATTGCGCAATACCTCGACTCTTGAGCGTAATGGGTCACCACACTAAATGATGATATTGGTCAATTGTTTCTCATTTTAATGCTTACTGACTAGTATATGAAAGAAAATGCCATAGATTCCCTTGGGGCTCATTTCTTTTCCTTATCATGACTACCATTCTCCCCTTCTTGCAAGAACCCTCGGTACAAGAGAGATACAGTGGTGAGAAGGACGATCGCACCCCTAGTCCCACCTTGAACGAGCAGAAACCACCTCTCGGAATACCGGTAGACAATGTCGGCGGAGGCCTATGGGGTAGACTGAAGAGGTCCTACGTTGATCTTGATAGTATTGCCACACAACCCTCAGTCTTCGACGACCCTACCACTTGCGAAGTCTACCGACCACCACCACAATATGAGAATGCGCATAAGTTCGATCCTGACGCGCGGTGGACCTGGAGGGAAGAAAAGGTATAACCTGAAGCCCGTCTGATTATCTCCATTCATGTATGACCTTCCATCTATTAGAAACTTGTGCGAAAAATCGACTGGCGGGTCATGTTATGGGCCGGCGTTATGTTCTTCGCGCTCGATTTAGATCGAAACAATATTTCCCAGGCGAACACTGACAATTTTCTACCGGACCTCGGTATGACAACCAACGACTATAACTTGGGCAATTCTCTATTTAGGATTGCTTTCCTCATAGCAGGTGCGTGCACTTTCACAAGCTTTCATAACACTACTGATATATCTTCTCCGAAAGAATTACCATCGCAGCTTGTTTCGAAAAGGTAGTGACTTCCTTACATCGTATCCGTAGCAGTGAAATATCTGAAATCTGTGTATAAGGGTGGGGCCCGATGTGTGGATTCCCTTCCAGGTTCGTCGACATCCAGTCAGGAGTGTATGGCTCATGGTAAATGTATAATTTGTATCAGATGGTTGTATGGAGTATAGTAGCATTGAGCCAGTTTTGGTTGAGTGGGCGCGCCTCTTTCCTTCTTACAAGGTCAGTGTCAACACCAAAACCGGGGCTCGATCTCAGTTGTCTTCATTAGATTTCTGCTTGGTTTTCTACAGGGTGGCTTCATCCCGGATGTGGTTCTGTATCTTTCCTATTTCTACACCAAGACCGAATGTAAGTATCCGTATACACCTCCAAATTCTCAACTAATGGAATATCCTTCGAAGTGCCTATTCGTTTAGCCTTCTTCTGGGTATCAAACTATATCGCCGTGATCGTGAGCGCCTTCCTGGCAACTGGTATTCTCAAACTGGATGGATTCCGGGGGCGTGCTGGATGGCGTTACCTTTTTCTAATTGAAGGAGTGGGCACGCTCTTGGTCGGCATTTGTTCTTTTCTCATGTTACCGCCCGGCCCCACGCAGACAAAAGCATGGTTCAGGCCTAAAGGCTGGTTCACCGAACGGTGAGTCCACCATTCTCACTTCTATTGGCATTCACAAAACCTTAATCAACTACTTAGCGAGGAAGTCATCTTGGTGAATCGGTATGATCCTTGGCATTAGTGATGGCACGTTTTTTGAGGATTGCAATAGTATTCTTCGCGATGATCCCTCAAAGAGTGATATGCATAATCGACAAGGTCTCTCGGTTGGAGCAATATGGAAAGCACTTCAAGATTGGAGAATGTGGCCCATTTACATTCTCGGTCTCACGCATATGAGTGAGCGTTATCAGCATATATGTAATTTCTCGCGTCTGAAGTCTTAATCTGGAATTAGTGCCCGTGGGCCCACCTCAGAATTACCTGACTCTTTCGTTGCGGCACCTTGGGTTCAACACTACACAGTCAAATCTCCTCACTATTCCCTCCAGTGTTCTCGGCCTGCTCATGTTACTATTTTGCGCCTACTTGAGTGAGATCATCAACAGCCGGGTTTTCGCCACAATTATCCTACAGCTATGGGCGTTACCTCTGCTTGTTGCACTTTATACCTTCAATGCTCAAACATCGCAATGGGTTTACTATGCTGTCGTTACCCTTATAACTGGGTTTCCTTATGTACATCCTATTCAGGTAGGATGGGCATCTAGAAATTCGTACAGCGTTCGAACAAGGTGAGTTGAAATATCCTCGATTGACACTATGTACTAACAATACGTTGATAGAACTGTTTCAGCTAGGTAGAAACGGTATTTAAAACATTGAAATATTTTGATTAAATTTGGCCTCTCGCAGCGTTTACAACATGTTTGTGCAGGTACATTTTTCATCTTTTTCATATACCTTGTCTCACAAGATCATAGGCAGGAGCGGTAGCTTATGTGGGTTCTTCTGAGAGGCAATCCCAGCTAGCCTATCTAATCTAGTATTCTTTATCTAGGCCAATATATATCGGACGAAGGATGCGGTAATGCCCATTGCCTTCAGTTAGCGAGGCCAATCTGACGTTGATTTCTGTCTCTCATCTTCAGCCATTATGTACGTCTTTCCCTTTAACCCCAGTTCTTTGCCTTTCCAACCCTCTCCATGATAGACAAGAATGGAAATCGTGCTCTCCTTGGTATCTGCTCCATGAACATCGTACTATATATAGGGACATACTTCTTTTACAAATCCATAAACAAACGACGAGATAGGATATGGAGCGCCTGGTCGAAAGAGGTGAGTATTTTGCAAGTTTAGAGCTCCTGGATGTTCAAAATAGTTACACGTACAACAGCAACAACAGGAATATCTGGAAACAACCCGGGACGAAGGAAATCAGCGACTAGATTTCAGATTTGCGTACTAGGATCTTTCCGCACAGCAACAGGAAGGAAGGAAGTGCTGGCGAGTTCATACTACTAGTGAATATAGTATAGCGTTATTATGTATCTAGTACAAATCCATACTGATTTGTGGTCACTTGAAACTTATACTGTTAACCTTTGCTTCTGAGCCACTTTCTTCGCCCGTAATCTGGCACGCGTCTCTATATGAGCCAAACGTTTCGTTTCACTGGTAATGTCCAAGAATTTCGTGCCCACGTCAATGAAGTGAATGTCTGGTCGACCTGCTTTGGAGGATACCTGGACAAGTGCTTTGGGTGTTTGAATCGTATCGGTGTCGGGAATAACGGGAAGATATTTGCGGGCCTTCGCTTGGGCAGCTTTCGCAGCCAACCGCTCGGCCGTTCTTCTACTACGTTCGAGAGACGCGGGAACGGTTGCTTCCTACAATCACGATTCAGGAAGGCATGCAAAGGAAAGAGAAAGGAGACCGACTCCAGCAAATTCAGGAAGCGATTCCCAGTACATTCGTTGATACCGTTGACGGGCAGGATCATTTTTTTCGGCCTCCTCCATCATGTCTGCTTCATGAACGTCGTGACGGAGCACTAACATTGCTTCATTTGTTTCCATGCCTTCCGTGTTTATGGCGTCAGCAGTAAACTGAGGTACACCGAGAATTCTTTCCATCCCTGTCACAAAACCGGTTTGTAATGTATTTCCCTGCAAAGCAGAAAGTCAATGAAAGATCACTAGTGTGACCGGGCAAGAAAGCTGCCAGATTGGAGTGCAAGGGTATGACCAGCGATGCAAGAACACCACAGGGATTTTTTTCCAGTTCACGAATGAATGTTTCATCACACGAACGGACGGTTGATGGCGTAGACAAATTCTCACCTCCTAGAATTAAGGAGAATCAGAATCGAGTACATTGTCAACAATGCAGAGAGGGGAGAGGAGAGTGAGTGAGTCAGGAAATATAATAAGATTATAACCATATAGGTGTCTTAAAGACTAATCGTTGAAACATCATGCGATGGAAAAAAAAATGTATCTATCGTGAAGTAGAACTGACCTTAACCCATGCACTTTCCATACCTTTCAAGCGCAATATAGCATCTACACGGTCCAAACTAACGTGGAACTTCTGGGATAAGGCGCGAACGCTGTACTTCTCCGGATCAAGCATATAAAGTCTGTACATTTCACTTCTTTGTTTATCAGATATTGGGGGAGGGGGCACGAAGGACCTATTCAGAGGAAATGGCTTCAAGGAACAATGAGCAAGAAACCCTAAGAAAAGAAACAGAATACACACCACATTGCCACCCAACCAATTGTTCGGAGCAGCGAACTTGAATTTCGGGGCAGTATCCTTCATGAACAATTTGAACGAGGTGTCAGAGGGGGCGGCACTTTGATCCTCAGTTGGAGTAGGAGCACTTTCAGCTTCCTTCTCCATCGCCTCGGCGAGTTCTTCCTCTCGAGCGGCAAGTTCCTCTTCATGCTTGATTTCCTCGAGAGAGGGGGGTTCTGGACTAAGATCAGTGAGAGCAGGAGGAAAATATCGGATGCTGCGTTGAAGGCATGGTCGAGGCTGGGACCATATACGCGGCTGAGTAGTTCTGAACAAACGTAGCAGAGCAGAGGACATAACGCGCAAAAAAATTCAGGTCAAATTTTTAGACTACACGTGGTTCACGTGATAGGCTTACCACTTTCTACTGCTTGCGGTCAAGCTCCTCCTGAAGCTCTCAGCATCTATGGACTCCATCAGATGGGAAATGTTTACTGTTTTTCGAGACTATGCATCTTTGGTTCCAGCTAGATTCATTCAGATCCCTCCAAACGTCCCCTTCGCTGAAATAAATCGTTGCCTGGTAGAGCTTCTCATTCTGAATCCTCACTTTCAAAAATACCCCCCTTCAAAACAATATCAGAGGTCCTTTTGGAAAATAATAATAGGCCAATTAGAAGACATTCTTACTCGCCCGAGTGAAGAGGTGCGCTGGAGTGCAATGAATAAGGACGTGGCTAAATTATTGATTGCTAGGATGAGGAGATAGATCCTCGTATTTTGGATCACTATCTCTCGGTATTTTCATCATCTGGACCGTATGTATAAATTCCTGAATGTCGTATAAGTCCTCCGAACCAACGATCACGCTCCAGTCTTCTTGGAACTTCCGCTCCTGGCTTGAGGGGCCAGATCTGCGACCGAGGATTACCATTGGGAGAAGTTCCTTCGAAGTCGTTTGTGACCCACTTCTGGGAACCTAAATCAAATCAATTGCAGGGAGAATTTTACCCAAAGGTAATTAATCTTGCTAGTCATCGAACTTTCACGCTCGAAGAGTCCCGGACAACCATCGAAGGTGGAACCACGGGGTTTCGTACCTGGTTTGCCAGTCGCATGTTAGCAAGTTACCTTATCCAAAATCCCGGTAGGCATCCACATCTTAATAACATATTGCAAGTATTCATGGAGATAAACAGGCATAATTGAAGGCAAACGTGTTCTAGAATTAGGATCTGGGATTGGTTTCCTGGGGATAATAGCAGCAAGCCTTCAACAATTATCGCCAAAGTACACGTCTTCTCTCTGGTTGACTGATGTGAATGAAGAGGTTTTGACCCAGTGTCGGCACAACATCCAACTACCTTGCAGTAATCCATTGCTTAGGAGTCATTTACTAACACTAATATAATTTTCTGGTAGATGTTTCTTCCACCCACAAATCTGTCCAGTTTCGGGTTCTAGATTGGGAAGAAGCATTACGGACAGATCACGAACCGCTTGTAGCACTTCTTCGAGACGAAATCAATCCAGATGTCATCCTCGGTGCTGATATAGTGCGTGAACATTTCTTTTTAGACCCTTATGTCGCTCAATATCACACGCGCTAGGTTTTCGACCCTTCACTTGTACCACCTCTGATTTCACTGATCGCGCTTGCTCTCCAGCTTGGTTCTAATAACGGCATACAGAAATCAGCAATCATCACCCTGACCATCCGAAATGCAGAAACATTCCGATTGTTCTTGAATCATGCTGAAGGTACTACCATCGAACCTATTGTCAAAAGGTGTAGAGCATTAATATCATCTTTGAGCAGAGAAGGGTCTTTCATTGCAGGACATCATGCTTCCACAGGCACAAGGGTTCGAATTTATTGATGCAGTCGAAGCTACAGATAACGACGTAAGAGCTCTACTAATTACATTGTGACGCGGGTGGTCTACATGTAGATGTTTTCTACGATGATATGTATACGTAGAGTAAACAAAGAATCTAACTCTGAGCTTTGATAGTACCACAAAATGAGCAAGACCAGAACTCATGAGGCATCCCTGATTCTCCGCATGTCAAACATGTCCAACCAGCCAGTTCACTGCTAGGCTTGGTGGCTAGACAAGCTTCGCACTGTAGCGACATGGCGGCATTCATAAGTGTACATGCCGGACACTCCCAACGATCTCGAAGGGGCTTCGTTGTCAGATTAACGAACGGCGGTGGTTTACTTTGGGACCCTGTTCGCAAAGAGGAAGAACTTGGGGCGGCACGGTTTGTGCGAGGTGGCAACGATGAAGGTGATACTGGTTTTGGAGGCTGAACGGCGATCTTCGACGGCCCAGGAGCAGAAGCATTATGAACCGTGGGGACATCTGGTTCATCATCGGAATCGAGAGTGAGATCAATCACCTTGTTTCCAACACTCTCTTTAGCAGCCTTGTCGGCTTCTCGTTGAGCAAATTCTCCTTGACCACAAGATCTCTCATCTAGAAGTCGACGTTCGGCAGCCTGGAAGAAACTTGAGCAAGAGGCGATGGCAACTGAAGGTATGTATATATGATACTGACGCGTTTTGCACGTTCTCTGAGACTTAAGGCTCTGTCTTCAGTGCCTCCTCCCAAGCGTCGCCCACCGCCGCCCAACGTTTGAGACAAGTTCCTTCGCTTCTCCGCGGCAGCAACTGCTTGTGCCCGGGCCAAATGAGGAGGTATATTGTGAGAGATATTGGTTCCCAGTCTATTTCCTTTGGAAAAGAATCCTTCCCCGGCATACCCGGAACGCTGCAGAGCATCGTATTCTTCTTGAAGTTCAGCTAGAAACTTATAAAATTTTTCATCATGAGGACCGTGAACGTTATGGGTGAGCTAAATCAGGGATCGCAGATAGGATCTGTTAGCATCCACAGAAAGTTTAAGCTAAAACCCACTTCATGAAGCATGGTTTGCACAACATCTTCCTCTGGAAGGAAAGAATCTGGAGAGTGAGGAGGTCGAAGTCTCACTAGTATCTGATGCCCCATATTCACGTCTGGTTTAGTCAATGAGCCACCCAAGTTTCTTGCAAAGCTGTTTGGTACGCACTCAAACCTGCCAGTCTGCATGAATTTAGCTTGACATACATGGAAAGCGTAATCCTCACCAAGTAAATTAGGGTTATCGGGAAAGAATTCTGCTAGAACTGGTAATACCCAGCTATGCTTACGCATTATAGGTTTGACCAGAGATGCAACTCTTCGAAGCATTTCCAGGGCTTTATCAGCCGATTTGCGATCTTTCAGGTGAGTGAACGACTGGACATAGACTTCTGGCATTGTCAGCGATACGAGGAATACGAAGCAAGAAAGATATCGATATAAGCTATGTATAAGTAATGGCTCAGGATGAACCCTTTCAATTGAGAGATGCGTACAATCTTCACGTGCGCGACGCGCGTACATACATACGCCAGAAACAGATTGATTGCTCAAAACTACACTAAGCTAGCTACAGATACAAAGAACACAGTCTGAAAGTGAGGATCCAGATTAAACGATGGAGATAATGATAATAAAAACCGGATAAGTGACAAAGAATGCAACAATTGAGAATGCGGAGAGCCAAATGAGTGTGAGCGTGTTTCCAGAGTTGAATTTTCGGAAAAGAACACGGAAGGGTAGTCAAGACGCGTTGATACAACAGACAAGATTTTTGACGTGAACCGATGCGAAAGATGAAAGCCCAAAGCCAAAGACAAATGCAAGAAAGAACGACGATATGCAAGACTATGCCAAGTAGACAGATATGCGAATGCAGATGAAAGAAGGATCAGAGGAGAGCTGTAAAAAAGAACGTGTGAAGAGAGAGGAATAAGGAGTGCAAAGGATGATATGTAATGCAAGAACCCAAACCGGATTTATTCCAAAAAAAAAGGAATGCCATCGAATAAAAATGTTCAGGTGGAGGCCCTGAACGAAAGCCTTCTAGTTTTGACAGCTAAATACACTCGGAAGGTCCGGACATGGGTGAGAGCGTGTCTATTGTATGGGCCGATAGACGCCTCCGATGTGGAGGAGAGTCGAGAGTCGATGGAGACCGTCGAAGATCGAGAGCCACTCGACTTGGGGCCTTCGAAAGAAATTTCGATGTTTTTCTTGTAATCATAGTCATTTGTGTTTATTTCGGGTGTTTGCGATGGCCAGTTAAGGCGCAAACGGCGGAAGCTACACAGAAGAAGTCAGTGAACTAGGTGGCGGGCAATGTAAAAAGGAAAAACTTACGAATCATATTCAAAGAAGGCATCTCGAAGTGAGTCTTCGGAAATGCAATCGTTATCGGTCCCATCCTCGTTGTAAAGGAGCCAATCGAATATGGCGCGTTTGCAACTGAGTAAAGTATGCATGTGTTTACAAGCATGCATCTCCAGCTCTGCAGGTGGCATAGGGATGAACGTGGATGGAAGCAACAGTAGGCCTGGAGATTGTTGTACAGGGACGGGTTCCTCGGGAGCATCAAATGAGGTCTGGGTGTCAGATGAACTGCGAGGTGATTCATCGCTGACACAGCTCATCGAGGCTACACTGCTAGCGGAGTGATTGGAGTGAACTGATGGAATAGACGGAGGTGAGGTTTGCGCTGTTTTCGGAGTCACTGCTAGAGCACTGTAAGGGATCCCAAGTCGCCCGGCCGCTTTTGCGTTTAAAGTAGTAGGAAAAACACTACTCTCCGAACTGGGGCGAACCTCATGAGATTCTGCAGTATTTGCCCGACTTCGAGTAACAGGATCTTTCAAGGACGGGAACGGCACAGCATGCTCTTTCTCCTTCTTTGACTTTTTATCCTTTTTAATATCTCCGTCGCCGTTCTTCCCGTGTTTCTTAGCAACACCGAATTTGCCCTCACTTTCGAGTCGGGTATCGAGTTCCGTGCCCTTGCTCAACGACCTGACACGGAATTTCGGACGTTTTGTGTGAGGAATGAGCTCTTCGAGCTCGGAGGGGGCCAATTTGAGATGCATACTCCGTAACTTTCGAACGTTGTCGGGACCAAATATGTCCTTCATGAAGGTAGTAACACCTTTCGGAGTTCGGGTATGGATTCCATATTTGGTTTCCAGCATGTTGTAGAATATTGCTTCCAAAGCTTTGCCATCGTTAGCGCTATTGGCCCACTCGGATGTGTCCTCGTCTGAAGGAGGATTTGCAGGTATGCTTAGGGGTGTTTCGGGTGATGGAACGACGTTTTGTTCCTCTTCGGGGGATTCCGGGAAGCTGTTACTCAGTTCCGCAGAGTTCAGAACCAAGGCTGGAGTTGGAAGAGTGATGTCGAGTTTTGTCGGCGTCACGAGGTTATCCTCATCGTCGCAGGGTTTCGCAGGGGGAGTAAAAGTCGTGTTCATAAATGAAGGGGAGGTAGGAAGCGGAGGCAGTGGGCGGCGGGGAGGTGGAAGAGGTCTAACTGACTGTCTCGAAGTCGGAAACGAAAGCGGGTCTAAAGAGGATAGCTTAGACTCCTCTTGGTCTAGATCATGTAATGAAGAAGTAGAAGATTGATAGTCTTCAACGTCCAAGAAAAGACCATCCCCAGCGGTTTCCGGTGAAGATGGACATTCTGAAGACCCATCGTCAACGGTGGGACTTGGTTGCTCAACAGAATCAACGTCTAGACTGGTTCCTTGATCTTGAGCTTCTATGTCATCGCTATTTTCTCCAAGTTGTCCTTGCCCATCTTTGATCCCATCCCCGGTATGGTGATCATCAATCGATGAGCCGGCGTCATAATCGTCGTCGTCATCATCTGATAGGTCGAAAGCAGACGATTTCTGCTTACTAGACGAACGCCTTCGTCGGTTGGGAGCAGTAGCAAAAGTCCGGACTCGCGGGCTGGGAGTAACGGTCTCTTTCCCATAGGGAAAGCAGAAAGCATCATCGATGAGCTCTAACCGGCCCCCAACTTGGAGTACTCTGTGGATTTCGGATAGTACGAAGTTCCAGCGTTCGGTTGGGATGGCCAGCGACAAGTTGGCAACTCGGATGAGATCAAAGGAGCTGTGAGGGAATGGAAGAGGATAGCGTATACTGGGAAAGACGTATGAGAAACAAATAACAGATGAAATGAAGAAGGACGCACAAGTTTCCGCGGACGAAATGAAGTCGTTCGTTATGGCGAACTTCAGGAAGTATAACATCAACCAAGTCGAATCCAACGATACGCGCTTCAGGCCATGAAGCGTGAGCATCTATAATCCAATGTCCCTCGCCACAGCCAAGATCTAAGATGGAAGAAGGAATTGGTTTCTTGTTCTTGACATAATCGTAAAAGCTCGGCGTCCCATTAGGGTTGAGACGGCGTAAGAGTAGATGTGTATAGCGATCGCTGCAAAGTGAAAAAGCGAGCGTTAGAATCAGAGAAACTTCGAATTGGAAGAACTTACGCAGAGAGAGATACCGAGTCGTATGATTGCATATATGGAGCGTCGGCTCCATATGGGTGTAACTTCAGTCTATGTTTCCTTGTTATCCAATTTTCCTTCGCCTCGTACTTATCACCATGAGTGTACTCGTAATCGTCCAGAACTACTGACGAGTTCTCAGAAGAACCAGTGACTGGGGTCAGCGTGGAAGACGAGGAAGCGGAAGCAGAAGTAGCAGTTGGCGTAGAAGCATTGGAATAGCCTGCAGTCGAGCTTTCGGCAAAAGTCGAGGACAGACTTGGTGTGTAGAGGGCTGGAGGTGTAGAGGATAAGTGAGGAATCTCTTCATGAAGAACCATGAGGGAATTTAGCGACTTCTTGGGCTTGAGAGTCCTATTGAAGAAGCTATCTTTCTGAAGCATAATCGGCCTTTCCTCCTTCTCCTTCCCCTTGGACTTGGTGGATTTGAGGAATCCCATGGTGTGAAATGCGGTTGATAATGGTCTATTTAGTGCACTGGTCCGTCGTGATTTCGGTGGAGACAAGTCAAGTACCGCCGCTGAATCCGACGGCGGATAAATGATGGTTGAAATTGGTCTATAGTGAGCAGTTAAGTTTTGCGGCCGAGGGCTCAGAGAACTTATAGTGGACGGTGGAAGAGGTGAAAGAAAGTGGTCGAGCGAATTATTTGAGGTGGTCGAAGCGGCCATTGTTCACTATTAGCGGACTTACGTCCTTTCAAGCGAACAATGAGGATCCCTTTGTTGCTTGAGAAAATTCGATTGGCCAACTGAAAGCCACAGCGTCCTACCGACTTTGTGCGTCCAAGCTGACATATAATGAGGAGAGAGCGGCAAGAGGAAGGCAAGTGCCAAAAACAGCATACATTGTTTGACAAACCGGATATCACTCTATCTCTCTCACTTTAACTTAATTTGGCATTGCGCAGATACCTCGGCTTGGTGTTCCCGGACAGTAACGAGAATACATCGTTACTAATACCATTGAACTACATGAGTATTTACGATCCAAATATCTAGTCATCGTCTTTCCTAGGAGGCGGGCCGCATGGCTGAAGCATTTTCTGCGGAAAAAAAACATTCAAAGAAATAAACCGCAACGAGTAGGGAGTGGCTTACTTCGGTCATCTCATACTTCACTCGGCCAGTACAGGCGCCGTCTGCGATGGCAAGGTAAGCCGTCAAAGTGGGGTGACCTACTATGGAGGAGAGAGTATCACGGTGCTGGTGGGTCAACCAATCACTATGTATAACTTGACAGTCAGTACAGCGGAATGTCAGATGAAGCTGACGAAAGACAGATGCTTGCATGCGAAGCTCAGATAAAAACAGCGACTGTTGTCACCTTCTGTTGAAAGATGAGATGTTAACTCACTACTTCGTCAAATCCGCATGGCCTAGATGGTCCCAGAAAGAATCAGACGATGACCCAGAAAACATAGATCAGAACCGGGTTCATCAGCAATCTTCTCTGAGCGTAATACCATCCCGTAATACTAACCGGTTCCCGTATAACGAGCGTGCACTGAAGAGAGCAGAAGGGTCAAATCATAAATATAGAAAATCGAGGTCTTGGAAGCTCACAATGTTCGAGTTGTGTATTGGCAGTGTACCGAAGTTCAGAAGACTGCAGAGGAAGTGAGATGCATTCAAAACACGAGACAAACGAGAAGAACAAACCATGATACACGGTGTACAAGAGCAAAGAGTCTGTACAAAATTCAAGGATCCATAAGTAGGATATATCAGAAATGGTATGTATTCAAATACGATTCAACCTAAATATCAACCCAATGGTGAAGTGGCTGTAATGGCCCGAACCTGGGAATGTGAGGTGGTTTATGTCAGCGAGTTAACCTCTCGCGCGCTGGTTCAAGACTGTCCCCTCCAGAAAACTTTGGTATCCATCGCTTCCCGCTCTGAAAAGAGTGGTTTAGGCTTGGAATAATGTGCACTTGTCAGGTCAGGGAAGCAATTCCGCAGCCTGCAGTGCTGACCGAGTTAGTCTTAGGAGATCAGGGCATGTCGGCAGACGCGCGGTGTGTTCGTGCCCTTCGCAAACCTTTTTGGTGTTCTGATTTAGAACTTTTTGTAAATGTACAGTGGATGAGAATGTTTGGAATTTGTTTCGATAAAAATTCAAGGAAGACGACAATTAAAGATTAAACTAATCTGCTTGACTGTTTGCGTTTGACCTTCTCCTTAGCTACCTGAACTGACGTCCCTAATGCCACAACCAAACATATTCACCAAACCCCTTCAATCATCATCGTCAATCTTCCTCACTCTCGCTCGACGAAGCCACCACCGTACCCTGCGATGCCGCCACTTCCGCCAATAACTCAACAATCCGACCAGCTCTATCCGGAGCCTTCAATTCTTTTATTGCCGCTTTCTGCTTTTTCTTCTTGTCCTTGCGCCTTTTCTTCTTTTCTTCCGCTTTTGTTGCTGCGGTGCTAGGACTATCAACAGTGGTCGATGTGGACGAGGACGGGGACGAGGATGGATTAGCGGTAGATGAATTGCGAGTGCGAGGTAGAATGGCTTGTTTTTTTGTGGGATGGGAGTCTGAGGGGTTGTCGAAATCGATGAAACCTGTAAGGTATATATGTATACACCTCTCTTGTCAAACAAAATGAATCAAGGTTATTAGTACATGAAGACATACCACTAGCTTCAAAAGGATCAATCGCAGGCCGACGTCTTTTACTTCCCAATCGTTCAGTATCATCCAATGACTCAACGGCTTTCCCCTTCCCTTTTGATATAGATTTAGTCTTCACCTCCGACTCTTCATCTTCCCGAACACCATCCCCCTCTTCCCATCCCTCAATGTCTTCTTCTTCTTCTTCTTCTCCCTCCTCACTCCCCGCTTCCTCGACGCGTTTCTGCCATTCCTGCCGTTCCAGCATCTTGGACGTCACTTTCACTGGTACACGAGCTGCAGAGGATGCGGATGATTCCGATGGATTGACACCTGCAGAATTTGACGCGGGGGTGAGCCGGGCGGTGGATGAAGAGGCTTTCGGTGGATACGCAACACCAGCGGCATCAGCGTCGATTTGGGCTTGGGAGATCGCATGCTTGATGAATCGGTTAGCCGCTGCTTTGTCTACCTGAGTTCCGCCTTGATAAATAGATAAATAAGTAAATGAATAAATGAAAAGGATGTACATTCGGAGGAAATTTCAATCACGACTTACGGACGGGTGTGTTCTCTGCGTTTTTTATCTTTTCAAAGTACTGTCGTACTCTTTCCTGTCAAGGTAATCCGTCAACATCTTGATCCTGCTCAGTCAACAGAGCAAACGCACGAGTTCGGTGACGACTGGATGGGTTTTGGGGTCGATGCCCCTAGTTCTCAAATATACTTTTATATTTCAAAAATTAGACAGCACATTGCACGAGAATGAATAACATACGCACTGAAAATTAAATCGTATACCAGATACGGCAATGTTGTTTGCAACTTTGCTTGTTCTAATGGTTCCAACGTAAGGAGGATTTCTGGAAGTGTTCGTTCGCCGGATAATAGAGGCGCTATAGCAGCTTCGATCTCAGTGAGGGACGAAGAGAGGACCTTCAACCTTGACTTTGCTTTTCTAGTTTCTGCGGAAGCCATTTAGGATGGTGTAGTTGATGAAGGCTTTTCGCGTGTGCAAATGGTCAAAGCTGTTCTTCGCAGTTACCGTGGGAATTTGACAAGGCCACAAAACTTCCAAGTTCATCTGACAGTGAAGAGCGCTTCATTAGGATCAAAACATGTAGCTAAGTATTACAGTGATAATTTCCGTCTTCTATCTATAAATACATCCTCGATTGATGATCTATTGAATAAATGAGCACTACAGAATATATCATCGATCCAGAGATAGAATACCTCAATAGCGAGGATTACCAGTATCATACTGTGCGTTGTCGGAATTGTATGACGGATTCACATTCGCATTGTCAACACCAGCTCCGCCGTATTCATTTCCACGCTGAGTTCCATACCCAGCGTTCTCTGACGGTTGCACTCCCCCACTTGTGTTATATCCGGGTTGTGTGGAGGGTGCATTACTTCCTGGATTCCGAACTGCATTAGCCTGCGAATCATTGTAGACTTCGTTGTCGCGGTGATGCTGAGGGTAATCGGAAGTTGCAGGATGATTGGCCAGGGAAGGATCCGCTGTGGTAGTATCATAATTCGCAGTGGTATTCACGTTCCGAGGACGTCCAGACATTTGCTCCATGCCTCTGGTTGTTTCTAATCTGCCCTGCTGGGCTATCTGATCGTTCTTCATCTCACCCTCTTTGTCATGAGCGATTGTGTCGACAGCTCCCAAGGCAGTTGCGCGGACATTTTCACCCAGTCCTGGTCATGACTTGTCAGAACAGCAATACTGCTTTGCAACTCGAGCTCACCGTGTACAGTATTAAAGACACCTCTGTTATTGATAGTATGTTAGTATAAAAATTCTACCGAGTGGCAAAAGCACGTACTTGACTCTTTCTCCGACGTTCGACATAATTATTGATAATATCGAAAAAATAAAAAGTAGCCCTCCATATATACCCTTGTGCATAACTCCAATCTGTATGACGTCGGTGAGTGCGTCATAGGCGCGGTGCAAATTAGGCAAAAATCTCTAAGGGACAGAATATCTACAATAATGGCAATATTACAGTAAATACATTATTACTACAAGTGACAGAGATGGAATACAGATATAAACAGATACAACTACAGATATTTACAACAAAATCAAAGCTAGGTGTCGTGAGTTGTCATGGTCATCAAGAAAGCAAGCAAAAAGTACAGATAGTTGTTACAGGCAATCGCCCTTGAGATGTTCCGCAAAAAACAAAAAAAATTCACCGTTCACATTATTACGCACGTATCAGCAGTTGGGTCTGTTATGATCAGTGGCGAGTTGCTTCCGCTAGCTGACCTAGATCTCCGTCCACCGGGCGTCCACCAACGAGTACCTCCTACCCGTATACCTCCATCAACGTCCTCTGTATCGCTATCCAAAGACTCGTTCGCCTTTCTTCGAGATATTCCTTTGCGGCGTTTATCTCTCGCAGACCAAACCGCATCTACAGTCTGCCACGAATAAAATGTCTTCAGAACAACCCTCTTCTCGTCTAGTTCATCTTGTCCCAAAGCCACTTTCATGATCGCTTCCTTTTCCTTGTCCCTTTCTTTACTGTTGACACCAAAGTCACGCCCGTCTAGGAAGCGGAGTTTCCGCGCATCGTATCCTCGCCATCCCCGCCTTGGACGCACCAGAGGCGCTAGTTCCTTGACTACGCTCTCTGTAATAGACCGACAGTCCACCGCAACGATCTTGGATCCAGGCCTCTGTAGTTCGCAGAACTTTCGCAACACAGAGGCACCCATACGGGTATTGTCCGCCTCCAGAACCTTCAAATTACTGCACGCTTGCACCAACGCGAGAAGAGCATCGTCAGTGACACCAGCAGCATACGATATCACCAGATGTTCCAGAGCGTGACCTGGTTCGAGTTCTGCCGGTTGTTGAGAAGAAGAAGTCGAACTCGACGTCGGAGTGATAGCATCTAATACTGCATCTGTGATTTCCGAAGCATCTTCGAGGTCCAGTCGGCGAATCAGTGGGGTGGTATTCAGCAGCCTAATGAGCCCGTCATCACCTAATTCTTCCCCAATACCTCCAAGCTCAAGGAATTCCAAGCGAGGGACGGTATACGCTAAATGCGAACAAGCGATATCTGTTAACAACATACAGGAGGATAAAGAGAGATGTCGAAGACGTGTTATGCGTCTTCTGTATCTTCTAAAGTCACTGGGATCCCGTCCCGCTTCACGGGCTGTCAAAAGAACTGATTTATACGCTTCCTCGTCATCATCAAGGGCGACAAAAGAATCCAAAGCAGAATTGTGCAGGTGTCGAGCATAGCTCAGATCGAGGACCTCCAAAAACGGAGCGACTTGGCCCAAAAGAGACATCGTGCTGTCGTCGATATTCTTTATACCAGATATCCGGAGTTCTGTCAATTGAAGCAACTCTCCCCGAGCCTTGACGGCAGCTGCTAGCCGTTTCACACCCTCAGCGTCCATGTTGTGACATCTGTTCATATCGAGCTTCGTGACACGAGGGCAATACATCGCAATGATATCGCAAGTCGTATTGGTGACGCAGTGTAGACCTCTAAAACAAACTTGTCGCAGTCTAGGAGATCGAACGAGTAGATAATGAAGCGAACGCGTGGAGAGTGCACTACATCCACGGAAGTTGATTGAAGTCAATTGGGTGAAAGGAATTGATAGGGACGCAGACCCGAATATGCACATGTTATCCGTAATTTCTTGGAGAGTGCTAGGGCTGACATGAACATGGCCAGAGAAATCTATTGAACTGATGAAACGACCTCCGCATCTTGTGATGCTAGAAATTAGAGTCCTTGGCATGCTTGGAAATGAGCGAAAATCAAGGGTAGACCACAATTGGCCATCATATATGAGATCCCTCCAGACTTTGGAGACCTACGGGATTTATCGTTCAGCCTCACCTATAATAGATATGATAATCGTAATAGCTTGCTTACTCGACTCAACTTCACCAACTCCCTGACAGCTCGATCTTTCCCTAACCATCTATTCTTGGAGGATATTGATTTCGTTACACTCCAATCAGCATGCCCGAGCACCTTCCGTTTATCATTCTCATGTATCGCTACAAGCGAAAGCAAAACCTCAAGCTTCAATTCCTTTGGCAAAACCTCGTCAAAGAGATTCCTAGATGCACGTACGATTGGAACGAATAAATCCTCGGGACGAGCAGGGATATAATCTAGCGCAGACATTGGTAAAGGTGACGAATAGGACCGCCCCTTCGCCTTGAATGTCGTGTGAGCGGAGGCATAGTTCGCCAAAGCTTCGTCATGCTCAAGAGGTAATTCAACCTCCAGTGACAACGAAGCAGGGGAATTAACATGCACATTACTTGCCGGGGTTAATTGCGGGATTGCAAGCTGCGCGGGAGGGGTGATTATCTTCTTAGATAAAACTCTGCGAGTGTGGGTTCTGTTAGGTGAGCTGAATTTGGCCTTGAGCCTGGTCAAGGATGAGGGATGTTTAGAACGGATGAGAGTATGGGAATGGGAAAATGAATGTCTCCGAGAAGGCGGTAGTACTCTATGGATAGTAGCGAACGATGATGCGGATTGAGCAGCTGAAAACTCGACCGAGGCTGAGGCCTGCTCGATCAAGGGTTCGTTCGAAGATGAAGAAGAAGAAGCAACTTGACTAGGAAATCCATGTATAACAACAGGCGAGAGCGGCAGAGGTGGACTCGTGGATGGTATTTCATCGTCCCATGCCGCCTTTCCTTTACCTTTCCTATCCTGCAAATCCACGACGCTTCTATCTACGGAAAGCCCGCCAAGTTCATCAGGGTTCGAAGCGGAAACGGACGATGCCCAGACTGTACTGAATGACCCAAGGGAAAAGCTCGGGAAAGAAGAAGATCCCGAGGCTTCTGGTGAGGACAATGCGGACATTGCATCAGGAGTATTTGGATAGCTCGAGCATGCAGACCAAGTAGGGGACATGACAAAATCGTCCAAATCCGTAGCCAATGGGGCGATCATGATAGGCAGCGATCTGAGAGCCTTTTTGCCTTTGTCCCTTGGATCGTCACTCCCAGCGGCAACTTCACTTCCCTTTATTAGAATAGACGAATCATCATCATCGAGGACCAGAGAGTCTATGTCCGATGATAGCAGATTCATAGTAGGGGAAACAACAACAGAGTCTGGTCCTTCGTATGGATCGAATTGCAGGAAGGCCTCGTCGCCAAATCCATGCGTGGTGCTCATGTTCGGATAGGCGGATGGATTAAAAATTCTAACTCATGTAACGTGGTAAAGCTGGAATGATATCGCAGATATTCCAGTAAAGGAGACATTTTTGGCAACCTGAGCTCTGTCGCTTGGGGGCCGGTATCGGGCCATGTGACCCCACATGACGCGAGCGGCGAGTCGGCGATATACGAATTCAGTACGAATCGCGATACAAGATACAAGTGCTTCGTAACTTGGAGTTCCAGTTGCTCTGAATGAAGAGAATCATTATGTCCTTGCTTGTAACCCATAGTCGACTTGCAAATAAATTTCAATCTCAAGACAAAATATATACCAGTGAGCCGTATGAGGCCGGATGGTATGTATGTAACATCGGGATTATGTTTTTTCAATGTTTTTTTTTTTTTCGATTTCCCGACAAACGTCATGATAGATGGTGTGTGTGTTGATAACACTTAGGTACATGCTTGTCATAGCAAGCTGTTTGGCTTTAATGCCTGAGGGACCCATAAAAGTGAAGTAGTAACCAGCTCTGTGGGACAGTGCACAAAAGAGCATGAAAGAGCATAGCACCCGAATACTTGCCTTAGACTTGCCAGATACGCCTAGCAAGCTCGAATACCACCGCAAAACAACCGTATATGTTTCTACTTGTCCTTGTATCGTATCAGAGCAACGGGGTATAAGCTCCGGCTTTATGTACTCGGCTGGATGCGATGCATATAGCCGTATAGAAAGTCCCAATCGCGCCGTCTGGCTGGGCAATCTGTTTGGTGGTTTTAAGTGACCATGTCCAATAGAAAGTCGCAACGACATGAGAATCCGATGTACGGCTCCGAAAAAAACTTCTTTTGCCATGAGAGCACGAGGAACAAAGAATGGGCCTGATTTTCGGAATATGAACCCAACCTGAAGCAATCGGGGTAAAATGAGAAGGGTGAGTCCACGGCCGATAACGACGAACAGGCCGACCCCACAGACGACGAAGGACAGTCCACCAATTACCAGATACCTAAAAGGTATTTGGAGGAACCTTCTGAGCCTGGACGACCATGCTGTAAGTCGAGAACCGAAATGACAATGGATTGGCTGACATCCTTCGAATATCGATACCCTCTCGGACCTTGAAGTTATTGGACTACTGGAATGCATTTCGTAGGTAAGAGTAACTTCAACAATAGGAGGCCTAAAATAAAATTGACATGAATGATACAGCATGCAACTTGAATAGCAAACGCAGAGGATAGCGGAGAAATAACAATATGACGGGGTATATACAGCAGTCCATCCGGGCAAGCTGGTGCAGAAGGGTTTCACTAAGGATATAAGATACAAGGAGGTTGGATTGCACAAGGCGTTAGGAAGCTCTGTTGGGGTTCTGGGAACTGTGTTTCCAATTGGCCGTTGCGACCTTGAACCTACGTTTGGCACTCAGGACACGTTGATTAGGAAGTTAAAAAATCAGAGAAAACTCACCTTTCTTGGTGGCTAATGTCAGGTTCATCTTCTTTCAAACGGGCCATTTCGGTTTGCTGTTAATTGAATCTGAGTCTCAGAATCCATGTCTAGTCCGGAATGTTTACCATGAATTTGTTGAAGGCAGTCAATTTCTTTTTTCCTCCACCGCCGCCTCGGGATCTGGCTATCCGACGATGAGCACAAGCCTGAAAGATATGGAAAAACATGTCTTGTTGCTCACTTTTTTTTGCAGGTTTTTCGGATGTCCCGGACGTTGATGAGCGTGGTGCCATCTCCTGCAGAAAATTCTGATATGTAAAGTAAGCAAAGAAGTGGATCTAGATGAGCTTCAAGCTAGGGAATAGCGAATTTTGACCTTCACCGATGGCCAATAAAAACAGAGCTTTAGCAAATCGGAGGTGTTTAGTCAGGGGGGTCAAAGAGCAGAATACTTTTAGTTGCGCAGCGGTACTTATACGAACACGAGCTCGCACCCTGACAGCTTCGTTCGTACAAAATTGCTGATCAGCTCCCCCTGGCACCTATGAACCTTAGTTATTATGGGCGCATGTTTATTGTCCTTCCCACACTAACGGCGGTGCCGACATAGAAGATTTCTCGATTCTCCACATCGAGAGAACAAAATTTGAGCCAGCACGTATGTAGTTACTCAACAGCAGCAGCGTACATTCTCACCTTGCAATCTGAAGAGAGACGGCTTTACATATATTTGGACGGAGGACAGATGGAGGTTTGTGATTGACAGTGAGAGGCTGAGGTTGGAAGGCATTTCCCGACCGAGGCTTCTGAAGAGTAATTACTGACAGTCACTACTGACGATATTATTTCTCTTGTTGAGGGTGTCTGGGGTTTTCCACTTCATCAATTCCGCCCCTTCAACCAAACAGACGCGTCGCGTAAACATGATATCGAGTGCTTTTGTCACAACAAAATTGAATGTTATCTTTCCGTGCATATTGTGGGGCTATATACAGAGTTGTCCATGTGCTTAATGGACGAAGAAGCCCCTCCTCCGTCAAGATCCACTTGCTTTACTCAGCGGAGGTGTGCCTTAACCTTATAACAAGCTAACACATGCACGTTCAAATCGCTGCGTCCTTGGATCCTGCCGTTGTTTTCTGTATCCCAGCTATTCCGTCAACGATGCTCGATCCAGTAATAATTCCAGTCGTTGCGATGAGGAAATTTCGGCCTATAATAGAATTGAAAAGACAATCTCCGATCTAGAAAAAGAAAATAACAAACCTCGGTTCTGTCGCGCGACCCACCTCAGCGCGGCAATCTCAGTATACGTGCAACCACCGAGGAAAAACACGACAGTTGTTGTAGCCTTATCTTTCGGCCGCGCTGAGGATAAAGATATCTTAGTTGGGGAATGATGAGGACGCCATTTGTATCATACCTATACCTCCCAATGGTGCAATGACACCCACGGGGTTTTGTACTTCATCCACGGTTTTTCCTGGAATCGTCGCCAAAATATCTTCGAATCCTTTCCAGCCTACTATAGGATGTGCTTGTACTTTGCCAACGGCATGGACTGTCTTTGAGCCATCAAGCCCCGAGGTTTTCTCTTTTTCGGCAGGATTGCTTAGTACCCCTCCTTTCTGGGCAACACATTGAACGAGGCGAACACTAATAGGAGCATAACCAGAGTAGACGAAGCTGATATCGTTTTCTACTTCGTCTAAAGCTTCTGGATTATCGTCTATGAGGAGACGTAGCGACTTTCTCAAAGACGTAAAAGGATACTTGGATGCTAGAACCGCTGACGGTGTAGACGGCGCCAAGGGATTGGGCAATAAAATGGCAAGTGACGGGGCGGCAAGCGACAATAGTAAAGGTAGAAAATTGTATCCATAGGTCTAGCTTGGGTCTATCAGTGGCAATTGTATACGAAAGGAAAGTACGGACCTGAAGGAATTCGCGTTTGATATTATCCAGAGCTTTAGTCTTAATTCCGCCAGACGTGATACTCGCAAGACACAATAATCGGACGATTGTTTCCATATCCGCTCCTCTGGCTATCATATCCTCTATTGAAGAGATCTGGTCGGATATATTATATGAAGCAAGAAGGTCTACCGATATGTTGAATGATCTAAATTCAGAGATTGAGTTCACTACGACTTACTTTGTTGAATTTCGAGAGACTTGTTAAATTGTTCGGAACGAGTCATAGGGACTAGGAGCTCAGATATTCCAGTGTCTGGAGAACCATTCAATATAGGATTACTAAACAAAGAATGTACATACGGATGCGCAGAGATTGATGTTCAGAATATAGACGACCCTTGAGCCGTTCCACAAAATCTTTGAGCTGGGCAGTGGTTTTTGATTGAAGACTGGTCTAGAACATGGATAAAGTTCATTCTCAAGTAGACCTTAAATGAAGAACCGACAACACCTTGTAGTCCTCGTCTAACCTGCGCGCAACTCCGTTCAACTGCTTCCCTACGTTTGAGAAATTGAGGTCTCTCAACTCCTTGAAGAGGGAATCGGTTGAGGAAAGGTGGTATTTTTTCTTGTTCTCCTTTCTTAAGGATGTGGAAGAGGTAGCCGCAGGCGGTGCAGCTGCAGCATCAGCTGAAGGATTTGAAGGTGGATTAACGAGGGACGCTGGGAGCTCTACATGTGCTAAATTCCGTCAACTGGGGGTGATACACGATGATACGGGAGCACTCACAGTTCCTGATGCCTAGTACTTCATCGATGAGACCTTCATAAGTCAGCTGTGTCAAGAGTGGTGTTATCATGTCAACGCGGCGGTCAATGACGATTAGGGAATCGAAATTGCTGGATGGCTCTGATAGGGTATCAGGGGTGGAGGCATTGTGAGATTGTGTAATATATGTCATTAAGAGATCGATGAGACGCTGCAAGGGTGATATACAAAATAGATCGAGAGGATAAATAAAACGTGAGACGTACTGCAGCATGGTCTCCCTTGCCTAGTAAGCGGGGGAACAATCCAAAGAGTCTCTGGAGAGTCATCAAGGCTTGCGCAGAGTCATACACTACAGATTCATCTCCATCCTTAGACAGCCAGTTAAGTTGGTTGAACGCAGGTAATTTGTTGTTGCTTACCACCCATATATCTCGGAAGGCAGACTCATACTCCAAGGAAAGAACATCGTCGGCAATTGGCAAAAATTGCAAGTTGTATGCGGATATAGTGATATCGCCTAAGACACCTTCTTCTTCAAGCAGACGCGAAAACAGTGATGATAGACGGGGAACAAGGAATAAGGTGTAATTGTGTTTTGACGATTCTTTAGCATGTCTCTTGATGTGGTCTTAGAAAGATAGTTGGTGATAGAGAAGAAGAGCTTGTCCAGCACATACCAGCGATGATTTTCACGTAATTCACCATTGGCCGACACAGATAGACGATATTGGTTGTACTTGATGGCAAGGGCCCGCGCTCGAGCCAGTACATTTTGTCTACACCATGATGCTATCATGATTGTGAGCACACTGATGGTGTATTGGTATTTGTGAGATATACCTTGAGGAGAGCGACTTCTGTGACAAGTCCCAGAGGTCCGGCTAAAGAGGGATCCAAAACCAGTGTCTTCGAGCCATTGACCTGTTCAAAGACGCTCAATAAGAGGAAAGAAACCAGCCATATCATCATACAGAGTTCAGGGCATCGACGAGGGCTTTCTTGCTAATTTCTTTGAGGAGGTTAGTATCCAATAGAGGTTCGGCCTCGTAAGCACTTTGGTCTTCAGCAGACATCTGCAGACAATTCAGCAAATTACGTCACAATTTGATTAGGCTCACGGACTATGCTTTGCGTGTAAATATTTATCTTAAACTCTACAAACGCTCGAAGAGTATGATACAGGGAGCATTGGTATCTTCGACTACTCCTGCTTAGATTTAGAGGAATTCCGAAATGATAATGATTAACGACGATTCAAAATTTATATGGAGTTACGTCGAGCACTGCGTCCTTTGGTAGTACCCTCAACACCATCTCGACCATCAATGAAAGCAGACGGAAGCCTTCCTTCATCCGCACACTTGCCCAAGAATTCCAGCGCAGACTGATAACCTTTCTGCTGTATCTCTTCGAATTTGCTGAACTGAAGGGTCCCATACTATTATCATTATTGACATTAGTATGAAATCGATACCAGTCCAAAGGGTGCACTCTTACATCTTGTACAGGCATTGACAAGTAGATGCAATCTGGCGCAACCTTTGCTTCTTCTAATGTTTTCACACTCGATACGCTGTACCAGAATTTGATTAGATATAGCTCTAATGTGTTCAACGAGGAAATCAAACTACGCACTATGCTAGGCGACTCTGTATTTCGGTTATCGCAGGAATCCTTCTGGCGTTAGAGAATGGATTCCAGCGATTGACCAATAACCACCAGCCAGAGACATGGTCCCCGAATTCCCTCGGAGAATTATCATCAAGCTTAGAGACAATGAGTTGGCTTGTCAAGGATTTCTCGTTCAAAGAACTGACCGAACCGACATCACATGCGAACACTGCGCTCGCCCCTTTGGAAAACATCGCGGCTACCTATGTATAACGATGCCATCGTCAATAGTATCGAAAAAATCAATGAACGAGAAAATATACAGGAAGGTTATCAACTAAAAAACGGGTGTATCAATGATGCGACAAAGGATACAAAGATGTAGAAAATAACTGACCATAACCACCATCAACGAGCATACTGCCATTATCACAGAGCGGCGGCAATAAACCAACTAGGGACATAGATGCACCTATTGAACATCAACATTGAGCTGGCATCAAGGACACCTGGGAACCTGTGTGCTCACGAATGAATCGCCAAGCATAACCAGTTTCATGAATTTCCATGGTTGAAGTCGTGATATTTGTTGTATTGCAATAGAATGGTATCCACATATCTTCAATATGAAGATCGTAAAATGCCTGTATATGGAAGGTCAATCATGAGATGTAACAAGGATGATACGACCTACTTTGTACAGCGCACGGTTAAACTCATGACCCTAACACAGAGTTTTCATATTGTCAATATTCATTTCAAAAAAACATACAGTTGTATAAGCCACTATGATTACTCGAGTGAGTGCTGAGGATCGAGCTGAAAAGGGAGGTAGGACCGACCAATTGGATAAGTCACATCAGAGAGTATTCGCCAGATATTACCCATTCTTGAGCTGAAGTGTTTCGCACGCCCGGCCGAGGACAAGATATCTCCTTCGCGGGCGTATAACCCACCAATAAGGGCACCAATACTTGTACCTAAAGTTGTTCCATTCGTAAATTTCGCCGGCAAAAGATACGTCGCACTCACCTCCGACATGGTCAATGGGAATGTTGAATTCCTGTAATGCTCTAATCAAACCCTGGAGTAAAACAGGGTGAGGGTATACCGGCGGAAGAATGAACACACTTATTCACCAAATGAGATATCCCTCGGGCTCCGCCTCCTCCGAGAACGAGTCCTATCGACTTCCCACATAAACGTCGAGCGAGACGGGAGAAGTCGTTGGTGTGAGGAAGCCGTTGTGGACGAGGGTCATGTGCGCCTCCTCTGTACTTTTGTATTTCGTTCTGTACTTTGTCCTTGAGGTTTTTTAGTGCAGACATAGGATCGGGGTCCTTTGGTGCTGCGGATTTTGGAATAGGCATCACAATTCCCTTATACGGAAGTTGGAAATTTTATCATGGCAGCATAGTGTTTTGCTCACAGGAAGCTCTACGTGAAGATGCTGGTGGATCCAAGGACGGCTCTAGTAGAGTGAGCCAAATTATACAAACACCGCGAAAGTCACAACTTAGTCACCTTCAACCATTCCCGTGTAGAGCCGGGGATCACGGAACGGTCCGGATGCAAAAGCACTAACTCTTTTCTTGCAGTTGTTTTCATTGATAGCAGAAGACGTTCGTATTCCCCTAAGCTCGGATCGTCCCCCATTCCGACAACCATTACATAGTCAGCCTAGGGATACAATCAAAATATAGTTCATAGATTGGAGGATGTTACACACCTGACGAATACAGGTCTGTGTCCACGGACTATTGACGCTCGAATCTACAACATAGAGGACGATACGATACTTCTGTTCCATGTCAGCCAGCCATCCAGCAGCCTTGAGCTTCCCCATCCTGGTGAAAGCATGTCGCCCCAGATGACTCGACATTGAGGCTTGGTTCAGATGAGCGGTTAATGCACCAATACCTTCAAGAGCCTTTTGAAGGGTCTTAGAAAAAGTTTCAATCGGTACACTGCGGGAAACGGGGAGCACTGCAACAGTCTTGAGGTTGTTGTTGTAACCAAGCTCAGAGGAAGGTCTGCTTCGTGAGGGCGACGGGTGTAATTCCTCTCTTACACGAGACGCAATCGTGCGTAGTAGTCTTTGAATAGGTCAATTGAACCGTTATATTTACCATGCTCAAGAAGATCCAGAACTCACTGAGCTGTTGTTTGCGGGTTTCTACTCAAATCAATTATAGTCCTCCAGATGACAGAGCTAAGCTCACCTAGCAGATATTGCATTGAAAAGAGTTTGAGGCATCCTGATTAATTCTGTATCACGAATCGCATGAGCAGTATTGGAACGCGGTGAACTTGTGATGACGTCCAGCTCTCCGACTGTATCCCCTTGTCCATATTCTCCGACTATGTCCAACCCCCCGCGGACGTTATCAGTGATCACGCGAACACGACCGTTGATGACTATGTAAAAACTATCGCTCTTGTCGTTTGGCCGCCAAAGGACCTGACCTGCGTTCACCTGCATCCAATCCAGGGACGCGTCAATATGAAGCACTTGAAAGCGCCTGATAAGTTTTCTATGAAAGCGCAGAAGTTCAGGGAAGCGGACGCACCTAGCGGAGACAAGAGGGAGATGAGGCGTTTGGCCAGAGTCAAAAGAACAATGGGTCGTTTTTCGAGGATTCTCTCGAGCGCGTTTGGGTGCAGGAAACCGACATAAACGTTCGTTTTTGCTCGAATATCGACGTATGAAGCCGTGTGGGTAAGAGAGGCTTGCAATTATGTCAACGACAAAAATAAAGAAAAGTGAACAGTTCACACACCTAGATACCCCGCAATTCCTCCAGGCTTAACATCAAACAACCGCCTCGAGTCATTGATATTCTGGGTAGTGTTGTGCAGGTTATTGTTGCTGTCAGTTCTTGCGTCGGAATTGCCCTTGATGGACTCTGGTGGAAGTAGGATTTCCAAGAACCCATCGATGACATAAAACAGTCCTGTGTATGGTTCAGGAAAACAGGATCGACTTCAACAAGATAATGCACCTTTATTCATTTCCCCAGCTTTAACGAGGGTCGAACCAGCGGCAAAGAAGAGTATTTCGACTTCATTATCTAGTCCCACCATATAACCGCCTGGAGAAGGCAAAGTCGAAGATCCACCAGTGGCGCTGGATACGTCGTCATTCAAGTCTAGAAGAGAGAGTGAACTGAAGGACGTAAACAGCCTATCAGAGCCTGATCGAAAATCGTCCGTCGCTTTGACTGCAGGTGACGCCTCTCCTGATTCGCCTCCGCTAATTGGTGGCTGCAGTAGCCCGATAGATTTTGCAATGCAGGACATCACCTCCTCACGAAGGTCGAAATCATCCCCAGACATGTTAGCTGCTCTTCGATTTTCGATGAAACTCAAGGTTTTACGTGTAGGGTAAGGCGTGTTCACAACACTGTTGCCACGATTGATGGGTCCTCGATGGAGCGGTTCATCTGGATTATCAGTTGAAGTCAGGAGATCGCCAGCTTGGACAGCATGCCTAGAGTTGTGAGATTTGAAAGGAAATGAAGTTGAGGTCGATGTGGACTTCTTGGGCAATGCTGGACGTGATGAATCTGCGAGGTTGACTTTCTTAACGGAGTTGGTCTCTTCTGTGGACTTTGGAACACCCTCGTTGGATAAGCTTTTCGATGAGACGGACGCAGGAGAGCTTGTGACTTGGGAATAGGAAAAGTAATCGTCATCTGTATCTGACCGATCTGTGCTATCGAAACGCGTCCTTAAATATTGAAGTCCACCTTCTTCGTAAAACGACGCTGGTAAAGGATGGCAGGCAATATCGTTGATGACTTTTTCAGTTCGAATTACTTCGCTGGTCAAACCAAGATATTTGTGTGCGGCATTAAATGTCACACGCGAAAAACGAGCTAATATCACTGGATACACGAATGAAAATTGAGAAAGCAGCGCCACAGATATATGTATATACTCACCTTGTACAATGTGTCCTGTTGCCTTGGGATACTTCTTGGTGAGACGGCGGAAAGCCTCAGCTGGTATCACAGCGAGCGTAGTGTCTTCAGTAGCACGCGCTACTAGCCCGTGATAAACTTCTTTTTGTTGCTGAGAGCGGGGGTATGCATGTTCTTCTTCTGCAGGTGATGCGTACCCATCCCGCTCCGGTGATAACGGCGAAGTCATATGCACTGTCGAGGCGGTAGAAGAAAGTGAAGAGCGACGTTTTCGCGGAGTCTCGAGCTCCAAGACAGAGATATCCGCATTGGAGTGACCACTGGTCCTTCTGATTGAGCTGGCGAGCAAGGCAGCAGGAAAGGGTGACTCCACATGGTCGTCTTGCCAGCTCATTTTGACATCTTCTGTGAAGAGGCTTAAGATGGTAAAGAGACTGGAAAGTGTGCCTCCACTTCCGACTTCGTTTAAAAGTTGATAACCGTTTGCATCTTCATTATCCCAAGCACCTTGCTGGTCTGCACTTTGACCTGTTTGACTGAAAACCTGCACCTGGCCGTCAATTACGCAGTAAAAGCTCTTGTCTTCGTCGAGGGAGATGCTATCACCCGCGATTAATCTTCTTGTTTGAAGATGTCTTGCAAGTTCATGAAATACCTGCAACTAGATTAAAGCTTGTTCGTGGCCGAAAATGTAGCACGCACAGGTTTCTCTAACTAGTGATTCCACCAACAATGAGCATTTTAGATGTGATATGGACGTAAGCACCCACGAAGCCGAATACCCGTACGGCTTGCAGAAAGTCATCAAGGTAGTTGTGAAAGGATGGAGGTGGCTCTAGCATGAAGAATGAGCAAAATACATACTTTCCACAACGTGTGGATTGACATTCGCACCTGTATTTACATCCGGATGAAGCTCATTTGCATCCGGTTTGATTAGAGGCGGCTCCTTCAATTGCGTGTAATCATTGAGATATCGAAACCGAATCCAATAGTTCAGCACGACGGCGCAGAGAGTGAATATAAGGGCAAACGACCAGAAGTTGAGCTGATGGCGTGTGCTGCTTAATGAAATGAGATGCGAGGATCCAAGTAATAAGGGCGCACTGTCAAGGTCATCGAATACGACAAGACGAAGTAAATCATTGTTGGAATTGTGATCGTCACGAAAGCGACAACAGATTTAGCCCAGGACAGGATCCACACTGTAGAAAGTTTACTGGCCCGTGGCACGTAGTTTGACGACTCGGAACACGCACTGAAAACCCAGAAACAAGCAGAGACTAACAACACTAAAGGATGCCTGTCTGCATTTCCATGGTCTGCGACGCCTTCCATCTTCGTAAAGGATAGCGTCCTCGTTGTACTTGTGCCAAAACTTGTGCACTATTTATGTCGATTCACTCAGCAAATCGCAGCAAGTGTCAGAACAACGTTCGAATTGTAGAATGACGTAAATATGAATTCCGGACCGAAATACCGACGGGCGCCTATACTTAAGTTGCATTACAGTAAAAGTTCCTAAAACAGAGGAAATCCAGTAGCGAAAACGAAAATTGAAGCAGTGCGAGTTTAGGTGTATTAATGATCATAGTATTCTAAAAGCCCATGGTCTAGAATAAAAGCAAAGAATCGTCAGAGCCAAAGTGACTACTGATAAGGGGATCGATAATGCGGTCAGAAATATGATTTGAAGCGAGTTCACGACCTTAAGCAGTGCGAGCTTGCTATTGGGCATTACTGAGGAGCGACGATCAGAAGTGGTATCGAGCCCAAATGAAAATCTTCCAGTTCGGGAGAGTTTCGAAATTAGATCGGAAGTCTGGGGAACATTATATTCCACCGACAACGCGAGATCACGTTCGACTCGCTTCAGAGTAGTGCAATCCTCTTTTGCGACACTCATAAAGTGTTCCTGGGCAACAGGAACAACAAGGCAAGATGGATATCCTTCGGAAGACAGCGCAAAACTTCTAGCCGCTCCTGCGCGATGAGCACGAATGCTTTGACATCCGTAGCCTTCTAAAACGTTTGACACAAGGTCCCATATGACTCTTTCGTAGTCACCAATTTGAATTACAGTTCCTTCCAAGGTACGACGACGAATAAGGCGTCGAGCCTTCATCGAAAGATAGAATTCGAGCCAATGATGACGATTGGTGAATTTCTTTGGATTTAGTTTAGGAGGGGATAGACTGGAATAATTCGACAAGTGGGGGTTCATTCTCCGTAGCAAGATCGGGGAGGAGATAGAAGGATTTTTGGCAGTAAAACAGGCACAGGCACCTAAGAACTGTTCCCATCCCCAGATATCATTCCCGTATACGTCCTGATTATACGCTATGCATTCAGGACATAGCATATATTGGAGAGACGTTTCGTACCGCTGCAGAGCGGACGATGAACGGAAGATTAGATGATCCGTGACTTGGATGAGGAGTTGTGCGCGGATGATCAATAAGAGTTCGAGTGGAAGACTGCAAGCATTGTGAGAGCTGATAATGGAGTCCATGGTACGGAGCTCATCGGATAAATAGGCAAGGGAAGCATGCATGAGCGTTGAGCGAGAAATTTCTAGCGCAGGTGTCATAGTCGTTGTTAGGAAGGACGCGTATTCAAGGAAAGACGGCAAGTCCGAGTGAGTAGTTATATACTTCACAAAGGAGTAGCAATTAGCATCAAGAATTACCAGCTACTTTCCCCGTAATGATTCTTGATCGAGTGGAGACGGAAACGAGCATTGACATGACGTGAACGGTCTTCCGCGGCCTCTGACTCGGACTGCTTCAAGCCTGAGTCATCTTCCGACATGAAAATTCATGGAGTGTCCGGATTGGACACGATAAATTCTCGAAGGCCTGGATGCGGACATTGCGCCTCGCTCTGTCCAGGGAAGGTTACTTCAAACGGCAATGGGAAGACAAAAAAGAACAGAAAACTTGCAGACCTTTCATTCTGGTATTATGCCTTGGCACAGTACGTACGTCACAGCATTCAGGTGGGGATTGAAGCACACAACTTATCAGTGTTCAAGTTAGCATTAGTCCTTTGCTGGATGATTAAAGTAAGGTTTAGTGTAGGGTCAAAACCGAGCAAATTCCAGCTTCTGACTGGATACATCGAGCAAAGGCCATAGAAGGCGAGAACAATAAGGGCCAATGACAGGACGCTTTGAGGACAACGTTGAGAAGTGGGAAAAGAAAAGTCAAATGGATGGCAGGGAAGTCCGAAGTTTAGAAGTGGCTGCCAAACTCTGAAGTCGTAAAAGAGGTGTTGGCCAATGCCACCCGGCTGGAATTGAGCGCAGTCGGCTGGTTTTAGGAAACTTGGCAGCAAAGATTCCAAAGACAATGATTTTGCAGGGAGGTCTAGAAAGATACATATGTTTGAATACTTATCAGCGCCCGAGCAAACGAAACTCAAGTTCGCTCAATTTAAGGCAGTTGCCGAACTAAGTATGTTATGGATCCTTCTAGTGCGTTGTAACTTGTTTATCTATTCCGCCAATTGACAGATTCTACGCCTGTGGTGAACGCCGGTTGTGAATCAACGTGCACATCTCCTGTAATCCCCTGCAAGCCACAGTTACCAGTAGTCGTCTGCAATAAAACGCCGTCTGTAGACTAAATGAACACATCCTACGACGGATTCTCGCACCAGGCAGTCTGAATACGAGCTGGTGTATGCATGCGTTCAACATCCATTATCAGCGATAGCCTGCAAACCTTACGTTTATCAGCTCCGGCCATCAAGCCTCAAGGGCCTCAAGGGCCTCAAACTCTTACGAATCTACTTAAAATTCTTTATTCCAATTCCACTCTTGGACTTCCAACATTCTTTCATCGAATTCCTTGACCAAATCCATTCCGTGTAATGCTAGAGGTATGGTCACTTGAAGGTCCATAGGTTGTTCTGTCCCGAAGTAACTTGGTCGGGTACTCGCCGCGGTGTATGAACGCATTTTGGGGTCATTTTGAGCCCAATCGCATATTCTAGATAGTGAACATAGAATGAATATATAGCGTACCTTAACGGAAAGGTTATGAAGTGCGGTTATCAACTCACTGCTTGCGTATTTTTTCTTTCCGAATAGAAAAGTGCGAGGCTATAACCTCCTGCAAGAAATGAAAGGCAGTTAGTTGATTGTAAGTGTGAGATGGAAGTTGGTGACAAACTCACACCCCAAATACCATTTCGGTGTTCTTCCTTCAACCAATCAACGATAGCCCATCGAGTAGTCTGCAGAGAGATATTCCTATTATAATGAATGCTCGCGTTCGACTTGGGATTGGCTCGACCTAATCCAGGTCTAACGAAAGATCAGAATAATCATGAGACTAGTACGAATGAATAAAGACCAAGACAGATACTACTCACTCGTTGAAATACGGCAAATCGATTAAGATCATGCTTTGGATACTAACGAGAACTTGGAGTAAAGTAGACTTGTATGGCAACCACTGTTCCTCTGGACTATCGATTTACGCATTGGCTAGGCAAGTGACCACAATTTCAAGTCAAATTTACCTTCCAGGCCACGTCCCTAGGAGAGAAAGGCAGACTTTGCCGTTGTCGTACAAGTTAGGGTTGAATCGCACTTTGCCGCCTCCCGTTGTTCTCAAGTGCATTTGTGGCGCAACTGCAGGATAAGACAGAGGCATAAAACAGTCAAACTCCCAGAGACCACCTGTATATCATCCTCAGTATTAGAATATAGAGAGCGAACAATACGATACCTGCATATGGAGTTCCCTCTGGGCCGGCGATCATAATCTTTCTGTAGAAGAAGTTAGGTTGACCCCTGCAGATGAAGAGACACGTACATTACATCGTTTCGAACTTCATCGACTCTCACCCAGATTCCAGGCGGCAAGCTCGTAGCAAGAACTGCGAGCTCTTTCACGAGATGTAGTCGATCTTTGGGATTTCGTGTGCCATTTTGAGAGCTTGTAACGGCGGTAGCGTAATTGAAAGTGTCATAATGTAAACCAGTAGCCTTCCCCTTCCCCGAATCGGAACTATCCAGAGGGATATGTCGAAATGCGAGGCGCTCGCAAGCTAGCGAGTAGGCCTGTTCGAGCTCGACCGAGTCAGCTTTACCCTTTCCCTTTGAGGTATCCTTATCCTCCTTAGAACTAAAATTTGTATCAGACGAGACTCCTAGAACAGAAATCGCTCGCTCGATGTCATCTCGAGCGGCTATGATATCGCCGCACAAAGAGATTGCTCTAATTATTTCCTCTGGGTTTTCTTCAGTTTCCATGAGCCGAGATGCACCAGCTAAGAATGCCTCGCTCTGTTTGCTGAGTTTTTTGAAGTATTCGTAGAGGGGAGGTGCACGTTCAAGTTTTCCTCCCGTCCCTTTCTCCCACTCAATTTCACTCTCTTCCCACATCCATTGTTCAATGCCCTGACCTTTGGATGGCACATATCTGGCCTCAAGGAGCGCCGATACGGTGAGCTCACTATCAGCCATGCGTTTTAACAGAGCCAGCATAGCGTAGTATACGTCGCTTCGTGTGATCCAATCCGTCACAGAATCATTGCGCAGAAGGTCCCCGAGAAGATCAGGGATCTTGGATGAGTTTAGCAAATGACCAACGGAAGGGTGAGGGAGCAAGTCGTAGGCTTGAGGGGATTCTGCGTATGGGGAAGGAAGAAGAGCGGTTATCATCCGCAAAGCGCGCGTCACTTGCACTTCCCAGTGCGCTGCAAGCGCCTTACTTTGAGGATCTGTACTCGGAATGGCACCCATCAATCCTTTCCGTCCATACGCGGCTCCATATCCTCCGTGTCCGACGCCATATCCAGTACCTCCTGGTCCGACTGATCCAGAGGCACTCCTCTTGCTATCACTAGCAATGGCCGCAGCGCGACTATGAGAAACAGCCTTTTCTCCAATGTATTGCCTGTCAAAACTCCCCAATGCTTCGAATAGAGCGATCGCACGAACTTCTGTACAGCAAGTATCCACTGTACATGTGGAATTCTTGGCTATGCCTTTACATGTTGCCACGCACATATGAGGTTTAAAGCAGCCTCTACAGTGATTCGTTTTACAGGGACATGGAGCATGAAGTAGGAAACCGAGACTAGGTGAAATCGTTTCCCCGGAAAGCATTACCTTGAACACGGAGATGGTTATTAAAATGGTAGATGCTCAGAAGAACAAGGGCATACATATCCACGAGGAGACTTTACTGTCTCTCCGCATTTCGTACATGGTCTCTCAGCTGTGAAAACTATTCGGTACGGAGATAGACTCTCGGTTGGAGTTTTTCCTTGAGCCAAAAATCGCAAAGACATCTGTGATTTCATTCTTGGTTTTCCACTACTCTCTGGAGGGACTGCTTCGCTCGTTTGTTCAATGGCATCGGCAGCTACCCGATTACTTGCTAGCCGCATAAACAATTGTTCATCCGGGTCGTCTTCTATAAGAATAGCATTGCCGGAGCTACTACCTGTAGCGTATTGGTCTTGTAGCTGTTTGGCAAGCTTCTCACTGTCTTCTTGTTGTTTGATTTGTGCCAGGATCTCCGTAAGATCGTCGTCGTCATCGGAATCGTCGTCGATAATAATAGGTTCAGGGGACGAGAGATGGATGCGCTTCTTGCTATTCTGGACCGCCTCTCTGGACGGAGAAAGGTCGCGTTTATCATTTTGGGAAGGCATTGAACTGAACAACAGGTGCCGTGATCAACTCACGAGTTTTGTTCTTCGGCAGAGACTCGGCAAGCTCTTGCCGCACCAACGGGAATCGGGATAGATCCGCTTGAAAGTAATCACACTCAACTGTTACTGAGTCGACTCAATCAGTTCCCGAAACTTGTTGACCTTGAACAATGTTGTCTGCCCGTACAAATATTCGACGGGCAGCCATATTTCGAAACATTCGAGGCATGTCGTCAACAGTGCCTGTGCTTCCTCTTCAGGCCCCCTCTCTGGAAGAAGAAATAGATCAATTCGACTCACGCGTCTCGGAAATGGCTGCCTTCTTTGCTTTACCGCGGTTCAGCTCCACCAAACGGCCTTATACTGCTGCTGATGTCGTGTCGAAACAAGGATCCTTACCCGTCCTTCCCTTGCCTTCCACCCTGTTAGCTGATAAATTATATGGTATCTTGTCCAGAGCCGCAGAAGCGTCCAAGCCCGTACACACTATGGGCGCCATAGATCCCGTTCAAATGACCCAGATGGCTCGTCACCAAGAAGTTGTATATATTTCAGGATGGGCTTGTTCTAGCTTGCTGACTACTGGGAATAATGATGTTGGACCCGATTTCGGGTGCGCGCGTGTTATGTTTTCTTCACCACGTCGACTGCTGAGATCGTATAACTTGTAGAGATTACCCTTATACTACTGTTCCCAATCAAGTCCATCGTATCTTCCGTGCACAACAACTGCATGACAAGAAGCACTATGATGAACGAATGATAGCCACTTCTGAACAGCGAGAGAAGATGGAGTTTGTCGACTACCTTCGACCCATCATAGCCGATGCTGATACAGGGTGTGTATACTCGCCCAAAGCCCCAAGCAAACAATCCCCCTGATGTACTTGTAGTCACGGTGGAATCTCTGCAGTGATGAAGCTGGTGAAACTCTTTGCTGAGTCGGTAAGTGACCACCGTAGACTTTTTGTACTTCGATATAACTAATGAATTCAGGGTGCAGCAGGCATACATATGGAAGATCAACTTCACGGAGGCAAAAAGGTCCGTTTTTGCTTGATGTTCGAAGTACCTCTAGTCTAGAAACACATCTACAGTGCGGTCATTTAGCAGGAAAGGTCCTTGTTCCAACGTCAACCCACATCTCTCGCCTTGTTGCTTCCCGTTTCCAATTGGATTTGATGAAAAATACCATGCTTCTCATCGCCAGGACGGATGCGGAATCCGCCAAGCTGATATCGAGTACTGTTGATCTTGAGGATCACGAGTTCATCTTAGGTACAACTGTCCAGGGTAAAGCATTGGCGGAAGTCCTCGCGGAGGCGGAATCAAAGGGAGCATCGGGGACGGAAATCGATCAACTCGAAAAAGATTGGAATGAGACGCATTACATGTGCACCTTCAATCAAGGTAAACATCGTTGGTGACTGCTCGACACGGGCCTTTGGACTGAATTTTTGCGGTCTAGCTGTTGAACAGGAGATCAACAAATCGACGATTACTGACAAACCTGCTGCTTTAAAGGCTTATTTGGACGCTGCTACTGGACACTCTATATCTGACGCTCGGGATATTGCTAAAGATCTATTAGGTGCAAGCGTTTTCTGGGACTGCGAAAGTATGGATCTTTGGAACCTATACTACAGATGTTTTCTTATTTGGTCTCCCCAGTGACTCGGACGCGAGAAGGCTACTACCATTTTGCTGGCGGTCTTGAGGTTCATAAACTTATTCAGTAGTCAGCGCGATCAATCCTCTTACCATGGATTTTCAGCCTGCCGTCAAGCGAGCAATGGCATTCGCCCCACATGCAGACCTACTATGGCTAGAAACCAAGACTCCGAACCTCGAACAAGCCAGGTCTTTTGCCCGCACAATTCGAGAGAAATACCCCGGCAAGTATGCATGCGACCAAGTACGGTGAACATTAGCAAGAGGCTAATCATCGTTGGTAGACTTCTGGTTTACAACTTATCCCCCAGTTTCAATTGGTCATCCCATGGATTCACTGGTTGTGCTGTTCTCTTTAATTGTAGCCCAAACTGTGTACTGATAAAGGTACCCAGAGACTGATTTGAAAGCATTCGTATTTGAGTTGGCAAAATCAGGGTGTGTTCTTCTTTCTTGCTTTCACGCCTCAGGCTCAAACTTAGCAATTCACAGCTTTATCCTCCAATTGATTTCGTTGGCCGGATTGCACAGTAATGCTACAGCTACAGGTATGTATACATCGTCACCGCATATTTACCTTGTGAAGTGACGTGCTTGAACAGCTGAGCTCTCTGCTCGTTTCAAAGAGGACGGGATGCTTGCATACGTCGATTTGGTTCAGAGAAAGGAGAAGGAAATAGGATGCGACGTTTTGACACACCAAAAATGGTTTGTCTATACCCTCCATTGTTCCTTTCCTTTGAATATGACCTTGTTTGTTGTAGGAGTGGCGCAAACTATATCGACCGAATTATTTCTACTGTCTCATCGGGTTCTTCAAGCACATCTGCTGTGGGCAAAGATTCCACCGAAAATTCTTTTTAGGTGTATCGATTTCTTACAGTGCAATCAAATTTACATAAATCGTTTCCGTAAAAATATCAGCTGAAAGTTGCCGATGAAGTGACGTCAGTTTGTAAACCAGAACTTTCACCCGACACAAACTTCTTTCCTTTCTTTCTGACCATGACATTGAATCCAATTCTTCTCGCCTACCAATTTATCCAGCATATTCTACTCAGACTTTTTGCCCCTGATCCCCCGCCACCAAATGCCAAACTCAACCGTCCTAGGATTGCAATCATAGGTGCTGGCCTCACAGGTAACATACTTCTAAATTGTGCTTTGCTGCACAGGTCTGAATAGCCTAAATTACAGGTGTATCCTCAGCTGCTCATTGTGTTGGCCATGGCTTTGACGTCGCTATCTTTGAAGCTGGCGATCGTGGTCATTTAGGTGGCATCTGGGCGCGTAAGTGGATTCAAACACCAACGCGTAATTCTGTCATAATTTTTTTTTCCAGGCGTGAATAATACATCTGGACTACAAATTCACAGCTTAATGTACCGTTTCTTCCCAAACTTGGAATGGAAAAGTGGCTATCCAAATAGACGCGAAATTCTTGATAACATCAGCAATATATGGCACCAGTACTCCCTGGAGGAAAAAACCAAATTTGGGGTCACAGTTGAAAAGGTCTGGCAGGACGGTCATGGACGCTGGATCGTGAATGATGAACAGTATGGCAAATTCGATGGGATTATTGCTGCAATTGGGTGAGCATCTTTCAATTGGCTTTGGTTGAACTCGACCATTCTCATGCATTCTAGAACATGTGGCGAGCCTAAGATGCCACACATTCCTGGAAAAGAAAAGTTTCAAGGAAATATTTATCACTCGTCTGAGTTAGACGGAAAAGACGCGAAAGGAAAGAGAGTTGCCATAATCGGAGGCGGCGCTTCAGCTGTAGAAGCTCTCGAGTTCACCTCAGCCGCCCAAGCGGCAAAGACCTTCGTGCTTTCTCGGGTGAGTCTCGTCTGGTCATGTGGTAGTGTGATAGTGTTTAACACAACTCTTTACAGTCTGATAAATGGATCATCCCCCGAAATGCAATAGTCGACACACTCCTGGCTATGAATGTCTTTGGTCAGGAGATACTTCTGTCATGGATACCAGAAATGCTTCTTCGCAAGTTTTTCTACCGAGATCTTGCAGACCTTGCACCCCCGTCAAATAAAGGGATCTTTACCGAAACCCCAATGGTCAACTCTGATGTCCTTGACAAAATTCGAGACGGAAGCGCCGCATGGCTGCGCGGTGATATCGTTGGTTTTGTTAAAAACGGTATACGATTTACTCAGCGAGCTCAAGGGGTGCCTCCGGGTGGACCTGGGAAGGAGATAACTGTTGAGTGCGATGTTGTCATTATGGCAACTGGCTTCGGTCGCCCGAAATTAAGCTTCTTACCCGACGACTGCTTCGAAGAACCGTATGCCCCACCCAATTGGTACCTACAGACCTTTCCTCCGGGGTACATGTCTATCTGCGCCAATAATTGTACCTACGTCAACGCTATTGGCACAGTAGGGAATTATCACATCGGGATATACACTCGAATACTGCTGATGTTTCTCGTGGACCCCCTGACACGACCAAGGCAAGGCTTGATGAAAGCTTGGATAGATATGACACGTCTGTTCAAGAAGCGTTCACCAACGCCTGCTTTCGACTTTTTTACATACACAGAGTTGCTCTGGTGGTACTTCTTTTGTGTTGCTATCAACCCGTTCAGATGGAAATGGGCCCTTTTTGTCTTCTTCGGCATTGGGAAAGGGTTGCCCATGAAATTCGTGGAGGAAGAAGATATGTTGAGGGCAAGGCTACAGCAGTACGACTCAAAGTGATGTATGATAATGGAATTTATGTCACTTTCACTCCTCATTGCCCTCATATGTACATACTGGATATCGCGACACATACGATCTATTTAGAATTCATAGACCCTTTTTTCAATCGTACGTATGTCAAAACGCTGACTCACGTATCGCGATAATCGAAGTCACGAGTTCAAATCATATTTTGAACCAACACGTCCGCATGAACTGCTGCATCTCTAATCTGACCCGTCCTATCAACTTTCAGCCCCGAATCAAATGGTCGACGTCACAGGAGAAAGACATCAACCAAGAATACCCTTTCATTGATTTGCATAAAGAAACTCCCAACCAATTTGTCGTGCGAAATTACCTGCAATTCCTATGGCTTCCAGAGGTATTTCTACTTACATCTACAGCCTCATGGTGGTTTAATCAACTTCTAGTCCTTAATGCCTCTTGATCTACTCGTTACCTCCTTGCGGCGCGTCCAAGTCGCGTCAACTTCCACGGATTCTTTGTCAACTCCGCATCCTTTACACGCACTGCTCGATCCTCTTCTTCTCACTGCCCGTACTGCAGCAAATAAATATCAGACTGAGCTACCACAGATCCTTGATAATAACGGAGGTGCTGGAGAGATCGAAGAGACCATGATGTGGTACGCGCTGAACTTTGAGCGGGCTCACGGCGAGGGCCAACACGAACGTGAGCGTACTCGGACCAATACTGGTAGCTCGTGCAGTACGCAGAGCGCGGAATCTCCCATTTGGATGGATGAGAAGTGGAGAGCCAAGTGGATAAGGAGAATGGAACGGCGAGAGTGAGCATAGGCTTTATTGTTTGTCCACATTGGTTGAACTATCGAGCTAGAGTTCAGATCCAAATCCTCCTTCATTTGCTTATTCTTTCACTCCCTGGTCCACCGCCACCGCCGCCTGAATTTACAGAAATGTCATCCGTGAAACGTCGGAAGCGACCACGAAAGAAGGCTACACCTGTTATAACCCCCGCAGACCGCTTGGAAGCCTTCATGGATAAACTTTCTATGTGGCAACTTATGGGAGACTTGGATTCAAACGAGAGAGAGCGCGTTGCAGTCGACCCTAAAGATGAACTCGATTGGACACAACGGTTTTGCCAGAGCATCGTTGAACCTTTGTCAGTTTCCCATGTTGGCTTATGCAGATGCCTTCTAATGAATACCAAACAGATTCAGATTGACTTTGCCAAACTTTTGTGACCTGCTCCGGTCCAAAGTATTTCCCAATTCGCCATTTTCGGACGACGAGGACGAACAACAGGAGCAGATCCATGGATCGCAGCAAACAAGCACTGAGTCTGCTTCACCCTCTCCCGAACCACCTTTGAAGCGGAATCGTACAGCGACCTTAGATGGAGCGTCTGATCCACAAGCACGATATCCATCTCCTGCTCTCTCCACGACTTCTACCTCTTTTGTGCGAGAGCCGAAGCGCGCTTCATCTCATCAGCGTTCTCGCCAGCGGCCAGCACTACAACGTGACCGATCCCGATCATTGTCTGTTTCACTAGCAGAAGAAGCTGAGGAGAGACAGAAGGCCAAAACGACTGGCTCGGGCGCGAATAAAGGCAGAGTACTTTCGCGTGAAGTTTCCATGTCATTCAAGTCAAAGAGCAAAGCGCCGGAAATAAAGCATATCGCTGCCGCGCCATCTTTCTTGGAATCCGACACTCGTCGACGAGAGCCAGAAACAAGATCAATCAAACGGGAACCATCAATGAATGACGCGGCGACTATACTGGTGGAAGCAACACCAATGAAGCCAATCAGGACTGTGTCACTATCACAGACTCGAACACAAGGTCCGTCATTGGCGACGACATTATTTCCTCGTATGCCGAGCATGCTGTCCTCTGTCAATGAGGAAGAAATCTGGAACCCCCCAGGCTCTAGTTCTCCCGATGTTTTGTCATTGACGCCTACCAAAGATGCAGGGAGCACTGGATCTACGGAGGAACACTTCATGGATGGAATGGAAAGAGATTGGCCTACAAGCACTCCTACTAGAGCCGGAAGGAGACGTGAGTATGGCTAAGCCTCGATCTCCTTCACTTTACCATATTTTTTTACATCACGAAATTTTTTGTAAACCTCAGAGTTAGATTCAAAATACACTATTGACGTTTATGATAAGTAAATGGGCTACAAGAACTTTTGAAACACTAAAGGGCACAACAGAACGTATGCTCCAGCATAAGTAAGTAGCGTGTAAGTAGTTGGCAGAATGGGCAGAGGGCAATTCATGCATATGTAAAAGTAAGATGAAGCATATCTGGTGCATGGATCGTATGCAGAAAGATGCGAAGAAGGAAACGCAGGTTTTCAAGCATGAGAAGGGACCGCCAGATGATAAATAGAGTGGGGGTGATGAGAAGAGGGTCGCCTACGATATGGGCATAGACCGGTAGCGCAGAATATGAAAAGAGGTTTGATCGGTGATTTACAGGTGAATAAAAGGTTTTACATGCACGTTACACATACACGCATGAAATGCTTCGCAACAGAAGCATTATTTTGAAAAGGTCGAACATATATATAATTTATTAGCTGTGTAGTAATATTGTCAGCGTCTTATAAATAAACGAAATTCAACCACGTACATACATGAATTCACTGTACCACTTGGTGGTGGAAGGTGAGCAAGAGCAAAGCATCCTCAACTTTAATTCCGCTTTTGAAGGGGGCCTTATCCATCTCTGCGATGGTCGCCGATTCTAACGCTGCTAGCGTTAAGTTGCTAAGGTTAACCTGAGATGATGGTGACCTGCCCAACGGCGGAGGGGGCGACCGTGAGGATTCGGAGCTGGGGGTTACGGCTTCTTCATATTCGTCATCGCTACCTGCGTCTGATACACTTCCACTGTGCATAATGGGAACCTTCTCATCATACATGACGGAATCATCATTAGTCCACGTAGACGATGAAGGCGATCCGTATCGCGAGATAGATGCATCTCGATCATGATCAGGATAATCAGCGTCTTCGTCGTCGTCGTCGTAATCGTCTTCCCCACTGCCCGACTTTTTAGCGCGCCTGCGTGTGGTTTGTCGAAGGTTTCTGAACCAGTTGGTAACCTTACCGAGGTCCCTACATAGAAAAAGATAACGACACAAATGAGATCATTGTCAATTAAATTAACGGGATGAATACTGGCTTACATTCCGATTTGAATAGCTAGCGCGGTGCGTTCCTCGATAGTCGGGTGGGCCGTCTTAAGGAACAAATCCTTCAGTGCATCAAGTTGATATGGTTCTGGACGAGTACGCCGGGGCCGAGAGTTGAGGGTACTATCATATGGCGTCCCGCTCCGACGTCGACTCGTTCTACGTGATGAAGCAGAGACGGGCGATAGGCTTCGCCGACCCCGCACAGGCATAGAAGGAAGAGAGGGATGAGAATTTGCAGGCGGCAAGTTGAGGGATGGATGATGCGTGGGCGGTGGGAACGCAGAATACCTCCGAGCAGGAGTGTCAAAAGGATACTCGGAATTTGGGAAAGAAGCTGCCGTAATGTCGGTATCGCCTTCTTGTCTTTTTTTCAAGATGCTGCGCTGATTTTGGAACCAAGTCGTGATGCTTTGATATCGCCTGTCAAGAACATGTTATGAGTAATGCAGGTGGCACCACACTATCAAAAAGAAACTGACATTCCAATACGATCTGCTAAAGCCTGTTTCTCTTCAGTAGATGGAAGTGGGTTGATGTTGAACAAGTTTTTGAGCTGTTCGACCTGCTCTAAGGAAGGACGCATACGAGATCGACGTTGCATATTGTCTTGTTCCTCGAAATGTGCGTTTTCAGTGTTGCCACCGTAGAAGGGTAAATTGATGGGACCGTTATCAGGAAGGGGAGGTGATTGAAAATCTAAGTCTTCCTCAAATTCGTCTAAATCAGGTCGACGAAGGGATGAATTCGAGCTGAGAGTCGAAGAGTTTATAGATGGATTGTCATATGAAGCCGTTGATCTAGGCAAAGTGCGTTTCTTTGAGCTAGCCCGTTTGTTCTGAAACCAGGCATTGACAGTCTTTGTCTCCCTGGAGATATCCTTGAGAAAAGACAGAAAGCAGGACGGAAAAAATGCTTACATTCCAAGGCGCTCTGCAAGATTTACTCTGAGATCAAGCGCAGGATGCTCATCTCTTTCGTATAGCTCATTCAGAGCGATGAGCTGGGCAGGAGAATGTCTATGCCTTGGTTTCTTTTGTTTGTCCTTCATGTCTGAGGACAGAGAATGAGCAGCTGGGGGCATTGTCGACGTGAGCCGACAGAAGGGGAAGAAAGTAAAGAGGTTTAAGAAAGACCCGGTTTAGTAATGAGACAAATGCATTCGATGCATAAGGAGAGAATCGTGAGAAATAGCCAATAAATTAAAAATTTCCCCAAGTCCATTTTAGAATTTTTGCATTTCTCTCCCTCGTTAATGTCTATGGCAGTCCATATCTCCAGACAAAAGTCAGTATGTAGAAGCCCTTTCTTTATGCTCTTGTTATCTGGTCCCCACTAGCCCTCGTCGATACTCAGTTACAGCCTACGATACAGCTGTCATGTTCAATCTAAATCAGGACATACTCGTCCCTCAGTGACACCATGTCAAGAATGAGCATCGGATAAATCCCTCTTCAATTCAATCACGCCTGTGGATTCTGGAAGCTGTGGAATTAGCGCCGGATGCAACCATGCCTTCAAGTTTCGGGAATACTGTGGTCTACTGTTATAGTACATGTACACAGATAAAGTGATCAACATTGTAAACGCTGTTAGACTAGATGTATAATAAAGCTTCGATCTGAAAAACTAGGCGTTAAATTGTATTAAGAAATTACCTCCAACCGTTTGAGTAGTAATGATGATGTTTATGCTAGTTCAGGACAGGTTCAGGAGGACTCGGGTCCAATATTCTTGATCCATGCACCTATTGACCCTCTGCAGAAAGGAAAAGGATACGGACTATCAGCATCTGACTAATAACCAACATGAACACTGAATACACTGACAGGAAGCCTTCATGGCGCAGAAATAATGCACGTTTTGTCCCTTTGCTCCAAAATCGAATGGCGTAGGATAAGGTCGTGATTGTTGCAGCATGTCCTAAAGAGATAGAAACCATCTGGACTCTGATAACATGAGAGCAATTACAAGACCGACCTCGGATGAAACATCCTCCAAAGTATATCCTTTCCAAGTTGTACTTTTCCGCATTCATATAACTGGCACCGAAAATGTCATCAGAAGAACTACCTCGTACCGAGAGAATGGACATACGCAATCTGACCAATGTTGTTCGAGACTGCATAGAGTAAACTCTTGCTGATGTCTTCCGGCGAAAAGGTGCCCTTTCCTTTACCCTTCTTGAACACCTTACCGAATGAACTGGCAATCATCGTGGATTTGAGACCCAGTTTACTATAGTCCTGCCCGTAGATATCGCCGACCAGCATATCAACAGTCGCGTTATCACCTTGCTCAGACAATTTCAACATCTCTGCACAGATTATGGATCAGTTCCATCGATTGAATGAACAAAGCATATCCGGGTGAATGACGAACCGTCAAAAGAAGTAGCTGGGGTAAGAAGACTGAGTAACCCCCAAAGAGTTCCTCCCCCGAGACTTGTTCCACTGACCCGCTCAAACTGCCCATCTTCATCAACCTTGATAATGGACACACCTGAGCCAATATTGACGAGCAAGCAGGGTAGCTGGAACGTAGGATTGCTTTCGAAAGTGACGGCAAACTTGGGCGGGTTTGGACCTGGTCTTTCCAATGGTCTTTCCAGAATACCGTTAGACCCAGTTGGAGGAAGAAGACTGGGTTGAGCCGAAGCGGATGGCAGAGGATGCGAGACGGACTGAATGAGTTCGTCCGAAAAGTAGTATGCCTCGTCTGGTATAAGTGTGATAAACTTCAAACCCTCGATTAAACATTCCATCTCATCCTCCCGCCTTACTTCCACGCACAGCGTGTCCTTGAACAACTCGTAGAATTTGTGTGCTCCACCGCCAGTAGCCATGATTTTCACGCTCTTCCGCATGTCTTCAATAGACACATCATTCACCTTCGCTGAACGCTCGATAAGAGATTGTATAAACTCCACGCATTCGTGGATATTATCCGTCTCGAAGCGCTCAAAGTTCAAAGAGCCTCCTGGAAAGTGTTGCGAAGTTCGACGCAACATTGTATCTCGGAGCATCTCGGTACTGAGCGTGAATCCTTCGGCGTAATTCTGCGAATCCAACACAAGGGGTGTAAGAGCACCATTATGCCTAATGTTGGAACTGGATGGGGAAGACGAAGTCGGTAATTCGGCCGAAGGAGAATTAGATCGGGGAGTAAACGGTTCAGGTGTACTAGAAGATCCCCTGGTAGCCGCAATAGAAGGCGAAGCTGGTGGTTCTGGTGACCTTGTGAAATAAACAACTTTTGCCAAAGAGCCTCCGACCTGTCAATGATTCCAATTGATGATGTGAAGTGCACGATAAAGGATCACAACTCACGTCTACTGCAACATGGGATACTGGCTCTATATGATTGGGAAAGTAAATGCCTCTACTGTCTCTGGTCTATGGGTTTGATTAGGAGTTAACTCAAGAGTAAGTGATGGCAGAACACACTTCAGGCGACTCTTCTTCAAGTATAATCGCTCCCCTGGTATCGACCTGTATGACTCTTGCAGTCGGCAACGAAGGTGCAGGCATGTTCGGGACAGCGAAAAGTCAAGGAGGGAAAGCTAATAACAATAACAAGAGCGGTGAACCATTAGCCGATTTCTTGGGGCTATATCGTTGTCGGTTTCATTTTGTGTCTTACGATTTTTCTATTGTAAGCACCCCAGGGTACAAGTGTCAGCAGTGCCGAACACCCTATGATACCCGGTTATACCAGGTTATACCCTTCTCTGTCCTTTCTCTAGTTACTGGGAATGTATTTTACAGAACATATGCACCGGTCTACAGCATCGCTGTTCAACAGCTGTATCTTTCATTGAGCTTCACAGGAGATCTGGCCATTCAAAACACTGCGTCCCGATTCCATGTAATCAGCGTGTAAAACCCTTCCTCCTTTCCGGACGGCAATGGAATGGTGATTCGGAAACAATCGCCGCATCAACGCATATGTATCTCATTGCAGGCACAAAGAGTATATTTCCGCATGCAAATGGTTGTCGGTACTACACTTAGTGATGTCGATTATCACCGTAAACACCTACATTGTACAGGTAGCTTGGTTTCAAGACCTTTCTTAAGTAGATCCGTGGGATGTAACAAATAGACATAGAGAAGCATAGGGAGTTACAGCATACGAAGAAACGTGGTGAACCTGAAGCTGAAGTTCCGGCGATAGCGCTGGAATCAAGAGGATGTAGTTGATGATGTAGATCGCGCCGCGATATGCGATGGCGACGCCCGTGTTCACGACTTGAACGCGAAGTAAAAGCTACTCATCGGAAGAACGAGAGGGATCAATTTGAACCTAATGCATTCGAACGTTGTATTGCGATGACAATCGTTTTCGATTTTACCAGCTCGAGAATCCAACAATCTTACCATCCCAGCTCCACCAAATCATTTCGTCTTCCTCATCTTGACCTTGGTCTGCGTTCTCCTGTTCGCCAGACATTGAGGCTGAGGGCGTGTTCAAAGACAAGGTCCTCCTAGCGACCCAAACACCTTCAACCTTCTGCTTTTGCGTTCGCTTACTCTTAGGCTTGTTTTCGAGGGAAGGATCGACAAACAACCGCGTCTCTTCGAGGAAATCGTTCAGTATGTGCTCCATCGAGTTGGCAAAATTAGGACGAGGGATCCATGCCGGGTGAGAGAAGCGTCGTGGGGCACGTAAAAGGACATGGGTCTGAGTCGGAACTAGAAGTTGAGAGTTAACCATGGCAAAGTATTATGTTCAGCGCGGAGAGATCACCCAGTTCAGAAGCCATGCCACGACCTTCGGCATCGGCCATGGCAAGAGTACGAGACAGTAGTTGATCGGCGGCACGAATTTTCTGCTGCTCTCTCGCGTGGTCTTGTAAGAGGTGTGTCGGGCTGGTCTGGCTGGATGTAGAGGGGTGAACGCGTCGGGGTGGACTTGGTGGTGGTTGAGGTATTGGCGAGTCAGGACGGCTACTCGTAGAACACACATCACTATCATCTTCTGAATCTGAATCTTCGGGCTCGGAATGGGAATTTTCTTCGTCGTCGTCGTCAAATGTCTCGTATGTTTCCTCCAGACCCTCTTCTGCATCGCTATCACTTTCATCTTCCACCTCCTCATGGGCCTCGACCTTCCGCGGTAGATCATCCCTGACGCCCCATATCTTGGTCTCCAACCCGTCGACAGCGAAGATAACCTTTGATTTGGCTGTACCAATACTGGGCCCAACAAGAATCGCCAAGTAAGCTTGACTGCCCGGACTTTGTTCATCAGCATTGCTATCCCCAGAAGCGGATGCCCCTGTTGGCGAGCATCGAGCAAAAGCGGTGGAAAGCGCAGTGAATGTGGTATCAAGATGTGACGATAAGGTGTCGAATGAATCGATTAGATCGTGCTTGAGCTTCGCAGCGCGTGTATTTGACTGAACTTCGGACGTGTTAGTAAGGTCGAAGTTCAGAGCTATTTTGAGTACATGCCTTTCCGCCAGGAAGGCGAGATAACTGAGCGACAGGGCTAAACAATTGCGGATTACTGCTAGTCCATTGAAGCAAGAAAGACTTACAAGGGTATTTGATTCTTTAGAAACAATACATGTCCCAATAGACTCGTAGCCAATCTAGCAGCCATCATATCTGGAATAACATCCATGTCAAGGCAAACTCTAGGTATTTTTGGTACGCTGTCATTGATATCCTCCGCTGAGGTCTCCGTCTGAATGTCAATTTGTTTGGGGCTAATTTGAACCTTTGAAGGGGTTTGAAGAGTGGTTGCTCTCTCCGCCGCAGAATTGGATAAATCTGAAAGAGGAGGCGGTACTACGAGCGGTGTTATGACTCTGAGAGACATAGTGGTTCAAGTTGAAGTTTTAACCACCTCAACCACCTGATCGTCACATGTGATTACACTGGGACTTCGCCTGACAGCCTTTGCCCAATAATCTGAGTAAATAATTTTTGAGCCGGTCTGATGCGACTGACGGACAGTTGATGCGCTGTTCACTTATCCCAGTAAGCGAGTGCAGAACCGTCTAGGGAGGGGTCCGGACCCCTCCCTAGACGGTTCTGCTCGAGTTCTGCTCAAAATCCGTTGATCGGACTAGTTCGTTTAGGACGTTTAGAAAAAAGATGTAAGTACCGTCGGAACTAGAAGTGGGTGACTTCCCGCTGCAATTATTCTGCAGTTAACCTGCAGTTAACTATTAACGGTATTTGATGCGACGTACGGACTGTTGATGGGACCCTCGCTTACACCAAAAACCAGTTTACAACAGGGTAGGGAGGCCGTTGTAAGTTGGTTTTGATGCAGTTTTTGAGAAGCCGCTCTCCGGCCATCTTCGCTTAGGTTCGCTTATATTGGTGGCACAAATTAATTGTCTGGTGTCCTGCAAATAATTCCTACGGGAAGTCATCCAGTTATCCCTTTCGTTTTACTTTCACCCCGCTTTCACCCTGCTCGCTGGACGATTTCCCGGAATTTTTGCTGGTCAAATTTTGGGCTCTGTCTACTTATCCAGCGAATACTATCCTACTGCACTTGACTTTCGGTGGGATCATGCATATCAACATTTTTTACCCCATATTAGTCCTTGCCGCTGCCAGCGTTGTGTTTGCGGCACCCCATGCTGTGTGTACCAGAACTGGTCAACATATTACTGACAGCTCAATCTACCATTCTAGTCTTACAGGCGCGATCTCCTGCAATCGCGACCGCGAGGCGTTTTTCCCAGAAAAACAGCCCGTCTATGCCGACTCAAAATTTATCCAGAATACGACTTTAATGTCGCGCTCAGACCATCTGTCGAATCCATCGTAGTCAGTGTCGCGGAAAACGATGATACGGTGTATGGAGGCGCCAAACTGAAGCTTGATTGGGATAACACTTCCGATCTGCCAACTCTCTCTCACAGTAGCAGACCTTATATCTTCAATGTGAAGCCAATTTCCAAGGAAAAAAATTGTGCTCTTAACTTTAGACTGTTAGTGGGTCAAGAGAATCTTCGTGGCAATTATAGAGTCTTGGAAGTGGATTCGAATCGGGTCATCGCGAGCAAGGGAAACCGTACGTTGACTCTTTTCACAAATTGATATCCAAATTATCTGAATATTTCTGCAGTCGTCTCCACCAACGAAGTATGCCAGCTTGTGGTTCGTCCTGATAATTACTTCGATAACGCCCTCGAGAAAACTATCGAAAATATCATCCGTGATGTTGCCTATCACAATCCCATGGTTTATGGTGGTAACCAACTCAAGTTTTCTTGGGACCATTCAAATCCATATCTTCATCAGGATGACAGACGACCTATCAGTTTCACTTTGAAGCCAGAGACTCAGATCGTGGATTGTTCGCGCACTTTGGAAGTGGTGATGAGTCGGAGAAGTCCTCACAGTAACTATGCTTTCTCCTATAACAACGCAGGATCGGAAATTGTGCGGAGGGGAGATCGTAAGTGCTTCCTTCTAGATACAAGTCTCCGGCTCTTACAGTGTTTCTCTAGCCTATGCGGAAGTAAATAATGGACCACCCACTTACACACTTCAAATGCGCTTCGAATTGGCTGAAGATCCAGTTGGTAGTCCAGTCGTCGAGAATTCCGTCAAAGAACTCCTCGCCTATGCCACAAAGGTGCACAACTTATTTGACGGTGGCAGATCCTTTTTTCTTCCCGATCGTTTAGGTTTGCTTGGTAGTCCTTCCAGAGATACTTCCAAACCTGTCCATCTTGACATTTACTGCGCTGTTGAGGATGACGATCGTTCATCAGATTACCAGCCTGGGTTTGATGTAGTCATGAGTCGGAGCAGTCCTCTCCAGAACTATATCATCACAGATCTCCGTCCAGGCAAGGACAACAAGGTAGTCAAGAAGGGGGATCGTAAGTGACGCCTCCTTTCAAGATGATATCATCCGACTTATGCCGTGCCATCCCTATAGCCTACAAGCACCCGTGAACAATGAAACAGCAATTACTTGATTTTCGAAGGAGGGGGAGTGCTATGTACCGCTGCTCATCATTCTTGTACCATGCGTGATTTTCAATGACATCTGTTTTGCTTTGTCCGAGTCATTGTGGTCGATTTCTGGTGCTATCATCATAGGAAAGGCTTTTTTCCAAGCTTAACCAGAATATTTGACGAACAGCTGGCTTTCCAAGCATTCCCAATTCGGAAGAGTCTAACTCGATGTAGGGTTCGTATCGCCCGCGATACGCCAAAATACGCCCTCCTTTCACTGCTGTCCTAGGTACTGTTGTCATCAGCGCCCGAGCTATATTGCCTCGTACTTATCTATCAACGGAAATCCTTACTACTTAGACATCTTGATAAACCTACATCATGATGGAAGGACCGGACCCTTGCCAGTGGATCTCCTGTCCTTTATTGCATTTCAGGGAACATGCCAGTATGTAGATGCCGATAGTCAAGAAGAAAGATGGAGTTGCGAAATTTGGAGATCCTTTGTGTCTACTGTTCAATGTTGTACAATCTTTTGGTAATATATGGATTACCCACGAATCACTACGGAAGACGCCGCATCTATAGGGTAAGACTGTAGAAAGTTGTTTTCCAAACTAATGCTTAAGTGTGTAAATTCCTCAACTTAGTGTGCATCTGGAGAGCATGGTATCGCTTAAGCTCTTCCTTTCCGGTTGAGTACTTAGTAGATTGTATCTTTAAAGTATCTTGTGCGCATCGAAGGTTCAACATCCTCCCGTAAGGTCGATTGCACCAAGTGACTTTTGTTCAATCACCTTCACCACTTACCGTACACCAGGGCGCGTCTTGCTCGGGATTTACTAATTTAGCTTCTTCCGAATCCCTGACTCATTATAAAATGGTAGCAACGCAAAGCTCTAGAAGACATATGATAATTACTGGTATATGGGCGGATTCAAATAGAATGTTGATACGAAGAACGGAACCAAAAAGATAATTTACAGATGCTAAGTTGATGGTAGATTTTGAAAAAAAATCCATGAGAGGTCCTGAGTGGATAACCCGTGGTCCCGGAAAAAGAAGTGAGCTATGCGCAGGATCAGGTTCGAAATGCAGTGATCAGTCCACGGGTTATCATTGGTGCATCCCCACTGTTGTATAAGGATATGTTAACGTGCCAACCTCCATCTTCGGAGACACCATCTCGAACTGCGACGAGTCTATACTTGGATGGGTGTCCGAGTACGCGTCATCATCATCCGTCGTCCGCCTGTCAGATTGGGAGTCAAAACTCATTTTCCGAAGTCCGCTGGAGTCCATGCTCAATTTCGCAGATGAATCTAGGCTAGAATTTCGATTCAAATCAGTCTTTAGCTTGGACGGAGGAGAGCCATGCGATGTCTGCGAGGACGAGGGACTATTCAGCGATTGGAAGGATGAAAGATCTGTCGTGTTCGTTAGTCTCGAATCCGTTGAGGAATTTGTTAAATGAGATCCCGTGCGCAAGTGTTCGGGAGGTGCTCGAGAGGACAGAAAGTGTTCAGGAATTTTGGGACTGGGCGGAATTTCGGAAGTGCTGACCGAGGATCGATGTGACCCATTGTTAAGACTCGGTGCCCGTGGTCGGACTGTGCTATTGGAAGCAATACGTTCAGGGTTGCTACGGGAATCACTGTTAGAATTTGTCTGTTCATTGTTCTGGTGTGCAGCTGCAGCAGCTTTCCATTTCAGGATCGATTTCCTGACGTTTGCTTGTCTGTTTTCTCCCATCATAGAAGCACCTGCTGCAGCACCTATTGAACCCCCGGTGGAGCTAGTCGGAGACGGTGTTCTGCTAGGAAGCTGGGGAGCTGAGTGAACACTATTTGTACTCACGCTCATCTTCCTCTGCTGAGGCCTCCTAGCGGGCATAGGATACGGGCTTTCCTGGTCAAACTGCATACGATCTCCATTGGTTGACGATCTCAAACGCAATCCAACCTGCATTTGTGCAGCTATAATGGGCATCGGCGCAGGTCTACCATTTTCAGGCTGCAAAGGAATCGCTAGTTGATCAGGGATATCAGGAATGTCGAGCTCCTCCTTTGATGGTCTGGAGGGCCTGATAGGAACAGAGGAGGACTGGGGTAAGTTCTGGAGGGACTGAGGAGAAGGAGCACGAGTTGAAGGGAGTGTCGATATGGGTGGGGACTTGAGAGGCTCATCGGTTGGGTGTCCCGGTGGAAACATAGGAGATTCTGGGATGGGTGTAGGGGGAACAGCCATGGAGACTGAGGTCTTGTTAGACTTCCTCCATAGCTTCTTGATACCTTTCATGCTCATCACAGTTGTTCTATTCCCTGTCTTTTCTTTAACGCTGTCCTTGCCCCCTGTGGATGATCCTGACAAATTCTTGGCTATCGACGCAGGAACTTCGATGTTATCTTTGGTCGAATCAGCCGAAAAGCGACTCGAAGCTTCGCTATTTCGTGAAGGTGCCTCCGTGACACCAGTCCCAGATATCGACGTTGTTCGTCTCTGTTTACTGTTTTGGATCAGTTGTTCGACTGACCCGCCAAAGGGCACTTTGTCCCAAACTTTGACACTGTGACGGGTTCCCTCAGGCGGTTCAGGCGTGGAGGAGAATCTACCGAAAGGATCTGGCGACAAAGGGATGATCGGAGAGCTATTTTGCGAACTGGTTTCAACATTGGAAAGTGAGTTTAAAGCGGGGTAAAGGTTTTGTTCTTCCTCAGCCTCTCTACGCCTTTTCATGGTCTCAGCGGAAATGTCTGAGGACCCACTGAGCGAGTCCTGACGTTTAAATGCATTAGGGGCAAATGTTGATACACCATTAATGGCAAGCCGTGGAGGGGAAACGCTAGTGGATTCGGCACGAGACCTCCGGATAGGTCCAGGTGTATCCTCCTCTTCTTCAGTCAAAACAGAGTATGGGACAGCCGGCCACTGCGCACGAGCGGGAGAAGTACTGCATGAAATAAATCAACAATTTCGAACAGTATCTTCAAAAGACTTACGAAGTGGCATTGGAACCTCTTCTGGGTCTGGTAGGACTCTCGTTGAAGTTGACTGTGTTTGGGGTTGGAGGTAAGATATCAGAGTTCATTAAGGCTGGGGTGCCTTGTCTACCAGCGGGAATGCCCAAGAACGGAGAACCAGGTGAGGAAAGACGAGCACTGGATGAAAATTGGTCATCTTCAAGGTCGGATTTGAGAGCTCGAGGTGAAAGTTGAGCGAGATTCTGTAAGAAAATCAGTACTCCACGTTTCGAGTAGGAAGGAATTGCTACGAAGGGAACTGGCTATTTTTCTTTGGGGAAAAATGCAACTTACCCGTTCGATTTCATCCAGTTTGGCTTTGAAGATAATTTGACTTCTCCTCCGGTCATGGGGGTCGTCGTCATCGAGCTAGAACGAAGATTAACATTATTATCGCCTTCAAATAATTTCACAAAGAGAGAATTAGAGGGACAATCAACGAACAGCTTCAAGCGTTGGCGTAATTTCCTCATCCATATATTATCCAGAGACATTGATTGCCAGGAATAGATAAGCTTACCTCTCCTAAATCCAGATCAAAATCATCATAAACGCCACCGGTTCTCTTCTCGGTTTCCATTGGGCTCTTCGTTCTGTATCTCTCAACCTCGTCGTCCAACAATTCAGAAAAGTCTGAACCTTCGGGATGGTTCATGTATCTTTCCCTACCATCATTAGGTGAAACACCTTTCAGATAAGGCAGACTTGTGCTTCCGCTACTACTACTGCTACCTGGGGGGGTAAAAGTTGCTGAGTTGAGAGGACTAGGGACTTTGAGCTCTTTACTGGCGGCACCACCGGCAGGATGAAGGACTAAGGGAGGCGGAATGCGCTTTCTTGACAGAGAATTGGAACGAGACGGTTTTTGTCCCATTTGCGCCATGATTTCAGATATCTCCTCCGCACCCCTAGTGAGCTCGCCCTGTTCAACACCATCATCGTCAGACTCGCTGTCGTCGTCATCAAGTGACAAATCATGCAAATTTTTTCGTGACCGAGAACCTACTGCCCAGTTATCAGGATCTGTAAACCCAGAGAGCATCAACAAAATGGCATACCGGGACCAGAAGTTGATAGAACTCTAGCGGTCTCATCTTCGTCTCCAATGTCATCATCGTCGTCTTCTTGTTCATCGTCGGAGAGTTGATCTAGAGCACCTTGATCTGTCCACGAAAATGCCGATCCTGGACTGTCCGTTCGCGCGCTTCCAGCCAATTTCAGACGCTTTGGAGGATCGTTAGCAAGTACATCAGATTTTGCCTTCTTTTTCTTCTTCACCCTCCGCCGTTTGGCCCATGGTTCGTACCAGCCCGCTTTCTTCCTATCTATATCGAACTCCACTTTCGCAAGAATTGGCATTAGTGAAGGAGAGTTGAGCCCCGGTAACGGAAGCGAGTTGGCGCGGAGAAGATTAGTGTCAACATCGGTGCTATCGAGAGAATTGGAATGAGAGGTAGGGGGAGTGTCAGTGTCAGGACCTTCGGATGTCGGCGAGCGAGAGCGGAGGGACCTAGCGAAGGCAAGGGTAGATGCGCTAGACGGCGTTGACGGGGAAGGATACGACCCCAATTGGCTCAGAGCAGTTTCGGAGTTGGTGCCCGCAGTTGACAGGAACGGCCTTAGCGGAGACACTGGCGTTCCCGTGTCGATTGCGAGTAAAGGCGGAGAGGTTACTGGACCCGGTAATCCGAAAGGAGCTAATACTGGGGGCAACTCCTCGCGCTCAGCCTTCCACACCCTTGTCCATAAGTGCCTCCAAATTTCTTCGGATAATCTGGGACCAGGCTCATCTACTCCTTCGTCTTCCGCGCCCGTCGGTGTCGTTTGATCCTGAGCAGGCTGAGAAGTGTTCACAATGTACAAAACGATACCCGTTATACTGGGTAAAGCGTACTCTTTTGCGATAGCCCATAGCTGGGCCTGAAGCGTCGGATGTACTGCGACCAGAGTACCTCTTCGGAACTGGGAATGGTAGCCTGACCCAGAAGGGACATTGTCCTTCAATTGGGAGTCGTGCGGAAGGTAAACAGGGGGAATCACGTGGAGAAGGAATTTTGAAGTGAAGGTATAAGAGCTCCCAGCATTCACAATGCTGCCTGCAGAGGAAGGAGTAGGAGATCGTCTGAGGGAGCCATAAGTTTCACGTATCGAAGCGTATGCATCCGGCGTATTTAGCGAAAGAGCTGAGAAAGCTGGCGACGGAACCAAATATGGACTGGGTGCTCTATCTGCCCTGTTTTTTCTGTGGTGAACTGGAATCGGAGTCGATACACCCAGTGCATTTGCTAGCTTTGCAAGTCGATGAGGTGGTAATGGTGCCTTCGGAGGTGCCCATGTCGGTGAAAGCGAAGTCGTGGTTGTGGATGTCGGAGTAGTGTGTACATTATCGGAAGAACTTGTCGTATCGTTCGTTGTCGACATTTCTACAGCAGAGAGATTTATACTTTCCGGAAGCAATTTTACTTTTTCACGCACCTGTGGATTGACGACGAGTATCACTTTGCAAACGCACTGCCTAATAAAATACCCGACCCAACCAACTGCGGATAATCCAAAATGTAAAAAGGTTCAATATGAGCACGAAAGGTCAGTAAATCAGAGGAAGGCAATAATCGTTAGATGAGCATTTAGGGGACGTGAAGGGATTGCAGCAAGCGGAACGAGGAAATTGGGAGAAAGGATCAACAAATTATGATGGCCTTTCCAAGTTGGGAAAAGGTAAGCGCCTGAAGTTTGAACCCGCCGCCGGGTGCCAAAACATCTAGAGCACTTGCCACTATGTACACTGGAACTACAACTATTTGATCAAATCGCAGCCTGTGATGCCAGCGTTTCATTCAGGTTTCATTGGCAAAACGGACGCGTGACAATCCAGTGTTTGGGCCTCCTGCGTCCTGACAGTCGTTCACCAGAGATCTTTTCTCATTACAGGCACTGACATGTCAATATTTAATGTTCGCCTGGACCCAAAGGACAATACATACTACTTGAATAATGCGGTACTTCATGACCGAACGACCAGGGTATAATAAAATTACACGGAAAATCCAAGCCTAAACCAGAAGAAAGTACTTCTGTTACAACCGCAAATAGCGCGGAGAAAGGGAGAACTGACCGAAGGAAGTGTAATGATTGAGGTTGAAGTACCAATGAAAAGAAAGGCAACCAAATAACATATAATTTACAAGAACGAGCGGTCAAACGAAAGGGAAAGGAAGGCTTTAAGATAGCAATAAACATATCAGAATCAACGCGTTCATTGGCCAAAAAGTCTGAAGAACAAATACAAAAAGGAACCAACAAATCGGATTGCGGAAAGACCAGCCCTGTAAGTCGTGATATCAGCAATTGAGCTTCGTTCAAGATAGGGAACTAAACCTACAAGGACCAAAACAAGAACGTCAAGTAGGGATTGAATGTCGAATTGTTGCTTTCATCAACGTGACTTGAGACCCATGTCGAGAAGGCAGTCGAAGTGAAAATGATGATCATTGCCCTATCGCAAATTGGAGTAGATGAGACAAAGGATAGAAAGTGTATGGAAACGTTACTGACATATTAGTTCCAACCCAGGCTAGTACGACATTGGTCCTGGAATTACGGTCGTGATCAGCCTGCTTAGTGGCAGCATCACGATGTTCCTTCTCTTCCGGTGGCTTGATCTGGGAGCATCATGGTCGTTAGTATGATGCCAGATTGAAAGAATCAAGGAATTTAACCTTCATTGAGCTCCGTGCCGCGAGCCAAAGCTGGTCAACATCCTCCCTCTGGGTGACAACCTCGACCTCCATAAGCTCTTGACCCCCTTCACCTTTGACCTTCTTAGCTCCACCAAGGTCTTTAGCAGCCCCGTTATCACCCTTGGTACCCCATGTAACGTCGTGCAAATTGCACATAGCGTACATCACTGCGGAGTACATCAGTCAAAAAACGACGGTATTCAAAGGTAATACGACATACTGAGGATGTTGACATAACTGGGCAGGAAAAAGAGGTATTGAATGAAACTGGTGAACATGTGCCAGGGCTCAAAGTGCATGAACGAGCCAATGAAGTAAAGACCGTAAGTGGCAGCAAGGGAGATGACGATGTCTTGCAACGCGGGAGTAGATTTCACGAGGGCGGGGAAATCTTCCCATCCTGCGACCGTGTGCGGAACGGCGAGGTAGACAGTATAACCTGCACAGTATAGCGTTACGACATTGCATAACCCAAACAGCACTATCGCGAGTATGTACGTCCATTTTGAGCCCTGTTCGAATGTTAGGAAAAAGAGAGGTATGTAGTTTGGAGACTGACCTGAGGACGATTGCCTAATGAACAAACCAAGACGACAAATATTAAGGCTATGTAGACCTTGAGAACAACCTCGAAGACATCCTTTCCAGCACCCTCAGCCATGAATTTGAAGGGATCATTTGTCGAGTCAGATGTCGCCGAAGATACCAACTGTCATGAGTAAATAGTTGACGCACCACCACCAAAACCAATGAAAGAAAACACTCACGAAATAGAACGCTAGGTAAAAATTGGCCAGAGAAGTCCACGTGAACAGAAGTTGTACTGCGTTGTAGATGAATTCGATCTGTAGAGGGTCCATGAAGTCTCGACGTCAACAGATTGATATCATACGACACGAACCGTCAAAACAATTTTCCTGAAGAAGTTTTGACCAGAAGTCCAAATCCTGAACCAAAACACAGTCGAATGGATGGAAGCGAACAGTGAACCGTTTAACCAACGCCGACGCTGAGAGATGAATTCCGGAACGGAAGCGGGTACATCAGTAGATGCTTTTGCACTCTTGACGTACTTCAACCTGTGCAACATTACGAGTAAGAAAGACAGGAAAACCAAAGTTCGCAACATAACACGAACACCCAACCTTCCCGCTTCTTCGTAACGATCTCGAAGCACAAGATACGGTCTTCTGCGAGATACATGTTTCTCTCGAACAAACCTGCTCCGTTTGGACCTCCACCGTGCATCGTCTCTCCTTTGAAGTACGATGCTAATGGCCCTTTCCCGTCCGGCCCGTTTTGCAAAGCGGCGTAACGATAAGCAGAGAAAGCACCTGGGAGCACGGATATGTAGCCAAACACAGACTAAGTAGAATCTCGTTATCCTCATTAGTTGACTCGATAGTTATGGTGAGACACACTTCAAGAGGTTTGTCAAGGATATTGGACATCTTGTATTCGAAGTTCTGGGATGCGGCCAACGGACTGGTGAGGAGGAGTGAACAACCCCGGCCGGTATCGACGCAGATTCTGAGCAGGAGCATTGAGCATGGGTGTTAGAGACGTTTCGATGGCTTACTCTCCACAGGCACCACCAACATTTGAGTGCTTGTCGAAGCATTTCCAGAGTTCGTAAATAGAAGTGCCAGTAGGTTTGGTTCCGACGTCCAGGAGTATACAGACTATAGAAAATTGAGAAGCAAGTGGAAGAGTGTTTACGAAAGTACTGTACCGTTAGGCTTGATAAGAGGGCCAAAAGCGTTGAAGAACCAACGATGACTGTTCAGTTTTTTCTTGTTTTGTTCCTTCAAGCAGAATATGACCTGTACAGGGCATCCCGTTTGCGATACTTCGCCGAGTTCGGTAACCATCACACTGGTTGTGTACCTGGTAAACGAATCCGATGAGAACAGATCTCTACTTGGGCTGAAACAGATTAACATACTCGAAGATATGAGCGGTGACATCTTTGCCAGCAACTGAGTCCTTCGCAATACCATCTTGGTAGCAGCCCATCTGGAAAGGACAGCATTAATTATAGTTAGAGGTTTTTATCGTGAGAGGTGCTTGTACCAAGCTAAGGACTTGTAGCGTCCTCTTGTTGACTTTGTTGCGTCCATCGGAAACGACGCACACCACCACCTTCTTCCAGCCCTCGGATCCCCAAGTTTTGGACTTTGACCGGCCACAAAGATGTGAGATATTTTTCAGAACTCTATTTTAGGATGAGAACAAGTTTGTCTTGGAATAGCCGATGGGAAGCTCACGCATTCATGGTCTTTGTGAACAACACCTCGTCTTCGTTGTACATAGTCATAACGATGAAGAGTTCGGTCTGTCTTCCCAGGAGGTAGGGCCTAAGCGAGTAGCGCGACTTGAGGAAGTCGTCGGGATCACAAGTTGCGGCTGTATAGCGCATCTTGGACATTTCCTCAACATTCTGACGTCCAGCAGGAATGATGTGGGAAGACACGGGCACATCGAGCACTAAATTTCCTTGGAAAAGCTCGACTTGTTTCACAGCACGGCCTTTGAGCACCTTATCCCTTGCAACAGAGTATGCGCCGGTACTTTGAGCGTAATGAGGTCCAGGTCGTGCTGGAGGGTAGTTGCTATAGCCGTTCTGAGCACCATAAGGTATGGAAGGAACGTCGGGAACTGCTTGGCTCATTTCGTGGGGATTTAGGTGAACTTGTGAGCCATAATGTGTGCTCGCATAAGATTTGTTGGACCGAGCGTCCCAGTTGGAGTTATGGTCGTATTCGTTATAGTAGCCTTCGTTGCTCTGGTTCAAATGAGGAGTGGAGGTATTGTAATTCCCGTAAGAATTTTGCTGCTGTTGCTGCGGATAGTAAGGATCGTGGTTCTGCTGCTGATAAGCCATATCGAACGGAGAAACGATCAACGCCTTCCTTAGTTGTAGATGGAAATGGTGGGGTGGGTTAAAGTGAATGGACGGTGTCTGTAATGACCCTGTTAGAACGACTGACGTTGAAACCCAGCTGGAGACCAAAGTATTCGGAGAGGAAGATGAGCGGAGAAGGGATACCTGTAAGTGAATATTTTATCCCACGTGTCGATGTCAACTCTGATCCTGCAGTGCTCGATATGTACTTGGCAATGGGAGTTTTGTTATAAATAATTTTCTATCTAATGTATCTATCTTTTATGTGCCAGCCAGTACATCTACAGTATTAGAATCAAGATGAACGACTTCCCAGGTACGGAACGACCAGTAATTTGAGAAAATGGAAAAAAGATGACCTGGCAAGGGCTATGTACTGGCTATGTAAGTACCGTGGATCGGACCAACTGAAGCAACCAAGGCAACTGTAACTTTGACCTCATGTCCGAGTCAGAACCAGGATTGAGCCAGTAAATTGATACCAGAGACTATTGACATTTGAATTCTTTTTTGGAGGATTTTATCGATGTTGCATTTAAATACGGTATTGCGAAAGTACGAAGAAGGTGAAGGTGATCTAATGCGATGAATCAGGAATAGAGGAAAGAGTAGGAGAGGACTGAGGTAATCCGTGAGAAGGCGGGAGCATTCGGCGCACTGTTCTAATTGTAAGTTAACGCGTGTTCGGAAAATGATGACAGACGCGATTTTTTTTTGCTCAAAAAAATAAAATAAAATAAAAAGGTACTCGAGCTTATGCGTCGGATAATGCACATTTGTATGAGATTTTTACCTGATCAGCCAGGGAAAGATGCAGCAGGGCATCTGCAATGATAGCACAAAGGTCCAGGAGGGGTGTGGGGTGTCTGGAACTACTTCAGCTCATCCTAGGGATTATTTCTGGAGCTTTAGGAACAACCTCTACTTGTATATAGCCATTAGGTATGGGATGATTTTCAATAGCAATCAGCACAACATCAAGTGCTTTCTCGTTTGGGCAAATTTTCTTCGGTAGCCGACGCGTACCTTTTGATTTTATTTTATTTTATGGGCTGATAAAAGTTTCGTGATTGTCATCATTTTCCGAACACGCTGTAAGTAGATTCGAGGGGAGGGAATTTCGAAGCAAAAGGAACGATAAATCTATTGTGACGCTGGGGTTCGTGTTTGGAATCGATGAACATCTTAGTTTATTTGTCGGTGTTATAAGCACAAGCTCTAGAGCCAAGTGGGCTGATAATTTCCCACCGTCTCTCTTCCTCGTCGTTGTCGTCTCTCTCCCAGTGCATCTGTCCTCTCCACTTTATAGTCTAATTTCTCTCTCAAAGTATCAGTTCAACGTCTTATTTCTTTGTGAGTAACTTGTTGCCCATTTTCTTCCCTCAAAATCGATTTTGGGTGGGCAGCGCCTCGAGGCCCCACGCAGCCTTGGTCACCTTGGTTGGATACTAGCCATAAAGCTCGGGTCGAGTATTGGGCGTTGTTTTCGCCCTAGCCAGCTACTCCAGTGGCTGGCTAGTTGAGCAGTGTCGGTGTTTTCGGGAAGGCTTAGCCTTATCCAGCGTTGTCATTACGTGTGTCGTCGGCTAAGTCAGCCGACATTCCACACCTTTCCCTTGTGGCAGCATAAAAGCTCTCTGCTTGCAACCTTCATCCGTTCCACCTTCCTTACACAGTGAACACTCATCGAACTTCTTTCTTAGTCTCTTTCCTGAATCACTGCACTCGACAATGGCCGAACAATCATCTCACAGATTAGACCTCCGAGTGGGTGGAAAATACCGACTCGGCAAGAAGATTGGTTCAGGCTCTTTTGGTGCGCACCCACAGACTCTCACCAGGACTCAGGATAGTCTGACTTATCTTTGTCGTCATTAGGGGACATCTACCTCGGGATCAACATCATCTCGGGCGAAGAGGTTGCTATCAAGCTCGAGTCGGTCAAGGCTAAACACCCACAGCTTGAATATGAATCCAAGGTCTACAAGAATATCGCCGGTGGCGTCGGCGTCCCGTTTGTCCGTTGGTTTGGGACCGAATGCGACTACAATGCGATGGTTCTCGACCTTTTGGGACCTTCTCTCGAGGACCTTTTCAATTTCTGTAACAGGAAGTTTAGTTTAAAGACCGTGCTGCTTCTCGCAGATCAACTCGTCAGTCTTTTCATTTTCGAAAATTTTTCAAGGCGCACTCACAATTCGTTAGATCTCCCGTATCGAATACATCCACTCTCGCAATTTTATTCATCGCGATATCAAACCCGACAATTTCTTAATGGGGATTGGCAAACGAGGAAACCAAGTCAACGTCATTGACTTTGGTCTGGCCAAAAAGTTTCGGGACCCAAAAACCCATTTACATATTCCCTACCGCGAGAATAAGAACTTGACGGGTACTGCCCGTTACACTTCTATCAACACTCATCTGGGTGTCGAACAGGCTCGTCGTGACGACCTTGAATCCCTCGCTTACGTTCTAATGTACTTTCTCCGCGGTGCTCTTCCATGGCAAGGTCTGAAAGCTGCTACTAAGAAGCAGAAATATGACCGTATCATGGAGAAGAAGATGACTACTCCCACCGACCTTCTTTGCCGTGGCTTCCCGAACGAATTTGGCATTTTCTTAAACTACACACGTGCCCTTCGGTTCGACGACAAGCCTGATTATTCTTATCTTCGTAAGCTCTTCCGTGATCTATTTGTTCGCGAGGGCTACCAGTACGACTACGTTTTCGATTGGAGTGTTCAGAGGACTCAGGAGGAAAGTAACGGTGGCAAGGCTACTGCTGGTCGTCGCAAGGTCGTCCAGGAGGACGATGAACACCGTCAGAGCGACCGGATGTAAGTATGAAACAACTTACTTTCGTACAGCTTCCTTACACGCTGACACTGCTTCATAGGCTTCGTTCTCACACTCGCCAGGCCCAGCAAGGTGCTCCCGGTGCCGTCGGCCAGCAGAGAGGTACTCGTGGCCGTGAAACTGAGCTTTGGTGAAAGGCTTCCCTCATTCATCGGTTTGATTTTGTTCGTTTTGAGTTAAGGGCGATGTGGGGGTGGAGGGTAGGTGCATTAGGAGTATCGCCCGGTCAGTCGTGGTATCCGGTCCGGTTGAAGTCATTGTGGACCGCTTGTGGATTTGAGCATGGTGAGAGGGAGGTTACGGTTATAGACATGTTTGGAGGTTTGGTTTATCGAGCTGGGGTACGCCAAGTTTCAGGGTTCTAGGAGAACGCTCTGGCCCCCTCGCAATTTCCCCAGCTGGCCAGCGCTATATCTTCCAAATTCGTCATTGCTGCCGCCTGGGGCTCGATGTGGTTTCTCATGCAAGAAGAACGGAGCGTGGTCCCAGAATCTACATTACACCTACGCCATAACTCGGCTCATTAAGGCCCTTCTGTCATTCTGAATACGGACGCTAGTTTCTCTTCACGCTGGTTCTACTTCCTAATCCTCGGAGAGGGAGGGATTGCTGGCCGCCTCATTTCCTTAAATTTGCTTGTCATGATTATGTATTCCCCCCAGCGCCCGTATATACTCTGCTTACAGTTACAGTTCAAACGTCGTACCATCTATAACGACTTTGTGTCTCTCTCTCATCATCATCCAACCTTCCCCATATCACTTACCTACTTGACGGTTCCACACGCTCCTTTCCCTTTTCTTTGGGTTTTCTGACTATTCCATCCATCTTCGTAGTCCTCTCATATTCCACCTCTCGCTGGTTTGCATTTGGTTCAAACCTTTGTGGAGGGTGTGAAGGTGGGAGAGGGCGTCGCGCCTGTGGTTGTGGAATGTGTATCAGAGTGGCTTAGGAGGCAAGGTCATACGAATTAAGTGGACATTTACTTACTAGATGCGCATCTTTCTTCGGTAACGAGCTTATGATATTGCTCTATTTTCGCGTTGATACATTGGCCTTTTCCTCCCTTCACTTCTACTGCCCTGGCGCTCGTTTGACAATAATATATGTTGTGTGTATCATCATCGTTTCCAAATTCCGAGGCAGTCTGGTGCTTTGTATAGCCAAACAAATCACGTATTTAACACAGCCACCACAGAGCCACGAACACGTACAGAATACTCCTGACAGCTTGACACAGTTCATCGACTGGCCTTGCTAAGATGGCTTCATTTGCTCTCTCGTTCCAGTCCAAAAAGGAAGATGAAGCCGGTCTCAGCTCCTACTATAACAATAAAACAACCATTATTCAGGAAGCTCGCGTCTTCAATGAATCACCTATAAGCCCAAGGAAGTGCAGAGCCCTGCTCACAAGAATAGTCTATCTCCTCTATGTTGGCGAAACTTTTGGCACGCAGGAGGCTACAACGCTCTTTTTTGGGACTACAAAGCTTTTCCAGCACAAGGATGTATGCTTCTGCGACCTTTGAGAACAAACGTGAATTTGACTTTTCCTTCCAGAGTGCCCTCCGTCAGGCTGTCTATCTTGCTATCAAAGAACTGGCTACCACCGCGGAGGATGTGATTATGGTGACAAGTAGTATCATGAAGGATATGCAACCAAATTCTGAGGTTATTTACCGTCCCAACGCGATCCGAGCACTCTGCAGGATCATTGATGTGAGTTTTACTTTGGCTTCGTGTTGTCTGCTCTTCCTGACGCGATGTAAAGCCCTCAATGGCTCAAGGAGTAGAGCGTTTCTTCAAAGCTGCTATCGTAGACCGTAACCCTTCTATCTCCTCTGCCGCACTAGTTTCGTCCTACCACCTCTTTCCTTTCGCCAAAGATGTGGTGAAGCGATGGGTAAATGAGGTTCAAGAAGCTGTAAATGCCAAATCTTCGGGCAGCTTCTTTGGATCAGTTTCCAGCAGTGGTGGATATCTCGGATTCGGCGGATCCAATTCTACAGCCAACGCTCAGCAAACCATTCCCTCGTCCAGCTATGCTACTCAGTACCATGCACTCGGTCTTTTATATCTAATCCGCCAGCAAGACAGAATGGCAGTGACCAAGATGATCCAACAACTCGGAGGAGGAAAGTCCGGCGCTGGAACCACACTGAAAAACCCCATGGCTCTCTGTATGCTTATTCGTTATGCTGCTAAGGTCATGGAGGAGGATCCCAAGTACATTCTTTGTCTTACAATAATATCACCACCTTACTAACCATCTTTCTTGACCTAGTACTCAGAGGCAAATTCTTGACCTTTTGGAAGGATGGTTAAGACATAAAAGCGATATGGTTAACTTTGAAGCAGCACGAGCCATTTGTGAAATGAAATACGTGACGTCTCAACAATTGACGAAACCCATCGCAGGTCGGTGGTCCCTCACGAAAAGAATCAAAATGATCTGTTTACATTCTTGCAGTCCTCCAACTCTTTTTGTCTTCGCCCAAACCCGTTCTCAAATTTGCTGCGACTCGAACCCTTGCCTCACTCGCGCTCATTCATCCTTCCAGCGTAGCTACTTGCAATGTCGATTTGGAGAGCCTGATTGCAGATCAGAACAGAAGCGTTGCTACGTATGCAATTACAACTCTGCTCAAGGTATGCGGATCGCAATGATCATCGACGAAGCTAATTGTATACCTGGTCAGACTGGCAATGAAGCTTCTGTCGATCGCCTCATCAAACAAATTACCGGCTTCATGACTGATATCAGCGACGAATTCAAAGTCATTATTGTTGACGCCGTCCGCTCCCTCTGCCTGAAGTTTCCCTCTAAACATGCTTCTATGCTGACATTCCTGTCTGGAGTTTTGCGCGATGAGGGTGGCTATGACTTCAAGCGTGCAGTCGTCGAAGCCATGTTTGATATGATTAAATTTATCAAGGATTGCAAAGAACAAGCCCTAGCACACCTTTGTGAATTTATAGAAGATTGCGAATTCACGAAACTCTCTGTTCGTATCTTACACTTGTTGGGCATGGAAGGTCCCAAATCTCCCCAGCCCACCAAATACATCCGGTTCATCTACAATCGTGTCGTGTTGGAGAATGCTACCGTCAGAGCCGCTGCTGTCACCAGTCTGGCTAAATTCGGTATCAACTCATCGGATCCTGGTTTGCAGAAGAGTATCAACGTGCTGCTTAATCGGTGAGATTTAACTGTGCTGTGGTGAGGTCATTGCTCATGCTTTGTTGTAGTTGCCTCGACGACGTTGACGACGAAGTTCGGGATCGCGCTGCTCTATATCTGAGGACCTTCAAAGAGAAACCTCTCGCCAATGCTTATGTCAAAGAAGGTAACCACCCGTAGCTCCTGAATTAGTTCTCTCTAACTTTTTATTCAACAGAATCTGTCTTCTCGTTAGCTGCTCTGGAATCAAGACTTGTCGCATATGTGCAGGACCCTAGCGCTTCTTCACAGCCATTGGATCTTTCCTCGGTCCCCAAGATTAGCCGTGTCCAGGCTGCTCAAGAAGCTGCCCGTACGTAGTCAACTATTCGTTCCCCTGCTAAACCCCTGCTAAAGCTGACTTTTCAAAACAGGTCCCAGCACATTGGAAACTATCGGAGCTCCATCTACAAGTCGTGTATCGAACTCGCCGCCTCCTCCCACTGCCGCGGAGACTCAAACTGTGTATGCACAGCAACTCGCAGAAGTTCCCGAATTTGTATCGTATGGACCAGCTCTCAACAGCAGCGCAAGTCCCATCCAGCTCACCGAAAGCGAGACGGAATACCAGGTTACATGTGTCAAGCATATCTTTAAGGAGCATGTGGTTTTCCAAGTATGTTTCATTCTCTTACGTCTGCGGAACTCTAACATTGAACCGTCTTGCCGCAGTACAATGTGTCAAATACTCTGCCCGATACTGTACTGGAAGGTGTCACCATCATCATGCAACCGTCAGAGGAAACCGATTCCTTGGTGGAAGACTTCATCATACCCATACCTTCTCTGTCACCGGCCAACTCACCCGGCACGGTCTACGTTTCCTTCACGCGTACATCTCCTGAAGAATTCGCCATCGCATCCTTCTCAAGTTTGCTCAAATTCGTGAGCAAAGAGGTAGACCCATCTACGGGCGAACCTGAAGATGAAGGTTACGAGGATGAATACCCACTGGAAGACGTTGAACTTAGTGCAGGTGGTGATTATATTATACCTAGCTATGCGACCTTCGGCTCTGAGTGGGACCGTATGCGTGCCGGACCAAGTGCTGTCGAAACTTTTGCCCTTTCGAGCATGGAGAGTCTCAAATGTAGGATTCGCTTCATATGCTATCCTCCCTTGTTTTAACATGTTTTTTCGTAGCCGCTTGTGATTCTATCATTGAAGTGCTCAAGATGGAGCCTCTTGGTGGCACTGAATCACCACAATCGTCCACGGTGCATGTACTCCAACTATCGGGTCTCGTTATCGGTGGAGGAGGAAAGGTTTTGGCACGCTGTCGGATGACCTTCTCGCAAGGCTCGGGAGTCGTCTTGGAGCTCGGTGTACGGGCAGAAAAACAGGAAGTCTGCGATCTCGTTCTCGCAGCCGTTGGGGGCTAAACATACAATCTTTTTTCACTGTTCACCTGTTATTTGCCTGAAATGGCACACATAGTAGCACATAGTCCGGTTCAATTTTTAAGTTAAGGGGTCCATCGATATTCATCATGCATCAAAGTCTAGTACAACAACGCCCGTGCTGCCTTTCGCCTTTGACCTTTCCATTTCTTCTGCTTTATTAACAACAGCATATGCGATAGCAACATCCTGCAAACCCACGCCGACTGATTTGAATATGGTGATAGGTCCAACGAAATCGTTCGCCACACCCTTTGATTTGGGATGAAATTTTCTCCAGTTAGAATGGACATGTTCGCGCTTGTCTAGCACAAACTTCCCAATCTCAACGACCTGGCTAGGTTTTATTCCTGCTTCAATAATTTCCCCTGCTTCCACGAGACAAGCGGAAGCAGAATCAACCAGAAGTATTGGTGAATGTGTTTCATTAGTTTCGTCGTTGTGAAATGACGTTGGAATCGCTCGCATAATGAGATCGGTATCGACTTCCTTCATCTGGGGGGTGTAGCTTCCTATCAGAATAACGTGTGTGCCACTGCGTACCCAAGATGATGGAAAAAGTGGCAGATTAGACGGCGTAGCAGTTATGATAATGTCTGTATTTGAGAGGTAGCTCCTCAGTTTTGCACTCGATTCACCCGTGACGTTGAACGCGTCGTAGGCGAGAACGCTGAAATTTACAGAAGGATGTTTGACTGCTAACCGAGATGTGACGGAGGATACGCGGTCATTGATGGACCTGTTGACGATTGTGCAGGATTTCACAGATGGAAAGGCCTGAAAATGGAGATCAAGATGGGCAAGGACCTGTTCACCTGCTCCGAAAGCGACGATATGCGTGGGGGATGTGGGCCCAACAAGGGTTGTAGATAATAAGGATCCTATGAGATTACTGTGTACCATCCGGTCCTCATACAGACTGAAAACGAACCTGCTGCGTTCCTCAAAGCAGTCAAACTTCTAGCATTGACAATAGCCTTGACCGCGCCGGTGTGCTTGTCTAGCACCAGAGTGCTTGCAGGCAGTCCGCGCTTATCATCGGAACTGGAGGGTACAGAGACCACCTTTATAGCTGTTCCCATAGTAGATATTCTTGCAGGCATGAAAAGAGCGGTATGATTTTCCATCGGAATAGAGATTCGATGGGGTAAATAAGCTGTTCCGCTTTCGGGCGAGGAAATTAAAGCAAAAACATCCTCCATGAGAGATTGAAGGAATTCAACAGAGAGCTCTGCGGTAATATTCCTGACATCTGTGCCAGTGAGTACTCGCACAGACATCGTTCAAGTTCAAAGTTGTGGTCGAATTATCGATCTTCCGAGGCTGGAGTGTTCCGGTCAACGGGTAGTGGCTGTGTGATAAGATAACTTCCTCCCTCCCATGTCCTCTCGAAAACGAAAACATGTTTCTCAAAAAAGAGAGCGTTTATCGAATCGTTTGCCTGATGAACTGAATGCTGCAGACCCTGTCCCACACCTGCAGGCATATGAAGCCGACATTATACGAGGACCTCGAGGACACGTCGCTGCGCTTTCTTTAGAAGTTCGCAATGTTGATGGCGAAATGGATGTTGGCAGTGGTCTTATACGGCTTGGTGGAGATTGTACACCTCTTGATTTTCCTGATGATGACTGGCAGGACCACAAAGGCGAAGGATCGAACCATTTTAATTCAGAAGCTGTATGGGTCGATAGGTACGGTCGTCTCAAGATTTTACTTCAGAAAATGAGAATCTATTTCCTACTGATGTATAACGTGTGAATGAAGCTTCGGAATCATTATCAAGGAGGCGTCTTTTCCCTATCTTTGCTTCATTCCAAATCTCCACTTTCTCATCAGAACATTTCAGATACGATGCACGATTACTACTTGATCCTCAGACATTTTCCAATACAGGAACGAAAGTGCAAGATTATGCCATACCCATCCCGAGCTCTCCTACAGGTTGGTCTGACCTTCCCTCTGACGCCGAAGACACGTTCTTCTTTACAGCCGGAGAGACTGAGGACTACCGGAGAGAGAAACGACGACGAATGATGGAACAGACCAGAGATGAGAGGCTCAAAGCTAGGATGGAGGAAGATGGGGAAGAGATCTGGGGAGGAAGCGATGAAGAAGTAGGTCAACATGTCTACGCACCCTACGGAAATGAAACTCACTCGACTATCAAAGCCTCATGAATCACAAAAAGAAATCATGCGTCGTACTGCGAAATCCATACTCGCATCACCGAATCCCGCTCAATTGGAGCTGCGTATCCTGGCAAACCACGGCGCAGACGCGCGTTTCGCGTTTCTGCGTGGGCGATGGAGTCGTGCTTGGCGTATTGTAAAGGCTCATGCCAGAGCGGATCATAAGTTGGAACAAGAGCAAGAGGCTGCTTCGAAAGCGAATTCTCTCGGGATGGGGCTTGTTGCCGATTACGCTGACAGTGATGAGAGTGGGGAAGAAACGCAGAATGAGGTCAAAGACCAAGTTGAAAAGGCGGAAGTTGAAGTGGTTTCTACAGATTTAAATCAAGGAGAGGGTATTGAGGCAGCACAAGAACTGCGTCGCGCCCGGGCAAGAGAATGGATGGCAAATCGTCGCAAACCAATTGCCCCTTAGTTTCAACCTCAACGTTGTACCGGTGGCGTTATTTTTGTATATACCCCTGAGCCCAAATCTGTTCTGCCTCCCCTAACAGATTGACGCAAGGCAAGCGTAGATCGATAACAATAGGTTCCCTGGTATCTTCTCAACCCGAAGACGTATATTATTATATTCTGATTGTGGGCAACCACGTTACCTTAGCCACTTTAGGGTGATTAGACGCGCACGCATGCATCCTTTCTCTCTACCGCCATGTCCGACTCTGAATCCGCAGCCAGCGAAATATCTCAAGGGTCTTCCTCAGAAAATGAAACATCGAATATATTACTCACTTCCTCTCCTTCCAAAAGGCAGCGAAAACCAGGAATGGTTCAGCAATCTCGCGAAATGATTGTTCAAACCGCTTTCGACGCCTATTTTACGCATCTGGCTTCACGCGCGCAGACTTCGGCCAATATATTCTCTTCTCTGATACCTCCGCTCTCAGCTGATGAGTACGCCGAAGCGTCGTCTTCGTTTGGTAGTCAGAGAATCAAATCCGAGCTTCTGACTTCGGAGACAGAACGAAAATCTTTATTTCAGAGACTTTTGCTGGAGCTACAGGAAGGCTTTAACGTGATTTGTTACGGGTATGGCTCCAAACGCGTATTGTTAAACGACTTTGCAGTCAATTCATGTTCAAAACTCGGACACGTCGTAGTTGTGAATGCGTTCCAGCCCCACTTTGGACTGAAGGAACTTCTCTCGTGTATCGAAAATGTCCCCGGAATTGATTCCCTTCCGCTTCCCTCTAGTTCTGCAGAAAATCAAGCTCGACGAATATGTGATTTCTTTTCACGGTCAACCTCCAAGCAGCATCTCTATCTTGTTATCCATAACATCGACTCACCTGCGCTCCGCTCAATCAAAGCACAATCTTCGCTATCGCTGCTTGCTCTTAATCCGAAAATACACATTGTTGCGTCTGTTGATCATATCAACTCTCCGTTATTATGGTCGTCAGCCGAACTTTCAACTAGAAAAGACAATCAGGGAACGGGCGTGGGGGCTGGGCGAGGTTTTGCATGGCTATGGCACGATATGACTACACTCACCCCATACGACTTCGAACTATCTCAGGCTGACCGATCTTCGATCTTAGGAGCTTCGAGTAGCATGCGCAAGCGGGACGTTACCCAGAACGGGACCTCCATGGTTTCTGAAACCGCAGCATTACATGTCCTAGCATCCGTCACAGCGAAGGCGAAGAAACTTTTTACCCTCATGGCGGAAAGGCAACTAGAGGCAATTGAGGCGGCGAAAAGTTCTGGCCATGCTGATGACTTGCAGCAATATGCAGTAGCATATGACAAACTCTACCATTCCGCCCGCACCGATTTCATTGCAACAAATGATACGGCGCTGAGAGCACTTCTTGGAGAGTTTCGGGACCACGACTTAGTTGTCGGTGCACAACAAGGCTCCTCTGGTGAGGTCCTGTGGATTCCGATGAGAAAAGAGCGACTCGCAAAAGTTCTGAGTACATTGAAAGTAAACGAATGATTGGACATTTGACGTACTGGTGGGGTGAGTGAACGAAGGATATTCCAAAAATGAGATCTCAGTATCCGACAACTGCAATTTCAGGTTCTGGCCACACCTGGGCCTCAGAAAAATTACACATACGTCATATCGCCGGTGGGGGTTGACGTTGAGCGCTTGAGCACTTTTGACGAACGCGAGATGGGCTGAGCTGGTGTATACGAATTGTGGAGACGTATGTCATATCTTGCTCAATACTCCGCATTGGTACCTAGCAGGTATGTACCTGGTGGCGCACGTAGAAAGTGCTTATAATACCTTTCCATGAAACATACCGTTATCCAAAGCTCCAAATGACTTCCACCGCGTCCCAACCAACACAAACACAAACGGATTCGACGCAATCCAAAGACGCTAAAAATGCTACAACCTCAACTAAATTCGACGTCCCTGTTCCAGTAGAGCAGATCCTTGACGATAACGAAACTGTTGTAGGGACTGACGAGGTGAATGTTTGCTAATTGCTTGAGAGCAGTGCCCGCATTTTAATGTATATTAAAACGTTCCCAGTCTCCAGAAACCGAAAACAAATTCAGGTCATCCGTCGAGAAACTTCGAGACGCTATCGAAGGCTACAATACAGCGATTGCACAGAACGCAGATGAGAAAACGATTGAAATGCATGAACAAAAAGTTATCCAGGCGTTAAAGGAAACGGCAGAAAGCTCTCCGAATCCAAAGGTCAAGGAGTACTACAAGGAAAAAGCCTTGGAGTTCATGAAGGTCGGACGCACAGCGAAGAAAGTTTTGACAAACGATATAATTAAAGGCGCGCTTTTCATCCTCGCGTCGCCTGTCGCCCTGCTATCTTCCGTGGTGGTAAAATTCCATTTCCTTTTGACAATAACTCCCAGTCATTGCGCTAATGTATCTTGGAAGGTATCCACTGGTGGTCTCGTCTATGGTTTGGTGCGATATCATCATTGAGATTAGAGACACGACTAATGCGCAAACTCACAGGGCTCAGTTGTGAAAGGGGTTGGTGATCTGATGAGTGGCATGACCTTCTCGGGTACCGTCTTGGGCTCAAAAGACGAACCCAAGGCCGAGAAGAAAGATGCGGGTGTCCAAAACGAGGAGCAAGAGGAGGATAAAGAAGAAGAAGACAAACAAGAGGATACAGCAGTGGGTGAAGAAAAGGAAGATGAAGCAGAAGGTGAAAACACCACAGAGGATACAACGACAGACAAAGCTGATCGGGCTGAATAGAAGGCAACGTCGAACATTATATCAGTATTGTAGTCGATATGTTGAGTGTACTAGTAAGAAGGTTATAAACCTGTTGTACAAGTACAATATGGAGACAACTGTAAATACCTTATCACCTTGCTTACAATGGTCATCGAACATTCATAACCTCAAGTGCCTGCGCAAAATCTTACCTGGACGAATCGGAAATCTACGCTCTAGCATAGTCTAGCATCCAGGTCATGCGATACTTTCGAAAATGTTCACAAACCGATTCAAGGATTGTTTGCCGGTGAGAGTACAACTACTTGAACGTTATTGTCATCGCTCGTGCATACTAGTACGTACATACACCGCTGCTCCAAAGGTCTCAAGCTATGTGATTACTGTTCCCTTTTCCCGTTCAGCTTTTTCCTTTTCCTTTGGCGCCATCCGATTTCTGCTTTTCTTCCTTCACCTCCTTCACTTTCTTATCAAACCACTCCTGATACTCCGACCACGAATCATCAAGTTCTTTTACAAGTTGTGGATAGTTGTCGATCAAGATCTTCCACGTTCTCTTCAAAAACTCGCTATTATCTTGACCGGAATACACAGCCATGTTTCCCATGTGTGCCAAAAACTTGTTCCAAGTGAGAGGTTTCTTGTTAGGACGGACTACTTTACGACGGATTTTATAACCAAAGTCTGTGAGAGTTCCGGGATCTCCTTCCCTGTATATAAATCGAACGATAGGGCGGGCTGCGTCGGTCTTGCTGAAGGGGATGGTGCCCGTTTTGAATCCTTCTCTGCGGTCGATGACGAACCCCCACGTATCAGGAAGTTCAAAGTAGAGCTCGAATGGCTTCCAATCTATATTGTGGTCTGTGGGATCTTTGCCAGTTTCGTTACTAGGTCCAGGGGGATACTTCCGATCTATATTGTGGTCTGTGGGATCTTCGCCAATTTCGTTACTAGGAAGGGGATAAGGGTCTATTTCAGAGTCTTCGTATGACAACCGAAAGGAAATATGGTATGATTAAGTGGTTGGCCCAAGTACTGTGATTGAATATTGAATGCTTACATGGCGGCGGGGAGCCAGAGTTGGCCATTCTGTTAACACTTCCAGAACCCACTTTTCCGGTGTCGGATTCTGAAGATTCCATTCGGGGTAGTACTGATAGCGTTCGGTGTACAGATGGATCGCGAATCGACAGTGGTGAAGCTAGAGCAGCGCCAATGAGGCTAGCAAGGAGAATGCGCGTTATAAGAATGGACAGGTTAAGCCTCAGGCTATTGTGTATCGAGGCGGAGGTGCAGCGACGGGAAATCATGTGGATAATATGATGAAAAGGCTGTGGGGAGAGCGAAATTGGCGAAGGGGGAATACTCGAATGAGATATGAGGTGTGCTGAGTTATGGAAGTCCTGTTAGAGCTTGTGAAAGGTGCTGGGTAAGGATGAACCTCACCTGGCGATGAGGGAAAAAAGAATTCGGCCAGCGAAATTCCGACCTGATGGAAGGGATGGCAAGGATGTTCTTTATTTTTTATTTTTTTATTTGACTAACTAGATACGAAAAGATGGATAAAGGAGGCAGTCAGCGGTCCAATACAGCAGTTTGGAAGTGCAATCCAGGACAATGAACATCCAAAAAAAGAATCATGAACGAAGAGGACTCGAAAGAAAAGGTCAGCGTGGAGATAATACGAAGACAGTGGACACGGAATACAATGAAGCAAAAGATTTGAAAAGGGATAAGAACCACATACCGAACCGGCGTTAGTGAGAGTCTTAGAGAAGGTTAGTGAGAGACAAGAGATATCAAGAGATATCGTTATTCGGAGCGACAACTTGAACTTATGTATCTGTTCGCCCGACGGGTGACAACCAATTGCGACCTTGTCAAAGAAATGAGATGTAAAAATGACACTCTCAGTTCTTGTTTCAGCCCATCGTTTTTCTCGAAGAGCATATTCACCTAGGTTCACCTTGCTTGCCTTTGCTTCCTTTTCTATGTCAGTTACATTAGCGCGCGTGAAGCTTTTTACCACGCCGGTTTGAACCGTCGATAAAATACTTTGCCTGACATACACTAACATGCATTCGCATGTGAGCCTCCTTCGTCCGTTCCAAGTACGTCTCACATGTGGTGCTCGCTTCGAAATTCTAGTTTCGAGGGGTGTCGGTGCTGGCGCACCTCCGTAAAACAATGATCAAGACACTGTAATGATTACACAAGGATAATATACTGAGCAAGTAAGAATGTACAAGATAAGATAAGTATTCGCTCAACCGAGCTCACTGAGGAATGTAGAGCGCACTGACGAGTGCTCTAAACTAGTGGATGAGGTTTTTGCCTGGGGCGCAGCCCCGCTGGGTGGGAAAACACACAAAAAGCGGTTTGGCTGAACCTGGAGCGTCTTTATCCGAAAATTTGACGCTAGAATAATAGAGGGAAGGTGGGATCACAAAACGAGCTTAGACGAGTTTCGACGATGAGAGCGAAGTTCAAAAGCGATAAGCGCCCGCTCTCATCGCCCCATCTTATCTTATTCTCTCGGAGTAATGGACGATAGACAGTCGCGACTGAATTCGATGATGAGGGGATTACCAAAAACGGCGGTGGCTGTAACCTCGTGGGATTTGCGAATATAGAATTGACGATATTTTTCACCCTATGGCCAGTATTGCTTCGCTTCGCTCGCAATAACACTCTGGTTAACGCTCAGTGATAATTCCCTCTTTGATCAATTGACGTGAGATATCTGCGCGTTCCGCCGTGCCGTGCAGGCAGTTTGGGACAAGGCATAACGATGTTGTACGACGCGACTGCTTTCGAGCACGACGCGATAGCCTAGACTTCCAAGTACATCCGAGACCCTCTTGGCGCACTGCGGATCCAACCTTGGCATCGTTATTAATTATTAATGAGACTCGAAAATCCTAGTTCTATCACTGCATCATGCCAAACGCTTCGAACCTACTGCTCTTGACTGCGATATTCTGTCTACTACCCTCAAATGTCCGTGCATTTGGAGCGGGAGACATTCCTGATTTTGCATATCTGAACGTAATTGAACGATCAATTTAGATCATGAACGATAAGGAACGATAACTAATATTCTTATCGCAGGATAAAGCTTTCCGTCATGGAGACATCGAGAACATCCTTGAGCAGGTTCTGAAGAATGCAGCTCTCGCTGCAGGCGGAACAGGTCTGTTCGGATTTGCAAAACAAGCATTTCAGAATGTTAGCGGCGGATCCAAATTTGACAAAGGAGATATCAAAAAGGTGTACTTTGTAAGTAACCTCATATTTTATTTGTGTAAGATAGTAGTTTACCTTGTATCAGGGAAACTGGCTCCGGGATTACTCGCAAGTGTGTACAAAGTAGTTGGAGGTGATACAATCTCATACTCATTATTGACCACTCAGGCTATGGACATTGCGGGGTTAAGTAAACTGACCGCTGAAACCTTGGTGCTGGTTGTTTCTGTACTTGGGTTCATGGTGAGTGCTTTTGCTACTTCGATGTTCCATTGCTCACTGTACAGTGTTCAGACATTCGGTTTCGCTACTGAGGAGTTTGAGGTTACTGCCGACCGATTAGGCGTGTATCTGCCAGTCGTACGTGCGAATTTCAATTTTTTTCAAAGTCCATTATATCTCTGAATCTAATATATAAGGAACACATCGATAATCCTAAGTAAGTTCTTCAAAATGTTGTGGAGAAGGAAGGGGATGCTCGAAGCTTTCATCCCAAGCTTCGCCCGCCTGTCGATCCTCGTGAGCTCGAGATTGATCCTCGAAATGGCATGAAAAACTACATGGCAACCGAGGACCAGGGTTGGGATTCATCGACTGCTCACATACGTCGCACATTCCGTGCTTGTATTGAACACGGACGACGCGCTGGCGGTCGCGAAGGCTCCGATCTCTGGGAAGCATATCGTTTCCTAGGTACAGGATTACACACCAGTCAGTAGACTTCCATACAATATCTCCTACATCGCTAATTGTAAAGTGCAGTGGAGGATCTTGTTAGTGTTTTGTCATGATATTGGTACGAAATGCTCATGCTAGGGTTCAACCGTGCTAGTTAGCACATAGCAATTGGTGCGAAATAAGCTTGAGGAAGATGGGCTACTCCGAAGTGTTTTGTCATGTCGGCGAAAATACCGATATTGACACTCCTAATGGTCGAGCCCCTCCTCTTGTTACAGGCACCTTTGGGAGTGCCGATTTTTTGCACTCGCTTCTCGGTGAAGCAACTGAGTGAGCGGTCTGTTGTTCACATACCTTCTACTAATATCATGTTTTGCCAGTCATTTGAGTCAAGCCAGTGTCACATCGCTTGCGCAGAAGATGACGGATGCTTCCAATGAGTCCAATGCTTCCGGAAACATCGAAAACCTCAGAAAGATATTCTCTAAACTCCCAATGAGGGGCAGCGACGAGAAAATGAACGAAGCGGAGGAGTTGCAACAAGAGTCGAAAGCTTACAACTTTAATCCAGATGATATTGCCCCTCCAGATGTGCAGAAGCGACTTCTGGAGATGCTTGCATGGAGAGACGGTGTTTTTAGGTGGATCACAGCAAAGATCGAAATGATACCTGGGTTGTCGTCACTAATCGACGAGCTAATGAACGCACTGAATGCTTGTGTGTATCATATTACTGTTTCCAACTCAAAGGAGCATTGAATAACTTCTAACTTCAGACGTGTATACTGTGATCGCTCCTTGGCTTACGGTTTGTGATCAACTCATTTGTTGGTTATCTTCACCGTCGCTCACGTAGATATCATTAAAGCCTATTCTCACCCAGGCTACGAGCGTTCTGGGAGAGGGAAGTAAAGCTGTCATCGATACCGATGATCAGTATGAGGTACTCTGGTGATCTTGACAGGCTTGCTGAGGTATTGCGCTGATACGGAAATTTATCAGGTCTTTGACAACCCCGATGCCTCGGATCCTTCCCATAGTTTATTATCCAAGGATCACTTTGGTCTAATCCTCAATGAGCCCGCTGGAAAAGTGGCACAGATCGTTGTTGTTTATAGCACTGAACTCATCGTTAAAGTAAGAGCACGCTCTCAATTGGATATATGCTCATCATGCAACTTTTATAGGCCTGGGCCGACAACAGCGATCCTGACGAAGTGGTTGACCAAATCCTTAAAGCCTTTCATCATCCTTATTTTGCAGATAGTTATTCTTCTATCCAGCACAAAATGTTTGAAGAGATGGAACGTTGGATTGGAGAATTGAGCCCCGACGAAACTTCACAGACGATTCAGGCACTGTCCAAAGATAGTGTAAGGAACGGCAAGAATAAACGACTTACGGAGGAGAGTGAGGATGTCGAGGCTGGATACGGAACGTCAAGTACTTCTCAGTCCTATACAGAGACATCTAGTTACATGCAAGGGGGAAGGCCTGGTAAGATACGAATGAATCAAACCGTCTATGACTGAACAAGATGATAGACACAAGTTACGGCGGAGAAGAGAGCTACGGGGGCCAGTATCAACAGCAATCGCAATATAATATCGGATATGATACCGGTAAGTCTCTTGTCCATCTTTTTGTTGCATAATGGGTCAAATTGTCCTGAGCATTGACGCTTCAGACTCGCGTGGCTCGAGTCACGAATACGACTCGAGAGATAACATCCAGCAGTATCCCGATGTCGACAATAAACAAGGAACATACGGGCGAGAGGATGCCTATGATTTAGGACGCAGCCAGTACTCTAGCTCCATCGGCTATGCTGGTAGTCAGCACTATGAAGGTTATGATCCGAATCGAAGCAGGCGAAATCCGCACGGCTCTGGCCTAGGGTTCTCCAATTATGGTCGACCAACGGGGAGTTCCTATGGCTATAACCGTGAACAACAGGATCCGTATGGTTCAGATGAATATCGCTCACTTCACAGGCATGGATCAAGCGGATACGGAGAAGATAGTCGTGAACCTCGTCGATCTCAGTATGGAGAACTGGAGGACTCCTACAACTCTCAAAGTCTTGAGCAGTCCACCCATCATCGCGATGAAACGTATGGGAACAAGCAATCTGAACGCAGTCCAAACCGTACAGAACACAAGCCTCCAACTCACCACGGACATCGCCATAACTATGAGCGAGATGAGCACGAAAATGATGATTCTTACCGAAACGAGGGTTACCAATCATTCGAGCAACGTGGTGACTACGGGTCTGGCGCTCTCGATGACCGTCGTTTCGATGAAGGGTATGGTCGGGGCGAAGATTTCAGGGAAGAAGAATTTGGGGGAAGGGAGGTCAGACGCGAGAGCGGCAATAGAGAAATTCGGCATGGTGGACAACACGGAAGTCATAGGTTGAATCGTGGATACGAAGGTGGTTATGGCGAACAAGAGAACGAAACTTTTGGAGTGGAAAGGTTGAACATCGATAATGAATATGGTTTTAGACGTTGAATTATGCGCGATTCATATGTAATTTGTGAGAACAATGTAGTCTCCCCCGTATACATATCTATCTACTCTGTTTGGCGCCCAAATACATCTTTTTTATGCTCTCATGAATCAGGTCTCCGAACAATCGCCACCCCCCGAAGTGCTGGAACTTGATCCTATATGGACAACCAGTCGTACTGCCCGTCAAATTCATGCCCTTGGAGAGGTCGAAAAGGTGAGCGCTTCGCGCGTCTCCTTTTGCTTCTTGTTTGATATCAAACAATAGGATATAAGCCGTCTTCTTTCGCTGGCTGCATCCTCGATATCTCTTCTCACTTTACCCCAAACCGACAGTCCAGAAGATAACTTACCTCAGGGTGAAGAAAGATCAGAGCAATTTGTGCTTGAAGTTAGCGAATATTTTGAACGTCTGGATGTCAGTCCGTGGGCTAATCTAAAGATCGATTCAATGTTTGCTGACCTTCACACTTTACAGTCGATTCAAACGGCTATAAGATCCTCTTTGGCCCATATTCGTCATTCGCGTATAGCTCCCTCAGCAATAAATGCGCCTCCACCGGGATTTCTACCTCCTTCACTAGGCGTGGCTTTGCCTCCGGAACCCCAAGCCCCTTCCGACCCACAATCTTCACAAACAACCCGGACAACCCGTGGCTTACAAGAGGAGCGACTGGACAGGGATGCGTGGAAAGGTATTCTGAACGCGCTTACGCGTCTGAAGCGTGAAATGGATTCGAGCAAGTCAAGGTCGGAAGATACGGATATGAAATGAACGGGTGCAAGGGTATGAAAATTCGAATGCATGTATGTGAACGAGGCTGAAACGATTGATGATTTCCCTTAACAAGCTACGCAGCTTTCTGCTCGATACCCACCAGTGCCATGCGTTCGGACTTATGGAAAAATTGCAGATGTCAACAACTTTGGCTGCAGTGAGCTCCCATCAATCAAATCTATGGATCGGTGGAAACATGGTCCAGATGTCCTCCCTCTTCTTCGCAATTCCGACCACCACTATTGGGTTACACGCTGAGAGTCGGTTCGTATGACCTGGTTCCGGAATCTAGGGATAGATGGATGTTGGAACCCTATTTGCGATACCACTATTCCCGCCAGTTCCATGACGGTCGTATGATGTTCCAGATGCTGAGGTTTCTGGAAATGACCCAAGAGTTTCTGGTTCTGAATCCGAGAACTTGGCTTCCAATGAGAAATAACGGAGTTGCGGTATCGTGCAAGCCTCGGACCAACGTCGAGCAGTTCCTGAATATTGTCCGAAACTTCTTATTTATCAATCACACAAGCGTTCTCAACTATGTAAATGGGGTTGCTCAATGTTCTGTAAGCGTACTGCCCGGAGGTTCGATCTTGCACTTGATACCATTCTACATGATGAACTTTAAGCATATCATCAGCGTCTGTACTTATGGGGAGACTGAATTGCCATGGATATGTAGAAGCAAGAACGTAAAAAAGCAAGACCCGAAACTTCATATGTGTGTATCAAGCTACCCCTTGCCAATGGTACAGAACAGTTCCCTGTAGATTTCATGGACAAACTGTCAGAATAGACTGTGAGTCTAGGTCAGATATAACACATACCGTACTGCTTTCCTTCTTAATAATCTTTCGATTTACAAGTGCTATTAGGCATTTGTTTGCCCGAGCTTGATTAAGGTCAGGGGGTTTGATCAAATCGGGAACTAGTTGGAAATATGATGAGGATAGGGCATGGCATGACAGAGGAAGAAACTAACGTTTCACAGTCTGGTTTGGAGCATCCCACATCCCTTCTATCACAGCTTCCATATTGCGACGAAGATTCTGGGGTGAAGCTTTAAGTTGGAATTGAGAATGACTATTATCAGGCGTACTGGATCGCTGCCTCTGAATTCAAGCGGAAGAAAAGTAATGATTCGTTCCAGTTCCAGCTTGAAGGGAATTAGACGCGCAGAATCGCGCAAGGGAAGTTTGAAAAATGTTGCATACCGCTCTTTCTTTCTTCTCTTTTGCAGTCAACTTTAGCTTCTTACCCTTGACGACCTTTTTTGTCTTTGCAGGGGCGGAACTGTTGTTACTATTCATAGTGAAAGTGGCCTCCGGATCAGCTATGATGGTCGTTTGGTCATTTACGCTGCCTTCAATGGATGAGGGTCGGGTTGATTTTGCCTGGAGTTGAGCTTGTAGCGCTTGCATCGCGGTAATGGCGTTTCGTTCTGGAAGACGCGTTGTATGATGGGGGGATCGCAAAATAGATATAGAGCAATGGCACCTGCGCGTCTCTCAGCTAGTATAAAGCTGCCATCGTGAGGTGCCTTTGGAACAGGATAATCATAAACATAAACGCAATCTTTGTAGTACATGTGCACAAACCTGCGGCCAGTCTACGGTTAACGCGTTCATATTCATCACGTACAGCCAGCTGGCAAAAGATTCATTGAAAGTGTCCAAAGTGTCGCTCAGATGCTTTAATCCTTCAACGTTTGTCTGTAGAGTCTCCGTCTCATCTATGAATTCGGACATTGCTGGTTCTAGGAAACCAAGGCCATGAGGAGCATCTGGATAGGCGCCAGAGCGGGAAAGCCGGAGTAAGGAACCTTGAGAGATTCTTCGAAGAGGTGTTCTATGAGGCGTCTGCATGATGAGTACGATTAGGGAACAATGACCACTCAATTAGCAGATATTTTGTGCCAGTTTCTGAATAAATCTTTACACTTTCGCCAGAATCTATTCAAATATAGTAGCTTTGTCATACTTTTGCAACAATGGGCAACGACATCATCACGTGACTTCTCCAAAAACGGAACTCATTGTTATCCTCTATAGCCGAAGACCATTGTCCTCCTCAATAGTTACTTCTGAATCTTATTGTCCATCAGGTCAATGGACCTTGCATCAATAAAACCCGCCACTCTCACCATGGGCTTCTCTCGTCTTCCCTTGACTTTTCTGTTCTACACCCAACGACTTTTATACGACTTGCCCATATCATGACTTCTGTCTCTAGTTGTAAGTCGTCTTCTGTTAACAATGGAATTTCTAACTAACTTGTCAATTATAGTTCTGAAACGCAGTGCCCGCTCTCGTGCTCGCAAGAGCTCTCCTTTGCAATTATCCACAACCGATCTCCATATCATTCCCGAAGAAGACGAAACATCACGTCCTTCTTGCTCGTCTTCGACCAGTACTTCTCCTTCGAATACCCCAGAGCTCAAGAGGCGCAGGTGTGTATTTTCTACTCTGCTTCTACCTCTTTTTCTGATGTCATTTCTAGACCTATCTCGCCCTATGAAATCCGGATCGCTAAGACCCAAAATCAAGATTCTGACGAAGACTTTGCGTACAACTCGGACTTGCTTTCCGCACCACGACCTGCGCCACGACCTCCATGCGGTGTCTCCCCGAGCTCTTCACCTGACTCTTTTTGCTTGACTTTCACAGAAGAGTCATTCAAATTTCCTCACCCTCCGTTGCCGACACCTTCTTCGTCGGACCGTCATTTTTTCGCGCAATCTCCACTGTCCAGTCCGAGCTCTGACTCGTCTGCACTTCCACCTACGCCCACTTCATCGGATGATGAATTCCATCGTCCCCCACCTCCAAATTTCATTGCGCGTAGAGTTTCCATTCGACCGCTCATGATTGTAAAACACGACGCGTTACCTTCCATGTTCAGCAAATCTCCATCAAACTTCTCCGAAGCCGAGTTCTCTTCTTCGGAAGAATCAGAACCCGAATCAGACTCAGAGTGGTACGGTCGTGAACTCAGCCAGATGGTCACCCTGCGCTCTGCACTACCACCCAATTTTCCTCACACTGTCAAAACTGAATCTGCCAGACCAGACTCTATGGTTGGTTCGGTGTATGGTGGATCTTCCCCAGCTTCGAGTTTCTCATCCACTCTCCCATCACCACAGCTAGACCCAACTTCCTCTCGCCGGCGGTTTACCATTCCTTCGCGCTCACCGCCACCTCCTCCCCGTGAATCGGTAGTCCCTTCGCCGGCAGTTTTTGAAGATGATGACTTCTTTACACAGGTGAGGAATCCCGAGCCTAGTCGCAGGCCACCTCCTCGCACGAGCATTCCAGCCGACTTCGGTTTCTTCCCCGAGGATGTTGGTGAAGCTGCTTTTCCCGACGAAGAAGAAGATGACGAAGAGGATTGTGATAATATCCTGACCTACTATGTCGAGGCAGAATCTTCTACATTATCTGGATCGTCTGATAGCTTCTATTCACAACCTTCTCACACTGAACGTTTCTCTATCTCTGATCTCAATGGAGAATTCCAATTCGCTATCGACACCGAAATCGACCGCCCCATGATGCTCCCTTTGTCGCTACCCAACTCTCCGATCGATCTCGAATCCGACATTGCTAACGGACTAGCTGAGCTGCGCATGCGTCCCGAAGCTGATGCTCCCGTAGACGAAATAGCAGACGACCTACCTATCCTGACGAAACCCTCAACTTCCGTCACACGGTCTGCGAGTTTGTTGGCCCGTCGACAAATGCGCAGGAATATGACCGTGTCGGTTCCTTTGGCAATCGACTGGAATTTGTCGGAGGAGGAGGAAATTGCCGCCGACGAAGCGAGGGATGAAATTGCAGTTCAAAATGCAGTTTACTCCGCTCCCGCTCCTTCCATCGCTGTTTGTTCCCCAGAAGAAGCTCCACCAGCTGAAGACGATGAACCTGCCTACGAGGATCACGAGCTTCGTCTAAAACATTCCAATCCTCAGCTTCGTTCACGATGGAGCTCCTCTACGTTGTCTTCCATCCGCGAAGAACAGCAGAATCGCGGCTGGCGTAGCTCCAAACTGCGATTGTACTTTAGTAGCTCCAAGAAACGAAGTATATCTACTTCCTCCGGTTTGTTATCTCCTACCACTCCGACTACCCCGTCAAAGCCTAAAATCGACTCTAAGCAGAAGGCCCGAAATAAAAAACGCGGAGTCGTTGTCGTGGGTCCTCCTAGCTCCGCTTCCGCGTCCTCCGGTTGGAGTTATGGTTCATCGCTCCAATCGCCTGTGCCCAAAATTCCCGCTTCCACTCCGACGACTGGTCCAATGTCACCTTACTACAACTATGAAAATCGCTCGCCTGTCTCCAAACGCCATCGTCAAACAGAGTCTGATGATGTCATGGTCATCGGTTATGGACACCACCCTGGTGCACACGGAGGCGTTGGAGTCCGCAGGAGAGGTAGTACCAGTACGTCTTGCAGCAGTGCTCGTGGCAGCGGAGCCAGTGACGCCTCTAGTATCCTCAGTGGCTCAAGCAGCGCCAGTTCTGGGTTACGGCGAAAACCTATCCCCGTCGAAATGTTTTTGAGGGCTTAAAGCATCCTTTCTTTTTTTGTTATTACAGTTCCTACCCTTTGCTTGCATTAAACGATTCTCAACGCATATCACAATCTTTACCACATTCATAGACATTGACGATTTATCACAAACGACTCTTACTTATTCTCTTGCATGTTTTGAACAACACCCTGTAGCCTATAGTCCCTTTCGATCTTCTATATCCATAATCCTGCTCTTTGCTCTGATAGCTAGTACTACCTACTTACATGTAATTAATAGTTTCTTACAATGAAAGCTCGAAGCTGCCTCCCATTCCAGTGCGATCTCCTTGATAATGACACCTCTGTTAGTCGATTATACTTACATCGATACATATACATAGGTCAGAGCTCAGAAGTACAAATTTTCTCCTTCGCTGATCCCTACAAGGCAGCTTCTTCTAGGAAAGCTTCCGCCGACAATAAATCATTATCTTCGGCCAATAGAGGCTCTGTCCTTGCCTTTATCTGTACAGCGAACGTTTAACCAGTTCAGAGCGGGAGGGTTTGAAACGTTTAGCCCACCACAACGTCTCTGAGTTCACCTACGGCTCTCCCCATCCTGACACTAGTATCAATCACCATCTTTTGCGATTCTTCAACCAGTCTTCTCTGAAATGGCAACAACCTCAGTCATCAGTTTCTCCGAAACAAACGTTCTCGTCCTATTTTTCGACCTACAGCGTTTTTCAGGTCCCACTCTTCTGCACCATCAGCGATCATCTTGTCAAGTTTCAGTTGTAGATCCACAGTATCTTTGCGATAGAGAGTGTTTTCCTTCCAAAGTCTTGTCGATTGTTTCGCGGAGTTGAACGTTGGGTTGTGTTACATTGATACGACAACCGCCGGAATCAGGAAAAGGAAGAATTGAAAGAATTGAGAATATGACAGTCAGATTGAAGGAAGAGAAGGAATCGGATAAGAAACTCCGTCTCATGGTCTGTAACAAGTAACTTCGTACCGTTTTGCTGCTCCAGATTTTATTCTGAGTTGGCGTATCAAAGCTGCAATTTCACTCATGGTGGTTTACGATCAAAGAAGGGAAAGATCAGCACATTTTTCCTTACATTTCCAACCTGAGCCATTTGAACAGATTTGAACCGGTGCGTTAATGACTCTTCGTATGATGAGTTGATTCATCCTTTACTATCAATTTGTCACGGGAAACGTCGAGTTTTATTGCACGGTTCTTCCAGCTTCCGTTCCCTCAAAATCCACCCTGGTGTGGTCCCGGTCAATATATGAGTTCTATTTGTTTCTCCGTTTCACAATTTCTCATGAACCGCGGCTATTCAGATTCAAATCCTGAACTCGAAGCGGCTTTAGGGAAGGGAAACTCGATATCAATGTTGATGCCCAAAGTAAGGATTCTACTTTCAATGATTGCACATGCCCTTGAGCTACGCTTAATGATTTCCAATTCCCATTCCTCGTTCGTGCTTCGTCTTTCGATCGTGTGCACGGGATTTACATGCATTGCTTACCGGTACCGTATTTTTGGTGAGCAAAGAGGAGCAAAGTCGAACTGTCGATAACTTTAGAAACTCCATCCATCGTCAGACTATTTTGACTGACTATTGTTCAGCGATGGGACTGCGATTTCCCATTTCTCCTCACCACCAACGTTTGAGGGTACCTTTGTTCTCCAAAATACCGGTTTCCTTTCAACGAATCCCGGATTACCAGCGATCGGTCATGATGCGGTCTTGCGGTCCAATTGCTTTGCACTTTGGGGTGAATTCCAAGCTCGGAGCAGGTAGCTCAAACCTCTCGAGCAACCTACGATATGTCCGGGTCCTGCTTGAGGTTATAGGATGTCTCGTCCAGTATTTATTGATAGATTATTTATTCGACTGCCGTCTCGGAAACAAAGCTCTCTTGCTTTCAAGATACAAATCTTTGAGTGCATGTACATATACACTCTCATCATTTCTACTGTAACGTCACAGGCCATGGTTTCCTACATAGAAAGTTGTGCCATCTATTATCTGCAACCATGAGGCAAAGCTGCAATTTTGGCCCTGAACCACTTCCAGTGATCGTCGGCTTATATTGATCAGTAAAATACATCCTTGCCACGGAAGCAAAATTCTTAATTTACTTGGCTCTTAACTCCAGCTTGAGGTTGAAGAAAGTGTTCGTTGTTTTCGAAAAGTACAATGCTCAGACTGAGTACAATGACGAACTGTATACTTGTTTGTACACAAAGTCGTCAAGGTTGTGTGTGTACAGATTTGTACAACCTTTGCTTTCGACTTCTTTCGAAAGCAAAGTTATTGTTCCCGTCCTCTTATCATCTTTTTTCTCTTTTTCTGTAACGAAAAAAAACCTTTTACAGTCACGACCCAGGACGAACGATACGACTTTTTGCCCTTTTTTTTCCAGCATGGATCATCAACAACCGCAGCAGCACCAGCTTGATGAAATCGCTAGCCATAGCTTTACTTTCTATTCCACAGACCAAGAACCGGCTTTCAATGTGTCCTACAATTCTGCTGCGATGAGTCCATACCATGTTGTTGGACACGACGGCAGTCACACGCGTGGGTCGTCCTGAACAATTACTTACTACAACACATGTTCATCAGATAATCTCTCCAGGCCAATTGTCTGTCGAAGACTTACAGCAGCAGGGCTTACAGTATCCAAACATGATGATGCCTACTCATCAATATCACGATCCGTATAACACATCTCCGGTGCCTCATGTTCCCATTCCCCTTTCCCATTCTCCTCCGCCTCCTTCGCCTGAGCTTTACGATCCTCTTTCGCCTCCCGTCTCTGGTTCGGACACTTCTGCCGACGGCTTGTACAATAGCAGCGGCAACAATTCCCCTTCTTCGTCCCGTGCCAACAGTCTTGTCCACCGGCACACCCGCTATAATCCTACGCCTTCTCCCACCAGCTCGTCTGGCAGGCGGAGCCGCGGACGATCCCAAGACTCCGACGAGGACGAGATGGGTCCCTACCAAGAAAACCTTGCTCACTCTAGGAAAGAGGCCACCCGAAAACAAAGGATAGAGGCGGAACAACGGCGCCGAGACGAACTCCGAGACGGTTATGCCAAACTGAAGGACGTCCTTCCTGTGTCCAACCAGAAAAGTAGTAAGGTATCGCTACTAGAACGAGGCAAGTCTCTCCTTATCGATCGCTCCCGATAACGCGCCTTCTGATCCCTTTTGTCCAGCGACCAACCACATCATTCATCTCGAAGCTGTGAACCGTGAACTGCAGACTCGACTCGCGGCATTGGAGTCGGAGATGCATAGGCTTCGTAATCTCAACGAGAAAATCTCGCTCACGTCAAACACACCCTCTCCTGGGATGTTTTCGGAAGCACGGCCACTCTCACCTCCGCCAGATATGCCTCCTCAAACAATCATTCCCAGCCGTGTACATCATGTTCAGTCGGACAACTCGGGTCATTCTAGTCCATCGATGTCGGATGGTGGCTATCAATGAGATGAAAAAATTGTTTTTGCTTGCTCTTCACAACAAAAGGACTGCTTTTAATCATCTTCTATCACGCATTCTTTCCATCTTTTTTCTCGCAATTCCTCTTTGTTCTCTTCGTCTGCAGTTCAGCTTTTGGTCGCATAGATTATCAATTCCACGGGGTCAGGCTCAGTCGAGCGAGTGAGGACGCTGGGTCGTATAGTGCTGTGCGCTCTGGCTATTACTTTCCTGCGAACCCTCGCAAACATCAATTCTCCAACTTGACGTTGAGGGGTTCTTGTCCGACTGCAGCGTGTTGATGCTATCGTACTGCCATCTCGTCGATCGATATCACTCGAAATAAATTCCTGGCGAATTTAGAAAATTCCATGATACTTTCTTCCCGGAATCTCGCCAGACTGCAGCCTCGTTTTTTCCCCGATAGAAATGCTCGATACGAAGCTCAATCAGAGATTGGCAAGGACAACACACCTCCTCCTCCTCCGCTATCCTTACTTGCTATTTCTCATCTCCTGATCGGCTTGTGTACACGCATATTTTCGAGGCCGGCACGAACAATGTGTCCTACCATTGATGGGCGGGACACAAAATGACTCATGATTCTTGACGAATAACGGTATGCATGCTCTATAGATGAAGATCTGGTGGAGAACTTTTCAGAAGCTAGGTTAGGCCACAACCAATTGCCCCTTTGCTATGCATTCAGGTGTTGACGTCCGCCTGCAGCCTTTGCTTGATGCGGGCCGCGCGCGAGAGCGTCGTGCTTTGAGAGAGATGAACTTGAGCGTACATCGGTGGACAGCATCTTGGTTCGGACCATTAAATATCTCCTCTATACGAGCTCGGTGGGACATTTGTGTATGTAGTTTTGTATGTATTCACTTGGCGTACCCGGCTTGAATGTAAATGCTAACAATGCTTCTCTTGGGAATATGCGCGAACTTGAAGTTTATGTGCAGGTGGCTTAAGAGCTGGAGGCGTGAGCTAAACATGTTTTTACCACACTTACCTTATATATCGAAAAGTCAAGTCGGGGTGTGAATGTGGCCCTATGCACTGGCCTAATTGGGTATAGTTATTCGAATGCAAGGAAACCAAATCGAGGGGTCAAAATATCTGGCGGGTAAGTAGGTATTCATGAGCATTCGAATTTTACCTATCCGTGTACCTATCGCCTGTCCCCTCACACAATTGAGAAATGGCCTCCGTCGAAGACGCACTGGCCTTTGTCCAAATCAAGATTCAAGTCAGCGAGCAAAGATTCTGGTTAAAAAGCCTTGATATAAAGATATACTAGCTGAGATTCGAAAGACCATATGGGAATGGATTTGCGTACTGGCGCGGGTTCTGTGGATGAGATACTTGGGAAATAAAACCATCTGCAAACAATGTGGTTGGTTGAGGTCATGCCAGGTACACTGCGGTAAGCTGATTCCTTGAGGTGGAATCGACTCTGATACACTCAAGTTAAGCAAACTTGCGAGCATAGAGTTCGAGTGGTTTTGTTTGGGTTTTGAGAGCACATGTTAATAGACTGCGACCCCAGCCTCGTTTCGAGGTTATTGGGGGCCTCCTGAGGGATAAACTGCCTCGTATGAAACCTGTTTGAAATAGCTGGAAGCCTTCTTCCTTGTATCAGCCAGAGTCGGACCACTAGTCAAGTCGGAGAAGCAACTTAAGAACTGATTTATGGTTGGATTTATGACAATCACCCGCTATCAAAAGCCTACAGAGCAACCATTCCGCCTTCCACGAGCTAATTGGAGGATTCCAAAAATAAGTAGGTGACTAGAAGTTCGGTAAGATGATTTGGTTAAACGTGAGAGGTCTGTACTTACGGAAATACCGTACTTGATAAAGTGGTCCAATGAACGAGAATCCTGCATATCCTTTTGTCCGCCGATGTATCATCTGAGAGTTCTTGAGCATTCAAGTCAATCTCGGTCAATCGAGTCAGCTGGATGAATTTTGAAGAATGCTCAGGAGGAACTGCCTCCGACAAATTAATGTTATATTAATGATATCTCGGGATCGTTTCCCAAGCGAGCTTTCCGAGTATATTATCGAAGTTGGGATTTTGAGACTGTGACTACCAGCGCATGTTTATGTCTGTGTTGAGGACTGACAGATCGGTTTGAGAGCCTCGAGCCGTTGAACAGTGCAAATTCGCAGTGGGTCCCAGCGTGTCCATTATTCCCATTCGACATGACCCCGTAGATTTTACCACAGAGGCTGGCCCTCGACTGTGAAATTAAAGCAATATCTTACATACCGCACTGTCTGCCTCGGCATTTGAATGAGATCCGAGTACATGAGGAAGAAATCTTAGGCCGACCTTGAAGATAGGATCCATGCGCTTCAAGCATGCATGAGTCAAATACGCGTACGAGCTCCCAGTCAAATTTGTCTCTGAAACCGCGGCAGATCGAGTGGAAGTTGAGTTCGCATCTTCAATGAAGGGTATCAAGATGAACTGATACATGAATGACGAACAGGGTATTGTCAGCTTTGACAGTTAAGCACACAACTCGAAGGAGATTAGTCGGGGACATTTCTCGCAGCAGCAGAGATTTGGAGCGACCGCGACCGCGACACTCTGCAATATCTCTAGAACGCAGTCCCAGAATATGACCGGCATCAATTTATCGTCCCCGTAATAATCGGGAGGGGCATCACTGCTTGCGATAACGGAGGTTAAATGTTAAGATCTAGTTGAGTTGGAATCGGTCCCGCAAACACTGAAGAGTTTGAAGAATAGTGCAAGCAGGAAGAGAAAATTGGACACAACTTTCCGTTGAGGCTTCACAAAAGCATATGATTTAACTTTCACAAACAGCGGTTCAAGTATTTCCAGCACTTACAGTTTACTACATGAAGAACCTGATTACTGCAAAAAATCAAGTGATCGCAGAATCAGTGATCGTATAACATGCCTGCTTGTAAACGCGAGGCAACTAAGTTGAAGCACCTGTAACGGAAAACCCAGCACAAGCGAACGGAGTGTTTTGAGTTGCAATGTTATTCCGTTCAAGGAAAATAATGATTCGTACTTCCTTTGCGACGAATCAAAGGTCAGATCCAACACATAAGGATGAAAACCAGTCGTTTGGCGGTCACTGAATTGAAGAATACCTGAAATTTATTGTAGGAAATTTGGAATTTAATTAACGACAGCCTCCCCTAGCTTCTGGAATCAATCCTCGAGTTAAGTTCTGAAGGAGTCACCTCTTGCATATATGGCTAGACGTGGCGGGCATGAAGACACGAGTTAGTTTCTTCGAAAGAATGGATTTTGTTGGGATGCAGAACAAGACCTTCGAATAACGATCCACCTATAAAGTAATGCGCTTTTCGTGGTACCGTGTCTAGATGGTCGGACGAGCCAACCGACTACCGACGCGTCGGGTGAAGAAAAGCCTAGAAAAGCCGAAGACTGAAGTCACACAATTCTTCTGTACCACACGTGGTGTGACGTGGTGTGGCCACTAAGTGACCACCTTTCCTTGCGACGACGACGACGACGGCTGACGACTAGTGACGACCGTCTCGTTGACCTCCCTAAATACCCTGCTTGCTATAGCGTCTCTCTCTCTCCGCGAAACCCTCTATTCACCCGCACAGCCTCTCATTAATAACGATGTGGTATGTGCATTTCCTACTATCTTGAGAGAGAGCATCAGTTTAAACATATTATATTGTATCTAGGTGTGATAACTGTTTGCTTGTTCTCCCTCTGGTGAGGATCCGGTGCTGCTAGCGGCGTAGTTTGGTTTAACTCACATGTAATATCACACAGAGGGGCGGCGCAATGGCATGGGCCATCATCATTGCTGTGCATTCCTCTTATCTACTTCCGTTAAATCTTGTTTACTCTACCTACCTCTAGCTTTATAGTATTGCTGGGGGTATCTTTCTTCTCATTCGGTAAGAGTATACAGGGTGTAGCTGCTAGTGTGCTAATCAAAAGTCGCATCGCGTCTCAGTGGACAATTCCTTTTCTTCGAGGCCGATGAGTGGTGCGATTGATCCCAGTAACGTCAATCTCGTACTAAAAGCTCTTCTTTTAACCCATTCAGGTATGTTTACGGCGGTGTCGGTTTGGCTGTGGCTTTCGTTGCGGTCATCGATATCTTTGCTCTTTCCAATGTGCGTTCCCTCAGTGGTTGGAGCTAATTGACATCCTCACCTCAATGGGTTGTTTTAGCGGTCTTATATTTGGACGCGAGTGTGCAAATTCTTGTGGCCCTTCATTATTGTTATTTCTGCCGTGAGGGCTATTCTTATGATTGTGGAGCTTAATCGCGGGTTCGAACTTTGTTCTTTTTCTATCTTGCTTGCACTGATGCTAATGTACCCTTCAGGCAAGACCATATTATTTGGGAATGTCAAAACGGCGGTCAACTATATTCCTCGAATGCGACAACTATATCAACAACATCAGATGATTCGACCACCTTTCCAGCCGGTTTTTGTGCAGCGGGATTCTCGAGTATATATGTTGTATTCATTGTCTCCCTACTTGTGGATCTTGTATTTCAGGTAGATCGTCCTTATCTATTTACGTCCTTTCATACCTTCGCTGATGTTGGTCCCACTTTTTTCCCGCTTTAGATATACATGTACTTCATGACATGGCGTTACCAGAAGCGACTGGAACATTACAGCTCAATGAAAGGTCCTTACGCAGGAGGTAAGCCGCTTTTACATCCCCTATTCAACGATCCTCCTTATCTGATGATGTGTCAAAAGGCTATTACAACGCGTAAGCGCCCATTTGTGCAGTCGTGTCGTTTTTGCCCGGTCACCACTTTGGACATTATTTATGGCTTATATTGCGCTTTCATGAACTTTACGACAAACTAATGCTTTACGATGACGGTGAAACCGCCAACTTCATGATAATGAATGAAACCATTTTTCTTATGACCATGTTCTGGAAATGTGAATATCTCAGGTTCTAACGGTTTTTGGGTCGTTATACTCAGATTGTCCCTGGGTTCGTACTGGTTTGTACATACATGATGGGCGCAATCAGTCGTGTGCACAGTGGTCAGCTAGGTTTCGCTTCTCAAATGAGGTTTCTAGCAACCCCCTTCAGGAAAACCTCTATAGGATTTCGAGGCAGTGCTTTGTTCAATCACAGCGAAAGTCTTGTTCTTTTCAGGCAACTTTGTCATTTGGACAGGATTGAAAGTTCTTTTGATATTAAAAAAACGTTGCAAAAGGCATGCGGTCGGTTCTGGGCAACACTGGACTTGGCGTGACATTCGAAAAACCTCGGAGGATACTAGTCATGGTTGAAAACACTGGTACAATCCTTGATCATGACGAAGAGTCGTGTTCATTGCATTGGATTGAACCACACTGAACCCTGTTTCTGTCTGAATTTCGCTTGAAATCGTTTGGATGCTGGATAGTCGAAAGACCAATCGGGGTTTTTATGATTGTATCTGGATTCCCCGTTAGTCCGACTTCCAAACGAACGAACCACTTTACGAACGATTCGGAAAGCCGGATCTTGATGAAGATTCATGGTTTTGGAAGTTTACGGTAAGAACGAAGTCCGTTACGGATCATCGGCGCGAAGGGGGGGATCGGTGTAGCTCCATTGTTCTTGGAGAAGAACTGTACAGAGTATTGTAATGAGCGGCACCAAACGATCCTGAGTCAATCTAATGGCTCTTGGTCTTGATCCTGATATCGACACCAGCATGAATTGCCAGGGATATCTGTAGTAGAGAGAAATGAGCTGTCAGGACGAAACTACATATTTCCCGGAAATCGGATAGCCCGGAATGAAGTCCAGAAATGACTTTCTGTGTGAATGAAGCCAGAATGGTCATTCCGCGGAAGTAAATCACACGGTCCTAATTAGGTAATTTATTGATCCCAACATCCAGAGCTGTATATATAAACAGAGTGACCTCGTTCCCATCCCTTAACTTCCCTTAGTCCTCTTCTTTCCGCGCCCTTTCCCTCCCTCCGAGACATATCTCGAGGCAGTTGTCGCCCAACATCTTAAGCTATTTGCTTCACTCTATTTGTTGGCGTCCTACAGTTAGCATTTTTTTTGGACCTCATATAAATCCTCCAAAGGCTGATTTGCGCCACATAGTTCTTATTCGAACTCATTTATTCCTTGTCTGTTGTATTTCTTTGATTTATATCCCTCTCGAGATGTCTCTCGACTTTGAGTCCACCCTGTCCCACTCTTCCTTCATGGAGCCTATGGAAAGCCCATCATTCCTCTTGGATAGTTCAATGGATTATCTTCAATATCCTACGACAACCCCACCTTCACCTCCCAGCTATTCGTCTGCTTTGGGTTGTAAGTGCCCTTCAATTATCAATTAACTGTACTCTTTCATTCATCTGACGAATATTTAGTATCCAATACCTCAAGCTCACCGATGACTTTCCACACCGTACCCCTCTCCAGCTTGGGGGAGTACGGTTACGCTCCCGTTTCATTCTCACCTCGTCCATACACTCCAGCCGATAACGCCAGTATTTCGCCTCCTACTTTGACCTATAGTCTGAGCAATGCCGACGCGTCCTCCGACGATCAGCACTCGGGCAGGCACAGCCGTGGGTCTAACCCATCGCCCCCTCCATCAGTACCCTACGCTGCTACTGTGCCCAGGTCGCATCGCTTCAATCCAATTGGTGTCCCTCCTCCCACAAGGACCAGCGCTCGTACTGCTGCCACCAAGAGGCGAAATAGCAAAACTGCCAATGAAGACTCGGACGATCCTGAGGAAGAAGAGTATCAACAGTCTACAGGAAGTGTGGATCCGTGAGTCCTCTTTTTCTCAACCTGAAATTCGACCGCTTAAATGCATCTCTTAGTCGTCGAGAGGCTGTTCGTAGACAACGCATCGAGTCCGAACAAAAGCGTCGTGATGAGTTGAGAGACGGTTACGCTCGTCTGAAATCTACTTTGCCGTCGATCAACCAAAAATCGAGCAAAGTGACGTTATTGGACCGTGGTAAGTGTCAATCTGATATGTTATCGCTCAACATCAGCTGATGATCTCTTTGTCTCGTAGCCGCTAGCCATATCAAGTACTTGGACGCTGTACGAAACCGACTCGAGACCCAGCTCAAGGCCGCAGACGACGAAGTCAGCAGGCTTCGTAATGTCAACGAAGCTCTCATGTTAGGGACCGCCAACCAGAGGCATGCTGCTGCCGCCATGGCAGCCGTCAATGCTGGAATGGTGCCGACATCTTTCTAGAGCTTCCCTGCGTTGCCTCGCGGGATCATTCAAAAAAGTGCCATGGCCCTCTTTCTCCATGCACACCAAAAAACAGACTAACGAGTTCTATTTACTCTGCCCCTTGTGTGGACAGGGTGACACTGCTTTCATTTATGTCATGGACTATCGCATCTTATCATATTACGCATCTCCCTTGTTCTATAGTTCCGCCGTTGACGGAAAGGCACCGTTCTTTCTGTACTAATTATTTTGCAGTTGTTTTTCGGTGGCGCGCAATTTACCGCCTAGCCTCATCCTCCGATCTCCCCGCTTTTTGGTCGGGACAGATGGGACACGAGGCTGAAGCTTACGCATCTCTCTTTTGATGACGGCCCGCAAAACCATTGGACGACGATGGACGACACGGATCTTTCGGTTGATGAACTGTTTTGGGGACGACACTTACGCAAGACTCGAGTTAGCTGCTTGAAGCGCTATACCTTCCTCACCACTTGATTGTCGGTTGATGGTTGTGCGTGCTTCGCCTACTCGTAGCGCATTCTTGTACTACACCTCTTTTTTTACCGTCGCTTCTCCTGAACTACCTCATCCCGGTCCTATTCATTCTCCATACACACGCTCGTAGGCGACCACTTCATTGTGGATCGTGCCTCGTGTGTGGCCGATACACTGGCGTCACTATGTCCTTCTGGTTAGCATCCTCTCTTAGGTTTGCATACAGCTTCCGATTTCTATTGCGATTTCCCATATTCAGTGCGGACGACAAGCAAGGCGGTCGTTTTTGGCCTCACTTTCAACGCGGAAACCTCATCATCATTGTTCATCATCATTGTTACTCCTTGCTCTCGCCTTGCATCATCTAATTATCGAATGATTTATGTTTTTGGATTGTACCTTTTACTTACTACCCTTTCTACCACCCACTGTGTCTTCTTTGGGGAAATTCACTTGGTCGACCGTTTAATCAACGTCCCGGCTCGGACATTTCCTGCTATTTTTGTTGAACAATCATCCCCTATGCCCCTCAATCGCTTTTTATTCTCATCCTCCCCAGCTTGCACCGGTATCTTGGTCCATGCAACATCACCTTGACCGACATTACTACTCGCTGTTCACCCCTGGCCAATACTGGGTAGCTGCAGGCAAGATTTATGTATTTGGATCGCGCTCGTGCTGGCGCTCGAGTTTATATTTCGCTCTCTCAAGTCGAGCGTAGGCCGAAGGTTACTGGGTGCAGGTTTTGATATCGAAATGTATGGGGCGCAATAACTCATCTCCGCAGATCTTTTTTGCCAGTCTCCCGATAGGTGATGACGGCCAAGATTGATTTCTCGCGTGAGTTGAAGCGAGTTGTGGACCGACTGTCGATCGCTTGACGCCGTTGCCATTCGTCACTCTTTGTATCGTTTCTCGCTCTAGTAGCTTGAGAAGCCTTACTACCTCTTACCCTATTCGATCTATCTGCATTCTCCATTTCCTTTCCGCCATTACCGCTCAACGTTCGCGAATGCGATCCACTGGTTCAGTACACCATTCTCCTTGTTCATGTATGTCGACGTCGGGTTTCCTTTCAAGGTTAGGTATGTTGTCATGTCGGACGCGTAGTTATTGGGAGCCTTTTCTTTTTGGTTTCTTTTTCATGTTTCAACTGTACCCTTTTGCGCATGCGCATTAGTAGACTGCTGTCCGTGTTTGGATTGAAGATTCAGACATGATTCGGACTATCGGCATTGCCACGACTGCTACAATTACCTACCATTCCATCGCCTTATGATTTATCCATGCTTCATTTTCTTTTGCCCATTCTCTTTCGAGTGTCGTTTCAAAACGATTGCTTCAATATTCAGTAATCAGTACGAGTAGATAGCTCTTTTCTTAGATACTTCATGATTACGAGCGAATGAAACGATTATTTCACGAGAAACAGGCGTGTTTTCACACTGAATTTCGCAGGCTCGAAACCAAAAACATTTCTGTTGGCCAAACGCAGGCCAAACGTGACGGTGAAACTCAAGAATCTGACGATGGGTAAGTCAGAGTTTATTTAACACAAGATAATGCACAATTGATATATTTCTCTCCTACAGAGGCGTCATCCGTCAGTCACCTTTTCTCTAAGTATATTCAATTCTAACTTTCTTACAAGAAATACTCAGATCCTCCAGAACCACCTCCCCACATACCAACATACTGAGGATCGTATCACTGAAATTATCAACGAACATTCCGAAGAGAACAATCCTTTGGAACAAACATTATGACCCAAATTGAAAGATTCGCGACAGGGGCGCTGCATCCTACACCTTCTCGATAGACGAAGAACTCGTCAAGCCAGACTGAACGAGTTGAAATCCCGCCACCTCGAAACAGATGCTATTAGGAGAAATGGGTGCCGTGAATGTTCCGCCCGGAGAGGTAGAAGGAATGCAGGTTCTTGAAGTGAGAAGCTCAGTTAAAGTCAAAGCCTCCTCCGAACAAAGGCAAGGGCAAGTCAAGTTCTCAACACGATGCCGACGAATTTCTTGCGTAACTCGGGAATGAGATGCTGAATAAGAAGCGAAAATGGATTAACCTCCAAGGTCTGTGTAGCCCATTCATGCTTGTACACGTCTCAGCTATGCGCCGCTAGGATTCAGCATGGTTGCCTAATCCTTGCCTCTGAAAGATACAATCTTCAACTTCTCGAATTGTCACTTGCCCGATCTCCTGGTTCTTGCAATTATGTTGCTCATCGCGGTGTACATCACACTGTACATTTAGAAATCACTCTCGTTAATTTCACCATTTTTCATTCTCTGATACGACCTGTTTGGACTATGAAGATCGTACAACGTCGTCGATGTTGGGTGTGCCGTAGAGTAATCCAATGATCTCCAAGCGGGATTTGATAATGTCTCGGTTTCGGATTTTTCTTCAAATCCGGATGCGAACATCGAAGTCCTTTCAATCATTTTAACGTCTTCGTTTGGACCAGTGAGTATGAGGGTGTCATATATCGACTCGGTTGTTCGATCTTCTGCTCTTCATGCGAGCGCCTTTTCCCAGGAATTTCGATGGCCAGTAAAGATGAATAAAATGACATTCCAAAGCGAGGAAGGATATCTTGAGATAGCTTGAGATCCAAGCCAGCATGTGCCCTCGGCTTTCCTAGATCAAGCACAAAACTTGCCACAGAGGCAAGAAAGTAACGCCAGCAGCGAGCAGCTTTAAGAATCGAGATCAGCTCGCGAAAATCAATATGATATCAATCGTATACTTTGCCTGTCCATAACCAACAGGATCGTAGCCATCTAGGGGAGAATAAGGAGTCACAGGTTGACCAATATCTGCTTCGATGTTAGAAACGATTTCATGAAAGGATTCGCCCAAATTTGACAGTTCTTGCGAGTATTCATCCATGACAACATGATAGTAGTCTCCACGCTGTTGAATCTTCAGCTTGTTGACTATGGAAGCATGCAAATGAGCGATAATTTCTTCCGACGTGTTCAGCAACTTCTTTCGCGGACCTGAACTAGCCGACTTGAGCGCCAATGAGAAGCGCTCGACACGGAGTCATATAATCAATCGATAACGCTGATCAGAACCATTTACTGTAACCCTCCACGTTGATTCATTTATTCTAACTTTCTGAAGGCCTTTCCATGTCTCAAAAAATACACTCTGCGGACGGTATACTACAAGTTATTCCTCTGCCAGGACACCCTGCAATGTATTACTTTTCCTCTCTTCTTCCCATTTCTCCAAAATTCTATCTTGCATAATCTGACGATGCTCATCGCCAGACTCCCCAAAGCAGGCGAAACAAATATCTTGATCACATCTGCCTTGCCTTATTGTAATAATGTGCCACATTTAGGTACTTCGAAATCCGTATCATTCAAAGTTATTAGTCCAAAACTGACTGTGCATGGACATGTAGGGAATATAATCGGGAGCACTCTGAGTGCAGATGTATTTAGTCGGTACGTCCGTTCACTGTTATATCACTATTCTGCACCTCCTTCCCTTCTCTGTGGACCCGTTTTTGCTCAAGCTCAACTTTGCAGGTATAATCGTCAGTTTGATTTATGAGTCTCAAAGTTCGCAGAATGCAACTTGAACTACATATACAGGAACCCGCAACCGACCTACACTCTACATCTGCGGGACGGACGAGTACGGAACGGCCACAGAGACACAAGCGTTGAAAGAAGGTATCACACCAAGAGAGTTGTGCGATAAATACCATGTGTTGCATAAGGAGACTTATGAGTGGTTTGATATCGGGTGCGTTTTGATGATAACTAGTATCACTAGAAAGGATGAATCAACCTGATTGTTGAATCGCAGATTCGATTACTTTGGCCGGACGTCTACGCCCTTACATACAGAGTGCGCGTCTTCTAGACCGGATGATGTTTCTGTAACGCGTCTGAACGTCCCTCATTTCTTTTCACCGCAGAATATGTCAAGAAACTTACAAAAACCTCGGCAAGAACGGATATCTGGAACCGCAGAGTAAAGAACAGACTTATTGTGAAGATTGTGGAAGGTACACTGTTATCGTTATTTGACGAATCACCGTTGAACGAATCAACCCTCACCTCATAGGTTTCTAGCAGACCGATTTGTTGAAGGAACATGTCCTCACTGTGGATACGAGGTACGTCGCTTAACGAAGCAGCCGATCCTTTGCTTCGTTTCTTTTGCCTTAAATTTTCCTCTCCAGGACGCTCGAGGCGATCAATGCGACTCTTGTAGCCGCACCCTCGACGCAATCGAACTTATTCACCCTCGCTGCCTCGTCAACAAATCCCACCGCGTTGTCCCCCGTTCCTCCACACACATGTACGTCAAACTCGATACCCTCCAACCGCAAACCGAGGCCTGGATTAAACAGGCTGCGAAGAAGGGGAAATGGTCGGCGAATTCGGTGGTGCAAACGACACATTCCGGATCTAATTCCGACGTTGAGATCATCGATGCGAGGATGAAAGGGGGGCTTATTCCCGCGCCTCTAACAAGAGATTTGGTATGGGGAGTTCCAGTTCCGGAGTTAGGGAGGGAGGACGACGCGCTTATGAAGGAGAAAGTCCTTTGTGCGTTTTCGGTGTACCTTCGTTTCTTAGACTGGTTTGGAATTGACACTATATATCCTCAGACGTCTGGTACGACGCCCCCATCGGATACCCCAGTATTACAGCCAACTACACCCCCGACTGGAAGAAATGGTGGTTCAACCCTAAAGACGTGAATCTCTACCAGTTCATGGGGAAAGACAACGTATATTTCCATACGGTGTATTTTCCTTCGATACAGATTGGGGATGGGAGAGATTGGACGATGTTGCACCATCTTTCCACAACGGGTGCGTCCAGTCCTTCTCATTGCCCTCCAAATTTTGCACCTTCTCCAACCGGCTTCGTGTTTAGAATATCTTAATTACGAAGGCGGGAAATTTTCCAAGAGCCGCAATCGGGGTGTATTTGGTCCTCAGGCGAGAGAGACGGGGATCCCAGCATCTGTATGGAGATATTATCTGCTGTCAACACGACCTGAATCAGCGGATGCCATGTTCTCGTGGGCAGATTGCGTAAGTCCTGTACGAATTTTGCCATACGCTCCGAAGGTTGATACTTTGCTCGTACAGATTGCAGCGAACAACAATGTTTTATTAAACAAGTAATAAGATTCATTTCCCTCAAAATGTACAAAATCTGATCTATCCTCGTGGCAGCTTCGGAAACTTTGTGAATCGGGTCCTCAAATTTATCTCATCCCAATACCAAGGCATTGTTCCTAAAAACTCTGACTCTGACTCCCCGGGACCCCTCTCCCTAAATGACCCCAACGACTCCATTTTTATCTCCCAAGTCAATAATCTGCTGCAGGACTACATCCTCCTCATGGACTCTGTCAAACTCCGTCAAGGTCTTCAAACCATCATGTCCCTCTCCCAACTCGGCAATGCCTACCTCCAGTCCTCTGGCCTAAACAAAGCATTGATGTCGTCTGACCCCACCCGGACAGCACAAGTTCTATCTAGAGCGCTTAATTTGATATATGTGTTATCGGCATTAGTAGAACCGTATATGCCTGCGACCGCGGACGCGATGCTGGTGCAGTTGAACGCGCCCAAGCGTGCGGTGCCGGAGGTGTTGAGTACGGATATATTGGCGGGACATGAGATTGGGAAGCCGGCGCATCTGTTTAAGAAGATTGAAGAAGGGATGGCGGAGAAATTTAGGGAGCAGTTTGGGGGAGACGAAGCCAAGGTTGTTTCTACGACTAAATCCGCTTCCGCGACTGGCTCATCGAAAACAAAATCGAAATCAAAATCAAAAAAACAGGACGCTGCTGCGCCAGTGTACACTGCTCCCTCCGACGTGAAACGAGGCGAATGATGGGGCTTGGAGGTTTTCCGGCCGTGCATTAGTTTCCAGTGTACATACTCGAAAATCAGGAATCTCGTTCCACATTTGAGTGTGGTAATTTTGTTAGAATCTCGCCTCTCTTTGTTTGAGATACATTCCCATCTAAGACTTTGCTTTTGCTTCCCCCCTCTCTTTGAGACTCTCGCATTCGCCTTCCCGTCTCTCCGCGCTCTCGAAATATCAGTGAAATGGCTCTTACCGTATCTACCCAGCCATTCCCGGGCCACAAGATTCGCGTTCTGCAGCATTTACTTTCCCCATGTATATGGAATGACATCTCCCTCTATAGAATCTATGCATATTTTGTAACATAGACATTTCCCAATGAACGATGGAATTATTCATTTCGCCAGATCTGTAGCAAGCAACATCGACACTGCAAGTTGCTGAGAATGGGAACATTTGGTTAGGCATACAAGGCCATAAAAAGAAAAGTACACGACCGTACTTATCGTGAACGATGACACCGTGACAGAACTGTTCTAAATCATGAGAATCCACGGCGTTTCACCAATTATTGTCAAAGGACATCGGAATTAACTCCATATTCACTCCGCAGTCAGTCTTCACTCTGTTTAGCAGATGGTCAAGGGGAAGTATGACCCACAAGCTGATGCCTGGGCAACGAAAATACCGTCTACGAGCATACCTACAGTAGCAGAACCTCGAGTGTGGAGTAAAACACCTGCCGCACCAGCCACTCCAAGCTGCTCCTTTTGAACACAGTACTCCTTCACAGAGTAATGAGCTTCTTCTTGTTCACACTCATAATCACCAGCCGGGACAGCAGGATCGGGAAGGCTGAAGAAGCCTTTGGGTGGATTGATTTTTCCCGACGTCGAATACCCCATGGCCATACATGATGTTGTCCTGACACGCTGAGCAGGACGAAGCTTTTGAACTAAAAAAACCGTGACATTGGTAGTAGCACCTGAATGGACCATTTGGAGCGAAAAAATCATCTGCCATTTCAATGAGCGAGACATCACAGAAATCATACTCTTCGTTGGTTGAAGGCGGGTAAGAAGCTGCGGGCCCTAGGCGTGCCGCAATGACATCTAGTTCATTCTTTCGAGCTTTTATTTCAATGCACCGTTCCTCCACAGTTGGTATGGTTTTGCTCAAATACCCCGTAGTGCCTCTGACAGTATTCCCCTCTGAAAATTTGAGATGAAATAATTGCGAGCGAAGCGAAGCAATACTGGCTAGAGGGCTGAACCGGGAAGTAAACAATCGCACAAACTCCCACGGAGTCGGAATACCCGCGGATGTGTACAGATGAGCGGATGCTGGGGCGGGGAGCTGTTCCTTTTTACAGTAATGCCAGTGGATTATTGCTCATATCAATTGTTTGTTAAGGACATGGGCATGAATGAGGGATTCGGTCTCTATTTCTGGCTGATTTGCGCATCGAGATCCCACAACATATTAATTAACGAGTCGATAGCGATAAGTTTGTCGAGCAGCAAAGATCTGTTTACCATTGGTCTACACCACAGTGCATCACTGTAGGCCCAACAGCAAATTTTTCTACATAAGAATCTCAAAAAATCGAAATCAGCATTCCATATTAAATCAGATCCCAGATACAAACAAAATGACTGGGTCACAATTTCCTGATACCAGTTGGATGTTCTTGTAGAGCTTTAACTTTCGCGGACCTCAACTCCTTCCCGAAAATTTGCTTCGTCGCCTTTTTATCCGCCCTACGTTCAGCTTGCCGTGCCTTCACAGCAGCTTTGCGCGCTTTTTTAGACTCTGGATCTTCATTGCGCGGCCGAGTGACTTTTTCTGAGAGTTGGGCTTGTTGTATCATGGTAATGAGTAAAAAAAAGTTAGAGAAGAGATGTTAAGACGCACGAGAGGTATCTTCATAAGGTGAGTCATCAGATTCATTTGCAAACGAGTCAAAATCCTTTTTGATTTTTGAAGTATGTTTGGAGGCAGGTTTGGAAGTAGCATCGATGACACTTGGAAGGCCAGTCTTGGGATCAAGGCAAATTTTAGGTACCGGCTTGGAGTGTCGAACACGGATAAGTCGCGGATGATTTTCAAGATTGGAGTATGTCGCTGGAAACATGGATTATAAAACATGAAAAATTCAGGAAGATTGTAGGACCATACTAAGTATGGTTTCACAATCCCATCGATCCTTTTTCTCCTCATCTATTCGCAAAAACTCGTTATCATCGTCATTATCGCGGTCTTCTGCGTCGGCAAGGCTCCCACGGATGCGCTCGTCTTGACCCATAGCTCTGCGAAGAGTGTCGAGTTTTTCTGCTCCGGTGTCTCCGTCAAGCTTGGGTTTCATCTTACGACCGAGAATTTCGTAGTCATTGAGGAATTCGTCCATCATTGAGCCAAAATCCTCCCGGGAGGTAATTAACTGCGGAGCTTCGTCGTTATCTTCATCTGAAAGAAATGACGCCTCATCATCTTCGTCCTCTTCCTCGTCGTTGTATTGCTTGAGCATAACCTTGGAGTTGTGGAAATTCAGCACACCTACTTCGAAATGAATGACAAATAAGGCTCATACCTGATCGAAACGTTCATCCAGTGTTTGAAGGGCCTCGTTTCGGTACATGCTAGAGCTACTCATGCTGTATCCAGAAGCATCGCTACCTCCTTTGTGTCTCCTTTTGCCTTTGCCGCCGATGACAGATATGGCTGGAAGACCAGAGACTGTATCTCCACCCTCTGAGGCGAAGTCATGCTCGTCGTCGCTTGTTGAAGAAAGCGGTGAGGCCTTTCGAGCAGCTTTGAATTGAGCAAAACGTTCTTCCCATGTGTCCGGCTCTTTTTCTGGTAATACATTCTGGCGGTCTTCCGGAGGTCCATGTTCATAAAATTCAAACTCTACTCCTTCATCACTATCTCGTGCTCCTCCTTCAATCAGATCTCCGAAGAAATCATCTGCGAGGTCGTCATCTACAAAAGCATCGTCCTCTAGAGCTTCGAGTGTCTGTCTAAGATGTGGGTCCATATCCGGCTGGAAGCCAGATATGCTTTGCGGAATATCTTGTTGCGATTCATAAGTCCGGGGGAGTTCTGAAGTGGAAGGTAATACTTCTTGCGGCAAATCTCGCAGCAAGATACCAGGCTTGGTTTTCGAGCCTTCAGCCTTTTTATTGAGTTTTTTGGTGCTCGGAGCCTCGATTAATACGCTCTCAACACCAGCTTCCTGCACACCGACAGGCCGAAGATGCTGCATGTAGTCGTATTCCGTATCATTGTAGTAAATTCCGTATGTAGCAGCTTCTCCAACACGGGCCTCAGCATCACGAGCGATTTCTACGTGGTCAAGAGTGGCTTCTAGATCGGCTCGACTTTTTCCCTATTACAAGTTTGAGTATTCCATTTGAAGTATATGAGATTTAGATTTGACCTTCTTGTCGCTTTGTCGGGCGATTTCCTTCAGTACATGCTGACTAACGTCGGGATCATGGATAAGAGGGTCTCTTTGAGATCTGTGGACCACCTGAAAGTGTCTTGCGCCTGGCTGACGAAAAATGGACTTGGGAGGCATCGAAAAAAGCGTACCGAGCTGGGTCGCTGAGTTGAGGCAATTATATTGATTAGCTAATCGGTATAGTCATTCAACCAGAGCTGTTGACTGACCACCACTACTGGCTGTCAGCTTCAACCTTTGCTCCCTTCTATCGCATATTCGTCTCATCTTTTCGCAAAGTCTGTACAAGCTGGCACTCTTGAAGCTCACATAGTAGCGGAATCGCCTTTCCAGGCTTGGAATCATGGATAATCGCACCAATTCGCAGCGCGAACATCTTCGTCGAGGGTTCTCTATATACGTCTTATCTCTCCCTTTATTCAGTGTTCAAGCGTGCTGACATGCCTTCTGATATCTACTAGTCACCAAAAGGTTGTTCTGGAGATTGATTTTTCCGGGAGTTTATGGGTGTGTTTGTTGGTCTCCTTGTTGGACGCCCAATTCACGAAATTTCTCTCCAGGGATACACAGAAATCACTATTGCCCCTGCAAGCAGTGAATTGAGGACTATCATCCTGCACTGTCGTCAATCCGGTGCGTGTTCTTATCCATATTCTTTGCGCCATGAAACGAGCCGTTGTGCCTCTTTGACAGTCGTCCACTCGGTTCACGTAGGCGCGTACGCTGCGGAATTCGTTCACAATGACCCATTTGTTAACCTCGTCAACGGAATCCCTGAACCGGATTGTCATCGACATCCTGAGCTCAAGCGTAAATTGTATTCGGCTCTTCAGGAGGGTGACGAAGGAGAGCTGTCTATCGCGATTCCGAAGGAAGTGTCCTTGAAGCCGACCGGATCGGTCAACCAAATCCTCAATGATTGTGAGCCTTATCCTTCTCTTGTAGTCAATGATACTGATCATCGTGTAAAGTTTCCACTCCCGAGCCTCAGGCTCAACCTAATCAACAAGTCACGGAATTTTCACCAATTGTAGTCAAAATTACCTACAGTCTGCGTCATCCTGCTGAAGGTATACAATTCGTGCTTCCGACGGAGTCTCAACCCTATGTACGTCTGTGTCGTTCATCTTTTGAACATAAGCCATTTATATATATATCATTCAACAGCGCGTCCCCCATGCTTACACTACCCCGACCTCACCTGATGCGGCAAGGTGCTGGGTTCCGTGCATCGACAACTTTTGGGAAAAATGCACATGGGAGTTTGAATTTGTAGTTCCCCGGTACCTGGAAGAGCGAGATTTTAGCCAGGAAGACGATCCCAGCGATGCGATACCTACGGTCGTGATATGTAGCGGCGAGCTTGTCGAACAGGTGGGTTCCCTTCCGTCGTTTGATTCCACGCACTCATGGATGTCATAGGTCGCACATCCATATAATTCCAACAAAACGATTTTTCTCTTCTCTCAAGCTGTTCTTACTTCAGTACAACACATAGGTTTTGCTACTGGCCCCTTCCACCTTCGTTCGATACCGGCGGACAACACAGCGGACGATCCTGCAAGCAGTTCTTCTCAGCCACTTATATACACATTCTGTCTGCCCGGACAAGAATCATTCCTTACCAGCTCCACCTCTACTCTTCGCTCAGCTATGAGTTTCTATTCGTCAGAATTTGGATCATATCCTTTCGGTTCTTTCAAAGTCGTGTTCGTGGATGAGTTACCCACTCAACGATTTGATACTTCCAGCTTTTCTCTCATCACAGTAGACATGTTGCACGGGGATGATGCGATTGAACCTGCGATCGAAACACGGCACGCACTTAGCCACGCACTTGCCTGCCAATGGGTAGGGATCAATATTCAACCTAAACAATGGCCAGATTTATGGCTAGTGAATGGTCTGGCGTCGTATATCACCGGTTTATTCATGCGCAAACTGCTTGGCAACAACGAATATCGATTCAGACTCAAGAAGGATATGGAACGGGTGATAGAATGGGATAACGGAGGGATGCCCCCAATATGTCAACCGCAACATTACGATCCCCCAGATTCCAGCATTTTACCTTTCATCAATCTGAAAGCCCCCTTGGTCCTGCATATTTTGGACCGTCGATTAGGAAAATCTGGAACCTCTCTTGGGCTAAGCCGTGTCCTCCCTAAGTTATTCTTGTCGGCAATTAGCGGTGAAATGCAGAACAATTATCTTTCAACGCATGCCTTTCTAAGGATGTGTAGAAAAGTTAGCAGTGTCGACCCACGGAGTTTTGCGGAGCAGTGGATTTATGGTAGTGGCTGCCCTTCTTTTGGTGTGCAAGCGACTTTCAATCGGAAAAAGATGGCGGTAGAGATTACGATGCGGCAAGAGTGTCCTGCACATAAGGTGCACGAGGGTAACGAGGTATCTAAGATTTTGATGAAACCAGTACCCTTTTTTGAGGTATCTAGCTCCGATTTCTTTGTGGATTCATATCGTCTCACAAAACAACAAACATCTAGGGCCAAATGACTATTCGAATACACGAGGCTGATGGAACTCCTTATGAACATGTTCTCGACATCAGAACGCCATTCAAACGGTACGAGGTACCATTCAACACAAAATATAAGCGTGTTCGAAGGAATACAAAACGGTATCTTGCACGTCAAGCCGCTGCGCAGGCTGCTGCTGAGGGGGACACTGAGGCTGCCGAAGCCATTGGTATGATTGACATGGGTTTTGGACTCGAAGTTTGGGAAAACGAACAAGAACGAGAGAATTGGAAAGTAGCTGATTGGACTGAGGAGGATGAAGGGTTGATGAGCGGCGCTACATATGAGTGGATCAGAATGGACGCTGATTTTGAGTGGATAGCGGCATTGAAGTTTGAGCAACCCGACTTCATGTGGGTTTCCCAACTTCAGAGAGATAGGGATGTTGTTGCGCAGCTTGAGGTCAGACTCTTCCCCATACATGTAATAAATTATAACTCGTTTGATCTTAGGCTGTTCACGCGCTGTCCAAACAACCAACAGCAATTGTATCCAGTACACTAACGAAAACTGTTCTCGTCTCGAACTACCACTATCGGGTTCGTTGTGAAGCTGCGACAGCACTGGGAAACGTTTGTATCCGTATGATATACATACATTCTCGTTGCTCAATGTCCTTTAGTGTTCGATACGGAGGCTGGATTTTTTGGGATTGTTCCATCTGTTTAAACTCTTCCTTCGATATTGTTATGAACCGGAAGATTCGAATCAAGACTTATTTACACACAACTATATCCCCAAGCCGAACAATTTCTCCGACTTGTCGGAATATTTTGTACGAAAAGTGCGTGGTGAAATCCTGACTTCACACTGTTGTTGTCGTTTACGATCATTTCCACAGAGTCTTGTTAATGCAATCTCACGAATACGATTTGAGAATGGAAAGACACCTTCTGTGGTCAGACAGTTTTTGATAGATCAGCTCCGGTACAACGACAACACAGCGAATCCCGTCAGTCATATCTTCGTCATATTGCACATATACTAATGAGCTTAGCTGCAGTATTCCGATGCTTATTATATTTGCACCATCATATCAGCAGCAGCCTGCTCGAACGTGTCTACGGCTGCACCGGAGCGAGGCGAGCTCCTCCCCTCTGAAGTTCGTCTCGAACATAACGCGGAAGACGAGGAATTGTTGAAACAAACGTTGACCGAAGTCGATCGCTATCGCAGCATGGACAGGCTAATTCCCTCGGTTCATAACATAGTTACTATCGCTGCGTTAGAAGTGGGTGCCTCGAGATCGTCTGAATTGACGTTGACTCACTTCAAATCAGTTTCATATGTTACTTGGTGTCGCCAATCTCATTCCAAGTCACCCTCGAATATTTTTCCCTCTCACCCGGTAGGTTGTGTTGGATTTACTATTCTCAATTTATTCATTTTCTTGCAGAGAAGGCAACTATGTCCCAGTTCGGATAGCTGCATTTGATGGACTCTTCCTCACCAAATGGTACACACCTCAAATCATGCGCTACGTTTTAGCCGTCATGGCGAACGATTCATCTCGTACTGTGCGAAGGCATGTTGCGCGAAGTGCTACTCAAAGCTTAGCACTATTGGTGCAAATGGGCGAGATGAAGTCCAACTCCAAGGATTCAGAATCTTTGCTTATCGAAGAAGATGGTTCCCACCCCGAAAAGCTTAAGGAATCTAAGAAGACAGAGATGGATGCCATGATCAAAGTCCTTCGGAAGGATAGAGAGGTTGGCAAGAATGAAAATTTTAGGGACTTTGCTGTGCCGATTGCGCTGTGCGTTGTTTTGTTGTTCAAAGTTGAATCCATCTTTATCTCTCCCTTAGTGCTCCTGATGTCGATTACGAAGTCCGGTGGTGTATACTGAAGCTGCTAGATATCCTCATTCGTCCAGTCGACGAAACACCTCCTACTGTCCGTATCCACATCCCAAGCACTCCCATCTCTGAGTCCGCTCCTTTATTACCTTCCGCCAAAATTCCTTTGAAACCTCTTAAACCTCCTGTGAAACCTCCGACAGCCAAGACCCCTCTCCCCCTTATTCATCCGAAGCTCAAACTCCCTGCTAATGCTGCCACAGAGAGCTCGAGGATCGTCGTTTCATCACGGACCAGCACCCCCCAGTCTGGAAATGTCGCACTCCCTGCTGAAACTACTCATACCAAGGTTGCCGTCACTGGTCCGGCCGTCTCAGCCCCCAAAGGCAAACCGAAAGGAAGACCGCCGAAATCGGCAAAGGCTGGTCACACGCCTAAAGCACAATCAGGCGGCATGAGTACTGTAGATTATAGGGCGTCGAGAGCTGCATTGAAGAAATTGAATACGAATAAGCACGCTAAATTATTCTTGCAGCCTGTCGACCCAATCAGAGACCATGCACCCGAGTTAGTTTTTTTATGATCGAATCACACCATTCTGAAGGCCCTGACTTGACCTTTCAGTTATTTTACCATCATCAAGCAACCAATGGACTTATATACTATGGGTTCCAAATTGGAACAAGGAATGTACAAGGACCGTTTCGAATTCCAGGCAGACTTTCGCCTAATGATTGCCAATTCCAAGCAGTACAATATGCCCGGTAGCTTTGTGCACAATGAAGCAATCAGCCTCGAGATATTTTTCGAGAAACGTAAGTTTTTTCCACTGCTTCATTGTCCTATCTTCACACCTCTGTGCAGAATGGTCAATCATCAGCAAGACTTTGGATCAACATGCGATCAACAATGCTGAAGAAACTGCCCCTAGACCCGCACAGAAACCTCATCGCATACTGCCACCCGTCCCTCAAGCGAAATTTTCTCCGCCGCCTCGTAAGGCACAGCCGCAGTCTCCTTCAATACCCCCCGCTCGCCCAATCATAAAATTGAAAATGTCGGCACAAAGTGTTCTGGCTGATCCCAAACCTGTTGCCAGCTCATCTAAACCTCGTAAAGTCAAATCAAAACATGTTGATCCAGCACCAGTAACGCCACCTCTCCCACCGTCGGTATCTATAGAACAGGACGTTGATGCCCCCCCTCCGCCTTACATTGACGATGGTTCCCACGATCTCCTGCAAGAAGTGCTTGCTATTGAGCGGGAAAAGTCCGAGATGAAACGGCAGCAGAGTTTGTTGAAATCCCAGGAAAGACTAGTTATTGGTTCTTCCAGTAAACGAAAGCATGTAGAATCGTCTGCAGAAGACGACATTCTTGCTCTTGCTACTCCTGCGAAGAAGGAGAAGTCAATGCCTTCCGCGTCGACCTCATCTAACGGGAAGCTTGTTCTCCCGGCTACAAAACCCAAGCCAAAAAAAGATGCTCCTGTTCCCTATACGGGTACATCTTCATCTCGGTCCAACTCTGCACGTTCAACACCTGCGATCGACGTACCGCGCCCGTCTCTCAAAGGGAAAGAGAAGGATATCTCGCTACCACCTGCATCTGCCACTACTACACCGTCTTTGAAGCACAAGAAGCAACCTATCGTTCATGTCACCCCGTTAAATGAGAAGAAGTGCAGAGAAATCTTGAAAACCCTTGGCAAGATCTCCGACTCTGCCATATTCCAAGTTCCTGTCGATCCTGATCGAGATGGTTGTCCAACGTTAGTTCTCCGTCGTGTCATTTATGTTATTTTCTTAGTTGTTCTGCAGGTACTTTGATGAGATCAAGCATCCCATGGATCTTGGGACGATATCCACAAAGCTTGGACAGGGAGAGTACAGCTCAATGGAATCTTTCCGTAAAGATGTAGAACTCGTGTTCAACAATTGTCGACAATTTAATCCTCCTGGCACTTTTCCTGTCAACTGTGCGGATATTGTGGAAACGACATTCAAAAAAGAGTGGGCCAAAATCAAAGAAAAGAAGCTTTCATGGGCAGAGAAGCGGGGCCTACAAGCTATCTTGTCGACATTTGTGAAAGAGGACCTGTGAGTTGTTTATATCTGTCTCTGATCTCTAAATCGTTGAGCATACTCTTTCCATTAGATCTTTCGTCTTTCGAGAACCTGTCGATCCAGTACTCCTTGGAATTCCTACGTACTTTGACGTTATCCCTCGCAAGGATGCTAGAGACTTGCGAACTATTAGGCAGAAGTTGGATGCCGATAAATACGAAACGGTGGACGCATTCGAAGCCGACATTGATCTCATGGTGCGAAATGCGATCAAATTCAATGGAGCCGATTCGGAAGTAGGTTTGATAGCTGCGAAGGTTAATGATCATCTGAAGAATGCGGTGGCCAATTGGAAAGCAGGAAATTCAAAGAAGAGGAAGGACGGAGATAAGAGCGGTTCGCAGCAGCCGATGAAGAGACACAAATCCGGTTGAATGTATATCTGTCCTAGAATAATGCGTGTACTAATGACCGTTTGCTTTGAGGGTATTTACACTTGTGTAGCTTGTGTGTAGCTGTTAACATCTAAAGTTCGAGCAGACTTGTTTTTCTTAACTGACATGCCTCCGCGGACGTCCCCATTATGATCGGATTATCGCAGGATTATTCCAATTATCGACGTCATTCGTATGTACAGCTTTGACCTTTCCAAAAATGGTTTCTGTCGATGGGTTGCTTATCTAGTAATAGCTGTCTGACAAACCTTCCTACTTCGACATACTCATATATCAGGACATGCATAAATGGAGACCAGTCTTAATTGATTCAAGGAGCTCCTTCGCCGCTTACAAGTAAATATACCAGTTACCAGTAATGCAGTATGTACAGATAAAACACAGGTCAGCCTGGCAACAAGAACCCCAGATTCATGCACATAATACTTTCTACCTCAACACGGATATCACAAAGACTTCGCATGTGCAGAAAGCGGGTAGAAAGAAGTGTAATTGAGACCATAGAATGAAGAGAAAAGAAGAGATGCGAACAAACGGGATGGAGCGAGGTCCACGTGCTCATTATAAACTTTCTATACTCCATGAACTCCATCCATAACCCCAGATAACGCGTTCCTCAAGCCATGGCTTCACCTCAGGTCACTTCGCCAGCTCAGGCCTCCTTCTCCAGTCCATTGTCGGGCTCTAGAAGCAGTACAAGGCTTGGCGACGATGTTACGAGCCTCACGTCTTTCAATCCATTCTCGGAAGAAGATGAAAACGACCAGTCTTCTTATACCCTTGTTACCTCCATTTTTTCGCGGATGAAAAATTCTCTGGCTGCTCCTCTTTCTTCAGCAGCAGCTACGACGTCGATCGTCAACAACAACGGCTTGAACGTGAACGGAACTCCAGCAGGAGCCCAAGATCAGAAACGGCCCTCCTTACAGTCGCAGTCCGCTGGCCCTGCGCGCCAATCGAGCATAGACCGTCCGAATACTCTGTCTTCTCATGCAAATCCAGCTCCTCCACTAGTCTCGTTAACACCAGCGCAATCAGAAGCACCTACGTACAGTGTGGAGTATGAACGATCTCCGTCTCGGTCTGGCATGTTCTATTCGGAATCCGGTGATGGAGGCCTGTTTGGAACATCTATACCTGGTTTTCCTATCCCGGATGATGCTCGAAGCATAAAGACCACAGGCAGTCTCCATAGATCGGGCTCGGTGTCTAAAGTAATTAGGAGAATTCGGGGTGAAGGCGCGTATATCATTGCTTCTCATGGTTATTACACACTTACTGGTTACACAGGTCTATCTCGAGATTACTGGATGGATGATGAGAATGCAAAGGAGTGCTATGATTGCAAGAGCATATTTACCACCTGGAGGAGGAAGCACCACTGTCGGATATGTGGTAAGTGACACCTTCCCTCAGATTTCGGACGTTCATTGACTTATTCATCAGGACAGATATTCTGCTCTAGATGTGCATCCAATGTTATAAACGGTTCTCGTTTTGGACAAGATGGCAGGGTCCGTGTATGTAACCTTTGCCTTGACAAGTTGGCCAATGTAGACGACGACGACGATGACGACAGAAGGTCCATCGTATCATCTGTCACTTCCTTTCCCGCTCATCAATTCGGTCTTGATTCGTTTTCTCTGGGACATCATCCTCAATCTCCCTTTGCCGCCTCACAATTATTTGGGCGGGATGAACCGTTCAATTTATATTCCATCGCCGAAACCAAGAGACCGATCTCTGGCTCCGAGGATAGTGGTCTCCTATCTAGATCTCATACTCCTCAGTTGCACGATCTTGTCTGGGATAATGGTGATGATAATCCAGCGCCTTTCCGGCGCGCGCTGTCCGATGAGGAGAAGGACGTATCAAATTTGCCGGACCCATTCAATGAGGATTCACCCACTGCTCCAGGCTCCAAGACTCCCATTGAATTTCCTATCGTGTTTCCCACTAACAACGAAGGCCCCAGTTCCATTCAATTTCCCGTTGGATCGCCTGAAAATGGGCCGGAAAGTCCATTTGCAACTGGTCGGATGAGATCACGATTCAACTCATATGCGGAATTCGAATCTGCCACACCTTTCATTCGAAGTCGTGTTCAGAGTCGGCTGGACAATGTGGTGACGAGCGAGCCCGGATGGCGGACGAGGCGAGAGAGCACTGCGTGAGGTTTTATTTGATTACGGAATACTGTCTATTCATCATTATTTTCCTTTCAGTTATGCACAGGAGCTCAACCTCACATCGATGCTTCACTTGAAAATAATGCTGAGGCAGATGCTAACAATCGAGCAAATCCCAAATGTCAAGGAATGGGAGGACACTCTCCTGAAGCTTGCACTCCGCATAGCTCGTGAACTCACCTTCACTACATTACCTCACCGTCAGGGTGAAGACATGGACGTCCGTCGATATGTGAAAATCAAAAAGATCCCTGGAGGTGCTCCTCATGATTCAGAATACGTCGATGGGGCTGTCATCACAAAAAATGTCACGCACAAAAACATGTCGAGATCACAACGAAACCCGCGCATTATGCTAGTGACATTTCCTCTTGAGTTTTCCCGCGTCGAGGGCCAATACATGCATTTCGGACAAATTGTGCGACAGGAGAAAGAATACCTCGGTAATTTGGTTGCTCGTATCGCCGCGTTGCGACCCCACGTTATATTGGCTGAAAAATCGGTGTCAAGGATCGCTCTCGAAGCATTGCTTAACTATAACATTGCAGTGGCTCGTACTGTTCGACCGTCAGCGATTCAGCTCATAGCTAGGATGACTCAAGCTGATCTCTTTTCGTCCATGGATAAATTGGCTTTAGAACCACGGTTGGGTCACTGCGCACGGTATCAAGTGCAGACCTTTGATCATCCTTTGATCCCCGGTCGTCGAAAGACGTTCATGAGATTCGAAGGATGTAGTCGGGATATGGGCTGTACGATCATTCTGCGTGGAGGAGATATTTCCACGCTCCGGAAGATTAAGAAGGTCACTCGATTTCTGACCTTCATCGTACGCAACTTGAAGCTCGAAACCCATCTTTGGAAGGACTCGGTAATCACATTACCTGCTTTCAACCCAGATGCTACTCCAACTGTTATTGGCCGTACCAATATATCTGCCACTTTATCTACCACTGCACTAGCCGTTTTTCCTTCCTCCCTTTCTACGCCCCGCCTCACTACTCCTACTGCTGAAGACAATCGTGCTCAACCCTCGTCTTCGGCTGGATCAGATGTCAGTGAAAATGACCTTCCAGACGAAGAGGCAGAAGCGTTGAAACTCTCACGCAGAATTGACCAATCTCTACACCCCTACATTAACACATTTATTTCGGTCTCAGCCACTCTGCGCTTCCCCCCTCCCTATCCAATCCTTCGCATGAAGGAACTTGACATGGAACTCATTGACGCCAAGCGACGATGGGAAGACGAAATCATCAGGCGAGAGGAGCGTTACCATTCAGGAATCAATTCTTTACATACTCGAGACGGCACCATCACTGCTTATAGTAGTACAGATATGAACTCGCCGGCAGTCGAGGAGAGCAAATATGACGATATCAACGCGCAGATCGAAGCTCTTCCCACAATGGATCTGGGGCGGAGCCCTTCCCTATCCACCGCCGTGTCTCCATTAAAGATGGATGATGCTTCAAGCTACTTTTCTGATGCCAATATCGTAAACTTTTCTACCCCTCAGCCTACCAGTGCTTCTACTATCACCAGTCCCAATACGGAGGAGATACGGGAGCCAATGAAGACCGCTGATGACATCGCTGCAGAAAGTTATTACGGCCTAGTCAAGTGGAAACACGAGGAGTTTCGTCGCATATGGGAATGGTATCTTCGGAAGAACAAGGACGATTTTATCGTCGAAAAATACCAGTGTATCAGTCTTTTGCAGTACACTATTCCTATCACTGAGGTCGAATTGCAGCAAGCGTGCTTTGCACCTCGCTTGCAGTATATCACATTCTACGGCGAAAATGATTGTACGCTCGGGCAATACATCGAAAAGTCAGTTACAGACACTCTGGTTCAGTGCTTGGATCCTAAGTCAATCTGTACCGGAAAAGCCTGTGATCAACCACTAGCTCGACATTGTCAAGTTTATGTCCATAACCAAACACGACTCTTTGTTGCTGTAGAACAATGGGACGGTCAAATCATAGGTCGCTCGTTCTACCAACCAGCACCCGATTTGGTCACCACTTGGAGTGCATGTCGTGTATGCGGCTCTGCAACTCCATTCATCCCTGTTTCCGAAGAGATGCAGCGATACTCGTTCGCGAAATTCCTTGAACTTCATTTCTATCCTTCAGACGTCAAACTCGTGCAAGGTGCTGGCTGCCAGCATAATATTTACCAATATCATATCCGATATTTTGCATCCAAAGGCATGACTGTGCGCTTTCAGGCGGATCCGGTGGTCCTACACGAAGTCGTCTATCCTCCGTTCCGTATTCGTGTTCGACCAGAAACCCAGTTAGATTTGAAAAACAGTGATTATCAGAAGCTGCATAATCGCAATGTGCAATGGTATAGTGGTCTAATCGATGATTTAAAGTTGATCAGTATTGATGCTGCTACTGGAGATGAAGAGAGCGATGCCACTCTACTCGTGGATATAAATCAGCTGATTAGACGAGCTGAAGCCGAGCGAAACGACGTTGCGAAGCTGATAAATAGTATTTATAAGGAGACTGTACCTACTGATACTCTTGCCCTGAACCAAGTCCGATCATACCAACAGGACAAAATTGTAGCTTGGCAGCAAGACTTTGACCGACTGCCAAAACCGAAACCTCCTCCGACCACCGATAGGACCAGTAAACGGATTTCGACCTTTGGGTCTGTACGAGCCATTTGGCCTCGAAGATACGAACTCTCTGGTGCTTTCGATCATCCGCATCTACCATCTTCCAGTGTTTCTGAGGCCGAAGAGGGTCCCCTGAGCATGCGACGAGCTACCGGCGATTCGTTCACATCTTCCGCCTCAGAAGCATCGGAGCCGGAGCCTGATCCAGATTCTATTCCGTCTCCCATACCAGAGGGATCCGTTCTAGCCAGTGATTCAGATGCAAAGTCGGAGCCAGAACCCGAACAACGCAAGAATTCCAGCCATGATAATCAAATAGTGGCCAAGTCTGATCCTGAATCTGACTCTACAATTGAAGCTGTGCGGGAACAGGGCATTTCGTCCGAAGCACCAACTCTAGTATGTGTTTTCTGTTAACTCTCTTGATTGATAATGAACATTATACAGGAAGGACAGTCTGGCCAACATCGTCCGTCTAGGCTGCCACGTCGCTCAGCTAACCAGCCTAGTGTAGCCGACCTTGTAAAGAAGTACCAGGACTTTTTGCCTCCGCAAGGCGTGCAAGAATTGACCAAGACTGCTTTTGCTCCTCGCATTGTTGTTTCCGAAAGTGATCAGGAATATAACAGCCCCCTTCAACATCGTACCACTGTGCGGAACAAAAGCAAGCATCGACTGCCCAGAAAAGGGTCCATATCTGATTTTGAGCAGGGATATGCTGCCAATATTGCCCCTCGCTATATCACTCGATCACGGAGATCTTTAGGCACAACCATACATAACAGCCGTATTCCCGGGCCTGCAGGTGTTTCGGAGTCTAGAGAATCTTCACGGAGACCGTCTCCAGAAAAACGTCAGGGTCGAGTAAAAGGAAGAGAGGTTAAGTTTGGCCGGCAATCGCCTCCTCCCACCAGTAGCAAATTTGCTTCCACTACGCCTTCAAATCTTAAAGGCAATAAGCCTCGTATACCTTCTCGTTCCAGAGATAAAACACCAGCTAGACAATCTTCAGTTGTTGGTAGCAAGTCGACTTTCAGGCGCCCGGCAGGGACACCCGGTAGTAAGGTTTCGAATATGGCCAAACACTTCGAACGACTGGGTCGAGACGCTGAACGATCCAGGAGCCGTTACAATGTCATACGGGCAGGTAGGCGGGCGCGCCCTGTTGCTTCAGCTCGAGCCAAAGTGGAGGTTTTGGAAAGTGTTCAGGACGCTATAAAGGACGACGACGAGAGTTCGAGCTCCGATTCGTCAAGTGAAGCAGACGATGAAGGAGGTGAGGACCAAGATGAGGGTAAAACTGTGGCGGAGCTTGTTGAGCAGACGGAATCTCCAGAAGAAGTAACTCGAGTGGAAGTGGTCAAAACTGCACCTCCAGATTCCACCTTTCCTGAATCGACTCAGACAGATAAACATATTACTCCAGGATCAGAATCGACCGAATCTTCTGCTACACTTCCTCCTTCTACTATTTCCCTGCCTCCTTCTCCATTTTTGAGGACGGATCACAGTGTGTCGGTGACTCCACCGCATTCGGACCTCGAAGCGCCCGTTCCCGGAACAGAGCGTAACTCCATTTTGAAAGCGCTTTCCGGATTCTGGTTGCAGCCTCCCCCCTTGACGCGTAGCTCGCTGGATAACGACGATCTAATGGTGGATCCCGAGCACATCTTCCGAGACTCTTCCATGGTGGTTCGAACGGATGAGCCTACCTCGATCATAGCTCTTGCCTTGAAGTATGTGTGTTTTTCAAATTCACTATCCTTTTGAAGTTATGTATGACATTTATAGCTCACCGCAATACCGAGATATGCTAGCCAAATCTCGAGCCGAGAAACGCACGGCACGTGAAGCACGGCTCACAGAATCTGGTGGAGAAGCTTTTATGCCAGACGACCGTTCTGTTGCGGAATCGACATCAACTTGGGGTGTTGTCAACATGGACACTACAGAATCCGTAGATCCTACAGAAGATTTGAAGGTGCCATCATCAAAACTTCCTTGGGCTATCAGTCGGTGTCCATCCTTAACGTTTAACATCGGAGCATAGGCGCTAACCGTGAGAAAATAGGTTTTGAAAGTGGTGGCTTGACTATCAGCTGCACCGTCTTATATCCGGAACAGTTTGACGCACTGAGGCGAACGTATGGATGCGAAAAAAGCATGGTTGAATCTCTGGCTCGCTGCATCAAGTGGAATGCGACTGGTGGCAAGTCCGGTTCCGCATTCTTGAAAACTAAAGGTATCTGCCACAGAAATGTCAACGAATCAATTGATCTTCATTCTTGAAATTTTTTAAGACGATCGCTTTATTGCCAAAGAGCTTTCCAGACCAGAGCTACAAACCATGGAAACATTTGCTCCAGCGTACTTCGATTACATGTCTTCAGCTGTCTCCGCAAATAGGCCTACGCTCCTAGCAAAAGTCTTCGGCTGCTACAAGCTCACATTCAAGAAGACCGGGATTAGCGACAAGGGTCAGGGAAAGTCCAAGCAGATGAATTTGCTGGTCATGGAAAATCTTTTCTATGATCGTCGATTTTCGAAGGTGATCATCTCAGTCTCAATGTTTTATATCACTAATCACATTTTCAGATCTATGATTTGAAGGGTTCTACTCGCAATCGGCACGTTCAGTCCACTGGTAGAGAGAACGAAGTCCTATTGGATGAGAATCTTGTACAAAGTATAGAGATTCTACTCCTCCAATTTTCAGAGCACTTATTAGCGCATTTTCAGCCGCCCATATTACGCCGTTCTATCTTAGGGAGCATTCGAAACGTATATTGCGTGGCGCTTTATACAACGATAGCAAGTTTTTGGCAGATATTAATGTTATGGACTATTCTCTTGTTTGCGGTGTAGGTTATTTCCAGTTTGTTGCGTACAACTGTTTGATGTGTTTGTTCAGGTCGATAGCCATAACAATGAGCTTGTAGTGGGGATTGTTGGTACGTTAAGTTTTCGTAATTAGATAGTGTCGAGTCACTAAATTTCTCGCATCCAGATTACATTCGAACATACACTTGGGACAAGAAGTTAGAGAGTTGGGTCAAGGAGACTGCGTTCCTGGGTGGAGGTAGAGGTGAACCGACTATCATCACGCCCAGGCAATATCGGCAGCGGTTCATGAGTGCAATGGAACGTTACTTTCCTTTGGTGCGATGCTACTCAATATCCGGTGGGAGGGTCACTGATACACCGTGTTCAGATTCCTGATCGTTGGTTGAAACAAAAAGACACGCCCGAAGATGATTCGAACTTGACGGAACTGTGGCCGGACTGGTAGATTTTTTCTTTACTTGTTATTTTATTGCGTTGCTCGGCCTCTCGGAATCATTGTACTTGTAATCTCTCACATCTTGCATCGCACCGAGTCTCGTTATAGTTACTGTTCATGTAAATTTGAATTTATCTTGTCCAAGTTCCCAGCAATACGTTATTTAGACGCCCATATACTCGGGCCACGTGCACCTCCAATGACCGACAGAAGTCTAAAGACGTCAAGGATCTTAACCGTCTCATTGGCTTGAGAACGCGTTCTTTTCGAGAAATGTCCCTCAAAATCATATTCTATGTGTACATTCTTGGTGGATTTACCTTAGTTCCTCTCCTTCTATGCGCTCTGGTTGCCTACACCATCTACACCTCAGAACCAGTCTCTGAAGATTCAAAGGCAAAATCCATAGTGACTGAGGAAGATGTTGGAAAGGATGTCCCGGATGTGCAGGACATGCCAAAGACGCGGAAGGGCTGGTTGACAGTCCGACGGACGTTCGAGGAATCGACATTCGATGGTGGCTACGTTACCCTTGTACGCTCCTTCCTCGATGCACGGTCCAAGGATCCGAAACGTTCGCGGCCCAAGGACATGTGGTATGTCGTACTCAAGGGACAAATTCTCTATCTATATGAGGACGAGACGATGACTGATTGCGAAGCGGCAATTCAGCTGGGAAGTCACGACGTGGTCATATACCCAGAGGGTCTGCTCGACGGCGAGCTATTTACGAAGAGGAATTCAATTTGTTTGAAACCGAAGTCGGATGTGAAGGTCATGCCGAGTTTGACGAGAGAAATGAAGCTGAATGAAAACGACGACGGAGAAAGGACGAAGGAAGGAGAGAAGGCTAAGAAAGTGGCGGAGTCAGCGGCGCAAGCTATGGCGAGAGAGCAAGCCCTGGATCAGCAGTCGCCTTGGTTCATATTCGTGCGCTCAACGGTGGAAATGGAGGACTGGTATTTTGCCCTGGTGCACGCCTCACAACATCCCGCTCAGACACCTACTCTTGATGCTCTTCAGACCGTTTTTTCACCCTCAGACATGAACCTCCTTGTGTCTACATTGGACGAGCAACCAGACATTATCCCTATGCGCTGGTTCAATGCTATCTTTGGCCGAATCTTCTATAGCTTTTACAAGACTCAGCATCTTGAAACATTTATCATTGGCCGGCTTATGAAGAAACTCTCCAAAGTGAAACGACCCAATTTTCTTAACGACATCCTTGTCACCGAAGTATCTGTCGGCAACCGTACTCCTGTTTTTAGTAAACCGATGCTCAAGGAGTTGACCAGGGAGGGTGACGCTTCCATGGAAGTACATGTCGCGTTCAAGGGAGAAGTACGCATAACCCTACAGGCTACTGCCACCATAAATCTTGGCGCTCGCTTTAAGCCCTACGTTGTGAAGCTCGTTCTTGCTGCAGTGCTCAGAGAACTCGAGGGCAATCTGCTCATAAAGGTTAAGCGCCCACCGAGCAATCGGATATGGTATGCGTTCACCCAGATGCCCAAGATGGTCCTTAATGTAGAACCGATCGTTAGTGATCGTCAGATTACTTGGAACATGATCCTGTCTACTATCGAATCATCGTTAAAGACTATCGTAGGTGTCTATTTGCTCGTATACATCTCCACGCTAAATGCTATTGGCAACGCGCAGATTCAGGAGTCGATTGTGATGCCGAACATGGACGACATTGCTTTTTTCGACACCAGTCGCAGGGGAGGCATGACTAGAGGTGGTATATGGGCGGACGCTGCCCAAAAGCACTCTGACATCGTGATCCCGAGTGAAAATCAACCGATTGCATCAGATGCAGGACCTCCACCGGAACCGTTTTTATCCAACGATGGAAGCACTTCTACAGATTCTTTCCCGCCGTCCGTTCACAAATCTTCCTCTCTTCAAGAAACTTCCTCCTCGGCTGCTGAACCTCCATTGCTAACCCCTTCATACACAATGCCTGAGGATGCTTCATCAAATAGACGCAAAACATGGTTTTCTAGCGTACGAAATACTCATACGGATGCTGAGTACTCCTCGGATAACAATATGGAGAATGAGTCACGGGGACGAACATTGGATGTAGATACAAGGAAGACCCCAGCCGTCAGATCGCAGTCGACCCCAAATGCAGAATCTATATTAGAGAATGAGAATGACGAGGAAGGAGCAACGACCTCGTCATCTCTAGCTGCACCACTCGTTAAGCAACGCTCCGCTTCACAAAGCTCTTCAGGAACAGTGAACGAGTTGTCTAACGAGTTATCTACTTCTTCTGCATCAGACAACACTCGCATAGGGCAAAACATTGATGGATCGTCTCTCGCAGTCCCTGCGCCCACGACTGATACTCCGCCTAGTCCAAACAACTTTCTTACGACGCTCAAGAGCCGCGCAGCCGACAAACAAGCTCTGAGTAATACTGCGAAGGAGACTATGCGAAAGTGGGGAATGAAATGGGGTGGTATGAATAAACCTTCGCCAGGATCATCCTCAAGCTCTTCACATGAGGATATGCCCGATCATGACACAGTGGGAGAGAGCTCAGGACTCACTCACTCTCGCTCACGAACGATGAGTGCTCTGGGTGGCGCTTCGTCCAATTCTCAGAAAACACGCGCGAGTTATGCCGAAGTCCGGGCTGCAGTTGCAGAGAGAAAGGGGCGGGTAGAACACAGTCAAGAACTCTCACCCAGTAGAAGCCTAACACCTTCGGCTACATCTACCCCGATCGCTATTCCCCCAAATAAGAACCTCTCCTCACAAAACACTGAATTCTCTGACAACAGCTTAGTCTCCTCTAGTGGCTCGTCTGTATCTTCATCTAGCGTCCGGGGTTCCTCGTCATATCCTAACAAGCCCATTCTCGATTCAGATGGAGGGGCCTCTGATATGCATAACCAAATCATGTCGGTTTCCTCATCGGCTTCGAACTCATCTTCCACAACTTCAACTAAATCCAGTGTTGACGAAGCAAAACTTTCTTCTCGCTCTCATGTCAACCCGGATGTTTCGATAGATGAAGTAGCACCGGCCCATGCGCCAATTCATGTGCAGCCGCAGGCCAAAACCATGTCGATACCAGGCATTCACGCAAGTCATCGAGGAGAAGTCATGTCTTTGGGTTACGTCCCGCCATCACTACAGGAAGATAAGACGAAGGATAAACAAAGGGGCAGAACAACATCTCAGGGCTCTTCCACGCTCTCGAACTTAAGCTCTCTAGGGGCGAGTTCTATGGGCTCGTTGTCGAAAAATCCAAAACTGCAGTCCATGTATCGGTTATGGAAGCAGGCCGCTTCAAACAACTCGAATTCGGAAAATCACGGGCTAGCTGAAGATGCAGCTGCTTCTTCAACTTCGCTGTCTCCGGAAACAGATTTGGCTTCAACAAGTAATGGTACTTTGTCCCAGCCAGACCCGAGTGTCATACAAGCTGCGCCTGTCCTGCCGGCTTCGATGACGTCATTATCCAAACGCGTGCCTCCACCTCCGCTACCTCCAAGGCCCTCGCCTGTGACCATTTCACCCTCTCGTCCGCCACCGCTGCCAGCCCGTACTCCTTCTAGTGCTGGTCTAGCCAGTTTAACGAACTCTTCTTCTATCTCACAGCACTCACCTAATCCTTCGAGTCAAAGTTTGACGCCTCCTCAGCCAACTATGTCTTCCGCCCAGGATGTCTTGAAGGGAATCGCTACGAAGGATGATCATACTCGAAAACGGGCATCACTGACGCTCTCATCTACACCACCCTCACCCACTATTGGACGCCGGGTTAGTTTGACAGGTCCAAGATCGCCACGAGCACCTCCTTTGACTCTAGATGATCCAGCGCGCGCGATATCAGACACGAGCAATGCAAACACTTCAGACGCTCTCGCAAACTCACAATTAGAAGTAGACGCGACGCGAGCTTGGGGCCTAGACGATGAGGACTTATTCTCTGAAGGTACCGCAGAGCCTAATGTACATTGAGTTGGTTTGTAGTACTATCTCATACTAGTTTATAATATTTAGGATTGTCGAGTAGGGTATCGTGTATAATGTCTGTTCACAAATTGCATTGACGATTACTGAAAATACAAGGAATGTGATCGAAATAAAGGCAAATACAAGCTTAAGGCTCAACAACGTGAAGAATAAAAAGTACTGCTTGAGATAGAAGAAGTCCGAGAATGTCTTGATGTAGTTTTTCTTCGGGATATTGCCCTCGAATACATTCCTTTCGAGATCTGTTCATCCAATCCAGGCAAAAGTGCTTGCCAGTGGCCATTCATCCATTTCCAATGAAGATCCGATGACATGTATATTGAAGGAACTGCCCGGGCCATCGGGGGAAAGGCCTGATTCAGTTTTCGATGACAGGGAACGGTTAATTGTGACCCAAATGCGCTGTCTTGTAATGGAACAAGAGCGGAAGTCTCGTGTCGTTGTGTCTCACAAGGAGTTATAATGATCGTAGGTATGGATATGTGGGAACCAGGTATCACAAGAGGTGTTTTCTGATGGTTTCCAATTCGAGAGCGTTCAGTGCTATGTTTATACAAATGGAGATCACGGGCATACTCACAGGATGGGAATGTTGTCTATGTGGCGGACGTTCACGGTACGAAGCTGAGGGCTGGCTTTCCGGCCCAATATTCATTGAACAAGGAGATCCTATGTCCTTACGAAACAGTTCAACACTGATGTGAGCTACTAACATTGAGATCGCACTTACTTCAGCAACTTCACCATCGTGATAGAAATCGCAGTCTTCTTCCTCCGCCAAAGGCTCCAGGGAAAGAAGAAGTTGTGCTATACGTTCCACGTCGTCGCTTAGCAAATTCTGTAGGCTATTGCACATTGGAGCAAGGGTTCGTCTGCACTCGCCGGCATAACGCCACCATGGGATGAGAAAGTCATGGACGGGATGAAGAAGAATGTCCAGGTCAATGATCTGATTATGTTGTAAGCCAAAACCTTCAAAGATGTAAATTACGCTTGAAATCACGTACCACCTCCTCCGAGTCCTCTGTCACTGACACCGAATCCTGCAAACGATGTGGATACCTACCCCGCGTGAAAGTGAGGCCAAGAGCGTGAGCAGTTCCTCTAGAGATTCGCGCAAGCATTGGAAAGTCCGGATATTTGGAATGCAGGATGATGGGAGGAAGCAAGAATGAGTGTAGGTTGGGTGGAAAGAGAGAAGAGTAAATATTTCCTGAAATGATAGAAACCGGTTCTAAGATTCCCGAGCCGGATCTACCTACCCCAGACACCAATCCCGTGGAAGTAAAATTTTAGATTTTTCCATGAAATAGAGAGATGCTTAGACTAAGATAGAAGATACGCGACACAAATTATGCAGGATGCTTTCTAGTATTCTAAGAAAAACTGCGTTCGTAGTGCCCTTGAAAAACTTAACAGCAAGGTTAAGCGCTCGCTCAGCGCTCAGCATTGAGTCAATTATATTCAAAATCAAGTATTGACTGTGGCGTGGGATCTTTGTCGATCATGTTCCTGATCCCGATTGGGCGCTCTCTCTCTTTCCTCCTTCCAATTACATGTCAAAGCTGGTTTGTTCTAACAAACTAGCAGATATTTAATACATCTCCGACCAATGAGCGGTAAGCCACATTTCATTTTCATTGTTGATGCGTCATGTCCCAACTCTGTACCGTCTATAGAAAATACCAGGAGTAATCTATCACCGCCTCGTCGGTATGACGATCCCTCGACAAAAATCTGGTCTTTGTATCTTGATCAGGCAGAGAAAAATAATGAGAGAATAACGGAAAGCTGGAAAGGTGATATGGATGCTATCCTTATCTTTGTAAGTTCATCATCTTGGGTAAAACCTACATTGTTGAATAATTCTTCTTCTTTCATCATTTTCTCATTTCATCGATTCACTTATGCAGGCGGGTCTATTTTCTGCGAGCGTGACTGCATTCATTATTGAGAGCTACAAGGACCTAGTTCCAGATAACTCTGACACGACAGTCATTCTTCTTGCCCAAATTTATCGCGAACTAACAAACGACACAACCTTAACCATGATCCCATCCGTTTCTAAAGCCCTTGATGCAAATTCCTTCGTACCTTCCACTTCCTCCCTTGCTTGTAACATACTATGGTTTCTCAGCTTGAGCTTGAGTCTTACTGCGGCTCTCTCAGCTACTCTTGTACAGCAGTGGTCTCGTAATTATTTACAGGCGACCGTGGGGCGAGATATTCCGTACCAACGAGCCAGAATCAGTACATACCTCTACGAGGGCCTGATAAAATTCCACATGAAGAGCATAGTGACAGCCATCCCAATGCTCTTACACGCTTCCTTGCTTTTATTCTTTGCCGGCCTCGTATTGTTCCTACAGCCTGTTAATCGAGGGATTGGCTATTTGATCTTCGGTCTGCTTTCGGTAACTGCAATCCTTTACGTCCTCATATCTATTCTTCCCACCTTTTATTTTGATTGTCCGTATGGAAGCCCTCTAACGAAAATCTGGTGGAGAATTCTCTGCTCACTACAGCTCATTGTCCGAGAAACTAGCCAAGGCGGTACTTCGCCTGTGCCACCTGGCTGTTCATTGGCGAAGGTACGCGAATGGGAAGCGACTGATATATCCTATGAACGCGACGAGCGTGACTTCAGAGCCATTTGCTGGACTCTTGAGTACTCACCGGACGACAGTACCCTCGAGCTCTTCGCGAGTATTGTCCCAGATGTCGTAGCGGGTCTCGACTACAGCGCGAAGCTCCTGTGTCGTCGCCTGCTCGATCGGAACGACCCGTCCATGCGTTTAGGCTTTCGCCTTACTCGACTTCTCGCCAACTGTAACATAGATTCAAGTTCAGCATGGACCAAAAGGCGCTGCATATCGACTCTGTCCGCAATATGGTCTCTGACAATGATGACACTCCCGATGCCCCATACACCTTACAGCCAGCCTGACCTGCCGCCTCTCGTGACTCGGGGAATGCTTAGGTTCGACGAGCACACTTTACGAACAATAGAAATGATTCAACGATATATCCCGGGTGCCTCCCCGCACTGCTGTGAGTTATTCGTTGGTGTTCTACCAGATGCAACTTTCTCAATGCTACAGGCTTATTCAGTGTCGACAGCGGCAGTCATTGCCAGATCCTTACTAGATATGTTCAGCGACCATATCCTTAACCTGGAAACAGGACTACTCAACTACACTCGTACCGGAACTTTGCCAGAAAGATATCAAAAGCTAGGTCTGCATGCCCTTCAAAATACACTGCCCCAGAGCGACCCGCGGTTGATGATAGATCGCATTGACAAAGAAGCTTGGGATATCCAGCAAAGGTTCGATACGGGACAAGGAAGTATGTTATTGGCCTCAGCATACGTATCCCTGGACTCCTTGTCCCGCCATCTTCAGGACCTCGTATTGGTTGTCCTGATAGGCGACGAAGAAGAATCATTGATATATGTCAAAGAAATTCTAGACCGACAGAATAGGTTCCAAGTACTCCTCCGACAAGCTGGCTTCCTCCTAATATTGGAATTTTTTGAAAATCTTTTAAAGGGCCCTTCCTTACCACATGAAGCATTCAACACCACCCGACGTCTTTACCTGCGGCTTGACCTAGACTCACCTCGCGAACCTTTCTCGCTCCGCTCCCAAAGACGGCTTATCCGCTATCTCGACGATGCTTTGGACCTTCACAACCCACATCCAAAGAATCGCCTCCCAGAAGGCATTATAAATATGGTTCTAAGGCTTTTACGAGGAGTCACTGATCTGGAATGCGTCTCCAAGGCAAAAGGGATCGTCACGATGTATACAAAAGTGTGTGAGTCTGCGCCGAATTTCGAAGCAGCACGAGAGGCATTGGCAACACTTGATTCAATGGCTTTACCAGAGCATATTCGACCGAAAGAGGTATTGGATATTTTCAGCGAGCATGTGTATTCCAATACGAAACTCACAAGAGCGGCATCGACTGACATGTCAACTAGCATCACCTTGAAGGAAGGAGATCATCAAGTTGGAAGAATATTCGATGAGTAGTGGGTGGAATAGACCTAAATGGGGAAAAATCAAGTTCGTTATTTGACGGGGGTGGGTGTATTAAACTAGGTCCCTAAAGATAAATTCTAGTTACAGGCTCTTGACGTACGAATACAGAAGTCCAAAAAGAACTGGATGAAACAGGAGTGTAAATAAATAAAACTATGTATCTATCATATCCGTTCTATGTACCACGCGTAATGTCAATTCTTCCAAAGCGTCTTTTGTATCACTGTCTGGTAGAAAACGAAGTATCTCACGAGCTTTTTCTGAGTGTGTCAGTGCTAGTTTCCGTGTTCGCCCTAACCCAGATGAAGAACGAACGGCGTGGCGGACCTGCTCAACGTCGCCGTCTTCGGAGAATTGACGTTGAATAATGGGTTTGAGATGTGTATGGTCCTCCCATGCATACAATAGCGGGCCTGTCAAACCTGCATCGAATTTGTTGTTGTCCTCTTCATATGCATCCACATCCTTCATGAGCTCGAATGATGGTCATTCCACATGATCGCGAAGATAGAGAAACGCTAGCACGAACCTGATTTGCAAACCCGATGTGTAAACCGTATATGTATGCAATCTCTTTCCATAGCTCTCCTTCTTTGGAGCCGCCAAGAATAACAGCCGCTCGCCCAGCCTTTGCGAGAAGGCTCGCAGAGCCAAGGTATATTCTATTGAGATACCTATTCCATCCTTGCGCAGGAGAAGCTAGTGCTAGGATTTCTCGCGTACCGACATTGCCAGCCTTCCAAACAGCGCCCTCGACAATGTTCGCAATGACAGTGGCAACAAGTTCAACAACTTCGTCATCTCCGAGCCGCGACAAAGCGGTACTTGCTCTTCCAAGAAGGAAGTCGCCTCCAAGGATGGCTAGTTTATTGCCGGTACCATCCGAAGGAGAACTGGTTTCGTTGGCGACTTGGTCGTGGAGTGAGGAAGCAACATGAATCATTTCCACAAGTTGCGCTAGACGTATTTGGGCGGGCAGGATGGTAGGGGGGTCGACGAGTGCCGGGTCATAATTGATTTCATAGGAGGATGGTAACGGAGGGTTTTCTGGCAGGATTCTGGGTGTTTGTAGAGAGAAGAAAGATTGGAAAGAGGCTGCATCGTCCGACATATTAGGATTACAGTCGTTTAGAACGCCTGGACGCGTCAATGTACGATCGAGCTCTTCATGTCGGCCACTGACGCGTTCGCAATCTGCGATCCACTTTTTCTGTTCCCACTCGTTTCCAAGCCCATTTGTTGCTCGTGAGAGGAGCAGTACTACTAATGGCCGTATTTGCTTCGAAGGATTCGCGAAATAGTGTTGAGCAAGCTGGTGCAAAGTTGGGTGAGCCGAACCTAGTAATCTCAGCAGGTTCCCTCGTAAATAGTCGAGCTCGGAGGCCAAAAGGACGAATGGATTTGGCCGAGGAGTATTCAGTAGCTCTGCGGTGTTTATAACTGCTGTCGTCCTCGGTGGTACATTGATTTTGAGGTTATGAGCGAGGATACCGTGCTTTCTACATCGAATGAGCTGAGAATTTTTGCAGACGGGCGAAGACCATGCTCGCATGCTCCGCCAGGTGTCGACAGCGACGTGGAAAGCGATCCAGCTCGCTTTCAATATGACTTGGTGGAGGGAGAAGAGAAGGCAGATGAGCCGGTGTATGGCTGGCGACCAAATCGGTCCAATGAGAAACCCGGTGTTTATATGTAATCTGCGAAAACCACAGCAAAACTCCATAAAAACTCTCACTGCTCGGAGCATGCTCAGAGCCAAAATTTGGTTCACGACAATTCATACTATACAGTAAAATACATTATTATTGTAATCCCTGATCAAACGATACCGTAGAAAATAGCATTGCCGCCTCTCGTGCGCCGTTTGCATATCTTCCCATGAGTGAATGAAAAATTCTTTCGTCAAGTCAATGCCATGGGCCGTCACCGTACAGGGGTTGGGGACGAGATGTTCGACGACGTCGGAGGCGGCCTAGGGACTACGAGATACTCTCGATACTTGCTTAATGATTTTGCAAGATGAGCAGCAAGAGCTTTAGCCTGAACACGTATATGAACGTTCATTGGATATACATTGGGTAGCAATGAATACTCACCTTTAACCGTACCGCTTCCTGATCATAACCATTGGAAAAGTTTAGAGCCAAAAGCATCAAAGGTTGCCAGCCATCCTGAGTTTCGTCTTGGGCCTCGTTCACGGCCAAGACGTAAATTGATCCCAGATGAGGTTTTCCCTACTAGGAAAATGAATACGATGAATAGCCTTAAATAAATGTGCCGTACCTTGATCTCAAATGTAGCAAAACCTTGCTCTTCTACTTCGAGAAAAGAATCTCCACTAAGTCCAACGACGGATCGGACATCTTCTTTGGAGCGAGATGGATCTGATGCGTAAGATATTAATTGACCAGTTGGCGTCAGGAGGATGGCTGTATGCAGGTCAGGCAGGTCCAGAACTTGATTGAGATATGTATGAAGAGTTGATAGCTTCAGCATTTTGTCGATGAGAGCATAGGGAACGGAAAAGAAGCGCCATTTGCACGTGGGCCTGAACCCTGGCCTTGTCTATACGTGCACCATTCAACGCGAATACAATTCAGATCTCTTTTGAACACCTAGTGTTACAATGGATGATGACGATGCTGATTACATGCAAGGAAGCGACGACGAGGTCCGTTTTGCCACTTGTCAACTCTTACTTGCTCTCATCGCGTGCATAGGATTATGGCTTTGACTATTCCGACGGCGAGGATGCTGAAGAGTCTGGTAGCGCCGACGTCGAAAACATGTACTATAAAGCCAAGTGTAGGAGGCTTTACTTGTAATTGCTAGAAATATCCTATCATATCTTCTCTATAGCGAAGAAGGAAGATAATCCTGAAGGGGCTTTGAAGGAATTCCGCGCAATCGTAGATCAGGAAAAAGAGAAAGGAGATTGGTATGTTTGATGCCGCCTTGTCGATTGGGATGCTGACGATATATTCACGCGGTAGGGGCTTTAAAGCTTTGAAGCAAGCTACAAAGTTACTTTATCTTGTTTTAAGACGACCAAATGATGCACTACAAACCTACATCCAACTTCTGACATACACGAAATCTGCTGTCACTCGAAATTACTCTGAAAAGACGATCAACGGGATTCTAGATTATGTTGGAGGTGGCAAGGGTGGTTCAGTCGAAGTTGATGTCTTGGAAAAGTTCTATCAAGCGACCAAAACTGCTTTGGAAGAAGCCAAGAACGACGTATGTGTTATTCTACTTGATCTTGCATTCCTCGCGACTGAATATCTAAATTAGCGTCTGTCGGCCAAAACAAACTTGAAACTGGCGAAGCTATGGCTGGATCGGAAAGAGTACACACGATTATCCAAGGTCTTTACGCTACCAGCTGAACTTCGATTCAAGTTGAATTTACGCGCGCCACACAGCTCATTCGCGATCTCCATGTTGCTACCGGTCCTGCAGGCGATGGCGACGACCAATCGCAGCGCGGTACCCAACTACTTGAAATCTACGCATTGGAAATCCAAATGTATAACGAAACGCGGAATTTCAAGAAGCTGAAAGAGATTTACAACGCCACGAACAACGTCCGTTCTGCCATTCCTCATCCGCGTATCATGGGTGTCATCAAGGAATGTGGCGGGAAAATGTGGATGGGTGAACGTATGTATTTCCTTTGTTTCATTGTTCTGAGTATGGACGGATATGGACGAATGGGTTTCAGGTCAATGGAACAAGGCTAGCGAAGATTTCTTTGAGTCGTTCCGCAATTACGATGAAGCCGGATCGCCACAAAGAATCCAAGTGTTGAAATATCTTGTCCTGGCAAACATGCTTATGGGAAGTGAAGTTAATCCGTTCGACAGTCAGGAAACAAAGCCGTGCGTATGGCTGGTTCATTTGGTCTGAGTAAGAAGCATATATCTTCTCATAGATATAAGAACGATCCCGAGATCAAGGCAATGACCGACCTCGTCGACGCCTATCAGAGACGAGAGGTGCACTCTGCAGAGAAGATTCTTCGAGGCAAGTCTTCAACATGTCCTTCGAATTTTTCTTGACCCTTGGTACGCAGATAGCGGCGCAACCATCCTAGGTGATTCCTTCATCAGAGCTTACATTGGCGAGCTGCTTCGTAGTCTGCGAACACAATACCTCATCGACCTGATCAAGCCATACTCGCGTCTAGAACTGTCTTTCCTTGCCAAGGTAAAATATCAATTGCAGTATTCCTTTACGGCCACTTTTATTTTGAAATTTTACTTTATTGTAGCAACTCAATGTCGAAATACAAGAAGTCGAAGATCTTCTTATTGGACTTATCCTAGAAGGCAAAGTTGAAGGCCGAATAGACCAAGTCGGCATGAGATTAGAGCTTGATCGAAAGTGTGTTCATATAACCTTTATTATCATTTTACCAACATTGACCATCTTCTTTCTTCCCATAGACAAAGCCTGGAAAAGAAACGATATTCCGCGCTACAGAAATGGACTGAAAACATTGAAGCGGTGCACGGTGCCGTCGTCGGCAAAACAGGTTCTAGTGGGCGGGGTGGGGACCCAGGTATGAGCATGAGTGACGTTTACATGCGGGATGCGGGATTCGGATAGGTAGTGAAGGTCGGTACTTTGAAAATATTGCTTTTCGCTCGCTTTTTCTGTTTTTTGTATACTCAATCTGTTGGAGCCCGATCAAATATCCGGTTTGTTGATACTGGACTGCCAATGAGAGACTTCAAGGAGGTTCCCGGGATTCTGGGTACTACTCAACGACGCTCAGACCAGCTGATATGCCTCAATGAGCCTGACCATAGTAGTTGCCATGTAACACTCCCTATTGGCCTTCACTGCGGGTATCGTTATTCGAGATCCAATTCCTAAAGAAGATCGGTAAAATTCGCTTTGATATGTGGGAGTTTTGCAACGGTAGTTTTTTGGATCACCACCACTTGATCTCACAGGATCACTGTATTTGAATTCCTAACAATGAAAGGTACAAACGTTTTCTGTGTGGTTGGCTCTGAGCCCGAGATACGAGTGCAATGAGGCAGATGTTATATGTATCTGATTTGTTTTTACGTCATGTTTTTGTACACCGATTTGAACCTTCTTTTAATCCCCCATCTTCTTCCTTGCTTCGAAATTGTGGCTCATGTCGACTGACGAACGCGTAAAAAAGCTCAAGGAAGAAGGGAATAAGCTCTTCGCTCAAAAGCAATATGTTGCTGCTGCTGAAAAATACACTGAGGCTCTTCAGCTTGGTGGCGATAACGCAGTTCTATACTCCAACAGAGCTGCTTGTCGCTTGAAAATGAAGACGTAAGTAGTTCAACTCTACTGTTGTGCTATAAGCTCATGAGCCAAACCTTTCCTATGTAGCTACCTTGATGCAGAGTCTGATGCCACAAAGGCGAGTCTGATAAGCTGGCACTTAAAACCTCTTAAACAAATATTCCATGGATAGGCTACTGAAATAGATCCTGGGTTTTCCAAAGCTTATGCCAGACTTGCTACTGCTCAAGATGTCAGTCCTCGTTGTATCTCTGAGATCCGTCTCATTCTGTTTATTTCCAAAAGGCTCTTCGACAACCGTATAGGAGCATCCCGTCTTGGAAAAAAGCTCTTGACAAGCTACCCAAAGAGGTCCTCACTCCTGCTCAGCGCAACCAAAGGGAGGATGAATATGAAAAAGGACTCACTTTAGCTGAGTCTGCATTGAATAAATTACGAACATCTGGCGGGAGCCACCTTATTCACGCACCTTCCAACCAGAGAGATCTCCCATGGTTTTGTGCTCAGAGGATGATTCCTGACTTGATGGAGCAGAGAAACTATACAAGCTCGGTGAAGTTCAATGTGTATTTAGCATTACGAGTATATACTCACATATAAATCTTCAGGCATGGGCTTTGGCTAACGCTTATACAGAGTTTGCCGAAGGCATTCGCCAACTTTCACTGGCTACTACGCAAGGCCAGCTAAGGTTTCAATCCACCAGTGTAGGCTGTCCGTTCTATCAATTTCTTCTCTTCTAAGGCTCTGCTCCCTCTGATGCAGGCCCTCATGCTTATTTCCAATGCCATACTCACAGATCATCGCGTCTTCCATATAAATGGACCCGAATTTCTCCAAAGGTACAATCAACAGGGTTCGTGCGTCGATAAGTTGCTGAACATTACTGAGTTTCATCTTTTTAGTTTTGGGCGAAGCACAGTTCTTCAAAGCATGGACCCATGAGGGCCCAGATATCATCAAGCAGAAAGTTCTCGAACGCCTTGAGGAGGAAGGTTGGCACACTACATCCCCAGCTCTGACCACCACTATGAGGTATGTCTTCATGTTTCATCTAAATTGCCTCGGCAAGAACCGTCAATGTAGGGCGTGGATAATGCAAGGCTTTTATCAAGGTGGGCTGTACCAGAACCACGTCGCTGAAGTCGAATTTCTTGGGCGAACTATTGAAATCATTAAATGGGGTCGAGAGCGGTTCAAAGACATACGAAAGGAATACAGAGGTGTCATGTTTGAAGAAACGTTCCTGCGTGGCGTTCAGATGCTTCATTTGGAAGCGCTCTTAAAGGTATATCGAACATGCTTTCCTGGACAAGTTTATTCATTTACTTGATACGCATTTAGGTGATTGCCAAAGCGGACGATGCCACTCTGGAGGCAACGCTCCAAGAGGCAAATGAGGTCATTGCAGGTGTTAATGCTGCCACCATACCTCCTCGCGATTCCAATCCTGCATTTGTTTCGGCATACTATTACAAACCTAAAGGACAAGCGCTTTCGTATGTTTCTCTTACTATCTGTGCCACCCCATTTTTGATTTTTTGCCATTAAATCACAGATTAAAAGCTATGTATCATCGTGTTCGAGCAAACCGTATGAAAGCTCAGAACGGTTCATTATCATCTTCTGTGATGGATAAATATTCTTCTGCATCACGGTACTATTTAGAGGCGGCAGATTGTTATGCTGAGGATGATGAGAACCACGCTGGTAAGTTCTAATTCATGATGTGCTGTATTCGTATAATGCGGACCACGATCATAGTGTTCCTTAATGCTGGCCTTGAGATGATGTGGTCTTGTAAAACTAGTATCAGGAACCAGCTAGCTGTCATGGAACGTATTCGCCTTGCTATTCCGAAGATGAAGAAAATCTGGGGGCAATCGTCATTTGCGAAGCAAGGAGGTGATATCATTTTTAAGAGGGGACAGGATATGGAAGGGATAATGCGTGAGGGTTTGAACAAGAGAAAGTATCAATTGGATGAGCTGGTTGTCATTGATGCTCAACGTTAGAGACATAACGTATGTACATATGGTCGGGATTACTAAAATTTACCTGTTTGTATATAAATTACGCATGCACTACTGCCTCAAACACCTGATAAGCCCTACACCAACCAGATCAAACTAGAGTCACCATCGATTGTGAAGGAACCGCAACGAAGCACACTTTATAAGAATGAGTAGTACAATTATCGTAGTGTATGAGAGTAATGAGTGGAAAGGTGATTATAGTAATAATATTTTACAGGAGCGATATGCAGTAGAAACAATTGCTTTGAAATTAGATACGATTGCAGCATGAAGATCATGATAAAATGAATGCAACTAGATCAACGAAACTTCGACTCGAAAAGAAAGTGTGCGCGGAGCGGCCGCGCAAAATATATCACAAAAGATTGAAGGAAGAAATTCGAACGTTATGAGAATACTCCGGTTCGCTTTCCTTTGATAGTCCTTAATTTTCTCAAGAGGTCCTACAAACAATATCAGCAAGAGAAAAAAGACCTGGTCATCAAAACTTACCTCCGCCTCCTGCCTTGACAGGCCCCTTCCCTTCTCCATCTCAACACCATTCTCAATACTGTCCAACACATCCTGGACTAGGTCCCGGTAGTCCACACCAAAGAATTGGGTGAGCTTCGCAGCTCGCCGCCTTCTAACCTGGAAGGTGCCATCACTTGCCTCCACGTCTGCATCGTCGAAAGAAACCTTGGATAGTATAGATCCAACAGAGTCAAGAGAATTAAGAGATGCTATAGACGTCCGTGCAGGTAACGCAGGCAATGAAAGCCTTCGCTCCGATCGAGCCGATCCGGATCCATTGCTAGGAAGATTCCCATCGATGCCAGCGAAATCTTGGTTAGGCTCTGGACGAAACCCTGCTGAGAGTTGTTCAGCATCGCCTGCCCGATACAGGATCTCGTGCAACTCCTGGAGCGATGCGCGGTCATCCTGAGGGGAAGAGGAAATCAGTTGAGCATGACACTCTACAATAGACAAACAACCAACCCGATCCAAAATGTCACCCAAACTATTCAACGAATGCTCATAATGAGTGTAGGCCAAAGACGCCCCTCGGGGTCTCGAAACTCGGAGGGTGCCCGACACATCTCCCACCTCAACTTCAATGGCTTGCTGGTCGGTGCTATCACCTTTAGGTAATAGGAACTCCCTAGACGCAGGTCTTGTATGATCTCTCTTGGGTGGGAGGGGGTTCAAAGTCAAAATTGCCTCCGTAGTACCGGTAGAAGACGATCGGATCATCGTCGGACCAACTGAAGGTGTGATTACGCCTGGGCTCGAAAGGGAATGGTAATGCGGAACATGTCCAGGACCATATGCGTAAAGTGTTTGTGGTGGCGCAACTCCGAATACCTAGGAAAAGAAAAATAAGAAGAGGTTCAATGAACTTTTCAATGTTATTCACCTTCTCGAGCCTTATTGCCCGCTTCACCATCCTTAACCTCTCATCCTCACCCATATCATCCTTTCGTCTGTCTCTGATATCGCTCCAGTCACTACTAGCTCCCGATTCGCTTCCACTCCTTCTCCTAGCAACTCTGACCATACCTTTCTTCCATGAGCGCTTCTCTTCACTAGATCCTTCAGCATCTGTTTCTTCTCCCATGGAGGAAACTGATAAGCCAGGCAAACCACTTTCGCTGTCCTCCTCAGCCTGTCCTAAACCTAGAACGAGCCCAGTGGGGACACGGGAGCCGAGGAAGCGATGCAACTTGGCAAGCTTCTCGCGCTTCCGTCGCTTTTCAGCTTCTGCGCGTTCTTCTGGTGACATGAGTGAAGGGGTGACAAGTGAAATCAGAGACGGTTGACGGGCAAGATGTTGTTGTAGGTCACGTTTTTGCCCTCCTTCATCATCAGTGTCGTCAAATGGAGCGGCAGGTAATTCAGTCCCGATGTAATCTTCTCGCGTGAATGAGTTTCTCGGTGCCCCACCGGGATAAGCGGATGGTGATGCAAATGCGAGCGAAGAAACAGAGGAACGGCGAGAACTGTTCTGAGAACCGGGAGGAGATTGGGTCTGTAATTCGGCGGGATGCTTGTTTTTTGTCCCATTGGGTCCGGGTAATTCGTCATCCCAATCGATGAAACTCGCACTATCGCCTTCGACCTGTTGTGCATCCCCAATTTCAATCAGGTTTCCGTCTTCGCCATTGCCGAAGATGGACGATGCTTCACGGTCGGTTTGTATACTGGAAATAGGCTCTTGAAGATGGAGTTCATTGAGAAAGTCGAAATCATCTGGGGTGAGTGGAGTAGAGTGTCTTCTGCCTGAAGTAGCAGAAATATAATGGGTCGATGCAGGTGGAGGCCAAATTCCTTTCCCTTTGACTCGATCCATGTTCTCTTTGACTTTCTGCTTAGTGTCACCGACAGAGTTTTTCCGGAAAGTAGCAACAGAATTAGAGATATGGTGACGAGAAGAGGTTGGGGAGGTGATGTCAAGGAAGCTCCTCCTCATTGGATAAGTATCGGCCATTCCGGAGGTAGTCGGCAGAAGCGACGCTCCATTTGGAGTCTGGCCAAAGACCTGGGCAAGTTTCCTAGACTTGCGAACAAGGTCGGCACGGGAAAGAGGGTCAAGATTATTAGAAGTGGGCGGTAGTTGCATATTAACGTCGTCGTCGTAAGAATTTGTACGGGAATTTGAGCGGGAATTAGAATTCGAAAATTTATGTGGCCGGCGCCCGTGTTCCTGATTAGGTAGTCGGCGCTCTAGGCTACGACTAGATCTGCCTGCAGAATGTAAAGTCGAAAAGTCTGGCTTGGGCGTTGTCGGCAAGGGCGGCTTGCTCTCCGTAGTGGGCGAAATTAATTCCATGAAAGAAACCCGGTCTTCCAGTTCTGAATAATTGCTTCGTGCATTTCTGCGCATGGTATCTATGACCTCTGGATGTCCAGACTGAGGATAGGGCAAACTTGGTACTGTTCGCGGTGTAGGAAGAACGTCGTATGGATCGTAGTATGATTGGGAGTATACTGCGCTCGATATACTAATCCTATGATCTTCTGGCCTGGAGAAAATGTGAGGAATATCCAGAGTAATCATCAACAAAATACTCACTCGGCTTCTCTCTCGTATTCTGTGCTCGACCAAGGATCCTCGTCAACAAAATGAAAGGCACTCAAAGTGGTGGAAATTCCGTCTGGACTGGAGGGCGTCGTGTTCGTCGTCAAGGTCGTATATCTGCGCTTGGAAGGATGTTGGTTGTCGACGACAAAAGCTTCTGTCGACCCTGGCTCAAGTATTTCATCGTTGGCGTGGGAGTTTGATCTTAACCGACGCGGCATTCCTTGCTGTCGCTATCGATGTGATGATTTTACACGAGATTAAGTCAGTCATTGTTGACAGCACACGGTTAAGAGGACAAGAAACGAAACGTGAAAATAAAACCAAAAGGCGGTGAGTGGGTTAGCTCCGTTCCTCTCGCTGACCATTATTGCCGGTAAAACGGCCGAGAAATCCAACTCCGGCGTTGAACTGCAATTTTCTGGTACCAATAACAAAGTATAGCTCACCTGCGTTTCAGCCCGTAAATCGATGATCTCCACCTCCTCGAGGTACCTTACGTGCTCGTCTCCGCTTGAACAATAGTACGATGTTCCTCTACGATCCATCGGAACTGTCCTCCGCCGGTATTGTCTCGGTAATTGATTCAAAGTCCCCGTTTCCTTGGGCTTTTTGTTGAAGTTGTGTCTGTGTCGAGATGCTCTGTATGTCTGCGGTACGTGTTGTAAATCCTCTGACACACGTCTCTCGTAGTACTTGGCAAAGTCAACTTCTCCTTCTGACGAAGACTCCGCTGAAGCCGAATCGTAATCTCCTTCGTACCCGCGCAGATAGTCTAGTATTCGGAAAGAGACCATTATGATTATAATTATAGTTAGTCCCCCCGTAAAGTAAATATACAGACACTGTAACTACGCACTGCTGCTTGAGTCCTTATCGGAGTCAAGGGATATTTCGTATGTCTCGTTCCCACTGCCTGACTTTAGATTACCAAAGGCAAGCGTAGAGATACTTCCAGGCCTTCTCGAAAAGGTTGATTCCTCCGAGCCACTCTGTATAGAGACAAAGGACGATCTTTGTTGTCTGAACGAGAAATCTTCCGCGCTTGGCAGGACCTGGTTCGTTACTGAGCTCGTTATTGGACTCGCTGGTACAGCTAAAGTGGCAGATGAAACTTCGGAGACTGTGTGCTCCGATAAGCCAAGGCTACGTTCAAATGAAGCAGAAAGTGGTGAAGGAGGAATAAGTCTCGGAAGCTGTGGAAGAGCTTTCGAGTTGGAAGTTGTTGGGTGCTGTGAATGAGTACCATTTTTATCTTCAGTTGGTGATATGAAAATTCTAGCAGGTCTTTGCCGCCGATATTGACTTCGACGTGAGACTCCATCATTATTGACACCTTGCACAACAACATTGGCAGCAGCAGCATTGCCACCATAGCCCTATGATGGGAAATCATCGTGGTCAAAAAACAGTCCTAATGGCTCCAAATGCATACAAAGTGCGACAGATCGTACTCACCTCGGTTGATCCTGATTTTGATCCCATCTTCAGGACTTTGCTGTATCTTTCATCTCCTGTAGGAGCGTAGGCATATGATAGTACAGATGCTGAGGAAGAGGATCGCGACGAAACAGATTTCGCGGAAGAAGCAGATGGACGTGCTGGTCCGGAACCTGAATAATGACCGGAGTATGGATGAAGCTTCTCAAATACATGCCCTTCGTTCAAATGCATGACAGACACCTCAGATGAATGGGAAGGACGGAGACGAGGTGTGGTAGGTATTGAGGTACCGGCTGCAGGTAGATCAGAAGAATGTATTTGAGTGGCGTCTTCTCTGTCAGAGCCACCCTCTTCATCATCTTCCTCGAATGCCATCCTTAGAAAGGACGTCCCAACACGCTCTTCCAGTCCTTGAGTACTACGTGACTTCGCGCTAGTTCGACTATGGCGTGACGAACTTGGGCTAACAGGAAGAGGTACCTCTTCTTGGAACGTTATCCCTGTCCCTGTCCTCGCGAGGATCCTTAATGAGTCGAGCGCGTCCTCTTTGCGAAACAGCTCTCCCAGCACATCTTCCGCACTAAGGACCTTTACGCGCCTCGAAGCTTTTCGTTTCGAAATATCCCCAGCAGACGCGTAAACAGTGCCAGGAGGCGCGCTATGGTGATTTAAATTGTGGGCCGACTTGGAATGACGGATAGAATGTGCACGGTTCGAGAAAGGTGCAACAGGGGGAAGGGAAGGGAGTAAGCGCACATTTGGACGCGTGGATTTTACCTCCATTTCTAACCTCCCAGGTGTCACGGTTGATGTGGAGTCTGAAGAGGATGAGGAGATCACAGAATGGGAAGAATTGGATGTACAAGACGTGCGATTCTGAATTAAGGGAGCGTATGAAGTTAGAGGAAGTAACGAATGACTGTTATTATATGAGGGTGGGATGGTTTGCGTTGTTTGGATTGAAGAGATGGAGGGAGAGGCGTTTTTAGAGGATTTGAAGTCCGAGTCTTTCGATGCCGACAATGGTCGTCCTGCATTTAACGAAAACAATGAGGCACATTAGCATTAACTATTACGGATGCCGCACGGCCACTGAGAAAGAGCGAGCTGGCACTGAGACGTCAGAGTAGATAGATCACGGCAGTGAATATATGAGTAATTTCGGAATTTCCATCTCAAAAAAGTACGAGGGATTAAAGAGCCGCACTATCAGCGTCTCTCCAAGCCCGGAATGGCGCCACCTATTTTATTATAGGAGAAGAACGAAAAGAAAATAGTGCAACATAACGAAAAACACTAGAACCACAAATTAAAGACGCCTAACGGAATGCAACGAATGAAAACACGTCAAACAGACACGACAGCGCGAACACAACGCCCGTTGTCGATGCGACATGTCGAATCGGAACAGGAAAAAAAAAGAAATAGCGCAGATAACATCTGACAAAAAAACGCCACATGCAGTGGAAAATCTACTAGTACCATAGCAAGAGAAAAACACTCACCGTGTTGTTCCGAGGTTTTGTCCAGAATTTTCGTCTTGGTAGTGGCGAACTCGTCTTCCCCCGCCAAAACCCGAGATATCTGCCAGTGCACAGCCGCACTAGAATCCTTGTCAGGATTGACAACTGGTCTGGATGTTAGACTAGCCGAAGGACCAGGGACTACCCCAGGCCTAGCTCTAGCCACTTTATTGGGAACAATTTTATTTCCTGGTCGTGGGGGTGGAGGTAGACTTTTTAGCAACGGCTCACCGTCGGCACCCTCCACTATCGAAGCTAGTGAAGTCAAACTTGTATCGGGCGTGTGTCCCCGCGTATGATTTCCGCCATGTATAAGACTTCCGAAAGGACCTGTATGAAAGTTTGACGACGCAGATGACGAGGGGGAGCTAGAAGTGCTAGGGCGTGACGTCGGTGAACATGAAGGCAAAGAGGGGGAGATCGGCGGGGAACGTGAAAAAGAAGGGTGAACGGGACGCGACGTAGTCCCCGCAGCGACCTGCGAGGACTCTGGAGTAATATTTGCCTCATCAGATAGAGGGCTAGGTGGTCGATTGGTGTAGCGTTCGGAATTTTCCTCATGATTCAGAAGCGCGTTCAGATCTGAAGAAATCACGAGTGATTTGAGCTTGCGAGTATGACTTTGCTGAGATGATGCAGGAGGTGAGGGCATGTTCACGGGAAAGGATGACGAGAAGAGCGGTAGTGACAGATTTTTCTTAGAAGGTGCTTGAGATGGTGAGATACAAGCGTACTTTAAGAACGCTGGGACTTGAGTCGGAGTGCAGACTATTTCTGTATCGCCCTTCGTCTTCTTGGCACCCGGTTCGACGTCGATAGTACATTTACGTTTGTGTAAGGCGAAGAAGGAGAGTGATGAAGAGGTTGATCTGGTACACCTTTTGGGATCTTTTAGGGAAGATGATGGTTCTTGGGAGGTATGATTGTGGAAATTCATGAGGGTCTTCATTCGTTGTAGTTTCATGCTATCCGTCGTACTTGTCATGGTAAATTTCTACGGATACCAACAAGTGGTGATGAGGAATTCGCATTTCTAAAACACCTCATCGTTAACATTGCGAATGAAGACACACCTTTTATCAGATATAAGGCTAATCTACATTGGAATCGCCGTTTCGATATGTCGGGCAGCTCTTGGTATCTGCAGAAGAGAGGAGTTCAGTGGATTCTCCCGGACAAGGGCATATGTAGAACGGGTCACGTACTTGAATGCGATATTTCCGATGATGGCACAAAGTAGTTTTACTCGATGTTCCAGTATATAGTCTTCTCTTTACTTTTCAGTCGTTTCGAAAACGGGTATTCGATAGGCTGGAATCTGGGATATTAAAAGCTACGGATTCGTCATATGTAGACAGATTATGAAATATACAATACTTTAGGACACGAGGATCTGTCGATGTGAGATGTCGCCGGGCCCGAGGTGAATATGGACAATTGTTGGGCGCGTCGAGTCAAGATGAAGTCAAAGCCTCGAGACTGGAGGAAGTAGTGATAGAAAATATCGAACGAGGCGTGTACCGGGCGTGTATGGTGGAGTTGACAAATACGATATCAAGTTCAAGGAATCAGAAGGAATCAAGTTGATCGCCGAAATGATATTATTTGAAATCGATTTAACCTTCAAAAGATGCGCAAGCAATAAGACTCTGCGAGGAAGAGTAGTATCAGTGTATATAAGCCGACACTAGCCGATAAATATACGCTAGAGTTTCAACTTTCACAACTGTGAAGATTACCTGACAGCGACCTCACAGTAAATGTTAGACGTTAGCGGGTCAAGCGGCCAGTGCGGGACTGGGTTGCTAAGAAACGCTTTGACATCGATCGTGCAATCGGAAATAATCTCCAATGCATACATTGGAATAGATTGGAGTCCGGTTGAACATGGCATGGCCAGCATCGGCCGGAGTCCTCGCTTGTGGCAGATTGAGCATTAGCGCGAACGAGCTGAGACGAAGGTCGAAATCAAGAATGTTTTCGCACGCCTTGGACTATGTAATGTACATATAAGGTACATAGTCGTAGGTGGTTTCAAAATGGCAGGAATTATAGCTATGATGGGAAGCCGTTCAGACAAAGAAGTGGTGTTAGTCAGTAAAAGATTGACTATTCGGATTTCCTAAGGATGAACTTCAGAGAATGACCAGATCCCCCCGACAGGAGCTACACCAGAACACATGCGAATCGTCCATAAATTGGGGTCGAAGTTTATGACGCGAGTAATTCGAGCCAGCATTTGAAGTCCCACCCAGAGAGGATTCAGACTGCACCGGGGACAAAGCTCTGGAATTTGTTTGTGAATGAGCAGAAGCAGCTACTAACTCGCTATCTATTCTCGCTTTGAGCATAGTCAAGCTAGTTCTCCGTTTGTGTCTCGTTTCTGGGGAGAGATTATGCTCAATTGCAGAGCGGGCCAGCGCGGAAGGTTTGAGAGAATGGGAGCCTGATATACTACGAGTACGGCTCCCTCGACTCGACGGTCTCGAAACGAGGGCTCCACCAGAAGGCGAAAACGGTCGTATTGGAGGAATCTGGGGACGTGTCGTAAGCTGATCCTCTAGTGCAGCAACTTGTTTCATTAAAGCATGAGATCGGGCTTCTGCATCAAACAACGACTCCTCCAGAGAGCGCACATGGGACTGCGACGATGACAAGTCGAGTTTAAGAGAGCCGAGGACTTCATCGTTGAGCTCATCTTTAAGTGAATGAGGTTTGTCGGGGAAAGTACTGAGGTTTGAAGTTCGAAGGCGAAGACGCTCTAATTCTTCGTCTTTTATGGCAATCTCTTGGCGCAGAGACTCGACCTCGTTCTGCGCAACTTCGAGGAAAGATTTTTCCTCCGACTGATAAAAGGAACTTTAGCTCAGACAGTACAGCTTGGAAGCTTGGAAGACTTTACCTGCTCATTTTGTCTTCGATATATTTCATGCTGGAGTGATATGATTTCTTCGGACTGAGCCGATGCTAGTTCTTGAAGCCTTGCAACTTCCTCAATATTTCGCAGGGTTTCGTTCTGTCGTATTGTACGGTCGGCCTCAAGTGACCTGACCCTTGCAAGGGTCGAGTCGAGTTCCGCTTGCAATTGGCTGTAACCCTTCTGCAATTCTGAGTCACCCAGTTGAGCGGAATGTCGTTCCGTCTCCCTCTCTGAAAGGAGGTCCCGTAGTTTCTTTTCTGATGCTTCTAAGTCAGCCCGGGCTTCTTCCAAAGACGACTCCAGTTGCCCAATCATCGATTCTCGGTTTTGTATTACGCGCCCTAGTTCATCTGTCTTTTCAGTTAGCTCCAGCTTGATACCGGTAAGTTCGACAATCTTGGGCCGCATCTCATCTAAAGAGTGCATAAGACTGATTCCCTCTTCTTGAAGCTCCTTCTGAGTCCTTTCTGCGTCCTCCGCTCGCCTGTTTGCCATTTTCGCTTCGTTCTGCACGTTCTGCAAATGCGTCGTACTCATTGCTAGATCAGTGGCCGCTTTTGTTAGTTTTTCCTGTAGAAGAGCCAACGTCTTCTGTGTACTTTCTATCTCCACCTGCAAGGAAGATTTTTCGTTTATCACTGCCTCCTTCTCAATGACGGCTTGCGCGAGCTGTGTCTCAACACTCTGATACAGTGCATGGAGGGTGGAATGTTTGACTTCCCACGCAGTTTCGGATTCGCTGGATATCCGTAGGCGTGCGTCAAGCTTGTCTCGCTCGGATATAACAGTGGCATGCGTCTGATCGAACGATGCCCATTGAACTCAACGTAGAGAAAAAAGAAGAGAAAGAAAGCTGACTTGTTTCAACTTCGAAAGTTGGAACTCAAGTTCGTCGGCACGATCTTGAGTATTCTTGAGCGATGCCTCCAAACGATCAGCACGGTCATCGCTTTGAATCTGTTCCTCCAACTCCCGAACTCGGCGACGATGTATCTCTGCCTCCTTGCGAGCCGATGACAAAGAGCCATTTGCTATTTGCAACTGACGCTCCTGAAAACGCGTACGGTGAGGAGGCGAGAATATGACAAACAGGAGATGTAACCCGCCTGGTCCTTTGTTTTGTCGGTCAGTTCCTTATCCGTGGCCTCCAGACTTTGTATCCTAGCTGTAGATTCTTGAACCTCTGATCGAAGTTGCTGTAAATGTTCTTCAAGACGAATTGTCTTCTGTTGCTCTTCAGAGAGCAGGCGTCCAGCCTCCTGTGCATCTGTTCATGTAAAAGGAATGAGGGTGATAGCTTCCCTGATACAGAGAGATGACTGTACAAGACTCTGCGCCTGACAAGCGTTCAAGGCCAGAAGTCAAGGCAGCTTTTTCCGATACAAGTAATGATATCGTTTGTTGCTCATTTCGGAGTGACATTTCCATTTCGACCTGGGTTTTCTGCACCTGCTGCTCGAGTTCAGTAGAGTATCCACGTTGTTTCTTCAAAGCTGCCTCAAGCTTTTCGAGTTCTGATACGTGTCTGAAGAACCGGGTTTGAGCACGGGAAATAGTATTCACGCACCGGAGGTAGCAGCGTCCAGTTTTCCAGTCAGATCACTTTTCAACTGTTCATTGTCCTTTTTCAGAGCTGCCTCAGACTGTAACAGTCCTAGACTCTGATTAGGTGAAGGTCAATGGTCAGAATTTAGTTGAACGCACTGGCTTTTGCAGCCTCAAGCTCGGTCAAGGAGCTCTTCATATTCTTACTTTCCGTCCGAAGATTTCCCTCTGTCCGCTGAAGATCTGAGAACAATCAGAGCCCATAACGAAAAATTAGTCCGAATCCATTCATACTGGATTTTGAAGCTTCAGTTTGTGCCAGAGTAGCTCGTAATGATTCTATTTCGGTCTTCAGTGAAGATTCACGATTGGCCCAGTCTGTTTATCAACAGTTCGGCATTCAGATATGTAGAATTGAAATGTGCTGACTTACCAGATTTTGCATTCTTCACACTTTCCAACTCTGCTTTCAACATTTGAATCTCAGATTGAACGCCAGAATTTACAGCTCCTGATCGCGCCAACTCTGCTTTGAGAGTCTCGTTTTCGGATTTTGAAGAGTCTGCAGTCTTTCGCAATTCTAGAACTTGTGATATTAGGGGATTTGAACGAAAGGCGGCAGCAAAGGCGCACCAGCTTTCTCTGAAATCAACTGTTCTATCTGTGAATTCAACATCTCATTTGATTTCTTGAGCCAAGTGACATCCTCCTGTGACTGATACCCATTTGCGCGAGCTAAACCGTCCAAATTCGGGGAAGTGGCGGTCTCTGAGAAGAGAACGGCCGTCGGTGGAGGCGCTGGCGGTGGAGTCCCTGCTCGTGGCAATGTATATAGCCAGGAAGCGTCTGCGGTATTGTCTCTAACAAAGCTATTTCCAGTGGATACGACGCAATGAGTTCGAATATACTGGAAAGAATTTAAGAGATACACACACGTCACTGAGATCTCGCTTCTCGTCCTCGACAGACACCACCGTCGCAGGCTCTGTTGGTGCTGGGGAGAATGCACGCTCGCTTACTGGTGAAGTCACATCAGGAGTGGACGACGAAGGGGTGCCAGCCTTCTTCGCCTGACGTTTCTTGAGCTGAATGAAATGTCACGATAATGTCAACTTTGTGCCTAGATTATGGGCCCTGTAAGTTACCATAGCCTTTGCACGAGCAGCTTTAGCAGCACGGTCATCTTCAGACATCCTCGACAAGAGATTTCCGAGCAGATGGAGGAAATTCGTAACAGGCGCTTATTCTTAGAAGTGCATACTTTTATAGTCCCTTGTTCCAATAATAGTAAAAGATATGAATTTAACATGATATATGAGGTGTCAGAAGCAGTAAAAAGAGGATGTATATGTAGGCAGCGGTGAAAGCGATAGCGTTATAGGTATACCACAAGTATAAGGAACCACAAATTGATAAAACCATGTTCAAGGAGTATAGAGACAAAATGAGAGAATTGGCGTGCAATAAGAATATTTAAAAGTGTAATGGCGAACTCGATACGTCCATTCGGACAACTGCCCGAAAATCGCAGGAGGCGAATTATTATATAACGGGCGAAATGACGAGAAAAGGTGAGTGAATCAAGGGAGCAATCAGTGAATAGAAGAAAATGGAATAGGAGCCCAGCATGGCAAAACTCGATTCTGGCTGTAAATCATGCCCACACCTGATCGATAACAGTCAGTATACCTCGAAAAAATAGGAAAAGAACAGGGCTAACCCTTAAAGTGCTGTCCCAGCTACCAGTGCATAATGCCATGCCATCGGTGCTAACACCCAAACAGCTAACGCGATTTTCGTGCCCCGTCAAGACGCCCACTCGTTCGCCCTTGAGAGTGTCCCAGACGTTGCATGTCCAGTCATCATAACCACCAAACAAAATTCGCCCTGAAATAGAAAACGCTACGGAAGTGATACCACAAAGGATGTTGTCGTGTATGAAAGTGTTGAGCTCTCGATCAGCCCGAATATCAAATAATCGGCAAGAGGCATCATCGGACCCAGTGGCGAAAGCGTCACCGTTAGGGAAAAACCTGCCAATGAGTTAGCGGCCGAAACTAAGCGTAAGAGGAAGACAAAGTGCATACTGCACGGCGTTGATATCGGATTCGTGACCAGTGAATGTTTGGGTTGCACGACCACTCCGAATATCCCAAAGCTTAGCTGTAGCATCACAAGCGCCGGACACGAATACGTTCTGGTTTGGACCCAGTGACAGACTGAATACCCAACGTATCAACAAGCAAGTAACGAAGACTATAACCTAAGGGATAACATACCTCATAACATCGCCGGTATGGTCACTGAACTCTACGACTCTCACACCAGCCTCGATATCCCATAGCATACAAGTCATGTCTCCGGAACTGGTGACAATTTGTCTGTCATTCAGGAAACGGCAGCAACTAAGGTAACCGGAATGGGCGCTGAGCTCTCGTGCACCTCTCAAATTGGTGCCTTCTTTGCTATTGAGGTTGTAAATAGAGCAAATATTGTCAAGACCACCGCAAGCGACAAAGTTGCCTGAAGCTGAGTAGGCGCAAGTCATGACCCAACTGGATCGTAAGGGGATGGCATGTACTTTATTGGTGGTATAGGCGTCCCAGACTATGAGTTTGCCATCCTGGGAAGCAGAGACAAGATGTCTCCTATCGGCAGCCCAATGCATAGCGTAGATTTTGGCAAGATGGCCTCGAAGAGCACGCCTTGGGCGCATAACAATACGAGGAAGAGCATCTACCTCAGCGGCCATTGCACGCACTAAGGGGAACTTAAACAGGGACATCATCATTCAAGAAAGGTCACAACGCACAGCTGGTATCCGCTGACGATTCTTTCTTTGCACGAATCTTCTCCTTCAAACTCTCTGCCTCCCTACGGGCAGCAGCAATCCGTTCTTGAATATCTCCTTGGCTTTGAGACATATTTCAACTAGACGGTGTGAGAAGTTGTTGGATTTGGCCAAATTAACTGTTGGCAAAGTAATTAATGAGAAGAATGAGGTAAGGGGAAAAAGAGGTTCACAAGAAGGTTCCGCGTCAATTTGAGATAAGAGGTTTGTTTTATAGCAAGAACACTGTTCGAACACAACCTCTACGGTCAAAATTACAAAATGAAGGACACCGCTGGGCAAGAACGAGGAAAGATTGATGGGGAAAATCCACAAAGTGGCTTACAAATTTGAGCGCCGCTAGCGCTCGGCACAGGATGCCACTCGGCTTAAGAGTTGATCGTCGGCCATCAATGACAACATGCATGCGCACTCCAGTGTACATATTCTCTGTCGTATCCGAAATGCTTGAAGCGTTCTATCAATAGGCCGCAGGGGACCCGCTAGTACTTCATAAGTACACGCTTGAGGAAGTGCTTCCTGCGATCATGATACATTGACAACATAACGTTCTGTGAGCTTCCAAAACTTCCTCCGAGTCCCAAACCAATTACATATCCAGTTCTTTCTGACATGCCCTCCAGCAGCTGCACATGTTCTTTTCCTGTGGTCTCGTGTGCACGGCCTACTGAGAATCTTGTAGTCGACTTAGTCGCGGAAATTAGGACCCTGTGTATGTTTTCTTTTCTTGCATCTTCCTATTCTGCGCAATTAATTCCCGTTAGGTTGCGTTACTCAGATTATTCCATGAATAAGTCTGAGGAGGTGAGTGGTGCTCGATGCAGGTTCAATGATGGCCCATGAAACTGACTGGAGAATTTTGATCCTGTTGGCTTCTGCTGGACTCCAAAAATACCTAATATAATGATCAAACCGCGCGTTACGCATCGTGAATCAGCAGCCCGGTCTACATTGCCTCTTTCAAAGCAACACAACATTGACTCTATGTAGGTGATGTTGTTCTAATATTTTCAAACCTTTAAGGAAATGGCAAGCAGTCTAGTTTCAGCCACGATCGAAGGCACGATTTGAGAAAAGTGAAGTTCTCTTAGCACAGTTCCGTGGATACGATTCCAAAAATCAAGATTGTAGTAGTTATGCATAGATCATAATCAAGAGTCTGTGCAACAAAGTTCGTGAGCGAAAACTCAAGGACGTTTATCTCTTCCTGACGTAGGGGGTAAAGGTAGGCGTATGCAATTCATCACTGTGTCATACTGTACCTACGCATATCTTTCAGCTATACACACTTCACCATTCCGAATATCTCGAATTTAGAGATTGTGCCTAGTGAGGCCTAGTGGCATTTGTCTCGTTGAGACATAACACCTTGTTAGTAATTTACTGTTATCTCATTCCCGCTACATAGGACGAGTCAAGGAGCTTTTCCGGTATACGACATACCTTCCTGATCAGGATCTGAGATCAGGATTTCAATCCATCTTGATTTGGGCCTCAACCTTGAGGATCGTTATGTCACCATGACTGGTTGCAGACTCCTAATGCGAAGAGTTCTTCTGCGAAAATTTATCCTTATGGTCGAAAGTCACCTTCCGTAAAGCAATAACGATCTCAACTCTCAACCAGCTTTTCTAAAAACAACATTCCAGTCCACATGTAGAATACTCTTGCAATGAACACCCAACCTTGCCTACTTGTTCACGGCCGCGTGGCACTCAAATTGCTCGAGCTACCTTCAAAAATCTGGGAACGAACGGGATACCAATATTTGGATCCTTGCCAAGCAGTTTACTGGCCACAGTGCCATTTTTTAAAGCTCGCATAGCAGGTATAACAAGCCACCATGTATAATACCCAAAGATTGTGTTCTATTTGTGTATCGGGCAAATTTTTGGACTCATCATATTGCCTATGATTCGGAGATCGTCGGTGAATGGATTGGTCGTTGAGAAAGGTCCTCAGGGGTCCTTGACTGGAAGCCCGAGGAGGGATACAACTTGTGGCAGGGTTTCGGCCCAAACTACTCGCGTATAAGCGCCGCTTTAGACCCCGCCGGTTAGCCAAGCCAATCATCTGTCTCTTCATGTTCTTTGTCGCGCGATCGTACTTTACATATGTACCTTCCTACCAGCTTCCAACAGTTCTTCGATTATGATTTTCAACTGAAAACCTACCAAAAGCGACGACACGCAAAAATACACTTGCCCATAGGCGTGTCAAGTGAGGTTCGGTCCTAATGGTTATTTTTTCTCCGTACTTAAAATCAGATGAACACAGCAAGCTATCCCGGGAAGATCCAGGTGGATCCAAGAATACGGGTCATGCCACTACGGCCAGGGCTCGAGGAAACGAATCATGAGAAAGGCATCTCATCGTTACGAAACGCCCCCGGTTTCTGGCCTTCCTTCTCAGAGAATTTGCACAATTGCTTCAGCCCCTTGAGCCTCCTAGCTCTCAAAATGGTTTGCTCTTCAGCACCTCTCCGGCTTAATGCAAAGGATAACGGCGTCAATACCCAACTACTATGAATGAAGTCAACCGATCGCTTGCGAACTCACGATTAGTGCTCACTCTTGCTGCAAGTTTTCCATTTAAACTCGCTCGGTGTTTTTGTGTGGTTATAAAAGACTTGAATTTCAAGGCGTTTTCCCTAACTTCTGGACACTCACTGAATTTGAAATGGCAAAAGGTGCGAGCAAGCTAGCCACTCTCACTATGTTTTCACTAGTAATCACACTACTAAATCAGACGGCGCTTTCGCGCTCAACAACTGTACGCTATCTTACACCCCTTCGTCATATCTTCTCAGGAACCTTTTTGGCGTTAGTCCTGCAAAGTAAAAACCGCCTTTCTGCTTTGAGCTGGCTGGATTCCACCTCTGGGCTCCCCCATGCTCCGCAGTGGAATTGTATATGCAAAAGTGAGACTATCCTTGCCCAATAATTGTTCTTGTCCTTTGAAAAATTTGTAGTCGACGGAGAAGTTATGGGTAGTGGGACCGGTCCCCAAAAGCATGTTGCGCGGGACATTGCTGCAAATCAAGCTTTGAAGACCCTCATCGATACTAATTGGTCGTAAGGCGGTCCTCATCCGATTGCTATAAATATTCAGTAGTACTTTCTTTTCGCTCAAGTATTGCATGTCTATCGTGTTTTTTTGTAGAACCTAGTCTCTGCTAATTTGTCTAGTCTATAATCTATTTGCCGATAATTTTTGCAACATGATATCCGCTTGTATATTGAGTATATTCCTACGGCTTTGGGCCCAAGCATGCTGATGGTCAACAAAGGACAAATCTGTACTAAAATGGTTCAATACGAAACCGCAGGGGGAACCCAGCGCGGCATGGGATCAAGAACAGATATAACGATAAGAATAAAGAAAGTACCTGTACCATCGTAAGCAATTTTGGTTTTCAACGACTTTGGGGATTGCAATTATTCCATTCGATTGCAATCTCGGGTTCGAAGTGGTATATTGCTGTCACAAGCGTCATGACTTCGCTGTCAGTCTATGCTTGATTTATGGCAAGATAGCCGCTCGCACCTTTACTTACTCAGTATATCCTAGCTTTGTCTTCAGAATCGTTACAACTGCGATAAGTGAGGTAAACAAGCTCACCGGGATACTTTCTGAAAGCCTTAGAGCTGCCTGAGGACATTGTCTTAGATGCCGGTACTACATGATATCTCAGGTTACGACTCATGATATCCATTTGCCTTGCTTCAAACAACCTACAAAAAGGCTCTGAACGCACTATTATCAGACGATCTTTCTCAAAATGTCCCAGACCAGTGAGTTGTCTTGGGGCTGCCCGTGACGACAATCTCATTATTTTGCAGAATACACCACGCTGATAAATAACTGTAAGTTGTTCTTCCATTTCTTCAATGTCACTGAACATCTAGCTGCTATAGATTTCCAAACTTCAGGGAGAAGTCCTGCTTCTCTTTCATTCGAGGAATCGTCCGTAGGGGCGTCAGACAAAGCAGTCTGGACGGTGATCTGCAAAGGTAAGTATGCATAATATGCACAACTCTGCATAAATCCATTTCCATAATCAATTCTCACTTCCATGGGCTTAAGTCAACGGGGAGACCAAAGGTAAAGGGGAGTCTTCCACTAAGGCTGAAGCTAAAAATCAGGCGTCCAAGAATGCTCTTGAGGTACTGTTTCAGCGACAATCAGTTATGATAATTCATACTAACACACGCACTACATAGGCCCTCGGCCAGAGTACCGATTGACGGTACTTATACATTCGCCTTATAAAATCTAAATTTCTTTGAAAAACAAAGCATTCTTGAAGAGGCCTGAGGATCCTAATAGTTTTCAAAGTTCATGCAAACGGTGAATACTGTAAAGTGTAGTAGTATGTACAAGCAGTTGGTTTATTGAATCTAGTTTTTTGGATCTGGTTGATAGACACTTACCGCGGCACAAATTTCGCGGAGTTCCAAATTAGAAAACACCGTGAATGATTCAATGAAGCAATGAAGCCTGACTGGGGTTGCCGTAAGTCGAAGGTTGTCTTTAACCATCACTGTTGAAAAACTTGCTCATTCGATGCATAGTCGGTTTGGGCCTTATATAGTCGCAGGCATAGCAGGTAAATGGTTGTGAAATAAGCGTTCCACTGTAGTATTCACCATCGATATTAGGAATCGTTTCCAGTCTCTATGTCTTCAAGCCCTATCTTTACGACCACCCGCGAGAAACATCGTAGGTTTCCGAATGTCCATTTGACTTGAATCAATATTGATTCTTATTTTGTATGAATTCAAAACAGAGAAGCCAGTGCAAAACCCGTCACAAATTCCAGCGATACTGTGACAGCTAGACCGCAGTCAGACCCTAGTAAAGGCATCCACAAATGTAAGTACTGAAAATACTTTGTACACCAACAGTTTGCCGCGTCCGTGAAGACTGATATCTCCGCTTCCTCTAGAGTGCCGGCGTCTTCCTATAAGGTTGTAGAGTATATCATTTCGCTCACAAAAATCACATCATTTATCGACAACCATGTCGACTTTAGAATGTGATATTCGATCGGGTCTCCTTTCCCAGATCTGGCAGAAGGACTTCAGGCAATGCTCGTTACAGTAGAGCGGAAAAAGAACTTACTTGCAAAACACTTTCCCCTAAAAATATCATTTCTTTTCGTGTTTCTTCTACGATCAGATCTTGGATGGTATACCATTTTTCGAATTCACCCTCTCCAGCCCGTAAATGGACTTTCCAAACGGTGTTCTCCTTGTCGCGGGTAGTTCCCGCGACTGATTCGTGTGTTACATTGGCAACCAGATCGTATATGGGCGGTGGTTGGGAAGCCTTGAGATCGACATCTATATGGCTGAGTGCGAGTTCATTTTGAGGGAACCGGGATACAGAACTCACAATCTCCAAAATCTAGACCTCGTAGCGGAAAAGTAACAATGGTGGGGTTTTTTTCTTCCACAAAAATATTTTTGGTAAATCGTTTAAAGTGAGATATGATGTAAGGTGGAAGGCGTTGGCATTTGTATCGTCGCAATTGTCCAGATGATTCCTGGGATAGGTTAATCAAGAGGTGCATAAGATAGAGATAAAGGGTCCTAATGAGCTTACCTGCGTCGTCCTTCCGTCATATTTGGAAAGCACAGACTGGATACTCACTTGAGGAATGATGTTCTTTTCCACGGAATCTTGAAAAAGTGGTGGCGGAGGCAGGTCTACTGCCAAAAATAAGAACGGGGATACAGTGGATTTGATGTCTTCCAGCCACGATAAGAAGAAGAAAGGGGAGTCAGATAGGAACTATACCTCGAGCAATATCAAAGCGGGGTTTCTCGTTTTCTCCTGCGTCTGGACGCACAAGCACTTGTTGTGTTTCGACGCGAAGCTCGCCTTGAAAGATAGAAAATATGATACCTATGTACAGAATCAGTAAGTTCTAGACTCGGGAAGAAATTTTCGCACTGGAGTGTTTCTTTTTGGAACCACCCATGTCTTTGTGTAGATGATTCAGTAGCCATCCCAAGAATTCAACGGGATCCCCCTGCTGTTCCAGACGAAATTTTCCGGAGCTTGCCCTGTTTACTTCTTGCAGAAACTCGTGAGGACTGACCTGGCTTTTGAATAGCCTTGGGTTCCATACTTTCTTTGCTAAACCCGCAAAACGCTTAAGCAACTCGGACTCTTTGCCGTGAAAGTTCGACAACAGAAGATAGTCCCGCAATGGAGTGACGTGAAGGACTGCATGTATGATAACATTCATGTGGTCGTTTCGTTTGATGTTGTTGAGGCCAACGTAGCCGGGTAAATAAGCTTTAGAAGCTAGGTCATACGACATTCTTGTAGGGTACGAAGCAGAACAGAGAGTAGATGTATATGTCTTGTCGAAGGACGGTGCGAGTACAAAGGAGATATCTTCCAAAGAAGGGTCCGAGACCGGGTAACCCTCTGGTAGCACGTACACCTACCAATTGTTGGTTAACTGGAAGCAGATATTGTGAATCACGCGTACCTTGGTAGTCTCTAAGTTGATGAAAACATGGTGATCGTCATGAATTGAGTGGGCATACGCATACGACTTGCGACCCCGGCCTTGAAAATATTTCCCGCAGACTAGGCAGCCGTAAATGTTTATGTTCGATGTAGAGACCGAACAGACTTTCTCAAAGTCAAAGTCGAGGACAGCCCGATTGATCTAATGCAGGCTCAAGAAACACTACAGAGCAATTCTTAAAGTGAAGAACATACAGTGTCTAGATGAAGATCAGAGGCCTTGACTTCCTCTCGTATGTCCGGGACTTCATCTATTTCATCCTCCTCCTTTTCATGAAGATCGGAACCCCTCGTATGCTCGAGTTCAAAGCCATTTTTATCATTGGCGTCCACTCTAGCACGTTTATTGGGCCTTTCCACGTCAGTCAGCGCATTATCGTTGTGGTTTATCGTAGGAGCCATCCTGGGCACGTGCTTTGACGCGAGCTTGAACGAAACTTTCATGTCCCTTGTTACAAGAAATAACTGGAAAACTTTGCTTCGAACTGTCCAAAAAACCCGCTGGTTTTCCAATGCTACATCTTCCTTCGGCCAGGTCAAACCTTCTCTGGATCTCGATCCCAGTCTTCAAGCTCTGTTGAAAGATGTCGATATTTCCTTGACTCGTCACAAGGTTTCTGTTCCTTCACATCGGGAACTTGATATAATCCCTTCAGAGTCTATCGAGGAAAGCCGGAATACCGAAATTCCCGTTCCAGAAGACTCTTTGGAAAGGAAATCTCCAGCAGCAATCTTTGGCAGCCAGAGAATTGGGTCCATAATTTTGCCCGTAGAATTACAGAATTCTATCAATCTCCTGATATCGAGTTAGTGGTCCAACGCTGCCACAAACTACTTCGAGCTGATTTTAGTAGCGTCGGACAAATCATTGCTTCATAACGACGCTAAGCGATTATTCCAAGGAGGAGACAGCGAAAACGAGGAAAATGCGGACTGGGGCTCCAAATACGAGGTCAAGTATCGCTCGCGACATCAAGCTTCACGCCATTCAGATCGTGATGGGACCGCGTTTGCCTCAATCGCGCTTCCAGCACATTATTCCGCTATACGTGCAGTGTTAACTCACGTTAAACATCGTCTCAGGCCTGATTGGATCGTTTCAAAGGTAATTGACTGGGGAGCAGCAACAGGGAGTGGACTCTGGTTGGTTTCCGGTTGGCCTTTCCTACTTTTCTGTCCCTCTTATTTAGTTTCACAGGGCATCTGCCCACACCTTCCAACAAGGTGTCGACGTTTCACAAGATATGGAAGGCTTGAAGATATCTGATACCTCCCTTCAAACCTACATTGCTATTGATAAAAGGGACGGGCTCGTTACTATTGGTAAACGCCTACTCCGAGGTTAGTTCATCACGTTTATGTTTCATTTTCAATAACGACATATAATAGACCTCGAGAAGGACACGCTGACCGTAATATGGCAAAGAGCATTCCATGATGATAATAAAATGGCTCGATCCCTCGGCGAAGATACCATCGCCTTGTCGGCTTTCAATCTAACCTCTCTTCCCACAAACATTGCTCGAAAATCTCTTGTCAAAGAAATGTGGGAGAGCGGTGCTCATACTCTGGTAAGTAACCGCCGGCGTATTGTGTTGACGTGTTCCTGACGGAAGCCAGATATTGATAGATCATAACACCACGAGCGGATTTGAAAACATCGCGGAAGCAAGAGAGCTTCTCCTGAAAATGGGGAGGAAAGAGATGGAAGACCCGTCCACCGAGGATTGGTCTATCCGAGGATCTCACGTGGTAGCTCCTGTCAGTTTGAAGCGATTATCTGCGTATCCTTTTCTCATTTGTTTCGCTAGTGCCCACATGACGGTGAATGTCCCTTGCTTCACCCGGGCACCACACAATTGGCCTGTGGATTTTCTCAACGCTTGCAGAGGCCGTCGTTTATACGTCTCACAAAACACTCGACTGTTGGCCATGAGGATATCGGTTATTCTTATGTCGTCATCCAACGCGGAGCAAGGCCTGTTCGTCCTTCAAGCAAATCGGGACGAATTGGAGCAACGGGAAAAAGGGAACTCGATAGGAAAGCAGAATCCCAGACGATTATGAAAGAGCTAAGACTGCACGATGAAAATAATGTAGGCGAAATGCCACCAGATGCACCTCATGCAGTTGAACTTTCAAATCCACTACGGGTGCCTCTTGATTACGAGCTTCAGACAGAATTACGAAAAGAAGCTTACAGCTGGCCTCGTCTCGTCTTCTCACCTTTAAAGAAAAGTGGTCACATCATCCTTGATGCTTGTACACCGGAAGGTACCTCATCTATACGCCCAATCGCACTGAACGCTCACAATTTCAAAGGGAAAATAATGCGCCTGACAGTCCCAAGATCTCAAGGAAAGCAACCGTATTATGATGCACGAAAGTCGAGTTGGGGTGATTTATTTCCACACGAGCCTAAGAATCCACCGCAGGAGCGCTATCAGCCTCGCCGAGCAAAGCGCGACGGTAGCATTGGCCCAGTGAGAGGGGCAGACATTGGCAAGCGTCGAACTGTCGAGGAACAGACCCGGATAAGCTACGAAGCCCTTTCGGAGAATATCAAGGAGAACAGGAAAAAGTCGAGAAGGGATAGGATTTCGCAAGGGCTCGAGAACGACAGTGTTTAAGTAACCACCCTCTACTCAAATTTATCACTACTACACATGGAAGATTGTGCGTATACTTATTAACGGTTAATAATCTGCTATACGAATACCAGGGCCTCTAGTTGAGCTAAGTAGAACCTTGCTGATGACCACTAAGGAGAGATTACAGGTAAGCTTTCAGTGGAAGTGTGTTTTGAAGGTTCTACCTGGTTTTTTAGTTTCTTTCTGCCGATTGTCTTTGATGTTTCCTGTTGCCTTTTTGACAGAGGCCATGAAGTGTCTGAAATTCCGTACAACCTCGTCGGCAGAGAAATGCATCTGTCGGTGGGGTTGGTCAGACTTGGTCAGAGTCATATAAGTTCAACGAATTGGATAAACCAACCGAGCCTATAGGCATATGAATATTCCCGGTTTTGTCAGCCTTCCATTCACTAGTACCTTGGATACGTTCGATGTATCCTGCGATGTCATCCGTGACAGTGCCACGTCGCTCCGAAGGCATAAGACCTTGTTGACCGAGGAAACGTCCCAGTCGAGGTGTTATAGCTCGAATCAAGGAAGTAGTGCAAAGATACGTCGAAGCTCGAATACGGTTATTGAGTATCTATGAGATACGTCGAAGTTGTATTAGGAGCCCCGTTGAGTACCGAGAGCTGATTTGGAAACATACACCTTCAATAAGCTCGATACCGCCGACTATATGGGCACCAGCCTTCTTTGCCTCCTCTGCTTGTCTGCCCTCAGCGAATACAAGGACTGTTTCCTCGGCACGCGCCTTCGCTTCTTTAGGCAGTTTGAAACGACCCTTAGGCACTGCTACACCGCTGCCCATTTCCGTCTTAACATATAGCTCATACATGGCCTTCGGTGAAGCAACCTCTGTTGCCTGAAAAAGATTTTACAAGATCGAGACGCAATACCAGCACTGAATTTACGCACGCGTAGCGTCGAAATGGCATCGAGAAGTGACAATTGTTCTAATTTGCCCTGCTTGAGTGCAGCTTTTGCAGCCCTTCTCTTCTGCTTTGCGGCTAAAGCTTTCTTGGACGGCGTTCGAATTTTTGACTGCTTCTTGTCACGAGCTTGGACAACGAAGGTTTGTGTAAAAGGCCGGCTGAGTAGGATAGAGTTTACGTTGCCGCGACAACATTGCCTGCTGAGCGATAGAAGAATGGACATGAAAGAGTAGATGAAATTATGCAATTCTTATTAAGCGCCAATCAAGCGGTACCATGTGACACGCGTAGTGGGCCATAGCACTAGAGAGTGGAGGTCCCAATTTTCACGTTGGCCATGTCTAGCAGGTTCTCGGAACGATCCAATCTCATAGATGTGTATGTTTGATAGAATTATACTATTTTTCGATGCTTAAACCTTCCTTAGGACTTTCACACAACTTCATTCAGTATTAAGTGGTCAGGTCGAAGGAACGAACTACGAGCAAATTGGTCGCTATTTAACCCTACGAATATCACAGCTGAAGGCCATCGTTGATCCTTTTGGAAGGCCTACCCCCGCCTCGCGTAAAAAGATCAATAGTGGCACGGTAACCCTCCACGATGGTGTGGTCCTACGTGTTGAAGACGCCGACAAGGACTTTGTTCTTGCCATCAGCGATGCTTTCCAAATTGATGAAATCTTTTCCTTGATTCTCTTACGCTCTTTCTTATACAACGAAGGTCTTCCCATCGATGTTGCCGACAACAGCTCTTTGATTCAGGAGTTCATCGAAGCCATCACTCCATTCTACTTCCTTGAACGCCTGTCTCTCCTTCGTGTTCTCGTTCCGCTTTTTCGTGCCAAAGAAAACGCGTCAGAACCACTCCACGAAGTTGCACTTTCGATACTACCCACAATACTCCCGGATGGCCAGAAATTCGCACTCTCTCTTCTCGTCGAATACGAGCGTAAAGCACGGGAAAGCCTTCCGGAAAATGTAGACCGCGATCCTAAAAAAGCTTCCCGATGGGCGAAGCAGAATATCAAAGAGCAGTTGGTGATCTTGGAGGTGCTGTTCTGGACATTATGGGGCTCAGTCGCATGTGACGGCACAACGGTAGAACGGGTGTTGGCAACTGCATACAATCTCAAACTAGGCATGGAGCAGGAGAATGCCATTTTCTTGCTAGACGACGAAGGGGCGCAACTCCAACGGGATAAAGCGACATTATGGATCGTCCTGACCATCGAAGTCCTAGAACTTGAAACCGTTGCCGACTCTTCCTCGATTGAGATTTCCGATAATCCACAACGTCGAGATTTTTATATTGCGTCTCCGGACTCCATGAAGCGTATCCACGAATTAATTTACGCCGGAGGTACAGGTCAATTTGCCTGCACATACATGGCTTGGACATTCGTCTTGTCCTCCGTCTGCGCGAAAGCAATGGAAATGAAAGAAATTCCCGTCTCTTATCGTGGCTTCTTTGAACTGGTGCTTCCTCAATTCAACAGAACATACTCGAAGGATCGCGAGGCCGTCCATGTTCTGATGTCTCGCACCTGCTTAGAGCCAAAATCGGGCCTGCTTAGTTTAATGGAAACTTTGTTGACGAATTCTCCGTTGTTCGTGACTTCGGTTGCTTGGAAAACGGGTTCTACAGTCACTGATCCTAATGCAATTGCATTTCGCTCAGTGTTCAAAGGTGCGTCTATATTACCGGTCTCGACCTCATTTTTTAAATTTAACATGCAATAAGCTAGGTCTTGTAATATCACTTGTGGAGCTCGTTCCTGTTGAGATTATCCCTGAATTTGATCTCTTTGTCGAGGTATGGGTCGCCCTTTTTGGACGCAGCGAAGCCCAGTCTGTTGCAGGAATTTGCAGCCAATATTGGCAAGTAGACTGGAAAGCAGGCCTTGCGCGCCGAGCTATCTTCGATGTTTGTAGGACGAGATTCCCTATACAATGTAGACCGCTCATACGCCTCTTGCGTTCTATGACAGCCGCTGGTTTCCTGGACACCGACTCCTTGTCGACTGCGGATCATTCTTCAGATGCTGATGGTCTTACCGAAGACCGCGAACTTTGCGCTCGACATGTTTTCTACTTCCTGGATAAACTACCTACGTACTCCCAGGTAATCCCTGCGAGTGGTCAGACCGGCGTCCATGCCTTGTACGAAAGACAAATAGAGGCAGGCTCCACGGTTGGTATGGCATACGCAAATGTTCGGCCAATCATTCTTCCTGGCGGTAGCATTTTGCCTGTGGGATCTAAAGGGCGCCTTCTCAATGGCGATGGCGGCGACCTCTTAGTGGTCATCTGGCACCACGAGCATTCTGGATGGAAATTACTTCTAGAAGTGCTGATGGCGTATGCGTTCAAATTGCGTTCCGGCCCCAGTAGCGGCTTTAAATCCAACTCATTTGGGCAAATGGGACATGGGTCGGCAATCACGCTCTCATTGAAGGATATCGGCTTAGAGATAGATGGTGCGACCGACGAGACGCTGATAACCGATATACTAGATCTTGTCCGCAGCGTCATCCATAACAATCCAGCTCAGGGCGAGCAACTTATGCAATCCTTGGAGGCGGAATTTTCCCCCATGTCTACCCCGTCTACTCCAGATCTAGTTCAGCTCACTGTTAGTATACTGGAAGAAGCGCTGGCACGTTACAATGCTCATCCGATGGCATCTCCTCCATCTCAACTCATCACCTCTGCCATAAGCGTATTATCTGCTATCCTGGCTATTCCCAATTATGCCATTCGAGTTTGGATCTACATTCGATCTACTACCGCGTTGTTTGGATCTGAAAAGAACCCAGGATTTTCCTCTGCTGCCCTTTCCACTGAGCGAGTGACTGGACGTTACACTATGACTCTAGCCATTCTGAAACTCGTTGAACAGCTTTGTGAAGAGGCTTCTCTCCTTCTTGTGCCCGACGATTTGCAGGTTCGGAAGCTTAAAGACGAGGTCTTAATGCGTGCAGCCAGATTCGTTCATACAGAGGTATGGCTTGAGCATTTGGGTTGGAAATATGCACAGCTTGGTGACCGCTACGAAATAGGCAGACGGATATCCTCTTTTTATTTGAAAGTCTTGCAGTATACACCTCCCATTGCTGAAGATGCACCATTTCCAAAATTGAGTCAGGCCATCCTCGATCTCTTGTTGTACAAGGCCTCAGTATTGGCCATCAATCCTTTGATGTCTGCAGTCTCTGCGGGTACCCAGATGCTTCAAGCTCTATATCTTTCGAGACGCTTTGGCGATGCTAGGCGTCTTATATATCTCCTCGAATCCCATCTACAACTCATTCGGCTAGTACTCCAGCGCAAATGTGCTTCTGAAGTGGCTCACCAGACTTGCCTTCTAGAACAAGCTTTGTGCGCTCAAATCACTGGTGGTGCAGCCTCTCATGATCCTTATCGTTCAAAGGTCAATCCTATTGATGCATTGACATTCTATGTCAAGGAACGAGACGCAGGACCAATCGTTCCTCTTGAAGCTATCAAGATTCTTTCCATCATATGTTCTTCACTTTCAATGTCGCGATCCAACTCGTCTACTCTGGTCGGTCACCTATCGGATCCTGAAGGTATGGTGGCCTCATTTGTGCGCGTCGTTCAGCATCCGTATGATGATCTCTCGCTGCGCTACTCCACATGGAACTTCATAACCGTCGCCATGGATACAGAGCCAGCACTAGCCAGTCTTTTTGTTTCTGGACAATTCCGCTCTCTGGGGGTAGCCGCAGAGCGAGATGTAAAAGGAAAAGGAACCGGCCCTCTTGAAATAACATCTGCTCTTCCAAAAATCCCTAATGCAGTTGATGTTGCTCGAGATGCGCTTGCGAACTGGGAGCAACTGTGGGAGTCCAACCCACAACTGCTGGCCTGTGTCTTACGCTTTCTGGTAGTGGTATGGCGCCATGGCCTTGAACACAAACCTTTACTCGAGGATCTGCGCCTAGACCCTAAAGTTTGGGACCATATCACTATGCTGGCTTGCTCGGAGCTGGGACCCATTCCTGACTTTGAGACGGAAGACTACGTTTTCGTGGATGGAAAGCGAAGATCGAATGTGCACGACGCCGTCGCTGAACATTGCTACCGAACAGATGTTAAATCTTGTGCGCTTCACGTCATTGGGCTGGACATTGGAATTCACCATCAGACGCGCAGATCTGCCAATGCAAAGCCAGTCAGTTTTCAGAAGATAGAGTCCAAATTCCGGTCCTTGGAGGAACTGACCGATTTGATATCTGAGGCGACCCCTAGCTCTTATGTCCCCGCCCTGTACGATGCTTTTTCTGAGACGCTGAAATCTTCATTCCCCACTCTATCAATTTCTCAACTCGAAACAAAGATCGCCATCGAAGAGCGTGAGTTTGGAGACGAATTTTCCTTTTCAGTTTCCCTTCTGCGGAGTCGATTACGAGGGCATCGCACAGACAATATGTCGCTTCAAAAGATGGATGTTGCGGAAAAGCAGCTTTTATCAATTAATTTAAACCTTTCTTTAACACACACACAAATAGCTCTCGTCGATGCTTGGCGTTTCATTTTGCATCAAATCACCCCCTTATCGGCTGATGTCGTTCAGCGTTCGATCCTACTCACTATAGCCGCATCTGTTTCTTTCGACATCAACAAGGAGAATCGACTAGGAGACATGGTGGCCATCGTTCATGGAACCCGGATAGCCTTTTTGGTGTCGATACTGGAATTGGCGTGGTTCAACAGTTCAGAAAACGCCTCTGAAGTTCAGCCGTTTATCGAGTTACTAGAAAATGTTCGAGGCATCGTTCTCAACGAGTACCAATCACCCATGAAATCAATACAAGGTATTTTCAGTATGCCTTTCCATCGACCTCTTCTTCAACTTTTGTACTTCTGCGTGAAGAATGCTCGATCGTTGACTAGACGACCAAAAGCTCTGAGCGCTGAACAAAGGCTTAAAGTATTATCAATTGTCGAAGCGGCTGTCAAGTTCGTAATCGATGCTTTACGCCTGACCTTCATGGCTGCTCGTACGAAAGTTGGTATAGATCTGGATAAGGATATGGAGCTGCTCATTGCTGTTTTCGAGCAATGTACAAGATTAGACGTCAATCCCTCGTCAACAGTTTGGCTAACACAGTGTCAAGAGGCGGACATTGTGAAAGCAAGCATCGAGTTATATGCACATATCGACCTCGTTGGCGTGTCAGACCCGACCTTCCTACTTTCAACCAGAAGGCCGTTATATACCCCTCATCTGCTCACCTTCCATATGGCCCTTGCCAGCATACCGTCTGCAGCTGAACGATTAGCCAGTGAAGGTTTATTGTCGGCATACTGCAATAACTCAATTAGCAAGGCCGCTAGTACAGGACTTATAGATGAGGTTCTACCTGAGCTACCTGGACATCGTAGTCCTGCTCACCATGTATATTGCTGTATGCTCTCCATCGTCTCCGCCATTATTGTCGCTTTGGGCCGAAACAACCATTATTTCGACGCTGAGGCATGCGGTCTTGTACAGCTTTACGGTGACCAGATCGCCCGAGCCCTTTCTTGGACTGTAGGCGAATCAATCACATTTGCTTTGTTAGAAGAGATGGATCAGGTTGTCAATGTCTTCAGTGCCCTGGCGCGGAACGCACCATCAACCCTCAATGCGAAGTCGATAATCGAAGACGTCCTTCATGTGTTCTCTCCCCTTGCACTTCGTCTTCTTCAACAAGTAAACTACGCAGTCGCACACCCTCATCATCTCACCAGCCTTTTTGAACCTGTGACAGAAGAGGAACGAACACTTCTAGAGAAGGATGCTTTCGTTTCTGATGTTTGGAAACGACCCCTAATCGTCCACCTCATGCACCGTCTATTTCAACTATCGAGCAACATCATTTTCACCCTCACGTGCATCAGTAAGGCCGACACAGTTCTTATTGCAGAAGAAAGTGATTGGCCACTTCACGAAGCATTGGTAGTTCCTGTAAGTCAAAGAAAGTGCATAATTATTGTTCCAAATCTGAAGATCTCAATCTTCTAGCATTCAAAAATCGTGGTGGGAGAATCGGCATCCATTGGAACGTTACTTGAGCTGGCAAATGGCACGCTAGACATGCTTAGGAACCTCACGAACATGCCCTCTGGTCAAAGCCTCGTTCGAGCAGACGTCGCGTCAGAAAAACTCAAGGAATTGAATGTTCAACGAGGTGTTAACATTGCGCGCCGTAATCTCGAAGAGATCTTATTATATATGATCACTCAACTCGCGATGTGGTTGTCAAAGCCTGAGTTTGAAGCTCCCCCAGCTGACCTCGACGGCGAAGATCAAACCATGGCAGATTCTCAGAAACCAGAGACAAGGGAACGTCGGGGTCCGAGAATGTCATTGGGTACTCGATTTCGCAGAGGGATGACTGGTGAGATGGCAATGGATGTCCAAACACTGTTAACCAAGGCAAAACCAATCATAGCAAAGACCGATACAATATTGGGGGAAGGACAAGTCAATATCTGTGAAATTCTTTCCACTTTTCTTCAAAACCATATCGTTCTTGCTCTCCAATAATAAGTTATGATCTTTTTGTATTCTATAGTTATCGTGTAGTACTTTTGATTCCCCATACGTATTCAGAACGGGTCTTTTGTAAATCAAAACACGTGGGAAGAACTTTCAATGTCCACTTCCCTCCTTACACCGAAGAGGCTGCTTGTTTCTTCTACCTTCCACTCCCAAATACGATGCTACGCTCGAAAAGAGTCCGGGATGGACCCTAAAAAAGAGACCATTCGTCGTTCTCTCTATCCCAGCAACATTCGCAATAAGGCGACACCTACTGGGACTTGGCGGCCAGATGTGGAAAAAGCTCTTCAGCACGCTATTCCTTCGGTACAAGCTCATGATACCATAGAGCGTGCGTGGCTACTTTACAAGCGGCATATTCGGAAAAGAAGGGAGGCAGAGACGGAGAGGAAGTTTGAGTGCATGAGGAAAGCTATGGACGAATTGGCGAGCATCGACAGTCACTTGTATATGGAGGCCAACAAGCCAGAAAACCCCAGAGCTCGAAGTCCTGAAGAATCCAACTTATTGAAGACGATGAAGGCTTCGGAAGCCAGAGCATTTGATGCTCGCGTTCGCGGTCTGTTCCCTCGCGAACTACGGGTACCTACTGATACACCATCTCGAGCTGGATGGAAATATGATTGGAAACCTTTCTACAGGCCATTATAATATGCTTGTGTGTATCTTTTCCGCCGATTCACATTTTCAAGCTGAAAGACAACACACATAGCTTATTTAAATTGACATCAAAAAAATCAACTAGTACATAGTACAAACAGCCCCAACATAGTATGGACTGCGTTGCTCAAACTTCTCGTAGGATGCGTACATTAATTAGCCTATTTCCCACCTTTTATACGAGAACGTTTGAGTATGTCAGTAAAGCGAGAGACATAAATTTAAATTACAGAAAATGACACAGTGAGAATAGAACAACAACGAAGAAAACGACAATCTCGATCCCTTCAAATTCCAAGTTTGGGCGTGCTTCGCAGCACGTCCATGTTGCGTACATTGCCACAATATCAAGGGCGTTTTGCTGGTTGCTAGATATGTATTCTGTTAAACCTCAATGCAATGATTGGGGAGCGAGAAGAGACAAACCAGGTAAGGCATGAATTGCTGATAGTTGATAGGTGCCCCTGATCCGTTTGCGGGAGAAGAACCCATCATCGGCGGCGGAGGCATTCCATACGCGGAAGCTCCAGGGGGCGGAGGTCCGGACATGCCAGGAAGTGGTACACCGGAAACGGGACCCGAACCTTGTTGGGCAGACTGTATAAGGGCTAGGATATTCGGGGGCAGTCCGCTGAGTGCGGCGGGCGGTGCAACACTAGCCGCAGACGGAGGCTGAGGTGTCGACGAAGAAGCTGGAGGTGGAACACCATAAGGTGGCATCATACTCGAGAAAGGAGGTTGAACCATCGAAGCCGTAGGCGGGGGTTGAGAATAGAAGCCCGGACCTCCAGATGGAGGTGCTTGCATAGAAGAAGGCATGCCTGGCATGTTTCCGGTCGGAGGTAAATTAGATGGTGCAGGTCCTCCGGCAGGTTGCTTAAGGGCTGCAAGTAACTGGCGATACAATGAATTTTTGCATCAATTACTTCGGACTGTTACGTACTTGTTGAACCTTGCGAGCTTGTTCCAGACGGTCGTCAGTAGTCTGATTAAGCATTAGTTTTGAGTCCCAGGAATTGTTGAATGTCTACTCACAGCGGGCGAAGCTGCTGCCATACCGGCAGGAGGTGTAGGGGGAGGAGGTTGACTAAAGGTAGGCACAGAATACCCTCCTCCAGTTTCTGCTCCAGGCCCATATCCCGTACCACGATCGTAACGATCGTTGTAGCTGTTATTAGGGCCACCACCACCACCACCACTACGACGAGCGCCATAGTCGTCATCATAACGTCCTCGCCCACGTTGGTCTCGATCTCGACTTCCGCCTCGATCAAAGTCGTCTTCGTAGTTTCCGCGACCGCGACCTCGCCCTCGTCCACCTCTGGCACCACGACCTCTCCTCCCGCCATCATCCCATTCATTATAATCACCGTCTCCCCCACCGCTATTACTGCCACCGCCTCTGTTCCCTCGTCTGTGGTTGAAAATCAGGACATCGTCGAAGCAGGAAGTGAAGAAAGCGCAAATAGACCTTTGTGAGCCTTGGGCACCGCCCTCATTCACGTCCCAGGCGAAAACGATGTCCATCACACCGTCTTGCAAACCTTGATGCCGCAGGCGGTCGTATGCTTCGTCGCAAGCCTATAACAAGCGTCAGTATATGGTCAGGTTGTTTGTTGGAAATCCGCGTACCCGAGTATCATAATACTCTACATACCGAGAACTACGAAACTTGGTTAATTGTATCCAAGAAGACAGCAGATAGTACCCACTCTATCCGATCTCCAACAGATTGAATAGATTTCACGTCACCAAATTGTTGAAACTTTCGACGAACTTCGTTGTCGTCGACAGGCATTCCAGAGAGTGAATTTTTTAAGGTAACTTGTAGACAACCTTGGAATTGCTGATAAGAGGGGAGATGAAATTCTGTTTCTTTCTGTGTAGCAAGCAGGTATGCATACCATATTCCTTTCGTTATCCCGGTCATCTCGTGGCAGTGAATAATGAACATCGATCTAAAGCGTCGGGTTGAGCTTCGACAAGAATGTATGACAGAAAAAATCTAACCGGACGTCCGCTGATTTCCGAGCCTTGCAAGCGCTCTCGGGCGCGTTCTGCTGCACGCAGATCGTACTAAGATGCAAACTCAATTGGGCTGTTCATAGAGAACGTGATTCAGTCTTAACTCACGTATGTGACAAAAACCATCCCCCGCGTTGAAATAAGATCGAAGAATGTTCTAATATCACCGTGTTCTTCGAACTGACGGCGGACATCGGCACTGTTTGTCTCATACTAAACATGAGTTGTCAGTCAGTACAATTGCCTTAGATATTGCGAGCTTTCGAGAAGCAGTGAGGCTGTTGAAGTACTCGCCTTAATGTTACGAATAAAGAGTGTTCGACAGGGGCGCTCTCGTTGAATGCGTTCTTCAATGATCGAATCGTGAACTTTGTCATCTCGATCTTTACGGACTTGCTTTTTCATGCGACCAAAAGTGTCTTCATCTGTACCTGGTCCGTCTATACAGGATGTGAGAACCAGTCCAGAGAACACAAGCAAAAACTAGGGAAGCAGCACAAGCAGGCGGTAAGCACGCGGATATACGAGTGCTTAAGCAAGGACAAATTTCCAGAATTTCACTTTGAATAAAATGAGTCGCAAGATCAGTGGGCCTTACGGTCTCATTAAGGGATGACCTCAGTGGACTGAAAGACTCAGTGACTGGTTTCCGCGTGCCTTACGTCCGATGGCTCTGAAGTTTTAGTCTCAATCTCTTGCGCACCTTCAAATTTGCTATAACCCTGGTTGAATCCTCCGGCACCATATTGCGATGAGGAAGTGGTACCGTAGCCGTTGTTATTGAAATAATTTGCGTTTTGCTGTTCATATCCACTGTATGAAGCAGCAGCGTCGGGCGCCTGATCATAAGCATTATAGCTCATATTCCCGTCATATCCGCCCCCTCCACCAGCTCCATTGTAGTATCCGCCTCCCCCGCCTCTACCACGACTGAAGCCACCACGGCCGCGATTCCCACCTCTATGAGATCTGTCGGGACCAGGACCTCCTTGAGGACCCCCACGGTGACTTTCATAACTTCCGTATGGATGATGGCGATTCATGAGCAAGACTGGGACTTTCAGTGCTTAGTGACGTGTCGAGTATCGAGTATGACTGGACCGAAGAATGAAGAGCTTAACAGAAGACCTGGCTTGCAACTGAACGAGTTGAAAAGATGACGAGCTCAACTCAATGATTAAGGCTCAAGACGAAGTAGAGGAAAGGCCGTGTTGGTGGTTGTACCGAGAAGATGAAAATTTCTTCACCGAATCCGGGCCGATTAAGGAAATTGCCGTACATAGCTCTCCGCCGTCCGGTGCTGTCAGGTCACTCCACGTCTTGACCTTTGATACAGTGTGCGCACTGCCATTGACGACCATGTCCAAGCAATTCCAGTTCAAATTAGTATTACTAGGTGCCCTTTCCTCATTTGTTACTACAATCATGACACTTACACCTATGCAGGCGAGTCTGCAGTTGGAAAGTCTAGGTTTGTTACATGCAATAAATCCCATGATTGAGAATTCTTACTGTATAACTTAACAGTCTCGTTCTCCGCTTCGTGAAGGACCAATTCGATGACTACCGGGAAAGTACCATTGGCGGTGCGCTTCTGTCCTTCAACTCTCATTCCTGTTTCTCATTGCTAATCCGCAGCTGCTTTCCTCACGCAAACTGTGACGCTCGAGGACCAAACCACAGTCAAGTTTGAGATATGGTGTGCTCGGTATTACTTGTGACATGAAATTCTCAACTCACATTACCCCAGGGATACTGCTGGGCAAGAAAGATACAAGGTGCGCCATTCGCATGTGTTATCATACGATTTCCTTCTGACAATTTCGACCGCTTCTTAGTCGCTGGTATGACATTCATCCTCACATCTTGAACAAAAACATAGATTGAACCTACTTTTCTACTCGTCAGGCCCCAATGTATTACCGGAATGCCAACTGTGCGGTCGTAGTATATGATATCACCCAGTCAGCATCACTAGAGAAAGCTCGCAATTGGATCCGTGAACTACAACGTCAAGCCGACCCCTCAATAGTGATTGCTCTTTGTGGAAATAAATCAGATCTTTCCGCTCGCCGTCAGGTCTCGGAGGAAGAGGCCAAGAAATATGCTGAGGAAGAAGGACTGATGTGGGCAGAAACTAGTGCAAAGACTGGCGAGGGTGTATCGGAGATTTTTACCGCTATAGGTAAACGCATTTCGCAATCAGATCTACCTCTCTTGAATCTTCTGAATCTATCTACAGCGAAGAAATTACCCCTGACTGCACCTCCATCGGCCAGAACTGGTGCAGGTCGCGCACCGACAGGTCCCAAGTCAGTGGATCTTAACAAGCAGCCGGCGGGTCAGAACTCCAATGAACCATGTAATTGCTAATCTTAATAAGTCTTCATCCCTCTTCCATGCATCTTGCATTTACCTCTATGTTACCTCTTTTATTCTGTAACATAACATTAATTTTGGTATTGACCGTGTTCACTGGATGTTGACTATAGACTGGTTATTCATCAAGGTTATTCATCAACTTTATTCAATAAATTCATACGCGTACAACAAGTCGTTATCATGAACATAAGCAAGAGTGCAGAGTGTAATGGTAAAAAAGCAAATGAGATCGTGTAAAATGATAAAAAGATACCAAAGCAGGGAAAAAGTCTATGCAACATGGATATAAACACCTAAGTTGGTCACAATAAACATATGATGTCCCAAACGAACCCTCATTCTCTACTAGAATCCCGCCTGCTCTGTAGAACAATGAAGTCAGCACCGGTTATATCATGAGATAAGAACAGAGTGACCTAATCCCTTTCTGATGTCGGCATTATCGCGCTCCAAACGCCGGACCTCTTGACTCTTCGACCAAAATTTGGCCTGCCAATCCTTTGTCGTTGTCCACCCGCGTAGATTACTCTGGATAAACTTCATTGTTTCGTTCTCCGTGATGTTGTAAGGCCTCGCTTGAGAGCGAAGCATGATCATCACTACGTCGTACCACCGCTGTCGCTGTAGCACCGATACACGTCCGGCGCCATCTGAATATTGGTCCTTGATGTGGACCAGCTCTGTCAGATACATCCCAATAAAAGGCACACAGGGAGAATCCATGGCGTGGAGATGTAATTGTCGGTAAGCAGAGAAGCCCCCACTCGGTTCGTTACACTTGAGAAGCGTCTCGAACGTGTTCTTGCGGCCGACATGCCACCAAGTGCGATCGAGGCGGTGGATGACTGTACTTGATAAAGCATTGATGATAGCACTCATTGACGCAAAATTGTTCAAGTTTCGGCATTTCTGTATTAAAGTTTGTGAACAACAGATGGAAATTGTATAGTTTTAAAGGCACTTGCCTCAGCCACTTTGATCCAGAAATCGACCGTATCCGCTCTTCGAGAAACCAAATGACTGCTTAAAACAGTGTCGGTGACCCATGCTGCTATCTTGTCATGGGTAGCACAGAACGTCGATAAAGCTTCTCTCGACCTGGTGCACCCCCCCGATGTTTTTGTCCCATGTGTTGCCTGAGCAATACAGTCTTGAGGGGTGATTTTGCTGTAAAGTTTGAACTCGTACAGCGTCAGTTGTTCAGCGACATCGGAAGGTTGAAAACTAGGTAGGTCATTTTTCACCGGTTTATGCTTCTTTCGCCGGTCGGTGGGGGAGGATGTTGCTGGGGGATCTGTCTCGAATGTCTATGTAGATAATTTGAAAGATACAGTAAGAATGGAGAGAGTATGACCTGCAAGTACTTACTAGGCGTGTGATTGATTCGATGATCTCTTGTGCTGTAGCAGCCAGAGGACTCGGGGAAGTTATTAATTTCAAAAAATCGTTTAATCGTCGGGAAATATCTGGTTCTTCCTCCAAAAGTCTGTATTCCTTCAACCACATGGAAAACACTGTAAGAATTTGGCGTTGCGTGGGTTGGAGACATCTATCTCTCCACTCGTCAAACTCGGACTCCGTCAAAATTTCGGGATAGGACATGCGATATATGTCAACTAGCATATCGAACAAGTCATCCGGCGTCATGAACGTGCGAAATGTTGTCAGAAACATGCGCCGGTAGTTGTCTTGAGTATTCACTGATATGGAAAAATTTATCAAGATCAATCGATAGATGCTAGCATAAAACTCACTTCGGAGGACTGCAGATGGAATGATATCCCATACAAGTCGCTCAACCAGCGCAATCCGCGTTCCAAAAATAAGTTTGCCTTCGGCGTCTGTATGAATTTCGTTCGCGTGCCTAGGTTTGAGGTACCATGGCGGATTCACAGCACTGATGAATGCAAGGGCATCATCACTCCCGGTCAACTTTTTGATCTTCTCGTCGCGGCGCTTCGTATCCGGTGAAACAGAAGGGTCATTTCTTACCGAATCTTCTGACAATGTAACGAGAGGAGGTAATGGCCGACGGGTGGCTGACGAGGGAGTTCGATTCTGCGGGCTAATAGAAGGTTCCTGTTCTTTTGGAGTGGTAGTGGGTTTGTTTGTGTTGAATTTAGGCAAAAGAGTTGAGAGAGGTGGCTGTGGCATAGGTGTCGCAGGGGATGGAGGAGGATAAGGCCGACCGGTACGTCGTGGGTCGGAGATGTTTTGGTAAACACTAGCTTCCACAGAGTCCTGGGGGAGCAAGGAAGGAAAAATCTCCGATTCCTCATAAGGAATTTGGGAGATGGGAGCAGAAACGTAGAGCTGTTCGGCTTCGTATTCGTATATGCGCAACTCTTCTCGTACATTCAAGAGTCTCTCCGCCATTTCTTCTTCGAGAGGCCTAACGAATGCTTGGGGTATCCAGCCAATGGTATCTCCACCTCTCCGCATAGCTGCCCACCATCCTGATTCTTCTTGCTTGAAGATATCAAGAATCTCGTTCCTCGAAAACGAAAGATGTGTCGGGTCGTCAGATAGAAAGTCATGCATGCATAATACGGAATATATTATGCTGTCCGAGCCGCTGCTTAATGGGCTGGTCCCTGCGGTGCCAGAGCTTGGCCGAGCTGAGGATGAAGAGGTATATGGAGAATCCGGGGAGAACTGGGTAGGACTGGAGAAATATGATGGTGGTTCAATAGAAAGGTGAAGCGACTGGCGAATCGTCTGAGAATGACTGGCTGTTGCGACTGACATCGACAACAGTTAACAAGGAGTAAAGCTTTGAAGGCTGAAATATACGGGAAGTAGATTCGTGAAGACCGGATAAAACAAAGTGCTTATTTGGCTTTTTCATCACTACCATCACACACCATCACACATCATTTCGGATTCCGGGTGAATTCCTTCGTCGGCTACTTACATATATAAGTGCAGATAAATTAATCCAGCGTAGTATAGTGATAAACTGAGCCGCAGCAGTTCTGTAATCAGGAAACGGTTAGAAACTGGCTGGATATGAATATTTGGTCCCAGTGAGACGCAAGGCTCTAGTACTTTTGACTTTTGAGTCTGCCGATGTTGATTCTGCCGATATCCGTTCACGTGCTTGGCGCTCGCTCTTCTAATAGTAGTAATAGTGATACTCCTGCTCTTATGCCTCCATGGAATTCTGCCAAAGCAAAGGTATTTCTTAACCTCGACTACTTCAGTATAACAACATCTATCTGCTCTGTCTTTTTTGAAGGTCCAGTTGCGGTAAATCGTCTCCAGATCATATAATTTGTGTACCCATTGTTTCTTTTGGGTAGCCTTTCCGTGCAACGATTGAGAACTCTGCAAGAAAAGAAAGAAGCTCAGGCTAAATCGGCGCGGAGAGATATCGCAAGCTTAGTTGAAAGAGGAAAGATCGAAACGGCTAGGATCAAAGTTGAAGGCAGTGAGTACACCCATTATATAGACATATCAGGCTCCTTGAAGCTTCCCATACCTAGTCATTGGCGAAGACATACATTTGGAGCTGCTCGAGCTGCTTGAGCTCTACTGCGAAGTATTGCTTGCGCGCTTTGGCGTTCTCGATCAAAAGCGAGTTGCTCATTACCTCTCTCTGTGTCGACCTGAACTCATCATGCAGCGCACGAGAACCAGACCCCGCTGTCATTGAAGGTGTCTGTTCGTAAGCAGGAAGTCCGATACCGTCCCGGATTCCCACTGATGAGGTCCTGTATGCAGTATCATATACGCTGCGCCGCGGACCGAATTGAAAGGTGACTCCATTCCGATTTACCTATGTGCCGCATCCATTTCCCTCATACGTCGAAGATATAATAACGCCTCTTCTTCCCTTTCTTCTTAGAATTAAATGTCCTACGAGAAATACTCATGCATAAGTATGGTCGTGACTTCTCAGCAATGATTATGGAAAATCGCGGCTCCTGCGTTAGTGATCGCGTAAGTGCGTCGAAAAACCTTCTACTCTATTCAGATGGCTTATCGGTTCAATTGCTAAAGGTGGTTCGGAAACTGGATATAGCCACTCCTTCAACGGAGCTCGTCGATGCATATCTGGCAGAGATTACAAAGGCGTATGGTGTGCCTTGGTCCTCGGCTGCAGCCACAAATGGCGGAGAGGGACCAGAGGGCAGTCTCAAAGTACGTCCAATCGACTATGATCGAAATTGTCGTGGTTCTATATTTTTCATCGCTTGCCAAACTACACTGGTACTCAATAAACATTCCATACATCCAGGAAGCAGCAGCCCAATCTGATATGGTGCTACCAGACATCGAGGCAAAAGCTGCGTCGACTATATCCACCACGCCCAAGCTTCCCGATATTCCGCCGACAGAAGACGAGAACAAGAAAACAGGCTCGGCTAAGGAAGAAACCCATGACGAAAGTACCAAGATCCAACCGACACAGCCTGAAGATGATTTCGACCTCCTGACGAAGCGGTTTGCTGCGTTGAAAAGAGGTTAAGGCGGGGGCTAACACCTATGGGCGCAGGGTATAACGATTTGAGGTAAATGGGTCTATTCATCTGTATGATGTTTGGCCATAATCGAATAAGTATAAATGGAATCTTGCAGGAATCAGGAAGTGTTCCTATATTCGTTCTCTTCAATGCTCAAGGCTTCACGTAAGTACAGTCTTGCTCAAATTGGCTCTAGGGTACGAATACTTTTTTCTATCGAAATTACGGTTGATGAACAGTTCATCGTCTAAAATAAGGCTTGGGCTCGCTAGCTCTGATCTCTCTTTCTACCTATCTGCATCTAGACTCGAAGAAGCGTGAAAGGGCTTTGAAATCGTATGTGATCCCTCTTCGTTGAGTGACGAAATGAGAATGTGTCGAAACCGACTGTGATGGGCACTTTTGGATTTGTCCGATGTAAAGATTGCTTGGCACTGACACTTGGCTTGTTGTGCAGCACTCGAATACTTTACTGCATGTTTTTAGTTTAATGATTTGATCGAGCATTATCCAGGGCTCCTCTTTCACTCCTCCGCCGACCGCAAGCCAGTGCCTCTCTTCAATTACAAGTACGCACTTCACCTTCTTGAAGTTTCAGAGTTAGTTGTGGCTGTATTGAACAGTCTCCAATTATTACCTTTTTCGAGCGGAGACGGCGAGGATTCCGAGAGGGATGATATGCTCTCTTATCTCGTCCAAATTTTTGATAAGTCTCGATATCTTTCCATGACATCTACAACAGAACACATTTCGAGTTGCCTTCTATGTATGTGCAGCACCATTTTTCCTAATTCGTTTGTCGCTTTGGGATTCCGTTTCGCAGCATCATGCGTGTATGATATCTGTGATGGAAGGACAGCTTCATCTGACTGTTCAGCCACAATCAGAAATACACCACACTGACCATGCTACACAGAACCATAACCAAGCCTTCGTAGAGGCGGTTTGATACGAATCATAACGGAGCATTTAACCCAACCTCAGGTTGAATGAGAAAAAACTCTTTCCGAGCCTTCGTTCAGTCCGAAGTCCCAGGCTCTCAAGGTTTTGAGAGTTTCTGTGCCTATACACGTCCAATCCAAGCAAGCTCTACCTTTGAAGCATTCAACAGCCTGACGCTTGGTACAAGTTCATCGGATATTGCTTGCAATGCCGTTCCGTGCGATCCTACACGCGATTCTGAAGTAATACAAGAGCCCATATATTCATGTCTGGGATGTCAGGGTTATATCAGGTTATATCCGTCCTGCTTTTTCAAAGCTTGTGAAAACTGGGTATGAAATCAAGAGGTGGCGGAATGTGATGTAGTAAGGCTTGGTTGACAATGAAATATTGCATATGCGGAGCGGCAGCGCCTGGCAGCGCAGAGCTCGCTGTCTTGTTCAGAAACTCAGCCTGTATTCAAGTATTGCGCACATGTACAAGCAGTGTACGAGATCCCACAATATGATTGTCAGGAGGATCCTCAACAGTTTCTGAAATATACTGGGTGATCTCCAACATTGGAAGGCCTTTCCGAAACCTCTCACAAGGGCCTGAAGTATTGAAGTAACACCGCAGAAGCCCTCAGATACCGAGGAATCCTATGGATGGAGATGAGATTAGATAGTGTACTCAGAGTGAGCTTCCGCCGAAGTTGCTTTATCCTTTTTCGTTCGAAAACGACAAATCGCTGTTTACATGAGCGGACTGAAACCGTTTTACTATCACCGAGAACCATTCAAAATTGGAACTAACCTGGAAACTAATACAAAATTAACGACATAGTAAATATGATGGCTAAGATCTCGCGACGTCGGATTAAATCTTATGGTATGAACTGGTATGAGATGTTTATACTGTATAGAACAAGGTGTGTTCTGGTGCGTTCACTGCTGTTATTTGAAAAGGTGTGGTCTTCTGACGCCGTCAGGATTTCAAGAAAAGAGCGACTCATCAAATATTGAAGGAGATCCGTCGTCGGAGAAGAAAGAGAAACTACCCACGAAGGGGCACATGTATGTAGTCTGTGGACTACAGAAGGTACAGATTCTTGCAACGCGGTTTGAGGGTTGATTAACGGATTGAGGAATTCACCCCCGAAGGAAGATTACCTGACTTGATAAGTAGCTTCTCAGGAGCAAGGAATTAATAAGAAACTCGCGGTCGTGTTCTGCACAGATTTAGTGCAGTGGCGCATGGCCTTCCCCAACGCCATACTGAAGAAATTTAAGTGCATAAACTTTGAGAGAAGAAAGCCAACAATGTGCGGGGTGTTCAAAACTGTAAGAGTGACGGACGCGCCTATTTAATACCGGCGGTCGTAGGAGGAGGAGGAGAGCTCTACCTTCTTTTGCATTTTGCAGCCTTCAAATATGAGCAAAGAATCGAGCCCGCACGATTGAACAGTTATAGTGTAACGCAGGTGTAACGCTTAGACTCACGCTAGCACTTTCGACTTTTACCGATTCCAGATTACCTATGCGCGGTAAGTAAGCAAGACGGCAACAAAGAATTGACATACATTGATAGTGCAGTATCTGCTTTTATTTGTGGATATCTCTAGAAGGCTTTGAATCTAGTGCAGGCCCTAGGTGTATACGCGCACCACCTTGGAACTTTGCGACCTGAAAGGTTGTAAGTTAACTTACAGTACGATCACAGGACATTTTAGACAAGTAACCGAAGCCTTGATGGCGTCAAATGTTCAGAAATAACAAATAATCTATATGAATAAATCAGGCCTCCGAATCAACTCCGGATTTCCGTTTTGCAAGCTTGTACACAATGGACAGACCACATGAGGTTTACCAAAGCGGTTTAAAACCCAGTGGCTTTCCGATTGAAGGAAGAAGAAAAGAAGGGTTAGAATAGGGTGGAAGATGGAAGAAGGGGAGTAAGCAAAAAGAGGACCGACGAAAGTTGCTGCCAGATCTGAGATAGGTTTTCCCCTTTAGCAAAAAGCTAACAATGCCACGTTTCCGCTCATTTGTGTCGGGCGACTACACCTCCTTCCGCCGTGACTTCTTCTTCTCACACGATTTGACCGGGTAACCCTACCGCGAGCCTTGAGGATGTATAAGTAGAAGAGCTGAAACTCCTTCGAGTTCTCTTATAATCCTCCATCTATGGTTACACATCTAGCGCCCTCAAATTCTCGCCTGTACGATCCCCCTTTTGACTGGGACCCTTCCATGGATTTCCCCAGCGACACAGAAGACAGTGATGCATGTTCACTGTCTTCATCAAGTGTCTTTAGCTCTCCGCCCAGTCCTTCAACTCCAAGGACCTCCTATGTACCCTCGGCGCGTTCAGCATCTCCTGCGCCTTCTGTCTGGTCAATTACCAGCTCAATGCGCGCTCAAGCTTTCAAGCACGAATATGGGCGAGGTCTTAACAACTACTCCGAGGTCTATCGTCTTCCTGCCGACGATGAGGAGTTAGAGCGTCTCGGTGCGTCATTTGGCGCGTTCTGACTGATATTCATTCATCATTCACGTTCAGATGCTCAACATTTGTTATTCATGGAAATAATGGGAAAATATCCCCCTTGCATGGAAGAAGTCATGGCGGATGATGTTCCCGGTGAGACCAAAGCCGTGCTCGATCTTGGTTGTGGGAGTGGAAGCTGGTTAGTTCATTTGGCCTACAGCCACAATTTATCCAATGTTCAATAACCTCAGGATAATGGACGTTGCCCGCGACTTTGCCCATTGTTCTGCCGTCGCTGTTGACCTAGTCCCAATGCAATCAATGTATGTTCAATGCCAACGTCAGGACGAGGCATTGCTAATTTTCATCTTAGATATATGCCACCTAATCTTAGGTAGCAATTCCAGTCTATTTTTTGACCGGGTCACTCATGTCTTTTTAGAAGCGAAGTCGATGATATTAACCTCGGTTTGGAACATTTTTATGGCGACTTCAATGTTGTACACGCAAGGTTGATATCTTCTGGAGTGCGTTCGGGACATTTGCTTTGTGTTGGACATTGACGCGACTACTCTACTTTCAGGTTAGGGATTACGAAGGACTGATTAACCAAATTAGCATGATCCTTCGTCCCGGAGGTCTCATAGATCTCATGGAGTTCGATTTTCATGTGTACGACGAGAATCACCAAGTCATTGAGCTGGAAACCTCCAAGATTGCGGAGCCTTGGTGGCCTCGTTGGCTAGCTTTTGCCAATCTTGCCGCCCGTGACAGAGGCGGAAATGTTGATGCTGCTACTTATATTCACTCTTGGGTAGCGAATCATCATGCGTTTGAGAATGTCGCCTATGAAGAGTACTGGGTGCCTACCTGTGGTTGGAGAACCGATTCGGAGTTCATGATGCGAATAGGTGTTACTTTGCGCGACGACATCCTGGTACGTCAATACGTATGCTATTTCATAAGTTCCACTCGATTCTTAATTTTTGTCAGGCCTTTTTGAAGTCTGGTCGGCCTTTACTGCTCGGTAGCGGGGTGCCCGAAGACCTCGTAAATGAACTCGAAGCCAACGCTGTAAAAGAACTACATTCTGGCAGGGCTCGTCATTACATTCGGCTACAGTGTGTCCATGCTCGCAAGAAAGGAAACTGAGTGGCTCATTGTGGTTTCCTTTTTATATATCAAACACCTCTAATCTACGAATTGCCCCAAATAATGCAGTGGTATCCAGTAATTCCCAAAATCTCTTGATTTGTTTGTATTCATCGTAGTATTGCTCTACTTACAGTTTGTAATAATTTCTTTCATAATTGACTATCGTCTTACGGGCCGATAATCCGTCCTACGTTACTCTATGGACGAATACATCAACCCAAATCCCGATGTAAAGCTGCTGCTAGAACAGCTTGGACTTAGCCATCTTCCCTCAAGAGAAAGAGTATTTCAGGAGATTGAAGAAAAGTTGTTACTACCGCGCGTGAAACTTGCCCCTCATTCGCTGGCCAAATACCAAATGTACGATTCGCATTTGAGCGATGAGGTTTTTCTTATGATGAGAACAGACACTGGGAGCGTGCCGTCTCTATCCCTTCACTTCTACCATTAACTCCTTCGCCTGCCCCAACAACTCTTTCTTTTGTTCGTAGTGGGCTCGAAGGACGTGTTACTGGCTATGCTGAGGTGCAGTCGCTTATCGCAACTTCAACATTCTCCATTCAACTTTCCTCCTAGACACCACAGGCGAATATCTCAAATGGCCTTACCTCGACATCTCTAGATCGTGCGCCAGGACCAAGCAAAAACTTCGTTCGGGGAAAATCTGGTTATGTTCCTTTTTGGCCAGGTGGATTAGATGTCCTATCCGATCCCGCCATCTCCTTGGAGCTGGAGGACGGCCAGAAAGGACTACGGAAAATCCCACCAGGCTTTACCAGAGGTTTGCGTCTTCCGGGTGATGATCCCGACGACGATCTCCTTGCTCTAGACGGCTTACACGGAACCAGTTTACAGAGTGATGGGCAGAACGAGATGGTAACCCCACTACTATCTTATCTTTCTCCTGTTCACTTACTACGAATCCGCTTGGTCAAGCTTCTCTCTATAGATACTCTTGACGAGGAACCTCAGCTTACGCTTCCAGCTCTTGAAACCACCGAAATAGACGATCTACTTCCAACATCAGTGAGTCGAATTCGCAGATCCACGATAATACTTATTGAGCATCTGGCAATTTTTCGTCCTCTTTGTAGCGGTCAAATCTGAATCTGACCAAGTCATTGAGACCTTCAAAACGTTCGAAGGTTCAAAAACGCGATTGGGCCCATGTAATCGATGTCCGAACACCTTTTTCGAACTTTCATGAGCTTGTACCTGACATGGCTCACAAAGTGCGGACTAAGTTCCAGATATAATATTTTTCATCGCTGATCTCTTTACTCTAGTATCCCTTTGAGCTCGATGTGTTCCAGAAACATGCTGTTTATCATTTGGAGATGGGAAATTCTGTGTTTGTGGCTGCCCATACCTCCGCCGGAAAGACGGTTGTCGCTGAGTATGCAATTGCACTCGCAGAAAAACATATGACTCGGTATCAATGCTCCGTTCTATTACATCCTTCGTTCTCTCTGATCCAGATCTTTCTTTCTCAGAGCAATCTACACGTCTCCCATTAAAGCCCTCTCAAACCAAAAATTCCGCGATTTCAAGCAGACCTTCTCTTCGGCTTCAGTTGGAATCTTAACTGGAGATGTTCAAATTAACCCGGAAGCCAGCTGCTTGATCATGACTACGGAAATTCTCCGAAGCATGTTGTACAAAGGCGCTGATTTGATTAGGGACGTGGAATTCGTGATCTTTGACGAAGTTCATTATGTTAACGACGCTGAGGTCTGTAACTCTCATATTCTTCGCTCAGGAGGAACTGATGACTGCTACCTTAGAGAGGTGTGGTTTGGGAAGAAGTAATCATCATGCTACCTGACCACGTCAATATCATCCTATTATCAGCGACTGTCCCAAATACTAAAGAATTTGCCGAATGGGTCGGGTAAGTAAATGACACACCCATTCTTTCAACCGCTCACGCGCCATAGGCGAACTAAGAAGAAAAATATCTATGTCATATCGACCGCACAACGCCCAGTTCCCTTAGAACACTATCTCTATGCCGGTCGTGAAATATACAAGATAGTAGATGCACAAAGAAAGTTTCTCGGAAGCGGGTACATCTTCTTCTCACACATTTCCCAGCTCTATACTGATTCAAGATTGTCCACATATCAGGTACAAGGATGCAGGAGAAGCTTTGCGGCGGAAACAAGACAAGGAACGGGAAGCCGCCGGCCTGCCTGCGGTTCAGCGTGTGGGAGCGAGAGGGACCGCACCTATGAGAGGCCAACAACGCGGTAGTCGGGTTCCTGCACCACCTGTCCGTGGAAGAGGTGGCTCTGGACCGTCCTCTACTCGCACAATCCACACCGGGATCGATAAAAATCTCTACGTGCATTTGTTGACACTATTGAAGAAGAAAAGTCTCTTACCAGTAGTGGTTTTCACGTTCTCTAAAAAACGATGTGAGGAAAATGCGTCAACACTGACGAATCAGGATTTATGCACGTCCGTCGAGAAGAGCGAAGTGCATGTAGCGATTGAAAAGGCGCTTTCTCGCCTAAAAGGCAACTTGTTCTTCTCAAAAAAAAAATTGATTTCATTGACAAATTAGTGCAGGAAGTGATAAAAAACTACCGCAATTGGCACGAATGCGCGACTTACTTAGTCGGGGAATCGGCGTACATCATGGAGGCCTATTGCCTATTATTAAAGAGGTTGGGCAGTGCCGATGTGTTGACGTTTCGCTTCGCTCTAACTCTGTGTCAGTTGGTCGAAATATTGTTCGCTCGCGGTCTTGTCAAAATTTTATTTGCTACAGAGACGTTTGCCATGGTATGTCAATCTTTTTTAGGAAACATCGCCATATGCTCACTCAATACAGGGCGTTAACATGCCGGCACGATGTGTCGTGTTTTCTGGCATACGGAAGCACGATGGGCGGAGTTTCCGAGATATCCTTCCAGGCGAATACACTCAAATGGCGGGCCGTGCTGGACGGCGAGGGCTTGATTCGACTGGCACAGTGATTATCGTTGCCAATGATAATATACCGGAGGTACAGTCAAGTGAAATTTTTCATTTACCTTACTGAGACTACTCTTCAGCAAACGACACTAAATACCATGATCCTAGGAACTCCAGGGAAACTGTCATCGCAATTCAGACTCACTTACAATATGATCCTTAATCTGTTGCGAGTTGAGGCGCTCAAAGTGGAGGAGATGATAAAGCGCAGTTTTTCTGAAAACGCATCCCAACAACTTCTACCTGATCAACAAAAGAAGGTCTTTGAGGTGAATTTCGGACTCGACGGCAGCGGACGGGAAAGCTCATTTGACGTTGATAGGGGGAAAAAGCCCTACTTACGCTGCCAAAATTGCATTGTGATCTTTGCACTCCTGATATTGAAGACTATTATGACAACTCAGCACAGATTTTATATCTCAATCAGAGGCTCCTTAGCTTGGCTACCCGACATTCCCGGGGAAATAAATATCTTGATGCTGGTCGGGTGGTTATTTTGCGTGATGGAGTGCGTGTACTAAACACCTATTCTCCCGGTGAAGTTCTGATAACGCATTCAGCATTTTCAACATAACAATATCGCTGTTCTGTTGAAATTGGCTCCCGCCCAAGTTACAGAACTCAATACTAAAGAGAAGCTCAAAACGTATTTTATATTAGCATTGGTTGACGAAGACCTGAAAAAGGGCAAGCGAGGTAAGTTTTGATCACTCACTCATCAGTCATAATTTAACTCAAGGTCTACAGACGTTGACAATGTAGCAATGACACCTCGATGGCCGCCCACGCCTCATTCTCTCACAGTTGGAAACCCGACCTACCAACTAACGACAGTCCCTTTGTCAAGCATCTCGCTGGTCACCGACCGAACTATCAAAGTCAGAAGAGCTTTCAATTTTTGGCGTTTGTGCTGACTACAGAATATAGGTTGATGTAGGGGCGATTGCAGACCGACATCTCATTTCTCGTATGCGCGAGGTGATATCCGTTTTAAAAGGCATTGCCGAGGAATGGTGTAATATTGGTACCATTCCCGAAATCGATTGGAATCGAATGCGCATGATGGAGTTTCAAGAGGTTTTACAATTTCGCAACAGCCTGCTGACACAGCAGGAAAACAAGGGTTGTCTGCTCTGCAACGATTTTGAAGACCATGTGCGTTCATTGATCCCGTATGAACTTCACAGAATCTTCAACGATACGATTCTAGTATTCCATCATACATACCGAAAAAGGTTTGCGCGCAAGGATAAACATGCTTAAAGAGGCCATATCCGATCAAAATCTTGAGCTTATTCCAGACTATGAGCAGCGAGTTGGGGTTCTCCAAGAATTAAAGTTTATCGATGAGAATTCAACTGTTCTTTTGAAGGGTCGCGTTGCCTGCGAGGTATGTTTGATATTTTTTGGAAAATTTTGTATGTACTAATTTTAAACAGATTAACAGCGCCAACGAACTTGTATTAACAGAACTCATACTTGAAAACACACTCGCGGGTTACGAACCGGAAGAAGTCGTCGCTTTACTTTCGTGTTTTGTGTTCCAGGAAAAGACCGACGTAGAACCTGTCATACCACCTAGATTGGAACAGGGCAGAGATGCTATCTTGGCTATAAGCGATCGCGTTGGGCGCATTCAAGACTCGTTCAAAGTAGCTTCAGAGGATTTCCAAACAAAACTCAAGTTTGGCCTGATAGAAGTTGTCTATGAATGGGCCAAAGGCATGGTTAGTGTCTTCATACATCTCGCAACACCATCAATTGTACAAAATTTTCTAGCCATTCGAGCAAATCACAGCACTCACAGATGTCGCAGAAGGAACTATTGTCAGAGTGATCACTCGGTTGGATGAAACATGCAGAGAGGTGAGAGATGCAGCACGAGTTATCGGAGATGCCGATCTATTCAAGAAAATGGAGGAGTCGCAGATCAAGATAAAACGAGATAGTAGGAAATTTCTCTTGCTTGATCGTCTTTTCTCTCATTTTTCTTTTTCGGAAACAGTCGTTTTCGCTGCAAGTCTGTACTTCTAGTGATGGCATCACGGAGTCAAAGCGGGATATATCTTGCCTAAACCACCTGTGCAAGGGTGCGATTTATCCTTCCACTTCTGGATTTTTTAGGCGGTAAGCCTGTGTTATGGGGAGATACCTTAGCCTCTATCTCTATCTCTACCTTTACCTCTATCTCTATCTCTACCTCTATACACAGCACTCCACTTTCCACATACTTCGGGCGAGAGCCACTCCACCGGGACCGTGCAGAGCATGAATAATTAGTTGAAAGTATAATGATTATGTACATACTACTATGCAGGTGATATTTACAATGCCTCATATGTAACTGTGATAGCCATCAAGGTAGTTCTAGCAAGTCATGAAGTTAATACTTAGTTGTGGCATTCCGAAGCAAGGTGACAGGGTTGTCGCATGATGAGAGCAAGCATCATGAAACGGAACATTTAAAAAATCGATTGCAAAGAAGCGGAAAATTCAATGCCAGTCGTTCGAAATCTCAGAAGCAGCAATTAACCGTTCGAAGTAGGTTGAGTCTATCGTACGCGTTGGACGTGGTGCATGGATGATGGGAAGCAAATTTCGTGCAGGTAGCACCGAAGAGGATGTAAAAGCAGGAAGTGGAGCTAAGTGGGTATCAGGAGAAATCGTCGAAGATACGTCGGAATGGCATGTTTCGAACTCCAAAGGGGATAGCGGTGACCCGGAAGATGTAAAATCTGAGGGAGTATTACTTGTGTCAGCGGACAAATGCGTTGGATACAAGCAATCGATCCCGGCAGGGTAAGAATGATAATAAGCACTCGGGTCCTGAGGGTTGGAGGATATGAACCACTGCTGAAGAAGCGGTTCGTCGGGTGTCTGTTGCATATGAGGATACTGCATTTCCTTGGTCCAAAATCCAGATTCCTCGGGTCTCGAGGCGGCTGCTGCGTCATAATTTTCTGGAAACGGATTTGACTGTACGAAGTTCTGATTCATCTCGGGCATCCATACGCCACCGGGAGAGTCATTAACATCGTGATACGTTTCTGCATCGTCTGGGATCATATCATCGCATGAAGTATCCGCGAACATTATGTTGGATTTTACTTCCTCCGCGCAAGAATAGGACAAAGAAGGGCTATCATAGGAAGGGGGTTGTCCAGTCGCGTGCATAAAAGACGACGAGATGGTCGAAGACGTGACGGATTGTGCTTCGAACTGTGGCGTAATTGGAGAGTAACTGGTGGAAGCTACTGGAAGAAAAGAGCTTTGGGTAGTAGACATGCCGGAATTTGGGTAGTGGTGAGAATAAACGTATTCGTTGTATGGTTGGCGGTAATCGCCGGTCATACTCTCGTCCGTGGGTTGCCCGTTGTTGGAGTAAACGTACTCACCACCTTCCGAGCCCGACCCGGACCAGCTGCAATCCTCTGCACCATAACTCGATTCAGCCATGGTATCTCCATCCCCTGCGTAGGAGTAGTGTAGAGTATGCATGTCTAGAGACGTGCGCTGGTATTGGGTTGGGGGGAAATGATACGTATGAGCGTCGTTGCCACAGGCGAAATCACAGCAGGGCATGGTGAAAGAAAAGCAGAGGAGCAAGTGATGATGGGGGCGGATGGAAAAGTGGCAACTAGCTGTAGATCAGGGAGACGCCTTTTTAGCTAAATGCTCGTGGACCATTGACAACGGCAACCTCGTTTTCACCCTCGGAGCCACAGAGGTCGAAGCGATATTGCTGAACCAGGGAAAGAACAATGGAAACCGAGAATGACACGTTGTTAATATGCATGGACGCGAAAGAAGATCAATAGAATAACCTGTATGTATGTATATACTTCGATCACGATAAAATATCTCATAGTTTTGTCATGGAGTCCAAGCGCCGCAACGATGTTCCCTTCTATCGAATGAGAGAAATTTCAGAGATGGTGATCTTCATGGATCATTCGTCACCTACACATATCAGGCCAATCATTTAGACGATGTTGAACCAGAGAAATGATACACTGCTTACAGTAATGATTTACAACGGTCGTATAACGCCGTCAGACGCCGTCCAGCATTCAGCACTGGAGGGGATCCTAAGAGATCCGGAGTTCTAAGTCCACTGTGAGCAACCTATTATGGAAATCCTAGGAACCGATATCAGAAGCACCACACGATCTTGTTGTTCTAATTAGGTCCACAAACTTGCCGCAAACACTAAGTAGTTTAAGATACCCGGAGGATACCCTGAAATGATACCTTTCCAATCAATCGAAGGCTCTGCATGCCTCTGAGGCGACCAAAATGTTGAGGTATTTGTTTTTTTTGCTTGTCTTTCCTCTTGGATTTGTTTATTGTGGAATGCCTGGTGGTTCGACGGAGAATCAAGTCGAAAAAGTTGCTGAGAAGATCACCGCGATTGTGAAGTGATGAGCCGACATACAAGCACTTCTTTCGAAACTTTACATAGTTGCTGTACTTAGATATACATGCATGTCTACGTATGGTTGCACGCAGCTGCACGCTCAGACACCGCACGCCGATACAGCATCTTCATATTATATTTACCCCACAATATATGCACCACCGTGCAGTTCTGACCATGTCTACCGGGATTCACAGCATAAAATACATCGTGACCGGATAATGAGGAAGATGGATTGGATTGGTGAGTGTACATTATGGGTTAACGTCGATGAAGGAAATATATATACGGCAAGGAAGAGAGGATAACAGCGAACGGCTAGCTGAAACGCAAAAGAACGTTACGTTTTTTCTGTCGACAGTAGAAAATGATGAAATGAAAAGTGAGAACAAAGGGAGAGGGAAACGAGGCCGTATGATAACTGTACCAACACATCACTATCGTATTCCATCTCCTTCACAGCTGTTTAATTTGACTGAAAAAAAACTTACAACAAAGAGAAAGATAGCTTTGAGTGGATTATTCAGCAACTACCAATCCACCCATGGCCCGCTGCACAGCGTTCATGGCTTGATCAACACCACCAGGTGTTGGAGAGCCGCTGCCATTGATTGCTCGAGGCCCTAAAGAGGGATGTCTCACGCCCAACGCAGCGCCGAGCATCCTCTTTCCGGGGTCTCCAATCCTTGGTCCGCCCACCAATGAGCTGAAATCCGAGCTGAGACTAGTAGCCAAAATAGCGGGATCCGACGGAGGACTGGGGTTGGACACAGCTTCGCCCAAAGAAGAACTGATCAAAGAATTGAGTGTAGGGTGAGAAGGTATGTTGGGTAATGTTGGGGACGGCTCACGGCCGTTGGTTTGATATTCCGGGATAACGACATGCTGGGCGATGCTACCAGTACCGTTATGACGGAAACCGTTAGTCGGCATGGGCCCTGACACTGAGCGGGCAGCTGGAAAGACAGAGATGGAAGCGGAGCGACTGTTGTGACGAGTTGGATTGGGATGTTGACCGCGAGAATTTACGGTCTGAATGACAGACTGGGCATCTTCGCCGTCATATGGCCTGATAGAGGCTGGAACACCGGCTGCAGATGTCAGGATAGCGGGAGGAAAAGCCAGGGTATGCAGATATGCACGTTTAGCTGAAGCAACGGGCAATGTCAGGATTCGGTATGAGATATTCTGTTCTGACTGGTACTCACCAGTAGACGCATCCTGGAAGACGATCAATAAAGAAGTGTCGTCCTTCCATTTGATCTTAAAACCACCATTAACATTCTCCCATTCTGAGAATGCAGACTGTATGTCCTTGGTCTTTAGTTCCTTCGGGAATCCGGTCAGATAGAGGATACGCGTGACGGAAGCTGAAAGCCCTGTGAGTGAAGCCATTTGTGGATAAGAAGTCGAATGGAGGTGATATTTATAGGGGATTTAGGGGATAATTCGAGTGGACGAATGGACAAGCGGAGTGGTTCTACAAAGAGAGTAGAATGTCAATGTCCGGGGGGAGATGATGAGGGCGAGTGAATTTGCCAATGGGGAAGAAAGCACAGCTCTGGCGCAGCGCTCTGGTGACGAAAAGATTTAAAAAAGATGATATGTAGAGTTATAACAGCAGCGGTCCAGAGAAAGCGAATGGATTTTGTGAAAGATATTACAAGTCAAAGACAGAGGTGTATTTGTACGCTATTATGGCCAATATGGCATGGCACCCGTGAGAAACATCAGCGCTCGGCTCCTAAGTCTGACTGATTCCTATATCCCCGCAGTAAACCTCAGGCTCAGGCCTCAACGTTGTCGAGTGATGAAATCGTGCCTACATAATATCAAGGCAGACAATCCTGAGGAAAATCATCTCAGTTTACTTTGACAAATGAGAACGAGGGTAGTTAATGAGAGGTAATGTTCTCAAATTCAATGCTTAATCCAGGACATAAGATTCCGTATGTCTTTAGTACTGGTTCGTGTTGTATGGTTGAAACTTGAACGAAGTAGTTACGCACGTAGTCGCGAGTCGTCATGGCATCGCACATCAAAGCATCACAGCAGTGGCGGATATCAAGTACTTACATCAACAAGTACATCAGTCTTGAAGGAGTTTAGCCTGAAATGGACACCAGTAGAATCGCCCAGGAATCGCCTCTGCAGCAGCTCTGTTTGAGTTTTCTCGGCTCAGGTCAGGCATGCATACGACGGTATACAACTTGCAAACCCGTGCGCACCGGCGGAAGGAAACTAAGAAACTCACAGGCTGAGTTAAACATCGACATAAAGGAGCCAGGAAGATATGTCAAGAATTGCAACGAGGCGCGAAACCGGATGATTGAAATTTTGTAGGCAGGTTGCCCTTTCCCCCAATTCGTTGTCTGGACTATATCGCGTATGGGATTACTCCTCTATCGATTCTTAGACCCCCAGATTCATGGCTTTTACTCGGATCGAATAAACGGGGTAAGATCGATGCATGCAGTGGGGTGAATGATTAGCAGGAACCATGAGAAGACAAAAAGAGCATACCATAGTTGATACGACACGTTGGTGGCATGAGGCCCCGGGAGTCGATAATTGACTTACCTAGGACCCAGAAACCTACTAATACGGACCACGGGACAGAAATAATCGATGGAGCCGTTCTGGATATAAGTCCAAGTCTGGATTTTGCGACAGTGCTTGAAACGTATTATGTTCGATTTTTGAGGAGTCATACACTGGCAGTGGGGTGTTTGTTGGGCACGGCAGAGATTAACCGTCCAAGAACTATGTAGAACACCTCGAAATTTTACCATGAATGGCCGAGAGTGTTCCTGTCAATAGATCCTTTGTACCGAAAACACTTTGGAATGGAATTTCGTCAGGAAAGCTGAGATGATGGTGGTTAGAACGTGAGACGCGACGCGCTTGATGACATCTATTTACATTATTTCCTTCCTCTCGCGCGCTGGCAATTTTTCATATCTGTACAGGACTCTCCAATGGAAACAGAGCTTATTCGAATATGGCATCTAATCAGCGAACTTAGCGACCAACTCTCGCAAAACCAGAAAATAACCAAGACTCTACTAGGACAAACAAGTTTATTAAAAGTTTGCCTGCTTTCTTCTACGAAGATGATAAAAGCCGTTGAATTCGAGCTTTACCACAGACCGAGGCTACAGATGCGAGCTCTGGATTTGCGCTGAGAAGGGTGAATGTTGATCTTTCGAAAGGTAATTACAGTGAATCCTCTTTCAAAGTTTGTGAACTTTCCACTGACGTTTTGAGAAGAAACATTCGAATCCGAGCTTGAGCGAACGAATGCCCATATAATAATTGAGAACCAAACACTCAAACAGGAGAATAAGCAGCTGAGTACGCTGCTCAAGGAGTACGAAGATACTCTGGAGACTATTATGGTCAAATTCCGCAACCACGCTGTATGTCTTCTACTCAAGTGTACACTTTCTTGACTTTCTCCTATTGATACGGTCAATCTTTGTAGTTGGCCGCGCAGCAACATGAATCGACATTGTCACGGCATTATGAAACTCTCCTCCTCGCACGCGAAACACAAGACTCATCTTCTGACCTGACGTCCACCGCGAACATGACACAATCCTTGCAGCGTATATCTCGATATATTCGAGACCTGCTGCTAGCTATGGCAGGTGAAGAGGTCGATTTGAATCATCGTCTGACGGAGCATGAGGGTTTTGTAGACCCTGCAGAGCTGTCGGCTCTGATTGACGCTTTAGCAGGACCGAGTGGCACGTCAGACCAGGATAAAAACTCACATTACCAGGAGTTGAATGTTAGAGCTGACTGGACGCTAGAGAGGGAATGCGAGATTGCTAGACTTGAAAAAGAGAATGAACAGTTGCGGAAGGTATTGGGGATCGATCCGGAAAGCATTGCTGCATCAGGTATCGACATGGAAGCAGAGATTAAACGGATGGACCGCGCACGCCATCCTGAACTCAGAAATCGAAGAAGAGACGCTCCTAACCATATGTCAACAGGTAGCGGAGACCAGTGGGAGCGAGGGTTCAGTAATATCAACAATGGTAATGGCAATGGCAATATCAACAATAACCCGGTGTATATGTGGGACGCTACCAAAAATCCGGGTAATCTAGGGAACCAACCTCCCCAACAATACACGCAGGAAATGTCCATGGCTGGCGGAGCACCGCTCCAGCGTTCAATGGAGCTTCCGACTCTCAGAACTGGCGCGCAATCGGCAGGTCCGAGGATGGGCCAGCGGTTCGTGCAACAACCACAACAACAACAGCAACCGAGAGGCACATGGGTTTCTGGTGCTGGACGAACTGGAGGACCTCCTCCGTCACAACAATCGACTTTGTGGACGAATCAGCCGCACTCTCCTTCGCCTCAGATTATGAATGATCGTCCGTGGCCGATTCAAGGTGGAAATGGAATGGATATGGGACGCTGAGCTGCCAGGCTGCAGCTAGTCATGGTTGTGCTTTGTGCTCTATCGGAGTCTATACATCTTCCTCTCTGTATTTTTATGACATGTACAGTATATCGTAATGCTTTCTACTTGTTTTGTACACAGAAGTTCCCCAAGGGTTTCACCTTGACTTTGAAACCTCAACAATAAGATACAGTATATGAATGTACATACATGTCTGAATATCGATATCGTCCAGGAGGTATACTACGCATAGGAAGTATGTACATATCCAAATTCCGTCACTTTACATGAAATCAAAAAACAAAGAATCTTCAGGCTGATGTTAGGCTGTAACCATGTATCTATTCGGGTTTCTCCTTGTTAGTTGTAGCCCTCCTTAGAGTGTTCCACCGATGAGTAGCCGAAGACAAGAAACTCGGTCTATCGGCGGAAGGGGTAGTCGGCTTTACTCCAGCGCCCTCGCCGAAGGTCCGATTATCCGTATCGATTGGCGTAGAAGTGCCTGTAGGTATATCGCTGCGTGTAGCAGCGTCAGCGGTTGCTACGTGGGCTACACCGTGTTCAGCGTCCCTTGGACGACCATGGACCTCGAAATCCCAAGCAGCAGGCAAGATCGCGATAGGTAGCAACCACGTAGCAGTCAAGACTACACCATTCCCCTGGTCCTTCATCTGTATTCGGCCCCATGACCACGCAACAAATGCCCCGACGTACCCTAGATACGGTGACACCCGTTTGAGCATCAGTACACTTGCGCGCATCTGCGGGGGGACAACCATTAAGGGAACTTGATCGATGAGCCATTTGAGGGCTGCAGTAATCATCGCCCCACGTTTAGCAGCAGCAATATGTGCAGAAGATAGTTGGGCGAGAATGGGAGGAGGGAGGAAGAGCCGATATCCCCACCAAGTAACTTCGAGGGAGAGCTTCGTAGAGGAGGGATAGAATGTTCGTCTGGATTTAGTCTTGGGTGCAGGCTTTGGAGCAGGTTTAAGAGATGCAGCTGATGTATCGGATTCAACAACGGGTTCTGTTGTTTGTAGTCCATCTCCTGCCAGCATCTGCTCGTCCTCGACGTATTCGATCTCCGATTCGGCGATTTCTGGTTCGAGATCTTTTGTGGGCTGCAGAGGAGTACATATCATGATACTTTCCTCTTCTCCTTCAGCGGCCATCAAAGGTTCACTGGGTTCTGTTGCCCTTCCCTTACCCTTGTCAACGGAACTTTTGCTATCAACAGGATCTGTGGCGCCAGCTATTGCTCCCAGCTTGTCAAGCATGGCCCATACACTTTCACGTCCTTTCTCGAGTCCTTTGCCGACTTCGCCATTCATGATGGATTCCGAGGAAAGGAATCTGGCAAGCGTCGCGTCGAGGCTACCGAACATCGAGCCGGAAGTCGTGCTAGGTGTTCCTCCGGCAGGTGGAGTACTAGGAACAGAAGAATTGGTGTTGTGTGATTCAACGGAAATGGGGATGAAAGGTGAATCAGTCACTAGACCCGGTGTTGGGGGAGCACTCTGAGTTGTCTTTCCTCCTGAGAAGGTAAACTTTTCGTCAATCAGTGCTTTGATTTTCATGGCAAGAGTGCGTGTATCTGGTGCATCCTGCACATCCTGATCTCCGCTTCCATCAACTTCTGCAGATCCGCTGCCTTCTCGTGGTGCTTGTGTTGAGTCTGAATCATTTTTCTTCTCAACTCGCTCCCTTAGCGTGATTGCTTTCACTTCCTCTCTCCACTTTTCCAATACAGCCTTGTATTGTTCGGCCTTCTGATTCCAATCAGATGAGCCTGAGCCGCTAAGTGGTGACCCAGACAATTCCCAAGTAGCCGGAGGAAAGGGCGGATCCGGTGTAGATTTAAGTCCACTCGTAGTAAACGTTTTGAAGCGAGCGAAAGCAGAGAGTTTGGCTTTGGGCAATGATGAGTTGGATTTTGGAGAGGAGTCTGCGAACGGGTTGGATTGTTCTAGACTGTCCTGGCTATTTGGCTTGTCGGGAACTGGAACGGGATTAGAGGAAGACATGATTGTTGCAAACGAACTCCAACAGCGATGTTATTCTGACGGTAAAAATCAATGACGCAAGATTTATCGGATAAGATAAGATAAGGCCCATAAACTTCAAGGACTTTCATTAGCTTTCATTGTTATAATTAGTATTTCTATGATCAAGCATGCAGCAAAGCCTGGACCGACTTCGCGTTCCATCAACATTATTCGCCGAAGAAAACTCGGAAGGCTCATCCTTCTTCAACATCGCAGCGCGAATGTGGCGATCCTTCGGAGTCCGGACTCATGTAAGTGCTGTGCTACTGATCTTGGGCATATTCCTTCAAGAGGTTCCATCTGGTTCTGAAAAGTGAGTACAAGTGGACCGTCATTCTCCATTTCAATTGACAAAAACAGTTATGATGATCTATTGAGTATGTTGATATCTCCTTCAGAACGCATTTTCGGGTGCCCTAGACTGCCAGCGGACTCCAATGGGCTGCGCAAAATATTCGGTTTGAAGTGAAGGCTGCGCTTTTTGGTTTTGGTATTTGATCTTTCATTGACTGATTGCAACATTAAAAATCAAGGGACTTGCCTCTATTTTTATCTCTACCTTCGACCACCATGACTATTGCTAGTGCCTTCGCCGCTGGCGTCAGAATACGCACTCTTGTTTTCCTTTTCTGTTTCGTGAGTCAATAATTGAGTTCTTCCTTCCTTTCTCAACTCGTGTTAGAATGCTTTGCTGTACATGTCATTTTCAGTCTTGCAGGATGACTTGCGCGCGCTCGCTTCCTACCATTTGTACTCATCCTCCTCAGCAAACGTAACATCTAATGTCACCGGAAGCGACACGATCGCGTCTAATATCGTCGAAAATGACGATTCTATCACACTCGCGCCGGATCTTTCGTCTGAGCCTCAATTTTCAAGAAAGGCAAACGCGACCCTCGTCTTTCTCGCCCGAAATTCTGACCTCCAGGGCGTGTTGAAAAGCATGGAGAGCGTAGAGACGCATTTCAATCAACGATTTGGATACCCGTGGATCTTTCTAAATGAAGATGAATTCACGAATGAGTTCAAAGAGTAGGGATCACAGCGCATCTAAGTAGATTATACTGACCCCAATTCAAGGAGCGTGCAGTTAAGAACCAACGCCTCTGTTCAATTCGGAGTGATACCTTCCCGGCATTGGTATCAGCCGGATTGGATAGACGAAGGCAAAGCCGAGCAAGCTCGTAATGCCTTGAAAGCGGCGGGTGTCATTTATGCTGGTAGGTCGGAACTTTATACAAGTGATTACCCGCGTTCAATTCAATCATCCTTCAGACAGTGTATCATACCGGAATATGTGTAGATTCAATTCTGGGGTTTGTTTCTTCAATCTACTTTGGAAAGTTGCGAACGACTGATTTACTTCAGTTCTTTTTTCATCATCCACTCCTTCAACAATACCGATATTACTGGCGTATTGAGTATGGATACTTCCCCTGTCGCAAAAAACCATAACTAACAACACATCGTAGGCCTGACGTCGATTATTTTTGTCAGCTACAGTATGATCCTTTCGATTATCTCAAGGATAATAATAAGACATATGGTGTGGTATTATCTGGACTGAGTGAAGTACAAAACTTACTCAAGGTCGAGTAGGATTTACCATTGCACTCGAGGAGTTGGGGCAAACTGTGACGACATTATGGCAGGCTGTGAAAGGTTCTTGAAAGAAACCATCCTAGTCGATGTCCGTCTAAGTATCATCCTTGACAGAATTTATGGAGCAATGTCCGGAATACATCCATCCAAATAACGCCTTGGCATTTCTGAGTGACAATGGAGGGGAGTCGTTTAACCTATGCCATTGTAAGTTTCTTTCTATGCTGTATATATAGTTATATCTCATATGTTTTAGTTTGGAGCAACTTTGAGATTGCAGATATGGACTTTTGGCGTGGGGAGGCTTATACCAAGTTCTTCGAATACCTAGACTCGAAAGGTGGATTTTATTATGAGGTACGTCTCATCAATGCGGATTCTCACCTCTAGTCATTCAAATTCCCGGTTTATTAGCGATGGGGAGATGCTCCGATCCATTCCATCGCTGCCGCTCTCTTCTTGGACAAAACCCAACTGCATTTCTTCAATGACATTGGTTATCAGCACTCCAGCATAATGCACTGTCCTCAACAACCAGCTTTCCTGACAGGTTCTTGCACCTGTAATCGGGTATTGTCTATAGGTAATAAATTACTGAAATAAACTTTAAAGGTCGCTTGACGTTGTTTCTAGATTATAGACGTTACTCATGTCTACCCCGGTATAACAAGATGCTCAATGGAAAATGGTGACGAATGTTGATCGGTCATTAGCACAAGCGTACATTCTATTCTTCTTCAATCGCAAGGTCCGCAGCCTCCTTGAAAGCTGGCTTACCGGATGCTCGACATCGTACATGGACTGCGGCACATAGCTTGCTTTGTATACTCTCATTATTATCTTTACCTTCTTGTAATACGGTCAGACATATACTATCCCTACTACTGTACGATTTATATATCGCCTGATAGCTACATATACTTCCAAGCACTGTATCAAATAGAAAATATCGTTGTCCGCTCCAGGAAATATCCATGTCCAAAAACGTGATCGGATAAGTGAAGGTTGGTCCGTGCGCAGCTTGCCAAAGTATAAAAACCTCTCGCTAACACTACAACAACTCATACTTACCTTGATGGCACAAGCCCCTTCACGTACCCGGGTTTGTGGGCTGTGGAGATCCCTCATAGCACGGCGACCTTGTCCATACAAGGGATGTCTGCGGCTTGTATAGGCTCAGGCTTATGCACCGTCTCAATATTTTCCTGTCCCACCTCGGCCACTCTGGCTGGGTGGGCTTTTTTCGGTCCGATCGCCGTCCTAACCCTAATTTAAGGCTTACAGCGCCCTGTGAATACAACAGTGAAATGGCGCTAAATGTATGCCCCGACAAGGTCTGCTCAGCCTCTGCTGTAGTCTGTATACGAGTTTAAACCACGGGCGCTCTCAAGAAGAAAAACTTCAAATAAGTGTAACATCGTATAACGTAGTCCAATGTATCTGCGACAATCGACACTATCCACGATGCCGGCGTGGCGCAATGGTAGCGCGTAGCTTTCCTAAGGCTGAAGTTGCGGGTTCGATCCCCGTCGTCGGTTGTTGTTATTGTTTTTGCCCTGGCCGCAATTATACGATCTCTTCCAAGTATACAGTATATATTTTCCACACGTTTCTAATGTCTTTGCTCTACATTCATGGTATTCCATCCAACCAGAGTTTTCTCCCTGCAACGTGAGCACAACTCGATGCATGATCAAGGCCCTGAATGCATACTGTACCCATGTTAACTCCATACAGTAACAATGTATTTTGCTCGGAGCTCATAGAGGATGTTAATGAACTACCAGCCAAGCATAGAACAGGTGCCTTTCCAATGCCAGTAGAGGAAGTATCACTGATATCCAGGTCAAATTCTTGCCTGTCTGTGACTTCGATTAAAGCTGTCAGAGGGTCTTCCAAAGCTTTGATTCCATTTTCATCATTACTAGTCTCGGAAAAGCCGGTCTCAGAGTTTGTAGGTGAGTGTGAGCGCGACAAAGAACCTCCCTCAGTGCCCAATGATACTAAGCGTTTCTCGAAACTATTCGAGAATGAACCCATTTCTTCGGGTGTGGCAAATCTCATAACGCGCACCAAATTATTCCGCCAGCTGGTGTGTAATCGTTCTCGGACTTTGACGAGTTGTGCCAAGCCCTCGGCCCATCCACGTTCCCATTCTCTGTGTATGTTGACGAGAAGAGGATCAAGAACATCAGGTGGAAGAGCGCATGTTTCGGAAGGAATCATCGACGGAGGAACATAGAGGTTAGCAGTGAGATGGCGTAACGTCGGCAAAGGAGGCAGGATGCGGATACGTTCAGGTGCGTCATGGACCTGTGGTTCTGTGATGGATGACCCAGACGTAATATCCTTCTTGTGGATGGAGATGGAAGCATTAGCTATTCCTTTCCTCCCGCGAGTACGTCTTTTGTTCTGTGTATATTGATCTCTGTCATCCAATTTTTGCTCCCGTTTCTGTCGAACTCCAGGCATGTTGAGCCAAGCAGTCACCAACTTTTCCTTCTCTTTCGCTTTACCTATTCCGGCAATTGCACAGCTCATTGCAATGCTACCCCATTCACGCGAATCGTCCCTAACTGCAATGTCACCATTGCGTAGAATGTTACAGTCATCTAGAATGATGTGTGTAAGGGAAGGATACTGTATGAGTATCTGAGGAAGAGAGCGTTCTGAAATAAGGCAAGTGGAAAGGTCTAGGAATTGCAGGTAGGGAGTTGGTGGCAGGTGAGCGTTTGCAACATGGCGAACGTATCTCTTGGATGGTTTGGAGCCTGCAGGGATAGACGCTCCGTACGACGGTAAGTAAGGGACCGGTTCCTGAGTCAGAGATCGGATGATATTCCGCGAGGGGAAACGCAACCGAAGATATTTAAGAGGGACGTGCAGGTACGGTGCACGAAGAAGGCCGGGAAATGTCGATTCGAGTTGGAAGAATACAATGGGCTGAGCAAATCCTGATGCTAAGGTGCGCTGAGGAAGGCCAAGAGAGAAGGTAGGTGGTGGGCTGGCTTCGGAACCTTCGCTCGTACCTGATTCCATAGACAGAGGATCTTGGACGATAGATAAAGTAGAAAGACGGCCTGGCGGCCAGCGTGATAATGCCTCTAGGATTGAGTCAAAGTAGGATCCCTGTGGTCCGTTAAGTAGAATGCGCGGAGCCATACAATTTACTTACGCTTAGGAACTGATGATAAGTAGCTTTCTGGACGCTGAACTCCATATTAATGTAGAAACATGAAACAGAATCACTGAATACACACTACGGTCTGAATCTCAGCGAAAGATAGAGCAGATTCTCCACGCATCTCAAAGATCGTCCCCCACGATCAACAGAAAAAAGTTCTTCTAGGTGCTCTGGGGTGAAATTCTTCGGGCCAATCCATATCGTCAACGCCTCTAGATTCGGTAGTAGCGTCAATAAGTTGAGTACAATTTCTGCATCTGCTGTCCATGTCTCCAAATACAAGCCCTGCACCCATTTGCAAGGATCTTCACCATGATGTTCAATGTCCTGCTTACGAGGTCGAATTCGCTGATACAAAGAGATAAGTTGGTCTGCTTTGGTGATGTTGATGCGACGAAAGAGCTGATATCGCGGTACAGGAGAGCGAGGAATAGCCCGAGTCAACGCAAGAAGAGTCGCCCGAACGTCAGGCTCATCAAGTTGCTCAATGAATGCTGCATAAATTTCTGCTGGGAGAGAGGAGAAGTGCATTCGTTTCCACAAAGTCAAAGCTGAATATCTCAAATCCTCGCACGTGTGCGGTGTACTGCACTCTTTGTTTTGGTACTACCATGTCGCTGTCAGACGAAACTCTTCGTAAAGTCTGCATGAACTTGTCTTAACGTATCAAATGCACTAAGATCAGTTTAGATCCTTGTCCAAATTCAACAAACCGCAATCCAGTCGCAACGCGCCCATACTCTCACTACTCAGCAAACTTCTGTGAAAGAGCGCGAACGAAGGATATTACAGCTCACCATCGACGAAATTGGTGCAATCAAGGAGGATGTGAACCTATATAAAGGTGTTGGAAAGATGTATTTGCTCGTTGAATAGCCTGATCCGATATTATATCTACCCAAACTTCGACAGGTTCATGATGGTACCCAGGAAGGAGATGGAGAAGCAGTTAAAAACACAGGAGAAGGAGCTCTCAGATGACATTGCCAGCTTAAACAAAAAGGTACGGGCCCAAAACTACAAAAAGTCGTCGAGACTAAAATGAACGTGGCGCAGTCGAAATATTTGGAGAAGCAGTTTAATGAAGCACAAGCGCAGTTGCGGGATATTGTATGTCTTCGGTATTATATGACTTGGCGCATCTGATTCACAATTATAGTTCCACCATGCCCCAAAACAATAAATTACCGGTTCCACCATTCTGACCATTTGCTACTGTATCGACATCCGCACTAATGCACTAAATCTCAATATTCGGGAAATATGTATGAGTCCATGCTGAAATAACCACAGTTACACTCTCAGTTACACTGTGACTTTAGAGATGAGAGCAAACTAAATCAAGAAATCAAGAATCGGAAGGAAAGCACCCTCAACTCAACTTCACGGGCAAGGTAAGAGTTCAACACGCAACCTCAGATAGCATCAATCTAGATCTTCCACCAACTCCACCAACTCCCTAGAAACAATGCTTCTTCAGCTTCATTCTCTTTGTGGTCCACCTAAGCTCCCTCTCCAACGTGAATTCATTACTTTGTAGGTGTAACTAAATCACAATTTACAGCCGCATGGTGTAGTGAGTCAAATGTTCAAGTTGAACAGATACGGACAGTACGTGGGTGAACACTGTAAAAATGGATTTAGATGAAGAGAGATGGAATAAACAGTGAATAAACTCACGCGTCGAATCTGCGTCGAATTTTCGAAGTCAAATGTTTATGTAATTGAAAATTCCAACCGTTCCAAAACTTCTTCCCAGTACCCCATCTCGATTTCGAGGGACTGGCGTCAACCCGAAACCTTTTGAATTTTTCGAGGGTCTTGAGCAACTCAATACACCCGACACCGTCCAAATTTGCAGCTGAAAATGGCATCCCTTGACGACTATGATGAATTCGGAAACTACATTGGTGCAGATCTTGACTCGGACGACTCCGACAATGAGCAACCAACTTTTGCACCCCAGGTTCCCGGTATCTCAGCGCCTTTGGAAGGGTTTGACGATGAAGATGTGCCCATGAGAGGTCAGGAGGAAGGTTTTGGAGAGGGAGCACTGATGGAAATCGACAGTGGTATGCATTAAACACCGTATCCGTGATTCTTACACCCTCTCAATCTCAAGGTTATTGTTTTTTACCCTTCCGTGGACCAATATATATCTAGAACCAGTACATAACGCTGTCGTCCTTCATGAAGACAAACAGTATTATCCATCCGCGTCGGACGTGTATGGAGCCGATGTAGAAACTTTGGTGCAGGAAGAAGACGCGCAACCACTTTCCGAACCCATCATCGCCCCAATAAAAGTGCGGAAATGGACCGTAGAGGAGAAAGGCATGCCGGAAACTCGATTTGACAAAGGGTAGGCGCTACACATTCGTTTACTGGCTTCGCGAGTCGATAGAGGGCTTTGCAGATTTCTGTTAAATATGACTTCATTCCCGGAGATGATACGGAACGTAGCGGTCGTAGGGCATCTACATCATGGCAAAACTGCGTTGCTCGATATGCTCGTGTTCGAGACACATAAACTGGACTGGGATGCGGATAAACCTGTAAGCTTATACTTGTGTACCAGTCTTCTTACAGTCAACTCACAAACACCCTAGACCCGATATACAGACACACATGTCCTGTCTCGAGAGCGCGAAATATCCATAAAATCCTCACCAATGTCCCTTATCCTTTCAACGACAGCTGGTAAATCGCACCTAATTCATCTCATCGATACTCCTGGGCATGTAAATTTCATGGACGAAGTAGCTTCGGCCATTCGGTTGGTGGATGGTATACTATTGGTTGTGGACGTCGTCGAAGGGGTGAGTCCAGGATAGGTCCTGTGTATAATAGTACTGATTTAATTGTAGCTTATGGTTGGTACAGAAGCTATAATTCGACATGCAATTCAGGAAAACATCAAAATTACACTCGTTGTAAACAAAATTGACCGCCTCATTCTGGAACTCAGAATAAAACCCACTGATGCATATTACAAAATCAGACATACTATTGAGGAAATCAATACATTCATCAGGTTTGATACCTCGTCGTTATCTGGGTACGGTAGAACTGATGCTACGCTCCCAATAGCGGGATCGATCCTGACCCAGAACTGAGATTGAGCCCAGAGCTGGGTAATGTGGCCTTTGCCAGCACAGATATGGGTTGGTGCTTCACTCTGCGATCGTTTGCACAGATGTATGCCGACTCCTTTGGTACACAATGTTCCCTATCTCATTTTGAAAACAGCTGAAATATATCATTTATGCAGGCAAAGTCGACGTTTCTGCCTTTGCTGGCCGACTTTGGGGAGATATCTATTTCAACAATGACACGCGAAAGTTCACTCGCAAAGCCGCTGATCCTGAACAAGGGCGTTCGTTTGTACAGTTCATCCTCGAACCCTTGTATAAACTCTACTCGCAAGTGCTCAGCGAAGAGACTGAGCCTCTCCGAGAGACTTTGGCAGGTTTAGGGATAAAACTGAAGCCAGTGATGTACAAGATGGACGTAAGACCATTGTTGAAAGCGGTTTTGGATCAATTCTTCGGTCCTGCGACGGGCTTGGTGGACGTGATAGTGGAGCATATCCCGAGTCCCATCGACGGAGCCATCAATAAGGTCAAATTATTTCATCTATTTTCAGTTGTGCTGTTCCGTTGCTGATCCACCCCTAGGTTCAGGGCACATATAACGGCCCACAAACGTCAGAGTTAGCTGCGACCATGCAAATGTGTGATCCTGCAGGACCTGTGATGGTGCAGGTGTCTAAGCTCTACCACACTACAGATGCACAATCCTTCCGTGCCTTTGGACGAGTACTCAGTGGAACTCTGAGAAAGGGAATGGAGATCAAGGTCTTAGGCGAAGGGTTTTCCCCGGAAGACGAAGAGGATATGGTGAAAAGTACAGTGGAAGATCTTTGGATCAGCGAGGCACGGTAAGCGCTTCCGTGACTACCCACTTTGTCAAGTATCTGACAAAATTACACAGATATTTCATACCGACAGACGAAATTCCCGCAGGTAATCTTGTCCTCATAGGAGGTGTCGATGCTTCAATATCCAAAACTGCTACCCTCGCTGCTGCCGACTACGCTGACGACCTTTACACCTTCCGCCCAATCAAGCATATGACAGAATCAGTACTCAAAATTGCCATTGAACCCATCGCCCCTTCGGAGTTACCCAAAATGCTTTCTGGCCTCCGATCAATCAACAGGTCGTATCCGCTTGTCTCAACAAAGGTAGAGGAAAGTGGTGAGCATGTTGTGATTGGAACTGGGGAGCTGTATTTGGATTGTGTGATGCATGACCTAAGAAAGTTGTTCTCTGAAATCGAAATCAAGGTGTCAGACCCGGTCACGAAATTCTGTGAGACGGTTCTAGAAACTAGTGCCTTGAAGTGTTACGCGGATACACCCAATAAAAAGTACGCCTTTCATCGGTTTCATCGTTTAAAGCCCTCTAATGTTGCTTTGTCGGAACAGGAATAAAATCACCATGATTGCGGAGCCTATGGAGAAGGGTTTAGCAGAGGATATCGAGCGCGGTCGAGTAAACATGCGTATGACTGCAAAAGAACGAGGGAAATTCTTGCAAGAAAAATACCAGTGGGATCTGCTTGCGTCTCGATCAATATGGGCATTTGGTCCTGACGAGAACGGACCGAACGTCCTGCTCGATGACACTTTACCTTCCCAGATAGACAAGAAGTTATTGGGAACGGTGAAGGAACACGTTAAGCAAGGATTCCAGTGGGGCGCAAGGGAAGGACCTCTCTGTGACGAGCGTTCGTTCCCTTTCATGATATCATCTGCAGTTTCTTCAAACTGAATCCTTTTGTTTAGCCTTGCGAAACGTCAAATTCAGATTATTAGACGCCAGCCTAGCACAAGAACCAATCTTCCGTGGAGGTGGACAAATAGTTCCTACTGCTCGACGAGTCTGTTATTCCTCTTTCCTGATGGTAAAGGCGTTTGTTCAGCTTTTTTTCTTGAAACTTACTTAGTTTGTTCCAGGCTACACCTCGGTTGATGGAACCAATCTACTACGTTGAGGTACAAACGCCGGCGGATTGTGTTTCAGCAGTATATACAGTGCTCGCTCGTCGTCGTGGACATGTTACTCAAGATATTGCAAAAGCTGGATCACCATTATACACGGTCAAAGCCCTTATTCCTGTTATCGATGCCAATGGCTTCGAGACCGATCTTAGAACGGCTACGCAAGGTCAGGCGTTCTGCTTGCAAGTATTTGATCACTGGTCTATTGTCCCTGGTGAGTGTCTCTGCTGTCCATCATCCTTCTTGGTTGTCGATATATATCTACTCCAAGGTGATCCTACCGACACAAGTATCAAACTTCGTCCACTTGAGCCTGCTTCTGGACAGGCCCTTGCCAGAGATTTGGTCCTCAAAACCCGTCGGCGAAAAGGATTGGGTGATCAGATCGCAGTGTCGAAATATCTCGACGATGAATTTGTGGTAAGTGGGAGGTTCATTACCCACAATTATTCTCTAACTTTCATCGTAAGCTGGCTTTATCTGCGTCAGGACATGCTGATTTATTGGGCTGATATGTACTATGTAAACCTCTGTAATTCCATCATCGTACTAGTAATTGCTTTCTGTCAGGTTCAAAAACACCGAATAGGTTTATGTTTGTAAAAATGGTATCATAGCTCAAGTACCTCTGGCAAGAATGAAGGACTCTATGAGATATGCTCAGAATTGAGAGCATCCACAAAAGCTCTGTGAACGTCATGTTCGTGAAGCCAGACGACTTCCTTCTTATCCCTCGCCCATTCCTGTATCTTTTCCTCATCCCATAACCTTCCTGGCTTTGCTACATTTTCCCGCATCCGTTCAACTACATTAAAAACTCTACTTGCATGTGGTAAACGGGTCGATGCGTACAGATCCAGCGCGTGTGATAACTCGGAAGTCGAAAGTCGTCTTCTAGCGGAAGCTTCAATGGATCTTGAGTTCGAAGGAACGTCGGACGAGAACGAAGACGATGTAAATGGTGTCGATGATTGTTGGACATGTTGGAGAGCGAGAAACAATGCGATGGAATCGTCAATGGCAAGTGATCCTCCTGCAGCCAATGCGCCGCCGTGAGGGTGAAAGGCATCACCGAGTAGAACGATACGACCTGCGTGGATAGGTGGGGGGACTTGATTCGATGCCCATCCCGGGTGCACTCGAAGTGAGTTAGGAGGGATACGGTCAAGTAGATCGGTTATCCAGGGATTCCAATCCTGTTCTATTTTAGATTAGAATCGAAAAAAGGCGGATAGTATAGATGGTTGCCTTGTACTCGTTCCGAAATGATTCCAGGTCGACCACGTCGTCCCATTTCTTTCCTTTCCAAGCCGTGTTCTCACCTTCTTCTTCTTCTTCTGCGGAATGATACCCCAGCCCGACGATGGTAAACTTGCCTTTACCTACATACATCGGATCCACATCGAGGAACATAAGCAGATTGAAGAACAATGTCATGGATGTTCGGATATTTGGATGTTCAGATACACGCACCCAACATCGACGAAAAGAAATTCCTATCCGGTCCAACAACATGTACCGAATTCCTGATTTCCGGATTCCTGGAGATGAGGTCGTGTATATGTGCCTCGTCGAAAACAGCTCGTAACGCCATCTGACCGGTGGGTTCTAGCTTGTAATCTGGAAGAAAAAGGGAGCGGAGTGTCTGGAGAGCATGAAATGCACAGATATGAGATACCACTCTGTTTGAATTATCTGGCTTATAGCAGAGAATACGAACCGAGTGTACCCCATCCGCACCAATAACCAAATCAGCAACGTGCTCAGAGCCGTCTGCGAAAGTCAAAAGTACACCCTCCGAGGCAGGCTGCTGCTCATCTTCTGGAAACCAGCTAACATCGATAGAAAGGAGGCGTTTGCCTAAATGAATCGTATCCCCAGGAATGGTATCTGCAATTGCTTGTTGGAGATGAGGGCGGAAGTATCTCGCAGTGTGATGGCGTCGTTCAGTGACGAAAGGGGAATGCTCGTCTTTGACGAGAACGTTGCCGGTTTTCCAGTGTCTGCGTTTAGTGCAGAGAGGCTTAGCAGATATTATGAACGCACGAAGGGGATACGGTAGTAGCTCACCTATAAACCATTGGAAAGCCATGATCACTGCGGAACGCTATCTCGTCGGAGATAGCATTCAGTGCACCCATTTCTTCCAGACCACGAAGACCATTGGGACCCAAGGCGATGGATGCTCCGACCTATATTCACATGAAATTAATTAGACTACAGCGTTAGACAACCCGAGTCGACAACATCGAAAGTGCATCACTGCTAAGGTACCTCTCGCAGTATATGCGTCTGTTCAAACACCTGAACATCTACATTCGGAAGACGGCGTAGGGATAATGCTGCAGACAATCCACCTATACCAGCGCCGACTATGGCGATTCGTGTTATATCAGGCTTCGGCATGCCTCACAACTTATCCGTCTGTGAGGGTATGTAGGCATGCATGCTTCGCGGCTTACACATACTTATTATAGGGCTATTTTCTCTGGATAAGCATGGAATGGCGGAATATGGTGAAAGATCATTTGAAAGAAAGTCAGACGTGAGAACTTCAGAGTTCTTTCAGTGCTCATCCGATAATCGAACAACAGTGCTTTGCGTAATTCTTTGCATGTTCGAATTCTCGATACAAGAAAAGCCATGACCATCCCAAGTTGTCTTCCTACACTGCATGATTTCGTTTCTGCAAATAAATGGTGAATCAGTGTGTGAAGCGAACGAAGAAGAGAAACTGACGTACAATCATGATATCAAGGTTCATCAAGCCCAACAAAACTGTCCATATTTCTGAACACGCCTCCTACAATGCCAGTACTCTCAGGCTCGTCTGCCTCCACGGTTTTGCCTTCTCCGTTTCCTCGCAACAGCTCGTCAACCGCTGGCTTCCCAGTTTCTCTCTGTTTTATCGAGGATAGACTAGCCGGAGGAACGTACTCCCTGACTGCTACAGCGATTGCTTTGGCGAGATCCTGAGGAGGCATTCCAAGGGCCTCAGCCAACGCGTTTATCTTGTCCTCAACGCCTCCACCATCCGTAGTATCCCGCCTTCTGCTATTAGAACCAGTATCTACTGGTGTCGCCTGCGCAGCTGGAGGCTGTTTTCCCAATGCGAGGTTCCACCAACCGCCGACCTCAGATTTCCACTGCAACATGCGATACGAATAAAATGCCGTCAAGAGAGTGGAAAGAATAACGAGAATGTAGATCAAGTTGGTGAGTCTGGTGTTTTTGAGTGGAGGCTGGACGCGTCGCAGAGGTTTTCCTTCGCGTTTTGGTGGGAGATTTGCTTGTGTAACTGTTGGAGAGGACATTGTAATAACTCGAATGAAAAATCAGTGCACATTTCCGTTTCGGGTACTCGTCTTAAAGCGAACGAGAATGACGTAGTCACCGTGATGTCATTAGCGCCACGGGCGTGGGAATTGATAATCATTACGTACTCTGTGCACAGCCTCTGCTAACAGATCCAAGGCAATCTGAAAAAAACGATTATGTACTCACCTCCGCATCATGTATGCCTACATGTACAGATGCCGCCTCACAATGTTCCGTTCTTGGTTCAGAGAAAAATCCCTTTTGACCTTGGTGTCATTATTTCGAACTGGAATATTTTTTCGACCATCCATGGTAGGCTCCCCTCTCAGTCGCTTTGCTCTCAAGGTAACGCTGCCCAATGTCGGATATTCACTTACTCGCCCCTGTTTTCTTCAACGCAAACCTCTTTCTGCATGGCCGCCATTAAATTATTTACCTTTTCTCTCTAACCGATACTCACCATAATTCCTTAGCCATGATGTCTCGCAGCCTCCCCCATCGCCAAAATTTAAAACACACAACAGCGTATCACTACATTGTCGTTTCCGACTCATTCATCTTAAACTCAAAAGTCATACTGGGGCTGAATGAATTATTTAGGCTTCCTGCGAGTCCCGGCGCGTTTTTCTCAAGGCTGCACATCCCTCAGAAATGACTGTTGGTAGGGCGTTGATGGTGATACACATACTTATCTAGACACTTCCAGAAACTGACAGACCCCGCACTTTTCGATCTTGTACCGCACTGAGGTCAGGACCCCACAAATCGAATATAGGTCAATCCAATCTGAAGAACAACATCGTGGTGAACATGTGAGTTCATGGATTGTATGTAACGACTGCGAGAAGAATGTTTCGATCTTTTATTGTCAGGGTGGACTTCCAAATCTGGCGTGAACAGCAGTGTTTCTTAGAGCGGAGGACAAATCTAAGCTGCTTCTGTGGAACTAAACATTGGCCTTCAAAGTTCAAGGTTCACCACGAGTCAATCTAGTTGTCGGTGACTTCATAGAATGATAGAGGTGCGAAACATTGTTCCTGTTATAGCGGGGGAATGATTAATGGGCATCAAATATCTTTCCAGCCTATGTGGGGTTCGTTGAGTCCACGCAAAAATCTAGCCGTAAAGTTCGATCGAGCTGCATGCCCAAACGTGCAATATGGCGGCCCTGGTGAGGAACTTGGACATTTAAATAACTATAACTGGTCCAGACCGAGTTAGTGAGCTTTAACTAACCTGAAGTTTGTCTGCGCGCGGGCCCGGGACAAACGGACGCTTCCGATTTATGCAACTAGTATGTACTATGCACTTACTGAGAAGTTTAAATTTGTGGACCGTGTAAAAAGTATACTACTGGTTCAGCAGATCCCCTTCGCTTCGTAGGAGCTCTGCCTAGTCCCATGCTATCTACCAATGACACATGTTTTCTGAATCGAAGCTCTGATTCTCGTACTGCAATTGCGATCATGGCTCGCAAACGGCGAAACGGAGCGGATACTCCGCTCACGTGTAGAATGGCCCAACTTTTAATGACATTGACCTTGCCATCACCTCGTGTTCGAATGGCTTTCCGTCCTTCTCCCTTCCTATAAAATTCTCTCGAAGGCTAACTGTAAAGACCTCGAGGGTCTTCTTACAGGGTCGGACACTCCCAGCCGCTGGTACTTACGAGGTAGGTCTTCCGCTCCGTTATGGATGCATTTGTGAGCAGGATAGCTGATTACTATTGCAGCCCCACCTTCGGCTCGTGGCACGAATTGACACGAGTTTCACGTCCCCCCAACTCTTGCTCTCTTTGAGATCTCCTCCTTTGAACCTGTATATCCTTCGAAACTTATTTTTTTTTAACGAACCGTATCTTCAAGTTCCATGTCAACCTTGGTGGAACGAGATATGTCCGGATATCACAGCAACTCGGAGTTCACTGGCGTGAGAGCTCCACGCAAGCCTCTCTTGAAGAACGTAGCTCTTCCAGCGAATAGTCCGATAAATTCGCCGACTGTGTCAAGCTTTCCCCGTAGTAATGAATCGACAAGAACTTCACGATTCCCTTGGGTATCAGCACATCTGCTCTCTCGATCGCAAACCCCTGCTCCCCCGCCGACTCGCCGTCCGAATCCCTCTTTCCATGAAGTCGCGACTCCAGCACCAGGTACAAGTCCACACACATACCAGGACCATAGGTCCTCTTCCAGAACGAGAAAGACGTCTGTATCGAGCAATATTTCAGATCGTAAGCTGCTTCTAGTCCTTTATCAAAACGCTTACTTTTAATATTAATGAATGAAAATTCTTTCTCCCCCCTCTACTACTGCGGCGATCAGGTTCCAATGTGATGGCGCCTTTGAAAGGCATCCTCAAGAAGACCGGTTCCTCTTCGAGATCTTCTACTCCAGCTCCTACGGCTAGAAGTATGTCAGATTTCGTACCTCACAATATTTGATCTGTGAGCTGATTTTTTTGAGAAGGCCATGTTCCTCCTACGAATCCTGAGCCTACAATGCATGCGATATCGACTTCATCGGGTGAATCAGCTTCTGGTAGGATAGAAGATTAATTCTTCCAAAAGTTTATATTAAGCGTTGACTTACTATCTTGCAGGTCACCGCTATCATCATCGTCGAACTGATAGCAAAACATCGTCCAGCTCATCCTCTAAAATGGATGGATACTCAAGTGGTAAGCGCGGTCTTCTAGGGGCCTTGATTAGTAGGTTGAATGAAGATACTGATTATTGTAGACTCGCATATGTTGTGGAAACGAAAGGTATCCCATGATGGGGATGGTGAGCCTAGTCTTGAAACTGTGATCTTTATTCGCCCAACTTGTTGCTCTTGTTCCTACAGATTCAAGGCCGAGTTACGCGGGTGACGGAAAGCCTTTAGGCGGTTATCGGAAAGCTACGCCGTCTGCAGGTGAAATAAAGAACCATCGTGCTGTGGATAGATCATGATATCTGATGTTTATTTCTAGTCCCGATGAAAGCTGAAGCCATCGCATTGAACTGGCCTTTGAGAGAGCCAGATCGGAGTCCACGCAAGCAGAGAATAAGCATCTGCTTTGATGTCGCTTTCGACCCAAGGGCGAGCAAGGGAGTGACTGTACCCTACGATATCGATATCGCTCACAGAAGAGACATGTCACACACCGACATACGATTGCCCGCGTCGACGCACTGTATTCTCACTGAAATGCGAATTTTTATAGACTCTGAAGAGTTCAGATGTTGGCCGATCAGAGTGAAGCGCAAAGAGGGGATTAGATGTCTTGACGTCTATGAAGCCATATATAAAACGCTTCAACACCGCTTGACGGACGATGATGTCCGGACTTTTGGTGAGGCTCGTATTCAGCGGTGTTGGAACTATTGCCTACAGCGCTGCATCGATTCGCCAGGGTTACCGGAATACAATAAACAACGTGGTATTCGACGTGTTGATCTTCTGCGAGGACGACGTTTTTTTCGTGGTTTGGTGCAATCGGGCGACGATTGGATTCTACACCTGGATGATTATTCCGGGTCTTCACGACATTAATGAATTTGCATCCCATCATATCGCATCTATTCTCTTGTACCACTTTAATTTCCTACTATGGTGCGCCGTCTTATTATCTTGAATCGGATCGTTTGATAAGGCTAACATGAACCCATCCATCCTATAGCTAACCTTTTATTCTCACCACAATCTTTACTCACTATCCCTCGGACCTTTCTGGTTATTAGGATCTCAGACCGGTCGAGGATTTGGTAATCCTTCGTTTTGGTTCGTTTTGCTTCCAGTTATTTTCATTTCTCATGTTCACCCAGTGTTCACCTTCTCAACATCCCTTTTGTATTTCGTCTGTCTCCATTTACATACATACCAGTCAATCATCCATTATTCCCACCAGCTCATTGCTCATCCTTCATTGCTGTTATCGCTACCATCTCTTACCCAATCGTTCAACTCACTTGTTTTCTTCACACCCCCCTGTATCCCATACTATTAAATACTAAACAGTACCAACTGCGTTGTGTATCATCGATTACCCTCGTTATATCGTCGTGTACGTGCTGTGACAGAGCATAAAGACTTCTATACACCCATCCCCATTCAATCATTGAACTTGTTTTTTTGCTTTGTGTGAATGAATCGGGAACGAACAGGAATTACATGGCGCAATTTTTACGGGAAACGTGTTTGGAATTTTGGTGAGGTGGAGGCGGGCAGGCATCACGTGATACGCGATTTAAGCGGAGTTTCAATAACGCGACGCGCCTTATATAGGACTCGTTAAAAACTGTTTCTTGCACTTGTGCTTCTACCATCGATAGCTTCTGCTGACCTGATCTCAACCTTCAAATATTTGCTCCTCGAGATGCCTAAAGCTTCCTCAAGTAGGTCGATCTGACCGTTTTCAACGCAGTATTTGATCGACCGTCTTTGGTAGCTTCTACTTCCAAGGCAGCAAGCAAGGGCGCCAACGCGAAGACTAGTAAGCCTCGCATATATACTTCTGCTCATCATCATGCTCACTAATTGCTACTCGCTATCAGGCAAAGCACCAAAAGAGAAGCGCCCTCCAAGCGCGTACAACATTTTCGTTTCGGAGAAGATCAAATCTTGGAAAGCAAGTAATCCAAAAGCCAACGCGAAAGATGCCATGAAGGCGGTGAGACTCACATTTTGCTCGATTTGTGAACCATTCAAACTTCTTGCAGGTCAGTGTTATGTGGGCTAGTGCTGAAGAGAATCCAAACCGTGGCAAGCCTCCCAAGTCAAAGAAGGCCAAGACTCCCAAAAACCCCTCCAGCCCGCCAAGGTCCTCTTCTCTACCTGCGGCCGACGACAACGATGTCCCGAGTAGTGATAGGTAAAAACTGCTCCATATATGCGCATACACTCACGCTCACATCAACGGCAGCGTCAATGCTTGATCTTTCCACTTGCAACTTCTGTTTCGAGATGTTCCGCTCTATCATTAAATTGCTTTTATCATTTCCACCCATGGACGTTATGTTGTTTGTATCCTTGCCTATTGTACTTGCTTCGTGGACCTTCTATGGACTTGCCGTTTTGCTCATGTGTTTGTTACTGCTGATTTTGTATATACATGTTACAAGTTGTATCTCAATGGATTGAGGTCTGAATTGTATTTGAATCTGGGATTTGTTAAAGTCGAGTAATTCTCGTTCGTTGGTCGGAGCCAGTACTGCAACTACGACTATTCACTAAGCAACACATAAGTAGAGTTATGTAAAGAGGGAAGTTCAATAAAAAGCAACGAGCAAAGGACAGGAGAGCAGGTGTTACAAATCAAATCAGCAATGACCCCGGAAAATCTCTTCTTTCGCTCTCCAACCAAACCCGGTTTCATTTTTAGGTGTTGTTCTCCAGCCCTCTACTTTCCTGCACGCTTCTTGAGCCCTTCGTCTTTCTTCTCGTCACTGACGGGTGCGGCTTCAGTCTTCTTCTTTTCGTCTGACTTGGGAGCATCAACTTTCTTGGCAGACTGGACGTAAAACGTGAGTAACGAAAACGAAGGAGGGCATGAGACGACCATAATTCACCTTCGTAACAGGTTTTTGCTGGCTACCGACAACACCAGTGACGACACCGAACATACCGAAGAGAGTGAGGAGAGCAGTAACGAGAGCGACACCAGTCTCAGGGTGGGTCTTGAACGCCAACAATGGGTCAAGCTTGAGAAGGTCAATGAAGGTGAAGATCTTGCTGCGAATGAACCCAATGGGGTCTTCACGGAATGATTCCTCCTCCTCCTCCTCATCGTCATCGGTGGCTTTCTTGGCTTTCTCAAGTGACTTCTTGATGTCGAAGGTCTCAGCGGCAAGAGCCTTGGCGTCATCGGTTGAGTGACCGACATAGATGTTGTCGAACAGGATATCCTCAGTCATAGTCCATAATTCGATACCAACGCCACCCTATCATGGAAAAGTTAATTCAGAAAATGTTGATTCAAGAATTTCACGCATACAATCTTGGATAGAGAGCGGACAGGTGTGAGGTCCTCGAAAAAGTCAGGGTTGGCAATCTTGCGAGGAGCCCACTCGCCCTTGTAATCGGGGTTATCGATCATGGGGGCGTACCATTTACCCTTGTAAGCGGGGTTGGCCTTCATCGGACTACAACAGAATTCAGACAAGGTTAAGTATAAATTTCTGAGAAATGAACGCACGGCTTCCATTCACCGCAACCAGGTGCCTCAGCACACTTAGGGTTGGAAACAGTAGGGGCAATCCAGTCACCGTCTTCCTCATCGTCCCATTCTTCGGGCTTCTCAGCGTCTGTGGAATTGTGGTAAGCACCGAAGAAAGAAAGAAAGAAAGGAGGATCTTACCCGGGTCGGGAATGATTAATGGTTCATCATCAAGCCAGCCTTCGGGCTTCTCAGCTTCGGTGTCAACGATTTCGTAAGGAGCTTCTTCATCCCAGTCTTCGGGCTAAAAAGGATATTGAATACGGTGATAGTCAATGACTGTACACATTAAACGAACCTTGCTGGCATCCGGGTCGGAGATCCTCTTCGTGTCGACCCAATCCTCGGGTTTCTTGTCTTCGGGGTCATCAATCTCAGCAGGAGGGTTAACTGCTGGGTCGAAGTCCTCGAGAAGATTTCCGGATTTGAGACTCTCGTTATTAATAAGAATTTCGTAGGTGTTGTCGGGGCTAAAGCGGGCCGCGTGAGAATACTAAACGCGGGGAAGATTTGAAGCGACATACTTGACGATGAGAGTGTATAAACCGGCGAGCTTCTCGATAGAGGGCTTGGGGGAAGCCTTAAGATGTTTCTCCTCGAACACACCAGTCTTGGGGTTCTGGTGACGGAAAATGAAGTGAATCTGAAAGAAATGAAATGTGAGTTTTGGCCAGAAAAAGTGACACGTAGATTTAACCTTGGTTCCAGGACACGTCAAATCAGGACCGAACATGATGACCCATGGCGTAGTATCAGAGAACTCCTTTCCACTCGTCTGGAAACCATCCTCCAAAAGCTTGAGGTAACCACCACCGCAATTACCACCCTTCTGGTATTTGACCTCATACTGGACCACGAGCGGTTTCTCCTTGAAGTCTACCGGCTCGGCAAAAGGTGCAGAAATTGCATGATGAGCAGCTTTGCTTTTTGCAACCAAGCCGACGTCACCCTCTATGATCTGAATCAAAGGTTCTTCAACTTTCCATTCACCGACATAACTAAATGTTTCGCCGCCGACTGGGGTCTTTTTGGTAGCCTCTGAGGGTGTCCAACGTTCAGACCAGTCTTCGGTAAACTGTTCGATAAAAGGTGCCTTGATTTCGGTGGGCTATGAGAGAAGAAGAATGAGTACGAGGGTACAGTTCATGATATTTCATACTACGTACAGTGAATGTGGGTTTCGCATCTTCTGCCTGTGCGAGAGCACCAGAGGCAGCAAGAGCGACGACAGTAAGCGCTACGCTTCGCATGTTAATACGAAGGACCGGAAGTAATAAGCAGATGCAGAAAAGAAAGAGGGATAAGCTGTATGGCCCGCGGTTTGTAAAATGCCGGCCTAAATACTGGGGCGCTAAGATGTGGATACGTGGCACTTGCCCTCAGTTGCCTCCCACGGTGCTGGAGGTTCTTAAGAGTCCTTGGACTTGGAAAAAACCCGGAGAAAAACTCTCAGCAATTGCGAGAATTGAACAAAGGAAGTCAAGGCATGGTATATCTCACATCCTAGAGTATCTAATATGATTGTCATTGGTTCAACGGCCAGATCTTCAATCAGAACCAAAACTCAAGTAACAAAAACGATGGCCATCCGGGGGCTAAATCTGGGCTAAATGCACTTGAGATTTTCAGTAGTATACTATTACCACCTGTGAATAATTTTGTTCTGCATGATATAGGTAAACAACATATGCGCACGATCAATGGGACCTGCCCAATGTAGAGTAATATACATACAGAACATCGACGTTTTCTCTTGATAGCTCTTGCTAAACGTCCAGATGTAGTATGATTGCAGTGGTGAGATTTTCACGAAACCGAGGACTTGCGCTGGTACGGGAATTCGGAAGCTCAAAGACCATTGTCAGCGACGATACTTGACTATAGCTGTTAGGAATTCGATCCTTTGGAGGAAGTTGGCTATGTCTTTACAATCAATGTATAAAGGAGTAAATTCCCGTAAAATCCGAGAGGAAGGAGTTCCGATGTCAGGACATGGATGCAGACCAGAGGGGTCCGAAACTCGAAGCATGCAGTAACATGGCAGTTCCACAAGTTCAAACTTTCAAGACCAGCTGATCGCCATCTGCTTCGTGTATGGGGAATAGTATGCATTTTGAGTCCTAACGTCGGACAAGCCACAATCTTAATTTGCCCTAGTAAATAGTTAACTAGATTCATTGCACGTAGAATAACCAATACGAAGATAAAGACTAATGCAGTCTAAGGAGGTCCGCCTAATCCACCTTCCAGTCAATACAACTCCATACAGCCCTTGCGGCTCAAGTCGAGCATAACCGGGGATGAGAATGAAAATGAGTGAAAATGGCGGAATGGCATGGGTCAGAGTCTTCGATCATGTTATGTGCCAATGGAATGTTAAAAGTTGGCAGTTGTTGACGTCGTTAATTTTGTACCGAAGGACGAGAGACATCGACATCAATTTCAATACGCCACCTCGGACACAACGAATACTGCATCGTCACAGAGATTGAAAATTTAGTAGAGTCATAACGAGAAAGGAATTATATGTACCATACACCCACTCACTCATGTCTTACTCGGTAGATTGTGTCAAGAGTGGCAGTACTTCGTAATGTCGACGTCCTAGACGCATCCCATACCAAAAACGCTCATTTATGCCGTCGGGAACCAGTCAGGAGATGACCAAAGCTTGTCGACGATTACCGCCGCCGAAATGACCCTTTAAGTTCGGGATACATTCAATATTGTTCGCCACCAATCCTTTGACAGTAGAGTAGTCTAGACAATCCGAGTCTGCGGAAATTATCGGATCCTTGACCGCGAGATTGGACGACGACGGAAACATTAAAAAGGAAAGGTTACTGCGCCTTCAACATCACAGTACAGCACAGGCACGGTACCAACCAAAATCCAATTTGTTTCGGTTGTGAAAAAGGTAGTCGACAGGTGAAATAAGGACATTGAACTGTGGGAAAATCTGTCAACTGGCCGTCTGTACTTACAACGGTCAGCCACTGCTTTGTTCCTTCTCACCTTCCTTCTTCCTTATTTTCTTTTCCATATCTGCTTATCATTTCTTCTCCCGCCCCTCGCTAGTGCGCTTCTGGGTGTCACCTTTCATACGCGTCCACTGCAGCTTTCTCGTACAATCATACAACCTTTTGGAGCCATGGGGAACTGTGTATCCCAACCAGGGAAGGAAGACAAGGAGAGGAGTGACGCTATCGACAGACAGATCGAGGACGATTCGAAAAAGTTCAAGAGGGAATGCAAGATTCTCTTATTAGGCGAGTCGTCAAGCTGGTCTTTGTTACTGGTTCATATGGCTAAATCTCTTTCAGGCTCCGGAGAATCCGGGAAATCAACTATTGTCAAACAAATGCGTATAATTCACAAGGACGGCTTTCCAGACTCTGAACGCGCAACATATCGCAGTATTGTGTATCGCAACGTTCTTGACTCAGCTCAAGCTATCATCGTAGCTATGCGTAAGCTCGGCATTGATTGTACAGTTTACTCAAATAGAGTGAGTCTTGGGACACTATTCTTAGCCTTTCGGTGCAAAGTTGTTCCAGGGAGTGAGGCGCGGGCTTCGTAAAGGACACGCCTTTTCGGATTTCATTTCTACCTTATCTCTTTCACTTTCTGCTTCCTCGCACTGACGTCGCTTTACAGATGCTTGCCGACAAAATCATGGACTACCACCTCGACGAGACGACGGCGTTCACATTGTCACCTGAAATAGCAGATGCGATACATCAATTTTGGGGCGACCCGGTCATGAGCAAGGTTGTTGACGAGCATGGCAGCGAATTTTATCTCATGGATAGTGCACCTTAGTGAGTTTGATTGAGAACAATGCAACTATACAATCTCATCATACATTGTATAGCTTCTTCGGGGAGGTCCTTCGAATAGGCTCGCCCGACTATCTCCCCACCGAAACAGACGTGCTGAGAGCACGACAGAAGAGCACCGGGATAACCGAGACGAGATTCACAATGGGTCAATTATCGTAAGTCTGTTTCTTCATTCATTCATTGACGCCACTTAACTTCAGCTCTGATCAGCATTCATATGTTTGATGTTGGCGGCCAGCGCTCAGAAAGAAGAAAATGGATACACTGTTTCGAAAGTGTCACCAGTATTATCTTTTGTACAGCGTTGAGCGAATACGACCAAGTTCTATTAGAAGAACGGAACCAGGTATGTTTCTCACTCTTTTCAATCGATGACACAGTGGAATTCATTCGTCCCTTTTCAGAATCGAATGACGGAATCGTTAATCCTCTTTGAGAGCATCATCAACTCTCGCTGGTTCCTCAGAACAAGTATAATTCTATTCCTAAACAAGATCGATGTGTTCAAGAAGAAATTGCCGAAGGTGTGTGATATCTTATACATATGATGAACGTACCCCCAATGTCATCATCCGGTCTCTCAGGTCCCTCTAGAACGCTACTTCCCGGAATACACTGGTGGGAATGACATCAACAAGGCGGCTAAATATATTCTTTGGAAGTTTATGCAGGCCAATCGCGCAAGATTAAGTGTCTACCCGCAGTGAGTTGTCTCGTTATCATTACACTCGTTCCTAATCACGACCTAATGTATCTCATATCTTTTAGTTTAACGCAAGCAACAGATACCACGAACATTCGTCTGGTATTTGCAGCTGTCAAGGAGACCATCTTACAAAATGCACTGAAAGATTCTGGTATCCTGTGATATCTTTGGGTGGGGTTGTGGTTTGGGAGATTCAGGAAGAAGAAACTATATTCTTATTTTATCGCATTGCCCTCGAGCACTAGGCTTCGTTGGGCATATCGAGCTCTGGAATCTGGAATCTGGAATTGGTTGGCAGAGGACACCGCGAGGGTGGTAGGGGTTGTTTCGTTCTGCGGGTTTTGGTGGCTGTACGTCAACAGGACGTACAGGAAGGTCCTCAAGTTTGCCTAGTCCGTCCATTCAGCAAACTCGTCTTTCCTTTCCTTTTCACATTCTTTCCGAAGCTGGCACGACGGTATATCTGGATGCGCCAGGGGCCACAGACCAAGTGGCAGAAATTCTGGCGTAAGCCTCCGGTGATCAAGTATCAAAAGTTCAGGAATGTCAATCAAATGAACAATCACTTGTCGTCAACTGGTGGTTGTATTTTCAAACTAACCAATACGGTGTACATGTGCAGGGCCTGTCATAGCCTGTCATGTCTGGCTGTCATGGTCCGGGGTCGGGTAATCATATTGCCTGCGGGATGTTATGCGCATTGTACGGGCTCAACAAAACGGACATGGTCTACCGTCGCATTTTCCTGATCTCACTCGATCCAGTTCTTCGATCATTCCGCGACCATCTTTTGGTCGGCCCAATTTGTTTGCGATTACCGGGTGGCTGTTTGGATAGATGAGCAGGAGGGCTATGTTTTTTGATCCAAGTTTTCTGCATCTTTCTCCATCATTTTTCACCATTATTTTTATTTTTTACTCTCTGGTTTCTGTGACACCTATGCATACCTTGCCGTGTCTTTACCTCATTTACCATATCTTACTCCCATCGTTCAACCCAATGAAACATAACACATACATATCCTCAACATTGCACACATCCATACGAACTATATATTAATTATCTTCCTGTCGTTCTCCACACCACCTCCCCCAATGCACTGTCGTCTTCCAAAAGAGGATCTACAAAACACCTCGTATAATTCATAACTTGCGGAGCGTTCCAACCCTAGCTTAGGGCACGACTGGCCTGCCCTCAATATACCATATTCGTTGAAAAAAAAAATCTTCCGTCCTGTCGTTCTTTGTGTACCAATTCTTAACGAATTTGAATCTTCTTGAACTTCAGGCGCTTCAACCTCCAGATAACTTATACAGAACTCGCTTCTTCGAAACAATGCTGTTCTTTCTCCTCTTGAACCACAAACCAAGTCAAGGCTTCGGTGAAATCTCGTACCGTCGAGGCCTGTTACGTTCGTGGAATATCAGCCCGGCTTGGACTGTTCACCATCGGGTTCCGTATTGGATCTTGGTGGAGCTCTGGAAAGCCCAAGTCGATTAGTCCTGCGAAGAGTTGAGTATGATGCTTCTAGTATACATTGTACTCGTAGTGTTGGGGCACACATCATTCTATGTACATTGTCTCCGTATATGGCTTTGAAAGATGATTTGGTCTTTGAAACGACAGGTCCGAGTCTGCAACTGCGAACTTCAGTACCATTCATGTAGTTTTATGTCTGAATGAATGAGTCACAATCGTGTATGTCTTTTTCAAGTTCTTTGAAAACAGATCTAGAACGACCGGATACGTTGTTACGTAAAGCTCAAAGGCACATGAGCAGACGTGAGCTCGGTGAGCTCGTTCAGAGTAAGCGCCGAATCCCTTCCGCTCCCTTCCGTTACTCGAGTCTCCTTCGACTCAATCTATCGCATTTTGCTTATGGTGCCTCTCAGCTTCTCGTAACTTCTATTGAATGGCTTCACATAGCTCGCAAATACCTCGTCGGAAACGCCCTTCGGCTCTAGATGTCGCATTTGGTGATGAGATTCAAGATACGCCCAATACACAACCAATAGCAACCTCATCGTCTCAAGCTCTGCGGAAGCCACCTAAGCGAAAATTGAAAGATAATGAGGTATATCCTGGTGTCCCCTCCATAGCATCGTGCTGCACAAATGCAATGAATCTAGCATCCAAATTATTCGAAGAAGGTCAAATTACCTCCCGGTACGTTTAATCTCCATAATGTGCACACTTGATAAACTCACTCCCTGGGTAGCCTGCTACTTCCGGCTGCCTTCGGATGTTGATTTCCTTCATGAGTCGGCGTCGATGAGGATCGCCGGTGAGGACGACGACCAACCCGATGACGCGCCAAAAAGAATTCGCAACCTGTGGAAATTCACAATTTTCGACCCATTGCATAAGAACCAACTGATTAGTCTTTCGTCGCTGGAACAGCCCGATGGTCGCGATAGCAAATTCGAAGCATATGGAAACGTCACCGCTTTTGTTGAGAGTGAGGAAGACGAAGGCCAGGAAGCGGATCTGTCGAGTCCTGATACGGTTCAATTTGTTCACCTTAGTTCTATACTAAGTGTAGCGTTGGATTACACTAAAGGGCACAGGTGCGTATCTTTACTCCTTCTCTTTCATATAATTCACTTGACATTCGTTTAGTCCATTATATATCGAAACTCAACATTCATGGTACATTTTACAAATGCCATCTTTTCAATACAGAGATTTCTTGCACGAATTCTACCTCCCTCATCGCTTAGCCCAGATGTTAATTAGTTCTGCACTTGCCAATCGGAACCTAACTCATCGACAATTTATTGACGATTACTTATCCAAAGCTCCTGTGCTTTTGGATCACGATGTTACTGAGATTGATCTGAAATCAGCAGTACTACTCTTCACGATTTCTCCACTCTATATACTCATGGCAATGAATAGGTCTCTCTCATCCGCGACGTGGTTAAAGATGTTATTATTGAACACCCAAACATCCAGCGAGTACCCGCGATCAAGTTCTACCTCATTCCGCAGACGGGCTCTGATACACCGGAACGTTTGAGGAGGGGGCTAACAGCCAAAGGCCCAGGCGAACGCAGAGTCAACATTGATATTACCGTGCTCAAACCTGAAAATCAAACACCAACCACTGTTACCCCTCTCATCAACACCTTGGCCCAAAAATACTTTCGTGAAAATCTTCGAGTTGTGGCACCGCGTCCGCCGAGGGACCTTGAGAAAATACGCGAAAGACAAAGTGCACGTGAACGTGTGCATCAAGAATTGTTGCGTCTCATCCGCTACTGCTACGACCGAGGGAAATGTAAATGGAAATATCAAAAAGTGGATTCCATTCGAAACGGTTCTAAATACTTAAGAGCAATCACTGTCGACGACGTTCTATATAAGGTTGGATTTTGTCCTCAACTATTCACCATCCGCTAATTCTCTACTTCCCAGATTGGCGATACAATCATCGTGCCTATCGGTGATGATCCCGCTAATCCCAAGGCTAATCCCAAGCTTAAGGGGCGAGACAAGGACATGAAAGAGGAGAAGTTTTCATTGCCTTTACCGAATGAAGACATCTCAATGAATAAATCATTTGAAGACTTCTTTTGGTAAGATATCCCTCACTCTCTTGATAATGTGTTTGGCATTTCTAATTCCGCCTAGGTTTGCACGAATTATTAACATTGACCTTGACCTAAGGGTGGTTCATGTGCAATGGTATAACCACGGGAATGCAACAGCAATGGGGGAACTCTCGCATCCTCAAGAATTATTCCTTCAAGCATTGTGTGGTCCAGTTGCACTTGAATCCATTGTAGCAAAGATGAGGGTGCACCAGCTGCAGGCTGATATTAAGGGTCGATTTCCCGACACCAAGGATATCCCGTACGGTGAATATTTCTGCAAGTGAGCATTCTTCTTGAGCTTTCCCTACACCTACTTATCTTTGTATCTAGATCAGAATATGACCCACAAATGGCCTCCTTCACAGCCATTAGAAGTGAGTTTCTGTTGTCCGAAATCAAAAGCGATAACTGCGCTGTTTGTCACATTTCGCAAATGGAGAAGGAATTGCAATATCCGACGCGAATTCGACAGGAGGAAGCTATCACTTTCCGGGGACGGGACTTCCATATTTTAGATTACGTGCTTTATCGGTCGTTTGAGGATGGCCCTGGAAATATTGGGCAGGTCACCTCTTTTGTTTTTCCGCAGCGAGAAACATCTTGGGATCCAATTGAGGTTGTTGTAAGGAAGCTTGGACGGATATCATCTCTAAAGAGGGTTATACCTGATAATGAGATGGTAGATGAGGTGAGCGCAGGTCTCAATGGAGCACGCTTTGATCTAACTACAAATCAGAGAGAATTATTCTATACAGAAGATCAACCTGGTAATTATGATTGGATCCATGCTACCTCCCTTATCCAAGTCTGCCACGTCTTGGCTGCTGAACTCCGCTCGGAGCAAATTGAGAATTGGATCATGCACGGTCCAGAGCACTTTTACGTTCGCTACTGTTTCCCGTCTCTCGATGTCCAATCCTGGGCGTCCAAGAAACCCATCAGACGAAGACAGATTACGATATGCGAAAAGTGTCATCAAAAGCGTCTGAAGGAGGTCGAGTCTTTGAACGAGTTCCTCACCTACCAGCAAAAACACCCACTTCGTGCTCTCGATGTTTTTGGTGGGAGTGGTGCTTTTGGTACTGCGTTGGCGAACGGAAGCTCATGCTTCGACGTCACTCATGCAATTGAGATTGCGCCTTCTGCAGCTCAAACATATCGGTGAGTGAAATTGTTTTACTTGCGTAATAGTGCTGATCTGATACACAGAAAGAACTCTCCCCAGACAGCAGTCCATAATGTATGCGTTAATGAGGCTGTGCAGTACATTGTTAAGAAGAATCGCGGTGTCGAAACCGACGACGACATTCCTATCGATCGCACAACTGGAGAGCGCCAGATATTCTCTCTCAAGCCGGGAGATACAGACGTCCTGGTAGCTGGTTTTCCCTGGTATTCACACCATGCTATCTTGTCGACGAAATCTAATGAATCCGATTTGTAGTCAACCGCATTCCTCTCAGAACATCTACAAGAATGCAAATGACATCAAGACAAATCTCATCCTTCCGTTACTCAGTCTCGTCGATGTTTTGAGACAAAGAATTGTAGTTCTTGAGAACGTCGCTGGGTTCTTATATTGTAATCTAATGGGTACGCAAAAGGGGCGACACCGTGTTGAAGGTGGAATCAAACAAGGCGCGCTCAAACTGGTTATTCGGGCTTTAATTGAGATGGGGTTCGTTCACTATAATATCTTTCGACAAGCAATTGCTTACTTGTTTGAAATTTGGCGTAGCTATCAGGTCCGATTCTCTCTTCTTCAGGCTGCCCATTACGGCGTTCCTCAAGGTCGTGTTCGTTTTTTCTTGATTGCAACACTTCCAGGCACACCACTTCCAGAACTCCCTCAACCTACCCACTACTTTCCTCTAGAAGGGGTAGCGCCGCATTTGCGAATTACCTTAACAAATGACAGAACGATCGAACCTTTACAAACGGATCGGGGGATCACACTGTTCCCTCTAGTCACAGTCGCAGATGCTATCGGAGATCTTCGTCGGTTTGACTGGTCAGTAGATTGGCACCACCTCAGACTCTGAATTCTACATCTGACTAACGCTGTACAGGGAACACCCTGCTCCACGGAATTGGACTATCGAGCAACGGCGGGAAGCAGAACGGCGCAAGGAAATTATCCCCACTGTCCCATGTAGAGTACATCTTCCTTGGTGGGGCTTGCCCGAAGGGCAATCTCCGTATCAACACCCTGTGCGTTCAAGATTCCAAATTGAAGCACGGATACAACCACCGCCTCCAGATATCCAACATTACACGCGGAAATTACCTCCCAAAACGGTTGAAAGGTAGTGTCTGTTTGTTTGACACAGTCAGAGTTATTCTGATCCATTATGAGTCAGAGTTGTGAATATCAACCTCGAACCTGGTTCCGATTTCCGAGGTATGTAGGACATTAGAGAAAATCTCTATATCCATGATCTAATAACATAGATATCCAGGATTGCCTGCGCATCTCTCTGAATTCCAATTTTGGAATCCTTCCTCGTTCGTCGCTAAAAATCGGGGGATAAAAAGTGAAGTTCTATCTCTATTGCAACTCCCAATGAATCTGATGCTTGTCTTGTCCCGCTTTCAGGCCTCTATAAGCGTTTGGATCCTAACCGCTATTTTATGACCACGATTACGAATATCAGTCCTACAGCGAAACAGTCTGCGGTCATACATCCATTCGTTCGTCTTAGAGAGTCAAAATATCCATATATGTCTAACGTACATTGCAATTCTAGTGTCGTCGTCTTCTCACAGTTCGTGAGCTTGCTCGCTCACAAGGATTCCCAGATCACTTCTTTTTCTATGCCATTGACGACAATATAATCACGGTGCGTCTCTATTTATCGGACCGAGAGATTACTCGTTGACCTCTAAATTTGTAGATGGTGTGCTTGATTTTCGTTTCACTTAACAATTTTGGCTCATTTTGGTTTCTGTCAGCATCGTTGCATTGGCAATGCGGTTCCTTGGCAGTTGTCCCTCGCAATAGGACAGGAGATTAAAAAAGCGTTACATGATAAATGGAAAAGGCGAGAGCAGATTGTGATTGACTAGGCAGGGAGAATACTACAGATGTATTCGTAATTTTGTTATGCGATTTTGACGATGACCTTCTCTCCGCTAACCTTATTATTTCGGAGCAAATCCAGACCCACGTCAACACGATCCTTGAGGGAGCCATAGGATTCGTCCAAGAGGCGGATTTTTGTGGGCTGGATGATTTTTTTCTCAAGGAGAGTGGGCAGAATTTTTGTCATTAAATTATCCTTCAAGTATGGAACCTGAATTTGATGTTTGTGAGGTTTCCGATATTAATTGAAAGAGAGTGAAATGCACGGACCTGTTCGAACAAAAAAGTCCTGACTCCTGCTAGCCTGGTGCCTTTCGGGAGAGGGTTCAATGAGTCTGGTATTTCAAGCCACATTGTATCGCTTTCGGCGCTCCGGACGTTACTACCAATCTTTAAAGGCAGAAGAACTGCTACCGTGCCCTCTGTGCTAACAACCTTTGAGATCGCAGCCATAGTCGTCTGGGCAGTGATACAGTCAAGCACGAATTTTAGTTTTCCTCCCTCTGAGGCAGTAACTACGGAGTTTATATCCTCAATCAAACAAGGACTGTTGTAGTCGAAAGTGTGCGTTGCACCGAGGGACCGTAGGTATTCGTGATGTTTCGGGGACGCCGTAACGAGAACGTTTGTATATCCTGCACTGTGCAAAAGTTGAATGGCATAATGGCCCGTCGTTGAGCCTGCACCGTAAATAAGAATGGGTACATTGGCAAAAGAGGGGGATTCGGGTGCGGGGAACGACGTTGGGTAGGGCAAGCCGAGATATTCGGGGTTGAACAAAGAGTTGAACGCTGTGATGAAATTATCTGGGATGGCGGCGGCGGCTTCCAGAGAAACAGAGTCAGGAATCTACGCGGGAAGCATCGCGTCTCAATTGAATTCGTCATAGAACCTACGATAGGTACGAACCTTTGCGATTACTGACCTAGTTTGCAAAGTATATTCTTGCATACCCTTTGCTTCTGAGTTGCGGAACGTAAACGCAGTTACCTGCAGAACATGTCAGATCCGTGCTTGGCTTCACCATGAAGTGTGGCTTGCCCTGTCACCTATTTGGAGATCATCGATACCTATACCAACTTCCGCGACTGTTCCAGAAGCATTGAAACCAAGAATCATCGGAAAAGTGGCGGAGTATCCAAGATCGTTGATATAAGTATCAAATGCAATCATCGCGGCATAGGCGACCTTGATTAGCACTTCACCTTCGCCAGGTGCAGGAGTAGGAACCTGGATGGTGTCAAAATACTTGAGTGAGAGCGAGGCTATTGCTGTGTGGGTTCTTGAGGCAGGCATGCTTGAAGATGGATTCTCTCAAAGGAAAGAGCATTGTGCTTAAATACAACCGGATTGAAACAGATACATTGACAAGGAATCTTGGGCTGACAAAAAGCCTTTGTAAGCCATCGTCGAAATGACTGATCATACGCTTACTCATTGAACGAGCAAACTCAAGCTGTTGCGGAGCTGATGGTACATTGGGTTGAGGTATCATGAATTAGATGTATGTTTAAGGATAGCTAGCTGCTAGTTGAAGTTGAATGAGAGTCAGAAAGCGAAAAAGAATGGATAGACAAAGATATAAAATATTCAAATACTTGAAAGTTTGACGATGTTCCCCTTGAGATTATGACGGTACAGTATTAGAGTAGAAATGTCCGATGAGCGCAGCGAAAGCGTGGCAAGTAAGTAAATATGATTGATATTGCCTGGCCAGATACACTCCTCCTTCTATCAAGCTACTTCTCTCCACCTTGATTCGACACCTTGTACCCAAGGGATACGACAACCAAGAATGTGGACATGCTCTCAGGAACCAGAGAGCAAACAGGAGTCCCCTACATGACCACACAATCTTTGTCCTTGGCACTCTTCGAACTAGTATCGTCGCCGTTGCCACGATTCAGTACTGACCCAGGACCACCAGGCTGATGCATAACCTGTGTCGTAGAGCCCTTCAATCGTTGAGCGGCTCGTTTATCTCCCTGCTCTGCGGCGCGTTTGTAATATGATATAGCTCTACAAGGTGAAATGAGTAAAACGCAGGAAATGAGTGAAAGATTTCGTTGAATCGGAAACTTACTGGGGTAAATCTGGGGGTGTTCCTATTCCGACTTCTAAGAAATAGCCAACAGCGTACATAGCCTTAACCAGGCCTGCATCCGCGGCCTTCTGAGACCACAGGAAAGCTTCTGTGTCTGATTGAGGGAGAACACCGGGTGAACCGACCAGGTACCATGCTGTTAGGGCAAAGCAGGCATCCCGGTGATTCTGTTGGGCAGCAATATTCTAGAGGAAGACGCTCAGCGTAGATCAGTTCATGGAGGCAGTAGACACACATAATAGTGTATGGACAGCGCAGGATCCTGTGGGCATCCCAACTTTCCGTACTCGTAACATTCTCCCAATCTGTACGCACTTGGTGCATATCCCAGTTCCGCTGCTTGAGCGAGCAGTTCCGTGGCATACTCGTAGTCTACGAACACAACATTGTCAATCCCCCGTTCGTGCAAAAGAGCCAGTTCATGTAACGCATGAGGAAACTCTGCAGTAGCATGCTCAGCACTGCGTTTCAGCCACTTTACTCCCTCTTTGGGACTTTTCGATTGGCCCAGCTCGCCATTAAGCTCTGCAATGCCCAGCCGGTACATCGCACCCGGATGTAGCGATGCAGCAGCCTTCTTGAAGAACTGGAGTGCTTTAGCAGACTCTCTTCGACATCCCCATCCATTTTCACAACAGGTTCCTGCTCGATATGCGGCATCTGGATGACCGTGCTTGGCGGCGAGGACGAACAGCGGATAGGCACGATCAAAGTCCTGCTTGTTCTTCGGAGTACCAATGCCATTGGCGTAACAGTCTGCGAGGAAATACTGTGAAGCAGGATGACCTCTATCAGCAAGTCGTTTGAGCAATGTCATAGCCTCCTTGATCAGATCCTCTCTCTTCTCCAAAGCCTTCTCAACCTGAAGCAGGTTACCTGGCGTGTTCTCCGGTATGGGCATCGACTTCGAGGCGTCAATCATGAAGACTGCAAATTCGAATTGGATATCAGGATCCTGTGTCTTCTTAGCGTTTGCTCTGTAGAGTTCGAGAGTTCGTTCGTGGGAGAGAAGGGCGGCGTGGTTTCCGGGGCGTAGATGAGAGTGGTCGAGAATTGGACCTGGAGGAGGTGAAGGGCCTCTGGTAGATTGTGCAGCTATTGAACGTGAGCCAGGACCAGCTGGAGGAAATGATTCGGGCATGTATGTTGATGCTGGACGACTTCCGGTACCATTTCCAGCGTAAAAGTCGTCGGGATCGTTCGGAGGTGTGTATCCAGCGTCCTCATCCTCGTATTCCTGCTCAGCTTCCTGATATTGTCGACGATCTAGAGGTCTTCCAACGTCCGGCTGGTATTCTAGAGCTTGCGAGTAATTGGACTGTGGCCGCTGCTGCGGGGCTACCTGAGCGTACATGATGGTCAAGAGTAAGTTATCAAATTCAAAACATACATCATACGTCAGTAACAATGAGCGCTCCTCCAAATCTTTAAGTTTTAATCGTTTATTTTACATGGACTCCTAACGGTGGACAGTCTTCATCAACGCCGCCAGCCTTACTCTGACCTTGCTTACTTTGCTTACTGAGTGTGTATAAATGAATAACCTCCCCATCCGCCGGCGGAGCCGAAGACCGATATTTCTCCTGGTCAACACAACATATCCTCATAGCGAGAACGCGAACACCTCGCCTGAGATAATGTGGTATGAATACATCAAGAGGAAACATATAACCGTGAGGACGAGAAAAAACCATAAGCCATGTCCAAATTTGTCCAAATGTATCCATAGGAGCAACACATGAAATTCTCCAAAGCGGTATGCCAGAATCACGTCGTGGCAAGCAGTAGCTAGAGTCTGGTCGAGCAAAAACAAAAACAATTACTGCGGCGTTTACATTTCATTTCAGAATGAGCTTGAACCGATCGACAACGATTTGAACGATATCTCGCCACTCTGTCATAGCTCCTAAGCCTGTAATGCCACGTCAATTCGGAGTTCTAACTAGGATCGATTAAGACTCGCCGACGTCTCCGCAAGCTAAACCTTTTCCTATTGGACCGACAACAGTATACCGCACGACTTCTTGAACAACACGAAGGTGCTCGGATGTTAAAGGATGCTCGTACATAAGCGTGTTCATGGCTGGAAAAACATAAGTTGGTGTGGTGGGAGACAATGCACGAAGGAGGGACGTCTGAAGAAAAGTCAGCAGTGAGACGGGCAGCGTAGTGCGGTTTTTAGTACGGCAAGGTTGTCGCATATTCCGTGAGCGATCTTGGATAGAGTATTCGCAGAGCAAGGAGCCACGAGAACAACATCTGCCCAGCGTCTTAATTCTATGTGAAGAATGGGATCGCCGATCTTGTAATCGCTCTAGAAGCAGCAGAAGAGATTAAAGAAGAGACGAATGAAGACAGCCACTGCACCTTCCACTCGTCTTGATCAACCCAAACTCTACCTCCTGCCTTGGTAACATTGTCCACGTTGAAGAAAGTGAGTGATGGTTGAGTGGCGACGATTTCTATCTTGACCTTTTCGTGCTGTTTAGTTTATCTCAAGATGTATGTCAGTTTGCCGGTATCGATGACCCAACTTTCAGCAATTCTTCGACAATCAAGGGTGCTTTGACTGAGGCGACGCTGCCAGTAGTGATAAGAAGAACATGGGTGAATCCTTCGACACGCTCTTGCTCGGCGATGAAGACCATGGTGGTTGTAGAAAGAATTAGTAATGAATCACTACTAACGAGGCTACACCACTCCGTAGAGTCAAATTTTATCGGAATTAACTTCCAAGGCCGTCTGCAGTTATAACCAGGAAAACTGTTGCACGAAACACCTTCTGATGTTTCCTGTACTCATCCCGGAATTGAAGAGGAATTGTCAGGAGTTGTCAATAGATTTTCGGAAGGCAAAACTTTCAACGCGTCGGCCAAGGATTTTGTTCGCGACGGGCAGAATAAACTATGTATATGTAGAATAAAGCGGCAAGTAAGTTCCGGTGATAGGCACTATAAATGGCACTAAAAGGGTATATTGATATGTGTTTCGAAACTATTCAAAATGAGGAGAGTGGGGAAAAGGAAGCCCCACTCCTCTTCCGCTACCAGCTGGAGCCTTCCTAATCGCCCAACAGGTATTCTTTTTCTCAACTTATCGATATCTTGGTGCAAAGTTCTCATTCTCTTCATAAGGAAGTCCAAAATAACCTTGCTTGATCCAGAAATAACCCTTGGTTCGCAGAGATAGTAATAAGGCATTTGCTATTCCACAGCAACGAAAACGGGCGTTTTGTATATAGGCTTTGTTTGAAAAACTTTCTTTGCGGTGAAAGATGGGCGAGTTCTCAACCACTATCCTCTCAATTCTCAGAAGGGAGGCTCCGGACCAAGGAGGCTTGTTAACAGGAAAGGATCCATCGGCCTTCAATACTTCAGATCCTATACGGCTATGGATTATTCAAGTAGGTTCGTAACTCCCTTTGTGATGCTCTAGGGACACAAGATATAAAATTACACTTGCATTAGGTGTCATTGTCGGAATGGCGTCCTTCCTTTCTCTCGGTCTCCGAAAGATCAGGCAACCTAAAGTTATTGCGGAAGTCCTGGGAGGTATTCTTCTCGGGCCCACTGCTTTTGGTCGTATACCAGGTTTCACAGAGCACGTATTTCCCTCTGATTCTATCCCATACCTCTCCCTTGTCGCCAACATCGGTCTCTGTCTATTTCTTTTCCTTGTTGGACTCGAGATAGATATGTCTATCATTCGACGCAACGCTAAACTTTCCGGAACCGTTGCTCTAGCGGGTATGATCATTCCTTTTGGCGCAGGAGTGGGTCTCTCGAAGCCTCTCTACAATCAATTCATCAATACCCCAGACAGCGGTCTCACAGGATTCGTCAAGTTCACATACTTCATGCTGTTCACGGGTGTTGCGTACTCGATCACAGCGTTTCCTGTGTTGTGCCGTATCCTGACAGAGTTGAAACTCCTAGATACTACGGTTGGTGTCGTAGTGCTCTCCGCGGGTGTAGCAAATGATATTATCGGATGGACCCTCCTTGCCCTTTCCGTCGCCTTGGTCAATGCCGGCTCAGGTCTTACCGCACTGTACATCCTACTTGTCTGCGTGGGCTGGGCATTAATTTTGCTGTTCCCAGGAAAGATGGCTCTGCAATGGCTTGGACGTAAGACAGGCTCCACAGAAGGACATGGGCCTAGTATGTTTTTCATGACAGTCACAATGTTGCTCCTCTTTGGTAGTGCATTCTTCACAGACGTCATTGGTGTCCATGCTATCTTTGGTGCCTTCCTCACAGGAATCATCGTTCCTCGTGAAGGCAATCTACCCATCTATTTGACGGAGAAACTGGAAGATATGGTTTCTATCATCTTTCTTCCCCTGTACTTTACCCTCTCCGGTCTCTCTACCAATCTCGGTTTGCTTGATAACGGTATAACTTGGGGCTACACAATCGCTATCTGCGCCCTCGCCTTTACCGGCAAATTCGGGGGCTGTTGTCTTGCTGCTCATTATGTTGCCAAATTTAACTGGCGAGAGAGTGGCACCATAGGCAGTCTCATGAGTTGCAAAGGATTAGTGGAGCTCATCGTGCTGAATGTCGGGCTTTCTGCTGGAATACTTAGTCAGAGAGTGTTCTCGATGTTCGTCTTGGAAGCGCTCTTGTTGACGTTCATGACGACGCCTCTGGTAACGTTGTTGTATCCACCCGAAGCACGTATCCGCGTCGCAGCTACTGGTGCTAATTTCAATAACGTTGCTGATAGGGACAACATGCTGGAACCAGGAAGCAAGCTTGATGTTGAGGATAGGAAAGGCTCTTCTTCTGATGAGTCCTCGGACGGCGAGGAACGAATGATGAAGACTCGCTTTACGGTAGTTCTCGATCGGATTGAACATCTACCTGGGATGATGGCTTTGACGCAGATGATCAAACCTTCCCTTGTGTCTCTCCAATCATCCTTGTTGCCTGTAGCTCCTTCCCAGCCTATACCCGACTTGCAGCAAGTCACCCCTGCAAGTGAAATTTCAGGCGGTGCCACGCTCGTCTCACCCACCCCGGTAACAATTCCCACTATCGCCCTTCCTCCATCCCAGCCCCTCAAAGCCATTGATCACCACATCTCCGCTCTCCGTCTTGTCGAACTTTCGGATCGGACATCCGCCGTGATGAAATCTATGTCCATAGCTGCTCACCCAGATCATGCAACGGTGCTCGCTCAGTGTGATCCGATGCTGAGCATTTACACCACCTTTGCTTCTCTGAATGATCTGAGGGTTACTCCTGCGTTAGAGACAGTGCCGTTCGATGATCTAGCGCGTGCCGTCGTAGATTTTGCCCGGGATGCAGGATATTCAACATATTCGAGTAGCGGGCGCACCGGCGGAGAAATGCTTCTTCTACCCTGGTTACCTCCAATCGTTGGACAAACTCACGGGCTCGAATCACATCCCGTAAGCCCTGCTCCCAGTACAGCCGTGCATAACCCCTTCGACACGCTCTTTAATAGAGGATCAGGCATGGGAGGTGCTTCAACTCCTGTCCCAGGCTCGCATGCAATTCATTCTATGGGTGATAAGTTATCAAATTCGGTCGCTGCTACCATCCACTCCCAATTCGTTAGGCAGGTGTTTTCTAAAGCAACGGTAGACGTAGGACTTTTCATGGATTTGGGCTGCAAACAAGCCGCTGCTGCTGCTGCTTCCACAGGACTGTTCGGGATTTCAAAGCCGTCCTCTTTCGGTGGTGTGGATCACATTCTTCTTCCCTTCTTCGGAGGACCGGATGATCGCCTCGCTCTAGCGTTTGTTGTTCAACTGTGCGAAAACGAAAAAGTCACCGCGACATGTTTGAAAATCACTAAAACAGAGGAAGTAGATGCAGAGGGCCCCGCGCTTGTGCCGAATGCTCATCTAAACCCGGATGATGCGAAGAACGTTGTACCCCCGGAAACTTTATTGACAGTAGCGTCTGCCTTCTCTGCTCGTTCTGCTGCAGGCTTCCCTGACACTGTTTACGGACATGCGAACACAGCTACCCGTATGCAGTCTGAGACCGCAGATCACCTTGCATGGGCCCGGTTCGCCAATGCCACCGAGTTTACATCCTCATCCTCATCAACTGGATCTACATCAGGAGCTTTCCCCTCTCGTGCTGCTTTATCTCGGATACGTTTTCAAGACTTGTCTTCTCCCGTTCCGTTACATAAGGTAATCGCTGAAGCCAATCGCATACGTTCGTCACATAACTCTGGGAAGACAAAAGTCCTGGTTGTTACCGGAAGGAGCAGACGGCTCGCGGTAGAGAATCATGCAAAAGAGATCAAGAAACTAATGGAGGAACAGCACAGTCATGGACTAGGTGTAGATGTGCGGAAGACAATCGGAGACGTAGCATCGTCAATTGTGATTTCGGGATGCGCAGAGGAGATACTCGTCGTACAAGCAGCCGATATCGATTCATAGAGTTTGAATTCAGCCTGACCGGCGGACACCAGAAATGATGACCTCCCTACGACAAACATTGAAAAACAACCATCATCATTTCTATAATGACCCTTCAAGTAGCTACTGTACATGGCTAGGCTCGCTCATCTGTTCCACAATATCTATCATCATTGTATACATCAGCTTGAAATAACAGATATCTATAAAGTATGGCCTCCGATATTTGAACTTTGATATCAACAACACTAACACTACTAATTCCTCGCTTGGTGTGTGTTCGCTAAGTTCTCAGAGATCTATAAGAAATGTAGGTGATCTTAGTGCTTGTAAAAGGATCAGTCGGAGTCCGTCAGTCTGGAGATCCTCCACTCTCTGACTTCTGCCCGTTCACCTTCTTCTATCCTCGGGCTATAGAATCAGACCATAGTATCTCCACGGTTTGATATTTGCATAATTGCATTCTGCAAGAGTTCTAGTTGGCATAAGTCATTATTCATAAGCTATTATTGTGAACTTTCTCAGAGAAGGAGCACCGTGACGAGTGATGAGCCATACTGCTACCATTACTTGGCAATGGGGAGAGAGTGTGGGTCTATTAATCATGGAGCCTTTCAAAAAGGAAAATTACTGTGGGGATGATCCAGTGTCCTCGCAGCGAGAAAGTGGAAAAAATGGTAGATTTTGTTCAAAATTTGTCAAAAATCCCGAACATGAATTTAGAACTACCTGCGGCGATTATTGTGAAGCTATCGTGAATTTTGCAGGCCGTGCTCATTTTAAATCTGTTTAATTCCTTCAGAAAATTCGCTGCCAACTCCAAAATAAATCCACATTTTCGCCTCGAGGAAATCGGCTCATCCCCGCACGGCGCTAAAGACTCGGATCACGCTAAATTCACATGACCGCATTTTCCTGGATTCGGCGAGCGCCGCAAGGTGTGGGAACTGCGGCAGCCTTCGAAATAATCACATCCGGGCCGGTGCTTCGTTTCCCAATGTTTTCATGGTCCTCACAGTCTATCGTAGCAGGGTCTCTTAGGACTCCCACTTCGTCAAAAACGATAAAGCGATGCTATGCCATCTCGCTGAAACCTGGACAGATCTTGCCGGGGAAGAAATACCCTCGCGTCTTCCACGACAAAAAACTATTCCAATACAACTGGTATACCAAAATCCTGAACACTACCCACCGCGCTCCTCTAATCATTCTACACCGAGACGACTTTAGCGCGAACAGGCTGAAGAAGCTAAGATGGGATATACAGGTCGCTTCACAGAAGTTCTTGAAGAAGGCGCAGGAGGCAGGGGAGCTTATTGAAGCTCCAACGCTTACCGTTGTCCGGTCATCCATTTTCGGCGCTGCGCTAAGGGAATTCCCCAATATGAGGTTAGAGGACGTAGAGAAAATGATTGGCGGCTTACCTGGAGGATACGCTGTCCTCTCCCTGCCTGTTCTCGACCCCTCTCTTTTAAACGCTGTTCTTCGAGCAATGGACCGCAGTGTTCCATCCCGTCCCGAAAAAACCGCTGAAGAAATTGCGAAGGAGCTGGCGGAGAAAAGCGCTGATCCTGCTCAGCCTGGTAGAAGGATGAAACGCCAGCGTGCCGTCCTTGTTCCAGATCTGAAAGTAATGGGGGCCCTAGTTGAAGGGAAGGTCTTGTTACCCGATAGAATGCAAGAGGTATCGAAACTACCTTCACTGGATACGCTCCGAGCACAGATTGTGGGTCTTTTGACCGCACCTTCCGCACAGTTGGCAGCAGTTCTAAGCCAGGCAAGTGGAGGGCAGCTTGCAAGGACTTTGGAGGGATTCAGGAAGGCGTTGGAGGTCGGAGAAGCACCTGAGAAGGCTTCATAATACTGTTGTCACATAACGATGAATAAATCTGCGCTACGAAGTCTTCAGATCCATGCATATCGCTTTTTAGTGGTATATTGAACGAGACATCTCTGCATTAAGCTGTAAGTTGTACAATAAATCCAATAACTTAATAGATACATTAAGAATGGGTAAAATCCTCTAAATGGTTAAACGAAATGCCCCGAATGCTACCGTAGCTAGTGCAGCAACTGGCATTCCGTACCGAAAAAGTACTGTTGCCCGTGCATTTTTGTCGTCCGGAGACCACCAACGAATCTCAGTCCAAAGCAAAGGCACGAACACGAGAATTGCTGTCCAGATCTGTGGTGATGAAAGCACTGTTAGAAGACTGTCACACTACAAACAAAATATATAAACATACCACGATAATAGCTTTCGCAAATAAGAAGGGGTACTGGGCGAGGCTTGGTGCAATTAATCGAGGTTTTGATCCAGGGGCTCGCTCAAGAAGGCGCGGGTGAGTGAACATCACCCAGATAGAGTAAAAGGCGACGGAAAAGAAATGGTAGAAAAGGGTAGCAGGAGATTGGATAACACTATTCAAGTGGTTAATTTAACCGTGAGGAGAGCTGGATACAATAGCACATACGCGGCAAGAAGGGAGACAGGTCCGTTGACGCATTCGCCACCGAGTTCGAAATATTTGAAGCAGCCTGTCCTCAGGACTTCAAGATTGTCATCTGTGTTGAGGAAGAATTAAGTAGTGCACTGTCGAAGCATATTTTTAACCGTACCGTTGGCTCCGAACAGATCGTATAATGCGACGCTTAGAATGTTGACTGTGGAAGCTAAAGACTTCCGATCCCAGTGCCATCGACGTAATCCTTCTCTTATCTCATCCCAACGCGAGAAATCCCCAACTTGAGCGAGTATATCACGAAGAATGACGATATCATTGAACGCGACGGTCATACCACCACCAGTGAGGGGATGACGCATATTCCATGCATCACCAACGAGAAAGACTCCTTCCTTGGTCCCAAATTCGTTTCCGCCTTGCATGACGGAAGGAAGGAAGGAGTTGGGCATTTTGCGGAGGTTGCCTTCCTGTAAGGCGTCGGTGACTGAGGTTCGAAGGGAAGATGGAAGTTGGGGAACAACTTTTTCCAAGATATGGCTCTAAAGATGCTTAGCGCGGTGGAAGACGACGACATGCATGACAACTCACTTTCAGGTCAGAAGGAACAGGAGCTTTGACATCGACGAGCATTCGGGTATCGTGTGTACCAATTTGGTATAATAGGACTGGGCCAGCCGACTCTGTAAGGCATACAGTTCCGTGATATTGGTAGGGCAGAGTCGCATCGTTGAGAATTACACCAACGAAATAACTTTTTGTCACTGGATTGCAAACTCGAGGACCCATGACCTTGGTACGGAAATTCGAGAAACAACCGTCCGCAACGATGACCAAATGAGCATAAAGAGAGATCTTTTCGTTGTCTGTCGCATTCTTCTTCGTCGCAGCCACGCCAATGATCCTCTGGTCGGATTCTATGAGGTCGTTTACGGTAGCTTCGATAACATCTACTCCCTTTGCCTTCTTCGCAGCATTTCGTAGGTTGGTGATGAATTTCCCGTGGTGAAAGCTCCGTCCTTTGTGCCCTGCAGGATATGGAATATGGACAATTTTCTCCTTCTCGGTTACACAGTATCCGTGGACAGGGATAGAGTCTATTTCCTCTAAACAATGTTCGAGACCGAGCTGTTGCAAAGACATGACACCACCCGGTTGCAGTAGTTCGCCGACAATACGATCCGGCTCCTCCAATGAACGTTCAACGAGAGCTATTCTGAGGGGCTCTTTGCGAGGAGTAGAAGCCAAAGCATGAGCGAGAGAGCAGCCTGCGACGCCGGCACCAATGATAATCACGTCGTAAGGGGTTTTGCTGTTCGGCATAACGTTGTGTAGGTACGAAGGAGCGGGAAGAATCGCGAAGAGCACGACAAAGGGACGAGAGAATTTATTCGACGATGATTTTCGGGGTCGAACCACTTTTTGGCTTGCAAGGCGCTTAATTTCTTGCGCGTCGCGATCAATCCAGACCGGGTCAGAGTCAACGTTCAAGTTCTTACAAGGACCAGACATGGCCTCGGTCACTTTTTCCCTACTACAAACAGAATTTTGATGAAAAGATAACTGAGGAATTCCCACAAATTGGCCAACGATCAAGAGTGAACTATAATATATAGATAAAGCTACAGGAGGTATTAAGTTATCGTCGTTTGGGGCCTCTGCTGTCGTCCATGCTGGGCGAACTTCTTCTTTTTCTGAAAGGCATTATGGGCACCATTGGTACCTGAGCTACGCGAGAACAAGGATACTGCTTACCGGCTGGAAGCTCTTTCCTCTGGCTCACCACTAGGAGTACGTGTGCCAATTCGGTCTCCACCATAATCCAAGCCATCCACAGCAGGCGCATTTCCGTCTCTGTCCTTGTATTTGTTTTGATTACGAGGACCGGTAGGTACGTTGGGTGGAAGTGGTGATGCCGGTCGCGCGACAACAGGCGCTATTGACGACAGTGTCAGTGTGAATGTCCGTACGAATAAAGAAAACCACATACTGCCTTCATTGACGTACATCCCCCCTCGTCCTCGGCCTCTACCAGGGAATCCACGTGAGCGCAATCCTTGAACCATATTGCCTCGTGCTCGGTACGAAGGCGTAGGACCTCGAGGAGTGGGTACAGGAGGAACGTTCTGCATGTTCTGAGGACCTTGAGTATCCAATCCTGGACCCGAAAACATTTGTGACTGGTCCTTCGTCAAAGTAAGGATGATGAGAAGGCCTATCAGTTTGGCTATCTATACTACGAACCTGCATTGAATAATCTCCTGGCATACCCATACCCATAGGTCCACCGGTGGCAAACCCATCCTGCATCATTCCGACAGGCATTCCACCTCCGCCTACTTGTTCTGGTGCGCCAGCACCTCCCATAGGACCTGACGGCACACCATCTTGGATCATCATACCTCTTTGGTCTACTGGCATCATTTGCTGGTTCATACCCATATCACCGTTCATGCCCATATTCATCGAGTTTATCATCCCCATGTCCATCATGACACCAGGAGCCATCATTCCTGGATTGGGAGTGTTATTCATCATGGCGGCGGTTGCGCCGGTCATGACCATCTGACGGATGTCGGGCGGTAAAGCGGTCAACTGCTCCTCGGGCATTGCTGCAAAATTCTGTGCAGATCTAATCAGTTGTAAGAAGGACTAGAAAAATTGATCTTTTCTTACCAAAACATTGACCTTGAGAGCATCAGCCATCTCTCCGAGTTCTCTCCGCCTATAGCAATAGGCTTCCCATGAGAGTTCGTCGAATCCATAATTGAACCAATCACTAATGTCGGATCCAGCGCGCCTCCAAGGCTTGTCCGCCATTGCGGCAATGTCTACCTCAAAGATCGCCCGACCGTCAAGCATTCCTGGGGCAGCTGGATCAATCTCGGGATGTGAGGGAGGTGCTTTCACAGGCGGGAGGGTGGTAGGATCAACTCCATTATCCAGAGAAACGTTTAGATTGTTTGATGAAATTTCTGCTTGAGCTGCGGAAGGTTGGGTAGCCGGAGACTGAGCGGACTGCATCGGCGGGGGTTGCATTTGGGGGAGAGATGAGGACACTGCGATTGAGGAGCTAGACTCCATCCGCTGAATGGGAGTGTATTCGGTCGTAAGTGAGGGCTGAGGGACTGAACAGATAAGAATAAGACTCTAGCGACCATATGCAAAGCGAAGTGATGTACTTCTCGGTGGTATGCTCGTGGAAGCTGTCCGTGGCTGTTGCGACCGTTGTTGCCTAGTAGAATATATGTCCATTACAGAACCTCAGGCGCGTGCAGAACAAACTCACCGAAAATCGAGAGACCGCGCCGTTGGCTCCATTATGATTTCAATCTACAATAGTCGCATTTAGATAGACAATAGGATAGAAGATACAAGGAACTCACATCCTCATCCTCTTCGCTATCGTCCCCATCCCCGTCTCCCTCTGCATATACGTCCCCTTCCTGAGCATCTTCCCGAGTATCGGGGTCAGAATAAGGAACTATATCATTCGTAGCTTGGGCCATTTCCGCATTGTGTTTAGCAGCAGCAGCCGAGGCAGCCACTACAGCTTCCAATTGAGAAACAATACCCCTTGAGTCCAAAAGACTGTTCTCAACCGGTTGGCTAGCAAAAAGTAAAATCAAAATTGAACGCGCCGAAATTGCACCATGCAACAGACTCACGGTTGAGAGACTGAGGTTTCTTAACGCGAAAAAAGAGGCAGGAAGTTAAAAAATGTTCATTGTCAAGCAAAAGAAATACAAGATAGCAGCGGATAAACCGACAGTAAGAGTGCCCTCTGTCTGCAAAGAAAGGTCCGACTAAATCCTCACCAGGAGCTGTCTTTGGCGTAGAAGAGGTACCGTAAAGAAATTCATCATCATCTTCATCCCTGTGGGGAGAAAGTCAATAATCATTGGAAGCATGCAGCAACGATTCCACAAACATGTTTGGCTTGTGCAAAGAGGTTCGAAGACAAAATTGAAGAATCGTGACAGTAGGTGACAAATCGTGACTAGGCTTTCCTTTCTGAGCTCAGCTGCTCAGTCTCAGTCTGAATCTTACACTGTGCAAGGAATTTCGACGGCAATTATCCCGATGTCATTGACCCGTTCAACTCAAAGTTGTGGACAGTTTATTTGCTCGTAAACTGGTCACAAGTTTGCCATCAGTACAACCAGAAGGATATCGCCGATGCAAAACTACATTGGTGAGTAGTCTGAGGCTAGTCTCACTAGCCAGAGTTTCACAGAGGAAAGTTGAAAACTTTCTTTTAAGAGAACAGGGCTGCCCCGACAGCCTGCTCATCTGTATGTATCCAAATCTCTACCAACACTGCGACTAGCCGAATTCTACCTCAGAATACTCCCTGCACAGTCAACATCAAGATCAATGAAACTAACGAGGCGCACAGTAATTGTAGGGACATGAAATGGAGGTAGGAACGTTCTCTCAATCATCGTACTAATATGAAATGTTGCAGCGGAGTTGTGATAAAATAGTAGTAAGTCCCAGCAATATAATGACATGCATGGCATTGGCAAAGTTTGACGATGCCTTTCAAATAAGCGAGCTGTAATTATGTAGCTTGGAAGCTATGGGTCAGTACTTCAGTAGCCATAACCTGTACTATAATCCTTTTCTGTTAGAATTTCAAAGATGCGTGTGCTGGAGGCGACCACAACCAGTGCAGACATTTTGGATGCGACGTCAACGTACAAGAACATTCCAGGAACTTTTCTTGGTCTTGTTATTCAGAATGGGCACTGGAATCAAAGCTCAAAAAGCTAAATGAAATTTCCTCTCGAAGAGAAACGATAGCCCAAAGATTGGATATGTGCCTTTGCGTGTACAATCCACACGGAATCCCCTAGTAAAAGGCGAGGGGATTGTTGTTTTGTGGATTGCACAGGCACTGTAGTATGATTCCCATCATTGTAGCCTGGTGAACAGTAATTTAATTGTACATAGTCTACGAGAAATCTCGGCCACACGCACGGTTGGCGCCTTTGATCCTCTTACACTCGTACTCAGATGGCAGCATTATCTGAAGAACAAAGGGAAGCCTTAATCAATTCCGCTTTTGAAGGAAAGTCGTCAATAGTATCTGGACGGTTTTGACTGATAGTCTCACAGCGAGAGAGTTTTCATACAGCCCCTACTCCAAATTTCGCGTTGGAGCGGCACTTTTGGCCTCTGATGGGACGATAATCAAAGGCGCAAATATCGAGAATGCATCATATGGTAAAGCATGGTCAGCAGCTCAATGAATGTTGCTGGTACCAATGATAATGTCGGATCAGGCGGTACGATCTGTGCTGAAAGGACCGCTATCGTTAAATCTGCTGTTGGTCCTTCTCTCTTGAAATCAGTCCGCCCTACATCTGATTCTTCGATACAGAGCGAAGGCAAACGATCTTTCGCCGCTCTGGCTGTTGTCACGTAAGTCTACAGAGCATCTCCTTTCGAAACCAGTCGCGTTCGGGAATTGATATGTTGCGCCAGCGATGTGAAATCTGCCATCTCCCCCTGTGGCTTATGTCGACAGGTCATTCGTGAATTCTGTGCACAGGATATGCCTATACTGCTGGTTCCTGCTGATTACCCACAATTCAACAAGGACTCCGGGGATGCAGAGAAAGGCGTGAAGCAGACTTCTATTGGTGAACTTTTACCAGATAGCTTTGGCCCGGAGCATCTAGAGCTACCTCGAGGGACGGTTTGATCAATCTTCAATCCTAAGTAACAAGGCGGCCAAGATGATAGTCATTCAACTCCATATCCTTATGTAGACAGGTCGGCACCACAAGATAGATATTTCGGGAACGTCGCAGTGTTGCACATAGATACTATTATGCCCATCGACTCGCAATCATAAAAACACATATGCCATTGATAACAGCTTAGTGTAAACACTAATTTTGGGTGAGTGGAGAAAAAAACCATGATGTACAAGCTGCGCCACTTTCTTTGACCATTATAAGGAGTAGCAAAAACAGGGAAACAAAATGATAGATACAAAATGTGAAGGGATACTCCTAAAACTGTTAGACTATGAATAAAATAAACAAATGTGCAGAGAAGAGGAAATGCAAAAGAGTAAATGCGAGAGAGAGTATGCATCAAGCGCCCGAAGCGGCGCGTCCACCGGCACGATTACCACCACCTTTGCGTTTACCACCACGAGCCGATCGTCTGCCGTTCTTCTTGGCTACTTGGTTGCTCGTACAAGAATCACAGATCCAAGCACCTTCAGGGGCCACGGTGAGCCCGATGCAATTGAGGTGGAACTGTAGGAGGATCGAGTGAGACGGGAACTTGAAAAGTAGTTGATCAGAGCGTACCCATTCAAATTCACAGGTCGGTTCATCACAAGCAATCATTTCTCCGAAACTACCGCGTTGGCAGATACAATACGGTTTGTCTTCTCCATCACCATCCACATCACCATCGTTGAGGTCGACCATATGTTCGACTGCGCTAATGGAAGCGGAAGTACCAGAGTGGACCGGCCTGGCTACAGGCATTCCAGGGCCTTCCAGTTGATTATGAGACGGAGCCCAGTCACTAGCAGGACCAGACAAATGGTTATAACCATTACCATTCACGTGAAATGGAAGGGGTAAAGACGGATGAGAAGTAGACGGGGGAACGTCGAAATCTCGACGACCGTTGGAACTGGGTTGGCGTTGGTCACCGTTTGTGTAATGGTCGTCACGGGAAGGGCTACCGGCCCGATGTTGGACGGAAGATCGAGAGCGTTTGTTGTTGGTGGAAGAGTTGTTTCGGGATAGTATTCCGTTTTGATGAGATGCAACGGAGAGTAAAGACTCTACCGGAGATGGTTGACGTTCAACCCTGAAGGAAGACGCCAAATTTAAGTCTCAATGTGTTTGAGGAATAAGGATTGGACAAACAAAACACACTTTCTAGCCCGTGCCCGATTACGATTTCTGGAATCGTTGGGTTTATCTTTTCGAGGAGTTGGCTCATCATCTTTTACAAGTCGTTTCCTTTTCGCTGGACTCGGATCTGTTGCACTGGTTAGCAGAGAACCAAATCCACCTCGCCTTCGACGAGTTGTCTCGAAGGCGGTGAGAGGCATGAACGATTTGGCGGCAACATGGGGATATGTTGTGTGTCTGTTCAATGTCGAAGGATTGAAATCCGGAATATTTTCAGCTAAAGCCTTTAGATGATTGGCATGGTTTCTGAGATTATCGGCTGCTTGGCATGCAACACGAATCTTGTCTTCCCCGCCAGGCCTGAGACGGGCAGCTTCTTCTGCAATCTCCGTCAAAAGCCACAAGCGCTCTTCCTTCTTTCCAGTGCCTTCTTCTATCATCTGCGTGAGCATCGTGATTTTCTGAGTGATGGACGCCATCGACGATGAAAGCACAGCGTCGAGTTCACGAAGGTCTGCAAAATTACGGGAAAGATCTAGAGGCAAAGAGTCGAGCGTATGAGAATACTCAGAAAGAAGGGAAAGTGTATAGACAGTGCTGTGGTTGGCAAGCCCAGCCATTGAGTCTCGGGCTGGTGACATGGTTCAAAGGGTTTGAACTTGTGAGTGTCGATGCAAAGTCACAGTGGGCAAATAATTAGACGTGCTCAATTAAAAATCCTGATTTTTTCAAAAACTTATATAACATCAAAAGTTACTAAATATAGTAATTTTTTCTAACATTTACCAACTGGTGTCGACGAAAAGATAATGGAGGGCACTGCAGGATATGCACAAGTATCTCCAAAAGCCTGCCTGAGTCTTTGACAGCATATATACTCTGTTCGAAAGCTTTCCCATCCTGTCCCATCCATATCCATCACCATCGCTACTACTGGAAGTTGCAGATTTTTGCTAATTTTTCCTCATCTTTCTCGGGATCATCCTATGGCAATGTGGTCTATTTTCAGCAGAAGAAGTCAGAGTAATCATCCGTATTGTCGAGAATGACCTCTATATCTGTTGCAGGGGCATACAAAGTTGGCGATGTCGAAGGAGGGAGAAAAGGGAGAAAGACAAGATAAACAATGTCAAAAGTTACTATATATAGTAACTTTTGATGTAATATGTGAAAAACAAATTTTTAATTGAGCACGTCTATTACCCTCTAAGATGAAATCCAACCGGGCCGGACTCTAGCGCGTAATGGGCATTTGTCATAGGCGCTCAACAAGATTACCGTGTGAGTTTCAACCTCATGTCCGCGATACGTTCTTTAGTACTTGAGTTCAAACTAAACCATCATCTTATTCCGCTGAATGGCCTCGAGACGGCTCAATCTTCACGTCTCTGCGCTGAATGACGCTGAATATCAACTATATACGTCCAGCCTGGCCGACATCACGCTCACTGACAGCCAAGTTGACGACGGTATTGAACACGACGATGCATATTTCGAGAATATTTCGATCACCGTACGGGAAGCACGAGCATGGTTGAGGGGAAGATACTCTCATATATCAGCTGCAATGCTGGACAATGTAAATCTCTTTTTGAGTTTTTTGACTTTCTTTAACTTGTATGTCTTCGCAGATATTACGATTCTTTTCCCCAAATCTGTCCCAAACAGACATGCTTTCTGGAGGCCAGTTTTTTGCAGCACTCAGACTAGTCCTACATGTGGAGTCGGGAAAAGATGTCGATCGTGCTTTAGCTTTTGTTCAGGGTGTGCATGAGTTATCTTGTTTCTGTTTCGTATCTGTTCTAAAATCTCTTGTCTGATCTACAGCACATCCTTCTTCAGTTTCAATATCTCGGCCTTCTTCGCCTCCAAAGTCGCAGGCTCACGCTGCTTCGTCTACTGTAGGCTCATCGCGGAGGTCGTCCGACTCTAACAATCCATTTTCTGCGCCTCCGCAACATCGCACTTTCAATACCAATCACAACCCATTCTCCAGCACACGGAGCGTTTCTGCAAAGTCACACGATGGCGCTACGGACTCGACTCCTTCCAAGCTTCCTCCTCTTCCTCCCAGAAAGCCTGCACCCCCAATCCCAGGTTTTCAACCCCCTCCGAGGCATGGCTCGTTCGTTGTATCGGTTGGCAATCCGCCACCACCACCCCCACTACCTTCGAAGCCTACATTACTACACTCACACACATCCCACGTTACCTCCGCCTTGATGAAGCAGAGTCTTATAGCTTCAAAAAACGGAAAGACTTGGAAGCAAGCCGAGGAGCAGCTAGAGAAGGAAAGAGTGCTTAGAGTACTCAAAAGCTCAGAAGTATCCTCTTCCAACTCTTCACCATTCACCCTTAGAGGTAGGAGTTCCAGCCCAAACAAAATGGGTTCCTCTGCTTCCTCATCTTCATACACTTCTTCATCCGATAATAATCGCGCTCCTCCACTCCCAAAACGTAACCATAGTAAAAAGCCTCCGTCACCACCAATGTCTACCACCTCATTCCAACAAGTTGCATTGGCAGGAAAACCTTCCACGTCCTCTTCACATAATCCCTTCAAAAGTAGCCCATTCCAGCCCGTCAGTATCATTGACCCCCCTCGGTATGCCAGCTCTCCATCCACGTCTCCCGTTCGTAAATCAGTCGATCTACCGCAGCTACCAGGACCGCCACCCAAGCATCCTGATCAGAACATGTCTTATCGCAAACCCCCCCCTCCGATTCCACCTAATCTCTCTTCGTCTGCAACTTCGAGTGGTTTCCATGTTATTCACAAGCGCACGCCATCGTTTACCCAGCTTCACAAATCGGCTGAATCCTTTGCAAATGATGCCGATGAAAGAGACTTCGAAGCGATATATGGCACCAAGCCCAAAACCGCTTCACCGTATGTGTCGACATTCTCCAGAGGGTCGACGGACTTTACATCGTCGCGGAACAGAGAAGGGACGGCGTCGGATTCCAGTAATCATTTCGATAGAAATGTATTTCTGAATAACGGTAATTCTCCTAGCAGAATGTTTCGTTCAAAGTCTCTTCATCATCCTAGTCCAACCTCTCTGGCTAATCGTTTAGCCGCTGCCGAATTGGGCGATACAGAGCGGTCACCGTTCTCACCGTTAGATGACGATCCTCCTGACGCGTCCCCCGGACCGTCACCTGCTTCAAGAAGGAGACGTCCAGAAAGCGTGCAAGTGCTTGGGTCTAAAAATAATGTGTTGGGTACGAATGAATGGAGTCCCCCGAAGAATATTAGTCCCAGTGGTTCTTCCCCAAACTCGAATCTTAGCAGACACATGAGCCTATCCACTCCATCCCCTCCCAACGGTGCTGCTTCGCTTCGGAGACATCAACGAAAGGTATCTGGTTCCAGTCCCGGTCTAGGACTAGGCCAATCGCCGTCGACATCTGACAATCCATTAAAATCCCTCGCGGCATCATTGCAGCCTCAGCTATTGTCGATGCAGCAGCAGCTTCAACCCCATTTGGATAAAGCCCGATTCAAGGCTGAAGCCGGACTATCTAAGCGGGGTTTCGTACGAGATCACAAGTCGCTGATTAGGCCTAGGGAGGAGGAAGAGGGCTTGATGCGGGATGAAAGAGAAGATGGATGGGAACGACAGAGTGTTGAGGATGATGATAGTTATGAGGATGTCGAGGACTATGAGCGGAATGGACAGGGAGGTCGGGAAGATAGGACACCAAGGAGTTTGAGTGTAACTGGTATAGGGAGTAGGAAAGGAAGCGCGGCATCAGTAGGGATAGAGAAGGATAATTTGAAGTGGCCTGTTGGCGAGGAAGAAGGATGGGGGCCTCTTTGATTAGTTGTGGCGATGGACATAGATTTTCCTTTCTTTCTGGCATCAACATAAAGAGACTACATATTTGTATTGCTAAGATTCATACTGAACAGTAATTTGCATCTAATGAATTATTTTGTACAGTTATTCGTAAATACCCACTCTCGAAATCTCCGTTGTGAAACTCGAAGTCTCGAACCTCAAGCCCAAGAAAAGTGTGTTGATTAATCCCTGCAATTACAACAAAAACCTAGAGAATAATAGATACAAAACAAGCACATGAGCTCTATGCTATAAGAAAAAATATGTATACAAGATGCGAATGAAGTGCCCCGAAAGCATGGATGCAAAACGTGTGCGACGCTGGCTAATAAAAACTTCCTCGAGCTGGCCACTACCCGAACCGTCCCCGCCAAGCATTGCAATTAGCAACGCGCCGTTCCCCTTCTTTCAATAAATAATGAGCTGATTCTGGTTATCTCCCGCGGAGACGTGTAACGAAAGTCGTGGATTAATCATGACATAGACGACGCGTCGTGAAGGTCATAGTCATAGATGCGTAAATAGCGTACGTGGGTGTACATGGTGATGCATAGATGCATAAATGGGTGATACAATGTGGACTCTGCATGCTTCACTTGCGTGAAACGAGTTTCTTCAAAGGATTCTGGCTCCCTTGGGTGCGTTGTGTTTGCCCATTCGCCCGATTTTGGGATGAGGAAGACGAAGGTGAGAAGGCCGCAGCGTACATCGCATGCGAATCGCGGGGAGACTGGTGGAAAGTTGGAAATGCATTGGGAGACGTAACACCTGAAGGGAAGAAGCCATAGGTAGGCGAGGTGGGAGGAGCGGTGTGTGTGTAAGAAGACATGCTGATGATGATGATGATAATGACCCGCAAACGATGAATTAATAGAGAATAAGATGATGATAGAGAATGCACGAGTGAGAAGGAGAGTGAGAGTAAGACGTGAGATGCCTTGTGTGATGGGGAGTTGAAGCCAGCTGGGGAGTTATTGAGATGGAGCGAGGCTTTTTATGTTTCGGAAATGATAACGGTAATTGTGTATCCGTGTGGACCCACCAAGTGGAAGGATAATAAGAAAGTTAACAGGAAGAACGAAGTAAGTTGATGGGACGTAAGCGCGCAAGTCCCTATTGTCTTTGGGAACAATAGTGAATCTGACCGGAATTCTTCACTTCGGCGGAAACGCGGTGGGATGGTGGAAGGCTAAATATTCGAGCACTGTGAGGTCGAATTAGCAGGAACAGAAGCTGCTTGCTTTGTTATCTTACATCTGGAATAGTTGGAGGATTTATACGATATACTCTGACGAGAAAGAACAAGGTAACTTCCTAAAACGGAATATGCCTTGTCTAGGAATGGAAAGTCGCTAGCCTCGTGTTGGCGGAGGACCTAAACTATCCAAAAAGAGATGAAGGGCACTGCGCTGCAGCATAGTCAGTTATAGTCAGACTTGTCAGCTGGATAATTACCTCGGGCCGTGTGACGATAACTCATACCGACGCGACGCAATTAATGAACCAATACAATCGGGTAAGATCGGGTAATGAGAAAATACACTGTCTTGAGGACCTGAGCTGAGGTCTTGCAGTGGTCCTTGCCATATCTCAACTTCAGTATGTCCTTTAGTTTTAAATTCTCTTTGGATGACTACGGTCTAGATTTTGGTTGTGAGTCAGAGTCTGAAGGTTGCCACTTCCGTTTAACGGGGCAACTTTACCCGTTCCTCAACTAGCAGCATCAACAGTGATGACCGCGTACCCATCCGGGTATGCATCCAACACAGTCTGGAGCATTCCGAGGAACTGCTCATAAATATCCCCATTGAATACGTCCCCCAGCCGCCAGGCATCATCGCTCTTTTTCATGGGAAGCGACCTGACAACCCGCCGGTATTCTTCACGCAGGGTTATCGACAAATCAAGGGGTTGTAGGATGAGAGGGCAATATACAGATTCCAAGACACCTCGGAGTAATATATGGCTTGTTTCGTTTCGGATGACGTCGAAGCGGTCGTGATTTCCGTCAATACCATAACCAAAATATAGTTTAGCTTGTTGTTTGATTTCTTCCAAAGCTGATTGCGAGGGTTTCGAAATTTTAGGGTAGCGGTTGTGGAGGAACCATAGATATTGCCAGTAGACTGATTCGATGTCATGTACAAAATGGGGTGCAAACCACTGGCGCTGTAATTTAAGAAGTTCTGCGGTTGCGTCTGTTGGAGAGGGAAGAAGAAAAAAACAATTCGCCTGGTATTCTGCAGCCATGAAATCAGGCGCGCCCTGGTGCGACATTAGGTACTGGAGGTACTAGACTAAGCTGAGGCATACCGTCTTGGGATCGTGACTCGACACCTCATTGTACCTCTTGGCGTATTCCAGATCAGATATTATCCCCTTGCCTTCAAAAAACAGTGTATTCCCTCCACTCAAATCACGATGAATAAAGCCAGCGATACGGAATAGATTAAGACCTGGAATTATCGTGAGTTTCATCAACTGATCGAAATGGCAAAGCGACATGCATATGATCATATCTCTCCAGCATATTAAAGCTTTCTTGAAATCGGTGAGTTGATAAAGATTTTCACGCTCTTCATTTACTACAGAACGGACATGCTTTCGCAGCATGTGTGTCCGGGACATCATGATAGGTTCGACTTTGGTGAGAGAGGGTTTTTTGAAAGTAGGCTTCGGCTCTCCTTCAAAGATGATTACCTCCTCCATGATGAAGGTGAGAAAGTGTTCCTCGAGTTTGGTTTTTTGTTTGGCATCAAGCTTTTTCAAAATACTTGATTGGATCTCTCGCTCGCAGAGTGCCTTGTCATATAACCAAACATCCTTCAAGACACGTCTGGTAACACCTCGTCGAAGCCTTCCTCCGACTTCGATATCTCCATTTCTGTCGGGAAATAGTCCTACAACAACCCAAACTCGAGTAGCACGCCCGACCATCTGATATGCAGCTGCTTCGGTAAGCGGCGACCCAACGATGAGAAAGAAGGAGTTGCCGATTTCATAACAGGAGCAATCTTCGCCGCCCACGGAGATGTTGTGCATTGTAGGATCGAATCCGATTTCATGCTTTTTTGCGAAAATGACAAAAAGAAGAAAGTCGACCAGTAATTCAGGTTTCTGAAGCCATCTAAATGATAAGGGGAGTTGTTAACAGAACTAAGACACACACCTCGTTAAGATCAAAAGGCTCGGACACTGTGATTGCACATCGCGAAAAGTCCCAAAATCGGGTTCGCTTTTTCTCCATCGTGAAACCTAGAATACGCTCCCGGCACGGATCATTCCCAAGCAACTGCTTTGCAGCCCCAACCATTTTTTCTTCGTTCTAGTTTTATTAGTTAAGATAGCAGATCATTCCTCGCAAAACTTACATCAATAATCTTTTCGGTAGTATCTTCGAGCTTGAATTCCGCGATTGATGCAATGTCCAAAGTTTTGACAGGTGTCTTTCTGGATGCACTGACTGTCGAAGGCTTTGCATCTACGTGAATGCTAGAAGAGAGCACATTGAACACTGCTGTCCAGTCAGGAAAGAAACGGTATCCCAGTTTTGAGTGTTGATATGTAGCAGTAGGAGACGGGCAGGCAACAGCCTGGGGCTTCAAGGTTTCATCGTGCTGGGTGGCAGCGCGAGTGATAGCTTCGGCGACTTGGCCTAGAAATGCAAAAGTCTCGTTCTGATTCTGTCCCTTTCCCGTATTCCGGAGAGAGATCCATCCATTATCGTCTAAGAGCTTACCCTCCTTGAGCGCATTCATGACAACGTTCCTTAGATCCTTGGAGCGCAACTGTTTATTTGAGGCATAGGTTTTTAAGAACGCCCTCGGGCTACATTCTATCAGTTTGTCGGTGTCGTCCCGTTTTATGCGAGATTGCATTTCAGATTGTCGTACCATAGTAGGGATGATATGCAGAGTCAGATTTACGAGGACTTGAGCTGGACATTCCAAAGCGTCAGCGGCATAGACGCTCATAGACGCCATACACCCACAAGTGTGCAGAAAGCACGTGCTTTACCAACGAATGCTTCACGTCTGGCGTTCTTCTTTCTCCCTAAGGATTGTCAGACGATCAGATCATATATCACTGTCAACTACATCAGCGAAGAACTCTGTGCTGGAACCAGTATTATTTCCTGAATTCTTGTATGCGAGGAAGAGTTTCAATACATCCGCCAACTCTAGAGCAAGTAATCAACTCTATTCGAGCACAGAAATGGCGAAAAGTAAAGGCGGATACTACGCTGTGAAGAAGGGCCGAGTCGCAGGTATTTATATTACCTGGCGAGTCTTAACGATGTTGATCTCTGGGTTGGTTTAACTAACTGCGAGATAGGGATGAGTGCGAAGAGCAAGTGAAAGGATATCCTGGAGCCAAATACCAGAAATTTGTTTCAAAAGCCCAGGCGGAAGACTATATGGGCTCAGTCGAAGTATCTCCTGAAACTGTCCAGCCAGTGCGTGCCTCGAATGACACTGATAGCAAGAGCAAACCGTTCAAATCAATCCCTTCAAAAGGCAAGAAGCGCACTTTCGCTGAAATGCAAACACCGCTCTTGATATTTGAGATCGATGATTCTGTAGAACCGCTTGTCGTATACTGTGATGGGGCATGTAAGGGTAATGGTAAGGTGGGTTCCGTGGCAGGAATTGGCGTGTGGTGGGGCCATAATGACTCGCGGTAAATGCTCTTGAGTACATTTGTCTCTGAAGTTATGTTAATTTTTAAGCTTGTAGCAATTTAGCCGAACGTTGTCCAGGGGAGCAGACAAACAATAGAGCAGAACTCATCGTGCGCTTCTCTCTCATGCTCCATCGGTTTCGACTTATCTCTTTATATATCAGGCTATCTGTCGTGTCCTGGAAACAACGCGTTTTCAAAAGGGCCCGCTGACAATCAAGACAGACTCGAAGTACAGCATCCGCTGCGAGTGATTCCCAACTCTCCCTGTGTAAGCTTTCGCTAACTCTTACTTACTAGGCTTCAATGATTGGCTTCAGAAGTGGCTGGAGAACGACTGGCGGAAGGCTGATGGGTCAGCTGTCAAAAACCCCGAGCTCATTCATTACGTTGCTATTCTTCTATCCTCGCGCTTTCGAATTGGTCAATCGGTGAAACTGGAATATGTCAAAGGGCATTCGGGTATAGAAGGCAATGAGGGCGCTGACCATCTAGCCAATCTAGGTGCTATGATGGATGAAGAGGATGATAGGGATTGGTCTGCACTGCGCAAAGAATACACGACGACACTAGAGAAGATGATCAAAGAGAGAAAATCTCGCCAGGCTGCCAAGAATCAGGCAGGTTCTTTAGAGGTTATTGGTATGGAAGAGGCTACTAGAGATTTGGAGAAGGAACCCGAGACAGAGGCAGTGAATACTACGGCTAAGGGGGCGCCATCCATCAATGAAACCAAAGTTCGCCGAGTAGGAGACGAAACCGATGTTAACGTGAAAGATGAACACATCCACAAATTACCTGTCGTTCCTTTCTATGCCTCTAGAAGATACTCTGCGGGTATCGCGGAGCCAAGTGAAGAGGTATGACGTTTTTTGTGCCCGATGAAGAAGGCCCGTTGCTCACAACCAATCAGGATCTAGAAGCTTTCGCTCAGGACCTGGAAGAAGAAGAGAACTGTCAGGATGTTTATGCTTCAAGTTTTTACAAAGCATCTCAATCGAAGTTTGTGATTGAAAGACGATATTCTGCCCAGGTTATAAAGCCCAGTGAAGAGGTGAACTCAAATTTTCTGTCTTTGTGACAATGATAATTAATGTGTTCCCAGGACCTGGCAGCTTATGCAGATGCCTGGGATGAGGACATTGATGTATCAGAAATTGAATGATTTGGAATTCGTTTTCCCATTTTGTCTTTTCCGAGCTATAGTCGGCCGTGTGTCTGAGAATGTTGTATCCTTTACGGTCATGTTTTCTCAAGTCAGTCAACTGCTTTATTATCTGCATTTCGTACTGAGTTTGGCTCTATAGTTTTTCTCTCTCGTTTTAGACATTAGCGATTGACCTCCTGTGAATGTGTACGCAGTGCGCCTGGCGCCTTAATTGAGAATTCCACAAAGGTTCAAATTCATTGTCTTGGACTATTGGACAAACTACTGTCAGCTCTTCTGGGATGGCAGCTAAAAACCCTAAGGCGGTGCTCAAACGGAAACGGACATCAGTCTTGCGTCAAGACAGATAGACGTTCCAGCTGCCTGAAGGAAGAAGAATGAAAGGCTATGGTGTCCTTTGAATCAGTGACTCCACAATTCTACCGCCACAAGTTAGAGCTGGTATAAGCTGTACGATTGCGAACTGAAAGTTAATCTATCTTACTTTTTGCAGAATTCCGACAGGAGCAAGAGAAACATCCATCGTCCAAGGCGTCCGCCATTTTTCTCCGGTGAGAGAGGGTGAGAGATACATCTATTTGCATTTGTTCTCGTGGTTAATCTTTTATAATGATCTACACGCGAAGATCGCCTGAGTGGCAAGTGCATAGCGTATGAGTAGCATTGTTGACAGTCTGTCGCTGCGCAAAGGGACTAGGACACAACTGGGTTTTTAATGACAGAGATTTTGGGATGTAGGTTGCCAGGTTAACGTTGCCACGGTTTGAGGTGGAAGTAAAATACATACCGGAACCAATTCAGTGGCTATAAGGATTGAATGTAACACCGAATGGGATTAATGGCCCGGTTAAGAAAGATACACATTGTTATAAGACCAATCCTGTGTTTCCCTATTCTTCTCTCCGCCATCCAAAGCGATGGAGGCACTGGTGCCTCCGACGTCAAAATATTTTGACTCTAGCTCATCAGAAAGTTCTCCTTCGGTCTCCTTTTCTTCTACCGCCTCTACTTCCGATTCTGGCTTTTCTTCTCGGACACGTACAAAGCCACACAGACAATCAACTTCAGAGGCTGCCATTGTCTCTATCTATTCCATGTACACCGATGACCAGCCGACGAGAGCTAGCTGGGTTCAGGATGATACTAAGGACATTCCGCAAATCAAGCTCGATTGCAGACAATCATACTTGAACGAGTCCGACAACAGGGATAGCACAGAGCTGGCATATTTCCAGGAGGATACACCAATTATCGACCTTACTGACCCTGGCAATACTTCAATAAGATTGTCTAGCCATGATTCCCCCAATTCCTCCTGTGAGTTTAATTGATTGCTGGCTGCTTGATACTTAATTGATTCCTTCCGTAGCCATTATTCCCTCGAGCAGCAGACCCATCTCGGGTTTTGACCGAAGAAACGACCACAGGAGACGGTCCACTGGCCAAAGTCATCGTACAACGGCCACCTCCATAACTTCTGGCCCTTTGTCGATAGCTAGGTCTGGAGATTCTTCGTATTCTCCCTCACGATTTTCTCGAAAGTCAGGAGAACTCCCTCCCCTTCCTGTATCACCAACCCCACCGCCAGTTACACCACCACCTAACCGAAATTCTGAAACGCTTGAAGTGCCTACTTCGTCTCCAGCACCTTCATTACCCCCTTTACCATTGAAACACCCCGTGTACGTGGGCTCACCCATGAGCAAGACATCTCTTGTGCCGTCGGAAGGCGAAGATATGGACTCTTTCCACGTTAGGAATACATATGCTCAGCTTGATGTCAGCGGCGTTAAGGGCGACGGGTATGAAGAGGGTGTAGAGCGTACAAGGGCACGTATTGGGGACAGTAGAGCTAGTCAATTAAACGCCGAAGCTGCTCTCGGTGATGGAACTGAAAAAACAAAAGAATTGGACCCGAAGGAAGCTCAACTGCTGGCTGTGGTTGACCGGTAAGGACTCTGGCATCCAATTAAATTTTTGGTGTTGATCACACTTTAGATATGGATTCTTCTCGTCCCCATCCCATGATCGGTTGATGTTATTGCCCTCTGCTCCTCTCCTCCGGCATATTGGTTTGACACATGGTGGTCCCAAAAACGCTCCGGTTGCCGGTCCATCCTTGAAAACTCTCCCTCCACCTCAACATCCTCTGAAAGAACCTTCACGCATTGGCAAATGGGAACGGATGCTTCGTCCTTCGAAACCTGATCCAGGTGGTATACTGGTTTGGAGCATTCGGTCTACCAAGGAAGCTAAACTAAATGAGCGTACATATAAGGGCATTCCTGACCGATGGCGGAACGCGGCTTGGGAATTGTTATTATCACGGTTCACTGCGCAACACTCTCCACCCAGCGACCGCACTCAAATGTCTTTGGCTAGACTTGCGCAGGATTATTATGACGTCCTGGACAAGCCTTCGAGCTACGACATTCAAATTGATCTGGATGTGCCGAGGACCATTAGTGGTCATGTCATGTTCAAAACACGATACGGCGCTGGGCAACGATCGTTGTTCCATGTCCTCCATTGCTTCTCGTTGCGATGCGAAAAGTGCGGCTATGTTCAAGGTATGGGGCCCATAGCTGCCACCCTTCTCTGTTATTTCACCCCCGAACAAGTTTATGCTTCTTTGGTGCGGTTGCATGGCGCGTATGGAATGCACGATATCTTCTCTCCCGGGTTTCCTGGTCTCCTAGAGGCGATATACGTTCAAGAGCGTATCCTTGAACAGATGTTGCCTGACGTCTTTAAAGCATTCAAAACCCATATGATTTCGACAACATCTTATGCTACCAAATGGTACATCACTCTATTTGCGAATAGTGTCCCTTTTCAGACTCAATTGAGACTATGGGACGCGTTTTTTTTGGATGGAGAGGACGTCTTCATCACTGTCGCGGTAGCAATTGTCTGGGTTTTCAGAGGTACGCGTCCGTTTCGAAGGTGTGATCAATTACCAACTTGAATGTTTAGATCAAATCACGTCTGCTGCCGCCAATTTTGAGACAATTCTCTCTCTGCTGTCTTCCTTCTTCGTTCCAGAGGATGAGAATATACTGTTGTCATGGGTGGAGAAAACGTTAAATGACAAAAAGCTCAGATCTAGTATGGCTCAGTGGAGGAAAGATTGGCACAATCTAGTCGCTGCTGGTAAGGATGGAGACGCTCTGTTATAGTACCACCTGCCGCTTCTCAGAACATTGTACGGGTTCGCCATTAGCCTCTTAATTGCCTTCTGTTTCTGGCATCTACGCTCTTTTGCCCAGTGTCATCGACCATCACCATAAATGCATTTGCATTGCACCTTCAATCCATTGTACTGATCAACATCGCACATTCTTTCTTCCTTCGATCTCTCTTGGGTAATAATACCCACTTCTTCAGCTTATACCATTTATTGAGAACGTAACTGGACGTTCCTTTAATCTCGTTTTCGTATTCGATTGCTTGTTGTGCAGCATTTGGCTTTTATTCTTCATTACGCAGTACTCAATCAGTATAATTTATCAGTCTCTTTTGCTCTGCAGTTTTCGGTGTATCATTAGCGAGCTACAGTATACGAGTAATACAGAAGTTGGTTTCATCCAAATAAGCGCCCATTTGTCTTTTGTGGTATTACCGCGTTGTTGCCAGATGCAGTCGTTACGGAGTCGTCGCTCTCAAGGTCCTGCACGTAAGCCCACGCGACAACCTACGAATGGCAAGCTTGCCAAAGATGCTCGTCCTCGTCGCCGAGACACCAGCGGAAGGTCTCGTGTGGACGACAAAATCAAGAAGCGCATGTCAACAAGATATGCAGATATCTCGAGTCCAACAGAATTGAACATTCCCCGAGTACCTACGCTACCTATTGACGCTCCCGGTGTGAGGAGAATAGATGGAGAACAAGACGAATCTGTGCGCGATCAAGAGGATTTATTGTCCAGTCAAAAGGCCGCGGACGCAGCTGCAGAGGAAAAGAAATTACTAGACGACAAGAGTTTTGATCCAGATGCTTGTGCGTCGGTTGTTATCAAACTCTGGCTAATAATTCACTGTCTCTCTTTCAGATCTGAAGAAGAAGTTGGCAAATTCCACTGAAGCAGAGCTTAAGTCTCTGCAATCCTCATTACGGAGCTCCAAGGATGACACTGCCTCTGAACTCCAGCGAAGCGTCTTCAAAAAGTTAGTGGGCCTTCCTCCGCTTGTTTAGCACTGCTAATTAGATATTAGCTACGCCGAGTTCGTGATGATATCGAAAGAAATCTCTACTCTGGAGAATGAGATGCTTGAATTGAAAGAATCTCTCTCCGAATACAAGTCTATGCCATCTCTGTTACATATCCCCGATCCGACTTCATCTTCCTCCAGCATTTCGACATATCGAAGATCTTCCGTAGCCGACCTTCGTATCATGTACTTCAACCAAATGCAACAACTGCACGCTCAAATTGAAGGATCAGCAAAATTTGCCCCGACCACACCAGGTCGACATGTTGTTGGAGAAGCCGACGGTGTTCTATCACTCAATGCAGCAACATACAAAGTCATGGGCAGAGTCAAGTTTGTCGTGCTGGACGATGCTGTGTTGGTGGCCAAGCGGAGAAGACGGACAGCAGGCGGAGCTGGTGATACATCAGGACGTGCGGGGGGACGTTCAGAAGGCAAGTTGGTGGCAGAGAGATGCTGGTCATTAAATGAGATGGTCGTGTTAGACAGTAAAGATTCACCAAGCGAGTTCTTGTAATCTCATCAAACTCGCTGCTGCTAAATTATCTTTCTACTGCAGGTATGACGAACGTATTCAAAGTTAGACATGGCAAAGAAACTCATGTCTTCCGTACCGAGACTCTCGCAGAGAAGAAGACTTTACTAGGGATGTTGCGTCAAGTTGGAGACGAATACAATGCCAAGAAGCGTAAAGAGCGTGAAGGGGAACATGAAAGGCGCAAAAGTATGTGGCCTGGTGCGGATGTAAGTTGTTCATCATCTAACGAGTGTATTTCAGTGGTAATATGTTGACGAGTAGCAATCTTCACCATCTGTTCCCCCGGATTGGATGGCCGAGTTTGCGAAACTGTCAGGCAGTTCCACTTTGACTTCTGGCACAGACGCCAGGGAAAAGTCTGAACGAGACGTTCGTTGGACAGGCGAATGGGCAGACGATCTAACGGTGTCGATTGCCCTGCGGCAATGGAGTAGAGCTGTCGAATTAGTTGAAGAAGGTTGGTTCAAATGTTGGCTTCTGAAAACATCGGGTCACATTTCTCTCTCCTCTAGGCAAGAAGAAGTCTTCCACCATCCCTCCGCTCGCCGCTAAACTCCCATCATTATCTACCCAACTCACAACCGCCATTCTTGAAAATCTTTCCCAGACATCTAACCGTAAATCCACCGTCGTCGCTCTCATATCCTACTTGGTTCGCTTGAATGCTGGACCGGCTGCACGACATACGTTCCTCACGATGCGCTCTAAAGTCATGAAAAGTCATGTACGAAAAATCACATTTGAGGGTCATGTTGGGGCATATATTGCAGATCTGGCCATGGTATATTTCACCGGGATCAAACATACAGCCGACTGGTTTCTAGCAAGTTTCAAAGAAAATGAGGTTGCGAGTGGTAAGCTTCCCAGCACAACCTGTGGCCGTTGTGACTAATCTGGCCGTTGCAGCATTCATTGACTGGGCGCGTTCACAAGTCGAAACTTACTCGGAGATATTCCGAAATCAAGTATATAGCTCAGGAGTGGAGGGCAAAGTAGTCGAAGAGGCGCTCCAGATTACTTATGATTTGAGTAAGAAGGTGATTATCCTTTGCAACTATTTAATCTTCCATCACTGATGTGAACATCAGCTTCTCGAAGAGTATGGCCTCGACTTCCGCTTCTTGTTGGACGAGCAATTAGCGGAAACCCCGAAGATACAACCGAAAGCAATATCCTCAGAGATCAGCATACCTTCGTTTAAGGGGCCCCTACTTGCTAGGTCATCAAATGCTACCTCTGCACCGAAGCTCTCCCTATCGACTTCTTCTGGTTTAACAAATCGAAAGGTTCCTGCCGCACTGAATATTCCTTCTCCGGATATTCAGGCAGACGCAAGCTTAGCATCTACCACACCATTAATGGGAACAGGCGCCCCGATGTCCACTGGTTCTGCTTACCCCGACACAAGCAAGTTCAAGGGACAAATGCTCGGAAGCGCTCGAAGTCGTACACCGGTTGGAGGTAGCGGCATCTTATCAATTTCCTCTTCATTATTACCACCAAATTCAGCTCCAGCACATTCTGTTCCCGCTTCTCCTATTCCCAGGCAAATGCGTACGCCTCCACCTAGTGCTGGAAGGGATAGACCCCCTAGGTCAGAAAGAGGGGCCGGAAGTCCAGCACCACCGCCGAGGTCGTCGAATAGACCTGGAAGTTCGATTAGTCGAACAACGCTGGTTGCTGTGGCTCAGAGGGATGGTATGATATGAGACGTGTTGCACAAGTAAGTAGTATAGCTCGAGGAGAAGTATTTAATATGTAACATCGTTGGATGGATTTCATACCATAAGTCTGGCATCTGATTTAATATGTTCACTTGTGACTGAGGATAGGACAATGATAGCAAAAGCAAGTCAATAACTGTGAAAATCCAGGGCATATATAGTTACAACTTAACCTAATACACAAAAAGACGCTCCAAGAAATGTAAAGAATATAGCGGAGGGAATATTGTATGCTATATCCCGGGGATTGCATCAAGTCTTCCCTCGTGACAAGATGTCCACAGAGTCAGGATTAAGCTCGGCGGAAGACGTGAACTGCCCAGCTGGCATTGAGGGACGCGGTGAGTCTCTATTTGTCGAACGTGAGGCACTTTGAAAAACCTGATCATAGTCGGGAGGAAGCGTTTCACCATCGCTGAAATCATCTGGGATTTGACCCGCATCTGTTTCTCTTCGGGGCCGAGGGAACGGACGACTGCGCTGACGACCGGCTAGGGAAGAGGAAGAGGATGTCGAGGCTGCAGAGGTATCCACGTCCGATGACGAGGGTGGGATTTGTCTGCGATATTTGCGCGCTGAGAGGGGCGAAGCGGTAAAAGACTCGCTCCCAGTGGGAGTCACTGTAGGCGCATAACGTGGCGTAGATGCTATAGAGGCCATTTGCGACGAAGGGTTAATATCGTCGGGTGCACGAATCCTCTTTCGTCGTCTCCGGTAAAGTACCCACATGATGATGATGAAACCGATTAAGACGACAGCACCAACTATAGCACCAATGACGGCGCCTATGGGCACAGGTGCCTTTGATTGAGCTAGAATAGATACAGTGGGTGACGGCGAAGAAGCGGTGGAAGTTGTGGCTAAAGGTTCAGATACGAGGGTGGTAACCACCGGTGCTGTGTTTGGAACCTGGAGTTCAAACCTGTCGATTGTTATTTGCGAGTGCCCAAACCGGGAATCATTTTGATTTGTGAGTATAATGGCATGTATTCCAAACGTATCGAAAGTTTTGGACCAAAGAATGACCTTTGTGAGGTGATACATATAAAGCACGACGAAATAAAGAGCAGATAAAGTTCGTACGGGAGGGTTTTTTCCATCGTCCGTTGAGTTGACTGCATCGATTGTCTCGAAAATCGGATTATTAGGATCGCAATCTACACAGATAGCGTAAAGACCTCCACAACAACGACGAATTCCATAGTAGTACACTGCATTGGCTGGGACTGTCAACCAATTCTTCAGTCAGGATACCGGGAAACAACTCTATGATTTATGACTACAAACTTGGGAAAGCTGTTGATATATGTCGTCAATTGGAGTCGCATAACCATATATATTCACTCACTAAATGTGACATTTGCTCTGATATCTTCTGTAGATGAAAGAGTTCCAGTTTGTCCAACATTGGTGGCATTATATGACCCATCCTGGGGTGAAGGCCATCCTCCTGCATAGTGAAGATCTGCTGTGTCTCTATCGTCAAAAGTCTGATTTATCAAAATGGTAGCCATCGCGACATTCAGTTGAAGGTGCCAGTGGAGATGGGAAGAAGCCCGGGAGGACGTCGGGAAAGAAGTCTCTCTCTGCGCGCAGAGATAGTATATGTACAGGAAGAAAAACAGCAAGGAAAGAAACTCCCATTCTGATTCAAATTGCAGATCGGTCACATCAGTGGGAGATTGGAGTTGGCAATAGAAGGCAACAAAATCAACGTCAACAGTCGACTGAAATCACAGCACGTGGATAGCGAATAAGCTTGTTTCCGCTGTAGCTCCTCCGCTGTATCTTCTCCACTGTATCTTTTCCGCTGTATTCATCGGCCAAGCTGGACCCGCCTTCTGATGTCGACTTTTACAAGGTTCTAGCTGTAGCTAGGACTGCTTCTGCAGAAGAAGTAAAATCTGCGTATCATCGTGCTCTTTTAGTTCATCACCCGGATAAAAATATCTGCACACCGGCAACGATCCATCTCGCAACAATCAAAGAAGCTTATAAAGTGCTCTCATCCCCCGCTCTTCGGGCGCTGTACGACGCAAAGTCTGTGCAGAATGCAGGCACCACTGGTCCACGACCTGCTCAGTTAATATCGCTCGAAGAATTCGAAGAAGATGCTAATGATGATACCGTTTGGACTTATCCTTGTCGATGTGGTGCAAACTATCGCATAACAGAAAATGAGATGGAACATGGGACACATCTCATCGGATGCAGTGGCTGTTCAGAGTTTATCTGGGTTGGTTTCGAACTCGTCAAACTGTGTGTAGTCGTAATTGGTGAACCGCCCAATCATGTGCTAACCTCGAAAGCGTAGATAAAGTGCGACGATGACTTAAGCTCACAGACCCCATCTGTGTCTGAGCTCTCAACTGTTATAAGGGTTCCGGACTGTTGTTGCGTGTTCGGAGATTTAATGTGCAGGTATGATCTGGGTATGATAACCTGCTATTCCACGAACAGGATTATTGATGCTCACTCCCTTCCTTCTGTTAGATATGCACTATCTGCCCCTACAACAACGCATAGTAGGAATAGGAATAATCCAGCCAGAACAGTAAATCCTCGTAATCGCTTCCGGGGAACCTGTCTTTTTTTTTTGACATGTATAATCATTGGATGGGTGTTGTAACTTGTGTTCAGGTTCTAATCTCTTGACTAGAGGAAATCATATAGAAAAACTGAAGTACACCTATGGTTATGGTATCTAGTTCTGCCATGTTCACTGATCAACAGCAAAAGCAAAAACATAGTACCACTCCTCACAACCTAGCCGAAAACACTGCAAATCCAAAAAATCTCAAAGTACAGTAGTGACAAAAAGGACGCATCGAATTCTGTGTCCTGAACTGCATCAAAATTTCCCTAATGCTTGGTATTAGGGGACGGAGTGCTAAGTCCGACGTTCGACAGTGCTAGGGAAATCTGATCATATCCAGGAGGAAGCGTTTCGCCGTCGCTGAAATTATCTGGAACCGGGCCCGGATCAGTTCCTCTACGAGGCAAAGGGGACGGATTATGACGCGGAGGGCTATCCAAAGAAGGGGAAGAAGACACCAAGGCTATGAATGGCATCGATCCCGGAGGGCGAGGGTCGTCCGGGGCACGATACCTTCTCTGTCGTCTTTGGCGAAAGACCCACATGATAATGATGAAACCAATCAAGACGAGAGCGCCGACTACACCACCAATAATAGCGCCTAGAGGTGGCTTTGATTGAGCCACATTTGAAGCGGGAAATGTCGAAGATATGTTCGAAGAGGTTTCAGGTATAGAGCTGGTAACAACGGAAGATAGCGAAGATGCGGTTGATAGGGTTCCAGATATAGAGCTGGTTGCTGTGTTTGGAATCTGGAGTTCGAATCTATCGATGGTGATTTGCGAACGGCCAAACCTAGAATCATTTTGATCTGTGAGCAGGATTTCATGAATTCCAGGCGTGTCGAAAGTTTTGGACCAAAGAACGATCTACAGGAGGGAATGAAGCAAGACGAAGTAAAGAGCAGATAAAGTTCTTACGGGAGGGCTGTCTCCAACGTCTGTTACGTTGACAGCATCGATTGTCTCGAAAATCGGAGCTTTACTAGAAAGGCAATCTACACAAATAGCGTAAAGTGCTCCGCAACAGCGAGGAAGCCCATAGTAATACACTGCATTGGCTGGGGCTGTTTAAAAAAATCAGAATACCAGAATGGCACAACGTTTATGGTACAGTTCTACGAACTTGGAAAAACTGTGGCGAAATGTGGTGATTAACATGAGTTACAGGCTGTTACAGAACCACGTATCCACTCACTGAATGTGACATTTGCTCTGATGTCTTCTGACGAAAGAATTCGACCGTCCCCTGTATTGCTGACATTCCAGGCGTCCTGAGGTGAAGGCCATCCGCCTGTATAGTGGAGAACTGTTGTGTCTGTCGCGTCATATGTCTGATTTATGAAGGGACCACCGGTAGACATCGCTACTTTCGAATGTGGAGAAGGAAAGTAGTTTGAGAAGATGTCCTTTAAGCTCCTTTAAGAGAGTTAGCACTCTGTGCGAAACTGATAGAGGAGAAAAACAGCGATCCTGATGGGATGGAACTCCTATCTTGATCAGCTCGTACAACAGTTCGAGTTGACGATCGTCCAGCGTAACAGTAACCTGTGCACTGCAAATGTTCAGTTCCAACTCGAGGCGTCATTTTGCTCCGTTCATATCACTCGAGGATCTGCTCTCCTTGCCGCATCATCAACTAGACAGTGGAAAGCATTAAACGTTTGATTGTCTTTAGCCAATCAAGCAGGAACGAGAAGTTGCTGAATGCTTTCTAGCAAAGTACATAGTAGAGGTACTGAGGTAAAGGTAGTCTGTAATGAGAGCCTCGTTGCCGGTGTACCGGCAAGGCTCGGCATTCTGCCGCTGTGTGATCTGATCATGCTCAACTTGGAGAAGGCTGTTTTTTCTACTGTGAATGTCCTTAAGCCAAAAACACCTCCGCATCTGGCAACGACCCATATCGAGATAATCACAAAAGCTCAGATAGTCCCCAATATGTCGTACGATGGGAGTCTTTAACTGGAACCACCGGACGATCTGCTCAGTCAATCTCGCTCGACTACTATTTGAAGAAAATTGGTGATACCGTTCGGACTTCTGTCGTTGCGGGATGAACTGTCGCATAACAAAACATGAAATGTAACCTGGATCAAATCTCAAAGTCGGGTGTACCCAGTGGCTGTTCGGAGCTCAGAAAACATTTAGGTTGGTTTCGAACTCGCCGAGGGTCATTGAAAAAACTGTGTTGTTGAACTTATTACTGCCCAATGATGTACTGACCTCAAAAGCGCAGCTATAGATAATGTGGAAGTGTCACAACGCGCTAAGTTTTCAGGCCCCATCTACCAGTGTTTTTGAGCTCTCGACTATCACAAGCGTTTCGAACTAACATTGTATCGGTCTTTGTGTGTTCAGAGACTTAATGTGCGGGTATGACTCAGATATCCGACGGACACTCAGACTAATAACTCACACACTCTCTATGTTTAGTATAATCCTGGTATATCAACCTCTTCTGGACTTAAATACCATGATCCTTTAATAACCTCATTGTCAGAATACTTTTCAGTCAAAACAACAAAGCGAATCCCTCACGATCGCTTCCGGGTATCTTGTCGGCCAAAGTGTTGCCGTTCCCCAACCAGAAAAATCTATTATTGTCGGGATCTAACGGTTCATAGTCGTAGTCTTCCCATCGTGGGTGTTCTAATGCTTTGATGCAATGCAGACATGATCCTAAATCACGGTGAATGAAATGATTCCTTTCGGTATCTGCTGCATTATACCTACCTGGCCAAAGAGACACGACTCTCCCCTCCTCCTTTCCGACCTTGTACCACGACCGACATTTTTCGCCAAAGACACTCTGTTTTATCGTTGTCAACGAGCTGATGGCACGGTCATCTCCTTTTCACTTACTGTTGGAAAAAAGCTCTGTGATCTTCAAGTCAGTCTCTATCACGAAGCTTCTCAATTCAAATTGTACCTCGAGATATGCATCAAAATCATCCACAGCTTCCTTCTTTACTTCAATGCTCTTCAATCGCTCTCGCTGTAGCTTCAGAGTTGCCGCCACAGCATAATCTACTTGCCGTTCGATGATGATTAACAGCGAACCTGCTCCAACTCCCGTGTTTGGACCTAGAGCTGAAAACCAATTGGGAAATCCATCCACGGCTATGCCTAGATATGTTCGTGGATGGGGCTCGAATTGTTTATTCAGCTCAATGCCATTTCTGCCTAGAATATCGACTTGAGAGGAGGCAAAAAGGGCAAAACAATGTACTTCATCCCACCTATGAATGTAAAAGGCAGCTTGTAGGAGGTGTCGAAGCCTGTCGCACAAACGATGACATCCAAGTCTCTATGCTTGTCATCGACCGTTTCTATCCCTGTGGGCGTTATTCGTTTGATATTTTCTGGAACAAATTCAACCTGTTGGAAAAGGTAAGCATTTACCCCATTTTATATCCCATCATACAAACATTCTCCTCGCACAAAGACTCGAGATAACCAGGGCCCGGTGTCAGTCGACGACAAGCAACAGAAAAATCCGGTATTACTATGGTCCGCGCAGGGTCATTAGTGAAAGCACCTGAAATATCAGACTACTCACAATGCTCCGCGATCCATGGTTTCTTTGACAATTTCTGTCTCATGATCTTTTCAAAGATTTCCCGAGCTCCTTGCTGCAGAGGATTACCTCGCAGCGTCGCTAGGTGCGCCCCCTGGAGAACATTTAGCGTCGACGACGTCAAGAATCCATGCAGCCTTACATTGAGATCTGACTCAAGACCTCGCCGGAATTCCCGGTAATATTCCTTGTCCCTGAATTTCTTCTTGTCCTTGTCCGTGAAGGTGTCTATCACGCGAAGATTCAAGATTCCGATTTGCACTTTTTCCCCGAAAACACGCACAATTGTCCACACTTTCGTCTCCGTTCGCGAGAGTGACAAGGTGTTCTCGGACAAAACTTGCACTCACCCAAGTTTTGCCTCGTACGAAGTTCGAAATTGTCTTTACCCTCGGCTGGAGTGCGGGTACGATTTGAATCGCTGAAGATCCCTTAGTACAAGGGTCTTTCAGTTGATTTTATCATGCCCTCAGTGGCAGAATACTCACTACACCGATCACACCGATCTTCTTCTCGCCCCAGCTCTTCACAGTATCTTCCCACTTCGTTTTCGCTCCTGAATCTCCCTCTCCCGTTTCCCATTGTGCGCTGTGGATCACCTTTCCTTGGAACGTTTCCAATCCTTCGATTTCCGGCCACTGCCACCTGCTGAGGCTACCGATTCCGGTGAACAGAACGTCGGCGGTGACCTCTATATCTTCGTATCCATCCTGTGTAGTCCCTTGGCGGATTTGCGGATTGCTGCTATCTGTGCTAGCAGTGGCTCTTTTGATGGTCAAATGCCATTTTCCTGTTTTCTCGTCGTATTGCGTACGGGTGAGACGGTGTTGGAGCTTGATGTAGGGTCCCAAGTGGAATTTTTCTACTACGGACTCAAGATAGGCCTGGATTTCGGGACCGGGAGCGTAGAAAGAGGACCAGTCGGGCTAGGGGCATGCGTCAATCATATGAATTATTTTACTAGATGGCGATTTTGAGCTTACATTCTCAGCGAACGTGAGCTGGTACTGATGGACGTTGATCGAGGTCAGACGTTTCCAGTCTCAGTGACAATAATAACTAATGGGACGCACACAGTGGGAAGGGATATCACACGCAAGGCCCTTACAGAATATAGTGGAGAGAGTTCGTGGATTAGCCCCGAAATCGCTGATGCATTAAGGAACTAACGGCTCAACTGGATATCGGTTTACGAACCACGTACCCCCAATTCCTGCATTGGCCTCGTATATAGTGAGTTCTAAGTTCTTAACCCTTTGAAGGAACCTATGTAATCATGCAGTGGGTTGTTGAACTACACAGCTTATGCACAGTGTCATACCGAATTCCAGCGACGATTCCTGAAGCGTTAGTCAATGGTATGGAGAGTCGTGATTTCAAGCGTGCGTACCGCTGTATCCTGCTCCGATAATGACGACCTTCATTGGACGAGCTTCATCGATACAAAAGCTCGGAAGCTTGTATTTATTCTCGGGCGAGTACGTTGTGTGGCCATTCAAACCTGAAGTCCCGTTCACGGAGGACATGTCCAAGTCTAACGCAAAAGATAGGTAGTGTACGATGGCTTACTTATGCAGTCGACCATGGGGACAATTTGTAACAAGCCGGACCTGGTTGGGGTTGTCCGAATGTTCGTCTGGGCTCGCCCATACATAACTCATATTTGGGGCTGGGAGAAAGTATCCTGTTCAGTTTTAGGATGAAAACTGTGGAATGATTTCCAGCTGGTCTTGTGGTCCTCAAATGTACATTATAATGCGCCGCTGAATAAAAAGACGTTGAGTATTCAGTTGCAATTTACCCTCATGATTTCGCCCATCATGCAATTTATGTGCGCAAATACTTGAAAAATATGGCCTGAGGGCGGCTACCGGTAATTGTTATCGCCTCCTCATGATCATGCGCCACCACTGATGCACCAAGTCGGAGTAGTGAGTCTGTGTCGTCGCCATTCGTAGAAGAGGACGTGAGGATGTTTACTATCTTTTACGGACGGTGACCAGGCATTGCACATTCTCCAGACGCTTGAACATTGACGTTATTGAACACCGATTGGCCATCTGCCATCAAGTACAATGTTGAAGGCAGAGGTTTTCGACAATAATTCTTTCACTAGTACCACACTTGACGGAAACACCAAGATCAAACCCATCCAATCCAGATCCTATATAATACATCCTTTCTTGCAACATCGTAATGATGCCATAAACAGTACTCATCATAAAACAACGAAAGCACCGGCCACTGCACTGCCAACCAGAGCCGCGAGTGTCGCAGCGATAGGCACCATCGTCGTCATCTTGTTGGCAAATTGGACACTACCAGCACTGTTCTTCTGAGACGCAGTAGAGCTGGGAGCAGCGCTGCTGGTGCTCGTGACTGGACGAGAGGTAGCGGAAGTTACGAAACCACTTGATGAAGAGGATGTAGCTAGCGCGGAAGAGCCGGAGGAAGCTGTGGGGGTTGGGGAACTAGTGGCTATGGTGAAGTGAGTGCCGGCGAAGGAAGTGACCACGCCTTGTCCGGAGCTAGCCAGAGTGATTGCTTCCCCTCCTAAGCTAGTGATGATGCTCTCGATGTGACCCGCGTCGGCTGTGGTAGGGGGAGAGTAAGTAAGATCACGATTGATAACACTGATGTGGTGTCAAAGAGAACGTACAGGTTACAGTCTGCACAAATCCAGAAGGAAGCGATGTATGTCCGAATGCAGACCCGATCCTGCTCGTGGCCACTTGGAATGCAGAGTTGACCTTGCTCGTGGCATCACCGAACAGCGAAGCGGCGTCTGCAGTGATATCACTGAACGCTACTACATAGGGAGTAACACGAAATGTTTAGCAAGCGTGAGTCTGAATTTATAAACTGATCATACATACCATCACGCTGGATGGCAACAACAGCGCCGTGGGCCACGACAGCAGATGAAACAGCAAGCAATGCGAGGAAGTTTTGGCGGACCATTATTGTACTAGGGGTATGTATAGTTAGAAGCGGGCGAGGATTAGAAGTAGAGCGAAGTCAATTCGTCTGTACTGATGATAGCGGCCTGCGCTAAGGTGTTGTGTCAAGAGCTGCAGATTCATTGGGCTTTTATACGGAAACTGTACAGCCTCGCTACATAGCCGATGGGAAATCAGATTGGATCAACATGTTCCCCCGATGTTCCCAGGACCCCGGATAATTGGGGATACAGTCGTTCGGGAGTTCGGACAAATTTTGAGAAATTTTTCGAAAATTCTGTTCGATTTTCGGACATTTCAAGGCCTCTGACGGCGGTAGGTTGCTCACAGGGGTTCGGACATTTTTTCCAGCTTGGGGAGTTATATCTGCAGGTGGGAGTCCGTGGGACTTTTGGAAATTTTTTGAAGCCTCCCCGAAGATCATTTAGGCGAGCGCCAATTTGCTTAAGCGCCGGCGGCTGGTCGACTTTCGGACATTTTTTGACAGAAATTCTTGATTTTGGTTCGGACATTTCAGCCGAAATTCGTCAATTTTGGGAACGACCTTCACTGTGATTATCCGGGGTCCTATGTTCCCTCACGTTCAGTGTCATCCATAATCTCAATTTCGTCTCCGGAAAATTCATTTGTGAACGCGGCCAGGAACGAAACCGAAAACGCTCTGATAATATGTGCATATGTATTCGCCGACTGTGGGCAATACTGCTAATTTGAAGTGATCATAAAATTGTCAAAGCAGAAGTGCGATCAGAGAATAAGCCGTTGCTGTTGGAACATTAGCGCCGTTAGCGTCAAAAGAAAGTTAGCGTTAAAAACATTGTCACCAAATTTGGGTCGGCCAAAGCAGGGATACCAGACGCATATAGTCATGAGAAAAATATAGCATTAATACCCTTCCATACAGTAAATTATCATTAGCGAGTCGTGGCTACTCTATCCTGGGTATAGTTCGTAGGTGTAAAATGAATTCCAGAAATCAAATCAAGCAGAGGTGGGCGCCGCGGTTTCTGTTACAGTACTCGTGCTCGTGACGGTGGCGGTAGATGCTGGCGGCTGAATGGGAGCCTGGACAGGTGGCTTGGCAGGGGGTTGGACAGGCGGCTGAACGGGAGGAGAGGGAGCTCCAGAAGGAGGACCAGAAGGAGGCGAAGGAGGCGAAGGCGGTGCAGAAGGAGGCGAAGGAGGGGCAGGGGCATCTCGTCTCGCGCGATGACTACGACGAACCGGAGGTTGAATAGGAGCAGCGTTTTCGACGGTTCCCGCATTATCCTTGATTGGTTGAGGAGCAGCCCCTTCGGCAGCCCCTAACTTGTCTTTTGCCGCACCAATGACCGTGGACGGAACCTGTCCTGGCTGTATAGGTAGAGCACCTTCAACAGTCCCCGCCTTGTCCTCGACTGGTTGCGGAAGAGGAGCCTGGCTAGCGACATCCCCAGCTTTGCCAGGAATGCCAGTGACAACGCCAGTCACACCTCCTAGGATCGCGTTAGGGTCGACGGGAAGCTCAGGAGCATTTGGAGGAAGCGGAGAGGCATCACGACGAGAAGGAGCACTAGAAGTGGAAGGCGCGTAAGAAGAAGTAGACGAATTCGATGGGGTCGGACTCCATGTAGGAGAGGCCTCGGGGGTAGTATCAGTTGTATTATCGGCTGACATCACGCTCAAGGTGTCGACGTCTGCGGCTTGAACGCTAGGACAGGGCATTCCGAGCACGTTGAGTAAGTCAGGGATCAACGGAAGAGTGCATAGAGGTCCAGGAAGAAGGCCTCGCTCTTGAACTTCTACATTTTGTTCTAAAATACACTCATGCATGAGCGAGATTCACGAATGGTCGCAAAACGCGCGACTAACCTTCTGAACGCGCTTCCCGAGCGTAGTCAACTTGAGGATTAGGATGAGAGACTGAATCGCGCCTGGCGTCCCGGAATTGATTATTGGAACTACCAACACCAGATGAAGCTTGAGCGTGATCGCCCGCGGGAGCAGCGAGCGCGCATAAAGTCGAAGACGAAGACGAAATGGCGAGAGTAGCCAAGACAAGCGAAGAGCTGGATGGAAGTCTCATGATGATTCGTTAATAGAGATCGTAAAGTGTAGTGATGATCGTGAAGTATAGAGATGTACTAAGTGCAAGTTAATTTCTTACAGGTAGATGATGGTGGTATAAGACAGAGAGGTGGAAAGAAAAGCCTTTCGCCCCAGATCGAATTTATAGAAAGACGAAGAGTTTGGTCGGAGCAAACATTCGCCTTTTTGGGACGACAGGTTGGCGAGTAATAGCGATCGCCTAAGGAACTCTGACGTCCTATATGTTCGTTTTGGGAAAGTCATTCACCTTTATAGGAAGCATGACGCACGCAGGACCCAATCAATTTACGAGAAAAGCCAGTTAATAATTGCCAACGCCAAGGGGGAAAATCAACCTGCCCGTATACAGTAAATAGTGTAAGTATTCTCCTTCACCATAGATACTTTACTCACAATTCTCCTGCTTCAAGCTTCATCAATCGCAATGGTTATATTCCCCTGCGATGTTCCATCTCCCATAGCTCTTCGTCTCCAAATCTCCTATGTCCATTACCCCCATGTCTGGCACTAAGTACAGAGTATTCCCAAAGGTTTGACGCGACTTGGCGGATTGATGTGCCCATACACGACGACAGGAGGAACCACAACAGGGCTGCAGATCTGTAGGTATATATGTTCAGTTTCTTCCAGGTGAAAGTCGTCTAAATACTCACATCAAACACACTAGGAGGACCAGCACTAGCATCAAAGCTCGTATATCGTCGTCGTTCCGCATGAACATGCAATGCGGCGCTAACGGCCAAAGGTAGCCGGTGGCGTACGTACTCACGCGGGTATCAGATAAGATTTCTTGACCCTCCACTTCCGACAATTGGTTTGTCCTGCAAGACACCTGAAAGAGTTCCTATTCTGCTTATCTTGTAGCTCTAATCAATCAATGTCCGCTCCACAGTCCGAAGGTCGCTGAAATTCACCAGAAATCGTACAATGTGATTTACTCGTCCTTGACTGGCGTGGAAAAGCCGTGGAATTTGGGGAGATTTGGGGCCTGAAAAGGCACACAGCGTCGCATAAAAAAGCTCGGGTTCAGGCGGCGCTTGTGAGTCTAGCAGTTCATTTCTGGTGCCATTTGGTCGTCGTTGAAGACTGTCGCATCGACGACGCCACCCAGTCAGCCAATTGCAGTCCGTACGTTTGGTATGCACCAAAATTCTGGATAAACGTGGTTGCCTAGATTGACTTGATCAGATTCCATCCTTACCGCTGTCTTGGGTTTTCTCACTATCGTTGGTCTCCCATATTTTCTCTGCGCATTGGAAACTCTTGGCTTCTTTAGCGTTCCCAAGGACGCTATGCTCATCGATCGAAAAGCTTCTGCAATACCAGCAATAGCGGTTCCAGCGCCCTCACCCGCCCAGGTGCGTTTTACTTCCCCGTTTCGCTTGAAGAGCTCTAACGCCATCATAAGTCCGACACAGTGGTACTTGATCCAAGCACCAAAAACGAGGATATTGAACGTACCTCAGAGTCTGCTAGTGTCTTGCCACTAGATCCTTTCCATCTTCGTGACGCTCTAAAGTCTGAGAAGCAACTACTCGAGCTACGAGAGCATAAGAATGGGAAGAAGCTACAAAATTACTATGCTCGGCAAAATAATGTACGTTTCGAGTATGATCTGTCTCCGTGCATCGGATTCTAACATATATTTTTGTAGTTGATCGTCTCTCTACTAAAATCAATGGAAGAACATACCAGTGAAGCAAGAGACGAGGAGGACGCTGCGCGTCTCCCTGTGTGCATCTTCGATACTATATCACTCATCCACCCTTACTTATTCTTGCACAGGTCAAAATCGCCATATGGGCCAGTCTAATAGCCAATTTAATTCTCTGCGTACTCCAAAGTATGTACATTCCCTCTCCCTGCTCCCTGTAAATGCATTTGCTTGCCGCCAGTGTATGCCGCAATATCGGCTTTATCATTAAGTCTTCTCGCGACGGGTATCGACTCTGTTTTCGACATTGGATCCAACATCCTATTGCTATGGCTAAATAGAAAAGCAGAGTCATTAGACGTCAAAAGGTGGCCGGTAGGGGGAGCGAGACTAGAGACTATAGGGAATATTGTATACGGTACGCTCCTTATCGGCTTCGCCTATTTCTTTACGCGGAACCAATACGTTGATTTTCGTAGGATTCTTGTACGTGAAAATCTCCCGCCGCTTGCCTCAAACTTTGGCGATCGCCGACTCTCTAAAACCGACAGAATGAGCTCCGTTAATCTCGTCGTCATCGTAGAGTCTGTGCGAGATCTCGTTACCCATACCAATGGTTCAGTGAAAAACTTCCATTTGCCCTCCATCCTCGCTGTGGCTTCGGCCCTGTGTGAGTTATTTCCCAGTCAACTAGTCTATTTACTAATCCTTATTTCACAGTCGTCAAATTTGCCCTATTCTTATATTGCTTCTCTCTCCGCAAAAACTCCAGTCAAGTACATGTTCTCTGGGAGGATCATCGGAACGATCTATGGATCAATGGTTTTGGTGTGTCTAATTTCCATGGGCTTGCCTCTATATTCAAAACTCCAACGCAGGTATTTTAATGTCGACCGGCGGAAGTAAACTTCGATGGTGTATGTTCGCTATTCCGGTTGCATACGCCCTTTAGCCTGTGTGTTTGTCGATTAATATCCGCTTCTTTCTTGCAGTTCTCGACCCAATGGGAGCTGTCATTGTCAGCATTTACTCTTTCTCCTTTCCTAAAAGCTCTAACATTGCTCACGCCAAATCATCATGCTTACCTTTCTAGATCGCCCTCGGAGTCATCATGGCATGGGGAAAGACCATCTACGGTCAATTCGAGCTGTTGGCTGGAAAATCTGCTCCACATGGCGTGTTACAACTCTTGACCTACAAGTCGTTGACTTTTAGCGAGGAGATTGAACGGATCGATACCGTGCGGGCTTACCATGTGAGTTTCCTTCTTCGTTTGGTGCGGTTTCTTGTGTGTACTCACCGTTTCGGCATTTTTCAGAGTGGACCGGTAAGACAGCTTTTTTGCCAAGACAGCGAGAGCGTGATTTATTGAATCGGTTAACCGCCATGGGTGCAACAGGATTTTTTCGTAGAAGTGGACATCGTTATGGACCCCAAAACTCCTCTTTGGAAGGCTCACGATATAAGCGAACACTTACAAAGCAAGATTGAAGCTCTGCCACAAATTGAACGTGCGTTCGTCCATGTCGACTATGAGACTTCGCATCAACCCGTACGCTCCCCGGCTTTTCTTGGAATCTCGGAAAGTATTCTGACTGCTGATATGCTGTAGGAGCATCGAAAAACGTAGTATGGGTTTTCTGTATCAGAAAACTATCGACGCATGTTAGAGAAGGTGCTCACCTCAGGCTACAAATTTGTACAATACATGCGCATTTCGTGCATATCAGTCTCGATTTCATGCTCGACGCGTCCCAAGACTTACGCACGTAATCGTGTTATCTGCCCATTCATCCATCTTTCTCGGCAACTCCATTCTCCACCTCCTTCTGCAATAGTCCTCGGATTTTATCTGGTCTATATATTCAAGGTCACCGTCGCCATATCTTCTACAAATCTAGCAATGCTTCCTGTCATCCGGGCGTGACTATGTAGCCTATACTCAGAGAGAGAAGTCAAACTTCGAAATAGTTACCCACACACTCGCATCTGGAAGGTCCTGTAATCTATATGTTATGACGAGTTCCAATGGATTTATGGAAGTTATTGGAAGGAATCATACAGTAACGGTGATTGGCGAGCTCGTCGGCAGCTCGAGGCTTCAATATCTCAATTCTCGACCGCTTCTCGATGAGCCTTGTTACCATTTCAGATATCTTCTCTCAACTGCATATGACCAGATTCCGAGCCATTGGCTCAAACCCCTATTGCATGTACTTGCCCAGGAAATCCCTAGGCTTTCCTAATGTCCTTCAAAGAACAGGAGAATTCTATCTCTGTGCACTTTGTCTTAAAGAAAGTGATTTTGGGATTGTTCGTGTCAAAGAGGTTTCTGAGGAGCGCTCCGATGCTTACTTCCCGAAATCCCTTTCGTTGGGTCATTCTTCGGCATCGTATACCAGACTCCTGGTGCTGAACTTGTACCCACTAGCATTGGAGTCACAGACTCACAGGCGGCTCCGCGAGCATCGTGCAATTCATATAGAAAAACCTGGACACACATGTTTGTACCATTTGACGATTCTTTTCAGCATTGATATGAGCGATAGAGGCACGGAAGAAGCAGTAAGCATCGTGCTCAGATCAAGGATGCTCATTCGTACAGATTGAGCTAGGTGTCATCATCTTCTAGCTATTCCATTAAATTACTTTCGGGTCCTTGAGATTGGATTGGACAATGGATACGGCCATAATCAAGCACATCCACAGTTCATTTCCCCTGAGGGCTTGGTATACCGTAAACGTTCGGACCGGCTCATGGAAACTCTCTGGCTTGCCTCTTACAAGTTACAAGACCATGTTTAGGATTACTTGCTTTTGACCTGGCGTAAATCTGATTGAATTCATGAGACTTGAAGCATTTGTCGGGAGAAGCACGTGCTTTCTGCACACGTGGGTTGCGGAGATGGGTGCATTTCTGCCACTGCCAGTGATGCTTTGAAATGGTCAGCTCAAGTCCTCGTAAATCTGACTTTGCGTATTATCCCTACGATGGTACGAAAATCTAAAACGGGACAACACCGACAACCTGATAGAACTTTGTAGCGCGAAGGCGTTCTTAAAAACCTATGCCTCAAATAAACAGTTGCGCTCCAAGGATCTAAGGAACGTTGTCATGAATGCGCTCAAGGAGGGTAAGTTTCTAGACGACAATGGATGTATTTCTCCCCGGAATATGGGAAAGGGACAGAATGAGAACGAGACTTTTGCATTTCTAGGCCAAGTCGCCGAAACTATCACTCGCGCTGCCACCCAGCACGATGAAACCTTGAAGCCCCAGGCTGTTGCCTGCCCGTCTCCTACTGCTACATATCAACACCCAAAACTGGGATACCGTTTCTTTCCTGACTGGACAGCAGTGTTCAATGTGCTCTCTTCTAGCATTCACGTAGATGCAAAGCCTTCGACAGTCAGTGCATCCAGAAAGGCACCTGTCAAAACTTTAGACATTGCATCAATCGCGGAATTCAAGCTCGAAGATACTACCGAAAAGATTATTGATGTAAGTTTTGCGAGGAATGATCTGCTATCTTAACTAATAAAACTAGAACGAAGAAAAAATGGTTGGGGCTGCAAAGCAGTTGCTTGGGAATGATCCGTGCCGGGAGCGTATTCTAGGTTTCACGATGGAGAAAAAGCGAACCCGATTTTGGGATTTTTCGCGATGTGCAATCACAGTGTCCGAGCCTTTTGATCTTAACGAGGTGTGTGTCTTAGTTCTGTTAACAACTCCCTTTATCATTTAGATGGCTTCAGAAACCTGAATTACTGGTCGACTTTCTTCTTTTTGTCATTTTCGCAAAAAAGCATGAAATCGGATTCGATCCTACAATGCACAACATCTCCGTGGGCGGCGAAGATTGCTCCTGTTATGAAATCGGCAACTGCTTCTTTCTCATCGTTGGGTCGCCGCTTACCGAAGCAGCTGCATATCAGATGGTCGGGCGTGCTACTCGAGTTTGGGTTGTTGTAGGACTATTTCCCGACAGAAATGGAGATATCGAAGTCGGAGGAAGGCTTCGACGAGGTGTTACCAGACGTGTCTTGAAGGATGTTTGGTTATATGACAAGGCACTCTGCGAGCGAGAGATCCAATCAAGTATTTTGAAAAAGCTTGATGCCAAACAAAAAACCAAACTCGAGGAACACTTTCTCACCTTCATCATGGAGGAGGTAATCATCTTTGAAGGAGAGCCGAAGCGTACTTTCAAAAAACCCTCTCTCACCGAAGTCGAACCTATCATGATGTCCCGGACACACATGCTGCGAAAGCATGTCCGTTCTGTAGTAAATGAAGAGTGTGAAAATCTTTATCAACTCACCGATTTCAAGAAAGCTTTAACATGCTGGAGAGATATGATCATATGCATGTCGTTTTGCCATTTTGATCAGTTGATGAAACTCACGATAATTCCAGGTCTTGATCTATTCCGTATCGCTGGCTTCATTCATCTTGATTTGAGTGGAGGGAATACACTGTTACTTGAAGGCAGGGGGATAATATCTGATCTGGAATACGCCAAGAGGTACAATGAGGTGTCGAGTCACGATCCCAAGACGGTATGCTTCAGCTTAGTCTAGTATTTCTAGTACCTAACGTCGCCCCAGAGCACGCCTGATTTCATGGCTGCAGAATACCAGGCGAACTTTTTCTTTTTCCTCCCCTCTCGAACAGACGCAACCGCAGAACTCTTTAAATTACAGGACGAGTGGTTTGCACCCCATTTTGTACACGATGTGGAATCGGTTTACTGGCAATATCTATGGTTCCTCCACAACCGCATCCCTAAGACTCCGGAGCCCTCGCAGTCAGCTTTGGAAAAAGTCAAACAACAAGCTGGACGGTATTTTGGTCATAGTATCGACGGAAATCAGGACCGCTTCGAAGTCATCCGAAACGAAACAAGCGATATAAAGCTCCTAGGTGTCTTGGAATCTGTATATTGCCCTCTCATCCTACAACCCCTTGATCTGTCGATAACTCTGCGTGAAGAATACCGGCGGGTTGTCAGGTCGCTTCCCATGAAAAAGAGCGATGATGCCTGGCGGCTGGGGGACGTGTTCAATGGGGATATTTATGAGAAGTTCCTCGGAAAGCTCCAGGCTGTGTTGGATGCATACCCGGATGGGTACATCACTCTCGATGCTGCCCGTTGAGCGGAAGTGGCGATCTTCAAGCTCTGACTGCAAACCAAAGAAGTAGCACGTACCTCCAGAACTTTAAACATCTGCTGGTGGGGCTGGAGTAGTTGGTATCAACGATCTTCGGCGCATAAACAACGAGCCTATCAGGAAAAAACGGCACCCAGTGAATGATGCAAATATCAATTTTTAGAAAATCTTTGTTAATGTGACTATCGCTGTCAACATTTGCTAAGTAGAGAGAGTAGATCGGAGTGAACAACTCCTTGCGTTTAAATTTTGAAGTATCTGTCAGCAGTGCAATCCTCTTCCCCGGCGCTTCAGGAATTTAAGCGCCTGAAACACGTGCGGACACACCGCACACAATTGACCTATGGCCTGTTTCTTATATTGTTTCTTCATATTGTCATGATCGTATAACAAATGGGCGAGAAAGTGGTTACTCGACCGTGGACCCAGAAGGATGATGACCTTCTCCGAGATGCCGTGGCGAAATATGGCATGCAAGATAACTGGCAGGCCGTTGCCAGTGAGGTACCAGGTCGAGACAACAAAGCCTGTAGAAAAGTGGGTTATCATAATTTCTATTCAGTCTACCACTGCATGAACATACTTTCTTAGAGATGGCTTCACTCTCTTTCCCCAACAGTCAAGAAATCGCCTTGGACTGCAGACGAAGATTATCTTCTCCTTTCTCTCCTCAGTGCTCATGGCCCCAAATGGTCATTCATTGCGAGGCAAATTGAAGGCAGGACAGACGATGCATGTTCGAAACGGTATAGCGAAGCGCTTGATCCTACCTTGAAGAAAGACGAATGGACCTCCGATGAGGAAGCCAAACTTCTACAGGTATACAGCGTAATCGGTGGCAAATGGAAGGAAATAGGATCTCAGCTCCAGCGGAGTAGCCTGGCGTGCCGTAATAGGTACTTTTGCAGTCAAATCAATGGCACTGTATTTTGGCTCAACGTATATTCGATCACAGATTCAAAGTCCTTCAACGTAAAAAGAAACCTATCGTGCAAACTTCTTCATTGACTGCACCTGCTCAGAACGAATTTGAATCAGGATCTCCTTATTACCCACCCGGATCATATCCCTTGTTTCCTCCAGAGGATGTTCCGGCTACTTTCCAGGAGCCAACTTCGAAAGTACCGCTGACGTCTACACTTCCCCCATTTCAATACTCCTCCTCGTCATTAAGCGCCGCTCTCGAGGAACGACCTCCGATCTCACATCACTCTCCATACTTTGAAGCCATGCTCATAGATGCCACATACGATCATACTTCTGGATCATCTGCGACCCCTTCACCCTTCACTTTCGCTCAAGAATTCAATGATGGTTCGATGTTACTGGATGACCTCTCTGACCCCAGTCATTACATAACGGACAGAAATGCTCTATCGACTTTTTATTTTCATCATAATGACTTTGGTCTTGTTCCCGATGACAATGGGATCTGCCCAACGGGACCATCTCGAATGGAAGAATATCTGCCTGCTATCGATACAACCGTCAAATCAGCACCATCGGGAATGACGTCCGCCCTTCACGATCAACAGGTCCTTTTCAACGAGAGCCCTTCCAGCTTTGGGTCACCTGAACTTTCGTACCCATCTAGTCCCCTAGGTCAAAGTGGAGCCTCCTCGTCAACGTCAAGCCCCGGTGTGTCTGCACCTGCAGAACTCCCTTTTGAGCCACCACCTTTGCAGCAGTCATTGTTGTTTTCGTCTAGTGTAGAAGTCTCGAAAGAATCCGCGAGATCTAGAAGGCATAACCAACCTACTCGCCTTTCCGCGTTGCTACCCTTTTCTGAGTGCGTGTTGACTTTTGGCTCCTGATGCCATCCTTCAACTATTTTTTCACGAACAGCGGATCTTTACACCCTTATGCGTGTGGCCATGTACAATGCTGGCCTGCTGATGCCTCGACCAGTGCATCTTGTTTTCCTACTGCAAGAGAACTGTTCGAACACTCCAAGATTCACAAGGAACCTGAAGATGAAAAACCTTATCGCTGTGCGCTCCCAGGATGTAATAAATTCTGGAAAGTTCGTAAAACCTTTCAATCAGTCCCACAGGATAATGTTCACATTGTCCCACAGAGTCTCAATGGTCTACAATATCACCTGCAACTGTAAATTTGTTTGAATTTGTGAAAACGAAGATTGTGTCCTGACTGGGAATCCTGCAGCTCTTCCGCTCATTTTCAGCAAGCCATAACCAAGACTTTTTCTTCGCAAAGGAACTCTAATATGCAACCGGATACCGCAGATGGAGTAGATTCAGACACTCCAGACCACGACTCGAAGCGATACGTATGTGATCGGCCCAATTGCTTCAAGAGTTACAAGAATGCTAGCGGCCTTCGATATCACAAGAGACATGTCAGCCATTATTTTAAATGATCGATATTTGACTCGCTTGACATTAAGGATTGCAGGGACATCCCAAGACAATACCGATGCAACTGGACAGCGTACCGCCAGCACTCGCTCGAGATTTACCATCAAGAACGAGGAAGATGCGAAAGAAGCACCATAATCCGAGTACTGTTGCTACTGCTGTTTGAGGATGGCTTGAATGAAGCCTTGTATTTGTAGGCTACGCTATGTAATCACAGAATGAAACTTCATACGATTTCCAACCCTCGCTCCCCTCTCAGACATCGCGCTTGAACTCAAAAAACTTCAAAATATGTAAATATACTACACCGATGTATGTAAGTAGTCAGAAAGAAAACATTCCTTATACTCCCTAACCCTTAACGACCTGCTCCAAACTGACTGGCACTGAAGAAAATTAGGACATGAATAGACCTTTCAACATGAATAAGCACGTACAGATTACGAAGAGAAGGGTTGGACATCAGTTCCTCCATGGAAGGCATATCACCCGACTGCATTCGACTCATCTATGAGAAGTCAGCTAGATTGTCTCTGGTATGGAGAAATATATAGGCTCACCATGTCTGAAACGGCAGGATTTTGCATAAGATTTGCGAGTCCTCCATTGGACATCATCTGCTGCGCCATTGCCATCATTTGAGGATTGTTCATCATACTGGCCAAGTCGGGCATTCCTCCGCCTCCGCCCCCACCGCCCATTCCCCGGAGCATATCAGCCATACCACCCATATTAGGGAATCCGCTACCTGCACCACCTGAGCCAGTGGTCGAAACCGGAGCATCGTCCGGAATTAGCGGTGGGGGACCATCGTCCTCGTCATCAGTTATCCTAGATTTGGCGTTTTGCAGCCCCGATTTCAATCCAGCATTCGACGGGTCTAACTTAAGTCCACGTTCGAAGGCGTCGGCTGAAGCTTTGTAGTCGGAAAGACAGTATTGAGCATGACTAGTATGCTTTATATTAGCTTGATGATTGGAAATAAAACAGCGAAGTAGACGAACCCGAGTCGATGATATGCCTTCACAAATTTTGGGTCAGCAGCAAGAGCCAACTCTGCGTCCCCAACCGCCGATAGATGGTCTCCCTTACTCGAATACGCTGCTGCCCGGTTAGAGTAGTAGATTGGATTATTAGAATCGAGAGAGATCGCCTGAGAATAAGCGTCTATCGCCTCATCGTACTTCTTGGCAGACATCAGAGAATTTCCGCTCTGTTTGAATTTTTCTGCCTTCGCCTTGTCCTCTGCGGAAGGGCCTTGGGGTACAGATGAAGAAGATGGTTGAGACTGTGATCCACCTTCGACTTTTTCTTTGGTCTTGAGGTATACATCGAATATACTCTGAAGAGTGGCTGGTTTGACGCTAAGGCGTGCAACCTGCTGGTCATTAGATGGATCAACACCAAAAGCTTCCCCAATGCATTGTACTGCATTGATACATATAATGAGATCGAGTTCAAGAATTGAGAAGAATAGAAGACAAAACTGACCGGCTACTTCGAGACTTTCTTGGTCGTCAGTCTTTACAGTGCCATTCGCGATGGATTGATTGAGAAAATCAATAATTGAGAGAACCAGACGCTGTTGTTTCTCGGACATGGTGAAAAGTCCCAAAACAGAAAAGTATGCAAACAATGCATAAACAACCCGACTTCGACTTGAACTTGTCACTTTCCCATTCGACATGTTCTTTTGTGCCATATCTGGAGAACCTCCCCAGGAGCCGGTCGTCTCTGTAAAATCAAACAAGGTATACGAGCGTCGTTTGATTGTCAAATACATCAACGAGAACGGCACTGACCCAATTACCGGAGACAAGCTTGAGGAGTCGGATTTGATTGACATTAAAGCATGTAAGTATTGTCCTATAGTCCAATTTAGCGTGTTCTGAAGGAATTTCCTTTCTTAAAATCAGCTCCAGAGACCGTTGCACCTCGTCCACCGAACCTCACATCCATCCCAGCCCTTCTACAAACTCTTCACAACGAATATGACGCTCTGGTCCTCGAGTCTTTTGCTCTCAAACAACAGTACAACTCGACGAGGCAGGAGCTGAGCTATGCTCTTTATGCTCAAGATGCGGCTAGTCGTGTGGTGGCTAGGTTGATTCGGGAGAGAGATGCTGCTCGAGAGTGAGTTGAAAAAGTATTCAATTTCTTTTGTCGTTTTCAACATCATTTTACAGAGCACTTGCAAATGTACAAGCCACAATGGGGATTGCTCCTGCCGCGCCTGCCTCCGAAGATGTTGAAATGGACGAAGACACGCCTTCCGAGGGTCTTCCCAAGGAAATCGTCGCCCGAATTGACGAAACTCACCAGGCCTTGTCTGCCGTTCGTAAAAAGCGAAAAGCTCCAGAAGGCTACTCTACTGCTGCGGAGATCAAAACGTACACCGCAAAGCACACTATCCCTTCGTTGCATTCCGCTTCACCCAGTGGTATCACCTCTCTTGCTGTTTCGCGTTCCAGTCCAAACCATTTCCTGACTGGTGGGAATGACAAAATCGTGCAGCTTTACGACCGTAGTACAGATAAGGTCCTCGCTTCTCTCAAGGGTCACACCAAAAAGGTCAACCAGGTCGCGTTCCGTCAGAAGGAAGGGGAACCTACCCTGCTGCTTTCTGCCGGTGCAGATAAAATAGCGAAGGTTTGGGCACACGACGAAGCCTCGGACGAGTACATCCCAAAATTGACTATCCGCTCTCACAAAGGCGATGTCACTGGACTCGCAGTCCATCCCACGTCCACGCTCCTTGCTCTCTCGTCTGTTGACAAAACATACAGTGTACATGACCTGTCGACCTTCCAACAAGTCTACCGATCTGCGCCTTCGGATGAGCCTTTCACCTCTCTCTCCATCCATCCAGATGGTACCCTTCTTGCATTGGGAACATCTACGTCGACGATACAGATATACGACGTCAGAATTGGCGCTATCGCCGCCTCTCTTACTCCTCCCGACGCTGTTCCTTTCAACATCCACACCTTATCTTTCTCTGAAAACGGGTTCCACCTCGCCGCACCCAGCTCTCATTCAACCGTAGCTGTATGGGACCTACGTAAACAAAAAGCCTCTACCAACATCGACCTGGGTGATGACTTCAAAGTCAACAAGGTTGTATATGATGTCAGTGCACAATTCCTCGGTGTCGCCGGTAACACAGGAGGAAGAGTCTTCATGTACAAGAGCTGGGAAGAGCTCGTCAGATTCGAGGAGGGCGGTGAAATGAACGATTTCGTGTTCGGTGACATGGGTAAGGAGATATGGGGTGTAACGGGGAGAGAGGTGAGGATTTGGAGTCTACCTGCTTAAAATAATCTATTCTCTTAAACTACTGTGTGTATCTTGATCGATGTGACTGTACGAATTCAAGTGCAACGCTTGGATTGCTGTATGTTCTTGAGGGGGAACTGTCTCGTTCGACAGCCAGAACTACATATATGTGAACAGCCTGAGGGAGATCCTGAACTGCAGCCTTTGTGCTTGTTGGAATTTTGGAAAAGGCTTCCACTCAATTGAAAGGGAGTCTCAGGGAGTTGTATTTTCACATAAAAAATATTATGTTATTCAAAGTGGAACGTCGATTCCAGAGAACCCAGGGACAATAGCGGTGTCGTGTTATCATGTCTATGTACTGTTCAAATACGCTCGATCTACCTGAGCTGGATGACAGTCGATAGAAGAACACTGACCCGGTGTGCGACCCCTGCGCATTTTTCGAAAATGTTCATTGTAGGAGGTTTATTTTTGATACATGGACGTTAAGATATCGTACTGCTACGAAAAGCCATGAAAGTACAACACAAGTTGATCATAATGCGAGTGCAAGGCATGAATGCAGAAATGAGAGGAAGTAAGCGTATCGAAACAAATAGCCCGAAGTTGTGGAAAAGAGTGACAAGGCGAAGTGATATAAGAATAAAAATACAAGGCCAAAACTAATAATGCAGAGGATGGGAGAGGATGGGTGTCGCAAGATCATGACGAGCATCTACCAGAGATCGGAGGATACAGAGGGCGATTTAAGCCCAAGTGGAAGGGCCAAAGGTACCGTTCGGGCCGTCTGGTAGTTTGAAGGGAAGGCCCATGGCATCGGCCGTGTTGGTCCAGACAGTGTTACCCCACCAATTCAAAGTAAAGCCACCCCGCGGAAGTTGCACCGCGAAGAAGATCACTATGAGTGAGATCGCAACCCCACCGTCCAGAGCAGCCGAAAGGATGTAGTTATAGCGCATCCACCACCTAAAATGGAAGCGGCGCATGCAATAGTTGAAAATGAACCCAACGGCTGCCCAAGAAGTATAGTTGATACCGGAGGCAGGAGGAAGGGCACCGACACCACCGAAGAAGACCGGGATGTTGATGTACCTGTAGAAAGAGAGAGGGAAACGACGGGCGAGCATGTAGAAGGGAATAGGAAGGACAGCGCCGATGAGGTAGAAGAAGAGAAGGGGGTTGTAAGGGCGGCCGATGTTAAACATACGAGTTGGGCCGACACCACCCCAGATGAGCGAAGAGGTTGCGAAAGTGTTTGTGGACGGGCAGATGAACCCATCTTTTTGGTCAGGGGAGCAATAGTCCTCGATGTTGGCGAACATCCAGTTCTGTACGAGAGTAACAGTAAAGCAGGCGACAACGACCGCAACAGTCTGGACGGTGAACATAAGACGAGGGGGAACTTTCATGTAATGGCCCAGCTTCATATCTCCAGAAAATGCGATAGCTTGGCTCGTGGTGACGTAGGTCAACCCTTTGAAAAGGACAACAGCGACAGGGCGCTCAGGCAGGACGTACCCGCCGATGAGTTCGTAGAAGACTTGGATGTTTCCAACCTGTTGGTTCGTAATCGCTTGGAGCATGGCCATGGGAAGAGAGAGAAGAGAGGAGATGGCAAATGCAAACACGGCCGCCCAGATGGGGAAGTTCGTAGGAACGAGATGGACGGAAATGAGGAAGAAGATCATGGCAACGACACCAACAGCAGTATACCAATACCAAGGAACCTCCTTGTAGGCCTGCATGAGCCGAGAATGCACATCACGTTCATCCTTGAGAGTTGACCTAAAGCGGCGAGCGATATCGCGGCGGAACCACACTGAACAAGGAAATGAGAACAGGAAAGCACAACAAGAAATATAACTTACAGAAAGTGTGCACAAAGACTGCAGAAAAGGCAGCGAAGGAGCTAGCATATGCAATGCACAAGGTCGCAGGGATGAAAACCGGAGAGTAGGAAAGGTATTTGTCGTTATCGAACTGTCCATTAGTGACAACTTGACTAACGTCATATTCCGCGCCAGTGCGATCAAACGCGACAGGAGCGGAAATAGGGAGGTAGGCAGTATTGAAGGCGTTCGTGACTGGAATAGAATAAGAAAATGATGTAAAAGTAGCAGGAGAACACTTACAATAAAGGATGGGAACCAATATGAAGAATTGGATGACCAGCGAAACAATGGTGTTCAGCTCCGACCACCACTACATAAAATTTAGTAAAAGGGTATGATCAAGGACGCAGAGAACATACGGGAGTAACTAGCGGGCTGCCAATGTACGCGATCATTGACCAGTCGAAGGTGAAAACACCCATACCCAAACCCGTGTTGGTTCCGAAAAGAGCGTTCACAGGAATATTGTTTGGAGCAATCCAACACACCCAGTTGAAAACACTGAGCGCGGTGAACAGATATCCCGGGAGCCAGTAATAAGCGAAACTACCGAGGAACGCATAGAGGAAGAAGCGTTCGCGAGTCATGTGTCCGCGGTCGCGTTTCCCGTAATTCTTGTGTAATGTGTTGAATAGTGCTGAGTTGACCAAAGCGCCAGGCCAGATCATGCTGGACGGCCAAACAACGAATTGTCGAAGAAGACCACCCAGAGAGAAACCCAACACCTGCGAACCGATGCAAAGTAGAATTTGGTATCCGTAAGGAATGGCTTGATTGTAGAAGATCTTCTGCGTCGCAATGATGTCAGTTGCATAGGCACCTCCCACTACTACGTTGGCCATGATTGTGATGCAGACGTGTTCCTTGATGGTGAAAGGACCAGGGTTCAACGACCAACGGAAGCCAAAAGTGTTGAAGCGATAGGTGGGGAGAACTCGTTCCATTAATTTACCGCAGGGTAAAACAATTAACTGAACAACGATTCCGCTGATGTAAACGGATGGGTCTGAAGAGGTTGGGAGATGAGCCCAGCAAAGACGAGGGAAACCGAAAGGAAACGTACATCTAGCACTGAAAAACTGATTGATCCCGGAGACAAGAATGGCGAAGACAATTCCCAGAAACCACATGCGGAAGGTGTTCACCAGCATTTCTGGATCATCGGTACTGGAGACTGCTGCGCGAACCTCAGGATAAGGTGATTCGCTGGAATCAAATCAGAAATCAAAACACGGCAAGGGAGTAGACCGATACGCACTCGTCAAATTCGATAGCAGTTGAATTGCGAGATTCAGCGCGGGAAGTGGAGTAACGGTCGAACGTATCAACGTTGGACTCTGCATCCAACTCGGAAGGTGCATATTGCAGTTGCTGAACCTTCTTATCGGAAAGCTCCATGGATTCAGTCGATTTGTAAGGTCTTGATAGATCCATGTAGGGGTCATTCAAGTGTTCTTTCACAAATTCAGCATCGGCGTCGACATCCACCGGAACATCCGGCGCCCTTCGTGCTCGAATAGTCCGGGTGGGTAACGATATAATTTCCTCCGTAGAAGAGTTGTAAGCTTTGGTATCCTCCATGGCAAAAGGAGCTGGAGAAAGGGCGAATAGGGAACGCGAAATACTACTGGGCCGCAGAGGTGGAAACAAATGTGAGGATTGACCACCATGTATACGTCCTATTTGAAGAAACTCGCTTACGGATCCACGCCGAGCGGGAAAGTGTCCAATCTGACTTCAGGTGGCTTCCAGGCCCAAAAAGGAAAGCCAGAAGACTGCAAAAAACAATTAGACAATAGCAATGGCCCAACGCATAAAACAAAAGGCAGTGATTTGAGATTACCTTATCGCGTAATCCATATATCTTGTGGACAATAAGAGCAGAACTTAGGAACGAGTGAACTGTCCCATTGCATCGTTGGTTCTGGTCGTCACCGATATTCGTTCAGCTATGAACATAGTATTGCAGAGTATTGCGCTAGAGTCTTAGAGTCTTTCGATTCATCAGAGGTAAACAGCTCATGGGTCCAAGTGCTTGAACGAGACAGAAACAAGTCAGATTCCGCGGACAGGTAGTTCAGGTACAACTCTCTCTACCAGTGTCAAAGTTTAAAAAGAACAATAAACGAGGGCGAAGGTTCGGAAGCTAATCATCAAGCCCTAATATAGGAGTAAAGCGTGTGAAGGGGCCAGGTATCTAATCTAATCGAGCAAAGTTCGGCGCGTCGGCGTATGTAGATCGTCATTTCCTTCTTGAATCGCTTCACTGTGACTCTATGCAGTCGTTTACTCGCACGAGGTTCCACGGCGGACGGGAATGACCTTTGAATTTCCAGCCGATTGCGAAATTATGACGATTATCTTCCAGGATTTCCGCTTATAAATTAGCGGGAGACGAGACGAGACGAGTCCTCATCGTTTTTTCTCAAGAAGAATGTCTGCAACCACTGTTCAGACTCGGACTGAACCTGCTACGACTACTTTAAAGCTTCACTCCTCTGCAGAAGGAAAGCAAGAGACAGAGTACCGTTACTCTCACCTCCTGCCTTTCTTTTCGCAAGATCACTACCCTCCGCTGACCCCATTCGAGCATATTGACCCAGGACACCGTGCTTTGAACCACTCTAACCCTCGTTCTTTCCTTGATAGCGCTACTCAAATAACAGAGCTAACTCCAAACTTGGGCACAGAAGTTTTTGGAGTCGATCTGCGAGCGCTAGACTCAGATGGGCGAGATCAACTTGCACTAGAGGTATGTCGAAAGTATCGCTTGCCCATCACATCTATATGTCCCAGCGTAGGTCGCTCGTCGAGGTCTTCTCGTATTCAGAGATCAACAAGAGTTCATAGATGCCGGTCCAGATTTCTACCGAGAATGGGGGTCCCATTTTGGCCGGTAACTTTCTTTCCGTTTGCCACTTACTTTGTATTTAATTGGCTGAACGCTGTCTCTAATCCAGGTTGCATATTCATCCGACTTCTGGGCATCCTCAGAATTATCCTGAAATTCATCTTGTTTACAGAGATGCCAATTCTAGTTTCAACTTTGAAATTGATGATAGCATAACCTCTACTGTTTGGCATTCTGATGTATCATATGAGCTCCAGCCCCCCGGGTTAACGACTTTCTTCCTGCTTTCGCAACCTTCTACTGGCGGTGATACATTATTTACCTCCCAAGTCTCTACGTTGAAAAAGCTTTCTCCTCAATTCGTCGCTTTTCTCAAAACCCTGAAAGCAGTCCATTCTGGAGTCGAGCAAGCCAATTTCTCGCGATCGGGCAAGCGAGGGGGTATTGTTCGTCGAGAGCCTGTCGAAAATGTCCATCCCCTTATCAGAAAGCATCCTGTTACTGGTGAAGAGGCTTTGTATGTCAATAGGCAGTTCACGCGTCGGATCCTCGGTTTGAAACGAGAGGAGTCAGGTAAGTGCCTTCATATAGTACTTAGTGCGACAATGCCCTCAATGATATTCCAGAGACTCTTCTCAAATTCCTATATGATCACATTGACAAGGGCGGTGATGTTCAGGCCAGAGTACACTGGACTCCGAACACAGTTGTCCTCTGGGATAACCGAGTCACTGCTCACGTATGTTGCGTATTCCTTAGGTCATTTACTCTTTGCTGATATCGTCGATTGCACCGACAGTCTGCAATCGTTGACTATGGTGACTCCAAGCAGCGCCGCCACGGTGCTAGAATCACCCCGCAAGCAGAACGACCAATTCCTGCATTGGAAGATCTTGATCTCAGCTTCTGAAGAGACATCTCACAATTCGAGCTCAAAGTTGTAACATTAAATACACTTATTGCCGTATGTATATTACCCGGAAGGTAGAGCTGTCGTTGTCGTATGAGTATGTCGTGGATATTTAAACTGTGTGCTCGCTACTATATCGAAGAGATAAAGGTGCATCTATAGAGGTGGGGGAAGAATCCTTTTCTGTATCAAAATGAGTGCTAAATGTAACCGTTGGGGTAGTAAGCTTTCCAACGGTGTCTTTGGTCCACCCATGACCCATGGCAATGCGAAGAATGATCAACTGAGGTGATATCGCCTATATGTTTCGATAAGTTTTCCAAATTGTGCGAGAACGAAGCATAGTTACAACGTACGCAGAAATCTCCCCACACTTGTACAAGCGCAATAGAAGTTTGGCTTTTGCGTGCATAGACAACCACATACACGATTCCTAGGATGGTGAATAGCGCTGCAGACTCAACCAAGATAGCTATGATGCTTGTGTACATTTTTGCATGAGTGGGCCCAAGAATTTTGTTCACCTCATTCCGAAGGTAAAGTAGGCGTCCACAAATGAGACCCGTGACAATAATATTAAGACTGATCGTGAGGGAGATGTAAGGTACCCCAAAGTCAACTGCATGTCCAACGAAGAAATTGGCTCCAGGTTGTGCACTTTCATAGATGAGGAGGATCGACATGGCTTATACTGAGCGTCAGCAAGTGCATACTCGGGGTAAAACATGGAAACAGCGCACATAGACCTCCAAAGTAGAGGAAGATGGGAAATATAATAACTTTCCACGAACTCCAGAGAATGTAACAGCGATATATCTGCGCGGGTTGGACCTTGAATATTAATGGGAAGAACTTGTGAGCTTACCAATAACCCATCGCTCAAGAAGTTCATTATCACTCCCGCAGTCGTTCCTAGAGTGTTATAAGCAGCTGAGATGTTTTCTTCAATGTAAGCGGCAGGCCCATCCACATCGCGGTGGTCGATCCAGGCGTACTGGCCAAAAAGTGCATTGCAAGCTAATGCAATCGTCCATAGTATAAGAAGAATAGTCCCATAAATGACATAGAAATTGGCATCTCTTCCTCTTCTGGAGGAATTGAGGAGCAGACGGTTGGACAAGAGATATAGGACCAGTTGTATTCCTAAATTGGATCACGTCAGTCAATCTCGATGATGTTCATTGCATGCATACAGGGAGCAAGCCAAGTATAGCAAATTCAACCGACCATATAATATAGCAGTTATTTGTCCTCCGACGTACAACGACCGTTCGAAACTGAGCTCGCTTTCGGTATCAAGATTTCCAGGGGTTGACATCGTTAAGTCGTCGAATGGCGGGATGTTGGAAGGAAAATGACAGAGAGCTGCTATTTACATATCATCAGTCACTCGACCTAGCCCGACCGGGCTTCTTGATTCAAGTCCTGAAAGGGCCGAGTCGAAGACGCTGGGAGTTCGGGAACAAGTGACAGGGGAGATGGATAGTTTGGCATTCCGTGAGCTGAATCTCTTTAATTCTCGTGCCTACAATCCCTGTCAAAGATTGTTGATAAACTTGATGCCTTCAGCTAATTCACAGAGGAGCGAAGACCACGAAAACTTACTAAATATTAGTTATTCTTCCTTCGGCCAAACAAAAACTTATATGTTCCGACAACTAAGCGTTAATCCGCGGCGGTCTGCCTGAACTTCGTGCTTACTGAAAAGCTTCAGATCGTCTCCACCTGAAAATCCAAGCCGCAAAAGCAAAAGCAGCCTCGTCCAAGGACCAACGCGTTATCTCTGATACTAAAAACTCCTGTACTGAGACGCAATCGAGGCGTTCGTATCTGCCAAATACTTGATTATCCCCCACAGCGGGGCTAATACGCACTGGACCTCGGATTTGCATCATATCAATGATACTGATGATAGTACTTGCTTTAAGCTTAAGTTTCATTAAGCTTCATTGGCACTAGCAATGTGAAACTCGTGATATTCTAATTTCTAACCGGGTTAGCAGAGCTTTCCCCTCGACTGGGACATGATTTTCCCGTTTGCATTGAGCGATTCAATTGTTCTCGTTCCCGATGCCCGATGCGATTCTTCTGTATTTTGCTGGTAAGTATTTCCTGTTCAATCCCTCACCTACGTAGCGGTTGGCATATTTACTCAATGAATTCTGGAAATCTTATTGAGGAGCCTTGAATGAGCGTTGATTAGAAACAGGTTGAAATAAGACTGATGACTACGAAATCAAAATAATCACGAATAAACCATCTAAGTTTCAAGAAAAGCAAAAAAGGTCTAAAAAACGAAAGAACAACATCCGGCGAATTTACCAGATAATAGGAATATCCAACTCGTCGTCAATGAAGATCGACATATTTTGCTGACGAGGTACAAAATGGTCTTGAGCCCAATCTGTAATTTTTTGAAAGTCTCGACAGGTGTGAACAACGTCGCTTCGTTCTTTAGCGGCCTTCGATTTGTTCGACCACTGCCAAACTATTGGGGTGATGTCGGCGGAGCAAGTGATAGACTGTCGCAAGCTGGAAATACAATGTTGCATATGAGGAGTGTGTATACCCTCTCCAGTTATAGGGTAGTACTCCGGATACATGGCTTTTCGCATTTCATTCTACGAAACAGGAAAACTCAACAACAACATTTACTTAGATCACTCAAACTCACCAAGCAATGCAATTGGTGGAAGACGTCCAAGGCGATCATATAATAACCTTCCTCTCCAAGAATAGGATAAGTTTGGTTCGTCATGAGAATAGCCTCATTCCGTGGCACTTTGTTGAGCGCGACTATTTGAACACGTCAACAAGTTCGGTCTATGTTTAATTTCAAAAGCAGACTTACATTCATAAAGACTGGCCCATGCAGCGTCGACTTCTGGGGATGGTGGGCGATCGTATATGGGCAAATCGGCTCCGAAACCACTATGAAACTTAACCGTTTTGTACTCGATAGCATCTTGAGCTGGAGCTTTAATGCAAAATGAGCAAGCAAAAAGGCACACTTGAAGTAGTTCTTACAGTAAAGAACCTGCGAGGCGGGAGTTTCAGTCTTCAAGCACAGTACGGTGAAGAGGACGAGATCCGAAGCCGCTAATGCCAGGAGAAGACACGGAATAATCAATGAACGAAAAGAAAAATGACTATGAGAGTTGGATATGATGTTTTCCTCGGAATCATTCCCTGTGAGTGGAAGATAGACGACGGAGCTGGTGGAATGCATTTTTCAAGGTGTGGGTTGTTCAATCGTAGCATCATCCGGGTTTTTAGGCGTTCTGAGGGAGTTGACGTGGAAATATCATAGGTAAATCATTGCAGTGTTGGTTCGTCACTTCGGAGTTAAGATTGGCAGGGACCGGTCAATGACATTTCGCAATGCAATGCAGCTGTTTAGATATCAGACTTTTGTTGGAAGATGCTAGCTACTAAATGACACATACGTCAGAGTTTGTCAGATAAAAGCATACGAGATATAAGGGACTCGCCATTAGACGCGAAGGAGCGCGAAGAGTGAAGATGTGACAACAGTTCATTCGCTAGTTAGATGTGCACATTGGCCGCAGGTTACATTCGCCAGAAGCTCCTTCGGTCGAACAGAACGCAGCCTTCTCGACGAGTATTTGCATGACTATTGGGGAGTGATTTAGTGATTATGACTATGAAGGATGAAACATTATTTCCACATACTTAGGAAGACAAAGTTCCCGAACATTTAACACTCTGTCACTTTAATGCAGAGGAAGCCACGCCATATAGCTGACAACCATGTATATAGTTGTAAAGTGTGACAATATTTTGCACCAACCGTTTGGAGCCGTTTATGCTCAAACATGATGTTTTGAATTTTGCTACCTGCTGGTCCAATCCGGTGAAAGCGTTGCAAAGTTTAGATGGGCGGATGAGTGGCAGATTTTGTAGCCGCCGTTTGAACATGACCACAGTTGGGCTCTGCTGCCGGACGCGATGGATGAAGTTTGAAGTGCACCGAGCAAGCGTGAGAGCCCTTGATGTCAGTTGCTAGTTCGGCATAATCGGCATTTCAGCGCTCATCTCCCATTACAGTCAGTCTCACGAAAGTAGCTAGACACTGCTACTACATAGTAAATTTGGTGGCAAGCCCATAGACAGAAACCAGCTCTCGATACCTGTGCTAGCTGTCTACACCTTGAAGCGCTTTGTATCGCTCTCCGCCAGACATCCTGCCTCTAATCAATGATCATGGAAGAAAACGCGACTTGACCATCCAAGAAGTAGTCCTGCGGACTGGCCTTGAGTGAAAGCATGTCATTACCCGTCTGTCGTTCATATCTGAGCTCCATTTGGCTGGTTCCTTGTCTCAAATCCCACCCGCCCTCGCTACACTCTGTCGCCGGCCAGGTTCCAGGTTCAATCCAAACAAATTTTCTGCCAATGTCTCCTCTGAGTTCCTAATCCCGGTCCATCTCTGGTGCATTTGCAAGTCAAGCAGACGTGTCGTCGAGGTGCACTGCCTGGGACAAACTATAGGAACCTGTCTATCCCTGTATGCTTGTCTGGATGTTCTCCTCACTCCCAAATTCAAGAATTGAAGATACTGTATATAAGTCGGAGAATCGGTGTGAAAGACTCAGCAACTCCTCTACATCTCTCTTCCAGCTCTACATCCTTCTTCATCTTATCAACCTGCCCATACAATGCAGAGCTTAACTGGTTTCGTGCTCCTCGCAGTTGCATACAACGTTCTGGCCTTGCCTTTCAAGAACGTCGAAGGTAACATTAATAACTCCTGTTCCAATACCTGCTACTAATACTCAATCAAACATCACAGAGGGCTGCAGCACTCAAACCATTTCACCGCTTCCCACCCCGATGATCTTTGCCAAAGCTGCCTGGGATGTCGAGTAAGAAGTTTTTCAAGATCGTTGATACCCCATGTTAATTTATTTTTGCGATGACCAGAAGACGACAAGGTAATTCCCTCTAGCTGGCGAAAAAAAATCACTTTTTCTCACTGCCTGTAATTCAGTCACTGGCCCTGCTCCGATCTTTGCAAAAGACCAATTGGAAGTTGGGACCTCGTAAATGCATTTCCCCAAAAAAATTTGAGACAGATTTCTTATTATTTTACAGCGTTCATTCTGGAGCTGCTTCATCTACTGCAGCTCCGATCGTCCTAAGTCCAGCTATCTTTGCCAAGGAAGCTTGGGAAATACAGTACGCACTATTTTACATGGTTTGTGTAATTCTTTCCTGCTCAATGCTCATAACCTGATTCTAGAAAGCGAGGTTCAGCGGCAAGTGCCATCTTTGCCAAGGATCAATGGGAAATCGATACCAACAAGTAAATTTCCAGAAATTTGATAACAGAAGCATCTTACTGACTCCCCTTCTAGCGTCGTCGATGCAACTCCTACGTCGCTTCCCGCCGCCCGCATCTTCGCCAAGGATCAATGGGAAATCGACAGTATTTCCAAGTAAATTTACAGAAATTTGATGACAAAAGCATCTTACTGACTCCCTTTCTAGCGTCGATGCGACTCCCACGTCGCTTCCCGCCGCCCGTATCTTTGCCAAAGAGGCTTGGGAGACAGACTGAGTTCTCTGTGGTTTAACCATACTAGAGAAGGTCCCTACCGCTTAGATCTCCCATATTTATGTCATATGTAGAACTATAGATGAAGAATGCAAAATATTTATTTACTAGCAATGGCCTGCAATGGCCGGTAACTTGAACTTGAGCATATGGGCAGGAATGAAGCTCAGTTTTGCTCTGGGCTGCGCTGTGCTCCGTCCACTCGCTCCCTTCGCGGGTACAATTGTCAAGCACCACCAAACGCTGTCGTCTATGTAGACTCAAACTGAAAATCGTGAATTGTGTTGCTCTGAATATATGCCGCTTGAAGGATTTTGGGCGTTTACCTCTTTCGAATATGGGCGCTTGAAGTTGCGTGTCACCAGTTACAACAGACTCAGTCGATCTCAGAAGCGACAATCTTCATCACCATATATTCAGAATGTCGGCCTCTTACATCGTATATTGCGCTGCTTGTATATCCGTGCTGAAGGAGCTGAACAATGTCGTCACCGAGCCTTACATGGTACGTGGCTCGTTTCGTCTGGTTAAGGACTGGTCAGGCTCAGTTTATACTCCATCATAGGATGAGCCATTCCATGTACCGCAAGCGCAAGCATACTGTAGTGGAGACTTTGCAACGTGGGACCCTAAAATCACCACCCCCCCTGGCTTGTATGTCCTTACTTCCTTGTTTTTCGAAATCAAAGATTCTGATGGTCACTTTACTGCCAGATACATCATGAGCGTATTGTTTAAACGTGTTTTTATGTTCAAATGCTCCCTGCCAATGCTACGCCTAACGACTACACTAACGCTCCTCGCGCTTCCAATCGTCCTCACGCGTCTTTTGTGTTTTTATCGGCGGATACGGCCTCCTGCTTCAATTTTAGCTCCAACACCGGATGCCATCGTTCTCAGCCTCTTCCCTATCGCGTGGTTCTTTGGATTTCTGTATTATACAGAAGTCCCAAGCTTAGTGTTTGTCGTTGCGACGATCGTCGCCGCAAGCGAAGACAGACATTGGTTAGCTGGTTTGGTATGTCCTCCAACATCATTGTCGCCATGTGGGCTCAAATAACATTCAAGGTCACCTAGTTAGGCCTTTTGAGCTGCACTTTCCGTCAAACGAATATCATCTGGACACTTTATGCCTATGCGACAAGCCAGTTGATGTATCTCCGTTACCGTCGACCTGGTCCAGGCTCACAAGACATTGCCAAACTCCATGACCCCAACGCAGACCAAGCTAGGCCAGGTAAGCAATGGTTTAAGATGCTTTACCTCCATGTTCAATTACGAGCTTGCCTTCATAGTGGATTTATACAGATCTGTGCTATCTCTGCCCGGTGTCCTGCCAGACATTTTATCAGCGTTCGTTCCGTACGCCTTTGTATTGTCTGTGTTCGTTTCCTTCGTGGTTTGGAACGGGGGAATAGTGCTAGGTTCGCATTTCGCATCTTCTTTCGCGGACATGCGCCTAATGCGAAATTCCAGGGGACAAATCCAATCACATTCCTGTCTTGCATGTTCCCCAGGTCTACTATTTTCTTGCATTCTCGACTGCGTTCGGCTGGCCGGTTCTCATTAGTGGAGCTGGGGGGATACCCCTTATGTTGCGAAAGATTTACGCTCGTACATTTGGCTCCAAGTTGTACGTTCTTCACCTGTTCAACGAACACCTCCACTTATTCATTTCCGAAGTCGCGCACTAATAACTTTGGTTTCCCTCGCTGCGATGGAATTCACCGTCAAGCTTTACACGTTCGTGCCGGTCTAATTCGCGCGTCCGTTCGTTTACTGTGCTCATGTACTTCAATATTCAGAATACACCATCCCTTCCTGCTCTCGGACAACCGCCACTACACATTCTATGTATGGCACCGCATATACATGTTCCACTGGCTAGCTCCATACGCTCTAGTACCTGCCTACTTCGTTTGTGCGTTGGCGTGGTTCTTGCGTGTCGGTACGTTACTTGTGAAAATTCTCTGACAGTGTTATTTGATCTCGCAGCGATCAGGAAATGAGCAAAGCATGCTGCAAACTGTAGCTCTTTCCATATGTGTTTTGGCCACCTTACTTCCAACCCCGCTACTTGAGCCAAGGTACTTTATGATTCCGTACCTCCTCATGCGAATGCAGATCGTCAATGTGCCGTCATGGGCTTTAGTGTTGGAAGGACTGTGGTACGCAGCGATCAACGTCGTGACAATGGGTGTATTTCTGTATCTTCCAAGAGAGGGTGTGGGTAGGTTTATGTGGTGAAACGAATTCAAACTTTCGAAGTAATTACCGGGTAATTACGGTATTTAATCCGCTGCTTATGTCATACTTTACCACCGTTCGATCACAAGGTTCATTTACGCGTAAATTGAATCCACAGTACATAGTCGGAATTCCCGTTGACAACCTCGAACCAATACGCCTTCAAGTTCGTGGAACTCTGTACAACGTTCACGGCAACAAGTGCAACCTACACTGCGACAAATTTGGCCCTCACAATCATATTGTTTCTGTGATCTTCGCGATGTCCGATGTCAGTGGCTCTCGTTCAAAGCCGACCACTCGAAGTTCAATTCGACAGTCGTTGAACTTTGCTTCAGTGGGCAAGGCCTTTGCAGATGTCATGAACAAGGAGAGGAACGATTCAACCAAGAAGACCGGAAAGGACGTGAACAAAACTGGTGGGCTCAAACCACGAGCCTCGCTTGACACCAGGCCTTCGCCTCCCCCTTCTAAACGACCACGTACACCAGACTCCAAGACCATAACTGCACGTCGAAGAAGCTCACTTGCCGCTGCTTCTCTTTCGACACGAAATTCCGCGGACGAACCCTCCGTTGCTCCTTCGAAAACAACCCCCCAATCTTCAGTTCCAGCGCGGTCTTCTGCCCTTCGACCCCGTCCTGGATCCTCTTCCAATCTTCCAAAATACAGACCTAAGTCTATCATAGTTGAGAACGGAAAGAAGCCAAGTTCTCCTGGCTTGTCCGGTTCTAGGAAACGTACATCGACATCTGACGACGAGGACAAGACATCCTCCGGTGATATGGCAGTTGATGCTTCCTCACAGAGGAGAAAATCCCGGCCTATCAGTCCGCTTCCTCAGCGTGCGGCTGCCAAAACGAAAATGAGCGGTAACAACTCCAAATCTAATACTCCCAAACCCGAATCCTCACCCTTGGTTCGGAAAGCATCTCCAAATCGGATGGTAAAGGCCGTCAAGGCCGCAAGTACCATTCCTAGGCCGTCATCAGCATCCTCATCCTCCTCGTCCTTTTCACCACGAACACCGAAAGCGTCTCCAGGCAAAGGTGCGCGGGGAACACATTCAGTCAAAGTTCAGAAAAATAATGTTTCCGACTCTTCAGAAGGCTCAGTTCACTCCGCACTCCCTGAATCCCCGCTCGTACGCCATGTGCGGCAGAGGTCAAAGGCAGAAACACCTCCTGCACAAAACCCGGGAAACATGTCTCATATAACCGAAGCTGATAGCGACGACGAAGAAGATGATGTGGAGATCATGTTGGCTCCTATAGCAGCACCAGGAGCACCTACGCCTGCCATGCCGAGGTTGCAAACCATGCGTAATCGTTCGAGACTTGTACCAACCACTCCCTCCAAACCATTACTTCCGATTCATTTCGAACCACCTGAGGCCTCGTCGACTCCGCCTAAAAATCAAGATAGTCCTTCCTTCCTCCGACCAAACCCTTCACCAGGTAGCGACCGCAGCCTCCGTGGTGGTTCTATCCTATCGTGGGAACAGTTAGCTTCAGAAGCTTCGCGGACGATCCCTGTCGACGAATTGGGGACCATGCTTTCCGACATGTCGGCTCCATTCCAACCGGGACCTCTTTCGCCGATGCCTACAGGGAATGGAAATGGGTCTATGTTACTAGATGTGAACTTCCAAAATATACCTTCGAGCCCTGGTCTGAGTGCATTTAATTCACCTAGTGGATATGGCTCGATTTCGCAGGTCCTCCTACCTAATGCCACCCCATCACCAGCCTTTCCGCGTCATTCATATTCACACAGCCAGAGGCAACACAAAGAATCAGATGGACCAGCAGTCGACACTGCTATTGCCACCCTCCTCCGTTTACAATTGTCATCTGCAGAAAATACAGCCAAAGAACGGCTGATGAGATTGCAGGAGCTGGAGGAAGAAATACACAACCTCAAACAGACTCGCACGCATGAAACTGAAGTGTTATCACAGCAGGTGTCTATCCTTGAATCACAGCTGAAAAACAGTCTTGAGGCTCGAGAACGATCGGAAGGGGAGCAGTTCGCTTATACGGCGTCGTTAGAAGAGCAACTGCGATACACGGAAGTGCAGCAAAGACAAGTCGTTCGTGAGGCGGTTGAGAGTGCGCGGCAGCATGCCGAAGCTTCGTTACGGTCTACCGTAGAGTCGCAGAATCGCAAAATGAATGCAGCATGTGCTGCTTCTCTGGCTGCTCGAGAGTGGAGAAGTGTGCAAGAGCAATGTGAAAGTGAGCTAGACGTTTTGGCGGCAGATAGGGACACATTGGCATTATTATTCGGAGAGCTGGACCTCGTCCGACAGCAATTGTTAATTGCATGAATGCCATTTCCAGTATGTTCTGCTTGCTTTTCCTTTGTCTTCGCATTTGATTCACCTCAGCTTATTAAGTTTCCACAATCTTTCTATGCATGTATATACCCAGACCTATTAATACCTGTACCTACATGTGTATACCTATCGACTTGCTCGTTCATCTCTGTTGATTTTAGTTAGATTCATATGTAATCTCCTTGCTTTATGATACGTGATAGTAACACTGAGCGGCGCGATGAGATTGTGCCTCATCGTTTCTCAAAAGACTGCTGTTATATATGGCAGCGATACTTCATCACCAAAAGGTAAATCCCCTGGACCAGTGCCTGTTGAATCTCAAGATGAACCTTGGCTTAAACTTCCGGGTTCGTAAGCATTGCCAAAGATTGCCAAGAGGAGTACTCTAACTGGTAGAATTTGAACATGCCGAAATCCATTCACCTTTATGAATATCTTCCGGTGTTCTTCATCGCACAGATTTAGAAACGATGAATGATGGGTGTCGGGAGCGTAGAAACACTAGTTCCCAAAGTATCGAAAGCATCTATGCTTTTCGGCAGCTGTGAAGGAAGAAGAGGACACTGGCGATACATGTGAGACATGACTACAAGAAAGAGAATGAAAAGGTAGTAAGAAGAAAAGAAGAAGAGGGAAAGAGATAGTAGTTGGCGAAAACAGATTGAATGTGAGATATGGTAGTGAGAAAGCACACAAGCACGATGTTAGTATGTAGTGGCTATATATGTGTGTGTGTGTCCGACAAAACAGACTAAGCTAATGAACGGGCTGCTCGTGGCATAAACCATCGCAGCCAACTTGCTTTGGTCAATCAAAGCATCAATGGTGAAAGATTAGTGGCGTTGAATTAATAAAGTCAATTCCTGCTTTGCGATAATCATCCGGGATCATAGTCGTATTGTCTCCGTTTAATTGTATGACAGCCTATGGAAAGCAGGACAGTCAGGTCATATACACAGTAAGTTGGATATCGATTTTACTTGGTTCTGAGGAGTATACTGCTCCCATGTAGGACCTGCAGGAGGAAAAGGGAAAAGTGGTAGTAATGAGTCCTCGTGCAAAATCGTTCGACGAAACCTTGCTTACGGGCAATGCCTTTTCCATCGTTCGGATTCAGGCTTGTAGCAAACGAAACCCAGTAATCAATCATCATCTCGCTCAATCCAGTCGCAGAAGTAGTTGCGTTTGGCGGTGCCCCATAAACGAATGGAATTTCTGACGCATGAGAGACTTTGGCACATGTGAGGTTGTGTCAAAGCTGAACGATGGACTAGTGACTTACCTCCAAGGTAAGCTGGATTAGTGGGTTGTGGCTGCGTGAACAGGTAACCGAACGTCTTCACGCCTGCATTACTCGCTGTTTGTATCCATAGCCTTCGCTGAGACAGAAAGTTAAGGTCATCGACTGAAGATCAACCACTAAATGAGTTGCATTGGACATTAGAGCAAGTCGAGCCACTTACATAAAGCACAGATTCTTTTAAATCCAGGACTGAGCCCAAATGTGTCGTTTCCGGTATTGAACGGCGAACCAAGAGCAGGAACATCCGGATATAATTCCAGCAAGCGCGCTGTCGCGTTTTCCAACTGACTTTCTGAAACAGTGGGAACAACTGGAGGAGAATAGTTGGCTATGATGAATTCCGTGATAAGCTCCGCAGTATAGTTATTAGTGGGGGGAATAAAGACTGTTCCTGAGGATACGTGGACAAATAAACAAACAAAATTCGCTGGCGTGTAGAAAACGGAAATGCTACGAACCCTCATCCAAGTTTGTTCCAGAAATGAATGGTATTTTGGCAAACGTCCCGTTCGCGAACCGTAACGAGGGGAGTTCTGGCATAAACCCACCTTCCCCATCAATAGTAGGACTCCATGGAAACAGCTCCGGTACTTCACTTTGGGCGATGAGTAGACCACTAAGAATGGCTGTAGTATTAACAGAATGTAAACAGTTAAATGTGTTTCCTGTTTCCGAGAGTTCCACACATCCAGGGACTCCTGCGACAAAATTATCCCAATCCACCTGTCGGTGTTGCGCGTCGAACGTTAAAGCACTTGCAGCTGAACCTGATTCAATAATCTATTAGGGAAAAGATTGCTTAAAAGAGTGTGGAGAGAATATATGGAAGCCTAGCTTACCGCTGCTCTTGCAAACTTTGAAAACGAAGGATTCAAGAGCTGGACGGCGGTCATAATTGCTCCTGCACTTTCTCCAAATACTGTGACCTACATTGAAGCGCTTTAATTATCATAGAATATGAGAGCAATCCTCCGGGTCGGTTTACTTTGTTCTTATCCCCACCAAAGGCACCAATATTTTCTTGAACCCATGTCAAAGCCGCGATCTGATCGTGCAGTGCTAAATTCAAGACTTTGCGATCCGCTGCCTCTTGTCCTTGAGGGAATCCCAAGGGTCCAAGGCGGTAATTAAAATTCACGTAAACGATGGGGGTCCCCTGATGACCGCACAGTATAGTATGATGGTGAGTTATGAAAGGTTATGAAAGTATTCAAGTGGGAAAGTATTCATCAAAGTCTTACCCGGACGACACTTTGGGCTACGATTGCACTTGCGTTGAACTGAGCCGAAGATCCTTCTATAAAGCCCCCGCCGTACGTCCTACGTCAGGATAGGGGACGTTGAGCCATGGTTAGATATATCAAATCCCCCTTACCAGAACATAACCGGGAGTGAAGCGTTTGGATCTACACCAGACGGCCGGAAAACATTTATCGTCAAACAATCTTCTGAGAGCTCAGCGATAGGAATGCCCTACGACGACCAAGTCAGTTCAGCATTGTGCCAACATTTGTCCAAAGTCAAAATACTCACTGGCTGCAAGCACGAAGATCCAAAATTGCTAGCATCGAATGTGGTGGCGTCAAGGCTCATTTTTAACACTGGAGGCATCAGGAAAACCACCCTCCGGAAATTTAGCATAAACTTTCCAAAATTACCCAAAATAATGTAAATTACCCAGAATATGCTAATTTGGGTGAATACGCTAATTAGCCAGGCCCCCCTCCCCAATTACCATAATTTTGACTAATTCCCGGAGTATCACGGAGACATTAGAGCTAAGTTATAGGAAACTTTCCTGAAAAATTCTTCACATTTTATGTGTTTGTTTCGTAATTTGTCAATCTTTTCCAACCAAGCATGAAGTAAAAAAATGAACATTTATTCACAATGACTACTCCCTACTACAACCATATGTACACTACACTACACTATTATTTACAGCCCGAGAAATCAATAAATCAAAACCTCAATGGATTACTCTACATATATACTCAGTATCTATAGTCATTGTGTACAAATCCGAAACTGACACAACTTCGAAGCACTCATATACTTATTGAGAGTCACTAGGGAAAAATTACAATGCATTAGAAGTTTGTATTACACGTGGAGAGAATGGATACACACCACATCTATAAACCCCCTTGAAAGACTGAAATCCATGACAACAAGAAACTACAGTTAAGCTGGATACATATGAGTTGCAAAAAGTAATAGAGAACTAGCACACACCTTGAGGTCTTAAATCCAGCAACAATTCAATATAAGATGAAGCATACCATGACATAAGGTGCAGGAAATTGTGGCTGGAGAATGAGGACATGCATCGTGGGTGAACGAACAAGAGTGAAGGAGGCAGGCAAAATATTGAAAATCGAACCATTTATAATTATATTATTCCATTCAAACTCCGACAGCGCTCAGCAGAGTCAACGCACCAGCGCTTAACACTTAGTTGTTTTTTTAACTTAGTCTTACACCAGCATGCACGTTGGGTCAAGGTATCAATCATTTCAGGTTGCCAAAGACATCATGAGCTGAACCAGGGTAAAGTACAGTAATCAGCAGGAGAAACAGTAAGTATAATGCCTTGTGTTTAGTATAACTAACTTCAAAGTTTCAAGCAAAACTGAATAACCAAATAATCTGTACTAATTTTCTGATAAGTTTTTGAAAACTTTTTGGAATATTATTGAGAGCAATTACAAATTTGATAATTCCAGTTAATAAGCCCAATTAGCGAGATTTTGAATAATTACCAAATATTAATGCCAAATTTGCCGGAGGAGGTTTTCCTGATGGGCTGGAGCCGCAGATTCCCAAGAGGTGGTTCTGCGAAAGGGATACCTGCAGTAGCCAAACCAACGATATGTTAGACCGTCTATTTAAGATATTTTATGGAGACTCTTACCTCCGAAGAAGTCTTGCTCCAAGAACGTTACATCTCTCCCAATCAGCGTGGTTTCTCCCAGCTGAACTTCTGGAGAGATGGCGCGTGCGCCAAGGGTAACAAAGACGATAATGGTCAGGGATCGAAGAACAAACATTGTCATAGGTTGATGAGAGCATATAATCTCTGCATATATACCTGATGCCCTCTGACGCCAGTCATCCAAATAGTCATAATCGGCTCAAGAATCGTAAGGATTGACGAATGCAAGAGTCAGAGTGGCTGACTGGATGTTTGTCGGTTGGATTCCAGATATTCAAGCGCTTTCAGGCGTCGGCATGGGGTACGAGTACCTTTTTCTTCTCGTATAAGTTTGGACCAGGTTTGGACGCGTTCGGAGTTGCCAAATGCGAAATCAATGAAGATACATTTGAGTTGATCGTTTCTTTGTTTCATTCGCACAAGCAGAATGAGTACATAGAGAGTTATGGAATCTGTAAATGCAGATGGAAATGTTTACCGGAACAGGACAATTGCGAACGAAGCATGTCAGGTCATACATAACATCCAGTGGGAGAATCTTTGAGCAGATATAGTATGTGAGCGAAAGGAAGAAAGAAACTGGTCGTCATGAATCAGAGCAGCGCTAAGCGCCCAATATATTTACGCCGAAGCTAAGAATTATTCTGCCGAGCGAACGTAACCACAACCACCCAACTTCAAAGCGGCCGAATATCACAATTCACCAGGTTTTTATTAGTATTATACCAGGTCCCTCAGATGATGAGAATAGGGTACAACATTTTTCTTTGTCGATAGTCGGAATAAATGCATAGAAGGAAAAGCATGACACGCTGACGGGCCGACGATAGGCCATCACTTCTCAGAAATTAACCGTGCCCTTTCCCGATAATAATTAGCAGACAGCTTCATGCTCGAAGATGTATCCTTACCATCCCAAAAATCTTTGAATTTCCGGAACAACTTGGCACACCTTGTTTCTCCTCTCAGACGTGTCCGACCCCGAGTCCCATTTTTTCGTCTAGCGGCTCACCGTATACCGACATTATGGGGACTATTTAGAGGCCTTTTACGGGCGGCCCCCACAGAACATGTGCGTTTTTCCTGGACTACTTGAATTTTGGCTTACATTGGACAGATGTAGATATACCACCGTGTTCGTGTACTGTTCGAGCAGAATCGTCATCGTACGGGGACAGAGAGGACAATTCAAGAGCTGCGAAAAGGATACAAGGTTGCCTCCCTTCAACACTCGACTCTCGGGGTCAGCTAATCGTGATATTTATGCACTCTTATAGTGGCTTGAAACTTTCAAGCGTGCTCAAGCCGGAGACGTCAAAACCCAGGCTGTTCTTCAGCGTTATGATCGGTTTCTACAATTCAAAGCGGAAAAGGAACATTGGACGGAGCTTGTTCTGAAGGAAGTAGTACGTCTACGCTCCAGTGGTTGAGTTGCAACCCTTGATGCTGAATTTTGTTGTCTTCAAGGAATGGCAAGAGCATCTCAAAAATCGACCGATATTCACTGGAGGCTTTGTACATCCCACGGCGTTCCATCCACCATTTCCGCGTATGAAGCCTCAGCCGATGGCTATTAGCCGTATTATCGCCAACAGGATGAAACAACGGGAAAGACGATTTTCGAAGATGGAAGAACTAACTCGAATGAGGGATATGGTTCGCAAAGAACAGCATCTGGAGCAAGAGATCATGCGTGAAGCGAGAAGAACTGGGGAAAAGTTCGAGCCTGTGTTTGAAGGAGAGGATTGGAGTAAGTTTAATCTGTAAAACACATGACGATGTCCTTGTACCAAGACCTTTCTCAGGTACCCCGCTTACGCAAGCCGCTAACGACATATATGCAAACGTCAAGGCGACTGCTGAGCGCAACCTACGTCCGTTTTCTCCTGAACTTATTGAACAAGTACGCGCTGCTCGTCAAAATAAAATAGCGAATAAGACGAGGGAACGGGAACGGGAACGCCGGGGTGAAATTCTTCGTGTAACACGAAAACGTTGGAGGAAAGGGCTGACTCCTCATCTGCTAAGTACCCTGTCGGAAAAACAGAAGAGGGAAGAGCTTATTGTCCAACGTAGCATTGCTGAGGTGGGGTATGTGGGTCTACTGAAAAAACGTAAGGGGTGGAAATTGAAAGAGCCAAAACCGAAAGTTGAAGGGAAGTATTGGAGTGTAGAGGATGCGGAGTGGATTGGGAAGGAAGAACGGGAAGCTGCGAAAAAGGCTCTGCTTGCAATTCAAGAGGAGAATGAAAGACGAAGGGAGTCTAGTGTAGGCGATTAATTTGACATTACTACTTTGACTTGACATTACTATGAACCGCGTTATCCTTGTTGCTTCAAGCCCAGCCCTTCTTTCGATCTGACAAGATTTCTTCGGAGTGCTCATGTTTGACATGAAAGCTGTGGGCAATTATGGGCGCACATTTTTTACAGACTGGAGGACCGGGAAAATTCAAGTAAAATTGAATGTACCTGCCTGCACTATGCCAGCCTATTGCTTTGAACTTCCCGTCAATTATTGATTGCGGAAAGGTCCAACGTGCAGTCCATGATGAAGCGACATATCATTGCTGCTAGACGGATCCACACCTCGCATATAATGGTTCTCCAAATATATTGACATTTTGAGCATGCTGACTGACGAAAAAATTGAACCTGTGTTGACTATATTCAAGATAGGCGAGGGGGACTCTCGAAATGCTGAGATTGAATATCTTCGTCCTAAACATGCTGAGCCCACATTGTCAGAAATTCGTCGTCTGTGTCATTACTGACATATTGCACGTTATTTATTTTACACCCGTTCAAGAGTATAAGAACAGGCATACTTGCGAAAACAAGACACCCAAACCCCATCGTCACCTATCCTACCTTTTACTTTTGAGTTATACACCCAATCGTCGCTACCTTGATCCCTATAAATGACTAGCAACAACGTTTGTCACTGCGAGGTCGGAGTAAGTAGTGATTTACACCTTTGCATGACAAGGTACTGACTGCCGTCGATTTAGGATACGGATCCCAGATTATACCGATGGCGTCCTTGTCCGGTACATGGACTTGCTAGGCAGCCGCCAGCGCCGTCGTCATTCCCACAATCTATCGAACATTTGACTGGTCCTCCGTCGTTGTCTTATTCCCGCTCCTCCATTGGTTCGGACTCGACCAGGTCTTCGCCCCCGACACCCCCTCCTAATGCACCACATAGCTTTGATGCACGCGACTATGCTCGACAATTCCAAGAGAGGTGTAGGCCAAAATACGACAGTAATCCTGTGGATAATTCAACTGCTCGTAGCGGCACCACTGTCGACAAATCCAAAGCACACACCCCGAGCGTGTATGAACCACAAGCGCGCAAACCTGGCCATAGAGTTTATGTTTTAGCACGAGATCGCAATAAACTCCCTGAAATTTCCGACAAACCGCTAGTCCGTTGTCAACCAACGGTGAGTCCCACTGAGTGTTTCCGACCACAGTACCTAATATATATGCTTGTTCATTTTAGGATAAAATGATCAAACAAATATATTACGCGCAGCGGACGGGATCCAATCCCACCCAAGAGTCCCTGCCGCCCAGCATCCTGTCCTGCTGGGGCGCTGGTCCCAGATTCTGCTTCGAGCCTCATGGACTCGCAAAAGCCTCTAAGAAATTCAGCAGAGACAGAAAGAAGACCTGGTTTGCACCTGATCCTATTAACGATCCACGCGATCCAATAATCGAGCAGACATCCCAGCGAACAATCCAACGACACCAGCCTATTAGAAGGCCCGGTCCTAGCCATCTTTCAAAGCCAAGCGGGGCTCCGAAATCAATCAGACGTGATCGGTTAGAAGAGCAAAAAGTGAAAGAGAGGCTTCAATAGTGGTAGAAAGTACTTTTTGAACACCTTGAAATACCCAGTTCTATGTCTATATTTATGGAAAATATGATTTGTGAAGGAATGGATGCGTTGAGGGGAGAGGATGAGTGAAAATAGCGTGAGAGTTCTTGATCATCGATAACAATGAACAAGTTCGCATTCGTCCGGCTCGGAGGTGGTCTTCGGAACCATCCACTCCAAGTTTGGCTCGGTGCTCGCTTCGAATTTGAGTTTTAGTTTTGTGAGCGCTAGCCAAGAGAAGAAAACGCGCTGTCGTTGGATCCCGATGCTATTCGTCGAGGGAAACTTAGACATAGGTTGTTCACGATTGGAGCCCCGCGTCAGTGGTGAGTTGGCTCGCATACACCAGGGTGAATGGTTAGCATTGCATCAGAGTGCCGACGCAAGAGGTTAGAGACACGAAGACACATCGTTTGCGAATATTAGAGTCTTCTCATTGCAGGTCATTTTTTACTTTGTTTGCATCAACGTTGGATTTTTCTCCACCTTCCGCATATGCAGGCATATGCATTAGAACGATGATTATTTTTTGAGCATTTGAAGCTCACCAGTGTACTACATGCAAGGGAGCCTGAAAAGGGCTTTTTAAAGAACATTATACAAGAGGAGATGAGAAAAGTACCACTGTACAATTGAAGGATTGCTAAATTTGGGAATCACCGGTCAACCGGCCGCGGTCACCCCCGAGCCTGGAACCCTTCGAGAATTCTATTTTCCTTCCATGCACCGATGTGTTCTCCAGAATTTGACGCGTCGTTCAATTTCCCCTAGAGTAACCACTACTCGCAGGGCTCTACACCTCAATAACCAAGATATCCAGTCCAAATATGCAGACAAATTACGCCTGCGAGCTGAGGAGTGAGGTGTTTAATCGTATGTGTCAATTTTCTGTGCCCACTAATTTACACAAAATTTCGATATAATCCTGTAGACAAGGCGTAAGCATATCAAAACTAAAGGAAAACGCGAAGAAGCTGCAGGAGGAAGAGAAAAGGCGGTTTCGTGAGGCGAATGAGGAGGTTATCCGCGCAAGAAAGACAGTAGCAGTAGAACCATCGAGCGCTTCCCGACCAGAAGTTGCAGCTACTCCCCGCAAGGACAGCTCTCCAGTGAAAGTGAGTCAAGTGGTGATAGACCATATGCATTCCTTGTCACTCATATCTATGATAGCCGCTTGGGTCGATCCTTAACCTTCCTCGGATTCTTTCTGTGAACGCCAGTCAAGTCTCAGCTCTTTGGACTGCCTATCATGCCTCTCGGTCAGAAGGCACTGGCAGGGGATACTTGTGTGCATCAATTCCCTTGGAGGCTTACGAAAGGATGGCGGCTGTAGCCACGAGATATCCCACTTTCGTCCTTCCCGTTCCTCGTCCTGATCCAGAGGCTAAAGGGAACGCAAATACAACGGAGACACCGTACGAGTTCCAGTTCATGCAGTGGGCTTTCCACGAGTCCCCGCCAATCCCTTCAGCCGCTGAGCCAGATCCATTCGTTCCTTCTACGAACACATACCAAGCGGCCGATGGGTCGAGCAATCCTCCGACGTCCTCCATCTTGTTCACTCCTCTGCAAGAGTTCAAGATGCGCAACTCCTTCGCTACTCCGTACCTCGTTTTGACTCATTACACTGATCTTGCACGCACACATGGGATTGTGTTATTACGAGGAGAGATCACACCAGGATCCGGAAACGATGGTCGTTACCTATTATCCCAGGAGGATGCACAAATACTGTCCATGGGTGTTCAAAAGTTTTATCTGTGGTCGGACAACAAAGGTGTAGAACAGAAGGACGGATCTACAGGAGAATCCATTCTAAGGACCTTCCACGAAAAACCCTCAGAGTTCGATTGGCAGGAGATGCTGAAATACAGTACACAATTGTAATGATCTAGTATGAATATACAATTAGATAGACAGAGATACATCGAGGAAGAAAACTTGGATATGTCAATCCAAATGCTAGCTCAATAAACGACGAATTGTCTTTCCACCAGACCGCTTATCTGCTGCAAGAACAATCTGCTCGATTTGGTCTTCTCGAATAACGGGAGTTGAGCCAATCAACCTTAAAATGATAGTGATTTTGAGCACAGACAAAGAACCAGAAGAGAAATAAAGTTTACCTCTTGACTTTCCTAGGACCGCTTCCGCTGACTTGTCTTTCGCGAGACTTTCTTGATGGAATAATCATGGAATCGCCGTCATCCAAATCGTCATTGAGATCCATGTTCCTCATTCCCTGTTCCACTGCAGAGATGCGGTTTCGGCTCGTTAAGAATTTGGGTTGTGGAATTTTAGGACGTGTCGGTGACGGGCTCGACGCGCGTGGAGGAGGTTTTACTGCCCGGGGTGTCGGGGCAGAAGGGGCCCATTCGTCATCGTCCCCGTTTCCAGAATCGCTGGTATGAACGCTTGCTCCGTCCTCCTCTTCCTCCTCTTCCTCATCACCTTCTTCCTCATCATCATCCTCATCACCTTCTTCCTTTCCAGTCTCGTCTCCAGTCTCTGTACCCGTCATCTCCGCATCCTCTGAGTCGGAAGGAAGCATAGGTCCATCAGGAATAGCCGGCCTTGGTTCGTGAACTTTCTGGGACGCAGTGCTCTGTCTTTTCGTTGTTGAAGACTTTGCAATTACCTTGCTTTTCTTTGTGGGAGGAGATGTACCAGATACCTCAGAGTCCTTATCATCATCAAAGTCGAATTCTTCACCGGAGGAATGTTCTGATGAATCGCCTTCTTCCTCATCTTCCTGTACCTACGTAATTTCAAGAAACAACAAGAAACTTTCAGCCACGTCTGATACACTATTCCGAGCCGCTTCCCTCACGTACGAAGCTTAGTCCCACGTCTTCTTCCTCGTCTTCACTCCAGTCGATGCGAGAACGCTGCGGTTGGGCTTTCTTGACCGGACTGCCAAATCCGGTTCGTTGTAGCATATCGAGTTTGGCGTCAGTCTTCGCTTCGTGTTGTTCAATCTGAATGACATGTGATTGATAAACACTTTCCCCTTGCAACAATGCAACCGAAACATACCTCTTTAGTAAGACGTCGAGTGTACATATCCTCCATGTCGGCCATTCGTGTTTCCATCTCCCTCATAACTTCGTCACGGACTTCAGCCTCTACCAAGGCACATCTCATTTCTGATTCGTACAGCTGTAAAATCAAAAAATTAGCCTCCTCTGAAAACAAAAAAGATAGTGATAATCACCTGGAGGCGAAGATATTCGATCTCATCGAACAAAGCATCCACAAGTGGGTTGATGGGCACATCATCCGCTTGTTCTTCTTCGCCAGTTTCATCTTCTGGTTCAGGGACTGAGGGATATCATTAAACAGCTCAGTAAGATCGGGCCACTGGGTGATAGGTAGAGCATACCTTCGAGGACCTGCAACACTGCCTCACTAGCTTTTCGACCACTCTTGCTATTCCCGTCAATCGAGATCGTGACCTTGCGGCTGAAAGGCTTTGGCGCAATATCTGGATCGTTCAAGGTCAAAGGACCGAGTTGCTTGATCGTTTTACCTGTAGTTTTACCAGGTCCGACTGTGGGTACACGCTGAACAGGTGCAGGTGTCGGACTGACGTAGACCTCCCGAGCAAGTGCAGCGAACTTCATGACGTGTGAATTCTCGTCGTATCCCGTATCGTATGGGTTGACATTGACTATCATGACCTTTGGAAAAGAAAGAGGAAACATAAGCTGAGCCGGCAAAACGAGTGGAAATCCACTCACAACCCGACCATCTCCAGCAAAGTAATCCATCAAAATTTCTGTGAGCTTACTGTGTCGGAAGGGAACTATGGTCAAAGTCTGTTTGACGTCTCGTGTATCGACTCTACCAGCCCTCCCTTCCCCTTCTTGTGAAAGACTCACAGCGACCTTACGCTGGTTGGTACGCAGGACCTGGAGACACTGACCGAGGACCATGAGAGAGTTGTTGATGTTCCCTGCCTCTTTGAGTCGGTCACCGGTAGTGTGAGTGTGTTTCGTACGTTCGGAACCTGCAAGATCCACAAGAGTGAATCGTGAGATTTGTATGGCAGTGGGATCCTGGAGTACTCATTTGAATGAAGACAGCGAGGGATGACTATGAAAAAAGCTCACATTTTTCTCTCCGCGGTGACATCTCATGATTTTCAAGGTCACCATACCATGACTTCGACTACTTTCCTTGTTCGCAAGGGTGCCAAAAACGCGACGATGAAGCTGCCCAAGTCTGAGCAACTCTTTTGCTTGAGCCGCAGTTTCAACGCGAAATTGACGTAGACCAAAGATATATTTTCCACCAATCTCGGAATCAGAATTATCGGAGGAAGGGGAGGACTTGACGGGAAGCGCATTACGAGTAAGGACAAGTGAGGATGCGGCTCCGGGTCGAGGGATGGCAGAAGGCTTTACACGCGAAGTTTCACCGTGTACAGAGTCGAGCAAGTCATACACCTTTTCATTGTATACTTCGGCGTACGAGAGCCATATGGTGTACTCATAGTTTCGGTCAAGTTTCAACGCAGTCGTATCAACGTCCATATCCGTTTCAGAGGCGGAGTCGCTCATTTGTGAACCCAGGACTTGTGCCACTGCGGGTTCCGGTATGGTCGATGGAGGTTTGAGATCTGATGCATCCGCCAGTTCAACACCATATAACCTTACGGGACGATACTACAATGTGCGCGATCAGCCACTATGTCATATTGAGAGAAAGATAGTTCACGTACCTTGCCACTACCGTGTAATCCTTCAATACTGTTGAAAATGACATCTAAAGACCTTGGCAGAATGCCTGCGCTTCCTGCACTTGAGCCTCCTTGTACTGTGTACGTTTTACCCGAGTTTGTAACTCCATAAGTGAAAAGCAATGCATTCTGCCCTTCAAGAACGTCCCGAACAAGGGGAAGAGTTGTTCTGGTAAAGAATTCGCCTTGCATCGTATTTGGAGGAAAGACATGGGAGAAAGTGTAAGTGGATGATGGTGTTACAGCGGATGAACGAAATCGCGAGGATGGGTTCTGATGCTCTTGGTTCGGATCCGTCATGCGAACGCTCTTGTCGGTTAATTGGGTGAGATAAGGTGAAACTTCGTCATCTTCGTTCACGTTCGGTCGTATCCTGAGGTAGGCCTTGGTGGAGAGGTCAAGTCAAGCTCAAAAGAGGATAAGAAACATACCATGATTGGTTCGCGCTCAATATCTGCGGCATTCGCATTTGCCTTACCAGCTTTTCGTGTGACTGTTGTGGATTTAGAGGGTGGTTTGCTGGGAAGATCAGATGCGTCTTCTGCATTACCACGACTAGCTAGTGGCTTTCTGCTGGCGGTTTTCTTTGGCGGCGGTGGTACAGGCAACGAAGGCGGAGTTGTGGCTTTCGTTGTAGTGGTGGTCCCAGCCTTTGCCCTTGTGGTGCGAGTACTTGAAGCTGGTACAGTGGAGGATGTTTTGGTCCTGGCTGAGCTTCTTGTGGCCATCTTGGGTTTTTCAGACATGTCGGTAACACTAATAGCAATGGTACCTTCGAACTTCCGGCGCGGCTAAAGTTCTTCGTAGTCACATGACTAGCACACGCGCTGGGCACGTGGCCGCGCGACCGTCTCAATAGGGTTTCAACTTTCCACCCACTAATCCACTTCGACAGGTTACAGCCGGGAACTTCGCAAATTGAAGGGATCTCGAAAATCAAACTGGCTATTAAAGCCCGGACCTTAGTATGCTTTTCGACAGACGTTGGGCCCCTAATTCCAGTGCTTTCAGTGTCGTCTTAGAATCAGCAGGAATCAGCGTTCCTCTTCGGCTTAGGGACGTCCTAGTACTTCATCCAAATTTCCAGTCAACGATAATATCACCCCTTGTTACCCGGTAAAGTCAGAAGCTCAGACTTAGGCCTATGGATTCGGATGATGTGTACACTCCAGTCTCCAATCACATTACTCTCTGACAGTGGACACTTCTTCAATCTGCTATTTTTTTCCTGGTTTCCTTTCGCACATAATCTACATAATCTTGATGCGTTCTAAAATATCCTAGTCGCTGTCCGACACTGTAGCTATCCGTAGTGCAGGTGAGTTCACAAACTCGACGTACTTATCCTCCAGCCAACTCAGATTCCGTGAAAAATATAACACAATATTGCCCCCGAGTTACTCTAGACTCGCGAACGGTACTGTTATAGTCGGTACGACTTAGTCAGTTGCGGTACTTCTCATCCAAAACACAGGAGGGTAATTTCGTCGGTCCACTGGCACTCTGTAACTTTCAGATTGAATTCATAATCTAAGTCACTTTCAAAATTGAACAAGGAGTACTACCGTTGGGTGTTGCTCTTCTAGACTATTTATTGTGAGTGCTCGATGGCTCGAGATTTTTTCAAGATAGAATGACACCGGTCTTGGTCGTTCGGCATAAACTATCAGTCCTATCCTGGAGGCTTCCCAACTACACCAGCTGATATCCGTGATCAGGCAAGTTCCGGGTGGTGGACTCTCGGTATCTCGCAGTTTTCTAGGTGGATCCAGCCGGGGGGACAACCATATTCTGCTCAGATCACAGAGTGCGTAGAAGTCCTGGACGATGGACATAACCTGTTTGATTTCTCCACTATGGTTTAAAGGTGGACGGCCAAACTCAATCTGAACGCATTGACAATGTGTTTGATCTAGGTCCAATTAAATACTTTGGACCTCTGGGAAAATGTATAAATCGTTATGTAGTTCTTTCAAGCTTGAGGGTAGGCCTGGCCAGCGCGTTTACTTATATACTGAAGACCTACACAACGATGATCTTTTCTGTGCCCGACTAGGAAGTTTCGCTTCAATTTCAATTATCGGGAGGAAAAAGTTACACAGCACGTGTCGAACTTGAACGTTTGAACGTACACTCAGTTACTGATTCATTCTGAGCTCGACACCCTACCAGGCATTCAATGATATCCAATGGACATCCACTATCATCACTGTCTTCTGAGCTGTTTGGACGCTGGAGTTGCTTCAAGTTGAATACATTCCGAGTCCAGACACTTACACTCACCTCAACCTCTCACCGATCTTGATCTCCAGACAAGAGCTTGAAGGAAGGAATGCACCTAAGGCTACCTTCGGTCCTTTAGTGAGCGTGAACATGAGGCGGGAATGAGGTAAATCTGATGGGAAGGAACTTTGCACGAAGATACACGCTCCCCGTGATCGACGCAATATTGGAAGAATCCGAAGATGTCATGGCAAGGATTAGGGTGATATATCTTGCTCTTTTCTTCTTACCGTCATCTTCCAATCCCAGGTTTTCATCCACAGGATGGCTGAGCCCAGCGTAGTAAGTAGCTCAAGGCACAGGTCGCAGCCTAGTCGGACGAACACCAGCACTCGCAGTGCGAGCACTCAGCAAGGCCATATTAGTTCCCAAAGCCCGTCGCAGCCTATCTCGATGCCGATGCCGATGCCCAGTACACCTCCGGTACTGCCAAATTCCCAGGGAACGACCGAGCTGCGTCGAAGCTATTACACCACAAATCCTGATCCGGACACAGAAGGTTCAGTAGAAGGAGACTACGTGAACATACCTGCAGTGGGTGTTGAGGGCCAGGTGATGGGCTTCAATGTCCAGCCTGTCGAAGTCGAGCCAATCCCGCGGAGGAAGGGCGGAGGGAGGTTCATCGGTGGCTTCGTTAAGAGCTTAAGAAAAATACCTCGAACCATGTTCAGACCTGGTCATGGATCTAATACTGTTGTTCCAGAGACACTAAGTCAACCTGCGGCACGTGCACCTCTTCCAAGTTACATGCTGACCCCACCTACACCTGCAATTCCAGGGCAGCCGTTCTCATATTTGGATGAAACCCATGTTCCTGAAACTCCTGATATCTTTCCTGTAACATCGCCCCATCCGACCCGGATAGAATTAGATGATGCTACCGTACACTCTCCAGAGCGCAATCCTGATAGAGACACCAATATGCCGTCCATGTCTCGTCATACATCTCACCACACATCTCACCATACATCCCAGAATCACAATAATCCTAGTACCAATCGAAACTCCTTTGCTTATCCAAACTCATATCATGACCCTCCCTCTGTCGCCGCACATCCACAACCTTCGCCGGACTATCGTCGAATGTCTAGACATACCGGTGAAGAATCCGTCCTTGGAAGTTACTCAGCCGGTACCCCTTCATTCTCTACGGAACTCGATCGGAACCCTTTCCGGGTCCTGAAAGCACTGGTAAACATGCCTTGGATCTCTCATGATCGAGTGACAGTCGATTATTCACCCGGAATGGAGGATAGTAGGGGCGCGCTGCGAGTAGCTAGTCCATCAGGCGAAAAAGGCAAATCCAAAGGTAGTAAAGAGAGGCAAAGCGCAAGGTGGAGTATAGTCGAACAAGGGTGGAAACCCTGGAAGCGCACGTCAGTTTTTCTTACCCTAGATGGTCGCATTGTCTCCCCTGAGGAAGGACCAGATGCACTTGCTCGTGGGGATGCGCGGAAGGGGAAAATGTATGTGCCGGTCAACAAACCAGAGACTTCATGGTACTCAGGTGGACATATGATCAAGGTCTCTCGACATAAGCGTTCAGGAATACCAAGAAATAGGGAGTTGGACCTCATGAGCTCAGGTAGCGAGCCTGGTGCGCGGTCTTCCATTGCATCCACCCCTCGTGCCTCTCGTGTTTCAGCCAGACGAAGAATTTCACGCTCAACTCTCACTTCTCCTTCTTCCCCAACTTCACCCCCTCCACTCCGCCGCCCAAGAAACAGAGAAACCTTCCGTCAGACTCCCCGGAGACACAGCCGTAGGTTGTACTATGCCAACAATGAATATGCGTTCCTTGATCCTGGGTCTACCCCGGGATCATCTCCCATTCTAGCGCGGAGGTCTAACATGAGGTCGCGGGAAGTGCTTCGAGACCGACATAGACCTATACGCCGACGGTACAGCCGTGATATCCCTCAACTCCCAACTCAACAACCCCTCGTGCCTCCTGTGCCTCCTCCTGCCAGTCCTTATCCTCTCAGTCCTTTGGTTTTCGTTCAATCAGCACATATGGACAGTCCCTCTGGAGGTGCTGATCCTAATTCTCATCTACATCCACAAACTGGCTCTGGGATGCCAGTCCCGGTGTATGGTGTCACTCCGATGTATATGTCGATACTTCCTGGTATGCCTCCTCCGCCTACGGGATCTGGTGTTGGAATAGGAGAGTCCAGTCCCCCAGGATTCGCGGGACGTGGTGCAGGGGGTGGATATGGGGCAGGTTATGGTGTACAGGGGTATGCTGGGACTGCTCCTCCAGGAAGTGGGGCTTATACTTATAGTTATGCGTATCCTTATGCACCCTCGCAGTCTCCTCCGCCACCTCCGCAGGCTCACCATAGTGAAACACGGAAGTCACCGCTGAACACTGCTGGATAATCGATGTTATGTAGACCTTACAATAATTCTATCGGTCTAATATTCTATGCAAGTAGAAACATAGTGACATTTCAGTCAAGGTACATAAAAAGGACAAGATCTGCATGTACGAAATAATCAACCAACAAGCAGGTGCTCAAATGAAATCACTAGGGATTGATTCGAATTAGCACCAATAACCTCGACTGTAATGATTAGGAGGACACTCACGCAACGTTCATTGGCATCTCATCGATCTGGGTATTGTAGAACTCTGCTCAAAAGGTCAATTTCCATCACTATACAAAAGGAAGCAGGGCAAGACATACTCTCTAGTTCTCGCAAGGTGGCCACATCTTTATCCGAGACGAAATTGATCGCAACACCCTTACGCCCGAAACGACCTCCACGACCGATGCGGTGGATATAATTCTCTTTGCTCACGGGGAGATCAAAGTTGATGACCAAAGATACTTGCTGAACATCAATTCCACGAGCAAGGAGATCAGTGGTGATCAGCACCCGGGTAGCACCACTCTTGAAACTACTCATAATGGCAGTGCGTTGTTTCTGATCCATGTCTCCATGCTGTTGTAGAGTGAGTAAGCGGGTATTTCAGAGAACATAGGCATTTTGAACGCTGCTTACAATGGCGGAAACCGTAAACTCGCGCTGCTCCATCATCTGAGTCAACCAATCGACTTTGCGCTTCGCATTGCAGAAGATGACAGATTGAGAGACAGAGATCGTGTCGTATATGTCGCAAAGAGTGTCGAGCTTCCACTCTTCTTTCTCGACAGCGATATAGAACTGCTTGATACCTTCGAGTGTCAATTCGTCCTTCTTGACAAGGATTCTGATCGGGTCACGCATGAATTTGCTCGTGAGCTCAAGCACGTCGCTCGGCATCGTCGCTGAGAAAAGAAGGACTTGCAGGTCGCCAGGGAGGACCTGGAATACCTCGTAAATCTGATCCTTGAATCCCTGAGATAGCATCTCATCCGCCTCGTCAAGGCATAGGATCTTGGCGTGCTCCGACTTGATAGCTCCACGTTTGATCATGTCCAAAAGTCGACCTGGTGTAGCAACGACGATCTGGACTCCGGAGCGCAGAGTATTCATATCGTCCCGGATGTTGGTACCGCCCACGCAAGCGAGGCTGGTGATCTCCATGTAATCTCCGAGAGCGACGACTACTTTATGGGTCTGCAACGCCAGCTCACGGGTGGGAGCAAGAATAATAGCCTGGGTAGCCTTGATCTCGGGGTCAATTCGCTGCAAGATGGATATAGAGAAGGTGGCGGTCTTCCCGGTACCGGATTGAGCTTGAGCGATGACATCGTGCTCCTTGATTACAGGTATGATAGCCCGTTGCTGGATAGCAGAAGGACGCTCAAAACTGGTGTAATGGACATAGGAATGAGTAAGGTTTGTGCAAATGAAAAAAAAAAAGGATTTTGCTCACCCGTAAGCGTAGATCCCGCGCAGAAGCGTTGGGTTCAAATTCATATCATCGAAACTGGTACTACATTAAAAGCCGCCTTGAGACAAACCAAAAAAAAAGTCATACCCATCGACTACTTCATCCCAATTGGATTCGATGGTTTGATTTATGTTGTCAACATTTTCACCGTTGTCTTCACTACGGTAAAATGATATCGTTGTCAGCTAGAACGTTGGTGTACGAGCCCAAAAATGCTTACGCTTTCATACAATAATATCAAAACGGAAGGTGAGTTTAGTTAAAAACTGCCTTCGAGGTTTATAATGGTTGGTTGGGTTGTTTCCAGGTAATGGAATGAAAATTGGTTGGGTTGAGCGTTGATTGAGTATCCAGTTGGCTTTTAAGCAAATCCGGCTCCTCCGGGACCGACGACGGTCGGGCGGCCGCAAAATTTTTTCAGTACTTGACCTCTTTTATTGGCGTTTGCATTGCCTCTACGTATAAAGTATGTAAAATAGCTACAGGTATTCAAATTTTCATCAAGTTATGCATTTCTTATGATATTGATACAGGATGCAAGATGAGAGGAATGTGTTGTGAAGAATTGGGGAACGATGATCTTATTTCTTTACTTCTTTCTTAAAGTCCTCCTTGGCCTCAGTAGCACCCGCAGAAGCCTGCAAGAATTGTTATTGAGTTGCGAATGCACGAATTATTGACCAAATACCTGGTTTGCTTTCTGTTTGGCTACAGTAGCGCCTTCTTTGGTTTTATCAGCAGCGGACCCTGCGTTAAATGTGTGGTGATTAACAATGGAGTTCGCTAGACCTCAACGCAAAAAAAACGTACGTAATGACTCTTTCGTAGATGAAGTAGCGTCTTCGCCCTTCTCAATAGCTGAAGCTAATCCTTGCCCCAATTTCTTATTCACCTGATAGATAGATAGAATATATGCGTTAGAAACTCCACGTTCAATAATACAGATCTCGACGCACATTCTCTGCAACTTCTGATACTTTTTCTGTCACTGTCTTGGAGGCAGCCGGCGACGCGTGGAATGCTCGGACACTGGAAGTCGCGGAAACACGAGAGATAGCTGTGCGGAATAAAGACATGCTGGGAGATATTTAGCATACATCCCAATTATCGAGCTCTTAAGTATTTCTTCGCCCATTCCATGACGTCGTTTGGAAACCACAAAAATGCGCGTCACAATGACATCGACGAAAGAGCACTTGATTTTCCCACGCTTGCGCGTTCAACAAGAATTATCTGTGAATTATACATAGAACCTCATAGGGCTCGGCATACATAAGTGTTCGAGTACATAGATGTGGATACAACAAAATAAGAATGGAATGTAGAACGTGGTGGTAAAATCCAAAGCTATAAAATCGATACAAGATGGAAAGAAAATCAAACCAGATCAACCACATATCTCTTGCGCCTCTATACATGCATCTATTAGACAAGCATAGTTTTCCGAGGGCGTCACCTGCTCCATCCTCTGCGTGATAGCTTCAAGAATAGCCTGCTCACTGTACACAAGTCAGCCAAAACATCGTATAACGAAGAAAGAACTAACGCAACGCACTCTATCTTCCCATAACCCTTTCGAATTTCCCAGCGTAGAGAACCGATGGAAGCAGGCCACCGAGAAAACGTATCAAGGTCAAATACAAAGGAAATATAAGCCTTTGCTTTCTTGGCAGGAAATAGAACCATCGCGCGCGCTGAGAATTCCGAGAACGGCTTTTTAGGTGTTTCTCGAGCCTCAATCGTAACAGGGTATTTAATCGAAAGTTGACGGATTTGTGCACGGATCTGCGTAGCCGAGGTCCAAAAGTCTGCGAGGCGTTGGATGATCTAGTAGACAGTGTATGGTCATCAGGGGTTTAGAACAGGATAATATGTTCATAAAAAACCTACACGTCGAATACTTGATGCCTTGCTATCACGTATATACTCTTTCGCAGCGGAAAGCAAAAAATTGGTTAAAACAGGAAATTCGTCCTTGTACTTGGTACAGAGCTCTGGGAGCCTCGAAATATCGACACTGTCCACGAGTGGAAGATAATCTTGACATGGTATCGTAATGTGATATGCAGATGCATAGGTAAATTCAAACAGATCTGGTTGGACTTTTGATATATGAAACATATGGAGGTCTTCTAAAGCTTGAAGCTCATCTAAAACAAGATCAGAACAAGCTGGGTGGACAGAGCTTAACGTACTTCGAAGTCGGATAACCTCTACACCAGTACTGTTGGTCTGTATATGCAAACGTCTATTAGCTTCGGCGATTGCAGACGTAGCCTCCTGTTTTTGCAAAACAACATTTTCCAGTCGCTCCTCCAACCAGTGGAGTTGATCATTGGCTTCTTTGACTTCAGCCCTAAGGGATTCCACTTCTACGCTGTAAATCAAGATCAGTCGTTGAAGAGACTCGAGAAAAAGGGTATGAATTACTTTTGCTCAGCAATGGAATTTTTAAGCTCGTTAAGATAGTCCTGATCGCATTGCTCAATTTCCGCTACTTCCTGTTGTTCGGCTTGCAATTCGCGCACGATCTCGTTGTACTCCCGCTCCAAATCAGGAACGATTTCATCAGTTTTCGCTTTCAAGTTCTCGAGGGCTTTGGCATCCTATATGAAGGTCAGAAAGCTCAAGTGTAAGCAAGAGGTATGTGGGACTAACGTTTTGCAAATTGGTGAGAGCTGCTTGTGTACCGTACTTCAGACTATCCAGCCACTGTAACTTCCAACCATACCAGTCCGATTTGGCCTCAAGCCGAACGTTCGTCCTGATCAACTTCAATTGACGCTATACGAATGTCAGAATCGTCTTGACCATCATTCCAGGGAGTTTGGAACAAACGCACCGTCAAATCCTTCTGACCTTCCTCATCCGTGCGAAGATACTCCGCGAACAATAATGGAGTCACCTTTGCAGCTTCTTCCTCTGCCTGTCTGAATTCGACCTTACTTTGTTCTATCCATCCTTCCAGATCTCGGGCTACCCGCGAATACAGCACGAGCTGCGGAATATCAATAGCCATGGCCACAGCATACTCTGCGAGCGGTATCTCTGAAGGGTTGCGAGGCTGACGGGAAGGTATCTGAGAAGCATACGTCGACCGTCGTGGGGCGCTAAGATCCATGAATCTGATACCCGTCATTTCGAGAAATTGCTCGATTGATATCGGGGGCTGGTAGAAATGGGGTAAGTAGGTAGAGCAAAACGACATAGCAATAAAAAGGATTTACGATTTCATCTACCTCATATCCATCTTCGGGGATTGCATCCCTCCATTGTTCCGTTGCTGCCATGTCCATACCCGCGGGGCTGTTGTTACCTTCTGTTACCTCTTCGTCAATGTCAGTTGCCTCAAAAATTGTTGATAGGTCAATAATAGGGATTTTTGGAACCGAAGGGCCGGCTTCCGTATCCATTGGTTCTGCCGGTGGAACATGAGCAGGCAAAGGTTCCGATACCGCAGACTGCGTCGAGGGTGTCACTTCCAACTCTTGTACAGAAGATAGAAGTTCTTCCTCCCCCGCCCCCTCCTCCGCTGTCTCTTCTGCTACTATCGGCCCTGCTTTGCCCTTGCCTTTTGGATCTGCGGGATTGGCAAGACTCGCGGTGTCGAAACGAGTCCACGCATCAGAAGGTCCTGAATTTACACTAGCTCGTCTATTGCCTAATGTAGCTGCCTCCTTGAGCGAAGACTGTGCAGATTCAACTCCTCCTTCTGGTGCTTGCGGCGACGCCGAAGACATATTTGCAAGTCCTGCACCCAAACTCTTTCGTCTCGCAAAGTATCCAGAAGGCCGTCTAATACCGCTCGCAGGTTGTGACGAGGAGGGTACTGGCACAGATTGAAACGGTGCTTTTTTGGTCGGAGGAAGAGGTCTGGGTTCTTCGGTGCCTGCTCCTGTTGAGGGCTTAGTAACGGAACCAGTAGGACCCACTTTGTTCACCCATTTGTCCTCGATGGCCTGACGTTTTGCTGGGCTAGGCTGCTCAGACTCGATGGCTGGTAAAGACGGATCAGAAATCTTTCGCTCCCGCTTTTTGGCTGCGCTCTGAGAAGACTCTGGCCCGCTGGGCCCCGTAGACTTCTTGGGAGTGGGACGAGAAACTGGCGGTGCAAAAGCAGCGGAGAATTGTTTTGTTACATGTTTCGTAGGAGATTTCGGCATAAATACAGGGAGTTTCCTCGGTGAAGTACCAGACTGAGGCTTGGGCATCAGTGGCGGAGGTGCAGAAAGATGGGGTTCAGCTGGAGGGGCACTAAATACTCCCAAAGGAGTGAGTGGGGCCTGGAGCTCCCTTTGGGGAATTGGTGAAGGGAGAGGTTCTTCCGGTGATTGATAAGGAGACGAAGCAGACTGTGGCGCAAGACTAGGACGAGGCGTAGAGGTAGCATGAGGGGCAATACTAGGATGAGGAATAGATACTCTATGAGGCACAATTGAACCATAGACCTCGGATTCATCCATTGACGAAGCTATACTTGGCCGCCCAAGGGCACCACTAAGACTATTCCTACCTATCATTTGGGTCAAATTGAGTGTTCGGTTCTCGTCATCTCCTGAATTTCCAAAGCTAGCATCCGAGATTGAGTCGTTGGAAACGTCGTTAAAGTTGAACGTGTATCTCCTGCCCGCATCCCGTGCAATCATGGCTTCTATATCTGCATCATCCGGTCCATCTCCGTCTACATCATCAGAAGCCGCCATGCTTGCGTTGCCCGAATGTGTAGCCTTCACAAGCGCAAGCCAAGCATCGTCCTGGTTCGCAGGACGAAGTGACTGGCTGAGAGGCACTGTGACTTCCATAGGTTCAGAACGATCCCCATCGCTGGTATACGACTGCTCTGATATGAAGGACTCCTCCTCAGCTGGGTTCGAAGATAATTGGGACAAAGGAGCGCGGGATTGAGCTACGGATGAACGCCTCCGCAGGTTTCCACCAAATGATTGAGTTACGTCCATATCACTGTTGTTATCATCCATATCCATGTCTTCGTCTAATAACGCAGAGTTGTTCACCCCGTCGAAAAGAAAGGCGCCTGCACTCGTAGACGTCATATCCATGTCTTCAGTCAAGGCGATTGATTTCCGAAAAGAAGAGCGTCGACGATTAGCACCAGGATATGCATTCTCGTCGTTGAGAATTGGAGCAGAAGGCGGAGGCAGGTCGTTATCAGAGGATGGTGGTCCGCCCGAGCTACCTGGAGATTCCTGAGATGCGGCTGAGCTGCCCGTGTTGTCTCCTTCGAAGTAGCGGACATGAACTTTCTCCCTGAAACTGACCCGGCGTCCCAACGATTTACGTGCATGATTGTCATGAATAGGAACCTGGTAATCGTGGGTGAGGTCCATGGATTCTGTAGCGGCAGTACTCTCTTCAGCGAAAGATTGAGAGTGGGGACGTGATTCTTGTGACGCGGGCGAGTTAGAGGATTGGGAGGAGCTTGCTATCGACGGCCTTGCCTTGAGTATACCTTTGACATTTCCCTGTTGTTCATGGTCAGTTGATTCGGTATTCAGAATAGGCACCGCACTCACTATCGACAGCCTTGACCTCGTAAGAGGACTAAGTTTGCCTGTTCCGAAGCTACTATATGCTCGCTTTTTTCGAGGCTTATTTACACGGCCCTCCTGTACCACAGCAATTGATTTTCGCCGCGAGCTCGAGCTGATCACCATGAGGGTAAGAAAGGTGTTGTATATCAAGAAATATAGATCACAGCGATTGTGAGTAGATGATTGTTGTGTATTCAATTGGATGTCCTCAGTCCTCACTTTGTCAAAGTTGAAGTTGGTCGCGACACGGTCACGTGCGTCTAAGTCTCACGGGTCACTTTGCCTTATAACTATCATGATGATGATCGTGTTTAGAAATTCTTCAAAAAAAGTACTTCGGAAATGCCTTTACTATGTTCGAATTACTAACTACAGACATCCCCATCACTTTTGTGGAGTGTCAAGCCTAGGTTTAGCTAAAGAGCTGTAGTTCAGCTGATGAATAGGAGTTATACTTGGAGATAGGTAAGCGGGAGCCCAGCTTGGCCCAACCTCACTGTTTAAATTCTGCTCCAAGGATAGTGGTACCCTGCCAGATAATATTGGCGGAGAAGGAGGGACAGAGACAGGTTCTATAGTCCAAGCACCAGTCGTAGGTCCAGGAAAGGTAGAGATAGTTCTAGGCTGTTGTTGTTTTCTTCGCTTGAGGAAGAAAAATATCCCAAGGGCAGCGAGTAAAATGACAACCACAACAGGAACTGCAATAGCAGGACCTATCATGCCCCCAAGACCCTTGGTCACCCCTGATGAGTTATTAGGAGCCAGTGAAGGCTGGGAAGGGCTCAGAGAGGAAGACTGCAGAGTGGATGAAGAAGGGGTATCATCGACAGTTCTATTTAGTCTGATAAGGTTGGAATGTCATATTGTACAAGAGTAAGGAAGGCTTACGTGTAAACAATCTTGTCTAGGAGTATCAATGACTTGGTACCGTTGACATGACCGTTTTGGATGGTTAAGTTGTGAATTCCAGGAGTGAGAGGATCGCTTGCAAATACAGCAACAGAATAATTATACGTGTTGTTATTCCCTGGCGCGGTCTTCACAAAGCCACCATTGCGAAACCCATCAATGTAGAAATCCATGTCAGAATTTCCGTCTGGAGAAGTAGAGCTCTCTGCGAGCGCGCAAAAAACATATACGGCAATGCCTGAAAACCATGTCGGTAGTGGACTCTCATGTTAACAAGGATAAATTTTACCATTGAATGCTATGCTGGCCGTGAGGGGGACGTTCGGATAGGAGTTACTTCCCGGAAGAGGATTGAACTGCAAGATAGGCCAGGTTATACATTTCTTGCAAAGGCCTTTACAACATTACGCACGGTCCCATCATGAAAAGTGTTGAAGAACGTCCGATTCACGTCAAGATTTGCAGTACACGATGAGCAAGGCACCGAGGCACTTCTCGCATTCCATGCTCCGGATGGATAGTAGATCACAGAGGAAGCACTATCATCGACAGTAACTGCGGGAAATGTCAACAGGAATGAAAATCAATATGCAGTCAGGCAAGCACACCATTTACCATGACGGCTACCGGAGTAAAACAAGGTCCTGTTAATAGAACTGTCTATAGATGTCTTCGCTGACGGTTTTCGAATACTTTGGAAACGATCCACGCCAGCAATGGACTCGTGTTTATCGAACAGAGAGAGAATGAGGTGGAACGGTTCAACGAATTGAGTGCTCAATCAAGAAAACTCTAGAACGGCAAGCGATCACAGGGCGACATATTCAACGCACTATGAGCCGGGGAAAAGTGGGGTTAGAGCGGTATCGAGCTATCTTGCAGGATATCTGATGGAAACAGCAGCAACTGTAACTCGAAACGTGTTGCATCAGTCTGCATTGTCGCCACCGCGAATTTATGAAGAAAAAGAGATGCTACCAAGTTATGGCACTTGATCATTTTGTTACATGATGGTAAGAGAATTTTATCTGGCATATCTGGTATATTGCTGCATATTGAAAACCGAAAAAAGATGTGGGATACTAAACGAAACAGGCTTTTCGTGTTCTTGTGAACTCCGTTTGTGGATTAAGGTTATACAAGCGTATACGGATATCAGGCGGTCTCAACAATTGCCCACCGTTTGGGTCGGCGCCATCGAAATCCTGTCGAATGGAACCCTCGAACATGATGGTTTCCAGAATTCTCCACGATATCATCAAGAAGCGACAAAGTCTAAGCTATAGATGATATCTGTTTTCCAGAATACATAATTTATAGACACCGGATGCTAACGATTCATGATGGCGGGTTTGCGTTCCTTCACACGAAGGCTGGCGCCCCCTGCTTTAAGGTATCTGTCATCGTATGCTGGAGGCGATTCACCGTCTATCATCGAGAAGGAGGCAGAGGTCGAAGTGTTATGAGCGTCCGGATCCGGATGAATACCATGTGTTGGACCACTGGCAGAAGATATGTAGGCAGAGGAAGTGTTATGAACGTCGGGATCCGGTTGAATACCACTAACAGAAGACAGATAGGCAGAGGACTGTATTTGAGTTGGTGAATACGGATTATAGGGGTTGGCACCAGCTGAATCAGGATGTTCGAGTTCAGTGTTCAAGAGCTGTTGGCGCGAAGATAGTGCGGTACCGCCAGGCCCGAGTGATGCTGGGTGGTTCACCGTCCAAGCAGCAGCTACAGGTCCAGGAGAGTCTATGGTAGCTCTCTGCCCTTGTGGCTGTTGTCGTTTCCTTCGCTTGAGGAAGAAACATATTCCAAGTGCAGCAAGTAGAAGAACCACAATAGGCACTGCAACTGCGGGGCCTATTACGGCTCCCATGTTCTTCTTGGCCGAGTTCGCGTCGTCGACTCTAGCCGGAGAGCTCTGAGAAGCAGAAGATGATGCACTGGTTATTGTTGTAGAGGACTGTGAAGAAGAGGATGTGGAAGAAATATCGTCGACAGTTCTAGGAAGTCCATGAATACCAGATTGGCAGAAAAGCACAGTTCGAGAACGTACGTATAAACGATTTCGTCTAGAAGCACTAAGGACTTGGTACCATTGACATGCCCATTTTGAAGGGTGAAGTTGTGCATTCCAACAGAAAGAGAATCGATTGAAAACACGGGAATGGCGTAGTCATATACATTGTTATTGCCTGGGGCAGTCTTCACGAAGGTACCCTTAAGAGACCCATCGATGTAAAAGGACATGTCAGAATCTCCGTCGGGAGAAGTTGAGCTCTCTGCGAGTGCACAGTAAACATATACGGCAGTTCCTAAAATCGATGCTGTGAGTAGGTTGTCAGGCATCATATCCCAGCAAGGTCAAGTTTTACCATTGAACACTATGCTGGCCGTGAGGGGAACGTTCGGATAGTTGTTACTTCCAGAAAGAGGATTGAACTGCAAGGCAGAATAAGTCAATTTGATCTTTGAGCTGTCTTATAACTGGATCACATACAGTTCCATCATGAAAAGTATTGTCGAACATCCTATCCGCGTCGGGATTTGCAGTACACGTTGAGCAAGGGTCCGAAGCACTCCTCGCATTCCAAGCCCCAGAGGGGTAGTAAATCACAGAAGAAGCACTATCATCGACGGTCACTACAGGAGATGAGGGTTACTTATAAACTTGTATCTTGTAGTGATTGATTGAATAGCGTACCGTTTACCATGACGGGAACCTGATGGGGACCGGAGTCGAGCTGAGTCGAGCAGCTGATAGTAACTTGAAAGATTCGTGAGTGTTGCAAGCAAGCTGTTGAAGGAGACGAGAAATGAAAAGAGTGGATAAACAGGGATAGACCAGGATAGACAGTTCAATAGTTTTTTTGATGGTATAAGGTTAGATTGTTACACGGTAGGAAAGGGTAGGCAACGTTAACGATATGACAAGCATCGAGAAGATCTATATCATTTAGACAGATTTAGACAAAGCTGTTGAGAATCTTGGGATTGAAGGCAAACTTGGGATTTATGTATCATGGATCGCGTTTCATAGCGAGTTGCACGACTCTTTTATTGAATGAGATGCTTGCTGACGGTACTTAGCGGTCAGAGGAGATTTTTGGAGTTGGACCAGAGCCTGCTAGATCAGCAGTCTGGGAGTCAAGCCGACTGCCGGTGTCCCACGATATCTCACGAAGAAAAAAATGATCAGGCCATTTTGGATTTACGAATTTCACACAAAAGCATACATCCCGCAAAAATCCAACTTTCTTTACAAGTTCAACCACGGTCAAACGATGACTGTTCACGAACGTTCTGCAGTGGCTTCAATGCCTTCATCCACTGCTGAGGCTCTCTACAAGCTTCCTTCCACACTCCTTCCCTTTTCTGTCGAAAGTCCTTCTTGGTGGTACACGACCGCGGCTATCCTTGTCACTATTCTTGTTCTAGAGCAAACTGTATATCGATACAAAAAGCGTCATCTTCCTGGGGACAAATGGACTATACCCCTCATTGGCAAGTTTGCCGATTCCATGAAGCCCACAATGGAAGGATATCAGAAGCAATGGCAGTCTGGCGCACTGAGTGCTCTCAGTGTTTTCAACATGTGCGTTCAGGACTAATTTCATTATCATCATTCACGCTCAATGACGCGATCTCCAGCTTCATCGTTATGGCTTCCTCTAATGAATATTCGCGCAAGATTCTCAACTCTCCGACACATGCTGAGCCTTGCTTGGTGCACTCTGCAAAAGCCATCCTGCGGCCAGAAAACTGGTACGATGATCCACTTCCTTACTTGGAAAAATGAGCTCACACTATTCCTGTCCAGGGTTTTCCTTACCGGAAAAGAGCACGTTGATTACCGTCGTTGCTTGAATATGCTATTCACTCGCAGAGCCATTGGGTAAGGCAAATTGAGTGGGTCCGGGCTTGCGCAGTACTGAGATTCGTTTTCAGCATGTATATTGGCATCCAGGACACTATCACGCGTGAACATTTCATGACATGGGCAGCAAAGGATTCCAACGGAAAACCCGTTGCTCAACCCATTATGATGATTGCCCGCTACCTGAACATGGATACTTCTCTTCGTGTATTCTGCGGAAACCATATCCCTCCACATGCTACCAAGGAAATCAGTGACAAGTACTGGGCTGTGACGCAGGCGCTTGAACTTGTCAACTTCCCCTTTGCTTTACCCGGCACAAAAGTATATAAGGCTAAGCAGGCTGCTAAAGTAGCCATGGATTGGTTAACACTTGCTGCGCGTAACAGTAAAATCGCCATCGCCAACGGTGCTGAGCCCGAATGCTTGATTGACGAGTGGATGCGGATTTGCGCCGACCCCACTTACAAAGGCAGGAGGGATTTTAGTGACGATGAGATTGCTATGGTTGTCTTCTCGTTCTTGTTTGCTTCTCAGGACGCTATGAGTAGTGGACTCATATTCGGCTTCCAACACCTCGCAGACCATCCCGAAATACTTGCCAAAGTGCGTGAAGAACAGGAACGCGTTCGTCAGGGCAACTTCGACTCCCCCTTGACTCTTGAGTTGATGGATCAGATGCCGTACCTGCAAGCTGTCGTGAAGGAGAGCCTAAGAGTCAAACCTCCGGTCACCATGGTTTGTTGTCTTCGTGTCAGCGCTTGAATTCGTGCTGACGTAATGCTTACTAGGTTCCTTACAAGACGACCAAGGCATTCCCTATAAGCCAAGACTATACTGTTCCTGCCAACAGTATGGTAATCCCTTCATTCTATAACTCTCTGCATGATCCCGAAGTATTCCCTCGACCGGATGAGTTCCAGCCCGACCGTTGGTTAGACCCCAACAGCTCCGCCAACACCAACCCCAAAAACTATCTGGTGTGGGGTAGCGGCCCTCATCGTTGTATCGGCGTCGAATATGCTATGATGAACATGGCTCTTGTTCTTGCTACTGCTGCTGTCATGTTCGACTGGGAGCACGAGATAACACCACAGAGCTATGAGATTGAGTACGTGATTCTCATCCTATTTTAGGAAAATGAGCGCTGACTATCGTCACAACAGCATCATCGCCACCTTGTTCCCCAGAGACGGATGCAGACTCACACTTACTCCTCGTGCTCACGCATAATTCGAAGTCACAAAAAACAATTATAGAGGTTTGTACTTATTGTCGTATCTTTAATGTGTGGAACTCTTAATATACCTGTTACAATCGAATTGATTCCTGTGGATATAATTCTTAAATCTGCAACCGGTAGACAGATTAGCTGCAAAGCTTTCTGGATTTTTCTGTCCAGACATGGTATGTACCAAGCTCCCAGTCTGAGTAAGGAACTGTATAAGAATGTATTATTTCACAAAAAAAAAATCTTAGCTCGTGCGGACTAAAATTTGAAATTACTCAATTCGTCAATAAGATTCTCCATTTCACAAGTGTAAGCTCACCAGTCTGAGCACTGGCAACCCATATCTATGGAATCAAGGAGTCAGAAGGACTGTTTAAATATATCATGCATACATCAAGGTTTTCAAGAAAAATGTCCGGATTTTGCCCTGGGTTGGAGCTCAAAAAAATTAAATATTTGTCCGGATCGATGCCCAAGTTTGTATAATACAGTATTCACGTATGATACAATCGTTGCCACATATATAATAGTGGCAAGTAAAGTCTAAACCTTTCGAACAATCAACGGGAGAGAACTAGGACCTTGACCTTTAATGCGCGGTCGAATAACGAAGCTCTGGAATGCTTCAATCTCATAGGGGCATGTGAAGGAGAATTGACGGAGCAACGTGATAATAAGTGACTGCAAGTTGGAGGTGGAGTAACTAAGCTTTTTGTGGGCATGCATATTACAAGGGTGAAAGCCTTACCTTAATCTCACATAAGGCAAAATTTTTTCCAATGCATGAGCGGGGACTGTCAATTTGCGTGTCAGCTTCTCTTACAGGTTGTCAGTGGGTAAAGCTTAGTTGCACACACCCTTCGCTGAATGCGAGAATTTCGCGTTCATGGCGGAGACCCTGTTTCTTGCGTTCGAACCAGCGCTCAGGGCGGAATATTTCAGCGTCGGAACCCCAGACATCGGGATCAGTCTGCACGACATTGACTGGTATCTCAAGTATGGTTCCTTTCGGAATTACCAGGTATGTGTCGGAGGTTCCTGCGATGGGCTCTGAAAGAGGTACACTGATAGTCTCTGCCGCCTACAGATATGTAGATGATCAGATGGAAACTAAAAACAGCCTGAGAGAAAAGTGACCTACCTCGTGATGGTTCTCTAAAATCGGAGGATGTAGTCTTAGAACCTCGCGCAGGACCGCATCAAGTAGAGGGAGGTTGGAAGTAAGGTCATCGTAAGAGGGATCTCCGAGCCCTGCGGCTGTAACTTCCTCGCGAAGTTCGTTTTGAAGACGGACATTGAGAGAAAGTTCGTAGAGTGTCCACTATAAATGATGTTAACAGTCTGAACGATGTATATGACATAGTATAACCCTCACAGCGATAATTGCAGAAACAGGTTCAAAGGCAGCTGAGATCGTGGTTCTCATCTGCGCCACTAATTCTTCCTCATTCATCTTATGCGTTGGGAATTTGGCTTCGTTGCGCACTGTATAAATTTAGTAGGAAACGAGGAGAATATGCGGTATCTCTTACATATGATGGACATGAGATTTTTGCCGTTGAGATCGCCAGCCACCTTAGCGTCTCTCCACATTTTCGATGCGATGTTCCCCAGCTCCAACTTGGATTTTCTGATCATCTCACCTTTGTCACCAATCGACAAGATAGCAGGGAAAATCCAAAAGAGGGCTCGCATATAAAAAGAGGAAGTTTTGTTTTCGTTGTTGGTAAGTCCATCCATCGATTCTGCAAGAGCATGTGGTCCCCCGGAAAGACAGTCAAAATCGTACGAAAACGCGGCACAACCAACAGTATCTAGTCTATGTGATACAGTCTGTTCAGCTCGAAGAGAAAGGACATGGAATGCGGATACTCACGCGAAGCGGCCTGCCCACTTGGTGACCTCGATCTCAACTTCATCCGAACGACTGTTGTCGATGACTTTCATCCATTGGGCAGCCAATTTGGCTGATGTATCATAAAAGATCGGGACCAGGTTTCGCACGGACCTTTGACTGGGCGGCGGATGTTAGGAAAGTGAAATAAAATGGTAAATCCTAACTCACCTTAGCGCGGGGGCCAGAACTCTTCGTTGTCTTTCGTGTGCCTCTTTGCCTGGACGTGAGCTCGATTAAATTACACATGAAACGAGCAAACAAGTCAAACCTTCGACCCATAGAATTCCTTCGCCTAAGGTTGCCTTAAACCAAGCTCGTACGCCTTTTGGTTTGGGAAATTCGAAAATAGCTTCACTGAGAATATATTTAATAGCTCTGGGATCGGTAATGGACAAGACTTGATGCTGTGGGGAATCAGACAAAAGCGCTCACGGAAGGCTAGAAGAACAAACCCCAAATGCACCGGTGAACCTGAGTACTTTTCCGTATTGTTGGTGCCAACGGACATAATAGGAACCTGGAGTGCTGTGATAGAGGAGCCATTCCTCTCCCCATATGAAAGACGAAGGACGTGGTCCAGGAACATGTTGGAGAGCAAGATTAGTGGAAACGAGGTGCTCTACAAACCTGCAGAAAAGGTACGTAGTAACTGCACCAAGTACGAGTGCAGGGTAGAGTAGAGGAGGGATCATAGCGTCGAGTTGGGAAAAAAAGATGATAGTGATATTTCTCTCTTTCAGTCTTCTTATATAGATATCAAGTAAGGCTATGTGGAGCGACGGGATGCGGGTAAAGCAGCTGAGAAACAGGTCAGAAGAGAGATATTGTGGATTCTTTTTTCAGGATCTTAATCGGACGAGTTGGAATCGGATTCCGACGCCTGAATCCGGAAGTGAACAACTTTGAATGCGCTCTGCGGAGGATCACTGCGAACCTTCTGCGTCCTGAATGACTTCCTTGTTTCGTAAATAGCGAGACTTTCCGTCTCAGTATGCACTTACATACCAACTCTGAATTGAGATGAAATCGGTACGCTAGGCCGACGGTCTTCATACAACGGCTCCGAGAAGACCTGATTCATGCAGTGGCAACATTTGGAATCTGGCTGAAGCCAACCTAAAATCAATCACCTAATCATCAGTTTGAACCTTGAAGCTTGAAGCTTGAAGCTCCAATTTAGAACAGATTTAGAAAAAGGCTGGTCTTACCAGTGAAAGAGCATCAAGCTAGATGTGGTTCCTTGATTATCTTGGTCGTAATTTGGTTGTTCGTTCCCGCGGAATTAGTATGAACACAAGACGCTGAAATAATTGATATTCGTGACAGAGAGCAGCGTTTTTTCTCAAGGATTTCGATTGTGACGTATCTATTAGAGCTTTCCGATAAAATTCACGGATCAGTGAGAGCGTTTAGATTGGCTTACCGTCAGTCTTCGATGTCGTTGATATTAGTTCATACCTCTTCTGAACAGGACGTCGGTGAGCAGCTACCGAGAACGGTTCGTTAGCGACCACATATGCTTAAGATGGACGACAACATCGCTTGTCAATCTCAGGATTCGGATTCAGTTCACCGATGTTCACCATCTATGGAAGACTTGAAGACGCCAAATTTATACCGAATTCGTTAAATTTTGTTTCAAGCCAAGCGATATACTAGCCCCGGAGGCTTTAGTTGCGATCAATAAGAGATCATCGTTTGCCGGTCAGTGAGAGTCCGGGGAAGGAAGGATTTTCAGCATTGTAGATGTTGTACATATGGCGGAGAATCATGTTGTCGAGGTTTTCAAGTTCTATCAAGTAAATGAACCACCCCTTGTAGAAATCCTGGGATGTATAGAGATTCCGGGTAGGAAGAGTATAATCCGGGATCCATATATTTCCATTAACAAAGCAATGGTCAACGATTGGGAGGATAGTCAGAGGACTAGCCTCTCGCCCCTGTCACCAAGCTCTAGGCTTGAAATTGGGCCGTTCCCACGCATGTCTGTGAGGTCGTCCATAGCGAACTAGTAATGGAGGACTGCGACACCGACGTAAAGTCAAGTGCCCCGCGAAATTCAACGGGGCGAGTCTGTCCTGCACCTGTGCTCGACAAATACGAGAACGATGAAAGCGAAACAAAAGGAATAGATCCAACCAAGTACAGATGATAACTGTACGCCAAGGTACGCCGATATCGAGTCAAAAAGCTGAGCGTTCAATTATATGCATAGTATAGCTCCGGTAGATACCTATACGAGAGCACCGACGTAGAGTCTGGTGTTTTCGGGAAGGGCAGAAGTAGACATTTTCTTGAAGAACAAGTCCGAAGCCTTTAGCGCCCATCTTGATAAACCGCCAAGCGCTAATCATGAACATTACTAATCCGGCGCTCATCGCGGTCTTGAGCAAAATTGCCACGACGTCGCGCTGCTTTTTATTTGGCACAGGGTCTGTTATACATACCATTTCTTTTCCAACATTGTATGTCCGCGCGTCGCAACAAGTCCAAGTCTTCAAAGGCAAAGAAAGTCAAAGAATTCACGCCAGTCGTAGATCAGGTTATGCGGAAATCGTCCAGTGACGAATCTATGGCGGTCTCCTCTTCCCTTAATACCTCCATTCCTAGAACACCTATCACCTCTCGAACTCCGGTTTCCAGTCGCATGGCTATGCTTGAGGATGGAGATGAAGAGCTGGAGCTGAATTTGCTGGGTGATCAGGAGCGGCGTGAGGCCAGGCAGGGACTGGAGCAAGAGGAGGAGGCAGAGGAATTAACGGAGCATGCCAAACGACCCATATCCTCCAAGGACAAACGTGCCATGGTTCTGTTGTGTGTTCTCTGTGGGTAGTCTCCATATATGATCTCGATTTAGTATTCAACGCCACATTGTTTCCTAGACCTTATACAAGGAGTACCCGTACGTTCTCATGTGGTAAGATAAAATATCAACTAACGCAGCTGTTTTTTTGCTAGTTGGGACTTGCACTTGGTGACTAAAATCTTGATTAATTTCTGGCTAATGCTGATTCTCGTTTGACAGGTTCTGTTCCGTTCCTACTAAAAGACCATCTTTCCTATTCCCAACTCGCCACCTTCGCTCTTTCCAGCTATCCATATTCTCTGAAACTACTTTGGTCTCCGATCGTTGATTCAATCTTCTCTCCTTACGTCGGACGTCGGAAATCATGGATCATCCCGATGCAACTCACTGTCGGCTCTGTAATGCTATACATGTCGCTGAATGTGCAGCGGCTTATGGACAATGTATGATTCCCTCCTACGGCTATCAGACTCAACTAACTTAGAATATTTTCTAGCCTGAAAACCACGTCAATGAACTCACTTTCGTTTTCACATCGCTCGTTCTCATCTCAGCCACTCAAGATATTGCGGTGGATGGTATGTCAATTTCAAAAGCCGTGATCTAGCTTGCCTTATGTCAATTTAGGCTGGGCTCTGACCCTTCTATCGCATGAAAATTTATCCTACGCGTCTACATGCCAGACTATCGGCCTTAACACGGGCTATTTCGCCTCCTTTACTGTTTTCCTTGCGTTCAATAGCGTCGAATTCAGGTTTGTTGATTCTAGTCTATAAGATGGCACCCGGTGCTGAATGCTCAACTTCTTCCAGCGAAAAATGGGGCGTGCCGCATCTGACATTGAGCGGGTATCTCAGGTTTTGGTCGATAGCATGCTATCTAGTCACGTTTTGGTTACTGTTCTTCAAAAAAGAGGTTCCGAATTGTCCTTTCGATCCTCCGGTTTTGAGCACTGAATCAATACGCAATATAGGATAAGGAAGTTGCAACTGAGGCAGATTTGAGCATTAAAGGTGTTTATAAGACTATTTGGGCTATCTGCAAACTCAAACGTAAGCCTCTCCAGTTATGGTGCACAAGCATTTTGACTCCTTTCACAGATGTTCAATCTCTCATCGTCATACATTTTTTCGGGAAACTTGGATTTGCTGCTAACGAGGCCGCGACCTCATTGAAAATGGTTGAAAAAGGATTCAAACGGGAGGATTTGGCCATTGCAGTCCTGATTGATTTTCCTTTCCAAATCATTGGCGGATATCTTGCTGCCAGTTGGTCTCGGGGTGATCGCCCTCTACGTCCGTGGATTTGGGCCTTTTGGCCTCGTCTTGGATTTGGTCTGATGGCTACTTTCATCGTGTACTACTTCCCGAAAACACCCATCTCTACTGGATTTTTCGTGTTCTTGATTGTTCATACTGTGTTTTCGTCGTTCTCTTCGTACGTGTTGGCAGTCATTCCTTCAAGAATATGTTTGCTGAATGGCCTAATATCCAGGACTGTCCAGTTCGTAGGCATCTCTGCTTTCCACACCCGCATCTCTGATCCCCTTATTGGAGGAACGTATATGACGGTAAGTTAACGTGCATTCTGTCGTTTGCATCATTAATCAGTGCTGTGTCTCTAGTTACTCAATACTTTCACTAATCTGGGAGGGACGTGGCCAAAATGGTTCATTCTCAAAGGTGGTTGATGTTGTGCTATAAAGTGATGTCAAACCTCAAACCCTTATACATAGGCGTTGATGCTCTAAGCGTCGCAACTTGCAAAGTGACCGAAGCAGGGACAGAGCTTGCTGTCAAAGGTAGGGAATATATCTATCTCTGGTCCCATTTGCTTACAGTGATTTCAGCTTCTGAATGTGTATCTGAACATGGTCAAGCGACCTGTCGCGAGATAGGAGGGACTTGTGTTACGGAAACTGACGGTTACTATATCATATCTGCCGCTTGCTTTATATTTGGGATAGTTTTCCTGGTTGCCTACATCATTCCCACTGCAAAGAAACTCCAAGGTGAGAACTTTTTGGTTGGCTGTAGGTGGATCGAGAACTAATTATATCGTAGAATTGCCGCCTTTGGCTTGGAGGGTCAAGTTGTCATAGGACTTGAACCTTGTAAGTAATGTACATAGTCATTATTATTTTAACATACGTAGTTATAACTTAAGACTAACGTTACGAACGTCGGAAATGGGGTGGAGGGGACGTACTGAAGTAGATGATGTAATTTTATCTCACGGATCAGTGCATAGATACGTCTGCACGTGTCTGTAAGCACAACTCTCAAAGAATTTTTAAAGCTTACAACTCGAGCTGCCGAACTCTTGATATTTGCAAAGTAATCAGCAACCTATTGTCGTCTCTGCACTGCAAAATGTCTACTACTACCATGCATTTTGGACCGGAATGGATGCGCACAAAACCTCAACCAGCATCGAGAATTCAGTCTCCTCCATCTCCTCCCCCTCCAAACGCCTCGGGGCATACCGCGTCTACATATTCCTCTCTTCTTACTACAACTGTGGCCGCGCCTGCGGAAAATAAAGATGAGGCTCATCCATTCCGATATACCAAAGAGGAAATGCTGCGAATCTACCGAGAAGGGGGCGGTAAAGGTGGACTTGGTTTGGAAGTGGAAAGATGGGATGGTGTGGTGAGAGAGACCGTAACTGATCCCATCGGATTGAAGGAAATTGGTGAAGCGGAGAAGAAGGTGACTGAGAAATGATTTTTTCACTCTATCCAAGCTCATAACATGTGTAGCTCTTTGCCACGCCACTCAACTCAGATCTCCGGCGTCGACAATCAACCGATTATTTGCATCTTAATACCCAAAACCTTGAGCGGCCTCGTTTGAGTCACGCAAATACAGCTTCTGCTACAGGAAGTCCCCTCAGAGAACGCTTCGGTTCCCTTATGACGCGTAGAAGAGACAGTACCGGTTAGTCTTCCGACTTTTTTTCCTGAGTTTTTTGAAAAAAATTAAATATTTCTAAGATCAACCTCCAACGCTCCCCAGAAGACTTTCTTTGACCAGTCAAACTTCCAATCCCAATCCCCGTGAATCCGGTATGCCTTCGCCTTCGCCTCGCGGTCGTCTTGGTCACACGCCTGGTTTCGATGGTGTATTGAACGGAGGCGAATCTTGGGTAGCTCGTCGGCGTGCTTCGGAAGGTCTTCTTCCCAAGATTCCGGCTAATTCCGCTCGAGATCCAGGCGAGGACTCCAAAGAACTTGAAATACGGGAAGAGGACGAAGAGAACCATCTAGACTCTAACCCTGAACCAGATCCTCAACGCGGTTCAAAAGCCACAGACCAGTTGGCTGGTGGCCTTGCAATGCAGAAGCCTGACAAAATTGAGTCTGGCGCTGCTCTCGATGTTCCCGCGACGTTGAGCGTCTCGAATTCTCCCGCCAGTACTTCTGCTTCCATTGGCCTGCCTCCTGGAATCGTCGACTTGTCTAGCGTAGAATGGTCGTATCTTGATCCCCAAGGTCAAGTTCAAGGTATATTGATCGATTTCCTTCATACTATTCAATCATATAACAAGTACATCAGGTCCATTCCAAGCAAGTGTGATGCAGAAATGGGGCGACGGCGGTTTCTTTTCTGATGAGCTGCTTATGAAACGAACCTACATTGATAATGATTGGATACCTATGGGTGATTTGAAACGACTTGTTGGCAGCACCGACAAAGTATTTCTCACACCAATCCCACTTTATGGACCTCCTGGCTTAATACGCCGAACCGACTCTCCCTTTTCCAACCTCAATCCCAATCCAAATGAAGGAGGATATCATAATGGACCATTACAACCTTCACCCGTACGCACACTTCGCAATTCGACCCTGGATTCGTTTAGTTCAAATTACTCCGATTCTCCGACTTCTTCCTTCGGTGCTGCTGGGAGGTTTGGTGACGGCTCTCCTGACCCTGCGGCTTTCGGAGGACGTGCCGCGCCTCAGTATGTTTTGCCAGGCGAGATGGGGTCCCGTTTCAATGGCTATCCTGGCGAGGCGTCCCCTGCTCTTTCTGGCAGGTCTGGTTTTGCAGCTCCAGCAAACGACTACCGTTCACCAGGATTCAGCAACGTTACTCCAGGAAGAGCCAATTCACTAGATGTAAATCCTGGTTTCGCCTCGCCTGCTACTTCTTGGTCAGGCTTTGACGGTATGGCCAATGGGAGAGGAGGCTCTATCGATTCATCGATATATCACCCTGGACATCCAAACGCAGGAATGTCATCTCCCTTTGGCAACAACGGGTTTCAAACATCATTTGGTACACAAAATCACCCGTCATTAGGAATGGGGGGTTTAGCTTTCGAGCAATATCCTCCTTCTCCCTCCGTGCAGTTCACTGATACCTCTGTCATGCCAAATGCTGTTCCCGACATATTTGACCATAACCAGCTACAGCAGACTCCTGCACGTCCCAGTCAACCATCCACTAATTCCAGTGCTGCTGCATCTCCATGGGGTTCTGGAGACTCCAATATCAACAAGCGCAACGTTCAATTTGATACTACCCCCGCAAAGCCGCCTGCTGTAAACAATCAATCACCTTGGGGTACAGGCCGGGTATCCCGATCCAGCTCGCAAGCAAACGATCTTTCACCTTGGCTCGCAGCTTCCAAAGGCGTCACCGACAACTGGAAGGAAGAGCCATCCGTTATATCTGATCTCACTTCCAATAACCTAGGGCAGCATAATCGGGAGGAGAAGCAGCTGGAAGAAACCGCTGAAGACGTGACAGAAATTATCACTAGACCCAAAGCCAACATTGCAGAAACCCAAGCAGATCCGGTGTTAGCTCCTGCCGTTCCGCTGCCTACGCCATCACATACTAAAACGACGTCACGACAAGCTCAACAGGGCACTCAAGTCAAAGCTGCCACTACTGAACCTGTTCACGTAATCTCGGATATTCCTGAACCTCAGTCAGTGGTTTTACCCTCTGCTGCGCCCAAGGCTTGGGCGAAGGAGGAAGACTCTAAGAAGTCAGCTACTAGTCTCCGTAAGATACAGGATGCAGAAGCAAAAAAGGTTGAGGCACGAAAGACTGCTGAGAGGGAAAAGGAGCGTGCTGCTCGTGTGGCTACTCAATCCATAGTATCGCCTTCTCCGGAGGATGTTCAGACTTTCACAGCTTCCTGGGGTCTTCCGACTTCCAAAGCTGGTAAGGGTTCCGCTGCTGTCACCCCGAAAGAGTTTCTCCCACCCACTCCTGCGTCTGCGTCTGCCGCTCCACCCGTATGGTCGACTACTGCTGCGAAGCCTGTAGCAACGAAGAAGACAATGAAGGAGATTCAAGAAGAGGAGGAAAGGAGGAAGAAGACTGCTGCGAAAGAAACTGTTGCAAATGTTGCTAGTAGGAGGGCATATGCTGAGAGTACTTCCAAGGTCAGTGACTGCTCGACTTTTGTATGGAATACTTGACGAAACAGTACCACTCAGCCCTCTCCGACATCTGCTCCTGGCGCTAGTGCATGGACAACAGTTGGTCCTAGTGGAAAACAGACCCCTGTGGCTACTACCCCAACTCGTCCGCCAGCTACACCAACTGCTGCCGCCGCCGTTAGTACTACATCTATCACGCGTGTGAATGGCGCTGCGACTCGTCCAACTCCTACACCTGTCAGTAAAGCTCCCGTGAACAGTGCCAAGGTGGACGACTTCCCTATAGCACCGTCAACTGATTTCTTGAAGTGGCTTGCCGAATCGCTCAAAGGTCTGAACAACACCGTCAACGGTGAGTTATTCTATTTAGGATGCTTTTCTACTTACAATAACTATTATGTTTCTGGTTAGTTGAAGATATCATGTCTATGCTCCTGTCCTTTCCTATCGATCCTGATCCCTCAACGTCAGAAATTATTTCTGACCTCATCTACGCCAACACCACCACTCTCGATGGACGACGGTTCGCTGCAGACTTTTTGAGCAGACGAAAGGCAGATGCTGTGGCGCGAGCAAAGGCTGGTCCTGGAGCGGCCGCAACCAAGATGGTATCAATCGCGGATGTAGTGAAGGCCCAACCCAAGCCTCAGGCGCAATCGGAGTGGGGTGGGTTCAAGGTGGTGAATAAGAAGAAGAAGGGTGGTAGGTCATAAGTTGAGGTTAAGATAGTGATTTGATCTTGAGCTTGGATCTAAACGTTGTGATAAAGTAGTGTAGGTACATTGGGTTGAAAGTCGTCGTACCGATAGGGTTACAAAGACAGTTGAATAATGGCAGTAAGTCGACATACTGGTCCCTAGCATTACACCTTGAGGGATGGGAAACTTTGAACCCGGTGATGTGAGTTGAATTGTATGCAGACATTACATGGCGTTACGTTAACGTTTATACCGCATTTGCACCATCCTCCCTTATTGCGAGCGAAGCGAAGCAATACTGGCCATAGGGTGAAAAATTTCGTCAATTCTATATTCGCAAATCCCACGAGGTCACAGCCACCGCCGTTTTTGGTAATCCCCTGTAAATCCCTCGTCATCGAATTCAGTCGCGACGGTCTATCTTCCATTACCTTGTACTACAGTGTCTTGATAATTGTTTTACGGAGGTGCGCCAGCACCGACACCCCTCGAAACTAGAATTTCGAAGCGAGCACCACATGTGAGACGTACTTGAACGGACGAAGGAGGCTCACATGCGAATGCATGTTAACTACCTGCAGCTTCAAGCTTACATAGGCTCCAGGCCATGGAAATCTAGGAAAACACCAAATTGATCATGACATGAGCATTGAGCACTATTGAGCAACCCTCCGTCGCATCAAAAATTGTAATGGAAAAAGGGCATCGCAACGACAAAATCATTACGCTGGTTCGTTCACTTCAGTCACTTCATCACATCGCTGGTGCGTTGAATTTTCTACACGAATTTTCTCATCTTCCTTCGTACTTCAGTCACTTATGCTATCCCCTTCTACCCCCTTTCTATCGGCTTAAGTTTCGACTTGTTCGGATAGATTTTGCTGGCAAAATTAATCACGATTCACAATATCATCTCCGGTATGCGTTCATATTGTCCGAGTCATTACGATTAGCTTCCCACTCACCTCAATACATATAGCTTCCACCTCGTTCTATCCTGCCCTGTGTACTCGTGCGCGAACATGTATCCAATTTCATGCACATCTCCGAGACTATTATCGATATGTCTTGCCGTTCTTGTTCTCCTCGCCGTCAATGTTGTCGGCAGCCCAATTGGATCTCCCGTTTTGGCCTTGGCAAGTCCCTCTGTCACATTGACCTCTGTTCATCCATTGGCCTCCAACTCCCCCTGGAACTTGCATGCTGCGGTCACGCCAACTGGAATAGTAAAGGATGAGATCTACTTTTGGATGGATGGTGACAATGCCGAACTTTACATTGGCTCCAGACGTTTCGGCCTCAGTAATGGGCACGAACGTCTAGAGCCCAAAGAGGTTGGTATACCCCAGACTGGTACCAGGAAGATCGGTCAAGTCATCTATCCGAGCACCAATGTCAAAGAACAGGTCTTGCAAATTTTAGGAAAATGCGGGATCAGGATAACTACAAGTATAAAAGCAAGTCCCGTTCGAATTTGTAGGGGACATTACTTCCAGAACATTATTCAAAAACTGGTCAAAGTATCAGAGATGAACTCTTTAGAAGTAAAGGATGAGAATGGTGGGGGTGATCTGGACTCATTATTTACCAATTTGTTGCGAGATACAGGGTTTCTGGGAACCTCGAAGAAGACTGTGGAGAAGTCATATCGTTTTCGTCCTTACTAGCACCCTATAGTGTGTAATGATGGACCTTCTTGCTCCTAGTGCTATTTTCCTTGTGACAACATGAATGTAATAGAGCAAAGGTCAACCTGTTAAACATTGCAGTGACTTTGGTACACCTGGGTTCCATCCTTTACTAGGTGGCATACTTCAACCTCAGACAACCTTGGGCTTGAGATATTGATTTGTCTGTCAGTACATGAACATTTGAAACTCCAGTTGATCCTCAACACTACAAAAAATTGATTGCTTGTCCCCGCTTGGTCCAATGATTCGGATTGGCCATGCTAGGTTCAATTGACATCACAGGCGAAGGAAGCAAGTGGGCAGAGCAGAGCAACGCCCCAAGCGTAACTGAGCTATTGGCTGTGTATCGCACGGGTTAGTACTGCTAGTAAGAGAAAACTATTCAAGATGGTACGACAAAACAATAAAAGTAATCCGACCTGCCTGGTTCGAACAGGCGACCCCAAGATTAGATAACCAATTACAGTCTTGTGCTCTTCCAACTGAGCTAAGGTCGGATAATCAAGACCAAATGCGATACAATGTCATTGTATTTAGAGTAAGAGAAACTGGTCGGTGAGTAAGCGCTGAAAGGGCGCGAAAGTTCGAGAACATTTTCTTTCCCGACTTAGTCACTTACTAGAAAGTTCTCTCCACATCTCGAAATTTCCCGACGCGCGTCGCATACACGCGTACATTGTTCCATTATTCATCCTATGTTCCGAAATTGTATAAAAACCATGGGATTCTCCCCCTTCTATCTTTATCACTATCTTGCAATCTATTAACTAAACATGTATCGCTTCCAGCCTACATACATCTCATCTTTGCCCACCGATCTGGGCTACTCACGACCTCCATACTCTCGACAAAGGTACCTCAGTCCCTTTACTGAACAGCTCAGGGCTGCCGAGGCTCAACGAGAGGAGGAGGAACTCCTTCGCCGTCTGGAGGAGATTCAACTCCAGAAACAACAAGATCGCCTCCTTCGTCGTCGCTCCCCCTTCAGTGGCTACTCTCCCTATCACTCTAGCTACTTGGACGATGATGAACTCGAACGTTTCGCTGCTGTCCGTCGACCGCAGCAAGAGCTCGAGCTCGAATATATTCGTCGCAGGGAAGAAGAAGAGGCCAGACTTCTCGCCTTGAAGAGGAACGAAGAAGAGCTTAAGTTCCAACAGCTCAAACGTCTTCGAGAAGAAGAAGAGGCTCGTCTGGCTATCCTTCGCCGCGAAGCTGAGAAAGCCGAAGCTGCTCGGCAAACACGAGCGAAGAAGGTATGCGCAAATATACTCTCATATTGGCTTTTACCAAAAGTCTTACTGTATCTTCAGGTTTCGCCTTGTTATCCCCAAGATACTTCAGGCGTCCAGCTTTGCCAATTGTTCGGACCTCAAGCTCAACAATTGAAACAGGTATGTATATTATCGATCCTTAATTCCTCATCTGTGCTCAACGATCTTCTACAGAAGAAGCCTCATTCTATCCGACGACCCAGTTCTAATGTTAACAAGGAGCCATTAACCCTCGAACAATTATTTTCGGACTTCGTTCAACAAATAAACAATAAAGAGCCTGAACGCGAGCAGACTGTGAAGCCCAAGGAAGAGCCTAAGCAAGAGCCTAAGAGGCAGACTCCCTCTCCTGCCCGCGAATCCGTCCCGACTCCTCAAACACTCGAAGAAGTTCTTCGTTTGCTGTTTAACCCTCAACCTCAGGTTTCTAGTCCTGTGCCTGAGGAGAAAGTAGCATCTCCCCCCGTTCAGGTATGTCATATATCGTCCAATTTCAGCCCTGATACTATGATATTTATTGATACATTACAGGAAAAACCCAAAGCCATAGAGGTCGAGGCACCTCGCACAGTGTCTGATTCTGAAACTCGTCCAGTTTCCTCGCTCTCATTGAAGGAACAACTCGAGGCTCGTCTGAACAATGATCAGTCTAATGAGATCAAGGACACCATCCAGGCCGTCCTCGCTTCCTTGGCTCACGCTCAACCAACCCCCACCACAGCTCCTGTCACTTCTTCCCCTTCCGTTAGCAGCCACAAAGGCAAAGAAAAAGCCTCTGAGCCTCAGCCCGAGGTTAAGCCTACTCCTGGCGCCGCTCACAAGGCTCTCGAGTCTGTCAGGAATATTGAAGCTAGTCTCACTGCGCTGCAGGACGAGTTCGAATTCCCCTCCGAAGTCGACTTCTCTCCCGCCCCTTCGAGGTCCTCATCTCCTGTCCGCGACGATATTTCCGAATCCGACACATTGACTCTTAGAAAGCTAGCTTACACCGCTCGTAATCATCCCATTCGATCTTACGAGCAGGCTCTTTCCAGACTTCTTGTCCAGCTCGATGAGATTGAGAGTCATGGGAATGCCGATGTGCGGATCAGTCGGAAGGCTGTCGTGGCTCGTGTCGAAGGGGCCTTGGAAGAACTGGAACAGAAAGTCGAGTCAAGGTGGAATAAGTGGAATAAGAGTCACCGTGTCGAAAGGGAAGAAGAGGTAGAGGAGGTTCAGAAGAAGGTCGAGGATGCTGCAGAGTCTTCGCAGGAAAATCAAGCAGCATCTGCTCCGGATGACGTTGTCGCCGTGCAAGCCGCCGTTGAACTTGCCACCGATCTCACCACTGCATCACCTTCTTCTCCTGCCTCTCCCTCGGCTGTTCATGTCTCTGCCGATGACGTTTCACAGCGTCCTTCATATACGGAGGTCGCGAAACATCATCTATCCGAAGCTTCTCTACCTGCAGCAGATTCATCTTCCACTGATCCCGACGCCCTTCCCCCTGTCGAGGTAACCGAACACATCGAAAACTCTTCTTCTGTGGAAGCTTCTGACCACCAAGTTGAAAGACACTCACAAGAAGAGGTTGTTCCCTCCGATGCCAACGTCGAAGCGTCTGTCGTCGAACCGGTTCACCGGGCGGAGGACAATGTCACCGGCATCGAAGCTCAAGCTGAAACATTGACAGAACCAGAAGTTCCTGCTTCTTCGTACCCTCCTACATCCAACTCTTCCGAACCGTCATCCTACCCACCTGTTAGCTCCGCTTCCACTGTCGCCCCCATTCGACCTCCGGAAACGCAAGCTGTTTCTGACTCTGACGACATCACGGAAGATTTATCTTCATCTGCTGAAATCTCAGAAGATGTTCATCCTGTCGTCATTAGTGAGGAATCTGAAGCTGAAGTCGTCGACACATTTTTACTTCCTGAGGATAATGCCTCTGACGTTGCTTCAAAGCAATCGCCACACGACTTGGAGGATGTGGGAAGTGATTGGTCGGAGGTCGATGCGTAGGAGTCTCATTTAATTCTTAGTTTATCGCGTATACTATCCGGACTTCATCTATCTCATTGTGGTCCCTGAATAAACAAGACCTTGCATTGTACTACTACTCATTACTCTTGTACTGTATCTGTAACAGATATAATAAAATAGAAATTCTTTGACTTGCCTACTTCACGAAGCTTAGCACAACAAATCCTTACCATCCCTTGCGCCGGTACCTTCTTCATCAGTTTGCCACTGGTATGCAGCTAGAGTTCTTGCTGGCAGGCTCTACATTCAATTTGACGGACAGCCAGATGATTTTGTTGCTATACTTCCAGCTGCCTAGGATCTAACCTTAAACCTCAAAAGGCAAGCCCTGGCAAGCCTACCAAGTTATGAACAGTTGTCAACCTTCATTTTACATATTCATCTTTATAGTCAGTGTTGTTCCTGCCCTGTTGGCTTTTTCTTCTCATAGTCCTTGTGGTTTAAACCTCTTAGACTCGAACCAGTCTGCTGCTGAGAAGTGATATGCAGAATCACTGACACCTTTGAGTGCCAGTTTCCAAAGTGTCAACATCCGAAGCTACTGGTTCGAGTCTATGAACCTCTCGTTCTCAATATTACAGTGCCATGCAAATATTACACTATCATGTAAAATTACAAAGAATCCAAATATCTATGCAACCATTTCACGATTGATATTGGTAGATCTTCACACTCTTGACTTCCCAATCTACAGCACGAGCAATTAGCGCACGATCTTGGAAAGAAAAAGACCGTTGAGACGTACAAGCCTCAGTGAAAGCAGATCCTTCGGCCATGACGAAGGCCTCACAGGTTGGATAACCCGTACTTTGAGCACAACTTTGTTCCTGACCGGGAATTCCAGAATCAGTCCACACCGAGCCGGCCCAGTCACCGCTGACAAAACGGAATAAGCATTTCATGTTAATGGAGTATCGGTTTGGGGAAGACGCTTACCAGAAAGTAGTATCAAAGATAGCTGAATGGTCATGAAAGAATGTATTCGGGTTACAACCACTTGAGGACCACTGGGCAAAAGGAGTTCCCCAGGTAGCGAGGGAAGGATTTGGTGTCCCAGCAAGGACATCGCTTGGTACCTGGCCTGCAGGCCAGAAGTGTATGCTGACACCTGTGTCGTCTAACTTGCCTATAACGAAGGTATCGCATCGTAAACGTTACCTTACCGAAGGTCAACTTGTAACTCACTGGCATACACCCCTCCACCATTTTTATTGAACGCAGCACCGAAAGATACATCTGACGACGAACGAACACCGCATCCCTGCGAGGTTTTGTCAATCATGTGTCCAAGAAAACCTGAACGAACCAACCTGATTGTTTGTTTCTGCAGCAGCACAGTTAGTACCACCAACAATAGTACCTGTAATACCAAGGACGGTGGAATTCGACGATGAAATCGTGCAGCCTGGGTTGGTGTGTATAGTGGCTTGATTGTTGGTGTATGTGTTTACACCCTCGACTATATCTGCAGCAAATGGATATTAAGGAAACTGGGTTGTGATGGAATCGCAGTAGTCAAACCTATTTCACCACCAGCTGGCCAGTTGGGGCCTTGAGAAGCACGGACGAGTGAGCAAAAAAAGTATGGGCAGGGTATCATTGGCCTTACCGTTTGTCCAAAAAGCTCTAGGAAGAACAGGTGTAAAGAATCGTGAAGGATTATATTCAAGTGGCGTAAACTTACGGCCAAGTTCCACATCCAGTTGGCATATGGAGGGCATCCAGTATCCAGATTCCCTGGTCATATTGCGAGCTTGTCGTAATTCGTACACTCTTTCGGTTGCTAGTCAGATTGTTGGTAGTGTCCACTGACATCACAGCATTTCCTGCAGAGTTGACATATGCTAAACCTGCACTGGTCTGTGTAGTAGTTTAGTTTAATCTTTGAAAAGATAATTGCTCGCTGTGTTGCTTACAGCATCGTTTTTATCCAAGTAATCCACGACGCCTACAAATATGATCATAATGAGCAAAGGAATGCTTATTTCAAGAAAGTTCGATTGATGTACCATGTGTGGGATCACTTCCAGTAAAAAAGGACCAGCCTTGGAAGAAATCGGATCCGTTCTAAAGAAATGAAAAAAGATGAGACCCAGCCGTTTGTTCACTATCGCGACGACCAACATGTGCTTCTATTAATTTCCAAGGCGTAGAAACTGCAGAAGTGGTGGGGCTTCCTGCAGCAGCGCTATTTGTTGATGTGCCTGTCCCTTGCGAATTCGTTCCAGTTGGACTGGAACTGTTATTGCCTTGTCCTCCATTTCCAGCTGCGGCACTAGATTTGCAATATACTGCTCTGCCGTCGTCTAGAGGTTGTTGAGATGGGTCCGACACCAAAACTGCGCCAAAGGCTAAGCGTAAATCTCGAGCAATGTTTCTCGTATGTCTAGCCGCTATCTGGTGGGTGTGTTGTACGACTCTGGAGAAGGCATTGCTAGAGTATACGCTGCGAACAAGTAATGCGTATTCCAGCAGTAAAAGAGTGAGGTAAATGGGTAAAGAGCGAATTAACACCATGGTGGTGAATTAGCACAGATGAAGTGAGATGAGCCGGTGGGTGGACGTTGTCGATATATATGGGAGAAACGCTGGCAAGGCGTGGCTGATCAGGATTCCTTAGGAGCTCTTTCCTCTAAATGGTGAAGTTGACAAGTTGATGGAGGTCGTAAGTTTTGGAGGCGAACTTGGAAAGTGGAAAACAAAAGATAATGTACCCCATTGTTCATTGATCCGGAGGAATGAATATTAAACGTGGCCAACAAAGGGGATTGATTAGAAAGAAGAGAGAGCCTTTGCAACAGTTTCTGTGTTTGCTGAAGACTATGCAACACAGTTCAACGTAGGTGTACCGTGTACATGGCGAAAGAGCGAAGAGGAGAGATTGAAACTGATTAAATACCATTTGGCGCCTGTCAGCTCGATTTTACGGACGGAGTCCTCGCATTCATACAAAATCATAATCATAACTATGTACACCAGGGAACCGCATGATAGCATCTGGAAAAGAAAGATACCTGATCGAAAGCTCTATATATACTAAACGGACAAAATTTGACACCAGTCGGGCCCAGTCCCAATGAGCGCAAACTTGAAGAATACGGAAGATAGACAGCAGTAGATATACGGTTACGAACTAAACGAGTGGGAACTGTTCGAGCAAGGTTAACGAAAGAGATACGACTAGTACTTAAGAGTTGACCACGCAATTTGTGACCTAACATAATGATATACCGAGAGTAAAGAAAAAACAAGAATACACCGCAGTCAAACCTCTGTACAAGTTGCTCACCGATGCGAACCCGGAGCGAAAGCTTCCCTCACACTGCGTCTTAGTTCCTCGTGATCTCGAGTTGAGCTGGCTACGGAAGATCCAGGTTGCATATGCGAAGGGGTCAGGCTGGAAGGAGCCATAGCTTCCAGGTCGCCATCCACATATTCCAGAATTCTGCGCGATAGAAGTTGAATTTCTCCTTGACCGTCATTTGTTTCGGTGTCATCATAGGAATGTGACCGATGTGAGCCGACTGAAGAAGATGGTGTTGAAGCTTGAGAGGTGGCGAGGTTGCGGATGTTAGGAACGAGAAGGGTAGAGCTTCGGATATTGCTGATAAGTTGAGGGTCTATTGACATATGAGAATCATCAATGGTTATTATGTACGGAAAGAACTGACCGCCAGAGTCAAGAAGCTGGACGATTGTCCATACGGCGATATGCTGGAAGGTTGCATCAGGACTGCTAAGGAAACGATAAAGATATCGGTGCATCCCGCCATCGGGTTTATCCCAAACATCATTAAACGCAGAATAATCATCATTAGCAGTGCGGCCATCTGGAAACATTGTCAAAATTTCTCTGTAAACATCGTCGAACTTTACTTACCTTTCGATGATAAGTTTCCGAGAGCAGCAGCGCTATTGCCCTGCACTTCCGAGCTCGGTGAATTGGTCAGGGGAATCAGAACCTCGCAAATTCCCATCTCGAGCAGTTGACCTTTAAGTTCATCTGCGAACAGTGTCAGGATTCTTGGTAGAATTTTTCGACAAGCGAACTTGCCACTCAATGCTAACACGGCTACACAAGCTGTCATCTCGCTCTGCACATTCATTGGAACTTCAAGGACCAACTCTTTGATAGACACCACAGCGCCGGCCTTGACTATCGCTGTCTTGTTCTTCTCTGAACTAGCTGCTAAATTTCGAAGGGTGGAAATAGCGTGACACTGGACTTCTTCATTATCTTTGAATGATAGAAGGTTGATAAGTGGTTGTAAGAAACCGGATTCAATGATCGGAGATTCGTTCTGAGGGTGTATGGACACATTGCGTACACATGCGGCAGACGAAAGAATGAGGGGAAGGTATGCGGATTGGAGGAGACGTAGCAAAGAAGATAGTCCGTCTGCACGAACGATTTCGAGCTGATATTTCTCTACAGAAAAATGAGGATACATATGAGATAGAAACAAAATAGAAACGGACCGTCACTGGCTAGATTACGAAGAGCAAGAGCAGCCTGACACTGGACCTTCAAGCTCGGGCTGTCCATCAACATTACCAGGCTTGTAACCAATTTGGGTTCAGTGTTGGCCAACTTCTTCCGATTTGCCCCTGTGAATACCCCATTTCGTCAGTGATACAAGCTAAGAACTCAGACACAACTTTACCATCTACGGCAATGTTGCTAAGTGCAGTTGTGCAGTAGTATTGAACGTCGGTGTCTGGTGAGTTCAGTAGGCTTACTAGCACGGGAATGGCCCCGGCATTTACAAGCTGTTGACGGTTCTCGTCTAAACACCTATTAGATGTCGCGACATCCTGTTGTGTGAAATGTGTAGTTACCAGAATGGGTCATATTGAGAAGAGCCCCAGTAGCATTTCTCTGTACACGCATATCCTTGGAACGGGCTAGACGAGTAAGGGGAACCAATGCACCAGACTTGGCAATCTTTGTTTTGTTATCGTCTAGTATTCATTGATGAGGTTGCTTTCTTGAAAAAAAGATTGTAGTTCATACCATGCGTTGCAAGGTTGGTGACGCAGCCGACAGCATTACACTGAACCTCAACATTGGGACTGAGCATTTGGCGAATTAGCGGTTCCAAACCACCGAGTTTAACGATCAAGAGCTTATTGTCGGCTAAAGAAGCATAAGAAGTCGTTTAGATTTATAGGAACATCGAGCGATTTGACCGGGGCTTACTGTTCACCGCAAGATTACCCAACGCCGCACTAGCCGCCCGCTGGACTTCGGTATCGTGACTGCTCAGCAAAAAAAGTATTGGGTCGAGAGTGTCCCGTCCAACGGGGCGCACTTCCTTTTCGGTAATTTCAGCAAAGGCCAGAGCTGCGCTGCGCTGAAGATCAACATTGTCGGAAAACGAAAGTGTGGTCAGTGCGGTAAGAGGAGAGCCGCTGAAAAAATTTGTAGTCGTCCGGTCTGCCAAGTATTATTGCCTTTCAGCATAGTATCATCAATCGAGAAAACAACTCACTCTCAAGATACTGAAGAAGATCTGCTACTGCCTCCCGCTCATTCTCCAGTAGCAAAGGCTCATACGCCTGAGACCTACGCGATCCAACTTGAAAGTCAAAAGAAAAGATTGAAGGAATGAAATATGGGGTTAGGAATGAACGAGAACCAAGAAGTTGAAAATCACACACAGCAAGAATCACAGCAGCTTGTAATATTCCCCATACTAGAGAAGCAGAATACACGACAGAATTAAGACAGGGCGAAATTTGAGAAATAGAACAGGTTGTTGGCGAGAGGTAGGGGCGAGAAAAGGCCAAACCACCTTCCAATTAACTTCCGAATGCTGCTTACGTCATCAATTAGTGCAGGGTTAAGGTTTATAAGATTCTCGCATGCGACTACGCAGGACTACGCCAACATATCATACAACGACATTCGTATATGTACAAGTAGAAATAGAAGACGAGGCGACTATATCATGACCCTTTCTGACCAACAAAAGAGAAGCTCCCAGCGGCAAACCAGCGTTCGTTTGCTTCCTTCACCCGTTGTGCTGCAGCAGCACGATTGGTCAATTCGAAACCTAGGGGATATCAATGATCACGCCATTTGAAAGATAGTATGGAGTAACCTTGAGCAGGAGTCACACTTAGTGAAGTCGCCGTTCCAGAAGACTGCGAACCTCCAGCTTGAGCCGCGCGAGTAAGCGCAGCCGTACGTAACTTGTTCACTCTTGACATCTTGGCTGTAAGATATTAGTGACAGACAGCAAAGAACTTTGAGAGCACGTGAAGTACCTTTGTTCCTTGAATCGCCCATACCTGCTCTGACTTTACCGGAACCAATCATTCCAAGTCCCTTCGTTTGGTCGAATGCACCGACTTCTTGTTCAGCCTCACCAAAAGCCATGCGGTTTTGCAATTTTCCCAGCTCTGTCTGGGCGTATGCTTCTTTGGCTTTACGGGCACTGCAAAATGAACCATCAAGCTCTGCGGTGCCAACACTGCATTCTATCTTACCGCTTTCCTCCGCGTCGCTTCTTTGGCCCATCATTGGGAATAGGTAGAGCCTTTACGACCTTGGCAGGCGGAGGCGCAGCGAGTCTATCGATATGTTTAAGGATTTTATCTCGCAGCTCTTCACCGAAAGAACCTGTGTTTTGTTGATGATAAAGTGTTCAAATACTAGAATTGATATCACGCACCATTTCGCTTCTGCCGTTCCAAGTCCATACGAGCAGCAAGGACGGCTTTTGCTCCCACAGTACGTTGAACCTTCAGTTGGTATTCCGGGGGAGTTTTAATTACCAACTCGGATTGAAATATGAAACCAGTATGCCGTTTCTGCGTGACAGACGAAAAACCTGCAGCGATTTTCTTTTGTGCACCAAGGAGCTGAGAGTCAAGATGAGAAGCGACCCAGGGACTGAAAAAGGTATCAATAACGAACAGGGACATTGCATGCAGGCATTTTCGCTATTCCACCCAGCCCGCCAGCGACACCAAGAAGCTTTGCAGCTGTCGTTGTACCTACGATTGCAGATAGATTCGGGGCAAGGATGTTCATTCGGGAGCTGACGTATAGAAAAATCTGAAAGTAGTTGACGACAAGAAAATGGAGTGATACTTGATATAGCACACACCTTTTTCCTAGCTTCTTCTAAACGGTCGGCCAGGTCGCAAGCTCGTTGGATCGCTTCCCACTCGGCTTCGGTAAGTTGCCGTCCTGACGTTGTGGTAGCTGTGACTACAACACTCATGATAATCGCAGGAGGTAAAACACCCGCCAAGTCAACTTTGGTGAGATCCTTGAAAGTCAATTCGACGACAGGTCACAAAGAAGAAAGTAAGGAGCATACCTCGCTGTTTCTTAACGCTCTGACAGAGCGTATGAACATCGTGGGGTCTGTTACCAATTGCTCCAGTTCCGGAAATTTAGGTGCATAATGGTCACGAATGAACTGAGAAGAGACGCAGAAGCATTTCAGAATTCACATAAGTAAGAAGTAACTGACAGTTCATTTGCCTTGTGCACCAAAAGTATCTCATTATCCACGTCGACAGAAAGGTTGTTAGCTTGAACAATGACATTATATTCCGGATTCATGTGAGCGGGGAGGGCCATGGATTCTGCAGAACTTGGCTTTGCCTGATATTTCTCGATGTCCTACAAGAATATGTCAGCATGCAATGAATAAACTGATAGTCAACAGACGAACCTTAATAATGTCCAGCATCTTCTTGCTGCCCTCAAGTTTCGCAATTTTACTAACGTCCGTTATACCTCCAAGATCCATAGCTTGCACATCTTCCGCGTCAAGCTCCTCTGCGGGCCTTATTCCCCCAGCGAGCACCATTCCTTCGGCTCCTTGATTCTCCCCCGTATCTCCTGCCTCATCGTCAGCCATTTCATCGTCAGAGCCTTCTGCTTTTCGTTTTCGAGTTGTTTCTGTTGAAGATCCGGCTTCATTCTCTTTGCTCTCCTCCTCGTTGTAGTCGTCCACATCGTCATCGAGACCGTCAAGATCAGCCAAAAGCTCGTCTGCTAGGCCACTCATTGTAACAAGGATTCTGAAGGAGAGAGAATGATTACTTACATAATTTGACAGCTAAATGAAATAAAAAAATCGGCGTCTAAAGACAAAAGCTCTTCCTGGTAATGAATGTTTCTTGAACTTCTGAAACGACTTTCTGCATCCTCCCTGCGACGATTTATTCATAATCAACCGCGAAGGATGAGATATATCTCCTTAAAAAATGCCGTAATGGACCGTGTCATGGCTCCTGATGAACTGAAGATACAATTGACGGAAACAGAAGAGAAGATCTGCGTGTTATTGGATAAATGTAAAGAATATCTTCTAGCAGAAAAAGGGATTTCTACAACGTGTAGAATAGCAGGAGGATGGGTCAGGGATAAGGTCATACCAAACGATCATTCCTGAAATATCGTTCGTACTAAGTGTCTTGCAGCTTTTGGGCTCTCAAAGTAACGACCTTGACATTGCTCTGAGCGACATCATGGGCCTCGCTTTCGCTCAACATCTCGCTGAATTCGCCAAAAGTCAAAATATCGAGGTCGGAACTATCAGCAAAATCGCGCAAAATCCAGATCAATCGAAACATTTAGAGACAGCTACATTCAAAATGTTTGGACTGGAGATTGACCTAGTGAATTTGCGTAGTGAAGAATATGCTTCGAATAGCCGTATTCCCACTGAGGTGGTGAGAATTCAAAAAACGGTACTTATTTGGCCGTCTGGATTAAAGAGATCTTTTCAGACATTCGGAACGCCGGTACAGGATGCGCTACGGAGAGATATGACTATAAACGCGCTCTTTTACAATGTGCATACGCGTACAGTTGAAGATTTTACAGGAAAGGTGAATGAATCTTATGCTCAATATGTTTATGGAGCATTATTTGAACGTGAGTTCAGGGTCTCAATGACCTACGCAATGGCATAATTCGGACACCTTTACCTCCTCGGGAGACCTTTTTGGATGATCCATTGAGGATCATCAGATGCATCCGTTTTGCAAGCCGCTTTGGTTTTCAGTTTGTTCCCGAACTTGAGAACGCCGTAAAGGATCCCACAATTCAGGCAAGTTGTGGGATACTCCACCTAGGAAGCTCCTCACATTTATACAGGAAGCCCTTGTCTCGAAAGTAGCCAGAGAACGAGCAGGGATGGAACTGACGAAGATGATGAAAGGTCAGTGTTATCTTGTTCTTTAAACGAATAAATACATGATCCCATCGAATTCTAGGAAGGGATCCCGTTCATGCTATTTCTCTTATACAGGATCTCTCCCTGTTCGACCCTATCTTCTCCGTCATACCGACTGATGTCGTCTCGACGTTTTCTCACCCTCGAAGTGCAAACATCGACTCCCTGAAAGCCACTTCAATCTTAAGGCTTCTCCTTTCTGATACCTACACAGGTTTGACTCCGTTACATCCTCTTCTCACAAAGGCCATTCACGAAGACACGACATGCAAAGACCGCCTCTATCTCGCCGCTACACTCACGCCCTACCTGGGTGTCACCTACAAAGACAAAAAGCATAGAGAATTTCCCGCTATTACATATGTAATACGGGAATCACTAAAACTTGGGACGCAGAACCACTACCTGGACGGCATACCTGCGCTCTTCGCGGCTTCTGAAATCCTGAAAAATCCAGACCTAAACCAAGAGAAGTTCAGACAGTCCTCTGAACGGGTAATCATTGGTGAGGCCACATCCATCAAGCTTAAGTTGCTCTAATCCCAGCATAGGCTTGATGCTTCGCGAAAAAGCTGTTCACAACGCTAACACAGGGTCACATTGGACTAGTTCCTTGTTGTTCTCGTTACTTCAGGAATTAATACCATGTTGCGAGACCATCGAGGAGGGTTTGAAGGGCAAGCAGTCTGATAGTCTTTTAGGAGCTTGCTGACGTTTTCCTACATACAGTATCTGCAGCATCTGAAAAGATCACTATCTACAATCGCTTTGTTGAGCGTGTTGAAGAACTTGCGCTGACTAGTGCCGTGGACGCTAAGCCTCTGGTTGACGTATGTTATTTCTTCGCCATATTTCCGTTAGCTCATTGTGACCTTTCTAAGGGGCGGGAGATAGTTTCATTACTAAATGTCAAAGCTGGTCCGTGGACTGGTACAGCGCTCGCTCGTGTCGTCGAATGGCAACTCGAACACCCGGAAGGTTCAAAAGGTGAATGTTTGATGTGGTTAAAGGAGCAACTTTCAGCTGGCACTCTTGGCATTGACCAGAACGGTCCAGTGAGCAAGAAAGCACGAATATATAAGTAATGCAGAATCGGAATAGATTATTTTGGGTAATGAGATACATACAACAAGGATCTTATTCTACACAGTATATACTGTAGGTACATACATATATAAGTACAACAGTCTAGGAACGCGTCAACGCGATGTGTCATGAAATGAGAAAAATGGATATAAAACGTGAGTTGAATGGTATGATATGGTATGGGTTTATGTATGCTAGCAGTAAATGAAAAGAATCAGAGATTGAAGTACTGGTCGTAGTTCAATGTCTCGTCAAAGGTACTGGCCGTACTAAGGGAATAGGAGTAATTGAGCAAGTAGTCACTCTGTGAAAGGTTGGATGCGAGCAGCGCAGGATCGAACAACGGTGAAACTGGCGGTGGTGTCGAATTCCACAAGTCAATCTCGGATGTATTTTCAAATCCAATGCAGTCGTTAAAGAAGGTCTCGGAGGGAAAGGGTGTAATAGGCACAGGGGAACCGAGTTGAGAGTTAGAATCCCAGTTCGAATTGTAAGCAAAGTTCAACGAATGGGACTCTTCATAGTCATTGGCGGTCATGAACGATAACTAGAATGAACCAAGATTAAACAAAATCAATGAGAGAAGAACGAGATTCTTACCTCTTCTTGCCCGACCTCAACCTTGCAGTTAGGTGGGGATAAATCGAGAGAAGGAATGTCATCCGTAGGAATGAAACCTTTGGGGCTGGGAGGATAAGTAAGTTCCAACTCGTCGACAAAAGCAGCAGCGGAGGTGCTGGGTGATGGCGAGCGGGGAGGAGGGGATGGAACAAGCTCCGGGGTAGCGGGAGCTTCGATCTTAACTTCAGTGTCCGCGAGAGTAAGGGACACTCGCTTCTGCAAGAAATAGTCCCCTACAATTTTGTCGCACTTGGCTTTCTCCGCCCGGCTGTCCCGGGAGACCTTCTTCTTCAGCTTATTGGACTTGCGAGTACCGGGTGCATACTTGTACCCGGGATATTTGAGAGCGTGCTCCCTTTTAAGAACCTCCGACTCTCGCCTGAACGGCTGGCGCTCATCCTCTGACAGCGCCCTCCAATGGCGGCCAACGATGCGACTGACTTCTCTGTGATCGGTTTCGACGGCAGGGCAGCCTTTATTTTCTAACCACCAATGCGACCGAAAGACAATAAATGAATTCGGGGGACGAGGAATATGATCGTTGCCTTTGCGTTTTCCGTGAGAAGCTCGAACAGTAGGGTAGGGTTCAGAACGACGGAAGAACGAAGGAGAAGGGGGTGGGGAGCTCGAAGCGGAGGTATCGACTGACGCAGGTTCAGAAGGGTACCGGAAGATATCCGCGGCATCGAAATGTTCGAAACCGTCCTCTACAATAGGGGGGTCAGTCTAAGGTGAGCTTGAGTTGGATGTGAGCATCACGTACCATCGTAAGATTTTGGTCCTTGCCGCGATAGTCGACGGGATCGACGAGGATAGTCGTCACTGCTTCTGTGGACCGGCATAGCGTTGAAGAAGAGCAGAAGTTGAGCAATAGGAGTTGTGAGTTGTGAGGCTCAGCGGTAGGCTTGAGTGATTGACTCCCTCAAACTCTATCGCCTTTTGAACTCTTTTGAACTGGACGAGGGGAAGCTCATGATTACCATAATAAGAGCGTAGGAACTCCACTACTCTCTAATAGCACATCGTGTTTGCCTCGATGCATCTAAAGAACGCACTCTGTCAATACTCTGTCTGAATGTCACAGAACATATCCTTTTGGGGTAAGGGGCAGCATTCAAAATTCATGTTGACTTGAACATCAATGGTCGAGTTATCAAGGAAGCAATCAAGCAATCGGTGGCTTCAGCAACATCAGAGCAGCGCCGATCTTCCTCCTTGTTTCCTTCAAGGTGATTATACAAAAGACATTCTATGTAGTTGAGAGTGATTACTGTAAGTTAACATTATTGATCGTACTGAGATTGTGACTTCGAGGAAGCTCCAAACATTCACCCGTTGATTGTAGGTAGCAAGTATACATGAGACAGTGCGTCCCCATGACCTATCGCAGGAGCGTGTCAAAATGACACCGTCTGAGTCAATACTGTGGTCAAGGTATCGTCCGACTCTCCTTATCATGAGCTAACTCTTTGATTTTCCGTCTTTTTGATCCAGCGATCATTTCTCTGCAGAATGACGTCGAAAACTCACTCACAGGACAGGTTCTGAGTTGACTTACCTTTTCTTGATCGCGTCGTTGCGTCCTATTTTCCGTGCAGCATTCACCGTTTCAGGACGCTTCGTTTTTCCCATCTGTTTTCGTTTCATTTTCGATGGCTTGGGTAGTTTTGTGATCCATTCCGGGACGGATTGCCCGGATTGTAAGATGACATTAGCGATTCTGTACGAATGCTTATTGGAGCGCAAAAAACATCTGAGGGAAGATACAGGACGTACGCTTTGAGATATGGACCATCTGTGTCCGTGAAAAATGTGACTGCTTTTCCGGAGCGACCTGCTCGTCCAGTCCGACCTGTAATAATCACCGTTAGTATATCATGCAATTTTTCGAGCATCGTCACTCACCAATTCTGTGAATGTAGCTTTGTACGGTCGTCGGAAAATCGTAGTTGATAACCTCCTGGATACCCTTGAAATCCATTCCTCGGGCCATAACCTCCGTGCTAACCATGACCCAGCTTTCGCCCTTGCGCATGCGACTCACAGCATCCTCTCGCTCCTTTTTTGACATTCCCGCGTGTAAACAATCGACGTTGGAAATTCCGCTGAGTACAAGCTCTTCAGCCAGAGAAGATGCACGTGGCTGCGTGGAGGTGAAAATTAGAACTGGGGGATTATAGGGCTGTGAAAAATATGTGAGGAGGCTAGGTAGTTTCGAACCGTCATCTGCAACATATGTGAGTGATTGGGTGATGAGGGGGAGTGGGGTGTCCCTATAATGCGATCAGGAATAACTTGGGTACAGGTGAAGGTCAGAACACACTTGAGACCAACTACTACTCTGACAGGATCCTGGAGCATGTCCATGGCAATCTTTTCTGCATTTGCGGGGAGCGTTGCACTGAAGACCGCTTTCTGAATATTTGAATGTGTACATGCAGCAACAATTTCCTCAATTTGAGGGAAAAACTCCTTATCCAACATTCGGTCTGCTTCATCGAAAATCAGGTGTCGAACGCTATGGTATCACAGCAGTTAGTTTCGGAGGCGAGGTTTTCGGACAGCACTCACTTGCTCAGTGATAATGATCCAGACTGCAATGAGGCGACCAAGCGCAGTGGCGTGGTGACAATCATATCTTGGAGCACGCCAGCTCAAATTGTTTCTGCGGATGAATGGAGTTCTCTACGCACCGATTTTATCCCGGACGGCTGTATCTGACAATGTGTTCGCAGTAGCTTTGCTAAATAAAACAATCTTCCATTTCCGGCCCTGTGTTAGCTTAAGACATTCATTGTGGATTTGATGAGCTAATTCTCGAGTGGGCGCAAGGACCACAGCTCTGACACCAAGTCCAGCGTCTGATCCAGTACTTGCTACCGGAGCACGAAGGGAGGCGAATGTAGGTAGGAGATACGAGACTGTTTTTCCTGTACCGGTCGGAGAAATAGCAACTAAATCTCGACCCTACAGAGATGAGCAAGGACTCATCTGAAAGTAAGTCAAGAGAACACACCTCTAGGAGTATTGGGGCACCATATGATTGAATCCCAGTTGGGTATGCGTAACCATTCTTCGACAAATTTGACAAGAGGTTCGACGAAAGCTGGTAACGATCTCGTAAAGCTTCGAACGTCTCCGCAAAATCGGGAACATTTGAGCCTTTGGTGGTTACACGATGGCGTTGGTGCGGAATGTTATTATCATTTTCAATTTTTGAGGTATCTTGAGGTTCATCCTCTTCCATATCCTCCTCTAGCTCGTCCTCGGCTTTGTCACCTGCTTCCGCGACTTTTCTTTTCTTTCCAGGTCGTCCGCCGCCAGCATCATTTTTCCTCTTCCCTTCAACCCCTTGTGCGTATTTGAAGAAGTCAAGCGTTGCAGGAAGTTCAGAGCCTTGACCTGACGTCTGTGGCCGCTTCAATTTCGATTCTGATTTCTACAGATGCGTCAATGTCAATGAATTTCGAGGAAAGGCGCGGATATCACGTTGAATAGGTCCACGTCCTTCTTAAATCTGTTTTTGTTGAACTGAACGCCTCCTCGAGAGAGTACCTGGAAAGCCTCCATGGATGTGAAGATAAACAAAAAAAGAGATAACACAGAAAGATAAGATAAGATCTCTACAATCATCAGTCTCGTGGCTTTGCCTTTCAAGCATAAACGGCGAAACGCATGACACTGGAACCTCCGTCCGGTCCACTCAAATATAAAAATCTTCGACGCCATATGTTTTTCGCGTCCTTATGATACCTCATATAAAGCGATGGTCCACAAGGTTTTTCCCTGTTCATCCGACATTGGTCCGCCTACACTTCTTGTGTCCTGAATAATTCTCGTGGTATAAAGAACACCAGACCTGGGTTCAAACCCTGCGGAACCGATCATGGCTTACAAGTTGCTCTCCGTTCTTTCAACGATCGCGCTCGCACAAGCAGCTGTCATCGTACCGGGAGCTAGCTGGACTGATACTGAAGGAAATGTCATCCAGGCTCATGGCGGAGGCTTTCTGAAGGCATGCTTCTTACTAGTATCTACTATGGTGATCTTACTTGGTAGGTAGGTGGACTCGACCTATTATTGGTTCGGAGAGGACAAAGTTCTCGACAGCACGTTATTCCATGCAGTTTCATGCTATACAGTGTGTACCTCTCTTGATCTCTCAAGAGATCGTCCCCCCTTCATAATTCGTCTGTAGTCGACCGATCTTGAGACCTGGACCCGTCAAAATGATGCTTTGACACCTATTAGCGGAACCATGATTTCGACTTCGGATGTTGTCGAGCGTCCTAAAGGTATATATAAGTTAGTAACGTTATTCCAAAGTTAACCTTTCGTCTACAACAGTAATCTTCAATAGCAAGGTAATTTGTCCTTCCATCAAATGCGCATGGGATGTTTGATTTGAATTCTCAGAACTCGGAATATGTTATGTGGTTCCACTCTGATACATCCAAGTAAGTTGCTCAGATTTTCCGATGCTATGTATATGCTGAACGCATACAATCTAGCTACGGTGCAGCAATGGTCGGAGTTGCTACAGCGAAAACTCCTTGTGGGCCTTACACGTACAAAAGTAGTTGGAAGCCCTTGGGTTCGGACTCAAGAGACGAAGGGCTCTTCCTTGATGGTAAACTTTCGCTTCCCATTCCGCAGTGTTTGTCATAATCCATTTCACGTACTACAGATGACGGTGAATACCTCAATCATCTACCAATGTTGTTCTGTCTCCTTCTAAATGTTTATAGGCACGGCTTACCTTCTTTACGCCTCTGACAACAACCAGGATTTCAAGATTAGCATGTTGGATGCCAACTACTACAACGTCACCGAACAAGTAAGCGTCTTGACAGGTAAGTAATCTCGTTTTTGTTTTTATAGTGCAGGGCCTCGATATCAATGACGCCCAATCGGCAGGCGCTACTCTGGAGGCACCGGGTGTTGTAAAACGTGATGATGTATGAGCGTGTCCAAAATTTTCAACTCTGTGGAAAGTAACGAGCTAAATGTTTCCAGATTTACTATCTTATCGCTTCTCATACGTCAGGTTGGGATCCAAAGTGCGCACAATGAGTAGTTTCTTCATCCGCTCTCGACTGAAGCATATTCTATAGTCCCAACAAAGTATTCACAGCATCCGTTCGTCCTTGTTTTTTCTTGCACACAAATCACTCATTAGAACACGTGGCATCCAGTCACTCGCTGGTCCCTGGTCCGCTCAAGTCGATATCGCACCCGAAGATACGAATACTTATTACTCCCAGAACGCCTACGACATGCTGTTGGGTACAAATGGAATATATATGGGTGACCGGTGGGACGTCTCGGCGTTAGGTAGTAGCACATATATCTGGTTCCCCCTATCATGGACTTCTGGACTACCTGTAATCGTGGAAGCCGATGTGTGGAGTGTTGATCTGGCAGCAGGTTTGGATGAAACTTTGAATGCACAAGATCCTGAGAATAACTATTAACCCAGGGACATACACAATTGCAACGGGAACAACGTATGAGGCTGAAAGTGGAACCCTGGGCGGATCATCAGAGCTTTTGACCGACTCGTCGTACTCGGGAGGAGAAGCTGTTGGATATTTGGGAAATGGAGGAACTTTGACTCTGAACAACATACTAGGAATCGGAGAAGCTCAATGGATATCATTGTACTACGCCAATGGTACGCTTCAACCATGACAGTGACTACTTATCATTCATAATTCGTGATCACCAGGAGATTCTACTTGGAGGAACACCACCCTATCGGTGAATGGGGGCGCGAATGTAGTTATACAGCAGCCTAGCTCCGGAGGAGGGCATGTCATCCAGTCGGTGCCCGTAAAGGTGACTCTTAAGAACGGTGCCAATATCCTCACTTTTTCAAGTGGACAGGCAAATTATGCTGGAGATCTTGATAAGATCATTGTATATACAACAACGTAAAGATTTGGGCAAACTTAATCTATCTGTGACTATCGTATCCGGCTACATAGGATACCTTTGCTGCGCCTGCGGAAGCCAGGTTCTTGTTGAATGCGTGAGACTTTTCGGCCTTTTGTCCTTTTTCCATCCTCGACATGACGGTGTTGTTTATCGGCCTGATTATTGTAAGTCCAGTATCATGTAGATGAATTGACTAGCTCATATGTGTGTCTTCTTCTTTCCGCAGTAACTGCGTTAGGATTTGGTGTTGATATGAAGGCCCCTTAGGCCCGCGATTCCGTATACATATAACCCTCCCATCCAACTTGATTATTGTGCACTTGAAGTACATCCCCCAGGCATATCTCATTGTATTATAACTTTCGCTCAACTGTCCACAAACTCTTCTTGAAAAATGGTCGAGAACGACCTCCCAAGTGCCCAGCATGATTCTATAGAAACAAGAGGGTACCAACAAGAAATGCTTGAGGAGAGCCTGCGTCGTAACATAATCATAGCCATGGATACTGGTTCAGGAAAGACGCATATTGCCGTGCTTCGAATAAAGCATGAGGCGGAGCGCGAAACGAGGAAGGTTCGTCATTTTTTCCTGTTCATCGAGCCCATATTCACGAATAATCTGCTAGCTCTCGTGGTTCCTTGCACCTACTGTTGCACTGTGTGAGCAACAATGCAACGTTATCAAAAGTGCTTTGCACGTCTCCGTTGGCCAGATCACAGGGGCGCTAGCGCCCGACCAGTGGAAGGACGCTGTGGGTATCAGATTGACGGTCAATCAACTTCAACTGATAATATATTAACTAGAGTCTTTGGAAAGCAGTGCTGAACACTCACCAGGTCATGGTCTCGACCCCTCAGATTCTTTTAGATGCTCTGCGCCACGGCTATATCATCATGGGTGATATCGGCCTCATTATTTTTGATGAAGCCCACCATGCTGTGAACGATGATCCATACAACCGAATCATGCAAGAATTCTATCACCCCTTGCCGGCAAGGGATCCAAGTCTTGCCAATGTTATGAGTAGACAGAGTCGAGAACGCCCAATGATTATGGGTCTTACCGCAAGTCCAATTTTTGGTGGAAATGTTGACAAATCATTCCGGTAAGTGTAAATTAGAGGATGCTTATCTCACTGACACGGAACTTGAACTTAGGATAATAGAAACAAATCTGGACTGTAAAATCGTGTCTCCTCGAGCCTCCCGCGCGGAGCTGAAAAAGTTTGTGCACCGACCTGCCTTCCGACATGTCATGTACAATTCTACAGACTCAATGAATCTTCCCTTCTCCACCAACTTGGCTTCACTCGAATCTGTCGTTGAACACCTTGAGATTGACAACGACCCTTATATAAAATCCCTTCGAAATCAACTCTCCAGATTAGACCCCCACACAGCAGAATACCGTCGTATCGACCAGCAACTCTCGAAAACCATGGCAAGCCAAGGAACATTCACGCATAAAGGACTCCGAGACTTTGTTTCATCCGCGCGAGAGATCTTGAGGGAAGTGGGTGTCTGGGCAGCAGACTGGTATGTTGCAGAAGTCCTCCAGCAGGCGAAGAAGGCATCACAGTCGTCGGAGCATGTCATGCCCTCCTGGCAAAGCCAGGAGAAAGCATATTTGCTGGGTATCATCAACCAAATTATGATCACACCTGTTTCTTACAATACCGACGATATCATCGATGATCAGTCTGACAAAGTCACAGCCCTTATAGAGTGCCTTCTAGGCGAGAAGGAGGATGCCGAGAAAGAGAACGAAAGATTCAGCGGCTTAATCTTTGTACAACGCCGGGACGTTGTACTTGCGTTGACAGAGTTGTTAAAGCATCACCCAGTCACTAAATCTGAGTTTGAAGTAGGTTCTCTGCTTGGGGCATCCGATAATAGTCAACGGCATGCATTTCTAGACATCACGCGAAAGTTTCTTAAACGATCTCAGGACGAGACGCTCACGGACTTCAAACTAGGAGACAAAAATCTTATCATCTCCACTGCTGTTGCAGAAGAAGGGATTGACGTCCAGGCTTGTGGGTGTGTCATTCGTTGGGATCATCCCCCCAACATGGCTTCATGGGCACAGAGCCGCGGTCGAGCTCGAAAAAAGCGCAGTACATTCATCATGATGTTCGAAACAGGAAGTGTGGATCAAGGGAACGTGCTGAAATGGGAGAAGCTGGAGGAAGAAATGGTAGCTAGGTATATGGATCCTTCGAGAGACCTAGCGATGGAAGAGAATGAGCATGATGCAGATAACGAAGATTTTCCTCCATTTCGTGTGGAGTCAACGGGGTACGCTTGATTTTATGACAAACAACTTTCTCGACCTAATGGATTTCATAGTGCATTACTCACTCTCCAGTCGGCGATACCACACCTCAATCACTTTTGCGCCGTGATGCCTCATCGGGGCCACTTTGTATATCAACCATTGTATGATCTAGACCCTCCAGATTATCCAATTGGATGGCATTCCTTCAATAACCACCACACATCAAGCACCTACGCTGGTCCTTGGGCATCAACTGTGACTCTCCCTCGAGTTCTACCTCAGGATCTTCGAGTCTTTCGTACCCCGCAAATTTATACAACAAAGGTGTCTGCCCATCGCCATGCAGCATTCGAAACCTACAAAGTTCTCTATCAAAAAGGGCTTCTTAGTGAAAACCTCCTTCCGCTCGTTGATGAGGACCCGGAGATCGAGGAGCTCAAAAAAGCAATCGAGAAACGTACTGGCATGGCCAGTGTATCCTTACAGATGGATCCTTGGGGCCCCGATATGCCTGAAGAAGAGCAAGGAGGCTGGTTCGTCTCCCGATTGATGGTCGGAAATCTTCCTCCAATACAGATGTTGACTCGAAGGCGGCCTCCATTATTGACTTTGGCTGATGAGCTGAAGTTGTATCATCCTTCCTTGCAAACATTAGATATTCTATTAGAGCCCTTGGGTAAGCTCGGCGCTTTAGATGATCGAATCTTGGAAGTACGAGAATACACCCGTATGCTTTTCTGGAGTATAAACGGGTCTCGCATGAAATGGGATGACACGGATTTCGCTTACTTGTTCTTTCATCCTTCAGAAACCTCTTTTACTCAATGGAATGCTCGCCGAGCATGGTGGAAGCACAATCGGATGGATGTTGACGGTACGGCTTCAACGGTCCGTTCTCCAACTGATTTCACAATCCCCGCCCTCACATTCGGCGAGATATTCCATTATCCAAGTGATATTGGAATGGTGTACAACGGGTCCTCATCGTTTAAAGCCTACGAGTTTGTGCAATGGAAATGGGATTCCCTTAACGAGGAAGAAGAAGCCACCCTTTTGGAACGATATGCACGTTCTGAAGACGTTCAGATACGGTACCCACTTCTCGAGGTTCGATCCTTCCACCCGCGGACCAACTTCCTCTTACCCCGATTTGGGCCTGCGCCATCGCAACCATCTTTCTTCCTCCTTCCTCAACACGCCAGCATTCCACTACTCTCACAGGCAGAGACTAATCACGCGTTTCTGTTACCATCCGTCCTACGTGCACTTGCTCTTAATTTAACAGTTGATTCACTTCGAACAAATCTCTTTACTCAGAGCTCTATTTTGTCAACAATTCCGAACTCTTTTCTAATCACGGCGATGTGTGCTCCCGTATCTCAGGAACCTAAAAATTACCAGAGATACGAGACGCTGGGAGACACGGTCTTGAAATTGGTTGTAGCCTTACAGTTGCTGGCCGAATATCCCCTCTGGCCAGAAGGCTACTTGACAAAACGAAAGGACCATTCAGTGTCGAACGTCATGCTAGCCAAAGAAAATGTAAGCAGGGAGCTCTATCAGTGGATCATCCGTGGTCAGTATAAGTTTTTCTACCTTGTTAAACGCATCAATCAACCCTCCAATTCCCAGATCGTTTAGTTGGGAAGAAGTGGAAGCCGCTATATCTCTCACAAACTGTTCCATCGGAAAAACAGATCTCAGATGCTCCCGAGCAGGTTCAAAACAGTGATACGCCGGAGTCAGCGATGATCAACACTTTGTTAAACCCTTCGATGAATGGCTCAACGGAAGAAAACGAGGACAAGAAGAAAAAGAAGAAAGGAAAGCATTCACAACAACTTTCAACTAAAGTTCTCGCAGATGTAGTTGAATCTTTAATTGGTGCTGCATATGTTCATGGAGGCCTCTCCCTTGGATATGAATGCGCCAGGTTCTTCAAATTGAATATTGAGTCTTGGCTTCCTATACCGGACCGCATAATCAGTGTCCTCATGCGTGCAGACATGATGTACACATCCTTCACCTCAACTTCACCATCCGAAGAAATTCAGTTTCCCCCGCAACTGTCCAATGTGGAGAAAATCATAGGGTACACTTTTCTGAGGCCTACACTCCTCTTGGAGGCTCTGACTCATCCGTCATGTCAAGAGGATCATGGTACAATTTCCTATGAGCGCATGGAGGTGAATACTTTCGTTATCATATTCTCATCTCGCCCTTCTGATTCTTCTTTAGTTCCTTGGTGACGCAGTTCTGGACATGATTGTCACCGATTATTTGTTCTACGCTACTGGAAAGAACGGGAAAGCCAAAGAATACTCCCCGGGGCACATGTTTTTGCGGAAGAGTGCAACAGTCAACGCACATATTTTGGCCTTCGTGTGTTTGAAATCGAAGCTGGAAGTGAAAGCACAGATGCCGAAGGCTTATGCATTGAATGATAATGCAGAGGATAAGGAGGGTACTAGCAGCAAGAAAAAACGGTACAGGGGTGAACAGAAAATTGTTCTAGAGGAAGAGCAACACACGGTCCATCTATTCAAATGTCTTCTCCACTCCAGTACTCGTATCCTCGATGACCAAGATCTTACCTACAAACGCTTTCTGAAATTTGAGGCTGAAATTATTCGGGAGCTAGAAAAGAATGAACGACCTATCTTTCCTTGGGCTGCATTGACCCGGATCCAAGCACCCAAATTCTTCAGCGATATGATCGAGAGCATCCTCGGCGCGGTCTATCTCGACTCTGAAGGCAACATGGACGTTGTGCGGGAGGTGATGCTTAGCTTGGGTCTATATCAAATCCTCGAGCGCATAGTGAAGGAGGATCTTGATGTTCTTCATCCTGTATCGAGGTTGTCAATGTGGGCTGCGACACAAACGGTAACTGATCCGGATGCGGACCCGGAAGCAATTCACAAGAAGATCAAATATGATTTCAAGAAGGAGAGAGGGAGAATAAGTTGTGCTGTGCTGGTAGATGGCATCGAATTGGAAGGATCTATGGTAGATGATGTATATGGAGGCAAGGCGACCCAGGAAGAGGTAAGGCTCGCAGCTGCAGAGAAAGCAATTCAGATACTGAGGTTGAGAGATGTTGGAGTTGAGTATGAGTCACTGAAGAAGAAACGGAAGCCGAAGCCGAAGAAACAGAAGGAAGGTAAAACAAGTAACAAAGCACCAGAAATTGACGATGTATAGATCATTGACACAGTCTCTAGCAAGGTATTTTCTGCATTATATAGCTTTACTTACATATATATCTCATGAACTTAAGACAATCATGTCATTCTAGGCTCCACTATTGTGGACTGCCCCTTGCTTGGGTTTAATTTCACTGAATATGCAATAAGTATATATGTTTCTTCAATTCAAACCTGTAATGGTGGCAGGGACTTTGGCAAATAAATTCACTATGACATGCATATATATGCTGCCCTCCATATTGAGAGGTGTATGTTGTTTGCATCTGCAAAACCTGTATACTTGCCAGAGCAAGGATACTGGCTGGAGAGCGCTCTCTAGCAACGAAAGCACCCAGAGCAAAAATCAAAGCCTGCTCTGGGTGCTTTTGCTGCTGGGAAGTACTCTGAGCTGCTTTCGGCTATTTAGCCTAAAATACAGGTTTTGCAGATGACTTTTCAGATACCATCTAAGTATTGCCCATGGAGAAGTGGGCCACCATAGTGCAAAACATGAATTATGTTGTAGAGGCTAGCATACCCTGATTCAACAAGGGGCTATTGTGTACAGGTATTTACAGACAAATTGAACATATTTTGATGTTACAGATAGTAGAAGCAGAGATGGTCATGTAACAAATAAATTACAGGAGTGAGGTGGCAGGCTAGTGGATTGCCAACTTTGCTTAATATAAGGCTAATTTCTTGATACACATACTCAACGTATTATATATTTGTATTTTTGTTGTTCAAAACATGTATCATAAATTTCAAGAACAAAATACACTCATATTGAACAAGATGAATCGAGCAATGAATGGTTTTTATGTGTATCAAGAAATTAGCCTTATGTTAAGCAAAGTTGGCGAACCACTAGCCTGGCCGAGACCACTCGAAGTATTCATGTACAGGAAAAGCTTGCAATTAGCATTGAGCATCGGACCAGCACACCAGGAACCCTAGGCTGACCCAGAATGCCTCTACCTCGGAACACAAAGTAGTAGGCTGAAGGTAGAATGACAGAAAAAGGGCGGAGGTCAACCGCCAAAACCAGATGTCGATTTTTGGCAGGAGTGGGGGAGAATTAAGAAGTTTCCGTAATCATCTCACTCCTCGACTTTCATGAACTTGTGTTCAGGGCAACGCTCGAGCATACTTTACATGATGTACACAGAACTTGTTATCCAAAACTAGCTATGCAGCCTGAAGGTATTGAGTGACCCATATTTTGCAAAAGTTTGTCTTCCCATGAGAAACTTTGGATGGAAGGACTGCTCTACGATCATTAAATGTATATGTACAAGAATGAACTAACAAACGGAAGACGGAGTCAATCTAATGAGACGAAACGCTCTACATAATAAGTATCTACTGAGAATTAGAAGGAATTGCAGATAGGGATATGATACATATATTAGATAGTCCGGTCAGTATAAATGCAAACCATATTAATCATAACTCAAGCTGTTTCTATTGCTATTGCGTTCCATCCTTTCTTGAGTTGCTGTGAAATTACAATAAGAGTTGACTATAATAGGATTGGAAGAGAATGATATACCTCAAAGAAAACAAAGAGCAGGACAGTATTGGGCCCTAGACGAATGAATGCCGGTGTCCACCCCTTGAACAGGAACTTCGGACCTTCCTTTTGTAAGGAGGTCTTTAATATATGGAGCACACTATCCTTGGAAGTCTGCGACAACATCCATCAATCAGCGTGTCCAAAGTCTGGAAGATAGCCTACCGAGGTCATCACTCGTGTCCGCAGAACATCTGCAGGAGAGCAAACAGCTGCACGGGAGATCAGTTAGCACGAACCTACTTATTATTAGCATGAACGCGAACTAGTTGCGAAAGTTCCTGCAAGAAGACTGGCGAGCGTGTGGAGCGCAAGGCTGTCGTGTAGTTGATAGTCCAAAACAGGGATAGTTTTGTTCAGAAGGGATGACTTGAAGAGATCGTATCTAGCACGTTCGTCTAGTCATTCGTAGTTTATACAAGCGGCAGAAACAACGCACGACCCCACTTGAGATGCCTATAAATAAGAATATGCTTAGTCGCGTTATCTGCTCAAGCTGGACGTTTGCTCACGTTCATCAACATTGCTCTAGTCTTGAGCGATCGAATTCATGAACAGACAGAGGAAGCACTAACAAGCCGTGCAACTCACAACATTAGTCCCGAGACCCCTAGCCATTCCCTTGAAACCTTCCTGCTGGGCTAGATTGGCAAGGCCAGAAAGCGCGTTTGAATAATTAAACCGATGCTCCTGTGGCTTGATCACGTCGCTGGTCATCCGGACGAGTAGAATATCTGGAAAAAAAGGAACGTTCAGTACACAACCTGGAAAGAAAAGCTAAAATGACAACCTGCAGGATTTCCAGCTATTCCGCCTAATCCTCCGGCGAGACATGCAGCAGCTAGCAATTGTATCGAAGAAGGCTTGCCCTTTTGCGATAATCGTCGCTTCATTTCTTCGTAGGCCCCAATACGCACTAGAGAATACGACATTTGCCGCAGTAACGAAGCGGTAAGGCCAGTGTATATGCTACGGAAACCTTGAGACACGATAGATTTGCGTAGGACGAAGAACATGGAAGGAGGTTTGGTTCCCGCGGCGGCTTTAATGGTTTGCATTCGACTGGCATGAGTGATAATGAGGGAACAATGCTTGATAATCGAAAAATAGCTGTACAGACACCTTAGTTAGGTCCAGAGGATGCGTACACGAAGCGGCCACTATGGAACAAGTCAGAGAAGATATCTTCTTCGTATCTACACACGCACTGGATGCCGCGACGCCTGACACGAGAAGAAACTATAATCAGCAGTTGCGATGGCAAATTCTGGATTAATTGCGAACCTCCAAGCCTGGAAGCAGATATTAGCAATGGTTTGTGAGATGGATAGCTACTACACTAGCTCACCAGAACGGATATACAGTGGTCATGATTGTGGCGAAGCAAGTCCGAAGAAGCTCTGTGAGTGAGAGATACGCGCCGCAGGGCTTTATAATGGTTAGCCGCACCCCTCACAGACAGCACTTTATAGCAAGCTCTGCAAAGTCAAGACTCTGGGAAGGTTTTCGGCGCTTCGGGCGATTGTCAACGCGACAAAGCTATCGGATTTGCTCGGATTTAATGTTCATTGAATTTACCACGGTTACTACTAGCTTTTCGACCGAAAAAATGCAATAGAATGAGAGTTGTAGAATGAACAGCGGTAAGGGGTGTTCAATTCCAGCTTTGACCTAGATTTATAAAGCTCTATCGGTAGAGGTCATGAGATGAGGTCACTCGGGTGCTTCAGATTTTACCGTTTACGCTACTAACCGCCTGTTTTCGTGGAGGCACGTCGCGAATTCTGCTTGCTTCTTCCTCGTGCTGATTAGCTTCGTGGTCTTCATACTCTATATTAGAAATGCATCGCTTTCTTACTACTCTTCATACATCTCCTCTACATGGATTCAACCAGTGGTATCGTTCACAACAGCGGTGTAGCAAACGGCGACTTGGTTCATTTACCTCTCGAAGAGGTTCGCGTGAATTCCTCAATTATTGACAGTGAGTGTGCAGTCAACGCCACATTTATCGTGACTAACATGAACGGACAGTATCGGCGAGAGTAACCCTGACTCAATCGTTCCTCAATCCATCTGAGCATGCCACAAATAAAGCAGTATACTATTTTCCAGTGCCAGCATCGGCAGCTATCTGTGCTTTTGAGATGCGACTCGATGATGGGCGAATTATTAAAGGCATTTCCAGAGATAACAAATCAGCTGTGGAAGAGTTTGAGAGAGCTGTCAGAGAGGGCAGAGAAGCGTCTCTCCTGAAATGGGTCACAGATGATAGTTCGTGTGCCCCATTGCCATCTACACAAACGGAAACAACTAAATTTGTCGGACAGTATTCACCATATCGATCGGCTCCATCCCGGCTCACCAGACGGTCGAAACCAAGCTCGTAGTAAGCGAGGTATTTCACAAGTATTGACGTCCCTTGCTAAGTTTTATCCTAGTTTGTGATGAACCTGATGAACGAGGACACCGACCAAATTCGTTTTTATCTACCCATGCATGTTGGTCAACGCTACGGCGAACTACCACTGGAGCTCGTCGGTTCCTCTCAAGCGTCCCCACAGACACGAGTTCGCATTACCACTGATATTCAAACAAGCGGGCGCATTCTAAAGATTGATAGTCCAAGTCACGCAGGCGAAATCATTTCCAGCCAGTACCCTACTCACCTGAATCGTCCATCACGACGTAGAGCGACGGTCAAGTTCAAGTCCAAAACTTTCCTCAACTGTGACTTCGTCCTTATCATAGAGGCTGAGAAGCTCGATTCCCCTCGATGCTTTGCAGAACTTGAAGGCGATCCCGATCGTAAAGCCAGTCTAGCACTGCAGTTGGCGATTGTTCCAAAGTTCAATTTAGTTTCGAACCGACCTCAGGAATACATATTCGTTGTTGATAGAAGTGGTAGCATGGCGAATGCTCGTATCGAGACTGCTAAACGTACTCTTGAGATGCTCCTTCGTATGCTTCCACAAAGTCAAACATTCTTCAATATAATTAGTTTTGGGAGTGATACTGACCGTCTATGGGATGACAGTCAAGTTTATAGCCAGCGTACGCTTGACATTGCGGTATGATACATATGCTTTCACAATACCTAGTAAGCTAATAATGTTTTTTCAATTCCCAGACAAGTCTAGTTGAACGTATGGATGCAAACTTTGGAGGCACTGAAATTCTTAATGCGATGCGGAATGTCCTGAGCTCCCGTCGTTCAGACATAGCGACTGCGATTTTCCTTTTGACAGATGGCGAGGTCAGAGAATTTGTTTCTTGTCCTCAAATTTACAATATGCTTACTGGCACCATACTATTTTAGGCTTATCAAATCGATGATACGACAAGACTTGTCCAGAATGCGACCGATAGTGCATCGGCGTCTGCCCCCCTTCATGTCTACGTGCTAGGCATAGGTGAACAGGTTTCAACGGCAATGTGCGAAGGAATTGCTGGAGCAGGAAATGGTGTATGCTTATTTGCCCATCAAGCGGAAAGCATCACCTCGAAATGTGCTCGTCTACTTCGTGCAGGTCGAACGCCTTTCATCAAGAATGCCACGATCGACTGGGGTCTTTCAGAAGAATATATCGCCTCGGCCTCGAATTCAGTCTTCTTTTCCAATAATGCATCTTCCCAAAGGCTTACTCGCCTTAGGTCCTTCCCTGTTCTCCAACAAGCACCGACCAAAATAGGCGATATTCATGCTGGAGTACGCTTCACAGTATACGCGATCCTTCGTCTAAAGAGAGTTGCTGTCCCTGTAGAAGTGATTCTTCGAGGTAACCTCGATGACACAGGCGAACCTTTCGAGTGGCGTGTTCCCATCCGAGGTGTTCAATTGACTAACGAGGAGCCAGGACTTTCAGCTATCCACACAATTGCAGCCTGGCACTTCATTCAAGAACATGACATGGGCCGTGCGCCCCTCCCGTCGTATCTTCCTAGTCCAGGAATCATTCCTGCACTCAAGGAACTGCACGAGGCAGCAATTATTCGTTTGGGTGAGACATATCAGCTTGCCAGTCGATACACATCCTTTGTTGCTGTTGAATCAGGGAGAGCTGCAAGTCGTGGGAGGCGACGTCGGAGTGACTTTGGTAGTTGGACCCCTGAACCTGCGGCCAGTCGCTCACGGTCACCTAGTCAAGCCGCTTCCGGTGTCAATACAGCTGGGTCTCTGAGCTCACCGTTGAGGACTCTCTATGCAGATCTTATATCTGGACTGACAGCACTATTTGCACCCACGAGCTCATCCACCACGATGCCGGGCGAATGGCCAGAGCATTCTCCATCGACCACTACTGTCCATGGCGATAACACTGATGAAGGGTATCAAAGTTCAGATAGCGCAAGAACGTTTACAACTATCAGTTCTGTCTTTGGATGGAATTCAGAAAAAAGCGATTGGAGTGATTCTCCTATCGCTGAGGAAACTCAAGGAGGGCCTGCCCCGCAATTCGTGCCTGTACGTTTCGCCCCTCCTCACATCCAACAATCATCTCTCCCTATCCCGCCTCGAACTCGTTCCCCTCCTCCTCCTCCTCCAATTTTGCCGGAAATAGTGGACCTGGTCAAGGAGCAGCAGTTTGACGGATCATACAATCTCAACGATAAGCTACGCTTGTTAGTTGGTGATGCAGCGTACAGTGAACCATTAACGCGTGGATTGGACCACAAGACATGGGCAACAGCGCTGTCAGTGGCATATATCAAGATACAACTGGGGAACCAGAGAGAATTGGTCGATGACTTGGTGTATAAATCGCTGGAGTATTTGCAAATTGGGGGTAACGAATATTTGATTGAACGAGCTACAACCTTAATAACAACCATATGATATACTCTTTCGGGATTTATGTATTTGACAAAGTGAAAGTCGGAGAAATTTTAGTCTGTTTGAATAGGAGCAGGTTGACCTCCCTTGGCAGCAGACGGGGTAAAGGTGTGCCAGCGGTCATTGAACCGAACGTCTTCGCGAGATCAATTAGTGGTGACAAGAAGACATTAAGAAAATTAAAACATACCCAGGGGTCGGCCGCCATACATATATTGTTGGAATTTTGCTACGAACGAAGCATTGAGAATGGGTCGTACGCAAGACCAGCCGGCACTCACCAATAGCAGTTTCGCCTTCTGTGACCTGCGCAAATTGAACTACACCGCAACCCTTGGAGCGAGTACCTTCAAACAGAATCTCCGCCAACTCAACTTGACCCGTGGTTTCAAACAGCTCGACAAGATCTTCATTCGCAGTGGACCATGGCAACTGTAGACAAAGTGAGAAAGTTTCGCTGATCAGCAATGCTATACGTACGTTGCGAACCATGATCTGCTGACTGGGTTCGGGTTCGGTATAACCTCCGCCTGGATAACCCATACCGGCGCCAAACCCGCCACCATAGTTATCCATTCTCAAACCCGAACCATGTTGATCGGGTCCTGAGTAGTCTGCATATAAATCTCTGTTAGAGAAATCACGACCGGGTCCGCCGCCGAAACCTCCTCGCATGCCACCTCTGAAGCCACCTCTGAAGCCTCCACGTAAACCACCGCGAAGTCCGCCACGGAAGCCTCCGCGTCCTGGTCCAGTCAGACCAGCAAAGCGGTCCTGATATCAAGCAGTTAATATAGATCGAAACCCATTGGTGTTTGCATACCTCGCGGACTTCCAAAACGCGCCCATACCAGTCAAAGCCATGATACATGCCTATGATGAGGATAATCAATCAAATTCGTGGGAAAAATATGTAACTACTCACTAATGGCTTGCTGAGCGTCCTTGGGGGTCTCAAATACAACTGTACCAGAACCTTTGGGACGACCATCCGCTCCAATGTTGATGTCCGCACGGATTATATTTCCGGCTGTGCGAAACAGATCCTTGAGGTCTTGCCATCCCGCCTGATAGGGGAGCTAGAAAGCAAAATTGATGTAAAAATGAATGGAAGGTCAAACGAACTTACATTTCCAACGTAAAGTTGATTGCCGGGATTATTTTGAGTGTGACCAAAGTGGTTGTGAGAAGCAGGACGCGGAGGAGGTGGAGCATTGAAGCCCTGCCCAGCCATCGCCATACCCATCTTACCAGGAACTGGGGTAGCTCCAAAACGAGAATCATTTTCACGATCCTGTGTGGTCTAAGCTCGCTGTATGAAGGACAAAAGAAGTATCATACCTCTCGAATGTAGACCGGTCGTCCAAGTAGTGTCATCTCCGAAAGTTCACGGATAGCACGCTGCGCATCCTCGGTAGATGAAAATTCCACGATGCTATGTAGATAAAATTGAGCACATGGGTGACGAACATGGGCTCGACATACCCGCATCCTTTAGAAACTCCCATGGGCGTCACCAAGACTTCGGCGAATAGAACTTCTCCAGCTGCCAATCCCAAAAAGAAAATCCCATCAATATCCTCTCTACATCTCCATTTTCCAAACAAAAAAAGAACAATCGCCCTCGGCAACTCGGGACAGAAACCACAGTCGTTGCCTCTCTGGACAAATTGAACGAAGGCGTTCAAAGAACAACGCGTCCACTCATGTCAACGGCATTCTCTCTTTCGCCACTACAAACTCAAATATACAAAAGATCCCCCACCCACCTCCCCTCATGAATTCCATGAGATCGCGATATCTAACGTCATAGCTGAGATTGCCAACGTAGACGCGATTTTCTCTCTTGCTGATTTTAGCGAATTCCACAGCCTCTTCGTGCTCTGCATTCATGGGGCCACCCAAAGAACGAGCAAAAGATTCGGTGCCCTTGCGCTCTCTGCTCCTGGAGCGACTACGAGACCGCGGGCTCCGAGAGCGAGAGGGAGAGCGTCGGCTTCGTCGACGTGGTGAAGCCGAGCGTCTTCTAGAGCGGGAGCGAGAACGCCGGCGACGCTGTCCACCGGTTCATTAGCTCTACTTGGCCAAACTCAGTTTTTACTCACATCCCCATTTCGACGTTCTTCGGGCTCCCAATGATCTCCTCGACGTCGACCTACGCCGAAGTGTAATGAGGAGCGAACGTCAAAACATAATATTGTTGTACACACCGCTATCTCGACGATCACGATCCCTGCGGTCTCTGTCACGGTCTCTGTCATATTCACGGTCTCTGTCCCTCTCTCTATCCCGGTCACGTCCGAGGGTAATTTCCGTGTCATCTTTGGTGGTGTCTGCAACGTCCATCGTGGTGAAGAGAAACAAATTTGCAGCACAGAAATTGTAACTCCGCTGGCACGCACAGCCATTGGCACTCACGTGATGCCACTGAAAGATTTTGCTCTTCAACTTGTTTCGTTGACCTTTTCTTTCACACCACCACCTTTCATTTGCACTTTTTCCATACCAAATTTTTCCACTAATGAGCGCCCCCGACAACGAAGATCTCATCGACTACGAGGACGACATCCCGATTCCTGCCGCCACCAGTAATGGTGCTGTCAGCGGTGCCGCCGACGGAGACGACAAAGACAAAAAGAATTTTTCTGGCATCCATTCGACTGGTTTCCGGTATGTAATATATTGCTGTTCTCTCTATCTCCTAATGCTGGCTCTAGGGATTTCTTGTTGAAGCCTGAATTATTGCGTGCTATCAGTGACCTTGGCTTTGAGCACCCTTCAGAAGGTAGCTTAAAATAATAACAGTCGATGAAAAGAAAGTTAACAATTCTCTCCCCAGTTCAACAAGAATGTATTCCACAAGCAGTTCTTGGAATGGATGTGTTGTGTCAAGCCAAGTCGGGTCATGGAAAAACTGCGGTCTTCGTGCTTGCCACGCTGCAGCAGCTTGAACCTATCAACGGCCAGGTTTCCGTGCTCGTGCTTTGCCACACTCGTGAGCTGGCTTTCCAGATAAAAAACGAATACACCCGATTTGCCAAATACATGCCCGACGTTCGAATCAGTACTTTCTATGGCGGTACCCCAGTCTCAAAAGACGCTGAAGTTTTACGTGACAAGGCAAAATGTCCGCATATTGTCGTCGCCACACCCGGTAGATTGAACGCTCTGGCCAGGGACAAGGTTCTAGATGCGAAGAATGTAAAGCACTTTGTCTTGGACGAATGCGACAAGATGCTGGAACAGCTTGGTTAGTCATACGAGTTTCGGCCTCCGCACGTACATCATCCATCATCATCTTTGTTCGTCTTGCTTAATCGCACATTGGACGATGCACCGACTTCCGCAATGTGGCTTTTCAATCTTCATACAATCTTCGTCGGTGATGGTATTCATTGGATAAATTCGGTTCTGTTGTAGTTGGGCATAGCTTTGGTAGAGGCTGAGTTGTCAAGAGCGGAACGTCGTGGTCGTTGGAGGATTGCCGATCAAGGAAAAAGGAAACCTCATGCATGGCCGACCGGCGCTTAGCAAGTTGTTGCTTCTTTCAAGTCGTATGCCGCCATTTCGACGTCACTTTCTATTTTTCTTGTCGCTCTTTTACTCTTTTATTATTTCCACGTCCTGCGACAGCAAAATTCTAATCACGACATCGTCCCACCAGACATGCGACGTGACGTTCAAGAAATTTTCCGGGCGACGCCTCACCACAAACAAGTCATGATGTTTAGTGCAACACTCGCAAAGGAAATACGGGCGACGTGCAAGAAATTTATGTCCAACGTAGGTCCGAAATGCTCGCTGCAGAACACTCATTCAGTTTTGCATTCAGCCTCTGGAAATATTTGTTGACGACGAAACAAAACTTACACTTCACGGACTTCAACAACACTACGTCAAACTCGAAGAAAAGGAGAAGAACAGGAAGATCAATGACCTTCTTGATACTCTTGAATTCAATCAAGTGAGTCATTCCGTTAACGTCATTCAAGGTTATCTCTCCAGCTATCAAACTAGGTCGTCATCTTCGTCAAGTCAGTTGCTCGTGCGATCGAGTTGGACAAGCTGCTGGTCGCCTGTAACTTCCCAAGTATCAGTATTCATTCAGGTCTGCAACAGGAGGAACGGTAAGCCAATCATTTATCTCCACGCCAATATTCCGAGTCATCTCCTGTCGGCTTCCCCTGACGATTTTAAACATAGTATCAAACGTTATACTGCTTTCAAGGCCTTCGAGAAGCGTATCCTTGTAGCGACAGATATTTTCGGTCGTGGTATAGATGTCGAACGGGTCAATATCGTCATTAATTACGACTGCCCTCCCGATGCTGACAGTTACCTCCACCGTGTGGGGTTGGTATATTTTGACTTCAATACCTGGAGTGATTATTGACAACTTTTCGTAGTCGTGCCGGTCGTTTTGGTACTAAAGGTCTTGCCGTCACCTTTGTCTCTACGGATGAGGATCAGAATGTCATGAACCAAATTCAAGCTCGTTTCGAGGTCGCGGTTCCTGAACTTCCGGAACACATTGACCCTGCTAGTTACAGTGCGTTTCTTTTTTTCTCCGGTCGATTTATGTGTTGAGTTTCCTTCTCAAGTGACCTCATAAAGTACCACTTCTTTTTGTACTCGCTGCCTCATTCATTGTTGTCTCTATCAATTGAGTTTTCCATTATACTGTCTTTTGTATTTTAAGTATTCGATGAAATGATAACCCTCCTCAAAAAATATTGAGCGAAAAGTTAGAGTCAACTTACAGTAGAAAGCACCTGGAAGCACACGTTTATCTATTCGAAATTGAACGTTGAACGTTGAAAAACCTTATCACGCCATCGCTATTTCGGCTTTTCACTCCGTCACCTTCTGTCACCCCCGCGGGGTTTTTAGTCAGTCGTTCCCATATTACAACTATCTTGATTGCGCGGGAGCACCGCCTCTTCATCGAAGACTTCAACATTTGCCAGAAGTCCATGAAGCGCAAATTCGGGCAGCCGTCGCTACCCACGCTGTTCTTTCGACCGGATGGTGTCCTTACGGTACCAGGATATACGTTTTCTAAGGTACTTATCTTATTCTCTGCGATCCTGAGGCATACTGAGCAATGGACAGGCAGTACAATGGCAGGACACAGGGAGTATGACAATGCTTGCTGAAGGAAGCAGCTTGAAAGATGGCTCATTAACGTTGGCAAAGATATGCCCTTCTCATTCGAATGCGTCTATGTGCTTGGAAAGAGAAGCCCATATGTGCGTCGTGCTCAACGTTGAAAGACTTCCTTGCACTAATGACAGGTCTTAGTCTCAATAAAATTGCTAGCAACCCTCAACCATTTCGACCGACTCTAAGAATGATAGAACTCCTGACTATCCCTCGAGAACACGGAGATGTTGTTGTTTTGCTCCTTGTCCATCCCGGATTGAACCTCCTCGGCCGATACCTTCCTCCTTCCAAAGTAAACGACCTACTGTTGGCGGATATTTCGCGTCCCAGACATGCGCCATCGCATCGAGACGCGTTTATGATGGATATAGACATTTCGGATATTGAGCAGGAGATGGAGGCTTTTGACGTTGTGGATCTGGCTACCTTCTTAGAGTCCGTATCATTTATACTAATTTACTCGGCTCATATCAATGACTTCTGGTAGATTCGCTATTCAGGCGACCATGTGCTTAGAAACGATTCACAAGTGCGTACCTTTGGTCAAGCCCACATTTATATCTGTACCTTATCTTGTCTCGCCAGAGCTGGAATAATACATCGCGAAAGTGTGTAATCTTCGGAATGTGAACCTATATTTTCTAATTAAGCCTTTAGTTCGAGCCAATGCATTTCATCTTAATGCGCATTCGAATATAGTGCGCTTTGCTCACTTCGGAAATCGAGCCGTGTCTCTAGAGAATTACGGTTCTCCATCATCCTTGGTTCTACGGACTTTCGAGGAGGGCGAAAAGTTGAAAGTGAAGGAAGCGTTATGTTACCTTGCTCCGGAGCAAACGGGGAGTATTGAAACTATGGCTCAAGATCAACGAACCGATCTTTACTCTCTGGGAATCCTCTTTTGGACTTTGCTTGTCGGCAGGGGTCAAATGCCTTTCGAAGGAGGAGCGCTAGAGCTGTTACACTCCATAGTGCAGAAGAGGCCGATGCCTGTTCATGAGGTTCGCAGGGATGTCCCTCAGGTGCTGGCCAACATAGTAGATAAGGTATGTAAGCTCTCTAGATCGACCTCCAGAAGCTGAAGTTTCGATAGCTTCTAGCGAAACATCCCGACCAGCGATATCAAAGTGCTTATGGACTCAAGGTGGACCTTTTAGAGTGTCAACGACGCCTTCTCGCAACGGTATCGTCCGCGTCCGATGACGCCGAGGTGACTCAACAGCCCTTTGGTTTCAACGCCTACCTGACCAATCATTAGCTTATCCCTCACTTTGAAATTGCTTCACAAGATAGATTCATGGTACGTGCTCGGTTTCGCCCGTTGCTCTGATCATACTCAAATATCTGTTACGGTTATGAAGGATTTTACTATGCCTTTAGCTTTGGTGAGACCTCACAATCTTATAATCCTAAATCCTAATGTGTGCTTGCCTTAGTTCGGCCGTGAAAAGGAACTAGAACTTATCAGGAACGTCAGTGAGTGGTAAAATCCCCTTACCCTTGAAATACTACATGTACCTCTTAGTTCGGCATACAAACACGAGCTTCTCAAGACATTTATCAACGTCTGAAGGCTATATCGCTATCTCTTCTTCTTCCGGAAGTCAGGAAACCGGCACTGCCATGAGTGTTGGTGATGATCCTGAATCCCTCTCTTCAAGTGGATCTGTCTCAAACAGTGGTATGGCGCCAATAGATAGTGCAGGAAATAAATCAGCCAGATACTCTCCAACACAGGATTACAGCTCTATGAGCTTCAGCCCTTCAATCCAGACAAGCGATGGCTTACGACGAGCAGCTTTAATCCGTAAGCCCAGGTCATCCAGAGCTCAAGTCGTCATCCTCGTCGGACCACCAGGGTATGCCATGTTAACTAGCTCTTCGTGGCCCGTACTCATTTCCCAATAATAAGGGTTGGTAAAAGTTCCATTATTCTTGTCAATCAAGCAAAATGGAGATGTGAGTTTGCGTTGCCTCATGAACGATTCAGACGTTAATAGTATCGCACAGCTCATGGTCTATGGGGGCAAGCCAAGTTTCAGAACGCAGATTCTGCACCTTTTGCAGCCTTGGTCAGTAAGCTTAGTTACAAAACCTCTCCTTTGGTGACCTTCGTTACAGCTTGGATGTCTGTCGTCAGTTTTACGTCAGTTGATGGTCTTTCACATGGACGTTCACCGCTTCGTTTCCGCCTTGAAAGATCGATTGGGTCCACAGATGCAGAACATGCCACTCCTATATCAAGGAGTACCCGAATTACGAGATATACTTGCGCTGTTTGGCCTCAATTTGGACACTCCACGAGAAACCCTCTCCACTAGGGAATTGCGCGCGCGATTCGAGACTCTCGTGGAAAATGTTTTCGCAGTCATCGCGGATACACGCTTGTTTGCTTTATTCTTAGATGACCTTCACGAAGCTGATGAATCGTGAGTCGTTGGGTGTTCCAAACCATCTATGACTGTTGATCTATTCTAATATAGGACCTTGGATGTTGTTTCAGCTCTTTTCAATTCCAGAAGTCGAATGGTACGTTGATTTTTAGGTGAGTGTAAGGAATATTTATTCTGATATTATCATTTTTGTAGCTGATATTTGTAACTATACGATCTGATAAGCCGTCAGTACCCACCTTTCTTGTAACCAATTTCGCTGACATCAACTTGCTAGGGACGTGGTGGAAAAAGTTCGATCAATGTTCAGTAGTCGTGCCCGCCCAACTTGGATTAATTTGGAGCCACTTTCCTATTCTGCAATACATGCTCTAGTTTCCAAGAGCTTGCATCGTAGTAAGGAGGATTCTGCTCCTCTGTCACACTTCGTGTATGCTGCGTCCGCCGGTAATGCCTTCACCGCGCGAAGTATTCTTACGACATTACAACGCCGGAATCACGTTAGTATTCTCGCTGCGGCCTCCAGAGTATTTCTGGTATCACTGACCTTGCCCAAATAGATCACCTTCAATTGGGAGCTTAATCATTGGGAGTACGTCATCATTGACCAAGCGTTGTAGTTGACGGCTCATGGTACTCCAGGTACAACATGACAGAAATTGAAACAAGCATGGACAGTACCCCCAAATCGGACCCGACAGACCTCAGTTTTCTGGTTTCCCAATTTAGGGAATTTCCCGAGGAAGCCCGGAAGTATATGCTATGGGCTATATTCTTCGGAGAAACGTGAGTTTATTGAGCGTCTGTCGATTTTCGCTTGATGTGAAGTACTGCAGGTTTAAAACAACGGAAGTTTCGCTCATGATGGATTGGGAGGATTCTAGCGGAAGTAGCGGTAGCGACGAGGATGACATATTCTGGAATCTTCGTCGCAATGCCGAATCCTCTAGCTCTAATAATGCGAGTCGCAGTTCCATGCGCGGCATGCAATTGGCGCTCGTTGAAGGATGGTTGATACAACGAGCTCGGGATATGTGTAGCTTTGCACACGACCGATATCGACAGGCAGTTCAGGCTGAAGCCAATAATCTATCTGAGGAGGCAAGATCAAAAATGTCACTGAAGGTAAGGATTTCCGAATTTCCTCTTACGGGAGTATGATTCTGATATGCTATTATCTCAGATCATCCTCATGATGCTCCATGAAACTGAAAGTGAAGCTACAGTGGATGTCTACCGGATTGCGGAGCACGCTAAAAAGTGCGTCATTACATCGCATTGTTTTGAGCTTTTCGGTTCTAACCTGACTGGATCAGCTGCCTTCCTCTGTTACTCGAACATCCAAAGCGAGAGGACCTGTTAGGCCTCCTCATTGACGCCGGGGAAATGGCCTGGGCCAGAGGCGCGCATGAGGTATGACTGCGTTGATATCGATGGTCTACGTTCGAGCAAAACTCAGACGTTTAAACTAACTTAGTTGGCAACTCAATCATTCAAAAGCGCTAAAACTCTTCTTCGAAATGAACCATGGGCTGAAAACCCCAAGCGAACATTCTCGTTGTTCTCCAAACTAGCCTCGTGAGTCACTTGATCTCTGCCTTAGCACTTGAACGACGTTTTTGCAGTCTAGCTACTTGGAAAGGTTTGTCTTCGGCATTCACAGTTCCACCTACATGCCTGCTCAAATTATATAATTAGGCGATTTCGCAGAGTCGAACGAATTCTTAAAACAATGCATGGCGTATGCTCAACAGCCGGAAGAAGTCGCTGCAGTCCTTAGATCTCAGTCTCAAAACAATTGGATGAACAAGAATTTTTCAGGAGCGCTTGAAGACACTCTTCAGGCCCTTAAGATACTCGGTGTCGAAGTAAATCCTGCCCCTACTCGTAGAGAAGCTGCACACATGTTCGAACGTGTCAAGAATGAAATCCTAGCAATTGGATTTGACGAAATTTTGAGCATTCCTCGCGCGAATGATCCACGTACAGAGCTTGCTGTTCGTCTGTTGAACGACGCCGGGACGAATGCTTATTGGTCTCCTACACCCTTCTCATTTGCCGAAGTCATAGGTCTTACGGTGTGTAATTTTGTAACACTCAGTGAAGGGGCATCCTGATGTATTCTCAACAGACTATACAAATGGCGTTGCGGTAATCAATGTTAATTTTGACTCGTTTTTTCGATTTATGTGGGTCTTTGTAGGTCTGGTATCTCCACAGGGACAGCACTTGGCTTCTTTTGGGCGCTCGGAGGTCTGCTTTTTCTTGTAGGCACATAGTGAATCTTGATCACTAATATGTCGATGATAGGTGCTGCTGAACGACGGGACCTCTATCGCTTCTCTTCCGACCTTGCAAAGCTAGCCTTACGAATAGCTGATGTGCATGGAAGTAGCGGAGAAAAATGGTATTTCTCGCTCACTCATCACGTTTATCACCTACTAATTAATATATAGTCGAGCCTACGTCCTCTATTGCTCGCTGGTGTCCGGATATGACAACGTTCACATGCGATCAGCTTTACCGCGATTAGAAGAAGCACTCAAGTATGGAAGTAGCGCAGGAGATAGGTACGTTCCTTTCACGGCAATACTCGCAATTCACTCGACATGTCGTCGCTAGAATCTACACTGGATTATCTAGTTTATACATGATATCGACTCGCCTTTTCGTGTGTGATTACTGTAAGACCTTCTTTTCGTTTACGATCGTTTCAAATTAAATACATGTCATATTCGACAGTGAGTGAGCTGGTGACAGCTGCAGAGGAGGTCAGTCTTTACCTGACTTCAAGGCGCGCTTATCAACAATCCATCAATCTAGTGTCTCAACGACGTCCAGCTCACTGCTCCAGGGGAAATTGCCGTGCTTTCTCAAGGCATGAATATCTAGTCACTGCAGTCTAGACGTATAATGATTCATTTTAGGTACCCTCAACTGCATTCGTGCCCTTGGAGGTTATACATTGGCTTCTTCTCCCGAGACGGCCTTCGACACAGACACCTTCAAGGAGCATGAATATCTCGAGAGAGTGAAGGCCGTTTCAGGTAATGAGGAACTCGTCCTCAATTGGTATGGCGTTACGTATCTGTGCAATACTGTATCTCATACAATAATTGTTAGGTATAATGCGTTCAAAGTCAGCATCTTCCGCGGACTCATTTTTGCTTCTCTAACTCGATCATAGGTTGTCGGGCTATATTGTTTGGGATTCGTTGACGATGCAGCTGAACTGGGTTTTTATGTGTATAGAACTCGAGACAGACATCCAAAGTATGCTTTTTTCTTCTGCTCACCGCGATTGATTCATGTGATTCTTTTATCAAGTCATAGGCACATTCGATATAGTCTGTTCTTTCACAGTCTTTCGTTGATAGCTTGCCTAAAGCAGGGAGGTGTTTCGAAGGAGAAGCACAATCGTTATCTAAGTCAGGTCAATATCAACCAAGAACTGATTAAAAAGTAAGTGCACTGAAGAAGCAACACTGTTTCGCGACTTATGTTTGATTCAGATGGGTCTCCTCCAGCGCGGTCAACAATAGTCATTGGGTGGCTCTCGTTGTATGTCTAATTTCTCAATTCGAAGATGCCTCTCAATTATTGCGTCAGGATGCAGAACTGGCGTCGTTGTTCAACGACCCATCCACTCACAAGCTCTACGATATAGCTGTCAAGTAAGTCATCTACACAAGCTTCAAGTGTGGAGTCCTGATAATAGACAATCAAGGCAAGCCGTCAATAATGATTGGCTATTGGAAGAAGGACTAGGCCTGTATTTAGTAAGTAGATATCTTGTCTGATCACCCTGCATTTAACGCTCCAGATTCTGCAGCAAGGTTGCCATTTTGTGAAGTGCGGGGTGGAAGGTCTGGGCAGTGAACTTCAGCGTCGAGGAATTTCACGGCAATCCCAATGGGGCGCTCAAGGCATAGTGTAAGCTCGTAGTTCAAATTTTTAATCTAGAACATCTACACTGAAACCTTGAAAATCAGGAATCATTTGAACTCCGTTGTCGGTATCCGGTCGCAATATCCTCTAAAACGGCCTATCTTCACTTCGGATGTTGCTGTGCAAACAGACAGTGGTCTAGCCTCATTGAGTTCGCAAATGTCGTCTCACCCTAAAATGGACGTCAGCGACGATCATCAGACAACACTTCGAGCTAGCCATCTTGCTGCCATCTTACAGTGGAGCAAAGATATTTCCAGCGACATAAATCTGTCTTCGGCGCTGCAGAGACTAACTGAGATTGCTACCGGTGCGAAATAAACCTGTACCATTTAATGCCACATACCTAAATGTTCCTATAAATAGAGACTTCTGGATCGCAAAATACATGTGGTATGCATTTCATGAATGTCGTCAGAAATTATTCTTCAAGATTTTTCTAGTCGTCATAGCTCACGAAGCAGGCGAATACTCTGTCGCTACTCAGATGATTGCCCCCGAACCGTGTCTGGTTTATGAGTAAGTCTTGCATGGAAATCAGTTCCGCTCTCATAAGCCTTTTCTAGGATTCCCAAATCCATTCGATCTATCGGAGATCCACTACAAAAAGCCATCATTGAACATAGTGTGTTTCCTTTTCTTTGCTGTGAATCAGTTTCTAATGCATAATGAAGCTTTGAACTCCAAAGAGCACATTTATTATGATGATGCATCATCTGACATGAGATTTTCTTCTGAAGCAGCGCAATCTCCTCATCGATCCGTTATTTGCATTCCCATCTTCAGCAATCGCGGACAAACTTTCGGTGCAGTCTACGTGGCTTCCAAATACACATTTTCTCAGAACATAGTGACAATTTTGACATTGCTTTGTCAACAAGCAAGCATCAGTGTATCGAATGCACTTCTCTTCCGCTCGGTACAGGCTGGTACTCGGGAAAATCTAAAGATGATTGCTGTTCAGAGAGATGCTCTAGAAGCGGCAAGGAAAAGCCGCGAAGACGCTCTCAAAGCTACGAAGGTGAAGAAAATACTTCCAACATGAAACTAACTAATTGCGCTATAGATCAAAAGTAACTTCCTAGCCTCGATGAGTCATGAACTGAGAACCCCTTTCAGGTAAGCAGTTTATATTTGCGTCGTGCAATTCTTCTTAAAACACCATTCAATTGATAGTTCATTCTATGGACTTTTGGATTTGCTCAGTGGCACGGAACTGAATCCGGGTCAAAACGAGATAGGTAAGTCTGAGTAGTGTTAGTTTAACGGTGTCATGCCCTATTGTTTGATGTTTTTACAGTACAAACCGCAAAACAATCATGCGAGCTGTTGCTAAAGGTACAGTTCATTCTTCGAATTGACAAGCTCTACAACTCATTTATATCTCAGATTATTGATTCTATCTTGGATTACAGCAAATTGGAGGCTTCAGGTGCCTATTTTCACTTTTATGTCAATTATCCACTCAAAGCCGCACTTGTAGCGGTAAAGTTAGAACCAAGTGGATTCCTTGTGGAGGTTTGATTTGAGTATACCAAGCATGATTCTCAAGCTAACTGAAGTCTGTTCCCTAGAATATCATTGCTGTAAGACAGCAACCTCGTTATGAATAATTGAAAGATTATAATTGTTGTTTTTCCTTTAATGACAGGATTGTATGGAACTCTTGCTCCCTATGGCGGCAAAAAAACTGGATCTGTCATTTGACATTGACCCCAATGTACCGCCATGTACGCAGCCTTCGAAATTTGCTAAATGGCTCTTCACTCATTGAAGGAATCTTACAGGGGTATATGCAGACTACGCTCGAATACGACAAGGTTTGAGTAAGGTCTTTGTTTTTTACTACATGTATTCTGAAGACTCCCTAGTACTCATGAACCTCATTGGAAATGCCGTCAAGTTTACTGCCGATGGGTCCGTTCAAGTGACTTGTACATTGGATAAAACACACACTTCAAGTTCGACACCAACTACAAATGATGAAGTCAGCCTGAAATTTACTATCCAGTGGGTTTTCTTTGTTCATGACCAATTTTTACTTATCGTCATTTTTTGTCAGGGATACAGGAATCGGACTCTCTCCAAGTGACGTGGAGCTATTATTCGTGCCATTCCAACAGGCTGACAATTCCTCCACTCGTCGATTCGGGGGTACTGGGCTCGGTTTATCGATATCTAGACAGTTGGTCAAATTGATGAACGGCGTGATTGCAGTCGAGTCTGAATTGAACGTTGGTTCAAAATTCTGGTTCACTATTCCAGTGAAGATTTATAACTCAGGAGAGTCTCAAAAGGTATACTCTGAATTCTTTCTCGGGTTAATACCTCTAATTCGAGTATTGTGTGGTCAGTATCTTTTCGACATAGAAAACCTTAGATCTGGCCTCACCAAACCTCGCCCACCACACATTGTGGTGTGTTCAGCCTCCCCCGTAACATTGACGCTATTTGGACACATCCTTCCTGGATTTTCTGTAGTTCTCGCATCTAGCATTGCGGATGCAGAGATATACCTACGCAATCTTGGCGATCGCAATCCCCCAGTCGATTTTGTCATCATGGATCATCAATCGGAAATGCAGGCAGAGGAGTTGGCAAAATTTATTGACTCCCTTCATTATAGCACATTGAAAGAAACGAAAGTCATACACCTGTACACCCCGACCACCAGCCTCTCTGGTCGCTCTGTCTTCGGCAGCAATAGTCCAGGTGTCGTGAAAATGACAAAGCCGCCGCGGAAGGCCCGACTGCTACAGACACTTGCCGGACTGAAGAACTTACCCAACGCCATGCCTATCGCTCCTTCATCAGATGTAATTCGGGCCATGGATAATATCGCTGCAGCGCAACGCACCCTCTTCGGGAATGTCCTCATAGCAGAAGGTCTGTTTTGTTGTTGTTATCTATCTTGTTATCAACTCATTGCTTTCCATTTTCAGATAACCCTATAGCTCAAAACTTATTGGTGAAACAACTGGAGCGTTATCAACTTAACGTCACCGCTACAAGCAATGGCAATGAAGCTATAGCAGGTCTGTACCCTTGTTCGACTTTGCCCAGCTTTTGACTGAGCTTATTATCAGAATGGGAAGCTCATGAGCCAGGTTATTTTAGCGTGGCGCTATTCGACCATCGTAGGTGCCTCAATTTATGTGGGCCGCTTCATGATCACTTGATGATATTTAGATATGCCGATTTGTGATGGTGTGGAGGCATCCAAAAAACTACGGCACTTGGAAAACAAAAGAAAGGTTTCAGTTATATTGCCTAGTTTGTCTTTCATACCTTTCTTATGAATTTGATTCTGATAATGTTTCTAAATAGTCGTTGCTCTCAGCGCGGATTGCCAAGAGTCCACAAAACAATTATGCCTTAGTGCAGGAATGAATGCCTTCTTTAGTAAACCACTAAGGAGAAGTGTGTGTTTTCGTTTTCACAATATTCGTAGGCTGACAGCACCTCCAGGCGATCTCACCTCTCTACTATCTATGTTCGGGTCATCTCGCCCGTAATGTCGGATGTGCTTTGCCAGTCTATTCTGCTATCTGTATGCTGTCAACTCTAATTTATCTCTACTGTAACCTCTCTCTTGTGTTGTGCCCAGGTTGTACCATTTCCAGAAACACGTCCTCGATATATATACCTGTAGAATTATGAGAAGACATGTTGACAAAGTCCAGAGAATTCCACAAAGATTAAGTACACTGTTGTACATCATTGCGTGTACCACTACTACAATGGAACGGAAGACAAGACAAGACGATCCCAAAGCTAAAGGATGAATTTACATAAGATAATGACGGACGATATTCATAATGCTAATGACAACAATAGAGTGGAAAAAGAAGTAGAAACGACGACGTTAGTTAACGAGGATTATGCCCGAACGATGCGTTATAATGCATAGGCACCCCACCATATCCTGTGCCCATAGCCGCTGCTTGAGCTTGCTGTTGTTGTTGGGCGTGCATCTGATGAACCGAAACAGGATTCGCTATGAAATTCGGCGGGCGGCTATATGCCTGTTGTTGCTGCTGGGGAGGAGGCAGCCCATGAGGGTGCGGGAAGGAAAATGCAGGAGGTGCCATCGAGCCTGCGGTAAATGTGCTGTTCGAGGCGGAAGCAGTAAAGTAGGGATGGGAAAGTGCTTCGGCGGCGGATATTCTTTCAGCAGGATCAAATTTTAGTAGACGCTCAAGAAGGTCAATGGCTGTTATCTTTGTCAGCGACGTTTGTGAATCAGGCATGTCAATGATTGCTCACCGTGCGGCGATGCCTTAGGCACCACAGAGCGCAGGTCCTGCTTGGGGTAGCGAGGGTATTGCTTTATCTGAATTTCCGGCTATGGAGGATCGTGAGATTATACAAAAGATCGAGCCAACACGGTACGTACAGATTCCTTGGCCATTTTGTCGAACGTTTGTTGACTAGGCGTACCAATGATCCTCATGATATGCAATAGTTGATCGTTATTATCCCGTCCTCGGAACAGTGGCAATCCGGATATCATTTCTGCGAATATGCAACCGCACGACCAAACATCAATGGATGTACTGTATGTCCGGGAACCAAGGAGAACATCGGGCGCTCGGTACCAAAGAGTCACTACCTGGATAGATGTTTTTAGGTGAGCCCAAATTTGTCAACATCGCAGATACTCACCTCATTAGAGAATGTATTGACCGGTACACCAAATGCTCTCGCTAAACCGAAATCGCCCAACTTCAGCTCGCCTTTACGGTTGATCAACAGGTTTTGTGGCTTCAAATCTCGATGTAAGACTTGGTTTTCGTGGCAAAAGGCTGTACCCTTGAGAAGTTGGTACATGAAGCTGCGAACAGTGTTGGGATCAAGGGCGCCACGCTCGCCATGTTGGTCCATGTACTTCTTAAGATCTTGTTCGCAAAACTCGAATATGAGGACAAGCTTTGTTTCTGTATGAATAACATCGTGGAGCCGTACGATATTAACATGCTTGAGTTCTTTCATGAGAGAAATTTCACGGATGGCAGTAGAAGGTGTGCCTTCCTCCGCATCCAGATGAATCTCCTTCAAGGCGACAATTTCATTTGTAGTTCTCGACCTTCCCTGATAAAAGAGATGAATATTTAGGACAGATATTGCAAGTCAGGCCGCACACCTTGTACACTGTGGCATATGTTCCTTCACCTGATGCTTGGCATTAGATACAGAAGACGAAGACTTGAAATGTTTAGAAACTTGCCTAGTTTTTCGAGCTAGATGCGCCACGATGAGTTACTTCGGTTCCAGCAAGAACTAGACTATGATCATACCTGCACGTAGTTCATTTAATATAAGCAATCAAGAAGTTCGTGGTATGGAGAAAAGGATCGCAGAGAGTGGGTGGTGGAAGAGGTATAGGGAGGATGATAATAATATACAAGAGACGTAGCATGATTCTTTGAGCACCCGGGCCGATGACACGTGATGATCCGAGCAAACAAAAAAAATGAAAGTTTGCTTGAACGATTCGGAGGACACCTTTTGGCGCGTATTTTGCTGAGCGGAAGGCGTGCTTTCTTCCACCCAGGATATTTTGACATGTCTACCTCCGACAAATCAAAAAAGAATCAGACGAAACAGTCAAAAAGCCGGCCTATTGCTACTTCGACTATCTCTCAGCCGGTAGTCGAAGATTCATCGTCCCTTACTGCTCTTTCTTCCTTTTCTTCGAAAGGAAATCTCTTTGCTTATCTCTCCCTCGCGGTTGACAAGCATCGGTTACGCATCTATGACCCCGCAACCGGGCAATCTGTAGCAGAACACATCGTGAATTCTGCTCGAGTCTCTTCATTGTCATGGCATCATCTTTCAACAGTTATTAGCTCTACTGGGTTACCTCCAAGCAAGAAAAAGCGCAGAAAAAGTCAGGCTCCAGAATACGCCCAGTCAGGATCAACCCAAACGGTTGCATTGGGTCTGTCGGATGGGTCTGTCGTGTTCTTTTCACCGACGCACGGTCGAGTGCTTTCAACACTTTCACATCCCTCGAGCACTTCTGCAATACTCTCATTAGTAGGGGAAGAGCACAGCAGAGATGGTTCATCTAATGTATGGACATCTGGTGCGGACGGAGTAATTCGTCTGTGGAATGTTCACAGAAACGAGATGAGAGGGAGCTGGAAAAATGATGACCGGATACCGTATACCTCTATGACCCTCAGACCTTTACCCGACAATGAGAACCCAGAGCTCCTCGTCGCACACCACTCCATCCGATTACTTTCCATCGAGTCTGATCTCGCAAATCAGAAACCTAAAGAGTTGGCCTCCTTCACAGGTCATGCATCCTCTATCAAAATGCTGCAATGGGATACCTCTGCATCCCCTTGTCGCCGCTTCGTATCCATGGCAGAAAATGACCGCGTTATATCGCTTTGGGAGGTTCCTTCAGATGATTTGACCACGAGCAAAATGGTCGCGTCAGTCCAGTTAGACTCAGACGCTCGCTACGTTTCGCTATCCACGTCTACATCCACCCTTTTAACTTTGGCTGCTTCAGGCAAAGTATCCGTATATCCGATACCTGACGAACTGGTCCCATCAGCGAGCTCGAATCGCACACAACATAAAATACCTACTCTTCTTCCTCGATCAACTCTTTTCGTTTCCTCTAAAGGAAACTCTTCCCACCTGGTCGCAAGTTCATTTGTTGAGGGTTCGTCCCGAAGTATTCGCGTTGTGCGAATTGCAGGGGGCGTCAGACCTGTTTTCAACGTTCTCGTGAGTCCTCCCCTCAGTGAAATTACCCTTCTTTTTTGAAATAACGCTCTTAGGATTGCCAAGATGAGGATGGAAATTTTATCCCAGAGGTTGTAATACCAGATATTAGTCTGAATGCAATGTCTGAATCCCGTCAGGTATGTATTGCTCCATCTGCTAGTGCGGACGCATCTTATATATGTATTTCTCTATTTGCATCTCGTTAGGGAGTTCCCAACAAACGGTACACCGAATCTTTGGCGGCGGTAGGGTCTGGCGTTGATCTTGGTCAGGATGAAAATTTGGACAACTTGAATGTCCAAAATGTTGAGGGTCACCTTGATGTAGATATAGCTGAACTGAGTTTAGGACAGCGTCTTACAGCTGTTTCTGGCGCGGATGATGTCCAGCGGGACAGCGATTCAGAACCATCGTCGAACAAGAAGCAAAAGTCCAAAAGCACTCAAGATGGACTTTCCGTGGTACCAGCAGCCTCTCTAACGCGGACATTAATTCAAGCCCTGCATTCATCTGATTCAAGGTTAATGGAGACATGTTTAGCTCATTCCGATACTACCTTGATACGAAATACCGTGCGGAGGCTTCCTCCCCAGCTTGCGGTGCCACTTATCACGGCTTGCGTAGAAAGGTTAGGGCGAGGTGCAAGGGCGGGGAACATGAAAGGCGGAGGTGGTGGTGCAAGTTCTCAGAGAGGTACCGGACTCCTTATCTGGGTAAAGACGGTACTGTCTGTCCACGGTGGACATCTAATGACTGTACGTGGCCTTCTAACTTGATCGAGTTATTCTCAATTCCGTTATAGATGCCCGACCTAGTAGCTCGTTTGTCGGGTCTTCACTCGATCCTTACATCTCGCCTCACTCTACAAGACAGTTTACTGTCCCTGAGTGGTCGGCTGGACATGGTGCTTTCACAGATAGAGATGCGATCGTCGACTGCACCAGCTCCTATCGCACTAAGATCGGCAAAATCGTCATCTGTGGCAAGAACTGTCGAGAAGACGCACTACGTGGAAGGAGAGAGCGAGGATGAAGATCCTCGAATGGACGTGGAGGTTGAAGTGGATAGTGGTAACGAAGATGCCGATATCGAAGATATCGAACTTGGAGGAAGCAGTCAGGAGGAATCCGAGGAAGAGGAAGAAGAAGAGGAAGATGATGATGATGAGGAGGAGGAGGATGACGACGAAGAAGACCCTACAATGAACGGATTCATTGATGACGAAGCAGAAGAAGAGTTTACTGACGAAGAAGGGGATGAAAGTGAATAGTTTGATACATATATTATTCGTCATCTACTATTTCGTGTTCTGCTTTCTCTGTAGCTTCGACTTGATCTTTCTTGGTTCCGCGGCAGCCTTCTTCTGCACATCGATTATTGTTTATCGACTTCGTTTAGGCTATGTCTTACGCACCCGCTTTTTCGATGAAGGTTGTGATACTTCTGGATCCGAATCGGTTAGCACTGAAAGGTCACTCTCGCTGTCTTCCTAGGAAATTGGTGTTAATGAATGACCATTCAATGTCAGATAACCCCACGTACTTCCAGTAAATGCGAACGGGTTGTGCGCTTTTTAATCAAAGGGACTGGCGCCTGGCTCGTAAGTTGTTGCAATTCCGCGACATATGCTGATGTCCGCCCCCCAACGGTGACCCATTTTATAGTTGCAAGATCACCTGAAACCTTGAATAAAATGAGGGTTCAACAACTACCTAGCCACCATATATCCTTACATACCAGTTTCAAAGGGTCTGCGTTTGTCTTCTTTCCTTTCCCCTGCCATTAGTATGTTGAGTGAGGTTTGCTGTTTCCCAGAAACCATTCTACTTACCCATCGATGCTTAAATAACCAATCTTCTGGAAATTTCGTGGCGTCGGCATCAACTGAGACAGCAGTCTCGCAAACGAACTTCGTGAATTGATGTAGATTTCCAATCTGAGTTGTTGTCAGCGTGTTACATCTTTGCTCGGGATGTATACGGGAATGGTAAAGAATCTCGTCTGGGGATCATGATAAACTTAGAGTGATGAAGAAGAAACAAACGAGCTTACCTGCCACCCAGTTACCTACTCCTGCGCTGAAGGATTGATCCAAAAGAAGTGCTTTGATTGGACAACTTCGTTTCATTACCAGGGGTTCAAACACCTCCAAGGAAGGCATGCATAAGATTGGATCGAAACCAAGTTCAGATATCGGGGCCTCCTTATCGGGACAAGCACGAAGGCGGATCTTGCCCAGTCTTCGCGCATCCATGAAGGCTATCTCAGCAGTTGCTTGTGTACGCTCGTCTCGCATATGCAGAATGAACTTGAATAGTAGTCTGTGAATGTATGAAGATATAATGAAGAGTTTCAAATAATACCTTCATAAAGCGAGGCGGCCAATCAGTAGATGCACTCTTCGGGGTCTCTTTGTAGTACATGGGTTTCTCGCCTTTCACCTTCTCGGAACGATCATAAGTCCCCGCATGCTTAGGGGCGTATATAATGATAATACCTGGAGCATTCCCGTCATTCCAAAGTGTAAAACTGGCAGCTTCCCTTGTCCGTCAAGTTCCAAATAGAATGATTTGCCTACGATTTGAGCGTCAATGTTGAGCACCATATGGGATACAAAGCATAGCATAGAACCATAGCGTTTGACACCGGTGATCTTTCTGCCCGTGATTTCATTGGCCTGTTGTGATATATCATTATATGTAGTTGAAGATATTTGCTGCAATTCTCATAAGATCAGACTCACAAAGTCCTCATGAGTTATTCCCGAAAATATAATGTTGTCTTCCGTAGTTTCCACTCTTTGAATTGTCTTGTTCAGAGCTAAACGCTTAATTTGCTTCACCGCCCGCTCGACCTCTGGATTGTCCCGACAGTGAGTGAGGGAAGCAGAAGATACAGAAATTGCAATAGGCTACCTGGAAGTTCTGGCATAATGGTCGTTAAAACTTGAAGAATTCCGAGAGGATTTACTACTATTTACTAATTAGGCGGTTAAGAGACGCGGCGCCACAATTAAGCGCCAGTCAGCTTTCCACCTTCCCGTCTCAATTGTTACAATTGTTTGCAGAATTTGGGGAATCACGCTCCCTTGTTTCTACTGACTGATTCAAGCTCCAAGCGCAGGGTTTCAGCTTCCGTAGCGTCTGGTTTCAGCCCACTGGCGTGAATGTGTCTAGACATTGAGTAAGAGTGTTCTCCATTCTACATCTGCAAAACCTGTATGTTCGCCAGAGCAAGGGTACTGGCTGGAGAGCACTCTCCAGCATCGAAAGCACCGAAAGCAAGATTTTCAACTTGCTTTCGGTGCTTTGGCTGCTGGGAAGCGCTCTCAGCTGCTCTCGGATGGTTAGCCGAAAATACATGTTTTGCAGATGTACTTACAAGCAATTTCCGGTCTTGGATCATCAATTGCATAGATTCTTCCTGAACTGCGATTAGGCCTGACTGGCTGATATAGCTTGCGTGTATTTTCTAAAACGATAGTGCGTACTGCGGGTTGTAGGGCTTACTCCACTGTAATCAAAGATCCTTCCTATCTGCCTCTATCGACTCGTATTTCAAACTTCTAATTCCCATAGATACGACATGACTTCATGATGTCGTTTGAACTCATCGGGTGCGAGTACTACAGTAGGTGGTGGTGCAATGTCCACGGCGCTTTAATAATAACATCAAACCGGTCTAGGCAGTTATGACCGGTGTGTCAATAAGGTAAACTGACTTTTCACTGCCGCTTTCAGTTGCTGTAAAGAGTAAGTAGGCCCCTTGTCGGAGCGCCGATCTCGTAGGCGCATTAATTCATGGTTCCGATTTCTGTGGTCAGTTTTTGGATCTTGTTTGTCGGCATTTGATAGCGTTTGATTGAACAGAGCCCCCCCCCCCCCCCCCCCCCCCCCCCCCCTCGTTCCTACATACACAGACAGTCTGTTTGGAGGTGGGCCTACTCCTGACTTGGATTTTTTTTTTTTGCAGCTGTGCTACATTCAGTTTACTGCAAAATGGTCTTCCGCTTCAATAGGATCTGATTTACTGACTCGGACGCTTTGCTTTTCAACCGGTCCAGCAACGGGCATCAATGCATCATGGCTGATGAACACTGCTTGGATCATCCTCCTTTCATTCATCTGCTCCTTGCCACAGTGGAGATTGATGATCATCACAACTTGAATTTTGCACTGATTTTGTATCTGTCAACTCAGTGGTAATTACCTTCCCTCTTTTCCCTCGTTGTCGTTTAATAAATTTTTGGATGACAGGCTTCCCTCGCTTTCCCTTGTGTGATTCATACAGTTCTCGTTGGTTACTGAGCTTGCGGGAGTGTTTTAAAACATTGACAGGTGATAGGATGTGAGCAGCAGACTGTCTTGAACTGTCAACGTACCATAGCCTATCTACATATGTTCCTCTACAATGGTACCACGGAATAGAGGGTCATGTACATATATGTGGCACCCAATTCTGAGCAATTCCAGTCAAGTACAGTAGATCACAGTCTAGAGTTAGTCTCCAGGTAAAAATCCAATAGAATGATCTGAGCCCCACCGAGAGGCGTGATCTGTGTGTACGGATAGAAAGTAGCCGTTCACTCAGTTTGTTTCCGCAAACGAACAGATAAAATTATGTATAACGTGGATGACTCTGTATAATAACAATTGGGCGACCAGGGCAGTGGGGAAGTTGGTCTAAGTTGGTCTGAGGTATCCTGATGTCTCCTGTTGTCATTTTTTTATACGTAGGCTGTAGACCATCGTAAACCACAAGCCAACTTCGGGGGTATATTCCCCGGCAGATAGAGGGTACATGACTGCCAAATAGCCGTGATAAACACACGGGTTGGCCGAAGCAGCGACACCATCTGGGAAAGTGGGTTTTGACCTGCTTTGACCAGAGAGAAACACGGAAATTTTCAAATTGCTCAGGCACGCGTCGCATAAATTCTCCATCACGATGGCTCAGTTTTTTGGCGCCCACACTTTGCCCAGGCCACTCACGATTTATAATCTTTGACCTCTTCAGCCTTGTCTCTTGTATAGTCTTTTTACATATTTCAACTCGAAGGAGCACTGAAAGTAATCAAGCGTTAAGCTTTCAAATTTCAAGCTTCAAGTGGCATCGACTCCCGACTGGATTTCGGATCTTTTTTTTCTCTGACTTTTGCATGACGACGCGGGTGAGCTTGTTTACCGATACCTACTCCTTGCAAAATCCGATGTGAACTCCCTTGCATGGCCTCTTTAGTTTGGTATAAGAACATTCACCTTTTTTACCCAAACTTGACAGCACCCGGTGCATCTGTTTTGACCAACCATGTCTTCTGGCGACCCAAATCGAAACCGCTCTCTGGCAGAACCCGCAGAAGATACAGAGTCTTCAATTCAGAACACAATACAGAGGCTCGATTTAGCCTTTGAACGTATCCGACATTTGAGAAGAGATATCTTGTATCCGGAGCAAGTGGATCACGCAAACAGCAGCCACAGCAGGAACAGAATCGGTCCTGGTCATGAAGCTATTGTGCTCACTGGTCAGAACGAACGAGAATATTGGGACGAACTAGAGAGAATGGATAGGATGAGGAACATAGTCCCTGCGGATACTCGCGAGCGTCTTAGGCAGTTCGAGGCTCGTCGTGCAGAAGCGGATCGCGAGAGAAACAGGGACAGGAACACTGACAGGGATCGGGCCGGGGTTCGTTCACACCTGTTGCGGGCTGCTGCTGCACATATGCATCCTCTGGACACTTCCACCTCTCCTCCGTCTTCCCATCCGTCATCCGCTCAATCTCCACTCAGCTTTGCTTCCCCGCTCAGTCCTCCTCGTCAACGTCTCTTACCGCATCGGCTGTTGGACGCTCAGCCATTCAGAAGAAGGGAATCGTCATCATCGTTATCGGATGATCCTAATACTGAAATAGGTCGCAGGGTAGCCGCCCGTGAATCTGCACGAGGCGCAACTCAGGATTCCACCCACAATGCTTCGCCGAATTCCAATTCCTCTTCTCGGGATAGCCACTACAGGCTGCCCACAGTGCTAGAACGGGATTTTGAATATGGCACTCGCACGAGACTTCAACGTTCGGAACCAGCTTTCCTGCGTCGTATTGATCCTTCCCTCGATCAACTCAGGCGAGAGGCCGAGAGTCGAATTTCTCGAAGTCTAGATACGACCGGTACTCCTCCATCCCCGAGCGCGGAAGCTTCTATTCTTCGTGCCAACATGAGAACAAGAGTTCCTCAATCACGTCAGAGCTCAAACGTGTCGACCAACTTACCATCTGCGACCTCATCGCAGAGTCGACTATCGTTATTATCGAATTTCGGAGTACAAAGTCTACCCACTCCTTCTTCAACGCTCTCCAACCCTCCTCTGTTATTTGAGGAACCTGCGAGCTATTTTCACCCGTCCACAGAGGACTCGCGATTGCGATCTGTCGAAGAAGAACGAGCGCGAACATTGGAGGAGAGCTACATGTCACAAACTAGGATGGCCGGGGGCTTGCTATTCTCATCGAGTCCTGTTCAAATGCACCATGTCCCAGAAGAAACTAGGCCAGGCCATCACCGGGATAATACTGTTCAACTGCAACACTATGCAGCCCCCAGACTAAGTGAGTTCTCAAACTTATAATAATAAACAAAGATGCTCATTTCGGACACTTTCTAAAGCTCAATTAGATGCTAACGGCGACGAGTTCCGACTTGATCCCACCAGGATTCGACAGTTCGCTGAAAGTACCTTAGGCCTGTACCCTCCACGCAGACATGCCGCCGATGAATACCCTCCCCTTCAGCCTGTAACTCGTTCACCAATACCACTCGATCCGAACAATCCTGATTCCGATGTTATCTCTCCTGAAAATTACGACCCTGAAGCTGAGGTGTACTACTCTCTCATTCCGGACGGACCATCTTCAATGCGATATGTTGTTTCTGTCGAATCAAAGCCCCGGTACTTTGGGACAAGTACGCCGCGGTATATTGATCCGCTCCCTTCTGCTCTGGTGGACAAATTTAAACAAGGGCAATCTCGACATGAACCTCGACGTCCATATGTGCATGTTCCTGCTGCCATGAGTGTCATGGCAGGGAGATAATCTGTTTCAAGCATGATCTTTCTTGATTAAATTATATTGTCGCTCGTTCTATTTCACCTTCTACCATGCATTATTACTCTAACTTATTTGTTTCGCTTTCTTGGAACATATATCTCTTCATATGCATAATACATATATATATAGCTTTCCTGTCTTGATTATTTGTTGCAGAATCTTGCATTCTCATTTTCCCATTTCAATTTTTCCATTCCATGCAATATTCATCACTTACCATTACTATCAGCTATTATCTCATGTATGTCGTGCATAGTTCCATCGAGAATTAACCTTTTCTTTTCGGTGCTAGTTCGTATCAGAATTGCAGAAGATTCACAGAAGGTTCCCCCCTACCACTGAGCAGACGCACTGACATCCGTGCATGGGTAAAACAGGCAGCAACCTTCTTCAATCCATGAGCAAATTTTCTTCTTTCATCTTTCAAATTCTTTCTCGCGGGACGAAGTACCTGAGGTCTGAAACTTCAAGCCTTCTCCGACACCAATGTATGGGTTTGTTCTTTCAACTTCAAGTAGACATCACGATAGTGTGATAGGCTTCGGAAAAATGTGGGCATGAACTTGCTACATATAGCGTTATAGAATTGAAGTTCTTCATTTGTCTGGAAGTTCTGTTGAGCGACAGTGGAATTTGGCGGGCATTCTGATGGACTTTATCCCATACAGAAGATGGGGGTCGTTGGAAATACATACGGTGTGACGAAATTTGGTCATCCATGGTGAAGATTCACTTGAAGCCACCAATCATATAGCTTGACGTTGAGGAGAGAAATACATCTCCTCACCGACTAACATTGATGTTAAGCCCGCAGACAGGCCCAGGTGAAAAATACGCAATAACGGTATAGCAGGAAATTGGTGAACTTCGTTTGCATTTTATGAAATAGGCTCACTAGTGATAAAAGGCCCGAGCAGCATCGGTGTCTTCCTTAAATGGTTTGCAGGCTTGAAATCATCTCCTTACGTGGAGATTCGGGTAATGATAAACTAGTTGATCATGCAACCTGCACAGTAGTAGTCTCAAAGATATGTCACCATATGATAATCCAAAGACCGACTAAGCCTATGAGATAAGAACGACCTTGCCTTGGCTATCAAACTCGTAAGACCTCAGTTCTAAAGATATATGTGTATTTCAGTAACACGATGTCGATGCACGAAAGTGTTTCTTACCACAATTATGGAAAATTTCACCTCCAAAGATATATCGTAAGATTCCTCGATGAGATATTATGAGCACATTGCTTTCTGGACGACCCTTGAGTTCCTGAAGAAATGCTTCTGCTCTCTGAAACGCTCGTTCGTCAGTATGACCTGGATAATTCCACTCTTCATGACATCTAGAGAAATCTAAAGAAGGATAAGCAGCTTCTAACTCTGCTCTGGAGCGACCCAAGTTGCAAGTTGCGTGGTCGTGTGTTTCTCGTAATTCAGGCCAGATTTCTACACGAATGTCCGGCTCATTGCCATTCGAGCTATGATGCATAGGATGATCTTTCAGTTTGGGAAGAATGGCGTAGAGAGTTTGGATTGTGCGGGTCATTGGGGAACAAATTATGAGGTCGGGGATGAAGGTTAGAGGAACGCCAGAGGCTTTTGCGAGGCCTTGTTCAGTCAAGGGAGGATCGCGTTCTGGCCATCCTCTTTGCACACTGGGGAAGATGAAATAAAAGATCAGTTTTATTCAAGTATACTATACCGACAGATCTACGGACTTGTGAATCGCTTGGCCGTGGCGGAGAGCATGGAAGCGTTTTACAGACATGCTGGCGGCCCTTTAAGTTTCCAATTCTGGATTGTTCGTTGTTAAACGTTTATCATTTGACATTTAATGAGGATAAGCTTGCCCCTCGTACCGATAAGTCCTTCTTAGCTCAGTTGGTAGAGCGCGTCACTAGTAATGACGAGGTCAGTCGTTCAAGTCGGCTAGAAGGAATCAATTCACACTGTCTTCTTTTTTAGTCGGCCTTCGTTATTTTTCTTCCACATCGCACGCCCAGCTCTTAGTCCCTCCCCCTCTTTGATGGAGGTTGGTTCTTCTATCGCAAACTTTTTTCTTTCTACCTATATATCCCATTTCATTTAGGTTATCAATGCTCGATCCGCCCTCCTCTCTAATTTTGAAGTCCTCGAGCTTCTAAGAGACCTCGAGAACGAACATTTAGCGCGTACAAAGACCGCAATCCGTATCAAAAAGGAAGAAGAGGCTTCTGGTATATCCAGTGTAGAAAAGCATCCCGCGACAATAGAGATCACTGAGAATGTACGGACGGTACAGGTCGAAGTGTGTGTAACACTTATCCCAGTTTTTGCAACCGTTAGTTGACGATCCTCACTGTCGCAGGCGATCCAATATCTAGCTGCTGAATATCAGCAGACCTCTTCACAAACTTCCACAGGGATAACACAGCTAGTGAAAGATCTCTCAAGCTATGACCTGACCAAAGCTGAAAAACTACAAATCGTAAACCTCGCTCCTACGCAGCCGGTAGAGCTCTATGTTGTGAGTGTCGATGTAGTGTGTCTAGATCCTCTTTCTCAGCTCTCGTCAACAGATCGTAGAGGAATTGGAAGACCGATTAGGTGACGCTATGGAGTCAGTCCTCTCAGCAGTGTCTGCATCTCTGTCTGCGGCGTCTTCGCAGCCAGTTAACACGTCTTCCCCACTACGCTTGACCTCAGATACTATGGCAGACTTGAGTCTCCAGTATCCCTCCGAAGACTTTGACGATGGAGCCGTAGTCGATGACATGATATTTGACGACGAAGGTCAAGGCGTCGGCATCGAAGGAGACTTGGACAAGGAAGAAGATTAGCTTACTTCCGCGACCTGGAATATGTATCTTGAAAATGTAAATTGTCTATGAAGGAAATTGAAAATGCAGCCGATATGTTACTTTGAATGATAATTTAATGTGTGTAGGTTTCCCAAAAAGAATCAAAATCCATCCCATCCATCCATATTGATCGCTAGTGGGTATCCTTTTTTTCCAAGAAATCTCGTCAAGCTTAACCCGAGATAAACAGATTACATCGCGCCGACGGTCACCCTGCCCTTGAACCAGTCCCGCATCCCTTTCGCCCGAAGACTGATATTACTCTTCACACTCTCCGGCAAACTCTTCAAACTCCTCATACTCTTTCCACTCTTCACACTCTTGAAACTCTCTAGCGAAGGAGCGCTCCTCAATCCGGCACTCCTCAATCCGATCTCACGCCTTTTCTCATTAACTTCAGCTACACTCTCCAAGCTTGTCACCGGGAGCTCGGATTCAAGATGAGGCGGCGGCAAGGTCCCTAGCGCGTAAGGACCAGATATCGTTGGACGAGGAATGGTCGACCTAAGCTCATGAGAAGAGATCGACGGAGCGCGCTTCACAGCCGAACTAGTCGTGCTTGAAGCCGAAGAACCTTTTCGTTTTAACGAAACAAAGCTTCGGAGCGTGCCAGTACCAGTACTGCCACTCGAGGTTCGTTCCCTGCCTCGATCTGGGGTTGGTGTGACACAAGTGTCTTCTCGTTCCTGCGCGCGCAGTGCGCGAGCATTGGTAGTTGAACGGGTGTTATGAAAATCTTCTACAAAACGCGTGGTGACATTGAGCTTGACCTCGTCTGCGGCAGTGATAGCAGCGGGAGCCGTGTCTCCTGCGAGGTTAAGATCGCTAGCTGCGTAGGGATGTGAATGAATGAAGGCAGTCTGCTCTGCAGTCTCTTCACTCATATATCCGTCTCCCTCGTTGTCCTCGTTCGTGTCCATATCCATTTCCGACAGATCGATCCCCATGTTGTTATATTCAAACGGACCGGAACCTGTAGTCCCATCCCATGATTCGTATATCGCACTAGCGTAGTGCACCGTGGGTTTTTCAACAAATTTCACAGATTTGTTGCTGCTGACTGTTGTACTCACGCTGTCCTTTCGCTTGGTCGTTCGTCGTAGACTGTCGTCCAGACCCAGGTCGACACCAGAGTCAAACTTGGACGAAGAGTTTATTAGTTCGGAGGAAGATTCAGAGTAGGGTATACGGGAGGCCAATATTGATTTCGTGGGAGAGGGTGATTTCCGCCTTTGAACATCCATGTGAGATGAATCGTCATCTTCAACAACTTCGACGATAGCTCGATGGTGTGGTTCGAATTTGGGCTGGAATTTCTTTGTTTTGGCGAACCCGCCAAAAGTAGGCGATACGGGTGTTGAAGGTGTCAACGGCGAAGAGGGCGTCGACGATGAAATTGAGGAGACCGAGTTCGAGAATGCGGCAGAAGAAGTGGAGGAAGATGTTGTAGAGGAAAATGATCCAGAACGACCATGGCTCGTTCTTCTCTTCACAGGAGTATTGTATATTGGTGGCGACGAGAACGTAGGTGAGGTGGGAGATCTATTGCCCGTAATGCGACTGGACACTGGGATACGGGAGATACCCAACTCTTTCAAGCTTCCTCGCGCTTTTCGCCGTTTAGGACTCGTTCCATTTGCGCTCTCTAAAATGGCTCCCGACCAGATCGAGGGAATAGCAGTGGCGGTATGAACGGCAAGAGGACTTGACGGCGGCGGTTGCTGTTCTTGTTTGTTCTTCGCTCTACCCAACGATAAACGGGCTATTCTAGAACCTGGAGGAGAATTTGGGGTCGACGCATTCTCAGAGACTGAATTAGGTCCAGACCGTGGGTGAAGTATTGAATTCCAGAAAGCACCCGTCTTACCACTTGTCGAAGAAGCTTTCGACCTCCTTGACGATGGTTGGCGAGTGAGACTGGACGCGGAAGAGTTTAAACCTAAAGACGAAGGGATCATGACTCCGATACTCCCGATACTTCCAATACTACTACCACTGCCGTTGTTGACATTGGTATCTCGGTTGCCGTTGATGAGATGTGCTGGAAGGTTCGACGAGCTAGCGTTCAGACAACTAGTGGAAACATCTGGGAAATAGCTGGCTGCTAGACCGGATCGGTACGTGGTCGAAGTAGGCGTGACGCATCGACTGCTTTCTGCGGTTGAGGCAGGGGAGGGGGTGCTGGCACTTGCAGTAGAATCAGACACGGTACGGCGAGCATATTTGATAGCGGAAGGACGCGGAGGGGAAGAAGCAGATGGTGATTTGGGACGACGATATATCCATTCGGAACCCGGAGAGCCGTTGTGAGTAGACGAATAAGAGGCTGTGCGTTTGTTAAGACGATGAGGTGGAAGGGAGGAGCTCATGGTAAGCGGAGGACTCTCGAGTGAGGTTGCTTGCGGAGAGGAACATATAGATGATACCGAAGGGGCCTGTTCATGAATCATAAGCCAAAAGTAAGGTTTAATTGCCATACGAAAACGTTGAATCAACACACCAGGATAGAACTAAGGTTAGAACGCGAATGCCGCCTGGTGAAGGAACCTGACATGCGGTTAACGACTTTTGCGCTGCTAGACTTTGTAGAACGTTGGTAGTGATGACGTTTGTTATTCTTGTGGCGGGGGAATGTGGAAGTAGATGTTGTAATAGTGGTAGAGCTGCGGCTCGAGGATGAATGCTGATCACCGAAAATAGTAAAAAAAGATGTCGATCAATAATCTGTTTGTTAAACAACGCACAGATGTGGTGTAATTTGAAAGAATGGGATTCGTGTTTGCAAGTTCTGTTGTATTGGAATCTTGGAGAATCGTGACGGCATCAAGCCATCGACGTTCATCGCTAGTTATTGAACTGAAGGAGAGATTGGATTGCTATGTAGCATTGATCGATTTCAATGCGCGCACAAGACACGATGAATCCGCTCACTTGGTACATCTCTGATTATCTCTCTCTCTCTGGTTAGTGGTCAACGGAGGTGGTGGCCAAAGAAAGTTGAAGTATACGCGGAAGCGTGAGGATTAGGGAACGGTTATTTGTTCAGCTTTAGACGAGCAAGAAAAGAGAGGGGAAGCTTTACAGAAGCTGGGGGTGGAAAAAAGGAAGGTCGTAATATCGGCGGGCCTTTTTCAATGACAAAATTTGGCCTCACGCCTAGCCTCGAGAACACCTGCGTAAAGTTTTGGGAAGGGGTAAGGGCATACGTTCCACACGTGTAAATTTCCGATGCATTGCATAATGAAGTTTTAATAGAACGGCGAATCGCTGCAAACGGAGGCGATAAAAAGGATCAGACGCATGTAGAACACGCTTTAAGGATAGTCATATTTTCCACGTGATGCATTTAATACGAATTCGAGACTGAGTACGACAGCGAGGGCAAACCGAGGTGAACGAGGAACGAGGGAAGGCGAATAAGGGAAATCAGAGCGTCGGACGCTCGGCATGAAGACCACTCCAAATTCCCCTAGCTGCCTCAGTAGTACTTTGTACGGTCTTCTTTAGAGGTTTGATCTTGGCTCCCGAAGAGTCCAAGAGAAGTTCGACTTTTTTCTGGATTTGAGTCACTTCCAGACCATTCAATGGTATAACTTTGTCTCTGTTATTGACTAGGAGGGACAGCAAGAGAACAAATCATCAGATTAGAAAAGAAGAAGCAATACTTCTCGGAAAAGCTCACCATAAAAGCCACGTATTATTGGTTCTTTTTGAGATCGCTGTCGGACGACTACCTCGACATGGGAATTCTGCCGTGCGACGTCCTCGATATGGTTGAGAAGATAGGTTCGTGTGTTAGCAGACGAAGGCCAATTATCACAATACTCGATGACGAGTTTTCTGATTTGAGGAAGGAATGTAGTGTGGCCGTTTGCAGGTGTAGAACCAAGTTTTGCCCGGATAATGGGCGCAACTGGAGGCAGACGCATTGGAAGTGGTGAAGGAGGCTGCAAATTAGTTACGTAATGTCGTAATGTCGTTATGTCGTTCGCCTCAGCGTGAGCCGAATCCCTACTAGCACTACGGTCAAATCTTTACTCCTACGAATCCAACTTTTTCCTCAATTTTTTACGATGTTCACAACAAATGAAATGCTCAAGAAACTCAAATTCGTGCAAGTGAACCGCTGGGTATTGTTCTACATGATGTGAGTCTGTCTGCACACCTAAACCTGCCCGTACAAGTCAAAAAATGGTTCTATCTTGACGCAGGCTCTACTCGAGGTGGCGAAATCCAAATTAATTACTGATGTTCTATCTTGCTCTATATACAAATATTTCCAGGAAAATCGGCTTTTCTTGCGATTGAAGAGTTATTCTGAGTTATTTCGGCTTGACTGGAAGTATGCCACTGTCAAACCTAGCCGACAGATGCACATAGCGTAATTTATATATGTGTGGCACAGAGGTTGGGTGTGGAGGAATAGAAAGTATCTGTCTTTGCGAGCGAGGTAAGTTACAGTAGGACAGTGGGACTTGATGAGCCTGCTGCCGAGTAGAAAGGCTTCTTCAGTCGAGAAATCGAGACAAGGATAAGCAAAACGATTTCAAAATTCAGTGGACAAGAATGTAGCTAAAGAACAAACTAGAGGACTGAGCAAGAGAGAACTCGGAGGCAAAATGCAAGAAATGCAATTATTATGATTAGTCATTATTTGCCTTTTCTGGTGACTTTCTCATGATCAGGCCTCTGAATCGTTTCTGCCAAAACTCTTTGAACGCGTCGCGTATATTTACTGTAGGCAGAAATGGCGAGATTTACTCGTTCATCTGCTTCTGAAAATCATCAATCGTCTTCACCAAAATCTCCTCCAACTAGTTCTAAAAAGCGGAAACGGGCAAATTCGTCGAACAATGAGCTCGATGAACAACCAGCAGACAAACTCCAGCGCACACAGTCACTTCCTATTCCATCAGTGGGAGATGTTCCCATAAAGTCGGAGCAGAGTCAAAAAATTATTGACATTCTTCAAGTGTGCGTGGTCACATTATGTATTGATTTCTTTTTTGTTCTTCAACCTTTTTTTCTTTATAGAATTGACTCTCAAGGTTTTCTCGACCGAGTCTTCCCTGTGACCTCCAGTGAAGGTCTGATCTCTCTGCGAACTCTACTTCAAGAGTCTTCAAAGCATCATCTATCGGAGCTCAGAGTCCGTATATCCTTTGATCGTTCCAACACTGAATTGCTCAATAATTGTTCTTTCAGTCTGCTGTGCACCACCTTTTTCCTGTATCCCTCAGAAACCCTCGTTCTCGAACGACTAAGCTTGCCTCACAACAACAAGCATTTTGTAACATTGCTCTTTCTCTTCTCGATCAGGCTTCTGTTCATTCCGTCGAATTACCCGGCGACCTCGAAACCATCATTCCAGATGACTATCCCCCTGACAAGCCATCCTCTTCGACTTCACATATACATCACAAACCTAGATATGCTCTGGTCCAGCATCTTCCATCAGGCGACTACTGGACCTCACTCAGCTCAGAATCGTCTTCCTTGGAGCTCAAAGCGCTGCCCAAAGGCTATTCCGAACTCGTATCCATTTTACCTTCTCCCTATCCATCTACATCGACTTCCAATATCCCCACGTTAGGCTCTTTTCACAACAGTGTTCTTCCGCCCTCAAAGAACAAGCCACCCTCTGCCAGGCAAATATCGTCTGGGTCGTTCCTCGACTACGGAATCTATGGTAGTTTTGCTCCTTCTTTTGATCAAGAGAGCGAGGAACTAGGTAGACAGGAGCTAGGACAGATCCTATATGCTTGGGAAACCAAGAAGATTCAGAAGGCCAAGCAGCTGAACAGTTGGATAACTGAAAAGGAGAGAGAGAGGCGAACGAGAAGCGCTTCCCCTGTGGCTGAAGATGAGGCTCAGGAAGTCAGGCCTGCGATTGACGTAGACGCTGAGATAGAAGAGCTACTTCCACCTGATCAAGTTGAAGCAATTAAATCAGGTCTAGGAAGCTTGGAATTGGAACTCGCGGTGTCTGAATTATTAGACAAGAACAAACGCGCACTGCGGAGGCTGCAAGAGCTGCAGACAGAGAGACTAATGGCCGACGGAGGAGGTTCTAGCACCCCTCAAGAAGGGTCTGAGGAATGGGATACAGGTACGAGTCTAGTCCTATCTTCTGATTTGCTTGCCCATCTTGACATGTATTCTCTAGCCCAAGCAATTCTCGACTCTCTAACCGCACTTGCTTCTTTACGCCCTCGGTCATCAAAACACGAGGATGCTCCGCTCATCCCTTCACCGGCTATCCTACACGCTCTACATCGCACCTTACCCCTTTCGCCTTCGCCTGGTTGGTATGGTAATCTTCCTCCAGGTAGGACCACAGTCATACGGGACGACAACACCATGAGGGTCAAGCCAAATGTTCCTCCCCCTTCTACGCCTGTTCCTACTCCGACCCCCGCAGTATCTACAACTCCGGCAGTTTCAAATTCCGGATACGCTGGGTACTCCTACTCTGCATATCCGGGTACACCCGCGGCGCAACAGAACCAGCAGAATCAGTACCGTCCCGGAACCGCCAACACGTATATGTACAAGCCCCCTACGGCTTCCGGTGCCACTTCGTATTACCCCAATTCCTATTCGTACCAGCACTTATACGCACAGCCGGGACAGACAGCATATACACCCGCTTCTGGAGCTGGTACTACCGCGTACAGTTCGTGGTATACAGCCTATGCCCCTCAGAACGCCACGACAGTGCCCGCGGCTGCGACTCCGGCGGTAAATGGGTCTGGGTCTGGGTCTGGATCCGGAGGAAGAAGCACCCCAGCTACTCCTCAGTTCGCACCGTCATACAGCTCGTTCTTTAATAACGGTTCTTCCCTCGCTGCCGCTGCCGCTGCGACTGTTAACTGGTCTGCAGCCTCAACGCAGGCACGTCCTCCTGCCGTAGCCAATACGGTATTGAAACCGGGTCAGTGGAATGCTTCGTCTTCTGCCGCTTCTCCCTATTCCGCGAACACACCTTCGCCGGCTACGCCTACGTTGCCGTCGCATCTCAGGGGTCAGAGTCAGAATCATCCATCAATTCAGAACGGTGTAGCACAATTGCAGGCACCGTTGGGTCAGCAAAGTAATTTTTCTGCGTATCAACCAGGTACTACTGTGCCTTTCACCCCTGCGGCGACAACGTCTTCGGCAAAATAAAGTAGGAAATGGCATCGAAGAGCAGACCTGCTTTCTTTTTGATCTTTCAAGGTTTCCCCCCCTCAAACATTTAACTCTCGACCTCAGACCTTTCTGTTCTTACTCTACTATTTTGACCCCTATTTTGTCTGTAATTCCATACGAGGGTTGTTACTACTCACGGCTGTAGACGGGAGGTTTGTTGTTATACATATGTGAATTCAAAGCCGCATGTAAGACGAAGATTCCTTAGATAATAGAGTCAATGTTTCGCTCGAACTTCCTCATTCAACGCCCAAAGACATTCCCCGTTTGTTGTCTGATGGCTCGTGAATGGTTTCATTATTTATTTACTCAGTGGGGCACACATGAAGGAATGACCGACCACCTCCTTCCATCAACGTTGGACTGATTGTAGAGACTATCTGCAACCAAGTTAATAGGCATTAAAGGTGAGATAATTAGCATAGTCATACATGGATATTATATATAGCGGTCGGCTGTTGTGAATTATGCCTGGCGCAACAATCTTCGCTTTTCCTCCTCCCATCGAGCCTTCATCATTCGTGTACCTTCCGCGCGTGAACGAATTGACATAGCTGTTGAATACCGTGCCATTTGGGAAGCTTGAGCCGGGGAAAGTTCAGAGTCATTTCGAATTACCTATGAAAAGGACGACTCCCTGTCAGTTCATGAAAAAGGCAAGAAACCCTTTCTCCAACGACATACGGATCCGACAGAGAAAAAGAAACCAAAGAACGCAGCCTGGTTGAGCATGTACTTGGAGAGGGTAGCCATTGCGCCATTAGGTCCAGGGCCATACCTTCATAACACTGTTACGTCAAGTCTTGTCAACAACTACCATATGGAACGCACCGTATGATGGTCCACGAGCCAAAAAGAAAGCCCATCGCAAGTCCCGCTGTCCCGCCCATCATTGCACCCATTCTAACAAGTCATAAGTGTAATCCAAAGCATCCGTTAAGAAACAAACGCATACTTGACTACATTATTTTCAGTAAATTTGTTGTTCGAATTTGAGGAAGACGCGTACGCTTATCAATAGTAGAAGGTGGTTGTGATGCCTGCATTTCGTAGGTTTTCGTGGCTGTCTGATAAGTCGATTATAGGATTTTGGTGCGCTGGGCTCTTCGCTTGGTGAACGTAGGAACCAACTAAGGCAAGCAATTCTGGCTCCGGCATTCCGGCAGTTTGTCCTTTTACCGAAATCATTACGTTCATCGCATCGAAGATGACTGGCATTCCTGTCTTTCCTGCGGCTCAACAGGCTCAGATAAGTGAGTAATTCCAGAGGATTAAGTGGTATGCAAACTCTAGGGAATGTTTGTGTATAGTCCGTGCCCATCAAAGGGATCTTTACCATGTATCGCTCTTGCGCGAGCAGGTTGAGAATACAGCCAGGTCCTGGTTGGGTACGTATATACATTTTTTGCCCATTTTGTCTGCAACAGAATTTTGCTAGTGCAGGCACGCGAACGCTGACAAGATGGGACAAGGAAGTCGAGTTGTTGATTAAACTAATGTATCATGGTCTTACGACTGGTCGTGGTGAGTTTTAAACTGATCATTGCATGCCTACAAGCACTCACTTATTCTCTCTCAAGCGACTCAGACTTTAGGTGAAGAGTATACCGATATATGGCAACATTCTGCTACCGTACCCCCTTCGCCACTAACGCGCGCAGCATTAGTCCTTCTGCCCTCCGTACCAGCCTATATTCTATCGCGATTCGTGAACATGAGTCGCGTCTCCGCACGCAGTCCTAGGCTGGCCACGCTTTTAAGATACCTTCCCTTTGTTCTGGAGACTTTGACGGATATTAACCTTGCGGTATTCTATATACGAGGTGTATATTATGATGTTTTCAGACGGATCCTCGGAGTCCGGCATGTAGGTTCATAGTATTGGCATCTTTGAATTACTGACTACTGTGTCGGATAGATATCATCTTTACCCGAAAACCCTCACATCCGGCCTCCTTCGTATTCGTTACTGGGCATACTAATTGCTGTCAGACTGATCTACCGGCTCATAATGTTTGCGAGAAGTAAATCCTCGAGTGCACTGCTGGAGGAGAAAGGAAAACGAGCGATCCAAGTTTCTTCCAATCGCGAAACGTACTTGGACGATCGACCGGTATCACAGATGCTGGATGTCGTTGACCCGGAAAGTGAGCCCGCTAAACCCGCTGAAGAGGATGCGAGAACAATGTTGGATGTGGCATCTTTGCCTCCTGCTGTGAGGGCCTCTAGGACTTGTACACTCTGTCTCGAGGAAAGGACGGACACATGCTCGACAGAATGTGGGCACTTGTTCTGTTGGAGTTGTATCATTGGGTGGGGGCGAGAGAAGGTCAGTTCTCGTCCCAGACTGGGTCAACGACTCTAAATCTCTGGATTGGATAGGCCGAGTGTCCACTGTGTCGACAGAGTTTGGACCCCACGCGCTTACTACCGATATACAATCTATAGGATCTTGATCGGAAAGTACGGATTACAGACAAGCAGAGCAAAGAGATGGAATATACAGTGGAATGTACATTTAGACTACTTGCTGTATTAGAGTGATGTTGTCACCTTTCAGGAGGATCCGACCTACAATCGATCATGAGTGTCTTTGAAAGCCAGATTGTGAACCAGATTGTGAATAATCCTCACCTAGCTCCCTTCTTGGTTTAGCGTCCTTCACAAAAACTTCAGCAGCTTCTTCAAGTACCAGGTTCATAAATTCGTCAAATCCCTGTCAGATAATAATAAGCAGATGTTATCTTGTACAGGCAGCCAGTGTCAATCGAAAAAAGCGCAATTGGCCTTGCAAGTGTGTTCGTTGTTCAACTTGAATATCGGGAAGAAACCAAACGACGCACAATGATTCTTCCTTCGATTCGCATCTCGATGTTATCGTACAGCCATATGACAACTTTTGTTCGCTAGAATGCAATTGAGTACTGAGTAGGATGGGGAACCAGATATAGATATGACCTGCTGAAGATTTTTGAAAATTACATTCTGGAGCAAAGGGTTAGCGAAAGGAGAATATGCATGGATGAGAACGTGTCATACGATGGGCTGAACCATCACACGTTGCTGACGGCCTGACATGATGGGCAAAACTCAAGACGAAGAGCAAAGTTGAGAGAAGTTGAGTGGAAGAAGAATTTCGGCACGTGGCAACCGTTACTCGAACGCGTTGAGTTACCACCACCATGGAGGTTGGTTTCTTTGTTGTATATTATTAATGCTGCATCGAACATTTTGTACTTCCAGCTTCTAGCTCCAGCAAATTCCTCAACGGCAGCAGCTGTCACATTCATCACATTCGTACAAGACCTCAAGAAGAAAACGAAAACATGGGGTCCGATGATCGAGCTCTGTGCTAACGGAGAGAAGACGCTAGAACGATTTAGATACCAGTTTCCCGACGATTGGCTTTACAGTGACCAACTGAGAGGAGAGTGGAGTGCTTACAATGAAATTTTGAAACGAAAGAACGATTCTATCCAGGAGCAACTTGGTACGTCGTTATAAATATCCAGTTTGTGCAATCCCACTGACAACGACTTTTCATTCTTGCACTAGCTGGTCTACAGCTCAAGATTGTCGCTGAGGATAAGATTGTGGAGAACAAAATTAACGACATTATTACCGAATGGGAGCAGACTCGACCCGTACAGGGCAACATCCGCGCTGACACTGCTATGAACACTATTAACGTTTTAGAGGGCAAATTAACTCGGGTTCAAGAGGACTACGACTTGGTGTGCCGCGCGAAGGAGGCGCTAGATCTGGAACTCACGAGACACACGCGTCTAGAGCCAGTATTTGAGGAATTGCGCGACCTCAAGGCCGTGTGGACTGCGTTAAGTGGGATTTGGAGCCAAATTAGTGACTTGAGAGAGATGTCGTGGGCCACGGTACAGCCAAGGAAGCTCCGGCAGCATATAGATGGTCTGTTGAATTCAACGAAAGAGATGCCGACGAGAATGCGACAGTATGCGGCGTTTGAATACGTTCAGGATGTGCTCCGAGGGCTACTCAAGTCGAACCCCATTGTATCGGATTTGAAGTCAGAGGCGCTGAAGGACAGGCATTGGAAACAGCTGTTCAAAGTATTGAAACTCCCTGCCCAGATTAGCTTGACGCTGTGAGTAAATTCATTGCTTGAGTCTTGCATATAATTTGATCATAGTAACTTAGGATGACCCTAGGTCATGTTTATGACTTGGACCTCAAGAGAAACGAGACGCTGATTAAAGAAGTGATCTTCCAAGCACAAGGAGAAGTAGGTTTAAATATATGTTCAAGAAAATACCTGCTCACAGTTCGTTCACACAGATGGCGTTGGAGGAATACATCAAGCAAGTGAGGGAGGTTTGGACTAATTACACGCTTGATCTGGTCAATTATCAGAATAAATGTCGTCTAATCAGGTACGCCCCACATTTAGCAAATGTACTTTCTACCTATATTGAATACGCATTAGGGGTTGGGACGACCTTCTCAACAAATGCAGCGAGAACTTGAATTCGTTGACAGCGATGAAATTATCACCGCATTACAAAGGTGAAACTTCATATTATGTGTCAATCGCCTACCATTCACCTGTTTCCTTCTGTAGTCTTCGAAGAAGAGGTTCGATTCTGAAACTGAGTTCGATTATTTGTTCTGACTTCTTTCATAGGCAGGCTCATGGGAGGAGAAGCTGAACCGAATTCATGTGCTATTCGGTATGCTCTTTGCTTTTCTGTTCCTACCTCATCTACTCATCTATTCGTGTGATCTCTCAAGATGTCTGGCTGGACGTGCAGCGACAATGGGTATACCTCGAGGGCATCTTCTCTGGCAGCGCTGACATTAAGCATCTGCTTCCAGTCGAGAGCGCTCGTTTCCAGAACATCAATGCCGAGTTTCTTACTGTCATGAAGAAAGTTTACAAATCGCCGTTCGTCGTTGACGTGATGAACATTCAGGGGATTCAGAAGAGTCTTGAACGACTCGCAGATCTTCTCAACAAAATCAAGAAAGCCCTCGGAGAGTACCTGGAACGAGAGCGTTCCTCGTTCCCTCGATTCTACTTTGTTGGTGACGACGACCTACTCGAAATCATCGGAAACAGTAAAGATATCCTGCGGATCATGAAACACCTCAAGAAAATGTTTGCAGGCATTTCAACCATTATGCTTGATGACGACCTTACGCAGATTCAGGGTATGGCTTCAAGAGAAGGAGAAGAAGTCATGTTCACGGAGCCCATCCTCTTGAAGGACTTTCCCAAAATCAATGATTGGCTCGCAAAGATTGAATCGTCGATGCAAGTTTCCCTTGCAACTCTACTTTCCGAAGCAGTCGGAGAACTCCAGACTTTCTACGGCACGGGCTCCAACCTTAAGATGGAAGAGTTTGTTGCTTGGATGGAAAAATATCCTGCACAACTGGTTACGCTGGCTGTTCAAGTTGCTTGGACAGCCTCTGTGGAGGTGGCTCTTGAGGCGACATCAGCTCCCCAACAGGCATTGGACACTGTCAACCAGGCCCTCGACCTTCTTGCTGATATAGTGCTGCAAGAATTGAGTCCTGTCACACGACGGAAATGCGAGCATCTCATTACTGATCTCGTACACCAGCGTGATGTTACACGGTCTCTGCTTCAACAGCAGGTCATGGACAAGAACGGTTTCACTTGGTTATACCAAATGAGATTCTACCTTGACAGGAATATCTCAAATCCTCTCGACCGTCTAACCATCGAAGCTGCGGATGCCATCTTTCCTTATGGCTGGGAGTACCTGGGTGTCCTAGACAAACTTGTCCAGACACCGCTGACTGATCGTGTGTATCTCACACTTACGCAAGCTCTGGACAACCAGCTTGGTGGTGCACCTTTCGGTCCAGCTGGAACTGGTAAAAATTTCCCTATTGGGGCGTCTTTTTCTACTGACATATCTAACAGGAAAAACCGAATCTGTCAAGGCCCTCGGCGTACAGTTGGGTCGATTCGTACTGGTTTTTTGCTGCGACGAAAACTTCGACTTTAAAGCTATGGGTCGTATTTTCGTTGGTCTATGTCAAGTTGGCGCTTGGGGCTGTTTCGACGAGTTCAATCGACTAGAGGAACGAATTCTAAGTGCTGTGTCCCAACAAGTTCAGACTATTCAGCAAGGTCTTGCAGCGCTGGTCAAGAACCCTAATACTGAAATCGAGCTGGTCGGAAAGAACTTGAAGATTAACAAGAACATTGGTATAGTTTGGTTATTTCCCTTAAACGACTTTGAATGAATGAACATTTTAGGAATCTTCATTACCACTAACCCTACCTACGCTGGGCGTTCCCAGTTACCTCCGAACTTGACAAAATTGTTCAGGCCGTGAGCGCATTTCGTCTATAATGTTTTTTTTCTGTCTTTGACCGGATTACAGAATGGCGATGACGCGTCCTGACCGAGAGTTGATTGCTCAAGTCATGTTGTTCTCGCAAGGTTTCCGTACTGCTGAAACTTTAGCGTCAAAAATCGTACCTTTCTTCAATTTATGTGACGAACAACTGTCACCACAACCACATTATGACTTCGGTCTTCGAGCACTGAAGGCTGTCCTTGCTAGTGCCGGTATACTTAAACGTGAACGGCTATCGAGCGCTCGGGAGAAAGCGGATGCAGACGATGCTGCTATTGGCCTTTCCGACGCAATTTCTGAACAAATCATCTTGATTCAGAGTGTAACGGAGACTATCGTTCCCAAACTTGTTGCAGATGATGTGCCTCTGCTAACAAAGTGAGTTCTCCACCAGCTCTTACTTATCTAGAGCTGAGTATCATCCAGTCTTTTAGCAGACGTGTTTCCGGGAGTAGATTATATGCCAGTCGATTTAGATCGCTTGCGAGACGAGATCTACAAAGTGTGCAAAGAACGTAGATTGGTAACAGGAGAACGCTGGATCGCCAAGATTTTGCAATTGTATCAGATTCAGAAAATTCAGCATGGTTTGATGATGGTTGGACCTTCAGGAACTGGCAAAACCAATGCATGGCGGGTTTTGTTAGCTGCTTTGGAACGGTTTGATGGTATTGAAGGTGTTGATTACGTCATCGATCCCAAAGCTATGCATAAAGACGCACTATATGGAACTCTGGATTCAACCACTAGAGAGTGGAACGATGGACTATTTACGCACATTCTCCGAAGGATCGTCGACGATGCTCGTGGAGAAAGTGGAAAGCGCCACTGGATTATATTTGATGGAGATGTTGATCCGGAATGGGTTGAGAACTTGAACAGGTTGGTATATTATTCTCAATCTATCAAATAAAAACTTCTTTCTCATCCTGTTTTCGTCAGCGTCCTCGACGATAACAAACTCCTCACCTTACCCAATGGTGAGCGTCTCAACCTCCCTCCCAATGTCCGGATCATGTTCGAGGTCGAGCACCTGAAATACGCAACACTCGCCACTGTCAGTCGATGCGGTATGATATGGTTTAGCGATGATATTGTTGAGACCTCAATGGTGTATGAAAACTACCTGAGTACCCTATCCACCACACCCATTGACTCAGACGAAGAAGACGCTGGTGATGCACTCGCCCGCCGAAACAACGAAGTCTTACCCTCGGATGCTGCTGCATCTGCTGCTTTAGAAACCCAGAAACAGGTCGCATCAATTTTGGAACGATACTTTTCCGAAGGGGATTTGGTCAGCTCGGCTCTCGCTTTTGCAGATTCGATAGAGCATATCATGGATTTCACTACTACCCGTGCCTTGAACACGCTATTCTCCCTCATCAACAAGACTGTGCGTAATATCATCGAATATAACTTCCAGCACCCAGACTTTCCATTGCCTCCCGAACGGGTCGAGCAATACGTTACCAAGCGCTTACTCGTTAGCATTGTGTGGGCATTCTCCGGCGATGCAAAGCTGGATTTGCGTGCTGAGATGGGAGATTTTTTGCGAAACCATACTGGAATAGACTTACCGCCTCTGCTTCCTGGTAGCTCCCTCATTGATTACGATGTCCAAGTGTCTACTAGCGAGTGGGTAGCTTGGCAGGGAAGAGTGCCTACTATTGAAATTGAAGCTCATGCAGTCACTGCTGCAGACGTCGTTGTGCCGACTATGGATACCGTACGCCATGAAGAAGTCCTTTATTCCTGGCTCTCTGAGCACAAGCCCCTTATGCTTTGTGGACCTCCAGGTTCTGGAAAAACGATGACGCTATTTAGCGCCCTTCGGAAATTACCGGATATGGAAGTTGTCGGCCTGAACTTCTCCAGCGCCACGACACCGGAACTCATATTGAAGACCTTCGAGCAGTATTGTGAGTACCGCAAAACACCTAATGGTGTGATACTGGCTCCCATTCAGATCGGAAGGTGGCTTGTCGTCTTCTGCGATGAGATCAATCTCCCTGCAGCAGACAAGTATGGTACTCAACGGGTCATTTCCTTCATTCGTCAGCTCGTTGAATCTGGCGGGTATTGGCGTACAAGCGATATGGCCTGGGTCAAGTTAGAACGAATCCAATTTGTAGGCGCCTGCAATCCTCCTACTGATCCCGGGCGTGTCCCGCTTAGTCATCGTTTCCTACGCCACGCGCCTTTGGTGATGGTGGACTATCCAGGCGAAGTGTCATTGAAGCAAATCTACGGTACATATAATCGGGCAGCTCTAAAAGTCGTACCTAACCTACGCACTTATGCCGAGCCTCTGACGGATGCTATGGTCTCTTTTTACCTCGCGTCGCAGAGGCGCTTCACTACCGATGCTCAGGCACATTATGTCTACAGTCCTCGTGAACTGACTCGGTGGGTCCGAGGTATTTACGAAGCTATTCGTCCTTTGGAGATTTTATCGGTGGAGGGCCTTGTGCGTGTATGGGCTCATGAAGCTTTGCGGCTTTTCCAAGATCGATTGGTAACTGAAGAAGAACGTGCCTGGACGGACGAGAACATAGACGTTGTTGCCTTAGAATACTTCCCCACTATCAGCAAAGATGAGGCGCTTCGCAGACCTATCTTGTTTTCAAATTGGACATCCAAGGACTATATTCCTGTGGACAGAGAGACCCTGCGCGATTACACCAAAGCTCGTCTGAAAGTCTTCTATGAAGAAGAATTAGACGTCCCTCTTGTTCTGTTCAATGATGTTCTGGATCATGTACTCCGTATAGATCGAGTCTTCCGCCAGGTGCAGGGACATTTGCTGCTCATTGGAGTCAGCGGAAGTGGAAAGGTTATCTTCGTGTTCTGTTATCTCACTTCAGTGCTGATTATCCCCTCAGACAACTTTATCTCGTTTCGTCGCTTGGATGAATGGTCTGAGCATATTCCAAATCAAGGTCTCGAATAAATACACCGGCGACGATTTTGATGAAGATCTGCGGACTGTTCTTCGTCGGGCGGGTTGTAAAGGGGAAAAGATTTGCTTCATCATGGATGAGTCTAACGTTCTTGACTCAGGTTTCTTGGAGCGCATGAACACTCTCCTCGCAAACGCTGAGGTTCCTGGTCTATTCGAAGGCGATGAAAACGCAGCTCTCATGACCGCTTGTAAGGAAGGCTCTCAAAGGGACGGTCTCATGCTTGACTCCCCTGAGGAGTTATACCGGTGGTTCACGCAGCAAGTCGCTCGTAATCTTCATGTGGTGTTTACCATGAACCCTCCAGCGAACGGACTCGCATCTAGGGCCGCAACTTCTCCCGCTTTGTTTAACCGTTGTGTTCTCGATTGGTTCGGCGATTGGTCTGACCAAGCATTCTATCAAGTCGGAATGGAGTTCACTCAATCTCTTGATTTGGACCTATCGTCGTACAATCCGCCGGCTCTTTTCCCTATCGTGTATAGGGATCTCTCCATGCCTCCGGTGCACCGCGCGGCTGTGGTCAATGCGCTGGTCTATGTCCATTCTTCACTCCATCAAATCAATCAGCGCTTAAGTCGGCGACAAGGTCGGTATAATTACGTAACACCCCGTCACTATCTGGACTTGTGAGTTCGTCCTTCCAGTCTCAGCGTAGCTAAATGCTTATTATCTGTTGTCGTAGCATCAATCACTATGTCAGACTTCACGCAGAAAAGCGCGATGAGCTCGAAGAACAGCAGCGTCACTTGCATGTTGGTCTTGACAAGCTCAGGGATACCGTCACCCAAGTTGAAGAGCTTCGCAAGAGTCTCGCAATCAAGCGGTCTCAACTAGAGGCTAAAGATGCTGAGGCTAATGAAAAGCTTAAGCGCATGGTTGCCGATCAACAAGAGGCCGAGCAGAAGAAATCTGCCTCCATTGATATCCAGGCTGCTCTAGTTGAGCAAGACAAACACATTGAGCAGCGCCGAGCCATCGCTACTGCTGATCTCGCTGATGCAGAGCCTGCAGTTCTCGAGGCGCAATCGGCAGTAGGCAACATTAAACGACAGCATCTACAAGAAGTTCGTGCCATGGCAAACCCTCCAGAAGCCGTAAAGCTGGCAATGGAGTCTGTTTGTACCATCTTGGGTCACAAGATAGATAGCTGGCGTACCGTCCAGGGTATAATTCGTCGCGACGATTTCATTCAGCGTATTGTGAACTTCGACACTACCACACAAATGACTAAACCGCTTCGCGATCTCATGAAGAGAGACTTCCTCAGCCGTCCTTCCTATAACTTTGAGACCGTCAACCGTGCGAGTAAGGCCTGTGGACCATTAGTCAAATGGGCCCTGGCACAGGTCAAGTTCTCGGAGATCTTAGACCGAGTCGAACCTCTGCGTAACGAGGTACTATCCCTTGAACAGCAGGCAGAAACTACGAAAAAGCAAGCTTCTGCCATCATTAACATGATTGCAGAGTTGGAAGGGAAAATTGGGAGATACAAGGAAGAGTACGCTCTTCTCATCAGCGAAACACAGGCCATCAAGTCCGAAATGGAACGTGTTCAAAGTAAAGTCGATCGTAGCATGAAGTTACTTGAAAGTCTCTCCTCTGAGAGGGGCCGATGGGAAGCTGGAAGTCGTACGTTTGACGATGAAATGTCCACTATTGTCGGTGATGTGCTTCTTTCTGCTGCTTTCCTGGCCTATGGGGGATTTTTCGATCAGCATTATCGTGAGGTGATGTGGCAGGAGTGGTCTAGCCATCTTTCTGAGGCCAACATCAAGTTCAAACCGGAACTCTCCTTGACCGAATACCTCTCAACGGCGGATGATCGCTTGAACTGGCAATCCAAGTCTTTACCTTCCGACAACCTCACTACCGAAAATGCTATCATGCTTAAACGATTCAATCGCTACCCACTAATCATCGACCCTACTGGTCAAGCGACTACTTTCCTGATGAACGAATATAAGGATCGGAAGATCACTATCACTAGTTTCTTGGATGAGGCTTTCTTGAAAGTTCTGGAGAGTGCTCTCCGCTTTGGCAACCCTCTTCTCATTCAGGATGTAGAACGTCTCGATCCTATCCTTAATGCTGTCCTCAACAAGGAAATTCGCAGAACCGGAGGACGTGTGCTGATCCGTTTAGGCAGCCAAGACATTGACTTCTCTCCTTCGTTTACGATGTTCCTTTCCACTCGAGACCCATCGGTGGAGTTCTCCCCCGACATTTGCAGTCGCGTCACCTTTGTCAACTTTACTATGACACGTAGCAGTCTCCAAAGTCAATCTCTCGACCAGGTTCTCAAGGTAGAGCGCCCCGACACCGAGCGTAAACGCACTGATCTCATGAAGATACAAGGCGAATTCCGCCTGCGACTTCGTACTTTGGAGAAGTTGTTGCTCCAGGCTCTCAATGAATCCTCTGGGAACATTTTAGACGACGACAAAGTCATCGACACTCTTGAAACTCTCAAACGTGAGGCTGCTGAGATTACTCACAAAGTTGAGGAGACAGACGTAGTCATGAAAGAAGTCGAACAAGTTACTGCAGAGTACCTGCCTCTCGCTCAAGCATGTAGTGCGGTCTTCTTTGTCCTGGAGCAAATGAATGTGGTCAATCATTTCTATCAATTCTCCCTACAATTCTTCCTAGATATCTTTGACTACGTTCTCCATCATAATCCCAACTTGAGAAACATCTCAGACTACAACCAACGGCGAGATATTCTTCTCAACGATCTTTTCCTAGTGGTCTATAAGCGGACCTCCCGTGCTCTGCTTTACCGTGATCGAGTCATGCTAGCCGTTCTCCTGGCTCAAGTGAAATTGCGCGGAGTAGAAGAAATATCTGACGAATTGGAGTTCCTGCTCGAAAGTGGAGATAATGTCTTGGCTTCTGCATCTAGCAACGAGGATATTACATTCCTCACTATGGAACAAGCTCAGCGTCTCGAAAGTTTCGCAAAGAATCATATCTTCAAACCTGTAGTACAGCATCTCCGCGAGCATGAAGATGAATGGAGAAGTTTCTTAGAATCCAACACACCTGAACTATCTGTACCAACTCCCTGGGAGGCTAGCACTCGTGAGTTCCCTTTGTCACGTGTCGTCTTCTTTGCCTCTACAACTTACCTCGTTTTTAGCTGCAGTGGAGGCGCTTCGTGCAATGCTAATTATCAAATGCTTGCGTCCAGACCGCCTCTTACAGTCCACTGCTCAATTTGTACACTATGTATTCAATACCGACGTGTCAGCCCAATCTGTGTATGAACTGGGTGCTATGGTTTCAGATGAAGTTCCTGCCGCGACACCTCTGGCGTTAGTTTCAGTCACAGGCTACGACGCAAGTTATCGGGTCGAGAACCTGATCAAGAATACGGGGGCACGTTCGTCTTCCGTGGCCATGGGTTCTCAAGAAGGATTTTCACTCGCTGATCAAGCTATTGCTTCTGCTGCTCGGCAAGGCACTTGGGTATTGCTGAAGAATGTACATCTCGCTCCAGAATGGCTCGGCCAGCTCGAAAAGAAGTTACAGACATTGAATCCTCACCGAAACTTCCGGCTCTTCCTCACCATGGAAGCTAACCCATCCATTCCTGTAAACATTCTCCGGCAATCTCGTCTACTCATGAATGAACCTCCCCCTGGCATTAAAGCAAATCTTCTTGATTCTCTGCGAAACATTGCGCCCTCCCGTTTATCACAAGGACCTGCCGAAAAGGTTCGACTATACTTCCTTCTTGCCTGGTTCCAAGCAGTCGCGCAGGAGCGACTCCGATATGTGCCTCTGGGGTGGAGTAAGGTGTACGATTTCAACGATTCGGATATGTCCTCTGCTTTGGACACTATTGATACTTGGCTTGGAGCAGTTTCAAAAGGGCGCGCGAATATCGATCCCGCTACCATCCCTTGGGATGCACTTCGCACACTCATCAAACAATCAGTGTATGGAGGCAGAGTTGACAGTGAATTTGATCAGAGAATTTTAGATGCATTCGTAGATGCTCTTTTTACTCCAAACGCATACCATGTAGACTTCGACCTAGTCCCAAGTTTAACTGGTCAGAAAATGCTTGGTGTACCAGACGGGACCAAGATTGATCAGTTTTTGTCTTGGGTGCAACAATTACCAGACCGCGAGCCTCCTTCATGGCTCAGTCTTCCTCCCACAGCGGAACGTGTTATTGCAATTGCGCAAGGTGAGTAAGGATTTTCAGGGTATGATTGTAAAAACAATTGGTACTCATTCGTTAACAGGCGAAGAGCTTCTGGGTAAGCTCCGCAAAATGAGAATGCAAGCTGATGATGATGAGGAAACTATCACTGCCGCCACATCCAAGTCACAAACCTCCCAGCAGCCAGCATGGATGAGGCAGCTGCTTGATCGCTGTAAGGAATGGCTCGCTCTGCTTCCGGAGGTCTGTCTTTTTGTATTTTCAATTGAGGCGAAAATTCATGGGCTTTTTCGCTCCCAGAAATTCAATACACTGCCCGCACAATCTGGCGAGAGCCAAGATCCTTTGTATCGACTATTCTCTCGGGAGGGTGCCATTGGTCGACGTCTCCTGGGTCAAGTGCAAAGGGATCTAGGTGATGTTGTCAAGGTTTGCCAAGGCGAACTCAAACAGACAAATCACCTTCGTAGTCTCATGAGCTCATTAACCAAAGGTAGTGTCGCCCTACGTCATCTGAAAACAGTCCGATCTGATTATTCATGTTTTTTTTGCAGGGACTATTCCGAACCATTGGCGAATCTACAAGGTTCCGAAGGCTATGGCCGTTTCAGGGTGGGTAGCTAACTTCGCTAAACGACTAGCTCAGCTCGATAACATTGCTGGTGTCGACAACCTCAATAATGTTGAAGTATGGTTAGGCGGCCTCTTCTTCCCTGAGGCGTATATCACCGCTACTCGACAAGCGGTCGCACATCGTAAGAAATGGAGTTTAGAAACGTTGAACTTGACGCTTGATATCGAAAGAGTGAACGATCCTGGGGCATTTATCCTTGATGGTATGTCATTTGCGCTTCATTATTGATAAAGTGCTTATGCGTTGACCAAAGGACTGGCTCTCGAGGGGGCGTCTTGGGCAACTGACAAGTTGGTGCTCAACAATGGTGAAGTGGTTCGGCTCAATCCATCCCAGATTCGCTGGGTGCAGTCGGATGATATCGCCAGAGGAAATCTGGTCAATCTTCCGGTCTATCTCAATAACGACCGAAGCGATGTGATGTTCACAGTCGACCTACCTTTCGACTCTAGCGCAGGATCGCTTGTGGCTACTAGGGCAGCGTGTCTTACTGCAGCAGGCTAGTCGCTTCGTAGTTTTTAAGGTCTATATCTCGCTTTCGATTATAGATTACATACCCAGTAGGAAATTTAATGGCATCTGGTAAACCTGTATATTCGCTGTATCAAAATGACATCCCACTCCAATAAAGCACAGCTGTTTGCATTACTTAGTTGCAGTGTCCTGCATTTTATTAGTGTATCCATCTTTCAAATTTCCAGTTCCATTGCTCATCATTTCATGATGCACTTAGCCTTGGACTGCGGTATATTCGAAGACTATACAAGTTTAATGACCAACAAGCGAGTTTCTGGCTCTGCGAAAGAAAAATAATCGAAGGAATACCCTTACCCATAAGTTACACAGATACATTCAAAGTTACACAGACGTATTAAAATTCATCTCCTCGTTTTACAGGCCCAAATTCTTCGTCCGTATTCCGTTTCTTTGATCAAATAATATTGAGTGAAAGAAAGATATAACTTGGAAGAAAGAAATCTCACATCAAATCTTCCCATTGGATAGGAATCCGGGTAAGTGGTTGTACTGTCAACAGTGACATCCACTGCGATGCCTTGCCCATTCCCAATCCTACCTCTGTCCAATGCTGGCATCGAGGCCAAACCTGAAGTTGCCCGGGACATTTTCTGGCTGGAATCCCCCTCAAATGTATAAGTGACCACATTTCCATTGTTACTTCGGAATTGCGCTCGACTGTTCAGTAAGACCATCAACGCATTGGTGTACAGTTTGGCAAGAGCTGAGTTCGGAGCCAGATGGTAGTTGTTGTTTTGATAGGCAAGAAGGAAGACAGCATCGAGAATTGCAAAGCTGGCTAGAGTTTCAGAATTCGGTCAATTACAGGATAATGGCAGTAGCATTGATTGTCATACCCGTCAAGATACCCCCACCAACGATTAAGCGAATCAGACGTGTAACAAGCTGTTCCGTTTTTCCAAACGCTGATTCTCTCCGGGCACGATTAAGCTATACATTTATCTTTAGAACTAGTCACTGATATGGAGATGCAGCATACCAAGTAGACCATGGATAGAGATATAAGAATGTCGCAGCAGGCACTGGACATGAGACACACCTAGTCAAGGATTATAAGTGATTTTTAGTATTTCAGTTAGATTTATCGAATGTGACATCCTTACGGTGGTAACAACAAAGGTTTGGCTTTGTAAGTCAGCAAAAGTGGGAACCCTTGTTTCAAGAATGATTGAGAATGCCAGGCCAGAAGTTCCCTCGCATAGTGCAAGCTACAATGCAGAGTAAGCTAAGTTGAACCTTCTACATGTAACCATGACAATACTTACGAGGACTATTACCACCGCCAAAGGGATCGACTTGCTCAATGTATAGATACGCCATGCATAAAAGCACTGTACTATAGTTCCACCTGGACATGATATGATGAATTACTCGTCGCCTTGAAGAGCCAAAAACTGTACTTACTGATGGCATTGAAGAACGGGAGCGCGAGCCAGGACAAGCCTACGGATTCTAGGATATTGACATTACCCCAGCCACTGCCCAGCATGTGGAAGACAAAGGCAGTAACTAGGAGTGTTTGCGCAAAATCCAAGATGTAGAGGCCATAAACAAGAGTCTTGAGTTTCACAGTATCCTTGGGGAAATTCAAATAATATAAATCTTGACCAACAATTCAGCATGCCTCTGGGCTCTCTCATCGAAACAAACTCACAAAGCTGGACTGAGCTACATCCAAACAGACCCCACTGGGCTGCAAAACCGATAACCTACAAAGCGTTTGATCGGGATTTGATATTTGGACTGGACCGACGAACACTTACAACAGGCCCAGTCCTAAAAGCAACAAGTCATCAGAATCGCATAGTATCAAGGATTTTTGACTTACAGTTGAGCAATGTCTGGTGGAACACCTGCGACAGCCATTGAAAGCGAAGGAGTGGATATGGTTTAAGTGTGCTAGAGGCCGGAGCGATTAAGTACGTATCTCCTACGTAGCACTGCCGCGGTCCCACTGTTCGGGAACGTATATACTTTACTGATATCATTGTTCCTTCCACGCCATTTAATTATTTTAGATCTACCCACTCAAATTACTTCCATAGGGTAAAAGAATGGCCGTAGTCTTTCCGCATACATACAGTACTGTATTCTTTTGATCTCCTTTGATTCCAGTACGGCAGGAAAAGATGGTTGTATATTGAAGAAACCATCTTTCTGCACAAAGTATTCTTCTCTGAACTCCGAGCCCTAATGCCGAATGAGGCCGACCGAGGGAGCGAAAATGTCCTCGACCTTCAAACTGTAGGAAGTTGTTCCTGTTCCTATCTGTCGCGATCGGGAGAAGGAGTTAGAAAGTCCAAGAACATTTGGAGAGTTCGAACCTGGTATCTGGGCGCAAACAGTAACATCATACATTATGAAGAAAGTCTCAGATATCACCTTTAGACGGTGGCTTTATGATTTCAGTAGACAGTTTGTTGGGAACGCAGATAGATGGACAGATAGCTATAGATAAACTTAGGTGTGCGGCTCCGTCAAGGAGCGAAGAACATTCGGGCCCAGTATGGAGCGGGGAGGTTCCACGCAGTGAATGTAAATCTATCTGGATCCAGTGAGGACTATTTAGGATAACTCCTGAATCCGCCTTGTTGCACTCGCACACCACTGCGAAATACTCATCATCCCGTTTATGCATGTATTGATTCCAGCATACATCGGTTTTGAATTGGATTTCTTGGACTTGTATGTCACGAAACTGTTCAAGACATTGAGATTGAATTGATACATCAAGTTAAGAATACCTGTAACTTACATGAGAAATCCGAGTCTAACTGCATTTGTTCATTCGAAAACCTTGTACGTCCTTCGACTTTGAGTACTCGAGTACTTAGATTTGGGTTCCCATCTCCCATCAGTGCCTATATACGAGCACATGAAGGTGACGTCCACGAACAGACTTCAACTGTCAGGTGTTTATTTTTGATATCTGGATAGATTTTGTTGAGATTACTTGGTCCTGTACCTGTATGTCTTGGATTCAGGTGCCAGCGCACGAAAAAGTTCATTGCTTCTGAGTGACTCTGGGAGTGTTGCTGATTGATGCGATTACTGACCGCACTACTTCATACTATTTTCATAAGCACCATAAGTAATCGGAACTTGTGGAGATGTGTGTTGTTCACTGTTGTTCATCGAAAACAACGGAAAGCGCCTTGTACCGGGGCACTGGATCTTTGTGTCCAGGAAATATGTAGATGTCTGAATTGAAAGTGCGACGATTGGAGTAGATTTGTGGAGGAAAACAGGACAAAAGTTGAAACTGTCCAAGGGTTTCCAAGATTGATCGATGAGTTGAAACGAAGGATAAAGATTTAAGACTCGTCGAATAGCTCTAAACCTGTAAAGGGACAACCTGGGACAACAAGTCTGGAGTCTAGAAAAAAGCGATTAGAAACCGAAATAAGAGCGATAAGGCAGTGAACGATCTGTAGGAGGACCGCTGAATCTGCGCTCCATCAACGAGCTACGGGGCAGCTGAACACTGCCAAAGGATATAAGGCCTTCTTATCAGACACTAGACACTTCGGACATTGTGACTCGACGACTGTGATCAGCGATGTCGAAGGAAAGTGATCCCGGGCCGAGAAATGCCGAGAAAGGCAAAACGGCGTTTGTATGATAGTAGCCAGCCTGAGCCAAGCGCAAGGTGATCGACGCTGTGACCCGCGAGCATCTCGCACTTTTTTTTGCCTGGTTATCACAGATATGTAAAGCTTCTTCTCTTGATGAAAGAACACCGCATACTCAGAGGACTCGAACTTTCAAGTCAGTAAGTATCAGAGGAGAGGCCCGACTCTACTGGAAGTTGAACGTAATTGTCGCCCGAACTCGTATGTGAGTGTTCTACATACGATGTTCTTGATCAACTTTTCTTCCAATTCATCAATCTTTGATTCTTTGTCATATCATTGGTTATGTGTTCATTAACCTTTCGCGCAGCCCGAATGGTCCCAAAGTCCTTGCCCAACTCACTTCTCTAAACCCTCATGGTTGCACTTTCAGATCTTTTTTGGCTTGTAACGTCAACATATAACTGGTGCTGCTCATCCTCAGTAGACCAGAGTCAGAATTCCTCAGTCGCCAGCTCTTCCGCAGCTACTATCGCTGTACAAACCTGCCAACAGCTTCAACAGTCCTTGGGACCGACAATTGTCCAAACTTCAACTTCAGGTTCTGACTATATCCTCGGTGCAAATGGCGCTTGGAGTACATTTAACACCGAAGTAAATTATCAGCCAACATGCATCGTCTTTGCGAATGAGGCAGAGCACGTTCAAACTGCAATGAAGACAATCTATCAGAACGAAGCTGATTACGCAGTACAGGCTGGGGGACATAGTGGAATGACAGGATGGAATACGTTAGTGGAATGTTCAGAAACTTCCAATGGCAATCGAAACTGAAAAGTCCGTGTCAGAATTCAGGACGGGGTACTTATTTCTTTCAAGAATATGAACACTTCATCCTACGACCCCGATCATGATACGATTACCATGCTGCCCGGTGTTCGTTGGGGAGAAGTAATAACTGAAATGGAACCGTTCGGTGTTGCGCCCGTGGGGGGCCGTATCAGGTTCGGGATTGGAAGTTCCCCGCATCCTATCAAAGTACTCATTCTTCATTACTAGCGAAGTCGGAACTGGCCTTCTTCTCGGTGGCGGCTTGAGTTTTCTCTCTTCCGCCGAAGGCTACGCCTCCGATAACTATGTATCGCTCGATATCGTCCTTGTGGACGGTACGCTAGTAACGGCAACAGCTGACAACGAATATCAAGATTTATTCAAAGCGTTAAAAGGAGGAGCTAATCGATTTGGTATCGTAACAAGGTATGAAGTAAAGGCGGTCCATACCGGAACAAAAGAAGAAAAACGTTGGTGGGGTGGACTTTTCGTGGTCAGTGATTTACTTATATTTCTTCTGATTCGAGTTTTGATTTTTTTCTTGATAGTATCCGAACTCCTCTTCCGAAGCACTTCTCGGCGCAATCGCACATTACACTCATGATACAAATGATACAAATGCAGGTGCTTTGGTTTTCCATCATTGACCGCGCGTATAGTCTGGGCTCATGGTCTTTCATAATCAGTTATGGTCACGGTGATCATGACTACCTGGCCCAACTTGGAGCCTAGCATCTCAGTTCTACTGGTTTACAACGGTACCGAGACATCTTTCAACAACGCCTTTGCCGAGTTTCTTTCTATCCCCTACACATCATCATCCCCTGGCTCGCTCTCATTCTTGGAACTATCCAATGCCGTTCATTTCCCATCCGGCATGGGTACCCTGTTCTCTGCTAGCAGCCTGGCGGGCACCCCAGCTAATTCGGACGTGTCGGTGGATGATTATTTGGAGCTCTATCGACAGTATAATAACTTTAGTTCAGCATTTGCTTCATCGCCTGATATCGGTTTCACTCTTCTTGATTTCTCGCCCGTGTTACAGTCGCAGATACGGGCGGGTTACAAAAAGGGCGGTAATCCCATCAACCCGCCACTTGGAACGACGGGATATAGTATAATCTTATTCCAGGTGACGTACCGTGAAGGCGTCACTCAGACTGCGGAAGACGTCGAGGACGGACGGCAATTTTGGATTGACAAGTGCGTCCAACTCAGCTTTGTAATGTTTCCGTACTCACCGTATCTTTCCTAAATAAACAGTGCTCCTAGCACACCGGGTCTCCCACTGTTCCTCAGCGAGGCTGATGCAGCGCAGCAAGTTTTTGCAACTTACGGAGAATACGATTTTCTCAAACAGGTATATGCTAAATACGATCCTACTGGGTGTGTAAATTTATTTGATGACATTATGCACGCCTGCTCAATACACACACTCTGCAGTTTCAATGTTCGACATACAGAAGGTCCTTTAGGACTAGAATCGGTTCTGGCTCCATCCATTTGTGAACCGCTCTCCATATTTAATTACTCCCTCCCACTCCCGTTGTGTTTCTAGTTCGTTTGTTTGACAATCTTTACCACTAGGAGGTAGACGAGGCTTGAAACCCACATGTAGATACCTTGATTCGGACATTCTAGACCGAATTCGTCGATTGATTCTGCAGATAATTTGTCGGTCCTCTCTTGACCAATGACTTTGACGGGTGTGGTGTCATTGTCGAAACAACCTAGGATACACCTTCCTTTCTCGTTTTGAAGTCGTTATGGTCGTACTGTATCGAGCGCTACTACCGGGCCATGGCCAAGCCCACGTGGAAATCTAACTTTGGGCGCCTCATGCTATTGTCGAACGTTGAACGTTGACAGGCAAGATCTGGGCAAGACGACTACTAGTCGATCAAGCCAGGCTTAGACTAATGAACTTCCCTTTCCTGGAACCAAATCATTCAGCTTTTTTTTCCACTATCTGCGGCCATTCCGGTCGTGTTTTGAGCCGTAGGAATTGGGAATTGAAAAAGAGAAAATGGAGGTGTTACGAGGGTGTTGTATAACAAGCCGCTCAGGCTCATGCACGTACCAGAGGCAAGCACATTGAATTCTATTCAATGAATACTGTATTCCTAAAACAGTAGGGCAAGCAGAACTCGACATCATTACTGGTCCCATTTTCTGCCATGCCGATGTGAACAGTGTCAAGGACATGTCACTGTAGGATAGGTGTGTGCCTTATCCGAGTCGGGCGAGAATGATCTTCGAATGCTCCCTCGTTTAAAAATTGAAATAGCCTAACCTCCAGCTTCATAAACTGCTACATATCACTATTGACCTAGAAGCAGGTGATACTATCGATATTGCTTGATATCTTTTGGTGTTGGTTTCATCTTGACACTACTCCCCTGGTTTTGGTGTTGCTCGCTATGTCCGACCGAAATTTTCGCGAGCTTTTGCTGTTCAACGACAACATGAATTCATTGACTCCAGTACCGATGCAACATTCTTTGGCATTTCTAGCCTTGTGAAATCAACTGGAAATCAATCAACATATTGAAGACTGTTCCTGTCCTATATATGGTCAATGTACCGAGTTCTCTTCTCTTTCCCCGACAAACCGCTTCGACTCTTCTTATGCACCAGGCAAAAATAATCGTTAGCGGTATCTCAACCGCTAGATTGTAATCGTCGACATACTTCAAGCACTCGAGTTGGCTTAGAGAGTCAGCTGTTTAGTTAAAACGGTTGTTAGGTCGTCAGTGTCGCTCAAGTTCGCAACGGGTGCTATCTATATAACTTGGGAATTTTTGTCATCTTCGGGCGGGTACCTGGTGAACGACCGAGACACTCTAACGTGACAGAACGCGGGAGTGGAAATAAATCTTCTACCCTAAATATATTCATGAGTGCGTCCCATATGGAAGGGCGTCCTTATATACAGGTAGCTTGAGACTCTCGTCCTCCAGATCCAAATGGTCACAGCATCCGGTTTCGTCCTCGCTACTGCATTGTGGTATAGCGTAGTGTCTGCAGCAGAGGCTCAAAATTGCTCTTCAGTAGCGGCCATCGCTACTCAAACCTGTCAACAGCTCGAGAGGTCTCTAGGATCTACAATCGTTCAGACTCAATCCTCCGGTTCAGAGTACGCTATCGGTGCAAACTTCGCATGGAGCACATTCAGCGACGAAGTTAACTTCCAGCCATCATGCATCGTATTCCCGAATACTACTCAACATGTACAAACCGCGATGAAGGCGATTTTCGAGAACAAAGCTGATTACGCAGTACAGGCTGGGGGACATAGTGGAATGATAGGTTGGAATACGTGAGTTCTATCTTTGAGAAGAAATCAGATTAATGAACCAGATACTCAATATTTACTTCAGGGTTCAGAACGGAGTGCTTATTTCATTCATGAACATGAATTCCACCTCCTACGATTCAGAAAGTGATACCATCACATTGCTACCTGGTATACATTGGGGTGACGCGACATCTGCTCTGCAGCAATATGGGGTAGCCCCTGTCGGAGGACGTATTGCGTACGAACTTTCAAAATTGATACGTTACTCAAGACTGACACTTGTATCAGCACTGTAGGAACCGGTCTTCTGCTCGGTGGCGGTATAAGTTATCTTTCTCCCGCAGAAGGTTATGCTGCCGATAACTATGTGTCTCTCGATGTTGTTCTTGTCAATGGCACTTTGGTAACAGCGACTGCAGACAATGAGTACGCAGATTTGTTCAAAGCGTTGAAAGGTGGTGGGAATCGGTTCGGAATTGTGACAAAGTACGTAGTAAAGGCAGTTCACACTGGCACGGAGGATGAAAAACGCTGGTTTGGTGGACTCTTAGTGGTCAGTGAACATGTCAGAGATGACCATGCTCAGCGCTCAATTCTGATAATCTTCATAGTACCCCAACTCGTCATCTGAAGCCCTTCTTGCGGCTCTTGCACATTTCATTCATGACACAGCTGACCCAAACGCAGGTACTTGTGCTGTTATTGTCTTGGGTTCGTAGAGCTTGTGCTGATTTGTCTCCCACTACCAGTCTTAGCCACAACATTTCGGACTACCTGGGAAAATTCAACCCAGGATATCGAGCTTGATGTTATATTGGTCTATAACGGTACTGAGGCATCTTTCAACACCTCCTTTGCCGAGTTCCTTTCCATACCCTACACGTCTTCCGCATTACAAGCGTTGTCATACCTTGATCTGCTCAATGCTGTCACTTTCCCGGATGGATTGGGCACACTTTTTGGCGCCAGTGCCTTGACCGGTGTCCCAGACAGCACGTTGGCTGATGAATATCTGGAGACTTACCGATTGTATAACAACTTCAGTACAGCATTTGCTTCATCTACAGACATTGCTTTTACCCTCCTTGATTTTTCACCTGTTCCAAAATCACAAATTCAGGCGGGCTACGAGAAGGGCACAAATCCTATCGTTCCACCTCTGGGGACAGGAGGGTATTTCGAGATACTTTTCCAGGTGACTTATGCCGAGGGTATCACTGAGCCTTCACCAGATGTTGAGCAAGGGCGCCAACTGTGGATTTCGACGTAAGGGATATAAATTGCATGTTCCTCAAATGAAGTACTGATTGATCAAATGATAGTGCTCCAAGCACTCCAGGATTACCATTCTTCCTCAATGAGGCAGATGCCAATCAACAAATACTGGCAACTTATGGAGGTTATGAGTTCCTCAAGCAGGTCTATGCCAAGTACGATCCTACCAGGTACGTTGGGCCTTGATTCTTACACATCTACTCGACTTATCTTCCCGAAGATTTAATGTTCAACACACACAAGGACCGCTTGGATTATAGAATCATCATGTTATATCTTTCATTGGTCTACAGCTATCTCAGTATTCTGTATGGTCCTCCTAATACCTAATTCTACTCCTCTGTTCTAAGTTTCTCAAGGAATACGCACGTTCAGAAAATGATGATCACAACTACAAGATAGTTCCTGCTGGCTCATGATTTTAACGCTAAGTAATAGTTTGACCAATTCAGTGTATATATCACTGGATGATTCTGATAATTCTGAGGTAGATGTTTACTCAGTACCGGGAGAGTACAATCTTCGTTTTCACTTCCAAAATTTGATTGATGGCGATTGATCTTATCGATTTAGCTGTTTCCATTTGTGAATTGTCTACTACTTGTCTGAGATACAGTTCAGAGCTATTTAATGATAAATTACATGCGATTGTGGGCCACTGCCCGTAATGATCATGGCATTGATATTGACAATAGTATCAGACCGCGGGTAACTTCGGTATACGCAAATAGAGTGGTGAGTGGGGAGTTTACATGCTTTTTCTCAATCTGGGTCGACGGATGTCCATCCAAAATTCAGAAGATCTACTACATCTCTTAGCAGTCCCATGGTGATCGGCGCTTCTCTGAAAATAGGTGCTTGGGGGCGTGTGCTCTGTGATGTGAACGTCGAACGTTGAGCATTAACATGGAGGCTCATGGGGGTTTCTGTCTCAGAAAGAACTTGGATGCGATCAAACATTTTATCCCACGATCGTCAGCTATCCATCACTGGTCTGATTTCAGTTCTTTTCAGTTTCGTGACTTTCATCCCACCATCTCCCACCAATTACTGTCTCTCAAGCCCGGATTCGCTAATGAGGCAAACGAAAAAGAAACTGACCTGAGCTGCAGTGTACTCACATGCACCACGAAACCTAATTTTGAAGTGGCGGAAAATCCGAGTCGGTCGTACCATTCTTGTATATTCTTGGGTACATGTGCAATGTGCATACTCAAGTATCTGGATCCCTTCCTACATCATTTTTGTTTCTTGTCACCTTTATCTCGCGTCAGTGAATCGCGGCACGGCCCATGTAAAAGCACAATTTTGTAGATTTAGACCCGCGAATGCAAAGGCGATTTCAGGAAAACTGTTGCGTTACCGAAAACTCTGATGGTTATTGACGGGAGAAGCAAATGAGGTAACATTGAAGAGCTATGTTCGTCCAACTAAGCATTGTCTATCCGAAGCTAACTCCTGCCGTATCGCTTTTTGCTCAATTAGCAGTAAAATTGCCACCACTAAGGACAACTGGATAATTACTCTTTCAATCGAGGAACCACCGAAGATGGTATCTCTTATAAAGTGGGATCGCGACCTTCAAGGAACTCCATTTTCTTCCTTTCTCCTTTCGCCATTTCGAAAGTAACAGCCTGCGCACAATGCATTATATACTCTGGGCCGTCGTTGCAGCTTCGTTGTTGTTTCTGGTACGACGATCTTTGAAGAATCAGAATCGTCGAAATCTTCCGCCAGGTCCTCGCGGTTGGCCTATTGTTGGGAATCTACCTCAAGTAGCAGGGGAAGGTCAAATATGGCGTCTCTTAACGAAGTGGAAGTATGAATACGGTATGTTTCTCGATCCACTTAAAATAAGTCAAACCCATAGGTTTTCGTTTCCAATTCAGGTCCTCTTACATATCTAAACTTATGTGGACAGGACGTTATAGTTATCAACTCCCGCCCAGCCGCTTTAGAGATTCTAGAGAGGCGATCTGCGATGTACTCAGACCGACCCAGATTTATTGTGTCCGAGTACCTTGGAAGCGAATTAGCAATGCCTTTCACAAGATATACTAAAGCGTTAGTGCTGCTCCTCAATTCCTGTGCCGCGTCAAGGATAGAATGTTTTGATCACCTCGATCTTTATAGATGGCAAAATATGCGCCGCGCAACTCATGAAGTCCTGCATAGTCAAGCTGCTTCGCAATATCACCCTGTCCAAACTGAGGAAGCCATCATTCTCGTGCAGAATTTGTTGTTCGATCAATCTTCAACTCTCCGCGAGAAACTAAATGCGTATGTTTTTGCAAGATATTTCACTGTTACGGTCCATATCAATGAGTTTGTCATAGGTCTGCGGCTACCATGTTATCGGTCATATACGGCAGGAAGTCAGTCAACTCTTCTTTTCTCCCCTCTATGCACGTAGGGAAGCCGGCTGTCACGATATCCGAAGCACCGGATAAGCTCCTCATTACCTCCGATATTCTACAATCCTTAGCCAACATTGGACATCGCTTTACTAGCTCTGTATATCCAGGCTCTTACCTTGTTGATGCATTCCCTATATTGGATTATCTACCCGAATTCCTGACCAAATGGAAAAGGGAAGCAGTTCGAGATCGTAGACTGATGGGAGAGGCATTCCAAAGCTATTATGAGGAAGCGGTTAGTAGCTTTCTCAGACGAAGTTTCAGAAGATGGCTGACTATCTGATAGTTGCGAAACGATGTCAACCGAGGGAGTCTTGTCGCAAGGCTCGAAGACACCACTTTGGGTAGTGGTTTGACCTACGAAGAGAGATGGTGGGTCACCGGTGTTGTCTCGTACGTTCTGTCTTTCTCGATCACAAAATTTGAGCTCATTTGTCTTTCATGATTTCTAGTGTAGCTGCTCTTGAAACTGTGCGCTACGTTTTTTACTTTCACTGGGTCATACAATGTGATTCCCTTTTGACTTCCAGACAAGTACTACCCTTGCATACTTCATCTTTGCTATGACCTTGTACCCGCGCGTTCAGCGGAGAGCTCACGAGGAACTTGATCGGGTCATCGGAAGGACTCAAAATCCAATGTTTTCCGATTTGCAGAATCTCCCATATATTAGGGCTGTTGTGAAAGAGGTATGCTACTAACTGTGACACGAGTTACGTAGCATCTAACTGGCATAGATACTTAGATGGAATCCTCCACTTCCGGTGGTTGTGCCCCGCATTGCATTAGAGGTACGTTGGGTCAAGCTTTTCTATTAAAAACCCCCGGTATCACTCAATGAGATCTTCCGCAGGACGATTGGTATGAGAATTACTATATTCCGAAAGGTACGGCGATACTCGAAAATCTATGGTGCGTTTTGCAAGCGTAAACACTTCCTAAACCTACTCAAAATTGACAAGGGGCATGAACTACGATAAGGAGGTGTATGGCCCTGATGTCGAAGAATTTCGTCCGGAGCGTTTCCTTCTAGAAACTGAAAAGGGAGAATATGAGCTCAAGCCCGAAGTTGAAAATGAAGACGGGCATAATTCCTATGGGTTCGGAAGGAGGTAAGTCGTTTGGTGCTTTAGATTTGAGTTATTCCTCTTTTGTTCATGTTGGACGATTCGTAGAAAATGTGTCGGGAAACATGTCGCTGATAATGCATTGTTGATTGGAATATGCACTATTTTATGGGCGGTCAATATCGAGCCCGTGGAATGTAAAATTGATCTGGCGAGGAACACTCTCGATACAGTCAAGTAAGTTGCACCAGACACATTCAGCCGTTGTTAACTAATGATTTTTCAAAATTCTTATAGTCCGATACCTGATTTTCAATGCAAATTCACTCCCAGATTTGAAGGATTGGAGTCATTCCTTCAACACCTGCGTGACAATTTTGAATATTTTAAACAGAATAGAGATTAGATCGAGGGAATGAGGTTTATTAGTATATGTATGGCTTGTCCCTAGCTGGATGAAATGCAACTGCACAACTCGAATTGTGTCTTTTTTGTCTTGTGATTCAAATTGTCTACCCAGGTATCGAATTTCTTGTAAAGGGGCATTCGACATCCGAATGGCAGACACGAAACCCCATCATCAGCTAGCTCTATGTAGTGATGAGCAACCGCTTTTCACGTGTGAGATGATATTCCCTTCGCGCAAGAACTTATGATTATCTGCAGCCTTGGAATGGCAAGAAGGTTCAGTACACTTACCTCGGAGCATGTACTCCTCTGAGTCTTAGTGCAGCCCGTCAAGCTCCCATGACCCCGTAATACCGCACGGGATGTCGACCAATGTCAGACATCAGCGAACTTCGCATGGTTTCGAGTATTTTGACAACTGCAGTAGGTCAGTGACAGTACGATACTGCAAAGTTTCCTACGAGTGGAACTATGCTTATTCTTCATTCTCCAGAATTCCAGATCAATATTACAGGTTTGACAATATCGTGTATAACGTATCCCATGAAAATCCCTGCTCATACCCGTATTCCACGCAAAATGATCGGCTTTAGATGTATATTCCAATTCTCATCCCACGAGCACCATTCTTCATTTTGTGAGAAATGGCTAACTCCTGGAGTGCTTGTTGCTTGACGGAGGGATAAGCCTAACTCGTTCAAACGCTCCGAAGAAGGGAAGGACGTCAAGAGCAACTATCAATCACCTCTGCAGTGAGAAAACTGGGAGGGAAGAGTAAATAGCGTTGACAATTACTTACCTCAAGCTGTTGAGTTAGCTCGTTTGAGTTATTGAAAATGAGCCCATTCTTCCCATCCTTGACAAGTTCGGGAAGGCTAAGAGAAGAAAATAGGCTGAAAGTCAATATACTTCAAGAAACAAGACAAACCAGTCGAAGTTCAACGCGCAAACGGGGAGCCCACATCCGAACATGTCCACTACTTTCATTGGAAGATCTCTCCCAGAGGAGCTGGAATGCAATGACACGCCCAAGTCAGCAGAACCTAGACAAAACGTTAGGAATAATGGAATATCAATGAGAATCAAGCTCACCGAGGAATGTTGGATAATCCTCAGCCTCCAGCCATAAACTTATACATCTTACCCAATGCCAATCAGCCTGCAAACGGTTAATTTTTTTCATATACTCTTCTCGCTGCGGTCCCTTCCCTGTTACGACCATCAAGAGTTTCGGTAATTTCTTTGCATTTGCGGCCTCGGAGAGTTCCCGAGCCCTTTTCTCATACTGGTTCAGCGCGTCCAGCAGAATACCAAAATCTTCATCGGGCGTCCAAGAAGTACTTGAAACGACCAAGGCGGGTCGATCAGGCCTCAGCCGAGGGGGTTGAATATTCTCATAGGTCAGCGCGGTTGCTGAAATAGGATCTCTAACGTGAGCTGGGGTAGGAGTGGGCGACGCATCCGATAGCGGTTTTCGGTCAGTCAAAAGGGTGGAAAATGGTGGTGTTGAATCGGGTAAAAAGTCTTGTAAAGATTTGTACTGGGAGATGGGTGCCTGAAGCCTGACGAAAAGCTGAGTCAAGAAATCCATTAATGAGCCTTCGTGGTAGAGTGCAATAAGTGGGACAGACATCGTGAATCTCTTGAGCAGAACAACGATGGAAATGTTTAGGAGGACGGTCATGAAGGACGACCTTTTCTCCACTATGATTCGAACACTTGTGAATGAGATCATAATATCCCAAAAGAAGAGAACGCACATTAAATCCCATTCTTGAACTAGAAAATTCCGCATTGCTTCTGTCACGAATATATGGGCATACGCTACTCTCCCAAAGGTTACCTCGAACCTGTCATGCAGGAGAAAATTAGACTTATAAGGAGAGCCGGGCATAGCACACACCATTTTGCAATCTTCACATATATATGTGTTTTCGGCAGCTTGAGCTCGAGTATACTATATCCCAGATTATGCCAATCAATGATAACTTTGCATCCTCGGATCCTACCAATAAGCCATACTACCGCAAGCGTTGGTATACTAGGGGGGTTCTATCATTGTCATGATCTTGATCGAAGAAGGGATTCTTGTAAAGCACATACTTGCACGAGTATATACTCTGGGGGTTCACCAACAGAGATAAGTAGTTCACGCAGGATGGACGAGACTTGGTGAATGATCTTGAAAGGAGCGAGGAGCACAAATGGCAAAGAACGGAGAATTGCTGGTGGTTCAGGTAAGTAGCGAAGTTCGACTTTGGGTAGACGTTCCAAAGCCGGTATAGGTTTGGACCCTACGTACAACGGTGAGTACGTCATGTAAGTAGATGATATATGTTCTCACCTCCATACCCTATCAAATATACCATAAAACCATTCTCGGCGAAGCTTTCTGCGTGGTACATCATCCTGGGACTGCGACCAATGTCGCCCAGCACAAGTATTGCTATAGAGCGCAGTGAATGTTCACTTTTGGGTCTAAAGAACCGAAAGAAAGCAAGAAGTCGATAGCATATCCACAGACACGCAATACTAGCGATAACATGTAAAATGGTCTTGTCACTGTTCACTGTGCTCGCAGGTGACATCGCTGAAGAATTACACGATCATAAGCGCGCATTCACGTGCCGGTCGATCGCCAGGCGCCAATTCGCAGTTTTTGACCCAAACAACCACCATGCCTCCGCGTCCCAAGCCAATTCCGCTTCCTCGGAAGCAGTCCAATGCATCTAAAGATGCATCATCGATCAAAGTAACAAAGACAGAAAAATACTCCAAAGCAATGCCGCCTCCGCCAGTACCAGCTGCACCGATGGGCATATTAGAACCGGAAATAAACGCTTTGTCTGGATGTTTGCAGGTGCGCTTCTGTACTTCTTATCTAAAAACTAACTCTGAATTCAGCGCGCAGAACGCAGCTGTAAAAACAGCTCAAATAGTGCAATTTCATCATGATGCTCGCCAACTGTAAGGATTGTCAAATGATACTGTCTATCTATTCTCTGAACATCTCTCAGAAACGTTCGGAGACATGCCTCGGATCCTCCTCGTTCGCTTCAAGCGTCGCTAGGCCGTGAGCTCGAGAAGTATGATCAGCTTTGCGATGCAATTGAAACACATTTAGTGCGTTGTTCATGGTTAATGCCTTTGTTGGGTATTGACCTTGCTTAAAGGTCCGTGCAATATCAGTCCTGCAGAGGGATTTGAAGAAGGAACAACAGCGAATACGAGATGAAGAAAGGATCGCTGCTGAAGCTGCTGCTGCCGCCGCAGCAAAGGCCGAGGCCGAGGCAGCAGCGAATGCACAAAATGTATCAATGTCACCACAAATCACCCCTTCAGGATCTGGAGAGTCTGTCAATCCAATCTCTGGTACCTCAACTCCAATAGCATCTACCAACCAATCACCTGTGGCACACGCTACAGTTGGAGGGCGCAGACCTTCGGCTATATCCATATCTTCACTCAATCGGCCTGCCTTCCCACTCAAACTCGATTTGTCTTCTCAGTCTCTCCGTATGTCGGCAGAAGATGCCGTTTCATTTCTGCCATCCGGTCTACGTTCCCCTGTCACTCTCGCACCGAAGTCTGCGCGACCCATCGACTATGATATCATGGCCGCATTCAACGACCCTCGAGTCGACATTGATCTCACTCTCACACCGGCGGGCTCTTCGAGCGGCATGAATCTTGACCTAGATTCAGCCTTGGGCAGCTCTGCGGACAAGCCCATCGATTTGGATATGGACGGCATGGACTTGGATCAGGCCATGAGTGATCTTTTTGGCGACTCTTCTGAACCTGACAATACTGAAGCAAATGCCGATGGTGGAGGCCTTTTTTCACCTCATCTTGGGACCACTGGCGAGATTGGAAACTCGACCAACAGGGTCGATGATAACTTCCTTTCGTCTATTGGGGTTGGCGGAGACAATCCTAATGCCGACATCTTTGCTTCTTTCGGGGTTGGAGAAGGAGGGGATTTGACCTCTCCTTCCGGGACAATATCTCTACCCTCAACAGAGACATTAACTGCTCCATCACCAGGGACTCTCCTTGCTAGTCTTTCGCAGTCATCAACAAATACATCTCAAACACAAGGCTTGACTATGGATGAATCCTTTGATCTCGGGAATCTAGGAAATCTTGAATTCCTCTCAACTGAGAATAATAGCGATGTGAATCTTGATTCTCTCAGTTGGATGGACACTACTGGCGGTAACAACGACGTCACCAATGGGAATCCCACCACTTCGACCTCATGACAAGTAAGCAAATGTGTGTGTTCCGATTTTGTATAGATTGGTTGCAAGTTGCAACGACTGCTGAAATCAGTATATGTAGCAGCGAACGTAGGTAGATATTGGTATTTCCCTATCTCGGGCTGATATGAAATTTTCAATGTATGCTGGCAGAAAGCCCTCACATAGCATACTGAGGCTTGCGTGTGTCCATATTCAAACCCTCCAATGGCATAGTGTCCTCGGAAATCCTCATTCGTTATCGGTCCCGCTATTCCGTTTGAGAGTTTATTTTAGTAATAACACCCATCTACTGATAGATAGACAGATAAATGCATGGCTTTGTCCTTGAACGGGTCCCACAACTGTATTGTTCGATATGTTGTGAAATAACATGACCAACATTTGAGGAGGTTAGCAGCAGCCTAGAGTCCTTGTGATCAGGGAAAATAATATGCTTTTTAAGTGTGGAACTCTGGATAAACTAGATGTACGAACTAGGACTATCAGGTGGGCAGCGTGGCGCACTAGGATCTGAATTCTGAATTCTAAGGGCGACATTCGTTACACTGAGACTACGCTGAGAAAAACTCGAAAAATCATTCATACTAATAGGACAAGCGGAAACTGCCTTAGGAAGCTGCCGCCTTACTTGAGACCTCTTCCACCCGACAATCGCTCTAAGCAATAAAGGAGTTTCAAACTCATTCATCCCTTCAAGTTTGTACTTTTCTTCCCATTCTTATTAACAGTAATTTCTGCGCTGGCTTGCGGAATTTAAAGCTCGCATGGTACTTCATTCGTTTATCTTGAATAATTTGGGTCTATACTAATTGATCTTCTATCCTAGGTGTTTGTGAATAGTAAGAAATTTGCTTGGTTGGTGTAGTCCCTTGGATCAGGTTTTTCCAACGTATTGATCCAATCATCTCTCTCAAGCGAAGCCTGCATCAAAGGTCACCGCTCCTCTACCTGTTCACACACGGATCGACCCCTCTTTGAAGTCAAAAAGAAAGGTCGACCTGTATCCCAATGTGAGAGATGCCGTGAACTGAGGCAATCGAAAAAGGTCCATTCGAAGTGTAACTGTAATCCGAAGGAGCAGAAACCACCCCCGAAGCCTCAGACCGGACAGAAACGTACGTCGTCAGTGATTGCTTTAATTCTTCTACTCAATCATCCTACCATCGTAGCTCCAAGATTCGTTCCCATTGCTCCAGCTCTTCCTAACGGTCTTAAAGATGTCGTCCGAGTTGCACCTTCCGCTTCATCAAACTCACGACAAACTGGCGAGTCACATCTTTTATTACAAATACAGAATCTGAATATATACTCTAGTGGATACTCTCCTCAACCCATGCTCCTGCAAGAATCCAGCTTGGGAGTGCAATTGTCGACAGTCCGCCAACTCTTGCTCCTCAAATGGCCTCAATACCCTTGCGCAAGCCGCTCAGCTATGTTGTGCCGTAGACTCGAACACTGTTTCCTCTAAACCCACTCGCCCGCCTTCGCCAACATATTTGCGAAAACGAATCAAACATACACATAATACACCCGGTCCAGAGCTCCCGCCATTCTTATTCGACACCTCTCCTCTTGCAGATACCAATTTCGAGTCTGGATCTATGCCTCCCATCACGCAGATTGCTTCCATCGCTGGCTCAGGCTGTACTTGTGGGGTGGAGTGTAACTGTCCGGGATGTGTAGAACATCGAGGAGCAGAATATGCCGATTCTGAACGCCAGAGCTGCGATCCTGATCCCTGTGGGACGTGTGTCGATAACCATCAGGGAATCGGTCTTCCTAATTCATCGTTTGCTCTAGATCCCAGATACACCTCATCCCGAATGATCAACCAGTTTTTTGCACGAGCAGCTTCTCTTCCTTCACCGCCAGTAAATCGAAAGATGGGTGTAGGAATTAAACTCGACCCGGGAAATGTTATGGTATACCCTACTGCTGCGATGGAGACCAAAGAGCGCGGAGTACCATTCGGCCTCATCACGATCCCGAAGTTGGAATGCTGTGGAGGAAAATGCGGTTGTCCTGATGGCGATTGTTCCTGTGGAAAGTCTTGCGAAGGATGTTGTACGGATCATGATCATCATAGATCTAACTCTAACGAACCCAACACCTCGAGCGAAGCAGAATTTTCGACGTTCAGGGTCATTTCTGCTCCAGTGCAAAGCTGTTGCGGTGGCAAGTAGGCACCGTGAATGTCAATTTACATATGTCTTGATTTTCTTTCGGTAAATGTTAGGTTGTTTTACATAGTCTCACAAATATACATCCTATTCGGAGAGATGTAATGTTACAATTGAGAAATCCAATATATGTAGAAAGTACAGACGCTCGGAAGAAGTTAAAGTTCGCCAGTGCATGTGTTGCGGGTCTCCATTAAACCCTATTGCATATCGAAATATCAGAGACATATTCACTATTGGCACGATAGCAGTAAACGATACATACGTGTCATCTGGAAATTCGCAAAGAAAACAATGCAATGTTGAAACTTGGCTTATAGAAAGTACATTGAAACTCACCATCGTAGTGGAAACGAGTCTACAGGTGACCGTCATCTTTTGCTTATCATATAAGTCATCAATAAGGCCTACCTTCTTGGGGTTCTCCGGTGCATGTTTAACGTATCTGTCATTGTCGACCGGTCTATACAGTGTTTGGTCAAGAAGAAGTGGTTACCACAGCAAACGTAATCGCGCACCGGTGTTTCTCCTAAGCGTTAATTGATGTCAACACGTTGATTGAAGAAGGAGCGGGACATCCGTGCTCACCTTGCACGAAGCCAGCATACTCTGCAGCGTGACACACACTGCTATGACGCTTAGTACAGGGGACCACTCATTTCCAAGGATGGATGCGCAAATCTACAGCGGCGAAGGGAAGAGCAAAGTAAGCTTTGAGTGATGAAACGATCTGCCATTGAAGATGGAATGGTATCGTACATGCCCATTTGAATAAACGTGCTGCAGTATATTATGAGTTACGTTGGATTTGAGAGGAATATAGGCGTATAGATGTGGCGTACCGGATGAACGGGGGCTTGTCTTCCTTCTGTGACAACAAACTGGACCGCCGGACTTGATATGGGATATTGTTGGTCAAAGCGAAATTGTAAGGTGAATTTCTCGTTCTGCGTCGAGGATGGAAAAGGTGTGTAGTTAGGCAAGAGAAGGTTAAATTATGGTTTTGAACATATCCAGCCATTGATACCATTCAGCGATTGATTATGCAAACGTATCAGGGAAACAAGGAGGGCACGGGGCATGAACAAATGAGATTTCGGTTGCGAGTTATGCTGATTGAACGAACCTGGTATAATGACTCCCCCATGACCTCGATCGTGAAAAGCCAGGTACTAAAGTCATCCGCCTGGACAAGATTTATACCTATCGGGGGAGAACAGGTCGAATTCGTAACGATATCGCCAAAATTAAAGCACCCCCCAACGAACCAACTGGGCATCCCTCATTCTTGATCTCCATGAGCTCCTTCGCAAGCCTTCGCGAAGATATCGAGGTCATTACGGAGTGAGAAGTATCGGGGACAGCTGTGAGGACAAACGGGGCAATTGATCAGTACAATGAATGGGTCAAGGAGAATCCAATGTACGCTTTGACGCCCGATTTGAGAAGATATAATCTCACGTGCGCGTTAGGGTTAAGGTTAGCAGTTTGGTATAAAAACTTTCGTGATTGTTGCCCTGTTCTTCATCATTGAAACATGTTTCTCCGCTTATAGAGTCGCTTGCTCTTCCATCCAAGAGGAATTTGTAGGTGCTCGTGGAGACGCAGAAAATCTTCTTCCCTCGTCACACTCGCAGGTGCAACTGTCGTGCATCTACGCCGTGGTTTGGCTAGATACATTTTTTCTACAAATAAATTATACTCAGCGCTCAGGAATGTGTTCAATCAAAGATTCTATTCTATGTTGCAATCTTCTCATCTTTCTCCTGGGCCAATTTGATCTTCATCTCTCTATCGACTGTAATATCATCCAGAATTTCCTTTGCTCCCGTCTCAATAAGTGTTATGGCTAACTTCGTCCCCACCACCTCGGCTTGTTCTTCGCTGGCCACCGTCTCTGTTATTGTATGCTCGACATGCTTGCTTCCATCTAAGGCCGTTACACAACCAGTAATCGTCAGTACATTACCATCCAGTGATGATCCGATGCCAACAGGAACACTGCATCCACCTTCCAACTTTCTCAAGCAAGCTCGTTCTGCGAGACAGCACAAGGCAGTCTCCCGATGCGTGATTTGCTGACATATTTTGAGAGATTCCTCGTCGTTTGACCGTATTTCGATCGCCAATGCTCCTTGAGAGACGGCGTGGTAGAGTAATGGAGGAGCCAGGTCGGATGTAAGACGATTGCCCATTCCTAGTCTGACCATTCCAGCTTTGGCAAGGACAATGGCTGCGTAAGGGCCTTCTGGCGCATCGAGTTTAGCCATACGAGTGTTTCTAGACAGAGATGAATGTAAAAAAGTAATGATACAAAGTTGAACTGGGAAACATACAGGTTTCCTCGCTATGAACATGGCATATCAAATATTGTACTCATTGTCAACGAGTCAAGCGACTCACCACGTCTTGGAAAACCAACTCGGGGTACTTTCTTTTCAACTGTGCGACCCGCCTCACAGAGCTTGTCCCAACAATACTTCCATTTGGTAAATCATCCAGTGTCTTCCAAGGACTACCTTTCTTCACTACGAGGCTGTCCACAGGATCCTCTCGCTCCATGATTCCAGCAATAATACATCCCTCGGGCAAAACCGTCGGTACATCCTTGAACGAATGGACGAGCATATCAACTTCGCGCTCAATCAACGCGACTTCGAGTTCCTTCGTCCACAAGGCCTTTCCTCCGAGCAGGTACAAGGCTTGGGATTGGTTTTTATCGCCTGCAGTAGACATGAACGATGTAGTAAATTTCGGTATTGCGTCCGCTTTAGAACTAGCAAAAAGTGATTTCATGTTATCCATAGCAAGATTGGTTTGTATTTGGGCTAGTTGGGAGCCCCTCGAGGCTAAGACAAATGTCCTAGAAGAGTTGGACATATTTGGGAAGTGAGGAGAGTACAACTTCAAGATGGACGATCGATTAAATATCAACCGGCAAAATTATGCCGGATAAGTTACCACTCGTTCCGTCGCCATCTCTCAAAATTTATACAGTGGGTATACAGCTCAACAATCGGAGAGGGAGGTGAGAGTAGGCTATAAAGCAAGAGTGAATTCGTGGGGATAGCGATCCGGTAAATACTACACTAGAATATCCAAGCGCGAGCGTATTAAGGAACCCGGAACCTTCAACTCTATGCTGACATGTACTGGGCCATGCTGATTCATAAAGGTGAGAAAGGTAGAAAGAGCGTGGATGGGAATACATACGGAGATGATTCTTGCCGATTCTCCTTATTTAGCTTTTTTTCAAGCTTATTAAACTCGTTGAGCGCAATTTGTTCTTCCTCATCCAACACCTTGAAGTATACTGTGAGTACGAGCCGTACATAAAGTAAAAATATTAACCTGTTCGACACCTTTAACTTCCGGTATGTAATGCATCAACATCCTCTCAATACCGCTCTTGAGTGTTACCGTACTTGAATCACACCCTCGACAACTTCCCTTCAGTTTGACCTTCACCATCCCCGAACCAGCTTCATCGAATCCACGATATTCGATATCTCCTCCATCTTCCATAATAGCTGGTCGCACCCTTGTCTCAAGCAATTCTTTGATCATTGCAACTGTCTCCGAATCTGTATCATAGATTCGTGTATCCTGTGGGCCAGCATTGTCTCGTTCTTCTTGACTTCGAAACAACGCTTGACCTGATGAGAAATGTTCCATGAGGGTGGAGTATATTTCAGGCTTAATTACAGCCCATGGATGTTCAGAGTCTTTGGAGACGGTGACGAAATCGGGTCCGTAAAATATTGCTTTAACACCTTCTACGCCCATTAGACGAATAGCCAATGGCGAGCTTAGCGCCGAACGGGTATCCAGAAATTCTGCAGTTCCTTCGCCCATTACAGACACTCCAGGTACGAATTTGAGGGAATCGTCGTTCGGCGTAGATTCCGTTTGGATAAACATTGAGCGGGCTGTTTCTCAATCAATACAAAGGAACGTTCAAATGTAAAAAGAGCTCACTCAAAGGAGGAGCTTGCCTGGCTGCAGGTCTTGATGAAAGTCCCGGTGAAGTTGGCGTAGCGGTGGCATAATGTCGTTGCAAGGGCTTCCGCCATGGACTCGAAGAAACAGTTCTGGGTTGTGAAAATGACGACCTGCCTGACAGGCCAAACAGGGTTCTACTCTTTAATGAGAATGGAGCTTTTAATGAATGACGAGCCCAATTTCTAGCGCAAGTTGCGAGCGACATGGAAGTCAAGGCAGGAGTTAAAATATACACTTATTGCGATGTAATTATTCAGCGATCTTCTCTGACCGGCCCGGTAATGTTATGAACTTCTCCACTGACGGTGTTACCGTTATGTCTTCGGAAAATCCAGTTCCTTTTCAAAGTAGTTTCGACTTCAACCATCTATTCCAGGTATATATTTTTCGACTTCAACCGACTGACGAATTTTGACGTGACCCCCAAATCATAGCGTCGCATTGGCCACATAACTTCGATCCAAATACGAAATCTCACTCCTTTTCCCGCTCGAGATACATTCACTTCAGCTCTCATAAAGCCAATTGAAATCTCTACTGCTACTCATGGCTATGTAGCAGACGATTTAGATGCAACATTGACGCGTAAACGTACCCGGAGGGTTTCAACGAATTCAATAACCACCTTGCGGAGTTCGAGATCAGAGGATGGAGAGTCAGCAGGAGTAGGTGAAGGACACGAAGAAGGAAAGAGAACAACATCAAGATTGAGCGAAAAGTCGACTACAATTGGTCGAACAGCACCGACATTAAGGCCTCAGCGAAATAGGACTACATCTTTGGCATCAGTGTTCCCCGAGTCGACTGAGGTATCGCAAGGAAGCTTTTCCCTGAATTCTAATGTTGAGGCATATAAACATCATGCCACGCTGGAAGATCATTCTCAGACTGGTTTGGAGAAAATCATTGGCTCTCGGCTCGTAGAAACGTTTTTAGCCGTTACTGCCATCTCAGAGCCTTCATATGTTGATGCTGGGCTGCCAACAACTTCCTCCTCATCTTTCTTTCCTACAAGCACGCCAAGTTCTCCCAGGAACGGGTTTCCCCTGATATCACCGCGGAAGGATGTATTCACTCCTTCCTCCCCCAGCCCACTTCCGAATACCGAGAAGTCACGCAGGGATTCCCGAGCCTCAACTCTGTCTTCTTCATCTTCTGGCCATTCTAAAACCATGTATGATGCTACTCTGTCTCGAAAAGGAGCAGTCAAACCCGCCACAGGCAGTCCAATAGCATCAACTTCAACATTTCCTTCGTCGCCTGAGCTACCTTCTTCGCCAGTCCAACCCTCAGTTCCAGCTTATTTCTCTCCAATACACCAGCCATCTACCAATCCAAGCTTCTTTTTCGATCCCACGTCCGAGTTTGCATCATGGACTGACTTCAGCGCTGTGAAACTGAAAGTTGAACTTTGGGCCAAGATTGGAAACGACTCTGGACCTGTGAATGGAAAGGGTAAGGAAAAAGAACGTCCTCGTGAAACCCGAGATTCGAATCCACCTGAATGGCAAGTGCTAGAAGAATGGAATGTCGATTTGAATGAGTTGATTCCCCTCCCGAACATAAATGCTGATGATGTATGTGTCATTCGTCCATTAATTCTCTGCGTACGTTTCTCATATCTCAGGCTTTGGAAAACAGGACCCCCATCACCAATTACCTTCAAACACGCTCCTCATTACGCTCAACCCGCCAGGGCAGACCTTTTATGCCTATGTTCCAATATTATCACAGCCATCTCACAGGACAATGGATTTGGCTTCAGGTTACTCATCAGATCCGGAGTCTACCATACGGAAGAACAAGGAAATTGACACCAAGTTAGACTTTGCAGCTCTCCCTTCTAGAAGGAGGCGGCAAAGAGGTAGACAAGGCCAGGAAACTGCCAAGGAAGAGTATATAGCCAGGACTGCCGGATGGAAGGACTTATTTAAGTAAGATCATTTTCTTTTTGTGTGCTCGGGCAACGTGCTTATACTGTGTCACTGTTCTTTTTAATTTTTCATTTTCACTCATGAAAATATTGCATTCGCGCCACGCTTTCTCTGAAATGGGTAAGACTGGTGACTATTTGGACAACTATAAAAGATAACGAAAAATCATTGGAGGATATCGTTCGTGGGCTCGATCGTCTCATCGCTGACGATCAGCTTTCACCACTTGTAAGTTGTTCCCAATATGCACTTCTCTATGTTGAAACGACTTCTTATTAATCATCCTAGAAACGGGAGATATCCGAACGCGAATGTCGGATAGCGGAATTACGAGCAGATTGTGCCAGCGTCTCGACGCAGTCACAAGAACGTCGGTGTTCCTTCGCATTAATTTTAACAGATATTATATGTTTGTCTTTCAGTTCGAGATGAGATACTTATACGTCGGGAACAACTAAGAGAACGACGAAATATGCTTGCTAATGTTGAACAGCAGGATGAGGACGAGCAGCAAGAATGGGAAGAAATAGAGGAAGACCTTCTCGATGAACGGTGTGTGTTGCCTTGAATTATACGTGAAGTCTGACCGACCTGTTACCAAAAGCGCTCGTCTTGCTTCGCTGCGAAGTCTAACCATTCCAAGTCGCACAGGCCTACTTTCAACCCTTTCGTATTTATTTCCCATTGAGCTTCGTTCGCCGCCTGACCTCCTCTTTACGATCCTTGACGTTCCACTTCCGATTCCCGCTTCTCCCAACGATCCTGCTCCTCCGCTTACCCTTCCAGCACATATCGACGTCAACGAAGAGACTGTCGCGACTGCTTTAGGATATGTTGCTATTGTCGTACAGCTTCTAGCTGCATATCTTGGCCATGTCTTGGTTTATCCGATTACCTACATCGGAAGTAGAAGTCTCATTCGGGATGGGATATCCGCTATGGTGGGGCCCCGAATGTGAGCTATATCGTTACACCGTTACCTACGGCGAATTCTGAGCCGCTATAGGTTCCCCCTCTTCTCAAAAGGAGTTGACACGTATCGGTTTGAATACGGCGTCTTCTTGTTGAATAAAGACATCGAGATGGCGAGTGTCTCGTTGCTTCCAAAGATTACTTCATTGAGCCTTTATTACAGCTTATGGTAGAACACGACCTACGTGCGATAGATATCCGACATACGCTTCCGAATCTAAAGAATTTACTTCTTACCCTGACTGACGGTGAGGATGTCCCCATCAGGTCAGTAACGTTTTAGAAACCGAATCCTCAATATTTGCGCTGATCAAGCAATTGGTGCAGACCTGCGATACGTGTGGCTTCTCCAGTCTCATCTCTTTCTGGCTTGGAGTCTCCCAAACCGCAGTCTCTTGCATCTTCACAAGAGATTGCAAACTCAAATACCACTACGCCGAAAGCCACTTGTGTGGATCTACCACCCGAAATTACTCCGCCGGCCAGCGGATCGTCGACTCCCACCACCCCTAGCGCACCCACTAGTGTATCTATGGACACGCTGAAGAAAACTTCGCGTTTTCTTGGCGGCTTCACTCCTTTCTCTGGCTTTCTGCGAGCTCGTGCTCCTTCCTCACTGCTTTTCCGAAATGTCGATGAGTCTGCGGGCTCTTTCGACACTGACGAGCTACCTATATCATCGTCTAATGCAGCTGAGAATACAGAGTCCGCGGAACATAATGCGACCGCGTCAAAAAGGGATGAAGTTATAAACTCGGAACCTGGAGAGGTTGGATCTCCAGTCCTGGCCCTGGGTAAAGTCAAGGTCGCCGATCGTTTTGGAGAAACGACGGAAGTAGACACAGACGCGGACTCACAGCCTATCCTCGTCAAAGGCCGACTAGCAAGTGTATGGAAGGTACAATGATCTATCGTCATCTGAGCTTGGAAGTGCTAAGGAAGCAGAAAGGGATCAATACGAGAAGGATAAACATTCTTACTACACAATGCAATGGGTAGTATTTCGGTGTTCGAGTTTACAGACGTACATAAGCGCCGTGCAAGATCGTTCGCGAGTCGGTTCCATTTTTACTCAACTCTACCTTGTAGAAATTGTACTCATTATATCTTTACCGTAGATGTGTTGCACATACAATGGAACAAAGAGTCTCACAAGAACAATATCGCTCTTTGTATGTACATCTCCTTTGCCTCTTATGCTTTGTCAAGTCCCGACTCCCATGAGAATCCACACTGAGATTCGGTAAACACTGTAATTGTGTAAATGCATCAAGATTCAGGTTCCGTTCATCAAACTCCTATGGCCCTTTGACATGTTAAGTACAGGTCTATCCCATATTCTTACAACGACGTCCGTTCGACAGTGGACAAAGACGAACTACGAATGCTTGACACGGTGTGTGCTTCATAGGTGTAAACCAATGAAGGACCTTTCAGCCTCTTTGAGCTCACCAGGAGAATCGTCGGAAGTCGGACATCCGAGCGGCGAGAACTATATAAGTGAGTAGCAATTACTTATTTGTTCAAAAATTGAGCACCGAACCTGAGATCTATAAATCTATGTACGCTAAAATCATGTCCATGGTTCAGCGGTCCTTCGAGGGCAAGACAAGGGAAGACAGGGTGAGGATCCGTGAGTACGCGGTCTAATTTCATGTTTTTTCGCAGAAATGAAGGTACTTAAGTAAGGCTGAGTGCTAAGTAAGGAAGAATTTCTTGTGGGTCAACCAGAGACAACCCTGAAGCGTGAACTGCGCTCATAAAGATTCCATTGTAACACACTTGGAGATACTTGGGAGAGAAATCAAAGGTTTGTGCGGCCTTTAAGAAGACCCTGTGAGTTGAGAGTAATATCTAGAATCCCGCCAAAAAGTCCCACCTGGTCCCGCCACTGAACTGACTGGAGATTGGAATGCGATGGGAATGAACGTACAATGACCGGCCTGGTCCAAAGCCATTTGATATATGTGAATATTGTGTTCCAGGCTCTCCCATTGCGACCGCTTGAGGGGATAAATACTTGCCATTGATTATGTAAGCAATACTGAATTTTCGTGAAACGTTCGGGCGTAACTTACGGCCTACGGGTCAACCGACTTCAAATTTTGGATATAAAAGGCAACTGCCGGTTTTTCAAGAAGAGTGTCAGGACTCAGGGTCCACAATCTTTCGAGCTCACTGACCAGCATATAATAACTCTGAAGCTTTCTTTTTCTCTCCCGTTTCTCGTTCGAATCTGGAGTAACAAAAGGGTAGGCTTGGCTCCTCCAAATTACCTATAGAGACTTATCACCCTGCTTCTACCAGCTCAGTTCGCCACTTGTAACAACACCAATCTTGTAGAGCCCCAAATCGGTTTTCAGGTGTGCTTGGTCTATCCTTTGTCCTCACTTTTTTTGTTCTTACGGTCTGTTTGTTTGCAGGACAACATTGTGCTTCTTAGCTGCCTTCTCATCTGCTTTTTTGCTCGTTCACTTCTTTTCTGTCGTTCACCGTCCTGATACAAAATGAATAATACCTCGCAAATGCCTACTTCACCTACTGATAATACCTCCTCCCCTTCGGACGACCGTAAACAGAGTCCACCTGCGTTCTTGGACCTTGCGGATTCCGTATGTACATTGTCATTCATTTATTTGCTTCTCACTGATGTGATGGGATTTTAGGCAGCGAGATTGGGGAGTAATATGCCAGACATGTCTGCGGTGAGTTCTATCGCGGCTTGCATTATAGCTCCAGCTGATTTGTATCCAGCGGGTTGAGCTGAAGCGTCTCGAACACGAGAGGCAACGTGTACTTCAGCGTAAAATGTTCGAGGATCAGATGCGGGCTCTTGAACAGCAGCAAGCTCAGGAACTCCTCTCTATTCCTGTCGATCCCAGTACTCTCAATGGCGCTGGCATCCAGCATCTCGCTGTCTCGGCACCTACTACACCGCCTCGGGTTAATGCTGCCCTTCAAGGCGAAGCTCACCTGGGTGCAAAATATGGCCCCGGTGCATATTTAGTTGATGCTGATTCGCTCTCTAAAGCAGTTGGTGCCGCAGACAAACGCAAGTCGGTTACTTACGCTCCCTCCGTCAACATTTCCCCCGACTTGTCCGCAGCTAATGTGACTACCAACTATTCCCGTTCTGCTGGGGCTAAAAGTATGCCTGCCAGTCGCCGAACTTCTGCCAGTAGTCACGACGATGAGTTGGCCAGTCATTTGCAAGGGTTGTCTTTGGAGGGTCAACGTTCCAGGAAGGCCTCTCCCATTCCTGCTCCAGTGTCAGCTTCCATTCTGACGAGGGGCTCTCGGTATGCGGATGATGAAGGTGCCCGCTATGCAAGTACTTACAATGCCGGAATGATGCTGGATGAGCAATTGGACCAGGAAATGCATAGTAAGTTCTATTTGTCAATACGGTATAACTTGGTTCCTTATTCGTTCTAGATGCTATGAGGCATCTCCCAACTTCAGACGAGGACAAGTATGCCAACTCGTTTGCAAACAAGGTTGGAAATTATCACATGCACCTTTAAATTGATCCTGAAGAATTGTCTACAGGTGTCAACATCGTCAGCGGCCCTGGACCTAGCCCACATATCTCAGAGCTCCAATAATCGCTCTCTTGACAACAGAGATAAAATATCAGAATGGCCTCAATACCCTCGCGGCCCTGAGGGAATCACATCCGCGAAGTCTGAGAGACGCACTGTCACAAATCCTGGTTTGATTCTTGCATCACCCGACGGACAGGCTAGTCTGGGCTCTATATCCGCTTCAGCCACTCCGCTCGTTTCGCAGCATTCCCAGGGCATTTCTCATCAGCCTCCTTCGCCTAGTCACGGTTCGCCTCTCGGTCTTCTTGAAAGTATGAACGGCACTACTCGTTCTGTGCCAGCCACTCCTCTCGGTCTTTCCAGCAGTCACATCATGAAGCCTCCCGGCACTCCCCTTGGCGAATCTCAAGGAATGAATGGCCGAATGTCCACACAAGGGAATCACCTCAACGATGCTATAGATATTCAAGCCTCTTTGTCCCGCATTCCTTCTGGTCGGTACGAGAATGGCGCTCTCAATTTCAATGGGATCCCACAAGGTCTCGATGAACCTTATGGTGCTGACTCAGGCTTTGGCTTGAGCGGTGGCCTTGATGGGCGTTACAACTCATACGCTGATGTCAACAGCAACACGAGTGGCTCGACTGCATTATATCATCACAACGGGTCCCGTTACGGATTGGGTCTCCCCGGACGTGCTAATGCCGGGGTAGACGGAAAGATGAACGGTTTACATGGGCCCAAACACAAGCGTGGTGACATGGATCGTGAGTGTAAGCAGCTATCGGGGTTGTTTTCCTGCCTCGGCTGATGTTGCTTCTTTCTCAGTCAATCGATTTGCGGGTACACGCCTTGAAGATCTCCAGGGTGAGATTCCGGCCCTTTGCAAAGATCAACACGGTTGTCGCTACCTGCAAAAAAAGTTGGAGGAAGGTCTTCCTGAACACCGTGATATGATTTTCCGTGAAACTTTCGGCCATTTTGCGGATCTCATGACAGGTTAGTCTCGATGCCCCCAGTTCCGAAATACGGACTTACTTGCTCTCGTTTTAGACCCCTTTGGTAATTACCTCTGTCAAAAGCTTCTCGAGTATTCCACCGACGAGCAGCGGAATGTTATCTGCGAGTCGGTTGCCCAGGATTTAGTCAACATATCCCTCAATATGCATGGCACGCGCGCCGTTCAAAAGATGATTGATTTCCTTTCTACACATCGACAGGTGGGTCCAAGTTACCCCTTCGTTGTATCTTCGCTTACCCCTGTAGCAGCAAGCCAATCTCAGATACAATGCTCAGATCCATTCTATCATTCTTGCTCTGAGTCTCCATGTTGTGGTGCTGATCAAGGATCTGAATGGTAATCATGTTATCCAGAAATGCTTGAATAAATTATCGCCCGAAGACAACCAGGTTTGAACATTTGCTTTCTGGGAGTTCATCTTGCTGAATATATATGTTTAGTTCATCTACAATGCTGTCGCTGCTAACTGCGTAGAAGTTGCTACTCACCGTCATGGATGTTGTGTTCTTCAACGCTGCATTGATCACGCTTCTGATCATCAACGTATTCAACTTGTCAATGAGATCACTTTCAATGCCCTCACCCTCGTTCAGGATCCCTACGGTAATTATGTGAGCGCAAGATGATTTTGTTATTTCTTCAGGATCCTAATGTTGTCTTGCAGGTTGTACAGTATATCTTGGACTTGAACGACAACCGTTTCAGCGATGCCGTAATCCGGCAGTTCGCTGGCAACGTTTGTGCCTTGTCTGTGCAGAAGTTCAGCTCAAATGTTATTGAGAAGGTATGGGTTACTCATCGTGAGCTGGACTACCGCTTATACTATGACACAGTGTATCCGTGTCGCGGAACACAGCACCCGTAAAATGCTCATTGAAGAACTTCTCAATCGCACTCGTTTGGAAAAACTGTTGCGAGATTCGTATGGTAACTACTGTGTCCAGACAGCCCTGGACTATGCGGATCCCGCACAGCGCGTTCTCCTCGTCGAGGGGATCCGACCGGTCCTTCCCTTGATTCGCAATACCCCATACGGTAAACGTATCCAGAATAAACTTCAGCGAGAGCAAATGGATCAGTTTGGTGGATATCATAACCAACAGGCCCTTGTCAATATGGCTTTGAGCAACCCGGTAATAGGGTTACCTCAAAACTCGGGCCGCCACCTCCAAGGCAACCCCCTTGCTGATGTGTATGGCGGGCAAAATGGATTATACTCGCTCCAATCGCAAGCATCCTATGCCCAGGCCCCTTTGGCGTCGCAGTTGCACGCTTTGCAGCCTCAGTCTATCGACGGGTATGTACTCCAAGGCAACCCCGGTCATAGCCAAGGCCTTTCGCCAACACATACAAATGGTTTTTCTGGAGCGTCCTTCGCTGGCATGGGCCATTATACTGGATCGGTCTTGCCCAATGCGCTCAGCGACCCCTACCAGAGGACTTCCTTTGGCTATGGAATGTAAAAAGCTTTTCACTCTTTCTAACCTAACATCGACTCTGCCCGAATTACAATTCCCTCAAATCTACCTTACTCGCACGACCCAAATTTTGAATCACTGTCTCCCTATATCAACCATAGTCCCTTTTATCTCTGGGTATCCCCTGATCTATCATACCAAGCTCCATTGTATTTTGCCAACTGCATTATCTTCATCCAATGTTTCGTACGCCTTCGCTGTTTCGAACATTTTTCTTATTTGGCACTACATCATTTGTACAGGTTCCTTCACTCACTCTAACTCGGTTGTCTGTCTAATAGTAGTCCGTCCTAGCAGCACTATTTGTCTGTCATTCTGTAGTTACTTCCTCTAGCTGTATAAATTCGTTACTTAGAACTTGCTATTGTGGATCATACTTATATCATATTGCTTGTCGTTTTCCAGAATTTGTTTTGTTTGGAATGGTAACAAATTCAATCTTCATCGATTTAGAGGCCGACGTAACGTATTCAACGGTATATACACTTGCGAAGAGGTCAAGGCTCCAAGATGATCCTTCGTACAGACATCTGAATTACTCTGAATCGATGGGCGCATTGCAGAAGTAAATTTATCATGATTGGGCTATGAACCCCCGACCTCTGGATGGAAGAACGATGAACATTGGAAAGCATATCCGTCTAAGACCGCATACAGAAAATAGGGGAACAAGTATCATATGTGCGAAGAAAGGGATTAATCCATCACCGGTTCTGGAGGAGGAGTGATCAGTTTGCTGAGATATATATACGACTATTTCCTGCAACTCACCTTGAAGAAACCGATGGCAGCAGACTTTTCGCGGAAGCACTGACGGCAAAGGTCGAGACCGTACTTGCGGATGAGACCAGCTTGGTGGGCGCAGAGACGGCTGTACAGAGACAAAAAAGTGAAAAACTATACAGGTGGATAATCAAAAATGCTCACCATTGACGGGCGCCCTTTCCAAATTTTCTGGGGCGAGAGAACCAAACAGCGTCGTGGGTCATTTTGAAGCTGGAAGTTCAGATCGAGATCAAAGGTACAATAGACTGATGAGCAAGCAGCCAGTTACCTCTTGCGTGCGTTTTTGAAAGCAGTATGCAACGGTAAATTTGAGAACGGTCACAGCCAAAGCAGAAGTGTGAGAATGCTGCACGTGCAGCTGTATATTATTGCAAATTCACGCTCGACGCCCGTGCGCCGAGTCGATAGGCGCCAGCGGGATGATTCAAAAAAGAACCATCCCTAGCCCGTAATCTCCGTAGGTGCGAGAGGCCTGGTGCATTTTACTGAATTTCAAACCCACAAGCAACCCGAACGATAATCACTTGCTCTAGCTTATCCTGGTTTGCCGAAAGTTTTAGCTCGGCGCTCAACTTAAGCGCAATCCTCAAGGCTCTCAGCGCTAATGATGCTTTGATTTGAATTCAATGTGAAGTTGCCTCCAAGTCAGATTGTCCCAAAGAGGAAGTTGTGGTACTCGATGCACACGAGTTGCCGAACATTCATCTCTCCTGAACTACCATCTCGGACTCCCTTATTCGTTTGCTAAATGCTTACTCCCCTGGCGGTACTTTTAGCTGTCGCACTTCTGCTTGGAAGAGGCCTAGTGTGGATTGTGAATCTCCTGGTTGTTCTTCCACTATTTGATCCCCTCAGAAAGCTCCCTGGCCCCACTGGTCCCTTCTTCTTCAGTCATATTCAACGGGTCGTAGAGTATGTGAACCCGCTTATCTGGAACTTGGGTTGTTAAATATCGTTCTATGACAGTCCTGATTTCAGCGCCACACAACACGAAGAGTGGAAAAAGCAGTATGGAAAAACTTTCAGATATCATGGATCCGGAAAGGTATACCTTTGAGGCTATATCGCTCTCTGATCTTCAATGGACTTGCAACTTTACCTCAGTTTGATTATCGCTTGATGACATTCGACCTTCGCGCCGTCTCTCATATCCTCATGTCTCCCATATACCAAAAACCGAGAGTCACCCGTACATTCCTTTCTACAATGCTTGGCAAAGGTCGACCCTTCTTTGTATCTTGGTTGCCTCCACGTTCTTATCATGTTTTTCATCCAGGCATATTCACAACTGAAGGCGCTGAACATACATTTCAGGTGAAATTTTCTGTCTGAGCATCTTGCACGGCACTCATCTCATACCCTTCATCTTACAGAGAAAGATAATAGGTCCTGCTTTTACCTTACAGTCCATCAAGACGCTCACCCCGATATTCCTACGAACGGCTGAGGAACTCCACGACAAATGGGAGGGAATGTTATCCAATGGACAAGAAACCATCGATGTTTGTCATTGGATTTCTCGCGCAACATTCGATGCTTTCGGTATGGCTTGCCTTACCTATAACTTTTGTTCCATCCATGGGGAAACAGAGGAACTATATCTTGCATTCCGGCGAATGTTCGATTTAGCGGATAAGAAGGGTATCCTGCGTATACTCATTCCAATGTTGGACAAAATTTGGGTAATGTTGATTTACCTAAACAGTCGCATTTCTTGTTGAGCTTGCTGTTCTGTTTATAGCCGGATAAAATAGCCCGCTCAGTGCTAGAAAGCCGCCAAGTGATATACGCCACAGGGCGGAGGTTGATATCTGAGAAAAAATCAACGATCCTGGATCAAAAATTATCTTCGAATGGACCTACTGAAAAGGATCTTCTCAGTTTGCTCAGTAAGCTGCCCAGTGTGTCTTTCGGAATTCCCGTTAATATATTCCACTCAGTACAGTCTAATATTTGTAACGACGACTCTACCAAAACCCTTTCCGACCCAGACCTTCTTGACCAAATATCTTCTTTCTTCTTTGCTGGATCCGATACAACGGCGTTGTCCTTGTCATGGTGCCTATACTTCCTTGCATTACATCCCGATATTCAAACTCGCCTGCGTGAAGAATTGACGCACCCGACCGCTCCCCCACAAAGTTCAAATTCAGAAGATCGAGCTTACGACGTTCTTGACTCGTTCCCCCTTCTTGACAGTGTGGTTCGAGAAACACTGCGGCTCGCCCCTCCGGTCCACGGTACTCTGCGTGTAGCCACCCAGAATGATCTGATCCCTGTCTCAGAACCCGTCGTCCTGACTAATGGCACGCTCGTCTCACCCGGAGAGCATATCAAGATACGAAAGGGAAGTATCATACACATTCCAATCGAGGGTCTGAATTTCGCTAAAGACATCTGGTCTGAAGATGCTTTGGAATTCCGGTATGCATCCTGCTTTTCATAAAATTTCTGAGAACCTATTGACACCCATTTTCTTATACCATAGTCCTGATCGATGGAATTCATTACCTCCCGCTGCTCAGCCTCCACACTTCCCTGGCCTGGCCAATCTAATGACATTCTCATTTGGTCCAAATTCGTGTCCTGGATATCGCTTTACAATTACAGAGATGAAAGCTTTCCTCAGCACAATACTTCCGCGTTTCACTTTCGCCCTACCGGAAGGGCAAAGTATAGGCAAACGCAATGGGTTGTTTACCCGACCGTTTGTCAGAGGAAAGTCTAAGATGGGTGTACAACTTCCCCTGATTGTGAAACGTGTGGATGAGTGCAACCCAGCATAAACTGCACCATGTAATCCACTTATTGCATATGTACACGGTTTCTTGATACCACATTCTATGTATACAATTGGGATAATATCATACTGGCTATCGTAAATTAAAGCAGCGGTTCGAACAAGTGCGTCTTGTCAATGATAAATTTCATAAATTGGAACCTGGAGATTCTACACGGCTTCAAGCAGAAAGGTTTGTTGAAGCCATTTTTGTAACAAGACTATCGAGAGGGTCAAATTCAACTTGTTCGTCTTCCTGCTCGAACTCGGACTCGGAACCATGGACACAGACGACCTCTCGTCCATCATCCGAAGACCCGGTAGTGGAAAGCTTCGTTGGGGATGCACTGCGAGCAAGGGCAGATGGAGAGTCTATATTCATCACATCAAAATGTACACAAGATACGGAGAACACGCAAGTCCCTACCTCGAGGTTTACTAGCTGCCATCCGACTAATCCTCGGTGTGCCAGGGTTACGAGCGCGTTTAACTGGTTGTTCGAACAATGGAATGAGGCGTCCTTGTTTGCAGGCTCCACATCCTTCAGAGCCTAGTCAGAAGTGGTCCAAGTTTTGCAACAGTCTTGTACTGACCTTGAACCTCAGTTTTGATAGATTTGGTGAAGCGACCATAGCTATGGGGAAAATAAGAGTGTAAGCTCATGTACCAAGCATACGAGACGGAGATCCTACGTGTATGAGCAAAAATCACATTCTATAGTGTCTCATAAATGTAAGAATTACACAAAGTAGTAAGAGACGTACTCCAGTTCCAAGGATGTTTAATTTCGTAGTCATGCGTCGTCTAAATGACTTGGTTGAATACAGCCCTACTAAACTGCCTGACTGGGGTGACTCACAGAAACTACGATGCCTGGACAAATTCGTTCCACTTTTGCGGCCCTACGTAGGAGAGATTGAAGATGATGCAATGTGATGCATGAGCGGGAGGGTTTGGGACCTACCAGCCTTTGAAAATTGGGCCATGATATTCGTCTATTTTCTCAGAGATGATCCACGATGCCAAATGGCACATCTCGTGAGACAGTGTTCGGTCGATACGCTCTGCGAAGAGTTCTCGGAATCGATCTTGATTTTTAGAGTACATGACTCACGTTCTTCGTCCAGTATCTTGATAGCAAGTTCAATCTTACTGTGAGTTACACCTTCCCTGTCCCTGTTATGTAGTGCAGTAGGAACATTGACTTGAAGAAGAATGAATGCTACAACCCGCTTACCGGCGATAACTAGCCTTGCCAGCTGTTGTCGTGAACCTACAGTTCCACTCGATCTTTGTTGTATCTGGTATCTTGTTGTCAAAAACCTTCTCATTAAGATCAGCAAATCTGTTTAATGCGTAAGTTTTCAGTCTTTCGAGCTTAGCTGTGGCCTCGGCCTTCTTTCCCATTCTTGGCTGCCTCTTTGAAGGCGACATTGCAGCCGCAGACGCTGGGGTGAGTCGAACATCAACCGCAACGTTAATCCGGCCAGCGACAACACGTTGCGGAGTCAACGAAGTTGAACAGCCTTCCTCTCGGTCATTTCGTAAAAGAAATGGCTTGCGCCTATTGCGAGAGTCATCCCTGTCAATAAACATGAGCCAGAAAATATCAATAGAAGAACAAATCTCATACAAGACCAAGATTCCTTCGTCATGAAGAGGCGAAGGAGAAGATGAATCCGAATGGTCTGAATCCGCATACAGTGGGATTTTTAGACTGCGAAAGATGTGTGTAGGCTTGAAGGGTGATCGAGAAGAGAAGTTACTGGGGGAATCTTCATCACTGTCAGTGAGCTCGATGATCTCGTTTACATTGTCCTTAGCAATTTCCGAGTCCGAGCTCTCGATGACTCTACGGGAAGGTCGGTACTTCCTAGATATTTTGGCAATCCTCGGATATGGCGAACTGAATGAAAAAAGAAGTTCAGTTTGAGTCTGAATCCGAACTACGGTATATATTCTTACTTTCTCTTTGCTGTACCTGCGGCAAAAGACACATGATCCTTCTGCGCATCCACTGCAGGCCATGAACCTGGCATATTCACAGTGAATGAATAATCGTCCGTAGGCTGGCTAAAATAGAGTACATTCATTATATGCTTAGTTTCGTCGAGAGTAGTGAGCCAGTGTGTATACACACCCTTCTTCGTCCCCTTCGGAGTCAGAGGAGATTATGACAACTTCGTTTTTACCCCTTCGAGAAGCTTTAGATGCCGTGGACTCTCTTGAGAATCTAGTGAGCTGAGCGACAGAAACGCGTGGATCGTTCAGTACTTACGAGTGCTGACATCTTTCCTCCTCGCTGTCCGGCACTATCTCAGAGTTGATATCTGAGTTACCTCGTTTATTGGCCTGCGCACTGCTGCCGCCCAACCGTAAATCTTGAACCGTTTTTCCAGTTGAGCGACTGGGAGTTACGTTATGTATCAAGGAGGGAGTTCTCCGCAGGAGTGAGGATCTTCCCTGAGGCATGCTGTCAGGCATGTTGGATGACTTCAACAGGTACAAGAAAACAAGCAAAAGGTGGAAGATGAAATATGAAAGACGACCTCTTTTTGTTTCCGTGGAAATAAATTAACGCGACTGAACCGATCACATGGGCGAGTTCCCACCAGCTCACTCACTGAGTCACTCAAACTCTAAACAGCTCTGAACCTAAATTCGATATCGATTTATTTATCAAGTAATTCATGCAAGATTCACAGCAGTGACTAAAGAATTTTGGGATGTGTTCCTTGAAAAAGAATTACACTTAAATAGCTCATTTGGAGTACTCAGTGGTAGCTCCCTGAGAATACCATTCTTCTCATCTCTTTACGCAAAGATCACTTCTGATGACCCACTTTTCTCCTGCAACGACCTCCGCCCCTTCATGGAGCATGCATTCCGCGCCATGGCGATGTAATAGGGCCAATCCCACTTCCAAGTTCACAATCACCGGTTCTGGTGATGGAGTTTTCTTGATGGCTGGATCAGGATAAAAGACAGTCTCACCACCAAGGCATCCCGTGGCCGGAGAGGTAAGATAGAGAAGAAGCGTCCATGTAGTACGTGCCGGAATATCTGTTTGACCTGAACGGACAGTGACATTATTCGAGTCGTCATCTAAAGGGAGGTATGATCAAACTGATATACAGATTAGGAGACAAGGCGAGAGCGCTAGCACCTACAATGCTGATCAAAAAATTGACCTTTGCTGTATCGATAAACCCTGATATTCGGATTGAGTCCAACCACTTCACCTCCCCAAAGCTGTTTCCGCGCTTCCCCGTCGAGTTGCAATCCGTCCTCAGACTGTACATATCCCATGATAATATTCTTCAGCCCTGTTTCTTCCCATAACCGCGTCGCAAACGAGGCATCTTGTATCTGAAAACGATCGTTGACCCTGACTGCATCACCTTTCTTCGGCTTACCAGGTGTTGTGACTAGTGGAAGATTCGAGAGAAAGGAAACATAGGTTTTGCAAAGGGAAGCTGGCCAAAAGTGTGGTATTGTGACAATCTGGTTTGTTAGAATTTCCTGTATGGACAAAAGATTCGAAGGGATAAGTGATTTGAAAGGCGGCCATATTGGGAGCTGTTCTAGCTGCGTAGATATGGCAGTGTCCTTTTTCCTTCCCTTGGGAGCCATTTCAACGCAGTAATGAGCTCGTCGAACAACAGGTTGAGGGCTATTGAGGGTGGCTATACATCTGGTATTTCGGTCCGATATCTGACTGAGGAATAACTGTCAGTGTTACGGTCATGCAACTTAAATCCCTCGCCTGGGCTACTTCATGTCCTTCGTTTCATCGAATCGCTACCAACTACTGCTACTGAATATATATACATCCAGCTCCATCACTTGCGGATTCTTAGATGGCGTGAAAACCGCAGACGCTCTGCCTTTTTTTATCCTAGTATCAGAATATGGCTCGGAGGACAGGATAAACGCCGTTCCGTCAACAAGGGTCAAGGAATTCGGAGAGCGCGAGGATTTAGAGACAGCAGGTATCCATATTTTACCTCAAAACCGTTTTTACTAATTTCACATCGAGTTGTATGAGGTCGGGCATTGGAACAAAATCCGCCTTTCAAGTACAACGTGGGTGCGCGGGAGGTCCGTATATGAAATGAACATGACCATGCTTACTTCCTATAGCGCTTTGCTGTTGTTGAACAGTTGTTCCGACTGACCCGTATAGGCATGAAGGTTTACTGTCGGCTGAGAGTCAGCAGATTCGGACCATGTCGGAAAAACAAAGATGATTTTCAGGATATCATAATATGAACTTTCGTACTAAGCATTGACCATGGCAGTCGGCCTATCTTTCAAAACCCGAGTTCCACATATGCACGTAGAGGTTGTGACCTCTCATTCTATACTGGACTAAAATTATCCTTCGATGGTCTAGGACCTGAGCGGGAACTGACAGGCAGATAAATTGCGTCCATCACACAAAGGACTTTTCTTGCCTACTCCGTCCGTTCAGAGTTGAATGGGCTGTCCTGAGGGTGCGTGGTGCACATGGCCCGACTTTCCAAAATCATAATCGTCATTCAAGAGTAACGAAGAGCGGTAAAACGACTGTCACTGGATTTTGTTTTTGAATGCATCTGAAAGTCAAATGAATCCCACAGGAGGATTACAGTCATGAGGTATGGACTTACCTGGTACCAGCTAGGTCCTCTCGAGTTGACTTGTTGGTTTCACAGCGTTGTCTTTGGGACTGGTATAAAACTAGAGGAGAAAAGAATAAGTAAAAGACAAGCTTTCGACTAGTTTCACTGCTTTTTGCTTACCTCAAAGTCTTCAGTTACTTCGTCAAGCCATAATGTTCACCTCTCTCAAGTTCGCTGCTCTCGTTGCTGCTGCTTTGGTAGCCGGCGCCCAGGCTGAGACTCACACTGTCTCTTTTACGAACTTGTGAGCGCTCCACTCCGTATATTTAAAATCCTCCCTCTCAAACCCATTATTTGTTAGGTGCGGCAGGGGTGTGGTAAGTGCTTCATAATTTGCTCCGATTGAGTACTAATTTTTCTCAACGCGTTCTCCAAAATTAGCCCACCTTGAAGGCAAACGGTGTAACGCTTTCAACAGGGGGTGCCTACACTTCCAACGGTACGCCCTATCATATTCATTCCACATCCCTATGAAATTGATAGACTTCTTCAAGGCCCTCTGGAGGCTGCTATTGCGTGAGTAATGAGGTCTTTACTATTAAGAGCAACTGATAGAAGTGTTCGTGCTTAGCTACCTCGATGTCGGTGAGAACCCCGACCGTTACGTTTCCTTGGCTACCAGCCGCTAATGGTGATTGATGCAGGCTGTGGTGCCAACGGAGAAGGGTGCACAATGGTTGAGACCACTCTCGTCAATCCCACTTCCCCAGGATCTGGATCCAGTACTGATATCACTTTAATCTCCCCGTACGTCCCAATCCCCTTATGAAATACCTAGTTTGCGCTCGCTAAGCAAACGCAACAATCTAGCCACACCTTCTCCGTTACTACTGGATTTGGGTAGGTTCCGCTTTCAAGTTTTGGGGAACAGATACAGATTTTTCGTTAACAGATATTACGATGGTTGCGATGGTGCAGGAGCTGATTGTACGCTCACCTTTCTTCGGCCTTGGAGTCGCCGCTCAAGGTTTTTTTTACATAGGCACTAGTGCTAGTTGCTCGACAGCATTCCATGTCAGCACCGATACCGGTGTCCAAGTTGCATGCCAAAGCGATAATGTGAGCCTATCACGCTTACACCCTTCGGTGTTCTCTTGTTACTAACCCATGCCTTTGTACAGGTCAACCTTGCTATCACTTTCTGTGATTAAACGCGTAGGTATCAGTCATTTAAATAACTGTAACAGTCGTCGGATATCTTATCACTAGTATTCTTTTCGAAGATTAGTGCATATTATGCCAAAAAAAATCTGTTGTATGTACATTACGCAGAGACCGATGAATTTTCCCAGTTCGACCTTTCTCAATGTGTAAGAGGACAGTAGCCAAAATGAAGCTCACGAAGGACTTTGAGAGTAGTACACAGTCCTACCCAAATAAAGAGATTTTACGATTTACGAATGTTAGTATTGAACCATTGACCTTCCGTAACAAAAAAACTTCAGCTCGGATGGTTGTATGAATATGCGGAAAGAGCCGAGGGGAAATCTGTCCAGCTAAGTAGGAAGAAATTATGTACTGTGTACATCGATTCAGGAGATACTTTTATATGCATATGCATCTCGTCGTATCTCGTACGATTACATTTGCAACGTCCCCAATTACGACCGAAAGGAAGGAATGAAACCTCCTGAAACCTCCCATGCCCTTAAGCGCCCCTCATGGAGTCCGATTCAGAAGCTCAAGCGCTCATACATACCTTTATACACTTTATACACTGTCTATCAGCAGCTACATTTTTGTTTTTCCCCTGATTATACGTCTCCTGGTTTTTAATGACCTTGAAGTTGGTTCGTTCTCGAACAATAATACTTGATCCAGGTGCGGCGCGAGCAATAATCCGCCAACACGTTGATTATGATGAACTGCTTTCAAATTCATGACTCGATCGCATATTCTATTGTCGACCACCATGAGTAATGCTTCAGAGAACAATTTAGAGAGCATAGAACTAGCGATGCAGATTCCACTACCTGCCTCGAATCTCAATCCCAGTTCCGTCTCTGTTAACGCTGTACTTCCATCTGATGATGGCTTCTCTAGCATCGACAGCATACCATCTATCAACAGAAATCAATCTTCCTTACCGCCAGTAGACAAAGGTTTTGGTGCTTGGTCTTTTGTGCGTATTCTAGGGTTGTGTTATGTCCGCCGGCCTGACATTCTGTCTGACTCCTTCTCAGTTAACTGCAGCCTTCGTCGTGGAAGCTATTGTCTGGGGGTTTCCGACCTCATTCGGTGTTTTCTTAGATGGTGCGTATTCATTGAAGTGAATTTCCGAAGCTCGTGATCGACATGTCCTTTTTGCATATAGTATACCTAAAGGATACGAAATACACCGCTCAGCCCAAGGCATCGAGTTTACTTCCTCTAATTGGTCCAGTCTCATCTGGTATCATTTACTGCTCTGGTCAGACTTTGAACTCTCAATCCTATTGCCGCACCTAATACATTGAGTCAGGACCTTTCATCACTCCTGTAATAACTAGATATCCATATCATAAACGTACTTTTATGTACGTCGGCACACTTCTCTGCTGGGCATCTCTATTCGCTGCCAGTTACACCACTCAAGTGAGGTTGCATCATGGACTTTTTATCTCAATTCTCACATTTCTATATAGATCCTTCCATTGGTTGTATTACAAGGTGCTTTGTATGCTATCGGAGGATGTGAGCATACATGTCCATAAATAATCTCACACAAACTCATCTAATATCTAACTGTCTTTCTCTTCCTACCCCTCGTAGCAATGCTCTACATCCCCTGCATCTCCTATCTATCCGAATGGTTTCATCATAAGCGTGGATTCGCTAACGGCGTAGTTTCCGCTGGAACAGCAGTCGGAGGCATCCTCCTCCCTCTCATCTTACCCCCTTTATTATCTTCCTATGGCCCTCCTAAAACATTGCGAATCCTATCCATTGCGATAGCTCTTCTTTTAGTGCCCCTGCTTCCTCTCATTAAAGGCCGTTTGCCTGAATCTCGCATTCGAGCTATGGGACCAACCCCTCGTGGACGAGGGAACACAGAGTGGACGAGAAGCATGTCGTTCTGGGTTTTAGTAGTTGCTAATACCCTCCAGGGATTTGGATATTTTGTGCCTATTGTTTGGCTTCCTAGTAAGCCATATACTACTCTGTTAAATGAACGGATATCAAATCTAGTGCTTCGCTCAGCATTTGCCAGTGCTTTGAATCTCAATAGTTCAACTGTGTCAATGGCTCTGGCGCTCCTCAACTGTGGGACTCATTCAAAACGAAACTTGTTTATGATCTGATCCCCTTTGTAGGCGGTTCTGTTATAGGCCGACTAACAACAGGATACCTTTCTGATAAAATCAATCCCTGGACCTTAGGGCTCTCAACGTTAGCCTCCACTTCTGCCGCCACGTTCATACTTTGGGGTGTTTTGTCATATAATCTCGCTGGATTGCTATCGTTCAGTGTAGCTTATGGGATTCTTGCCGGAGGTTGGTCGAGCACATGGAACGGGTTTACCAAGCCTTTGAGTGGTAAGCAGATCTCATCCACTGGCATTCAATTTTCTGTTAATTCCTTCAAACCGCAAGCCAACGATCCAAATCTCTTTACCACTCTTTATGGCATTTTACTCTTCTCTCGTGGTCTAGGAAATATATTCTCAACACCCATCTCTTCTGCTTTGACGAGTTTGGACTCCAACTCTACAGTTTCATCTACTTTCAACCACTCGGGGCACCTTGGCTTTAACGTCGGCGGAGGGAAGTTTGGGAAAATGATTGTGTATGTAGGGACGTGTTTTGCTGCCGCTGCTTTGATCGCATTGGTGGGCTGGGGAATGGATGCGGCGAGACGACGTAGGTCACTTGAAAGGCAAGCAGGGCAGGAACAGCAGAGTTGAGTCGCGTTGAGAAAACAAAATAGCAAATCGTGCGACTTGTGCCGCTTTGTATCGCTTGAATAGTTATATTGCTTTCCTAGGCTTTCTTGCGTGCGTTTTACGCATCATTACTCAAAGGTTTCGGTTCTGTCTGTGAACACAATGCAAAGATTCACATAGGAAATCATGGGCATGGCACCAGGAGTCTGTCTTTCTTACTTACTATACTATCCTATCCTTACAATTTCCTCCAGTAAAACGAGAACAAGATCCAACGATGGCTGGGTCACCAACGGTCACCATACCACCTCTCCACCCACCAAATCCTCTAACAAGATTGCCTCCAAGCTCTCGTCGATATCACCATTAGCCATTCAGGTCAAGAATCAACGTCAACATGATTGACAGTGAATCGGGGAACCACTGGAGGAAAATTGAAAGTTCAACAGTCTAACGATGTATCGTCCACGTGTACGTAGCAGGTAAATACCGTACGAGTTTGTCTACTTCAGTGATGGATAAACGTCCGATTACTGGAATACCTAGAGCAGCACAAGCGTCCGAATTAATGCCACACCTAGACCAAGAACGATGCTCCGCCGACCAAAAATGGTCTTGGCTCCGGAGGAGGATTTTTGACTTGAAGAGCTCGAGGAGTCCAGGAACACCACTGAAAGACTAGGTCCCGGAGCAGTGATGTTGCAGCCATTCGAACAATCCACATTCTGGTTTGCATACGCCCAGCCATTGGATGTATTGGCAGAAATTGGTTTTCCATCTCCAGCACCGAGGAATGTCTGCTCACCCCATGCGATGTCGTACTTCTCAGTGATACTTGATGCCGACAGGTACTTCACCATAGCATTCGTTGGATTCGTTGCTTTGATTCCACTGGGGAGTTTGAACTCTATCGAATCGGTTCCGTAATTGAACAGAACAATCCTGTTTAATGACGAATTGGTAGCGTCGTAAACTGCATATCCGCCAATCGTTGCGTTAACATCAGTTGACACATTGAGGTCATTGACAATGATGCCGTTTGAGGAAGCAAGGATTTCGGCAGTAGCGATGAGTGCATAGAACGGGGGATCAGTAGTCCAGGGGCCTGTGTTGATCTCGGAGACGTTTGGCGGAGTGACCAGATTGTAAGAAATGCCCTATGATAAAGTTGAGACTGTTCACTACATGAATGGCACAATAGCGCGACTGACCTGCTCCCTAGTGTGAATATACGCAGCAGTGTAGCCGACAGAAGCCAACTGTAGGGCATAGTCAATGGACCAAAGCGCACCGACAGCGAACGTGTCCGAGATTCCGGGGATACCTCCACATGATGCGCTGTTGAATTCACTCATCAGCATACGAGGAGCGCCTCCGGTAGTATTACGAGTAATGATATCGATTCCAGGCTTTTGCCACGCCGCCAGATCGACGACTTGGCGTCAAACTTTCAGCTGCATAACGCCAATGACGCGGAAGATAACTCACGATTACCGTGTTGGGTGTAATAAAGAAGCTGGTACTGATAAGATCCAAAGCAATTATTTTGAGGATAATGTTGCAGCCTATGTGAATCTAAGGTCTGCTCCTTATGCTCATTTCAATAAAGCAACGTACGTGATGTACTTTAGGACGTTGGTGAAATTCGATAGATATCCTTGGTCTAATAATGTTGCTAAATCCTGCATACTTCGATGGGCTATCATGCCATAAAGATCAACGAACGAACGACGTACCCAGTCGCAACAAACGGTCGGTCCCGCCACGTTATGACCGTTCGTTAGGTCACCAGCAGTAGTATTGCTAATATCATGAAGAGCAGCGGAATATTCCTACGTAACTCCGCTGAGTTGGCTGTAGCTGGGTAGGCGGAGGATACTCACTCCAATGTAGTCATCGACCGTGTAGTTAACAACATTTGGTCGTTGGTCGTGTGCAGTATAGAGATCCGGTTCCTGATGGGAGTGTTGAGTGGAGATTACGCGCGCGCGAACAAGACGAGCATACGTTGCCTAGAAGCATTGCATCCAAATGACTTCCCAAATATTTTGTTGCATCGCCCGCAATAACCGAATCCGTGTTGGTTGTGTTGATGGTCAATCCTAAGACGATGGATTGAGATTTTCCCCAACGTGTGTAGTAACTGGTGAGACGAGCAAACCTATCAGATACTGGACGCCATTTACTTCCTCGGAGACCTTTTCCATCACTTCCCACAGCATAGGCCCATAATTGACGGGTTGACTATTTGAATTAGCATCTGGATCGGTAAGGATGAGCATGGGTGAGGCTTGCGTTGGCACATAGGTCGAGACATCCCCAGAGTTGCCTCCGACTCGAATACGGACATCATTCGAGCCGGTACGAGACCGAATTTGACTAAGATAATTCAGCATTGCCTGAGGTATTGTATCCGTATCGTTTCCAACTAGACCATTCCAATTGAACGAGTACCGAGATCAAGCAAAAGGAACAACTTACAGTATTCGTTCATGAAACTAAGCTCGAAACTGATGCCGAAAAAATTGGATGCAACGACATTTTGTGACGAAGGAGATGAGGGTACAACGAGTTGAACGTCTGCAGTGACAGCAAAACAAGGCTCCAAAACCGCTGCTACGAACAATGCGGAGAAGAGGTGAAGCATCGTGCTGAGCAAGAGAGCAAACCTGAAACAGGGGACAGAAACAAGCCGCGTTTTTCACTTCCTCAAAAGCAGAATTGGTAGTCAAAAAATCCTTCCGATCCGAGAAAGCCTTTCACGTCAGATCTTCGCGCCCAGCTCTTCTCGATGGTGTCCAGAGACGGCCCAAACAGTGCCAAGCAATCAAGCGGAGGGGGTATGAACGGGGTAAGAAGGAGAAAGGTACCAAGCAGAAGAACATGTGGCGCAATCAGAGAGAGTACTAGTAACTGACTCCTCGGACTTCCCCTTTGGAAATTATCCTCGAGGTTCCTCCTCGGGGAACGAACATTGCACGTGGTAGGATATCATTGAAAATTGAGCTCAGAAAATACTTGCGCGTATATGGTACATGGTATAGCTTGTAACTAATTGTATGCTCTAGATCTTAAACCATGTCCAAAAATTTAGAAGGCCCGAACGTGGAAGTACTTAGGATTATGATATAGATAAGAGTGAGTCTATCTCTTTTGGTTTTCTTTTCGGTGTCATAATCTGTCATAATGACCAGACCTTGACGGTAGAATCGCGTCCGCCTGTGGCCAGGTAGCGATCCATGTACCGCAGTCTCTCAACAGGGCTTGTGTGTCCGTTGGTCAAGAGCGTCGAGTGCTGCATACTAGTACGGTTGTAGATCTGAACAAATATGATAAGCTACAAAACTTTAGCATCGCATCCAAAGGAGAAGACAAACCTTTACGCCATTCTCGCCAGTAGCTGCTATGACCTTACGAGTGTCGAATTGTAATGCGGTGACTGGGTGGTCGTATCTGAGAGTTTCGAATACCCCTCCAGTACGAACATCCCAGATTTGAATCGTCTTATCCAAACTTCCACTAGCGATATGGACTTCGTCAAACTGAAGGCATGTCACAGGTGCAGAATGTCCAGCTAATGTCCGATGTGCCTGTCCAGTACGCACTATGAAGAGACATGATTCTATCAATAACGTCACGATAAGCCCAACTCATGTAGACTTACTGTCCCACATTCGTACAGCACCGTCACCGCGCTACCACTAACGAGTCCATAACCCCAGAACTGAACACCACCAACGTAGTCTTCATACATATCCCAGCTCCCATCTGCACGAGGAGGCATCGGGAAAGCAAAGGTGCCTACAGAAGCAGCGGCACCAGCAAAAAGGTTATTTGCCAACGTACTCGATGTCGGATGCGCTATAGCCCACAAGATGTCCATCGTCATAACGCATTGACCGGTTGTTAGATCCCATTGCCTGAGCGTCTTATCTGACGCGCCGGTGACCTAACGAAAAGACATTGAATGCCAACATTAAAGCCATAATGGACCAACACACCAGGCAATTATCTTCGAAGAACAACGTAGTCACTGTCTTTGTGTGTCCTTCAAGTACACGAAGACAAGCCACATCCTCTTTTTGCTCCTTTCCAATCCCATTCCTGATTCCATTCGGCTTGGTTCCTTCCTCACTGCTATCTTCTTCCGCCACATCGCTCAAACTGACTATCTCACCCTCGTCTCCCCACCCATCACTTCCATCAGCATCCACAAGTCGGAGATCCCATAACCTGACTGAACAATCTTCACTACCTGTCACGCAGACAGTATCTTCGACCTGGATGCACTTGACAGTCCCAACGTGACCGCGTAAACGACCGGACTCTGTTCCAGCGAGCAGATCCCAGACGATGGGTTGAGAGTCTTCTACAGATGCGCTGACGAGAGTTCCGTACGGTTCTGAGAAATCAAGAGCGCTTATTGGTGCTGTGTGACTGTCCAGAGTCTGAGATAAAATTAGAAGTTAGAAGAGATTATGAATGAGAAGAACATACCATGAAAGCTACACCGGGAGGTAGCTCGTCGTGTTCAGAGGGTAAGAAAGCAGGCCCTGTCGTTTCATTCAGTCGGGTTGCTCGCGATAGGCAACAAGCAGCTTGCCTTTTCGCCTTCTAGAACTGTGCAGTATCTGGAACGATTGGGACATTCGAGCCGGGCCTGACTGTTCGAACTCTAAACGCTCCTTGACGCCTTGTACTGTAAGAGTCATAAATCAATGATAGCGCGCTTCCACTATTGAAAGATACTCACATTCGTCGTCAAGTTCCAACTCGTCTTCCTGAAGTTTGATGAGGTCTTGTTCAAGTTTCGTTCGTATGTCGTCCAATGCTTCAATTTTGTGGGTGATCTCCATGATTTCATTGTTGACCAAGCTCTGCGAGGAATGAGCCTGAGAAGTAATATTGACAATCAGCACAAACACACCCGCTTGATATTTATGTTCTCCTTATCGCGAAGAATCTCCTTCCTTTGACGCGTAAGTTCGTCCTTCCCAAGCATCTTTGTAGCACTCAAACTTTCCCTTCCTCTTCTCTTTCCCTTTCTAAGCGTCGCATCCGATCGAGGCACCATTACCACATCATCTTCACTGGTTACACTCTGTCCCTCATGGTCATCTTCGTCCGCTAGCAGCCCTCTAGCGTTCATTCCAAGCTTCTTCAAGCCGATATGCGGCGCATCTACACTTCGCATCTGTCTTCTCCGAGACTTGCTTTGCTCCGCACTGGGAATAGTCGCGTTGAATCCCCGCAGCAGACTGACGTTCGAAGCAACTCCGTCCGGTTCCGGCACTTCGACATGCAGTAGCTGCTCCGTTGCCTCGACAATTTCAAGATCGCGTGAAGTTACTCGCCGTGTTCCAAGACCAAGCCGTAGAGGCGCACGACCTAGTGTAGCAAAGTCCATCCGTGAGCGAGACATTGAGGAGTTAACAATCCGTTCACGAGGCTGTTTGGATGAGACTGTAGAAGCTGCCTTCATCATCCTGGGAGTCATTATGACTGGCGCTACTGTTGAAAGGCGGCGGGAAAATTAGGACTAGTCGAGGAAGACAGAAGTGCACGCACAGCCCGATATTATGCTTGAAGACTCGTTCTTTCTATGTGAAAAGGGCGTCATTATTGCGTTCTGTATGAACTGTAGCTTGCTGGATCCTGCCAGTGAATTTGAGGTATTGATTGAATCCAAGACATTCCGACCATTTCGTTTTGGTTCATCTCGCAATGAACCAGGCGGATCTGGAGGCATACAAGAGGATTATGAAAGTTAAGTCGAATTGTTGAAGGACAATGAACGCCAAAAACAGGTTGAAGTCGGAAAGACACGAACACGGAAGAGCGCTATTACTTCACGCCGTTCTCTCACGTGGTTATCACTATAAATTCAGTGTACATAAGCCGAACGACTATTATACAGGAATCGGATACATAGAACAGAATATAGTATTTTACCTGCCCACTACGCATTCGCAGAAGACCCAAAATCAATGACGAGGCCCACTCCAAACCGGCGAAGGTCATACTCTCGTCGAAGGAGGGGAAGAGGTGGAGTGCCGATAGCAGGCATTGGATCTGAGATATTCCGTGTAGTGCCCAATTCAGCTGGAGGAGAAGCAGGTTGAGGATCTGTCTGACCCTTGGACCTTAATAGAGACCAAAAGCCTTGCGCTATAGACTTCGCGTTCGCATACGCTGTCGGGGAAGGCTGCGCTGACTGTGTATCGTTTTCAGACACCTGAAATTCGAGTTGCTTGATTTTCTCTTCAATCCTAACTTGGCGTTCTAGAGTATCTTTAAGCTTTTCTACGCTTATTCTCTCCCATAGAGACGTGTTGAAAGGCTCGAAGAAGCCAGCTGTGGATAAATCACACCAGCAACGATCCGCTGGTTGAATCATTGAAGGCAGAGGCTTAGAGTAGGAAGGAGATAAGGTCGAGGTAAGCCCCTCGCGAAAGGTCGTAATGTTTTCCGCCCAGGGTACTGAAAGTGGGGCATCTAGCGGTATTGGGGACCAGTAACACGTTGAAACGAACAACGTGCTCAGCAGTATGATGCAGTAGAAGCTAATCAACAAGAGTTAGTATACCCAGAGTGTTCCTATTAAAAAAAATACCAGAGAAAATATTCTGACCAGGGTTTAGCATGCATAGTCAGCGTGAACAGGAAGAGCAGCAGAAAGATGGGCGGAGCCGTTGGTAGCGGTAAAAGGATGAGAGGAAGGTACCATCTTGTACACCTAATGGATAGAAGGAAATAGTGTGAACAAGAAGATAGATTCACCAGTTGAAGGCGGTTACTTACCACATTACTTTGTCGTTGTAGAGGTCAAAGCGAGTAGTAATCGATTACATCAGCATGTTCGAGAGACTTCGAGAAAAAAAGGCTCCATCCCGCGTCAAAACTGAATATTCTTTTCCTGACCACCACCGTCATTCTTTATGATGCCTCAACATCCTGAACTTTTATGGGCCCAGCGCAGCTCAAAGACGACTCCCGACAAAGTCCGTGCTCTGATTCTGCGATTAGCTCGCGATCTTCAGTTTCTGACGCGTCTTTTTATCTTTCTTTTTGTCTAGAATGTCATCTACCTCACTGTGAACCTTCCTGATATCAAAGAATCTTCGCTGAAATTCGGCCTCAGCGAAACCTCCCTTCAATTCAGTGCAACGGCTGGAGAGTCAGTACTTCACCCTGTCTTTTTCTGCATCTTTTCTTGATCTCACGTCGATCGTGCTTTTTCGAAAAAACAATCAGTTCGGCAAAAGGTATCGATGAAAAGGAATACTCTTTTGAGCTCGATTTTTTCAAAGAGATCAATGCCACGGTATGTTTTTTTTCGTACATTTTGGCTTTGCAACGAGAAACTGAGATTTGGCGCATGTAGGAATCAACAAAGCGTCTGAACTCGCGATCTCTATATCTCGTTTTGCGCAAAAAGGATATGGAAGAAGAATACTGGCCTCGTCTTACGAAAGAAAAAGTCAGGAACTCGCACATAAAGACTGATTTCAGCAAATGGGTAGATGAGGACGAGCAAGATGGCGAAGCGGCTGCTAACGATGACGATGATATGTCGGGCATGGGTGGGATGCCTGGAATGGGTGGGATGCCCGGAATGGGTGGGATGCCAGGAATGGGCGGCATGCCAGGAATGGGCGGTCTGGGTGGCATGCCTGGTATGGAGGGCATGGACTTCGAAAAGGTGAGGTTATGTGCTCTTCATTGTTATCATTCCGTTGTCCAGTTATCTGACACTGCAATCGTCCAGATGATGGCAGAAATGGGTTCTGCGAGTGGTGGGGGTGCCGGACCTTCCGGAATTGACGATGATGGTGATGATTCTGACGATGATGGCCCTCCACCTCTCGAGGATGCCGAATCAGCCAAGTAGACGAACATTGACAGTGCCTCGAACATCTTGCTTGATATCAAAATGCTTGTATTTGGATTTGTATATAAAGTGGCACAACTTGACAATGGGAGTTCACATGTTCAAAAGCTTTCAATTTGTCCAATGATGAATCATGACTGCCCCAACTCAGATATATACGAAAGGGTACAAATGGGTTCTCTAGACCGGTCATTGACGGGATTCAAGCGACCAACGCAAGCCTACAAGCCAATACATATGTACAAATTCATACAACTTCCAACCTCAGTCTGGTTCTCATCGAAAACATGATATAAATATGTCATAAATCTTGAAGCCTATACTTGTCCTCTACGCACCAACGATCAAGTTAGACAGTAGAAATAGCGCCACTCAAAACGCGGTAACTTCTACAGACGGGAAATCGACCTTTTGCCTTTGCCGTTGCCAGCTTTGGCAACAGCAGCTTGACTTTGGGCCTGAGAACCCTGGTTCTTGTTCTGACCTTGTCCCTTAGCAATTTCGGCTGCTGAAGCCCCCGTAGCAGCAGTCCCAGCGGCAGCAGTACCGGCAGCAGCAGCAGTTGCATTAGACTATGTACGTCAGAAACAATGACTTTAGTCAAGTCTCATGGCATTCAAAAAGAAATATACTCACAGCAGTTGCACCATCTCCAGATGCAGTGAACTGTAGAATAGAAAAACTCCTCAGAAAGATGTTTTAATGATGCAGAGTGAATGAGAATACATACGTAAACACAGTCATCAAGAGAACCGTGTTGAGCAATAGGCACGATTACAGGCTGGTGATTCGACGAAGAGTTAATGGAGCACAGACGGTATGCACCAGCAGGGACACCCGACGTAACATCAGCAGTCACCGCACCGTTCACAGCAGCTGTATTGACACCTTTGAAGAACGCGAACTGTTGAGGGTTAGTCGGTGTGGTCTGAGCCAAATCCGACAACGCCTCGATGACGACGTGAGTGTGACCAATGATCTGGCCTTGTGCACTGAGCTGCTGAGGAGCAGCAAAATAATTCTCGTTTGCGTTGACAAAGTTACCAGTGTCGAGGTTGTTGATGTTCATCGTGATTGTGAATTCGGTATTGGCGGCAATGGTGGCTCCGTTAGCTGGGTTCGCGAATTTGGCCGAAGGCATGTTCTGAACGGAAGGGATGGTACCAATGGGCGCAGGATTACAGGATCCCGTTGTAATTTGCAGACCGTTAGTGATAGGAAGATTGCCCTGGGTAAGACAATAATTGATGAAATTGTTGTTAGACGTGAGCGACGCCACCTGGCCAGCTTCTTGGACATCTGCAAATACAAAATATTTAGATGTTTTTAATTTCTAGACTGAGAGTGCTTTGTGAAAGCCATGCCTTGACCGTTGTTTAGGAATCCAGTTGCGATCACACGGGGATCGAGAGTGAGCGATGACTGAGCATCAGGGTTGTTCTCAGTGGCATTGGTTGTAATGTCGGAAGAAGAGAGCGAGCCGATGGTGGTCGCTGTGCTCGTGGAGCCCGTACTACCATTAGATGTGGTAACGGCGCTACCGGATGCAGAGTTGTCTGTGGCACCCGTGCTCCCAGAGGAGGTGGATGTGTTATTGGATGCGGTTGCAGGGTTACCAGATGCAGAGTTGTTCGTGGTGTTGCCAGATGTAGTGTTCGCAGAACTACTGGACGTAGCGTTGTCCGTAGCGCTAGACACCGATGAAGAAGCAGCAGCAGTCGTACCACTAGAGCTGCTAGAACTGCTAGACGATGGATCTGTGGCACCAGTCTGTATGGGTTCATCAGAGACCTGTTATACAAGAAATCAAAGACTCATCCATGGACTTACAGCAGCGAGACGATTATCTAAATCCGATTGAGTCGTACAAGTGGTAAGTGTTCCCGTACTTGGACTATCCAGAGGAATAGCTGCACATCTACATCCAGTATATGTTCAGTACACAAACAGATGAGAAACCCGACTCGATACGTACATGGTACCAGTTGCGCAAGATTGCAAGACGAATTTTCCATTTACACACTGAGCGAACTTGCCGGTAACACAGGAGTTTTCGCCACTCGTGCAGGAAGAGGTTGCGGACAATGCTGAGCGAAAGTTCTGATTCAGGACTCCAAGCGAAGATGATCAAAAAGTATACTGACTCTTGTACTGGGCGCTAAATACTCGAATTTAGCAAAAGAATTCACAATGAAGTTCATACAGTTTCAACACTTACTTTAGAGAAATAGCATCTCGACCATTTTGCAGAGCAGTGGCATCACGGCGCATCGGACGCGCGGAAACGGCTATACCGAGCGAGAGGATAAGGAAGGCAGCACGCATTTCGAATGAGTTGCTAGGGAGCGTAAGTAATGATAGTAGTCAAATGAAGGACACGACGTCAATTCTTCCTTGGAGGTCAGAAATTCTGAAAAAAAAACAAGCCACAGGCTTTCGATCTCGGATCGACAGAAAGGGAAACAGAACGAGTGAAGAGAGATATGCTTGATGGGCTTTGATACATCGGTCTTGTCGTCCTTCTTATAGTTAAAATCGTGTTTGTGTGCATATGCAGAAGGACTTTCAATTGATTAAAACAATAACAACCATCGCGTTGGATGGAACTTTGGACGTTTCAGCAAAAATCACAACAAAATCAAAGACACCGCTCGTGATACAATTAGATTGTTGAGCATCGTGATGTACCAGAATGTGCCTCACACAAAATGCCACAATCTAGACAGGTCCTGTTGAACACAATCACTTGAATACGCATGGAATGACAACGTACCATGTAGCCACAATCGTCTATCATACTATCTTCACAGTAACTATCCCCAACCTATTGCGGAACGCGTTGACCGTGAATGGATCACTTCCCGTAAGAATTATACGGTTGATAAAGAGCAATGCCGATCGACGGCTCTTGACGGACCCTGATGTACTTGAGGCTTACATAAGGTTCGAGCCGCGATGTTTACACTTTAAGGCAAGAAGCCGATCAGACGGCAGACGGCGTCGTTCCGAACAACGAAATTTAGAAGCAACAAAAAAGTTGTCTTTTACGGGACGTCATCCAATCTCTCCAGGAGGCAACCACAGCCTAACACAACCTAATCGATTCGGAATCAAAGGTCTGACAGATATTCTTCATGCCTTTGTGGAAACCGGCGTTCAGTTCTTGGACCATGCCCGGCATGTAATGAATTTCAGATATTTGAACTTCAGCCGCCAAGATGCCTCTCGCACATGCTCTACATTGCACAATCTTGTTTGCAAGTCGCACGTCGCCCGAGATTGAGGTGTTTATTTCAAACTGCGAGGTTCGTGTGTTCAAGACAGCCATGGGGGAAAAAGAAAGAGCGGACCTCAGCGGGCGGATTCATGGAGGAGTGATCTCTGCTGATTTCAGATCTTTTCTAGTCGGTGCTCCTCTGTGCTCCTACATCCAACGATTTACCAACTCTTCAGTTGGTCACATACATAACTAGGAAGCTAGGAGCTCATGAATTTCGGAGCCAAAGAAGCGAGAACGCGGCAGCGACAAATCAGCTCAATGAAAAAATTAGTTACTGTTAAAATCGAGTGAAAAGACTAGTTACTTACATAGCATAGCATGCAAAATGGTGATATTTACTCAAATTTGAAATCAAAATCATGCACATACTTTGCATTGATCCGCCCACTGGCAGGTCCCTCAGCTGCCACTAGTAAACACAGATGTAAGGAAATAGTATTTGGTAGCACAGCTTCGGACTGGAGATTGCGACTAAGTTACCAAGCCTGCCGCGTGTACATTGGTCAAAAATGATCAGGACTTACAAGATTCAACAACATATTACATTGGGTAGCACGTAGCATTGGGTGGAACCTGGAACCAGTACGACGCTCAGCCGCACCGTTGATGTATCGTTCTGGATGGGGTTTTTAACTTGAAAATTGTCGTTGGATGCCATTAAGTACCAACACGACCTTGTAGCAATGGCGGGGCTTGACATCAGTGCTTCAAAGCAGGAAATGGCAAGGCAGGAGACTAAAAATATTAGTATCGTCAGTTGACAAAATACAACCATGAAAGTGACTTTCAGCAGATTAGTAAATCTAGTCCGTTGTGATGATGGTACAGTCTGCTTTGAGAGAATTGAGCCAAATTCAAATGTTGTACGTACCAATACACAGAGATTAGTTTATATCACCTTCAACTTGGGTTCTACAGTGCCAGGTACTACTCAAGCAACTCCTCTTTGATTCTTTCGATTTTAACTGGGCAGACAGTTATCTTCCCTCGAGCGGAGAACAAATTGCAAAGGTAGCAGTTTAGAGGGTAGTTTGACTTCTTGCTGAACTCCTCACATTTCTTTGAGGTTATCATAGAGCAGTTGGAAGCCATTTTCCGCAGGTGGCGTGAAAGATAGTGGCTGCATCTCTAATCAGTATGGAAGACGGAGACGGACTGCCTTGTATTTCCTTGGATTAAAGTTGATCAGGTGCATTGTTGGACTTATGAGAGTTTTGGCAGATCGGCAAGGGCATATCACCCATCTATATCAAAAAAAAATCTGAAGGGACAAGCACTTGTAGACAGATGCAGGTAAACAGTCTATCTACGCACAGCCCAAAAAATGTCAGAGATATAAATATGGGTGAACGCTGGCAAACCATATCTAGATCTTGCAAGTTGAAGTTCATCGTAGAACTTTGGCTGAAGGACAGGCGCCGGCCCGTAGAATTGGGACTGCGGAATTTTGTTGAACTTGAACTTGAACTAGTAACTTCGTCCGCTCTACCATTGGAGGACTGCGTCAGCTCTGGGACAAATGCGGTGGAAGACATCAAATCAAGCTCTAAACAATCTATTGCATGCCATACCACCAGGGCGAAACAGGCAATCACATTTACATAAATTCGTCCTAGCAGCGCCTTTAGACCAGTGAGATTGGGCGGGGCTGATTGTTTTGTTGTACATAGCTGTTCTGTCGACTGAAAAGGACGCGGTCAAAGGTATGTGCCTTGACAATCAAAAACTCTTTAACAAAGCTTGGAACCCTGCTGTAGGCTGTGATCCATCTCCGGGTTTTGCTCATCTTCTGGAGCAAATCTTTGGCGCTCCAATACAGTTTAACAACTCTTAACAAGGACGCTTACGAAACCGCCGTTGGACAAGCGTTGGACTCTTCCGAGATGTCCATCTTTACCTGTCGTTCGTTCCCCGCTCCCATTGGCTGCTTATTCTGTGAAGTGTCGACGACTAAGTTAAATCCAAAAATACTCTCCAACTCTCCAGAACTCAAGGTTGGTTGGGTTTCTTTCGGCAACGTTTCCATCACGATCACGATCGTAATATTCGGAACCTGTTTGGAACTTCCATTCAGAAAGCTCAGGCTCCATCACGGAAGGGTTTTCCATCTCAAGCTCGTGTTGAGGAAAGTTGTTCCAGTCTGTCAATATCAGCTCAGTACTCAGAATAGGTACATCGTCTTAACGGATGGTAGATGTTAATAAGCACAGGCTGCCGTCGTTAACGGTCAACTTGAACTGTAAAGTTACATTTGTCGCATCGCGACCCAATAGATTGGTTCAAAATGATGACTAGCAACCAACTGCCCATCAAATGGCTGTCGTTGTAAACTTGCCGTCCAATGAGCGTCAAGTGATGCGTTGTCGTTGATTGAGCGTATATAAAGAAGAGACTTGATATTTGTTCTCACAACCTTCGTTCACTTTCCCTTCCTTTTTTTCCGTCTCTTCTTACCAGCTCACCCTCACACTTCTTTCCGAGGCTAGTCCTTCGTTTTCAAACGACCTTGACCTGGTGTCCCGCTGCACTTTCATCTCTCGACGCTTCAGCTACACTTTCTTTTTTTGACATCTTCATTTGTGGAACAGTATGAGGTTTTCTATCGCGCTTTCTCTTAGTCTTCTTGCCGTATCTGTATCTGCTGCTCCTCGAGGACAGCAAGGTCAACAGGTGAGTTTTTCTTGTGACCTGACTATCATTTGTTGCCGACTGTTTTCAAAGGGCAAGCAGGGTCAGCAGGGTCAATCTACACAGGGTGGAAAGGGGGCGGTAAGTTCAATCATACTATGTCCGTTTCTAGTGCTACAATACTGAAAGTTTTTTTCTGCAAGGCTAATAATGCTGGGGCCGCTGCTGCCGCCACTGCATCCAATGCTACAGCCGCCGCTGCCACTGCGTCCAACTCAACCGCAACTACTGGTAACACCGGTTCAACAAGCACTGCGACTTCTGTCGGCGCGCTTTCTTCTGCCGATATTACGACCAATGCCACTGAGAACAACCCTGATGCTCAGTCATCATTAACTCTCGATCCCCGTGTGATCGCAACTGGATTCCTTAACAACGGTCAAGGCAAGTTATACTCCTAGATGCTTTTAAGATTGAATATCCTTATAAAATTTCGAATATCTAGATGTCCAAGAAGCTGGTCAGGTTGCATCGCTAACATCCAACAACAACTTCATCAACTACTGTCTTACCCAGGGCAATCTTCCTATCACCAACGGTTTGCAAACTACGACAGGCTCTTGCAATCCTGCGCCCATCGGTACCATCCCTTCTGTCCAGAACATGCCTTCTGCCAAGTTCGCGAGCCCAGCCAACGGAGACACCATTGCTGCTAACACTGAATTTACAATCACGATGAACATCAACAACCTCGACACTGGTAACTTTGTCAACGCAAACGAGAATTATTTTGCTGCTCCTCAGCAGCTCAGTGCACAAGGCCAGATCATTGGTCACACTCACGTCGTCATCGAGGCGTTGTCGGATTTGGCTCAGACCACACCGACTAACCCTCAACAGTTTGCGTTTTTCAAAGGTGTCAACACAGCTGCTGTGAACGGTGCGGTGACTGCTGATGTTACGTCGGGTGTCCCTGCTGGTGCATACCGTCTGTGCTCCATTAACTCTTCGTCGAATCACCAGCCTGTAATCGTGCCTATTGCTCAACACGGTTCTCTTGATGACTGTGTTTACGTATGTTCCCTTTTACTATGCATCGAAATATCTCTCTGAAGTTCTTCAATGTACAGTTCACTGCATCTGGAGACGGCGCAACTGCTGTGAGTATATTTATTTTTGAATGCCGTGAGACTTGACTAATAGCATTGTGTTTGACGTAGTCCAATGCAACTACTGCTGCTGCTGGTGCCGCTAACTCGACTGCTGCTGGTACCGCTGCCGCTGCCGCTGGTACTGCTGCCGCTGCTACGGGGGCCGCAGCGACCGCTTCTAATGCCACAGCTGCTGCTGCAGGTGCAGGTTCTGCTGCCGCAGCCGGCGCCGGTGCCCAAGCTGGTGCCCAAGCCGCTAAGGGACAAGGCCAGAATAAGAACCAGGGTGCTCAGGCACAAGGTCAAGCTGCTGGTGCCAAAGCTGGTAATGGCAAAGGCAAAAGGTCAAGATTGAGCCGTCTCTAGGTTCTTTCTTCCGTGTAGCTTGGCTGTGTTCTGTTGTCGATCCCATTGCATAGAGGTTTTATACCCATTCCCACCTACTTAATGTCGTACTGTACCTGAAGCAAATGAAAACGGCTTTGGGTGAGCTATCCCCTTCCTTTAAAGGAGTTTTTTAAGACTCGACGTGTACTTTGCCACCCAAAAAAATTGATATCAGTACAAGCCCAATTTCTGAGAACCGTACGTTATGTAGGAGGTAACTCATCTGTCGTCGCAGATCGACGCACCCAAATGTTCGAATTACATATGGTGCAATGTACTTATAAGTGTGAGCGTGTAATCTGAAAATCGCGCCATCAGGAGAATTCACTTACCCTTATACTTCGACCTAACTTTATCTAACGGATGGCGGGCTCGAAATTTGCCTATGTGAGGAAATTTGAACTCCCGGATGTTCTCCTACCGAGTACATTCATGGTGTTTCGCCTTGATGGACATTCTTTTCACCGGTAAGACACTTGGAATCCACTACCATGGCTTCTTCATTGAACCGCGGCTCACAGCTTCTCTGATGAACACGGATTCGTGAAACCAAACGATCTACGCGCGCTTCAGCTCATGGATCATGCAGCGAAATCTTTAATGGAGGAATACAAAGATATTGGTTTAGCATTTGGAGAATCGGACGAGTACAGGTCAGTCGAATGCAAGTCTTCTCAAGCCGACAAATTTCTCATCTGAGCTCATCTCTATTGAACATGCAAGGTAGCTTTTTGCTCCGAAAATCTACCGCGCTGTATAACAGACGTCAAGCAAAGATAGTCTCAACTCTCACATCGCTATTCACTTCATGCTACGTGTTCCACTGGCCGAGATACTTTCCCGATGTGCCTTTACGATATCCGCCATCGTTTGATGGGCGTATTGTTTTATACCCGTCTGAACAAGAAGTACGAGATTACTTTGCGTGGCGACAAGCAGATAGTGCGGAGAATTTCTCCCGCCGGTATAACGTCGCTTTTTAACCAATCTCTTCAGCTCATATCAACAATCTGTACAACACAGCGTTTTGGGCCCTCATACAGCAAGGTGGGCTGACCACGACAGATGCGCACGCAGTCCTCAGAGTACGACACTGTTGTTGCTGTGTCTACATATATCCTATTCTAATCTCGAACTATCAGGGGACTGTTTCGAAGGACAAACATGAGATTCTTTTCTCCCGCTTTGGAGTCAATTATGACAAACTAGATCCTCGGTATAGGAAAGGCAGTGTTTTTGTCCGCGCCGAGGTGCCTTCATATGTGTCCGCTTTTTCAGCAGTATCTTACATGACCGCCCAGACAGCCGAAGAGCCTGTTGATGAATTATCGATTAAAACTGATGCTGCATCTACTCAAGCAGATGTTTCAGGCGAAGCCCTCAAGAAGAAAAAGAAGGGGAAAGTTGCGACTCAGCTGGAACTTCTGCACTGTGACATCATACGGGACGATTTCTGGGAAAAATACGGCCATATCTTGAGGGAGTAGGCCACGTCTCAAATGCACATTCATACCACGACAAGTCTTACAATAAAGATATAGTGATCTACTTATATGTCCATGTCCAATCCATCCTTAAATATAAATCATAGCGTGTACATTACACGGTCGCCAATAACGCATCATCGAGCTCTTTTTGCCGTGCTGCTTCCTTTTCCCGCTCAAGTGCCTTCTCCCTCACTGCTTCTGTCTCTCTTGTGCGTATGTAGGTGGGTGTTATGTGAGGTTTGTATTCAAGATGTTTTTTGACGTAGAAACACATATATGGCGTAGATTTCAAGCATGCACCAAGACTTGAGAGTGTCACTCTATGAAAGATCGTCGTTATTTCACTTTTCCCAGAATTGAACAACATACGCACTTATCATCGTCAAAGCGGTACCACTACGATAATAGGATAGCATTAGTATCGCAAAGCACAAACGGTATCGAAGAAACTCGCCCCGCTATTCAACCGAGCAAAGTTAGTATAATGCCCGTTGTCCATCTGTCCTTCATGGTTGATAACAGCGAAAAGTTCATACTGATACATGACAGGTGGCCCAGCATTCTCCTTGTCGTTGTCTTTCACGTTCATGCTCGTGAATGGCATCATGTCCAGATTCGCAGGAAGACGAACAGGAGAATCAAGTTTCCTTGCGGAGCCCGACTTGTCTAAACCCTTGTGTTCAAAACGCTGTATGTGATACATTACTATATAGTCTGATCACGAACAAGAAAATATTACCTTGAATTGGAAGCTTAGCACGGGCGGTAGTTTGCGAAAGCTAAGCCTCTTGCTAGCACTCTTGTAAACAAGTTTTCAGTTAAGAATACGAATTGAGACGGGAGATACAATTTACAGAGCCTTTTCCGCATTTGCTGCAAGTATATTCCTTTGGTCCCAGTTTTTCGGGCTGGGTATACCTATTTGTAGGATCTGAAAACATGATGCAAGAACATAATGGTTTAGAAAACCCACTTTCGCAAACATGCTCCAAGACTAAGATGGCCCTTGTCATCGCGGACTACTTTTTCCTTCAACTCTAGACTGACATCGAGGATTGGATCCACGGTGCTTGTAACATTCCCACACCGTTCACATTTAACGTCGCTTTGGAGTTGACCAGCAAAAGTAGAGTGGATGATACAGATACATGATATATTGGTTGAACCTTTGCAGTTGCTATGAATATGATTGAGAGATGTGATGAAGAATTCGTGAGCGTCGTGTTGGGCATAACCTGCCAATTCTGTGGATTTGCGCCAGGTTGTCGCAAGGAACGAGACAGGACCGAATGGGGTAGTATCTTCGGAGTACATCTAAATGCCGTGTTAACACCTCACAAACGAAGGTCAATTGTGCTTGCCTCGACGAATAGTTTGTCCATCTCGCAGCAAGCGCAATCTTGTATCTTGCACAGTTTGTGGTTGTGTCTGTCTCCGAGAAAGTGGTTTCTGAGTAATGGATTATGCACGAAGCACTGGAGAATAACGTTGAGGTAACACGTTTGGCCTAGATTCAGCAGACCTCGGCGTCCTAAGGGGTAAAATCAGCAACTGCACGGAGATTCAAAACAAGGAAAGTGCCTTGACAAGGGATCGCCACCATTCCTTCGAGGGCAGATGCATCATCTGTATCTGTTGAAGGGTCCCAAAACTTGAACGGCTCTCGGGGTATCTTCGCCACTAACCGCGTCAAAGCGTTAAATCAAGCTTTCATTCGAGCATTATTCTTTACCTGTTCGTCTTTCTTCAGCTCTAAGATGGGATTCTAAATATGTCCGGTCTAAAGCGTGATTGTGTACTATATCATCGCAGGCGGAGCAGAATACGGCTCCCGAACTGACGTCCACACCTTCGAGAAGGTTTTGAGTACATACAATGGCTGGGAGGTGTTTTGGACATTTTGACGTACAGAACTTATGAGAGCTCTGCTTCAAATGGTCTGCGACATGCGAACTCGCCCAACATCCCGAGTATGAACAGTGTAAACACACGAAGGGGCGGACCAATGTGATATTGCAGGTACCACAAGTAGGCGCTGCCATCTTCACCTAGTTCAGAGAGCATCATTCATGCTCTTGTGCACAACTTACCTTTCTGCGTTTAGCGAGACTCTTGCCATTTGTATGGCGCGCAACACTCCAGGTGACAACTCGTCGATACTTGGTTTCTACATCGCCTGTAAAGTCGCCAGCCAAATGAGAGCAAGTTTCTGAGTCATCGAAGCTAAAGGTAGACATCTTGAAGTCGACAGTAATGCAAGATCTGTCGACAAAAGGTAAATCAGGTTGAAACCGAGTGTGTTTGGTTAGGTGTTGAATCAACGGGCGTCTAAATGCTCTAGTGATCGAAGCTCCGGCATGCTCCGGCCCGCTTTTGGGACTCATTGTTTTTTCTCAGAGCCTGTTTCCGCAGGGTTTCCATCAGGTTTCCATCTACAAACAAATTTTCTGAACATCCCTAGAATCATAACGCAAATGCGTCAATTCACTGTCAAGGTTCCTGCTACCTCGGCGAACATTGGCCCTGGCTTCGATGTCGTAGGACTTTCCCTTTCTCTCCACCTTATACTCAAAGTAAGCGTTCCTCCTGCCAACGCACAAGCTTTTGTGGCCCCCGCGATCACGTATTCTGGGGAGGGAGCTGATGAAGTACCTTTGGATGCCTACAAAAACCTTACCACAAGAGTTGCGTTGTACGTTTTGCGCTGCAATGGTATTCGTTCTTTTCCTTCGGGACTCAAGCTCCATGCACACAATGAAATACCATTCGGTCGGGGACTTGGGTCATCTGGAGCAGCAGTAATAGCTGGTGTCATTCTGGGCAACGAACTGGGCCAATTTAATCTGTCCAAGGAACGATTACTTGACTTTGCGCTTATGGTAGAAAGGCATCCAGACAATGTTACCGCCGCCTTGATAGGGGGTTTTGTTGGATCGTATCTACGGGAATTGGACGAGGCTGATACAGTGGCCGCCAGTGTGCCCTTGAGTGAAGTCCTGCCAGAATATCCTCCTGATGCCGGCGAGGACTGGGGTTTGAATCCTCCTCCGCCTCCAAGCGGTATCGGTCACTACGTTCGTTTTGGATGGTCAGAACCCATTAAGGCGATAGCTATCATACCACGATTCGAGCTCTCAACAGCCAAGGCCAGAGAGGTTTTGCCTTCAATGTACACACGCAAAGACTTGGTGAGTATCTAATAAGTTCTCCTATTCATTACTGTGCTAATATACCATCTTATAGGTTTTCAATCTGCAAAGACTAGCTGTCTTGACCACCGCTCTTGCCCAAAACCCACCAGATCCTGACTTGATCTATGAAGCAATGAAAGATCGCATTCATCAACCATACCGCAAAACTTTGGTAAGTCTATTTCACGAAGTATTTATGACTTCATCACTTATTTCTCCTGCAGATACCTGGATTACCAGAGGTCACCTCCTGTATCACGCCTGCAACTCATCCGGGTCTGTTAGGTATATGTCTTTCTGGTGCAGGGCCCACGATACTTGCTCTCGCGACCACAAATTTTGAGAAAATCGCAGAGGATGCACGAAAAATATTCCGAATTCAGGGGATAGAAGTGGACTGGAAGGTGCTTACTATCGCTGGAGGTAGCCAAGTAGAGTGAGCGTTGTAGAATTCTATAACATTCAGGTGTGATCGGCGATCATGTCTTCATTATGTGCTGAAGAGTAGCATGCCTTCAAGTTCACCGGGGAACTTTTTCGACGACGCATGCCGCGACTACCTACGCCAACACCAATCCCAAGTGCAGCTATGTGCTCGTACCCGCTGCGTTCACGAGCTCCATTACTTTTGGCCATGAACTCGCGAGGCTGCGTAGATTGCTTTTCAATTGCTGAGTTGTATGTACACTAGGAACCTTGGGCTCCAGAGCCTCGTCTGTATAAGTAAAATTCTTGACGGACATATGATATCTTCTATGTTGCTACCAGATACTGATTCGTTTCGGTCGTACCAGTATCCTTGGTGGTGCTTGTTGACTTGCAGGTTTTGAATGAATAACATTACATGTACTTGATCTACATCTTCGCCAAGTTCGTATTTCGAGAATGTGGACACCCTCAAAGGGAAAGTCGAAAAGAGTAACCGAAGCAAGATTTGTTTTTTCGTAATAGTTACAGTTGTACAATCGGTGTACACAATTTCATTTACTGGGGAGCTTGAATTTCATGACCAGCTGCCTTCCACTGCTTCTCAAGCCCGAGCAAAGAGTCAATGCTATCGATGAACGTATCGTTTACAGGAACGAAATCCTCTGGCTTCAACCCACACACTTCTTCTACCTTCTTGGAGTCATAGTTCAGCTTCTTGAACGGAAACTCTGGAGGAGTCGTCTTCGTTAGCCTATCCTTCAGCTCTGGTCGTTTTTCATTTACAGCCTTGATGACGTCGGCAAAGACGGTATCGTGAGGTGAGCTGATGATGATCCTTTTCCGACCAGCAACCTTAGAAGAGAGTGCGCCGATGTGAGCTTTGGCCGCGTCCCGAACATCCAGGTAGAGAGGTTGGTCTGGGTAAGCGCCCTTGGGGTTAAGGAGTTTGTAGATGTTGATGAGGGTCGAGATGAGGGTGAGGCTGGGGGCCGCTAGGTAGCTTGCGAATTCTTTCGTAGCTGCACCGTAGAGGTAGGGCGGGTTTACTGGATTTAAGTTAGTACTATTTATGGAATAAAGGTAAGAAAGGGTACGAACTGGTGGTTATATCCATCTGTGGATGAGCATCGGCGAAACTCCAGACTTCTTTTTCGGCGAGCGTCTTGGCAGCGATGTATGCGGTGACACCTTCGGTTTTCAATGCTTCTTCTTTGGTGATGGCGAACCAATCTGAGACAGGATATAGAAACCAACGATAACAAGAGCAAAAAATGAATTACCATCAGCCGTGAACGTGTATTGAGGCGTGAAAGCAGTAAGAACAGTACTGGTGACGACGACTTTGTGCACGCCAGCTTTTTCTGCTTGACGGAGAACGTTGAGCACGCCTTCTACTGCACCCTATATGATGTCAAGACGACCAATAAGCGTTTGCGGTGAAAGTGATCTATCAAACTCACCTTCAATTGCCCCTCAGCATCAGTCACATAGTAGGCCAAAGGAGCAGCTGTATGGATGATAGCGTTCACGCCCTTCAATGCCTCGGGGAACTGGGCTGTAGAGATATCGTCGATGATCACGACGTCGAGTTGACTCTGATGGCTTTGATAGAGTTGTTTGAACTGAGCGGCCTTCTTCTCTCGAATCGCACTATGTTGGTCAGTCAGCGAGTCAACCCTAAAATCATTGGGATTGATAGGTACGCTTTAACATGGTGTCCCTTAGCGAGTAGCTGGTTGAGGATGTGAGATCCAAGGAATCCAGTTGCACCGGTGAGCTACAAGTACAGCCCAGGACGATGAGTAAGAGAGGGAGAGCGATACTGCAGAGGACGTACAAAGATAACGTCTGAAGGCATTGCAAATCACGGACTTCAAGTTGATGATGGCAGTTCAGCATTTTGGTCAACTTATAAGAGAAAGGAATGCTAAAAGAATTCGTGTCCGGTATTGTCTCGGGGTTAGTAAGCGAGCTGCTATTGGTGAAGCCACTAGTATCACAATGCACATCAATCGATCTATGATTCGAAAATAAGGTCTTCAAAGTTGTGTACATGTACGGATAGCCGCTTGTCAAATCTTGTTCGCCCATGCTTGTATTCGACATCCTTGTTGCAATCAAGCAAATTTTGCATGGCCTATGTAGACCAATGTAGACCCTCAAACTCACCAGTATTTTCCCAAATGTTCATGCCGGGTCCATGCTAATCGGTATATATGCGGCGGTAGCAGGGCTGTGGAAATCAAGAAGCGCGGTCAAAGCTGATGCAATCAATCCGATTATGGAAACGAGGCAGAAGATTGTTCAAACGTTCAAGGCTCCCTTTCTCTCCCGTAATATGCAGCACGGTGTATTTTGCACCGATCAAGCCGCCACTGTCACAGATTTCTCTGGTGTTTCCTCATGGTGCAACTCAGGCTGTCCTCATACCCCTTCCTACCACTCTTCGGCTCATATCTTCTCATTTGACTGTTACATCGCCAGGCCATGGTTGCAGACATCTTTAGGGATGCGACTGTCGGCCAATTGTTCAACTACTTCTCCAATGGTACAATTCTACCCTACCCAGAGGAACGTTCAGATTTCACCGTCCCCGCTCGTTTTCTACCGTCCCAAACTCCAACAATTGCTGATGAGTCCGACGATGTGCAAAAGCCTGAGCCTGAGTTGCAGAAAAGTAAGGAGGAAGTTTTAGTCACAGAGACCGACACATCAAGAGAAATCACGCTTGATGAGAATGAAGGACTCGGAGATCTTGAGGCTCAGAAGATCAACGACGGCGATCCGTATCTTGTTACTTGGTATGGCGTCGATGATCCTGAAAATCCAAAGTTTGTTTCTTCTTCATCTACGTTGAGAACAGCTTCTAACAATTATACCCACAGGAATTGGTCCTCGAAAAAGAGAGCTTTCGTTGGCTTTTGTGTTACATGGATGACATTCACCTCTTACGTCGGCTCAGCCATTTACATTGCCGCAATTCCAGGTATAATGGAGCAATTTCATGTTGGGCTAACATACGCTGAACTCGGTCTAACATTATACGTATTCGGTTTGTCTTTTTTTTTCTTGTTACCTGGTATTTAGATCTAATTTCCATGACACCCAGCCTATGGTCTTGGACCCATGTTCCTCTCTCCTTTACAAGAGTTACCCAAGCTAGGAAGAAACACAGTCTACATGTGCTCAATGGCTCTCTTTATCATCTTCCAAATACCCACCTTCGTGGCACCCAACTTCCAAACAATCCTCGCCTTCCGTTTCTTCACAGGATTCTTCTGCAGCCCCGCTCTCGCAACAGGCGGCGCATCCATGGGCGATATGTATCCAGTCTCCGAACTCGCTATGCTCCTCGCCCTCTGGGCAGAGGGCGTCAATGCAGGTCCTATCGTCGGACCTATAATAGGTGGCTTCGCCGCTCAGGCGAAGGGTTGGAAGTGGCCGTTCTACGAGTTGATTTGGCTTTCCTCCTTCAGTTTTGTTTTTCTGATGCTCTGCCTTCCTGAGACCTACGAGCCTACGATTCTGCACAGGCGAGCAAGACGGTTGAGGAAGCTGACGGGGAACCAACAGTTAACGTCACAAGGGGAGAGGGATGCGAAAGAACAACATCTCGGTCTTGTCTTCAAGGATGCTCTCTTGAAACCCATCATTCTTGCGACAGAGCCTGTGGTGTTGTTCTGCAACATATTCATTGGTTTAGTTTGTAAGTTCATTTCCCTTTTAGCCTGAACAATCTGAGTCTCTGAGCTGCTACCAGACGCGATTTTCTACCTCTGGTATGAGGCCTTCCCTCTCGTTTTCACCGGCATCTATCATTTCAATCTTGGTGAAAGTGGTTTGCCTTTCCTCGGTTTTCTCGTAAACTCTATCCTCGGCGTAAGCTTCTCGTCTTGTATTTTCATCTTTGTCTCATGACGCATTCTTATACTTCAAGTTCTTCATATACATCGCATACCTCAAATACCACTTTCAACCTCGCATGATGAAAGCCATGGCTGCAGGAAAACCATCTTCTCCTGAAACCCTACTCGAACTTGGTTTGATCGCAAGCATTACCATTCCCCTTTCGCTCTTCTGGTTCGGCTTCACCTCTCGCGCATCAATTCACTGGATCGTTCCTATCATTGGTGCCTCCTTCTACCTCTTCGGCATCTTTTTCAACTTCCAAAGCGTTCTCATATACATCAGTAGTGCATACCCGGCGTACGCCGCGTCTGTTCTAGCTAGTAATGCCTTGTTCCGGTCAACCGCCGCCAGTGTCTTTCCACTTTTTGGGAGATTTTTCTTCCAAAACTTGGGCCTGGGTGGTGGCTCCGGTTTGTTGGCGGGTATCTCGATTGTGTTGATGCCAGTGTATTATGTGAGTTTTTTTCCCTCTTCTCTCCCTTTGCTTTTTCCCATGTTCTTTTTTTGGTGACTTAGGCGTTGATAAGATGGGGTCATATCCTTCGTCGTAGATCGAAGTATGCTTCAGGTTGATCACACCTGCGTTTGAATAAGCATTATTTCAACGTTCTGCTGATGTACATGTGGAAAAGATGAGTACATAATGATATAGACTATTTTGATGTTTTTTTAAAATCATGATGGACCTTCGAGGGTGAAGCTTAAGTGAAGCCTCAACCGAGATCTTTGAGCGGTTAGCCATCATGATCTTCTCATTTTGTATATCATTGATTCTAGGTGTTCCAGGAAATGTACCTAATTACTGCGCCGCATCGAACAATACCGATTCGAGTTATCACAGGTCGTCACATCTCATGAGTAGAGAAAACGATGATGATGATAGATAACAAGGGAATGTCAGGGCTCAGCGCTCAGGGGTAACTGATGCTACTCCTACCTCTGATAGACAGGCTGAGAGGCTTACATACTTTGTAGTCATTATCTTTTCCGAGTTTGGTTGATTAGAAGGATTCCCTCATCGCACAAGGTTGACACTGGGGTCCATGTGTCTGGGAAAGGGACAATGAACGCTGTGAGAACAAAATTTTTACCTACCTTTTCCAGGTACTGTCAGTTTTTTTTCAGACCATCACTTCTCATCAGCTTGATCTCACTTAATAGACGAATCGGTCCCTCAGACTCCAGTTCTAGTGCACGAGCTTGTGAAAACTGAAAAGTTAAGCTCAGAATGATTTGCTTCATGTATAGATTCGCGTTTAACCGAAATTTCCTTAGGAAGTTCGCGCAGATACCACTGAATCTTTATAGCACTACCATTGTGGAGAAAGTCTGTGCTTGCTATTTGACATGCCAAAGGTTTATGTCATGCCGCGTTCATATCAGTTTCCCATGTCCTATGACTGCACCTGACAATATCCAAGGAATTCATTTCATCTCATGAGTGTTTGAATTCTTAGGTGTATTACAAGAATAGCACCATCTGTTTCCTCGTGGTGAATGTTGTTGCTGGTGGGAATCTCAATTTATAACTGTGAGCACAACAATAACTCTTTTATGATACCGCTGTCTTTGGCACTCGCGCGGAGCAGAACACCTTTGTGATATTCGACTTCATCTACTTGAATCAGTCTGGTGTAGAGAATTCGGGAGTGGCGATCCAGTACTTGACACATTCAAACCTTTTAATACAGTGACACGCTACAACATCAGAGACGAGTATCGAGTCGTGGGCTTCACAGGTTTTCGAGACACATCATAGACACTCTCTCATAGTGACCCGGATCTTAATTGAAGGAGAAAAAACACATGGAGATCTTGAAGCAGACCTGTTTTGTTGTTTTGATAACCTCCGAATGAGGCAAGATCCAGGAAGATACATCTTAGGTCTTCACCAGGTCTTCATTAATGAGTACTTGTGAGTTGTTCTATATTTTATTCTATATAACAACTTACAAGTACTAAGACTAAGTAATTTCAGCAATGTAGCAATCTCAACTTACTGAGATAATTCAATCTGGAGGGCTATGAAATGACGCGAAAATTGAGCTCAATTTGACTTGAATATGGCTCAATTTGACTCGGCGACGATTGAGTGTTGGATGCGAACAAAAGAAGGCCTGAAATATTAATACGTGTTTCAAAAGAGGGTATGATGGTATCATATTTGCAACAGTTTTTATTTCCGTTCTGGGCTTATTTTACCGACGATCCACTTGCCGCCCGCGGCCCAACTGCGTCGCCTCCGCCTCAGGCGCATTCACAATGTATCCCTCTTTATCGGCAGGGCAGTTCAGTACCTGGGAGCAGTACAAGTGCCAATACAACAAATGATACAACTTTTCTTGACAATCGGGTATTAGGTCAACCGACTGTGACTTTCATGGCACCGCGCGCGTGGAAGGTATTCTAGTATACGCGGTAATGGTAACTCGTACTGCGTTCGAATCTGATCATGTAAGATGTATTAACGCAGTCTACGGCTCTAGATGGCTATTTAAGACCGTTGCAGATGCTCATAGACATCCCAGCTTCCTCCAAATCCAAATGCTCGAACTGACCAGACTTGTTGTGCTTGCAGCTGCTGCCCTCTTTTTCAGCGCAGCTTTTGCGGAGACTGTGAACTCCTCCGCAGATAGCTCCGAATCAAGTTCTGCAGCGGCCATTGCTGCTTCTGGTGCCTGCCAACAGCTGCAACGCACCTTGGGTGCTTCGATTGTTCAAAGCAAATCTTCTGGTCCGGAATATAGCATCGCCGCCAATGCTGCGTGGAGCGCCTTCAATCATGAGGTCAATTTTCAGCCAACATGCATTGTATTTGTCAAAAGTACAGCGCATGTACAGACAGCAATGAGGGCAATTTACCAGAATAATGCTGATTACGCAGTCCAGAGCGGGGGACATAGTGGAATGACAGGATGGAATACGTGAGCCGAATCTTTTAGAGCCATTTTATATCGAAACTGAATATTCGTTATAGGATTCAGGATGGAGTGCTAATTTCATTTTCGAATATGAATGCCACTTCCTATGATCCACACACTGACACCATTTCCATACAACCTGGCATTAATTGGGGAAATGCATCGACCATCGTCGAACCATTTGGAGTAGCTCCGGTAGGGGGGCGTATCAGGTAGGAATTTGTGGCGTTATTTTGTAACATTTAAAACTTGATCTTATCACTGCTTACACCAGTAATGTTGGAACCGGTCTTCTTCTCGGGGGTGGCTTAAGCTATCTGTCTCCCTCCCAGGGCTATGCTGCCGATAACTATGTATCTCTTGATGTTGTTCTCATGGACGGTACTTTAGTAACTGCCACCGCCAACAATCAACATGCAGATCTTTTCAAAGCATTAAAGGGGGGAGGAAATCGGTTCGGCATTGTAACCCAGTATATAGTGAAGGCAGTACATGTTGGAAGAGAGCAAGACAAGATATACTGGGGCGGTATCTTTGTGGTCAGTGGTTTTCGAAGCTTTATCTGATACTTGTCTGATATTTGTGTCAGTATCCTAACTCATCTGCCGAAGCACTTCTCCCTGCTATAGCACATTTCGCTCATGATACAAACGACACAAATGCTGGTGCGTCTTACTCATTCTTTGTAATTCCAACATAAGCCGATATTCCTCAACTCGGTTGTAGTCCTTGCCACGGATTTCATAGCTAGTTGGAGCACCACAGGTGTTGAACCAGTCATTCAGCTCGAAATGTTCTATAATGGTACTGCGGCATCCTTCAATGAGTCCTTTGCAGAATTTCTTGCAATCCCATATACATCTTCCACGGCTGGACCTCTATCATATCTTGATCTAGTCAACGAGGTCAATTTTCCGTACGGAGAAGGAAATCTGTTTTCTGGTAGTGTCTTAGCAGGTGTTCCATCCAACTCTCCCGAGAGCTCCGACAAACTGATCAATAATTACATGGAGACTTACCGACTATTCAACAATTTCAGCATGACATATGCAAATTCATCGGAAATTCAAAGCACCCTCCTCAGTTTCACGCCTGTGCTACAATCACAAATACGCATAAGCTACGAAAAAGGGGGTAACGCCATAAGCCCACCTATGGGACAAGGAGGATTTAACGAGGTTCTCTTCGCTGTGACATACAGTGCAGGTGTCAATCAGGCCCCGGAGAACATTGAGCAAGGAAGACAATTCTGGATTGAGAAGTGAGTCAATGAAATATGACCCTTCACATTCAATTTACGAAGTTGGAAAATTTGTAGCACTCCGAGAACTGCAGGACTGCCGCTATTTGCGAATGAGGCTGATGCCAATCAACAAGTCCTTGCATCCTATGGAGAATACAATTTCCTCAGGGAAGTTTATGCCAAGTACGATCCTAGCAGGTGTGTTAAAGCCATTTATAATGAGAACGATTCATTGAAAGAATTTTCCCCAAGATTCAATGTCCGCCATACGCCAGGGCCTCTTGGACTATAGAAATTGATTAAACTCATTGCTCATTAAGATTGTGTTTCATTTTATTATTATTCCCCCTTGAATGTTTTCGTTTTATCGGCCAATTGGACTAGCTACAAATTATTTGTATACTTACACACCTTACCAGATTGTACTTCTTTTCGTGGTACATGTACTCAAAATTAATTGAATTATCGAGTCGAGATGACCAGGTTTCCCCCGGCATCAGGCAAAATATCAATTTAAGATTGTAAGTATCGATACATATTCCTGGTTGGACTACCGGAGGACTTGATTGTGGAGACAGTCGAAAAGTAGGCCACAATCATAATACATGACACACTACGATGCTGTTGCAGCAGCAAAAGTCATCGTTTCAATTCGACCTTTCCCTTTACATTCCTTTTGCAACAGTTCGTTGATCACTCGGAACTGACTGGGGTCTATGAGCAAGATCTGAATGTATATTCAATAGCTTGTTTGAACGAGGGCAAAGTACAGCGGATTTGCACGTACCACTTCCCAGTCATTCTGGCCCATTATCTCCTCTTCTATTTTCTCGGCACCTTCTGAAACCTTGTTGCGTAGACGTTCACTGTCCACATTCGGCACGGTTACACGAACACGCATGCGTGCACGCTGTATGGGAAGGGTTGAATCGGATTGAAGGCTTTTAATGCAATCCGATACCTGAGATTACGATGTGCATGGTTGCATGACGGACGACTGGAAAGACATACCTGGCTCTTGGCATTCTTATTTGGTTTGAGACTATATCCAGCTTCTGACATCGCCTTCTCAATCATGCCCACGGGATAAGGTCGCTGTGTAGCTGGGTCTACACATTTCTCTGCAACCAATGTAGCGATCTCTTTGCGTAACGCAGATTGATCATGTTCTCTTTCCTTTTCACCCACTTGCACTTCACCTTTCTTCAAAATCTATGATATGGGATGAGTTTGCAAAAAGTATGTAAGTAGTAAACATACCTCGGATACGATTTCTGATATTTCAGTTGTTCCGAAAGCCTTTTTGAGATCGCCATGTTTTGCAACTTCACCCTTGGATACATTCATGAAGACATTGCTGATTTGCAGAACATCGTCGAGATTGTTTTCGCTAAATGGAATGCAGATAAGCCAGGAGACCGTTGGCTGCGGCTGTTCTGCAGCGCTTACACTCCATTCCTAAATTCCTGTACTTTATTCTTGTAGCAAGCGATCTGGATTGATGTGTTGAGAACATCAGAAGACAGCAGTGCTCCATACTTACCTCAAACCGCTTTCCACCTTTCTTTAACCGGACGATAGACACATTAGTGAGTCTGGAAGGCTTGGTCAGTCAGTTATGAGCAATTCCTAGCCTGGAACACAGGAGGTTTACTTGATTTGGTTCGAAGGCTGGTTGATTGGCATTGTGACAATAGTGGTATGGAGCAAAGAAGAATATTGACTAGATCATAAATGCGTGTTTCGGGTGCCTCGGTCCCGCGCGAAGTTTGTCGAGTAAGAATTCATTTTGAGTTCATAACGAGATACAGGACTGCATAGACAAACGTCTCGGAATCAGGTATAGGTACAATAGGTAGAGGTCGCGCACAATATCGCGGCCACAGGCCGTGTGAATTGTTGAATCTACTCTTTACTCTTCTACTGCCTTCACTCACACTTTATCGTCAGTCACTATGAAAGGATTTGTAAAGTCCGTCAAGCGGTGCGTTCTTCGCTATCTCAGTTCAGGAAAAGCTTGAATATGCGGCATGAATTGCTGATTGATCTGCAGAACACCGTTCATGGTCACCAGCAAGGTTGGAATGTCCAAAAGTAGGCCTTTCAATTACCGGAATAAAATGAGATGGCTGAACTCCCAGTGCCATCTTTACTCTCAATATCATCACTGCAACTCCGTATCGGCGTGAAGAGTCGAACGATCCTGAATTCGACGATTACCAACGGCATTTCTCATCCATGGAACAAGCAGTTGAGAAACTGCTCAAAGATACAAAGGCTTTCACAGATGCTGTTAATCGTGCGTCATTGAAGGGATCTATTGTTTATAACTTCGTAACCTCGAGGGTTTTCGGATGCCAGATCTCTTTACGTCTGGAGCTGGATACGCTTCCCACTTCTCTGTCATCTTCCATCCCATTGCTGGCGAATATGATCTCCTTGGCAAGCATCCTGATGCCGCACATACAATCAAGAGCGTCGAAAAATACGAGACCGCGATGGAGGAACTTAGATCTGCCGTAGCACCCGAGCTTGAGCTCATAGAAAGTAGAATCGTCGGTCCTACTAAGGAATTCCAGAGTGTCATGAAGACCATTCGGAAAACTATTACAAAGAGAGATCACAAGGTTATTCAATTTGTTGTACCACCATGCGCTCGCTCTGACTTATTCGATAGCTCGTGGATTACGATAGGTTCAACAATTCTTTAACTAAACTCAGGGATAAGAAAGAGAAATCTCTGAGTGACGAGAAGAATCTATTCAAAGTGAGCGCTTCATTAGCTGTGTTTGAAACGCTCTGGTCTAACCTGCACGCATGGAGCTCGAACAAGATTTTGAAATGGCAACCAACGAGTACGAATACATCAACACCGCTCTCAAACAAGACCTACCTCGATTTATGACATTATCAACTCAGTTCATAGATCCGCTATTCCACTCTTTTTTCTACATGCAGTACGTATTACGTCGTTCGCCGCATTCCTGTTATCAAATTGTCTTTCAGGTTGAACATTTTTTATATCTTATTGGAGAAAATGAACAATTTTTCGGAAGAAGCGAAATACGATATCTCCAATCTACCTGGAAATGAGATAACATCCAATTACGAATCTCAACGAAGCGATGCCTGGTCGCAGATAGAAGAACTTAATATCACTAAACGAATCATTTCGACTTGTGCGTTCTTGATTCTGTTTCCCCCGGTCTATGTTTTAAGTGCAAAATAGCCAAATTTGTACAGTCCAATCGTGCTGCTGCTGGTCCAGGTGTATCACGTACAACTTCATCTACATCATCGCTCGCATCAAGTAGATCTCCCCCGCCGAGCGGTTTCAAGAAAGCTCCTCCTCCTCCTCCTTTCGCTGCTTCCCATGCTGCTCCACCTCCACCGTATACACCTTCAAATGGACCTGCAAGCGCTGCGGCGTCTGCCGCAGCCGCGAAAAAAGCACCTCCGCCCCCTCCTCCACTGAAACCAAAACCCAAACTGGCACCTAAGCCGCAGTTTGTCGTAGCTTTGTATGATTTCGCAGCACAGGTAAGATGCTTGATTCATTTCATCGAACCTTCAATTAGTTCAACATCTCGGACCTCATCCAGGCGGAAGGTGATCTGTCTTTCAACTCAGGGGACCGAATAGAAATCGTTGAGAAGACGGCAAGCGCGGAGGATTGGTGGACTGGGAAGTTAAATGGCATACAGGGTGTTTTCCCAGGTAAATTTAGAAAACCGATCAGATTCAGTCTCGAGGTTTAATAATGAAATCTAACATAGGCAATTATGTCCAAGATGCTTAACGGTGTTTTGTTCGAGCGAAGGAACAGACAATACTTACCACGCACACATTGACGATGTTTCGGTATCATTATACTAGTCCTGTAATTCAACCATTTGTCAAATGAGATGTTTTGTCCGCGATACGGTCCAAGACCTTTCTAGATATGACTACAACATCCAAGATGACTACGTCCACTTCAAACATCACTTTTGAGTTGGAAACTGGATGTCAAGAATCTCTACATCTCACTGATCCTCGATATATTTGGAGTTCCCTTTTGTTTTGGTATCAATGGATTTCCGAAGATTTACGACTGAGAAACATTCTATTCATTTACATGGTGTGAGTCTGTGTTACATTTTCTTTCTGATCTTCGAATGGCGATGTTCTCCTGTGTTCCACTTCCATTCAATTCCGAACTTGGCGGAAGTGACTTTCCCATTGAAGACTCTACATACGCAAGGATACTATAGGCTACTATCCCAAGACGAACCCTAATGATTTCACCGATATCACAATGGAGGGACATCTTAGGAAATTTCCCATTGTACACAGTGATCAATGTAGCTTCGGTATTGGGGAAGGCTCGGACGACGAGTGTTGCGATGATGCGGTGCACAGATGATACAGTGGACAGATGCTAACAAAGTCTGCAAGCGCTAGCTCAGGACCCCTGACAACCCACTAAGAGGCCTGTACAAAGTGCGGGTAAGAATAGGAGAAATTTTTTAGAATCCATGAGCCAAAAGAGGGTAAAAATAGCAACTTTTCATGCTGAGCCCTAGGGCTAAAACCGGGTAAAAATGCTCCTTTCAAAAGGCCTAATCTACAGTAGGGTAAAATGGCCCCATCGAGACTCAAACATAGTGCTCACTGAGCACAAAGCAAATGACTCTTGCTGCACCACTACACAATATTGACAACATATTGTTAGGTATTATAGACATTACTATACAGCTTGTATTTACATGTTTTTGCATGAACATCGTTGTAGTTGAACATTGAATCTGGAGCTCAAGGGAAACTACGTGGATGATGATCCATTAGATGAGTCCATAATTTCAGCATAAATAAAACAAGGGAAAAAGAACCACCTGCAGTAGAAACAAACAAACAAAAATACATTTGGCAGCTTTCTGGCAAAAAATAAGCAAAAAAAGATAAAAAATCAAATTTTGGATATACCCTGAGGTCTAAACCGGGTAAGAATGGGGTCTGTGATGAAACCAGAGGAAAATCCGGGTAAGAATCCACCTTTTGGACCCCCAAAAATGTGGGTAAAACTCAAGTTTTTGGGATCAGGCCTCTTGGTGGGTTGTCAGGGGTCCTGCTAGCTCCTATGGATTCAAGGTTGAAGAAGGTGTAAAGTATTATCTTCATTAGCGCTTGGTGAGTTGGAGTCGCACTGCAAATTCCTAGATTGTTTGGCCCACCTCCAACGTTCGCGTGCTTGCCCTATTCTATTCACCATTTTCTAACGTACAAAGTCGCAAGACGAGCCTCGAGGTGATCCGCCGCAGTATGGCGCAAAATTGGCTGAAAGGGGATGAATAGCGTATCTTAGCGCTCGACGGGCAGTGTATATTTAGTGGGCTGTGCCGTTTCTTAGCGCCCTTGAATTTAAATTCAAATGATAGAGATGAGATGCTATGACTCTTATGCGGAGGCGATACCTGCCCGACGTTATTTCCGTAATGACTTGCACAGTATGTTCTCAGAAACTCGATAGCTTTTCCACTGGATATAAAAACACGAGGGTCTACCATGCAATCCAACGAAGCGAGGTCCCCCGCCGCGGCTCAGAATACTCTCCACTGCCCACTCATACCGCAGCTCACTTGAAATCATCTGTCAAACATTAGCACAATGCCAGGAAAGACAGTTCGATTTAACACACCCTCTCCTGATTACTCTGTCGCGTCTCTGCCTGTCATCGACGGGTCTGTGAGTCCACAGCCGATCCCCACCATAATGCTACCAGCAGTAGACTGTCAGCTACACCGAGCACTGCAGAATAACAAATTCTCGCCGTCTGCAATCGATTGGGATATGTCTTATCCAGTCGAAAATGCACGATTGCAACCACCATATACCCGATTTGATTGGAACGCTCCGGCAACCAACCCACATACTACCCATCTTACGATAACATTCGGCGCGTGGAAATTTACCGTCGTCCCTCATCCAGCGTCGAGAGCACCATATGTCACGGTTTTAGATGTCCTCCACGGAATTTATCGCTATTTCCGCACTTCGAGTTCTAAAAGAGACTATCAGGCTCTTTCATCCGATAAGCGGCATCGCGTCACCAGCGCGTACAATCAGAGATGGCAAAGATGCCACCCTGCTGAACGGGAGATGGAACAGAGGAAAGGGGTCAAACAGATTGACTTTCTGGCAGACTCGAAAACCTTCTGGGGGTTGTTGCCGACGAAGGAGCTTGGTACATGGCAGCTTCAAGTGACGCGCTCATGAATCGACCTTCTTCATATCAAATATACCCCCTCCACCCTCACTCCATACCCGGTTGATTGAACCAATATCTGAACTGTATTATTGCGAAATTCTGTATGACTTCGTTTTGTAACCCGTAGCACCAACCTTGTTCATGATTCTTCACGTCTGTAACGATTTTTATTTGATTAATTTACCTGGCTCCACTTGATACCTGTAATATTGATAACAAATCTGGATGAAGTGCTTGGAACGTCGAGAGTAACCCTGGGCCGTTTCGCATTAAGTCTCGAATATGGCCAGAACAATTGAGGTTACCAAATATACGCACTCTGATTGGCTGAAGCAATAGTGGCCAGATTTGGAATTTGCATATGTAATGGACGATTTCTGAGCACTTTCTCTTCCCAACCGCAACGACCAATGTCTTCCTTCCACCACTTGACACGACTTCAACATGCAGCCCGATTTTCTGCGCTGCCTTTTCTTTATCCCTGCAATCCGACACTTTCTGTGCCAGTCCGGAGAGCAATGATATCAGCATACAAGCCCGGCGGGAACAGCTTTGATCATGCTGCAATAACAGAAACTCCTCCAGTAGTCGTTCCTTCAACGAAAACATTTTTGCCAGATGCTTCAGCTCCACAGATTGCTGCTGGTCCACCTGCTGCTCCCAGGGCTGAGAAGCCAAGGCCGAAATTACGAGCCACGAAGGCCGCGCTGTCCATAGTACGTTTCCGAATAACTCGCCCTGGTCATTACTCTAATGGCTGTTTTCTCTATAGACCTCAGAGGCAGTTAAACGTTTACAAGCATTGCAAAGAGGGCCTACACCACAGCTCATACGAATCGGCGTTCGGAACAAGGGATGTGCTGGCCTATCTTATCATTTAGAATACGTCGAAAAGCCCGAGAAGTTTGATGAACTTGTCGAGCAGGATGGTGTTAAGGTCATCATTGATAGCAAGGCGCTATTTTCCATTATTGGAAGCGAAATGGACTGGCATGAAGATGCTCTGAGGTATGTAAGCTGTTGTTTTCTTTTTCAACCACTTACTCAGCCCCGTTTGCAGCTCTAAATTTGCATTCAAGAATCCAAACATAAAGGACGCTTGCGGCTGTGGTGAATCCTTTACGGTCTCATGATTGGGACTTTTCTCTTGTATCCATACCGTCATTTTCCGATTGTCCAGTGTATCGATATCCCATCATAATATCTAGATGTGAATATAATGGAATCACCCTCTTCAGATATATTCAGATGTGGAACATCCTAATGGCAACATAGAAATGCAAGTGGGCTTTTATACCAGGTCGAGATGGGAGTCATTCGGAGTTCGTTTGACTCGACTCGACCGGGACAACATTCTCGGAACCGCGCAATTATCGTCGTGATTCATTGAAGACATGTACAATACACGTCCCTATCATAAGATTTACACAATACACATGCAGGAGACAGATGGAAGTATAACAAGGCAATGTTATGGTACATGAGCAAGAGCAAGCACAAGATGATCGTTTGAAACCGTTAATCATGCACTGAGGAATTCTTTTTGCATGTTAGCAAAAGCTGCCGCTCCCACTCTAGCCAAACCAAGTTGAAGAAGGCACACTGCCGTTTGGCGATACATCATCTCCAGAGCAGGATGAGTTGGACGACCTTGTGATCCTGAATAAACGAGAACGTTCAGCTCGTGATTGCATCAAAAGATAAACATACGAAGTATAGCCTGGTTCAGATCATTGGCCAACTGTACCCGCGCATCGTGTCCCGCAACTTCCGCAATTGTGCCCCCAGCTGATAATGGATCAAACACGGCAAAAATAGCGAAAGCACGAGTAAATATCTGCTTGATTTCAGGATTCCGTGTACTCTTGAAGTCCTTATCCAAGGTTTGACCGTATGCTATAGCGGAATTCAGCGCTGCTTCATATTGGTCTCTAGCTGAAGGAGGCCGGGATGGAATTTCGGAGCTAGCTCCGGCTGCCCCATTACTTCCGTTAGTCACTGGACTGCCAGGGAAAAGGTCGTCGTCGTCGACATCCATACCCATCCCGCCCTCCTCTAATCCATCCATTTCGGGAGCAGTAGCCTGCTCTTTGGTCGCCATTGCCTTCATCTTCTTCTCGAGCTCCGCTGATTCCAATACAAGCTCCACAAATCTACGACAGCGGAGCTTTACGAACATTAATCCTTCGTCAGCTTCTAATGCGCCAGGATAATGCTCTTTAGTCTCTGTGAGAGCCGAATCGATGTTACCAGAAAGAACGGAGTTCACTATCCGAGTTCGTGATTCGATATCGGCCTCCAGAACACTAGTCGAGGGAGAAGGAGTTGATGGTTCGGGAACATCATCCATGTCGATATCGTCATCAACTGAGGGTGAAGCTGGACTTTCTTCAACGGCTTCTCGGTTTTGTTTCTTGAATGCCCTTGCTGTTTTTATGTATCCATGATGCGCCAAATAGGAAAGCACAAGCTTGTCTAGAGTCTGCTTGCACTGTTGCTCGGATACTTCTGGCAGTGAAGGCGCAATCTCCTCTCCAGTTGTATCGTTCGTTGCTGTGGCAGAAAACAGAGTCGGGTCGAGTGGTCGGCTCATAATAGCAGCCCATGTTTTCTGACGCTGCTGCTGGACATAAAAATCAATGCCGAATTGGAAATCCTCATGTCCGAAATTGACTTTGACGGACTCTCCTAAATGCTGCAAACCGACGGTAGGGTATATCTCGATACCTTTGCCAACGTTCTCAAAAGCGATCCCTGTTGAATAAAAAAAGAAGACAAGTTAACTCTTACCACGGGTCAAGAATGAGTGAACGTGATAATGGTCATTCACCTAAGAAAGTGCCATTCTTTGTGAAAAATGCTTGATTAGTGCTAAAGTCAATGCCACAACCAACGACGTCCCCCACTGTCGTCCAGATGAGTTAAGAATCATTCGATGAAACTGCAGAACTCACATCCAAAAGTAGGACCATAAGGTGTTCCGTTTCGTTCTGCGGCGAAGGAGCATCCATCATCCCCGTGATACCCCCAGGACGTTGGTTCCCAGCCCGGAAGACGGGACAGTTTGACATCAGGACCAGCGAAACTAAACAGCACATAAAATGGATATGAGTGGGAAATTATGAAAAGTATGTCTCTCTCACCCGACACTTATGTGCCTGCAACAAAATATTAGAAACTTATTCGTTGCAGGCAAGAAAAGATTACTAACGCCTTTTGGCCTTTACTGTGGATTTCCACTTCATAATAATACACTCCGCATGCTGGAGGGATTGGTTGCATGGACCGTGCGGCGGCGGCATCTCTATCTCCATTACCACTAGCGCCTGGAAATGGTCAATACGTGGCTTCGAATTACGATGGCCATGCTTGGTATATATACCTTGAAAACTGAGTTCTCGTCCATTTCCAGACAAACTCAATGATTGATGACGATATTCATGGCTCCATCGTGTTGGTAATTTCATGGTTTGATCGGGAGAGGCGACGGAAATCACAGCAGGTTTGTTAGGGGGAGGACTGGCATTACTGTCGTCTTCGCTGTCTGTTGATGGGGACAAGGCTCTGGAGCGAAATTCAGCCTCTGTGAACGTCGTAGGGGCTTCTGTTTGGAGCAAATCTTTGAAAGACGAATGGTCAAGGTATGCAGGTCGGGTGAAAGAAATAGGAGCCGAAAGTGTCATGGAGGTAGAACGATTCCGTTGCATGCTGGACGCTCGGGTTCCAGCTGCACTGGCTCTCCTTGTCCGTACAGGAGGAGTAGATGAGGATGGTAGACATGAAGGATCGATGTTGCGCGATGATTCTGCGCGTATGATTCGGGGTTCAAAGGTAGTAGCCGATCGCGAGGAGGGAGGGCGGAAATGAGAACCAAGAGGTTGAGTAAATGACCTTGCAGTAGCTCTAACTGGAGAGGTGCTGAGGGCCGAAGTACTAGTAGTGGTTCCACGTACACCGTGAGCTACTACTACGCCACGATGGTCATCGGGGACGGTATGTGACCCTGAGCTTTGGAGACGAGGTCGGACGCTTGTGGTAATGAAGGGGATGGATATTACGGATTCTATGTTCCTAGTGGGGGATGTAGACGCGGAGCTTCTCGGGATTGGAATGCTAGCGGACCGGGAAGGTCGAGAAGTCATGGTAGTAGCTCGTCAGAGCTGTGAGCCCTGAGAGAATTAAGCAAAGTAGGGAGAGACGAGCCCAGAAGAAGATATATTTCAAAGATATAGAGCAGAATTTGAAGATGAAGGGAGATATTAGAGCGGAAATTGTACGAGCTTTGAGTTACCAAGATGATGGCAGTTTGGGTCGGAGACAATCCAGGTCACGCGATCTGAGCATTTCAGGAGAAGGCGTTACGCGTTCAATTTATTTCCTCCTTTAATCCTGACCATGGTCTGTACTTTTCACCGATTCTTGGCTTTGAAATCAGCTACTGAAACTGCACTCAGGACCCTTCTTTACGCATTGTTCCTGCCAGCGTACCAAAGACTGCATCTGTTGCAGAAACATCTAACAGTCTCGGCCTTCACGATACTCTACAGTATGGACCGCGTACAATTGCCACAGAAATGAAGACAGAGGGTAGTTTGAAGGATAGGCTATATAACGTACGTTGTCATCCTCGTTCAGGCGGTACAGATCAGTAATGTAATCAGTGGGAGGAAACACAAGATAATCTAAAGCTTACGATGATGCGTAATACATATGGTCTTCATGCCCCCATGAGATTGCTGATGGAGAGAAGGATCGTCAGTGCAGTAAGTCATATCATACTCTGTTACCATACCGTTCAATGTATGTTCATTGTGTTGTAGAACCCGCACATGACATTGCTGCCTCAAACCAACCTTCAGTTAGATATTCTTATGGGTCGTGATGAATCTGTAGAAGCTGCAGACGTCTTTGCAGGTAAGTTTACACTTGTATCTCTCGATCTCATTCTCATCTTCTCTGCACAGGTCCATTGAGCGGACCACCGCTTGATATTCGTCAGGACATGGAGAAGAAGCATCGAATCTAAATCAGATATCCCCCTCACAGGACTTACTCCAGGTGGCCCATCGCCTAGATGGTCTCCTTCCGTAACTCTAGAGCACTCAGTAGTAAATGCTGCTCATAGTCTTATGTAGTGCTTATCGTGATTTAGAAATTGTAAATTCATCAGACATCAATATTATGCAACTATGGACGAAAAGCATGCGTACATGTCGCGTAACTGAGGCAGAAATTCAGGCGCTTATTTGCACCCCGCTTTCACCCCTCGACCACCAGATTCGTTATTGTTTCTATATACATCAGCATGTCTACTAGACCAAAACAAGCACCGCGAATGGCTCGGCCTGCTGCTCGTTACTGGGCCGGTAAGGCTCCTAAGAATGTCGTTGGAGCCGATTCTGACACCGAGGATGAGGAGGAGCAACCTCAAACGGAGGAAGAAGGAGATGTAAATATTGGCGGTGAACAAGAAATAATACAGGACAAAGATGAGGGTGAAGACGAGGATATGCCAATGAAGAAACAAGGCCTCAAATCGAAGTCGATGAATATTGCATTGAGAGATGTTGATATATCAACTGACGGCAAGGTTATCGTTGCTGGCCGGGAAGAATCTGGAAAGACGGTGCTGGAAGAGGATGAAGGTAAGACTGTACAATTCCTCTTTGGCTTGAATTCAGGCCTGTTCCTGCTCTGTAGAATCCGAGGATGAATCGGAAGAGGACATTGAATCGAAGGTAAAGCAAGAGGAATCAGAGGAAGATGTATGTTCGTCCTTGACAGCACTTGAAAAACTTCCTAAATGTTGTCGGACAGTCCAGCGAGTATGAAAGTGACTCAGAAGAAGAGCAGAAACCCAAATTACAGTTCAGACCGGTCTTCGTTGCAAAGTGCTTAAGATATCCAAACATTCCAACGCGATCTACACGCATACTAATTATTCTACTTGCAGACGGAATCGGGAAACTATTGCTGAACGTGAACAGTTGGCTGAAGATACCGAAGAAGCTTTGAAACGAAAGGAAATGGAACTTGAGGAGCGACGGAAACAAAGTCATGATCTGGTTGCAGAGAGTATTCGACGTGAATTGGCGGAAAGTCAGGGCTTTTTCAATATTCACCTTGCGATCACTCATGCTCCGTCTCAGAAGAGAAAGAAGAACAGGTTCCGGACGTTGATGATACAGATGGGCTAGACCCGGCTGGTGAATTCGAAGCATGGAGGTTGCGGGAACTGGCGCGTATCAAGAAGGAGAAGGAGGAAGAGATTCGCAGGGAGCAAGAGCGGGAAGAGATTGAACGAAGAAGAGCTATGCCAGAGGAGCAACGATTGAAGGAAGATTTAGAGAGAGCGCAAAAACTGAGGGACGAAAAGCCGAAGGGGCAGCAGAAGTTTCTTCAAAAGTATTGGCACAAAGGTGCTTTTCATCAGGTACGTCTCGCAACGTAACGGATGTGATTCTATTATTTAATCTCGCCATCTGAATTATCCAGGATACAGAAATTCTCAAACGACACGATTTCACTGAAGCAACTGAATCGACAATGGATGTATCGCTGCTTCCCAAGGTTATGCAAGTCAAAAACTTTGGTAAACGAAGTAGAACAAAATATACCCATCTTCTGGATCAGGATACCACTATAGCTACCGGAGGCTTTGGTGGTACGGCACCTGTTAAGGCGGGTGGCAAGTCTACGGAAGCCGGTGGCTGTTTCCTGTGTGGGGGACCACACATGAAAAAAGGTAAACGACCTTTTGTTAAGATGTGACGAACAAGTTGAAGTAAATATCACAAACAGACTGCCCGCAAAATGTCGGTCCATTAACAAGGCAGCCGGGATCAGGTGCTAATGCCGCCCCAGGTGGTTCGCGACCATGGGGAGGTACGCCTGGGCAATCGAGCTCCTGGAAGGACCGTGACAACGGTGGTAGGCAGAATGGTGATGGAGATTGGAAGAATGGGCGCGACAGTTCTCCGCGACGGGATCGATACAGGGACCAAGAACCTTATCCGAGAGGGGGCATGGGGTCGTCTCGGTCATTAAAAAGAAGGGACGAACATGATTCACGTAGATCGCGCTCACCGCGTTCAGTGTCCCGCTCGAGGTCTCCACCACGGCGGAAAGATCGCCAAGATGACCGTTCATATGGGCGAGGCGAGAGACGGCAGTTTCGAGATCGGTCTGAGGAGCACGATTCGAGGGACAAGCGGCGACGAGTAGATTATTAGTTAAATTGTTGATATGAGTTTTTCCGCCCGTTCAATCTGCCAAGTGTACATAAGTATGTCTTCCAGGTGTCTTCTTCAGAAGTTCTTATGTATGTAGTGGTAAGTAGCCGGAACACCGGGGAATACCCCTTCGACTGACTTGTCACCCCGAAATCAAGTTCATGAGAGTTTATGCGGCCTTGCAGAAATTGTTTACAAATCGGCATCTTCAGTGCCCGAATAGTAAATGTCTTCTCGGGCACGCGTATACCAAGCGTACACACGTCTACTCTTATAAACACATCATGTTGATATTGCTTCCCGTCTTCCTTTTTTACCTGGTGCCCGACTTGAACGTTGCAATGCAACGATAAAAAGTTTTGTGCTATCAGTACTCTCGATCCACACCGCAAAACCTCGTTGAAGTTCTCATTCATTGGAATTTAATGCCTCGAGCCGTCAAAGTTGCGGTAGTAGGCACTGGATTGGCAGGTCTCTCTGCTGCTTATTTGCTATCGGGTTCGTCTACGGAGGTAGACTTTGAGGTCCATGTCTTTGAAAAGGCGCGTCTTTATCTTCTGTCCGTCAACAAAGGCTAATATCGGGAGTGTTTAGTCTTCGACATTGGGAATGGACTCGTCCTCTATCACCCTACCTGTCCCAGGCAAAGAACAAAAATGGCGCATCGATGTTCCAATGCGGTCATTTCAATCAGGTTTGATTCTGAAAATCGCGTATTATCGCTAACGTTGATCGTTACTTCAGGTTACTATGATACCCTCATTTCTCTTTACAAACATATTGGGATTTCATTTCGGAAAACAGACTTTTCGTACTCGTTCTCGCGTCTAATACCCGAGACTGTTTACGCGTCTAGAAAAATCACTACAGATGTGATATACAATGGTAATTCGGGAATCGCAGGCATGAGCATCCCCTCATCGATGAGGTTAAACGAAAAAGTGCTTTCGTCGATCCATGCAGCAGCAAGCGGAGCCTATGCTTATGGGATTTTCATGTTGATGTGCTTTAAATTGTTGATCTTGTATATCAGGGTCCTGTTTCTTTCTATCCCCATTTTCCGACCCCAGGGTGTCGAGGAAATGACCTTCCGTACTTGGTCGGCATCAACAACTCCTCGAGGCTTCATAGCACAATGTACGATGCTGGATCTTGCGTGGGTCGAATTCACACAAGACTTGCTGGTTCCTCTCTTCTCCGCTGTCTGTACAGCCCCCGAAAGCAATGTCTATGATCATCCAGTCGAAGAGTTTCTGGGTAGGTTGTTCAGTGTCTCTCAAATGACATCGTATCAAACTCTTTCTCTCGTTGTCAGACTACATATGGTTAACATTGGGGTACCACCATTATGTAGCGCTCAATGGTGTCCAAGAGGTTGTTTCGAAACTCATTGCTGGCGTTCAGCACGTACATTTATCATCACCTATATCAAGCATCCGAATGAATCCTGATGATCCCACTACATCGTCAATACATGTTTCCACCGGCAGCAGGGTTCAAATTCACACTGGATTCCACCATATCATATTTGCAACCCAGGCCATCCGTGCTGTTCCACTCTTGGAGTCCTTTGTATCATCATTACCTCCGCATGCGAAGGCCAAACGACGTGCTGTGGAGGAACAAATCGCTTGCCTCCGCCAATTTACGTATTGCTCAACTCTAGTGATCAATCATACCGATTCTTCATTAATGCCAGATAATGTCGAAGATAAACGCGATCTAAATTTGATCTCTCTCGACCATGATGCGCCTTCTCTCGTTACTGATGTGAAGGAGGTGAAATCATCAAAGACAGAAGTAGAAGATAGCTGGTCATTACGGTGTTTGCCACCTTCATATACGATGGCGACACATGTTCTGACGCCTCCGGAAGGTTACCCTGCTCATCTACCAGCCATATACCAAACAACAAACCCTATAATCGAGCCCCGAGAAACTAGGATATTGAGTGTAGCTACTTTGGAACGCGCCGTCCTAACGGTGCAATCCAAGCGAGCACTCAAATGTCTGTATGTGAGATATAGCAGGAAGTGGTGGCACACTGCTAGTCAGGGAAAAAGTGGACTCGGGCCATTGCAGGGAGCAAAACGAGGCAACGAACTCAAGCAGACGCCAGGGATATGGATATGTGGATCGTTTGCTTACTCCGGTATTCCATTGCTAGAAGGATGTGTAGTGAGTGCGAGAAACGTCGTCGAACAGGGTATTTGGAAGAGTGAAGGTGTTCGAGGGCATATACCATGGTGAATTGGTTGGTTTGCAATGTGTATTAATAATTTGGAAATGGATATAGATTTGTGCATACGGTAGGTGCTACAGTAGGCTATAGATAATAGTCCATCGGGAGTTGGCTGAGTTCGTCGAGACAGAAGCAGAACACCTCATAGAAAACAGAGGATCGACTTGCGAATGTTCTACATCTGAACCATAAAGAGATACTTGACCCGAATTTGGGAGATATCGTAGACAATATACTTCGCAAAAATGATATGAGCATTTGAGAGGACTTATTATCCTCAGCTACTCCGCTCACCTCGTTGTATTGCAAATAACCCTTAGGGCTTGGATCATCAGCACAAGGGCCATCTGGCATGATACAGCCCTCCAGTTCCTCGTTATTGAGAGCTTTGCCGGCATCCTTCCATTTTGTGGGCGCGGTGCGTCCGATACCCTTTGTAGCCCTAAATGGAGAAGAAGACTGAGCTCGCAGCAGCGATAGACAAAAATGTGCTAATCAACCTCTTGCCCTGTTTTTTGCAACTTCGGTCGGCATCGTATTCCTGTATAAAGAAAGTCAGCTTTACATGATTGTTACAACTATACTGCGAAGCCCATACCGCATCATAGCGCTCATAGAATGGCTGGGCAGCTACTTCACAGAGCAAAAGAACACCAGTGCCTCCGCTCAAACTGAAGACAGAGATTAACTCGAGCTTGAACAACGAAAAAGAAAAGACTGACTGAGGGTAACAGTAGCCTGCAGACTAAGAAAATCATCAACTGTCAGCTGGCGATGACACGAAAGTCAGAACTAACTAACCTTCGACATCATCTGTAATTAGAATATTCGGATAATCAGTAGTAAGTAGGGAACGATAAGATAGATATTACGTCGGCAAAGTATACACCCTTTCCGAACATATAACCATTGACAGGAGCTAAGAGGGTATGAAGAACGTTACAGTTTGCTCTAGCAATCAAATTCAAAATCGATTACCTTCCGGGGGAGCAATTCGGAGACCTTGCGACAAGATACCAGCAAAGTTGGTCGTTCTGGACCCATGCCAGAGTAACATTCTTTCCTGGTTCTGGAGGGTGTCGTTGCCAGCATTCTTCCAAGCTTCAGTTTCAACGCTCCTGCATTGAGGGTGTCGTCAACTTTGGTTGAGTTGCCACATGATGGTTTGGCGTACCTTTCAACACGATAGACGTTCTTAAGTTTGGCTTTGATGTGTCCATGTGTCTTGCCATGAGTATCTGACATGTACCTGGCGAGCATCTTGAACTCGTCGCTATCACGCTCAACTGGGTCCATCTTGCTGAGTGAAAGGGAATTGAATTGTGCGTCAAGAGGGTTCACGGGATTGCCCTCTCCATCTGAAGCATTACTCGCTTGCATGAGTTCTGTGGCAATTTCCTATGACGAGGAATGAGCTACATCTCCGTACAAAGGGCGCAAGCGCGTACCATATCGCCGAGAGCATCAACAAGTTCGAGTTCCTACTTTGTTGTTAATAGTCAAGCTGCAGTAAGAAATATTTCGCGCGCACTTTCTTCAATGCATTTTGGGTGTTGATTGCAGGAGGTTTATTTCTTCCAAAGTCGTGCGGGATGATACTAATCGAGTGGAGGCGTATTAGATTGGAAGGATGTCGTCGGTGAAGCTGGAACGCACGAGTAATATCGGTTGGTGAGTTCTGCACATCCTGCCTGTTGTCCGCCCCACCTCTTTGCTTCTTCGCTGTTGGGGTTATCAATAACTTCAGAGAGTGCCTTGGGTGTAATTTTTGAGTGATTCATGTATATATCTCAGAGCGAGAGCAAACCTTCAGGGCAGCGAAGCCTTTGAGAATAGTTGCTTTCGAAAGTTTGCCTTGCTCGTTGGTCAGTAAGATCCTCAAATAATGTGAATGGGACCAGGGCTTACCCAAAGGAAGCTTATTTGCGTCATAATTCATCGAAGACAATGTAGCGTCGATAATGCTAGTGTTGAAGATAAGTCGACAGAATTCCTGCAACGGAGATATTGTAAACGTGTCTCGAGTCCAACAGAACGAAGATATATACCTGGACCTCGGGTTTGAGAGTGCATTCCGGAATCGGTTGTTGCTCGGTTTGAGCTTTGCCTTTTCCTTTGCTCTTGGGTTTGTCTTTTTGTTCAGTATCTTCTTCATCATCATAGTCGCGTTCTAACACAGGCTCATGAATATAATTGGCAATTGAGAAATGAGTGCCGCGATACCTAGGAAAAAGTATTTCCCTATGGCAATGTTAACAAAACAAAACGAACCCAATATGCGATGTAGATCAGTTACCTTTCTTGGGTTCCATGCCGACCCTGCTCTCCCAATCTACACCCGACTTGGCCTTGAACTGTTTCTTGAACTCGTTTATGGCTTGAGCGGAGGTAAAAGGTCCCTGAATGACAGGTAGCATGAGCGTCCCGGATTGAGGAAATAGTATGACACTCTACTCGACCTTCGTTTGAGTTTGCCCCCGTTCTCCTACGCGACCCCAATGAGTGAAGAGTTCACAAGTAGCATTGCTACTGATGGGGTGCAGAAGTTGCAGGACGTAGAACCTGAAGAACGTCGGGATTCGTTATAGGGTATTAGCGAGCACGACTACGTACTTGTTTTTGTTCGCATTAATGTCTGTTTGATTGAGCATAGCATCCCAAACGCCTTCTTCATTGGCGTAGACTTGATGCGTTGCTTGGTGTAGTGTTAGCAAAGGCAATTACAGACTGATCAAACTATGATACTTACAGACTTTCCCTGACACCTCATCAACAGGAGCTGCGCCTCTTTTAATCACCTACAAAGATCATCGTCCTAGATGTGCACCCCTAGGCAACGAGGACAAACCTGCTTAATGTTCGCAGGCTTATCTTCTGCTTTAGCATCTTCATCCTCATCTACAGTAGTTTTTGATTTCTTCGCTTTCTTACTCGCGGGTTTCTTGGCAGGAGCATCGTCCTCATCGTCAGAGCTAGGATGAGCGCGTTTAGTTTTGGACTTTGGTTTTGAAACGGTAGTAGCCGTAGCAACTGCATCAGCGGCATTCTTGGCTGCTTTGTTACGTGAGCTGGAGCGAGTAGGAGCAGCAGGTGCGGCACCGTCAGCAGTTTTTTTACGAGGAGGCATATTGAGGGATTTTTGAGGTTCGGCGCTGGCGCTAGGGGCGTATTTATATACGCCAACAATACACGTGTGATCATCATGAGGAATGACTCATGGCGCGTTTCAATCACATGCTCCCGCCCTCGCGCTTCCCGAAGTATTAAGTAAGGAGCCCGACTCGGACCTACGCGCTTCGAAATTCTTTCCTTACTATCCGAGGGGGAAGGGTCTTTTGTGTTCTTCAAGCCAGATAAAATGATTGTAGAATAGTGTGAACTTACTCAATCACTCTGTAACTAGTCCGCATGTAGCTGTATGTAGTTTATAAGTTCACAAGATGTTATTCACCTCAGGCAGTGTCCTAAGGTGTCCTAGTAGTAGTAGGTAGTGGTAAGAGGACTAGGTTTACCTTCCATTGGCCACTGTATTAAGTTGTTACTCATCATCTGTTCGAGCAAAGTTAGTAGATGTCATCACCCACTTTGACGATTGCTGTTGGGGCTGAGAAAATCCAGTCTCCTATATCAGACGTTGTCTTATCAAGGGGATTTCAAATACTTATGAACGCCAGCAATCCAATCATGAATGTTGTTGAGCTCCGAGAGGAACAAGGGATCCGTATAGCACACAGAGATGCGGATGTGATATCGGTGTGATATAGAGTAAAAAAATGACGGCAAGATTTGTCCTCAATTTACCTTTTATATTCATGTTTCGCACAATTCTCATTTTCATTGCCTTTTGCGTTTACATCACCTCTTTGTGCAAGTCACATCTAATCTACCAGCCTCTATCCGAAAACACGACGTGATAATAAAGAGGGTTGTTCCCTGACATTTTCCCGCCTCTTATGTCTGGCCAAAGGTATAAAGAGACCATGGTTGCGTCGGTCCTCCTCGTGTTTCCTCCGCTTTCCATCCTTTCCAATGTCTACACAAAGTTTGTCCCTCGCGTTTTTGTCTCATGCCGCTCTATTCTGATCTTTTGTCGCATTCTAGTCTTCCAGTTTTATACCCCGACAGAGACAGAAGTTAATCGTATTGTAGGATATGATTATATGGCTACAAGCAAAGATCACAATCTCGATGAAAAGTTACCTCCTTCGCATCCAGTATCCACCCAATTTGCACCCATTTTCTCTCCTTCTCTTGAATACCGTGGGCCCGATAGTACATCATCCTTAGAAGTTTCCCGGAAATCATCGGCCCGTCCTTTGGCTCCCAGGAAAGGATCCCCTCGACGTGAAACTCACATTCCTCGACCTCGCAATCCCTTTATGATCTTCCGATCCGAGTATCATGCTCAGTCAAAGATTACCACGGATGTTGAACGCGACCACAGGCACATTAGTCGCATCGTCGGATATCTTTGGAACAACATGTCCGAGGAGGACAAGGCGCCATATCGACTCATGGCAGAGAAGGAAAAGGCCGAGCATCAACGGAAATATCCGGGTTATCGTTTCTGTCCTGGTACTCGCACTTCTAAACCAGTGAAAAGAAATGTCAAGCGGAATGGTCAAACTGACCTCGTTCGAGCTCAGAAGGTCGCGGAACTTCTGAAAGCGGGATTGCAGGGTCACGCTTTAGAATCAGCAGTCAAAGATATAGACTCTGAAAGTTTGGAAGGATCGAGTCCTCCTGCCGAGGATTTCTCTCGGTCGCCTTCTTCCTCTCCTTCTACGCAACCATCTCCTTCTTTACCCGACATACATGGATGGCTACCTAATAAACGGGACCCTGTCCCAGTCAGTCCTGTTTTCCGAAGCCCACTCCTCGCTCCCGCTCCTACTCCGCCTCTAGTATCAACTAGACCTATTAGGCGGTTTGTGGTGAGTTCCTTTTTTTAAAACTTTCTTGTTTACCGTGACTCAAAAAAACGCAAACGGCAGCCGGAACGACCAATTATGGACTCCTTGAGACCCGATCCTCCGTCTATGGTCCCCAACTTCACATATAGCTCACAAAGTAGTCAGCTTCCCCTTTCACACATGATTTCTGCACATCCCGAAGTATATCAACCCCAACTGCACGAGGCCAGCGTTGTACAAGGTTATAATTATGATAGCACCCCCAACCTTTATAACGCCTATCACAACGAGCCCCAATTTATCCAACATCATACTGTCCAGACGCCTTCATACCATGACGCAACTCCGACAACGGAACCATACAGGAATACTGCTTCTCTTTTTCATCCTGATGATGGCTCGTCAAACGTCCCTCTCGACAGCCGATTTCCGTTCCACCAGAGCTTGTTCGCCAGCGCTCAGGACAACTTATTTTCAGGTTTACCCAACGACTATTGGTTGTACCAAGACCCTGCGGGCCAGATTCCTGACCAGACAAATCCCCTCACTTGGGATCCAATGCAGTTCATGGTCAATATGTGATTCCCCACCTCTCCTTTGCTCTTTCTTGTGGTTTTGGTTTTATCCAATTTATCTTCTGCGTTCGCTATTATTCGGGCTCTCTCGAATTTACCGACATAGAACGTAAACTTATTGCTCATATTATGTCACTTATTGCCCAACTGTAGCCATTAGCATTCTCTGTCGTCATATCTACTTTTATTTCTTACACTACTGTCCTACTCACGAACCCGTTATCACCCATAATCACACTGTACATTGAAGATACGCCATTTTCCATTTTATGTACATGATCTAGAAACTCTTATGGGAACTCTTATCGTAAATTCAATCATATCGTGTCTCATCATTCGTCTGACTCCAGCCGCTGTGGCATGTAGTCGTCCTTCAGAGCTTCGCTCTTCGTGCCCCAACATTGTGATTTATTTAGATGAAAGAGAATGACATACGAAGGACAGTTCGAGGAAGTGGAGGGTCTATTACACAATTCCAAGCACGACGGTTGCCCGCAAACTCACTTCATGTCCTACCACCGGCAATTCGCGGTCCATCTGGATCAAAGCTGCCTCGAGACCGCCATCATTATGGCTCCCATTGGTACTGCCATTTCCCTGAAGCCCACCCAACAAGCCACTACTCTTCCAACCCCAGCTTTGCCCCACCTTGAAAATATCTGGCGCGCTGCGAAACCGAGTTTGCGCACTCCCAGTAGGGCTTGCACAATTGACAGAAAAGTACACAGAGACTACTTGCCGAGGATCGGTGTAAGGATATATCGACTTGGAATTCACGACAGCATGAAAAGGTGGGTCGGGCAAAGGCAGGTCTGTGGACGAGGAGGTTGACGCCGGGGGTGCTACAGTGATAGCAGAGGGGACAGATGGAGTCGGTGTAGAGGAAAGTGGGGATGGAGTTGACCGCCCAACTTGCGAAGTGCTCGCAGAAGCGCCTGGTATTCCATAGTCCATGTTTCGTGTAGTCCCGTCTCTTGAGCCAGAACCTTGATGTCTACTTCTTCCAAATGTTGGGAATACAGTGGGTAACGACGAGCTTAGAAAATTATTTCCGCTCAGAAGGGAATTGGCGGAATGAGAAGGAGCTACATTTCGCCATCCGCCTGATCCTCCAGGGGTTCGCGGTCGCGCTGATGAGGAAGAAGGGGAGACCGGAGCCGTCATAGGGTGCAAGGAAGGAGACACTAATGAAGAGCCGCTATTACCTCGGAGACGGGATGTCGATGACGATGTCTGGGTAGCTGAGGCAGAAGAAGACGTGGCTTGGGGTGCAGATGCATATGGCGTGAGTGGAGTAAATGCAGGGCCTCTTGGGGAGGGACTTGAGGGCGAAGAAATCAATATTTGCTGAGACCTTTGCACTTGAAGGGTGGATGATGTCACAGGTGAATTCGGACTAGTTGGAGAGTATGTGGAGGAGGAGGGAGAGGATAAAGAGGGGTTATAGTGATCTTTGATTGACTGGCGAGAATCACTGAACGGGTCTGGTGCGCTGAACGGCGGGGTGTTTTCGGTAGGGGATTGTCTGTGCAAATAGACACCTAGTTGATAGTTAGGGAGTAATCCACTTCCTGGCGAACGATATGTTTGCACGTCTTTAGGCGACTCAAGAACGTTTGCTGAGTTTTTGTCCTTTCGTTGGACGACCTGAACATAAACGTTCCACAGACTACCTGCGTACCAAACCGTCCTCGAATGGATACGGTCCTTTTCCTTCAGCATTTCTAAATTAAAAAATTCGACACTGAACCGAAGAGGCGGGTGCGTAGAGAGCAGTTGTGATGGAGGCAGCTGGAAAGGGGATGGGGAATGATGAAGAAAGGGAGCGGGAGAGGAAATGAATGAGAACGAATGATCGTTTGCGTGAGTTGCATAGCAAATGGTGTCTCGTAGCCCAAAGAAGGTTCGTTCATTCGAGGTTTTTGCAATGGGCGCCGTCTTCTCTTGTTCCAATTGCTCTCCAGTTTGATTATCGGACGAAGCAGCAGTGTCGCCCAGCGTGGCGGATCCCCTCTGCATTCCTTTCCTTTCCCGAGAAGAGTGCTCTCGGTGAAGGGAACTTTTGCCAAAGCTACTTGCAAATAACTCATCCATCGTGATGTTATTATGAATGTTTCCCTCCACATTTATACCGCTAAATGTGGTTATGGTATCCCCAATTCGCAAAGATTCATTGGCAGGGATGGTGAAGTACGGTTTGACGCGATTGAGCGAATTATCTGTAGCTGAAGTTGATGAAATACTAGAGACGGGTTTCGCAAACCCTAGTTTGTCTACAGGGTATAGCGCCTTGTGCGATGAAGTATTTTGATTACCCCTTATTATGGTATGCTTCACTAGTTCTGCCTCCCAAACTGCCTGTTGTAACGTTTGAAGGTCAACATACGGACGTCCGGTGGAAGGTGAGATATCTCGAGAGATATCGATTACGGCCTCGGTAGACTGTGGGATAATGAAACAGGACCTTTGATAAGATAATTGAAGTATCCTCACCATGTTCGTATAATATATACCAGTACTGAAGAATGTGTCCCATTGCTTATCCTCATTACTGCACTCATTCTGCCAAGTATCAGACCATTGTTTCCATTCGTCACTAATTGCAGTCTCTGAATGGTCTGAAAGTCCATCTTGGTAATCCTCGTCATTAGAATCCAGTGGGGTCAACTGGCGTCCTTTGCCCTTTAATCGTGATTGCCGTGCATGCCTCTCGTTTTCCTCATCGATTTCCATCTGCCTTTTCCGTAATTGTCTGACCTTGGTCCTGACAGCCCTTCTCAACTCCACTACACCTTTCGCAAATGCATACCTCTCTTCCTCGGGGCTACCCGGTGTTGTGGCAGGTAGTGGATTGCGTGAAGAAGATGTATCAAAGGTGGACTGCGCAGAAATCGAAGAGGTTATAGAAAGTGAGTCATAGAGTGAAGGTGCGGGTACGAAGAAGCTATCGCTAGATATAAGGGCATGAATCCATGTGAGAGACAACCCCTCATATCCTGCTCCTACTGCAGTTGCAGTGAAGAATTTCGGAATCGACTTGACATTGGATTGAGACCATTTTGGAGTCCACGCGGAGGATGTGGAATGACTGGGCCTGTGTGAATCTGTATCTAAGGTCAACGGCACACCTTCAAAGCCACTCTCCTCCACGGTCCATGAATCCAAGCTTGCGTTTGGGTCGTCCAACCAGTCTGATACTATCTTCTTTTCTTCCACAAACATATCTGCTCCCCATCTTGCCAACCAGCAAGCGCATGCTTCTCCAATCTTGTCCGAAATTGAACCATAATAAAACTGTGTGGAAGGCACTGCGTTATCCAGCTTGGACCGAGGAAGGTAGTTTCTGTTGCGCGCTGCTTGCGAGAAAGGGAGGGAGAGGTATTCATCACTCGTAGAACGAAGGGAATTGGGGGAACTGGGAGAGTCAACGATAAGCGGTGAGTATCGTTCATGATAGGTTTCAGAGGGTTGCCCACTGCGATTTTCAACAGGAAAGGATGTAGACATGTCCAGGTCTGAATATTCTGATCCATGCTCTCCCTCTTCCAAATCTTTAGCTAGGCCTTCCAATCCCACCGCGGGACGGTCTGCATTCTTAAGTTTGGTCATTCCAAGAGCAAAGTCCAAATAGTACCCAACGGTTCTCGGCCCTATGGTTCTAAGCATCCCCGTCAATGCTTCTGATGCAAGACTTGGAATTGACAGATATAGGGAAGTAGCAAGCAGACTTATGAGAAATTCAGGGGTAGCGGGCTGGCATCCAGGAGTATACGGAAGCAAAGATGACGAAGGAAGAACAGACGGATAGGGGAAACCAGACGTCAAAGGATGTGTAGAGATTGGTACAAGCGATGGATGAATGTATAATGGTGGTCCACCACCGTAGAGTCGGGATATAGACAGTCTTTGGAGTGATTTATCAGTATATGACTATACATCTGGACATTAACATACTCAAAGGCAGCTCTCGAGATATTTCGGTCATCCAACACCACATCAAGTATATCTTCACCAGTGCTTGAGTTTGTGATAGAACTAGCAACCCTCGTGTCAGATTTCCGACCTGTTGTCCGCAGCTTTACTGAGCTTTCGACGAAGCCACCAGTGAATAAATCTCTCCAGAACCCTGCCTGAATAAGGACGACTCGGTGTAATCTGTATGTAGCACTGAATGCTCCTGAAATGCGTATGCAGACATCGGAGGTTTGGCCGCTCAAAAAAGAATTGTATAAGTGAGATTGGATGACGGAAGAGTTCATGCAGAAATCAAAGATGGAAATTGGTTATTAACCCAACGCCCGCCCAAGCACTGAATCAGCAAATCTCCAGAAACGCAAGACACGCCGTTGCACAGCAAGTGCCAAGAACAAGCTTGTCATATAACTGATCCACCACTATGTTAGCACTTGGACAAAAAATATTTTAGCCACTCATGAGTCATAAGCCGTTTGACGCGTCAGATATGTGTCACATGACTAAATCAGGCGTCAAAACCTTGAACGACCTTCCGCCGTCCGGTTCATCCACAACCACGATTCAATTTTCACGATTCATTCCAGTCGAGCTCGCAAAGCTTTTTTTGACACAATTATCTTCTATCGTGAGCACTCACGGATGTCCTTAGAGTCGCGCTAATACACCTGTACTAGTAGCCCGATCCCTCTCGATTTTCATAAACATAGACAAACGGATCTCTTCCCCAATTACTTTTTCAAAGAAATGCCCCCAAACCCAGGAGCCCGGACACGGAATCGCTCTTCTTCAAATTCTTACGTTAAACCTGAAGGTCCAAAGACTTGGAATCAGTATCATACACCCCTTGTTCACCATGTCTCCGCAGTGCACCAACCCGCGACAATGAGCACTCCTCCTTTGCGACCAGCCTCAGCCACCCAAAACGGAGCCGGAATGTCCGCAGCCTCTCGCTATACTCACAATCTCAAAGTCCTTCGACGTCGCGACCCGTCTATTCTTCGAATCTTTGATCAATTCTCTCATGTGTGCGTTTACCACCACAATGGTGAACACTGGGAGAAGAAAGGATTTGAAGGATCCATGTTTCTCTACGAACGGGCAGACTATCCGCCTTACGGATTTTATATTCTAAATCGTATGGGTATGGAAGACTACATTCAAAGACTGTGGCCGGAGGATAGCATGAGTGTTACCGGGAGCTATTTAATGTTGAGGACTTGGCCCGAATGGAGCCGGCAAAGGATTAGTGGCATCGAGGCTTCGAACAACGGAGTAGAGCTCCACCCTTTCGACGAGCGGTACAAGTGGGACGAAATAACCCGTCCTAACGAAACGGAAAATTGTCAAACAATAGGTCTATGGATGTTCGCCACAGATTCGAGAGAGCCTTTGATTACTGTGATGTTAAGGTGCGTGCAAACATTCATAACCATCTTCACCCATTTTCACACTTTCTAGGTTGCATGGGTTCATCAAACAGAATTTACCTTACCCCGAAGAGTTTCGTTACGGCCCAGATAAACCGCCACCTCCTAACCCCAATCCCCCTTCGGTAAATGGAATTTTTCATCGCACTGCTTCTGCTGCTTCAAACGGGAGCGGGGTCAGTACAACTAGTTCCTCTCATACAGATAGCGCCAGTACAAGCTCGCAACCACGTTCGCAACGACATTCTCCAAACGTTGCGTACGTTAATCCATTGCTCTACCAAGCTTCTGATTCGGTATCAACCACGGCCGCCAACCCGAAACCTTTAAAATCAGTCGTTGAACCCCCTCAGGCTAAAGCCAAGAACAGAAAGCGTAAAGGGAAGGGAGAAAAGGTCCTGTCCGAAAGTGGAGATGTGACTCCAATGGCAGGTAGTTCAAACCAAGTTTCCGATCTTAACATGTTATTTGCCAAACTGGTTCAACCACCGACTTCTGGGGCGGAAGCAAGCTCAGAGGTTAGGTCAAGTTTGGCGTCGTCCAAAAAACGCGTCCCTTCGTTTCTGGAGACTCTGATGGGTTCTCCAGAACCCACCGCGATTCCTGCTACGAAGACTGCCTCCCATCAACCACCCGCCAACGAGCCCAAATCAACGAAAATCACTCTCGAGGGCTTATTTGCTTCCGCATTAAATCCGACCAGCGATAATACAGCATATGATCCCCAAAAGAACCAATACAAGCCAGAGAGCTACATATGGGACCATCGTCAGCAATCGTTCCCAGATGTTGACAATTCTATGACGCTTGCTACAACCCAGACCAGCGGAGTTCCACTTCGTCAGATTGTTTCAACTTCGGAAAACACGGGAATGGCGTTGCTTAACGATATCTTTGCTTCAGCTTCCGCGACAGGGCTTACATCGTCTATCATCGCACCATCCGATCCAATCTCGTTCCAAAATAATGCCTCCTCCGCATCTAATCAGTCTACCTCTCCCCTCCCAACAAATACAAGCAAACACGCCGACGAGCCGGAGACCATTGAGATATATTCTCCTCGACCGAAGGCTCCGCTCAGTCTGGCTTCCATGTTTGACGCCGCCGTCCGCGATGCCACTCCTTCTCCATCCACCGAGCTTGGCCTTGGTCTAAGTTTGGATGGTATTCAGGAGAATGTAAGGCAGGGGAACCAGATGATGCTGACAACGCAAGTCCTGAACACCTTGCTAGGAACAGGCGGGTCGATGGATTTAAGCACGCAGGATTATAGGTCGAACGGACACGTGATCGCAGAAGCGGATACCAATTCATACGCTACCGCGGAGGTGAATGCCGAGCCAGAGGAAATTAGAAGAAAGTTGCTGGATATGATAGGCTTAGGAACGGCATCTCTCCCTCATCCTCCAGCAACAAACGGCGATGCAACGCCTCGTGTCCTGCTCAAATATATCCCAACACTCTCATCGAACTCTCTTCCTACATCGGCGGAATTCCTCAAACAACCTACGCAAACCGCCGATGTCTCCTTTGCAGAGACAGACTATGCGTTTAATGAAGGCGATGATGATGACGAGGCTATCGTCGAGCTCGATTTCTCGGATACCCGAGCTTTGTCTGACCTCCGCGCCTTTGAAAATAGAGAGCGAGCGCTCCGGGAGCAGCTTGTTGAGCGGAGGGCGGCCAGTCGAAGTGCAAGCAGATCAACTACTCCTGCTGTAATCAATCATGGACCGATCCCAAACAAAGCGAAAATCAACCTCAGAGGACCTGATGTCAATGGAGTGGACTTGAAGACCGAGGCCCATGACTTTGCTTTAAATGGCGAAAACCGTTATGCTCCATACGCATCATCTCCGTCCACTGCTCTACCGTCTACTTTGCCACAGATTACTTCTTCCAAAGTAACCCTTCATCCTGTGACTCCCGCAGAAATGCCACGAAAGATCTCGGCACCGATTGCTGACACACCCGTTACACCTCCTGTGCCAACTACTATAGCTCAAAAGACACCAACTGGATCCCCTTCTAAGAAGAAAACTCGCCGTGGCCGAGGGAGAGGGAAAGAAAAGGAGCGAGAAAGTAGACAAGGATCTCCCGTTCCCAATATACAAAGTGAATCTATTTCGCATGCCATGGGAAGTGTAACATCTGAGGATATCGACGGTCAACCAGATGTCGAAACGAAGGGGATGGCGATGGAGGAGTTATCAGTACCCTCTTCATCATCCCACAATCACGACTTACTCATAGATTCGGAGGTGTCTTCGCAAATAAATGCTTCTTTATCATTTGTGCTTTCGGGAAAAGATAAATATCAGGTAAATAATAGAGACGAGTTGGCGGAACTTGCGACGAGGCTACTTCAGGTTCGTTCTCATTTTTCTATATCTTATTTCATTTTCAAAACTAGGCTTCAGACGGACCGAAATTTTGTGGATGAGTTGTGGCGGGCTTGGAAAGGCTCAAATGAGAAGTTTGCTACTATCTCTGAAGGGAACATTTCAACGGTCATAGCAAGTATGACTTCCCCCGTTGAGGCTTTCGACACCAGTACAGAAAATGGAGATCAAAAATCGGAATCCCCTTATCCAACTTTACCTCATATAGCGCTCACCCACAGCGCACCAGCAAAATTACCGACGTTGATTGATGGTTCAAGTAGCGTACTATTTGACGCCGTCCGCCCAGTATCCCCACAGTCAAATTTTCAGCATACCCTCTCTGGATTACCTAGCCCAGCTATCATCAATAATGGGAAGGTTATAGAAGCCGAAAGGCAATGTGATTCCGCAATCATAGAAGAGGAAAATTCCCCGGACACGGTGGACTTTGGGGACGCAGACGAGAGCCATGTCGTTGAGAGATTGCTTTGATTTTTAGTCTGCTTTATTCATTCCACTTTTCTATCGCAGGACCGACTTACACAACAATGCTTTGTTTGCCTAATGCATATATCGTTCGCTATCTAGTTGTTGCCTCATTTACGTTCTGTTCTGCATTTGAATAATTGTACCTACTGTCTCACATATCAATGGTTGTATCACTTCTGATCTGTATCGTCCTTTTCATGTATCATTTTTTTCTTGGAGGTTTTGTACATGTACTTCTACCCTCTACGCTCGTGGGGGCATACATATGTGCGGCTCGGTTCCTTCCTCTTCTTTCGCTTGTCATCGGGAGACTTGTGCCTATTCCCGAACATCGATTTTAGATCGTAGACCTCAGATAGCTGGGGTCTAAGGCCCAATACTGACTTGATTCAAACTCAGAGCGACTTGGTGGATTGCTGCGTACACATGTAGACCCATGTACCCCGATTTGATTGATCAATCTAAGGCGAGTCTATTGAATGGTCGTTATCTTTGTCGTATTGAATGCTTACTTATCAGTAGTGTACTGGCCTTATAAGTCCCTGGAACATATCTATGGATCTTTTAAATCCCTTTCTGCCTCTTGTCCAATGGTCGCAAATTGGTTGAATCCCAATGCTTGGGCTTTAGAGCCTGAACAATCCACTTTTGCGCCTACTTCACGATGGAGCAACAAGGATATGGATCCCGTGCCAGTGCACTTGAGGACATGGGCTACCTGGAACTACGTAGCATACTGGGTGAGAGATATTATAGTTATTATCTGCTCCTGTTTCTCTTACACTCTTTGACTAGATTTCAGATGCGGCTAATCTCCCTGTACGGTCAACCGGGTGGCAAAACAGAAGGAAAATGGGTGACTAACTGTGCTCATTCTAGGCCTGGGAGCTAGCATCTTCGATGTTGGCGGTTGGCTTAAACTGGTTAGCCATCCGTTCGCCCTTGACCTGTCTTCAGAACCGATAAGCTGTACAGGCGCCAAGCTCTTGCTGCTATTGCAGTTGGACATACAATAATCGCTGTAGTGATGGTATTAAACGGAACTATCGGTGCTCGTCTACACGTTGTATGTCTCTCTTTGCTAAATATACATCTCATTCCTGAACCGGTCTCGCCTTCGTCCGATCTTCAGGGATTTCCTGTTCTAAACCGGTCAAGTTTTGGTTTCTGGTTCAGCTACTTCAGCGTTTTAAGTCGTGTCATTCTTGCGCTCTTTTGGTTTGGTATCCAGGTATGTGCTGAGGATATACGACCAAATGCTAACTCTTCGTCTCATTTCTTTCCAGACTTATAGTGGATCTGAATGTGTAAACCAGATGATCCAAGCAATATGGCCATCAGCTGTACGCATTCCTAATCATCTTTCACCAAGCTCCGGGATCACCACAAGAGGTAGGTGCTTCTGCATAGAAAAACCGTGCAGGTCTGTTTATTCCTTATCAGGCATGATGTGTTACTTCATTTATTGGATTATCCAATTTCCGATAATGTTGATATCTCCTCAAAAAATCCGATATTTCTTGTAAGTTTGGATGCTTCATGAGTTCCCTGTTCCTTGAACCCCCCCAAGCTTGTTCAAAGCCATGATTGTTCCTGCTGCATGGATTGCGATCCTTATTTGGGCCATGGTCAAAGTCCCACCCAGCATCTCCCTCGCTAACCAGCAATCCACCGTGAGCGGCAGCGCTTTGGTTTGGGCTTGGTTCAGCTCTATGAATAGCGCATTAGGGAACTACGCCACTCTTGCAGTTAATATTCCTGACTTCACGGTAAGTACTATGGCTTGTTGGTATCTGCAAAACCTACACTGTGCCGTATCTCCTCTTTCCAAATCTGAACTTGAGCGTACTCTACTTGTAGCGGTATGCTAAGAACGAACGCGCGTAAGTGCAATGTATATGGACTAGACCATTCGCTAAAGAAAGTGTCAATGCAGTCAATATATACAAGCCATCCTGATCCCGACGTTGTTTACACTAACAGGTTTCGTTGGTAAGCACACAATGGCTTACGGACATCTCAATCAAGCGTTATATGTACTCACCTTGTGCAAATAAACAGGTATTGCGGTGACATCGGCCGGTAAGTGCAAAAAGCATCTATGTAGACTACATTTTTATGTACGAGTAACAGGAAAGGTACTCTACGGCCAGACTTTATGGGACGCGAGTAGAATCCTGTTTTTTTGACTTCCTTTGAATAACCTATGCTGCATCATTTGCAGCCGACTACACTCATTGCCAACTGGAACCGCGCCCCAAAATTCTTCGCCGCACTGTCGTACCTCATTGCCACTCTCGGGACAAATATTAGTGCCAATAGTCTGAGCGCCGCTAACGACATGATGGTCTTGTTCCCGAGATACATCAACATCCGCAGAGGTCAGATTATATGCGCCATCTTGGGTGGTTGGGCTCTAGCACCATGGGAGATTCTCGCCAGTGCACCTGGCTTCTTAAACTTTATGAGTGGATACACAATCTTCTTAGGTCCGTTTGCAGGAATGTGAGTTCGTCTTCTCTGATGAGGCATCACCTTGACTCAAATTTTTGCAGAATGGTAGCAGACGTAAACTTCATTGTATCCTCATCGCGGCCGTCCAATCTAAATGGTTTTCATTGTAGTATTGGCTCGTACACAAATGTAAGGTAGATGTACCTGCTATGTATGACCATAAAGGTCGCTACCAGTACTGGAATGGTTTGGTAAGTTTAGCTCTCTATTAAAGTTGGGCTTGCTCTTCTCATCATGATCCACAACCGCAGAACTGGCGCGTTGCGGTAGCCCTTCTATTCTCTGTATTTCCTAGCTTTCCGGGCCTCATCAGCAGTATCAATCCTAATATCAAGGTCGGTAACTCGATACACATATTTGACATCGCGTGGCTCTATGGGGTAAGATACTTCTAATTTCGAGCTGAATTCCTTGTTGATAATGACTTGCGACTAGTTTTTCACTGCTGGTTTCCTTCATTGGTCATTGTCGATGTTATTCCCAGCACATGAGACCTTCATGGATGCGGCGGTGCTCGAGGTCTACGAGCCTGAGAAGGATACTGACTCCAGCTTGTAATACCTGCACTTCTGTAAACAGCAAAAGCCTTGAGATAGTATAGACCATACTGTAATGCTATCTAAAGAATGCTAGTATTGTACTAGTACTTGGAGTCCAGTACTCCTCTACTCTGCTGAGCCGGATCGGATTCAGTTGTCTGTAGATTTGCAATGAGATAGACTACTGATTTAAGAGTGAGGTGACTGCCACACAGTGTGTTTTGTCGAGGATGCAAGGATATTTCAGAAACCACAAGAGTCTTTGGAGAACTACTAACACTTCAAGATACCAGTAATCATTTATCCCAAACGGGCTTTGTTTGGGCCACCCCGTGTCAGCAGTCTCGACAACTGGCTTCCGAATGCGTTTGTTAATAAAGACCTGCGGCTGGCGAACGCCGCGACGAGAATAAATTCAAGGGCGAATACATACATTAATAGAATCACCCAGAATCACCCGCGACTAGTCTCACAGGAGGCTTCAGGAGTTCATGATCACTGGCTTGACTTGAGTTCGAATCTTACTACAGCCTACCAGCAGCCTACCTACGATTGCAAAAGTCATTGAACAGATATCATGATCAGGCCTGATCAAGCTCGATGGGCCTCATAGTAGCTTGGCTATCATTGTATGCGCGGCTTGCGGCCTGTGCTGAGTTGAATTATTATTACTGCTGTGATTCAAATTGGGTCATCATAGCAACTCGCTGATCCATTGATCCTATGGTCAGCGCTGTCAGCCAGGCAGGACCACTTTAAATTGTTTTCCATTCCTTTTTCTTTCTTGATCACAGAAATCGCCGCAGAGTGCCAAGGCAGGGAAACTTGGCCTCTCTACACCTATCCAAGCCCATTCGTTCTTGTCACTATCCGGGCGGTCTTTCTATGTCATTTGTTCTTAAACTTTATGCGCTGGCCGTTGTGTTCTTGCTTTCTGTAGTGGACTTAACGTCTGGTAAGCAACGCTTATTGGAGAGCATAATCCTTGTGTTTGACAATTTTACCAGCTTCTAGCAAGCGCGCCGGTCGGTTAAAGCGTCTAGCCCATCCTTCTACTCTATCTCTTGAAATCCTACCACGACACCAGCATTATTCTTCGCCTATACCATTAAGTTCCTACGACAAACGACAGCTACTCACTCCCCACTCACACACTCTGCACTATAGTGATTCGTTTCGCTTGATTATTTTTGCCTTTGATGAGGCCTTCCATCTTCATTTGCGGCCCAATGACCACCTTGTACATCCGGCAGCCAGGATCACATATCATACCGTTGATTCTGAGGGACGTTCGTCGGTCACACACACAGAGCCTCTCCTCCGCGAGAGCGTCAGGGCGTACTGGGGAGAGGTTATCGACGGAGATGAATCAAACGCAAGACTTAGAGAGGATGCCGCTGGTGTTTTGCCGCGCCCTTCTCGCTCCCCGTCCGAACTGGGCTGGGCACGAATCATGGTTCACCACGAGGGCAACTTAGAGGAAGGTGTCGCACCCGTATATGAAGGCGCTTTCTCTTACAAAGGAGTTGTCCACCATATCATGACCAAAGATAATTATGTTCGCAACAAGCACCATCTTGATCCTGAAATTCTAGTCGACACGGTTGATTCAAACCTGGTTGTCTGGCGTGACTCTGATCTCACACCACATGAAGAAGATCGGTTTTCTCCTGCAATGTGTGGGCATGACGACCTTCTGTTCAATACAGATCCGGCTTTAAACCCCGTACTGCGGAAACCTTTCACTGAACAGTCTATCTCACTCGGTCCTTTTGGCAACATCTCCTTGTCCCGCAGAGACGATGTTGCCGGAAGCGGTTCTTCATACAAGTTTGTTATTCTACCACTGATTCCCGAATAGTTGTTCTAACCTTATCACAGCTTTGAGGGTACTATCGGAAACACCGCAGGTTGTCCGACCACCCAGAAACTGGTGAGCATCACATGTATCTTCATATCATATCACTTACCACTTTTCGTTAGCTTTACATGGGTGTTGCCGCGGACTGTAAATATGTCTCAAACTACGGCGGAAGTATGAATGCAACAACCCAGATTCTCATGAACTGGAATTCGGCGAGTGCTCTCTATAAGAGCACTTTCAATGTCAGTCTTGGAATTGTTGAAGTTCAAGTTCAAAATGAAACGTACGTGTCGAACTCAATAATAGTATACTTAAAACTCCAACTTTCAGGTTTCAGGTGCCCAACCACTGCCGATCCCACTATTCCGTGGAATGTCGACTGTTCCAATGTTGATCTGAACAACCGGCTCTCACTTTTCTCCGACTGGAGGGGACAAAGGGGAAACGATAGTATCGGACTGTGGCATCTCATGTTTGTTGCAATTCCTTCTTCATGTAGAATGATGGTCTAACTGGACTTACTCTAGGAGCGGCTGTCCCACTGGAACCGAAGTTGGTATAGCTTGGCTCGGTACATTGTCTGTTTTTCACTTCGCTAGTTGGGCGCGTACTTCCGACTAAGCATAGCTACTATGTACAGATGCCAAACGGATGCCTCCGGTACTACTGGCTCTATTTCCTCTGGTACTGGCGTTTCCACCAATGGTTTAACGGAATGGCAGGTTGTCGCGCATGAGGTTCGTCTTTCCGTCCAGCAAATGTTATTCAAAGGCTCAAATAAGTAAGGTATCAGATTGGACATAATTTCGGTGCCATTGTGAGTGTTCTGATCTACCTTATTCAGCCATACTGACGGCGGCGTTCAGCACGACTGCACTGATGGTTGTAATTCGACCACTGTTTGTTGTCCTCTGAGTTCCTCAACTTGTAACGCCGGCTCGCAGTTTATCATGAACCCCGTATCAGCGGTTGGTCTTTTTAATCGCGTTGATTGAATTTTCACTCATTATTGTGCCAGTCAAGCGAAAAAACCTTCAGTCTTTGCAGTCTCGGTAATATTTGTAAGTTGCGAGTTATTTATTCCTCATCAGCTCCCTCTGCTGACTATTCACTACAGGCTCCCTAATGAGTGGCACTAGTTCCGGCGGCAAGACCGATGCTTCGTGCCTGGTAGATGCGTCCTCCAATACTCGTTCGCTTCTTTCTCTTCAGATGTGTGGAAATGGAATTGTCGAGGACGGCGAAGATTGTGCGCCTCTCTTTCCCGTTGTAATGTTCAAATGTTCAAATTAATCCTCAGGTGATCCTGGTAATGGTGTAACATCCTCATGCTGTGATTCTTCGACTTGTAAATTCACAAGCGGTTCTCAATGCGACCCTTCTTCCAGCGCGTGTTGTACATCTCAGGTAAGCTACCGTCTATCGGGCCTTTAATCACGCATCCTCATATATTTTCTAGTGTAGTTTTTCTCCTTCTACCCAAGTCTGTAGGCCTTCAAAGAATGCTACTTGTGATCCAGCGGAGTTTTGTACTGGGTCTTCATCAGCTTGTCCTGCAGATGTCGTCGCGTCTAATGGTATGTCGTGCGGGTCGAATGGGCTAGCTTGCGCTTCTGGTCAATGCACTTCCGTATCGCTACAATGCCAAAGTGTCGGCGCCAGTATGGGACTTACTACCGGCTGCTCCAACCACCAGAATACATGTCAAATTACCTGCCAGGACCCTAATAACTCCAACTCGTGTATTCAACTGGCATCACTCTTGGTTGATGGATCACCGTGTGGTATGTATCGTATATTTCTTTGGCATTTTTTGTAATCTGATTTCCTCCAGGATACGGAGGCACTTGTTCGTCTGGAGCCTGTCGGCCGGGTAGTATTCTTGACATTGTCAAGGTAGTCATTCGCACTTGTGTTCCTGTACCTTTCTACTCACTGGCGTGTCTTCAGGCCTGGTACTCTGCTAATCTGCAGATCGCCATTCCAGTGACTGTGGTTGGTGGAATTGTGATACTCCTGCTTCTATATGTCTCAATCACTGGTGAGTATCATGTAATCCACACAAAATCCTGATGAATAATGTCTTTTCAATCCAGCATGCAGACGTTGTTATATTCGTCGTAAATTCCGTAACTCGCCTGCGAGTAAAACTTCACAGCCCTCAATGCGTCACCAAAGACTTTCTAGCAACAATTCGTGAGCAGCTATCTGGATTCTTGTTCCGTCTTTTCCTTAATAGTCATATCATAGTGCTTCTACTGCTCTCAGGGTTCCTTCGGTGCGAGGGCCACCGCCGATTGATAGAGAAAACGCATGGCGACCCATTAATCGTGCTTCAGGCAACCGTTCAACGTGGGTAGACCCGACTCAGTATAACGGGCATCTTGATAGATAGATCAACCACTACATATCACTTTTTGTACCCATCACAACTACATTTGAAGACTGATATCAACCATTTTATTGCGGAATGTTTTATTTACAAGTTGATTGAAACCTTGAATATGTGGATCGCAATCGCACAACAAGGGTTATTCATTATCATATATATAGGATTCAAAAATAAGTACATGTATTGGATACAGATCTGCAGACATGGTTATTGAGCAAGATGCAGGTGAACATGTAGAAAATAGACATAGGCTTAGCAAAGCAACGACTGTTCAAATGTTCAACATTCAATCTATCGACTCAACAAAAAAAGACAACAGCAAACCATGAATCGATGATCAAATTTCAAGCAGGCTCTTTCTTCTCAGCCCCACTTGATGCGGGTGAGGGGGTATGCTTTGGGGGGGATCTGCTAGGTATTTCAGCCAACTTTGAGCGCGGCGGTGACAAGGAAGGACGAGAATCGACCTGCATGCGATCACGATCTCTATCCCTCTCGCGTTCATCATTACCAGCACCAGGAGACGGTGCACTTGAGGTGGGGGACAAGGTCGCAATTGGAGGGAGAGCTATTGAAGCGCTGCTGATCGGTTGAGTGATTCCAACGCCGGCGCCGGCGCCGATAGGACGAGGATGTGGAGGTAGGACCGCAGGAAGAGGGGGAGATGGAGGATAGGCCTCATGTCTAACCGAGTCGGGCGAGTGTGAAGTCGGTTGAGTACGGAAAGGAATAGGCGAAGGTCGAGTTGATGGAACGGGAGTTCGTCTTCCATTAGAAGGAGAGGAAGCTCTTCGCTTGACGCTATCTATACGAGAACGTTTGTTATCATTGCTATCATCCGGCACTGGACTCAGAGCTCTTTTCATAGGCTGAGGAGGAGGAGACATATGACTTCTGTTCGATGAGATAGAATCACGATGTGATACTGATGGCCGGGAGTCGCTGTGTCTGCTTCCAGAAGATATTGTGGGAGAATGGGAGTGCGATTCCGAAGAACCTTCAGCGGGAGGAGGTCTGTAAGCAGCCAAGCCCATGAGGGCATCGGCAACACCCTCATCATAATCTTCATCAACAACACGAGACGGAGGACGGGGTGTCATTGCACTCGTGGGAGAGGGCCGATTGGACGAACCAGAGCCGTTGGAACTGGTAGGGCCTGGAGATCCACCCTTTGAGTACCCCGATGTACTCTTGTATCCACCTGGACCAGAGCCAGTCGAGTATCCTTTCGAAAATTCATCATCCTTCCTCTTCGACGAGGTTCGTTTTTTCTTTTCCTTGTCCTTCTTTGCGCTATTATCTAGTGGTGTAGGAGTGGGAGTAGGCTCAGGTTCTCGAGAAGCAGGTGCTCGTCGACGCTTCTCCTTGTCGTTCGCTGGGTGAGGACTTTCAGAGCTGCGAACGACAGGAGGCAACGCAGCAACTCTCGAGGACGGGTGCCCAGCTGTTCGAACATCGGGTTCTCGTGTAGGATCAAATCTACCCCGAGGAATGAGACGATCCTGATCGTGAGAGCCGGGAGGGGGGGAATTGGCAGTACCGGGATACGACGTCTTACCGTTTCCCACACTATCCCAGTATCGCGAAGGAGGACGCGATGACCGGGGAGATGGTTCGGGAGGACTGTTACCGCGATGGGAATGATGTCCCGGAGAGCGCGGTGGGTAAAACGGAGAGGGTTGGGGATAATCATTGCTGTGCCTTGCAGACCGACGATCTGGACCGGGCTCCCAGTGTTCACCGGGACGCCGGTCCCAAGAGCTTTCGTGCTCGGATCTACCCGGTGGCTGTGAAGGGTACGTACGAGGTGAACGAGTAGGCATGGGTTGGCCTGGACCAACGGTGCGGGTTGGAGGTGGAAAGTTTGAATATGGGGGTGGAGGTGGCGGAGATGGCCGAGTTCGGACAGAAGGAAGAGGCGGGGAAGAGGATCGAGAGGAAGGAGCACGATGACGAGGGAAATAATCTGCGTGCGGTGGGCGAGCTCGAACGTCATCAGCAGGGCTTTGATTTGGAGGATGATGAAGGAGGAGAGCACCAGGAGCACCAGCACGAGAACCGCTTTCACGACTGGGGAGAAAATCTCTGCCATGGCCATCCAGTTCCATTGGGGCTAAAGGTGTGTGCAACGACGTGTGACGACTTTCGTCAATATTGACAGGAGGAGGAGGACCGCCACGGAATGGACCTGGAGGAGATCGCGTGGAAAGTCCTTGTGACGGTGGAGGAAGAGAAATTTCATTAGGGGTATTCCTTGACTCTAACCTAAATGAGGTTCGCTGATTGGGAGGCTGAAGTAGTAAAGGTGGACCAGTAAGGCCTGGTGGCGGAACAACTGCACTGGCGTAGGCTGTCGGATGCACATCCTGAGGTCCTGGGGCAGCAGGCAGTTGACCTCCAGTAGCCTGTGCAGTCTTGAGTAGCTGTAGTCTATTTGAAATCACAACGTTGCCGGGATCAAGTTCGCTGGCTCGGGCGTAAGCGTCGATGGCGTCAGAGATTTGATTGTTACAACTCTCGTACAAGCTACCGAGATCGAACCAGACTTCGGATATGTAGGGGTTAATGCGGATGGCTCGGGAATAAGCGTCGAGTGCGTCACGAAATTGATTGATCTGGAAATACAGTACACCGATGGAACACCAGAAGGTGGGATTCCTGCCGTCGCGATAGACTGCTTGCTGATAAGCTTCATAAGCCTTGTTGTACTTTTGACCAGCCATATACGCTCGACCTAGAAGATACCAACTTTGGGCATCAGAAGAGTCTAAAAGGTGAGCAGTAAGAACTAATGCCTGGAAGAAGCGACGAGGAAACGAAAACGACTCACCGGCTTCGAGACTCTTGGTTAAGTATTGTATGGCAAGCTCTTGGTTCTGGAAGCTTGAACCATCTTGGTGATAGAGCCAACCAAGCTGTTGAAGAACCTTTGCATGAACAGGGTTATCGGCCACGACTCGTTCATACGCATCCTTGGCTTGTACGTGCTATGATGAATATATGTCAGAGATAATGCCATCTCAGCGCGAAACAAACTCACATCTTTCTGCTGCTCATACACATGGCCGATCTGGAACCATATGTCGGCATGTGCGAGCGGGCTGGGGGGATTGCGGAGGATACGATCGAAGCAGGCCAGCGAATCATCATACTTGCCTTGTTGCTTGTAGATGATGCCAAGTCGGAAGAGAATTTCATTGGCCTTGTCAAAATCTAAGTCTTCCATCATTAATAATAAAGCGGCTGTTACATAGGTACACAATATGAACTAACCTTTGTCCATTGCAAGGACGGAAGAAAAAGCTTCTTCGGCATGGTCGAGGGAACCATATCGGTCATAAAGAATTCCTATTCCATACCAAAGTTTAGGATCTTCCTTTGGGTTAGGAAGGAGATAAAGAGCCTGCTGATATGCAGCATATGCTTTTTGAAGGTCATCTTGCATGAGATAACAATGACCAAGGGCGCTCCAGACTTCGCCGTTGTCTTCCTGGAGACTGAGAACTCGCTGGAAAAACTCGATAGCCTGACATAAGAAAGAAGTGATCGGATCGAAGATTTTGGAATGAGTAAATAGGAGCAAAGAAAGCCGGCGGTTTCAGGGACCCGCGGAAAGAGAAAGTTTACCTTGGGATAATTCTCCTTGATCCGAGCAATGCCAGCAACCTGTGTAAGTCCCGAAAGCGACATCGGGTTATGCCGCAAAGCATTTTCATAGGCGGAAAGTGCATGCTCGAGATCACCCATTTGTTCAGCGACGCGACCAATGAGGAGCCACGTTTGTTCGTTTGCACTATTGAGTTTTTGGATCACTGAAGAAGGAGCAAGTGGACCATTGGTGGCAGAACTAGCAGGAGCGATGGCTGGAGAGACTAAAGGAGCACCATTGGTAGAAGCAGAAGGGGGATCGTGCATTCGAACATCCCTATGGTGTCGAAGGGACGACGACATGGCGGTTCAAGTTCAAGTTCAAGCAGGAGTAATTAGTGGGGGTGAAAAGAAGTTTGTTCAACCTTGCAGTGCCGCAATTTAAGACAAGTACAATCGCGATCACATCAGAGGCTGACGCTCAGATTGGAAATTAAATGTGCCACGCGAGGATCTCGATTCCGTCACGGAAATAATTTTGGTCCTTATATACAGGGCACCGTTGATCCTTCGCAATTCAAATCTGAGCTTAGCAACATTCCATTCAAAACTCTTTGACGGCCACAACACCATGCTGTGAAGTTTGATCTAGTTTGATGTACAATATATTCCGGCAAACAACTTTTCCTTTTTGAGCTGGTTCATGAGTCCGTCGCGGTGCTATTGCTTCCATGGCGTTGAGCATACAATAATTATGTGTGTTGGATGATCTTCAGGCCATTCAACTTGCATGCATATGCGCAGTTACCGCGTCTGTCAATCACAACATTGGGCATTCAAACTACGTTGAAGTCTCTATCAAGTACAACAGCTTCGCGACCTTATTTAGCTTCGCCCAACGGCGAGCGAGTAGAGAAGCGGCGAAACTGTCTCCTGAACGTCGACAAACTGTAACTAACGATCTTGGCAACGAAATAATTGGCGTTTAGAGCACGATTAGATACGATAACGTGTAGTCCGGGCCGAATCTTCCACTCTCGGGTTAACCTTGACCTGGACTCAGCTTGACAGATTTAGCTTTTTCAACTCCATGGATTATTTACTTTTACTTCAGTCTACAATATATACTTTTATACACTATATATGCCTGTACATACATATACATATATGTACGAGTACAATATATACGCGGAGGTTTTGTTGTTCAAATAGGAAATGTCTTTATCTAATCTTCAAATCCAAACTCCGCCCACCACGGTCGTCCACGTTGCATGTGGCAACGTTCTCAACAGTAACTTCCAACGACTATGACTCGTGAGCAGTCTCTTGCTTTACAATAACGCACATTTTTTAAACTAGTAGTACTCTTCCACAGGCGGCAACCAGCGTGATCAAGATCGCCTTAAAGCACAGAAGAAGGCTGCTGCCAATGCGAAGAAAACAAAGGAAAGTGCTAGCTCTTTAGCAAAGCGCAAGGAGGCGTAAGTCTCGCTACTACTCTTTTCCCTTCAAAGCCTCACTCTTAGATCCAGAGATGCCGAAATTCTGCGCGCGAAACAGAAGGTAAGCTCCAGTGTGAAAGTCGATCTATTTACGACCGATTCATTGGCGTACAGAAAAAAGAGGAGGCTGCAGCGGCCGGCGGTGGCAAATGATCAATACGATTCTCTTTCGTCTCATATACAAACTAATCTTCTCTGGGTTTCAAGTCGTTCCTGATTAGAGGGTTGAAATTCGCCTTTTATATTCATCTGCATGTTTTGTTGTAATCTATCTACATTCTGTTCCCTTGTGCTTGAAAAGGCTTGAAACCTTGCCTATTTGGCTAGCACCATACAACATACAGCCTCATTACAGCTGGCTTCTTACAGATCCTCAATCACGAGTTGCAATCAAGTACAAGTCCTTGGGTGGCTAAATACATCCGATATGAACAGATATGAACATGCATTCATATCAGATTCGAAGCAATTTCCTTTTCAATATTTCTGCAGTTGACCTACAGCTCCTTTCACACCACTAACGATTCGATCTAATAAAGTACCATGCTGCTCGGCTTTGTAGGGATCGTTCACCTTATCTGCACTGTCATCTCGTCTTTCGGGTAACTTACATACTTGATTACCTGAACTTCGAGACTCGAGTTGCTTACAACGTGCCTTGCATCTTGTGCCACAATTTCGGATCCCTATTCTTGCTGTCTGGTGTCAAAGCAGAAGAACCTCTTTGGACATAACCTTTTCCGATTCTTTTCTTGGTGTTTTCCTAAGGCCTATAAAGTATTTATACCAGACTTATACCGTGGATCCGAACTCCTCTCTCAATACTCATTTCTCGTTTGCTCCCTACTACCACTTCGGATTATCTTTCACAGCATGCGAACTCATGCAAACGATGCTGTCTATATAATCGCGGAGACTTTCCAGACAATTCCAGACAATTCCCCACCAATCAGGTCTGCTCCGAATTCATGCATGAATGCATGATCATCGAAATTTTCCTATGTCCCCATGAGAGTATGAGTTGAGATGTACATATATGAAAGGGGTTACAAAGGCTATTTAGCGAAGCGGCCACCACCAATATATATACGCCCCATTTACCTTGTGTTCATAAGTAAATACAAGGAGAGGATATATGTAGGGATACAATAATATCGTGTGTATTCGGTCCTGGAATATACAAGCCCAGCCCTTTGCTGAGTTGAGCAAGGTAAATGTTGCACTTACCTTCCTCCCGCCACGGCTCACGGCACGGCTGTCCTAGTTTCTTCTATTTAAGCGATGGTGTAAATCTAGGGACATCTCCGCAAAGAAGCAACTTTCAGGGAAATGAGAATAGAAGGACAAAGCCTGAGTGTTGTGAAGGCGCCGTGGCGTTACAGGGCATCAGAGAGCATCATGCTCAGCGTGTGATTCTCTGGGAGAAGGTTCCTTTGCTCAGGGTCTTTGTTGTTGATCTTGATTCCGTTCTGGATGGCGAAACTTCCATATGCTATTCATTCAGATATCAATGATGTGATGGATTTTGAAATCTGAACCTGACCTCCGATCCAGCTGAATAAGGCTGAACAGAGGCTGAATATGTTGTAGAAATTCATATGTATGCGTCGAAGTATATAAATTTCAAAGCAACAATTACGTATCTTGTCAACTGAACCGAACATATTCCTTGAGCTTCGGGTCCAACCGGTACGCCGATAATTGGGATCCAGAATGTGGCGACGTCGACATATGATATGTATGATAAATGATCATGAGAGAGGATACACAGCCGGTACTGGTCGTCCCTTGCTTTCGGTGATGTCGTGGGCGCCCGCCGCATGAGTTGCCCCTTGCTTGAACACCGGGAGCTAAATGAGGAATAAGTTTATGTCAAATTCCAACCTGGACAAGCAGAGCACAGGCAGACTGCATCGGATTAGTGGGTAATCAACGTTCAACGTTCAACCCTCTTCAGCCGCAATCGATGCGCCACAACATAAGTTTGGCTCGGTGGGATGGCAAACAGGCACATTTTGCTAATGACTTCATCTATGTATTTTCGATGTTCATCTTTGTGAAAGATCGAAATCAATACCAGATCAATACAGACTTATGTGCAAAAACACATCGACATCATTTGACCTTTACGGAAATACCGCTTCCTAACCTTCTACGCCTTGCACTTGGTGTCTGATCATCGTCATCATTCCGTTTCCAATTTCGCGCCCATGCCGGGGTGTTTGCAGGTGGTAGTCCGTATTGATGCGTGTCATACGGAGCCCCATTCATAAGAGGTTGAGTTTGATGTGCCTCAGGTAAAGCGCGATGTCGGGAACGGTAAAGTGATATAAGAGTGTTGATGAAGACAGTTAAGAAAGACAACGAAGTCAATGTGAAAGTCTTTATTCGGGACCATTTAGATCGAGTGTATTCCGAAAAAGAAGAACTCACAAGGGTTTTCCAACTGATGGGCTCAACAAATCCGTTTACGACCTCTGCTATAAGCTCAGCCCCGATGCGGGCACGTCCAATTTTGGTAGGGTCTCGATTCATACACAGCTCCCATTCACCACACTGATGAACAAGAGCCGGTGCCAGCATTGCGGGGTTATCGCAATAATTGTTTCGGTACTGCAGGGAACATCTTGCGATTTCCTGTACGCTATCTAACGTTTGACATCAGTATGGCAGTCGCGACATATGCATGCAGCATACCCATTGAGTACTCCGATATCCGGTGCTCCACATCACGTTGCACAGTGAGAATGAATTGCAATAGCAGGTAAAGGAAGACTAAAATCAACGAAAGGTTGAAGAAAAACTGTAAATAACTATTTGTAAATCAGTAAATTGCGAAATCCTCGGATTAAGACACCCACCCTAATAACACATAAGGCATATCAGAAGGGGACGAGGCTGGTGAGACGTTCAGAGTGTAATGGTTGGAAGTATTTTGATTCGACAAATTCAATGCGTGTTCGTCCTCGTCATCACTGACGGTAGGGTCATTATCTGAATCCCGGTCACGCATGGAAGCGAATCTTTTCCCTTGGGGAGTCTTGTGGCGCGCTCTGTACACTCTCCGTAGGGCCCCGGTAGCCACAGCTCGGTCATTATTCGACTTGAATTCTTCCTCTAATTTGGCTGGACTGGCATCTGACATGTCAACATCTTTAATCTCGTTCAAAGATGGCGAAGGAAATGATGTAGCCGGCGAAGCATTGGGTGGAGGAGCCCAGGAGTATGGCTCAGGAGTCTGTCGGGACGGTGTTGCGAAGATGAAAGGAATATTGCGATTTGCGCCGAAACCGAAAGATGATGAGTTTGCTGGTGTGGATGGATTCATATCATCATGTGACCCTGCAGAATAGTTTCTTAGAACAAAAACCACATAAAACTGAACATTGGACAAACTTTTGCGCGGTGTGCTAAGATCGTCGCCTGATTTCCAAACTGGCGTTGTATTGGGCCTCGAGGTGAACTGAAAGTCCATAGGTGCTTCTGTAGAGCGGGGTGAATGGAACATTCTAGAATTCATCACGGCATGGAACGTCCTCGAAACAGCGACGTGGTAGGTGGTTCAACCAGTGGTTGTCGTAGTTCAAGTAGAAAACGTGGTAAATTTCTGGACGCGCCAGTGGTCACGCGTCACGGGAGGGTGGAATTTCTGATGAGGGTAGGCTAATCATTACGGTCATGTTTCGCCCTGCTTCAGTTTTTAGACTTGGCGCAAAACATCTCTCTCGTCGATATCACCCACTAGCAAATCAATCGTTTTCTCCAGCTAGCTCTTCGCTTGTGCCAATCGTGATTGAACAAACTGTCGGTTCTCGTTGGTTCTGGTTCCTGTCGGCCCTAATTTTGTGCGTTCATTACTTAGGGTAGAGGAGAACGTTCCTATGATATATTTTCACGTTTACTTCGTGAGAGAGTGATAATGCTTTATGGTCCGGTTAGTCTTGTATTCATATCCTTGCTACCTAGTCATACAAATATTTACCATCTTCTTTCCAGATACGCGACACAGATTCGACCCTCACTGTCGCGCAACTGCTCTTCTTGGAGGCAGAGGACACTACCAAACCAATTCATCTCTATATCAACTCTCCTGGAGGTAGTGTTACTGCGGGCCTCGCAATATATGATACAGTACGTTCATTTGCATGAACCATCATGTTCATTATGTTCAATGCTTACAAGACTAGATGCAGGTTGGCCCTTGGCTTCGAAGGTTTACAATCATTCTCTGACTTTATCAATCACCAGTATGTCTCGGCTCCCATACACACATACTGTATCGGTCAAGCTGCGAGCATGGGTTCACTTTTGCTATCTGCAGGAGAGAAAGGGAAGCGACATTGTCTTCCTAATGCCAGCATTATGATACATCGTACGCGAATACATGATATACCATCTGCGTTCGGTTCTCATACTTCATAGAGCCTTCTGGTGGAGCATCCGGCCAAGCAAGCGACATTGCCATACACGCCAAAGAAATATTGCGGATCAGGGAGTTGCTTACAGGCATATATCAAAAACACTGCGGAAAACCAGAGGAAAGTCTTGCGGATGGTTTAAAGCGTTTTGGTATGTCTCCGGGCTTATTTGAAAGTAACGAAAGCCCTAATCGGATCGTCAGAAACGGCTTTGGAACGTGATTACTTCATGACAGGTATTTTGCATGTCTCTGTTGTCTTGGGTCTATTCTAACGCTATCGATAGCCCAGGAAGCTCTAAACTTTGGCATTGTTGATGCTATATTAGAAAAAAGTCCGAAGTCTGATAACCCAGCCTCGTAACGCCGTCGAATACAACCTACAAGATGATTACGTGCTTGATGCTTCTGCTATTCGGTCCGAATTCCTAGAATATATAGGTATATTCATCGCCATCCAACACAATACTGTCGAGTTTTACACACTCACTCAATCGTTATTCGTCCGGACGCTCGTGTTGATATTGTGTGCTCCGATGTTTGAAAACTGTGCCGCTTACCAGGGTGAGGTTTCAGCAATCCCGAGATATCTATATCCTCTCTGCGAGTCTCTGGAGGTCTCTGGGGACAAATACAGGCACGATTCACAAAGTTTGAGAATGTCATTCGGCACCGAAGGTACCTTCGTATGTTGAGGTCTAGCTGAAGATGAACATACACTGATTAAGATTGCTCTTCATTGAATGTGTTAAAGATGTTCAGCTTTATGAAAAAGTGAAAGTGTTCCCTGCAGGTTCAAATTAGCGCCACTGTGACTCTGGATAGTCACCGCTTTGCTTCACATCATGTTTGGGGCATCTTTGGTAATGCGCCACATTTCCCTGGAGGAAGACTATCAAATACCCAATAAGAAAGCAAAATTAGTTAGCACAAAATTTTGTTCTCTTTAAAGTCGAAGAGCACCGATTCCCCATCTTTGTCCTCCCCATCATCATTGATCGTCACCTATCATGCATTATGACCTCGTCAGCTGTAGCTTACTGGTCTTCCTGAGCAGTTCGGTGGCAGCAGTGCTGGACAAGCGAGATACGGACCCTTCACTTGAAACACTAATAATACCGCTAACGTTGGACAACACATCACGCTATTCCGTGGATGTAGGGATGGTATGCATCCTGATTTTTCTTTCACACTTCACTGAACATTCTTTCTTCCATAGTCACCTGGTCCTGACCAACAGTCATTCAGTTTTGTCGTCACAACGGGTACTGGTTACAGTGTTGTTGCTGGAGTTGGATGTAATGACTGTCAGGGAGTTTCGAGGTAATTGCTTGTTTGCATACACAGACCCATTTTGATTCCAAAACTGAGACCTTCAGCTACAATGCCAACCTATCTACTACTGCCAAGCAACTGCCTGATGTACAAAATATGTCTTTGGTAGGAACAAATGCAAGTGGGAGTTTGGTAGAGGAGAATTGTCAACTCACTCAAGCGAATGGGTCAGTGTGGCCATATCCGAATCAAACATGTAAGTAAGGACTTTCATGTTGATTCTACTAATTCTGATCAGGACGTGGGTAAGTAATTGTTGCAAACACCTCTTCAGATCTCTTCTCTCCCGGAATCTCTGGTGTTTTTGGGCTTGGAACAAACGGTATGACCAATGCGAAAGATAATTCTACTGTGTTGGCTAAATGTGATCAGGTCGTAATGGTGATTTCTCCGCAACGGTCTATAGTGGCTGGCTAACTAGAAATCCCGGGAAAACCAACTTCACATTTGGGATGATGCTGAACCCTCCAAGGAATTCCGGGACAGATGGCGGGGTTCTCCATTGGCAATCCCCGGACACTGCATCCTATGAGGGCAATGTTGTTTGGAAGTCCATGTTGAATTCAAATTCTACATCTTTGCAAACAGATTGGTTCATCACCATGGATTCACTATCTTTCGAAAGTGGTGGTAATGTGAACGTGTCCCAAAGCGGCGAACTCACAACAGCGGTGGATCCTTTCGAGTCAGCCTTGATTTTCCCTCAAGCAATAGCTGGGGCAATATGTAAGTGTTGGTTGCTGGTAACCCAGTGCTCAGTCCGTTGGTTCAACTTGTATATACAGATGGTGGGATTGAGGATACATCGCTCCTTCCTTCTCTGACAACCGCCACCAACAAATGGGCTATACCCTGTGACACAAAAATGAGTCTAACGTTAACATTTGGCCCGCTCTCTGTGCCAATGGACGAGACCATTCTTGTTTTACAAAATGGAAATAGTTGCATTGGCATAATCGAGGAATGGTCTGATCCTCAAGCAGATGAATATTATTTATTAGGTTCCAGTTTCATCTCTCAGTTATACATGTGAGTAAAATTAGACCTCTCAGTAGATTGATATTGTATTCATGTTATCATATTGGACAGAATATTCTCTATCTCGGGATCATCCCAAGGTGGAGTTGGTTTCGCACACAGAACTTCATCTCCTAAAAAGCTTTCTGCTGGTCAAGTCTCTGGCATTGTTCTGGGTTCAGTCGCCTTTGCCTCATTGCTTGTTCTCATTCTCTTCTTGTACTACCGTCACCAAAGGAAGCAACAGGAGAGGGAACTTCCTGTTCCTTTCATTTCACCTCCGGTGTCACCGAATCACCAAACATCACTTAATGAAGATCGAGGTAGAATGGCCGTCGACTTCGCGTCGAGTCCATCATTCGATTGCAATGAATTCGGAATCAGGTTGCCTCATGATGATAGTCATGAAGTCACGATGGCGCTGTCCTCTTCTGTGTACACACCACTTCGACCGAATCAGACCCCGGTAGTGTCTTCATTGAATCTAGAAACGCCTCCCCCATATCATCAATCAATCACAAATACTGGAAGTCCGCAACCTCTTCCCGTTCAAAAGTCTGAAGTTACTATTCAGACGGACATTGTACTGGCATAATTTCGACATACATTTAATTCAATCTGGCCAATCTTCAGCCATTCACGACGTTATGTATATTATAATAATTATGTATAGAAGTACGTCCTTTATATGCTCTTAGGCTTCCTAGACTTTGAATATCGTTTATATAATATGTATTTTTATAGTATTGTTTCCGGACATTAGATAGGTCCTGGTAGGTCCTGGTCTGTCGAAAGGAAAGCCGTGTGGTGTGTCTATCAGCCGCACTTGGAAAATAACGGCCAACTTGAATATGGGCTACCTGCAGGCTGAGAAAACAAGCCACTAGAACATACTTAGCGTCTCTTTTTAGCGCCTGTTCGGCCTCTTGCCGACCTGCTTTCATAACCCTTCAATAGCCTCAGCGTGTTAACGACAGAAGGCTTGACTGTAAGTATATCACACTGTGGCTTCATTCAGCCATTCACACACATTATCCTTTATCTCTCGCTGAAACTATTGGGATGGCTTCAAACGAGGAAGACTCACGAGAGGGCGCTTCATCCGATGTTATAGATGTCACCAGTAAACATGAAGTCAGGATATCACGGCAAAATTTACCTCCAAGTCCTCCACTTACAAGGTCAAATTCTGTGGCGAGTACTCCTGGTGTAACTGTGTTGGACGAAGATAGGGATGAGAAGGACATGGCGAACGAGAACGAGGTTTCAGAAGAAGGTTGGGATCCTTTGCAACGCGAAGTAGGAGGTCAGCCGATGGAGGATGAAACATTTGTCGCTGCTCGAGGCGGGGAGTTGCTTGAAGCCGGTGACTCCGTTGTGGACGTCAACGGCCGAGTCATTTTCTCTCCTGGTCGAAATCTATCACGCTCAAACCTTCAGCTTGAGTTCGAGCCCAGGCCACTACAACCCTGGGACCTTGTGGATCCCCCCTTGACTAATGGAGAGAAGCTTATCAATCCATATGGTACAGTGAACTCGCACAAGTTTAGCACTTTACAAGATTCAGCGTATGTTCGTAGTCTCGCATTGAAATTTCTATGCTGACTACGCATACATGCTATAGTCGTAGTCGCTCCCTAATACCCAAGTCATCATATTACTTTGGCCCCCCTCCACCTGGCTCGGCATATGGCTCCCGTCCCATAGGTCAGATTGGGTTGCACCATCCTCGGGAAATCATTAGAGTCGAAAGAGACTATACTGGAGGAGAGCTGATACAATTTGCACCAATCTATCTTTTGGAACTAGAAGGCCGAGTAAGACTTATCTCAGCCTGAATAACAGCATCTGATCTGTTTTTTAGATAACGCCGACTCAGTTTCTGGAATCGATGAACTCTATCAACGAGCTTCTTATATCGGCGCATAGTTTTCGCCATGCAATGATAGATAATCTTCTCTCCATATTCACCCTACAACTCTTCTCTGTTGTTTTTGATACGCATTATGAAAGGGTTCGGTTTATCTGCTTCTAGATGAATACTGGTGCTTTATCAACTGTTTTGTCAGGAAATGAAGCGCCTACAACAGTTATTCGACAAGTTGAACACGGATATATACAATCCTTCAGGATTGAACCTCTTGTGGCCAAGGAAGGTTGCGTTTTTGTTTGTGAGTTTGAAGTCCTTCACACCCAGGTGGGGAACTTATCAGTGGTGTTTTAGCTCGAGATTGAATATTATGTGGGTAACGTCCGTCATCCTTTGAAGTAACTAACTTCATCTACGTGTAGTGATTCTAACAGCGTTTAGAAGTGGGACTCTTTGTTATATGTAATATATATACCGTACAGTGTTATTCATAATCGACATTCCGGAGATTTGCCCGAGCTTGAGAACTAGTACGCGTATGCGGAACAGAGCAGTGAGTCAAAAGACGAACGGCGCCGAAGTTGCATATATTACGTAATCTCAGTAGATAAGTCAGCAACCCAGACTCGACCGCTCGCCGTTCCACTATCATCTCGTTCTGCTGGTTTTAACAGTATTGCTGAAGTCAAGCACTGCGCCTGCTTGCCGTTGTCTCATTTCTGTACCTCTTGGCTTGATGGAGTCTTTCTCTAACCTCGCTCCTCTTTGGGACCTTTCTCAGGCAACTAATTTCTCTCAGCTCCCTGACGAAGAATTTCTTGCACTTCTGCAGAAGCAGTTTCCAAGTGCCGGGCAACATGGTAGTTATCAATCAAGTGGATTTGGAGCTGTAGACGGCGTCAACCCTCAAAGCATCACCCAGTACTCCTTACCTAGTATCACTCCTCCTTCTGAAGATAGCAGTCCTAGTCCCCAGGCCGCTGAAAGCTCGAGTAAACAGAGTCCTGAAGAGAGCTCACCGCAAGAAGACTTCTCTGAGTTTGGATTGAAGCGAAAGGCCAGCGACGAAGATCTGGGTGAGGGGCCAAGTCAGAAGAGTGCTCATACAGGTGTGTTGTGATTAGTGTCTAATTCCATTCCAATCTTAATCTTGTGAATTTTCAACGGTGCTAGGATCAATTGGCAAGAAGGACAAGGCTGCGTCGTCAAAGCGCAAGAGTTCAGGCTCGGGCCCGGTAAGCTTCGCCTATCGCCCTTCCACTTCCTTTGTATTTAGTTCTTGATCAAAGGATGAAACTCGTCTCATCAAGCGCAAAGAGCAAAATCGTGCAGCTCAGCGAGCATTCCGGGAGCGCAAAGAAAAGCATGTCAAAGATGTAAGCATCCAATGATAAAACAGGCATTCCAATATTAATCGGTTCATCGTTGTAGCTCGAAGACAAGGTTGCCGCACTTGAATCCAAAAATCAACAGGCCACGACCGAAAATGAAAACTTGCGTGATCTCCTCTCCAGGTTACAATCTGAGAACATGGCGCTCAAAGAGGCATCGTTCACCTTTTCCGTTCCAAAGCAGCCTACAGCGAGCACATCAACAGCGTCTTCGAAGAGTCCCTTGTTTGCTCCCGACAACTCACTATTCTCCACCTTGCCACGGATAACATACACCGCTCCCGATCCGTCTAAATATACCAATCCACTCGATATGACGTCTATGATGTCGTTCGATCCCAGTGTGCTCAACTTGCTTGACGAAAGCCCACAGGAGACCGCTACCGATGGTGCGATGCAAATGGACTTTGGATTTGGCAAAACCAACAGCGATGAATTTTTGCCAAAAAATTATACCACTATTGCTAGTAATCCTGCGTTTTTCTCATTGACGTCCGCCTTTGACCATTTTACACCACCGACGAACTCGTCATCAGTGTCTGGTTCGCAATCGCAATCACCATCTAATAATACCAATGATCGGAGCCCTTTTAACTTCGATATGAGTACACTGACACAGTGGCCTACACCTTCATCTACCGGTCACGATTCTGGGACGCTGGATGACCTATTCGGAGGTGCTGGATTCCTCGGCCCGCAGCAGCAGGTGGATGTGAATTCTTTCATAACCGGAGGATCACCCTCAGCGGTCAGCCCCGTCCTTCACCACACGAACAATCCAGGCTACAATTCTCCTACTACGTCTGCCTCATCCTCACCAGCTTCCCATACTTCCGATCCTCTGTTCAGCGCACGTGAGGGCTCGTCGTCAGAGTCGGAGGCAGGACACGACGATTCTGAATGTCCTAAAACAAAAGCTGACTTTATTCAACACATTGAATCCTCTGGACAATCTTCGTTTGTAGACACAGTCGCAAATCAGAATTTCCTGCAGACTGTGTCTTGTAACCCTATCCATATCAATTCAGAGAAGAACGGACCACCGTTCCTTTCGACTGTCGAATGCGACGGCAGAACCACTTTTCCGCCGGTGGACAAGAGCGACGAGAACGTTCCCGTTCTTGACGCCTGGCGAAACATTACTCGGGATCCACAATATAAGGTCCGATACTTTATTTGTTTCATGTTTGGAAGTCCTGACTCCTCATTCAGGAATGCGATATCGCAAATCTCTGCTCTGAGTTCGCGAGTAAAGCCCGTTGCGATGGCTCTAAGGTGGTTCTAGAGCCTCAGGGTGTAACAAGTCTAATGGAATCTCTCAAAAAGCGTCATGTTTGAAGGTCACCGTCCACGGTTCATGTAATAACTGCAGGTCCGTGTATTTGTATCCATAGTGAAATTTCCGCACTACTCAATCAGCCGATTCTTTGCTTCGTCGTTTCTGAACTTTTACTTATCCGTTGTTATTCTTTTTATCATGTCATAAAACCATTTGGTTTGCATTTGATTCTGCGTATCTTTGCGATACATATATTCTTTCCACTGATAGAAAGTTGTCGATTTCGCAGTGTATCTTCATACATTTTCTGTATATTTCCTCCTAGCTGAAAACCTATAGCACTAAGTATTGATATGAAATGAAAAATTCTACATACACAATCGATAATAAAGAAAGAACGATAAAATTACAGGGCAGCAAAACACGGTTCACTCATTCATCATCACTAGGAGTGAGATACTCCTCATCGCTGAGCACCTGCTTCCTTCCTGAACCTCTCGATTTAAGCGGAGGAGGCGGACGCTCGTCGTCATCCATTGGCGTTAGTGCTGAATCATATGAGCCTGCATTCGAGCCGCTTCCCGAAGCTGTAGACATCGCCCCAGGTAGACTTGAACCGCTTATGACCCTGTCATATGCCGCATTGAAGACCTTCTCCATTTCCTCAGCATCATTGTAAACCCAGGATCCCTCTTGATTGTAAGTGCGAGCATTGTTGAACATGAGTTTCCAGTCAGATTTGTACTGAAGAACATCCTTGTAGAAGTTCCCTTGGCTACGTTTTCGTATTTGAGATAGGGCGATAGGCTGCTTGATAAGCTGATAGTAGTCTGGATAGTCCTGAAGCAATATGAGCAATGGATAATTTATGAAATGACCAACGACGTACTCTCTTGTCAGGTACTTCTCTGAAAAGTTCACAACGTTTTCGGCCCTCTTCAGCTTCACAAGCCAGAACTGCTTTGTAACACTCGTTGAAAGCCTTCTTCATCTTCTCACGCAGGGCTGGGGATGGTTCGGAAGCCTTGGTTTTTCGTCTTTTCTGCAAATGCAGTGAGCAAGTTGCGAAAGAACATTGTAAAAATCTGAATGTACCTGATCCCTTTCGTCATCGTCATCGTCGTCTTCAGCAATTGAAGGGGTGACAGACATGGATTTCATCGCGCCCCGTTTTCGTTTCGAGCCAACAGCAAGTTCGTCGTGATTCAACTTTGATTTTGCCTTCCTTCCTCTTCGTCCTCGAGATTCCGTATCAGAGGCAGGAGTACCGCGATTTGACACTTCGGCTTCTTTCAGGAGTTTATTGGTGGCTCGTCTTTCCTTCCTTTCTCTAGTCTTATCAGTTAACTCTTGAAGATCCTCGCCGTCTTCTAATGCCTGATGCAACATCTGAGCTCAAGATCAGGGGGAAAAATGGTTGAACAAACGTACCATAGCCCACGTATCGTCATCAAGACCATCATTGTAGCTTACGACATTCCTCTTTCTTTGTCCACGACCTTCGACAAGTTCTTCCGCATCTTTTGAGTCAAATGGCTCATCTGTCTGGTAACACTCTGGCAACTCTTCGAGCTGTACTAATGGTTGTGGAGGCTTCCCACGATTGCCCATGGCCCTCCAGTTCTCTATGGCATCTCGTTCACGTTTGATGTCCATCTCTCGGAAAATTTCAGCCTCCTCGTCGCTACGTGAAATAAGGGCATTCAACTCGTCATCATTCATATCCCCTGCTTCTTCATTATCTTCCTCTTGATCGGCTTCCAGAATAGACCGCTATGTACTTAATTAGAAAATAGCACGTATAAATGAAAAACAGATACTTGCCAATAATTCTTCTTGCTCTTCTTGCGTAGATTTATTGTCAAATCGACCAGCTTGGATGACTTTGTCGTCAATATCGAGCTTGTATCGTGCACGTTGATACATTGCTTCTTCTACACTCTTCTCAGTTATGAAACGAAGAATTAAGACGGCCTTTGTTTGACCAATACGATGGGCACGATCTTGAGCCTGAAGGTCGGCATGAGGGTTCCTGTGATGGGATAAGTGGGCGTCAAGGGGGGGAGGGGGGGGGGGATGGGAAGATGCACGACGTCAGCTTTTATACAGGCTAATTTATAGAGAAAGCTTGTTACCAATCGGAATCAAAGCTGTTCAAAAGAGAACGAGATATGTCAGCAAACGGGAACTAGAATACGTTCAGGTGAAACTTACATGATAACGGTATCAGCGGTTTGCAAGTTTAGACCAAGACCACCAGCCCTAGTGGAGAGAATGAAGACTTTATATTCCGATCCTTTGGCATTGAAGAGAGTGACGAAGGAGGCACGCTCCTCCGTTTTTGTACCTCCATCCAGCCGCAGGAACTTGACACCTAGGTATCTCAGAAAGTCGGCCATGATGTCCATGACTTTGGTCATTTGAAAGAAGATAAGGACCTTGACAGGATGTAAGTTAGCTTTCAAATCAAACACTACCGAGGAGGTAAACACACTCTATGTCCGGTAGCAAAGAATTTCGGCAGTACTCGATTCAAGAGCTCAAGTTTACCAGAAGTACGAACAATACGTTCGTCTATCATGCCACTGGGGTTTACTTTGTCTTCAACACTCTCGAATAAGAACGGGTGCTGGCATATTTTGCGGAGTTGCATGAGCTCATTGCTCAAACCTTTTACACCTCCGCTCTTCCTGAAAGTGGAATCATATCGAGTCAGCATAACTACAAACTTCCGCGAAACACATACCCTTTACCGTCTGCGATCATCTTATACTTTTTCATTTGCTTGTAAAGTTGACTTTGAAGAGCGCTCATGCGGACCTTGATGACCTTTTCGACCTTATCAGGCAATTCGCTTTCTACATCCTTCTTTAGACGTCTAAGCAAGAATGGCCGAAGTACTTTATGTAAACGACGGATAATCAGAAGCGCTTCCTCTTCGTTGAGCTCGATTTTGTCGCCGGTACCGCTGTTAGCGAATGGGGTATTGAACCACTCGTCGAATGATTTCACAGAATTGAAGACCTTTGGCAAAGCAAAGTTGAGCAGAGCCCAGAGCTCGGGTAGGTTGTTTTGCAGGGGAGTTCCGGTGAGGATGAGACGAAAGCGGGAATGATAGTAGGTGGTGAGAGTTTGAGCGAGCTTGGATTGCGTATTTTTCATGCGATGACCCTCGTCTGTAAAAAGAGATGAATGGGGCAGCAATGAAAACAATACACGTAGGACACACCGATGATCATATGCAACCACTTCATTTTACTCAAAACAGGGCGGTCTTTGATGATGTACTCGTAAGTCGTCAGCAGGACATGAAATCCCCCCACGCGAAGATCTCCTTGCAACGCTCTGCGTTGAGCGGGATTGCCTTTGTAGGAGATGACCTTGATGGCTGGAGCCCATTTGGCAAACTCCCCGGACCAATTGGTCATGGTAGAAAGAGGAACAATGACGAGGTAAGGACCACGCTGATTTTTGGATTCGATAAGAAAAGAGATGAGGGAAATAGTCTGAATGGTTTTTCCCAGACCCTACAGTCAAACGTCAGCAAAGGAATAAACTATGCGAGAAGTGATTACCATTTCGTCGGCCAGGATTCCATTCAGTTTATTGTTGTACAGACTGACCATCCATTGTAAGCCCTTTAACTGATATTCCTTCAAGGTGCCTCCAACGAGGATGGAGGGCTGGCGAGTGACTCTCTCAGAAATTCTATGTGCGACCGCGTAGTAGTCGACCTTGGTTTTATCTTGAGGTTCGTCCGTACTAACCTGAGCGCCGAAAGTTGCCTCTGAGGCGGGCGCGTCCTCCATTTCGAAATCACGCAAACCTGCACCCTCGTTCTGCTGAGCCATTACAGATTGTGCAAGAGAATCAAGGAAAGTATCTGTTTGCCGAAGAAGATGGGTAATTCGGGTATCTTTCGCAGTATCAATGAGTTTCATATATGCCTCCTCGTCATCTGCTTTGAGCGCCTTCAGACGTTCTTTCGAAATGCGTTCAATGCGCTTTTGTTCTTCCTTCTCAGTCTGAACATGAAAATTGAGCACGGAACGACCGAGTCGAGTGAGACGATCCTGCGCGGCTCGGTTGGCCTCAATCACCTGGCGACCATGATTACAGATGACAGTGAGTTGTTCGACATGCTTGTGTTTAGCGCGTCGTTCACGATCGAGACGTTGCTTGCGCTCGAGCTGTTCTGTCATACGTGCATCACGGATCGTTGGTTTGCGTGTACGACGGAAGTCAGGACGATTCAGAGGAACAAGTGAACCATGAGTGAGTCGTTCAGCGACGAGAGCACGCATCGTACGCTGTTTTTCGATAAGGCGAAGGGATTTGAGTTCAATGAGGGCAGTCAATTTGCCATGAGACGTGGAAGGAAACGAGAGAGGCGAGTTAGTATCAGGCATAAACTCTTCAACAATGTCATTCTCAAAACTCTCGTCTCCAACTGTGGCTGGAATAGATTCGAGCTCACGCATTCGCTGCTGAATTCGAGCGTCGATGTAGCGATCCCGTTCATTGAGGATCTGCTGGGCGTCGAGCCCTGGAGGCATGATGGTAGGAACAAGGAGACGTTGAAGACGGGTGGCAAATAAGGTAGGGTCCATTTCGGCATGACGCTTCAGTTGTGAGAACGGATGGCGGTAGGAATTGTAAGGATAGATACCAGAATTGACATCGTCTTCGAGGAAAGGGCCTTTCGGCATATCTGCTGGGTTGATAGGCAGCACGACCGCCTGCTCCTCGGTTTTGAGAGCAACATCAGGGGCTTTGGATATTTTGACGGCGCTATCCACGATGCGTGAAGATGAGTCTGGGGGTTGAAGGAGCTTCTCAAGATCGGGGATAATGGTACTGTTAAGTTGCACAGCTTGATGAAGCCCTTCGGGAAGGGGAACCCCTCGAGAAAGCAGTCTAAACGCATGTATTTGGGCGCGTAAGACGTTGATCTGGTCTGGAGTAAATGATACCTCAGCTTGAGACTGCGAATGATGTTTAATCTGCGAGTTCTGTTGAGCCTGCAGTTGTACTGTGATAACCATTTTGGTGAAAAAGGGACTATAACATATAAGAATGATCTACGCACTAGGCGCCACTGCCTGAATCTGTTTCAGAAGATTTTCCAGCTCGGTCGGTGATTTTTGTTCAGTAGGATTCTTTCGCAAGAAACTCGCTCTCTGTAAACAAAAATTAGGATCGTTACTAATGTCCTTGGAGAAGACTCAAAGACTCCTACAGCTAACATCTGTTGTAGGTCCGGCATGCCAGGTCGAGTCTGCATGTTTGCCATCCCGCCGTTGGCTAACATTCCCAACGCGTTTAGAGGAGCCGGGCTTAAGATGTTGACAATGAATCGTTGAATAAGCGCTGAAGCGTGTGTGTGCTTCAGTGTGACTCCGTGACTAACTGTGACTGAACTGTTCTTTCCGTTCGTTATGAGTTCGCAAGACAACGATCCCTTTTACCTTCGGTGAGGAACGTGGTTTCAGTTGGAATCAAACTAACATATATACTCTAGGTACTAGTGCGTGTCCTCAATTCCTCGACCTGATATTTTGACACTAATGGTGCATCAGTACTGGGCACTCAGGAAAGCATGGTCATGAATTTTTAGAATTCGAATACTCGCATGGCCGTCTGCGATATGCCAACAACTCGAACTACAGAAATGACAGCCTCATCCGCAAAGAGAGTATGTGTTCATGTTGTGTCAGGAAACCAATACTTCAATGTCAAAATTGATTTTAATCTGGATTCAGTGTGGATCAGCCCGCTAGCTGTGAAAGAATTCAAGAGGATTATCGAGGCCAGTGAAGTTACTAAGTGCGCGCGTACTCAGCCTCCCAAACTGTCTGATAATGATCTTGTACTCGTTTTAGGGAAGACGACATAAACTGGCCCAAGAAAAACATTGTCGGCAAGCAGGAACTGGAAATCCGGATTGGGAATGATCACATTGCATTCGAAGTATGTAGTTGTCTGGTCCCGGTTTCGTTTCGGTATTGATATGTAGTTGTTACAGACCGCTAAGATTGGCTCGCTTGTTGACATTCAGGATAGCGAGGATCCAGAGGGTCTGCGCGTGTTTTACTATCTCATTCAGGATTTGAGGGTGCGTGTGCTCCTACCTGTTTTCAACCAAATTTTCCTGATTTTTTGTTTTCAGTGTTTTGTGTTTTCATTGATCACCCTTCATTTCAAGATCAAGCCGATCTAGAGGATGGACTGGAGAAGTTTAAAATCAACTTGCGCTAGCTTTACATGCGCGTCAGCCATCGTCCTATTCGAAATGTCAAGAAAATGCGCGTGGTGTATTGTTCCGTGAGTTGCTCTGCAGGCCTCCGTCTCGTTGGATGGTTGGACTAAATGACATTTAGTTTGTAACTTAGGTTGTTTTGGTATACTTGCGAGTTCAATCTATTCGATACTGCTGCTGTAGTGCTTTGTAGTATTGCTATCGTTGGTGTTGCCTAATGCACCTCTCCATTGTGTGTATATATATAGAATTGAGTTCTTGAGTTCGACCGTACGGGAGCAAACTCCGGCCGGCTTCGGTCCAGTTTTAACAAAGATACAACTTAGGAAAAGCGGTGACATCGATGGCGACTGTAGCTGTTCCAACGCCGCCCATGCCAATATCACCATTGTCAACAATACCTTCCTCGTCATATGGAGTATCCTCCGCAAACCCATTACCAATATCTGGCGGCAGGCCAGCCTCTCCTCGTTCACACTCTCACACACCACCTTCCTTGTCTCCGCCTCTTGAGCCCGGCCTTCAGAGATACGGTTCACCGTCTAATCGGAACAGCGTGGCATCTTCTTCTGCTACATCTTCTGCTGTGTCGTTCCGGACAGCGCCTATGCAAAGTGCATTGACTACGGATTCGAGGACTTCTTCTAGGGGTCGGGAAAGTCCTGAGTCTGTCAACACCCTCCAGCTACGCGACGAGCCCAACGAAGACCTCCGGGGCACCAAGCCAGTTAACCCAATGCATATCCTCAGCACCTCTTTGCAACACAACCCCTCGTTTCCACACCAAGAAATTCATGTGGTCAAAGTAACATCAGATACAGTACATGTAGAGTCTGGACCAATGAATGATTCACTAGCGAAACGAGTAGTTCAGAGAGTACCTGGGCTGGCATGTATCGATACTCGACCTGGCAGAGTGCAGGAGCAGGATACAAAGGGACCTCCGCCGCCATCACCACCGGCGAGCGATGAAGCCGGTGGCGAGGAAGACGCTAGGGAAGAACGGGCGAGAGTACTGTCAAATGCCACGCCCCAAACCGAGATATCAAACGCTCGTATGTCTACAGAGACGAAAGCATCTGCCCAGATAGTCAAATTGGACCCATCTCCTCCATCCCCATCACATAAACAATCCACAACTACTGTACCCCAGAGTGAATATCTTCAGCCACCCCCGATATCCTCACACAATATCCGTCCTCACCGGCGCAACACGACCGGTTCCGTTGCTCCCATCAGTGTCATCCCAGCGCGAACTACACGCGCCTCCCTCACCTCTCAGTACAATCAGTACCCTTCTCAGTCGCATTCATATTCTTACTCAAATCAGCTGTACGATGATAGCATAATCCAACCTTCTGATAATGTCGAAGACGATATTCAGGCGCATGCGGAAAAGATAAGAAGAGAAAGGCAGGAGAAGAGGGCGAAACAGGCAGAAGCAGAAGCAGCGCTTACGCGAGAAGCAGGTTTGAGAAGAGAGACGACTGTTGGTGGCGCACGCAAGGGAGAGAATTATCCTCTTGTAGGTAATCTCATTGGAGAGGACCATGTCAACTACGTATTGATGTACAACATGTTGACTGGGATTCGTATCGGAGTCAGTATCTTCTTTCTATTTCTTATGCACATCCTATGATATGCTCATTGTTGCTTGAATATAGGTGTCCCGATGTCAGGCAAAAATCAAACGGCCTTTGACAGACGAAGATTTCGCTGCGAAACATAAATTTAGTTTTGATATGTATGTGTTCGATCTACATTAGCACTTCTGAATCCTCAATCTATATGCAGCGTTGGTAACGAATTAACACCATCCGCGAAATACGACTTCAAATTCAAAGATTATGCACCCTGGGTGTTCCGTTCCTTACGAGAAGACTATTTTCACCTTGATCCCGCCGACTATTTACTCTCTCTAACTTCGAAATACATTTTGTCAGAACTCGGTAGTCCAGGGAAGAGTGGTAGTTTCTTCTACTTCTCAAGGGATTATAGATTCATCATCAAAACGATACACCACAGAGAACACAAATTCTTGCTGCGTGTTTTAAAAGAGTATGATTGCAATATTTTGTTCTTCGCATATTAGTAACGCGCTCTTTCCTCAGTTATTACAATCACGTTTCAACCAACCCGCACACCCTTGTCTCTCGGTTCTATGGTCTTCATCGGGTGAAGCTTCCTCGTGGTCGCAAGATTCATTTTGTTATCATGAACAATCTGTTCCCACCTCACAAAGATATACATGAAACGTATGACCTGAAAGGAAGTACTGTCGGGCGGCTTTGGCGAGCAAATAATCCCGAAGCTGATGAAAAGGCGCAGACAGAGACCTCAAACTCGGAGAAAGAAAGGCGAAAGGAGAAGAAGAAGTCGAGCCCTGTGTTGAAAGACTTAAATTGGATCAACGGGCACCACAAACTGGAGTTAGGTCCAGAGAAGAGAGCGTTACTGACTGAACAATTACGGGTACGTTGTGAAATCATATGCGAACGGTCCTTCCTCATATTACCCAAATTTCCTAGCGGGATAAAGAATTTCTCAAGGCTATTTCGGTAATGGATTACTCTCTCCTGGTGGGAATACACAACATGCAACGTGGAAACCGGGATAATGTGCGTCGAAAGACACTGAAGGTTTTCGAGCCAGCCATTTCCAAGGAACTTGCGCGTAGTGTCTCAGCCGTAGGTACACACGGATACGGTGGCTATGGCGGGATAGGAGGTAGCACAGGTGCTCTTGGAATGAGCAAAAGTTTATCATCGCATCACCCTCATAACGTTGGTAGAGGCGGCGGTTATACAACAACACCGGAAGCTATCGCCATGCGTCATGCAATGCGATCCTCAGATCCTAAAGCGCTTTCCCTTCCTTCCAACTCGTCACTTCTTCCGGACACACTCAATCCCCAATCGATTGGTCCCCGTTCATCAGGAGATGCCGGTGGAGCCAGGGGTGCAGATAACCGATTAAATTTTATCTTCTATCAAGACGAAGGAGGTTTAAGGGCTACGGATGAAGAGAACCGAGAAATGGCAACGATATATTATCTAGGCGTCATCGACATCTTAACACCATGGGGAACAGGGAAGAGGATAGAAAACTTCTGGAAGGGCTTGAGTGCGGATCGAGTAAGTGTTGTCGTCGTTGTCGGATGTTCAGGCTTATAAACTTGCTGTCTTGCTGTAGCACAAGATATCCCCTGTTCCACCGAGTGAGTACGCCGAACGGTTCTTCAAGTTTATGAAAGCAATCATGAAAGGAGGTGAAGGTAATGCTGAGGATTTCGTGTAATGAACACATTTGATGTACTTGCTTCGTTCGATTCCTTATATGATATGTATATTCATCTTTTCCTTCCCGCTGTGGACTTAAAAACCGCTTTGCCTTTTTTTTCCATTTATTTCCTCTAGCATGAGATTTTCTCCGCCCCATTTTCAACACCACCATATCCCTGTTTAGACTCTGCCCGGCCTCTATGTTCTCCGTGCCTCTTACCTTTTATCATTATCATTCTGTGTCATACATTTAACCAGATAATTTGCAGTCTGCCGCTTCTTGCCCCCGCACTAGTCATGACACCCGTAATTTCCTACCTTACCTTTTTCGTCTTTCCCATTCCTGTTTTCTCCACCCTACCACTCGTCACTCCTTAGGTCGCCTTCTTGTTCCCCCCCTACCATATTTATCCCCCCCCCTCTCTCTTTCTCTCTCTCTCTCTTTCTCTCTCTCTCTGCGTTCTCCCGCTCCATGGGTTCCCGCGCCTCGCTCGTTTCATTTCTCTTAGCGTTATCCCCACTTTTCACAAGGGTTTCAGCTTCACACTCCTTCGGAACATTGGATACTATTTTACTATATCATACCTAGTTTTGCTCGACGGCTCACTGCTTTAAGTACGTACCATTGGACATTGGCATGCATATGGTTGACGTCTTTATATCGTGGTCAATTCGTGCACGATTGTCATATCATATCTCTCATTCGTTGTGTTACATTATAGTATTAGTTTATGGTTCTGGCAACTCAGAATAGGGAAACAACGAAATACAATCGCATTGTCACTATATAGGTCAAGCGACTGATGAGGCATTTTACGTAGATGCTTCCTGGGCCCAACGTTGCCAACCTTCCAACAACTGAACCAGTTCCGAATTGGATCCCTCCTTCGTTCCCTTTGGCTGTAACCTTATTTCTGCCAACCCGAATACACCCACAGCGAGTGCATTTAAGAGCCATGGAGTCCAAGCTTCGAAGAATGCGCGGGCGAAAGCCAAAGCAACAACGGATTCGCGTGAGAGCCCTGTAGAATTTCCTGAATCTACCGTTGACAGTTCCTCGACCTCGAAGACGGCTTTGACGTAGTCAAATATCGTCTGGCCCTCCCTGATTAGTGAGTTTTCGAGGATGTCAGGAAGGCTATTTGCTGCATTGGTATTTGCTTCAGTAGTGCTAAAATATACATACCCTGTAGCAACACTGAAAGGTGCACAAGCACGAAGAGCATTGAGAACCTCAATGACCTCATTGGCGTGCGCTGCAAGGGGCGTAAAGGAGGTTAAAAGTGACGGTGGGGTGTGAAATGGCGGGGTAGAATTCAAGGTTGATGAAGGTGAGCTGGTAAGATCAGTCGACCCTAGATCCTCTTGTGTTAAAAGCCACATCGACGGAGCGACAAGTTTGTTTGCACGCTTCGAAGCAGATGGGTTGGAAGCGTCCTTCCCCTTAGTACTGTACATGTCGCGTGGAAATTGCGAAATGAAATGTTTTTCAGCTAGTACAATTTCTCTGCTGAAAATTTGCACTACAGCGTCACTCACGCAACGCGCAACGCTAGACCGGAAATCTGCACCAACGCGTCCAAGGGCAGCAGCGCAATATGTGAGCTGAGTTACAAGTGATGGAAGGGCCGTTATTGGAAGGGATGTGATAGGAGGTTCCTTGGAATGCTGGGAAGAATCAAGGAGGGGCATGAGATGGGTTTTAAACGCATGCGAAACGTACATCTGCAACAACGCATGCAGCTTCGGTGAGAGTGCGTTGCCTTCTTGAACATTGGCGAGGAAGATAGACTCGTACTGTGTAATCAAGTCATATACCCCTTCCCTCCACAATCCGATATATTTCCCCAAGTACTTCACTAGGTCATCCTTATCCCTGGTCGAAAGCTCCCCCTCCAAAGCAGCTATTCTAATTATATCTCTTCTCAGACTCTCGAGAGAGCCTTTCAGACATTGTTCCCTCCCACTCAGAAAAGCAAGCGCGATTTCATCTTCGCCTTTAAAAGCGCCTTCCATCTTGCGCAAAAAGTTGACAGCCTTCCACAGTACTGGAAGCTTTTTATTTGGTTCATGTAGCATCGTCAGTAGAGATATGAGCATATGGTTCATGGCCACATCTACTTCCGCAAGAATTGATGTAAGAATAAGTGGTGGCGATGAATGAACTGCAATCAGTTTTCGGGCATGAGCAGCTAACGAAAGCGCTTCGGAAAAGTACGCATTTCGAGCGCAGGTATTGATAAGAAGTGGTATATCCAGTAATTCGCGTAATTTGTCGTGTGTTTCGAGGACAGTCAACGTTTTACGCCTGGTAGCCAGCACCGAGGCGGTCTCTGTGTTCCAGCTATACACGGAAGATTCGAGTGCGGGAAGAGACTCATTGAAAAGGTCATCTAGTGACGAAGATATCTGGGAAAGAGAAGTGGTGAGATCGGAGGTGCTGGAGTAGAGGGATACAAAAGTTGGATAAGATGCATGGGTTAACGAAGTTAAACTGGAAGCCAAGTGGTGCGACTGAGTTTGAAGAACACCGGGCTCTGAAAGTAGCGTTTCGAGGTCAATGGCAGTCAGATGCTCCAGATATGTTGTGTTTGGAACGTTTAACAACTCGCTCAACGTTTCGGACATTCAGATGCAAGAGGTTCTGAACAAGCGCCCATATCACAGTAATTATAACGGATACAATTATATTTTTTCTACAGGCTCCAAAGCTACTAATATTCTATGATACATGTCCGATGAATGTCAATGTATATATCAATGCGTGCAATGTTGGGAGTGAGGTAATCTTGTAAAGGTACAATTCTGTTTTGCCATGAAATAGAGCGAAGATATGAGTGGTAGATTATCTACAAATCGTCGTACATGTTAAACGGGCTGTAAGACAAGACAAAGACACTAGGCGTACCAGGAAACATGTCCGCTTTCACGCCATCTCGCTCTCTGGAGCACCTTGGCTCCTGTTTGAAAGGACCAGCTTTTTCTTGATGCTTGGTCTCTTGAACAACATCTGAGCGCCCTTCTTATCTTCCTTGGGAAGTTCGGTCGGACTTGCAACACGCTTGCCAGTCGTCGTTGTCCACGAATGACGTGAAGGACTAGACGATGGACCGGGAGTGGAGGAGACAGCCTGCTTCATTGATGATATATCGTCAACATCCATCCTGATTGTTTTCCTCTCCCGCTCTCGTTCCTCATCCACGATCATCAATGCACCTTCAATGACAGCTGCATGGACAAATACATACTGCCGTAGACTCTGACATAAACTCATTCGTTGTTCCCGCATGTCTTGTAACACTTCCAAGACAGGTTCCCCAAGGTTACTGAGCGCTTGCGGAGATTTGTCATGATGCAGGGCCCGAGGATACGAGAAATCAGCGCTTGAAGTACTAATGCGCGCATCTTTAACGAATGGCGAGAAATCTAGATTCCCAGTGCTAACACTCTGGGAATAGACGGAAGCGTTGGCAGATTCGTTGGCAGTTCCCACAGGCACAGAGCGGAAAACAGGATTTGTAGAAAGATAATTTGCTTTCGTAGCTGAAGTAGGTGACGAGTCCGCGACTATCGATCCTTCACTCTTGTCCGATGATTGGGGGTTTGGAGGGGCAGAGGAGACTTCAGTTCTATTGGGTGGAGACAAAGACCTCGATGGAGGGGGAAGAGAAGCAGACTCGTCATGATCTATACTTCTAATCCTTGAAAATGGCGAAGGTGATTTTTCCACAGCACGACTGCGATCTCCGAGTACCGAAGGAGAGGATGTGAAGGTGAATGCTTCATGCAAGACTCGACTTTCTGGATCGTCTGTCTTATTAGTACGTTCATTATCGTCATTAGCCACTTTCTGCATACTTCGCGCAGAGGGAGCAGACCATGTCCTGAGCCTGGCTTCTTCGCCACGGACATTGAGGACAGGAAGTCGGCCCTCTCTGATAACCGGCAACGTTGATGCCTTGGGCATCGAGCTGTCTGGGAGCGATTGCAAAGACGAAAATGAGGTGCCTGTAGAAGACGTTATAGCACTCTCACCGTATGACGGTGAATTAACGACATGATGCCCTAAACGGTGGTGAGGCATGCCCTTCAATCCATTCTTAAGTTCATAAGAATCATCCGAGGACGAAGCGGAATCAATCGACGATGACGGGAAGACAAATGGTATCGATCCTGGTCGTCCCCGTGCAACAACTTCAGCAGCACTACTTTGGATAGTGACGCCTGGAGTCGTTGCAATTTGTCCTGGCCCTGACGAAGTATGTTGAGATGATCCTGACATATTCACATCCATACTCCTAGGATCTACAGAAGACGCGTGTTCAATGTTTCCTTCAATCTGTGCTTTCAGCCTAGCGTTTGAGGGGTCCCACTCGCTCAATCTGTTTTGAGAATGCATATGTCTGACTGCCTCGTCTACTCGGAAGGCGGTGCCGTGCGAGCCGGTTTGGTCGGAAACATCTTCGGCCCACATACGAGTTGTAAACGACTGATGAGGAAAAATCGTTTTCTTTTCATCCTCGTGATTGTTGGTCGTCGATGAGGTGTCGGGATCACCATCGACTTGCATTGGCGTCTGAGGGCTCGGAAAGAGGGGATCCGTCGAGGAAGAGGTAGTATTGCCAGAGTTGTCCTGTGAATTATACAAAGTAGGGAAGAGGGCAGTAGGCGTTAAGAGGTCATTGTTAGACTTTTGACCAAGGGGGATTCTATAAAATAATATGAGCGTCTTACCATGGTAGAAGTATGTACAGGGACATGCAAAATATTTCCACTGTTATGAGCAGGTATGGCGACTGTCCGAAGGTCCGTTTTATTGCCCGCCATATCCACGTCGCAATTTCCAGTCCTGTTCCAATAGCCTTGCTCGTCTTGAACGGCCGTTTCCTCGTTCTTGACGTCGACGTCCATTGTGCCGGACGTGTTCAAGGAGTTAATTAAATCATTCTGTGGTTGATGCAAACAAAGTTTCTTCTTCCGAACTTCCCTCCTGATGCCGTCAAGCACTGCGTCCACCATAATGAAACCTCCTGTTCGGCCGACACCCGCTGAGCAGTGTAATAGTACTGGAGAGTGTCTCCTTCCCATCGCCTTATTGGCGATTCCAGTATTACGGTTGAGAATTTCCACTGAGCCACTCTTCGATCTAGATAGTGAAGGCCGAATGAAGGCAGGCACTCCAGCTTCAATATTGCTGGGTAGTACCTCCTTTGTAGTATCTTCTTCTTCTTTACCCTGGTCATTAAGGTGCATGGCTTCTGTGACAGCTTGGTCCACCTCCTTAATAAGACCTAGCACTCCTCGAGGATCATCGGGGACATTCATATCTGGCCACTCCAGGTATTGGAACTGCACAATTTTACGTGGAGGAATATCGGGGTAGCCTACATGAGAGAGAAGAAAAGTTCGTTTGATGATCGCATCTGCGGGATTCTTCTTTTTCTTCTTGCCGAGTTTGGTGTCTGGTACGACGGGTGAAGAGAAGAAGAAGCCACCGACGGCGTCTCCACCGCCTGCCTTCCTCCTGACATCATCATCTTTTCCTTCATCGACATTGCCCTCGACCGACATTAATTTTAGCCGTAAAGGCCCAAAGACTTCGTCCTTCCAGTATGGTCCGCATTTGACCATCGAACCTTCGATTTCGCGGGTCAGCATGATGATGACGTGTACGTTTTGTTGGTAGACCAGGCTATAAGTGAAAGAATCAGGTCAGGAACACGGTTGTAGATTTCAAGGTGCAAAGCGACGTACGTCCAGAAATCGACAAAAGTAGCTTCCAGGGGTCCTTGCGTGGCGATATATCTTCTCGTGGTACAAAGTGGCTGGACATAGGATGCGTTGACATAATCATCATGGTCCTCCGATGTAGGCTCTTTTTCAGAATCATCGTGTTCGTGCTCACTTTCCGTGGTTTCACCGCCACTTCCTGCTGCAGGGGGAGGAGCACGCATGTGAGTGAAGCTAGGTTTGAGTGCGCTGCCGCCTATGACTGACGCGCCGTTGAATATGACTGGTGCAGTGAGGGAGGAAGAAGGAAAATTGAAGGAAGGAGATGATAATCCGCCCAGCCCCCCTGAACCGAAACTTGGTTTGACTCCGTGTCTGCTCTTCATTCGATTTGATGAGCGAGGAGATTTCGTTGCGTCGGAGACAGAGCGGGAGACGGAAGCGCCAGATGTCGGAGAACCGGATAAAGAAGTTATTGGTCCGGTGAGGGCACCGGAGTGTCGGATGGATGAGGCACTTGAGGGAGGGGATACTGTTGAGGCGGATGGTTGGGAGGAGGATGAGTCTGCAGATTGTGCAGATTTACGGGAAGGAGAATGTCGCCGTGCGTGCAGCCTGACACGAGCATGTTCGAAAGGCCATATGTGTCGATATCTACAAATCGTTCAGAGTGGGATGGGAGAATGGGGACATTTAAGACGTCACCTGTTCTTAGCACCCTTCTCAACTCCTGCCGTAATACTATATGGGAAGACAGTTTTCGAATCTCTTCCGTGATCACTATCTGACTCTGAAATGCTAGGAGGCACGATAGGCCCTGAAGATACGTTTCTCGGCTTATTGGAGTTCAAGACACCGAAAGATTCTCGCATGTGACCTGGTTGAGGAGAGGGAGAAACCGATCGCAAGGATACATGAGCAGATATATAATCAACAGTTTGAGGGACGTGTGGTCTCAACCCTGACGAATCTGCACTTTCTACGATGTCTTTTCTCTGCGCTTGGGTTTGCGAGGAGACCACACCACTTTCTGCTGAATGATGCTTCATAACACCCATCAATCGTCTCTGCTCTGCGAGTTCAATCCGATAAAACTGCATGGCGAGCGCTTCCATGCCTTCGTCTAGTAAGGCTTGATCGGGAGGGGGAGGAGTGGGATGTTGTTTAGACATTTTGATTGGTGAAGTTGGACGTTCGTAATGAATGCCAGGCGGCAGCAATTTGCCAGATGATTTAGGAGATAAGTGATTTGTAGCATTGGATTTGTTTTCGGAAGTAGATGGAGGAGATTCATCACCGTCGGAAGTGAATGAATCATCGGGCTTGACGTCAGCGCGACGAGAGATTTCGCGGAGCCATTCGAAAGGAAGGTCATCGATCCTCTTGCGAACGCGTTTCGGTAATCGTAGTGGAATACGCTCCGTTATTCCCTGGAGAAGAATATTAATGTAAAAGATGGATGAAAAAGTCAAATGATCACACACCTGTGTCAACTCCATATTCTGTCTGATCGTGTCGAAGAAGGGATTGAAAGGGACGGAAGAAGTGCCGCTAGTCTTTTCGGACATGAGAGGGGCATTTGCACGCAAACTCATAGCCGAAGGCGGCCTCTTTCGTGGGGAAGACAGATCCAAGGAGCTCCTAGTAGTTGTTCCACTGCCAAAGGCCTTGGACGGAAGATGATTGGTTTTCAGACTACCAGGCTCATTGACATCGTCTTCGGGTTCAGGCTCCGGTGGACGGAAATCAACAAGATCCCTGCGCTCACGCCAAACTCTCTGGAAACCACCCTTAAGCCAAAAAAGAGCGTTTCCGTTATAGGCTGCGTCATTTGAAAACTTGCGGAGCAGGCCAAGGATATTATTGCCTTCGGGAAGGAAAGGAGATCCGATAGAATCTACGTCGTAGACAACGATGGTGGTGAACTTGGGCCATTCTGCAAAACGAGCACGAGCGGAAGATGAAGGAAGCATTGCTCCAAGACGGTCCAGGGAGAATAACGGCCGTTTGAGAAGCGTAGAAGGAACGGAAAGGGAGAGAGCTGTGGGGATTCTGGCAGAGGAATAGGCTGCATGAGGACGAATATCGATGATCAAGGCAGAAGTGTTGTTGATAAAAGGTAAAAGATGAGTAGGCTCAACAGAGCTAAAGGAAGAAGAGGGTTTCGAGTTGGTTGTGGAAAGCGGGAGCTTCGATTTTATCGGCGAAAGGTCCTTTGCGTTCATGACTGGATTTAAAATGGAACGTTCGGAAATTGCTCTTGCAAAAGTGTCCACATCGTCCCCTAAACTTCCTGAGTCCGGTTTAGTACCGAAAAAATCCTGGTCCATCGTCGACGTTAGAGTTCAAAATTGCGCATTAGGTATTCTGACGTCATCCTTCCCGTGTTTAGGTGTTAATTTGTAGATTATGTAATCGTATATTTCTCCCATGAACTCCTCCGTTGAACACCTTTCCCCTACAACTTCTTCTGCCAGGTTTTCTCTACCTTCCAAGTCTACAGCCGGTCCTAAACCAAATATATATGAACGAAATTTGAACAAGACTCGAGTCGCAGAAGTTTCGGCTGCTTCACTCAGCTTTCTCTTTTCAGAAGTTGTGCAGTATACGCAGAAACGCGTCAGTGGGGTCAATGATTTAGAGAGAAGGTACGAATGTTTGTTTCATCTTTATTTCGGTCCATCTAATCTCTACTTGCGCAGGTTGAACACGCTAGGATATCGCGTTGGCACTCGTGTTCTCGAACTCACCGCTTATCGTGCGGAGTCTTCGTTGAAAGCGCCCAAACGAGAAATCCGTCTTCTGCCCGCCCTCATGGCGATACACACACAAATCTGGAGAGCAGTGTACGGTAGGCCGGCTGATGCGATTGAGAAAAGCGTAGAGAATGTAGACGAATGTACGCCCTTTTCTTTGTTCAATTCCGTGTATGACAGAACTCATACCGGTTTGTAGACATGATAATAGACAACGACCCACTTATCGAGCGACACATTTCCGTCCCTCGCGATCTATCTGGTCTTAGTTGCTCATCATTCTCCGCTGGGATTGTCGAAGCTGTCTTGGACGGCCTGGGTTTCGTGAGTTGATCTCTAATAATTCATAATGTACCTAATCCAAGTTTGATCATAGCCGGCACGCGTCACTGCACATCATACACCTACTTCAACTCATCCTACTCGCACTACCATTCTCATTAAATTAGAAAAGTCTGTATTAGACAGGGAAGATGTGCTTAAGTAGTGAATGGATTTCGAACATGTGACTGACTGACTCGACCCTCTATTTTGTGGTTCAAACCCAGCTGGAACCTATGGGTGTCCTTGTTGGACAAAAATAAAACATACTTGAAATGGGAAAGTGCCTTGTACTGGGGCACTGATCTTGCCTGGATTGCCTGACTTGGCTTCATTCCACAATAGCATAAACTCAAGGATATTTAGGTCCAAATGATTACAATATGCATCTTCAACAAGTACATGGCATTAGACTCTAGAGCACAAGAGGTATGTAGAAAACACAAAACATGTACAGACTGTTGGAGTAAACTACTGTATATTGTAATAACTTTATGTGATAGCTAGCAAGCTCATCTCATTTGACTCTGTAAAGCAACTGAGGGTCTTGTTAAGATCATGTACACCGTGTAACCGTGCCAAAGCCACAAGGTGTCTAAGTGCGGAAGACGAGTGGGACAGTAGTGAAGTTATTAACAACACCACCGTTACGCCATTGGTCCCCGGAGATCGAGAGTAGAGAAGGGAGGAACTGAGGAGCAGCCAAGTCGGAGCGGCGGTATTGCCGGTGATGAGGAGCGAACCAGAGAACATCTAAGTTCTAAGGTTATAGTAGAGAGTACTCCAAGGCAATGAGCCTGAAGACTTAGAGAAGAGTGAGAGTTGAGAAGGGAGATCTAAGTTGATAATTAAACTGAGGAACTACAGTAGCGTACAGGCAGTATTTATATCTACGGATCGGCGCATCGGTGCGGAGCGCCAGACTAACTACTAGGAGCTATACGAGTAGTACCTGCCGGGTATAGTAAAAGACAATAAGGAGAGACTAGAACGAAAGGGTATGTGTAGCGAGAAAGAACAATAAGAGTAAGATTACAATAAGAGTGGATCTTCGGTATACTGAGCGGCGGAATGGAGGCCGAGGCATGGACTTGACAGTATCCCCCTCTTAGGCTTGAGCCCTCGAAAGCTATTAATACTGGGAGTTGATCAGTCACCAAAAAAAAAATTTTAAAGGCCGTCAGCATCGAGGATTTGGCCTATCAGTCAGCAGGAAAAATTTTCGTAAGCTGTTGGTACCGGGAATTATCGTTAGTCATCCAAGAAAATTTTCGGTGCACCGTAAACCAAGTACAATTCGAAGAAAAATTTTCGCTGGTCCGTGCACAGTTTTGTCCCTATAACAAGGGCCAGACTTTGCCGATAAGAGCCCAACTTTCCAAACTTCTAAGTCCACCAGCATGTCGACAAGCTGAACCACCACACAAACCACCACTACCGTCGGCTCGATCCCAGTCACCGGCGGTCTTCCACCTACGCCCCCAGCCCCAACTCGCCCTTCAACGCCGGATCCTTCGGACGAGGAGCGGGCGCTCGAACTCCAGTTACAGCTCACCAGGGAGAGGAACTGAAAGAGGAAGGAGGAGAAGAAGAAGGCTGAGGAAGAGGCCAAACGGAAAGCGGAGGAGGAGAGAGTGCAACAGGAGGCTGCCGTTCGGGCCGCGACCACCAGAAGGATGGAGGAAGAGGCAGCAGAGAAGAGAAGGAGGGCAGCAGCAGCAGCGGCTCGGAACCGTCGTGGTCCCTCACCTGGGGAGGCCACCACTTCTACTCGTAGAGTGGAAGTAGAGATCCCGCGGGTGGTGAAGAAAGGAAAGGTTCCTCAGAGGAACGAGGTGAGTACTTCCTTTTCTATCACAGGATTTAATTACTTATTCCTTGTTAGTTTAGCGGCGGGGACCCGGACGATGGCGGCGATGGCGGAGAGGACGACGACGACAATGAAGAGCGGTGCCAGATGAAGAAAATTCCCTGCCTGGAACAGGTGGGCAAACGAAGCACCGTGATATGCAAGCCATGTCATGATGCGAAGGTAAAATGTTCGTACTCCGGACGTCCGATACAAGTGAAGCGGGAGGGAGGACCGAGCGGCGAGCGGATGGCTGTGATGGAAAGCCAGTTGGCTCAGCTTTTGGCTGACAACCGGTCCTTGAGGGAGGCCACTTCGAGGTCTCACCAATACCTACGACAACTCCTGCGGCGCCAGGATGAAGATCATGCCCGCCTTATTGCTATTGACACTAGGGACGCCATGAGGGAATCGGCGATACCAGGGCTGTCGAGATTGGTCTCCGAACGGCCAAGGAACTTGAAGAGGAGAAGGATCATGGAGAACAGCGAGGAAGAAGAAGAAGGAGAGAAGGAGGAAGAGAAGGATGGAGAAGGGGAAGATGAGATGGAGGAGGAAGAGAAAGGAGGGGAGGGGCCGGCGCCGAAGAAGGCGAAGACGGCGGCCTCTGAGAAAGGGAAGGAGAAGGAGGTAGTAGTAGTAGATTAGCGGACATCGGACATTGGCCTTCGGCCATCTTTTTGTACTCTTCTTGTAACCCTGCCTTCGTTGTATAATCTTGTTTTTTGGACTTTTGTATATATAAAAAGATGTTCAACGCAATTTTGAAATCGGAAAGCGAATGGGCCGCAAAGCGGCGTAAGAAATAATTAGTTTTGAAGTATAAGTAGCTTAAGTGTGATTGAAGAATAAGTAAAATAGTAACTAAGAAAACAAAATAAGCAATTTAAGAAAGAGAGGTAAACACTCAATTTGCTATCATTGTGTTTACCCTCTAAACACACGAAGTAAACTTCGGCGGAGCATGGCAGAAACGGGGAAAAGGAATAAAATGTTTTTTGTGATCAAGGTCCAGGCTTGTGAGGGTATCGGGCGTGGAATGCCGGTACAAGTTTGTCAGCATGTAGTTCATCAGCAGCAACCCAGGAAAATTCATCATCGGTACCTTCGTAACCGGCCCACCGAATGTAATAACGTAGAGGACAACGCTTATACCTTCTGTCTAGCTTGGAGTCAAGGATTTCTGCAACGTTGTACTCTTCTTCACCATCAACTTCAATTGGAGGTGGAGGAGATTGAGTACGATTCGGGAAAGGATTCGGCGTAACCGGCTCCAGCTGTGAGACGTGGAAGACCAGGTGAATTCGGCGAAAATAGTCCGGGAGCTTGAGCTCATAAGACAAAGTACCAGGTCGACTGATGACCTTGAAAGGACCAAGATATTTTTCAGAGAATTTTTCAGTAGGACGAGTGGAGCGAATATGCTTAGCAAGAACAAATACTTCGGAGCCGATCGGGAACTCCGGGTGCGAGATTCTTTTCCTGTCAGCTTGTTCCTTGTAACGAGATTGAGCTAAGAGGATTTCCTCTCGAAGGAAGATGTGGAGTTCATCGAGATTGATGACAAAGTCTCTGGCTAAATCAGACTTCATGTCGACCTCGGGCCGAACGGTGATATTGGGATGGTATCCTTTGTTAGCAAAGAACAGAGTAATACCTGTGGAAGCATTGGGAGCGTTGTTATAGGCGAACTCGGCGATCAGAAGTAAAGGCGACCAATCATCCTGTTGGTAGGAGCAATAGATCCTGATGTACTGTTCGAGAGTCTGATTGACATGCTCAGTCTGCCCATCGGCTTCCGGATGATATCCAGAGGTATAATGAAGTTCCATGGAGAGCGCTTTACCGAGGGCCCGGAAAAACGCCAAAACAAATTCGGAACCACAATCAGAAGTGACATGATTAGGAACACCATGCTTAGAGAAGACGTGAATAACAAAAAGCTCAGCTAGTTGTTCGGAAGTGATGGTGTCGTGAGTTGGAATAAATATAGCTTGCTTGGATGATCAATCCACAATGACGAGAATAGCTGTATAACCATTCGACATTGGCAGTTGCTCAATGAAGTCCATGGAGATGGAGTCCCATGGTCGGACCGGAACTGGCAGAGGTTTCAACAAGCCATAAGGCCGATGACGGTGGGGCTTATTGCGACCACAGATAGTGCAGGAGGTAATGTAGTCACGAACAAAGTCTCTGACCTTGGGCCAGGTGTATTGACGACGTACAGCTTCTAGAGTGCAGTTCTGGCCAAAATGGCCGGAGAGTGGATGATCATGGAAGTAGCGGAGGACTTGAAGGCGAAGATCACCGTGATTAGGGACATAAATACGGTCGTCAAGGCGTAGTAGCTTGTCACTACCTAAGCTCCAACATTCATTGGAAGGATCTTTAGCAAGTTCCAAACCAACAACGGAGCTCGGGTCGGCGGGAAGGGCGAGGATGATTGCCTGGTGTAGGGCTTCGATATCCATGATAATTGAGGCTCGTAAAACCGGGCCTTCCAGGAAGGTAGCTCGAAGAGACACAGTGAGTTGTTTGTTAGTAAATATAGGACGGAAGTTATGAGGGTTCACTTGGGCGTAGCCGATATCCCCCTCTTTAGGGTAGACGTCCCAGCGTCTAGTTATCGAGTCGGGTTTCTCGCCGAGTTTTCCCGGTCAGAAGCAAATAACCATATTAAATTGATGTAAAAATTCTGACCATCGGACCTGTCGGCGTGTAAGAACCTTGGTAGTAGAAAAATACTCAAGATTCTTGTGATCGGTGACGACGTCCACCGGATCACCCAAACCTTCCAGATAATGACGCCAAGCCTTAAAGGCCTCGAAGATGGCCAGTAGCTCTTTGTCGTGGGTATCGTAGTTGAGTTCAGCCGCATGAAGCATTCTGGAAAGGAAGGCTAGAGGATGAATTTCACCGTCAGCATATTGGATGGAAAGAATAGCCGCAATGGCGTAATCGGAAGCGTCGGTCTCCACGATAAGTGGGCGATTCGGCTCCCAATGGGCCAGTATCGGCGCAGAAGTAAAAGCGATTTTGAGATTTTTGAAGGCCTCTTGACAGCTGCTGTCCCAGATCCAGGGAGCGCCTTTTTGGGTAAGCCGAGTCATCGGCACAACGATATCACTATAATTATAGATAAAACGATGATAGAAATTTGCAAAACCCAAGAAGGACTGAATGTCCTTAACCTTCCTCGGAACCGGCCACTCTAGAACTGTGTCAAGCCCATGCCTCGGGCCTCCATTCCGCCGCTCGGCATTCCGAAGATCCACCTTTATTGTAATCTCTTCCTTATTGTTCTTTCTCGCTAC